CCCTAACACCCAACACCCTAACACCCTACCCCCTAACACCCAAACCAACCCCAACACCCTAACACCCTAACACCCTAACACACACCCAACACCCCCTAACCACCCTAACACCCTAACACCCTAACACCAACCCTAACACCCTAACACCCTAACACCCTAACACCCTAACACCCTAACACCCCCTAACACCCAAACACCCAACACTACCCCTAACACCCACACCTAACACCCTAACACCCAACCCTAACACCAACACCCAACACCCTAACCCAACCCCTAACACCACCCTAACACCCTAACACCCTAACACCCTAACACCCTAACACCCTAACCCCACACACCCTAACACCCTAACACCCTAACACCCTAACACCTAACACCCTAACACCCTAACACCCTAACACCCTAACACCCTAACACCCAACACACCCTAACACCCTAACACCCAACACCCTAACACCCTAACACCCTAACACCCTACACCCTAACACCCTAACACCCTAACACCCTAACACCCTAACACCCTAACACCCTAACACCCAAAACACCCTAACACCCTAACACCCTAACACACCCTAACACCCTAACACCCTAACACCCTAACACCCTAACACCCTAACACCCTAACACCCTAACACCCTAACACCCTAACACCCTAACACCCTAACACCCTAACACCCTAACACCCTAACACCCTAACACCCTAACACCCTAACACCCTAACACCCTAACACCCTAACACCCTAACACCCTAACACCCTAACACCCTAACACCCTAACACCCTAACACCCTAACACCCTAACACCCTAACACCCTAACACCCTAACACCCTAACACCCTAACACCCTAACACCCTACACCCTAACACCCTAACACCCTAACACCCTAACACCCTAACACCCTAACACCCTAACACCCTAACACCCTAACACCCTAACACCCTAACACCCTAACACCCTAACACCCTAACACCCTAACACCCTAACACCCTAACACCCTAACACCCTAACACCCTAACACCCTAACACCCTAACACCCTAACACCCTAACACCCTAACACCCTAACACCCTAACACCCCTAACACCCTAACACCCTAACACCCTAACACCCTAACACCCTAACACCCTAACACCCTAACACCCTAACACCCTAACACCCTAACACCCTAACACCCTAACACCCTAACACCCTAACACCCTAACACCCTAACACCCTAACACCCTAACACCTAACACCTACCCCCTAACACCCTAACACCCTAACACCCTAACACCCTAACACCCTAACACCCTAACACCCTAACACCCTAACACCCTAACACCCTAACACCTAACACCCTAACACCCTAACACCCTAACACCCTAACACCCTAACACCCTAACACCCTAACACCCCTAACACCCTAACACCCTAACACCCTAACACCCTAACACCCTAACACCCTAACACCTAACACCCTAACACCCTAACACCCTAACACCCTAACACCCTAACACCCTAACACCCTAACACCCTAACACCCTAACACCCTAACACCCTAACACCCTAACACCCTAACACCCTAACACCCTAACACCCTAACACCCTAACACCCTAACACCCTAACACCCTAACACCCTAACACCCTAACACCCTAACACCCTAACACCCTAACACCCTAACACCCTAACACCCTAACACCCTAACACCCTAACACCCTAACACCCTAACACCCTAACACCCTAACACCCTAACACCCTAACACCCTAACACCCTAACACCCTAACACCCTAACACCCTAACACCCTAACACCTAACACCCTAACACCCTAACACCCTAACACCCTAACACCCTAACACCCTAACACCCTAACACCCTAACACCCTAACACCCTAACACCCCTAACACCCTAACACCCTAACACCCTAACACCCTAACACCCTAACACCCTAACACCCTAACACCCTAACACCCTAACACCCTAACACCCTAACACCCTAACACCCTAACACCCTAACACCCTAACACCCTAACACCCTAACACCCTAACACCCTAACACCCTAACACCCTAACACCCTAACACCCTAACACCCTAACACCCTAACACCCTAACACCCTAACACCCTAACACCCCTAACACCCTAACACCCTAACACCCTAACACCCTAACACCCTAACACCCTAACACCCTAACACCCTAACACACCCTAACACCCTAACACCCTAACACCCTAACACCCTAACACCCTAACACCCTAACACCCTAACACCCTAACACCCTAACACCCTAACACCCTAACACCCTAACACCCTAACACCCTAACACCCTAACCCTAACACCCTAACACCCTAACACCCTAACACCCTAACACCCTAACACCCTAACACCCTAACACCCCTAACACCCTAACACCCTAACACCCTAACACCCTAACACCCTAACACCCTAACACCCTAACACCCTAACACCCTAACACCCTTTATTCTGATCAAGTTTATTTGTCATATAATAAAGGAGGAATAAACATTGCACACTGTTGTAATAATGTTATTATTTAAACATATAAAATAATAAGTGTTTTATGTGCACTTTTATATTTAATTTATAGACATTGAAATATATATTGAAAGCATATTAAAATAAATTTTTTATTGCAAATTTTTGAATATTTTAGAATTGTTCTTAAGCACTCTTTATTTAATTACTATTGATCAAAACATCAATAAAGACTTTGATAGCCTACTAAGTTTTTATACGGTTAACTTAATAAAAATAAAGTTATAAATTTAAAATTAAAGTTTTTTGCTCTCTTATTTTCGTATTTTAAATTTTAGCACAAATTAAGCAACGAGCATTTATTTAATCTATATTACCTATAAAGTTTAATAATTATAATTTAATTTCATTTTTTCTAATTAAAATACCAAAAAGGCCACAAGACTGAAATTTTACAGTTGACTTATATGTTTCTAATCTTTAATATATTTAAATGCTATTTATTTACCCGATGATTTTTACTTTACTTAGGATATTTTAATAAGCCAAGGATGCCTCAATATTTCATCAGTTCCAATCTAACCTCCGACTTTATCGCCATCGTAATAGTTCATAATACCATCAAGGGTCACGTTCTCTTCAAAATATCATGTGAAATAAAACCAGATTGTGCTTCCATTTCTATCGGCTGCCTTTATTCCCGTTCAAATGGAAATATATCTCGTGAAGATAAAGATGCCCATTTTATCAATCAACCTGTGTAAGCTATACCAATTAGTTAAGTCTATTGCTCAAATGAAGGGTGATTTTATCTTTCGAAGAAAGAAAGACGATGCGGATATCTATTATTTGCAGAATGTTAGAGCATTAAATTATAAGTATGAATGCTATATATCAAAATGTGAATGAAGGCTAATAGTTTTAAAACCTCCTGCTCAGATAGGTTTTAGCACCACCTAAAGGGGTTTCTTCCTGGTGAAGCAACATGCTATATGAGTTCTTCCTATGGTAAGGCAAGACTGGAGCAGATCAACTTATGTTGAGATGTATCAATCGGTGTGAAATCCTAAATCTACAGACTTGATCTAGACCTAACCAAACAGAAAATAAAATTTACCTCTCCAATTTCCCGATAAACAATCTAGCCATTTCAAAAACAGCAAACTGCCAAGATCTGTAGCAAAAAAATATTTATTTCTGTTTTAAAGCTTTAAAGTTAATGATCTATTAATTTAATTCTTTCTCCTAATCGAAAAGCATGCCCAATACTTTCATCCCTAAAACCCCATAAACCATTATGCCATAAATATTTTTAAAAAAACATTCTGGGAACTGGTCCATATTAGAGTCTGGAAATTCCAGTATAAATCCTATTTGCCAAACTCATAAAAAATAAAATAAATTGTCTAATATGAAATTCGTAGACCCTATAATGAGTATAGTTATGAACTTTGAAATAGGAATTGTGGCAAGAACAATAAGCATTAAAAAATAAAGTCAGATGATTTTGAAGATATCTTTATTTTTCTTTAACTCACTTTTATTGTTTCTTTCTTTGAAGGATACAGCTTTTCGATGGAGAACATCACCAAATGTTATGATTCCGCATATCACGTGGAGTCAAAATATAAGAATTATCCCTAAATACATTTCATATTTCATTACAGCACGAAGAATCTTCCATAAATAAAATCCTATAAAATTTATCCAATATATTTGAGCTATTATATTAAGGACGCTCATAATTTCTGTTCCAATTTCTATATATACATACTCTTTTAAGGCAAACTTTAAAGCAAAATAGCTTCCAATAAGTAACAAAAGTGTGTGGAAGACTATCAAATAGTCATAGAAGCAAATTTCCTTAAAGTCATACTCATATCTTCATTTATTTATTATAAAAACTCCTAATGTAGCTGCATATAATAATATATAGCAGCTACTCTCAATAAAAAAGAAACTGGCAGTATTTGATATTCCGATCATTGCTGCAATTCAGCTATATTGAAAATTCAAATGCTTTTCACTCATAATAAAACAAAGACTTCCTGAAACATAAAATCATATTTCATTTCATATCAAAGCATTATTCACATAAAAGCTAGCCAACTCATACAAATGTGCAGAAAATTTACTCGCAAGCTCAAATAAAAGATCAGCATTATCATCTAGGTATTTCCCTAATAAAAATAAAATTGAGTTTGCTGCAAATGATTGCAAAATAATATAATATCCTTTACCTCTTATAGTCAGATTGGCAATTTTTTGAAAGACAAAGTGATCTAAGATCAAAAGTGCAAAATGAAATAACCATAAAATGATCATGTTTATAAATGCACAAATTCATTTTTGCAAGAAAATCCTGCTAGAATAAGCCTACTGACAAATGAAAAAGAGTATTTTCAAATAAAATTAATTCAAAATGCTCAAGTGTTCTGCTTAAACCAGCTTATAACTTTGAAAAATCCTCACATCCTCTTATAATAAAAGAGCATTTCAGTATGGAGGAGGAAATCTTTTAGATGAGTGAGACTGTCAAAAAATTCAAAAAGCTAGATTTGAAATATTTTATGTAAAGCTTATATAGAAACTGCTCAAAAGTTTGTTTTTATATAAAAGTTTAAGAAATGATTTTGATATGCTATTAAAATGAATTACCAAAATATAAATTTTGCATGCACTAGTAAAAAGAGAAAATAGACTATGGATACAATAATATCTCAAAAACAGAGCATTGAAAAACTTAAAGTAGTTAAGAGCCTGAAATCTATAAGGCTCCAAACCTCAAAAAGAAAAAAATATAAAGCCACTCTTGAATCTATAAGAGATATTAGGAAGAATCGCGAAAATGGCTCAAGCATTAAAGACTTTTCAGACGCTTAGTTACTATCAGCTAAGAAAGATCCAAGAACTAATCTATTAGAGATAAGTTCTAAATTCTGCTTGCTCTGCTTTCTTTTAAGTTAGAGTTTTCCTGGCTTGATTATTATTAATTTTATTTTAGGTTTATTTTTTTTTCTTGAGCAGTGAAAAGGGTTTATCTGAAATCTTGCCTAGTTAGGAGGTGATTTAAACAAGTGGTATTAGTGATGAGATGCATATACAAGTAACCTCTCTATATTTTTAGAAATAGATTCCGTAGCTATTATAACTCTTGTGAAATCAATTTCATCACTTGACGTCTTAAATCCAGGAATTACCAAATTTGCTTTAAAACACAGCCTACTCTACAAGTTAAGAAATACAATAATCATTGATTTGATAATTCTCAAACAAATAATATTTGATACATAATCAGAACTAATTAATCTTGCTTTTCTTAGTGGTGAAGTCCATTATGAAAAATAGGACATGAAACTAAAATATTGAATGAAAAGGGGAGAATTATTGATAGGATAGTTGATAATTCTTGAAGCGTTATAACTCATCATGCAAATTATAGTATAATGTTGAATTGATTATAAAATTAATGGCCATTTTTTAGCATATTAAAACAGAATCCATATCCGGACAAATTTGACAAACTTACCTATTTTCGGTTAAACAAATTATCTAAGCTATAGAGTTTGATTTTATACTGGCCCAATTAATATTAAAGAGATTTTCAATGAAATATTAGGGATCCTGATGGATATAAATACTGAATTCTAAGATCTCCAAAATGCTTTTTTCAAAGTGTTTTACAGTTTATATGAAGTATCCATGTCAGAATGCTTTTGGCAAACCAGGCTCACGGTTCTAATGGCAGATTTTGATTCACTGGCTCGCCTCATACTTTTACGTAGTCAAAATACAGACTTAGTTTGTAAAAATAATTTAGCAAGCCAGGTTGACATCTGGCTATTACAAAAAACTTATTAACTTATTATTAATGCAGAGCTAGTATACAATCTTATCGCCCCTCCTATCAAATTTTGGTGTTTTAGCATCTGTATTTTTGTCTCCAAACTTTGTTTCTACTGTCACTCATTTGCTTCTTTGTCTTTTTACTTAATATTTCACTGAGTCCCCCATTTAAGCTTGAATAGAAGCCTGCTTCAATTTAAGAGGTTAATTTTTTTCTATACAAATTTATATTAAACTTATAATTTATTTATAAAATTTATGATTAAGACTGAAAATTTTGTTTAAATTGTGTATCAAAGCTATTTTACATAGAAATTATCATTTTCTCATATATAGAACTTAAAATTTTGCTCCATTTAAAGGGATAATTTACCCAAAATGACATTTATCAATATTTTGCTCCAATTTAAAGGGATTCAGTTTTTCTTTATATGTGTCCATCAATGCTGCTCTTCATCTCTAAACTTATGCAAGTATTAAACCAATTCTAATATTCTCATTATTTCTTTCTCCAATTCGCCAATCATAAAATAGGGCTCTTTTTCTGAGTTCTCTCTGTCGTAATCTTTGTCATTTTCCTTGCATAATCTAATCTTCGCATTTAATCATCGTAATAGCTTATAATACCATCAAGGGTCACGCTCTCATCAAAATGTCATATGAAATAAAACCCACATTGTACGCTTTCATTTCTATCGGCTGCTATTATTCTCTTTCAAATGAAAACCCATTTCTCTTAAAGATAAAAATGCTCATTGTATCATTCAACCTGTACAAGTTGTGCCAATTAATTAAGTCTATTGTTCAAATGAAGGGTGATTTTATCTTTCGAAGAAAGAAAAGACAATGCGAATATCTATCACATGCAGAATGCTAGAGCATCAATTATAAGTATGAATGCTATATATCAAAATGTGCATGAAGGCTAATAGTTTTAAAACCCTCCTGCGCATGTAGGTTTTAGCTCCACCTAAAGGGGTTTCTTCCTGATGCAACAACTAGCTATATGTATTTTTCCTATGGTCAAGGCAAGGCTGGAGCAGATCAACTTATATTGAGATGGATCAACCGGTGTGAAATCCTAAATCTCCAGACCTGATTTGTCTCTCTGACAACAACCGATTAGAGGAGTCTGAAATCTGGGAAATGGAAACTATACAGCATTTAGAAGCAGCTGCACCTTCCTAATGAAGGATTTGAGTGAATACAGGAATTCTGGTTAGCATACAGATCGATATACCTATAGCCGGGAACGGGCTATACTAGAATTATTGATAGAAAAAGTTTTAAGGTCAAGGATAGTTTTAAAAGATAAAATCTCAGTTAAAATTGTCTTTATTCAAACGAAATCTTCATTATTTGCAATATCTTAAACTTAAATTTAAGGGAGGTTGAGACATCCTATCTGCTTTTCAAAACTCAGATTTTTAAAAAAAAAGAGTAGAGATATAGTGCTCATTATAATATAGCACAAATCTATGCTACAAAAAGTGATACACTATATTGGTTAAACGGAAAGTATTACTTCAAGTTTGAGTTGAATAAAAAGAGATTGAGTAAATTAAAAGAATTTTGCAAGCTTTTCAATTATAAATGCTAACTTCCCCCCCATGAGTGAGTAAAAAATTTTGTTCGCTTATGGAGGGGTTAATATTTTTTTTTTATAAAATTTTCTATATAATAATAAAATAAAATGGCTGAACAGAGAATAAATATACTAGAAGCTGGATCTTCTCAAAAGTACCAAAAAGTCTCTTTTGGGGTAATTAAAATTTACCCTCAAAGTTCCCGATGAACACTCTGCCCATTTCAAAAACTAGCAAACTACCAAGATCTGTAGCAAGAAAATAGGGTATTTATTCATGCTTCTAAAGCTTTAAAGTTAATGATCTATTAAGTTAATTCTTTCTCCTAATCGAAAAACATGCCCAATACTTTCTTCCCTAAAAACCCATAAACCATTATGCCATAAATATTTTTAAAAAAACATCCTGGAAACTGGTCTATATAAGTATCTGGAAATTCCAGTATAAATCCTATTTGCCAAACTCATAAAAAATAAAATAAATCGTCTAATATGAAATTCGTAGATCCTATAACGAGTATAGTTATGGTCTTCGAAATAGGAAACATATGTAGCTCGATCCCTGCTTTGAATTGGGTTTGACTGATGTCGGGAGGCGCCAGATTGGGAGTTGACAAACCAATGTTTGCTGGCAAAGTCTACAAATCTTAGATAGCAAGAGGATTTATCATCTTGGGAGGTGACTTTGCCAACAAACATTGGTTAATCATCTCCCCATCTGATGTCGGTAGATATCAGACTAGTCCAATCCAAAGCAGACATCGTGCAATACATAAAATGTCAGGAGGTGAATAATATCGTCTTATGTAAGGAAGATGTGGCCAAGTTGTAATGGAGCGAGAAGCCTCAGCACGGACTCTCTGATTTTCGGATTGATACTATGGACAGCTGTCTGAATCTTTTGACAGCAGTGCTCATCTTAAGGAGTGCTTAATATGGAAAAGGACAGCCTATAAGTAAACTGCCTCGGCGAATGAAGTTGAATTTAACTATGATAGCTGGGATAAGGACAGCAACTAGACTCAGAAAGCCTCTTCAACTTAAATGGTGAGTTTTTATCCAAAAAATAGAGATTTTTCCAATGGTTTTGTCCGTTCACGGAGGGGGAGTTAGGAATGAGAAGTGCTAACCAATCAAAATAGGAATTGTGGCAAGAACAATAAGCATTAAAAAATAAAGTCAGATGATTTTGAAGATATCTTTATTTTTCTTTAACTCACTTTTATTGTTTCTTTCTTTGAAGGATAAAGCTTTTCGATACAGCACTTCACCAAATGTTATGACGCCGCATATCACGTGGAGTCAAAATATAAGAATTATCACTAAATACATTTCATATTCCATTAAAGCACGCAGAATCTTCCATAAATAAAATCCTATAAAATTTATCCAATATATTTGAGCTATTATATTCAGGACATTCATAATTTCTGTTCCAATTTCTATATATACATACTCTTTTAAGGCAAACTTTAAAGCAAAATAGCTTCCAATAAGTAACAAAAGTGTGTGGAAGACTATCAAATAGTCATAGAAGCAAATTTCCTTAAAGTCATACTCATATCTTCATTTATTTATTATAAAAACTCCTAATGTAACTGCATATAATAATATATACCAGCTGCTATCAATAAAAAAGAAACTGACAGCATTTGATATTCCAATCATTGCTGCAATTCAGCTATATTGAAAATTCAAATGCTTTTCACTCACAATAAAGCAAAGAGTTCCTGAAACATAAAATCATATTTCATTTCATACCAAAGCACTATTCACATAAAAACTAACCAATTCATACCAATGTGCAGAAATTTTTTTCACAAACTCAAATAAAAAATCGGCATTGTCATCTGAGTATTTCCCTAACTCTACCCTCTAAATTATATAAAAATCCTGCTCCAATTAAGGGGCTTTTTTTTTAATATTAAATTTTTCTTTTTAAACACAAATTTATTAAATAAAATTTATAAAAATAGAGAATCCAATATTTTTAAATCTTAATTATTTTTATATAAAATTTACTCAAAAACCTAATCGTTTAAGTATAAAAACTGTTTATATAATGTTCTAATTGCAATATTTCCATTAAATCAGGTCAAACTAATTTTGTAAAAATTAGTATTTTCACTACAATTGGGAAAAAAGTCAATTTAAAGAAGGCTAATACAATCAAAACGGAAATTTTACCAATATTTTGTCCAAGGAATAATAAAAATAAAATTGAGTTTGCTGCAAATGATTGCAAACTAATATAATATCCTTTGCTTCTTATATGCAGATTGATAATTTTTTGAAAGACAAAGCCATCGAAGATCAAAAGTACAAAATGAAATAACCATAAAATGATCATATTTATAAATGCACAAATTCATTTTTGCAAGAAAATCTTGCGAGAACTAGCCTACTGACAAATGAAAAAGAGTATTTTAAATAAAATTAATTCGAAATGCTCAAGTGTTCTGCTTAAACCAGCTTATAACTTTGAAAGATCTTCACATCCTCTTATAATAAAAGAGCATTTCAGTATGATGGAGGAAATCTTTTAGATGAGTGAAAAAGTCCCAATAACCCCAAAAAATTCAAAAAGCTAGATATAACATATTTTATTTAAAGCTTATATAGAAATTATTCAAAAATTTGTTTTTATATAATAGTTTAAGAAATATTTTTGATATGCTATTGGAATGAGTTACCAAAATAGAAATTTTATACTATACTTTAAGTTTTGATAGGAGATCTAAAATTTAGAAAAGAGAACTAATATAAAATATATCCAAATTTAATAAAAAGAATTATACCTTTATGAATACGCATAAAGATCTGTCTTCATGTATAAGTATGCTAGTAAAAAGAGGAAATAGACTAATGGATACAATGACACCTCAAAAAGAGAGCATTGAAAAACTTAAAGAAGTTAAAAGCCTGAAATCTAAAAAGGCTCCAAACCTCAAAAAAATATAAAGCCTCTCTTGAATCCATCAGAAATATCAGGAAGAATCACGAAAATGGCTCAAGCGTCAGAGACTTTTCAGATGTTTACCTACTCCTTATAATTTCAAAAAATTTAAATTATCCAATTTATTTAAGTTTTGTTGTGACTTTTAAAAATCAAGATGGCGTTATAAAGAACAAAAAAAATTAAATGAGCACTTGTCCAAAAAGCGAAAATTAATCAACAAATAATTGCTGTTATTTCAAGAGTTTATTTAAATTAAGATTCAATTTTTATATAAGCCATTTTAAAAATCGGCTCGTTTAATTGCCAGAATGGTTCACACTTGTCAAAAATTTTATAGCTAGCCATTTTTAATTCCCAAATTCGGGCCAAATATTTTACCGCGAAATTGTTGTGTTTTAAACATAAGAGATAAGACCCACTTTAAACGTAAAATATTCATTGGCTTTATTTGCCAAACTTTAGGCGAATTATTTTGAATTTTTTTCAAAAATTATATAAAAAACAATTATATAAAACCACATTGAACTAGTTTAAAATGAGGGTTTTTTTATTATAATCTTAATATTTCTATTAATAGTGAGGGGTCTGGTCTAATGAGTGCAAGATATGAAGTCCATTAATGCGGTTACACTTTCAATGAGGTCGATCCATAAAGGTTCATAAGCTATATTTATATCACAGAGGGGGTTAATTTTTATATATTTTTTTTTTTCAAAATCCCAATCCGCAAATATGGAAAACAAATATTTATTTAATTTGCTTTAAATTTCTGTTTTAAAGCACAATTTGTTAAAATTAAACAGATTAGCTCGAGATTTCATTATACTAATTATCACTTATATATATATCAATTTTTTCAAAAAAAATTACATATAAAAAAAAAATTTTATTTCTCACACGAAGGGTGGTTTCGGTAAAAAATAGTGATTTTTCCAATGGTTTTGTTCGCACACTGAGGGGGGTAGAAAAAGCCTTCATTTAATTTCAGCATTTTCAACAGTAGTTTAAAAAGCTATAATTAATTTTATTTATAATTAAAAACATCCTATAATTAATAATTAACAAACTATAAAAATATTAAAATATAAAATTTCAATTGCATTTATTTACTCATAATTATTTCAAGATTCGGTGATTTATAGATGCCTTCTGGTAACATTTCATTTATAACATTTTGATAGTGTTGCTTTATCTTGAATCTTTGCATTTTTAAAGTGTCAGTCAAAAAATTTTCAGGCGTTCATGGAGTTTTTTCAATATAAATCGTGCTTACTTGCTCATAAGGCAATAAAGATTTTTGTGAAGCGATTTCTGCTAAATCTAGCAAAATCGCTGTTTTTAATTCTTCTGAGCTGCAAATTTCTTCATAGCTTCTATTTTCAAAACCTCGATTTTCATGAGCTCAGCTTTCTTTTATATACATTTCATCAGGGACTACAATTCCAACGATACTCATCCCAGTCGGCTCAGCATGCAGATAAATTTGTTTAACAAAGCTACTTGAATGGTAAATAGTTTCAAGCCTTTCGATAGCTATAAATTCTCCATTAGCAAGCTTAAGTATATTTATTTTCCTATCAATAATTGCTACGGCGTTTCTATCAGGTAAGATTGCAGCAATATCGCCAGTGTGCAGCCAGCCATATTTATCAATGATATTGACTTGCTCTTTTGAATGACCAACACTATAATACCCAACAAAAACTGAGTCACCTCTCAAGCACAACTCTCCTATCTTGCCTTTGTATTCTTCAAATTTGAAATCTTCTGGTAGGTTTTCTTTGCTTAATTTCATTTCTAATCCTGGAGATGGACCGCCGACGTGGCCTAAAGAATTGTCTCCAGGCATTGAGCATAAGCAAGCAATGGATCCTTCAACTAGTCCATAGCCTTCAAGAATGCTGCAAGATAATATGATCCTGAGCTCTTTGAGGATTTTTGAGTTCATCGGCGCAGATCCTGTACATAGGACCCTTATCTTGCCTCCCAAAATTCTTCTTGCTGCTTTGAGTACCAATTTATCTCATATTGCATGCTTAATTGACCCATTCTTGTCATAATTTTCAAATTTTCTTTTCAAAGCTGACCTGAGAAGAAAGCCTTTGAGATTTCTTTGCTTCGAAAACTCTTGATTAATTAAAATATATAGCCTGTGCATCATCCTCGGAACTGTAAGCAAGACGGTTGGCTTGAGAATTTGAAGATCCTCTGCAAACTCGGTCGAATCCCCTGAGGCAAACCCCACTTTTCCACCATTAAAAGCGACCAAATATAACAGCCATCTTTCCATAAGATGAGCCATTGATATATATGAAATGTGTGTGTCGCTAATCCTGTCAAATCCCAGTCCGCATGCCCTTGCGCTTGCTATAGAAGAAACAATATTCTTGTGCGAAATAATTGCAGCTTTAGGATACCCTGTAGTTCCACTTGTGCTGCATAGTGTAAAAATGTCATCCGGGCTCAGCTTAACCTCAAATCTTTCTGGCACATTCTCTACAGAAATGGTGGACTTCGCTGAGTTTCCTTGTTTTCTTTCTTCAAGGCTTAAACATTCTAATTCTCTAAATGAGATTGTTCTTATATACTGATTGCCCGATGATGGCACTCACAGCGTCATCATCGGGCAACGTTTTTTAAGGGTCCACACGGGAAACGGGTTCTACGTGTGGAACCCTTTTTGACGCGTAAAAGTGAGGATTCTCCACGTGTTAAAAAGGGTTCCACACGTGGAACCCTTTTCCAGTTGACCCTGAAAAGGCGTTGCCCGATGATGACGCATTGAGCGCCATCATCGGGCAATTTCTATATCAGCATTTGCAGCGTGCTTTCTTTCTTCATTATTTAAGTCTTCAAATTGGATTATCAGCTCAAGTGTAGGAATTTGTCCTTCCTCTTTGAGACTTATTAGCCTAGAAAAATTGCTTGAGCTGCAGCACATGTATTTTAATCCTACTTGCTTTATCATATTCGCAATAAACTCTCCTCTCTGCATATCAAAAAACCCGAAACTTGCAATCCTTTTACTCATGCAAGCAATTTCTAGCAAAATTCATTCTTCTCTATTTTTTGACAAAATTCCTAAAATTTTAGTCCCGTTTTCGTCGGGAAATAAATTCAGTAAATCAAGACCTGAAGCGATTTTTTCAATCCTTTCATGCGCCTGCCTATATGTAATCCACTGATATTCATGCCTTCTATCAGATTTTCTGGAGCCTAAAAAAGGCCTATTCGGATAATCAGCAACTGACTGTAAGAAGCAATCATAAAGAGTTTTTTGCCCTTTTACTTCAGAAGGGAATATACATAAAATGGCGTATGACGTCCGACCCGTCCTCTCGTGTGACGGTAACCCATGTATATCCGGGCATGGTTTTTAGGAGGAATGATTAAGTCCAGCAATATCTGGAGCCCAGAGGCGATGGGCGAACGCACAGACCCGCTGATTTGTGGCCAGATCCTTGGGCAGTTAATCGTGAATCCTTTTTCCAGCAGCGCCCTAGCCAGTGGGTGCCCGAAATGGAGCAGGGTGATTTCCCTGCTCAGGCTGCTTTTGATGGCTTTGCCCCGAACGACGGAAGTCGTTGAGTTTTTACTCAGGGATGACCTGGTAAAAAGGGGAGGCAGGCTAGACTTGCAAGACGGCGGTCCCTCCGGTTTAAAGGGCCCTTTATTGTGGCGACACCGGCCAGGGTAGGTACAGTTGGCCTTAGACGGGCGAAGGGACTGAGTTGGAAATGGTGGTGCCCAGCAAGGGTCTGCGGACACACAAAAAGGCAAACCCACTACCGAGAAACCGGGGGTTTCGGCCCGGGCTCAGAGGAACCAGAGGTGGAAGTCCACCCAATTCGCTTGTGCCAACACGCTACTGGAAGAAGAGACTTTAAACATTAATCCATAACATAACATAACATAACATACTTCAGAAGGGACTAAGCCATCAATAAATTCAGGGTGACGGTAAATCGGACTATCGAATTCTGATTCAGTTCCAGGTATTGGTGAACAATATTCATGAACAAGAGTGCCATTTCTGCCTCCCATTTAAAAAAGTAAAAATATTAATTTGGTTAACAAGCTGATATTTTAATAATTGGAATTAAATCGGTCCAGATGAACTTCTAGATGGTGGCTTGGCTCCTGAAGACTCATCAATTGTATCAACTTGATTCCATTCAGGCCCAAGCCTTGGCGGTCTCGTTTTTCTTGAATACAGTGCTTTCCAATTAACGCCTTCAAAAAATTTCATCTTTTTCATTTGCGAAGTCAATGGTCTTTTACCGGGGTTCCTGTTCATTAATTGGCTGATTAAATCTTTTGCACCGTCAGAAATATAGCTTGGAAATGTCAACTTCGCTGATTTTATATTTTTAAATAAAACTTGTGTATCTTCATTATAATAAGGTGGCATCCCTGTGAGCATTTCGTATAATAGGGATCCTAAGCTATACATGTCTAATGCTTGATTTGATGATTGCTTTTGCAATATTTCCGGAGCCATATAAGCTGGAGCCCCACAAAACGATTTTGCTGGATTAGCTTGGCTTACGTCTTCTTTAGCCAATTGGAAATTAGTAAGTCTGATATGGCCTAGGGCGTCCAAATAAATGGTTTCAGGCTTTAGATTTCGATAAACAACGTCAAGCTTGTGGAGATAGTCTAAGGCAAGGACTGCTTCAGCAAGGTAAATCTTGGCAGATTCTTCATCGAAATGCCTCCTTAAGTCCAAATGGTTCCTGAGTGTTCCATTCGGGCAATATTCCATGACTAAGTATAGGTGATTCTGCGATTGAAATGACTGATGGAGCGATAATATAAATGGATGCTTTGTTTTTTTAAGGATTCTGTACTCAGTCATAGCAAATTTGACTCCGTTAATTAGCTGTAAATGAGGCTTATTATAGACTTTCATGCAGAAAATCTTATTGCTGTCAATTTTCAATGCTTTGAAAAGCCTCCCTAAGTGCTCCACTCCAATTTCTTCTACAATGTCATATTGTTTTGTTTGAGGTGTTACTTCACTCAAGAGATCAGAAATCCCAAATTTCGGTTCGCCTGAGTCAGGCAAGACAGGTGACCCAGGTTCAATGTTCGCTTTCGGGACCCCAGATTCATTAATGTCAGATGTTTCTCTAGTTATAGCTATGAAATGTATTGGGTTTCTTGTTGGTGAACTGTCTTTTGTCTTTAGTCTTTGCCAGTAGTCACAGGCTTCTTTTATTCTCTTGGTCCATTGTTCACACACTTCAGGATAATATGAGTTATATTTGAACTTTAAAGCAGCAGTTTCTATAATGAAATAATAATAACTTCTATTAAATCCTTTTGTAAAGAGATTTTTTAAGTCTCGGACTTCATCGAAAATGATGGAATATTTAGGCTCTTGGTTATCTAAAAACGACTCACGTGATTTATAGTGATATAAAAATCCTTCTTCGACGTCTAAGACCAAATAAACCAATTTATCGGTGCCAAATACAGGCTTGCTTCAATTTATGACCCCTGAAAAATTAGGCGGCATGTCAGGATCTCTAACTTTTTTAATAGTATATCTTTTAAGCATTTGCTCACCCATGTATTTTGGGATTTCTTCTAAAATCGCAGGCTTGTTGGCGTATTCTAATGGGATTTTCCCAACTGGGTCTTCTAAAGTCATTGAAGCTCCATGTTCAAGCAACAGAATAACAATTGCTGTATCCCCTGACTGGCACGCCAAATGAAGTGCCGAGCCTTTGTCTCTGGACATTTGATTGACGTCGATATTTGGACAAGATGCTAATAGCTTGGCACATTCAAAATGGCCATTTGCACATGCCAGTTGTAAAGCAGTCCAGCCATCGTCAGTTTCTCTGTTTAAATTGACTCTTCAATTTAGTAATTCTTTTACTATTTCAACGTTCCCGCTTTTGCAGGCATGATGAATGCACCTTCACCCAGTTTTGTAAGGCTTGTTTAAGAATGTTGTAATTTCTCCCTTTGGAACAGTATAGTTCATACTTGCTGTATACTGCTCAATTATTTCCCTCAACTCTTCCGGAGTCCCTAATTTTGCAATCTAATTCTCCCTTTCGAGGAAAGTCAATATTTCTGTTTTAAAGAAAAGTACCTAATATTTTTTAAAGTTTTTTATTATGAACTTATTACTTTTCTTAAAATTAACCTTTAATTATTAATTATATAAGCAAAAATATTATTTATATAAGACATTTCTAACATATTTTTGATTTTTCACTTTATATTGCTTTTTCAGAAAGGTAAGTTACCCTTACCATTATAGCCTTTCCAATCAAATTGGCGTCTGAGTATCTTTTTCTCCCATAGCTTTCAACAAGCAGCTCCTGGTGATTTGTATCAAGCTGTTCTCTTAAATGAACCATTTCAAGAAGCACACTTGATCCATTTTCAAGGCCATAAAACTTACAGGACCATCCTTCAACAATCATCACTTTTACATCGCACATATAAGTGTACAGTTTTAGCCTGTTAGCGTTCACTCTCACTTTCTCTTCAATTTTTTGTTTCAGTTCTGTGATTGTTGTGTTTTCTTGAAGCGAAATCTTGCAAAAAGTGACTTGAGGGTCTTCATGTTTCCGAAGCACAATTTCCATTTTGATTTCACCGATACTAATTTATCTTAAAAATTATAGATTGGCGAGAAAAGGCTTTAAATCAAATTCTAAGATACAGTTGCTTCTTTAGAAACATCTCAGATGCATATGGGAGATTAAATAGTAGATTTAGCCTTTATATATAAGCGTTTATCTTCTTGGAGAAGATTTGATTAATTGAAGCAGATAAAAATTTAAGATGATATTCAGAAAATATCTGCTTTGCTAATCGTCATCTTATTTTTAAATTGCTTATTTAGCTATAAGACTGCATGATTTTTAATAGTTTTAATTAAATACATTATTCGCTACTATACGCAGAATATTTTACTTACCCCCTCCTCCGTGAGTGAACAAAAAAATTTGGTTACTCACGGAGGGGTTTGTTTTTCAAAAACATTTATATATAAATTTTATAGAAAATTTTTTTTTTTCTCGAAATTTTAAAAGAATCTTAATTTGCAAAAATTGGGAATTAAATATTAATTTAATTTATAAAATTTATGTTTTAAAATGCAATTTGTTTAAAATTAAACAGAATTAGTTCGAGATTTTCATTATACTAATTATCACTTATATATATTTTTTTTTTTCATAAAAAAAAATTTTTGTTCACTCATGGAGGGTGGGTTTTTGGGCAAAAAATAGGGATTTTTCCAATGGTTTTGTTCACTCACGAAGGGGGAGTTAGTTAATCATATGTCATTTTATGAAATAATTATTTAATTTGTCTGGAAAATACTCAATTAACTTTTGATATACAAAATTTTTTTTCCTCTTATAAATTAATATTCCTTGTAATTTTAACAACAGCACAAAATGTCTGATTAGCTGACTCCCCCCCCCTTTAAATTGAAACAAAATATAGGTAAAATTCCTACTTTTTGGGAAATTACCCCCCCTTTAAATTGAAACAAAATTTTATTATAATAGAAAATTTTATAGGTAAAAATCATTATTTTATATGTAAATACGTTAAATACCCTATTTAATATGCTTCAAACATATAAAATTTAGAAATTAAACTCTATTTTGTCCAATTGTTATGGGGAGAGTTAGAAGAATACCATTTCAGCAAGTTTACACTTTGAGATTGAGAAATTTATGAATTAATTTTTCATGAAATTAAAATTAAAATATATATATAAATTTTTTTATAAAACAATTTTCTTAACCCCCCTTTAAATTGAAACAAAATTTTTTGTTTCAATTTAAAGGGGGGGGAGTGAGAGAGGTTGATTCTTCTTTCAGTATGATTAATAATTATTTCGCCTGACTTGAAAAAATTTTTCTCATTAAATTATAAAAGCTTATTATAGTCATGAAACGTTTTGGATATTATAGCTCAAAACAAAGTAATATAATTACTTTAAATTTCTTTCATTTTTAATATTTATCACTCTTCACAACTCAATAAAATATTCAATTATATTGCTACTCTCATCTCCACTTAATGATTTTTTTCAAATCTTTATTTCTTTCATAATTAGCTTATAAATATGAAATCCACCAATTTGTAATTTTTATTCAGTCTTGATGTCCACGCAATTACTTGGTCTCGAGAAACACATGGTCTTTTCGATTACGAGTCACGAACTGTCCACAAATCAGATTTCAAAATTAAAAAATCAGTAGTAATCAATAGAAACGGACACAATTGCTTTCTATGCGACCACCAACCCAAAGAAACGAATTACGACAGCTCAGTTCCTCTGCTTGGGGTCAAAGTCCATAACCAGGAATTTATAGCTTATCAAGCAAGTGAAAACTCGAGCGAAAAAATGTGACTTGTTGTAAAATACATGAAAATGAACGGATCCAAGGGCATTACATTGCATGAAGGTGACTGACTCAAACTTGGAAGGGTAAGGCTCAGGGTCAAAAAAATTTTTATTTATAACAGCGCTAGTGGAGAAAACAACGAAATCCAGGGGATCCCTAAATATCTTGAAGGGCTGAACACAGAGTGCAGGTCAGTAGATGATGGGGCTGAAGAAAACAAAGAAAACACAGAAAAAGCAGCATGCAGAATCTGTCTCTTCGACACGTCCACAAAAGAAGACCCTTTGATATCCCCTTGCAAGTGCTCTGGGACTATGAAGTCTGTCCATGTAAACTGCCTTAAAGAATGACTAAAAAATAAAGTAGAAACCAGGCTATCAGAGAAAGCCACCTCATATTGCTGAAAAGACCTGTCATGTGAGCTCTGCAAAAACCCATTGCCTTCAAGCATTTTAGTAGATGGAGAAAAAGTTGAATTAATTAGCATGTCGTACCCCCAGTCATCTTATATATTATTCGAAGATTATCGGCCTGAATCAAGACAAAGCTACGGAATTCACCTTGTTTCTATTCCTAATGGCCAATGTGCAGTTCTTGGACGTGGCCACGAATGCGATATAAAACTGAGTGATATTTCTGTCAGCCGCACACACTCAAGAATTAGATTTCTTAATAATTCGTTTATCCTTGAAGACAAAAGCAGCAAATTCGGGACTCTTTTGCAGCTGAAACGAGCAATCCAGCTGAACTCATATAAGGAACTGACGATCCAAGTCAACAGAACCATTTTTCACCTATCGGTGAAGGAGCCATGGACAGTGGCGAGGTTCTGCTGTCCTTGTATGGCGAAAAGAGTGGTGCCAATTAATGTGATTTCGGACTTAACAGAAGACGGATTTCCTGAGCCAGAGCCAGATGAAGCTGAAGAGAGAGAGGATATCCCTTCTCCAGTGACGATGGCCAGAGAAGATAGCTCTCCTCAAAGAATAAGAGAGGACAGCTTTCATTTATTGGTGCCTCCAGTCATGCAAAATATTAGATCTGAAATGATGATTGTACCGAATGAAGAGTTAAAAGAAGACTTTTAAGTGAAGTTGGACAAGTTTTGTATTCATATTGGTCTTATATAACTAGAATTCACTTAATCTTAATTCTTTAAAATTCCCAAACTGGAACGTGAAGGTAAGCTGACTTCTCAGCCCAATATGGCAGCCCCGCAATGATTTTACTGGCCAAATCAGAATATTTAGCTTGTTTTTCTCCTCCTAAGGCATTTCCATAAGCGCTGCACACAAAGACTTCGTTATAATCGTTTTTTTCTAACTCCCCCCCCCTCCGTGAGTGAACAAAAAAATTTTGTTCACTCACGGAGGGGTGTTAATTTTTTTTTTTTTTTTTTAAAAAAAATTTATATATAAATTTTATAAAAAAAATTTTTTTTTCGAAATTTAAAAAAAATCCTAATTCGCAAAAATTGGAAAGCAAATATTAATTTAATTTATAACATTTATGTTTTAAAAAGCAATTCGTTCAAAATTAAACAGAATTAGCTCTAGATTTCATTATACTAATTATCATTTATATATCTAAATTTTTTTCAATAAAAATTTTTTCTATTAAAAAAAAAATTTTTGTTCACTCACGGAGGGTGGGTTTTTGGGCAAAAAATAACGATTTTTCTAATGGTTTTGTTCACTCACGGAGGGGGGGGACTAAATACCAAATACTCCTCTGACGCTTTCCAAGGCGCTTCTGAGCAAGCTTAACCCTTGCCCCCTTTCTCCATTTTCACACATAAACATGCCTACTATCGCTAGCGCTTTTCCAATATTTCCTTTATCATTGTCCTCATAAAACTTCAGCAATTTCTTTAGGGAATTCAAAATTTTCTAAATTTCTCTTACATCTGGCTCATATAATTCACTTTCCAATCCAATTTCAGTAAGCGCAGTAAGTGATGGTCCAGATAATTTGTTTTTCAGAACAGTATTTTTGTCAAGTGGATCATAAGCTTCAGGAAGAGCCTCAAACAGCTGAATCGCTTTTTGCAGGTTTGGGGCTGCTTCATTGAACTCCAATATAGCTTTTTTGTACTCTGAAAGTTGAGGTCCATGCAATTGGCCAATCTCATTTTCTTGGTATTTTGTAGCATGCCACCATTGAGCTATTGCAAGATTGTGAAGCACAAAGCAGGTGTTTGCCCCTGGGTTCATATTGAGACACTCGTAGAATTGGGCTTTAGCTTCGATATGGCAATCGTCTTTGAGTAAAAATGCAGTCTATATGAGTTTTACTCCAATCAAAAACTTCAAATCTTTTTGTGTGTGCCTGTGAAAGATTTTCCAGTTGTCTTCTCTAAGAATATACTGCCCAAATCTTAAGGCTTTATCTATATTGCTCTGCAAATACTGCTTGAGAAGGTTTTCACAAGCTGTCCCAAGCTGATGTGAATATTCTTTTTCCTTAGCTTTATAGTTCATAACAATTTCTTCTAATGTCTTTTCGCACTCGTTTTGCTTCTTCTGTGCTCGCAAAATTAGCGCTATTCTTTGCAAGATAAAATTATATACTGGCTGCCCAAACATTCCTTGATTCGATAATGATTCCAATGTGGATCTGAATTTTTCTTCCGCTTGTGTGAAGTTCGATTCTTTTACAAACTCAATTGCCTTGGCGTAGTCTTGGCCTAAGCTGCCTGAAAGAATTTGTTCAGTTTCGGTGTTTTTAGGAATACTTGATGTAGAAAGCCACCTTCTTGCAAATCTCCACATTATAAACCATTTTAATGCAAAATCAATTCAGCAGCAATGCATACTTGATTAATTAAAGCCGAAAAAATAAGTTTTCAATATAGCTAAATTTTATTTTTTAGCTTGTGCTCTGTTAAAAAGAAAGCCTAACGATAAATAGGATAACCTCTTTATTATTAACAAAAAATTATTAAATTCATGATTTATACTAGTCAATTGCTATAGTGTTTCATCCCTTATGATATGGATATTAAATGCTAAATATAGGTTGTCAATACTAAATGTCAAACTGCAAGAAGCATTATGCTTTAAATAATCATGCAGTTATAATTGAAAAAGGTGTTATCATTTGCAATATAGAGCCTCTTGGTTTTAAATTGCTGCAATTAACAGACATGCATCATTTAATAGCAATAAATTCATTAATATGGACGAAATATTGTCACCTGAGTCTGAAGTAGGTTTACCTATAGAGCCAAGAGACTCAAGCAATGAAATATCAGCTGATTTTAATGGAAGTCCAACGAGTTGCAACTTAGAGCCGAATGAACAATCTCTAAGCTCTCAAAAATATATAGATGGCGCAGTTATTTCTTGTGAAAACACTTGCGAAAACTTTCAAAATCAATCAAATAAAGAATCCGGACAAGAAATTTTATCAAATTCAATCCGATCGCCCAATAATGCCCCTATTTTAGCCGATGAAACTGCTAATGAAGTCGAATTCCAGACCAGATCTGACCGATCCTTCAATGCTGATGAGCGAAGACAAATATCTGCTATAAAAAGCTGGAAAATGGCTTCGCCGTCTAAAAATCAGGACTCAGCAATTAAGAATAAGATGGATGTATTTCAGGTCACCGTAGATCTCTCAACTCCTTCAGGAACTTTAACAGGCAAAAACTACCTTCCTTCCCGTCATGGTTCTGGCCATGAAGAAAAAATAGAGCACCAGCGATCGCCAGCTGGCTCCTTGAAAATTCCGATTCTTACAAAAAGATCTGATTCCACTCGCGAAGGGTCAGTAAGAAGTACAATCAGCAGGCCAGAATCGAGCGATAGGACCATCTGCTTCAAGTGCCTTCTTCAATAATGGTAATTTTTAAATTAATCCTTATTTATCTTGTTGACAATAAATTTATTGAAATGGCACAGTATCATCCTTATTGGCATCAGTATTTATAACATAGACAAGAAGCTCAAATCACTCAGGTTTCTTCAGTTTACCCAGGAACCCGCAGAATCGATGCAATCACTATTGAAGTTCCTTTGAATATTCATGGTCCTACCCTATATCTACAATGGTAAACTCCATTCAGCCGTCTTCCTCAGAATTTTCCTATGGCAGCTCCTCAGATTTTTGTTATGAGCACAGTAACCCACCCCTTACTAGACTCCACTATGAGAGTGAACCACGATTACTTAGTCCGCTGGAATCAGCAAAGCACAATTTTCAACGCAGTCAATATCGTCCATCAAGAATTTCTAAAATCTCCTCCTACTGTGATTGCAAATCCCAAGCAAACTCAAATAACTGATCCTAGAGCGACTGTGGTGGATTTTACAGACAGATTAAGCGCCTTAACCTCTGCTGAGCTTTCTCAGCTTAGTCAAGACGATATGATTGCAATAGTGAAAAACTACCCAGGACTGAAGGAAACTGTAGACCAAAATGCCAGGACTACCGAAATCTGCAACCAATTGGCCCTAGAAAATTTGACGATTTCTGAAGAGGCCTCAAAACTTAAAGCTGAGTATGACCAATTGAGACAAATTTATATAACAAACAGAGACCAAATAAGAAGGGTTGGCGGTGAAAATTCAGCAGGAATTAAGGATGAAGGAGCCTATAAAAGGGAAATCCAAAGACTGCTAGAGCAGCAGGAAAGGGAAGTTAGGGATGTCGAAACAAGGATTGAAAGAGAGTTTGATCCAAGCTTGCTTGAGGATTACGTCAAAGCTGCAACGCATTTCCATATGATAGACAATATAAAAGCAAAGCTTAATGCATAACTAAAATATTGATAATTCAGTTAGAAATATCAAGCCATTTATGATATATTAAAAATAGAATTTCCAGCGGAAATGACTCTAAGTTTACTCGAGGAGAACTTACTTATGGCTTCTCATGATTCACGAGACGACCTCGTGAAGCTAGATATCTTAAAGTTTCTTATCAATCTAAAAAAGCCCAAAAAGATTTTGCAGCAGTCAAGATCTTCTTTTCGATTAAAAGACCTTCCAGAACTATATCGGCATGTAAGTGAACCACCCAAAAATTCTATAAGCCAACGGTCAAGCCCCAAGCCTGCGCTGTCAAAATGTCATTCTAAATTGTCAAATGATGGGACTGAGAATGAGCTAAATAATCTTATTAAGTCTATATCGTTTAAAGTCTCCTACAGGATTGCATACCTCCTCTACCTCTGACGCCGATCTGAGTTTTCCATATTATTGCCAAAAGGACTTTTGAGGGAGGCCTCAAAAGAGTCAATTTAAAAAAAACCAACGCCAACGCCAACATTCCTGATTCAATGGGTCGCTCTAACCTCGCACTACTATACTCGACTGACTGCGTTCCAGCTAAAGGTCAACCCTCTTCGGGCTGTTTGAACAGAAAAATACTATACATACCACTTCCCTGTGACCAGAAATCCGCTCATTCTCGGGCTCACCAAGGAAGACGGGATAGGATTCACTGTGGAAACTGGACCTGATAATCCAAATATTGCTGAAAGAGAATCAATTAGTGGAGCTAATTAGTTTCTGCAGAATGCCATATTTTGATTATGAGTCTGAGCTAATCAGATTCGGCAGTTTGGACGACGAAGGATTCAGACTGAAAAACAACATTTGTAACAGTAATTTAGATACCCAAGAAGAATATGACGTCATTCGCAAGAATTTTCTCTATTTGTACTCTGCGCATCGCCCCCAGGATGGGTCTAGAATAAATGAAGGGAATTATGAGGTGCATATATTGAATATCAAACAGCATTTTTTAGACTGCTGCATTAGCTCTCTGTCAGCATTAGGAATAGCCTTATCGAATGTAAGGGATATGAAATGAGTTGATTTATATGCGTTTACTGAGTGTATTGAAGAGTTCCAGCGATTCCTGCTTGATAAAAACTCCCTCGTATCGAACGATTCGAATATAAGGGCCAGTTTCACGCTGCAGTGGCTGCTGTGTATTTTTTATTTAGTCTTTTTTAGGTTTGTAGATACTCGAAGGCGAAATTTGCTGCGAAGAGCTGAATTGAGACTTGCAATCAGTATGGCATCAAGGAAAAAGAAAGGGATTAATAAGAATTTAGATAAACTTGTTGAATACACGTTTAAAACTGTCGAGTCTTTATGTGGAGAGCCAAGAGAAGAAATCAGCTTTGAAGAGTTCGAGCGAGCACTGCAGACAACTTAATATACATTGTGTATGAATTATAATTAACTTTATTAAAGATCTTCTCTCTTCTTTCTCAATCGCTCTTTTTTAATACGATTTAGTCTCTCTTTGATAGCGCTTCTTCTATTTTTGATATCTTTATTGAGCATTAAATCTGCAGATGACTTGAGGTCGTTGATTTCAGAGAGAGGGACTAGGTGAATGAATTTCTGATAAGAAACCAGAGATTCATCCATTATTTCTTTGGCTTGATCATAAGTGATGCTTTCTATGCAGGCAATGAAAGTCTTTTCTAGAAGTTTCGATCTTAGATCTCTGTTATTGAGCGCAGGCTTTGATTTTATTGCTTCTTCTAGTTTCTCTTTAAATTCTTTTTGTAGTGCTTCATTTAGAGTTGAGCAGGCATTTTCTTTTTCAATTGTTTCTAAGTCCTGACATTTTGCGAGAAAAATAATTATAAATAATAAAGGTATCTTTGGAAACATATATTATCTTAAAAATGGAAGGATCTTAATCAAATAGCTTTACTGCCGATAATTGATTAAGTCTATATAGCTTTTCCATATAAGTTAATGCAGGATTAATCTGAGGAACCTCACGGAAACTTAAAGGCTTTACATTTGGGGTTTCTTCAACAGCCGGACTTTTTTGTGATTTCGGTCTTCTTTCTAGATCAATAGTAAGCCGTCTTTCTAAATTCTTCTTTACATACTTTATTTCTTGCGGCTTAGCTGGCAATAAGCCATTATATCGATCTCCACAAATCCTGAAGAGGTTTAATGATCTTTCTAACTTTTCCTTTTTTTCTGAGGAGCTTCTGGACCTTGGAGCACTAGAATACCGTTTATGATTTTTAGTAGAGAGCTTGGTAGTGAAAGGTCTGAAATGCTCTTGATTTGATTCTGCAAAGATTTTGCTCTTTTGAGAAAAACTACTTTTGGGCCTCTTTCGATACAAAATTGGGTCATAAACGTATTCGTTTATGAATTCTGGCAAAGCTTCTGCTTTCCGATGATGGGAGGCTTCTCTTAGTGGCAACTTGAAATTTTCATCTGATATTGAAGTTGATTTATTTTTACAGGTTACGGTATGTCGGTAATCTATATTTGAGAGGCAGCGAGGAGTGATATGCCTTTGAATCATATAAGTATCAATTTTCACCTCCAAAGAGGAAGTCTTTGGCCGATTTACTTCCATTTTTTGATTTTAAAGCAATTTCAAAGTATTGAGATGCAAATCTTTCCTTATTTTGATAATATTAACAAAATATCTAACTCACACCCTCCGTCAGCAAACAAAAACATCTTGCTCGCTCACGGAGGGGTTAATATATAGAAAATTTTATCGAAAATTTGTTTTTTCGAAATTAAAAAAATCCTAATTCACAAAAATTGGAAAGCAAATATTAATTTAACTTGTAAAATTTATGTATTAAAACGCAATTTGTTTTAAAAATTAAACAGAATTAGCTTGAGATTTCATTATAATAGTTATCACTTATATGTCAAAAAAAAATTCCATAAAATTTTTGTTTTGGGTTTTGTGTGCAAAAAATAGGGATTTTTCTAATGGTTTTATTCGCTTACGGAGGGGGGAGTAAGAAAAAGCAATCGAGATGGTGAGAAAATTGATAATATGATGATTTTATTAATGAATATGAAAAAGTTTTCATCAAAATGAACATCTGAGTTTCGTGGCGACGCTACATGCGAAAGACTTTTGAATGCTTTAGAAACAATTTCGAAGCCTTCACAAATTCCTACATACACTTTGAGTGTAGAACAATTTTCATCTCCTAGCCGATCCAAAGTTTTACTCCACAACGATCCTCCAAAGCCAATTCAAAAAATCTCAATCAATATTGAGCCTCCCAAACCTATACAAAAAAGTAAGCCTGGCTCTTTTTCTTTTAGTACTTTCGATAACATTGGAGCCAAGAAGCCTAAATCCCCTCCAAAATCTCAAGTCGGTTCAATTGACATGAAAAAACTCACACTGAGAACAAATTTTGAAGACTCAGAAAGCTTTCGACAAATTTTAAGCGCAAGAACAATAAAGTCGTATGGAGAATTATCTGAAACTAGAACCCTCTCAATTAATAGACAAAGGCCAATTACTGCAAATTCCGCTAGCTCGTCTGGAAGGAAGCCAAAATTGAATTATCTGCGAGAAAGCATAAGAAAGGCTTTCCAGCATCAGTCTCCTGAGCTTTTGCAAGTACAGTAAAAAATAAACAGGCTTGAAATTGAAGGAAAGCAGGAAATCCAAAGGAAACAAATTATTGCGAAATCTTCACTCAGCAGAAGATTATTAGAAAATAAGCTCCAAAGACCTAAAACAGTTGAAAGGCCGAAACGACTGTCCTCTTCCATGGAAAAAAGGCTAGTTCTCATCAAAAGGCCAGGAATTGAAAGTTTAAGTTCCAGCGGACTATCTACCTTAAGGAAGAAAGACCTAGAAAGCACTAGCGACCTTAAAATTGAAGTCCCAATAATTTCTTTTACAAATAAAAGGCCTTTTGCTTCTAAAAGAATTCCGGTAAAAGTAGTCAAACAGCAAAGCATTGCTTGTACAACGGAATCCGAAGACTGCTCTGCGTTTCTCGGAGATTTATTGGACTCGCGATATTAATTAATTTTCGATTAATCTAGTTTAATTGTGACAAAAGAACTAATAGGGCCTCTGCATATCGGACAAGAATTTCTACCTTGATTTTTAAGCATTTCTGCGCAGTATTGACAGAGGCATGCATGTCTGCATGGGATAACTGTTGTGTCATTTTTTTCTGACAAGCAAATCACACAGTTTGAATTGTCAGCGCCTTGCTTTTCAGAGAACCCATAAATCTCCATCAATTCATATTCCAATTTTGAGTGATAGATTCCTCATTTATCATAATTAGTAGAGTCCATTTCCCTATATAGATTTCTTTATCGAGCAAAATATAATAGAAAGTATCACGACCAAGAAAACTCTAGTAAAGGGATAAGCTGGATCTCTATGCCAGGACGAGTTAAAAAGTGGAATGCGAAAAAGTGAACAAAGTTGGCAAGCAAACTCGCTAATTTTTAACATGGTTTTATTATAAAAATATTTTTTATTATAAGGATAATAATTTAGACTGGGCATGATAAATATCTTACCTGGATTTTCTCTTCCCTATAGAAATTATGCTAAAGTAAGTTTGCATAATCATAATATAGTGGCATTCTTTTTTTAGAAGCCTCTAAATTATTTGCATATTTTATACTAAAGCTATTAATATGGGACCTCCATAATTAAGCAAATCAACTTAATTATAAAATTTGATTATTTGAATCAATAAATTGACCAGCTGTTTTTACAGCCAGCCCACTCAACATATCTCCCGAAAGGGGAGGAGGAGCATCTTTGGGGAAATCTCACTTCTGATTTTCATGGCAGTAGAGTCTCAAGAAGACGAAGGGAGGAGTCCGAGCTGTACAGCTGCCCAGCAAATCTTTTTTCAGCCGAACAAGGTGGAAACGGGACAGCGCAAAACTGGTGAATCCTAATGGGTCCGTGGTGACTGCGTTAACAATATGGATGTAGCCTTATAGTAATAATTGTATGATCAGCTGTTTAGATGCACAGTTCGTAGCAAATTTTTAGTTTTCGTTATAAGTCATTTTTATTTTCACGATAGGCAATTTCATATGAGCCTTTATGAGCTCCATGAATAAGCATCCTCCGAAGCTAAAATGTATAGCGAATCAAACTCATTACTTTATTATAAAATTGAATATAAATTGATCAGCCATTTTGATGTACACAATCCGTGGCACATTTTTAATTTTTAAAAATTAAGGCATATTGTTTGGCCTTTAAAATAATACATTTTTGGTCTGTTTTACTCTATCGATTACTTCTCCAGCAGTCTTTTTTTATGGGCACTAATTAATGTAAATATTTATAGGCCTTAACAAATATAATAAATGTGTACTTTAAATTTAAACTTATTTATATTTAGACTTAAATTCTAAAATAAGATATTTATCAGCGCCAGTCTAAATGGTATCTTAAAAATAAAATTAATTTTATAATAAAGCCATTTTAAAAATTATCGCGTTTGCATGCCAACTATTTTTTGGCATGCCACTTTTTAATTGTCCTGATATAGAGATCCAGATCGTTCCTTTAATAAAGTCTTTATTGGTCGTTATGCTTTCTATTACATTCTGTTCGATAAAGAAATCTATATCGGGGGTACGAGCCTATAATGGGCATAAAAGTTTCTATTAACATAGATCGGTATAAGTCTGTCCAGCCAAAGTTAATTTTTGTCTAATTGGGAAAACTCCAAGATTTCTGCCTTTTCTTTCAAATGATAAATATGTAGTCAAAGCTTGTGGAGGTCGTGAGGTTTCCGGAGGATACCTTGGTATAATTTCAATTACAATCGGATATGAGTTGCTATTTCTAAAAAATAATTCGTCTGGAGAATATTTCGAAATGTCAATAGTTGCTTGGCTGCATTTTTGAGACTGCGCAGGTGGGAGATTTAAGAAAAGTGGCTGCGGGTATTTGCTAGTATTCACTATATATTGGACTCCAGCAGGCCCTATTTGCTCATCTGCAAAAAAATAGATATTTATTAAGCATTGAAATTCAGAGTCATATTCAAATTCAAGGTGATAGAAATTGGGCTTATAATCATTAGAAACCAGCTTTATAGAACCTTTATTTATGGTTGCGTCTCATCTCACTGGAATAACTTGAGCTGTAGTTGTAGATGGGACTTCATAATGATGGGGCGCATAAGCATCTTGATGATAGCTAAATAGCGCTTGAGGCTGAGATTGTGAGTAAAGCCTCCCCATAATTGAATCAGGAGGAGGTGGAGGATTGTATTGAGGCTGCTGACGTGATGATGATCCACCCATTTTAATAATTTTTATTAGACTTAGCTACTTGATTTAACTGCTTTAGGCCCTATGATAGGTTGGATCTCTGATATCAAATTATGCTTCCACACGTCGTAAATTAATGTAATCAATCCTACCCCTTCGTCACAAAGAATCACAAGCAAAGCTATTTTTGTGTTAGAATGATAGACAATTAAAGCAGAAAGCAATAAAAACCCAATTGATAAAGCCCCAGATAAAAATTTAGCCAGCCCCAGCAAGCATATAACCGGCTTTTCTCCAAGTCTGGATTTCATAACGTGCTGATTGAAAATCAGCAAATAAAGTAAAGCTCCTCCACAAAGGCTGACAAAGAACATCATCTGGATAATCATAAAATACCCATACCTCATAAGCAAATTATCATCCATGCACATTTTGTAGTCATCTATAAGCGCTGGGTAGCTAAGAGGTGAGATTATCAATAAAGAAACCAGAGCTAGGAGTTCCACCACAATATGTCGTTTTAAGTTTTGCTTATCATTAGGATCTTTAATTACATAATACCAATATACAATAGAGCCTATAGCACAAGTAACCATAAGTATATAGTCACAAAATGCAAACCCTAAGACATACCACGTATTGATGTCATTCGCAAATTTCATTCGGTCTTCGGCATCCTTATAATCCATATAAAGCGTGCACGTGAAATTTCCTGATTCTTCTGCAATTACTGTGGAATAGTTCGTATAGTTCACCACTTCATATTCAGGCCGCTCAGCATAGTTTATCCATGCAATTGGGTATGTAAAAAAGATATAAAAGGTGGAAAAAGTAGCCGCAGAATACGCTATAGATAGGAGCGTGGGCCCTTTCATATTTATAGAGGAACAAGACTATTTATTAATGCTTTTCTGTCTTTCTGCTGAATCAACTTGATTTTTTGCCTTTTTTGGCGTCGTGGTACATTTTTTGATACATGTCTCGGTCTGTAGCTGCTTCTGCATATTTCAAGTTGGCTTGGATTGCAATTGCTTCAGTTTCTTCAAGATTGGCCCTTAAGCTGTTATTTTCTTCAGCCCACACTTGTTTTGAAAGTAAGAGCTCGGTTTCCAAGCGTCTTTTTTCAGCTAAAAGTCCTTGATATTCAGGAGAATTTTTCATTAAATTTGTAGAGAGCTCTTCAACTTGGCGTTTTAATGAATAAATTTCTGATTTTAGAAATGTGATTTGGGCCTCCTTTTCTGAGATTTCAGCAATGTATTTTTCGTCTCTTCTGAAATCAAATGCGCTGCCTTTGGGGGTGCTTCGCCTAGAAATTCTTTCGTTTAGCTGGCTAAGCTCGTCTGCGAGAGAAGGGTCTGCATTAAGTGATGGATTCAGTGAAAGTCTTTGCAGTTCCTGCTGGTCTTTAAGTTCTTGGAGCTCATTTTCAAGCTCAGACTTTTCTTGTTTTAGTTTGTAAACTAAAGCTTGAAATTCATTTAATTGCTCTTCTCTAGCTTTATTTTTGGCGATTTCTTGGGATGAGGTCTCATTTCTGAGTTTTTCAAGCTCGTCTTTTAGAATTGATAAGCTGTCGTTTAGGACTTTTTTTTCTTTTTCCAAGGCTTCAGTTTTTCTGTTATTTTCACTCTGAATTTTTTTGATTTCTTCTTGGAGTGCTTCATTTAGATCACTTGCACTTTTTTCTTGTTTTGAAACTTGTTTTAATTGGCTTTGCAAAGTATTGCACAATTTTTTCAAGCTTTCAAGCTCCTGTTGATTTGCGTCTTTTACGTCCTCTGTCACTCAAGAGATTTCTGTTTCCAAATTATGGATAGTTTTTTCATGTGACAGTAATCCTTTTCTAAGCTCAGAATTTTCATGCTCAACATTTTTATACCTTTCTTCGAGGTGGCTCAGCTGGTCTCTAATTTCTTCATTCAGTTCTAAAGCTTCATTTAGCCTGTCACTCATCTTCCTAAGTTCTTTTTTTCTGCTGTTTAATGCATCTTCTAAGTTAAAGTTTGTGTTTTTAAGTGTCTCTATTTTAGGGGCATACTTTTTCCTGGACCTTTTTGCTAGAGGGACATTTGTTCGAAATTTTTTCCTCGTGAGACATTTGCTTGAATTTTTATATTTTTACGAAATCAAAAATCATGGAGCCTCTATTTCGTCTTCATATTTTTCTTTGATATCTGCTAACTCTTTGTGTTTTTCTGTCAGCTGTATATCAAATCCTTCCAAAATGGCTTTCATCTCATCATTTTCGCTTTTAAGCTTTTCATTTTCAAAGCTCAAAAGCTTATTTGACCCTAGCGAAACTTCTTGAAACTCTTTCAGTTCTTCCTTCAATTTCTCGTTTTCTTCTTGCAAGTCATAAATAGTCGAATCTTTGGTTGTGTAGTTTTGCAATGTGTGGTCTTTTAGTCCTTCAATTTCTTTTTCTAAGGACAGAACTTTTGACTGAAGAATTGTGTTTTCTAGCTGAAGGGCGGAAGCGTCTGATGGGGCTCCATTTGATAAAGATTTTTCAAGATGGTCACTTTTTTCTTTTTCTGCTGTAAGTTGTGCTTGAAGCTTCGAAATTTCTGCTGCACTTTCACGCTGGAGGGTGCGGAGTTTTTGGTCAAGAGTGAGCACTTTTTGCCGCTCTTGAGAAAGTTGGGATCGGAGCTATGTGAGAATTACTTCAAGCAGTGCAGGCTGCAATTCTTCGTCCATTTATCAAATTAAAAGTAATTACTTTGAAAATTTGCTGTGGGTTTATAATAAGAGTAGAGGAGTTTTTAATTGGAGTAAGAGTACCAATTGTCTTCAATGAGCGATCTTGTGTAGAAATGTCATGAGTCCACCCTTCTGCCTTCTTTATTTGAAATTTTTACTTTTGCATATAATTTACTGCACAGTTTCGCGCCTTCTTCTCTTGTGGTTTCATCTAAGTCCTTAATATTTCTCATTTCTGCCTTGCAGGCACTAATTAATGATCTTGCTTCTGCGTCATTGCTTTTATGCAATCCGCTTCTAAAATCTTCCCTTCATTTTACTTCTCTTTCCAAGCTCCCTCTCAGGTCTTCTTCTGATTTAATCAAATTTCTGCACACTCTGATTTGGTCTGTATGCTTTTCATATAAAACATTGACTGAGTTATCCTTATAGCAAAATACTAAATTTCTCGTAAAATAAACTTTAGGCTTTTCTGAAAGCCCTTCTAAGACCTCATCTGCAATTTTCTGCATGTTTTGTGTGCTTGTATAGGGAAACTGTGCAGCCTGTTTGACTTTTCTATTAATATAAGTGAACATAATGCTTATTATTATTATTATTATTTTTAACTAAGGGCGTCTCTTCTTTCTTCAACTAGCTCTCTAGCAGTGGCACAAATTTTTTCTTGCGAAAATTGGTCGAGTGTTAAGTCTCTGATGATGGTCCAGGTCCAGTTTTCACATACAACTGGGTATGAAAATACAAGGCCAGGCGGCACCCCGTAAGCTCCATCACTGACAACACCCATGCTGACCCATCTGCCGTTAGTTCCTAAGCACCAATCTCTTACGTGATCAATTGCAGCACTTGCAGCTGACATTGCGCTTGATAGCTTTCTTGCTTTTATTACAGCAGCACCCCTCTGTTGGACATCAGCAATAAATTTTCCATTTAACCAATTATTGTCAGCGATTTTTTCTCTAATTGGCTTGCTAGTGATAGTCTCGTCAACTTTTGTAGCAATTTGACCATGATTAACGTCTGGGTATTGAGTAGAACTGTGGTTTCCCCAGATAATCACTCTTGAAATGTGGGCAACGTTCATTTTTGCTCTTGCAGCAATTTGCCAAACTGCTCTGTTTTGGTCAAGTCTAGTCAGGGCAGTGAAATTTTCTTTAGGAATCCTTGAAGCAAAAGTAGAAAGTGCCAAGCAATTAGTATTTGCAGGATTTGCAACGACTAAGCATTTTGTTGTAGGTTTTCCAACTAGATTTAAGGCTTCCCCTTGTGTCTTGAAAATTTGGCAATTCTTTCCGATCAGTTCTTTACGTTCCATACCTGCTTTTCTTGGAAATCCTCCTAAAAATATGATCAAGTCTGCATCTTTGAAAAGGACTGCAGGGTCAGATCCATAGGAAATCTTATAAAATAAAGGATAGGCGCAGTCTTGCAATTCCATGACGACACCTTCTAAAGCTCCTTGTGCTTGAGGAATTTCAAGAAGTCTTAAATCAATAAGCTGATCTGTGCCAAGGGCAAGTCCACGTCCGAGCATAGGGAGTAAAGAATAAGCAATTTGTCCAGCAGCTCCGGTTACACAGACTACCATTGGGTCCTTAAGTCTTAAGTGATGCTCAATTGTGCGAAATCTCTTGCTTGGACTAGCCATATTATTACGTCATTAAGAAAAATTGTCACATAGATTTCGATATTAAATTGCTTGTTAATTGGAAAAGAACTAGTTAAGAGAAATAAATTTGTAAAATTTCAATTTGAAGGTCTTTGATAAGAATAATAGCTGAGCTTTTATAAAGCCAATATTTATAGAAAAAGATAACTGAAAGTCAAGTTATTGATAATTCATTAGATTACTTGTAATTCAATCCAAAGCCATGGTCCAAAAGCTGACCCTTTTTCAGTTAAGCGCCAGATTGAAGAGCACCATCCTTTTCCAGGCGCCTTCAGCCCTTCCACTTTTGCAGTCGCTTGGGTTCTTTCTACAGCTACTTTAAATTGTTTTCCTTTAAAAGCTCCGTCCACACATTCAATATAAAGATTTACGCCTTCAGTGTTTATTAATTCAAGATTCCAGGTCTTGCTTATTGTAAAATTAGATTTAACCTTGGTTCCGTCTTCGCAGCCTGATGATGAGATTATTGCAAAATCAGGCTTTTTACTGTCGATTTCAATTTTCGCTTCATCGATGTTGCTGATATTTTTTGCTTGATCAAAGGCCGGTAAAAGCACTGGAGAAGTAAATGAAGGCTCGTAATCTATGGCTGCTTGAGAAAATTGAGGTGGCTGAAAGGATTGAGGCATTATGCGGGGTGCTTGAAGCAGTTGGGCTGATGGAGCTTCGCCTATTGTGGTGAAGGCAAGAGTGATTGATTTTTTATTTGTTTCCACTGAATATTCTTTGAGACGTTGAAGATCTTCGTTGGAGAGAATGGGAATTGCTTCGATTTCTGAGTTTTCTTGGATAAGGACATAGACGTTGTTAGGGATTTGCTTCTTTTGTTTAACGATGTCACGCTTTATGCTTTCCAAATCAGGGTAGGAAGCTATGTCATCAGCTGAAAAGGACTGTAATGTCGTCATATTGATTTAGAAATCTATAAATTTTATGATATTAAGATCATAAAAAACTAGATAAATCCATTGGATTTTCTTTCAGCTTGAAATCAATATTCTCTTGTTGGTGATAGACAAAAGCAATTGAATAACTTTTAATTTATAATATGCAATAAAATTAAAAAACTAAATTAGGCTAGCCTTTAAGACCACGATTTAAATGAAGAAATTCAATTTTTTGCATTAATAAAAATGAAAGAAAAGCGAGTGCTTAAATTCCTGATGATATGAGAGATTAAATGATCTCATCAATTTATTTCCTCACATTTTCTTCATTATTTTCCAAAAAACGAACTTTATATTTTAGTATAGAAATGGGAGGAACAGGGAGTATAAACTGCGGATGTTTCGCTGTTATTAGTTCAGCTTGCAAAGGAGTCAGCTCATATTTGCATCCGAAGCCTAGCTATGAAAAGCTTTCAATACTGGAAGAAGATAACATTTATCCAGCTGGGCTTCTTTCAGATCAAGAAATCCAAAAACTTCTAAATGAGAGTTTAGATATCTATGGGTCCTGCAAAGATGCTAAAACTAGTCAAGAGCTCCCTAAAATTGAAGAATGCACAACAAATTTTGATAATTCTTATTAATTTGGCACAATTAAATAGCTTGGAAAATATTGGAGACACTTGAGAATGTAATCAGCTTTTTTGGATATTTTAGTTTTCCTAAAATATTTTGGTAGGGTCTTCTATGAAGTTTCCATAAATTAACGCATTTCCAATACAGCATAAATAATCATCTCTTACACCTATTAGAAAATATTTTTTTATAAAACTCCAACTTTCTTCTTAAATTAAATTTCTGTCACCAAAATAAACTTTTCTTATTATTCCAGAAATTTGATAAATAATAAAAACTACTATGAAGCTTTTATATTGTTTATGCTTCTCCTGTTTTGATGAACCAAAAAATGATCAGCCTGAAGAACAACAAATTGCCCCTCCGATTGATCAAAGTCAAATTGAAAATAAAAGTGCAGATGCCTTTAATGTAAAAGTAGCAAACGATAATGGCAGCAATGCATCATCAGATCATTCCAATTTGGCAATTTCAAGCATTGAAGTATCGAATGTTTCCAAACGAGACGTTGTAGAGGACCGGAGGGCTTCAGCTCCGATCTACCATAATGGAATTGCGTTTACTTCCGATGGGTATAAAAGAAAAAAGTACATTAAGCATAGCAATCGAAGGATGAGCGAAGATTTCAAATCAGGGATGGATTAAATCATACACCCAAGGAAAATGATAAGTTGTAAATAACTATGCAAATAAATTTGGATTGGGATTAATTGGCATAAAAAAATGATTTAATTGTTAAAGAAATCGGTTATGGAAATTTTACTGCTAAGTGCAGGCTTCAACATGAAAGCAAGATGGCTCGATTATCAAAATCAAGTTAAAAGAGCTTAATTTCAATTCAATAGATTGAGTTTAGATGGTAGATTCGCTCTTAGAGTTAATAAAAAAATAAAAATTTATTAATATGAAATCATAAATTAATTATATACTACTTAAAGCTCTGTCTCCCCTATTTAGAGACCAAAACATTGAAAATTCCTATTTTTGCGGAAATTAATCCCCTTCAAAAGCAAGCAAAAGTTGTAATAAAATGGTTGATATTCACTTAATAATAATTATAATTGACCTTTATCTAAATAAGTTTTATTTCATTTATAAATAAATTTCATAAATCAATGAATTTTGTTCTCAAATATTTAAAAAGAGGGTTTTTTAAATTTAAAAAATAAAGTTTTTTTTTTAAAGATTTATTGCCCCCTTAAGCATCCAAAAAAAATTGTTCCCACTAAAAGGAGAGTAAGAATTAATAAGCCACAAAGCATAAAGAATTACATTATTTTCTATTAAGACAAGTTAAATAAATTGAAAAAATTATAAATTAAAATAGCTTAGTTGACTTTAATATTGCTCAAGGTCTGTCTTATAATTGGATTCGATTTATCACTTTCTTTAAGAGAGCAAGGACTAATTGTAATTGTTTGAGACACATCTCTCGTCTTATAGACACCAATAAGTCTATCAGCAAGCTCAAACATTTGATACCTCAGTGACACAATAATAAACTGTGCATTTTTCGTCCTATCTTTAATATAGTTGGCTATCACACTGACATTCTGAAAATCAAGGGCAGCATCCACTTCATCCATCACATAAAGGGCATTTGGCTTATAATGATGTAGTGCAAAGACCAATGAAAGAGAGCTCAATGTTTTTTCACCTCCACTTAAATTTGCCATTTTCTTCCAAGACTTGTTTGGAGGCCTCACAGTAAATACAATTCCTTCTGAAAATGGGTCAGTTGAGTCTGCAAATTCAAGCTCAGCGTCTCCTCCTCTTGTGATCATTCTGTACATTTCTCGTAATTTTTGAGAAATCATAGTAAAGCCTGTGTTGAATTCTTGAAGTCTTCGGCCAGTAAGGTCTGAGTATTTTTTCCTTAATTCAGCTTCCCTGAGCTTTACTTGGTAAAATTCGTCTTCTTTTCCTTTTTTGTCTTCAACTCGGGCTCTGTATTCCTGAATGACTCCTAAATTCGGCCTGGCTGCAGTAAGATCTTCTTGGACTTTTACTTCTAATTTTTTAATCGTTTCCAGCTTGCTGTACAAGTTTTCCATTTCTTCTTTAGTAAAGTCTTTATTGACTGGAAATCTCAGCATTTTCCTTTCTTCATCCTTTTTGCCTCTTTTCCTAGGATTTTCAACATCTTCTTCAGTGTCTTCTTTTTCTTCGACGATTTCCATGGCTATTCCTAGCACATCTTGATATTCGTTGACCAATTCTTGATAATCTTTTCTATTTTTTTCTATTCTTGCATCCCATTTATTGATCTCGTTTTGTATTTGTGCGAGGTTTGCGACTTCGTCTTTTCTTTGCAATTTCAATTTATTTCTTTTTTCTAAAATTTCGTCAAATTCTTTCTTCATTTCTGCTTGTTGGCGATTTAGTTCAGTTAAAGTTTTTTCAAGGGCTGCTTTTACAATTTTGGCTTCTTCATGCAGTTTTATGGCTTCTAGCGCTTTTTGCTCGATAATCTCACTTTCTTCTTTAAGCTGAACAAATTTCTGATCCAGCTCAGTTTTAGTGCTTTCAAGCTCATTGAGCTTTTTTTGGACTTTATCAAAATCTTTTTTGCATTGTATAAGCTTCTTGTTCTGCTTTTCGGCCTCAGTCTTTAAATGCTCTTCAGCTTCATATAAATGATGCCTCCTCTTTTTTAGTTCTTTAAAATCCTCACCTCCAAACTCATCAATTTCTTTTTCAGTTTTTTCGATTTGGTTTTGTATATTTTCTATTACTTTTAATATTTTGACTAAGGCTTGTTCATTTTTCTTTTCGATTTCTCTGAGCTCAGCTAATTCTTTGTCTTGGTTTATTTGGGATTTTGACGTGAGCTCTGCTTGCCTTGATATCAATTTTTCTAGTCTTTCTCTGAGACCTTCACAATCGTTTTTCATTATTTGCAGGTTATGCAATGATTGGTCTTTTTCTTTTCTTTCTGCAGCGATTTCTGATTGAAATTGTTTAACTTTGGCATTCATGTCGTTGACTTGAAGGGTTAACTGCCGAATGGTTTCTTGTAAAGCTCCTATATCATTTTGAGAAAAACTGATTCTATGGTAATTTTGCTGCTGAACACACATTAGTCCACTTTTAGGCTTAGCAAAGCCTTGCATTTCTCCTGATGGATTAATGATTTCTCCTGTGAGGGTAACAACCCTGTATCTTTTTTGTCCTCCAAATGCAATTCTTCTGGCATCGTCCATTGTTTCAGTGACAAGAGTATCACTCATTGCATATACCAAAATAAATTATATACAGTAAGAATTTATATAGAAATAGATATTTATTGGGATTTTGCATAATAAAATGCAGCTTCTAAATTTATGTCATCAAATTTTATGATATCAAAAAGCCTCAGTGCTCTGGCGTCTGGGCTTTCAAACGGCGCTCTCGCACGCTGTTCCCACTGCTGCTTAACTTTATCCAAAACAATGACATTAATCCTTCCTAAGTTCCTATTTCTTACAAACTCTATAAGTTTTTCTGCGTCTTGAACAGTTTCTGCCACAATATTATCAAGCCTTGCAGCGGCTGATGAGACTGCTACATCATATTTGCTATCAATAACCCCTAAGTCTCCAAGTCTTCCTAAAATCCCCCCCAATTCCCCAGTCCTTTTTGCTGTATTAATATCTTGAATCAGTTTACTTTTCCCTTCAGCTTTTCTCTCATTTTCCTCTATATCTTGAAGCTGTTTTTTTGACAGAGCCAATTGTTTTTTCGCTATATCTAAATCCCTAAATAATTCTTCATAACTTTCTTTTTTATTCTTCACTTCTTCTTGTACAGCCTCAAATCTCCTTTCCAGCTCCTGGAGTTCTTTGTTTTTTATTTCTAAATTTTCCTGGCATGATTCTATGTCATTTTCAATGGTTTTTCTTTCTTCATCTTCTTGTGCTCTTTCTGATAATAAAAACTCGATTTTTTGTTTGTTGACTTCTTTTCTGCCGAGGATGTCATCATGCTGCTTTTTGCATGGGACAAGGTCTTTTTCGAAAGCCATTTTTCGCCTTTGCATTTCTTCGGTTGCACTTATGATTTCAGCATTTCTTGCGTTGTACTCAGCTTCTACAGCTTCTTTGTCTCTGAGTGTTTCTTGTAAGGAATTTACTACAGCTGGAATAGCTTGATAGAGCTCTTCTAAGGTTTCTCTTATGCCATCTTTTCTTTTATTCTCAGCTGCGATGTTTTTATAAGTGTCTTCTTGTTTCTTTTCGATACCTTTTTTATTTTCTTCTACTTGATCATATTTTCTAGACATTTCTTCTATGCTTTTTTACATTATATTTGCATATAAAAATTGCATTATAAATTTTGCGTTATACAATTTATTTAAGCATACGTCTTCTTTTAATTTTTTTTCATTTTTTACATAAGTAATGTATTCTTGCTGCTTTGATTGGTACTCATTTATAGCGTCAATGTGCAGCTGCTTCTTTTCGTTGAACTGCATTTCAACTTCTTTCAGATTTTCATCGATTTTCCTTATATCCTCCTCTATTTTTATTTCATCATTTAAATACTGGTACCTTGACAGCTGATTTCTCAAGTTCGCGAAATCATGGACTTCTTTTTCCAACTCAATATAAGCTAAAGCTTCATTTTTAGGGTCTTCGAGCTGATTAACCGCTTTTTGGGCTTCTTCTACTCTTAAATTCTTACTCCCCCCCCCCCCCTCCGTGAGCGAACAAAAAAATTTTGTTCGCTCACGGAGGGGGGTTAATTTTTTTTTTTTAAAAAAAATTTATATATAAATTTTATAAAAAATATTTTTTTCGAATTTAAAAAAATCCTAATTTGCAAAAATTGGGAAGCAAATATTAATTTAATTTGCAAAATTTATGTTTTAAAACGCAATTTGTTTAAAATTAAACAGAATTAGCACTAGATTTCATTATACTAATTATCACTTATATATCAAAATTTTTTTTCCATTAAAATTTTTTCTATTAAAAAAATTTTTGTTCACTCACGGAGGGTGGGTTTTTGGTCAAAAAATGGCGATTTTTTTTAATGGTTTTGTTCGCTCACGGAGGGGGGGGGGGGGGAGTTAGCATTCAACTCATCCCCGATATTCTCAAGCTGAGCTTCTGCTTCCTGTATCAGCGGGACATAGACATTTGTCCCTATAATTTCTTCCAAATATTCCAAAAGCCCAATTTTTCCCTCATCATTTGGAGGAGCTTTTGGCCTCATCATGGCAATTTGCTCGACTTCCCCTTGAAGAATCAAAAATCTGTTATGCTCCAAGTCGATCCCTTTTAGTTTTAGCGCCTCTTTTACCTGCTCTTGGGTGCTGAGAACTCCATTTAGTTTATAATTTGATGAGCCATCTTTTAAAACTGTACGAGTCAGGGTAAGACTCGACCCTGGAATCACTAGGTACCCGTGCTCTGTGTCGACTATGTCACTAAAATACACTGAAACTCTGGCAAAATTGAGGTCTGGGAAGCGATTGGAGACGTGGATCAGTTCGGAGAGCTTTTTCAAACGCATTTGCCGCGCTCTTTTGCCGAATGCAAAAAGAAGGCATTCTAGTAAGTTCGATTTGCCAGATCCATTCGGACCGACAACTGCTGTGAAATTCTTGTGGAATGGGCCTATTTCCTTGACTCCTGCGTATGATTTGAAGTTTTCGAGGACTACTCTTTCGATTATAAGTCTTGGCGCGGTTTGGTCACCTGACATTTTATATTTGAATTTAAATGAAATCTTTCTTAAGTGATTCTTACTCCCCTCTGTTAGCGAGCAAAACCATTAGAAAAATTCCTATTTTTTGCTTAGAAACCCACTCTCCGTGAGCGATAAAAAGTTTTTAAGAAATTTTCTCATAAAAAAGTGTTTATATACAAGTATAATCAATAAAATGAAATCTCTAGTTAATTCTGTTTATTTTTAAACAATTGAATTTTTAAAACATAAATTTAAAAAAAAAAAAATATTTTCTTTCCAATTTTGCAAAAAAATTACTATATAAAATTGTCTAAAAATAAAATTAAACTTCCTCCGTGAACAAAATTTTTTTGTTTGCTCACAGAGTGGGTTTAGGGCAAATAAAACCGACTTTTATCATCAAGCAAGTCCGAGGATTAGATAAATCTTCACAATATTGAATAAAGAATTGACTGACAAGAAAATTTTTAAGTTTAAATTTTTATTTATGAAAAGCATTTATTGAAGAATATTGAGGGATTTGAAGAAACTAATTCGAGAAGGGCTATTTTTATATTATTGCAATCAATTATATTTTTAATTTTTGAATAATAGCAAAAACAATAAAAATCTTCAAATGTCGGCAAGAATAATTTTGAGAGGCTGTGCCCGGGCAAAATAAAATAAAAATTTAAAGAAGTTGTGGAGCCTTCATAATATTAAGAATAAGGCCTATGAAAAAATATTTTAAATACATCATATTTATTCAAAGACTGTGACACTAAATCTCAAATATTTTTTAATCATATTAAGTTAAAGTTACTAAATCCCTAAGTCTAGGTAATTTTGACTCAATTAAAACTAAATCAATTTCTTCAAATTGTATATTTATATAATAAGAAATATTAATAAGGTGCTTATTTATTATATTAAAATTAAGCTGATAGGTTGCCAATGCCACACTGGAGGTAGCTAAGTATAATTATAGTCTTGCTTAATTTTAGATAGGCATTTTAAGTGTATCTTTAAATTTGTGAGCAAAATATTTATTTGCCATCAAAATTGGCTATATTTAAACTATTTAGTAAGCCATTTGTGACTTTTTGATTATAATTAAAATTAGACTTATAATTTAATTTCTTTGCTTACTCCATTTATTTGACTATCATTATTTTCTATTTCCATTTATATTTTAGTTTTTAAAAAAATGATGCTATGTAAAAATATTGGGGGCTTAACCGACTATAATTCATTTTAAATGTTCTGCTTTACTTTAGAAAACTCCCAAGCCCACAAAAGCAAATCTCCAAGGCCTCAAGAAGATTTTGAAACAGATGAAATCGCCGAAGGAGTATCCGTACAAACAATGCCTTCGCATAGATTTTCCTTTATGCCAACTAAGCCATACTTCGCACAAATAGAGAGCAAAACCGATGATAAACTCGAAATTCTTGAAGCCAAAATTAAATCGCTGAAGGAAAAGAATTTTATTTTGAAGCAAGACTTACAAAATGCCAATTTTCATAATCAAGAGCTTCAAGATAAGCTGAGGCATTATGAAACTTCAAACTTTGACCCAACTGCTTATACCTTGAGGCAGCTAAATTTCTTGCTTCTCTCTAAAAGGGAATATATCAACTCCTCTTTCCAACATAAAATAGAATACGCTTTCTCAATAAAAGTGAAGGAACTTGAAGAAGCTAGAGAAAGGGCTCTCTAAAACGTGCAGAGGATGCAATTCTTCAATCTACCATTCTACTGAAGGAATTGATTTCAGCTGACAAAGGCTCGCTGAAATTGTTGGAATTGCTGGAAGCTGGCGATATAGAAGCAGCCAAAAAAGAATTACTCTCAAAAAAAAGATGTATTTACTTGACAGAATCCGGTCCTCTGAGTATGATCTTAAAATCATTGGAAAATGCTTCAGCTGAGAAAATCTTTTTGGACAAGAAAGCAAAGAATACACCACCTTTTCTCTTGAGCTCAGCCCTATAAATTCAACTCTGGAAGAATTAATTCAGAAAATGTTACTATTTTGAATGAGCTCAGAAAAAAATTTGGAAAAAACTCAGCAGGAAAACCTCTAATTAAGAAAAGTTAAAAGAAAAATTGGAAATAGAGAAAATCAAGACTGAGATGAATCAAGAAACAAATTGGACTCACTTTATGCAGTGTGAATCGTCTGCCTTTGAAAAGCTGCTAAACAGCAATTAAACTATATATTTGTATTTTTAATAAGTAAATTAAATTTTTTTAAAGTTAAAAAAATTTTAGGTCTTAGTTATTATTTTGACAAATAAGAAATGTGCCAAAGCAAAAGCAATATTATCTAAAAATCAATATGATCGTGCATTCAAGCCTAATTTTTTGAATGCCCAATTAATTAAGAGCAATAAATAATTTATAGCTCTTAAAACAGCTAAATAAATTTAGGAGGCCATGAAATGGTATCAACTGTTTATAATAGAAATTAGTAATAGGAAGCTTATTAGGATATTGAAATAATTTTAAGTATATAATCAAAAATAAATCTGTTATAAAGCGTCAATTTATATGATGCATCCAGAATAGGATGCCTTTTGGCAGCATCTTTCGATATTAGTAATTATAAAATCGGGGAAGAAAGTAAAAGGAATTTTAATTTTGAAGATTCCAAAAAAGTTTCAGTCCAATTCTTGAAGCATCAAGATAACCAGATGCAAAACTGAGTATTATTTGGTAAATAATTATTTAAGTAAACAGACCTTTAGAATTATCATCTTTAATTTTACCAACAACAGAACTGAAAATTTAGACTAATTTGGGAGAGCTTAAGCAATATATTATAAATTATACTCTATTCAGAGGAATCGGTATTTAAGAAAAGAAAATTTAGAAAAAGAGACTAGTTTAACATTTTTTTGGAATCTAGATTAAAATTATTTTATAGGCTATTTTTAACGTATAGACTTAGCTTATTTTTTGCTTCAATTTGATAAAACTTATATAAAAATTGTAATGAAAATTGTTTATATTTCATTAAAATAAATTATAAATTATTAATAAAGCAATATATTCTCATCATAATATCAATTTTATTATTAAAAGATATAGAAAATTACCTTAAATAGCCCCATAAGTGCATGAATTCGGCTAATTTTCAAATTTGATCAGACCAAACTAATAATTTACAATTTAGCTGGCAATTCCCCGCTTATAGGAATTAAGTACCATCTAAAAAATGTTGTGTAGAAATAAAATATTGTTAGATAATTATCTCCGAGAACTTTTTTTCTGCATCTTATTATTTATCTAAGGGGGCAGTGTGAAGCTTCAAAAATTAAGCTGCACAGAGAAGGATTCAAATAAATGAATTTATCTTTAGTTAATAAGTAAAAGTCTGTCCCATTCTTTAAAAACAGTTCAAAAATTAATATATAAATAATAAACTATATATCATAATCTGTTCAAATGCAATAGTGTATAAAATATCCTAAAATAATCATTTTGGCTATGGAGCTTCAAAATAAGCTGTATAAACTTTTACACAAAAATATTCATTGGCATTGTTGAAATTAAGACTCAAAAATCTAATCATTTGGGATTCCTTGTAATCTCAATATTTTCTGCTTAATCTTTATTCTTGTTTGGTTTTCCCTCACTGGACATCAGCGGAGATTTAGTGTTTATATGAAAATGGAAAAAAAGTATATTCTTGAGATGGTGCAGATTACGAAAGCATAGCTGTACAGATAAATCCAATGAGTTTATCTAGCTGGCTCTTTTCTTTAAAGTTGTAGCTATAAATTCCTATGCAAGGTTCTGAATCTGCAAAAGGATTCTGGTTACCGGAGAAGAATTACGTGCAGAAATTTATTTATTTGATTTTTCTTAATGACATTAATTTATTCTATATCTAATTATTTTAAAAGTAAACCTTAAACTGATTTATTTGGCAGTACTCTTAATAAAGATATTTGAAGATGATAGGCAAAGTAGTATTTAATCTATTTAAAACCCAATAAAAAGTTAAAATCTAAATTCCTGACAATTTTCTAGTGTATTTTTGCTAAAGTTGAACTTATAGTATTTGTAGATATTTCCGCTACAATAGCCGTAGTCTGGATGGAAAAATCCAATATATGGATCATCATAAATTGATGCTATGCAGAGTTGTGCAAAACTATTTAAATTTGAATATCCTATTTTTTTCCATGTATTTTCATTTGAAACTCCGCTTTCATATATATCTCCCGATTGAATCAAATAAGCCTTATTTTTGCTTTGAAATAGCAGCTTTGTTCTGTTACTGCTGATATTAAATGAAAGAACTTCAGAATAATTATTGCTCTGTATGTTATACTTATAAATTTTTGAATGATAATAACCAGTCAATAAAATTTTTTGGTTGAAATATATACATGAGCATGAGCCTGAAGCAATTGGAAGAGGAGATAGCCTGGATCATGAATTTTGAATAAGGTTAAAGCAAGTTACAAGTTGAGATCTGTTATCGCTTTGATCTTTGCCCCCGAAAACGTAAACTGAGTTATTTAAGTAAATAGCTCCAGAATCATAGCAAGGAGTACCAGGTGGGAGCATTCTTCCTAATTCACAATTTTTTGTGCTAATGATGCACGAAATCCCAGAAAAAGGATTTTTGCTTCCGTAGCAAAATAATTCGTTATCGGGTAGCAGAGCAATGCATGCATTGATACTTAAAGGCTCTGGAGTATTTATATATCAGGAATTCTTCGTAGTATTTAGAATGTCAATCTTGGTAAACAATGTTTTTTTTATAGAATTATAATATCCGCGATTATCTTTTTCTCTCACAGAGCAATTAGTTACAGCATAAAGAAATTTGCTGCTTTCAGGAATAGAAACCATCCTATTATAAGCTGCTGCGACATTTAAATACTCTTTGGCGTAATCTTGATAAACTTCTTTCAATTTTGCACAAACATCACATAAGTCTTTTATAGTTTTATTATTTTCGTAAATATTTTTGATTTCGTTATATTCTTTTGTGATTGATTCATATATTATTTTAATGCCTGGAATATCGCTGGAGAATAAAATTGTTGAGCAGGAAATCATTTGGGCTTCAATTTGGGATTTAAATTGGGAGCAGATATTTATTCGACTTTTGAGATTATTTATTTCTTCATTAATCTTGCTTACAGACGAGAGCGTAAAAGCATTAAATGCTTCACTTGCCTTTTTCTTAACTTTCAAATACTCATTAAAATGCTTTTGTAGTTCTGGAGAATCCTGGATTAAATCCTTAAAATCCTGGTTTTTGTTATATTGCTCGTTAACATAATTAAAATCTTCCTCAATTATTGCATTGAGATTTTCAAGCTCTTTTGATAGATTTATGAAAGTCTCTTGAGATAGCTCAAAATAGGTCTGGTTAATTCTATCGATTTTACCTTCAAAGCTTTTAATTTTATCTCCCATATTTTTAAATTTGCTTACTTCTTGGTGATAATGATTTAAACAAAGCAGCGTTCTCCTATATTTTTCGGAATAAGATCTGAAATTCTTATAATATATCTTATATTTTGATTTTATTTCGCTGCTGTATTCAAATAATTGGATATAGTCTGCGTTAGACCCGTAATTGATATTTGTTTGATTATAGTCTTGGAGAACTTGCTTATTGGATTTTTCTAAGCTCACTTTGCTAGACTTAACCATTTCGACCGGAATGTTTGCAATACTTTCTTTGATAGACTCACAATTTAAAATGTTGCTAATTTTCTTATCAAAATTATCCAGTTCTTCACACTCAAGTTCGATTTTTCTGTTTGGAGTTAAGTTAGAAACGCTGATTGGATTTAATTTAACTTGAGGACCAAATCCTTGATTTATATTTTTAAGCTCAGCAGAAAATTTATCCTTTAAATCATTGATCTTTGTATCAATCACAGTTGAATACCTCATTTCCAACTCCTTTATCTGATTTGGCAAGGCGTTTTTGAGCTCAGCTAAAAATTCATCTTTTAACGCCTTAAGTTTTACATCTTGCATTGATAAGTGTTTTGCTTCAGCTTCTTTAAGCTGTGCTTCTAAACTCTTTTTTAACTTCATATGCTCGCTATTGAGAAGCTCAATTTTCTCTTTACTACTTTTTATATCATTTTCGACAGCAAATCTATCATATAAACCATAATTTCCAATTTCTTCAATTTTTCTGTCATATTTCAGCATGGCTTCATTGATTTTCTTTTCACAATTTTTTTCAAGCAAACTTATTTTGTTGTCAAATTTATTAAGTCGATTTTCTATAGGATTTGTTCGTTTATTTATCATAAATTTGATTTTGTTCTCAACGAGTTGACTGATTAATTTTTCTACGTCAAAAGTACAGAAAAATTTTATTGCGTTATCCAAATTAGAAGCCTGAGGAATAAGATTTTTGTAAAGCTGAATGGCCTCTTGCTGGGATAAAGCCAAAGATTTTATAAGAATGTCTTTTTCGTATTTCGAGATCTTTTCAGTATTTGATACAAGATTAATCAAAGCTTCAACTTTGCTGAGGTTTGGATCAAAATTTTTCAAGGTTTCCTCGAAGTTCATTTCTGTTTGTTTTGAGCTCTCTGAAATCGTTTTTAAGGCATTTTTTAAAGATTCTTCAAGAGCATTTTTTTCGCTTTTGAGAAGCTCAAGCACTGCTTCCTTGGATTGCGGATTTGGTTTCTCAAATAATGCTTCAACTTTGTGAGCCACAGGATTGCTTAAGTGTATGCCCATATGCTGGTTGCATAGTATAGTTTCTATGGAGTTGCAATTACAACTAAATTCAGGATTTTCTTTGCAGTTTTCGTAAAAGCAAGATATTCTTTCCTCCATTGCTATACTATATTATATATAAAACCTAAAGAATTGTATAATTTTTATGCTTATTTCAATGCGCTTATCTTGATTATGATATAGAATATCAACACTAGTAGCATTAATAAAGCATGGCTTTCTTCATTTTTGTCTTTTTCTCCTAATTCAAATGAGTATTTTCAATGTTTTCATCAGTTTTCAATGTTAATTTTCCACTTAAGAAATGATATGGAGCGTTTGTTATTAAATAGGAGAGCCAGAGAAGGGCTTATCGCTGATTTAAAGACTTGATCAAAAGCTAAAACTAGAAATAAAATATCATGAATAAATAAACACAATTTTAAAGTAATACTGATTATTGGCTTAGCTGAAATAGTTAAATTTTGGATTTGCTAAAAACTCAGATCTATCGATTAAGTTTTATGAGAGATTATTTTAAATCTTCTTAAAATTCATGGAAAAATGATGGGTCCTTATTTTAAATCCAAAAATTTCAATATTAATCCTTGACATTTTTGGTTTTTAAGGGGCTCATTTTATTATTATAATATGAATCTAAATTTTTAGGAAACTAATATCAAAACTCAATTTCAGCAAAAGCTCTGGTAAGTGAAAGAAAACCTTTTATTTAAATATGTTCTGGGCAGGGATAATACTAATGAACTACTTAACCTACAAGGAAAATAAAAAGTTTGCAGATATTGCAGATTCAGAACTTTTATTATGTTTGAAACATCGTGAAGAAATTGAAAAATATGAATTTGATTCCTATTATAATGAATTGCAAATCAAAGATCTAATTAAACAATATCAAGATACAATAGATGCTATGAAAAAAAGAGGAAAGCTCTACCTTCCCATAATAATCTGAAAAGTTCTATTAATTAAGAAATACATATTAATGTTTTTTAAATGAAAATAGCATATATCTTTAAATCTAATTTAATTATTTATGAAAACAGCTATTTTATTATATTGAAATTCTTATAATTCTATGCTTATTTATTTAAAAATAATTATTATATTTATTCTTTAAGTTTTGGATAAATTTTAGTTATATAAAAAATAATCTCTGTATAAATTATTCAGTGTATTTCTGGCAATCGAAAATTTCAACTAAATTGCAAGTGACTTCCAATATAAGCAAAACTAGTGACATGAAATCATAATTATAATGTATATTGATAATATGCTAATTAAGGAAAAAATTAATTATACCCGCCTTTGTGTCTGGGCGGCACCGGTAGATGCCCAACTTTATCCATGCTCTCCAACAAAGTTAAATCTTTCCTTAATATAACTTGTGAAACCCCAGTATTATAAAAATTCAGCAAAGGCTCAAAAAATGCATTTCCTTTATAAATCCATTCTTTCAATAAAAAATAAAACAAAAAATTCAAAAATTTCCCATGTGTGATTAGCGCAATGCTTGTAAAAGGATACTCCTTATTATTTGCATACCCAATTAGTCTATTTCACAAATTTTTTGCTCTAGTCTCAGCTTCTTCTAACGTTTCTACCGTTTCTTTAAAAAATCATCCATTCTCATTAACCTCATTTGGAATTTCGAACTCAGGAAACATTTTTAGTAGCTGCGACCTTGTAGACCCAGGGAAAGGAACCCCATTTCTTCTCGGCCCTCTAACTTCATATATATCAGTCCATACTTCTCTTTTCGCATCGATCCCATCAAATGCAAATTTCGCTGTCTGAAGCGTCCTGATCATAGGGCTTGTATAGACACACTGTATCTCAAAATTTTTCCAATTTTTTTTCATGTACTCACCCAACTTTGTCGCTTGATCTTGCCCGACTGATGTCAAAACTGGGTCAATTTCTCTATATGATTCATAACTCTCCCTATGTGTTAATTTCATATAATTATTGTAAGATTCTGCGTGGCGGATGAAATAGACTTTGAGTCCTTTACTCATTTATTTGATAATTTTATTAATAATTATGAATATCTAAAATTTCAAGAAAAAGGGCAGTCATTTATAAAGAATGAAATAACACACTCAAGCAACTTTATTAAAGATAAAGACCTAGTGCTTTTCAAGTTAACATGATGGCTTCCACAAAGAGTAAAGAGGAATTAGAGAAAGCATTATGAAAATACAATTGAATACCGTAATGAAAATTGGTAAGGAAATTGAAGTGCTAGAGGACACATATTTAAGGAGAAACGTCGATTTGCAAAGAGAAAAAGTGCAACAAATGGAAGGAAATAATACATTTGAGAAAATAGAAGAAGAAATCATAGATTTGGTCCAAGAATTCATATATATTGATTAATTACTTTCTAACACCCTAACACCCTAAAAATAGCCTTTTGAGCATAATTCTTTTCCAATTCATAAAAAGAATTTAATAAAAAGATCAGTATTTCACTTAAAAAAATTTACAAAAATCTGCTCTTATTTAAAGGATAGGTTAATTTATCTAAAACATGCACATTTTACTGATACTTTGCTTTGATTTAAAGGGGGAGTGAGCATATTTACTGTTAATTAAAACCTTAGCTATCAATGAAGCTGAGCCAAAGTAAAAGCTAAATGTATTCTGATGGATCTTATTAAACTCTTAGCTCCAATTCTTCTAATATTTCCTTTATTTCTTTAAAATCAATCTTTCTTATTTTCTATTAGTAAATTTAGACTCAGTAATCATCACCTTAGAAACGTTTTCTTCCCAACTATACCAGCAGTGAGTCATTTTGTCAAGAGAAGCATATGATACTGAAGCATAGATTGAAGTACAAAAAAGAATTATGGATATATTTTAACGTTTAAAGAGCTTCAAAATATTCAGCTCGAATAACTTATATTGCAAATGCTATTGTTTTTGCAATGATTTTAGAACTTTGAAATAATAATAAATTGCCAAGTTCAAATTTGATAAAATTCAATTATAAATCTGCATATAAAAATAATAGAAAGAAGAGTTTATAGCGCCTTATTAAATTTGGGAGGCTTCTGGTATGTGGAGATACTGCATCTCAAAATTTTTCCAATTTTTTTTCGCGTTCTTGTCAAACTCAATTGGACTGATGCTAGAATTGGGTCAATTTTTCTATTTGATTCATAGTTCTGTTAATTTCATACAATAATTGTAAGATTCTGTTTGAGCGAATGAGAAAGACTTTGAGTTCTTTGCTCATTTATTTGATAATTTTATTAATGATTAATGAATATCTAGCATTTCAAGAAAGAAGGGCAGTCATTTATAAAGAATGAAATAAGGCACTCAGCAGCTTTATTAAAGATAAAGACCCAGTGCCTTTTCAAGCTTGCATTATGGCTTCCACAAAAGAGTTAAGAGAGATTAGAGAAAGCATCATGAAGCTACAATTAGAAGGCCGAGCAATGGAAATTGTCCAGAAAATTGAAGCGCTAGAGGACACACATTTAAGGAGAAATGTCGAGTTGCAAAGAGAAAAAGTGCAACAAATGGAAGGAAATAATACATTTGTGAGGGAAATCGAAGAGGAAATAATGGATTTGATCCAAGAACTCATATATATTGATCGGACATAATTAATTACTTTCTAACACCCTAACACCCTAGAGATCCCAGCCTTTTCTTATTTAAAAATCGTTTCCAATTGATAAGAAAATTTTAATAAAATGGATGAATCAATTAGCATCGACAGCACAATTGAAGGCGACCCTGACTATATTATTATCAAAATTTCTGATCTGAATCCTCTCCACTGCAATAAGCAACGTCTTATTGATTCAAGCGACTACTTTGAAGCTTTAGTTCGCAATGGTGGGTTCAAAGAAGGGATTCTTGGCTGTGTGAATTTCTCATTATCAGAATGGCGTGAAGAATACTACACTTTCTTCTCCTGGCTTTCCTCAGGAATCGATCTCCTTAAAGTCCTGAATACTCGCTGTTTACTATTTTTTATTATTTTTGGGAATTATTTTCAATTGAAACCTAAATATTTCAAAATTTTGGATCAATATGCAGGGAATATTAATATTTTAGATCAAAATGTGCAGACTTATCTGATGATTTATTGGTCGTATAGGTATATACCTTTTACTACAATGACCACAATGGTTTTAAGCAACCAATCTTCTCAAGGAAATCAACAATTGGTGAAGCTGGTTCTGGCGTGGCTTGATGAAAAATCGTTTGAAGACAGAAGAGCATTGGAGTCTTCAGAGCAGTTTCACCAAGTCAGAGCATTTTTAAAAACAATCAGCTCATGGATTCCTACAAATGTGGCAGAACTTATGGGGATTATATCAGATTATCCTTACGCTGCCCAAGTTTTTGACATAATTTCTCTATTCTCTACTATGAAAGCAGTTTGTTTCTGTACAAGATTCACCCCGACTGTAGTGTTTAAATATGCTTAATTCACTGATTTTAATTATCATTTAAATCAGCATAGCTTTACTTTTAAATCTAATTTAATAAAGATAAAATGTTTGGTAAATCCTTACTAAAACAACGTACAATTTCAAGCAGCAATTTTTCTCCCAATTTTTCATCAGGTGTTAGTTTCCGCTTAATAGAAGCCCGACTTACAAAAAGTGTCGCCATTATAGGCTCAATGAACATCTACGCAAAAGTTTACTATTCCAATCAAATTTGGGAAAGCTCAGTTTGCTCCAGCCTTGGGCTTCATCCAAAATGAGACGCTTCCTATCATTTTGACTATTCAGACTCACACACCATCCAATTAATTCTGTTCCATAAAGCTTTTCTATTAGGGGATACTGAAATTGGTCGGTGCACTATAGATCTTCATGATGTTTTACAAGGCCACTTAACTGAATGATGGGACCTGCTATCCTTGACTAATGAGACCACTGGGACTGTCTTGGTCAGTTTTAATCTTGGGAATTTGACAGTCCCAGAGGACAAATTGTTGACAACTCACAGTTCGAATTGTTCTTGAGATATCAGAGTCCCTGAATTTGAAATGGACTTTTCACCTATACGTCCAAGTAGGCCTTCCCCAGACACCCGACGACAACTAAGTGAGCGGACGACAGAAAAGAAAATGATTCGTTTTAGCACAGAGCCAGATGAAGTTTTAGAGGTCGATGACATTAAATCAGACCTTATGGAAGAAAATGAAAGATTGAGAAGACAAGAAGCCAAGGTAAGAAAAATGTTTGAAAAGCTTAAAGACGAGTTTGTGAAGATGAAAGAAGATAAAGTTGGACTCAAAAAATCTATGTCTAAGAAGGTGAATTAATTTTTTTTTTAAAAAATATTTTTATGGGGATATTTAAAAGGAAAAAGGATAAAGAAAGTTTACAAATTAGAGAAGAATGCATAGTCGCTGAAAAAACGTCATTACAAGAAGAAAAAGAAAGGCTGGAGCGAGAAAAAGAAGAAATCGAAAAACAAAAAGAAATTTTGAACCGGGACTACTTAAAGCTGAAGCAGGAAAAATATAAATTAAACGCAAAGAAAAAAGTGATAGAAAAGACTGGAAAACAGCTGAGCTCAGCTTCAAAGCAGCTTGAAAAACAAAAAGACGTGATGAAGAAAGGGACTTTGAGAAGTGTAAATAGAGACCTAAACGAGCTTGAAGACCTTGAAGACATCTCCAGAGAACTTGCTGGGTTTCCTGAAGACTCAACTGACTCCTATTAATGTAATTGATTAGATAATTAATAATGTCATACACTTATCAGTTTAAATTTATCATCATAGGAGATACTGGCGTCGGCAAGTCTTGTTTAATGCTCAGTTTTATTGATAACCGCTTCAGAGACGACCATGATGTTACTATAGGTGTGGAGTTCGGCTCAAAAATCATTGACATTGAAAACACAAAAGTAAACCTGCAGATTTGAGACACAGCTGGTTCAGAGTGCTTTAAAAGCATCACAAGGTCTTATTATCGGTCAGCAGCAGGAGCCCTGCTGGTATAAATTAATAGCGTTTATGTTTCTTCCTGTGCCATGCTTTAAGAGGATTTTGAATACAAAATATACAATATTGGGAATATTTACTTTTTTTTGATACAAAAGAGTAAGCAAAAAGAGGGGTAGGATATATACGATATAACAAAGCAAGATTCCTTTAAAAATGTTGCAGAATGGCTTGGAGAAGCAAGAACTTATGGACACCCTAATATGGTTACTATGCTTATTGGCAATAAAATCGATATCAGTGAAGAAAGGGCTATTTCAATTGAGGATGGAAAAACATTTGCTAAAGAAAATGATTTATTATTCACCGAGGCTTCTGCGAAAACTGGAGAAGGCGTAGATCAGGCATTTACAGAACTGAGTAGAGTCATATGTGAGAGAATCGAAGAAGGGATTATAGACGTGAAAATTCAGTCATTAGGTATAGCGCTTTCCCGAGGATGGCGCGGAATGGCGCCATCCTCGGGAAAGTCAACTAAGCATCCACACGGGAACTGGGAGTTCCACGTGTGGATGCCATTTTTGACATGTGGGATCCAAACTTCCACATGTCAAAATGGCATCCACACGTGGAACTCCCAGTACCCGTGTGGATGCCTTCCTGGCTTTCCCGAGGATGGCGCCATTCCGCGCCATCCTCGGGAAAGCGCTATATCACAATAAGAGGAGAAATCAAAAAGAATAGCAAAAATAAAAGCGGCTGTTGCTAGATAAATATATATTAAACGCAATAAATAATAAAATTAATGCTTATATATTATCCTTTTTTTAATTAAATAATAAATTTTCAAATAATCAAATTATTTTTTTAAATTCTTTGTGTTTTACCATATTTAAGATCTCCATTTTTATCTTAATTAGTTAGGATATCATCATTTTGCTTTAATCCTTGAAAATACAAGGTGAATAATCAATTAATATGGACTCAACTCACCACTGTAACTTCGAGCAGTGTCACGATCCTTCTAAATGTGTTTGTTCCTGTGAAGGCCAAACCACATATCTCTGCAAAAAGCATATAGAAGCCCATAGATCTTCAAAACCTGACGCAAATCACCAGCTTATTTGGCTTATAATAGACCCTGATAACTCTGTTCGTAACAACCTGCGGAATTATTTCCAGAAAAATATCGGCGCTCTGAGAGATCTGGAAACTTCCATTATAGATAGGCTGGAGACGGAGTCAAAGAAACTGAAGGAAGACACAGACAAGACTGTATCTTTTATTTCTGAAATTAAGGAAAAATACCAAAAAATAGACCAAGAAATACAAAATACAGTAGAAATCCCAGCAGTTGGGCTGACCTTGGCGCAAAGGTTGCTGAGTCTGGCCCCAGATACGATTTGGGAGTCTATTGAAAATTTAAAAAACACTGGGGAGCTTGTATAGTAATTGCCCGAGGATGGCGTTATCTTGCGCCATCCTCGGACAATTCAAAAATGGCCCCACACCGGGAATTGAACCCACGTGTGGGGCCATTTTTGGTATGTGTAGAACATCGACTCCCATGCACCAAAAATGGCCCCACACGTGGGTTCAATTCCCGGTGTGGCGCCATTTTTTAAATTGCCCGAGGATGGCGCAAGATAGCGCCATCCTCGGGCAATTACAATATCGACTGATCGAGCCTTTGAAATTGCTCATTTTTATGTGCTAAGGTACTGCCAAAGGCCAGTAAAACAGATTTTGGATCATATGATTGAGCTAAACAAGTGCAATATCGTGTATGGCAGGCGGCAAACTTTAAGGCAAGAAAGATTGCAAAATTTAGATAGAGAGCTCACATTATTTAAAAAGAAAATAAGTCAGCTTAACGAGGAAAATTTAAAATTCGTGAAAGCTCACAATGAAAAACCTAATATAGAATCCAATAAAAGCGAAAAAGTCAGTGCAAAGTCTGAGAAAACGTGAGCTCAAGACATGCTGGAATTTTACCAGGACAACTCATCAGTTCCTACAAATTCAAGCCAAACCCAAAGCACGATTTCTCAGTTTGATGCACATTCGACTATTTCTGATGTAGACTCAAGGTCAACGATTTCAGATGCAAGATCATCGTCATCAGACCTACATCTGCATACAAATAACTCAAACAATTCAAGATAAATTTAAATATAATTTCAAATCATTTCAAATAGTGCGTTTCGGTAATTTTGGTTTTAAAAAACTTGCTATCCAATATAATTTACTTATAAAGCATTTAAATATTAAGACAATATGATGACCTTACCCGGACTAATTAAAATTAGTGAAAAATAGGTAAAATTATTTCATTTAGTTTCTTTTAATATATACAATTGTATTTTTACCGAATCTATTCAAAAGAAAAAATAATGAGCAACATAAATTTTATAAATAAATTATAAACATTTCAAAATGGAGCTTTGGCTATTCACAATTAAGCTCTGAAGTAGAATCAATAAAGGCTCGAAATCAATTTTTAGCTAATTATTATATAATTGGTGTATTAAAATTTATAAAAATAAATGATGCATCTGGATACTGAAGCATTAGACCTTCGTATCAAATACAATAAAATATTGTTGACTCTTATTGAAAAAGCGACTGTTGGCGTTTCAATGTCAGGAAACGGAGATGAATGCACTATAGATATTTCGATATGGAATGCTGAGCATTCAAATCTGAATTCTGAAGTAGACTTAACAAAATCTTGGAATCCAGCATTTTTTGCACCGAATAATGACGATGTGATGAATTTGGATCTACTTCAAGAAGAAAATGTAGTTCCTGTGATGCTTTACTCCGCAGTCGTATTTCAATGGCCATCTTTGTATCAGGGGGTCTTATTTTCTGCTAAAAATTTCCATAATGGCACTGCTTTTAATAAAATTTTCTTAAATTTTTTTGTAGTAATTGAGCTCTATGACAAAAAATAAAATTATGGTGTTAGTGAATCATTTACTAAGATTCAAAATATCAATTTAAGATCAAAAAGAAGTACAAGACTTTAAAATTTATCTTAAACTTAAATAAATTTGCAAAAATTGGTTAATAAAAAGTAATTAATTTGTAAAAGAAATTTAGAATGAAAACTATTTAAAATTCAACAGAATTAGCTAGAGATTTTATTACAGTAATTATTAATTTATACATTAAGGAAAATTAAAATTTTTATACGAATATGCATAGCCTATATTTGTGGTTGAAATTTTTACTTTCACCTATATTATTTGCAGAATAAATTTTTTCCACTTTTTGAGAAAACATCATCGAAGTTTTTTATCCTTCTCTAGCCACTGCTTTTAATAAATAAATGCACAATAAATAGAATGAAGAACAATCTCGGAATATTATCAACATACGAATATTTTGAGTTTCTGACAAATCAAAATATCAATGATGAAATTAAAACACTTATAAGAACTTTGGCGCTCTATTTCTATATTAGGGTGTTTTGCGGTAGCATGAGGCTTAACTTTAATCAATTTATGAAAAAAAGTTACAAATGAGAAATATGCAAGATTATTCAAAATAATGGGGAATTAGAAGCGTTTTTAAGATATCTTTATAAGACTAATATTTGTAAGGTAGTTTTCAAATCCATAATAACTGAAGAAGATGAAAGTATTTTTGAAGCCAAGCTTGAGCAGATCTTTAATTATGTAATAGAGAATTCATATTATGCTCATCTTCCAAGAGGCTTGAATGGACTTACAGCAAATTGGCCGCAAAATATTCGTAGGAAATCAATATGCGGAAAAAGAAGATGAAGGAGAAGAAGAGATAGAAGATAGCCTTGGATTTGGCCCTACACTAGTAATACTTCTACACGAAATAGCGATTCTTGCTACTAGATTTTGGGAACAGCAAATTTCTTATTTTAAAATTACTCATAACACCTCAGATACTGAAAGATCTTATGGAGAAATAGGAAACGATTTTGAATCGTTGCTTTTTGGTGACAAATTGAATGACCTTTATATTGGAGGGGCAGATTTTTTATCGGAAATTGATAATTGGAACTTGCCAATAGATGAATTTCAATATCGCTTTAAAATAAGGCAAGAAATTAGTAAAGACAATGATGAAAGTTGTTGCGAACTCTCAAGAGGGAGAGCAAAGTGTGTGAAATTCGGAAGATGTGGGATGCTTTATAGTATTTCGCACTCATAAATGATTAAAATTCTTTTAATAATAGAGAAGGCTGATTAATAGAAATCTGGATGGGTTTTAAATGGCTTTTGTGGTGTAATTATATTAATTGCATCTTTTGCTCTGGTGGTATTTGCTTTACGCATATGCTAAGCGAATTTAATTTTTATATGAAAATTACTCGATAATTTTAATTATCCAAAAGCCTTTTAGAATAATCTATTGTCATAACTTTTTATACAATCTCTGATTATTACCATTATCCTTCATTACTTAACATCAACTGTAGATAATAATCTGATTTTATATCAATTTAAGCTTCCAAAAAGTACAAATGAAAAATATGCAATATTATGCAAAATAATAGAAAATTAGAAGCGCTTTTAAGAAATCTTTGCTACACAAGCGTTTGCAAGGAAGTTTTCAAAAACATAATTATTGAGGAAGATGAAAGTATTTTTGAAGCCAAGCTTACAGAGCTCTTTAATTATGTGGCAGAGAATTCATATTATGCTCATCTTCCAAAAGGTTTGCATGGGGTTACTGCTATTGGCTGTAAAATATTCATATCAAGCAAATACTTGAAAAAAATAGAAGATGAAGAAGAAGAGAAAAAAGAAAAGGAGAAAGAAGAAGAGAAAGAAGAGGAGAAAAAAGAAGAGAAAAAAGAAGCGAAAAAAGTAAATGAATTAGAAGTAAGATTAAGAAGAGATCTAAAAAAGCTAGAAGATAGATTTAGATGGAGCCCAACTCTGAAAATACTTCTACATGAAATAGCTGTTCTTTCTACTAGATTCTGGGAACAGCAAACATCTTACTTTAGAATTGCACCTAGAGAGTATATAAATCCATCAAATCCTCGAAAATCATATAAAGATATAGGAGACTATCTCGAGTCGTTACTCTTTGGTGACAGGTTGAAGAGTCTTTATCGTGGAGGGGCAGAGATTTTATTAAATATTCACAACTGAAACTTGCCGATTGATAGGTTTCAGTCTAAATTCCTAGAATGGCAAGAAGATAGCAAAGCATATGGTGGCAATTTTTACCTTCTCTGAAGTCGAAAAATAGAAGCCAACTGTGTTACATTCGGCAGATGTGGGATGTCTTATTTGAATTCGCGTTAGCATTGCTTAAAACGCTATTGTAATAGAGCTGATTAATAGAAAGTATCTAAATTTAATAAATTTTAGAGAAGATAAATCTATATGAATATTTTTAATTAGATATAATAGACGCTCTTTAATTGGAGACAAATAGCTAAGCTGAGGCTCAAAGCAGTCCTACATTTTTAGTTCTTCTTATCCCCAAAATTTCTTGATTGGGGGACCCTCTTTTTTTAGCTCATCATTAAGCTGGTCAAATAGAAAATGTCTTAATTCTTCAATTAATTGGATAGAAATTTTATCATTATGGGATTAAAGTAGGTCCAAGCTAATTTTGCCATTACTAATAAATAATTGCTCACTCCTTTACCCAGTCATTAAAGTGGCTGAAACTTTGTTTCTCAGCTGTCTATCTCTCAAATAGTGAATTTATTTCTCAGCCCAATTTTATAAGCCAATATTTCATTCATAAAATAATGGGTTTAGCTAATTATAGCATTTATACTCAATTATAATAAAATTTTATAAAAATAAATGATGGTTCCTGACAATAAAGCATTAAAGCTTCTTTTCCGCTACAATAAAATAGTTATGGATCTTCAACTGTTGAGGACCCAATGCCAGAAGAAGAAAAGCAGAACCGTATCCATTATAAGAAATACAATATCGATATTTCGATATGGAGTGTTGAATATTTAGATCTGACATCTAAAGTAGAGTCAATCAAGGCTTTATATCCAGCATTTTTTGTAGAAAATAATGACCCTGTAATGAATTTAGACTTGTTTTACGAGCAAATATACATTAAAATGGGACACATGTCAGTCTGCCCTCTTGGCGCAGTAGTCCAGACCTTATGGCGACGACGAACTGGGATGGACTCAGAGCTGAGAATCAAGTGCAGGCTCAAGAGGTGTGTATCCGGGTAGGTTTTGGCTGCTTTCCTGTTGTTGGAAATGGAGGTGTCCAACAGCGTCCTTTGGATCCGAGGACCCATGGGCATTCCACTACCGAGAAACTGGGGGTTTCGGCCCAGGCCACAGTGAAACAGTATTTTTCCTGCAGCTATAGAAGAAAGGCACTTCGGCACCCGAGAGACTCCAAGGAGTTGATCCTTGGAATCAAGCTAATCCAATCGCCTGTAGCAGAACCGCAGAAATCCATAAGCCGCCCACTCAAGACTGAAGCCTCAAGGCAAGGGACAGAAGATACCGGAAGGGCACTCATAAGAGGGATAGATCCTCTAGGCTGGAGTCGAAAAGCATAGAGCCGCCCGATCGGGAAGCCTTTGGTGACAGCTTCATCAATATGGCTAGCGCCTGACTTTTTAATAATGCTTCAAGAACAAAATATAGTTCATGTACTCCTTTACTCCGCAGTCATACTCCAATGACCTTCTTTGGACCCGAAAGTCTTATTTTCTGCTGATAATTTCACTAAGGGCTATGCTTTTAATAAATTTTCTATAAAGAGAATGAAATGCAATCTCAGAATACTCTCAAACTCAAATGCATTGAGTATTTGACAGATCAAAATCTCAATGATGAAATAAAAGCACTCGTAAGAACTTTAGCACTCTATTTCTATATTAGGGCACATGATGGCAGCATTGCACTCAATTTAAATTTGTTTATAGATAAAAAGTATTTACTTACTTAGTGCACCACCTGGATAAGCTTTCCATTTGCTCCGCTGCCAACCTAATCACTTTCTTTATGGCATTTGCAGCTCAATTACCCAGCTCATCTCTATATGTACCTAAAATCTCTTTCCTTGTGTGGGCTGATCAGAATAAGCCTTAAGCCTTCAAATCATCCAAGAGTCATGCTAAGGATATCAAAAATGCTTCGAAAAATTTTCATCTAGAAAATGTTCACTACCAAAAATACACAGCCATTTGGCATTAAGCCGATAAATGTGCTCATGTAAACAAATTTCACATAATCGTCGGTTTATTGTGATTTAATTAAAAAGTATAAGTGAAAATTGTGCAAGATTATTCAAAATAATAGAAAATTAGAATCATTTTTGAGAAATCTTTATCACACAAGCATTTGTAAGAAAGTTTTCAAAAACATAATAATTGAGGAAGACGAAAGTGCTTTCGAAGCCAAACTTACAGAACTCTTTAATTATGTAATAGAGAAGTCATATTATGTTCACCTTCCAAGAGGTTTGTATGGGCTCACAGCAATTGACCACAGAATATATATATCAAGCGAATACACTCCAGAAAAAGAAGAAGATGAAGAAGAAGAAGAAGAAGAAGTTGAAGAAGATGAAGAAGAAGAAGAGAAAGAAGATGAGCTTTGATTTGACGCTACTCTGATAATACTTTTGCACGAAATTGCGCACCTTCTTCTAGATTTTGGAAGCAGCAAAACTCTTATATCTAATTGCAATGAATAAAAAAAATTTATGCTTTTTTAGCCGCTATCCACACAAGCAAAATGGCAATGTCACCGACCTGTCCTTTCCCGGGCCTGTAGAGGATTTGAGACCTTGCTGCGGTCTGAAGCCAAACAAAGCATAGAAATGGAGTCTTTAGGTACTGGGTATTTGTGTTCTGGATTTATTTTGCCTCTATCATCTGGAAATGAAGTCTTTTTGTTTACTGATGGACACTTGGGAAAAAGGCTAGATCCACTGGCGCTGATGGCAAAGGCATAGTTAGTACCGATGTTAGGGAGATTTTCTCTAGCTGCTACTCTAGTAGCTCAAGCAGCAGCCGTTAAATCTCAAACTTGCACACTCCAAGGTTTTGAGACAGCATTAGAGCCAGGCCGAAAACTGTTGGAGAGCTGTCTCTGGTGAAAATGCTGACATATCCAGGGAGCCTCGCAGCTGAGCGAGTATTCTATGAGGGTTATCTTAGCTGAGACGCAAAAGGAGAAAGAGCCCTGATCTATAACTAATTATAATTAATGCTTATGACTAGCCGCTATCTTATTTTATATGAAAATAGGATAGCAGTTACCATATAAATGCTTCTATTCTTTATAATTAAATATACTTTATAATGACACTTAAAAAGTTCAAAGGCCCATCAGACCCCGAAAACTCAAATGGAAAGATAGGAGACTATCTCGAATCGTTGCTTTTTGGTGGCAGGCAAGGTCTTTATAGTGGAGGGGCAGAAATTTTATTAAACATTGATAACTGAAACTTGCCAATAGATGAGTTTCAATCTAACTTCCAAAGTATGCAAGAAGATTGTAGAGCAAATGGTGAGCCAATATGCGCACTTACGGTGGGGAAAGGAATGACCAATTATGTTAAATTCGGCAGATGTGGGATGCCTTATAGAAGTTCACATTCTTAATGCTTAAATTGCTAATAATAAAGTATAGCGCTTTCCCGAGGATGGCGCGGAATGGCGCCATCCTCGGGAAAGCGCTATATTTCGATTAATAGAAATTATCTAAATCTAATGAGTTCGAGAAGATGAATTTATATGAATAATAGACGCTCTTAACTTAGGTGTAAATAGCTTCTTGATGGAGTTTAAAGTTCACATTATTATTGTCATTGCTGCAGCTTATACCTAGCCTTGAAACAAGCTCAATTGGCTCTATAAAAAACTTTCTAAGCTGAGGCTCAAAATACCTAACTCCCCTCTCCGTTAACAGACAAAAAAAATTGTTTGCAATTGGAAGAGGCTTAACTTTTTTTTTATAATTTTATATAGAAATTTATAGAATTTTTTTTCAAAATTTAAAAAAAATTACAATTAGTAAAAATTAGAAAGTAAATATTAATTTAAATTTTCTTAAAAAATTTTATTCCCTCACGGAGGTGGACTTTTGGTCAAAAAATAGGTTTTGTTCGCTCAAGTAAGCAGTCCTACATTTTCTGAATTGCTTATTTCTTTGGCTCATCATTAAGCTAGTCAAATAGAAATAGACTTAATTCCCCAATTAATAGTAGAAAATTTCTCATTAGAATTGCTGATCCTCTCCTCTTTTTCCAATCAATACATCCATTCATTATCAATTCTGTCTTGATGATAAAATTATTTTAAAATTTGCTTATCAAAGTATTTAGCCCCATTATAGCAAAATTATAAAAATAAAATGGTTCCAAACAATGAAGAGTTAGAAATTCTTTTCAACTACAATAAAATAGTTATGGATCTTATTCAAAAATTAACTTTTGAGGATCCAATTTGAAAAATATACAACAGAGCGATACCTATGACAAGGAATACACTATCGATGCTCCGAAATGGAGTATTGAGCATTCGGATCTGATATCTAAAGTAGATTTAATCAAAGTTTTATATACGGCATTTTTTGTAGAAAATAATGACCCTGAAATTTTAGATTTAGTGCCGTTATTAAAAGCTGTTATAAATAAAGCAGGGAATCGAAGAGACAAGCCTATTAGAAGACGAACTGTTTCTTTGACACAGTTCTTTCGAACCTCTCAAATCTTCATCCGAATCAATGAGGACCAATTCTCTTTGTTCAGAAACTCTCAGAGAGTCACCTACCCCTTCACTGAGTCTGAATTAGGTGGTTACCCGACCTCTACTCTCCTTTTTATACTGTGACCTTGTAATGAATTTAGACTTTCTCCAAGAGAAAAGTGTAGTTCATGCACTCCTTTACTCCGCAGTCATGCTTCAATGGCCTTCTTTGAACCTGACAGGCTTATTTTCTGCAGATTACATAAACAGAGGCACTGCTTTTGATGAAGAAATGGAGAGAATTGATGAGTGGGATTTGACTGGTAAAGCAATTACTATTGATGCTGAATCTTGAGACACCATTAATAATGCCCAAAGTAAAATTATAGAAAATGGAAGGAATGCCTCCAGATCAGTAAAGACTCATCTTCGCAAGAAAGTAACTTGAAGAGGGAACAACTTTGGCTGATGAAAAAATTCAAAGAGTCCTTAAGGGTTCGCTGAAAGCATAAGCTTAATGAAGAATACTAAGACTTAGATAAAATAAATATTTAAATTGAGCTTATTCAAGTATTTAGTAAAATTATAAAATTAAAATGATAGTTCCGAACAATAAAGCATTAGAGATTCTTTTCAGCTACAATAAAATAGTTATGGATCTCATTCAAAAATCAACTGTTGAGTATTCAATGTCAGAAAATATAGAAGAATGCAGTGCCTATTCCGAGGAATACACCATTGATATTCCGAAATGGAGTGTTGAGTATTCGGATCTGACATCTCAAGTAGATTCAATCAAGACCTTATATCCGACCTTTTTTGTGCAAGATAATGACTCTGTGATGAATTTAGACTTGCTCCAAGAGCAAAATGTAGTTCATGTTCTCCTTTACTCCGCAGTCATGCTTCAATGGCCTTCTTTGCACACGACAGTCTTTTTTTCGGTTGATGATATCAACAAGGGCACGACTTTTGATGAAATTGAAATAGATAGAATGAAGCGCAATATCGGAATATTATCAAAATCCGAATGCTTTGATTTTTTAACAAATCAAAATATCGATAATGAAATTAAAACACTCACAAGAACTTTAGCACTCTATTTCTATACCAGGGCGCATGGTGGAAGCATTACACTCGATTTAGATTTATTAGAAGGCAGAGAGTACGAATGAAAAATACGTAAGATTTTTCAAAATAATAGGAAATTAGAAAGGTTTTTAAGAAATCTTTATCACACCAAAATTTGCAAGGAAGTGTATAGAAAAATTATACGTGCTGACGATGAAAGTGATTTCGAAGCTAAACTTGAAGAACTCTTTAATTATGTGATAGAGGATTCATATTATGCTAACCTTCCAAAAGGTTTGTATGGGCTCACAGCAATTGGCCGCAAAATATTCATATCATGCGAATACACTCCAGAAAAAGAAGAAGAAAAAGTGAAAGAAACAGAAGAAAAGAAAAAAGAAGAAGAGAAAGAGAAAGAGAAAGAGGAAAATAAAGAAGAAACAAAAAATGTAAGTAAAGCAGAGATAAAAGAAAGAGGTGCGTATACAAAGGCAGGATATCAATTTGGATTTGGACCTACACTGATAATACTTTTGCACGAAATAGCACACCTTTCTTCTCGATTTTGGGAGCAACAAACTTCTTACTTTAGAATCACACCCAGAGATTACAAAAGCCGATCAGATCCTGAAACATCATATGGAGAAATAGGAAACTATCTAGAGTCACTGTTATTTGGTGACAGGCTGCAAGCTCTTTATCGTGGAGGTGAAAAGGCTTTATTAAAGATTAGTCTTTGAAACTTGCCAATTGATAAGTTTCAAGCTGAATTCCTAAAATGGCAAGAATATAGTAAAGCAAGGGGCGGCAAAGCATGTATCCTTTCAAGAGGGAATGGAATAGCCAACTGTGTTAAATTCGGGAGATGTGGGATGTCTTATTGGACTTCACGTTCGTAATGCTTAAATTGTAATAATAGAGATATATAAGTCTAGAGAAGATGAATATCATGTTAAATTCAATAGACACTCTTTACTTCAGTGTAAATAGCTTCTTGTAGAGCTTAAAGTATGCAGTATTATCTTCATTGCAACAATTCATACCTAGCATTGAAACAAAGCTCAGTTGACTCTATAAGCAACTTTATAAGCTGAGACTCAAAATGCCCAAGCAGTCCTACATTTTTTGTCTTTTCTTGTGCCCAGATTGCTTGTTTCCAGAATCTTCTTTTAGCTCATCACTTAGCTGATCAAATGGAAATGGGGCTTAATTCGCCAATTAATAGTAAAAAATTATATTATTGAAATCGCTGATCCTCTCCCGTTTTTACTCAATAAGGATGCTGTGTTGATGAAATAAATATGTAAAATTCAGCTTATCAAAGTATTTAGATCCTCATTATAGTAAAATTATAAAAATAAAATGATGGTTCCGAACGATAAAACATTAGAGCTTCTTTTCAGCTACAATAAAATAGTTAAAGATCTTATTCAAAAATCAACTGTTGAGGATCCAATGTTTCAGAGGCGCACCATCTGCAAACGATACATAATCGATATTCCGAAATGGAGTGTTGAGTATTCGGATCTGACATCTCAAGTAGATTCAATCAAGACCTTATATCCAGCATTTTTTGTGCAAGATAATGACTCTGTAATGAATTTAGACTTGCTTCAAGAGCAAAATGTAGTTCATGTTCTCCTTTACTCCGCAGTCATGCTTCAATGGTCTTCTTTGAACCCGGCAGTCTTTTTTTCGGTTGATGATTTAAACAATGGTACTGCTTTTGATTCATTTGCAATAGATAAAATGAAGTTTAATTTAGACATGCTCTCAGATTATAAATGTATTGATTTTTTGACAAATCAAAATATCGATAATGAAATTAAAACACTCACAAGAACTTTAGCACTCTATTTCTATATCAGGGCGCATGGTGGAAGCATTACACTCGATTTAGATTTATTAAAAGGCAAAGAGTACGAATGAAAAATATGTAAGATTTTTCAAAAGAATGGGGAATTAGAAGGGTTTTTAAGAAATATTTATCACGCAAGCATTTGCAAGGAAGTGTATAGAAAAATTATACGTGCTGACGATGAAAGTGATTTCGAAGCTAAACTTGCAGAACTCTTTAATTATGTGATAGAGAATTCATATTATGCTAACCTTCCACAAGGTCTGTATGGGCTCACAGCAATTGGCCACAAAATATTCATATCATGCGAATACACTCCAGAAAAAGAAGAAGAAAAAGTGAAAGAAACAGAAGAAAAGAAAAAAGAAGAGGAAGAGAAACCAAAGGATTCATATAACAAATCATATCAATTTGGATTTGGACCTACACTGATAATACTTTTGCACGAAATTGCACACCTTTCTTCTAGATTTTGGGAGCAGCAAACTTCTTACTTTAGAATAACACCCAGAGATTGCAAAAGCCCATCAGATCCTGAAAGATCTTATGGAGAAATAGGAAACTATTTAGAGACACAGCTATTTGGTGACAGGCTGCAAGCTCTTTATTTTGGAGGGGAAGAGATTTTATTAAATATTGAAAACTGAAACTTGCCAATTGGTGAGTTTCAGGCTGAATTCTTAAATATGCAAGAATATTGCAAAGCAAGGGGTGGCAAAGCATGCATCCTTTCAAGAGGGAATGGAATAGCCAACTGTGTTAAATTCGGGAGATGTGGGATGTCTTATTGGACTTCACGTTCATAATGCTTAAATTGTAATAATAGAGAACGTTGATTAATAGAAATTATCCGAATATATAAGTCTAGAGAAGATGAATTTATATGAATACTTTTAATTATAATAGACGCTCTTAACTTAAGTGTAAATAGATTATTTGTAGTGCTTAAAGTCTACAGTATTATCGTCATCGTTGCAGCTCATGCTTTACCTTGAAGGAAGGAACTTAATTAACTCTATAAACAACTTTCTAAGCAGCTTATCAAAATATTTAGATCCCCATTATAGTTAATTATAAAAATAAAATGATGATTCCAATCAAAAAAGCACTAAAGCTTCTTTTCAGGTACAATAAAATAGTTATGTCTCTTATTCGAAAATCAACTGTTGAGGCTCCAATGCTAAAGAGGCGCGTCAATAACAAAAATAAGACTATCAATATTTCGAAATGGAGTGTTGAGTATTCGGATCTGACATCTAAAGTAGATTCAATTAAGGCTTTATGTCCGGCATTTTTTGTGCAAGATAATGACTCTGTAATGAACTTAGACTTGCTCCAAGAGCAAAATGTAGTTCATGTTCTCCTTTACTCCGCAGTCATGATTCAATGGCCTTCTTTGGACCCAACAGTCTTATATTCTGTAGATGATATCAACAATGGCACTGTTTTTGATAAATATGCTATAAATAGAATAAGGTCAAATCTTAAAATTCTCTCAAAAAACAATTGTATTAATTTTTTGACAAATCGGAATATCGATTATGAAATTAAAACACTCACGAGAACTTTAGCTCTCTATTTCTATATTAGGGCGTGTGGCGGCAGCATTACACTCAATTTAGATTTATTAAAAGGGGGAGAGTACGAATGAAAAATATGTAAGATTTTTCAAAAGAATGGGGAATTAGAAGGGTTTTTAAGAAATATTTATCACACAAGTATTTGCAAGGAAGTGTATAGAAACATTATACGTGCTGAAGATGAAAATGATTTCGAAGCCAAACTTAAAGAATTATTTGATTATGTAATAGAGAATTCATATTATGCTCACCTTCCAAGAGGTTTGTATGGGCTCACAGCGATTGGCCGCAAAATATTCATATCAAGCAAATATATGGAAAAAAAAGAAGAAATAAAAGTAGAAGAGGAAGAGGACGAGGAAGAGGAAGAGGAAGAGGACGAAGAAGAGGAAGAGGAAAATAAAGAAGATGAAGAAGAAGAAGAGGAAGAAGAAGATTCAGATAATAGCTCAGAATATAAATTTGGATTTGGACCTTCATTGATAATACTTTTGCACGAAATAGCACATCTTTCTTCTAGATTTTGGGAGCGGCAAAATTCTTACTTTATCATTACGCCGAAAAAGTTCAAAAGTCCATCAGACCCCGAAAATTCATATGGAGAAATAGGAAACTATCTAGAGTCACTGCTATTTGGAGACAGGCTGCAAGCTCTTTATAGTGGAGGAGAAGATATTTTATTAGATATTGAAAACTGAAACTTGCCAATTGGTGAGTTTCAGGCTGAATTCCTAAATATGCAAGAACTTAGCAAAAGAAGCGGTAGCAAAGCATGTATCCTTTCAAGAGGGAATGAAATAGCCAACTGTGTTAAATTTGGGAGATGTGGGATGTCTTATTGAATTTCACGTTCGTAATGCTTAAATTGCTAATAATAAAAAATTTTGACTAATAGAAATTATCAAAATATAAAAGTTTAGAGAAGTTGAATTTATTAGAATACTTTTAATTATAATAGACGCTCTTAACTTTAGTGTAAATAATTTATTGATGGAGCTTCATACTGGCCTTGAAGCAGGCTCAATTGGCTCTATAAACAACTTTCTAATTGCCTAAACAGTCCTACATTTTCTGGCTCTTTTGTGCCCAGATTGCTTGTTTCTGGAATCTTCTTTTTAGCTCATCACTTAGTTGATCAAATGGAAATGGGGCTTATGCAATTTAGTATTCGGATCTAGCACTTCAATTAGATTCTATCAAGGCTTTATATCCAGCATTTTTTGTGCAAGATAATGATCCTGTAATGAATTTAGACTTGCTCCAAGAGCAAAATGTAGTTCATGTACTCCTTTACTCCGCAGTCATGCTTCAATGGCCTTCTTTGCACACAATATTATTCAAAATAACAGAGAATTAGAAGCGCTGTTAAGAAATCTTTATCACACAAGCATTTGTAAGGAAATTTTCAAGCACATTATTATAGAGGAAGATGAAAGTGTTTTTGAAGCCAAGCTTGCAGAACTCTTTAATTATGTAGCAGAGCATTCATATTATGCTCATCTTCCAAAAGTTTTACATGGGGTTACAGCGATTGGCTGCAAAATATTCATATCAAGCGAATACATGAAAAAAATAGAAGATGAAAAAGAAGAGAAAAAAGAAGAAAAAAAAGAAGATAAAGAAGATGAAAAAGAAGAGAAAAAAGAAGCGAAAAAAGTAAATGGATTAGAAGTAAGATTAAGAAGAGATCTAAAAAAGCTAGAAGACAAATTTAAATGGAGCCCTACTCTGAAAATACTTCTGCACGAAATAGCAGTTCTTGCTACTAGATTTTGGGAACAGCAAACTTCTTACTTTAGAATTACGCCTAGAGAGTATATAAACCCATCAGATCCTGGAAAATCATATGGAGATATAGGAGACTATCTCGAGTCGTTACTCTTTGGTCACAGGTTGAAATGCCTTTATCGTGGAGGGGCAAAACTTTTATTAAATATTAATAGCTGAAACTTGCCAATTGATAGGTTTCAGTCTAAATTCCTAAAATGGCAAGAACATAGCAAAGCAAATGGTGGCAATTTTTACCTTCTCTGAAGTCGAAAAATAGAAGTCAACTGTGTTACATTCGGCAGACGTGGGATGTCTTATTGGAATTCGCGTTAGCAATGCTTAAAATGCTATTATGATATAGCTGATTAATAGAAATCATCTAAATTTAATAAATTTTAGAGAAGATGAGTCTATAAATGCTTTTAATTAGCTATAATAGACGCTCTTAATTGTAGACAAATAGCTACTTGATGGAGCTTAAAGTCAGCACTATTTCCGTCATTGCGGCAGCTCATAACTGGCCTTGAAATTAGTTCAACTGTGCCAATAAATAGCTTACTAAACTGAGGCTCAAAACAGTCCTACATATTCTACCTCTTTTTTCCCAAATTTCTTGATTGGGGACCCTCTTTTTTAACTCATCATTAAGCTGATATTTGGAAAATGGGCTTAATTCTTTAATTAATAGGATAGGAATTTTATCATTTAGGGATTTGCCATTACTAATAAATAATTTCTTACTCCTCTATTCAAGCCATTAAAGTGGCTGAAACTTTTTTTTCTAAGGTTAAGTTATCTATATCTCAAATAGCGAATCTATTTCTCAGCCCAATTTTAGAAGTCAATATTTTCATTCATAAAATAATGACTTTAAATTTAGCTAATCATAGCATTTGCACTCCATTATAATAAAAGTTTATAAAAATAAATGATAGTTCCGGACAATAAAGCATTAAAGCTTCTTTTCAGATACAATAAAATAGTTATAGATCTTATTCAAGAATCCACTGTTGAGGCTCCAATGTCAGAAAAAGAAAATCAAAACTGTACCTATAACAAGAAATACACTATCGATATTTCGAAATGGAGTTCTGAGTATTTAGATCTGACATCTCAAGTAGAGTCAATCAAGGCCTTATATCCAGCATTTTTTGTAGAAAATAATGACTCTGTAATGAATTTAGACTTGCTTCAAGAACAAAATGTATTTCATGTACTCCTCTACTCCGCAGTCATGCTTCAATGGTATTCTTTGGATCCAAAAATCTTATTTTCTGCTGATAATTTTGCTAGGGGCTATGCTTTTAATAAATCTTCCATAAAGAGAATGAAGAGCAATCTCAGAATACTCTCAAACCCCAAATGCATTAAGTTTTTGACAGATCAAAATCTCAATAATGAAATAAAAGCACTCGTAAGAACTTTGGCACTTTATTTCTATATTAGAGCACATGGTGGCAGCATTACTCTCAACTTATTTTTGTTTATAGATAAAAAGTACAAATGAAAATTGTGCAAGATTATTCAAAATAATAGAAAATTGGAAGATTTTTTAACTCCCCTCTTCTCCGTAAGTGAACGAAAAAATTTTGTTCACTCACGGAGGGTGGTTAATTTTTTTTTTAAAAAATTTATATATAAATTTTCTAAAAAATATTTTTGTCGAAATTTAAAAAAATCCTAATTTGCAAAAATTGGAAAGCAAATATTAATTTAATTTATAAAATTTATGTTTTAAAAAGCATTAACATTAACATTAATTAGTATTATGAACGGCTCGTCGTATTGGCGCGGGTTTCCCCTGCCCTACCTCCACCCTTAACGCTTCACCCGGTTGCTCACCACCGATCGATCACGACCTTCAAGGCTCTGCTCCTACTGGACGAGGATGTGCACTCGCTACCCGTAGTTGGATGAGTTACGCCACCTTGCAGTACGTCAACAGAGGTTGCCCATTCCGAAAATTTGAAAAACAAATTTTCTGGTAGGACTGTCGGCTAAGATGGAAATCCCAAAGCCTGGGACGTAACGCCCAGTTTCACGCTAGGGAGTTGCCCGATTGATCAGGAGGTACCTTCCTGATGCTGCTGAGCTTCCCCTTTCCAACCTTGGATACCACCTCCCCTGAGGTAAAAACCCTTAGTGTCAGAATGAGCTGCGGTCGGCCTAATCCGACGTTGCGCTCCACTGTGCTAAGGTAAAACCTAGCCGGATACACATTCCGAGCGCCTCCCTCTCTTCCACGAGGTCCCCTGTGAGCGAACGCTAACACAGGCTACAGGTGTTAAGAGGTCGGGCTGGATTACCATCGCCATTTTAATGTATATGTTTTAAAAAGCAATTCGTTTAAAATTAAACAGAATTAGCTAGAGATTTCGTTATAATAATTATCATTTATATATCAATTTTTTTTTTTCCATAAAAAATTTTTCTATTAAAAAAATTTTTGTTCATTCAAGGAGGTGGGTTTTTGGGCAAAAAATAGCGATTTTTCTAATGGTTTTGCTCATTCACGGAAGGGGGGAGTAAGAAATCTTTATCTTGTTATTTAATTTATATCGTTTAAAGTTCACTATGGGGTAGCCGTTTCCAGAGCTGCCACTGTATTTGCCTGCGTGTCAGACTCATAGACCTCTGGATTGATCCATTTTGCTGCGCCAGGGCAGAGGTCAAATACAGCATACAGCTTCGAAGGGCTGCGTTGCCTTGCTCCTTTGACTCAGCTCCTGCGCATGTTCCGCCTGAGGGTCATCCTCATCGGGTACGCTGAGACGTAAAACTTCGAGCCTTTTGAAGTGCTTGGAGCAGTGCCTCAGCTTATGTGTCAGAGTTAAACCGCTGTTGCTGTATAGAAGTTCTCAGAAGAAAACTTAACCCTATAAATTAAATTCCATGAGGGAGAGAAAATTAGCAAAGCTAATTTCGCTCGAACCGAATGTCATTTTACTTATTAAGAAATCTTTATCACACGAGTGTCTGCAAGGAGGTGTATAAAAGAATAATACCTGCTGAAAATGAAAGTGTTTATGGATACAAGCTTGCAGAACTCTTTGATTATGTGATAGAGAATTCATATTATGCTCACCTTCCAAGAGGTTTGTATGGGCTAATAGCAATTGATCATAAAATATTCATATCAAGCGAATACATGGAGGAAAAAGAAGAAGATAAAGAGGATGAAGAGGATGAAGAAGAAAAAGAAGAAAAAGAAGATGAGTTTGAATTTGGACCTACACTGATAATACTTTTGCACGAAATAGCGAACCTTTCTTCTAGATTTTGGGAACTGCAAAATTCTTACTTTAGAATAACACCTAGAGAGTACAAAAACCCATCAGATCCTGGAAGATCATATATAGAGATAGGAGACTATCTCGAATCGCTGCTCTTTGGTGACAAGCTGCAAGGTCTTTATAGTGGAGGGGTAGAAGTTTTATTGAACATTGATAACTGAAACTTGCCAATAGATGAGTTTCGATCTTACTTCCATATTATGCAAGAAGATTGCAGAGCAAATAGAAACCCAGTATGCACTCTTACAAGAGGTAATGGAATAGCAAATTGTGTTAAATTCGGCAGATGTGGGATGTCTTATTGAACTTCACGTTCATAATACTTAAATTGCTAAAAATAAAGAATGTTAATTAATAGAAATTATCTAAATCCAATAAGCTTGAGAAGATAACTTTATATGAATGCTTTTAATTATAATAAACAGTCTTAACTTCAGTTAAATATCTTCTTGACACTTGCTTCTGGATTCTTCTTTTTAGCTCATCACTGAGCTGGTCAAATGGAAATGGGGCTTAATTCGCCTATTAATAGTAAAAATTATGTTATTGAAATTTTCTGTCCTCTCCCTCTTTCTATTCAATAAGGACGTTGTGTTGATAAAATAAATATTTAAAATTTAGCTTATCAAAGTATTTAGATCATCATTATAGTAAAATTATGAAAATAAAATGATGGGTTCCGAACGATAAAACATTAGAGCTTCTTTTTAGCTAAAATAAAATAGTTAAAGATCTTGTTCAAAAATCAACTGTTGAGGATACAATGTTTCAGAGGCATGCCATTAACAATGAATACACTATCGATATCCAGAAATGGAGTGTTGAGTATTCGGATCTGACATCTCAAGTAGATTCAATCAAGGCTTTATATCCGGCATTTTTTGTAGAAAATAATGACCTTATAATGAATTTAGACCTATTTCGAGAGCAAAATGTAGTTTATGTACTCCTTTACTCTGCAGTCATGCTTCAATGGCCTTCTTTGAACCCAACAGTCTTATTTTCTGTAGATGATATCAACGAGGGCACAGTTTTTGATACATTTGCTATAAATAGAATGAAGTTTAATTTTGGCATGCTCTCAAATTGCGAATGTATTAATTTTTTAACAAATCAAAATATCGATAATGAAATCAAAACACTCACAAGAACTTTAGCACTCTATTTCTATATTAGGGCGCAAAGGGGCAGTATTACACTCGATTTAGATTTATTAGAAGGCAGAGAGTACAAATGAAATAAATGTAAGGTTTTCCAAAAAAATGGGGGATTAGAAGCGTTTTTAAGAATCTTTATAACACAAGCATTTGCAAGGAAGTATATAAAAAAATTATACGTGCTAACGATGAAAGTGATTTTGAAATCAAGCTTGCAGAAATCTTTGAATATGTGATAGAGCAGTCATATTATGCTCACCTTCCAGCAGGTCTATATGGGCTCACAGCAATTGATCCCAAATATTTATATCAAGCAAATACTCTCCAGAAAAAAAAGAAGAAGAAGAAAAAGTAAAAGAAACAGAAACAGAAACAGAAGAAAAGAAAAGAAAAATAAAGAAGAAGAAGAAGAGGAAGAGAATGAGAAAAATAAAGAAGTTGCAAAAACAATAAATAAATTCAAACAAAAAGCAAGGGAATCATATAAAACAGAATATAAATTTGGATTTGGGCCTACACTGATAATACTTTTGCGCGAAATAGCGAGCCTTGCTTCTAGATTTTGGGAGCAGCAAAATTCTTACTTTAGGATAACACCCAGAGAGTACGAAAGCCCATCAGATCCTGTAAGACGATATGTAACAATAGGAGACTATTTAGAGTCACTGCTATTTGGTGACAGGCTGCAAACCCTTTATAGAGGAGGGGAAGAGGCTTTATTAAATATTGATATCTGAAACTTGCCAATTGATGTGTTTCAGTCTGAATTCCAAAATATGCAAGAAGCTAGCAAAGCAAGGGGTGGCAAAGCATGCATCCTTTCTAGAGGGGATGGACTAGCCAACTGTGCTAAATTCGGGAGATGTGGGATGTCTTATTGAACTTCACGCTCTTAATGTTTAAATTGCGAATAATAAAGAATACTGATTATTTAAATCAAATGAGCTCGTGTAGCTGAATTCATATTTATACTTTTAATTATAATAGATGCTTTTAACTTAGTTTAAATAGCTTCTTGGTAGAGCTTAAAATCTGCAGTTTTATCGGCATTGTTGCAGCACATATCTCGCCTTGAAAAAAGCTCAATTGAATTGATTCAATAAATTACTTTATAACTGAGGCTCAAAATACCAAACAGTCCTACATTGTCGGGATCCTTTTGTGCTCAAAATGCTTGTTTCTCGAATTTTCTTTTTAGTTCATCACTTAGCTAATAAATGGAAATAGGCTTAATTCGCTAATTATTAGTAGAAAATTATTATTTGAATTTCTGTTCCTCTCTCTCTCTTTCTATTCTATAAGGATATTGTAAAATTTAGTTTTTCAAATTTTAGATCCCCATATAGTGAAATGATAAAAATAAAATGATAATTAAATATGTCGTCTTCGTCTAGGTATGGCCTCCCGGCCATACAGCCTCGACACATATTTAATTATATCCATCAAGGTTTTTCTAGCCTTGAAACTAATAGCAATGCTATGGTAACCAATTCTGCAGGTTGCAGAGCCTAGCCCCAACCGAACCCAACTTCGAGACTAGTTTTTACCTCGAGGAAAAGGAGGGTTCAGATTTGGAAAGGGCAAGCCCAGCAGAGTCTACAGGGAACACCTAGACCAATCGGACAACTATCTGGCGTGAAACTGGGTGTTTCGTCCCAGGATTTGGACTTAAACCTTTTGCCGACAGGCTACCAGAAATTACATTTTTTAGGGATTTCGGAATGCCAACCTCGTATTCCCCTTAGCCTCAGGAGGCCGCACAAACCCGTAGCCACTCAACACTGGAGCATTTTAAAGAAGCAAGGAGGAGACCGGACGGAAGGAATGTCGCAAAGCGGGTGAATCCCCTAGGGAATCCTCGGTGTTTACGTTAAAATTAAGGGCACAAGCCCGTCTATCTAATAAGATAAAAATAAAATGATGGTTCCGAACGATAAAACATTAGAGCTTCTTTTCAGCTACAATAATATAGTTTTGGATCTTATTGAAAAATCAACTGTTGAGATTCCAACGTCAGAAGATTCAGAAGAGAGCGACCCCTATGACAAAGATTACACTATCGATATCCAGAAATGGAGTGTTGAGTATTCGGATCTGACATCTCAAGTAGAGTCAATCAAGGCTTTATATCCAGACTTTTTTATAGAAAATAATGACCTTGTAATGAATTTAGACTTGCTTCAAGAGCAAAATGTAATTCATATACTCCTTTACTCTGCAGTCATGCTCCAATGGCTTTCTTTGAACCCGACAGTCTTATTTTCTGTAGATGATCTCAACAAAGGCACTGTTTTTGATAAATTTGCTATAAATAGAATGAGGGTAAATCTTGTAATTCTCTCAAGTTGCGAAGGTATTAATTGTTTGACAAATCAAAACCTCAACGATAAAATTAAGACACTCGCAAGAACTTTAGCACTCTATTTCTATATTAGAGCACAAGGTGGCAGTATTACTCTCAATTTAAATTTGTTAGCTCCACTCCTTATCGAGTGAACAAAAAAATTCTGTTCACGAATAGATGGGGTTTTTTTAATATAATTTTATAAAAAATTTTTTTCGAAATTTAAAAAATCCTAATTCGCAATAATTGAAAATCAAATATTAATTTAATTTATGAAATTTATGTTTTAAAACGCAATTTGTTTAAAATTAAACAGAATTAGCTCTAGATTTCATTAGACTAATTATCACTTATATATCAAAAATTTTTTTCTATAAAACAATTTTTCTATAAAAACAATTTTTTGTTCACTCACGGAGGGTGGGTTTTTGGGCAAAAAATATCGATTTTTCCAATGGTTTTGTTCACTCATGGAGGAGGGGGAGTAAGAGATGAAAATTATGAATGAAAAATACGTCAAATTTTTCAAAAGAATGGGAAATTAGAAGCATTTTTAAGAAATCTTTATCACACAAGCATTTGCAAGGAAGTTTATAGAAAAATTATACCTGCTGAAAATGAAAGTGATTTCGAAGCCAAACTTGAAGAACTCTTTAATTATGTGATAGAGAATTCATATTATGCTCACCTTCCAACAGGTCTATATGGGCTCACAGCAATTGGCCGCAAAATATTCATATCATGCGAATACACTCCAGAAAAAGAAGAAGTAAAAGTAGTAGAGGAAGAAAAAAAGAAAGAAAAAGAGGTAAATAAAGAAGAAGCAAAAAATGTGCGTAATGTAGAAGTCCTAAATAATTACTCAGAATATAAATTTAGATTTGGACCTACATTAATTATACTTTTGCACGAAATAGCACATCTTTCTTCTAGATTTTGGGAACAGCAAAATTCTTACTTTAGAATCACACCCAGAGACTACAAAAGCCCATCAGATCCTGAAAGATCATATGGAGAAATAGGAAACTATCTAGAGACACTGCTCTTTGATGATAGGCTGCAAGCTCTTTATAGTGGAGGGGAAGAAGTTTTATTAAAAATTCGTAATTGAAACTTGCCGATTGAGAGGTTTAAGGCTAAATTCCTAAAACAGCAAGAAGATAGCAAAGCAATGGGTGGCAAAGCGTGTATAGTAATTGCCCGAGGATGACGCTATCTTGCGCCATCCTCGGGCAATTCAAAAATGGCCTCACACAGGGAATCGAACCCACGTGTGGGGCCATTTTTGGTATGCGGAGAGCATCAACTTCCACGCACCAAAAATGGCCCCACACGTGGGTTCAATTCCTGTGTGTGGGCTATTTTTTTAAATTGCCAGAGGATGGCGCAAGATAGCGCCATCCTCGGGCAATTACAATATCCTTTCAAGAGGGAATGGACTAGCCAACTGTGTTAAATTCGGGAGATGTGGGATGTCTTATTGAACTTCACGTTCTTAATGTTATAATCGCTAATAATCTAGAATATTGATTAATAGAAATTATCTAAATCCAGTAAGCTTGAGAAGATAATTTTATATGAATACTTTTAATTATAATAGACGCTCTTAACTTAATGTAATAGCTTCTTTGTAGAGCTTAAAGTCTGTAGTCTTATCATCATTGTTGCAGCTCATATCTGGCATTGAAAAACTTTTAATTAGCGTTATAAACAACTTTCTAAGCTCAAAATACCTGAGCTGCTAGCTTATCAACGTATTAAAAGCCCCATTATTATTAAATTATAAAAATAAAATGATGGTTCCGAACGATAAAACATTAGAGCTTCTTTTTAGCTACAATAAAATAGTTAAAGATCTTGTTCAAAAATCAACTGTTGAGGATCCAATGTTTCAGAGGCATGCCATTAACAATGAATACGCTATCGATATCCAGAAATGGAGTGTTGAGTATTCGGATCTGACATCTCAAGTAGAGTCAATCAAGGCTTTATATCCAGACTTTTTTGTAGAAAATAATGACCTTGTAATGAATTTAGACTTGCTTCAAGAGCAAAATGTAGTTTATGTACTCCTTTACTCTGCAGTCATGCTTCAATGGCCTTCTTTGAACCCGACAGTCTTATTTTCTGTAGATGATATCAACAAAGGCACTGTTTTTGGATAAATTTGCTATAAATAGAATGAGATTAAATCTTGCATTTCTATCAAAAAATGAAGGTATTAATTTTTTGATAAATCAAAATACTCACAAGAACATTAGCACTCTATTTCTTGGAGGCCTCAGCAAAGAAGGTATAAGACGTCCCTTGGCCTTTACCTCTACCGAGAAAACGGGAGTTTCGGCCCGGGCTTGATGAACGCTCTGCCACCACACGGGAAACCGTGGAATGCTTCCCCGGACGAAGCAGGGACTTTAAATACCCAGCATAATCTTAATTAATCTTAGCACTTTATTTCTATATTAGGGCACGAGGTGGCAGTATTACTCTCAACTTAAATTTGTTTAGAGATAAAAATTACAAATGAAAAATGCGTAAGATTTTTCAAAAGAATGGGGGATTAGAAGCATTTTTTAGAAATATTTATCACACAAGCATTTGCAAGGAAGTTTATAGAGTTATTATACGTGCTGAAAATGAAAGTGATTTTGAAGCTAAGCTTGCAGAACTATTTGAATATGCAATAGAGAATTCATATTATGTTCACCTTCCAACAGATCTGTATGGGTTCACAGCAATTGGCCACAAAATATTCATATCATGCGAATACACTCCAGAAAAAGAAGAAATAAAAGTAGAAGAGGAAGAAGAAGAAGAAGAAGAGGATGAGGAAGAAGAAGAGGATGAGGATGAAGAAGAAGAGGAAGAGGAAATCGAAAATAAAGAAGAAGCAAAAAATGAATGAGAAGATCAATATAACAACTTAGAATATAAATTTGGATTTGGTCCTACACTGATAATACTTTTGCACGAAATAGCGAACCTTTCTTGTAGATTTTGGGAACAGCAAAATTCTTATTTTAGAATAACACCCAGAGACTACAAAAGCCCGTCAGATCCTGATAGATCATATCGAGAAATAGGAGACTATATCGAGTCGTTACTCTTTGGTGATAGGGTGCAAGGTCTTTATTATAAAGGGGAAGAGATTTTATTATATATTGATAACTGAAACTTGCCAATTAATGAGTTTCGATCTGAATTCCTAAAATGGCAAGAATATAGCAGAGCAAGAGGTTGCAAAGTATACGATCTTTCAAGAGAAAATGGAATAGCCAACTGTGTTAAATTCGGCAGATGTGGAATGTCTAATTGAATTTCATGCTCATAATGCTTAAATTCCTAATAATAAAGGACGTTGATTAATAGAAATTATCTAAATATATAAGTTTAGAGAAGATGAATTTATATGAATACTTTTAATTATAATAGACGCTCCTAACTTCAGTTTAAATAGCTTATTGATGAAGCTTAAAACTTACACTATTATCGTCATTACTACAGCTTATACCTGACCTTGAAGCAAGCTCAATTGGCTCTATAAACAACTTTCTAAGTTGAGGCTCAAATACCTAAGCAGTCTTACATTTTCTGACTCTTCTTGTGCCTAGATTGCTTATTTCTGGAATCTTCTTTTTAGCTCGTCATTAAGCTGATCAAATGGAAATGAGCTTAATTTGTCAATTAATAAGTAGAAATTTTATCATTTTTGAATTGCTGATCCAATCCCTCTTTTGCATAATTATAAAAATAAAATGATGGTTCCAAGCAACGAAGCATTAGAGCTTCTTTTCAGCTACAATAATATAGTTATGGATCTTATTGAAAAATCAACTGTTGAGGACCCCCTGCCAGAAAAAATAAAGCAGAGACATGCCTATTCCAAGCAATACACTATTGATATCCAGAAATGGAGTGTTGAGTATTCGGAGCTGACTTCTCAAGTAGATTCAATCAAGGCCTTATATCCAGACTTTTTTGTAGAAAATAATGACCCCGTAATGAATTTAGACTTGCTTCAAGAGCAAAATGTAGTTCATGTACTCCTTTACTCTGCAGTCATGTTTCAATGGCCTTCTTTGGACCCGGTAGTCTTTTTTTCTGCTGATGATATAAACAAGGGCACTGCTTTTAATAAAACTTCAATAGATAGAATGAAGTTGAATCTTGAAATGCTTTCAAATTACGAATGTATTGATTTTTTGGTAAATCAAAATTTCGATGATGAAATCAAAACACTCCTAAGAACTTTGGCGCTCTATTTCTATATCAGAGCAAATGGTGGCAGCATTACACTCAATTTAAATTGCTTTATAGATAAAAAGTACAAATGAGAAATATGTAAGATTTTTCAAAAGAATGGGAAATTAGAAACGTTTTTAAGAAATCTTTATCACACAAGTGTTTGCAAGGAGGCGTATAAAAGAATTATACTTGCTGAAGATGAAAGCGATTTTGAAGCTAAGCTTGAGCAGCTCTTTGATTATGCGATAGAGCATTCATATTATGCTAACCTTCCAAAAGGTCTTTATGGGCTCACAGCAATTGGTCGCAAAATATTCATATCAAGCGAATACACTCAAAAAAAAGAAGAAGAAACAGAAGAAAAGAAAAAAAATGAGGAAGAGAAAGAGAAAGAGGAAAAAAAAGAAGAAGAAAAAATATTATCTGAATTAGAAGCAAAAGCAAGAGATGTAAATAAAGAGGAAGAATTTGAATTTGGATTTGGACCTACACTGATAATACTTTTGCACGAAATAGCACACCTTGCTTCTAGATTTTGGGCCCAGCAAAATTCTTACTTTATAATAACGCCAAGGGATATCAAAAGCAAATCAGATCCTGAAAGATCATATGGAGAAAGAGGAGACTATCTTGAGACGTTACTTTTTGGCGACAGGCTGCAAGCTCTTTATAGAAGAGGGGAAGAAGTTTTATTAAATATTGAAAACTGAAACGTGCCAATAGATGATTTTCAGTCAGAATTCCTAAATATGCAAGAATTTAGCAAAGCAAATGGTGGCAAAGCATGCATCCTTTCAAGAGGAAATGAAATAACCAACTGTGTAAAATTCGGCAGATGTGGGATGTCTTATTGGACTTCACGTTCGTAAAGCTTAAATTGCTAATAATAAAAAATGTTGATTAATAGAAATTATCTAAAACTAATAAGCTTAAAAATATTTCGAGTCGTTACTCTTTGGTGATAGTTTTTAAGTTCTTTGCAGAGGAGTGGCAAAGGTTATATTAAAAATTGATAACTGAAGCTTGCCAACAGATCTATTTCAATCTCTCTTAAAAAAGAGGCAATAATATAGCAAATCAAGAATTGACAAATTATCGATCCTCTGAATATAAGAAGTAAAAGCAAACTGTGTAAAAATTCGGCAGATGGGATGTCTTATTGAAATTCGCGTTTGCAATGCTTAAATTCTGCTAATAACAGTAAATTTTGATTAATAAATCTATAAATTTTGAGATGATAATTTATATGAATACTTTTAATTAATTAGCTATAATAGACGCTCTTTAACTGCAGAGTAAATAGCTTCTTGGTGGAGCTTAAAGTCCACACTATTTCCGTCACTGCTACAACTCATCCCTGGCCTTGAAACTAGTTCAATTGGCCCAATAAATAGCTTTCTAAGCTGAGGCTCAATATACCTGAACAGGCCTACATTTTCCGGCTCTTCTTGTACCCAAATTGCTTGTTTGGGGAACCCTCTTCTTTTTAGCTCATTATTAAGCTGATCAAATGGAAATGGGCTTAACTCTTCAATTAACAGGATAGAAATTTTATCATTTTGGAATTGCTGAAGTAAATCCAGGTAAATTTTACCATTGCAAATAAATAATTTCTCACTTCCTCCATTCAAATCATTAAAGAAAAATGGCTGAAACTTTGTTCCTGGGGCTAAGCTGTCTATTTCAGATATAGCAAATTTATTTCTTAGGCCACTTTTAGGTGTCCCTAGTATACAAGGGATTCTAAATTTCCTATGTACTTGTTCTCTTAGCAAATGGAAGTAATTTGCTGGGATGACTGAATTTACAACTCTCATATTAAATTGTGTAGATTGGGTATTATTCACAAGCTCTAAAGCTCTTCCTATTCTCGCTGAAGAATGGTCAGGACCCATCCCTTCTTGTCCGTTTGGCAAAAGAACTACAATTCCATTCTGCCTTATTCATCTTGCCTCACCTCCAGCTATAAATAAATCAATCATTGGCTGTGCCATATTAGCAAAATCTCCAAACTGGGCTTCCCATAAAACTAAGTTATTTGGGTCATCCATAGAATATGGGTTAAGCTGATAAAACCTAAATAATCGCATAAAAAAATAAATTTTCGCCATCAAATAGTCATTTTTTTCAGAAAAAATAATAGTCATAGAATATCCTACCTCAAATCCAAGCACTGCAAATTCAGATAATAAGCTGCTCACAGCTCTGAACTTTCCAGGTTTTATGTCTTGGAAAGGAATATGCAGCTTTTCTGTTTCTTGGCAGTAAAACCCTGCATGTCTCTGAGAGAAAGTTCCTCTTATAGTGTCTTCTCCACAGATCCTCACATTAAATCCTTCTTGAAGCAAACTTCCGATTGCCATTGCTTCAGCTGTAGCCCAATCGACTTTATTTTTAGCTAAATTTTCAAGTCTACCTGAGATGTGTCCTTTTGCGATTATTGGGTGAATTTTGAAGTCTTCAGGGACTTTTACGCTGAGTTCAGCAATTTCTTTGAGTTTTTGGGTGTCATAGCCACTTTCAATATGAGTTTTGTTGTGTAGAGGTGTCATGTTTTGCCATGAGCCTCTAAAAGAATCGATAACTCAATTGTTTTCGTATTTTATGACATTTCCTTGAAGACTTTCTTCATATTCTTTTTGCAAATGGTCATCAAGTTGTTTTCTTATCTTATTATAGACAGCTTCTGTAAAAGTTCCTTCATTTATGAGCTCTTCAGCGTACAAAGCTGCAGCTTGCTTTATATTTTTGATGCTTTTATACATAAGTGGGTTAGTAAACGAAGGATTATCGAGTTCATTATGCCCATATTTTCGATACCCAATCAAATCAACTACAAAGTCTTTTTTAAATTTATTTCTATATGATTTTACAGTCATTATGCAAATTCTATAAGCTAATATCTATTTAATAATAGATAGATTTATGAAAAATTTATAAAGAAATGGTATATATAAAATTCCCAGTTTACCCATTTTGCAAGCTTCCTCAGGGCTCAGTACATTTACATGAACTATAGGCGCCCCAATAACTTTATAAACATCTGTGCAGTGTTTAGTCGACCGTAAATTCTCTTCACCAGTAGTGAAGCCAATTTGGTTATTTAAAATCATATGCATAGTTCCATTGATACTAAAATCAGGCAGATTTGCCATTTGAGCTGCTTCATAAATGATTCCTTGTCCTGAAACAGCAGCATCCCCATGATATCATATACCTATTTACTATATCCTTCTGATTTTTCGTTCTCCTTATAAATAGTCTACCATCAGTTAGGATTTTGGTATTTATTGTGATTATCTATATATAAATTTACACAAAAGTTATATTTTCTCCTAATAACTCCCCATTTTTTTTTATTCACCACATCTCACCATAAATGTAAAGCTTCTTTTCCCGAGTCAATTTTTGACCTAGTTTTACCTATGGCCAGAGTCCCTCCAATCTCCAAATGTGCAGGCCTATGTATCATACTAATTTTCATCCCCTTGAATTCTTTTCTCTCAAAAGTTGTTGATATCATTTGTGATACGTCATCAGTAAAATAATAACAAGAATCGTTTAATTCTGGAGGCATTAAAGAATTGCCTTGGATATTCCAAAATACATTCCTCAATGGATAATTCATAAAGCTTGTAAGGAGAGCTAGCTTCCCTCTATGATGAAATGACAAAATAGCTGAAGACTGAGGATGCAAGTTATATTGGGCTTCAATTATCGAAAAAGTCAACGGAATAAAAGATTCCATGCCTTCTCCTGAAAAACGCTTGTATGAGCTGAATTTTTTCTGCATAAACTCTTCAAATGAGTTGCACATCTGAAGCTGCCGAAAAATATTATTCTTTATTATAGAGCTAACACCTCAAGGATTTTTAAATAAATTAAATGATATAGCCCATTTCCGGCTATACCCGATCTTTGCCGGAAAACTCGGGGGGTTGTCTGTGCCACTTCAAGGTGACGAGTCAACTCCCCGAGCTGGCAAATCACTATATGGTGGCTATCTGCCAACTTGGGGAGTTAGCTCGTCACTCAAAATTGACACAGACAACTCCTCGAGTGTCCCGGTAAAGATTGGGTATAGCCCGATCTATAGCCGGGAACGGGCAATAAATGGCCTATTTAGGGATAATTTTTTGTGACGGATTAAGAGGAGTTGTCATGAAGGATTCGTAGTTAGTATTAAGCCAGTCTTTTTCTGCTTGAGTGAATACATGGTCAAATTCTGCTTTTACTGGGCCATTGTACAGATCTTTGCCTGGCCGCTGGTATTTTAGTGGGTTAATTTTTGAATCCTCAGAAAACTTCCTGCTCAAAAATCGCCACATTTATTACCGACAGATTTTTATATTAAACAAAATTCTTTACTGGCTGGCTGACTGTATTTATAAATGAGACCATTTATTTTCTAAAGATTCTTATTAACTTTCATAAAAGTGGTTTCTAATAGACTGGAAAATAGCTTCCTGGTGGGCTTTAAAGTCGCCAGAATTTCCTTCAGAAGAGCAGCTTAATCCTATCCTAGAAATTAAATCAATCCCCCCAAAAAGTTTCCTCAGCTGAGGTTCAATATATCTGAAAACACCAGTGTTTTCAGGCTCTTCTTGGACAAAAATGGCTTTTTCTGGGAACCCTCGTCTGCTGAGTTCTGCATATAATTCATCATATGGGAAAGGAGACAATTCTTCTATCAATAAAATCGAAATTTTGTCCTGCTGGAACTGCTGTAAAAGCTCTACATAAATTTTCCCATTACAAATGAACAATTTGTCGCTTCTCCCACCGTTAATATCTTTAAAGAAAAATGGCTTAAAACTGGTCCCAGGGCCCATAGACTCTAAATCGGAATAAAGAAGTTTGCTTCTTAAGGCACTTTTAGGGGTCCCAAGGACTAATGGTCTTCTGAAGTCTTTTTTGACTTGTTCTCTTAATAGGTGGAAATAATTGGATGGGATAATACAGTTGGCGACTTGTAGGTTAAGCTGTGTGGCTTGAAGGTTGTTGACTAGTTCTAGAAATCGGCCGATTCTAGCTGAAGAGTGGTCAGGTCCTGCTCCTTCTTGGCCATTAGGAAGAAGAAGCACAAGTCCGCTTTGTCGGAGCCATTTGGCTTCACCTGAGGCTATATAAGTATCAATGATTGGCTGGGCCATATTAGCAAAATCTCCATATTGGGCTTCCCAGAGGACTAGATGTTTGGGATCATCTAAAGAGTATCCATACTCAAATCCTAAGACTGCCAGCTCTGATAAAAAGCTGTTTACGACTGTAAATTTGCCTGGCTTTAGCTGTTCAAAAGGAATGAATAGTTTTTCAGTTTCCTGGCAATAATACCCAGCATGTCTTTGAGAATAAGTGCCTCTTACCGTATCTTCTCCACAGATCCTCACATTATACCCTTCTTTTAGCAAGCTTCCAAACGCCATAGCTTCAGCTGTAGCCCAATCTACTTTTCCTTCTGCAAGATTTGCTTTTCTGTTCCCTATATGTCCCTTCACAATCAGTGGGTGTACTTTTATATTTTCTGGGACATTTACAGTCATTTCTGCAATTTCCTTCAATTTTCCTACCTCAACGCCTGTTTCTATATGCCCTTTCTTATGAAATGGAGAAATCCCAGCCCATTGGTCTTTAAAAGAATCCACCTTGATCCAACCTTTTTCGTCCTTTTCCAGCCCCTCAATATTGCTAGCTTCAAATTCTTTATTTAAATGCTCTTCCAGCTGCTTTTTCATTTTTTCATATACTTTTTCATTGATAACCCCTTCATTTATAAGCTGCTCTGCATAATTTGTGGCACAGCCTTTCATTTCTCCTCTGATTACTTTATACATCAGCGGATTTGTAAAGGCAGGCTCGTCTACTTCATTGTGCCCGTATTTACGATAGCCTATTAAGTCAATGGCAAAATCATTTTTAAATAGTTTTCGGTACTCGACAGCTAATTGGGAAGCTTTTACGACCTCTTCAGGACTGTAGGCATTGACACGAAGAATTGGGGCTCCTATGATTTTGAAAATGTCGGTACAGTGTGGGCTGGATCTTCCTAAAGCTTCAGGGGTGGTAAAGCCGACTTGGTTATTTGCGACTATATGGATGCAGCCGTTTACAGAAAATCCTGGCAAATGAGCCATTTGGGTAGTCTCGTAGACAACGCCTTGGCCAGCTAAGGCAGCGTCACCGTGGATCCATAGGTGAAGGGCTTCTTTTCCGGAATCAATTTTGGCTTTGGTTTTTCCGAGACCGACAGCGCCTCCGATTTCTAACTCCCCCCCCCCCCTCCGTGAGCGAACAAAACCATTAGAAAAATCGCCATTTTTTGACCAAAAACCCACCCTCCGTGAGTGAACAAAAATTTTTTTAATAGAAAAAATTTTAATGGAAAAAAATTTTGATATATAAGTGATAATTAGTATAATGAAATCTAGAGCTAATTCTGTTTAATTTTAAACAAATTGCGTTTTAAAACAACATAAATTTTGCAAATTAAATTAATATTTGCTTCCCAATTTTTGCAAATTAGGATTTTTTTAAATTTCGAAAAAAATATTTTTTTATAAAATTTATATATAAATTTTTTTAAAAAAAAAAATTAACCCCCCTCCGTGAGCGAACAAAATTTTTTTGTTCGCTCACGGGGGGGGGGGGGGAGTAAGTGTGAAGGGTTATGAAGCATGCTGATTCTTAGACCTTTGAGCTCTGGCCTTTCTGAAGTGACTGCAATGTGTGTGCTTATGTCATCAGTAAAGTAAAACTCTTTTTCATTTAATTGTTAGTTTATTTTAGCAGCACAACGGAGTCGTGCTTGGATTCTTATGATATTTATATATTGCGGCTCAATTAGCATCGAGCTAAATTGTCAAGCCTTCGACATTTATTTTTAAATATTTAATTGTAAAGGCAAAACTGAATTTCCTTTGATTTTCCAGAATAAATTCCTAATAGGATAATTCATAATGCTAGTCAAGACAGCTAGCTTTCCTCTATGCGCAATTGACATTATTACGTTTGAGTTTGGCTCAGACCCATGCTGAGATTCAAGGACTGAATAAATAGATGGGACCAAGGCTTCTAGGCCTTCTCCAGAATACCGCTTATAAGTGCTGAATTTTTTGTGTACAAAGCGTTCAAAGCTCTCTGCCATCTGAAGAAGACGTAAAGTCTGGATTTTTTGTGAAGCTTTAAAAGGAGACTCCATAAGGTTTTCATAATTAGAAATCAGCCATTCTTTTTCCTCAGAACTACGGACATGGTCAAACTCTACTTGTATAGGGCCACCATAGGCGCTGTGTCCTGGATTAGGGTATTGGAGTGGATTTGTTTTGGGATGTTCTGTGGAAAACCGTCTAATTACATATCTCCACATATTTTATATGTAATTACCTAACTCCCTATTATAAAACATTTTTCAAAAAAATAAGATATACATAATTTGCATAAAGAAATATTTTGGCTGATTGCTATTAGTAAAGGATGCATATAATCATTAGGGTTTTTTATTATTTATCAGGTATATAGGATTTTTATTTCGATTTACTTTTTAAAATTTTTAACTTAAGAAAATCAGTAATGGCTGGCTGGTTTCTAAAAATTTTGAGAAATTTTAATAGACTAAATAGGGGCGAGAGTAAGAAGAATTATATGAGATAATATTGTAATAAAAATGCTAACTCCCTCTTCTGTGAGCGAGCAAGACTATTGGAAAAATATATTTTAAATATAAAGAATTTTTTTCTAATATTAAAATGATAATTCTCAAACTTTAAACATTTGCATTATGAAAATAAATTAAACGAATTTTGGCAAAATTGGAAAAAATTCTAATAACCCCTGAAGGAGGGATTAAAAGTAGCTTTACTGATACTTATGGCTTGTATTTGCGAAGGGAAAGAGCCTAATGAGAATGGGAAATTGAAAAGAGAAGAATCTTGTATGACCCTTATTGAGCACATGCCTAAGATGGACAGGAAGAGATTTGAAGAAACTGTAAGCCTTCGCCCAGATTTAAGAAAACGTGAGCTTCAAGAAAAACTCCTAGAAAAAGCTTTCAATTATTGTATGACACGAATTTCAGACAGCCAAATCAAAGAAATTCTAGAATTTCGCCCTAAAAAGTTCAGAAATTTTTTCGAGCTCGTCCCACTTGAAGTTGAAAATATAAATAATCCTGAAGATTTAGCATTGGATCCAGACTGGAATACAATGAAAAAAGAAATCAGAAGTAGATTAAAAAGGAATAGGGGAAAGCGCTTTACAAATCTCCCTAATGATCTTTAACTTAACATTCTATTATTTATCTTTAATTATACTTGAAGGTTTCCTTTTTTGCCATTTAAAATTCCTTTTATTATCTATATTTCAATAAATTTTATTAGGCTTACTTATCATTATATTTTTCTATTATTCTATATTTCAATTAAGCCCTAGCAAAGTTAAACTCAGCAATGTTGTCTTCTTGCAATTCCTCTTCTTCTGCGTAGTCTTCATCTTCTACCAGTGTTTTTTGATGTGTCATCACATTGGCTTGTTCTTCTTCGTACTCGTCGAGCTGCACCCATTTGCTTCCTAGCCTTGGCGGTCTTACTTTTTTCTTTTCCAGCTCTTCCCAGTCAATTCCTTTAAAGAAAATATGACTTTTTGCCTGAGTCATTGTCGGTCTTTTTGTAGGGTCTTTGTTCATTAATTTTCTCATTAAGTCTTGAGCTTCAGGCTTCACTACTTTTGGGAACTGCAATAAGCCTCTTTTGATATTCCTGAAGAGTTCTTTTATATTATCTGAATAAAAAGGTGGCATTCCTGTTAAAAATTCATATAAAATTGCCCCGATACCATAGACGTCAGCTGATTTTTCTGAGCCTGTTTTACTACACCCTCCCCATAAATTTGGGGAAAAAATCCTGTTTGAATTTAAAGCGGTTAATTTATTAAATTTTATTTGATAATTTTGTTTTAAAAAATTAAAATAATATAAATTGAGCACAATATTTTTAATTTTAATTCATTTTTAATTAAGAATTAATTCAAATTAGTGTGCAAATAATATTCTACTCAAATTTTTCTATTAAATTATTAGGCAAAACTGATTTTATAAATCTGGTTTTACCTATAGAAATCTCATGCTATAAATAAATTAAAGGAGGTTAAAGTACTCAAAAATGAAAATTTTATTCCAATTTAAAAGGGGAGTAAGCATTTCTGGGGCTAGATAAGCAGGTGAGCCACAAAAGGACATGGCAGGGTTAAGTGGGTTGACGTTCTAATATATATTAAAATGGTGTAGCGAACCAACCCACCCTCTTAATTTCTGTAGTTAAAACTCCACAGGGTGTGCAGGGACCTTAAGGAAGGGATGAGTGCGTTCGTAGGTATATCTGTCAGATTTTTTTTGGTGTAGCGGGATGTCATTATAGCTGGCCGCATGCTTTACTCCAATGCCAAACATTCGCCTCAGAGAGGAATGGAGCCCAGAGTTATAAAGGGATCTCCCAGCAGAGCCAGCGGTATGTTTCCTAGCGTAAAACCAGAATTACTGATTTCAATTATGGCCAAGAGTAGACCAGAAAATTCAACCATTTTGACTTTTTCATTGTGGGCAATCTCTTTTAGAGCTGCACGTTGGAAAAACTCATCCAGCTACCAAGAAGCAAGTGTCGCCCTTGTCTGCCAGGCGCATCCTTTATGAGATCGTGTACGAACTGGCGAGATGGTAAAGGCGTGCTACGGGTGGAGGGTATCCTTCAGGAATTACAATGAGCTTCTCTCTAAGTCGAATAAACGTAAACAGGTTGACGTTTTCTTTAGCAAGTCCAAAATCAGCAAGCCTAATATGTCCAGCACGGTCAATTAGAATATTTTCTGGTTTTAAGTCTCTATATACAATATCTAGAGAATGCAAGTACTCTACCGCTAAAATAGTTTCCGCTATATAAAATCGTGCCACGCTTTCTGCAAATCTACTTCTTTCTGATAAATGAGTCATCAGATCTCCATTTGGGCGGTGCTTTCATCTATCTTTTTAATATTTTATTAATAAAATGTTCCAAAGTTTTCCTCAAACAAATTTGCTTACAAAAACACTTTAAAATTCCTAGTAAATGCCTCCAAAAATTATAAAAAATTTAGATCAAAAAAAATTAAAATAAAAAAATATATACCGATTTGGACAATATTCCAAAACCATATACAAATGTTTTGGTGTCTGAAACGCATAGTCCATCGTGATAATAAAAGGGTGGCTTAAATATCTCAAAATTTTGCATTCCCCAACTGCATATTTCAGCTGCTTATGCTTCACTAAAAACTGCTTATTAAGCTGCTTAAGTGCATACACATGCTTTGTATCATTTTTAATGACTTTATAGACTTTCCCAAAGCTTCCGCTTCCCAGCTCTTCTAGTGTAGTAAAACTTTTGAAGTTAATTATTTCATTTGTCGAGCTTGACGAAAAAAGCATATCTTCCCTGGGGCCTAATTCTTCAGTGGTTTGGCCATTTTGGTCTTCATCTTTCATTCCGATTTTGTGCTGCTGGCAATAGTCAATCCCGTCCTGGATTCTTCTGATCCACATATTGGTTAAGTCTTCCATAAGAGTGTAAAACTTAAAATTGCCTGTTTTTGAATGGATAATAAAACAAACAGCGTCTTTATTCCCGTATTGGAGACCTTTGGACACCCTAATGTCCCAAATATCGAGCAGCCTCATTCTATGAGAAGGCTCTTCATTTTTAATAAAATTGTCTTTGTCCATATACACACTAAGATACCCTTGATCTATATCTAGCGACAATAAAACCTGTCTATCATGAATTTGTGTGCTTCCTGTATAGAAGACTTCTCCATTAAACGACGTCATTTCTCCTCTGTGCTCCCCCCTTACCTTTTGCAGCTCTCTTTCTCCCATATATTTCGGTATTATTTCAAAAATTTCATGAGTCGACGCCACCATTAGTGGGATGGCCCTATTGTTGTCTTCAATAGTCATACTTGCATTATTTTCTAATAAAAGCTGCACAATGGGTGCATGGCCTTTTCTGCAAGCTTGGTGTAATGCTGTACCTTTTGTCGCGGTCATTTTATTTATCTGGATTCTTGGGTGTTTAAGTAAAGCTCTTACACATTCAGCATGGCCATGATAAGAAGCTAAAATTAGCGGGGTTCAGTTGTCTAAGGTTTCTCTATTACAATTAGCCCCTCTCGCTACAAAGAGCTGGGCTATGTTAGAATGCCCAAGCTGACATGCGAAATGTAAGCCAGTCCAGCCATCAGCGTTTGGGGTGCTTAATAAGTCTTCTTCTTCATCCATGACATTTCCAGCTTCCTCACGGTCGTATTCTCCTATAAGCTGAAGTAAGCCTGATAAGCTGCCGTCCATGATTTTTGCAATGAGGAGTCCAAGCCAATCTTTGCTTGGAGCTGGCTCTTGTTGATCTTTGAGACCACGCTTGTTTTTGATTCGCTCCCTGGCTGCGAGTTCTTCTTCTCGTTCTGGTCGAATTATATCGACTAATAGGCGGCTTGATTCGTTTATGTCGTAGGACAAAATAGTGTTATCGTCTGATAGCAAAATTTCGTGACCTTCTTTGAGTTGGATTAGGCGAAGTAAGTTTGGTGGCTGATTAAGCATAGGGGAAAGGATTGACTTGACGTGTTGGACACTGTGCTCTGATAGGCAGTCAATTTGGAGGGTGTTTTCTGCAGCTTCTAAGTCTAATACTTTGAAGGTTAGTTGCATATTTATATTAGAAACTATTTATGTTTTAAAGAGGTAATTATTGTCTAGATAAACTATAGATTAGGATGATTTTGCAAACGGGAATGATACCATTATTTAGGAAGTTTAAAGCTTGATTATGTAATTAAGCTGTGAATAAGTTTGGTTAGGTGAAAATTTAAATACCAAGCATTTTTGGCTCATTAAAAAGCTGAAGATTCAGGATTGATCTAGAGAGTAAAATAATTTAATTAAAAAAATTCAATCTACTATAATTTTTTTTATAAAATTTCTGTCGCTTATTTAAAAGACTATGCTTGCGCTGTATTGGTTTTAAGTATCATTACAAGAAATAGATAGATTTCTTGCAGCCATCGAATAACATATGTGAGGCTTGTCTTAGGTGTGTTTAAAAAAGTGTGCGAATTGAAAAACAAAGAATTTTCCTATAGTAAAAATTAAAAATGCTAGTGTTAGTTTGTAATGGTTAAACATCAAGGACCAAAAAATTTATCTATTGCAATGAGTCTGTAATCAAGCATCCTTATAATAAATTTGGTCATTTAGGCTTATTCATAAACACAAAAAATAAACAATCATCTCTATTATTTAGCAATTTTTATATTTTAAAAGCTTTGCTTGGTATCACGAGGAAGACTTTATTTATTGCTGTTATTATATTTTGGCTGATACTCATAGTCATTTTTTTCGTCTTCAGAAGACGAGGAGCATGATGAGTCTTCTGGATTTGTACGCTTTTTTCTATATATGCAGCAAATATTGGATTTTTTCTTATTCATCTCTTCGTTGTCAATGGTGTCTTCAGTAAACATAACGTGCCTTGGAGGAGGTTGCAATCTTACGTTATAAGTATTTTCTGTCTCGACTAGCGATCTTTGTCTTGATTCCATTATATTTTATTTTAGTTTGAGTTTAAGATAACTTTTCAATTCCCGACCTCAGCTTGGACCACAGCGCTGGATAACGGTAGGCGGGTCGACCTAACCGTCGACCTGCTTTTGTCCCCAAGCTCATTAGGCCCTCTCTGATCTACACCAGACTCAGTGTAGACCTATTCTCTTGGGTGAGACTCTTAAGAAATCGTGGACTTCTCTACTGAGCTCGGATGTAGGACCTGAGTCTATCCTCTAATTGGCATTTTTAATTGCTTATATTTTATTAAATTAGTCAAATATTTATCTAAATTATTTAAAATTAAATTTAGAATTACTATATTAATATTTAATTAGAATATTGAGAACCTATTATTATAATAATTATTATAATAATTATTCAAATAATAAAAAAATTATTTTTTCATAGAATTTGCAAGATAACTAAAGGAGATTCATAAAATATTTTTTATATAATTTTTTAAGCTCCATGCTAAAAAATTATATCAATTTATTATTTATAATACACCCTAAGCTGCAGACTGGAGAAAAATGATAATAAATGGATAATAGCTACTCAGCACTTAAATTCCGCAGCTTGTCCCCAGCAGCTCCTATTTCAAAAACCAAGACCAGCAGATTCCCAAAACTCGGCCTACAGAAAACAATGGAAAAAAATTTGACCAATCGCCTGTCTCTTTTCTCTAAAAAATCCTCCTCCAAAGCTCCTCTCAGTGCTCTGACAGCTTCTTCCATAGAGAAAATTCGAAATTCTGAAGAAATGGCTTATCAGCGAAATATTCATAAGCCACGTATAACTGCTCAATCATGAATAGTCCTTGACGGTAAAAAAGGGAAACTTCTTGATGGAAAAGACTTCGAAAACCAAAGAGAAATTGCAAGTTTGACGAAAATTATGACCTGCTATGTGGCTGTTGAAGAAATAAATAGTAGAGGGAAAAGCTTTGAGGAATATGCGACTATTTCAAAAGAAGCTGCTGCGATGACAGGGACTTCAGCATCCTTGCAGGTTGGTGATGAAATTAAATTGTGGGACCTTTTGCATGGATTAATGCTTCCTTCAGGTAATGACGCAGCTATTGTGATTGCTGAGCATATAGGAAGAATTATTGACCCTTTAAGTATCAATCCAATACAAAGTTTTACTAAAAAAATGAATGAAACTTGTAAAGCGCTGAAACTGAATTCTACATATTTTATGCTATAATATTGTTTTTATCAAGAAAAAAATTCTATATTATTTAAAAAATCTGTATAAAGCAGGCTAAATTTCGCAATAAAAAATTTTTATTTAATTTTTAAATAATACGAATCCTCATGGATTATCAAATTCTTTAAATATTTCGACTGCAAAAAATATTGCAATACTATCATATAGTGTTATGAAAGTCAGAGAAATAAAAAAAATTGTACAAACAGAAAGCTATAGATGTATAGTGAAAAATGGGGGAAATGATAGAGAAATTGTGTGGCTTAATACAAATAGGTTGCTGAAATTCGGGTTTTCAGGAATAAAAACTGGGTATACGCCTGGTGCTGGGCCTTGCTTGTGCTGCTATGTAGAAAAAAGAAAGACAAAAAGAATAATTGTGCTGTTGAACTCCGTTTCTATGGAAAGTAGATGGAGTGAAGGGTTGGGATTGTGGAGATGGAGCAGCAAGTATTTTTAACTTAAAAAGCATACTAGAGAGAATTCAGGGCCTAATAATAAATAAATAAATAAATAAATAAATTAACGATATGTATTTAAGGTCCCTTCTTCCATGCGTGACATTCCTCCGCGCTCCGTGAGGAGTCGTGCTGGCACGAGCGAAAAGGATGGACTTCCATCGCTGGTTCTCTGAGCCCAGGCCGAAACCCCTGGTTTCTCGGTAGGGGTTGCCCTATTGGGTCGTCAGCTGACCGTCGCCAAGCACCACCATTTCCAACTCAGCCTTTCGCCCCGAGTTACGCCAGTCTTTGTGTCTCCGGTTGGCCAGATCGTCCATTTAAGGACCCTTTTAACTGGAGAGACCGCCTTTAAGTCGTCTAATCTGCCTCCCCTTTTTACCAGCTTATCCGCTTGATAAAATCCTCAATCGCTTCCGCGATTCGGGGCAGACCACAGTAGCAACTTGAGCAGGTAAGTCGCCCTGCTCCATATCGGGCACCCACTGGCTTGGGCGCTGCTGGAAAAAGGAGATGCTACTAACTGCCCTAAGATCTGGCCACGATCAGACGGGTCTGTGTTCTTCCCTGGTCGCCATCAGGGTCCAGATACTGCTGGGCTAAGTCGCTTCTCCTGAAAACCGTGCCCGGATATACACGGGTTACCGTCACTGGGAGGGACGGGTCGGTCGCCATACGCCATTTTATGTGTATAGGGCCTAATAATAAAAAAGTAATATTATATTCATCTTAAATTGGTATATATAAATAATAATTAATTATTTGCTATTAATCAATATTCCAAAATGGCTCTTTATTTTTGCATGACGTATAGCTATAGTGCTATTTGAGTAAAATAATTTGATAAAAGATTTCATATCTTAATATAGTCTTATTAATAAAATGCATAATAAAGCTGATTAATTTTGATCTTTAAAAAATAGTTCCTACAAGCTGTCTTCATTGCCAAGCCTCTTTCAAGATCTTATCTGTGCTTAAAAGCTTAATTAAGATTATCATTACAAGTTATTATAAAATAAAATCTTAAAGTTGTTGCGCTGTGCTTATCTAAAAATATATTTAAGGAATTTGTCCAAAGTATTAAAAATACTTTCTATGCTTAGGATTGGTCTTCATGATTTGCACTGATGCAAAAAAGCATTATTTTTATTTATATTTGATAGGTTTTCAATCAGAAAAGAGCTATTGTCAAAATTTTATGAAATAGCAATATCTTAATAGAAATCAAGCTAGCATATTAAAAAGTGATCTAAATAATTATTTAAGATAACTCTCCTAGCGAGTAAAATTATTAAAAAAATCAAATTTTTGGGCAAATCATATTAAATTTTAGATAATAAATTTTTATAAATTAAACAAAATGCTTCATTTCAATATTTACAAATTTTATTTTTAAAATCCAAAAACATATTTTAAAATAAAATTTAGCCTCTCTTAGCTAGCAAGAAAAGATTTTTTATACTTTAACCAAGGGCAGATCAAGGCACCACCTGCACTTTAAATTCAACAGATATTTATATTAAATATCTTTTGCATCTAAATCCAGTTTTTTCCTATTTCACTATTATTCTTGCCAACTTTTGATACACCAAACTTCAACTCCTATAATTTTAAATATGAGCTTAGTTGACGCAACTTATGTTGAGCAATTTTCAAACCCCTTTTACAGATTCCACCCGTCCACAATTGAAGAGACACCAAACGGTCTTGCAGTCCTCGGCCACAACTTTGTTGCATCCCTGATTGTAAAATACGACCATCTCGACAAAGCATTAGCAAATGCCCTTTCCTTAAAAATCGACCAAGAAATGAAAAGAGTTTCTGATTCTCTTCACCACAAAGTAATTATTCCTGAGCTCAGTGACAAGTTTGCAATCTCCACTGCTGATGCCCACCATAGACTAAATTTACGTGAAGGAAAAGAGCATTTAACTTTTCCTGAAAGGGCTAGTGTGATTGTACCGATTTCAGACTGCTCCTTAAGAGAAATTGCGAATTACTTTGGGAGGAGGATTTTGGAACAAGTGGGAGTGCAAGAGTTTGTGACGGCAGGGGTCAAGAAGATTAAAGTGGAAATCAATTATAATGAGTCGATGAAGAAAGCTTCTGCCACTTTTGATCTCAGGTCGTAATTAAATTCTATGAATTTTAGAAATTTTTTTATTTGGTTTATGAATAATTGTAAAAACAGATAATAAAATTCAGTCAGAAATTTTAATTGTTTTTTATTGATTGCTTTTTATTGGGAAGAAAATCATAATTCCAAATTTTAAGCTAAAATTAATAAAAGTTCTGTAAAATTTATTTATGATGGCTTAAAGTATCAATTTTTTATCGCATTAAATATTCAGATAAATAATTTTTAAATAGAAATGCATTTTAATTTTTTATTTTAATTGTATTATTGAATTTGTATAAAAATAAGCCAGTTATTTCAATATTTTCTGTTTTTAATAAGCTAACTAAAAATTATATTAATGGATGAATTTATTAGCCAAAGTTTTCAAAATAGAGTCAACGACTATATCCAACAAAAAAGTTTAATAAATGAACAACAAAAAGTAAAGTCTATATAGAACAAAGCTCGAATAATCCTAGAAACCTGTGGATTTGTAAGAGACCCCTCGCGGCCAGCTGTTGATATGTAATTACTATATAGTGGCCCAGTTAAAGTTCTAAGCCAACAAAAATCTTCAAATGTAGCATCCTCAAATGAAGAGCCGCAGGACATTTATTCCTCAATTTGCATAAGATGTCAATCTCAAGATAAATTATTTTACAAAGTTGGACGTTTCGACCATAGTGAAATACCCTGTGGAATATTTTCTTTTACAGTCCTTGAAAAAATTTTATCAAAATCTCCAAATTTTTATTTTTTTTCCTTAAAGGATTGACTTTTATAATTTTTTTATAAAAAATAGTCCATTCATCTTTAGGATTATACATCCCAGTCCCAGAAACAATGGTTTTTAACTGTAATTTTGACTTGCCAATGCTAATTAAAAATAATGGAAACACTTTAGATATAACTCCATATAAGCGTGGACTCAAAGGACTAAAAAAATCAACAGTTTCCATGATGAAACCACATGATATAGAACCCAACAAAGTTTCTTGCCCAAAAGTAATTATCAAATTTCCAGGAAAAATAAAAAGACTAGTAAATAAGCTAAAAGAGTTGCCTGAAAGCTGGCCTGAAACAAATCAAGACGCAGTTATCCAAAGATTTATCAGACCAAAAGGACTTCGAGCTACAAAATACAGAGTCGTTTTAAAAGAAAATTTTAACCCAAAAGTCTATATTTTTACTAATAGAGACCGATTTGACAGCCAAAACGACCCAATTCCTCATCATATAGCAGCCAATTCTCAATTTAATGATACAGAAATCCTGCATGAAATTAAAAGAACTGTAATAGACCACAAGCAAATTTTAAAACTTTTGCATTCAAGTGTGTATAACCCCTATCTAAGGTCTCAATCAGCAGCTAAATTTTTGGATTTAAGCCAAGCTTCCCCTGAGAAAATGAAGGTTTTTGAATTATTTAATAATGATTATGGAGCTGCCCATAAGAAAAAAATTCAAAAATTCAAAAGCATCACAATGACTGCAAGATACACAACAAAAACTGAGCAGAATAAATGCGATATTTATGAAGGAAAAACCCAGAGTTATGTGAAAATCATTGAAATGGCGTTATATATACAAGATAAAATTAATAAATTTGTCCTAAAAGACCGTGCTTTGTGTGAATTTGTTTTGGATTTTCTGCAGGATTATAAAGGAAATTGATATTTTTTGAGGATTGAGTATGGGAAAACTAAAGAAATATCAAGGATGAAATTAAAGCCAAGATTAGGGAGGATTGATTTTAAAAGGCATAGTGATGATAAAGGCGAGATAAAACAGGAATTGTCATATATTGACGATAAAAGATGATTATTTCCAAGGAAAAAAAGCCTAGGAGGAAAGCTGAATTTAAGCCTGATTAACTGAAAATAATGTAAATTTATATAAAAATACATTTAAATAAAAAGATTTGCTTTGGAAAAGCTTCTTTTGCAACGCTTGTGAGAGGAAAGGACTACAACTCTGTTCATGCTATCTAGTGATTCACTTTCTCGTAATAGACTTTCAAAGCCTCCACAAAGAGAAGGAGTTCTTAGCTCAGATACTGATTGCAAAATATTTGCTAACTCCCCATTTAAATTGGAATAAAAAATCCTATTCTAATTTAAAAGGGGGGTTAATTTTTATTTTTCCAAAAAATTTAAATTAAACTCAATATTTTTGAATTTTATTTATTTTTATAAAGAATTAATTAAGAAATCAATAGATACAGTTGAAAAAATATTTAAAATAATATTCTGCTATCCCTTTTTCCCATAAAATTATATTAAAATTTATTTATAAAAACTAGTATTTTTTCTAAAATTTTCCTATTGAAAAAATTGTTCCAAGGGGGAGTGAAAATGAACTTTTAATAGACCTTCTTCTTGATGTCGATATTGATCTTGATACATTTGAATTTACTCTTTGAAGCTTTTTGGATAAAGAAATTTCTTCAGAAACCTGATTTTTGCTTTTTAATTCAGTCACAATTTTACTTAAATCTTTAAGTAAAACAGCTTCTTCAGGTAAAAATTTTTTTAAAAAATTATAAGCCTTTACACATATATTATAGCCATCAAAAAATGATCGCACATAGCATAATTCTTTTCCAATGCAAAATAAAGACAATCCAATTAAAATCACTTTATAAAGCAAGTAATCTTTTGTAAATTCTGACTGGATTCCGAAACGCACTGAAAAAACTTCTAAAGGGCAAGCAGAAATATCAATGACTTCTGATAAGGAGTAGTCAATAATCCATTGTGGGTGTCCAAGCACCCCAACTGAAGACCTAATTTCTATAACTTCTTGCAAATCTCCTTTTTCTAAAAAATTACTAATTGCTGACAGCGCAGGGAACGCTCTTTGAATCATCGCAGTCTTGCTTTGAGGTAATTTTCCTTCAACGCTCTTCACAAGCTGCTTTTTAGCAGCTATTGCTGTATTATTAATTAAAGTCACGGAATGCTTATAAGCAAGTTTTGCCTTAACTAAGGCTTCATTATGTCTATTCTCTTTTGATAAAAGATTTGAAAACTGTAAGCAAAGGGAACTGAGATATTTATCTTTAATCATCAGATTGAAATAAATGGAAATATTAGGAAATGTTTAGAGAAGTTATTAAATTTATTATCCATTGGGCTTCACACGTCGGGACACCAAATCCTATCAATAATAGGGGAATTTAAGAGAAAAATAGCCAAATGGTAGGCGATGACTTTAATCTAATTAATTAAATTAACCATCTGCTCTTCTAGCATAGAACATTTTTGATTGTTAAACATAAGAGAATTTGCACGAAAGTAGCAGGTTTCCAAGCATGTGATGCATTTATCTATAATATTTAATCTACTTGGGCGTTACTTGTGGTAGCATAAGGATAGGTTGTGTAGGATGGCAATTATAAGATCATAATCGAGGACTTGCCCCTGATTTTCTAATGTGTAAAACATTGATTCACAGATTTCAAGACAGTTGATGGAGAGCTTATAGTCTTTAGCTTTTATTCTTTTATAAGCTTCAGTAGTAAACAAATTTGAAACTGATTTAATATCGCAGATGCCCTTGATAACTTCTGCCATTAAGCTGATTATTTTTCTATTAAATTTTCAAATGAACAATCAATTGAATAATGTAGGCTTCTTTATTTAAGAAAATTTGTCGAAATATTCAAATTCGATGGTTTTAATTGTAAAAATGACAGATTCCTTATGAGTTAAAATTTATCTAAGTCCTTTCCATATTTTAAGTGGTATAAAATGCCTCCTAAAGTTGAGACCACAGATGCTCCTAGATACGGTAATTCCTAAGCAGTCTTCTTAAAATCCGTTGGTGGTGAAGTCGGTGCTGCAGCTTCTTTAGCTCCAAAAGTAGGTCCATTAGGTCTATCTCCAAAAAAGATTGGTGATGACATCAAAGCAGCCACAGAAGCATGGAAAGGCATCAAAGTTATGGTTAAGCTCACCATTGTAAACAGACAAGCAACAGTTGAAGTTGTTCCTTCAGCCTCTGCACTTGTGATTAAAGAACTCGCAGAGCCACCAAGAGACAGAAAAAAGACTAAAAATATAAAACACAATGGCAACCTTAGTTGGGATCAAATCAGGAACATCGCAAAAATCATGAGACCAAGATCAGGCGCAAAAACCTTTGAAGGCACCTTAAAAGAAATCGTCGGCACTTGTGTGTCAGTTGGCTGCACCATTGAAAAGAAGACTCCAAAAGAAATCATTGCAATGGTTGAAGGTGGAGAGTTGAACGTTAGCGAACCTTAACTAAAAACTCTTTATTAATCACATTTTTTGCCTGTTATCCCACTAAGGGATTCCAGTCTTACATGGTTAAAATTTTCTTTACGTCGAAAATGTTGGTTAAGTCTGATGCGGATGATCCCTTGTAGGTTGATATTGTTTGCTGGGACTATTTTTGACCTATATAAGTCATCTATATATGATGATCTTGAATAATGGTGGCCTTTAGGTGGTGATTGATCGTGGTTAACTATATTTAGAACGTTTTTAATAGGAGCTCTCAATTCTGAGCGTGTATAAGCGCCTCCTAACTCTTTGTGTTTTTTATAGCTCAAATTGTTCTCGTATCTATCGGTACTACTGCCGCTTTCAAATAGACCATTGAAATCTATGAGTCGGTCCACTGCTAATTGTCCATATAGTCTTCCGTTGTGTTTGCGTGTGGTCACAGCGCCAATTGACTTTGCTTGAGCTTTATAAGGCTTGATATTTTGTAAAAATTCAGTAGGCTGCATAGTTTAAAAAGATTATCAAAATTATTGTTAAAATAATATAGTGAGAGGGCGTTTTATAAGGAGGTCTTCAGTATCAGGGATTATTGAATTTATTGCTGTGCCTGGGACTCCTAAAACTTCTACACTAAGTAAATTTTACTCTTTTCGCTTAAGCCCAACCGTTTTTCCAATACATAATTTTAGATATTTGCAAGGCATGTTTCCAATATTTACCTTACGTGGAGATCCAGCTGCGATGCTTAAGTCTTCGAAAACTGACTAGAAAATACCTTTAACGTAATTAATAGATTCTTCTAGGCTTATGAACACAGAAAGCTTGGCACGTGTTTTTAGATTTAAAAGTAAAGCATGGGCAAAAGCAACGTCTTGAAACTGGATTATTCAAACTCTTGATGAAGTTGTAGGTGCAAGTCAAGCGTCAGGCAAATTTGCCGTTTGATGAGGAGTTATATCAGTAGAATATAGGAGTTTATAGGGTAAAGGATCCATGAGTCAAAATTAATATGACAATTAAAATTTTTGAAAAAATCAAAATTTTGTGTTAAGTTGTAAATAAAAATAATAAGCAGAAATTTTTATAAATTATTTCGCAATTAAAAGATAATCTTTAATAATTATGACGTCAGAAAATTTTAGTATTATAATTGAGGCACCTAATGAGTATTCCAGAAAAATGAATTAATATTTCTCCAACGCAATATATACAATGAAAGAAGAGTTAATCATTACTATAATCTTCTTAAATTTTATCAGAATATTATTAGCTTATGATTGCAATGTTCTTCATTAAAACCCCTAAAAATGGCAATTTTAAATAGATATGCAAAGATATGTGATAGGTTTCTCAATGAAATCTTTACGTTAATCTAATATACACGCTACATTCGCTTTGAAAGCATATATGCCTTCACTTGAAGCATTAAATGACAATTTATTCTAAAGATTTTTCATTGGCAACAAAATTTTTTATAAAAAAAGTTAATATTACATTATTCCTCTGTCAATGCTACTATATCCTTTTTAGTATAATTGTAATCAGTTGCAACCATTTAGTTTTTATGATGGCGCCTCTTCATCTGTTATAATTTTAATTCTGTATACAATTCCACCAATGACGTAGCTCTTTTCTTTTGAGAAATCAAAAGAATAAGTAAGTTTTCTGTAGCTTGTATTTAGATTAGCAGATGAGTTAGTCTCATCTGGCATCTTGTTTGATCGTTTTCGACTTATTCCACAACCCATTTATTAAAATATAATCACATTTTCTATTACTCCATTTCTATGGATTTCTAGAATACTAACAAAAATTTCGAACCAAGGAAAGTAGTGGATAATTGGATTTACTGTCTTTTTGGAAGGCTTATCACGTTTTTAAAGCTATTATTGGTGTGATCGGCACTATGAAAGTTGAAAATATTGAAATTAGCATTATTAAAACACTTAAGAAAATATAGGGATATTTTATAAGAAGAACGAAAAGCAAGTAAATTATATCAAAATTGTTGTGAGAATTAATTTTTGAGATCTCTATGATATTGTTATGACTATTGTACTTTAAAAATACCATTATTCGGAAAATTGATTTTTTTATACAAACAGATATGAGAAAGCGAAAAATTTTTGAATTTTATTGAGTTTAATAAAAGTTGTATGAGCTGATAATTTCTTTTTTAAAGAATTTTATAGAGCTGTAATGCACTTGATCTATTTTAGACATTATTAAAGCTATTTATTATTTCTAATTTAATTTATTATGATAATTCTTATTTCACTGGTTGCATTAATTCAAAAATAATATACTTTTCTCTATCTGGAATAGCTTATGCGTCCATAAAATGCTATCTAATATAGTTGTGGTTAAAATCTTTCTAGCAAATAAAATTTTTATTTAAATTAATTGTATTAATAGGAATTTATTTAATATAATACCTTCATATAGCCAGTAATCATTTTTACCTAAATAATTAATTTAAATAAGAAAAAAGAAATTAAATTCAAAAAGAAAGTCTCTGAATTATTAAAAATTAAAAGTCGTCCTATAGTTTCCATCTCATCAGATTACTATAAAATTTAAATATTAAGCTTGAAATACTTAGCAAAACAGATTTTCTCATAACACAGGAAAATAGAAAAATTAATTTTCGTTATCCGAAAAACTTATGAAATTTGCTCTTTTATATTAATTTCAATATAAAATAATTAAACAGTTACATTGAAAATTAAAAATCTAGAACAGTAGCTATCAGAAATAATTTAGTCTAAATTCTGGCATCACTTACAAAAAACCCTCCATTTTTTTATCGATAACGGTTGCACAAAAACTCAGTAAGACCGACTAAATGAATTAATTAACACAGATTATTTAATTTCATTTAATTAAAGCTTTCCCATCCAAAACCCATAAAACCCAACATTAAGTTTAAAAAAAAATTAAAAATCTCTTAAAATTGTGTATTTAATTAAATAATAAAAATTCTTGCATATAAACAAGCTACTTATATATTTATATGGACATCTGTAATCTTAATTTTCCACTGTTATCGACTCGGGTGGAACAACTTGTATTTTGAAAACTTTGCTTTTCACTTTATAGTGTTTGCCTCCATAGTAGAGAGATTTAGTAAACTCTTTGTCATCTGTTTCAACGATACTTGGCGTCTCGTTTTTGTTGGTTTGCAAAGCCAATTTGTTTCCTTTGACTGGCAATCCGCAACCCATATTTTAATTTTTATAAATGGTCATAATTTTGGTATAGATTTGCATAAAATGCAATTGCCCCACTAATTCTAGCTCAGATAAGGCTCAATAGTGAAATATGAATCAATGCTTCATTTCAGAGAAATATAATCTAACACAATATCTATAGTTAATTTCTGTAAAGCATTTTTTTGTTCCAAACTTATGCGTTTTACTTTTTGTTTACTGAATGTGGCTGATTTTTGAATATAAATAATAAATTAGATAGGGCACAGCTATCATAAATTGTTTAACATATTTCCATAATAATTAACTATAAAGTTTTAAAAGAAAAATATCAATGCATAAAGAAAAGGCATCCGATTTCTTAATGACTCGTCCAGGTATAAATTTATGAATTATCATAGATTCATATCTAAACCACATGATCAGCTTAAAAATATTTACCTTATAGATTGACTAAAAAAAGACCACATGATACTTAATTCGACATTATTCTGGTTTGATCCTTGAAAAATTGGAAAATTCACCTTATAGTTCCCAAAAAACATTATTTTTTATCACAATTATTATAATTCCACAAAAACTTCATATCATACATATTTTAAGGTGTTATTAATCTAATCTAGATATCTTCTTCTTTTATATTTGATGGAATCCTGCTTAAATTCGGAAGCAAAAATGGGATATTATCCATCTCATTTCCCAAAGAAGGCTGAAAAAGATCATAATGACTGATTGCTTTTTCAGACAACTGGTCAGGCATCTCTGTAGCGTCTTTAAGAACGGAATTTAAATTAAGCAGTTCTGGGAGCTTTGGCTCATCTGGCTCCACATTTATTGATGCGACTTCGATTTTGACTTCTTTTTCATTTGCATTAGAAGGAGGAGCAATTTGTAAGATGTCGTCTACATAATAGTTGTAGTCAATTATTTCTGATTCTAATAAGGTCGGTGGAGTAGAAAGGGCAAGGTATTTAGAATTTAGTTTTTTTGGGCTAACTTTTATTAAATCTTGATGTGTCATCAACCAGTTTTGGTAGCTATGCATAAAGTTTTCGTACTTTTTTAGCACAAAATGTTCGAAAACCTGCATATCTTCATTTAAATATCGTTTAGCTGCATAAGCTGAATAAAGAAGCAGCCAATGTAATGGCAGTGAATGATTATTTCAGACAACCTTTTCAAGAAATATTGACCACATAGAGATTTCAAGCTCGTTGAATAAAAATTCTTTGCATGTGTCGCTGAGCATTCTGAGAAGAGGAATATGCCGTCATTCTGAAGGGACTTCTGGCGAGCTCGCTATTCTTCGTAAAAATAATTGAGTTTGTTGGCCTAGTCCATCCTTTGTATAGTGTTCATGCAGCATATCGTACTTTTGAGCCAAAATTTCAGATTCATCTGAAATTTTGCTTCTTTTGGTCGGAATTGGGATGTCAAAATCTTGGAGTTTTTCTTGAGAAGTCATTTAAAAATATGCTTTATAAGTATAGGTGTGCCTTATTTTTGGGATTTTTATTAAAATGTTTATGGATTTTAAAAAGCATATATTCTTTTATATAAAAAATTATCTTTTCCTATACTTTAAATAATGAAAATTTCATATTTAATATAAAAATGATAAAAGGTAATAAAATGATAGCTCATTTATTAGTTTTAATAGTTTAATCTCTTTGCTATCAGAATAAAACTAACGAAATTCGGTTTGTAGTTATATTTTTATAAAGAAAGTTAGATAATTATTAATACAATTTTGTTATATTTTCGGCACTTTTGGGTGCGAATTTTTTGCCTTTATTTCTTCTTGTATTATTCTATAAGGAAATTTCAGCTTTTTTGGCTTTAAAACTATAAATGTGTTTTTCATAAACATACTCGGTATTTCTTTTCCATTTACTAAATAGTCTAAAAAGAATTTTTCTGTATTGCAAGTTTTATATTCTTCTAATAAGCATTCTTTTTTAATATCACTCGGACACTTACATATATTTTTATCTTTGAGTTTGTTTATCGAGCTAATTTTCTGCTTTTTATTAGTGCCTCCATTAAAACTTGTATGAATGTTATTATTTTTTGGGATTTTTTCGTTTAGATAATTGTTTACCTGCGTTGAGGTTGTGTTAAATCTTTTTAGACCTAAGGCATATTGAAAAAATGAGGTTTCAATTACTTCAAGTTTTATTTTTCCTTTGCTGTTTTGTGTATTTGTGATATTCAATCAAGATTGGATAGGCTCATTACTAAGAGAAGTCAATGATTTTGTTATTTGGTTAAATGAAATGCTCAAATATGAAGGGTTAGCTCTTGGATCGGGGACTATTAAAGTGATAGGCAAAGGAGAAGCTGATTTCGACTCAGTTGGAATACCTTTACATAAACACTGAAAATGCCGATTTTCTCCTTTTCTGAATAGCAAATCTGTTCCTGAAGAATATTTTAACTCTGCTGAATCTAAAGATGTGCTTGCAATTACAAGCATTTTTTCAGCGACTTGATTTTGGATTCCAAAATCAATAGAAATTTGTCTATAATTTTGTAATGTTTCTGGAGATTTTAACAAATTCTGACATATTGCGTTGCTTTTTTTTAATTTTTGGTCTTTTATATAGTCATAAATAGTTAAAGCTCTATAAACTCCATCAAATTTTATCCCTCTATAAAGCTTATAAACAGTCTTCAGCCCTTATTTTCTTATTTTCTATATAAAATAGTCACAAAAATCCTCAGTAAAGCCTAGCTTTTTCTTATAAAGTACATATTTTTCATTGAAAAATACTCTATCAGACTTGACACTTTTACTCTAGACGAATTGACAAATAACACAACCTGATACTCCTTTATCAGTGCTTTGATACCTTTAATCGCTTGTCTCCTCATATATAACTTTGCTGGCTCAATGTCTCAAATATTGTGCTTAAACACATCTCCTATAACTCCCTCAAAATTAATAACAATGACGCATTTGTTAGTTGCGTCTAATCTTCTGTGGATTTGGATTCTTTTAGTAGTTTTATGCACTGCTTTGGTTAGTGGGTTTAGCTTTTTTGGGTTCAAAAAGTATAAATCAGGCTCTATTATTAAGTTTTCTGCTGCTGGGCGGAGTTTTTTCCAGGTTATATGAAACTCTTGCCTTGGGCTTTTTACTTCATTTGATAGCAATTCTTCGACTTTTAATATATTTATATGTAAATCCACATTATTTGTAGGGGAAGAGTCGTTTTTTTCAATTATATTTCTGCCCTGGCTACTTTTGACTCTGCCATTTGGGGTTTTCGATCTATTTGATTTTTTGATTTTTGGTAATTTTACTTTCGGGATCCCACAAGCTGGATTTTCGATTAAAAGGGGCAGTAGCTTTTGTTCCCAGCCTAAAGTGCCTTCAAATGAGTCTATGTATGAATTGCATCTTAAAGAATTCATTTATGATTAATCTTACATGATATTACTTATTACGTAATTCATATAAAATAAATTTCATATTTTAATTTATTTAAATAAATTCTTTTAATTTCTTTGCAATTTATTGATTATTTCCTTCAAGATTTCATTCTCTTCTTGTTGGCTATTAATTTTGCGCTCATATTCATCTTTAAAAGTTTCAATGTCGTTTTTCAGCTTATTTATATGCTGATTGAGCTCTTCTTGTATATTTTGATCGTAGTTTCATTGGTCTTGATATGATTTTACCATTTGATTTAGCACTTGATTTTTCTTTTTATATACTTCTAAAGCCTCAAAATTTTCGTTATTTTTGACTTTCAGCTCATGCTCAAGCTCATTTATCCTTTCTTCCTTTTTTATGATCTCATTACTTAGTGCTTCATTTTTCATTTGAAAAATTTTAGCTTTATTTTCTTCTTCAAAAACTTCATTTTCAAGGGATTTTATTAGCTCAATATATTTTCCTTCATCAATTTCTTTCCCGCTCCCAGAATTTTCTCTTAATTGAAATATTTCTTCCTGCAGCTTCAGATTTTTTCTGTTTTCTTCTTCGAGCAGCTTCATTGTAAATTCTAATTTTCTGTTGTTTTCTTCTTGTTTATGATTTGTTTCGAATGCTAAAACCTGGAATTTTTCAATTAAATTGTCATTTTCTTCTTGTTGAGAGTGAATGGTACCTGAGAGTTCTTTTAAGCTGTCAATTATTATTTTCCATTTTTCTTCTTCACTTACTTTTCTTAATGCAAAACAATTTTGTTAAAATATTTTTAAAATTACATTAAATATTTTATTTAAAAGTAATAATCAAAAGTATTATTGGCCATCCATTTTAATTTCAAAAATTAATTTGTACTTGTCAGCTTTTTGAAAAGTAAAAACGAAAATGACAAGTCTCCGTTTATGGTTTTAAGGTACCTAATCAGACTTATACTGTATAAGGCAGGTGCCCTGTACCATATTTTTTCTGGTCAGTATTCTGCTGGGTATAGAGATCTATTAAGGTGCATGAGCTATAGATAAGTTAGTGTTGCTAAATAATGATGATTTGCATCAATAATTGGGATAATCGAGTTTTCCAGCTCTCTGATCAATTCATTTTTCTTCAAAAATTCTCTTTTAATAACTTCCTCAATTTCCACGAGCAATTCTAAATAATTTATAATTTGTTCAGCATATACTTCTTCATTTTCACTGTCTTTTCTTTGCAAATACTCATATAACTCTTTTGCGCTTGCAAAGCACACATATATATTCTTCAAAATTAAATAAATTTTTATTTTTTCCCTTTAAAATTATTAGTCTAATCCAGCTTTATTCAGTATAAGTGACTTTTTCCAAGAATTCTTTTGATTTCTTCCCTTACAGTTTCATCATACTCTATCTCATCCTTTTCATTATTTTCCATATCTTTAATATTCCTTCTCTATAAACTTAATTAAGATTAATGTTTTTTGTCTTTTTTTCCTTCTTTGACTAACAAACTTGTTGTAAGGCTTGCAGATTCAAATGCAGGGTTTGCAATCTGCTCAGATTTTTTATTTTTCTTGCCTTTCTTATCTGAAACCTTTTTAGATGATTTTTCTTTCTTTTCTGAAGAATACTGCCAAATCCCAAGAACAATAGCAAGGATTGCGTAAACTAATGCGGTCCAATAACATAAATTTGCATGAGATGGCTTATCATCCATCTCAATATACTTGTAATCAGAACTAAGAGCAGCTCCAAGTCCGAGTAGAAAAATAGCACCAATTATAGCTGTAACAAGGCAATAAGACCTGCAAAAACCCATTTATTTTGAGCCAAATTAATTATGGATTTAGAAATTACTTATAAAAACTATGCATCAACTCCTTCAACTTTTTTGACCTTAGGAACATAATGAGTGAGCATTTTTTCAATCCCGTTTTTTAATGTGACTGCACTTGAAGGACATCCAGCACAGCTCCCCCTCATTTCTAATGTTACAACACCTGCTTCTTCGTCAAAGCTTAAAAATCGAACATCGCCTCCATCATCTCTTACAAAGGGTTTTACGCGGTACTCTATAATTTCTTTTATCATTGCTAAGTCTTCAGAATCTGTATCATTAATTTTTGTGTCTTCGTCTTGCGGGACATCAGAAATTACAGATTTTCCTGATGAAAAATAATCCATAAGCACTTCAAAAATCAAGGGTTTTAAATTTTCCCAGTTTTTTTCTTGAGATTTACCAATTCCGACATAATCTTTGGAAAGAAATACTCGGCTGACACCTTCAATCTGGAAAAGTTGGACAGCAAGCGGGCAATTTGCTGCTAGGCGGAGAGATGGATAATCAATAGTACCTTCTTCTATTACTGTGCTGCCAGGGTAGAATTGGAGAAAAGCAGGGTTTGGTGATTTTTGTGTTCTAATGAATATTGATCTCCATAATCTAATTCCAAGCATTTTTATATATATTCATTGAAATTTACTTAAGAATTTTCTAAGAAAATTAATTGAATCCTTTAAAACCCTAAAATCAACTGATTTATTATTTTCTATGGTAATTTGCCTTTTGAAAAGCATCTTAACAATTTATTTATTTTTTTTAAAAATCTTTTGTATTCTTATATTCTTATGGAGAAAGCAATTTATTTCTATTTCTTTAGCAGCAGCCTCCTTTTTTCACTTGGCCTTGAGACTCCCCATTTTGACTATTCGGATTATCTCTCACTATAGAAATCGTTCTCGGCTTTTCTACCTGCTGAGTGCTGCTGCTCGGCACACTCCCAACAGTAATTCTATACGCGATATCTTTAAAAAGTTGATCCACTCCGTATTTTGTTTTAGCGCTCGTTTTTCTAAAAATCGCTCCAATTGAATCTGCATATTCTTTTGCTTCAATTAAATCGACTTCTTCTTTGTCAACTAAATCTTCTTTATTCCCTGCAATGGCAATAACTAAATTCCTCGGGCCGAATTCTGCCAGTTCATCCCTTCAATGTTTCATAGCTTCATATGAAGCTCTATTTGTAATATCATAAACTAGAACGGCAGCCGCTGTATCTGCATAATACATCCTTGCTAATGAATGATAATCCTCTATAAATGAATAAAAAAAATTTAATTTTTATTTAATTAAAATATTAACTTACTATAAAAATATATCTTTCTTGCCCTGCAGTATCCCAAATGCTAAATTTAATGCTATGATTTTCTACTTCAATAGCCTTTGACAAAAACGAAGCGCCAATTGTTGGGTCGAGGTTGTTATGAAAAGTATCAGCTACAAACCTTAATACAATGCTTGATTTCCCCACGCCTGAGTCTCCGAGAAGCACCACTTTTACTTGACTGATTTCTTTTTGCATAAAAATTATTTGAATTGTTAAGCATAATTTTATTCGAAGACGATGGTTTTATAAGCTTTTCTAAACTCCTTCGCTCGATGGAAAAATCCCTATTTTTCCCCAAAAACCCACCTTCCGTGTGCGAACAAAAATTTTTTTATGAAAAAAAATTTGATATATAAATAATAATTAGTATAATGAAATCTCTAAATAAATCTATTTAAATTTTGAACCAATTGCATTTTTAAACATAAAATTTGAAAATTAAATATGCATTTGCTTCCCAATTTTTGCTAATTGGGATTTTTTAAATTCGAAAAAAACAATTTTCCACAATAAATTTTTTAAAAAAAAATTAACCCCTACGTTAGTAACAAATTTGTTTTTCGCTTACGAAAGGGGAGTAAGTAAAAAACAGAGGGAAATTCCTTATATTATTTATTAGCAAGAAATGGTATGGACTATATAGGGAGTTGACTTAGTGGCTGGTGGTAAAAAACCTAACCTTAACAGAAGAAAGGTGACAACTACTAACCTTTACTTGAGGCTTCTTTTAAAACTCTACAAGTTTCTTGCTCGCAGAACTGAATCAGGCTTCAACAAAGTGATCGCCAAAAGACTTGCAATGTCAAGACACAATAGACCACCACTTTCATTAAAACACATTGCCAAGTATATGAAAGGAAAGGAATCAAGGACCTGCGTTATTGTTGGCTCAGTTTTAGATGACCCAAGGCTCATTAATGCTCCAGAAAACCTACAGCTTGTCGCTTTAAGAGTCAGCGAAACAGCAAGAGCAAGAATTGAAGCTGCCGGAGGCAAGGTTTTGACCCTCGACCAATTTGCGGTACAGAACCCAACTGGAGCTAATACAGTCCTTTTGAGAGGAAAGAAAACTGCAAGAGAAAGCTACAAGCACTTTGGAAAAGCCCCTGGATCCAAGAATTCTCATGCTAGACCTTATGTGAGAAGCCATGGCAGAAAATTCGAAAAGGCTAGAGGAAGAAGATAACTTAAAATATTTTCTTCGATTTTTAGTGAAATTTTAAATAAAATTAGTAGGGAAGATTTTTATTGGTAAATTTTTATTATTAGGAATATTGCAATGATTATTTAATTAATTTAAAATTTTTATACAATGCTATCACTATCATCAAGCAGACTCTGAGATAAAAATCCTTTTTGGTGAAGCTTTGGATAGTAGCTTCTTTTTGAAATAATAAATCTATGGGCTATTTCTACTTCTGCTAATAGCCTTGGAACATAGCATATCAGTTCTGAGCCCACAGGATAACTTTCTTGCATATTTTGGAAAATCCCGGCTACTCCTTGACCCCAACCGTAGAGCTTTTTAGACTCTGATAAGCAGATGACGTTATATTCTCCACAAATAAAATCGATGATAAATTCATCTAAAATATCAACTGTGACTGGGAATTGGGATGATTTTATATTATTTCCAAGCCCTAGCTGGCCTTGCTCTCCATTCCCCCATGTGAAAAGCTGCCCATACTCACTGAGAGCTGCTGAAAAAATTGATCCAGCCCCAATTTTTATTCTTTTTCCAATAAATTTCTCTTAAAAAATTGATTTATTTATTATTTTAAAAAAACAAATTAAGTCTCTATTTACCAAGCCAAAATTTATAATTTTTTGATTTTTAAGGGCTAGTATTTTTTTGCATGTATTGGCCATGGAGCTATTTTTGACTTCATTTAATGGTAAACCTAGCTGCCCAAACTCTGCCCATCCAAATGAATAAACAGCTCCTGATGAGTCAAGAACCAACGTATGGGCTTCTCCACATGCAATTCCTTTAACCTTTATATCATTTTTAAAAAAATAATCATTCCTCAGTGGTCTTAAAGCAACATACCCAAGCTCATCTTTTGAAAGGGCTCTTGTGCCTATCCCAAGCTGATTAACATCACCTCGTCCCCATACAAAAAGCTCTCCTTCAGAAGAAATGGCTGCATTATGATATGCTCCTGATTCCATATAAACAATAGTTTTATTTGCTAGGTCTGTAATAAGGGTAGGGAATATATAGGAATTTGTGTTCCCGTGGCCTAAACAGCCTGATGCTCCATATCCTCAGCTCATAACAGAGCCTAAAGCAGTGACCAGGCAGCAATGTTCAAAACCGCATGTTATCCAGCTGACAGGGGTTGATATAAAGCTTCCTAATATTTCAGGAGCTAGCAAAGAAGTCAAAACTTGAGGCTTTTCAGACTGAAATGATATAAAAGCTTTGGATTTTCCTTCAATATTAGTGAATTCAAGCTGGGGGACTGATAAAAATCCTGCACAAGTGCATGAGCTAACAATTTCAAGCCTTTTGTACCGGTCGTCTTCGTCTAGCTCACAGATGACGATTTTTTTATAGAGAGGGGAAAAATTGTCAGGAAATTCGATATTTTCGGTTTCTTGGCCAAATGATATTTCTTGTCCAGATAAACGTAAATCGGAATTAGTTAAATTTTTTGGTGGTATTTTTGCAAAAATTGTGGGTTGGAAGCATATTATTTTCAATGAATTAATTTTTATAAAAATAATAGAAAATTCCATTTCTTGGTTATCCTATTTAGTATAAGCCATTTTTCTATGAATCCCTATATTTATATAATAAATATTTATTATTCCTATATCCGCTTTAAAAAGATTTACATACCTTTCATAACCTGCTTTGTCGCCCCACAGTCCTGCAGAAACACTCTATTCGTTATATGTATCGATCCTTCATCAGCAGAAATTGTCGACCCATTGCTTGACGAGCATGATGATCTCAGCGTTGCTGGATTTATTTTTAATCCAGAAAGTGCATATCTAGAATTAAACAAATTTTTCGACATTTCTTCAGAATTTTCTGGTAGTAATTCTGCCATATGTGAAGGCAAATTATTGGACATGTCAGCTTCCTCGCTGCTTGAAATCTGATAACAGTCTTCTTCGCTTATAGAGCTAATCACGTTATTTTTTCGTTTTAAATCAAAATCGGATTCATTAAAATCTTTTTGAAACTCTTCTGATTGGTATAAATTTGATCCGCAGTTGACCGAAAATTTTTCCAAAAACCCTTTAGCTATTTGATTGGTTTTTTTTACTACTACCCCCCCCCCCCCCTCCGTGAGCGAACAAAACCATTAGAAAAATCGCCATTTTTTTGACCAAAAACCCACCCTCCGTGACTGAACAAAAATTTTTTTAATAGAAAAAATTTTAATGGAAAAAAAATTTTGATATATAAGTGATAATTAGTATAATGAAATCTAGAGCTAATTCTGTTTAATTTTAAACAAATTGCGTTTTAAAACACATAAATTTTGCAAATTAAATTAATATTTGCTTCCCAATTTTTGCAAATTAGGATTTTTTTAAATTTCGAAAAAAATATTTTTTATAAAATTTATATATAAATTTTTTTTAAAAAAAAAAATTAACCCCCCTCCGTGAGCGAACAAAATTTTTTTGTTCGCTCACGGAGGGGGGGGGGGGAGTTAGCATTATAAAGGCAATTGTCTCACTAAAATAATTTATGATAAAATAGTGTTTCAGGCGACATTTCCATAAGAAAATTTATTGAGCCAAATTTGATCCGCTGCTTATGCTAGAAATACTACTTCTCGGGTCAATTATTTTTTTTGGATTTTCAAAATCATTAGTCAAATCTATCGTATTTTCTATTGTTTGCACAATATTTGTGCCGGAATAAAACTCAATAGATGACGCAGGAGTTGTATGAGGGTTATATTGAATTATTTCTTGGTCGAAGTTATTAATTTTCCACATATCTTCTTTTTTCGGCAGCTTTATACCAATTTTTTTGGTTGGGGTCGCCGATTCGTTGGAAAATTGATCTGAAAATAATTCCTGGTTGACTTTTTTGGTTTCCTCTGCAAATGTTTCGTCAATTGCAAACAATTGAATATCATTGATGATTTCGTCGTAATTTCCTCTTTTAAAAGGACTTATTGCCTGCAAGTTTTTTAACGTGCTCTTTATATCGACTTCGTCTATAAATGTGCAGTCTTCTTTTGAGATTAAAATTCAGGAGTCAGCCACTCTATAGATAGACCGAGGGTCATTTAAGATGGGGAATCTATAGAGAGGGTCAGACTTAAATTGGGAGTGCCTAGGCTTGTCTGAGTTTCATATTTGCAATGAGACTGGGTGAGGCCCAGAGTAAGAACAAGATTTTTGCAAGATAAATGAAGACTGTGATACAGTTTCAACTGTAGTTGATCTATCTGAGATACGAGAAAGGCGGGTCTTGATAAATTTATCCTGGTCGCTTGAAATCATTATAGATGCCACTTCTTTCATATATTTTTAATTATATATAAAAACCATAGGAGTTAAAGCCAAAATTCAGATTAAGAATAGATTTGATTTAGCATAAAAACAATTATTTTTAATTATGTTTTATAAGGATTCTAACTCCCTTCAGTTAATAAATATCAATGAAGCAGGCATTTTTCAATTGAGCTGTCTCTATTAAAAATAAAGAAAATAGTTTTTAATTTAATTAATAAATTTATTAATTATAATAATTTTTATAAATTTTTGAAAAAACAATAGAACGTCTTAGAAATATCTCTTAATTTTTTTTATTTATTTCAGTAAAGTAAGCAAATCTTTAAGCAGTTTTGCTACGCTCTAGGCCACCTTAAAATAAAAATGGAAATCTATCTAATAAGATAAGCAAAAAATTTATTGTGAAAAATATTTACATTTAATTTATATCGTATCCTTAGGGAGACATTTCTTTATCAAATTCTTTGAAAAGCTCGTCTTCTATTATAGGGTTTGATGATCTTGGTGTTACTAATATTTTGGGCTTTCACTGTGTACTTGAAGTATCTAATTTATTTTGTGATCTTTTTCCATAAATTATTTGGCTTATTTCTTCTAAAAGCTGGTTTTTCAAGCTCGCATCTGATTTTGAAGCGGTAGTACAGGCGCTGGGTGCTTTTGTATGCATGTGGTAGCGCTTTGGCTTTGGCAATAAGAGTTCTGATGGGAGACTAAAATACGAGCTACTGACTTCTGCCATTTATATATTACTTCCATTAGGTAGTAAAAAACAGGAAAAGAAAAAAAGGAAGAGTTTGTTAAGATTCCAGGCAGCTTTATCATTAAAAAAAATTAGCACATTTTTTATATGGTCGACTTTTATATCAGTTCAAATAATAAAAAAATTTATTCTATGCTCAATATGAATGAGAATTTTTATTTAATTAATTGATTAATATTTAATTATTTATATCATAAATATCTTAATAAGCGATCTAAATACTTTAATTTTATAATAATAATCATTACCTATTATCTTGAGTGCTTTATTATGCTATTTAACACAAGCTAAATATATATAATTATCTTATTTGGATACAACCCCTATTATTTTTTTAATTTATTATTTACTTACACCCTTCTTTTTTTAGAATTTTCATTCAAATCCGCCAATAGACTATCATTTAGCTCTTCTTCCTCCTTCACAACAATACTCCTTTCCCCCTCCTTACTTTTTAAATCATTTAAAATCCCTAAAAACTGTGCAGCGAGCTCTAACCCTGTTTCTTCTCTCATCCTTGCCACTTCTACCCTTGTCGTATCTATTTCTACTGAAAGTTCTGTCAAATCAGCAACCCTTTTATTTTGTCTATCAATAACCTCATTTTTAAACCTCACTACCTCCATAGCCTGAACCAAAAAATCCTGCATCCCATCCCCTTTAAAGCTTTTTTCCAGCCTTGCCTTAAACATTGACACAAATAGTTTTGCTGCTTCGTCCATAGGCATATGGAGCTCAATTTCAGCTGAATTTTCTTCTTTATCCTCCCTAAAGAAAAATCGGCACTTATGGGAGGTTTCTTTAAAAGCGCTGCGTAAAATAGTAAAATAATCAGTGCTTATAAGCTGGGAATTACAAGAATTGGTAAAAATGTGGCTTGGGGTGTAAAAGAGAGCGCCATTTATTGAGATATAGAGCTTGCAGAGAGGGAGAGTAGGGTTGTATGTACAAGGGTGCGGGTACCAGTTGCTGATGATCCACATAGGGGTTCCGTCTAGTGTAGATGTATAGATAAAGAAAGAGTCATACGATAGATGGCGAACTAAGTGTATCCGATCTCTTGACGCAATTTTCTCAACCTCATAATTACGAGAATTATGCGAACCAGTCAAGGATCAAGCCTGAATTAGGTTTATTCATATTGGGTAGTTTTGGCTTGGTCCTTGTGGCTGGAAATAGGAAACCCAACAATGTCCATCGGGACGCCAGGGATTAGTTTCGTGATACCAGAAATTGCAACCTGGTCATAGAAGCTAAATCTTTTTCCTGTAGAGGCTGAGGGCAGCTACCAAACTCTCTTTACACTTCGGGTTTTCCTAGATCTATCTACTTCCCAAAGTGCCTGATGCAGGGTCGCAGAAATCCATAGTCTGCCATTTAAGACTGGAACCTTCAAGATAAAGAGGAGAGCACCTCCTTGTGCGCACTCATCATGCCCTGGCAAGAAGACGACTAGAAGAAGCAAGGTAGCTTTGGAGCCCTCGACCAAGCAAATCATCACCTCAATCAACCATTTCGAGGAATGGACGTCACAAAGCGACTTAACCATTCAGGCTCCTTGGCAACTGTACTACTAATGCAGCTCTATCTATTATAGTGAACTACACTGACTGGCACGTGTGGCTTTTGGCTCCAAACTGAGCCAAAAGCACCCCGTGCCAGTCAGTGTAATTAACTATAATTAATATAAAGAAAGAATCTGCGTTCATAAATTGTCAGAAATAAATAATGGGAGTTAAAATATAGGACTTTATATGAAAATTGTGCAGATTTTTAATAAATATTAATTTAACCCTAAATTTATTATTATTATCTACGCTTAGGCTGCTGCTGTTGCTTTGAAATTTGTGGGACTTTGTCAGGATTCATTGATTCAGAAGGTATAGAATGGGCAGGATTTCTCATATATTCTTCATATTGTGTATGGATAAACTGGCATAGCTCAGCAGACGGTACCACAATCGGTGAGCCTACATGTCCATTGCTTAGAGGTAGCACTAAATTGACTTCTCCTAAAATTAATTTAATTGCATCAGTTTCATTAGCAAGCTTTACACACATAATTCTATGGTAGCTTTCTATATTATTTTCTGCAGAAATATCCATAAGAAGCATATTTGCAAGTATAAAACTCCTATAAAGCCAATCCTTAATAATTTTTATTTGAAATTTATAAATAAAAATTTATATTAAAAATTATTATCATTTTAAATAGTATAAACTATCTTTGTCTATAAGAATCATATCTTCAATATTGATCCTGCCTAATTTATTTCTGATTTCTTTGGCAACTAGCTCTTTTAGTCCTTTTTTATATGAGTCTAGCCCTGCTAAAAAGAAATGAAAAGAATTTCTGAGGTTATACCCAATATGTGTAGTATCATCTATAAAATCTTGCCTAGTATAAGAATTTTCTTCATATTCAGCTTTATCATAATTATGGCTTATATCTGACTCCACTATTGGATGATACGCATACTCTAAAAATGTATTTCCTGCATGGTCCATTCCTTCTGTCAGCTGTTTACCTTCAAGATTCGATATAAGAGGCTGTGACGACAAAAAATTAAAAATTTTCCCTTCTTTTTTTAACGCAGAGTTTTGGCTTATATACAAAATTATATGTAAAAATGAAAAATATTTTTAAAAAAAAATAAATAAAAATTCACTATAGAGAAGTATAGTATTTCTTGGCAGTCCAGAGTCTAATACGACTTGCAGCTCTTGGTTTGCACCTTTCATTGTTTCAGCTCCTAAATAGAACCTAGGCCTGTACCACGTATAAATTCCTTCGTCCAGCATATGGCGAATCATCATATGGAATTTTCCAACTTTTTCAGGGATTTTTCGTATCATCGTCCCTGGGTTCATATCAAGCAGCCTTCTATTCTGCAATGATACTGTCAAAATTGGTGGTGACGAATATGATGAATGCGCCGTACTGCAACAGTACAAAGGGTTTGAGGAAAACCGTGAACAGCAATCAGCACATAGATCATTATTACATTCTTTAGGCCGTGTACACTGTAAGCAGAGGCTCGGTGGCTTTAAAAATGGACACGGGATTAAGTGAGAAAGTTTATGAGAAATTAATCTGAATTGCCTTATATATAAAAATATTTTTAAAAAAAAAAAAATTAATATGGTAAATAAAGCTGAAAAGAATAAGAATTGGAAGTAAGGTTGAGCGTTGAAAAAAGTTTGGCATGAGTCAGCTGATGGAAATTCCAAATAAAATTCACGCACAGAGAAGTTATACCTATTTATAATAAAACAATAATTTTTTGTAGTAAATAGAATAATCATGAGATATAGGGATATCACTTAAAGGGCTTTGAGATGCCTCTGCATGGATCATTGAAGCATGAAGCCCAGTTATTGAAGCCGCCAAGTGAATAATTTCAGGTATAACTTGGTGCTTAGGAGGAATCAGAGGCTTTGTTTTTCGCAAGCAAGGGTCTATGATCACAAGGACCCGGTCAGGATTTATTCCACGATTTCGATAGCGCTTCTGCAGCTCTTGAAGATTTTCAGGGAGATTTTCAATTCTAAAACGCAGGTCAGTTTTCTTAATAAGTTCTCTTCTAGAAAGATAGGTGGCTCTGGCGTCTTCCTGGGTTAAAAAAGTTAAATAAATGTATTGAATTCTATGGGTGGAAGGATTGTGCCATACTTGAATCCTATCCCATCTGACTGCATATCCTTCAAAAACTCGGTAAAGCTGGATTTTTCGTAAAGGATCTTTAATATTTTTTTAAAAAATAAATTCGCCTATTTTTTTTGGAGTAAAAAAACCTATTTTATATAGAAAAATATAGCGGAAAATAATAGATTGTGGTATAAACAGACGAAGCGTAAGGGAGCGGTCCATATTTTCTTCGAATTCATATAAGCTTCGTAGCCGGTATCTGAAAAATTGAACTGGCCGATCATGTATGTGGCACGGAACTCGTTGTTGATGCAGCCCACAGCAGATCGAGCACATGAAGTTGGTGCATAAAGAAGATGCAGGATATCGGCATAAGGAAAAATGAGTTTGGCAAAATGTGACACCATGCAGAGCTTCACTGTCTAAAACAGTGTAGATCATTTCTATACCATTTCCTCATAACTATATAAGCTAATTTATATGATTTTATTTATGGAAATTCATAGAGGACTGATATAACAATTTTTGCCTTTCGACTGCTTGTTGAAGCTCTTTGTGGTCCAGCTTACACGTGAGTCCTAAAGCGGCTGCCAGATGTCTGATAATGCTTTCAGGAGCTTGTGAGGCGAAATCGCAGGTGTATGGGAGAAAAATTAAAGCGACCAGCCGCTCAGCTAGCTTATTATCCACAATATGATTGTAAAAGCAAAAAGTGGGCCTCATCAAAGCGCCAATTGCTTTTAAGACGTCATCAGAAGCAATTTTTTTATTCATGTATATCTTATCCATGACTATAGGCTATTTATTAATAAATCAGGCTATTTTTTTTTGGTCGAAAACAGAAAATTTTTGTTTTTTTATGCAATCGAAATAGGCTTAGGAACTATAGCTAATTTCTGGGACAACTTTTCAAGGTAATTTGGTGTTCATCTGTGGAGAGGCGTCATTGACAAGTTGAATTGCAGTTGTCAGCCAAGACGAGGAGGCGAAGCGTTCTAGTGGGGTGTCGCTTAATTTTTCTAATTCTTCTGGGGATAACTTATTGACTACATTTTCTGAGTTGAATGAAAAAAGCTCAAATCTACGAATCAGCTCTTCTCTTGTACCTATGCAGGAAAGACCTAAAGATTGACACCTGGCGCGTGCCCGCCAATATGGTTCTGCTCTAATGCAGCGAGCATCTCTATATTCAAATTCTTCTTTCAATGACAAATTTTTTGCCATTTATTGGATTTGATTATAAACCTATTTACATAAAAGCTTGAGCAATTGTTAGCCCTTTTGAGATAAATAGATAAAAAACGAGGTTATTATGTATGGGCTGCTAGCAGATGACTCAGATGATTTATTATTTATTTTCTCATGTAAAGAAATGGCCCAAGGGCACTTAGATTATTATAGAGTAGTTTCTGGCCAGATGTGTCGGCATTTCATATCTCTTGTTTCACTCCATCCTCTTGCTTGCCAGTCCGATTATTAGGCCTAAAGGATGTTTTGCTCCCTTCGAGGAAAAGCGTGCACTCGCTACCTGAGTTACTGCGTTATATGCCAACGGTGCTGCCCTTTCGAAATTCAATATAGGCTATTAGCCCGAAGGAAACTCGTAGCCCAGGACACAACTCCTGGCATCGCGTTTGGAAATTCCCGATTGACTAAACGAACGCCCTTGGCCTCGCTGGGATATCCCTTTCCAACTTCAAAGTACCATCCTCCTCATGCAAAACCTTGCCCTGAATGTGAGCTTGGCGGTCAGTCCTACACTGCATCCACCAGGCCAACTAAACCCATCTGACATTCTCACCATCGCTGTTCTCCTTTTTACAAAGTCCCCAGACTCCCGTTTGGCTACAGGTGCTAAGAGGGCAGATTGGTTCTTCACGTCATTTTTAACTGTGTGGCCGAAGGCCACAAATCTATATAATAGGATTTTAATATTTTTATTAAATTATGGACGTGTAGACATCATGCAAGATATAGAGCCTCCTCCCACTCTTTCAATAGTAGGGATATCAACATATACGATCTCTCTATCAAGATTCAGCAAGTTTTTAGCTTGCTCTGACATGAAAATCACTTCAGTTTTCAATTTTGGGGAGTACAACGTTTTAAAATTTCCTGCATATTTCACCATATCTTCATATGATAAATCCCAAATTCTATAGTGCCTAAGTGCGTCTTGGACTTTATTTTTATCTGAAATGTCAGTTATTGACTCTATACCTTATAAACTAAAAACAATTTTGATTATAAAAAAATATTTTAATGACAAATCATTGAAATTTGATATAAATTCACTACTGCCATTGTAGGTGTTAATCCTATAAATAGGCCTGTATGGAAAATAGGGAAATTTGTTTTGTCAAATGCCCTGAAGGTTACAGGATTTCATGGAATTTCTCGGTAGTGGTTTAAGCGTGACACAAGCTCGTGTAAAACTCTTTCAGAGGCTCTTTCTGAGGTACACATCAGGATATTGCTACTTAAGTCATCAAAAGTTAAGCACCCTGGGCCTTCTAAAGCTAATTTTCCATGTTCTGGAGCTTCAAAATAAGTCAAATCAATAACGACAGGAAATTCCTGCCTAAATCTCTCAATAAATTCTGGTCTCCTTTCTCGTTGTCTTGAAGGATGCTTAACAGGGTAAAGGACCATTATTTTTTCTTTATATTCAGGAGGCCCTAAAAATGAAATCCAGTCACAAACAAAGCAAGCATCAGGGGCTTTTTCATCAGGATTATGCAATTGAGTTATTTCAATTCCATAGGATTCCACTGTTTGCTTGAAACTTGTGTATTCAGAATCAAAGTTGTTTGTATTAGTATCTTTAAACATAAATTTGTTGTCTGTAGCTGCTTCTTCATTGTGATAGAATTTAGCAGGCTTGATCATAAGAATCTTGCTTGCAAATCTTGAGACCGCTTTCATTATTTTTATCAATAAGTAAATACTTATAATTAAAAAATTGCAAATGCAAAGATCTAATAAAAATGTAGTCTCAACGAAGCAAATTGCTTATCAAAGTCATATCTCAAAGTCTTTACCTATTCCTTTCATTACAAATCAGTTTGGCAAGCATCAAATCTGGTTTGAAAAAATTCTGGATCATAAAACCTATATAAATCAGTTTAGTCCTAAAAGCGTGAGCCATAGTAGATCTAATTCAAATATAGCTCTTACTAATCGCTCTATGTCGAGACTAACAAGTTGTAGCACCCCATGATATAACCATAATAGCTACACTCAAAGAGGAAATTATTCAGTTTTTAAACCTTTTCAAGGCTCTCAAATATAGAGGCTACCTTTGAGTAGCGCTCTAAGCGCCCGAGACTTCCCGACGAAGTCTGGGCGGTGGTTTGACCAGCTGATGTTGGTCAAACCAACATCCAAAATGACAAATTCTTCTCATACAGAAGGTTTGTCAAATTGGATGCTGGTTTGACCAACATCAGCTGGTCAAACCACCGCCCAGACTTCGTCTGGAAGTCTCGGGCGCTTAGAGCGCTACTCAAAGGCAGCCTCTATACCTCTGCATAGAAAAGCTAAAAGCATGGGAGAAGATATGGTGCAACAATTATCAGTGTCTTTTAGAAGATAATAATTAATATTTCTTGACTTTTTTCCTATGCTTTATATACTTTTTACAATGAATAGAAGCATTTTTAGTCTATTTACTATGCAAAATAAGGATAGCGGTTATCAGCAGGCATGCTTCTATTAATTTAAAAAGCTATATGTAAGTTAATACTTAAAGTGGCTTAATTCCCTTGGATAGTAAGTAAAAATCTTAAAGGATTGAATTTTTTTATATATAAAATATAAAAAGGGGTTTTATTTTCCAAATTTTGTAAAGTTCTAATATGAAAAATATAATTTTAAGGATGCAAGCTGTTTAAAATTAATATAAATTTTTATTTATTATAAAGAATTTCTTCTTCTCTGATAATCCTAAAACAGAAATTCTCTAATGGTTTTGCTATCTAACTAAGGGAAGTTAAGAATTTAGTAGAATATTTTATTCATTTTTCAACTCCATAATAATTTTAACGCATAATATGCAACAACATTCTATTTGCTATATCATCAAACTCTCGATTATTTTTTATTTTTCAATTTCCTAATTTTTCAGATTTTTAATACTTCACAATTTATTTTTAAATAAAAACAATTTTTTGACATCACCAAAATATCATATATTACCATATTATTTTCGAGTAATAAAATGGCCGATTTAAGAGATGAACTGGGAGATATAGATGAAGAAAATTACATTTATTTAGATAAAGACGGAAAACCAATGAAACTAATAGAGTTAACTATCCATTGAAACCCAGTCCCAAAAAAATTAATATTAATCACATGTCAAAAAAAGTAATCCTTACAAAGTGCTTCATTATCTTACCTGCGTTTTCGGATAGGTGAAGCTATGGAAAGATATTCAACCTTTGCGGGTCTCACAAATCTTCAAGCAGTAAATCTTGAAATTGATGATTCGCCACTGCCAAGAGTAAGCCGCTATTCAGATTGGCTTAGTTGGGGATTATTTAAAAGATGGAGATCAGCTTACTTGTGACATTTCGTCACTTGATATATGGCTCAACGTCCAAATTGACTGTAAAGAAGCCAATTTGTTGATAAAATTCGATATAAAAGTCCCGCTGGTGACAACTTTTTCAGGGGTTCAAGTATCAATTTTAGAGATTGCGAACAAAATTTTAAGTTTGAGGAATATTCCATTGAAATATGACCAGTCTGAAATAAAAATCCACAAAAGTCGTAATGTGTGTTCAAGTTTAATTATAAATGAAACAATGAGTAAAGACCATGTGCTGGATAACGAAGAGATATTTGGAAATCTCAAGGTAAAAGATTCAGTTGATTACTTACATAGGCACATTATATGCTCTCTAAGAAAAAACTTAGAAGTCCATGTGAACTATGCCAGCCAAACTAACACGAAATCATCTATATCAGAAATAGATGAAGTTAAAGGAATTCTACCAATCAGGCTACTTACGATCGAGCAAAGAAAAGCTTCTTACATAAACGAGTCTTCTTCTCCACATAATAAAGTCGAAGAAGAGTATAAACAAAGTATAGCTTGCATTAGATGCTCTATATTTTAATATTTTTACATATCGTATAACGATTTTGCAGTTTTGTCTTAGTCTTGTCTTTATGAGTAATAATAAATTTATTATGGCAGTGCCTGCACATAAACTTCCTGCCTTATTGCAGAATCCAGTGATTTTTCAGAAGTTCAGCAAAATTTCTTTTATCTATGCGCCTAAGAATTTCGCAAAAAACAATGTAAGGTGGTTTTACAAGAATAATGCTCCATTGCTCAAATATTACAATCCTCATATGAAATTGGAAATACAATTACAAGAAAAAGCAGAGCCTGTACTTCAGGTTTTTGGGATAAATGGGCAAAAAATTGGGGAAATTCCGAATACCAAGAAAAGTGAAGAATTTTTGGCAACTTTGACGAAAATTCATGAAGGAATAAACTAATAGATTTCTTAAGATGGTTAATTTTAGGGTTAATTAAAAAATATGCAAATAAATCAAAATAAATTTAATAATATGCACAAATAATCTTAGGAAAGGCTTTATTTAAACTATCAGCTTAAACTTTCCTGATAAATTTTTATTATTGACTTATTTTCTGTACTCAGTATGTCTCCTCAATATAGTTTTCATCCTTTCATTGAGATCGTTTATTTGGTCTTCAATTTTTTCTGGACTTTCTTCATTTTCCTCTTTTTTGCGATTAAATTCTTCCTCAAGATTTTGCAAGCGGTGCAGTTCTTTTTCAAGGGCTTGACTATATGAAATTTACTTTTTTTCTTCGAGTGCATTATTATTTGTTGTTAGAGAATGGATTATTTCTGCTTTAATCGCTGTTTTTCCTTTAAGTTTAGAAATCTCTTCTTCCAGGTCTAAAACTTTTGACTCTAAATGGCTTACTTTTTTGTTTCCCTTTGATTTTTCTTCATTTATTTCTTTTAATTTCTCACTAAATTTCCCCTCTTTCCCATAATATTCTGTTCACTTATATAGAGTGGAATTCTTTAAATAGAATTTTTAGATTTCAAAAAATCTCAATTCAAGATTAAAAAATTAATTTATAAAATTTATGTTTAGATTCCTAGCTATAGAATTAATAATTAAAGGCTTTATATAAAAATATATATAAAAGATTATTTAAAAAGCAAATTTTTTGCTTGCTCATCAAGGAGTTATTTTCCCGCTTAAATAGGGAGTAAATACTCTTTACATTTCTTTTTTTTCCTTTATTATTAGCTCTTCTAGCTCTGCTTGCCCTCCTTTTAAATTCGTTATTTTTTTCTTAAGCTCTTTACCCTTTGATTTTGTCCTGTCAAGCTTTTCTTCTAACTCTTCATTATATTTCTCTTTCTTTTCTTTTTCTTTTAAATTTTCTCTTAGCTCTTGATTTTCATTGCTAATTTCTTCAATTTTCGCTAAATTTTTTTCTAGCTTTTCTTTATAAATTTGGATTTCCCCTATAGCATTTCCAAATAAAGAAGAATCTGTTTCTCCTTTAGACTCCTCATGGTTTTCTTCTATTTTAGTTTCAAGATTTTCTGCCTGTTTTAATGCTTTTTCAGCATTTTCCATTTCCATTTCTACTGCTTCTTTATGGGTTTCTATATGTTCAGCTTTTATAGAGAGACAAATTTCAGCATTTTTGTCTTTTGATTTTAGAATTTGGTAGCTTGATTCTCTAATAGGAGACTCTATGTAGTCAGCTAAATTTATATTTAACTGAATTATAAAGAAATTATTTGCCATTATTATAAATTGTGTTAAATTCAGCTAAATTCAATATAATATAACTTTTCCTATATCAAAATGTTTTCCATTAGATTCGCCTTCAATTTTCAGCTCAGTTTCTTTTGGTCTATAAACTCCAGTCGCTTTTTTCTTATATAAAGTATTAATAGGCATGATCAATTGTTCATTGATCTCAACCTTTTTCTCTTCAGGGGTCATAGTTATTACACGAGTCTCCACTAAAAATTCCTCTATATAGAAAATTACTTTTCCTTCAAACAACCTTCAGTAAAGTTTCTTTTGGGACAGATAAAATAATGTAATGGACGTGGATTTCATAGCTAAAAGTCTCCCTTATAGTATTAATCCTTTGGAATACCTTAGACATTTATGTTTATTGATCATTGCTATTTGATAACATATAGAAAACAGCTAATAATTTTAGTAAAGTAGAATTATTATATTAATTATTATGGGATGCTGCGAAGGCAGAGGGGGTAATGAAGATATAGAGGACGCGAAAAAGCAGCCGACAATGGACAAGGCAAAGCTAGTGAAAAAAGTCCCTAAAGAGATTGATATTGAAGATATTAATTCTGAAGCATCAGACAATGAAAACCCTCAAATAAACCCCCAAATTGTTAACCAAGATGAAAATACTGTTCAGAACGGCAGAGAAAGATATAAAAATAAAGCAAAGCAAGAGAAGCGGAAAGAAATTGAAGCCAATGGTATAGGTAATTCCGGAAAAAATGAAAATGGAGGTTCAAATAAACTAACTTCCCTGCATTTGTAGGTGAATAGAAGGCTATTTATTTTTTTAACTTTAATTAACAATATCCTTATTCATAAAAATTCAAAAATGTCTTTTAGAATGTAAGCTATTTTGATTTCATTATAATAATTATCACTTATATATCAAAAGTAGTTTAAAAAATTATAATCACTCATAGAGATAGGTTTTTACTAGAACATAATTATTTTTCCAATGATTTTGCCAGCCCACTGAAGGGGAAGGGTAAAATCTGAGGAAATACAACTAATAAAAATTGAAGAAAATAAAGAATTGGAAAAAGAAAATCCTATCCAAAATGAAGTCGTTATAAAAATAGATACTTCGAAAATCATCCAAAGCGATTATAGCCCTCAATTATCTTCAAATAATCATACTAGTCCTCTATCTAAAATTGAACTAATTGAAATTTTTCAAAATTTAGATAAAGGGTATTACAAAAACCCAGAAAATAAAAAATTAATTACACCGGAATTAATTATAAGACTGATAGCTTCACTTAAGGATAGAGACTCAGAAATTATTGAACTTGCTCTTAAAGATTTGCTTGGCTTGCTAAAACTTCCAATTAGTTATGATAGCGGAGAAGTTTTATATGAAGATGATGCTTTATATCAAATAAATTGCCTTCTTCACGATATGGATGAAATGCTAAGATTTTTAGCTTCAAAACTTGTCAGAGAAATGCTGAAACAAAAATCATTAGAAGTAGACATGATTAAAAGATACCAAAAAGGAGCGATAATTGCTGCGTTAGTTCAAGCAAACCCTAATTTTACTAGTCCGAAGTATTTGAAAAGTAATCTTCATACTTTATTTCACTTTGTGTATGATTCAGATCATGAAATTATAGTTACTCCTTTTTACATTTTCATAAAAATGATATTAATTCCAATTTCCCGGTATTAGTTTTTCGATTTTTTCATCCTCAATTTTATCCAGTAAGTTGTCTCATAAAAATTTCTTTAAATGCTTAATAATGTCTTCTTTAAAGTGATTTTTTTTAAATCTTAATATTAAAATTAAATATTTTTTTATAGGGCAAGTCAGCAATCAAGAAATATTGTTTTTCAATAATATGATACACCTTCTAAACCAAACTCAATTGGTAATTTTAACATAGAAAATCCCTAAATTATCCACTCACCCAGACTGAAACTTATATGATCTAAAAATCATGAAATTAATTGAAGACCTCAAAAATGACGCAAAAATAGATTTAAATGAAAGAAAAAGCTTGATTTCCCCTAGACAATCATATTCTTCATTTTCGTCAGAAACTGAGTAAGATTTACTTACTCCCCCCCAAACAAAAAAATTTGTACACTTATGGAGGGGGCTAATTTTTTTATTTAAAAAAATTTATATATAAATTTTATAGAAAATTGTTTTTTTTTTTTCGAAATTTTAAAAAAATCATCCTAATTTGCAAAAATTGGAAAAGCAATAAAATTTATGTTTTTAAAACAAATTTGTTAAATGAAATTAGCTCGAGATTTCATTATACTATTATCACTTATATATAAATTTTTATTTCATAAAAAATTTTTGTTCACTCACGGAGGGTGAGTTTTTGGGCAAAAAATAGGGATTTTTCCAATGGTTTTGCTCACTCACGGAGGGAAGGGGGAAGTTAGTACTATTTTCCCTTTGAATATCTATAAATATTCATTAGAAGACCTTATCGCAGAACTCAATACTCCACGTCGAATTAAATCTACATTATTAAACGAAACATGGGCAGAAGCCCCTACAACTGTAGGCTCCCTTTCAGCTGCCCGAATGGCTGAGCTTTTTGCTGATAAAATCCTGGATGACCCAAAAACAATATCCCTAATAATTCAGACAAATGCTATTGAAAAATTAAGAGAAAATTTAAAAAGCAGGCTCAGAGATAAAAGAGAGTCCGCAATGATTTGCCTTTTGCATATGGTTCAGCCTCAATATCCTGAATTATGCGACTTATTTATGAATGATGAAGGCTTAGCTCTAGCATTTACATTTTTACAGGATAATAAAGAAGGAATGAGGGCAGCTGCAGTTGATATACTAAGAGGGTACTATTTTAATCGTCCAGAAGCTATAGAAAGAATTAGAAAATGTGGGCTTGATTTTGTTGGAGAGATCATATCAGTTTTAACTGGATTAAATAGCCCAAGTAATGTTAGTGTGGTGCTGCTAAATATAAGAGATATGTTTGTTAATGAAGAAGGAGAGACTAATAGAGAAGTTCTTAATCTTTGGAAAAATAAAGGACTTAATGAAGCTTTGGAAAAAATTGATATAGAAAAATTGAAATTAGATGCGGAGTATCCTATGTATGGAAATCAAATAATTGATTCCATAAATACAATGAAAGAAGAACTTTTATCTGAAGACTCATAATCTATATAATTTTTTAAATATTTAAGCTTTACGTGTCATCTTCCACTGCAGCTGTGACAAAAATTGCTCATCAGTTCCGACCCTCTTCACTGATTGTCTCCACTGATTACTAGACCTCCCAGCGCTCCCAAACACCTCAGAGCTTTCAAGGTTTTTCATTTTCGCTACTAATGCACTAGTTTCTTGACTTTTAGGTTTCGCCTGCTTATTGCTGCATTTTTTTTCGTTTTCAGGGTTTTTAAACGCAATTCCTTTCTCCGCAAGGGTCATTTCGAGGCTTTTCAGTTCTTTTTCTCTCATTGAATTTGTCCTTACTTTAATCCTTCCAGTCCCTTTACATTTTCCAGTAAAATTATCAATTTCAGCTCTGGCTGAAACAATGTGCACACTACTGCAAATTTTTTTTAAGTCTTGGTCAGTCATAGTAGAGGATAATCCTTTAAGGTCAAGCTCAATCAGATTATTCTATTTTTTCTGCTAAAAGCATAATTTTTTTTTTTTTTAAAAAAATAATAATAATTGGTAAATAGCATAAGAGATCTTTTGAGAGAACAGGGGTATAATTAGAATAATCCTTGAAGTCTTGAAATGAAGAAACCAGCTCTTTTGCTTTCAAACGCTTTGCTGGTGAACAGTTTGGCATGTTGTGTATTTGTTTTTCCGGCTCAGAGTTTTCGGTTTGTATGGTGACTGGCTCTGAGGACTCGTGAGAAGCCCGCAAGTTCTTATAAAGCTGAGTTTTAGGGTCGTAGCCTTGGCTTTTGTTTAAAGGCGACACACTTTCGGTCCACTTTTCTGTCGCTGAAATAAGCTTTTCGGTTATTTTTTTCTTGGGTGAATAATGTGAATTTCCAAATAAATCAGAATAATTTGCGTCTTTTCTCCTTAAAGAGTCATCAGGTTTTTCAATCTGATCTTTAGGGACCTCTACAACTTTTCTGTCATCAAAAATCGCGCTTGATCTCATTTCTGCTTTTCTTCGTTCAGGCGAAAACCCAATTTGTTCGTTATTTTCCTTCAGAATTTTTGGGTTGTCATAGCTTTTTCTGGTAGTTTCAAAGTGCGAGGAGGCTAGATTTTCTTCTTTTAATTGTTTAACAGTTTTTATTGGGGAGTCATTTCTTTCAGATTTTTTATCGATTTCAATCGCAAGTCCTCCATGGAATTCTTTTGCTTTTCTTTCAGCTGCTGAATCTTCTTTATATCTTGGCTCAAAAAATTCATTTGTTTCTATATGTTCGTTTATTGATTTTTTATAAAAAACAAGAGGCTCACTGCCTAATAAGGATTCTTGGTCTCTTGGCTTGTGTGGGCTAATCCTTGGTGCAGGAATACTGCTTGGGGTAAAAACGCTGCTTTTCATGGTTTGACAAACTCTTGGTCTAGGGCTGACATCAATATCAGCAGGTTTTACTCCTGCTGGGCTCATGGTTCTTGTATCGATTTTTGCAGGTTTTACTTCTTCTTTACAGGTTTTAGCTTGTTCTACACATCCATCTAAGACTTCACTTCTTTGGTTGTATTTTTGATTCGCAAAAGTATTTCTAATAATGCGAGAATTTGGAGATTCTCTTGAGGTATTATTTAAAAAATTTGAGTCTGACTTCCTGAAATTTTGAGGAGTGCGAGTCCTTTGAGATGGAGCAGAAAGGTCATCATTTGTAAATATATGAGAAGAGTTGTAGGCTTGGAGTCGATTTCGAGCTTCAGACATATTTTCGTTAAATTTTAAAGATTCGGTTAAATGATAAATTATGCAAATCCTAATTAAAAAATTCTCAACTGTATTTAAATTGAAATCTTTTTTAATAGAAAATTTTCCTTGCCTTCCTAATTGTTAATGTCTTAAAAATAATATCATTGAGATTACAATGGGTATCTCTGGAGCTTAACTTTTAGAAGAAATTCTCTTTTAAATTAGTATAGTGATCATATATATCGATAATAATATTTAAACTGAAAAATGTTTTCCTATGATGATATAGACGCCCTTCACAAAAAACCTCTTAATTTTTACCAATATAAAATAGACAACACAAATATCCAAGAAAAAATTGATATTTCTATTGAAACTCCTCGATTGCCCAATCCTCCGCCAAAAGAAATCGCAATCCAGCCACAGCTAAAATTCCCAGCATTCAAACCTACAGGGAAAATCAAGAGAAAAAACAATTCTCTCCCCAAAAAATCAAAAAAGCCTAAACTAGCTGCTCCATTAGCTGTAAAAACAGTTCCAGCCGCTTCTTATAATTTTTTAATATCCCAAACACAAATTAACGCGCCATCTCGACAAAGTTCAGGAAAAAGGCTAAGCACAGAGAGCAGGCCAAGCACTTTTAAGTAATTTATATGAAGAGGCCCACTTGTGCAAGCATTTGAATACTTAATTGAAGATAAATCCAAAGAAAAAATTACGATAAATGTGATTGACGTAAAAAATCTTTATGGGAGCCATTTGGTGTCAGGTAAAGTTATAGAGACCGAAATAGAGAAAATAAAGCTAGGGTCTATAATAAGCTTAATACTTGGGCCTGATGTGAATATTGAAGCCAAAATTGTGGTATCAAATCCGATAATTAAAAACTTGAAATATTAAGGTAAAATGCATTTTTCAGTGTTTTTAGTTGTTGAAGTTTCTAAAATAGCCAAAATAATTTTTTTAATTAAAATTTTAATTTTTTGTTATATTCAGCAATGATAAATTGAAATATTATGATTAAATGGGAAATGCTTTAATTATATTGGATGTGACTTGGGGTCTTTTTTTCGTTGCAGCAACTGTAATTTATCTGATCCTTGCTATATATATTTATAAGAAACGAAACATTGGTGAGCTATTTGCGAGGTCTCCTGGGATCCTTATTTTTTCGATAGCTTCAAATTACATTGACACAGTTTCATCAATTACTCTAGGAATTTATGAATTTTTAGGAGAGTCTGACTATGAAATAAACTCAATTCCTGCTTATATTATATATAATATTTCTCATCAAGCTTTATTTGCTTCAAATATTCTGCGGATCTATCGATTAAATTTCCTGCAAATTTTGCAATAAAAATATTTATTTCCCGCAAAAAAAAAAAAGATTTTTACTTAAAAAAAAATTTTTTAATTCATTTTAATGCTTATAAATTTTTACTAGAAAAAATTAGAACAGGCGCTATTGTAACCCATACTAAATACTTAAACAGAAAAGCTAGGCTTACAAGTTGATGAAATATTAAAATGTCTACTCTTTATATAATCCCCGTTTCTAGTATTTTTATAGTTTTAAAAGTTCTTGAGCTTTCTTATAGCATGCAAAATACATTGACTCACAGCCTAAAATCGGAGATTGAGCTTGCTTATTACATTTTCTGATTTTTTACAGCAATAACTGAACAGGTTTTATGTTTTATTTTTATTTATAAAATTCGTAATGTCCAGACAAGTTTTTATATCAAACTTGAGTTGTGTTTGTTTTCATTAATATGGTCAATTGGGATCATTTCTCCATTATGTGATACCTATCCTTTTCATTTGTATACTGTTCCTATCCGCAATTTGATAATGATTTTGGTCACAATTTCGAGCCTATTGCATCAGACTATAATAAATCGGGTGGTTCCTTTGCCTGAATTAATGGACTCAAGGCTTATTATAGAAAATGAGTCTGTGCATCGGCATTTTCGAAGATACATAAATAGGATTAAATGCGAAAAATGAGTTATTTATTTGCTCCCTCTCCGTGGTCGAACAAATAAATTATGTTCGTTCTTAGAGGAGGGTAATTTTTTTAAAAGATTTTATGGTAAATTGTTTTTTTAGAATTTAAAAAAAAACAATTGAAAATTAATTTAATTTATAAAAAAATTTATATTTTTAAAATGCAAGCCACTTAAAACCCATCAGAATTAGCAAGAGATTTCATTATACTAATTATCACTTATATATTTATATATAAAATTATTTTTTTTATAAACAATTTTTATATGAGAAAATTTTTGTTCACTTCGCGGAGGTTTTTTTACCTAAAAATAGGGATTTTCCAATGGCTTTGTTCAATCACGGAGGGAGAGAGAGTTAGACATACTGGTAAAAATAAGTATCTTTAAGCTAAAACCGACAATTCAAGAAGCAAAAATAATTTCTAGGATGCTAATCACAAACCAAATGCTTTTTTCCGAAAACTTGTCAAAAGATATAATGGATGGGCTATCAGATACGACTGAGGTTGAGGAGTCTATATTTGATGAAATCCAAATTTTTATTATAGACCAATTTGATACATGCCACATTATATTAATTTTGATACCATTGGATTCACAGTTTTCCTGAATTTTTATCATTAATATATTCATATAACTTTGAATATGCATAAATCTATCATTCATATAAAACCCTAACGAAAATTCACCATAAATAGCTATAACAAATACTTTTAACCTAATTTATCCTCAACGATATATACATTTACCCAAAATTCAAAAATTCAAGCTGCTATTCAAGCCTAGCCAGAGAAGCTGACGAGCTGCTAGAAATTCTTTAATTTTTTATAATTAAAAATCAATGTAAAATATGGGACAAATTCTTATTGGCTTGAAGCTTTCTTGTGATATTAACATCTTAAAACCAGTCGTACAACCCGCATTGATGCTAACTAAATGTAATTTCTATATAGGGACAAAGGACGAAATCATGAAAATTCTGAAGCGTTTTTGAAAACTTCCTTTTAATCGTGGGTTTTTCTTATCAAAAGGAAGTGTCAAAGTGCTAGCATTAAATACTCCAATGGAAGGCTTGGAGTGCCAGATTTTTAAATGCTTTGCAAGAGGAAGCCCACCGAAACTAAACGCATTAGAGCTTATGAGCGGCATTCTTATATATGGCTCTATAAGTATAGAGCAAAAAGCAAAACTTACGATCAGGCTTTTTGATTTTGATGGAAATGGATCGATATAACTTAATAGAGAAACTTAGCAAAGGGAAATATAAAAAATAAAATTATTATAGTTTATAGGATATGGTTTAACTATTGATGAATGCGCAATGATGTGCACTGCATTTCTAAACGCAATCGGGTGCATGACTTCAGCTCGGATGCCTCCTGTAACAGAAATATATGACATAACTGAAGCAATTTTCGATACAATAGACCAAGACAGTTCTCATGAAATCAGCTATACCGAGCTCGTCGCAATGATCCAAAGCATAAGGGATTTATTTTTTCTGCTTAGAGCTCCTGAAATAAAATCATCGTCTTATCAATTTCAATTACCCCCAGTTGTGTCATTAAAATCTAGAATGGTCCGAAGCTCGACTCCTAATAAAAGAATCAGCATAAAACACAATGATCTTCATTTATACCCATTTACTATGAATTTTTCCTATAAAAAATCATGCTAAATTAGTCTAAAAAATCAATATAAAATAGTATAAAATTAAACACGACTAATAAAAGCCCAAGAATTAAAGTAAAATCTTTCACTGATAGAGAGCTGAATGGAAGCAAAGAAAGGTTTATGTTTGTCAATGGGAATTATATTACAAAGCTATGAGTGACAGAAATTAAAAAAGAATTCATAAGGGTCGAAAACAAAAAAACGAACCTGGTTAACGTTGAAATTTTTGCGCAGCAGCTGAAGCATAACGATTTAACGAAATTTTCGGCAGAAAAATTGAGCAGTTTTACGAATGAAATTGCGAATTTCCAAGAAGTTCTGGAAATATTATGTGAGGGAGCAACGAGAGACCAAATCCATAGGATGCTGAGTTGGGCAGACGAAATTGAGCCTGTAAAAAATGGTGAAATCGTCAGAAGGGACTCCAGAAGAAGACTAACAATCCATTCTGTTAAAAATCTAAAGCAGCTTTTTGATTTTTATGATAAGAAAAAGCTTGGAGAACTTGGTTTAAGAGAAATAAAAGACGCATTCAAGCATATTTTAAATGAAGAACTCATAGAAAGCATTTTTAAAGCACATGACGAAAACGATAATAAGACGATGGATTTCGAAGAATTCGTTAAAATGATGATCCCTACTGATACATTGATTTCGGAAGATATTTATTATAGAATACAAGCTAATTTAGCATAAAATTAACTTGGGGAAATATAGATATTTTTTAAATTTTTTACTAATAGTAAATGTTAAAGTCTGAAAAGTTAATTACTTGCTCCCTCTTTTAGCGAGCAAAACTAGTAGAAAAATCTTTTTTGAGCAAAACCCACCTTATAGGACTAGCAAATTTTTTTAAATTTTTTGTAAACTGTTATTTGGTATGTAAGGCACACTATTATAATAAAATCTCTAGCTAATTCTATTGGAATTTAAATAGCTTGCATTTTATAACATAAATTTTTAATTGAATTAATTTTTACTTACAAATTTTTCGAATTTGGACTGAGGAGAGGGAGCTAAAGAATATTTGATTGAATAAAAGCCATTTTTCATAATGGTGTCTAAGCCTTTAAATAGGAATAATTAACAAACTCTGTATAATCATACATAGGAGTTTTAATTTGAAGTTAAGTAAGCCAGTTGAGATTTATTTATTAACAAAAAAATATGATTAGCTTATGATATTTCGTTAAACTTTGAATCAGCACTTTGTGGAGAAGAAATAAGTTCGCAAAATTATAAAGAAAACACAATAGTTTATAATTACTTTATACCATTCAAATACAATAATTTTTTGTGAAATTATAAACTATCCTCTATTAATTGTAAAATAGGCCTTTGCTTTTTGATTGCAAAAAGTATTCAGTGTTTATAAATGTATATTCTGCTTTCCTTAATATAGTCCAATGGCTGCGGATATATAATGCGAATTACCTTTATTTTATTTTAGCAAACCTAGTACGATTCCTTGGAATTTTTACATGTGAAATCTATTTTTGACTTGTAAGGATCATAAAAAAATTATATAGGCTATTCTTTGAAATTTATTATAGTATATCTTGATATATATTTACATACTCTACTCAACCTCTATATTGCTGTGATCATGATTTTCATTAACCTTTATAACATAAGCAACACCTTGGACGATGAATTTCAGCTCAGGATTGACTATTACCATATTTTGCGACTGCTGAAGTACTGTAGCTCGTCTTACAGGAGTAGTATCGCCTTCACTGACTTCCCCTCCACATGCCAGAAAAACAAGTAAAATTCATTATATAAATAATATTTACATATAATATTTTTATATAAAATATCAGATTTTAATCAAAACTTCATTTAATTTTTTAATTATGCTTTTGAATTATTAATTTGAAAAAAATTGTGAGCTAAAAATTAAAGAGAAATTGTCAGATAGGATGAGAAATTTTTCCTTTTTCGAAATTGCACAGCCCATATATCTTATTGATTATAATTACTCTTGTGTGGATAAATGGACATTTTTCTTTCTAAAGCAACTTAAGCAGCTTATTTCTGTAACTGTTTTAATGTATTCTTCATGGTACTGATGTAAAATAATTTTATTTTTCAACAATCTTGAGCCTATCTTATCTTATTTAATTTATGTCGTTTAACGTCCCACTATGGGTAGCTTTTCCAGAGCTGCCACTACATTTGTCCACGTGTCGGGCCCATGGACCTCTGGATCAATCTACTTTGTTGTGCCAGGGCACGAGCAAATACAGCGTTCCGGCTTCGAAGGGCTGCGTTACCTCGTTTGTTTGACTCAGCTTCTGCACATGTTTCACCCTCCTCAGGTGTGCTCAGAGGGTAAATCTTCGAGCCTCTTGAAGTACTTGGATCAGTACTTCAGGCTTATCCGCCAGATTTAAACTGCTGTTGCTGTATATAGAAATTTCCCTTAAATGGCGCAGTTTGCCCTTGATTTGCCCACTGAAAAAATTTTTTGGTTCGACCAGTACCATATGGTTTGGTCAAACCAAAAAAAAATTTTCAGTGGGCAAACAGTGCCATCTATGGGAAAATTCTATAGAAGTTCTCAGAAGAGCCCAACCCCATAAATAAAATTCCATGAGGGACAGAAATTAGCGGAGCTAATTTCACTCTAATCGAATGCCATTTTATTTATATCTTGAGCCTATCTACTATAGAAGAGCATATTTTTAAATATCCTCTCTTATAAAAAGAAGTAAAAAAGTCTTTATAAATTTATTATACGGTCGCGATACTATAAATAATATATTTTTTATTTCTATTTGCACAAATAAATTCCATTCTTAACCTCAAATAATTTTCTACTTCTCTTTATATTAAAAAATTACTTAGAGCAGCCACACAATTAGCAATAAAAAAACTCTGAAAAACTAAAAATTTCGGTCCCTTTTATCAGAAAAAATCCCAAACAACCAAATTTGAGTAAAAATAACGTTGCGAATATGTTTTGCCTTATAAATTATTGACAATAAAAATAATTCTTTCATTTCTTTATTATCCTCATAAAACTGATAAATCACTACTTTAACTGTAATGGCCGAACAAATCCGCCCCACCTCATCAAAAATCAGGCGTATAGAGCGTGACAGTAAGCCTCGTCCAAGCAAAGAGCTAGCATTTTTATTCCAAAAGCGTAAAAGTAAATCTCGCATTACAAGTCCACTTGGCTCAAACAAGCAAACTCCAGACTCAAGCCGATCTCCATTATTTAGAGTAAATAAAGAGCCTTCTTCACATCCGCCCCCTCGGCAGGATTCTCCTAACTATTCCAGTCTCCTTTCAAAATACCTTGAAAATGCATTAAAAGAAGCATCATCTCGTAAGAATTCCCCACAAGTTGCAGAACGTAAAGACTCTGAGCGAAAAGATGCAAATTCCCCTATATCCTCACGAGTAGAAGCAAAGCCAAGCCACAAGCGTGTGAAGTCTGAAATAGCGAAAATTGAGATTGCGGCTGTTTCTCCACATGTCCCGAAACGTGATATGATAACTCCTAGTAGCATAATTCAAGAGCAGCCGTCGTCAAGAAAACTTTCCCTTGATCAAATTTCTAAGGACTTATTAGATGACTCACAAGAAGAAACTATGAAAAGGACACATAAAAGGAATAACAGTGAGGCAAACTCTGCTATAGTAAATATCCCATCCACAAATAGAAGCTTAGGAAACAGCTTTGAGAAGCAAGAAGCGTCTAAAAAAGAAGCAGAAGAGAAGGAGAGAGAAATGCTGATCCAGAACATTATTTTGAATTTTAGAAAAAAGGGACTCCCACCACCGACTAGTGTGGATTTTTATAGGTTTGGAAAACAGCTGGGGAAAGGAGCGTTTGGGAAGGTGTATTTAGGGCTGCATAGGCTGACGGGGCTGAAAGTGGCTATAAAGACGATTGATAAGTCGTTTATAAAAGATGAAAGGACAAGGAGGAAAGTCTTCCAAGAAGTTTTTGTAATGAAAAGAGTGCACCATCAAAATGTAATTAGACTAATGGAAGTGTTTGAATCAACAAGACATTTAATGATTGTATTAGAATACTCAGGTGGAGGAGACTTGCTGCAATTAGTCAAAAATAGAGGCATTAACATTAACATTAATACGTATATAACAGTTCACGGTAATTTCCACCGAAGGGCCTACCTCCACCCCTAACGCTTCGCTCAACTGCTCACCACCAACTGTCTCGCGGCCTTCAAAGCTTCGCTCCTACAGACGAGGATGTGCATTCGCTACCTGTAGTCGGATGAGTTGTGTCATCTTGCCGTACGCCAACTGAGTTGCCTTTTCCGAATATTCAAAAGGTCGAATTTTCTTGTCGGGCAGTCGACCAAAATGGAAATCCAAAGCTTGGGACGTAACGCCCAGCATCGGCTGGAGAAAAGCCCGATGGACCAAGTAGTAAACCTTGGTGCTACTGAGCCACTCCTTTCTAACCAAATACCATTTCCTCAAGAGGCAAAAACTTGGCCTGGAATGAGCTGCGGTTGGCCAAATTCAATATTGCGCTCCACCAAACCAAGTAAAATCTGGCCGGATATACAATCCGAGCGCCAATCTCCCTTCCACGAGGTCCCCGCCGCACTTTGGGACGTCGGCAACAGGTGTTAAAAAAGGGTTGGTTCACCATTGCCATTTTCATGTATAAGTCAAAAATAGAGGCAGACTTCCAGAAAGCGAGGCAAAAGCTATTTTCGGACAAGTTGTAGACGGGGTTGAAGCCTGCCATAACAAAAACGTTATTCACAGAGATATTAAGCTTGATAATATTCTACTAACCACAGATTTCAACTGTATCAAAATCTGTGACTTTGGAGTCAGCCGAGTCGTCAAACCTGGTGAAAAAATAAACGAGCAATGCGGCACACCTGCTTATCTCGCTCCCGAAATAATCGCAGACAGAGGCTATGAGCCCTTTTACGTCGACATCTGAAGTATGGGTGTCTTGCTCTACGCCATGGTCTGCGGAACAGTCCCATTTAAAGCCAAAACCCTGCCTGATTTACACAAATTAATCCTTAGGTGTAAATATCATATGCCCTCAAATTTATCCCAAGAAATCCAAGACCTCATAAGAAGGATGCTAAATCCTATTCCCCACCAAAGAATCCAGCTCAGTGAAATAAAGCAGCACCCTTGGTTTTCAGCGCCTGACTATGAAAGCTGCTTTGAAGACTCAGCATCACCTAGGTTTACTGGATCATTTGCAGCGAACCCATTACAGAAAACAAATAAAAAGACTATCCTGACCAAGCTGTTTCAGCTGGGATTTCCTACAGATTTTGTAGAACAAAGCATGAAGTATGGAGACATCAATCATGCGACAGCCACCTATCAGCTTTTAGAGTTAAATCAATTGTAGGAATTTGTATAGAATAATTAAACAATTTTATTATTAAAAAATGATATTATAAATAGTTACATTATAGTGATATTTACTAAATTACTTTTTGTGGTGCCTGTATGGTCATGAATGAACCGATATGGGAACACAGTTGATGAATTAAAGACAATAAATCTGTTTTTCAAAAAAGAACTAGGGATTTCTTTGCCGTTTATAGAGTAATTTCTGAGGGCACGCTCGCTGCTGCAGGATGTACTGTCTTTAATAATGCAGTCTTCTTTCATATCAGTCGGGCATCTGCATCTCTGTTTATTCTGTGGGCTTGAGCAAGGACTTTCATAATTTTCTATACAAGATTTATATAAATATTTATTTTTCAAATAAATTTTTTTTTTAATTCTTTATTTATTTGATTAGTCATAATAAATTGCTCATGCTTTTGCTTCTCAGTTGAATATAGTCCATCACTTTTTCTTTATTTACTTCAAATTTCTCTCGTGCAAGGGAAAATTGATAAAAACTTGTTTCTGTGACCTGGAATCTTTGCTGAGGGTTCATTTTTAGCTGCATAAACCCGTCAAATCAGGAGCATTCGTTATCTTCTCCTCGGTTAGAATATGATGAGAGCAAGTCTAAAGAATTTACAATTTCCATAAAAGAACAGCCTGAGAAGCTATGGCTTGCTCTAGGATTAGGGACTAAAAATGTTATTGGTAGAGGCACTGATGAATTTTTATGATTTGGCACCGCTTTAGGCAGAAAATCATACAGGTGGTTGGAATATTTTCTAAATAATAAGTCTTTTCCTGTTGTATTTTCAATTTCTTCATAATCCAAGCTTAAGCTTGACACAATTAATATTTTTTCTAAAGTTTCGTGCTGTAAGCCAAAATCAAGCGCAATTTGTGAGTAGTCTTGGATAGACTCTGAGTATTTTAAATGTCGACGCTGGACTTTTTGGGCTTGTTTAGGGTTTGGGTCTTTTTCAAAATCCTTACTATTTTTCGTCCTGTAGACGCCATCAAAATGAATATTTTTGCTATTGAAAAAATCAATTAGTTTGGAGGTACGGACTCTTGAGGATTGAATGAATAAAACGACTTGGAAATCTTGGCAATAGGCCAAAAAAATTTTTACAGTAATTAATTCTCTGCGAAATTTTTCTAAAAAATATAAATTTATTACATAATAATTTCCCTTATAATAAAAATAGGTAAAAATAATTAACTTGGAAATCTTCAAGCAACTTTTTAACGCCTTTTACAGCTTCTCTTCTCAGGTATAGCTTTAGTGGCCCTTTTTCCCAGATATTTTGTTTAAAAACGTCACCGAAAACCCCTTCGAAGCCTAAGATTACGAGGCATTTTTGGGCCATGTCGAGGCGTCGTTTGAATTGAACCCTCTTCGTCATTTTATAAAAAGGCTTTGTAGCTGGCTTAGCAATAATTTCGTTGTCTGAGCTGGAAGTAGACGGAGGCTCTATGTCCCGTGCCCCGTTTTCAGTGATTTTAATGCTTTTTTGCCTGTTAAGACTTTCAATTGACTTTTTCATCCTTGTTATAGCTTAGGCACGCTTTTAGCGTGCCTTATTTAATAATCCAAATAACTAAACAAAAAGGCACGCTTAAAGTATGCCCGAGCTATAAACATTCAACATTAATGGCATTTCCATAAGTCTTTTTAACACAAGTTTGTAAATCCAGTATTTGGTCCACAAAGACGTCATACTTATTCTGTCTGTTTAATTCTTTTAAATTGCACTTTGGCTTCCCATTAGAAGTTTTTGACCTTTTTGGTGCTTTATGTAGCCTTGGGAGCCGAACTCGCTGAAAATTTGTGTTGGCGTTGGATACTGAAAGAGGGAAGCCTTGTTGCTCAGAAATGGGAATTGCAGCGCTCATGGACTCAATGCATGAGTTACTTTTAAGTGATTTCATTTTATTTGGAAGTAAATTAAGAATCGTTATGAAATTCTTTTTTCTGGATTATGATAATTGAAAAATTATAGAAAATTAAATTGTTTCTGACAGAAAAAAAATTAAAATTAATTATTTGGGCTAGGAAAAGGGCAATAAGCGTAAAAAATTGTTTAATATTCTTCAGCATAGAAAATTTAGAAAAATTATTAAAATCTAAAGGATGTCTTACTCCCCCCATCCTTGATCGAACGATTGACTGTAAAAATTCCTAAAAATTGGGAAAATTAACCCCCATCCTTGATCGAACGATTTTCATATCATGCAATTTTTTTATATATATAAAAATATATTAGTTATCAAAAGCTTGGGAAGATATACATAATGAAGTTGTTTTCAGAGACTTTGAGACGACAGAAAGCTTCGGAATCAACCATCCGAAGTGATTTAGTGATCAACCTAGGTTTAAAAACTCAATAATCTAATAAAATAGAGATTCTTTAAAATTTTTAAAATAAATTTTAATTCAATAAGGAACAAATTTAAATTTATACAGTTTAAAGTAGTAACTAATAAATCAAAATATTAAAAATTGGTATTTTTATGAAATTAATTCAATTTTTTGCTGTAAAAAAAATTATTAAATACTCTTAACACTCTTATTTAAAAGTAAATAAAAAAAAAATATATATATAATTTTTTTTTAACCTCCATCCTTGATCGAACGACGACGAGTCATTCGATCAAGGATGGGTGGGAGTTAGGATATCGAGAAATTAAATAGTCTTAAATTAAAATAAACTGCAGTTATCGCAAAACCGATTGCTTTTGTCTTTTTTCTTATATGTAGTTTTGAACATTCCGTCATCATAATCATACTCTACATAGAGAGCTTTCAAAAGCTCTTCATAAAACTCTTCAAATTCTTGCTGATTTTCTTTTAGCTGTTCTTCTACTTTTCTTAAATGGTCTTTTAGCAGTTTTTCTTTGTCCTGTTTTGATAAACGGATAGCAACTTGTAAATCCACGCTAAATCCATTGCTTTTTTCAGAAACAGTTTCACTGAGAAGGTCTTTTTCTGCTGCTTTTAGATAGTGAGTGACATTTATTATGTCAATAAACTTGACTTGTTTTACTATTGAGCGGTCCTGCCCTACAGTAAGTTTAAGGTCAATTGTCCCTTTAAAATCAAATTTTAAGCTACCTTCGTCGCCTTCTTCTAAAGTAATAGGAGGGCTCGCAGAGTTAACGTGAACTGTGACAGGGCCAAAATCACTTTGAGATTTCAGTACTTTTAGCGTGACTTGGGTCGATGAATCTTCGACTTTTTGCACTTTTTCTAATATACTATGCTAAATTAATTAAAAAGTAGTTTTTCTATAATATTTAAAAAATAATTAAATTAATACAAAATAAAATAAATTCAAAATATCGATGTTTTCACGTAAAATTGACGCTCGTTTGATTTGGTTGTTTTCTTTTTCGTCTTTTTTGGAAATAATGAATTTTGCTGCATTTTTTGAGAAAGTTTTGGTTTTCTTTTTGGAATCAGCTAGGATTAGGATTATTAAAGTCAGGCGTTAGCTATATTGGTGACGCAGTTACCAAAGACCTCCCGTACGGGAGGTTCTACCGCTTTTCGACTCAAGCCCACAGTGTCTATCCCTCTTGCGAGTGCCCTTTCGGTACCTTCTGTTTCCTCCTTGCCTTTTCAGTCTTGAGTGGGCGGCTTATGGATTTTGCGGCTCTGCTAAGGGCGATTGGAGTAGCTTGATTCAAGGATAATTGGAGTCTATCGGATGTCGAAGTGCCTTTCTTCGACAGCTACAGGAAAAAGACTGTTCCCTCTGGCCTAGGCCGAAACCCCCAATTTCTCGGTAGAGGAATCCAAAGGACGCTGTTGAGCACCTCCATTTCGAACCACACGAAAGCAGCCAAAACCTACCCGGATACACACCTCTGGAGCCTGCATTTGATTCTCGGCTCGGAGTCCATCCCAGTTCGCCGTAGCCATAAGGTCTGGACTGCTGCGCAAGAGAGCAGGTTGACACGTGTCGCCATTTTAATGTATATTGGAATCAGCTAGGAGCTTGAGAAGATTTTCTGTTACTTGTTGATTTAGAGATGATCGAGTAAACCAAGGAGAGTCAGGCAAAACGACCCCTGGGTGGATTAAATCGCAGTTTTCAAAAATAATCCTTTTCAGTTCTTCAAGGTCTTCACGCTTGGTCTCCACCATTATTATATATATTTACTTATGAAGAACTGCATTTATATAGCTTTAATTTCTATATTGAAAAAATATAATCATTATTCAGGACGCTGGCTATTATATATTTTTAATTTATATGTAAAATAACGCATTACCATTCTTTACTAAATAAATCTTTATTTCTCAATGATAATTACTTTCCTATTCATTTTTGAGGGATAATAAATTTCCATAAAAAATTTTAACATGCTGAAAACTCCTGAAAGAATTTCTGATAGAAATAAAGATTTCAAAAAAGAAATAGATCTTGCCACACACACAAAAAACCGAGACACTTTTTCTGTGGAGCTTAGAAAATCAAAAAGGCTTGAAAATGTATGAAAACGAAGGGCAAATTTTTTGCCGGAATCACAGATCTCTCCTTTATTGGTTTCTTTATACCCTGATTTAGCCAATCTTAATTTTGACTCAAAATTACGTTTACAAATTTTATTCCAAATAATAGCAGCCCAAAACTCATATGAAGTTATATTAGCAGGATTTAAAGAAATAAGGAAATGCTTATCTATTGAGGACACTTCAGAGCTTTCTAGTATGGTAAATTCCAACTATATTCAATACTTAATCCAATATATTGACCCGAAAATTTTCCCTGAAATCCAATCTGAAGCTATGTGGTGCTTGGCAAACATTTCTTCTGGAGCTCATGAGCTTTGTGAGGAACTAATGAATTTAGGAATAATTAATGCTTGCAAGTCGGTAATAAATCTTGAAAGGCAAGATATAGCTGAAAACGCTGTGTGGTGCTTACCCCCTTGGCTAGCTAATAATTAACACCTTTGGAAATGAGTCAAAATTTTTATATAAAGTGCATTTTTAAAATAATAATGATTATAAAGAGATCTCTGGATAATTCTATTAATTTTGAACAGCTACATTTTTAAGCATTTAATTTTATAAATTAGACTTCTCATTTCAAACATACACCAGTCTGGATTTTTTGGAAATCTGAAGCAAGCCCTTGGTTTACTCATATTTTTTTACTGCTATAGGGATGGAGAGTTAGCAAACCTTGCCGGAGACTGCAAAGAAATTAGAGAGAAACTAATAGAGAATGAGATTGTACAATTTTTAGTGAATTTGATGGAATCTGACTTTGAGATCTCAATTTCTCTAGCAGAAACTACAGCTTGGGCCCTGAACAACATTTTTAAAGGCGATAATCTGAAAATTAAAATGACAAATGATGCTTTACCAATTGTAAAAAAAATGCTAAAATATGGAAATGATAACACAAAGCTGCACTGCCTATATATAGCCCTTTATATTTCCGCCCAAAATGAGTTTCATGTCCAAACCTTAATTAATTCAAATATTTTAAAAAGAATTCTCCCATTTTTTCAGTCAAATATACAGAAAGAGCAGCTTATCGTTACAAAAATCATAGGAAATATAATTTTTGGGGATGACACACATACTCAAACTCTGATAAATTTAGGAATTCTTGATTATTTTCAGAATTTAATGTTGTCAACATCTCCAGAAATTAGGAAAGAAGTGCTATGGGCTCTAACTATCCTCCGTAACCGAAAAAAAAATCATTGGAAAAATCCTTATTTTTGGATAAAAACCCACTTTCCGTGAGTATAATGAAATCTTAGCTAATTCTATTTATTTATAAACAGATTGCATTTTAAAGCATAAGCTTTGCAAATTAAATTAATTTTTACTTCTGATTTCACAAATTTTTTTAAAATTTTGAAAAAAAAATTCTATGAAATTCATATAATCTCTTACGGAGAGGGAAAGTAAGCAATATTACTGCAGGGACGAAGCTTCAGATTGCTTTAGCAGTTGAGCATCCAGTTATTTTGCTTGCAATGCAAGCTTTATATGATGCATCTGCGCCAGTTAAGTTAGAAGCTTCAATTGTGTTCAATAATATTATTCATGCTGGTGCTAAGCCGACTATATTAGGATTAGTCCATAAAAATATTTTACCTCATTTAAGAGATGGGCTTTGCAATGTATATTTTTTACTGTGAAATTGTTTATTTTTTCATTAAAAAGGTGAATTAGAATATTCTTTTTACTCCCTCCGTGAAAGAAGAAAAATCCCTATTTTTTGCCTAAAAACCCTTCCTTTCCGAACAAAAAAATCTTATTAAAAAAAATTTTGATATATAAGTGATAATTATTATAATGAAATCTCTAGCTAATTCTATTTAATTATAAATAGATTGCATTTTAAGCATAAGTTTTGCAAATTAAATAATTATTTACTTTCCAATTTTTGAGAATCAGAATTTTTTAAATTTCGAAAAAAAATTAATCCTCCTCAATAAATGAACAAAATTTTTTTGTTCGCTCACGGAGGGGGAGTTAAGGAAAATAAAAAATCAAATTATATTAAAAAATCTGGTAGAATTTTGTGATGGGCTGCTAAATGTCGGAAAAAGTTTTCTTACTGATGAAGGAATAAATCCAATAGTCAAACCTTTTGATGAGTCTGGCTGCCTAACAGCTTTAGAAAAATCGCAAGTTATTGCAGGTCAGCAAACATATTCTATAATTGAACGCATTCTTGGTAATTATTTTGGCTTTGAAGAGGGCGAATATGATGAAAACGAGGATATGCAAAAAATCCCTGAAGATGGATTTATAATTTAATTTGATGTATTAAAAGCCATTTTTATTTATTCATGATATTGTCTTTTAAACTTTCATCTGTCGAAAGCTCACGACCAAGTGTTCTTGGTGTTGAATCTGCCTTTAAAAAGGCTGGGATGTTCTCTTTAGATGCATTTAAGGCTGGTTTTTCTGATTGGGAAGATTTAGTTTGGCCTTGCCCTTGAAAATCTGATGTTTTGGATATAGGAATATTTTTCTTTGAGTTCCAGTAGCTGCTCGGACGATAAAATTGATAGCCAATTAATAATGCTGCGAGTCCACCAATCGCCCAGAAATTATTATATCCTTTAGTTAGACCCATTTTTATTGATAAGTAAAATTTCTTGGCTTATATGAAATTAAGATTTATTCCAAAAAAACAGAAATCTTAGCTATAAGAATTTTATTGATGATCTGAGCCCTTTTTTTGATGAATAAATCAATTTTACTTGTAATCTATTTGTCTTTAATCTATTAAGTTACTATAAAATAATCTAAAAATTATACATAATTCATAAAATAGCTCTTTATTCTTCCACAAAATTATTAAATTATTTATTCATTTTTATTCGCTATTTTCAGCCCTTCCCAAATTAATAGAAAAAGAGCATCAACAAATTGATAAAATAAAAACTCTTTGAATAACCCTAATAACTATTTATTCAGAAACCACATAAAAATACTGCGAAATTCAAAAGCTCCTGATAGCAGCAGAATTATGCTTCGAAAAGACTTTTTCTTGTGATGATGGGCAAGGTAAAATAATGTTCATAAATTATGGAAAAAGTGATATTAAGCCAAGTTGACGGTAGAGATATTGAAGACGTCGATGAGCTGATTTTAGATGCATGGCACGGCTCAGAAATTTCTTCTGAAGAGAAAAAACTGATTGAGGAATACTCCAACCTTGATTTTTTGAGTTTCACAGGCTGTGGTTTGGATTCTCTGGCCAATTTTCCTTATCTCCCAAGTCTCCTTAAGCTTGAACTTGCAGAGAATAATATCAAGAACGGCTTAGAAAACCTAACACAATTAACCGAATTGATCCAACTTTCCTTAGCAGGCAATCAAATTTTAAGCTTTGAAGATTTAAAGCCTCTTGCCAAGCTTCCTAAACTTCTTTGTTTAGAACTCTTTGGCTGCCCCATTGCAGAGGTTGAAGATTACAGTAAAAGCATCTTTGAATTGATGCCAGGTCTCCAAGTTTTAGATGGCTGCGATATAAATGGCAATGAAGTCTCCTTGTGCAGCAATGAAGACGAAGATGAAGATATCGACGAGGACGAGCTTGCACAAATTTTAAATAATGAAAGCAGCGAACTTGAAGAAGAAGAAGAGGAAGAAGAGGAAGAAGAAGTAGAAAGTGAAGAAGAAAGCGAAGAAGAAGAGGAAGAGCTGCCGAAAAAAAGGCCTGGGAATAAAAACCATAGCGATGAAGATGTCAGGAATAATAAAAAACACAAGTAAAAAATATTTATAAAATTACTTATCCCTGGATTTTTCTATACTTCTTAGTTTTTCCTTTTCGAAATCCATATCGAACTTGTCGTAAGTTTTTGGCTTATCTTGATTTTTGAACGCAAAATAGATAGCAGCTAGGCCAGTCCATATAACGAGCATATACTCAAAAACGTTATTGTCATAAAAATATTTGAAAAATTCAAGGTACCTTACCTGGATTCCAAAGGCTAAACATAAAAACTTCTATATGGTAATTACAGCAAATTTTTCCTCGGATTCTTTATTTTTAAGCTATGTTAAATATTTGGCAAATTATAGTGATGTTTTCCTATAAATTTATAATATCTTTGGCATTTTTATATAAATTTTTCCCATGAATAGCGCCATTTGACCATGAATTGGCAACGGGGTTGCTTTTCATGGGAAAAACTTTTGTTTGAAAAATTATAATTACAATAAATTCCCATAGGTTTCTTAATGTCTTTCCAATTCCAAACATATTGCCTATATCAGTGAGTCTTGTGTACATAGAAAATGCGTTTGTGGCAAATAGGGTTACTGCTACTGAACAAATTAGTACCAGGGACACATTGAAGAACATTGCATTCATTGGGGTTTTGTCTTTTTTAATTGGGTATGCTCTGAAAAAGTATGGAATTCGTAATCCAAACTTCACATTTCCTTTTATGCAAGCCAAAAGTAAATACATTGAGAATAAGCAGTAAATTGTAGTTCCTAAAAATGATACCCCAGGGGAGCTTAGTTTTATAAGGACCTCATTCAAAAAAGGTGTAGATGCTGCACCATTATTTTTTGCTAAAATATAAATTATGATCTGTAAAATCCACAAAATTGAGACAAATAGTGAGAGAACGCCCATACATAAGAAAAATGGGTATCATAAAGGACTTTGCTTGGCGATTCCTTTTTCTACTAAATAAATCTCATAGTCTTGTTCTAGCAGCAGCGTTTCTTTTTGCAGCTGATTTGTGTCTCTTCTTACTATTTCTTTCAATTTTCTTCTTGCAAGCCATGAGGTTTCAGCTGAAACCTGGGATTTCGCAATTTTTACTTGTCCACCCATTTCTAATAGATTTTTGGTTCTTGCCCTTAAGGACCTTTCTTTTGCAATAAGTTCAGTAGGAGACAGTCTTTGAGGTCTGAATCTAAATTTATTTATAAAGTCAAGAGGGATCGCAGCTAGCCCAATACCTCCGAACAGTACTAAAAACCACCAGCCAAACCAAGACATAAACGCCATTACATATATAGGAAACGACACGTTAAATTCCAAATTGGTATTCCCTTGATCACATTTTTGATTAATATTATCTGCTTCTGTTCATAGACAAGTATAAGTTACAACTGGTATTTCTGTATAAGAAAGATAAAAATACATGAGTAGCAGCACAAGAAGTTCAATTATTCATAGGAAAACTACAGTTTTTAATGTGTCACAAATTCTTTCACACATTTGTTTTTCATCATCTGTCTCAGAAAAGAACATTGCAAAAGGAAGAATTGCTAATAGGAATGCAAAGATTGCCATATAGATTATTTCCCACATAATGTCAATACGTAAGTCTCCGCCATCTCCTGAGCTATTTGAGACGTCTAGTGGTAATGCCAAAACTTGGGCTCATGCTAGCATTAAGCCTGATAATAAAATAAGCTTAGAGATCATGGAATCAGCAAACCCTTTTTCTGATGGGTCTAGATAGTAGATCATAAAGTAGAAATTGCAAGCTAAAAGGATGATTGCGATGATGATAGTGAGAACTATTAAAAAGACGTCCATTGAGATATTTATTAAATAAAAGATATATTTTTAGATGATGTTGAATTTTTTATGAAGTTTTGGAGGGATGAGAAGAAATTTAAGCAATTTTGGGGAAATTTGAGAGCAGAGAGTGAGTAAGAGATTGGCGGGATTTTGAAAGAAATATGTAACGCAATAAATTTGCGACAATTATATATCATTTTTTATAGCAATAAATGATGCTTGTTTTATATAGAAATTTAGTTGAGATGAAAATTTTGAACTAATTTGAATTTTTATTTTATTTATATGGTTTTATACTATACTTGCCCAGAAGAAATGAATTTGGATATTCAATATTTAGCCCAACAAATCTGTTATTTCTATTCCCAAGAGATATGGATTTAATAATTATTCAATTATTTTTATAATTTTGAATAAATAGTAACCATAATAATTTGCCTGAAAATAAGGTCACTCAATATCTATATCTGATTAGAACGTTATAAAATGGAAAGCACGTTTCTTAAGAGATTTCATGGCAGAATTATATCAATGTATACCCCAGATTTATTAGAATATTCAGTCCCAGTCGATAAAACACTGAAACCAAGCCAGCTTTATTCAAAAACTCCAATAATTAAAAATCCCAACTATAAAAACGCTTCACAACACCCCATAAAACCAAAATCCACAAAAAATCCACCAAATCTTGATATAGATATTTTACCAAAAATAAAAATCCGCAGCTTTTCTCCTTATCCTACTTCAAATATAAGCGAAAACCCTTTCAAAAATAAAGCATTAAAGCCAAAATCTCCTGAGGTATTACAAGATCAAAAAAATAAATTTAGCAAAATTATTAATCGCCCAAGCCTAGATTATAAAAAAAGGTATGAAAAATTAAATAAAACTTATGATATATACCTTATATAAGAAATTAAATTGATTTTTAAAATAATATAAATAATTTGAAAAACTGGTCATATAGTATAAACCTTGATTTTTCACCATTAGAAAAATCAAAAATTCTTAAAAAAGAGTTTGAGCTGGCAACTTCTGAACCTCATCAAATACAATCGCCTTTATCAAAAAACCCTAGAAATAGATCTCCAACTTTTTCTGACTATAACAGCAAATCAGAAAACGAAGGATCTCAGCCGTTCAAACTTGAAGCTTTAAATGGTTATAATAAAATAAAACCAAAGAAGCTAATAGGGCTTCCACTGTAAAAAACGGAAAATCATAAAAAATTAATAAAATTAAAATGCCTTAAATTTTCTTTTAATGCTTTATCAACGTCATCTTTAATTTGGATTGATTTTTTTGGCTCATTAAGGCTATCTTTTTCTGGGTATTTTCCTTGTTGCTTTTTGTGCCAGAATTTTTAAGAGAGGGAGAAAGTTTGGTCTGAACGGAACATTTTTGGTTTTGAATTATTTTATTTCTGTCCTGCAGCTCTTGATTTTCGTTTTTAAGGACTTTTATTTGGTCCCGTAAATCAAATAAATCTGCGTCTTTTTTCTCCAAAATTTTCAGCAGAGAATTTTCAGACATTTTTGACTTCAAAATATTTTTTTGCAGATTTTCTTCAGCTGCATTTGTTTTTTCTTTTTCTTGTTCTAATTTGGCCCGAAGTTCTTCATTTTCTTCTTTAAATTCATCAATTAATTTCTGGAAATTTTTGGATTTTGCTTTATAAATTTCTAATTCTATAGAAATTTGGTCAATAGCTTTTTTATACTCTTGGCCTGACCTGATTAGCTCTTCGTTAAAATTGAATCGATCCCTTTGAATGGTTTGTTCCAATTCAATAATTCGTAAAGAATAGTAAGCTTGCTTCTCTTCCCTTTCTTTTTCATCAATACTTCCATTCGAAAACTTAAGCTCTGGCATTGTTTCTTCACGAAAAGTCATAGAGCTATTGATTTCACTTCCTTGCTCTGAATTTTCTGTAATTTCTTGTACAGGTGATAACGGACGCTTGGATTTAATATAAATTAGCAGCTTTATAGGGCCGATTTCTTTGGGAAAAGAATAAATTAAGTCGTTAGAACACTGGAATAGAGGAACCCACTGATATCCTTCCTTTGGAAGAATCTGTGTTTGCAGAGTGACACTGCTGATGATTTGTTCTTGATGAGATACAATTTTAGTTACAAACTGTAAATAACAAAGTGAAGGAATCCTTATAGGATTCATTTCATTTGCTTGAGAAAGAGGGTAAACTTTTCCAATACACTTTGAGTCTGTTATCAGAGAAACGCTGAGATCTGCAGGATCATACTCAATTCCTTCAATTCGAATTACTTGCAAGTCGATAAAGTCTAACATTTTTTATCGTTTAAATGGATTCCATTTTGAATTAACAGACTATGAAATGATATAGCCAAATATTGTTTTCTGAAAAAATTATCAAAAAATAAATTTATTGAGAAAAGTCGATTAAATAGACGATTGTAATTTCTATCATAAGGAAATCTATAATTTTTTTAATTAATTGTTTAATTAAATTTCTATAACTAGAATAAACAAGATTTTATACCTATTTGAAAATAATTCAGAATATTTCCATTAATCAGCCTGTTTTTAACAGCAATCTTAATATTTTAACAGAATTATGAAAGACTCTCCACCTCATAGAGCATTATCAAACTGGTTTAAAAAGAATTATTCAAAGCAGGTTGCCAAATCAGCTCATTTTAACCCCATTTCTGGCAGTCTAACCTATTCTAACAGTGCTATTATATTTCCATCCCATTCAAGATCTCGAGCTCGATCATCAAGTCCAAGTTATCCTTTCTTAATTCTATACCCCCAAAATATTAATTTCTGTATCCCTCATCCTAAGCCAAACTAAAAAATCTCCAATAAATATTTAATTTATTTTAATAGTAACCCAATACGTTTTTCCTACAAAAGCTGACTCATCTATGCTTAACGATGAATTTGTAGTTGGCTGCAGTGTATGTGGGACTCAAGCTGTAGAAGAAGCTTACTATACTTATAATAACTCACCTCCACCAGTGCGTCCTTCTCATTATTCATATTGTCCTGACTTAAATGACCCTAATTCAGGAGCGTATACCAGAATAATAGAAATCGTCGAAAAAGAGTCTGAGTGTGTGCCAAAAAACGAAATTTCGTCTATAAAAAGAATAGAAACTGGAGAAAGCCCTGAGAAATTTGATAGAAATTATTCAAGCCCTTTTAGGTATAGAAAAGAAGGCAGCTCTATAAGTCCACATGAAAGGAAAATTGTATATAAAGAAATCTCCCCACCGCCTAGAGTAGGTTTGACGCCTCTAAATTATGAAGATAAACAAATAGTAAAAGAATGCGGGTTAACCAATAACGCTGCTAAATATTATGTACAAGAAGAAGAAAGGACAAGGGTCGTCACACGACGAGCAGAATATGCAAGCAGACCTGTAGGGATAAGCAGGACAATTATAAGGACTGAAAAAGATGGGCAAGGGATCAATGAAAATTTAGAAGAAAACAAAGAACTCCTGACAACTGAAAAAACCAAATTTTCATCAAAGCAGCTCCTGCTTAGCAAGCTACAAAGAAGAAGCGATTTGTCACCTAGTAAAACTAATGAAATAGAAAGAGGCCGACAAAGACTGAAAAGACATGAAGAAATGGAAGAAGAGCCAAGAGACCCTCGGGTTATTCCCCAAAGATATGAAACAAAGCCTACTAGAATTCATCTTGATGTAAATGAAATTGAAAACTCAAGCAATTATGTGCAAAATTATGACTGTGGAAATTCTCCAGATACTGTTTATCAATCCCCCTACAGAAGAATTGTGATGACTGAGACTGTCTATCATTTCCAGATTGACCCTATAAATTATAGATATAAAGAAAAACCAAGGCATTCCTTTGGGAATTTATCAAGCGAAATGTCAGACATCTCAGAGACTGGGTCATATAAAGAGGCCAATACTCATTTTAAAGACCCAGCAGGCGGACTTAATAGCATTTCTGATATTGACAATTTAATAGCAAAAGCATTAGAAGACCTCCCAGGGTATAATGAAAAAAATATCCCTAAAAAAATAATTGAAATGGACGAATACCCGTCCCAGCACCGACAAATCAGTATGGAGTCATATATAAGTGAAGATAGTAAAGAAATCGAAAAAAATAAAAAAAATAATGAGAATTCGCCTTATAAAAAAAATAAGTCAGAAACTAACATAAGTGAAGGGAAAAGACCTGAAACATTTTTAAGTGGGGATTTTACGTATAGTAACAGTTTATTGTCAAAATCGCAGCAATTTAGCAGTGATTTAGATAAAAGTTTGCCTATAAAAGATAGCTTAAGATCATTCTATGAAAATGAAGAAATGTGTCGAGAAGGTTTTAGTGAAGAAATGGGCAGAGGAGCACTAAATGAAGAAATCAGCAATAAAGAAGATTTTAATAGAGAGTTGTTAAACGAAGACTCTGAGGGATCATTGAGCCAGCCAAAAACCGCTTACTTTTATTTTCATCAAGATAGATGGCCTATATATCAAGCTGAAAAGAGTAGTCTTACAAGTGCAGAGGTTAGGTTAGGCTATTAAAGTCAGGCGTTAGCCATATTGATAATATAGTCACCAAAGATCTCCCGTACTGGAGGTTCAAAACCGCTTTTCGACTCCAGCCTAGAGATCTTTCCCTTGAAGGCGGGTGCCACTTCCGGTGCCTTTTGTCTCCTCCTTGCCTTGCGGCTTCAGTCTTGAGCGGGCGGCTTACTTATAAGTGCAGAGAGAACAAAACTAATTGAGAAGGAATGAAATGAATTATCTGAAGCTGAAAAGGATCATTATATTGAAAAAGCTGTACTTGAGAGAGATCTACTTTTAAACCAAGAAGAAGCAAGAAGTGATTCTTCTAATAAATTGCCCTCTAGTCAGTTATTAAATAAAGAAGATGAACAAAGCGACATGGATTCTCCATCATTTGGCCCAAAAACTCCTGAGACAGATTTTATGTATTTTTCTCAGAATAAAGAAGCTGAAAATGAAAATCTTAAAAGCAATGAGGAATTTTCAGCTAGCAAGAAATGGGATTCATCTGAAGCTGAAAAAGCTGTAGAAATGGCTGAAGAAAATCAATTTAAGGATGAAAAAGAATTAGAAGTTCCTGAAGAAAATAGTTCATATAGATCTCAGCAGCTATATAACTCTGACGCAATAACAAAAGCTGAAGGAGAAAGCTTTTCAGCATTTTTACCTTCAAAACCAAAAACAGCTTGCTTTTATTATTATCAAGATCGTAAGTTATCACTAGAAGCTGAAAGACCTGATCTCAATAATGCAGAACACATAAAAATTGCAGAAAAGGAATGACTTGGACTGTCTGGAGAAGAAAAAGCTCCATATATTGAAAAAGCTATAAAGGATAATGAAAAATACGAAAAAGACAAAAATTTATATTTTAGCTCAGGAGAGCCTGAAAATTTGTCAGACCTAAAATTGTTTAAATATTCATCATTGGGCATAAAAGAAGAAAACAAAGAAGATCTCAGCGAAGAAGCCAAAATTGTGACTGGATCTTCAGGGAAAGGAAGTATTTTTACTTTCAGAGAAGAAAATGAAGCCCAAGTTCCTGAAATTATAGGGAATTCTGAAGAAGACGCAGAAATAGTTTATGAAGAAATTGTCGAGAGTATGCCGGAGCCTATACAAGATATGAAACCGATAAAGAAAGGCAAAAAAGCTAAGGTAAGAAGTGGCAAAAAAAGCAGCCAACTAAAAGAAGTTAATCAAGATGAGCCAAAGGAAAGTGACGAGATCAAAGTCATTGAAAAATTCGAAGATATTGAGTATGAGATTCCTGAAGAAAAAGATGCAGGGTATCAGAGAGAAGAAAATAGTCCAAATAAATCAAATCCTATAGATCTGGGGCTTATAAATTTAGAAGAAAATACTATTTTAGAAGAAAATGAAGAGGGAAAGCAAATATTGAGAACAGATCAAGAAGAAAAAATAAGCAAAAATGGAGAAACTTATCCAGAAAAAGTCCCAGCTAGTAATTTATCCCAAAAAACCAGCTATAAAACTGACAAAAGTGACAATCTAGCTGACAATTTAATCCACATAAAATCATCAGAAATTGCCCTTATTTCAGATTCTGACATATTTCTATCAGAAGCTGACAAACTAAGTGAAGAAAACCAAGAGCTTTCTCCACGATTTAATACTTTGCCTTCTACACAAAAAGTATTTCTAATAGAGCCTCAATCTAAAAGTTTTTCTGCTGAAAATACAAGCCAAGAAAAAGTTTTTGATTTGCCTAAACAAATATCCTCTATCAAAATATATATGGTAATAAATTATAGGATTTGCCCTAGGATGGCGCTATATGGCGCCATCCTAGGGCAAGCGAAAATTGGCTCCACACGGGAACCGTATTCCACGTGTGGAGCCATTTTTCCACGTGTGGAATCCACATTTTCCCACGTGGAAAAATGGCTCCACACGTGGAACACAATTCCCGTGTGGGAGCCGTGTCTCCAATTGCCCGAGGATGGCGCAATATAGCGCCATCCTCGGGCAATTTCTATATTAGCATTAATTAGGCTTTAAAATTAATAAGAAAAGAATAAAAAATGAAAATAAAACCTCAAGATCTTCAGTTGGAGAAGCCAGCGAAAAAGACTCGCAATATTCAGAGTCCCGTGCTGAGTCTTCAAGAGATTCTATTAAAAGAGCTTTAGGTGGGGACATAAAGCAAGGAAAAAATAAATTAGAAGAAAATAAGTCAGGTGTAAAAAAGAGAGTTGTTTCGAGGACAAGACCTATAAATTCCCCACAAGAAAAGATAGAGCCTATGAGCAATTTTTCAAGCATTTCTAAAAATTTGACTACAAATAAAGCTGCTTCGTATTCTGCATCTTTAGGGGATGAAGAAAGTGACAGAGGAAGCATTGAATATGCAAAAACAGAAGGCAAAGGAAATGAAGAAAATTATGAAGGATATCTGCATGGAGAAATTACTAAAAATGATGAAGAAACATCTGAGAAAATGTGGAGCAAAGAAAATGAATATATATATGGAAGTAATTTATATTAGCCATTTTTACTATTAGTAATATTTATAATTGATTTTTAAGTATTTTACATCAAAACTACTACAATTTTAAAAATGCCAGTTAGGGATAGATCCTAACTCCTGCCACAAACAAGATGGACCTATAAGCCGAGCTTAGTGAGAGAAGTCAAGCTTCTTGAGAGTCTCGGCTTGAAGAGAAGGGTCAGTGCTGAGGCTGGCACTGACTAGAGAAGTCTTAACGGGCTTATTAAACTTTAACGGTTCGACGGTTAGGCTAGTTCACCTACCGTTGTTCAGAGCTGCTAATTTAGTTAAACCTCAAGTGAAGGGGACTTTCAGACACAAAGGTGCTAGAGTAATTCTACTAAACTTAAACTTAAACATCAAAACTAATCTGCTTATCTATAGATTTGCATTCATATGAGCCATCCCATGAAAGTGAAGAAGAGAGATCATTAAATGGAAGCGGCAACATATTTATGAAGTCACAAGAAGAAATCTATACAAATCAAGAAGAAAAATCATTAAATGAAAGTGGGAAATTATTTATTAAAAATTCTGAAGAAATGCATACAAGTGATGAAGAAGAAATGCTGCAAAAAGAAAACAAAATAATAAATATGAAAATTAATGAAGAAAAACTGCAAAAAGGAAGCCAAAAGTTATATGAAGAAGAGAAAAAAATTCAGGAAATTTCGAAAAAATCTATTGAAGAAGAAAAGTTGCAAATAGAGAATAAAGTTATGAAGCCAAATGAAGAAGAAACGCATAAAGGAAGACAAAAACCATATGAAGAAGAGAAAAAAAGCAGAGAAATAAGTAAAAAAACTGGTGAAGAAAGATATAGCAGAGATGAAGAAGAAAAATTGCAAACAGAAAAAAAAGTTATCAAGCCAAATGAAGAAGAAATATCAAAAGAAAGGCAAGAAATAATTATGAAAAAAACTGTTGAAGAAAGATATAAAAGAAGTGAAGAAGAAAAATTGCAAACAGAAAAAAGAGTTATCAAGCCAAATGAAGAAGAAATACAAAAAGAAAGCCAAAAATTATATGAAGAAGAGAAAAAAAGTATAGAAATAATTAAGAAAAAAAGTGATGAAGAAAGATATAGCAGAGATGAAGAAAAGCCTAAAAGAGATGAAGAAAATATAAATAAAAAGAGCGAAAAAATCGAAAAAGAAATACAGAGAAGTAATGAACAGACTCAAGGTAGTAAAAGCCCATTTATAAAATCATCTCAAGAAGACATTAAGAAAAAAGATGATGAAAAGCTTCAGAAAGGAAGTAAAAACACAATAAAGCCAGTTCAAGAGGAATCTACCAGAAAAGATGTAGAAAAATCTCAAAAAGACAGCAAAAGTATATATATAAAGCCTCATAACGAAGAAATCTATATAAGTGATGAAGAAAATCAGTCTGATCCAGAGGTCCCAAAATATGAAAATAAATCCGTTAAAAATTATGAAGAAAAATTAAGGGAAAGAATGGAGCCTAGTGATGAAGAAATCGATAGTAGGGATCTTGAAGGATCCCAAAATGAAGCTCATTTAAATATAGAGCCAGAAATCTACGAAGAAAGTTACAGCCAAAAACCACAGAAAAGAGAAATCTTGCTTGAAGATCAAGACAGTGACCTAAAAGCACTATTTGCAGGAAAAAAAGAAAGAGACTTAATATATCAGCAAAAAGTGTTTAATGATAAGCCAAAAGAATTAATAGAAAATAGGCCACAAAAGCAGCTGAGCTCACTTCAAAACCAGCCAAAAGGGACATCTCAAAAAAGAATTGAGAGCTCTAATAGCTCAACCCAGTCATTTAAAATTGATGACAGCGAAAATCCTTCAAAGCCTCTAAAAACACAATCAGTTATAAAGCTGCAAAAAGACCCAAGTAATGTATCAGGACCACAAAAACTCAGTGAATGCCTGCTGCAGAAAGAAGAAAAAAATATTAAAAAACAGCAAAAGCCATCTTCAAATTTATCCATAAAATTAGCTCAGCAAGAACAAATGTCTAGACATAGAGCAAATACAGAAGAAGCTGCAAGATCTCAAGGGTCTAATAGTCCAATGCTGTATCCTCAATATCCATATCCTTATCAGCAGGCATATTTACCTCCACCTCCTAATGTCTATAATAGCCAATATCAGCCTTATGGAATTCCTAGCCCATACCCATACCCTCCTTCTTATTCTCCAGGCCTATATCCTCCTTCACCTCCTAACCCTTCTCCTGCTTCTTATGATCCTTCTTATATAAACTACCTTAAATCCATTATAGCTCAATCAGAACAATATCAAATTTCTAATTCAGGAAACACCCCAAAATCAAATAATTCGTATTCTTATAGGATAAATAAAAGAACTTCTTATGAAGAAATCAGGCTTTTCCATCAGCTTCAAGAAGAGTCTGCAATAAAAATCCAAAGAGCATTTAGAAAAGTAAGAAAATCAAAATATTCTTATCAAAAAAGCTCAGTTCATGAGGTACAAACTGATGAAATACCATTTTTAAGATTAATTGTAAATTCTATATAGACAAGTGAAGAGGAGTCAAGAAGACTCTACAAAGCATTATTGCTTATTGGGACTTATGGAGAATTTCTGGAAGGAAGAGGTTTAAATCTGCTGCCATAAATATTGAGATTTTCATATTAAATAATAGTCTAGTCTTTAAAATAGGCTCCTGATATTATATTGTAGTCACGGTTTCCTCTCCATAGTGATTTAAGCCTTTCATTTCTGTCTTCAGAAATCCTGTCAACTGTAGGTACAAATAAGCTGTTATGGGTATTGTGGTACTGCTCTGGGACTTCATCTTCGACTCTTTTAAGTCCTCTTGGCTTCTCAACTGGCGGATTTTCTATATTTGAGTGTGAAAACCCAATTCCAGGGCTCGTTCCTCTGTATTTTAGCATATTTATAGCCCTTGCTTCCCTTTTTAGCCTGTCTTCTTGCTCTTTTATCATGTCTTGCTTCTGCATTTTCCAATAATGGCTGCTTAAATCAGGCCTATCTGGCGAGTCTACTCCTAAAATTCCATTAGGGTACGCATTTGAAATAATCCTTTCTTTTTTGATAATCGCAAGCCTTTCATTTTTTAATTTTTTATATTCTTTTTCTCTATATTTAGCAGCCTCATACAGCTGTCTCCTTTTAGAAGGTAAAATTCTCTTATTGTACTCCGTATCATCCTCAAGCCGCCTTTTTTCTAACTGGCTCATTTTTTCACCAATTTTTATCATATCAGGCTGAGAAGGCTCAAATGGGCGTTGGTCATTTCTTCATGACATCATTGTCATAGGCTTGGTTTCTTTTGTTAAAAATGCTGGAGCTTCACTTGTCCGTGGCAGTGAAATAAAGGCTGGACTAGGGCGGATATTTGTGTCTCCATTAAGAAAAGGAGCTAATGCAGGATTTGGCTGTGAAGGTGGTAAAGACATAGCTGAATTTCGTTTGCTTGAAAATAATTTTTCGCCTCATTGGGAACTGAGGAATTTGTCCAGGTGTTTGGCGTCCCAGGTTGACCCATGAAGTGTGACGCTTGGCTTGTTATGGAAGTTTACGTTCATATCAGTTATATGATTATTAAAATATTTTATACCTAATTATTAAGGATATACAATTTCTAGTTATTTTTATATAAAAAAGTGCTTGAGTTTATTAGAAATATGCATATAAAATAATTTCTATATAATTTTTTTGGGCTATTATATGAGATTTTTAAACAAATTTAATTTAATGCAGCATAATTTTTATTATTAGTGCTATTTTCTTCAGAATCAGGAATTAAAGACTGTGCAGATCTTGATGACGATAAAACCCTATTCATGTCAAGTCCTGAACTTTTCCGGATGTCAGGGAATTTTAGCAGGCTATCTTTCTTTTTTCTCTCTTGTTTGTATTGAGGGGAATCTAAAATTGTAGGCTGCTTTTCTAGCCTTTTTACCTTTATCAGTCCACTTTCGATTTTCCGAACTTCATTAAGAATTGCTTGATTATTTAGTTCTCGCTTTTGCTTTATCGTAATTTCACTGCTATGATTCCCATGATGAGGTGACAAAACAGGCAAAGGTGGAGACACTGACAATTCAGCTGGCGAGGGATTAATAGTATTCGACATATAAAGCCTCTTAGAATTTGAATTCGGCTCAAAGCCTATTCCTTCTTCATCCTCCTCAGGAATTTCATTAAAAAGTTCATTGACTTCTTCATGAAACTTTATCCTTGGGTTTTCAATCCTAGGACTTGATGGCTCCAGTACTTGGAATCTTTGTAAAAACTGCTCAAAATCGTCTTTTAATTGAAAAGTATTTTTCTTTTTAGAGCTTCGCATTTGCTTTAGCTTGAATTCTATAATAGACCGCATTAACGGGTCAGTGGTTTTGATACTATCCGTGCTTTCTGTGCTGTTAAAGAGCTCTTCCATTTCAATTGTTTTGCGGCGGATCATGGTTCTGTCTGGTCTTCTATTTACACTGTTTTCTAGCCGGGTTTGGATTTCGTTTATATGCTCAGCCATACTTTTCACAAGCCCGAACAAGGTTTCTGAAGCAGCAGATAGCTTGAGTTGTATATTTTTGTGACTGGTGCTATAAAGCATAGGAAATTTACTTAAGATTTCATGTATGGTTCTGCTATCGCCAAGGTTTAATAAAAATGTTTTTAATTCTCTTGCATTTGTATATAGTGATTAGATTAAGTAGGTTTTTTAAAAAAATAATATTTTAATAATAAATTATTAGATCAGCCCAGCATAAAATATCTAATGATCATATTTTCATTAGCTTTTTCTGAAAATATAGTAGCCTGCTCTTCTTCTCCAGGAAACATATCTAAATAAAAATTCTTTGTCGCAGGAGTTTGATATAGTGAAAACTGCAAAATGTTTTCTATATTAGAAAACGAATTTTCATTTCCAGCAGGTGACATATCGCTGCTACCTCTTATAGAATCTTTTATTAAATCTTCAAATTTGTGCTTTAATTCTTCTAATTTTTCTCTCATTGTTTCTGAGCCAGTCTCTGTTTCTATATAATCAGCTTGTGTCAGGAGTCTTTGTGTTATCTGTATTTTAGTCAAAGGTTTTTCCCTAGAGAAAATTTAATTAATTTATTTACCTTGTTCAGATAAATTAAAAATAATGCTGGAAAAATGTTTACCAAGGGAAAGTCCCCTGAGAAAAATCAAAAGCCGTTATCTGTATTATATAAAGCAAAGTGTAAATAGAAAAATTTTCATTTCTATTAGAAATCATACGATGGGTAAGTCCAGGAGTTTCTTCAATAAACGATAAAAGCTGGTTATAAGTTTCTGCTTTTGTGTTTTGGAAAATAGCTGAAGATTTTTGCTTCATATTTTCTAGCTGGCTTTCATAGTTTTCATTGATAGACCTAAACTCAACCAGCTCGCTTTTTAAAGTCTCATAATCTTTTTTGAAAATTTCTTGCTGCTCCGTAAGGTTTATATAGTAAACTTGTAAATGGTCATATTTATAAGCAATAAGCTGGTACTCTTCAATTATTTTGTTCGCTTCTTCTATATTAAAACCAGTTTTTCCTATTTCTTTTCCAGTAATTTTTGCAATAGTCTTTAGCGACAGGTTAAGTTGGCTTAAAGATTCCATCTGTTTTTTATGCAAAATTTGGTTTTCTGTGTATTTTTCTAATTTTTTCTCAACTTTGTTCAACATGTTTTTTGTTTTGTAATCAAATTCTTTTTTCTTCAGCTTGTTTTGAGTTATTTGCTTCATGCTGTCCTTAATTTTGGTATTGATTGTGTCAATAATTTCTTTTTTTTGGTCAATTTTTTGAGATCTTACATTTTTTTCTTTTGTAATTTTTATTAAATTAATTTGTTATCCTCAAAGACATAGTGAATTTTTTCTTATTTAAATATCCCAGAATATATATTTTATTCATTTTTCATACTTCATATTGTGCTGCAAGCAAATTCGTGCCGGATTTTTGTGAAGCGTACTTTACATCTCCTAAATGTCTGGTAATTCTATTATAAATAACTGTTATATCTTCAACATCTCCTTTTATTTTTAAATGTTGAGCTCTAGTCCTAATCAGCATGTTATTAAGTTGATCAGTCCTTTCTAGTTCTAAAAGTTCTTTATTTTCAATGTCGTTAATCTGTTCTTGTAGCTGTTCTAATTTATATTCAAGGATTTCTATAGATTTTTCTTTAAGCGGAGTTTGTGGAATTGCATGAGATGGGGACGTCGGGTTTTCCAAAGTGTCTTTTTGGCGCTTTAAAAAATCCAGCTTGACTTGTTTTTTCTGGTTTTTGAAAACTTGGTTATTTAAAGTTGACCTAAGATGAGAAAGTTTCAAATTTTCACGAGCAAACTCACTCCCCTCATCCTTGATCGAACGGCTCGCCATCGTTCGATCAAGGATGGGGGTTAAAAAAAAAAATTTTTTTGGGAAAAAAATTTATATATAAAATAAACAAAAATATATATATATATTTTTATTTACTTTTAAATAAGAGGGTTAAGAGTATTTAATAATTATTTTTACATCAAAAAATTGAATTAATTTCATAAAATACCAATTTTTAATATTTTGATTTATTATTAGTTACCCTTTTTAAACTGTATAAATTTTAATTTGTTCCTTATTGAATTAAAATTTGTTTTTTAAAATTTTAAAGAATCTCTATTTTATTATATTATTGAGTTTTTAAGTCTAGGTTGATGACTAAATCACTTCGGATAGTTGATTCCGTAGCTTTCTGTCGTCTCAAGCTCTGAAAACAACTTCATTATGTACATCTTCCCAAACTTTTCCCAATTTTTAGGAATTTTTACAGTCAATCGTTCGATCAAGGATAGGGGGGCGTCAGGAGTTTCAAGCTTCAGCTTATTTAGATATTCTTGTTCTAGTTCTTTTTCAGTTTCTGCAAATTCTTCGTTAAAGCTAATTTGTTTGGCTTGGTATTGCTGCTGATTCAGCAATAATGTGGTATTGAAGCGTATCATCTCGCTCATATTAGACAGTGAATGAAATTAATTTCATTAAATCCATTTTGAGATTTTAAAAGAACTTATAATATTAAGACATATATTATATTGGAAATGGGAATTTTTTTTGATTTGCACTTCGTGCCAATTTATTTTCGAGAGGAAAAGCTAGTTTCATGTGCCAAAATGGAATTGGATCAAGAAAATTGTGCTATTATTATATATCATTAAGACGAATTATAGTATAAAGGTTTTATGCCTAAAATAAAGCTAATTAACTGTATTTAATTAATATATTAATTTGACTAAGGAACTTATAATAAGGATTTTATGATAAAGAAATGAAAATTGCTGCAAAAATAAGGATGTATTATGGTATTAAAAGAAGTAAAATAATTTACTAACTTTCCCCCCCCCATCCTTGATCGAATGATTCGCCATCATTCGATCAAGGATGGGGGTTAAAAAAAAATTTTTGGGAAAAAAAATTTATATATAAAATAAACAAAATATATATATTTTTATTTACTTTTAAAATAAGAGGGTTAAGAGTATTTAATAATTATTTTTACATCAAAAAATTGAATTAATTTCATAAAATACCAATTTTTAATATTTTGATTTATTAGTTACCCTTTTAAACTGTATAAATTTTAATTTGTTCCTTATTGAATTAAAATTTTTTTTTTAAAAATTTAAAGAATCTCTATTTTTTAGATTATTGAGTTTTTAAGCCTAGGTTGATGACTAAATCACTTCGGATAGTTGATTCCGTAGCTTTCTGTCGTCTCAAGCTCTGAAAACAACTTCATTATGTACATCTTCCCAAGCTTTTGATAACTAATATATTTTTATATATTTAAAAAATTGCATGATATGAAAATCGTTCGATCAAGGATGGGGGTTAATTTCCCCAATTTTTAGGAATTTTTACAGTCAATCGTTCGATCTAGGATGGGGGGACTAAAAATAATTATATTTATTGAATTGATATGGGAGCATATTTTTCTTCTCGCAATCCTGAATTAAAAAATCTGGACTTGAAGAAGCCTGTTAAATTCATGGCGACTATGCTTACGAAATGTAAATAGTATTCAGGAAATAAGGAAGAAATTTCGAAATTGTTTACTCTGCCTATCTTTAAAAGTTGTGTAATAGTGAAGGCTTTAGCCCTGACCATCCATTTTAATTTTTAAAAAAATTTGCACTTGTCAATTTCGAAAATGATAAATCTCCGTTTATTTTTAAGATGTATAATTAGATTTAGTGTATAGCAATCTATAATGATTCATGGGTTATAATGTCAAATCGTATAAGGCAATTTAGAAGATTCACAAGCTCACAAAATATTGGCGAATTTTATATTGATAATGGAATGATACGCATCATCTTCAGGTCTTCTAACGCTCAAGGAATGGAAAACGAAATCTTACGTATATTTCATGTAAAAGGCCGAGTAAACGCTATGGAAATTCTTGCAGTTTTGATTCTTTATTCCACATTGAACTGAAAAGAAAAAATAAAAATCATGCTAAACGTCTTTGACTTTGATGGAAATAAAGCAATTTCTAAAGATGAGATGGTTATCTTATGTCAGTCTTTTTTGAGAGGATTTTCTTGTGTAACTGATAATCCATTAATTTCAATAGAGGCTTGCAAAATTTTAGCTGAAATTGTGTTTGATCAGGTTGGAAAAGACGCTAACGGTCTTTTAACCTACGATGATTTGTGTGGGTGGATTAGTATATCAAATTCGCTGCACTTTTTCGCTATTGACACCTCTCCCTCTTCTTCTAGTCTTAAAATTATTAAATTAGTAATTCTTAACTTTTATTTTAAAATTTGGGATTTAAAAAGATGGCCTAACCCAAGTCCGATCTATAAAGATACCTAAGGTATATATATAGCGAAATCCATGAGCTTTTTATGATAAATCAGGTCGAAGAAGTTAAAAATATAAAAACGAGCCGTAGAAAAAGCATTTTAGCTGGAATTGGTCTTTACAAAACAAATCAAAATCGTCCAAAAAATGAGTCATATTTTTCAGAAAAATACAAAAATTCTACGGAAAAGTACAGTCCTGCTCATAAAAAAAGTAAATCAACAGGAAATCGACAAAGAAAATTTTTCATAGTAGGAAATAAAAATACACGATACACAAAAGAGCTAATAGAATCTTTATACGCTTTCTATCAGAGTGCTGAGCAGAATTCAAAAACTCCTTTGAAATGTAATCTCTAATTAGCACTAAAAGCTGAATTAATCAAACATCAAAAATTCTCACATCTTGCTCACAGCTTAACCCTTCAATACCCACACCATGAAAATATCACTTTTAAAGAGCTTCTTATTTCTGCCTGCCCAAACGCTGAGCTATTTCAAATAAACCGAATGATAAAATGAGTCAGAAATGAATCCAGCCCACTTCCTGCTATAAAAAGAGCCCATCAGGTAAGTAAACGAAAGTTAACATTTGGCACCGCAAATACTTATAGACGCGTTTTTGAAAAAATCGACACAAATCATGATGGATCTTTAGATGTCCAAGAATTAGAAGACGGCTTTAAAGATGTCGCTTCAAAAGAAGGTATTGAAAAAATTTTCAAAGAATTTGACACAGATCATAACGAAAAAATTGATTTAAAAGAGTTTTTCAGGCTAATGGCACCTCCAAGCATGGAAATCACTGATGATATTTTGAGAGTATTTGATGAACAAAAATAAATGTAGAAATAATTTTTTATTTTTTAATCACGCAATTACCTTCTTCTAGAATTCAGTATCTCTATTGATTTTTTGAGACCGTAAGTCACGTCTTTCATGGAGGGTCTCCTTATTGGGTCTTCAGTCCACATTTCTCTCATTAATGATACAAATCTTGGGTATTCGTACTCATACTCTTCATCAACCCTTGGTCTTCTGCTTTTTTTCTTTAATTCATTATAAAACTCTTTCCTTGATAGTCTATGCCCTTTTGCGGATTCTAAATAGTCGAAAGGTGGCCTTGTATGCAAAATGTAATAAAGACACATCCCAAATGACCAAACGTCAGATTTTTCATTTGGGCTTGAGCCTCTTATCTGCTCTGGAGAACAGTATAACAAAGTGAATCCTGGCCTGATATTTTTAACATTTTTTAAATGCTCAGATAAGCCAAAATCAGCAAGCTTTGGACATGGATCATAAGTGCCAGCTAAAAAGATATTTGAAGGTTTTATATCAAAATGGCAGATTCTTTTGGAATGCACAAATTCCAATCCCATCGCAGAACCAAGTAAAATATTAAATCTTGCTGAAATATTAACATCAGGATTTTCATTCAAGTATTTATTTAAATTTCCTTGATTGCAGTACTCCATTACAATCCCAGTCCTATTTTTATACTTAATAATTCCATATACAGCAACTATATTATCGTGGGGTAAGAGTTTCATTATTTGGTATTCTTTTATAATTCTGTCAACTGCTTTTTTTTCACTTTTTTCATCTTCTGGATTTTCTTTAGGGAATTTTATTGCTACTTTTTTACCAAAAAGCTCATTTTGATAGATTTCGCCAAAGCCACCTTTATCCAGTAAATAGCTGCCTGAAGTAATTTCACTAAATTGAAGGTGACTAGGAGGTATGATATCATGAACTGACACATACATTTTTGTGTGGCATTTTAAAGGGATCATTTTCATTAGAAATTCATTTGCTTCTTTTTGCATTTTTATTAGGTACTTTTTTCTTGCTTGCTGAGGGGTCATATTATCTGGTATTTTTACCTTTTCTGCAATTTTTGAAAGTCTTCTTGGGATAAATTTAAAAGATACATCAGGCATAAATCCATTCACAATGATATGGTCTCTTGGAAATTTTGTAAACTCAATCCCGCTATTGTAAACCGCGTTAAGTATTTCAATAATTTCTTTAATAATTCCTGAATTAATGCTGAAGCATTGAAAATACTTTTCTAGCGTGGATCCTTCATACCCTTCATAAATTAATTTTTTTCCGCTCATAATTAGCTGATCCATATCAAAAAGATTTCTTAAGAAATCATTCGCTTGAATAAAATCCAAAATTTGCCATTCTTCTTCCATTGAAATGTGCTCTTCATCCATTTCAGCCTTGTCTTCAATTTCAGGGTCTGTTTTTTGCGCACTGTTTTCTTCTTCAGAATTTTGGTCGTTTTTATTTTCTTCGGCTTTTTTTGGAAATTCTTTTGCAGAGTTGTTTATATTAGGCTGAATTCCAAGGTTAATATTGATGAGTCCTTTATTTTGAATTGTAGATTCTCTGTTAATGTTTGGATCTTGGAAAGACTGATTTTGATTTGGCCTTAGAGGCTCTTTTTGTGCTTGATGCTTCAGAATTCTTCGACTTGATCTTGATTGACTTGGTTCCATTTTGTCTTACTCCCCCCCCCCCTTTAAATTGGAACAAAATATAGGTAAAATTTCCACTTTTTGTGGTAAATTAACCCCCTTTTAATTGGAACAACATTTAATTTTTATAATAAAAGTTTTATATATATAAATCATAATTTTTATGTAAAAAGTTTTGATATAATTTAAATATTTCTTCTTAACTAAAATTAAAAATTTAGTTTTATCCTGCTCTTGTTTAAAGAATAGAGTATAAAGAACATCTTATTTAAATAAAATTTATTATCCTTAATTGTAAATTTTTAAAAAAATTTAATTTTTTTTGTTTTTAAAAAATTTTTAAAACAAATTTTATTTTTTTTGATAAAAATGATATTTTTTATTTAAATAGCTTTGATACAAATTCAATACGAATTCTATACAAAAATTCAAAATTTACTTATTTCTTGCTTTATTTTAAAGAATAGAGTATAAATAACATCTTATTTAAACAAAATTAGCACTTTGATTAATAAATTTTCTAAAATTTTTTTGTTAATTTTTTTTTATCAATAAAAATAATAATTTTTGTGTTACCAATTAATAGTGGCGTATTAATTAATAATAAAATTTTAGTTATATCTTGCTTTGTTTTAAAGGATAAAGAGTAAATAGCATTTTATTAAACAAATTTATTAATCTAATTCGATAAATTTTTTGAAATTTTTTTTTTTTAAAATTTTATATAAATTTTTTTTTTAAAACAATTTTCTTAACCCCCCTTTAAATTGGAACAAAATTTTTAGTTTCAATTTAAAGGGGGGGGAGTTAGTAATTTTGCTATACTAAGCTTTGAAAAATGATATATAGTAAAATGATGAAATTAAAATACAAGAAAATTATTATACGAAATAATATAAATTTAATTGAAAGGTCTTTAATATAATCAATTCCAATAAACTAATAAATTCAATAAAATTAAATCCATAGTTCCACCGAAATGTTATATTAGAGAGATAATTATTATTTGCAACATTAATATCCAACCAATAATGGAAAGGCTTGATCTTCTCTACCAGCACATCTGTCCTGAAGTGATATTTAAATCTTCTGAATTTACAAACTTTGTGCAAATAAATCGTCCACCTCAGCTTAATGCAATAAATCAAAAAATTGTCCAAGGGATTACAGCTTGCATTAATATAACAAGATCATCCAGGAAAAATTTCATAATATCAGGGGTAAACCATAAATCATTTGGAGCTGGAGGAGACCTTGACATGATCATTAAAAATGTAGCCGGTGTAGCTGAATTTTTGCGAGGTCTGCATCACATTTTTTATTCTATTTCTCAACTGCCGACAGAAACTATTAGTTTGTGAACAGGATACGTGATAGGAAGTGGAGCTGGGGTTGCTTGCTCTTGCAATATTCGCGTCGCATTTCCAAGCTCCTGCTACATCATGCCTGAGAATCATATTGGTTTATTCCCTGATGTTGGTGCATCCTATTTTCTAACTCATTATTGTCCTTTAGATATTGGACTTTATTTGAGCTTAACAGGCACAAAACTCAGAGGAGCTGACTGCTATATAAGCGGGCTTTGCAATTACTATATTCCTGCAGAGTTTCCTATTGATTCATTTTTAGCTGAGCTTGAACGTTTTCCTTCCCCTTTATTTGCCATCCAAATGTTTCACCGAGAGCCAAAATCTAGTGATTCTATGATAATTCGGCAGAGAGAGAATATTTATGAGTGTTTTTCTGATGTAAAATCAGTAGAAGAAGTTGTCGAAAGATTAAAACAAAATAATTCGCAATGGGCAAGAGAAACATTGACAGCTATAAATGGTATGTGTCCTTATTCATTAAAGGTGGCTTTTCAAGCATTTATGTCTGGGAAGGATATGGACCTTTGTGAGTGTTTAGAAATGGAATTTTAAGTTTATTTAATGAAATCTCTCGCACATTTAGTGCCTTCTAAGTATTTTTTACTTGAGATTCAGCTACGATAGCAGCTCTGAACAACGGTAGGTGAACCGGTCTCCGTTAAATTATCAAGCCCTTTTCAGATTTCTCTAGTCAGTGCCAGCCTCAGCACAGACCACTTCTCTTCAAGCCGAGACTTTAAGAAGTTTTGAGTTCTCTCACTAAACTCGGCTATGGGCCTAGCCTGGTGGATCAGGACTAGGGTCTCATCCCTAACTACCATTTTAAATATCGTGAAATTGAATTTAATTTGGAGTATCACATGATGGTGCATGAAAATTATAATTTTCTGACAGGAGCAAGACATAAATTGAAAAAGCAAGTAAATGTGCCTTGGATGCCAGCTTCATTGGAAGAGGTTACTAATGAGATGGTGGGGAATGCCTTTTTCAGTCCTAGAGGATTGAGACTTAGGCTTAAAGAGCTCAATACAGTATTTGAATAAATAATTAATATATCTAAAATTATATATACTAGTATTAAAATCTAAAAATGTGAATTAGCATATATAATTCCTTAGACTATAAAAGCTAGAAAATTATTTATATATAAAAATTAATCATAAATTATATAAAATGGCAGAATTATTTATATATTAGCAAGCTGCAGCAATCTTAATTTAAAATTAAGGATTATACATGTTAAAAGTAATTTCCTCTGGCGGGCTAGGCTGTGCGCTATATACTTCAGTATTTTCTGAATCCATCTTTTCTTCTTCAAGCTCTATCAGTCTTGATACCCTTATCGGTGGTAGCTTTCTTCTTGGCTGCATTGACAGTCTTTCTCTTGCATCATTATACGCTTTTACAGAGCTTGATTTTGTTTCATTAACCTCATTTTCCAATAAATTAACCTTCTTTTGTAAGCTATTTAAGCAGTCAAGTATTTCTGGCACCCCAAACTCTTTTTTCTTTTTAAGCTGTCTCTCAGAAATCTCCATCATTTTTTTCTGTTTAGTTTCTGCAATATCTTTAATTTCTTGTAAAGTCATAACAGTCAAATTAATCGATTTCGTGGCCTTCATGATTTCTTTCATCTCAAATTTTGCCTTTGTATTGGCTTTATCTCTTGCTTCAGCTATGTCTTTCATTTGTTTAAAAATTATTGGAAATTCGCGTTCTATTATTTTTACCAGGTCTTTTGCCATAACTAAAACGTCACAGTCAAGTGCAGCCTGAATGGTGTATTTTCTGTCAATCCCGAATAGGACTTCAATATCCCCAAAATATGAATCTTTTTGGATACTTTTATAAACAACGCCTGATTTTTGGATATAATTGGCTCGGCCTCCAATTAAAAAATAAATTTCGTCAGCATATTCTCCTTCACTATAAAATAAGGATCCTTGCTCAAAAAAAACATCACGCAAAAATGGAACTATAGAAGACACTTAAACTTAAATATAGGTTGGCTTCTAGCATTGAGTGGGAAGGCTATGGACTTGCTTGGGTGAAACGAAAAGTTGCCTGCACAAAAATCCTAAAAAATGAAATTTAGGCAAAAAGGAAAGATTCAAAGCCTTGGGCGTAACTCCCAGTTTCTAGGAAGATGTCCAATTGATCTAGGCATTGCCCTGAGATGCTGCTGGGCTTTCCTTTATCCTGAACCCACCTTTTACCTTGAGGTAAAATCCAATCCTAAGAGCGAGCTAGGGCAAGGCTCTATTCATTCTCAGAATTGTTTCCCTAGCATTGCTATCTATTTCTTGATGGCAAAAAACCTTACAGATATAAATAAAATGTGCTCGAGGCTGCATTACCATAGCCGATACCTATTTTATTTATGATTTCTAGAAGACACAAAAACTTGGTCCTTGTTTTTAAAAAATGGTAAATTTTTTGCAGCTCCTTTATGCATTTCAATTGATACTTCATACCTTAAATTTCGTGGTATTTCATTAAGGATATTCTGTTTTGCCGTTAAGGAATACCCTTGCTGTTCAGTTGAATATTTTAATGCTTTTCTGAGTTTTTGTCTTAAATCAAGGCTAAGATGTGCATCTTTGGCGAACTCATCAATTATTTCAAGCTTAGAGATCAAGTTTTTTTCCTTAGTATCAAGACCTGCTAACATTGAGGATAAAGATCCTACAGTAAAAGAGATAAAAAATAAAGCAAACATCATCCAGCACATAGCTAAAAATCTTTCTAAAACAGTTAATGCATTTATATCACCATAGCCAACTGTGCATAGAGTCGTTACTGCTCAGTACATAGACAGAGAATACTTAGCTGGCTGTGAATAATCTACATACCCAAGTCTAACAACTCAGCTATTTGGGTTATAATCATCTAATGAATATGACATATACCAAAAGCATGCCATGATATGAATAATTATAAAAATTGCCCCAAAAGTCTTTATTAGCCTTAATGCACTTTGCTTCAGTCGCAGAATTTTTTGGATGCTTTCCATAAATTCATTTTGTCCTCCATTAGAAAAAATCCTCGATATTTGTAGAAGTCTGAACAGCCTAGGCAGCCTAAGTAGCCTTAAAAGATTGCTATAGCCTTTAGTAGCTTTTAAATTTGTGGTATTTTTGGTTATAATCCCAAAAGGCATGCATGATATACAATCAACAATCATCCAGGATTTCAGATATTTCATCACAATTTTTTTCCTATCAGTAATAAACGTCCCATCGTCATCATGATAAGCTGTAAAACAGGTAAAAATGATATCAACCCCAAACAAAACATTTAGCATGACATCATCAATATAAAACCAAAACTCTTGATCATAATTATCATTAAATGCAATATTATAAGGCAATAGTGTAGCTGTGTATAGCAGTAAAATTATGATAAATAAGTTCCAAAACATCTTTGTAGGCTGCCTTGGGTCGAACATGAATGGTGGGACTGTTTCTTTTTTTACTTCTTTAAAAGCTTGCAAAGCATAATTTTCATTTTTCTTTACTAGAGCTTCAATGTTTGTTTTCATTGAATCTTGATGAAATAAACTTCCAGAAGGTCAAGGCATAATAAATATAAAAATTTTTCTATAAAAGTAAAAAAATTTGGAAAAATAAATTTTATTTAATTTTTCCTTCCAGAAGTACCATATAAATTAACTTCAGCACATATATGTTGAATAAGCAACTTCGTCCGAAGCTTTAGTCGGGTCCTTTTTCAAACATCTAAATATTTTGAATTAATTACAGGAGTGTTCCGAGTTTCTCTTTTCTTTCTTTCGGTTGATGAAAGATCTTCAAGATCTATGTCATCATGAGGTTTTTTAGGGATTGGCAGAGGGATTATTATACTAGAATATGATGTTGTTTTTGAAGGAGCTCCTGTCTCTGTCATCGATATACGAGAAGATTTAAGAGTCCGCGTATAGCTGCTAGCTGGGGATGGAAGAAGCGTAATACTGTCATCAATTGATGGATTTTCAGTAATCGCATGCTTTTGGAATAATCTTTTTAACACCTACTTTGGAAATTACCATAAAATTGTTGCGAAATTAAAATATGCCTATTTTTAAAACAATTCTCTGGCTAGCTGTTTGCATATCTATTATATAAGAATAAGATTGGAAAACTTAGATTTACTATAAATCATTATATAATTTTGAGGAATTGACCGAATTTTAGATCAGAATTATCTTTACTTAGAGTAATTTATTTTAAATTTTAAGATTTTTGTATAAGTGAGAACAGGAAATATAAAAAAGGGAAAGAAATTATGTTTAAAACTGTAAATCTTAATAAAAAATTTAAAAAATCCTGATTTTTAATATTTTTTTATTGAAATTTATAAGTAGATTTAGATTATTTCGAAATTTTATAATTAATCATAAACCTTATTTTTAATCAATGGCATCAATCCCTATATCTCTCTATATATAATAATATTAAAGATTTTGAAATAAATATTGCCTAATGACTACTAAATTGAAATTTATCGTACAGAATAATCATTACATCTTTATAACGAATGATAGGGATGATGAATCAATTTTTAAATTAATTTATTATTTGAATAAGTTTTTCAAGAGGTTGCATTATTCTAGCATAAACCATTATTTTTTAAACTCTTATCATATTTCCAAACTCAATAAATTCACATAAGATTATTCTTATATACAGCATTAAACCTTTCTCCGGAAAAAAATTATAATTAACACTTTAAGAATTGTACATACTAAAAGAAACTTCATCAAACGGCTTGGGCTGCTCCTCCTGCTTATCAGTATCCAGATCTTCTTTTCCTTCATTATCCGCTATTAATCTTGAAACCCTTATAGGTGAAAGCTTCCTTCTAGGCTGCATAGAAAGTTTTTCTCTTACATCATCATATACTTTTGCAGAATGATTTTTTGCCTCAATCATCTCATTTTCTAATAAATTTAATTTATCTTGAATATTTTTTAAATATTCAAACATTTCAGATGGCTGAAATTTTTTATCCTTTTTTGAGTTTCTTTCTGAAATTTGCATCGCTTTTTTCTGTTTATTTTCTGCAAAGTCTTTGATTTCTTGCATAGATAACGCATTCAGGCTGTTAGATCGCTTCGCCTTGATTATTTCTTTCATTTCAAATTTTGCCTTCATATTAGCCCTGTCTCTTGCATCTGCAATTTCATGCATTTGTTTAAAAATTGTTGGAAATTCTTTTTCAATTAATCTGACGAGCTCTTTATTCATTATTAATACATCACAATCAATCCCAGCTTGAATTGTATATTTTCTGTCTATACCTCTTACTTTCTCCTTACATATTTTTCTCTATAACTATTTTTTTAATGCAAATTGTCGCTAATTTATATAATTTGTTTTAGATATTATTAATTAATTATTAAAATGTAATTTTTGTTAAACAATAATTTTAAATTAAAATATTTCGCAAATGATTATGGAAGATTTAGTACTTCAATATCTCCAAAATACGAATCTTTTTGAATACTCTTATAAATAATGCCATCTTTTTGTATATAATGTGCTCGGCCTTTAAGTAAAAAATATATTTCGTCAGCATATTCACCTTCACTATAAAATAATGATCCTTGTTCAAAAAAATTATCTCTTAAAAATGGGACCACTAAAGACACAAAGGCTTCATCTCGGTGAATGAAGAAAGGCAGTCTTTTAGCAGCTCCTCTGTGCATTTCAATTGATATTTCGTATCTTAAGTTTCGAGGGATTTCGTTAAGAATATTTTGCTTTGCTATTAATGAGTATCCTGGGTTTTCAGATGAATATTTTAAAGCTTTTCTGAGTTTTTGTCTTAAATCAAGGCTGAGATGTACGTCTTTTGCGAACTCATCAATTATTTCAAGCTTAGAAATTAGGAGTTTTTCTTTAGTATCAAGACCTGCTAACATTGAGGATAAAGATCCTACAGTAAAAGAGATAAAAAATAAAGCAAACATCATCCAGCCCATAGCTAAAGATCTTTCTAAAACTGTTAATGCATTTATATCACCATAACCAACTGTGCATAGAGTCGTTACTGCTCAGTACATAGACAGAGAATACTTAGCTGGCTGTGTATAATCTACATACCCAAGTCTAACAACTCAGCTATTTGGGTTATAATTATCCAATGCATAAGACATATACCAAAAACATGCCATGATATGAATAATTAAAAAAATCGCCCCAAAAGTCTTTATGAGCCTTAATGCACTTTGCTTTAGTCTTAGCAATTTTTGGATATTATCCATAAATTCATTCTGCCCTACGCTATCAGAAAAAATCCTCGAAATTTGAATAAGTCTAAAAAGCCTAGGAAGCCTTAGCAGCCTAAGAAGATTACTATAACCACTCATAGAATGATTAGTGAGTGCACTTTTTGCATTACATTACATTACATTACATTAGAATTTATATCGCTTAACGTCCACTACGGGGTTACAACTCCAGGTTTATCACTCGCCTTTCGTCGCATCGGGCCCACCAGTCTGCTGGAGACAAACTCGCTTTGATCACCAGGGTGCTTCCAGGGCAAATGTCCACGTCTTCGACGGCTCATGGATGAGCTACTTGCTTGTTACATGGGTTGCTTTTCCGAAAAAACCCCAAAAAATGGATTTTTCTGGTCGGCTATCGGCAAAAAGGGAAAAATGCAAAGCCTGGGACGTAACGCCCAGTTTCACGCTAGGGAGTTGCCCGAATGGTCCAGAGGACTTTGCTGGGCTTTCCCTTTCCAACCTTGCACCCTCCTTCCCCACGAGGAAAAATCCACCCCTGAGAATAGACTTGGGCTAGGCTCTGAAAGCTACCAGAATTGCTTACCTAGCATTGCTGTCCATCTCTGAAATGGTAAAACCTTGCCGGATATAATTAAAATATGAGTCGAGGCTGCATGGCCGGGAGGCCATGCCCAGACGAAGACGCCATATTTTTAATTATGAGTGCACTTTTTGCAAGAACCCCAAACGGCATACATGATATACAATCAATAATCATCCAAGATCTCATATACCTCATAAAAATTTTTCTTCTATCAGTAATAAAAGTCCCACTCTCATCATGATAAGCTGTAAAGCAGGTAAAAATTATGTCCACCCCAAATAAAATATTTACCGCAATATCATCAATATAGAACCAAATCTCGTTTTCGTAATTATCATTAAATGAAATATTGTAAGGCAACAGTGTAGCAGTATATATAAGTAAAAGGACAATTATAAGATTCCAAATTGTTTTTGCTGGCTTGCCGGGATCAAACATAAGAGGTGGGAGTTTTTCAATCTGCTTGTCTTTTCTCTTCTGTAAAGCATAGTTTTCGCTTTTTTTCACCAATGCTTCAATATTTGTCTTCATGGAGTCCTGATGGAATAGACTTCCAGATGTTCCATATAAATTAACTTCTGCACATATATGCTGTATCAGCAATTTTGTTCTCAATTTAAGCCTCGCTCTTTTTCAAACGTCCAAATATTTTGAATTTACCACAGGAGTATTCCTCATGTCTCTGTTCTTTCTCTCGGTTGATGAAAGATCTTCAGAATCAAATGTATCGTTAGCTCTTTCGTTTATAGCCAAAGGAGAAATTGAGCTTGAGAATGAGGTAGCTTTGGAGAAAGGGCCTGTTTCTGTCAAGGCTAGACGGGAAGATTTGAGAGTTTGTGTATGTCTTGTTGTGGTGGAAGAAGGTAGAAGTAAACTACTATCATTTATAGACCGATTTTCAGTAATAGCGTGCTTTTGAAATATTCTCTTGAGGACCTAATTTGAGGTTACCATTACTCTTATCTTATGCAATTTAAATGGCCATTGTTCAGGTTGCCAATCACTGGTTTAATATGTGAATTTACAATTTAGAAGAATTTTAAAATATGAAGGTCAGACCATAATTGTGAATTATTTTATAATTAAATTGAGTATTTACTTACTCCCCCCCATCCTTGATCGAACGACTCGCCCATCGTTCGATCAAGGATGGGGGTTAAAAAAAATTTTTCGGGAAAAAAAAAAATTTATATATAAAATAAAAAAGTATATAGATATTTTTTTTTATTTACTTTTAAATAAGAGGGTTAAGAATATATTAAATAATATTTTTACAGCAAAAAATTTAATTTATTTCATAAAATATTAATTTTTAATATTTTGATTTATTAGTTTACCCTTTAAATTGTATAAATTTTAATTTGTTCCTTATTAAATTAATTGTTTTTTTAAAACAATTTTAAAGAATCTCTATTTTATTAGATTATTGAGTTTTTAAGCATATGTTAATGACTAAATCACTTCGGATAGTTGATTCCGCAGCTTTCTGTCGTCTCAAAGCCTGAAAACAACTTCATTATGTACATCTTCCCAAGCTTTTTTTGATAAATAATATATTTTTTTATATATATAAAAATTTGCATGATATGAAAATCGTTCGATCAAGGATGGGGGTTAATTTCCCCAATTTTTAGGAATTTTTACAGTCAATCGTTCAATCAAGGATTGGGGGGGGAGTTAATAGGCTTTGTCTGCTAAATTTGTTAAAATAATTGATACCTTCTATGTTTATGGTCAGTTAGCTAAATACTTATAAGGCAGGTATTAACAAAAATAGCACAAAAGTTTGGAAGTCAATAATTTAGGCTTTGTTTTTTGAAAAATAGTATTTTTCAATAAAGCAGTTATCATTTATTTCAGAAATAATAATCTTTGTGTCAGAATTCCATTAATATGGCATGAAAATAAATAACATTTAAAATTATATCTATTATTACACTGAGCACTTCCTTTTCGCGGTTCTAGAATTCGATTCTTCAATTTGTTTTTCCAAGCCTTTAATTACATCTTTTAGTCTCCTTATCTCTTTTTCCTTCTCAGAAATTAAAATTGTTTCTAAAAGTTCTGCAGCGCTTGGCCTTTCATATAAATCCTTGCTCATCATTTTTTTTACACAAAATTGCAGCTCCTCAGAGAAGTCTCCTTTAAAGTCCAAGTCGCCATTTCTAATAGAATGCCACTCTGGGCCATTAATTGGCAGTGTTTTTCCTCTCATTAGCTCATAAATAGTAGCTCCCAATGAAAAAATGTCAGCTTTAGATAAATCTGGGATGCTTTCAGGATTTTCTGAAACATTTGCTAACACTTCAGGAGCTAAATATCTTGCGTCACCTTCAGGGATTTCTCCAGTCAAATTTGTGGTGACTCTTGCAAGTCCTAAATCGGCTAATTTAAATTTTCCTGAAAAGCTGTATAAAATATTTTCTGATTTAATGTCCATATGAATAATGTTATGAGCGTGCAATTTTTTTAATCCCTTACAAATATTCTCTTTCTAATTAAATATTCCTATTTTAATAATATTTATAAGCCATTTCCATTAAAAATTAAATACAGTTTTCTCATTTTTTAGATTTTTTTTTTAATCTTGTATATCCCTCATAATTTTTCTGATCAAGCTTTCTGTTACAGGCGGATTTCTTTCTACATACCTTGTAAGCGAGCAATCGCATAATTCCATACAAATATAAAGATAATCTTTTTCAATCCAAACTGAATAATATCTAATGATATAAGTATTGTCTTCACACATAGAACTTTGTGCTAGCGCATAGGCTTCTTGTAAGGCTTCATTTCTAGACGCTTTATTCCTTGGGTTTGTTTTTATCTGTTTTACTGCGTAATAAAGCCCGTCAATTTTATTCAAGCACTTATAAACAGCCCCAAAATTTCCGCTGCCTAAAATATTTAACTGTATAAAATCATGCTCGTACCTGCAGACTTCTAAATCGTCTTCAAGAATGCTATTTCTATGGGATAAAGGTGGGGAATACATAGAGTCGTCAATTTTAAAGGTCGGTAAATCATAGTCTAAATTTTCTTTGGATTTGAAAATTTGTAATTCAAAGCTGTTCATTCGGGATAAGGTGAGCTCAGCTTTTGGGAAAGGGGTTTGGAAAAATATAAGCTTTTTGTCAATGCTCAGAGCTGGGGTAAGAGGGGTACAAGGTGTTGAATGGCCTGAGGAAAATTTCCCATCAAAAAGCTTGTCCGCCAACCTCCATCTTTCGTAATAGGAATTTCTTGGAATTGTAAGAGGATCTGGACGGATTGAGTCTAAGGTAGAGACCAGCTGGTAATTTTGATTAGAATCTTTCATGAGAGAGTTGAGTAAAACTTCTCTACATTGTTTAAGCTTAGACGTTCTGTTGTCTTCCATTATTTTTAAATCTATTTCCGCCAAATTTACATATATGTTTCATTATTTTGGAATTGATTAAGCTATATTTATTCGCCTTACCCCTCCACTTTAAATTGGAACAAAATATCGATAAATTTTCCATTTTTTGGATACTTCAACCCCTTTAAATTGGATCAGTTTTTTCAATAATAGTAAAAATTCTATTTTTTATAAAAATAATTTTGATCTAATTTTATGGAATAAGTGCAAATGAAATATTATTTAAACAGTTTTCATGCTGAAGCAATGAACTTTTGAATTATACTTCATAAAATAAATTAAAATTCTAAAAATTGCATCAATTTTATATTTTTTAAAAATTTATTATGAAAAACCAAAGTAAATTTTTTTTAAAAAAATTACCGATTTAATCTGGACAGAATTTTTTGTTCTGATTTAAATGGAGAGAGAGAGCTAAAATATTTTTACTTGAAAATTTAATATAAAATTAGAAATAATTTTTTAGAAACAGCAAGCAATGCACAGTAATGTTTAGCCAGAATATCGTCTAATATCTAAAAAAGGAGAAGGAACTTTTTCAGAAGTTTTAAAAGCACAAAGTATTAAAACTGGCAAATATGTTGCCATCAAATGCATGAAAAATCATTTTAACAGTCTTGAACAAGTCAACAATTTAAGAGAAATTCAAGCTTTAAGACGCTTGTCTCCGCATCCTCATATAGTAAAACTTCTTGAAATTCTTTCTCCTCACCCTAATTTATTTTTTTTTATAATAATTATTTTTAATAATATTTATCCTTAATTTTCATTAAAAAGTTAGTAATTTCTAACTAGTGATGAGCCAACAGGAAGACTTGGCCTTGTTTTTGAATTAATGGACCTGAATCTTTATGAGTGGATTCGTGGACGACGACATTATATCCCAGAAAACAAAATTAAATACCATATGTATCAACTACTAAAGTCTATTGATCACATGCATCGTAATGGCATATTCCACAGAGATATCAAGCCAGAAAATGTACTTTTAATTGACGATGTGCTGAAACTTGCAGATTTTGGCTCCTGCAGAGGAATCTATAGCAAGCAGCCTTATACAGAATATATAAGCACCAGATGGTACAGGCCTCCAGAATGCTTGCTAACTGATGGCTACTACAATTTCAAAATGGATATCTGGGGTGTGGGCTGCGTTTTCTTTGAAGTTTTAGCTTTATTTCCTTTGTTCCCAGGGAACAATGAGATGGACCAAATAGATAAAATCCATAAGATCCTTGGAGTGCCTCCAGCAGAACTAATCTCTGATTTCCAAAGCAAAGCAAAAGAAATTGATTTTAGTTTTCCTCATCGCGAGGGTACTGGAATTGATATATTTTTTCTATTAAATTGACCAAAATTATTTTTTTTTTTTAAAATTTAAAATTTCAATTAAAAAAGAATAAATTAATACCCCAAGTAACTCCATTGGCAAAAGATTTAATTTCAAAACTATTGACTTATAGTGCAGAAGAGAGGATTTCAGCTCGGCAAGCACTGAAGCACCCATATTTTAAGGATATAAGAGAGCAAGAACAGCCTTCAAGAGTAACAATATCTCCAGCAAGCTTAAGAACTCCTGAAGGTGACAGTGCTGCAGGAGACGGGACTGAAAATTCAGATGGCCCAATTTTGCCACCACTAAAAGGGCCTGTTGTAGCTTTGCCAAAAATAAAGAAAAAATCTGAGGTAAAATTGAAAAACCAAAACTCAATTAAAAGCATATCAATTGACCAAAAAGTCAGCCCATTCAATAAGAAGCCAATAGAAGTAAAAAAGAATTATGTGTCGCCATACAGAAAAGGCATATATAAAGGCGGTGTTTATTAATTCTGAAAAAATAATCTAAGATCTTTAAATTAGAAACTGCTTAGCCATTTTAAGAAGTTATGACTAGGCGTGTATCCATAAAGGTCTCTAAACCTTTTGGACACCATTTGTTGGTCTTGTGTATGAGCCACAGGGAATACTCCATATGTTTCTCTGATGCTCCAAGGCTCACTAACTCTTTCTACATCTTGCACATTGATAGATTGAGACAGCCTTTCAATAATCGTCTCAAGAGTCATTGATTCTGGCTCCGATGCATAAAATAGCCCAGTTGCTTTATTTTCGACAAGAATCCTATACATATCTGCAAGGTCTTCATAATGAATAAAACAAATATGTGGGTTTCCATTGACAGCAATAATTTTATTATGCTTTTTGCAAGCCAAAATCCAGTCTTCTACAAAGCTTCTTCCATAGACCCAGACAGGTCTGATAACTGCTGCACGTAGATTTCCACAGGTTGCATTGCAAACTTTTCTTTCTAAAATAGGTCTAAATGCAAAAGAAGGAAGACATTGTGAGGTATCGTCATGGTCTTCATCAATAATTCAATTAGTATTGCCATTAATGACACATCCAGATGTAGAAAGAAGGGAAACTGGCTTTGTTTCAGCTGTTTTGCGGGCTCCAGAGATCATAGCGTCCGTGATTATATGCTCAGATTTTATTCCGTCTTCACTAAAGGTAAAGGCTGTATGGATTATTGCGTCAAATCCTATACAAAGGTCGGCAATTTGATAGGCTGTTTCTGGGTTTATAGTAAAAATTAGAGGAATTCCACCTTTATTAGAAATTTCTGCAGCTTTTGCTTCAGATCTTACAATGCATGTGACTTCGTGGCCGTGGGCAATCAAGTTTTCTAATACAGCGCTTCCGATAGAACCTGTTGCTCCAGTCAAAAATATCCTCATTTTTATGGCTTAGGAAAGGATAGCTATTTTAAAACGCTTATATATTTCCACGGTTACAAGCTGAAAATCAATTTTCTTAATTTTTGATTTAATTCTTAGCCAAAATATTTAAAGATGGTTTACAATTAGGAATGCGCTGTTATGTCTTGGTATATAAACTTCGCGATCTTCAAATGGGTTGCAGCCCTACATGGAGATGAGCTTGGAGACACAGGTGACAAGCCTTCAGTTTCTCTAATAAATGAAGCCAATCCTAAAACTCCGTCCAGGTCTTTTGGAGCTGATCTGATTTTCAATCTTTTTTGTTTTTGTCGATATTGCTTTACGCTTATTTTGGCTATTCTATAGTGGACAGTCCCATAGATATCTTGTAGGTCTTTAAGGATGTCGTTTGGGCTGAACTTGACTCTGTCTGACTTGCGTGAAAACGTTGCTAATTTTTTCATGCTTTAAATTAATTTTAATTTCATAGATATGAGTGAAGGTTTAATATGAATTTGTAAAACTTGATAGGAAATTATAATTATTAATTTTCAAAGTGGTTGATTCAAATATATGAAATATGGAATGAAAATATATAGTAAATTAGGAAAAATTAATTTTGCGAGATCTGAGAGGCTTTAGGGAGATAGAATTTAGACTGTGTGCGAAGTGCTGTAAAATCTGAATTTTGGTGAACTAGAGATTTATAATTTTATTTATTTGGGAAATTATTCAATTATAAGGAGAAGCGCATTTAACTTTCATAAGCTTTAAAAGGCATTAAAATTTTGAATAACTACTCCCCCTTTAAATTGGAACAGAATATAGATAAAATTTCCATTTTTTAGGTACTTTAAACCTTTTTAAAAGTAAAAAATTGTTTTTCAATTGGATGATTTTATAGTTAAAAAAAAATTTATTTATTTATAAAATAATAATATAAAAAGTAAAGTATAATTTTATTTACAGTTTTCACACCAAATCGATTAATTTTTTGAATTAATTCTTCATAAAAGTATTAAAATTCAAGTATTGTGCTCAATTGATATTTTTTTGAATTTATAAAAATTTAAATATAATTGTTTTTAAAAAGAAAATTTAACACCCCTTTAAATTGGAGCAGGATTTTTTGTTCCAATTTAAAGTAGAGTAAAGAAAAGTATAATAAATAAAAATAAATTGAGATTAATTATAACTTGGCTCTAGAAATCTTCATTTATCATATTTTCAAGTCTGCACATCTTACACTAATTTAATATTTTCAATATCGCTAGTTACCTGCAGCATATTTTCCAAAACTTCTTTAAGCTCTTGCTTTTCTTTTTCTTTTTCACTAATTTGATCTCTTAGCCTATTTTTAATTTCTACCATACACTGTGTAGGTCTCATTCAATAAATCAATTGATAAAAATTTAAGATGATCTGTTCATAGTCTTTGAATTTCCCTGGAGCATCCATAGGGGATTCTGCAAGAGTTTTAATTAAATTCAAAGCAGACTGGTATAATGTATATTCCAGTCTTAAGAGAGTTTCTTTATTAAAAGTCGCAGGATCTTGCAGCTCAGTCTCAGGGATCATTTGGACAAAGTTTTCAGCTTCAATTCTTAAGGGGGCTTCTTTTGTAGTGAAAACCCTGCCAAACATAGAAAATTCGCCTTCAATAGGCGGGTTAGGAGGAGTTTTTAAACCTCGTTTATACCAAAAAGGAGGTGGTGGGAAAGCTGCATTATTTTGATCCATTTTGATTATATTAAATAAATTAATCCATTTAAATGGCAAAATCTCTTAAAATATTATTTATCATAAGAATATAAATTTAAGCATATGAATTCTTTCTCTAATAAGTTACAATAAAATCTAATAAAAATCTATTTAATTTTATTAATGACTGAGGAAACAAAGCACACAAAAGGTATCATCCGCTTGAACGCTTTTTTATGAGAAGAAATCAGCACCCTTGGCCCAATCCCCACACGAAGATCTAACCACACAGCTATTTGCTGAAGAGACTCCTTATTGATTTTCGGAGGCAAAAACCTATCAGATGGCCAATTTAACGACTTGTGGCTTTTTAGAATAAAACCTCACAGCCCAGACGAAGAAAGATGAATAAAGTTGGGCATTGTGAATGGTCCGCCACCTATCTGCCGTCATAGTGTTGTTTTATATAACCAATGCATGTATACTTTTGGTGGAATTATAAATGATGAATCATGCAACAGTTTATATGTACTGAATTTTGAGTCTATGCAATGAAATTTATTAGTAACTTTAAACAGTCCTAATCCTATTGATTCTCACACTGCCTGCTTATTTAATAATCAAATGATTATTTTTGGAGGATTTATCCAAGGAAACCGAGTCAATGATTTGTATGTCTTGAACATTGACACGTTAGAATGGACAAAAAAACACAATAGAAACTCCCCTAGCCCCAGATCTAACCATAGTGCTTGTATACATAGCGATTTTATGTATATTTTTGGAGGTTTTGATGATGAGTTTTACAGCGACTTATGAAGACTTGACCTGCATACTTATGAGTGGTTCCCAATATACATAAAATGGCGTATGGCGACCGACCCACCCTCTCAGTGGTGGTTACCCATGTATATCCGGGCATGGTTTTTGGAGCCAGGAATTAGCCCAACAACGTCTGGGACCTCGAAGCGAGAGGCCTAAGCGCGAGAGCCGCTGTTTTTGCGACCAGACCCATGGGCAGTTATTCGTGACTTCTTTTTGCCAGCAGCGCTCAGCCCAGTGAGTGCCCGAAATGAGGCAGGGTGAATTACCTGCCTAAGCTGCTTTAGTGGCTCGCCCCGAATGGCGAAAGCTGTTGAGTTCTTTCTCGGGATGACCGGAAAAGAGGGGAGGCGAGTTAGACACCAAAACGGGGGTCTCTCCAGTTGAAAAGGTGCCCTTCAATGGGCAGATCTGGCGGACGACGAAGCGGAGTTGGGCGTAAACTTAGGCGACGATCCAAGCTGGAAATGGAGGCGGTCAGCAAAGCCGGTATGAGACGGCCCTTGACAATACCTCTACCGAGAAACCGGGGGTTTCGGCCCGGGCTTGGTGAACGCTCTGCCACCACACGGGAAACCGTGGCATGCGACCTCGGACGTAGTAGGGACCTTAAATACCCAGCGTAATCTTAATCTTAATCTTAATCTTACTTATGAGTGGTTCCCAGTAACACCCAAAAATGACCCACCAATAGGCAGAAGTGGCCATAGTGCCGTTGTATATAAAAACAGAATTCTTATATTTGGCGGCATGAAAGATGTAGGACATGAGACGAATGAGCTATTTTGCTATACTAAATTTATAATTATTTAGTATAGTAATTGTATATAAAAATGAAATTAGCATGAATAGACCAATGTAACAGACCTCAACATACCAATTTATTTTTAATATACAATTTTTATATGAAATAATGCCAATGCGCCATATGATATTATCAAAAATAAATGGCTATTGCTATGTGAAGAAGATAACTCAGAAGAAATGAGCAGAATTTCATATGCTGCATCAGTATTTCCTAGGAGAAGATCAAAACTAGTTAAAAAGAGAAACAGCTCAAATGATAGGTCTGACACAAAGCCAAGCTTGTTCAGCAGCAGTAGCTGAGGAGGGTATAATGCGAAGTTCGGCAGGAAAGGATGTGCAGCGCCTCCTGCAAGAGATGGGCATACAGCTGTCATAATGGACGAACAAATGTATATTTTTGGAGGAGATAGACATCAGATTTCTTTTAATGACTTATATGTGCTTGCACTTGGAAGCTAGAAACGATATAATATGTTGGATTATTTAAAGCTTATTAAGAGAAAAATATATTTTATATGTGGAAAACATAAGAATTTATATTAAAAGCAATTTTTGCCTAAATAAAAGCTATAAATAATCTTTTTAAATTGATTATATATTATCTAAGTATTTTAAAATTAATAGGATTTTATGGTGAGAGATCAATTTCTTCTTCATTTAAGTTGTCATAGTCTGGGTCATTTTTTATAGATTTCTGAGGGTAAATTCCAGTGCCTGCAACATTTCTGACATCTTGGATTTCGTACTCAAGCTGCTTCTTGGTCTTTTTTAATAGGAAATAAGTAATAAGCCCAAATGTGGCTGTTAGCGTTAGGAGAGCTAGAAGTACCCAAAATCAGAATTGCTTGAAAATTGTGGTCTTATTTCTGTTTTTTGTTAAAATTTGATCGCTATTTGATACTGATAAAATATATGAACAATTTGAAGCAGAAGCGACTGATATTAAAAAATTGCAATTTGAGCAATAATTTTGGTCATTTGATTTTATTACAATTTCTTGCCCATTTTCACTATTTATAGATGATCAAATATGGCTTGATTCTGTTGGGAAATTTTCATTGTTATTTATATCATTGCTAGCGTAATAAATCACATTCCCATGCAGAGGTAATAGTTGAATAGTAAAATCTTTATCAAGATAATTATAAAATGCATAATAATTTTCACTATTCTCATCCAGTCTTCCATAAATTGGAATATTCGCTGATATTTTTGAAACCAATTTTTTTTGCTGAGCTACCATAATAACAAATTTAGCTGCTTGGTTTCCATATACTCCAATAATGTACACCCCTTTAAGGGAAGCTCCATTTTTCCTTACAATTATCAACGAATTGTCTTCAAAATACTCAGATTTTCAATCATACTGATTATTTTCTGGTATTTTATTCTCTCCTTTAATAGCAAACATATCAAGATTTTTTCCATTTTCTGTTGTCAGGGTTATCACATAATTTAAAATATGGCGTCTCCACCTAGCATGGCCTCCGGCCACGCAGCTTCCGAGCACATATTTTTATTATATCCGGCAAGATTTTGCCATTCTGGAAATGGGCAACAATGTCAGGTAAGCAATTCTGCAGGGCAGAGCCTGGCCCATGCTCAACGACTAGGATGGATTTTACCTCGTGGGGAAGGGATGCATGGAGGTTGGAAATGGGAAGCCCAGCAAAGTGCCTAGGATCATTCGGGCAACTCCCTAGCGTGAAACTGGGCGTTACGTCACAGGCCACATGCTTTCCCTTTTTGCCGAGAGTCGGCCAGAAAATCCATTTTTTTAATTTTCTGTGCAGGCAACTCACGTCACAACAAGAGAAGTCGCTTACTCATGAGCCGTCGAAGTCGGTGACGTCACCTGGAGGTGCATGGTGCGCTGAGCGATCGTACTGGGAGGCTGTGCTTTCAGATCCCTATGTGTCAAGAGGTGGCGGTGGGCCCGGAATGCCTGCCCCGTGAGGGACGTTAAACGCTATATCTAATTAAGAAAGTAAGTCAGGGTTATCACTATATTTGCATCTTTATCATTGCAATAAAATTTATAATATGTATATAGCTGATTGACTCTTTTAGATTCTTACAGAGTGTCTTTAAAAAGGAAAATGGCATGCTTTTCAAATTTTTTTTGCTAATTTTCTTTACAGCTTATCAAGAAAAAATAGCTCTTTAAAGGTATTTTACCTTGAAAATACTTTCCTAAAGCTTTCAAATAAGGCCTCACGCCATATTTATTCTGCTCTACAGCACCATGTTTAGGCTCGCCTTCTAATAACCAATAAATATTATCTTGATTCGCCTCAATCATATATCTGCAATTCCCTGTAAAGCAATGCACTAATGCTACCACAATACAGTCATCCGATGAGCAATAAGCCTTAAGGTCTTTTGGCTTAATTTTTATTTCTTCATTTTGTGAGGTAGAATCTGACAGCATGAGGTAGACTATTGGAGTAGGGAGTGTCCAATAATGATAAGAATATCCATAAACTGAAGGATCTATTATGCTTATATACAGATTTGGGTTACCGTCTGAGGTTTGAAGAGATATAGTAGCCTGGCTTGACGAATTTGTAATAGCGTAAAAATAATCATACTCCCAGTTCTTAGTTTGGTGCATCTCAGGGACATTTAAATGCAATAAAGAAGGCGATAAGACATTAGAATGCACTTTAAGTGTATAAGTAGACGATAAATACCCATAAATTCCAATATATAAAGTACAAGGCTGACTACTGCAATGTTGCTTTATGTCATGCTCCCAATAAAGACGAATTGAGTCACTTCCATAGTCGGACTTAAAAAAATCATATTTGGTTGTAGATGGCTGGGTATAGTTGGGGTTTAAAGACATATAAATGTCTGGATCCCCACTTAGCGCGGTAGCTGTTATTGTGATGTCTTCATGATCATGCTCAATCAGATAAGAATAATATTTGAATTTGTGTAAACCGACTTGGCCTGCATAAAACATGTCAGTTATTAAACGAATATCTTCTCCATGAGATACATATATAGAGTAATTGCATATTGATAGACAAATTACAGATAGAAAATAGTCATGGTTAGGCATAACTTGATTTTTTCCAATTTTTATTGATTTTTCTGACTGTCCAAAAGTGCTTATATCATAACTTGTATTGTTTGGGATTTTTGATGTTGATAAAAGAAGGTCAGAATTATTGGTACCAGCCAGTGGGGTTAGAGTAAAAGTAAGATCTGAGATATGGCTTCGATGGGTATGAAATAAGCTCTGAACTACGCTTTGCCTAGTCTCCGAGCTTATTTGGGATAGAAAATAAGCGAATTGACTCATAAAATTCGCTTTTGATGAATTAATGGACTTAGTTTTATAAAGATAAGATATAGGGGATAAGCTAAAAGCCTCCTTGAACAATACATACTGATTAGTTCCACCTTCATCATTAGTTATGTGTCCTTCAATGATTTCTCCATCTTGTAATGTGATTTGTGCTACGACAAGAGAAAGGATAAAAAAAATAATCATTTTAAAATTAATTAAGGTGTTTTAAAAGATACAAATTTTGGATAAAAATAAATTTGTGGTAAAAATGGATTAGGCTAAAGATAAATTACGGCCAGAATTGACATTTTTGTTTTGAGAAACAAATATTGCTGGATAAGATAACAGTTTGCTTGAAAACTATTAAGAAAATAAGCTATAGAAATTATATTTTATTTAAATATAGTTTATCCGCCTTAATAGACCACTTGCAATTATCTAAAGCAGATCAAAACTGCAAGACTCAGTCTTATGCTCTTTAAGACTTATTAAGCATGTCAAAATCAAAAGGAGAAATTTATCTTTGCTTTTGAGTTATCTAAAATATTAATTAATTCAAATTCCATTTTAAAATTAAAAATTTTTATTTATAGTGAATTATAAGGGATTTTGAATAATAAATTCTGAATTTTTTTTGTCTTTGTATTGTGCTAATTACTATTAATATTAATTATTGATATTATAAAATAGCAATAAATTAATTAGTGGCATGATCTTTTAAAGATTCTATGCTTGATTTGTTTTGGTCTTGCTTTTAAACCTTATTCACATAATAGTTTGACAAAATCATTTTATTTCTAAAGCACTCAACCTAAAGCATATAATTTATAATAGCTTAAATTAATAAATATTTACTCAAAACAATTTCATAAATTAAAATATGCATAGCTGCTCAATTCTAATATTCTAAGATGGTGATCAAATCAAAAATATATGAAATCCTCAAGCAATACTTACTTCATGCAATTAACTTTTTCTGATATCGAAAATCCCAGCTTATAAAGATTATACAATTTATTTATAATTTTTTGGTTAAATAAATTTTTAAGAAATAGTCAACAGAAATTATATAAAAATACTATATAAAATAAACTTATAAAAAAATTTTTCTGGCGATTTTTCAAAATTAGGAATTTTTGCTGTGTTTTACTTTGCGGAAAGCTAGGAGATTATCTCTATGGATTTCAAAGAGACCAGCTAGACGTCGCCCTCCTTTCTGGTCGCATTGATCTTGTCAATGTGAATTTCCGTCCATCAAAAGTAAATGACTTACTCCTTTCTCACGGCCTCCCATTTCATTTAAAAGCTGGATTAATAGGGAAGCTTCGCGTGAAATTTCATTACACCTCAATATTTTCCAACCCAATCGTAATTGAAATCGATGATCTACTCCTAATCTTCGGGCCTATTTTAAGCGAGCCATCAGAGCCCGCTCATGACAGACTTGACACTTTTGTTTCTGATGAAGAACTCTCACAAGATGATTTATTTGAGTCTATTCTGGACTAGTCTCTATAATATTAATAATTTTAATACCAAAACCTATTTTTGTGTAAAATTTATATATACATAAAAATGGAGTGGCGAATCAACCCGACCTCTTAACACCTGTAGCTGGGGTCACCCAGGGACCTTGTGGAAGGGAGGTTGGCGTTCGGTAATGTGTATCCGGCCAGGTTTTTACTTGGTTTGGGTGGAGCGCAATGTCGGATTAGGCCGACCGCAAGTTCACACCCAGGACCAAGGTTTTTTGCCTCTTGGGAAGATGGGTTCGGCGTTGGAAAGGGAAAGCCCAGCAGAGTCGACAAGACCAATCGGGCAATTTCCTAGCGCGATACCAGGCGTTGCGTCCTAGGCGACGGATTCCATCTTGGCCAGTAGCTTGACCAGAAAATTCATTTTTTTGATTTTCTGGAGGGTAGCCCAAGTTGACGTACGGCACGGTGGCCCAGTCCACTGACTCGCCGTTAGACGCGAGCCTCAGGCGGCGAGGAGTCTACCCCTAGAGGGTGGCGGCAGGCGGCCAAGACGAAACAAGGTGGAGATAAAGCGTTGCATGACGCCAACAGGGAGCTTTTCGATAATCTAATTAAGTAAGTAAGTAAGTGTAAAATTTATATATAAGTTTTTCATTTTTTTACTTATAAAGGAAAGAAGAATAATCATACAGACTCTTCTGATTGTGATAATTTAGGATCTGAAGAAGAAGTCCCTGCAATGCCTCAAGGCACTGATGTGAGGATGCTAAAACCTGCTCAGCCAGTTTATTTTGAAAATGAAGAAGACTCTGAAGTATTCAAGAAGCCAAAAGTTGCTAAGAAAATTGCATTGCCAGAAGAAGTGAAAAAAGCGCCAGATGCAGCATTTTTCCAAAAACCACAAGAAAAAAAAGCCCCAGAAGCAGCTTATTTTCCAAAACCGCAAGAAAAAAAAGGCCCGGTCCAAGCAAAACAAGGAGCTCAAGAGCAAAGACCAGGAAAATCAAACCATCAACAAAACATATCCAAAACCCAGCCGAGCCAAGGAAAAGAGGCTCTTCCACCTCCTCCTTTACAGCCAGAGCATAGAGAAGAAGGCTTAATTGAGCGATACTTTTCAAAAGTTCTAATGAACCTTACCTTAATTGTCCATCGAGTCCATATCCGGTATGAAGACGAAACTTACCCTTACAATCATCCCTTCGCCTTCGGGATTTCATTAGACAACATGGAGGTAAAAACAGCAAGCCAGGAATGAATTTTTGATGAGAAACAAGAAATAAAGAAAAAAACTGCAAGAAAAAATACCACAATTAAAGAATGCAAGCTGGAAAGATTTGCAATTTATATGAACTCAATGGCTGGGATGCTGATTCCGACTTCTTTATGGGAAGCGACTTTGCATTCACAAATAGGAATTTTTGAGGCGCTGCCAGCTTATGAAGTTAGAGACTTAATATTTTTTTTTGAAAAAAATAAGCCTAGATACATAAAGAGATATTAAATTAATTTTTTATAAAAATTAAGAAAATGCTGGTAATTATTAATTGAGGATTCTCTTTTAATAAGCATATTACAAGAAGGCGAAATTTTAAGCAACCATCCGACTGCAGCTTTGCTTTCTCCAGTGAATGGCAGCTTATGCATCACCATTGCTCAAGAAGCCCCAAAATTGAAGATTTCAGGCATTTTTGAAAAAATCACTATGAGATTTTCTTCAGCGATGGCTGAATCAATTAGGAATTTTTTTGAGTATTTCACCAATGTACAACTCTGATGGAGTATTAAGAGATATAGGCCAAGCGAAAGAATTATAACAGCTCCAAGGACAGATTTTGAACAGAGGCATTTAATTATAAAGCGAAGCACCATTATCAAAAAATGGTTCCAATATGCATTCAGATTTATCAGAGCGAAAAGAAAATTAATTAAATATATAAGAGCTAGAAGAAAAGAAGAAGAAAAAGAAAGAGAGCGCGAAGAACTAATTAGGCAAAAAACCATGCCAAGGAGAACAGAAGCAAAAACCCCTACACCACCTCCTATTCATATTCAAGAACCAGCTCCTTCTAGCCACAATAACACCCAAAAAGTAAGTTTTCTTTCAAATATCCCTAGCACCCCACAAAGGGAAAACAAAGTCCTATCTTTCCTTGGCATTGGGAAACCAAGACAAGTCCCAGGCGTCGCAAATACTGATCTAAGTACCCTAGTAAAAGAATATAACATAAAACTTCTCAATACAAGCGCAACTAGTGCTACACAAAATACACCTAAAAAGAAAATTGCAGAGCCCCAAATCAAAAAACAATCCCCAAAAGAAAATATAGTTGAGCCGAAAGCGCCACAAATGAAAGAAAATTTTGGCGAAAAATATTTTCCATCTGCTTTTGAAAATTCAGAAATTGATATAAAGAGTTCTGGAGGAGTTTTTGTGATGCTTGACGATGAAACTATGATTGAATGGGAAACTGGTGTGGAGGAGATATTTTTAAGCTTCAGAATTATGGTAAATACGATGACTGGGGCAATTATAGTGGTGGCAGAAATTTATATGAGAAAATTTATGCAAAAATTTTAATTTAATAAAAAATAAAAAAAAATTCCCCAATTTTAGCAACAAAAATACATTCAGGGCTTCGTGACGAAAATGGACAATACAGCTTTTTAGATCTAGGCAAGCTAGGAGAGTCTAAAACTGAAATGGTCAGAGATGGGCTTTTTAAAACTCTAAAACGACAAGTAATTGAAACTCCTAAAGAAAAAGCCCTCGATTTTACCTTTGTGTACCGTCCTGGTGAGGTGAAATATTTTGGAGAGTCTCACCCTCATTTCAATAAATATGAAATCAAAGGAAAAATCGCCCCGGCGAAGCTTGAATATAAGCACATGTTTTTAACCCATATTTTAGCATTATATGAGTCATTCCAGCTTGACAAAGCCCATAGAGCTAACCTTGATATGAATTATATAAAAAAATTAGAGCTCAAAAGAAAATCCACTTTAGGTTTTAGAGAAAAATTCATTAAAAAACAGAAAGAAGTCGCTCATTCTGCTGCGCTTAAAAAATTTGTGCTTACAAGAAAGCTTGTAAAAAGTCTGGTGAAATTCCAGTCAGAATTAAAAAAAAATTTAAAGAAAATTGATGCAAAAATTTTGCCTATTTCTTTTGATTGGAATGTATAAGTAATTATAACACAAAAGGCTTTTAATATTTAAATATATATATTAATAATAATCATTATAAATGAAAATAGAGCTTGGAGGGCTTAATTTAGCCTTTTATGATGGCAGAGCACTTCCCTGCTCAGAATTTTTCTTAAATAAAGGAACAATAGAAATAGTGAAAACTGAAGACCAAATTAAAGCTTGTGCATGGGGGATTGGAGCAGTCGCAAGAGATTCCCTTGAAAATCTGCACGACTATTATGAAGGGATCTCCAGCATTGTTGGTGATAAACTGAAAGAACTTAAAGCCACTATTGAATCTTTAAAGATTTATGAATAAAAAATTGATAAATAAATTCGCAAAATTATTGTAGATTCAGTCTGAGTCTTTAGTTAATATAAGGTTTTTTTGGTCTATTTTTATGGTAGACTTGAAAAGTTTATTTGAATTTTTTCTCTATCAGGCATTTAGATAAAACTTAAAAGCTTAAAATCCTGAAAAATACTAGGAAAATTGATGCTGGATAATTATAAATTTAAAAAGAGCCAAGGTTTTGGCTCGTTAAAAATTTCTTCTACAGCACGATCAAGTGCTCTTCTGGTAACTGGGTAAAAGGTAAGACACTCTTCTAATGTCAATCTTCTTGAATTTCCTACAGGAACATCATCTCTATGTCGGATTAACAAAATGTGCAGGAAATTGCAGTTAAAATAAGTAAGGAAAGAAATCTTTGAGCCTTTATGCCGCTTTTTGTGCAGTAAAAATAGCTTCATAAGCCAAATCCATAGCAGAGAGCCATTTTAAAGTTAAACCAAAACCCTGTTGTGCTATCTTTGCCAAAAAATTCATTCCAGTGTAATATTTAACTTGTCCCATTCCTCTAAGACCTTCAACGGGCTGCCCTTTTTCATTTATATGAGGACGAGTATATAATTTCCAGATTCCTGACATTTCTAAAATTAAGATAAGACTGTTTATAAGTCTAATAATAAAATTAATATTAAATTATCACAAATATTCTCTGTACAATAAAAGTGCAAACAAAGCTGCATTATAATCTAAAAGCATATTAGTCATAAATCAATATAATTATGGTTTCTATATATGGCCGATTAATAAATAATCCTAATTTTGTCAAAAGTTTTTTTTATATGAAATTTCTGTTCTCAATGATCCTCAAATTCTCTATAAGCAAATAGTTATATAAATAAAATGAACAACTTTCCTATAGAGATCATTGGTGAAATCATGCTGTTTCTTGATATCAGAACCCTTTTCACATCTTTTGCGATTCTAGATCATTCTTTTTATGAAATATGCACAAGCGAGTATAATCTTTCAAGATACCTATCAAAACGGTGCATGATTTTACTCTGCACTTTTTGATAGCTAAATGAGAAATTTGGTTTAAATTTTTTCCTATAATATAAAAATTTAATGGTTTCTGGCAAGCAAATACTTGAAATTTTTTTTTAAATTTACTAACTCCCCCCTCCCTGAGTGAACAAAAAATTCTTGTTCGCTCACGGAGGGGGGTCAATTTTTTTTTAAAAAAAATTTTATTCTAAATTTAAAAAAAATCCTAATTCGCAAAATTTTGGAAAGCAAATATTTATATAATTTGAAAATTTATCTTTTAAAACGCAATTTGTTTAAATTAAACAGAATTAACTCGAGATTTCATTATAGTAATTATCACTTATATCAAAAAATTTTTCCATAAAAAATTTTCTATTAAAAAAATTTTTGCTCGATCACGGATGGTGGGTTTTTAGGCAAAAAATAGGGATTTTTCTAATGGTTTTATTCGCTCACGGAGGAGGAGTAAGAAATCTGTTATGAGTATCAAACATAACAAAAATTAGTCAAGTCTTCCTATTGCCCAAGTCTCAGATTTTTGCTTTACTCAAACAAATATCAACTCCAAGCAATCGGGTAAAGCTAGATTTCACAGGTTTCGCTACAAGTGGAGGGGTTGATGAGGATATCCCAATATATTGGGTTGACCAGCTGTTTACAGAAGAGGGGAAGCCTTATTGCACAAGGGAAAACAAATTAAATATAAATTGCGCAGGAGTGTTATCGGACACTCAAAATGACTCCATAGGGCTTGCTGCAAGGCAAGAAATTGCTTCATTTATAGCGTCTGCACTCTTATTGGATGCCTTAGCGCAATCTTATTCTCTGCGACTTGGAGAGTTGAAGATTCACCTTAAGGTTACAAGTCAGCCCAAGTTGTGAAGAAGAAGATTACGTCAAGGCACGCAATACTCGAGCAGACGCTATATTAGAAACCATGTAAGGCTTAAAGAAATATTCTCTGACTCCTATTTTTAGAAATTAAAAATCTTTTTTGAATAATTTGGTATAAATAATGATTTTTTAAAAAATTTGCATTCAAGAGCATAATTACATATTTTTTAGAAAAATTACTATAATGCTTTATTAGTAAGCTCTCATTCATAGAGGAAGAGTGAGCATCTCGGAAAAAATGACGAAGATTTAAATAATTTTGAGCTTAATTTATTCAAAGAAGTATGAGAAAGAGCTCAATTCATTATATTTGAGGGCACCGATATTTCAGAAGACGAAAGAAGAGTAAAATGAATACGCTATAAAGAAGTTTATTCTGAAGCCAGACAATCTGAAATAGATCTGATGAAATACAGAAGGAGAGCTGATGATCCTTTTATATTAGTTAAACCTTTAAGCTTCAAAGAAACATCTAAGAAATTATATGCCTATGCACAGTCTTTTGAATTTAGTAGAGAAGGAAGGATGACATGCCCTGTACAGACTTTTATGATCTTTTTATAAATCTTTCTTGCATAAGTGAGTTTTACTCGGTCTCAGAGGGTTAATTTTTTTTTTAAATTTAAAAAATGCATTTCGCAAAAATTAGGAGTGGAAAATTAATTTGACCTTTAAATTTATGTTTTAGAGCACAAGCTGTTTAAAATAAATATGATTAGCTACAGATTTCATTATAATAATTATCTATTATATATCAAAATATTTTTATAAGTATTTTATATTTTATTCGCTCACAGAGTATAGGCTTTCCCAAAAGAAAAATTTTTCAATGGTCTTGCTCAAGGAGAAATAAGTGAGGTTTATATTGATATCGAAAGCGAGGATTTAGCTTTATATGATAATTTGATGACTTCCGAAGATATTGATGCATTGATTGAAATGGTGCACGAATTTAACATAAATAAATATATGATTTTTTAGGCGGATTCTATGTAAATTGTAAAAATTTTGATAAATTATCGATAAAGATGTGTAACTATCAAAAATGCAGATAGAAATATAAGCAGCCGATTGAAAATGATAAAAGAGTATCAAAAGCTTATCCTTTGGTTATAGAGCCGGGATATCAATATAGGTTGTTCCATCAGACTAAAAATATGCTAAAACCAATAGTATGGGGGAAATTTAATATAAAAGAAGGAGAAAAAATGATAGTCGATCTGAAAGATGCGTTTTCTGGAGTTTACCTTTATGTGAAGCTCATAAACCCTGAAAATCGAATGGCAGAGCTTAATGACCTTCACGAGTTTACAAATATAGATGCAAGATATGTAAGATTATACGGCCAGCAGCTTACTTTTGATATAGAAAACTAAGAAATAATGAATATGTTTTATTTTCACCCATATTAAATAATAATTTCAGTTAATCTATTTGTAAGCTATTCCTAATACAATTAAAGCATTAAATACAATCGTTGCATATTGCTTATCCTGAACTTTTAGCATTTAAATTAATTCTAGGCGACATTACAGAAAATTTTGGGTAGCCAGACATTTTCTCTGCAAAAACCGTTAATTTTGAATAAATTTCTGTATAAAAAATAACCCTCCAAAATGCAATCATATATGCAAAAGCCTCAGCACTTAACGATCCTATTTTCATATATTTCAGCTTATAAGAAATCCGAATCTGCCATGGAATAAGTAGTAGAGGCAACCCTCTTGAAATTGAATAACTGGCCATATCTATTGCTATATATAAGTCAGAAAACAAGCAAAACAGCACAATCATCTTAAAACACCCATGCTTTCCTAATATAATTGCTGTGCTTACTATACTTTTTTTGGTATCATCTCTGGAGGAGCGGCATTCCTTGATTAATCCTCATGTCTGCCAGGATAAATGAGAAGGCACCATATCGAGAACTAGCCTAAAGGACAGTTTACCAGTCAATACCATTGAAGACATCATGACTAATAAAAATCCATGGAGCAGTCTGAAGTTTCCTGATAAGCCATGGTTATCAAGATAGAGAGGAGGGCAAAATTGTAAAACTGCTACTATGATGTCTACGAGTGCTGTCGCTAAAAAGATAATCCAATGGTCGACAGCTGAACAATAACTAAATCTCCCTCTATGAGATGACTTTTAATATATTATGAGGTTTTTTTTTTAAATTTATTAATAATTTTTCTTGTATTTTACTAATAATAAATTTAGGGATTTGGTTATAAAATTTATATTTTTTTAAATATCATGCCACATAACAATTCATAATCTATAACAAAAAATTATTTTTTAATTTTTTATATAAATACGCTATATACCTCACAATCAAGAGTAAGCAGAAATCCCGAAAAAAGAGCAAAAGTAGCAAGCCCAAGAATCAGACAAATTTTTTCATCCTTTTGCCATGAGTGCTTTTTGAGTAATATTGAAGAAATATAGTAAAATAAAATTGTAAGGGTTCATAACAAGGTCCTTTCTTCAACCCAGCTGTCAGAATTCATATAGACACATACGAAAATTTGTGTGAATGCTGCTATGATTTCTCGCATAAATTTATTTTTATTAATAAATGATTAGTTAGTTAATATGAAAGCAAAAAGCAATGAGGCAAAAGCTATATACGCAGAAGAGTCAACGTGCTTTCTTTCCAATAACGTCCAGTATTCAGATGTGTAAATTGATTTTACGCAGTCAGGGTTAAACTGTAATAACGGGTACTGCTGGTAATATGTAAAATTAAGTATATAATCATAAAAATTATCAAGATAATCCGAATATTTCATATAGCAGTTTACACTTTTTCTTGAAAAAGTATTACAGTTTACTTTTGCTTGTGCCAAAGATTTCCAGCTTGAAATTGCGTTTTGCAAATAAGAATCCCCTTCAAATGGAGGACAATAACTGTATCCATATTCACTATATCCACAAGCACAGTCTTTTTGATAATTATTAGTTGAGTCATAACAGACTCCTCCAGGCAAGCAAGGTGTTATCGTTTGACTCGATATAGGCGCTACCGCACACTGGTAGCTTTGTTCACCTTGTGGAATTGTGGCAAATCCACTATTACAAACAGAAGAATAGCCATAATAATCTACTTGATCTACCTCAGCACCAAGCGGCAATGAATAATACAGTGTACAAATCCCTAAATTGCAGGCATAATTATTCTGACATTGATACTCATCGCTGCAGTTCTTTCCTGGCTCAATCTGTGCTTGACAAGTCTGAGTGCTTGGGTCACAATATAGCCCTGGGTTACAGTCATATACATAAACACATTTAGAATTTGCTGGGAGCCCTTGACAAGAAAGTGATTTACAGTGCCCTGATGTACATTCATGACCTGATTTACAAAAATCTCCAGGATACTTAAGAGTTGCATTATAAATTTGACATGTAGAATTAGTAAATCTTGTAGGCTCACAGACCTTATCATCACTGCAAGGGTTAATAAACAAGGCTTCTTGGACTGCATATGCATTAGTTTCTTTAGCATATACAATACATTGGTCTTTTTCCCATTCTTTATTAGGCGGCGTACAATAATAAACTGGGCATCTTTGTGATATCCCTTTAGAATTGCTAACTAAATTCCAATATAAACTTGTATAAATTGACTGTATACAGACATTGTTTTGGTTGCCTTGGATTAAAGGCCAATAGTTTTCAAAATACAGTGTATAGTTGCTTGCCCAGTTATAATAAGCTTGCTGGGCTGTAAAAGGAAGCAATGCAAAGCATTGGTAGCTCCACCTGTTATAAGAATTGCAATTATCATTAAGTGTGCTAAGGATAATCCAGTCTTGGATCATAGTTTGGACATATTCATCCCCTTCAAACAGTGGACAAAAAGCATCTCCTCGTGAATTATACCCACATGTGCAGTTTTTCGCATATTTTCCATCTTTTGATATACATTTGCTGTCAGGCTGACATGTGATTGGTAACGGTCCATTACTTACAGGTGGCTGTGTACATATATAAATACCTGCTTTTTCATAGGCAAAACCGGTCTCACAGGCCATATTAAAGCCAGATGGGTCAACTTCGACGTCATTAAAAGTTGTATTTATAGGTGCAGAAAATATCTGGGTGCATACGCTGGACATGCAGACTGCGGAATTCACACACATATCGTGGTATAAGCACTTTTTACCGGTTGGCAACTGAGGTAAACAGAGGTTTTCTACTAAGTCGCAATAGAGGCCTGGGTTGCATTCCCATGGATTAATGCATGGGTAGTTTACTGCAGTTCCTTGGCATGTGCTACCTTCACATAGCCCACTGATGCAGTCTGAGTTATATGTACAAAGCTCACCTGGGTAGTTAAAGTTAGGGGCTGGCTCATAGGCTTGGCATTTTTGGTTCTTTTTAGGATCTGTCGGACAATATTCTTCTTTAGAACATGTCGATAAATCGTAGACGTCAAATCCTGATTTTTTGGAATGCCTTATACAGGTTTTTGATAATAAAGTGGTGAGGCTGACGGAAATGGGCTCTGAGGCGCTATGGAGCAGATAGGAATCATCCTGATGAAGTTTAAAATAGAGCTTATGTCTCTTTTGAAATAGGCCTTCAGGTTTTGATTAGCCTTGCCGAAGAGGGAAGTGTTGTTTCTCCCCCGAATGTTTTCCTGTCCCTGTCAGATGGGCTAAACAGATTTTGCCTCTCTCATAGTCTTCGTCTATCAGGAGAATCGGGGCGTGCTGCAACGGGTAGCTCTAGCCAGGGAGTTGATCCTTAGGTTAGTTGAGTTTCACCAAAAATTCAAAGAGTGTGGAATTCTGGCTGGGCTTTACACCATTTGCACTGGGTGTATATGCACACAACATAGGCTACCTCTACTGGAATCCAAGTAGTCCTGCTAGTGGGGGTCCCGCTTATGTCCGTATAAAGCTTCTTAACTTTAACTACCTTATGCAGGTTTCTTCTTTTCCTGCTACACAGTTATACTTCCCACATTTAGTTGAGGAAAGCACTTCTACTACCAAAATAAAGATCCACCACAAGTGTTGCATTAATTTTTACTAACTCCCCCCCCCCCCCTCCGTGAGTGAACAAAACCATTAGAAAAATCCCTATTTTTTTGCCCAAAAACCCACCCTCCGTGAGTGAACAAAAATTGTTTTAATAGAAAAATTTTTTATGGAAAAAAAAATTGATATATAAATGATAATTATTATAATGAAATCTAGAGCTAATTCTGTTTAATTTTAAACGAATTGCTTTTTAAAACATAAATTTTGCAAATTGAATTAATATTTGCTTTCCAATTTTTGCGAATTAGGATTTTTTTTAAATTTCGAAAAAAAAATATTTTTTATAAAATTTATATATAAATTTTTTTTAAAAAAAAAAATTAACCCCCCTCCGTGAGTGAACAAAATTTTTTTGTTCACTCACGGAGGGGGGGGGAGTAAGAAATGTACAGAAAAATCATTTAATCAGAAATTATTTATTACCCATCATAAGGTCTACCACTTAAGGCTTCTTGTTCTTTTTCTTGCTTGATTTTTGTTTTGATTGCGACCCAGTCTATTTCTATTTCTCCAAACTGTTTGAATTTCTCAAGGGTTTCTTCTCTTCCGCTTGACTCTAAAAATCTTTTTCTATACCCAATAACAGTATCTATATGTTTTTTGTTAGCTAAAGCGATATCAAGGGCTCTTTCCCATTTAAATAGCCTTACATTCATTTTGATAGCTCTATAATACAACCTCGCCTGCAGCAAAATCTGCTCAGCTTCTTGTGGCCTCTTGCAGAATAAAGCCAATTCTGAGTTTCTGCCTACTTCTGAAGGTATTGTTTTGACATAATTGATAAACTGGACTTTATCAACCTCATCAATAGCTGCCAAAGCAATTTCAGCTGTATTCAGCTCTCTCGCATGAAGTGACATGGCTGCTAAACACGCCCAAAGTGTAGAGTCTTTTACAAACCTGCAGAGCCGAATAGCTTTTTCCCATTGCCCTCGGTCACAGTTTTCATATAACAGTGCTGGGTAAGGAGAAACTGAAAGAGTCGCAATTCTTCCGTCAATTCTTCTGACAGTCACCAAAGACCCTGTAAAACTGTCAATCACACACATTTTGCCGACCTCATTAGAGACGTCTCTGGAGGATCTGGAAAGCTGCAATAAATCTTTGCCAACATATACGACGTTAGGGTAGTACCAGACATAAAGTTTGCTGTCAGCAATGGCTGCGAGCATGTCACTTTTTTCGTTTCACCTAAAGGAATCGACCATAGAACAAAGCTTGGTCATTTCATTTCTGTGAACTGATGTGAGGAGAAGGTCTCTGTTGTTGTCCATAATACAGAGTTTACGCTCTGCAGCATGGTCTACTTGGTTAGCTGAGACCTCGAGGATTTCGAGATTATGCTCGATGTTCTGAGATAAAGGCTTGCCTGAGATTAAGTCAAAAAGTCTTAGAAGTTTGCCATTAGCGGTGTCTACGACTGTTATAATGTCAGTCGAAAGGGGATATAGATTCTGAAAAAATGGAAAATTACAGTGACTTTTATAGGGAAAAATATTGTAATTTACATACAGCCTGATATAGACTTGTTGCTTAAAAATTCAACTCTAAGGCCTTGGAATTTCGGATTGCTCATTTGGCGGGCTTCATAATTGTAAATTTGTATTCCATTAACAAGGTCTACTAATGCAAAGTATTTAGATCCTAAGACTATAAGGCTAGCAGGTTCTCTGATATCAAATCTGTTGGGAGTTTGCCAGTTTTGGACGTCATAAATTGAGCATTGAGTTGTGGTTGTGACTACTAGATGTTCGTAGCCTAAAGCGAAATTGATAACTCGGTCTCTGAATTCCAGTTCTTCACTGATTTCATGTATGACGTCAACCACATAAATTTTATTGTCTTCTTGAAGTTGGATTTCTACATTCTGCCATGATGCCTTTTTATCAACTAAATACCCAAAAACTGTGGCGCCATTCCCGCCTCCTCCTGCAAGCATTGTCCCATCCCAGCTCCAAGCTAAATTCATAATAGACCCAGTTTTAGGCTTAACCAAAGAATAGGTCCATCCAGTTTTGTCACAAAGTCTTAGCATATCAAAAGCTCCGACTGCAAATAAATCCCCATTAGGTGACCAAGATACAGATGTCATAACATATTCATAAGGAGAAGAGGTAAATAAATTTCTTCCAAAAGTGTCCCAAATTTTATATCTGCAGTCCTCACCTCCTGATATGATTATATTTATTAAAATAAATAAAAACTTTAATTTATTATATGAGCACCTATTTTGTATTATAAATAATAATAGTCCGCAATTATATATTATTTAGCTTATTGAAATCATATAAATTATTTGAAGGATTTCAATCCACTTTTAGTACACAGCCTTCATGAGCTTTCCATTGGACTTGTTTTTGGCCTGCTTGAATGTGCTTTATACAAATATTCTTATTTGAAGCATAAAGCACTTGATCTGATCCTGGAGATCAAGCAAGGGAAAATATTGATCTATCACTTTGTACAATAGTTGATCTAGGCATCCCTGTTTTTGCCCAGATTTTTACCTGCCCATCTTCTCCTCCTGTAGCTATTGTGGATGCATCATAGCTCCATTTGATTGTAATTACTGCGCCTCTATGGGCGTCAGGTACATGTTTTTCGACTCTTCCAGTTTTGCTGACAATTTTAAAAGATCCATCAATACATGCAATTGCAAGGGTTTCTGAGCTGCCTCTGGCAGCTGGCTGCCAAGAAATATCGCTGACTGGGATGTCGAGTGTGAATGCTGTATTTAGGGGTTCACCATTCATATCCCAAACTACAACGGTATTGTCGTCAGAACAAGTGTAGAGCTCATTAGATGAAGTCCAGCCTACTGCAGTGACCATTTCTTTGTGCCGGCTGTTCTCTTGTTGTTTGATTTTCAATCTCATGCCGCCTATTTATTATATATGAAACTCTTTCTCCCCTTTGCTAGAAGGCAGAATCTTTTGCTGTCTAACCAAGGAGGGTTTAATTGTTTTTTTAAAATATATAAAAAAAAATTTGAATTTTAAATAAGAAATCTATTTTAATATATAAAAATAAATGTTTTAAAATAGAATAAGTTTGATAAATTAGCTGAGATCTCGCTATATTATTTGTTAATTAAATATTAAAATATTGATAAAAATAAAAAGAACATTTAAAAAATAGGATTTTCTATGATTTTGCTCACTAAAAATGACAGGAGTTATATAAGAAACTGATTATAATCTGCATAATTATTCTTAAAACTGATAAACTTGCCTTGTAGAATATTATTATTGCTGCCATAGAAAAGCATATGCCACCACGATGAGGCTGAACGTTTCTGCACAATATCTCAAGAAAAGCATGATAAAATCAGAATAATTAGCATAAATTTTATTTATTAGAAATAGCCTGTGATAAATCCGTAAAATCAGCTTAAAATGTAGGATGAATATGAAATGAGTAGACTCAAATTAATCAAATTAAGATTTTAAAGAGCCTCGGGTAACACCGAAGTACTTTTCTCCACCTTGCATTACTCAGCTGTCTAGCATCGTTTCTTCCGAGTACCCTCTCATTAGTGCTTGCGTTAAATTGAGAGTGTGTGGGTTGGGTCACCATTCGTTCGCCAAGCAAAAGCCTCCTTTTCCAGTAAATTCGAGAAACAAAATTTCTGGTCGGGTTTTCGACCAAGATCACTCTCACCACCCAGGATGCAGCACTTATTATAGTGTTAGAGAAGTGTCAAATTAGCCAAGTGACCACTAGTCCTATGATCTAGTGCTCGTTCCGACTCTGCTGTCCGAGCCTTCCATCTCGTTTGACTTAAAAAATCTACCAGTAGTGAGCTGCAGTCAACCAAATCCGATATTGTGCTCCATCAAACTAATTAAAACCTGAACAGATACACATTCCTAAACGTTATCTTCCCTTTCCAAGATCTTGGATTACCCTTAGATAAAAGTATTAAAACGTGTAGGCTGGTTGACCCGCTATTTTAATATGCGAAGTGAGTTTGACAATTATTGAAAGATATGGCGTAAAAATATGAAGCCTTGATCATCCAAAAAAATTGTCATTATGCCCAGTAAGCAATAAAAATAGTCAAAGAAAGCTAATTCTAGGACTAAAACCTATTTGGGTTAGGGGAGAAATGAATTTTACTTTTAGATCTTAGTATTCAAGCATCTGGTTATGAGAAATTGGATCATTTGCAATTAAAATTAGCATTTTAAATAAAATTTACTTAATCCGTTGGTGTTAACTAAATAATCGAGCACGTGCACGAGCAGCTGTTATTCTGCACAACTTTTGTCACCCTGGTTTCTTTTACGAACGAGGCACGCTTCTTATTCCCTCCCAGTAGTAGAGGCTGCTTTATAGAGCTTCACTTCTTTGGGGATTCTTTTCTTGATGTATTTACTTCACAAGGAGTGAATGGACTTACAATCTCTGTTTCGTTTTCTTCTTCATTGATCATTACCAAGCTTTCTTTCCCTTTATAAGGATGCTTACTCACTCTCCAATAATATAAAAATCATGATTTTTTGAGGATCATTCAAGGAATTACAAGAAAAAAAAATTTATTTTAATAATCATTTTAATCTATTTCTGATAAATTTTATTTACAATTATAGATAAAGTTAAATTATTCTATTAAAAATTATTAAAAATCCTGAAAAGCCTCCAATGTAGTGGATCTTAAGAAAGCCTGCTCACTCTTGGAGAAGATGGAGCTAGTAAAGACAAATAGATCCATTGGTGAAGAATTCTGACTTACCTCAGCACGTTCGGAAACTTCTGAAATGATAGAAAGGTCAGATGAAGCACTGTCAAAGTCCATTTTAGATACAGTAAAGTATTAACTCCCCTTTTAAATAGGAATATAAAACTTTTCTAATTTAAAAGTGAGCTAAATTTTTTGCTTAAAACAATTTTTATAAATAAAAAATTAAATTGAAAGCAATATTTCTAGATTTAATTTATTTTTAAAGCATTAATTCATTTAGCGTTCAAATATTTAAATAGTACCCTCTCTATTAAGCAGGTCAAAATTATTTATATAAAATTAGTATTTTAATCAATAATTTTGTTTAGTTAATGTACCCAAAAATGGAATTTTACTCATATTTTATTCGAATTTTAAAAGGGGAGTAAGATACTAAATTTGTGTCAACAAGCATATTATCACATTAATTTTTATATTTTTTGAAAAGGGATGGAACACATTTTAAGATGATTTACTGAGTTTTAAACAGAATTGTAAAAAATGATGGTTAAAGTTGCAAATCAAATTATCTATAAATGTTCTAACTCTGCTATTATATCAGAAAAATACTATTGCAATTTTCTGTGGATGGCGCTGTTTTGGCCTTGATTTTCCCACTGGAAAAAATTTTTTGGTTCGACCAGTACCATATGGTTTAGTCAAACCAAAAAATTTTCCCAGTGGAAAAATCAAAGCCAAAATAGTGAAATCCATAGGAAAATCCCATACCTTTTTAGTGGAATAAATGCTTATAGATTTTAAATATTATTTTTATTAATAACTGAGGAGTAAGAATGTTGGCATTTGTTGTTGCTGGGGCTCCTGCTTAGCAGTCCCAAAAGATTTAATAAAAGACCGGATTTTGAGCACATCAGAGCTTTGATCTTTAAAAGGAGAAATCACTGTCTTAAACCTATTCACTCTTCTCTGTGGCAAATCTTCTGTAGGTTCAGGGCGCCGAGGAGGCTCAGTGCGTTCTGCAAATGACGTTCGCTTCCTATTTTTTATTTTTAAGCTGACTTCAGACTCTTTTCGATCCCCTTCTGGATTCTTTTTAATATTTTTCTTCTTCTTTTTCTTCTTTTTGGCTTGCTTTATTTTAATTTCAATAGTTTGCCCATTTGGCAGCTCAATTTCTTGAGGGGATAGTGGACTTTTTAATTCATTACATTACATTAGAATTTATATCGCTTAACGTCCACTACGGGGTTACAACTCCAGGTTTATCACTCGCCTTTCGTCGCATCGGGCCCACCAGTCTGCTGGAGACAAACTCGCTTTGATCACCAGGGTGCTTCCAGGGCAAATGTCCACGTCTTCGACGGCTCATGGATGAGCTACTTGCTTGTACATGGGTTGCTTTTCCGAAAAACCCAAAAAATGGATTTTTCTGGTCGGCTATCGGCAAAAAGGAAAAATGCAAAGCCTGGGACGTAACGCCCAGTTTCACGCTAGGGAGTTGCCCGAATGGTCCAGAGGACTTTGCTGGGCTTCCCCTTTCCAACCTTGCACCCTCCTTCCCCACGAGGAAAAATCCACCCCTGAGAATAGACTTGGGCTAGGCTCTGAAAGCTACCAGAATTGCTTACCTAGCATTGCTGTCCATCTCTGAAATGGTAAAACCTTGCCGGATATAATTAAAATATGAGTCGAGGCTGCATGGCCGGGAGGCCATGCCCAGACGAAGACGCCATATTTTAATTATGGACTTTTTAATTCACTGGACTTCGAATCATCTGCAATGGGATCGCAAGTTTTATCTAGCTGAGGACTGTCAATTTCTATTTGTTTTTCTATAACATTATTTTCAGCTTCAACTTTAGGCTGGCTTTCCCTTCGAGAAAGTTGTATTGTTTCTTTAGCTTCTTTTGAGTCTGATGAAAAACATCTTAAGCATCAATTATGAAGAATATTCATATTAAAAAATTTATGACAGTTTTAAAAAATTACTGAAAGTAAAATCTCAGAAAATGTCGTAGAATTTCCAGTGAAAATGGCTATTTTACTATAGAAACATCTACTTTTGCTTAATCCCCTATCAATTATTTTTAAAATTATTTAGGGTTTTACCCTGATTAGCCCTATAAAAAACATTTATTTTCAAAAAAAAGAGGTAGAAAATATTCTGCCTCAAAATCTACGTGAAAACCAAAAGATTTTTGGAAAAGAGTCCATATTTTATAATTTAAATGCAAACTCGAATGAAAATTATCGTAATCGGCCCTTCAGGGGTTGGGAAAACTGCAATATCAAACTTAATCTCTGGACATTCACAAACCCCTTCTCAAGTTTATCACCCGACCTCAGGAGTCCGAATTTTAGAACTAGAAAAGGAGCCTCCTCGCGCCAATCGGCAAGCAGGAGAATCCACTATTCAAATTGAGCTGTGGGATTGCAGCGGAGACCCTCGCTATGAAAAATGTTGGAGTGCCTTCAGAAAAGAAGCTGTCGGAGTCATTTTTGTGTACGACGGAGAAGATCCAAGACCAGATATGAGCAATTTTGTCGCTAATTTCCCACAAAGGATGGGTTTGCATCCTAGCCAGTGTATTGCGTTTGCTCATTATAAAAATAGCAAGCCAAAAGGAAATGTTAAACCGCCGAAAGGAATTGAGAGAGTTTCCCTTTATGAAACCTCCATGGATAATACGTCAAATATTCTAATGGCGTTTGATAAGTTATTTATAATTAAAATATGGCGTCTTCGTCTGGGCATGGCCTCCCGGCCATGCAGCCTCGACTCATATTTTAATTATATCCGGCAAGGTTTTACCATTTCAGAGATGGACAGCAATGCTAGGTAAGCAATTCTGGTAGCTTTCAGAGCCTAGCCCTAGTCTATTCTCAGGGGTGGATTTTTCCTCGTGGGGAAGGAGGGTGCAAGGTTGGAAAGGGGAAGCCCAGCAAAGTCCTCTGGACCATTCGGGCAACTCCCTAGCGTGAAACTGGGCGTTACGTCCCAGGCTTTGCATTTTTCCTTTTGCCGATAGCCGACCAGAAAAATCCATTTTTTGGGTTTTTCGGAAAAGCAACCCATGTACAAGCAAGTAGCTCATCCATGAGCCGTCGAAGACGTGGACATTTGCCCTAGAAGCACCCTGGTGATCGAAGCAAGTTTGTCTCCAGCAGACTGGTGGGCCCGATGCGACGAAAGGCGAGTGATAAACCTGGAGTTGTAACCCCGTAGTGGACGTTAAGCGATATAAATTCTAATGTAATGTAATGTTTGATAAGTTATTTGGGATGATATACAGTATCATTATGGAGAGCCAAGAAAAGGCAGAGAACCAGATTATTAGTAATAGAGATTAACCAGATTATTTATAGAAACTGTGTAAATAAGCGTAAAATTAAATAATTTTAATCATCAATTAAAGAAACTTTGGGAAATGGATCGTTTTTGCTTAATACTAAAACTTTTTTCTGTGCGGAAATATAGCCTTTTATCCATTTTTTGAAAATCAAATTGGCAAGAATGCATTCGACTTCTTCTATTTCAACTTCGCTTACCCCACTTGTTTTTATGGCAGTCACAAAGTAATGAAGGGAAATTTGTTTCTTTTCTAAAATTTTGTATGTCTTTAAAAACAAATTTCTATATGCAAGAATTTTTAGCGTCTCCATCATAATATAAATCCCTTGCTGGATAAACTTATCTTGATTTGCATCAAGTGCACTTGCATATCCTCCTATATTTCCTGTTTTTATGCATTTTAATATATCTCCTAGCTCTTGCAGCTTATATTTCCTAACTCCCTCTCGGTGAGCGAACAAAAGCATTAGAAAAATCCCTAATTTTGCCTAAAAACCGAGAACAAATATTTTTTAAAGAAAAATTTTTTTATTAAAAAAAAACTTTGATATATAAATAATGATTATTATAACGAAATCTCGAGCAAATTCTGATTAATTTTAAACAGCTTGCGTTTTAAAATATAAATTTCGTAGATTAAATTAATTTTTGCTACTCAATTTTTCCAAATTAGATTTTTTTTTAAATTTCGAAAAAAACATTGTCTATAAATTTCTATAATTTTTTTAAAACAAAACATAACCATCAGTTAGCAAAGAAAATTTTTTTGTTCGCTCACGGAGGGGAAGTAAGCAAAGCTTCTGTTGGGAATTTCCCTCTGCCCACTTTTACAGGGACTAAATATCTCAAAATAATTCTTTTATTTCTGATATTGTCTTTGTGGCAATGGTTAAAGGCAAATTCCAAGCATTCTTCAGCTCTTTTGATGTTTTGGTCATATATAGAAAATCTCCCTTCATAATAGTTAAATTCTACTTGTTGGCATTTTGGGTAAATTCTTAAAGGAGGAAGCTTTGAGTGCTCACTTGATACAAGACGCAGCAAGGAAGAACAGGTTTGTAAAGTATTTAAGCGAAATAAAGCTTTAAATGATAAAATCAATGCAAAATAAAGTCCCATAACTTTGGATTCTGGTGGTGGTTGAGAAACTTGGCAAGCTGACAGTAATTTTCGTAATGAGTTGACGACTTCATCAAGCTGGGAGCTTCGGACGCCTTCATTAAATAAGAATCTTGAGTATTTTTTGATTATTGGGAGGAACCAAAAGCCTTCGCCATCATCTCTGAAAATTTTAAGTAGACGATTATAGGCTTCATTCATATGCTTAAATCTATTGATTTTGTGGATTCTTGCCATTAAATGCTCAGTTAAGAATTCTGTCCATAGCTCATATGAAGTTTCTGATTCTTGAGAGCCATTTTGAAGAATCTTTGTAATGACTCTAGCGATCTCTTCTTTTTTAGCTGAAGTCTCGTGGATACGCTCACTAAAGAGCAATTCGCAAAGCCTAGGTGAATTAAAGTCTGCTAACCCCACTCACTGATTAAATTTTTTTAGAGAATCTATACATAAAATTTTATATTAAAATTTTTTCGGAAATCTAAAAAACACCTCTTAAAAATTGGATAGCAAAATTAAAATTTTTTGTAATTCCAAGTTAGAAATTTCATTAGAATAATTTCCACTTATATATCAAACTTATTTTTTTTATCCTAAAATAGGACATTTTCCAATAGTTCTGCTTCCTCACGAGGGGGGAAATAATGCAACAAGGAATTCATTTATCCATCTTTGAGTATCCATAATATATATCTGATTGATAAAATATTCTGAAATAAAACAGTAATGTATTTTTCAATTAATTAATTTTTTGAAATAAATATTCATTATATTATACTAAAAGCACTAAAGGCTTGCATTCTATTTTCAAAGATCTAAAGACACATTCAGCTTAATATATATAATTATTTATTAGGATTTCTTCAGGAATCCATTTTCATAATTTTCAAATTTATGTCTCAATTTTAGAAATAGACCCAATAAATTATTTTTTTGCCGCACAGCCAGAAAAAATGATTCCTTATTAATTGGTTCAATTAATGGCTTTAATTACTTATCATAAATTTAAAATGGGAGCAGATTGTTCATGCTTAAGAGATGACAATGTTAACAAAGAAGAAATGGACATGAGAAGCAAAGCCAAGCCCACAGTAAACAGACAAGAAGCTGCGAACCCTGAAGATGACATAACAAATGGCAATGCAAGCGCCATCATAGAAGTAAAGAAAGAACCAGAAGAAAGCCTTGCTATTCATAGCGCTGCAAGAGGATATTTAGTGCGAAAAGAAATCGCAGCTACTAAAAATACTAAAGGATTCGACCCAACAAGCAGATATACACTGTTCACTGACCCTTTATCTTCAAAAATAGCCAAAGCCGTTAAAAAAGCAGAAAAGGAATGGGGGAAGTTTGAGCCACAAGCACCTGAAGATGATGGAGAAAAAATCACTCAGCACCCTGCGTTTGAGCTTGAAGATGGCTCTATTTATGAAGGAGAATGAAATGAACAAGGAGAAAGGCATGGACTAGGCACAGAAATTAGTCCCGATGGCGCTAAATATATAGGGTATTTCAAAAATAATGAAAAATCTGGAAATGGGAGACTTATTCAGGCTGATGGAGAAGTTTATCAAGGAGAATTCAAAAAAGGAAGACCAAATGGAGTAGGAACCATGCAAAAAACTGACGGGTCAAGATATGAAGGAAGCTTCAAAAATGGCGCTTATCATGGAAAAGGAAAAGAAGAGTATGATGATGGGGTAAGCTATAAAGGAGAATACAAAAATGGGCAGAAAGATGGAAAAGGAATCATTAATTGGCCAAATGGAAGCAAGTATGAAGGACAATTTAAAGCTGGCGATATCGAAGGATATGGAGTGTTTGTCTGGGCAGAAGGGAAAAAATATACCGGGAATTGGGTATGCTTAATTTATATAAATAAATAATTTAAAATATGAACAGTCTGCGTTTTTATATTTAAAATAATATTTTGATGTTAATGAAAGCTTCTTTAAATGAGAATAAATAACAAAATGCATGGACAAGGAGCATTTGAATGGCCAGATGGGAGAAAATATGAAGGAGAATATCAAAATGATCTGAAACATGGACATGGTGTTTTAAGTTGGCCAGACGGAAAAACTTATGACGGAGAGTTCAAAGAAGGAAAACAGGACGGAGAAGGGGTTCTCACATTTGAAAATAAAAATACGAAAAAAACGGAAATAAGAAGAGGAATTTGGAAGAAAGGAAACAGGGTAGAGTGGATTAAAGATAAAAAGAAATCAAAAGAATAATAAGCTAGCTTTTCTTTAAAAAATGACATTTTGGCTACAATTAATATTTTATTTAGCTTACTTGAATCATTAATTTTAGCCAAATTAAAATATTCAAACCAAATTCATTTTTTTTAAAAATAGATAGGCTTAATTAATTTCGATCTATAAATATAAAAATGATATAAAATAGGATGAGTAAGAACCAAATAAATTATTTTTCTTATTCATTTGCTATATTTATTTCTTCAATAATAGGAAACCTAATATGGATGAACTCAAAGAACTCCGTGATAATGCGAAAAACCCTATTTTGAACGTTGAATTGGAGTTTCAACATACATCTACTAACCCTGAGGTGCTTACTCCCCCCCCCCCCTCCGTGAGCGAACAAAACCATTAGAAAAATCGCCATTTTTTGACCAAAAACCCACCCTCCGTGAGTGAACAAAATTTTTTTAATAGAAAAAATTTTAATGGAAAAAAATTTTGATATATAAGTGATAATTAGTATAATGAAATCTAGAGCTAATTCTGTTTAATTTTAAACAAATTGCGTTTTAAAAACATAAATTTTGCAAATTAAATTAATATTTGCTTCCCAATTTTTGCAAATTAGGATTTTTTTTAAATTTCGAAAAAAATATTTTTTATAAAATTTATATATATAAATTTTTTTTTAAAAAAAAAAATTAACCCCCCTCCGTGAGCGAACAAAATTTTTTTTGTTCGCTCACGGAGGGGGGGGGGGGAGTTAAGAAATATTTCCGATCTCTCACTAAATCAAGATCTGTCGAAGACCTTCACGAAAAGATAAAAGAGTCAGTTTATAAACTTAATGCCCTTGATCTATATAAAGGCTGTGATGTTATAGTCCTCCCTGGAAAAGCTATAGATTCTGCTCTAATCCAGTTTGTATTAAAAGATAAACGATGGTGGAGTCTCAGCTTTGGAGCAACCGCAGATAATGAAGGCGGAAAAAGTGTCCTATCAGCCCATTTTAGGAATTTAAGAGGTAAAGCAGACTTGACGAATGTAAATGTTGAATATAAACTGAACACAGGGACTTGGGGCTATGAAATGTTCCATCATGATAGACTTTATATGCCTGGAAAGTGGGAAACTATGTACTCTGTGAAAAAATATAGCGATGAGCTTGATCAAAATATTAAAGAGCATGCATATGGAGGAAGCTTTTCACTTAGGTCTTCTGATGGGAAGCATAAGCTGGAAGCTGGAAGATATATCAGGACAAATGAGATTGCTACTGAGTATGCATCGCTACCTTTGCTAAAACAAGAACTGCCTGTTTCAGTAAAAAATTATATTGCTCATACTTATACAAGAGACCTTAGAGACAACCCATCAGAGCCAAGAACTGGCATCTTATCAACTTTGACTAATGAATTTGCATTTGGAGGAGACGTAAACTTCCACAAAATCGACTTCAAAATTCATCACTATTTTCCTATTCTTTCTGATATTGTGTTTCAATCAACATTTGGACTTGGAGCATTTATGCCATGGAGAAATACCAAAACAAGAATTAATGACAGATATAGGTCAAGATATATTAAAGGATTTCAAGCAATTGGTACCCGTGAACAGCCAGCTGATCCAGCCATGAGAGGAAAATATGCAATAGAAGGAGATGACCTAGGAAAATTATCTGTCCTTAATATGGAAGCTAAAATCCATTTTTATAATTCGCCTGTGCTTAGTGGTGTTGGACTGGTTCCGTATATTTACGCGAATATGATATGTGAAGAACCTCACAAGTTTACAAATGCAAAAACGTATTTTAAAGAAAAAGCAAGAGGATCGTTTGGAATAGGGCTGGGATGGGTAGGCGGATTTGGAAGAATTGAATTTTCTTATGCGAGCCATGTTTGGAAAAAGCCAGGAGATGTGTCAGCTGAATTTCAGGTGCTGTTTGGGGAGTAGTTAATTAAATATATCTCTAAGAATTTATCAGCAATAATTATGTCTCAAAAACTTTGCGTTCTGAATATTTCCATTTTTTTTGGATATTTTCTTGTAAATTAAAAATAATGCCAAGACGAAGCGGAGGTAGAAGTTCGAGCGGAGGACGCATGAATTACGGAGGAATGAGGTCTCGTGGGTTCACAAAAACAGCCCCTCCAAAGAGAACGGCAAAGTCTTTTACTCCTCCACCACGATATGCTCATCAGACACCAGGATTTATGGGAATCTTGATGCAAGGAATGGCCTTTGGAGCGGGAAGTGAAATAGCCCATCAAGCAGTCCGAGGAATTGGTGGAACTGGGTCTCACGATGTTCATCAGGATTATCAAGGTTCTCAAGCTCCTCAGGAACCAATCGAAAATCCATGCATTTCACAAAGCCAAACTTTTCTTGAATGCTTGAATAGCCATACAGACAACATTGGACAGTGCCAGAATTCATTAGATTTGTTTAATCAATGCAGACAGACTTATCAATAAATATTTTATTTGCGATTGTAAATTTCCCATATTTATTTATTTTCGATTTATTAATTAAAAGCCCTGGATTCTAAAAGCGATATATTAAAATGGTGCAGCACAACTCACACTCTTAACTGTTACAGCTGATCCCACGTCTAGTGGGGTGCATAAACCTTGAGAAAGGGAGGATAGCATTCGAGAGTATATATTCGCCCACGTTTGGCTGGTTTGTGAAGTGTAATGTCGATTAGCCGACCTCGTGCTTTACTTAAAATCAGGTCTTTTGCCTAAGAGGGTAATCGAGGCGAGAACTGGAAAGGGATATCTAAGTATTGTCAGCTCTATTTTCAGCCAATTGTGACTATTTTTCAGCGTGAAGCCAGAATTCTCTCCTTAGGCTTTGGATCTACATTTGGCCTTCAGTCTTTCAGAAAATTCAACCATCAGAATTTTCCATGGTGGCAATCTTTGTTGACGCAGCACTGAAAAACTCACTAACTACAGGTGCTGAGTGCAGAACCTTGAGCAATCTTCATGAAACAGGATCTGGCAAACAATCAGAAAACATTCGGAATTGATTAGTCCTTCAGGATAACAGTGGATTTTTCGATAATTATAATTAAAGATTATAATCAAGGATTCTAATAAACCATATTAAATTATTTAGCTTATTATTTTTGATTCTCTTCTTCTTTTTGCTTTCGTCTGCTTTTCACTCCTGTACTCAAAGCTTTAGTTCTAGACAGCGACAGCACTTCTTTCAAGTTAATAATTTGGCAGTTAATAATAATAATTCTCCAAACAGCAAAAACAAGTTGATAAATAATGATATACCCAATAGGAACAATATAAAAGGCATCATACTTAGTTGGTCAATCACCCAACACAAGTCTAATGATCCCCAAAAACGCGTAGTCAACTCTTGAAAAAGTCATATCCCATGGCCCCAACATATAGAAATAAAGTACAGTAAACCCTATTATAGGAGTACATACACAGAAAAACAGGAAAACACAGATTTCGATCATTGCTCTTTTTACCATGTTATACATCAGGGTTAATCTTCTACTATAAAATACTCCATATCTCAGCAAAGTTAGAGCTAAAGTAACAATGATTATGCTTGTTGCGTTTTCAATTGCTTGGAACTCATATAGAAGTTTCCTATGTTTGGCGCTGTAAAGGCCGATAAATTCTGATCGGAATTTATCGGTAGGTTGCACCAAATCAATGCCTTGGTCGGACCAAAAAGCGATTTGGTCCGACGAACTTGGAAAGCTCCTGGGAAAATGTCTGCGCTTTTAGCGCTATATAGAGGAAACCTCTATATCCTATTTTAATCAAATTTGTATAGGTTGATGTGTCTATATGCCTATTTACAATTGATTTAAGCATTTTGCTGGTAGCTGCTATCTATTTTTGTTATAATAAAAGGAAAATGGAAACTGTTGGAATTTTATATTAATTATAAATAATTATATCAATACCTGGCTTATAAGCTGAAGAATATCATATTAGTTTAGTTATTTCCATAATCCAAGCACACACTAATACTACGAATACAAATATTTCAGTCCCATTAGGCTTTCTAAGCCTCTTATAAAACGGTTTTTTATTATTTTCTATCAAGAGCTCGTTCAGCTCTTTGAAATTTACATCAGATTCTTCATTCGTCAAAAACTTTTTGGCCATATATTTGTAAAAAATCCTTGGGAGAAAAAGCCTTCTAATCTCAAAAATCGTGGCAAAAAACAGTAAAATAAAAATAAATACATGATAATAAATCAAGTCGTCTTTATAAAGCTCATAATTTATGGTATAAATTTGGAAATTCGTAAAATAGTTGCCGACTCTGTCAATTTCCACAAATGGCATTACAGTTGTAAGTAAACCAAGATCGACGTTAGCTAGATTAAAAGTGAGGAAAACCGCGCGGGTGCCTGGATCAATTCATTTATTAGCAATAAGCCGCTGTTTTTTCAAAGACCAGTCTGTAAAGTTTGTAGGGTCAAGATAAGCAGAAAACCCATCAAGATTATAAGACGAAATGCTCCCATATATGATAAAATCGTTATTAGACGTTTTATATTTGAAGCCATCATATGTGCCATAATCAGTTTTATCTGCATCATCTAGAGAAAAGCTATCAGCGCACGTGTAATTTTTAATTAAATCCTCTTCACATTGGTGTACTTTTGACCTGACTTGTCGAAATTCTACATATCCTATCATTTTTATATTATCGCTAACAGTCCCATAGTCTCTTTCTTCAGCAATATTATTAGCAAATACAATTTGTTCAATCCAATAAACGTAGTCTCAGAACGTTACTTCGTCCAAAATCATTACATAAGGGTCAGTGCTAGAAGAAGTCTCCATATGCATAGAATATACGTCATACCTGAAATCAAAATCCCACAAAAATTTCTGCTCAATTAAATGGTTCATTCATACAGCTTTTTTCGCAAGCGTTTCTGCAGGCATCATAAATGATCATAACAAAAACAAAGTTAAAGAAAATATTGACTGTAATATGCTGATTATTGTATATGTGCGTTGTTTTTTCTTTATTTCTTTGCCGTGGTCGATTGGCTCCTGGCCTTTTTTTCGTTTTTTGTCGTTGATGGTTTGTTCGTCGTCTGAAACTTTGAGCTCATCAGCTGAGTTTCTGTCTGTTCTCATGTGAGTTTTAGGTAGCAATTCTTCAACTTTGTCTTCGAGGGATTGGTATTTTCTGAGAATCAAATAAAGGACCAAGTTATTTTTACATTTCATATGGTTTCATGGGTAAATTTCATCCATTACGAACTGCTCGCCTAAAAAAATTGGAGGGTTTGGGAAATTAATATCATCAGGCTTGATATCAGTGAAAAAAATATCGTCAATTGGCACAGATCAATAGCTGCTGACTCTTTCTCTTACTCCTATTTATAGCTTTTACTCTATAATTTATTATTTATTATCTTTATTAAAATATTTAAAAATAATTAAAATAATATATTATTTAAGAGAAATTAGAAGATTAAACGTAGTTGTATAGTTTACAAAAAATGATACTCTTTGTCCTTCGAATTCTACATCAACTGATGCTAGATTTTCTTTGAATTTAGCATAGCCATTTTCAATTTCATATTTAGAGGAATAATAATTGAACATTTCAGTAATCACTTCGTTGAATTTCATGTTATAAGCTTCTTGTTCGGTATCATTTAATAATGAAGGGCCTGCTTTTTTGTTCTCTTCTGCTTTTTGAGCATTTAATTTGCTAGCAGCTTGGTGGATTTGGTCTTTGATTTTTTCAAGTTCCTATATGGGTAGTACTCTCTTTTTCCTTCTGATATTGTCACGGAGCTCTTTGCCCTTGTCTATTATTTGTTCGATTTCTTCTTTTGCCTGCTCTATCTGGTCTCCGAGCTGCACAGCAACATTTTTGGCTTGAGTTTCATCTATTTCTGGCTCTATATCCATAATATATTTTAATAACAGCTAACTCTATCTAAAAATTCATATGAAACAATTTTTTTGCATTCTGCAATCATCAAAAAATTGGTTTTTAATTCAGCTAATAACTCAAAATTAATTATTTTGAAATTATCATAAAGGCATATATAATTAATTTTTATCATAAAGAAATAAGTATAACTCCAAAATATCCCACAACTACAATAATTAATTAAAACATCAATTTTAATTACCTTCAATTGGATCTTTTTGTTTGAAAAATCTAATCGGCATAATTAAAATATGGCGTCTTCGTCTGGGTATGGCCTCACGGCCATACATACTCGACTCATATTTTAATTATATCCGGCAAGGTTTTGCCATTCCAGACATGAGCAACAATGCCACGGTAAGCAATTCTGCAGTGCAGAGCCTAGCCCATGCTCGATGACCAGAATGGTTTTTCTCCTCGGGGGGGGGAAAGGGAGTCCGGGTTTGGAAAGGGTAAGCCCAGCAGAGTCTACAGGCAACGCCTAGACCATTCGGGCAATTACCTAGCGTGAAACTGGGCGTTACGTCCCAGGACTTGGAATTTCCCTTTTTGCCGAAAGGTGACCAGGAATTCCATTTTTTTGAATTTCCGAGAGCCAACTCTCGTAAACTCAAGCAGCAGCTGCAGAAGCCCATAGCCCGCCCACTCAACACTAAGCCACGGGAAACCGTGGGAAGGAGGAGGTGTATGTCCTGGTGACTGGTTTATATGGCCAGTTTGGACTATGCCACAAAGCAGGTGAACCCTAATACTGGGTCCTTGGTGACTGCGTTAACACTACGGCAGACGCCTGTAAATATTAAGTTAAGTTAAGAAAAATCTAATCGGCTTTTCTTCACTTTCCTCTTTCTTTTGCTTTTTCTTTTTCTTGATTCCTTCTATCTCCCTTGCTTTGTCTAGCTGCTGCATAAAGAACTTATTAGCTTTTCTAGCTAGCGTAACTTCACTCCTTACTTGTTGTTCAGCTAACTGTTTATCTAGCTCAATCTTATGCTCTAAATGCTCCCATGTAAATTTCGGCAAATATCGAATATTCCATACATCATCTCTATAAAAATTGTGTCGTTTTTTTCCACCAGTTGTCGCATTATTGAATTTTAATGCTACCATTTTCGCATCTTTTTTATTAAGATACTCAATCCACCCTTCCACATAGCATCTTCGCTTATTTCCCCCAGCCTTCAATCTTTTTTCATAATTAGCCACAGGTTCAGGAGTTAAATAAATCCTATCAATTTCTCCATAATTAGCAAACAGCTTTCTCAGCTTGGATTTCCCCATGTATGGAGGAATTCTTGATAAATAAATCACGCCACGGACTGGACTTGTAGAGCTCATATTTATAATTAATGTTTGCATTAAAAATTAAGACTGTGGGACTTTTTTTCGCTTGTATTTTCTTCTGATAATTTGTTGGGCTTCTGTTTGAGGAACTTCAGCAGGCAGATTTTTGATGTATTTAGTGACAAAAATGATGCTTGGGATAATCCAATAAAGCAGAATGGCAGAGGAAAATAAAGAAAAGAGGCACTGGACTATTATGTTGATAAGGAACAAATCGCCATGGTAATTGTAGTGAGGCAGCTTGATCCATCCATTCATGCCAATAATTGTGAGGATTGAGATTATGTTAAATAGTAAAATCCAGCTTATCAATTCTAGCCCATCTCCGTGGAAAAATCATCTTCCAAATATCATTCATGTGTTGCATAAGATTAGGACTTTTATGAAAGCAATGATGCTTTTATCATGGAAGCTCATTTCCATTTTATATAGGGACAGACATTTATTACATAGCATTTTAAAGGTAGTGGCTGAGGAATTTAATTAATTATATATTTTTGGTATTGGTTTTATAAAAATTTATCTGATTTTAAATATATTTTGGCTTGAAATACAAGGCAATATATATAAGGACTTAATTAAAATAAAAATCTGCATTTCTGATTAAGCATCCCTTTATAAAATTACGCTTTTGTAAAAAGTCTTATTGAAACTCTTGTTGCTTTTTTTGATCCGCCTTGGGCAATTAACTTCTCTTCAATTGATTTCATCTTCAAGCTTCTCGGTGAAAGACTTGCAGATTTTCCATCAATTTTTAATCTCTCATTGATTTCCTTCGATATTGAATCCAATCTCAAAGGCAAATTTTTTGAGTACTGAAATAAACTATGCAGCCTTTTTGGATAAACAATAGGCGATTGTGGCACTAATTGGGAAGATATTAAAGAAACATCAGGAAGTATTTCAATTTCGCTATTCCCTTTTATCTGTTTTTCCAAATTTTTAATGCTTTCTGGAGAAGTAATTGGCCTTTCTTTTTTCTCTTCATATACGTTAGCCATCATGGCATGCCTAGTAGCGACAGATGAACTCAGAATTTTTGCCAGAAAATAAAAAAGCTGGCGGAAAGGCTACGAGGTCGCAGGTGGCTTAATTCCGGGGTGGGTGCGGTCTGGGCTAACTGGGCCTTCCCTCGACCCACAGACGAGAAGACCGACGGCGCAATACCAATCGAGGACTTCTGGAGGAGCATTATGTTGCCTGCAAATGGCAGAGGTAGTTCCAGAAGGAGGCATCGGACGATCCCCTCATACCTGAGCACTACCAGGGGTTAAGAGAGTCCTTTGCTGAAGCATTTTGGTCCAAGCAGGGTTCGGGTGAGTCTCCCCGAAAGATGCTGACGTCACCATTTTTGATGACGTCATCAGAAAAGGGCGGCAGGTGGCTTTAGTGACTAGCGCCACACGAGCGTGAAGCTGAAGCTCGACTGGATCAGGGGCTGAAATAATCCCCGCTTTAACCCTCTCTAATCTAAAAATCTCAATCTCATATACGTTAGGTGTTAATGTTCCCCATGGAGATAAGCTATCATAGAAATATAAAGGTGAAGTTGCAGGAGCTTTTTTATAATTTGCATCATTTTTTGGCTTAAAATCTGCACTAAGTCTTTTGTATTTTATTTTCCGCTCACCTTGTGCTTTTTTATTATGCTCATTCTTACCAAAGGTATCATGAATAAAGCTTAAAGCTTCTTCTTTGAGCTTAATAGGATTAACTCTTCTAATCAGACCTTGTGTGATTGACGGTCTCTTATATATTTCGTATTTATGATATGGATGCTTGTATTGGTATTCGTTTTCTCAGTGCATATTATTAGATCAGAGCATTTTCCTCTGATGGAATTCCCTTGAGGATTTTGTTAAATTTTTTTTTCTTTATGAGACTGCATCACGAGGAAAAAGATTTCGACCAAAAATTTTCCTGAGAAAATGCCACTCGTTTTCTCTTCTTATCTTCATAAATTCAAGGCATAAGCTTTGATCCATCTATAAATAATTAATCAAAATATTCTTATGGGGAAATTGATCCCTTAACAAAATTTCAAAAATATTGGAATAAAATGGAAATAAGCAAAATAGATTAGCCTTGTGCTAGGGGTAATATCGCAGCGTGTGAAGCTCTGCTGATGCGCGATGATTGCTATTTGAGAACTATTCCAAAAAGTGGTCGTTCTCACGAATGACCCAATTTCTGTCAGGTCTTATGGACCTTTCAATTAAACTAACTGACTCCCCCCTTTTAAATTGGAACAAAAAATAATGTTCTAATTTAAAGGGGTTTTAATTTTTGTTTTTAAAAAATATAAGTTGATCACAATTCTTTGAGTCGATTCAGTATTAAAACTGAGCTTTATATATTTAATTAGGTCAAAACTACATTTATAAGAATTAGAATTGCCATCTTTAATTTTTTTAAATTTTTAAAAAATATCAATTGAGCACATTTAGCTTAAAACCGTTTAAATAATATTTTACTCGCATTTTGTCTATTCAATTAGGCCAAAATTAATTTTAAAAAAATTAGTATTTTTAATCGTTAAAATTTTTCTATTGAAAAACAATTTTTCCAATTAAAGGAAAAGCACCCAAAAATGCCAATTAACCGATGTTTGTTCCAATTTAAAAGGGGGGAGTGAATAAAATAATCCTAATGGGATAGAAAATTCTATCTCTAAGCTAAAAATGCATAATTTTATGCATCTTATACCTCTGCAATTATATATAATTTCCCTCTTAAGATTTATTAATTTTTGTATCCACATAAATAAATGTCGTCACTAAGATTAAACCTTATCTGTCGCCATCTCGGACAAAACACCACTGACCAATTTTCTAAGTCTAACTTAAAGACTCCTTATGTCCAAGACCCAATTGATTTTCTCCACTTAGACGAGCTACTGCCTGCAGATCTTAACAATAAAAGGAAACAACTTAGAGCGGCATTAGAAGCTAATATAGCCCCACACGTATCTGAATGGTATGATAAGGCTCAATTTCCTGCAGGACTTGCCGAAAAGCTTAGACCTCTCAACATTTTTGGAATTACAGAAGAAAAATACGGCTGTCGTAAAGTATGCCCACTTGAAAAATCCTTACTCCCCCATCCTTGATCGAACGACTCGCCATCGTTCGATCAAGGATGGGGGCTAAAAAAAAATTTTTTCCCAAAAAAAATTATATATATATATATATATATTTTTTATTTACTTTTAAATAAGAAGGTTAAGAGTATTTAATAATTATTTTACAGCAAAAAATTGAATTAATTTCATAAAATACCAATTTTTAATATTTTGATTTATTAGTTACCCTTTTAAACTGTGTAAATTTAAAATTTGTTCCTTATTTAATTAAAAATTTTTTTTTTAATTTTAGAGAAATCTCTATTTTTTTAGATTATTGAGTTTTTAAGCCTAGGTTGATGACTAAATCACTTCGAATGGTTGATTTCACAGCTTTCTGTCGTCTCAAAGCCTCTGAAAACAACTTCATTATGTACATCTTCCCAAGCTTTTGATAACTAATATATTTTTATATATATAAAAAATTGTCATGATATGAAAATCGTTCGATCAAGGATGGGGGTTAATTACCCAATTTTTAGGAATTTTTACAGTCAATCGTTCGATCAAGGATGGGGGGAGTTAGCTATATACGAGTTAGCCAGAATTGATGCCTCATTAGCTACTTTCTATGCCCTTACTCTCAGTCTAGTAGCCTTTACAATAGAAAAACTCGGCAGTGAGGAGCAAAAAGCTAAATATCTGCCTAAATTGTGCAATCTTGACATTATTGCAAGCTGGGGTTTAACCGAACCTGATTATGGCTCAGATGCTTCCTCTCTTGAAACTACCGCAACCCCAGTCAAAGGTGGCTACATTCTTAACGGCGTCAAAAGATGGCTTGGTAATGCAATAATCTCCGACATCATGATCATTTTTGCCAGAAATACAGTCACCCAGAATATTGAAGGCTTTATAATGGACAGCAAAGCAAAAGGAGTTTCAGTCACCAACATCAATAGAAAACTTGCTTTAAGAATAGTCCAAAATGGCAATGTATTTATGAAAGACGTCTTTATCCCAGAAAACGAAAGATTAGAAAAAGGCCATACCTTTGCAACAGGCGCCAATGTTGTGTTGGAGCATTCAAGAATGAATTTGTCTTGGATGGTTGCTGGGCTTATTGCTGGAACCTATGAGCACGCTGTGAAATATATCAGAGAAAGAACCCAGTTTAGGGCTCCTTTAGCAGCTTTTCAGCTTAATCAAGAAAAATTGGTCAGGATTTTAGCTATTTATCAAGCTGTATTTTTGATGTCATGGAGGACTACTATGCTTTTGGTGAAAGGACAAGGAAATGTAGCCCAAGCGTCGCTGGTAAAAGGATGGTGCTCATATATGGGAAGAGAAGCCACAAGGCTTGGTAGAGAAGTGATGGGCGGAAACGGAATTATTATTGATAATTATGCTATGAAAGCACTAGTAGATATGGAAGTGGTTTATACTTATGAAGGGACTTATGACGTGAACGCTTTGGTCGCTGGAAGAGCTGCCACAGGAGTTGCAGCATTTAAAGCAGGTTATAAGGCTTAATTAATTTCTTAATAAAACAGACATACTAGCATGCTCTATAATATGAATCAATATGGTTATAACGCGAACATATATCCCTATAGAGGGTATCAAGAACAGCAGTACCGGGATAGCCAAAATATATTTGCGACGGTTCCAGCAACCAATAGTAGCATGGATATAGAAGATGGAATTCCTAATATAGAACCCCCAGGCTTACAGCATCCAAAATCTACAAATATTTTCCCAAAAGTGAATCCGCAATCCCAGGATTATAATTTAAAAGCGCCAAACCTATACCAAGAACCTCAGAAAAGGGGGCAAAGTTTGAAAGAATCAGTTGTTTCATTATTCGAAAATTTGGGTAATTTAGTTGCCGCTTATGCTCCTTCTGAAGATAAAGAACAGCTAAGAAGCTTAGTTAATCAGGCCATCCAGGATTATCCTGAGCTGGAATCAAAGCTCCAGGTATTATTGCAGACTAGCCTGAAAAAAATAAATCAGCCATCAAGAGCAGAAATTCCTAATGGAGGGTGTCAGCATTATGGGGCAGAAAGATATACGCCGATCTGCAAGCAGAGCCATTGTAAAGAATGCTTAAGAGAGCTGATTTTTGCTGATCCGGAAAATTCACAGCAAATAGCTTGCCCATGTGGAATTGGATTGTCAAGAAAAAACAAGGATGAAATTGCTCCAGAACTGAATCCGTATATAAAGAAACAGATAGGAAATTCTATAAATATACCTGCTCAAAACTTCTCTCAAGGCAGACCTCAAGCTGATCTGAAGCAAAACTTTAAACCAGCCCCTCAAAGTTTTCAAGAGAATGTTGAAAAGCAAAGCCCGCCTCAGCTTCAAAAAAAGCCTATTCCTCCTGCAAACCAAAATAAGCCTCAGCCTAAAATTTTTGCTGCTGAAAATAAAAAACACCAAAACCCTCTTCCACCTAATCAAATAATTCCTAAAAGAATCCCAGAAAACCAAAGTCCTCCAAAATACCAACACCCTCCAGAGCTTCCAAAAAACAAAAACCCACGGTCTGGTCCAAGAATTGACGCTAATAAACTAGCGTGCACTGTGTGCTCAGCAGTTAAAGATATTGATAATTTTACTGCTATAACATGCTCAGGGCATGATATCTGCTCAACTTGCAGAGTTATTTACCTTCAGCGCAGCCATGAGTGCCCAAAATGCTATCGTGTATATAGCGATAGTGAAATTGAAATGATATCAATATAGCCTAAGGCGACTTTTAGCATTCCAGGGTCATTATATATTCTTGCAGCCTATGTGATGGTAAATTTGCAATATTGTCAAGCTAATTTTACAAATTGGCATATGCGCCCTTAATTAGCATTTAAACATGGATTTATAAACTGCTATTCGAAAAAGTTTAAAAGGCTTCTAATAATGAAGGAGAAACAAAAGCAGCTCTGGACTGTATTAGCAGCTACACTTCCTCCTGAAGAATTAAATGTTCCACAAAATCAACAAAATTTTGAAAGACAAGAGGAGTTTATATGTATTCACTGTGGAAATAAAATAGCAAAGAGCGAAACTCATATGTATGAATGCATGCATCCTCTTCATATCCAATGCCAAACTCCAACTGGATGCCCAGTATGCGGTTATTAGCTTGATTTAATAAAAATATTTTAAATAATTATGAATTCTCCATCTAATCCTGATTATTATCGTGACGAAAGATTTTGGTCTGATACTTTGAGGTCAAGCAAAGCATCAAAACAGCCAAAATCATATAGAAAATACGAAGAAGGGGCAAATAAATCCCAAAATTCTAGCGCAATTTCTAATGAAGCAAAAAAGCGACCTCCTTCTGTAGATTCTAAGCCAATCAGCAGCTTATTGTCACACCGTATCATAAGCCCAAGATTGATGAAGCGTTTAGATTTAAGCTCCCCAAGGCTTTATGAAGAAAATCGAGGAAAAATGACTTCTAGGACTGAAGCTTCAAAACAGGACACAACCCAGTTTTTAGCTGACTCCCCCTCTGTGAGCGAAAAAAAAAATATTTGTTCACTATAAGATTAATTTTTTTGGTTGAACTTTAAATAAATTCGCAAAATTGGAAAAAAATTAATTTAATTGTAAAATCTATATATTAAAGTTAAAAATTTAACAGAATTAGCAAGAGATTTCGTTATAATAATTATCACTTATATATCAAATATATTTTTTTTAATTTTAAAAAATTTTGTTACTTACAGTTTTTTTTTAATCAAAAAATAGCTTTTCTCGTCCATGGAGGGGGAGTGAGAAGCTTAAAGAATTTGAAAATAACTACGCAATACTAACCCCCCTCTGTGAGCGAAAAAAAAATTTTGTTCGCTCATGGAGGTTTAATTTTTCTTAAAAATTATTAAAAAAATCCAATTCGAAATAATTTTAAAGCAAATATTAATTAATTTGTAAAATTTATGATTTAAAATGCAAGCTGTTTAAAATTAATTAAAATTAGCACGAGATTTCACTATAATAGTTTATCACTTATATATTACGTTTTTTAATATAAAATATTAATTCGCTCATAGAGGGTTGGTTTTACAAAACATGGGATTTTTCCAATGATTTTGCTCGCTCACAGAGGGATGGGGGATTAAGAGATCAGTACCGAGAAATCATTGAAAGACAAGCAAAAGAAATCGAAGCCATTAAAAAGGAAAATTCAAAATTGGATAGTGAAATCTCAAGATATGAAGAAGCTATGCAAACAGAAAAACAAAAATGGGAAATTGAAAGAAATGAGTATGAGCATATAATTAATACGTATAAGCAGAATGAGAATAGCAAACTGAATAATTACTATAAAAAAAGACTTAAGGATGCGGAAGATATGATTGAGGAGCAGAGAAAAGAATTTATAGCAGAAATTGATAAACTCTATGAGGAAAATAGAAGGCTAAAATGCAGCTTGAAGATTAAGGGAAAGATAGACGGAATAAGAGAAAATGAAAAATCAGAGTAATCGGATTTTATTTGCGTGGTATTTGTGAATGAATAAATAACTAATGCTAGTAATAAAGCTAATTAATAAAAATAAAGACTCTTTATCTGATTTATAAATGTTGAGCTTGGAATGTGCTTAAACACTGGCATGAATTTGATAAAGGATTGGGTTAAGATTAAATGTAATCATTAGCAAAAATCCTACTGACAGGTAGCATTGAATCCAAAAGGCTTTTATGACTTACATCAACATTACCTTGAAACCTCGAAGATGGGTACTGTGCAGCCAGTTCAGTAATATCTGAGCTGGCTGGTGACAACCTCGATTTTTTCAATCAGAAATTTGTAAAATAAAGAACTGACTGTAGAAATAAGCCATGCAGAAAAGTGCACACAAAGCTAAAGCATCTAAATGATATAATAAAAAGATAGAGAATATTGTTGGTAATTACTTATTTGTAGAATTTGCTATATCTATTTACTCACTATCACTGCTACTGTCTGTACTTTCCCCTGTTTCATAATCTGTTTCCTCTTCTTCTCCTTCTAAGTCTTCTTCATTAAAATCCTCTTCATCAAATACTTCTTCGAAATCTCCTGCATTTAGCCTTGGATCTATTATTGCTCCTCTATCACTATATTTCAGCCGCAACTCTTTATCTAATTCTTCTAGGTTTTGCAAATTTTCTCCCTCAGCTTCGATTTTTTTTTCTTTTTCCTGGATCTTTTTTGAGGTTTTACTTTCTGGTAAAGGCTTTGTGTATTTTTCAATCATTTTTTTAGGTATGGAGTATTCTGCTTGCTTACTCTTTTTTAATTTATAAATTAATAATTATTCAGTAATTTTTATGATTAAAAACAATTAAAAATCTCCAAGGCAAAAGTTTTTTAATTCTCAGAAAGCTAGCAACATTGGCAATCTCATTAACAAAATCTCTGTCATTTAGCTCATGGCCTATTTTCATTAAATTTACACAAGTGTAAATAGACGGAGTGCAGCCGTCTTTTTTCATATAATCTATAATGCTTTTAAGGTTTCTAATTCCAAGATCTTTGCATAAGCTGCCAATGAAAAAATCGTATAAAGCTGCATCAAAAGAAATTCCATAAACTTTGGCCTGGTAGAACAAGTTTGTAGCCATATCAAGGTTTTTTTGCTTTATAGAAGCCTCAAGAGCAGCAGTGTATTCTAATTCTGATGGCTCTTTGCCAAGAGATGGCATCATTTGGACGAGCTTATATGCTTCATCATGCCTACCGATATTGCTTAACCCCCAAGCCAGCGAAGTAATGAGGTCAGGGTCTTCTATTTTTCTTTCTTTTTCTAGCTGAGTGTATGCTTTATATCATTCCTTTTTCAAGACCAAGTCCTTCATGCTTGAAAATGCCCTGATACATCTTTTCGCTAACTCCCCCCCATATTTGATCGAACGACTCACCATCGTTCGATCAAGGATGGGGGTTTAAAAAAAAATTTTCGAAAAAAATTTATATATAAAATAAAATATATATATATATATTGTTTTATTTACTTTTAAATAAGAGGGTTAAGAGTATTTAATAATTATTTTTAAAGCAAAAAATTGAATTAATTTCATAAAATATCAATTTTTAATATTTTGATTTATTAGCCACCCTTTTAAACTGTATAAATTTTAATTTGTTCCTTACTGAATTATATTTTTTTTTTTTTTTAAATTTTAAAGAATCTCTATTTTTTAGATTATTGAGTTTTTAAGCCTAGGTTGATGGCTAAATCACTTCGGATGGTTGATTCCGCAGCTTTCTGTCGTCTCAAAGCTCTGAAAACAACTTCATTAGTTACATCTTCCCATTTGATAAATGATGGCTAAATCACTTCGGATGGTTGATTCCGCAGCTTTCTGTCGTCTCAAAGCTCTGAAAACAACTTCATTAGGTACATCTTCCCAAGCTTTTGATAAATAATATAATTCTATATATATAAAAATTTGCATGATATGAAAATCGTTCGATCAAGGATGGGGGATAATTACCCCAATTTTTAGGAATTTTTACAGTCAATCGTTCGATCAAGGATGGGGGGGGAGTAAAAACATTTTAATATTAAAATATGGGAATTTTTAGAAAAATTATTTATTTAAAATAATAAAAATATTTTTTAACTAGTTCTAATTTGTTAATTAAATATCTAAAATTTCAATGAAAACTAAGAAGGGTTCTCATAAAATATAACTTGGTCAACTAAATAGAGATTATTAACTGCATTTTTTCCAAAATTTCTTTCAACTTCTCCATATATCTATTTATTTTTTACCACATCATCAGGGACTTTCATATCTCTCCTGCTCTTCAAAAACCTATAAATCCTCTCAAAAAAATTAGCCCCTAAAGCTTCAATAGCTCTTTGTCTATGAATTGAGGATATATCTTCTGACATCATAGAGCTGCTGGCACTTAAAGTGTTTCTTAAGCTAATATCTTCTTCAATTTCTTCCTTTATATTTTCATGTTCTTCAGTATCCTAATTATAAAATACACTTTCAAAATCATCCTCATATTCTTCAGTAGCGTTGCTGTCTATAAGTGGATTTGTGGAGTAGCTAAAAATCTCATGGTCTTCTTGCAGAGGGTAAACACTTATATCTTAATCTTAATTAATCTATTCTTGTTACGCATAGCATTGGGGAATTACCACTTAGAGACCATCCTAGGTAATTGAAGGAGCAATATTGCTCACTTAGAAAGTGAATACCCTTGATCAATGAGATGACGGATTATAGCACTTATATCACTTTCTACAAGGTCTAAAGGGTTAAAATCAGAAATATTTTCTGATACCCTAGAATCAGGATGATGGAATAATTTTAATGAGTCATTTTCTGTACTTGTGCTACTAGGTCTTGACGATAAAGCCTTTTTTTCAGCTTCTTCTCTTTTCCGCCGCCTTACTCCCCCTCTGTGAGCAAGCAAGTTTATTGGAAAAATCCTATTTTGGTTAAAAATCCATCCTAAGTGAGCGATTTTTTTTATATCGATATATAAGTGATAATTATTATGAAATCTCTTGCCAGTTCAGTTTAATTTTTAAGCAGCTTGCATTTAAAAACATAAATTTTACAAATTAAATAAATATTTGCTTTCCAATTTTGAGAATTGCGATTTTTTTAAAATTTTCAAAAAAAACTTTTACTATATAAATTTTTAAAAAAAAATTCCCTCCGCAAGCGAGAAATATTTTTGTTCATGGAGGGGGAGTTAGTCTTTCTGTTGGAGTTTCGAATCTTTCTACTGATTTTTCCACATTTATGGTCCAATTGTACTCTTGGATATATTTAAAAAAAATTGGAAGATTCAAGACAGCCGCCAAGCTTGCACGAGCGCTCATGTCTTTTACAAGCATCGATTTAATTGCAAACCCAAGCTCATTCGGTAAATCAGCATCAAGTGGATCAGGTGGTTCATTTAAAATTTTTGTAATTAAAGTCAGCAAGTTATTTGCTACAAAAGGAAATCTCAAATTGCAAAGCTCATATAACAAGCACCCCAACGACCAAATATCGCTTTTATTTGTATAAGGCTTATTCTGGCACACTTCAGGGCTCATATAATAGGGTGTCCCCACAACTGTGCAAGCTACATCATTGGTATGTTCAAGCATTTTAGAAATTCCAAAGTCTCCTATTTTGACTACCAGATCTTTGGTTAAATAAATATTAGAAGCCTTAATATCCCTATGCAGAATCCTTTGCTTATGTAAATACTGCAGCGAGCATGCTACTTGGACAAATCATGAAATAATCTGTGGGATAGGAATTTGCATATTTCTTTCCTTATGACTTTTTATTTGGTGGGCCAGATCTCCACCTTCGCAGTACTCCATAACAATAATAAGCTCATTGTTTTCGACAAAGCTTTCAATATATTGGACTATATTGGGGTGATGCAATCAATGCAGTACTTTGGCTTCTTGGTATGAGTATTGGATTTCTTTGGCGTCTAGACCCATTAAACAGATTTTTTTAGCTGCATAGATGTCATTGGTGACCTTGTGCTGCACTCGATAGACACTTCGGAATTCAGTCCTGCCAATTGGCTCGAGTTCTTGATATTTGGAAGTAAAAGACATATTTTAAATAAATTAGGATTAAAATAGCTTCTGTTTCAGGATGGCTTGTTGCTTTCTTTTAAGCTCGTATAGATCGTCATTTTTCTTTTCCATGTCCGATGCTAGGGTTGATAGTTCTTTTCTTAGAGTCCCAAGGTCTCCAGTGGCTTCTTGAGAATGCTGAAGCAGTCTTTTGTATTTGAGGTTTAAATTAGAAATTTCTTGTTCGACTTCTTCTATTTCGGCTTGGTGATCTTCTTCTTTGTCAGGTTTATCAACGACTATTTGAGATAGACTTCTTTCTACTAACGCCTCTATAATGAGCAACCAAAATTACTGGAAAATATAAAAATTGGCTCTTGCATGATGAAAAATGTTTTTAATAAAAAAAATTTTAGTATAAAATATTTTTTGGTATTATTATAATGCAGTCTCTACAGATTCTGTTACATTTTAAGCAAATTGCAATCTAAAAAAAGTTATATTCTTGAGCAAATTGGTGTTTTTGAATTTCATAAAAATAATTAGCCTCTCTGAGCAAAAATTTTGATCTCTAACAGGGAAGGGTAAGGATTTTTTTTGAGTACCACGCTTTGCTGATCTGCTTGGCTCAGATAAAAGAGATTTTGAGTAAGGTGTAGGGGATTTTGATTTTAATGTAACTGATAATTTCGGATTTTTATTTGTTTTTCTTGGAACTCTTTTATGAGAAAGCACTGAATCGTCTGCTGGTTTCGTTTTTATAAGTTCTAATCTAGAGTCCTCAGAAATTTTATTGCCCGCTTGCAGATCTTGATTTTCTTTTTTTAAATACTCAATCTGCTGAGCTTGATTTGTATTTTGCTCTTTCAAACTTTTTACCTTGATTTCTAATTCTTTCGCTTTTTGAGAAAACTCTTGATTCTGTCGTCTCAACTCACTCTCAATGATTTCAAAATTTTTTTGAAGATTTGACCTTTGGGAGCTTGAATTTTCTCTTAAATACTGGACTTCAGATTTCAGCCCACTTGAAATCCTTTTTTCCTGAGCTAATTCTTCAATAGCCAAGCTTTTATGCTTTTCCGAATTAATAAACTATTTTCTGCTTATCATTATTAAAAATGTTTATATTCATTATAAGTAATTATATCTCTCTCAGCCTTTTCTAAAGCAAGTTTCAGATTTTTTTCTTCATTTGACTTTCCTACTAGCTGCTTCTGCAGATGTTCCATCTGAAGTGCATTATTTTCTTTATCAATCACATATTGGTCAACATTCCTTTTAATTTCGTTTTCACAGTGCCTAATTTGTGTTTCCTTGATTTTTAATTGTTCTTCTAGTACTAAAACTCTTTGCAGGTGCTTTCTAAGCTCTTCTTCAAGCTCAATAACTCTGTTTTGCATACTTTTGTCCTTTATACTGGCTTGCTTTAATTCTTCAATGCATCTGGTTTGCCATTGTTCACGGTCTTTTTGGCCTTTTGTTTCAGCGAAAATAAGCCTTTCTTTTAAGTCAGAATTTTCGTTTTCAAGCAGACGGACTTTGTCTTGGAGAGCTCTCATTGCGCCTGCAAAGGATTTCGAAGATGCTTCTATTGGGGGCGATTTTTGAGGCCGTGAGAGCGGGCTCTGTGATTGATGGGAAGAAAACTGAGGGGAGTCTTTAGGACTGGCTTGCCCTCTTACGATATCTTCTAGCTCTTTAGTAGAAAGATCTTTTACGCTGATTTGTCTGTATGAATCAGTGGGGTACTCTTTTGTTCCTGGATTTTTCTGAGTTAAAATATCGTAATCATACTCATACATTTAAATTATTTAACTAAAAACGCTTTATTTATTATAATTTTTCTTACTCCCCCCCCCCTCCGTGAGCGAACAAAACCATTAGAAAAATCGCCATTTTTTGACCAAAAACCCACCCTCCGTGAGTGAACAAAAATTTTTTTAATAGAAAAAATTTTAATGGAAAAAAATTTTGATATATAAGTGATAATTAGTATAATGAAATCTAGAGCTAATTCTGTTTAATTTTAAACAAATTGCGTTTTAAAACATAAATTTTGCAAATTAAATTAATATTTGCTTCCCAATTTTTGCAAATTAGGATTTTTTTAAATTTCGAAAAAAAATATTTTTTATAAAATTTATATATAAATTTTTTTTAAAAAAAAAATTAACCCCCCTCCGTGAGCGAACAAAAAAATTTTGTTCGCTCACGGAGGGGGGGGGGGAGTTAGTAATAAAGAATAAATTGTAAAAATAACTATTTATTATAAAGCACTTATCTTTATATAAAAGCATTAACCAAATAATTCTTTAGTGATAAGATTTTTAGCTGCATTGTGAAAAGGAGACCTATCACGTGTCGGTGTTTTGCTTGAAGCAGATGAGTAATCAAGTTTCGAGTTTAGCATATTAATATCATAACGATGATTTTCCTGATGCTTTAAAATCTGTTTAGAAACGTCACGTCTGAACCGAGAAGGGCTTAGTGATGCAGAATCTTTTGCGTTTATTTTGAAGCCATTTGAATGTGTTGCAAATGGCTCATTATTACTTGAAGCTTGAAGGCTCTTATCATTTTGTGAATTATTTGTGAAATTTGAACTGCTGTCTATTCTTGATAGCTTGTTATTATTTATTGTTGGCATATTGTTATTGCTTCTGATAATTCTAATCTTTCTAACAGGTTTTAATCCAGTAGGACTAGCTTCCTCCCTAATATTATTTAACTGATTTTCATTCTTTTCATATACAGATTTACTCCCAAAATAGGAATTTGATATTCAGCTTCCTGTCTCATTATAATAATTGCCCGAGGATGGCGCTATCTTAGCGCCATCCTCGGGCAATTTCTATATCTTGCAATTGGGGCAAAAACTTTGGTTCTTCATAAAGATAATTAAATCTTGACCGAATTGGCGTCAAATTTGAATTTGGAGTAGAGGCAGCAATATAATGAACGTTTCTCTCTGGATACATCTTTCTTCCAAACCTATTTTCTCGAAAACCCTATATCTCTTTTACAATTTCCATCTCTGGGTCAAGAGGCATAAAAATTTTTTTATTCATGATTTCTATTTATTTTCATTTATTTACTTCTTCCATATATATTGAAACAAATTATTGATTCTCATATATGGTGATAAGGGGAAAAAAAAAATTAAATAGTGTTTTTATGAAAAATAGACTTATGATATTTTGATAAAAATTGATCTAATTACACTCCTTAAAAATAGAATAATTTATAAGCTTTCTATTTTTTCGGCATAAAATTGGGTATTAAAAATTAATTTTACACAAAATATTATTTTTAAAATAGTGACAAAAAATGGAGATTTACCTATATTTTGTTCAAATTCAATTGGAGGAGTAAAGAGAAAGTTGCATACACAGATGATGACATCATAAATAATGTCAACAATAACTAATTAAATCGAAATTTCTCTACATTTTTTGAGGTTGTTATTACTTCGTATAATAATAAATTATGAGCTGAATATTTAACACTATTTTGCCTTCTTGTTGCACTCGAAGGGAGGCAAATAGACAAGCAAATGAGTGTGTATCTCCAACGAAGTCAGACGAACAGAACGATATAATAAAACTTGATATCATTAGCGAGAGTAACTTCAAAGATTCCAGTGATGACTTATACCGACATTCAAAATCTTTTGATGAACCAAGAGAATGCGACCAAGAAGAAAAAATCCAGTCCGAATTTTTAAAAAATTGGGAAATTGAGACACCTGAGACCGCTGATAAGCTTACGAGGCAAAGCTCGATTACATCTATCAGCAGTATAGATAATGCATGCCACGTTTTAGAACAGTTTAAATGCGTGGAATGTAACCAAGCCGCACAGGGATTTTGCTTTGGATGTAGGAATTTACGATATTGTAGGTCTTGCTATGAAAAAGCTCATAAAGGGGAGCAGGAAAATCATAGATTTTGTGCATACGCAAAAAAGAAATTTACTTCTACGTCAAATGCACTTCGTGCATTGGCAATGCTAAGTTATAAGAAAAATTAAGCTTAACTAAATTTAATATTGTAGTTCTATGTGAGAGTGACTTTAAATAGTAAGGTAGTTATCATTTTTGAGCAGTTAAGTAAATCAGAAGCAGTGAGAATCGAGTTTAAAAGTATTTAGATATAGAATTAATAGGAGAAATTTAAGTCAAGCCTCTCTTTATGGATTTCACCCCAACCCAACTATATGTATACAATCCTTGCAATAATTTCCTAAATAGAATTTGCATATGCAAATGATAAATCACAAATTAATCAGCAATCACTAACAAGATTTGGAAACTCTCTATATTTTATGAGTTGAATATTTAATACTATTTTCTTGTATTGTTGCACAAGAATGGAGGCAAATCGGCAGAGAAGCGAATATGTAACGCCAACCAAATTAAAAAATTAGATATATTATATTTAACATCAAAATGCAGGTTTCTTGCTGTTACAGCTGCCTCTGCAGCACAATTAAGCATTTAAGCCATTAGTTGATAGTATAAACAAAAATTATGAATATAGAATAAGTTCCCTTATATTCAACATCAAATTAAATTTATTTGCAAATCCATCCAACCCATCAAAGTGTTGCATCTTGACTTCGCATACAATGGATAAACCAGTCTTTAATTTTGGACTTCAACAACTCTTTTTTGAGCTCAAGCTGCCTACCTGGATCCTTAATGCACTCTAATTGTCCCATTACTTGCCACCTGGAGTAGGAGGTAAATATTTACCTAGGTTTAAAATTCTGAAAGAGAAAAATCAATTGGCTCTTGCTCTGAGATAGCAGGATTAATCCATCCTGTGAAACATGTTATCATAATTAAAAAGGCAAAAAATATTGTTCTGTCAGGGGATCAGAAATTCAAAATTGCCATATTTTAATTATAACCAGCCAAATCAGAAGAACAGTGCTAAGCTTAATATAGCTGCAGAAAGCAGTTGGATCCCGATACAGGTGATTCTTACATGTCAGAAAAATTGGGCTGCCCTTTGATTGACCAAAAAAGGTTTGGCAGACTCATCCTTTTCAAGCTCTGCTTGGGAATCAAACATGGTTGAAGCCAGATCAGATCAATATAATTGGAAAAGCCTGATGATAGTCTAAAAAATAAATTCTCTATATCTTAAACGATTTTAAAAAATGGGAAATTGAGACACCTGATACTACTGATAAATTTAGTAGGCAAAGCTCAGTTACATCAATCAGGAGTGTAGATAATGCATACCGAGTTTTAGAACAGTTTAAATGTGTGGAATGCAGCCAAGCCGCTCAGGGATTTTGCTTTGAATGTAGAAATTTACCATACTTTAAAGCTTGCTACGAAAGAGCTCATAAGGAGGAGCAGGGAAATCATAAGCTTTGTGCATAGCCAACGAAGAAATTTACTTCTGTGTCAAGTGCACTTTGTGCATTGATATTGCTGAGCCGTATCATTTTAGAGCAGTTTTGAAAATTAGGAATATTTTAAATCAGCTTTAATTGCATTTGGATAGAAAATTAAATTGCTTGGAGAACACTAAGACTAATTAATAGTAGAAATTACTTTTGTATAAGTACTTTCGTAAGTTCTATAGCATTTTCGCAATATATTAATGATTTATTGGATTAATAGCTTAGAACTTAAGTGCATAACTTAAGTCATGCTTAGGTTTATGTTAAGGCATCTTTTTTTACTTACTTAATTATCTGGTGTTTAAGGTGTCTAGTGCCGCAGCCCAAAAGGGCCTATGGCAAAACTGATGACGTAGGCGAGCCATCTTGGCACGGGTCAGCCCCGTCCAAGCCTTCTAACAACTCCTGCTTCACCGGCCTTGCTGCACGTCTCACCCGGCGCGTTGCCGTCGCCCTTGTCGCTCGACTCAGCTCCTGCGCGTGTTCCGCCTAAGGGTCATCCTCCCGTGGGGATGTGCTGAGAGGTAAAAGCCCGAGATCTTGAGTGGACTGAGGAGTGGTTCCTTTGGTTATCCCCAAAGTTAAACCGCTATTGCTGTCCAGAAGTTCGCGAGTGAAAACCTAACCCTAATAATAAAATTCCATGAGGGAGAGAAAATTAGCAAAGCTAATTTCTCTCGAACCGAATGCCATTTTATTATTTATGTTAAGGCATCACTATTAAAATATGACTGTTGATAGGACATCACTATTAAAATATGGTTGTTTTAAGACCTTAGTTAAAAGAAAAATTCAAGTTCTGTGAAATGGGATACTAAACTCAAGTTATTAAACAAGAAAATGGCTCAAAAACACTCATGCTTTCTAAAACAATTTTAATCGATAACAATCCTCTTGATTAAAGATCCTCAAACAACACTGGGTTATTCTCACTGAGACCAAATTGAAGGAGGTTTTCTTAATTGGTTTGCTATTTTAAACTATGTATTTTTCTTAATAATGTTATAAAAACAAAATAATCAGATTTTTTTCAATTAATTATTATTAAACATGAAGATCGAATATATATTTTATATAATTATATTTTCTAATTAACTATTCCTCTTAAAAGTTATTTTAAGCATTCAAGCTTTTTTGCTTCACTTTCTCCCTCTTTTGAATTATAACAAAAAATCCTATCCAGTTTTAAAAAAAATCATAAAATTAAAAAATTATAAATTGAACCTATGTTTTAAAGCCATAATTTATTTTATGAGGAACTAATTTAAAAAATAATATCCAACTTGCACTTTTTCCAAAATTACCCTACAAAAATTAGTATTTTCCTATAAAATTTTCCAATAAAATTTGTTCCAAATTAAAGGGAGGTCAATGCACCCAAAAAATGGAGATTCTCCTCATATTTTGTTCCAATTTAGGGTGTAAGAGTTATTTTATCCTTTTATAATATAACCCTATTGCATTCTCACTGAATTTCATAGACAAAAAATCATTACTCACAAGTAACATAATAATACTCAATTCAATATGAGCAATTTAATTAAAAATCATATGAAAATCTAATAAAATGGATCCTGAACAATTCAATGTCAAAAAGAACCCCAAAGCTTACATAGAGCATCTGGAAAACCAAAATCGCATCCGCAAACAGCTCGAACTCCGCGATCGCGACCATCTTGCCAAAAAGCAAAAAGAGCAAGGTTTCAACATTTACCTTGGCGGTGCAAATAATGAACGAGTTACAGATCAGCGCAAGCGTGAAAAAGTAGAAAAACTGAGAGAAAAATCCCAAGAAAGACCTGCAAATTCTCGCAAAAAATGAGGAAACCCCAGCTTTCCAATCCCATCAGTCCCTTCATTATCAAAAGAAACACATCCAGATGCTTATGAACAAAATTCTGACCCAGAGTACTCTGACTCATTTGAAGAAGACGAGGACGAAATTGAAGAAATTAAGCCTTTGCCCATCAAAATACCTCCCAAAGCAGACCTAAAGCAGTCAATTATCCAAAAAATCAGTCAATTAGATGAGGCAAAACTCGAAAAATTGTCAAGATTTTTGGATTCTTTACAAGAAGAGCCTCAATTTGAAGAAGAGGAAAACCCTTTTGAAGCTTTAAAACCATCAGAAAAGCAGCAGTCTTTTACAAGCCCAAAACCAAAACCTGTCATTCATAAACACAAAAGGCCGTATTCTAGCAAAGGAAATGAGGAAAAAAAAGAGTTCACAGAAATCGAGCTAAGGGTGCTTACGACGTGGGGCCATGCCCATTTGATAGGGCTTACAGAAATTGAAGCTTTTAATGAAAATTCAGAAAATATTAGGCTAAATCCTTCAAATATTCAGATAAAAAATACAGGACATGGGGTACTGTCAAATCCTAGCAAGCTTGTAGATGGAGAAAAATATACAGAAGACGAAAAACATATGTGGCTTGGTCCTATGCCTGAGCCACCTAACAATCTAGAAATCGTATTAACTTTGCCATCATCTGAAAATATCTCAGCATTAAGACTGTGGAATTATAATAAAAGCCTGCTGGACTCAGTCAAAGGGGTCAGAGAGCTAGAAGTGTGAAAGGATGGCAAACTTGTATGGGAAGGCACTGTAACCCGTGGCTGTGGAAATCGATATGACGACTATTATACTGATATCCCTCTAATTCCGAATTTTTCTATAAAAAACGAAGAAGAAATCCCTGAAGATGTAAAACAAGAAAATTTCGAAGAAAAACCTACGTCAGCTCCAATGTGACTACCAGGAAAACCAATGATTAAAGAAGAAAAAAAAGAAGATGACAAGCTGCGGCCTGTTGCAAGTGTCCCTAGAGTCAGGCATAACCAGCCATTTGAAATAGTCCAAGAAGAAAACAAAAAAATAGAAACAAGCGACTATCATTTGTCGCCAGCTGTATTAAATTTCAAAAAATCTAGTGTGACGACTAGAGAGAAAAAACAAATCCAAAACGATTTTACAGACCCTGCACTAATTCCTGAGCCAACTTTAAAGCTACTTGGACTTAACACGAAAAAAAAACATGTGGCTGCTGAGCCTTTAAAAGAGAGCTTGGACTCTTTGGAATATTTTAAAATTACTAATGAAAGCAGAATAAAAAGAGACACTCAGGTAAAATCGAAGCCACTAGAAGAAATATTAGAAGTTAAAATAGAAAAACCAAGGGAAAAGCCACATGATCCGCTTGATGATGCACTTGATAGGTTTATTGTAGAACAAGCAGCACCAAAGCCACAAAATTATGAAGAGCAGAAAATCCCAAGCTACCCAAAAGGACAAATGTTGAAATTCAAAATTTTGTCTACGTGGGGAGATACTCATTATGTAGGGCTCTGTGGGATTGAGCTGTTTGATCAGCTTGGAAATCCTATTAAGTTTAAAGACCCAGCTAAGCAGATTTCAGCTGAGCCTGCAGATGTAAACGTCCTGCCTGGGTATGGCACTGATCCTCGCACAGTCGACAAACTTCTTGACGGCACAAACTGGACTTGTGACGATTTACATGTATGGCTAGCTCCTTTTACCCAAGGGCAGTTTAATTTAATATACATAAATCTGCTAAGCCCAGTCGCCCTTTCTATGATCCGTATATGGAATTACAACAAATCCCGTATCCACTCCTACAGAGGTGTAAAAAACCTAGAAATCAGCTTTGACAACAAAAATATTATTTTTTCAGGAGAAATTTCTATTGCCCCTGGCAGAATGAAGGACGCAGACCAGTACTGTGAGTATATCATGTTTACCAAAGATGACGGGATTTTAAAAAGAATAGAAAAAAATGACTGGGTGAAGGATTTTGACCATAATGAAGTTGACCAAGAACTAATGTCAACAATAAGGCTACAAATGAGGCCAGGAACTGCAAGTAGAGAACAAGGAAAAATAGAACTCCAGCCAAGAAGGATTGGGGAAGATGGGAGGCCTTTGACTTCAGCAATTGTAGCACCGCCTCCTCCTGTGTCTTCAAAAACTTCTGTGGTAGGGCGAAAAATCAGGATTTTAATATTAGAAACTTGGGGTGATTCTTTTTATGTAGGCTTGACTGGTTTGCAGATTTTTGGACGAGATGGTCCAATTGAGATCCAGAGGAACTGAATTGATGCGACTCCAAGAGATATGAACGTAATTCCTGGCTACTCTGGAGACTACCGAACCCTTGATAAGCTTATCAACAGCCGAAACCGTACCACAGATGACCACAATATGTGGCTTATCCCATACTCTCAAGGAAAATACCATTTTATTGACATTGATTTACAAGATATGACCCACATCTCAGGAATTAATTTTTGGAATTATAACAAAAACCCTGAAGACACTGCAAGAGGGGTAAAACGAATTTTACTATACATTGATGGGAAATGCATTACCTCAGACGCAGGAATTGCATTAAGAAAAGCTCCTGGACATGCAGAATATGACTTCGGGCAGCTAATTAGTTTGCCTTATAGTGATGGCTGGAATGATGATTTAATTACTCCTTTATCCCGACCTATATTTGCAAGCCAATTAGTTCTACAAGACTATGAGACACCATATCTGCCATGCGGGTTTATACTGAAATTAAGGCTATTTTCTACATGGGGAGATATGCATTATATTGGAATGAATGGAATTGAGTTATATGACCAAAAAGGAAGACCTATCCTGTTTAACCAAACAATTGGCTGCTCAATCTCAGCAAATCCTTCTTCTATTAGAGAGCTCCCAGACAACTCAAACGATGTAAGGACCCCTGATAAGTTAATTGATGGGATAAATAACACAGCTGACGATAAACATATGTGGCTTGCTCCGTTTCGTAATGCGTCTTCTTATTATTCAGCTTTAGAAGGGCCTAGTAAGCCTAATGAAATCACAATAACTTTTGATAAGCAAATTTGTATTGGATATATTCGGCTGTGGAATTATTCAAAGACCCCGACTAGAGGTGCAAAGGATTTTGAGATTTTGTTAGATGATATTTTACTTTATAAGGGGGTTATGAGGCAAGCTGGGGGAGCGAGGGATTGGAGCTGTGTCGTGCTGTTTACAGGGGATCAAGGGGTTATTGGAAGATCGACTGAGCTGATTTATAGAGATCAGACGGAAGGGAAAGGGAGTGTATTATTATATAATGAAGGGAGACTGGTAGGAGGAGTGGAAGAAACCAAAGTGGTAGCAGCGAGGCCATATATATTAAAATGGAGTGGCGAGCCAACCTTTTAACACCTGTAGCTAGAGTAAACCAGGGAACTTGTAAAAGGGAGTATAGCGTTCGGTCATATGTATAAGGCCAGAGGTTTTACTTGGCTTGGTATGTGCAGTCCAGGTCATTGTTTTTTACCTCGGAGTAAGATTGGACTCGGAGTTGGAAGGGATCTCACAGCAACGCCAGTGGGGTTATTCCTGGTCAATCAGGAGCATTTCCAAGCGAAGCCCCGTACGTCAACGGAGTTTATCTTTTGAAAAGCGAATTTTCTGGTCACCTGTCATCCAAGATGGAAACTCAGGACGCAGCTCCTCGTGATGACCCAGCGCCTCTAACCTACGGGGTAGGAGTTCAAACTCTCACCCATGAGGAGCAATACAGTGAGAGACCGTGCTCCGACTGGCAAGCAAGTGGCAGAGCGATATGGAAGTGTGAACATGACCCATCGTATGCTTATAGGGAGCTTCTCTTATATCTTAGTTAAGCTTAAGTTTAAGATAGCAGCGAGGCCACAAACAAGTGTTGCGTTTTAGAGTAATTAACTTATCTTCATATTTATATCTTTATAATCAATGCTAATTGTTTATTATCCTTACTAGGTTCTATATCTAGATTACTATATATATAATATTAACTTTATTAATAGCGAAGCTTAATAGCTATTAAGCGCGTCAATTTGAGGTAAAGGATTGATCATTCGCTTTGTTTCTTTTCTGATTCTGATTTTCACAGACCTTCTCATTTCAGACTAAAAATCATAATCTGTAGTTCTGACTTTTACAAGGGAATGATAACGACGCTTTTTAATAATTGTAAAGTCTGATAAAAATCTGTCTTTTATCTCTAGATTCTGCTAATCATTTTTAAGTAGAGCTGTAAGACTTTAGTTGTTTCAATTTAATTTTATCATTTTCTATATAAATAGCTTGTTTATCATTAAACTTAATAATTCGAGTTTTTTAAAAAGTGTTAGATAAGACGCAGCAAGCAATGATGCACCTCTATCTTATATTTATTCAATAACCCTTCTTTTGAATTAAAGATTAATAGAAAATTATATCTAATTTCTCTTAATTAAGTTTATTTAGCCTCAGGGTTCTTCGGCTTGTTAAGCGAAACATTCGGCAGCGCGTTTTGAATTTCCACCAAATCTCTCTCTTTGACATCATCAAAATAAAACTCTTCCAATGTTTTTACTTCGCTCAGCGTCTTCGCAAGTTTCTTAATTCCCCTCGAACTTATATTATTTCCCTTGAGATTTATAACCTTCAACCCTTCAAATTCGCTTAAATTTTCCAAAATTTCCCCAAGGCTATCACTTCCAAATCCATTCCCTTCCAAATTCAATACTTTTAAGCTCTTCATATAAGAAATTGGCCCTGCAATTGCTGCCATTCCTTCATCCCCAAGCTGATTATCAGCAATAGTCAGCACTTTTAAGCCTGTAAGCCTTGCAAGCTCATTGGCCAATTTTTGTGCTCCAACGGTCCCTATTTGGTTATTTCTCAAGGCCAATTCTTGTAGCTCTGAAAGCTCAGGTATTAAAAGGGCGACTAATTTTGAGCCTTTGTCAGATAGTTCTCTATTTTCTATTCTGATTTGTTTTATTTTTTTGGCATTGCCTCTCAGAAATTGGATGTAGTATTCTTTAAGCTCAGCTAGCATTGTGGATTCATGCTTGGTGAAGGCCACACCTACTGGGGAGTCTGACATTTCAGCTTTGAAGGCGAGATTTTCTTCTCCTTTGTCATAAACACCCTTAAGGCAGGTACATTGAGACAGAACGTTTCCCATTATTTAAAAAACCACGGATAATATGGTGATTTTGTTGGGATACTGATTTTATAAGAAACTTTGATTTTTTGGAAATTTTTAAGTCTAGTGAATTAATATAAAATTATATACAATGATTAAGGGGTTTTGTGTAAGATTGGGATTATTTTAATAATAAATTTAGTTGAATTTTGATTAAAAATATATATGTTAGAATTAAACAGACTAAATCTGTATAAAATTATTCAGTTTCTAGTAAATTAAATTCCTACTGGCTGATAGTTATTCTATTATAAATATACCTAATTATATTAATTAAAAATATTCATATAGGTTAGTCTCAGATCCAATGCTCGCACACTTTCTATGATGCATTTAATCGAAGAAAAATTTGTTCGAAAAATTTTAAATAGTGTACTATTAGTCGAAATTAAGGGTAAAGTGTCTCATATAAAAAAAATTTCAAATAAATATCCTGGAAAATGTCGAACTATCAAAAGTGCATGATCATTTAAATGGAGCCTAGCCCCACTATTTTTATATAAAAATCGAATAACGGTTATCATTAGGTGTTTTTATTCTTTATAATTAGTTATAAAAATAAAGAACAATGCGCCAGTACTTTTGGTTCTATTCATTACAAATGTAGTATTTAGCTACTGCCTTTCTATGCTTCAGCGCTTTTCTCGCCCTTACATATATTTTACACCTAACAAATGGTTTAATAGCTAAATTCTCGATGCATACAACGATCAATGAAAAACAGCCGCTCGTATAGTGTGAAGAGACTTCATTGATCACAACATTATTAAACTCAATAAATCCTTCTTCGTTCTGCTTTGATTCTGTGGTCCCTCTAATTATCTTTTTTCCTGAAATGTTTGACTCCCCATATTTAAATTTAAAAACATCTAATATAATTTTTTTTTTAAAAAATTAGCCCTTTTTTTAAATAGGAACAGGATTTTTTGTTCCCATTTAAAGGGGGAGTGAGTATAATATTGTTGGTGGCTCATCAGCGCTGGCCAAAATGATTCTGAAAGTTTTGTTTCCTTGCAGCTTTTCTATGGAGTTTTCAACAGTTTTGACTGAAAACTTGAGCTGAAACCCCCTTTCCTTATAAACCCGGGCTGGGAAAGGCTTTTCCAGTTGCAAGGTTAGAGGAAAAGGCTCACCTTTTTGGATCCTCCAGAGTTGTTCAAAAACCAAGTCTTTGTGCTCATCTGTAAGGTACTGATTTTTATCGTTGGACGAAATTGTCTTTGCTAGTGCAGAGACTGAATCAATCTCCTTCTGAATCTTTTGGTAATTTAATAACAATTGGTACAAGAAGGCATTGCTTTGGTTTAGGATGGCTTCTGATAGCTGTAAATCAGCAGATGACGGACAATTTTGAGATTGCCAACTATTGTAAACGTAGCACTCTGCATGCGAGCAAGGCGAGTTATTAGAAAATAGCAAGCACATATTGATTAATAGGAATCATTAAAATATGAATAGTATTATACAAATTTTCCAGCTAGAAAATAATTATACAAATTATTTTAAATATTATAAACATCATCATCTTAAAGGTTTATAATGTTAAATATTATATTTTATTATTTATTGATAAACAACAGTTTTTATTTTTTTAATTAGTTTATCTGATTCATATAACAATTTGCTTAATTAAATTTATTTCATTTTTTATTATTGTAAGCTTATAATAAAAAATTTATATTTGAAAGCTTGAATTTCCATTTTCTTTAATTTCTTATTTTATATATTTTGTAATTTCACATGGCAAAAGTTGTCCCTTATGAGAGTTCTGCTTCAAATGGAATTCGCTTGCAAGATAGAAGGAAATCAGCTGCTTTAATAGTCGACGATCGTCGAAGTTCAAATGCTGTAAGTCAAGTTAGGCCGAACATTGACAGACGAAAATCCGAGGTCCTAACTATCCTATTCATGTGCGAGAGAAATGAATTGGAAAAATTCTGTGAATGAGCAAGATATATTTTTAATATTAAATCTTTCAGATAGCAAATATTTAATAAAATGTGACGATTATTATGATTTTTATTAAAATTTTAAGCACATGCACTTATAAAACACAAATTCTATGAACTTATTTCTGATAATTAAGGCTTTTAAAATTTCAAAAAGATTAATATAAGTAAAGCTTTTGCTCGCTTGCAGGGTGACAGAGTAAGCAGATACTCATTTCACAGAAATTCATTTGAGCATAGTATAGAAGAGTCAATAAAGCCTGACACCACCAGAGGGTATCATAGAGACTTAAATTCCTCTGATGAAGAAATCAGAGAAAACATACACAATTTAATTCAAAATAAAGACTTGCATGACCATGAAGACAAAGAAAATCGATCAGAAGTTTTAAGTTTAATTAATATCAACCAGCGATTTCACTCAAAATCAGAAGCAGCACTGCTTGCAAGTGAAAGTGAGCTTATGACCCCTTCAATTTCTGTTCATAGAGCCTCAGTTGAATGTACTCCAAATACTCCTATGAATCTTAAGCCAATTCCTAAATGTTTATTTGTTCCTGATTCTTTATTTGGAAATCTTTGAAATACTGTAATTATTCTAGCACTTATTTATACTGCGACCTTTATGCCTTTTCTTGTAGCTTTTTATGACTCAGAAAATGAAATTTGGCAGGGATTTGACATAGCGATTGACTCGATATTTATTATAGATTTGCTGGTCAACTTTAATATGGCTTTTTATAGTGAGGATGGAGAATTGGTGACTGATAGAAAAATTATTGTCAAAACTTATCTGAAAACGTGATTTATACTTGATTTAACCGCATCATTCCCTTTTTCATTTATATCTGTATCAAACGGCTCGAATGGTTCAGATAAACTTGTAAAACTAGCAAAAATCCCAAGAATTTATAGGATTATCAGATTTCTTCGAGTAATTAAAATCGCTAAGGCAGCTCGGTTTACCCAGACATATCAAGAGGTGCTAGAACGATTAAATATTACTGCTACAGCAGTCAGAGGGTTTAAATTCTTTTTCATAATCGCTTTGCTTCTTCACCTAATAAGCTGCTTACTCCCCCCCCCATCCTTGATCGAACGACTCGCCATCGTTCGATCAAGGATGGGGGTTAAAAAAAAATTTTTCGGAAAAAAAAATTTATATATAAAATAAAAAAATATATAGATATTTTTTTTTATTTACTTTTAAATAAGAGGGTTAAGAATATTTAATAATTATTTTTACAGCAAAAAATTTAATTTATTTCATAAAATACCAATTTTTAATATTTTGATTTATTAGTTACCCCTTTAAATTGTATAAATTTTAATTTGTTCCTTATTAAATTAATTTTTTTTTTAATTTTAAAGAATCTCTATTTTATTAGATTATTGAGTTTTTAAGCATATGTTAATGACTAAATCACTTCGGATGGTTGATTCTGCAGCTTTCTGTCGTCTCAAAGCCTCTGAAAACAACTTCATTATGTACATCTTCCCAAGCTTTTGATAACTAATATATTTTTATATATATAAAAATTTGCATGATATGAAAATCGTTCGATCAAGGATGGGGGTTTAATTTCCCCAATTTTTAGGAATTTTTACAGTCAATCGTTCGATCAAGGATGGGGGGTGGAGTTATGATATTTTGATGCAAGAATCGAAGATTTCAATTGGGAAACTTGGGTAATGAGATATGACCTCATGGACACAACTGAAGACGACAAATATTTATGATGCATTTACTGAGCAATTACTGTAATGGATACTATTGGCTATGGAGATATAGTCCCTGTAATGCTGAGTGAAAAAATAATCTGCCTTATTTGGCTGTTTTTCGGAGTTTCCTTCTACTCCTACACAATCAGTAACCTCTCCGTCATTTTCTACAACATGAACACCAGAAACAACTATATTCAAAGAAAAGAAGAATTTCTCAAAGAATTTGCCAAAAACGTAAAACTTCCAAAATCATTATTAAACCAAGTCAAATATTACGTCAGGTACAACTACAAGCACAACGTTTTTTCTTGGTCAGATATGAATAATTTTTTAAAAGAATTACCATCAAAATTGTATACAAAAGTCTATAAGCATATTTTCAAAGATGTGCTGGACAATGTAAATTTTTTTAAAAATAAACCTCCAGCGTTCATATCAGAAATAATGCCACTTATGAAATCTGTTGTGGTCCATGAAGGATATGAGCTTTATCCGTATGGATCTACACCAAGAGATATTTTTTTTCTGCTTAAAGGGAGAGTTAGGGCAAAAGATAAACATGATTCTATTTTATTTTCGTATGTAAGGGGCTCGTATTTTGGAGAAACTGAGCTTTTATTTAAAACTGACAGAAAATCAACTACACAAGTAGAAGAAACTGCGAATTTATTGAAAATTGATGGGCAAGACTTTTTAGCTGTATTAGAAAGATTCCCTGAAATAAAGTCAGAAGTCTACGAACTCGCCGAGAAGCGTTTAGCGTACTATGAAGAGCGCAAAAGTGAATTAAAAAAACTAAGAGAAGAGTGCGACTCAATTGAAATCTTGCCACAGGCTTCAATGCAATTATCAGACATAAAACCAATTGTAGAGGATATAATGAAAATACAAGACGAAAAACCAGAAGACCCAAGCATAAAAATAGAAGATAATAATATAGATGAAGAGCAAGCTTGTCAAGAAATGATTGCAAAAATCAAAAAAACTGTAGTGGATATTAAAAAGAAAACGTCTGAAGTCAGTGATTTTTATTATGAAGTTTTTAAATTAAAAAGAGAGCAGGAGAAGACACTTCAAATGCTGAATGAAGTGATTGAGTTAATCCGGAAGAAAAAACTCAAAAAAGCAGAAATATAAAGAGTTTTGGTATATTAATAATTAATCCTTTGTAAATTGGAAATTTGGTATATGGATTTTGAATAACACGAAATTTCAAGCTAAAAGCATTATTGATTAAGAATTTGTTGCATTTTCTGTAAAAAATTGATGATTGAATCAAAATCTCAATTTTTATTTTACATTTCATAATTTTTTTACATAAAATAAGCCAGTAATCTCTTTATCTTTTCCCGCTCACCAGCAGCTTCAATTTGACAGTAACATAATGCCCATCCTGAATACTTTGAAAACTATTTATTTCATGGATTTATAAGCCATGAGAAATTTAAGGTGACACTTAAGAATATGGCATAAATTAGGAAGATGGAAGAAAAGCTTATCAAAGTCAGCCTCAAAAGAAAATACACATCTTTCGTCTACCAAGCCAAGGAAATCTTAAAAGAACAGAGTCAAGTTGAACTCCATGGCTTGGGTGAGGCTACTGCTAACACTATCAGGGCCGCTGAAATGTTATGCTCATTAGGATATGCAACTTTGGAAAAATTCGAGACTGTAAGCGTATCTGAAGAAGATCACGGTGGAGTCAGCAGAAGCAGAGCTAAAGCCATTATTGTCTTAAACAAAGCACCAACTTTCGATAAGGCATATGCGGAGTTTGAAAGCAATAAGACCACCAAGAAAGAATAATTTTAGTGCTTAACTAGTCATTCTACTCAGTTTTGTGGTAAAATAAATAATAAATATTGAGAATGCTGAAATGAATGAGAAATAAATTCCTAAATTGCATTTTGATAAAATAGATGGACAATTTATTATTAAATAGCTAGGAAATAGGAATTTAGATTCATAATATTAACCCCCCATTCGTGAGGATAAAATTTTATTTGCTCAGAGAGGTTTAATTGTTTTATTTTTAATATTATTTATTATATATATTTTTTTTATCAAATCTTAATATATTTATGTTTAAGTGCAAGCTACTTAGAATTGAATAAAATGTGCTAGAGATTTCGTTATAATATCTATCATTTATATATATCAACATTTTTTATAAGAACTCATAGAGGGAAGTAAGTAATTATTGATAATTATTTTGAGAGCACGAAATTTATAATTGAGCTTTCTTAATATCTAATAATAAATAGATTATTAATTTTTCAAAATATATTTGCAAAATTTTTGAAGAGAAGTTTGTACGATGAAATAATAAATCCCTACTGTCTATTAGCTATCCAATAGAAGGTATATTCAAGCCGTTATATCCAGGAATTAAATATTTTCATCATTTTTACTTTCTAATTTTCAAGCATAATTGCCAATTTTTAATATTTCTTTTGAGAGTTAAAATTATTACTCAAGCTGACCTACCTTCAATTTTTTTATTGTTTTACTACAGCTAAATTAGCCTAACCTATTCAAATTAAATTTATAAAAAAAATTAAAAAAAAATTATTTAAGCTAATTTCTTTTTTAATTTATCATTTTTTAAAAATTAAAATAAATAGTGTAAGAATACGTAAATATGTCATATATTAATAGGATAAATCTAGGTATAGCAAAAAAACGAATACTGAATTTAATTAAATTCTTCTTTCAAGTCTAATATCAAGGTTTGGTGTTTATTTTTAATTAATCTTATGATGATTAGCTTGCAGTGTTATCTTCTGCGCCTACATTTGCTTCATTATCCATACCTTTCACAAGTGGGCTGCTTTCTGAAATATTCCCTTGATCTTTTTGAGAAGTAACCATTTCTTGACCAGTTGGGCAACAAATTAGATTGAGGATTCTTTCTATATAGTCGATTTCTGAAGAATTTGCTGAGTATTTTTGAGTATGATCCATATTCGGTATGTCAAATTTTTATAATCATATTTATTTCATGCTAATAGAGCATGTTGAAATCATTCACTATAATATCTATAATCTAATAGCGTTTTCATTTTCTAATGCTTTATTTATAATTTCTTGACTTAATTATTCTAGTTTTATATTATTTTAATCTACTTATCAACTAAAAAAAATTTTTTATTTAAAGCTTGCTACTTTAGACTACCTAAATATATGCTATCTATTTAAAATTAAATGGAATTTTATTATTTCCTTCAACAAAAAATATTAAAATATTTTTCAAAATCTTACATTTTAGAATATTTTTAAACTTTTGACTTTTTATTTGCACTGCCTCCTTTTTTCTTTTTGCCATCTTCATCTTCCTCTTCACTTTCCTCCCCAAACTCCTTTTCAAGCCTTTCGATTTCATCAAGATCTTCTTGTGCTATCCATCTCCCATTCTTTCCTCTTACATTATTCGTTTGTACATTAGGATTATTCTCTACTTCACTTGGCTTAGGTTTAATTGTAAACGACGTCGTCCTATCTGTTATAGGCAGCTTTAGCAAAATTTTGGCGAATTCACCACAAATGGTAATCATCAAATCTTTTCGTCTAAGCAGGCCTTTGGCTCTTACTTTGGCCGCTGATACTTCTTTTAGCTTATTAAATGTATCTCTATCAAGGGCAGCAAGGATTTTTATTACATAATCTCTATTAGTTGGTCCTTCTGGAACATAAAATTTAAGTTTTGGATTGTTTAAACAGTGCTGATGCAGTTTATTGCTTGATACAAGGATATTTTCCTCAATTTTAATCAAATCAGACTCTGCTTGGGAAATTGTCTTCTTTTCTCCAGATAAAAGCTGAATTAAGTAGTTTAAATCGATCAGTGAATAGTCAGGGAGGTATCTTTTCATATGATCTTCAAAAAATTCGTAAAGATTTTTCTTGTTGCTAAGAATTCGAGCTAGTTCTGGGGCGCATTGCTGGACTTCGTGAGGAAGGGTCGAATTATCCATTATATGGGGGCTATATTCGAAGAGGTAATAAAAACCCAAATCATTAAATAAAGCTCCATTTTATAATACACTAATAAATATAGTGTAAAAAATTGTGAAAAATATTTTCAGAATTTCATTAGAAAACAAATAAATATTTAAATAAAATTTCTTTTAAGTAATTAATAATTTGACAAATTTCGGGAAATGAAGGCATCAAGGATTTTTGATATTTAGGTTGTGTGCTGCTTTTAGACTTGCTCCTCCTTTTTTAAGCGAGAGAAAATCGAAAAAAATCCCTATTTTTTGGAAAATTAGCCCCCTAAAAATTTTCTAATAATTTTTTTCTAAATATATTTTATAATTAATTATTGTTATAAGGATATCTTTTGCTAACTCTATTCAAATTTTGCACAAATTGAATTCAAATATTTGAAAATTTGGATTTTAATAAACTCAAAAAAAAATGTAATTTTTATAATAAATTTTTCACCCTTTAAGATCCAGCAACAAATTTTTCTAGTTCTTAAAGAGGAGGAGTTACATAAATATATAATTTAAATTTATCTATTCAGTTTTATATTTTATTAAAAAAAGTACTAAATCAATGTGACAGTTTTAATTTTTATATTGGGATTATGTGGATTCATAATATTAAATTATCCATACTTATTGAAAGCATGCTACTTTAAATAAAGTTTAACAGTAATATATTTTTAATTATAAAATTAAATTTTGTATGATTGCAGTATATAGCCCTAATTTATATTAAAAAGGCATAATTATTTTGCATGTTCAATATCTCTACTTGACTTTTAAATTTGTGGTTCTATTGAGTACATTTTTTTGATCGGAATGTTTTGATATTGTACAGTTGCTTACTCGCTCCCCTTATGAGCAAACAAAAAATTTTGTTCACTCATGATGGAAGTTTTTTTTTTTTTAATAAATTTTATAGCAAATTTTTTCAAATCCATATTTGATATAATTTTAAGAAAATATTAATTTAATTTGCTTTAAAATGCAAGCCTAACAGAATCAGCTAGAGATTTTTATTAAAATAATTATTATTTATATAAAATAATTTTTCTTGAAAAATTTTTATATTAACAAATTTTTTGCTGACAGGGGTAGGTTTTAGGTCAAAAAATAGGGATTTTTCAATGCTTTGTTCGGGGGAGTTAGGAAATTTATCCAAATTTTTGGATGCGCAGAAATTTTTCTGAAATTTAATTTTGTGAGCAAATTCCAAACTATCAAATTTTCCTTATAATTTTTTTTCCCTGCTAACTATCAGAAATTTCAGATCAAATTGCATGTAGCCGGTTTTATTTCATTCAAATTCTCCAAAATAGATATTATCATCCAGATTTATTTCAACTAATATAATAATTACAATGAGTCTTCCCATAAAACAAACAGGCGATAAACTCAAACCTGAAAACTGACGAGTGATGTACTTATTAAGTCATAATGGAAATTCATTTCAGTCCATTAGCAACGAAGTTCGATCTGCAAATTACACCTTGTGGAATCTTCTCCCAAAAAATATTTTTACTCAGTTTTGTGATATTTGATATTTCTGGTTCCTTTTTATCTCAATTTTACAGCTGAGTTTATCTACTTCCAGTGTAGGTACATCAGCTGTAATTATTCCTTTTATTGTCCTACTTTTTATTACTTTAATTTCAGACGCTTACCATGACTTGCCAAAGCACCGGCACGACCAGACTGTTAACAATAAAGAATATTTAGTTTGTGATGGATTTAATTTTGTATTAAAGAAGAGCAAGGACATTAAAATTGGAGACGTCATTCAAATTAGAGAAAAAGAGACTTGTCCAGCTGATATTTTGATGCTCTGTGTAAAAGGTGGGGAATCTGAAATATTTGTTGATATGTCTGGGGTAAATGGAGAGCCTACTTTTGAATCGAAAAAGCCTATAAAAGAGACAATGGAATTTACGAGTGAAGCTAATGAGTTTGAAGCGATTACACTTATCAGTAGAATAAATGCTATTATAAAAGTCCCAGAAAATAGAATTAGTGGAGAATTTAAAGGTTCCATAAGGCTGGAATCAAATCCTAAATCTAGTGTAATTTCAAGCTTAAACTATATAAAAAGAGGTGCAAAACCTATAGATGCACAATGGATTTTAGGATTGGTAATATATGCTGGTGAAGATACACCTTATAAGCAAAAATTAACAGAGAGGCTTTCTGCGTCTAAGAAAAGGCTAAATAAAGTGGTTTTGATAATGATGATTTTTGCTGGGGTATTTGTTTTGCTTACAGTAGTAAATACAATTGAGAATCATCATTATTCAGACAATGAAGGAAACTTGAATTTTATATTGTCTGTTATCGTATTGTATAGCTATCTTGTACCTATTTCTTTATTTATTGCTTTGAGAGTTACTAAGCTCATTATTTCATTTTCTTTGAGAAAAAGTTACAATATTCGAATAAATGATCTGTCTGCAATAGAAGATGGAGGCCAAATTGAGTATATTCTTGCAGATAAAACAGGTACTATTACAAATGGAAATTTTCAGCTGCAAGTGTGTATTGTAGCTGGAGATATTTATATGAAAGATGATTTCGAGTTTTGTCAGTCTCCATATGAATTTTTGACAAGCCCAAAAACTGAAGCTCGGGCACCATTAATAATCCATGACCTTGTATACTACGACGCAGCTAGCGTACTATAAAAAAGAAGTGTTGGAGCTTCTGGCTTGTCACAAAAAGGCGACTAGCTAAAAAAATTGAGTACATCTGCTAAATTAATAAATCCTGTTAATCAATTTCTCTGTAAGCAATCAGGACAAATAGTTTCTAGCCCTTTTTTCTATCTCTAAGGCGCACTAAATGCATGCCCAAAGTATAAAGCATAATTCAAAAACTTTCAAAACATTCCATGATCTGAGAAGCGACTTTGCCTTAGTCGGACCAAACTCAGTTTTTTACCATTTTACACTATGCATGGCTATCTGCAATAGCACATACATGAGAGCTGATCGAGCAATCAGTCCTATTTCAATTGAAGAAAAAGTCATGATAGAAACAAGCAAAGAACTCGGCATTAAATTAACTCCGCCCCCCATCCTTGATCGAACGACTCGCCATCGTTCGATCAAGGATGGGGGGTTAAAAAAAATTTTTTTGGGAAAAAATTTTTTATATATAAAATAAAATATATATATAAATTTTTTTTTATTTACTTTTAAATAAGGGGTTAAGAGTATTTAATAATTATTTTTACAGCAAAAAAATGAATTAATTTCATAAAAATACCAATTTTTAATATTTAATTTATTAGTTACCCTTTTAAACTGTATAAATTTTAATTTAAATTAAATATTTTTTTTAAAAATTTTAAAGAATCTCTATTTTATTAGATTATTGAGTTTTTAAGCCCATGTTGATGACTAAATTACTTGAATGGTTGATTCCGAAGCTTTCTATCGTCTCAAAGTCTCTGAAAACAACTTCATTAGGTACATCTTCCCAAGCTTTTGATAACTATTATATTTTTATATATATAAAAATTTGCATGATATGAAAATCGTTCGATCAAGGATGGGGGTTAATTTCCCCAATTTTTAGGAATTTTTACAGTCAATCGTTCGATCAAGGATGGGGGGGGGGAGTAAGGAAAAAAACAAGCCAAATTTACGATGCCATCATTTTCGATGAAGAACTCAAACTCAAAGTAATCGGCTACCAGAGAAAATCCCACAATGCCAAAAAATCACGAATCATCGTAAAAAATACCATAACTGGCCATACATTTTTATATGTAAGTGGCTCAAGAGAGCCAATGATGAAACATTTTTACTATTCTTCAGAAGACTCTGCATATATTGAAGAACTTATTAGCAGATCCGAAATGGTTGATAAAAAAGTTATCATATTCGGCTACAAAGAGCTATCCAAAGAAGAAGTCGAAAAATTTGAAGTGGATTATTTAAATTTTAAGCTTCTTCCTGTCATAAGTGAAGGAAAAATCGAAGATTTATTCATAAAGCTAGAAGATGAGGTCAGATTTTTAGGAGCAGTTGGGCTAGAAGAAACTGTTTTAGAAGAAACAAAAGAAGCCATTGCTTCTTTAACACAAGCTGGAATCAAGATATGGGTTCTTAGTGGGGATAATGAAGAAAATACTTTATGCACAGGCATTGCATCTGGTCTTTTTAAGCCTGGAGCTAATATTTCAAAAATTTCGAATATCACTTCTCCTTGGGATTGCACAGTAGAGCTGCTTGATCAGATCAAGACAAACCTTTTTCATGTCAATACAAATACGTATATAACACCAGTGCTTGGAAGAGAAAATTCATCTTTTGAAAAATCAGGCAATAGAAGTCCTCACCATGTACAGTCTAATTTTGAAATGCTTTACCAAAATAGCATACAACACCCTCAAGGATTCACGCCAAGCAATGCAGCTTTTAGAGTCCGAAGAAAAAGCAAAATGAGGAGAAGATCAGTGAACCCTGTCCTGATCTCTAATCTTTCTAAAGGAAGCAAACTAAGATCTCCTCTTTCAGACACAATTATCCCTGAGTCGATTCATTTTGTATTATCAATTGATAGAAGTATCGTTGAATTTGGGTTAAAATCTGAAGAAAACAGAAAATATTTAGCAGCTTTGTTATGTGCAGCTGATAGTGTATGTTTCCACTCATTGCTGCCTGATGATAAAACAAAAATTACTAGGTTTTTAAGATACAGATTCTCTTATGATCCAATAATTCTTGCTATTGGAGACGAAACAAGTGATATTGGAATGATAAAGCATGCAAATATCGGCGTCGGGATCATAAAGGCAAAAACTGAACACATTGGTAAAGCAGCCATAAGGAAATTTTCGCAGCTTAGGGAGCTGATTTTGTATCAAGGTCATACAAAATTCCTTATATTATCAAAAGTCTTGATGCTTTCATTTTTCATGAACTATTTGATTACATTTGTTTTGCTATTCTATTGCAATTCTTCGTTTACTAGTTGCCAATCAATGCTAGATGAAGATTTCATAGTTTTTTATTTATTTTTACTAGTATTTGTCCCTATTGTAGGGTCTGGACTTTTTGATGAAGATTTAACTAAAGAGCAGGTTTATAAGTATCCTCAGGTTTATAATGCACGCAACCATTTAGCAGTTATAAAGCCTTGGAAATTTTTAGCATCTATGGGTACAGCGTTTATATATGCAATGATTATTTACTTTCCAGTTTATTCTGTATATATAATGAATGATAAAGGATTTACCCTTGATTTATACACAATGGAGATCATTATTTATTTATCTTTATATATTATGTCGATGCTTTATATAATAATCCAAACGACTGCATTTAATATATGGACTGGATTAGCATATTTAGTTTCCTTGGTTGCTTTGATAATATTTTTGAATGTTGAACATAATGACCCTGACGATGAGCACTATGGAGTTTTAGACATTTTATACGAAAGTCCACTTCTATGGTGCTATATCATTATTTTACCAGTCATATGTATATGTATAAGCCTTGCTTTTAAGCTTTATATGATATTGCTTCATCCTAGTCTCAGCTACTTGATAAAAGTTAAAGGGAAAAAGCTGCTAAATATCAATATTTCTTCAAGACTAGAGGAATTTAAAAGCAAAATGGAATCAATATATAAAAAATCCAATTCCTTAAAGCATGATCACGATTCTTTTGAAATAAATCCATGGACCTTAAAATTCAGCTCAAAACTAATTGAGAACGAGTTTCAAATCTATTCAAGCCACAATGTAAACAATTACCGGATCTTTTTAGGGATTTCTTATTTTTCATTCGCAGCGCTTGGAATTTATGAAATTTGTACTTCAGAAACGACGGAATCTTATGGTATTTTTATTATTGTGACTTTCACACTTTATGCTATTTTATTGATTTCTTCACTTACTTCTATTTTCAACACATATCATAAAGAAATGTCAATTTTGGCAGCAGTTTTTAACATTGTTATTTCTATAGTCAATATTTTTATATTTAGTATTCAGCCAACTCAGCTTTATTTATATTGGTCTCCTCTTTTTCTATTCGCTGAAAGTGGCCTATGGATGGAAATGGGAATAATAACGATCATAACATTCATTATATGTGGTATGTGCAGCATTTATTTCAATGGAAGAACTGATTGGGACACTTCAAACAAATTAGTGTATTTTTTAGAAATTCTTACCCTTTATATGGCAATGTCCTTAATAGTTGCAGCGAGATTATATGTCGCTTCCAAATCCAAAAGAAATCGTTGGAAATTTTTAAAGAATGTCGACAATGAAATGGAGAAATCAGAGCAAGTCTTAAATTTCGTGCTTCCAGCCTTTGTAAGAAAAAGAGTAAAAGATGGAATAAGATATACCAATACAAATTTTAATGGGATGAATATAAAGAAATATCACAAATTTTTATCAGATATAAAAGGGTATATATCGCTGAAGACCAAGGGGTCGTATCTGTTCTATTTTGCGATATTGATAATTTTGATGAAATTCTTTCAAACTATCCCAGCAGTGAAATCACTCAATTTCTCGACGAAATTTATAGGAAGTTTGATAATATTTGTGACACAACTGGAGTAACTAAAATAGAAACAGTCGGAAATGTTTACATGGCTTGTGCAGGGCTAAAAGACAGCGAAATGGAGCTGCCTTCTTATTTCAGGTCAATCTCCCATTCTAGAAGATGCATTGAAATGGGTTTGAAAATTTTAAGCACAGTTGATAAAATTTATTTGAATAAAGGAGAGTCTCTGAAGGTCAAGATTGGTATTCACACAGGCCCGGTGACTGCTGGAGTTGTAGGATACCATAAGCCTCAGTTTTCCCTTGTTGGTGATACTGTAAATACAGCTAGTAGGATGGCTTCTACCCTTAATGACCCTCTAATGATACAGATTTCAGAAGACACTTACTCACATCTCGATGACTTATCAGGACTGTCTTTTACCAAAAGAACAGTCAGCGTTAAAGGTAAAGGGAACATGAATACAGTACTAGTAAGCTTCAACCAATCTTCAGATATCAGTCTCAAAGATATGGAGCCACTTCTACCTACTCTTCAATATGGGAATAACAGCTCCATGATAAGAGCTAATTTTAGAAGCACCATGAGATTAGACTCAGTTGCTTTTAATAACCATTCAGCCAAGTCATCCACTGTATTTACAGACCGAAGATCATCTGATTTATCAAATTCTAATATAAAGCTCCCAACACAAGATTTCAGTATATGAGAACTTTGTCCTTTCAATACTAGTGAAACCCACCAAGATAGAATGGTCAGGCATCAAATGCTTGATAATTATTCAAATGCTTTATTTTTTGGAACTCTTGTTGGGTTTTTCTGTAATTTTATTATGATGGCTACAAATTTAGCAACTATGATTACTGAGGATCAAAATGCTTATAGTATAGCTGATTTTTGTTTTTATATTACGAAAACTATCCTTTTTGGATTAATTTTACTTACTATAAGGAGATTCTATCGGAAAAAATATTTTTCAATTATGCTTGAAGCCACTTATACAATGTCAATAATTGCAAAATTAATTATAGGATTCTATCAAACTGAAATATCAGAAGAGCTTTCAACAGAAGCTTATTTATTTTTAATGTACTTTATTCTACTACAATGCACAGGATTATTTTTCAAAAATATTTTCGTGGTATCATTATTAGTAGTTATTTTTTGGATTATTTCACTATTTTTCTCAGGCCACGAGTTCCCAGTAGAAGAAGCTATTATAGTATTTGGGTTCACTTCAGTTGTGCAATTTGTGACATTTTACAGAGAAAGAAACCTCAGGATTTTTTTGGATATTGAAAACACATCACATAAAGAGCTTGAAAAAATTGAAGCTTTATTGACTCAGATGATGCCTCCTCATGTGTTTCAAAACCTAAGAGAAGAAATCGCGATTACAGATAGCTTTAATAATGTAACTGTCCTATATGCTGATATTGCTGGGTTTACAGCTTGGTCTTCTAATAAAGAAGCTATAGAAGTCGTTGGGATGCTTTCAAACTTTTTCACACGGTTCGACAAGCTTTGTGTAGAGCACAACGTATATAAAGTCCACACAATTGGAGATTGCTATGTCGCAATGGGTCTTAACGGCACTGATTTTGAAAGAAACCCATCCCAAGAGTGCTTAAATATCATAAACTTCGCACACGCTCTATTAGAGACTATAGAAATCGTAAATGCCGATTCCTTTTTGAGCTTGAAAATGAGGATTGGGATCCATACAGGCAGTATAATCGGAGGGATTGCAGGAGCTACCATTATAAGATATGATATTTTTGGCTCTGATGTGATAATTGCGAATAAGATGGAAAGCAATGGAGTTCCAGGGTCAATTTGTGTGAGTGAAGATACCATGACGATTATTGAAAGCTATAAGCCAGGGATGTTCAAGTTTAATCGTCATCAGGATGTCCAGATACCCACAGCCGATAGAACAATAAAGACTTATCTTTTAGAAAAGGACGAAAATGTAGTTTAAACTTGCGCTGTTGTAAACTAATAAGTTATTTTTATATAATCAGTAATAAGTAATCGTGAAGAATTAAAATGAATAAAGTTTTATGAGCACTCAGCTTATTGCTATAAGTCAAGTTTTAATGTTTTGTAAAGTATGCGAAATATTTTAAGTGAATTTAGCAATGGAGTCTAATAATTGTAAATTTTTGATTGCAAAAATACTGTATGGGCCATTTTGGACTTTTTCTCATAAAATTTCCATCAATTTACCAATTGGGTATTCAGGTAGATCACTATAATATAGGATCATACTTTTTTGGTAAATTGTCACTTTACTGACAATCCAGGAGAAGCTGACTATGGCAGCAGCTTTCAGGAAAAAATTATTTGGAAAAGATATTTAATGACTTCTCCTATAAAAAATATTAAACATCCATCACAGATCTTAAAATCGAGAAAATCGTTTCTTTAAATTAATTCACATAATAATCATTCTCAGCTTTTATCTCTAATTGCTATCACCGCCTCACCAGTAACCAGCCAGACCCTACAGAAGCTATCCCACTTCATTAATTTGATTTTGAATAAAATAGGTTTCACATAATAAAATAATGAGCTTAACCTTAAGACAGCCACTTGGAAGCATTAAAGCTGAAAACTGACGTGTTATACATTTGCTATCAAATAAGACAAATTCATTTCGCTCCATTAGCAATGAGTATAATACAGCTAGATATACTCTTTGAAACCTAATTCCCAAGAACATCTTTAATCAATTTCAAAATGCATGATATCTTTGGTTTCTCTTTATTTCCATTCTGCAGCTTTATGTATCACCTAATAGCGCTTGAAGTTCGGGAATCGTTGTCCCATTCTTAGTTTTGATTTTTTTGATTCTTGTCACAGATGGTTATTACGACCTGCACAAACACAAGTACGATTATATGGTAAACAATAAAATTTATGCTTTTTTAGGAGAATATACTGATTTTTAAATATAAATAAATTTTTTTTTTTTTTTTTTGAAAAAAATATATCATGTATGAGATGGAAGTAATTTTTCTATTAAAAAAAGCAAGGACATAAGAATTGGCGAAATCATAAAGCTCAGAGAAAATGAGTATTGCCCAGTTAATATTTTGCTGCTTTGTGCTAAAGATGGGGAATCTGAAATTTATGTCGATGTCGCAAAAGTCATAGGAGAAGCAAGCTTTGACTCAAAAAAGCCAGTCAAAGAGACCATGGAGTTTTCAAAAGAAACAGACGAAATTGGAACAATTCCTTTGATGAGCAGAATCAATGCGACAATCAAAATTCCAGAACGAATGAGTCACAGCGAGTTTAAAGGGTCTATAAGGCTGGAATCAAACCCGAAGTCGACGTCACTTTCCTTGTCCAACTGCATATTTAAAGGCTCAAAATTAATCGGCGTGGAATGAGTATTAGGGGTTGTCATGTACGTTAACGAAAACCCTATCTACAAGCAGCAGTTTTTTGAAAGTATGTCAGTTTATCGAAGCAAAGCTAACAAAATTGTGGTCTTTAGCGTTATTTTTGCATTTGTAATTATAGCTATAAGCCTTATTTACAATTCAGAGAAATCATATGATTTCGATAGTGGTCATACTGAATTTTGTCTGAGTACAATAACTTTGTATAGCTATATGCTGCCGATCTCTTTATTTATACTGCTAAGATCAATAAAAGCAATACAGTCTACAAGATTGAGAAAAAATCATAACATTATGCTGACTTCTTTAAAAGGCAGCGAAGACCTAGGACAAATTGAATATATCCTTACTGATAAAACTGGGACTGTCACTAATGGGGATATACAGCTTAAAACTTGTGTAGTCGATAACGAAACTTATACGAGGGACGACGATTTTAATCAGCCGTTCTCTATTGAAGCAGGAGTTATGAGTCTTGGGTCTGATTATGGGGACCAGCTAGTTATACCTGATGGTGCTCCTGTAAATACTTCAAGGGTGTTTAAAAATTTTATTGACTTAAAGCACGAGTTCAGCTCCCATGGAGTCACGAACTCAATATACTACCATTTCGTAATGTGTATGGTAATGTGCAACAGCGGCTACATGAGAAGTGACAAATCCTTCAGTCCTGTCTCAATTGAAGAAAAAGCCATCATTGAAACCTGCAAAGAGCTTGGGATTGAGCTCATCAAAAGAACTAAGCGTGGCTACAAATTAATTGTCCTTGACGAAGAAGTTAAGCTAAAAGTCATCGGCTTTCAAAGGCGTTCTCATATAGTAACAAAATCCAGGATAGTCGTAAAAAATCCTCAGACTGGAAAGTCAGTCCTTTATGTGAGCGGGTCCAGAGAAAGTATGCTGAAAATGTTCTCGTCGTCTGCTGATGAAGACACTGATTATATCACTGAGTCCATAAATAACGCAGACACCGCAAATAAAAAAATTATTTTACTTGGGTATAGAGATTTGACTGAAAAAGAATGCGAGGATTTTGAAATCAGCTACCATAATTCTAGACTGCTGCCTGTTATTAGTGAAGAAAAGATTGAAGACTTGTTTACTCAGCTTGAAAAAGAAGTGAAGTATTTAGGAGCGATTGGGCTTGAAGAAACGGTTCTGGAAGAAACAAAAGACGCGATTTCTGCACTGCAGAAAGCAGAGATTAAGCTGTGAATGCTGAGCGGGGATAATGAAGAAAATACGATATGTGCAGCATTTGCGTCAGGGATTTTAGATCCTAATGTAAATGTGGCACAGCTGACTAACGTAGCCTTATAATTAAATATGGCATCTTAGAGTTTCGCATAGGCTACGCTGACTTCCTTCGAGCACGTATTTAATTATATCTGGCAAGGTTTTGCCACCCCAGAATTGGACAGCAATCATATCTAAACTATTCTTGGCGTATCAGAGCCTAGCCCAAGTCAGTTTTCAACGATGAATTTTACCTCAAGAGTAAGGGTGGCACTAAGTTGAAAATGGGCCGCCCAGCAATGTCTACAGGCATACCTAGACCAGCTGGCACTTCGCCGACATGAAACCAGGAATTACGTCCTGGGCTACGTGCTTTCCCTTTTTTCCTAGAGCCTCAAGCAAGGCCGCGCAAATCATAAGATTGCCCACTTAACACTGGAGCTGAAAGGAAGGAGGAGACACTGCCGTCTTTTGTGGAAGACACGTTCGCAAAGCGGTTGAATCTCTGTATCGAAATCCTCGGCAACTTCGTAAAAATTAGGGCGAGAGCCTACTGCTAATAAGCTAAATTAAGACTAACATAACCTCTTCATTTGACTGTACTATTGAAATGATCGACCTTATCAAGCTGCATTTTTATCAAAAAACTACTACAACTGCAAACGACAACACTTCTATGTGTATCCCTTCAGACGAAGAAGATCCAGACACTAAATCTCCTCCTCCTATTTTTCCAGCTCGCCGTAAGCGAACTGGTGCTGGCACTTTTATTTCGAAAATGTCACAAATAAACTTGTCAGTCCCTCCTCACCGTTCTTTTAAGCGAAGAAGCAAATCAAGCCGGCGGTCGATGAACCCTGCTGTTTTATCAAATATGCCCAAAACTCAGCTAGAGTCGCCTTTATCAAGCCCAATAGATGCAGATACCGTTCATTTTGTGCTTTCTATTGATAGAAGTGGGGTGCTGTTCGGAATGAGCACTGAGGAAAACCGTAAATATTTTGCAACCATTATATGTGCAGCCGAGTGCATTGTTTTCCATTCTCTGCTGCCTGAAGATAAAGTCAGGATCGTGAAGTTCTTAGCTCCTTCTCCTTCCGTGAACAAACAAAAGCATTGGAAAAATCCCTATTTTATGGATAAATAATAAACAATATTTTATTATAAAAATTTTTACTATAAAATAATTTAATATATAAGTTGTTAATGAAATTTTAGCTTATTCTGTTGAATTTTAACGGCTTGCATAAATATTGAATATAAAATTAATTTTTACTTTTAAATTCTTGTGAATTTTAAGTTTTTTAAATTTTTTTATATAAATTTAAAAAAAAAATTAATGAGCGAAGAGTAAGGGAAAGAGTCTCATATAAGCCAATTATTTTAGCAATTGGAGATGGGGCTAGTGACTGAGGAATGATACAGCAAGCCCACGTAGGAGTTGGGATTGTAGGCTGTGCAAGTGAGTATTCAGGAAATGTATCACTGAGAAGGTTTTCTCAGTTAAAAGAGCTCCTGCTTTGCCAAGGACATACAATGATGGTAAACATTTCTAAAGTGTTGTGTATGACATATTTCATGGGCTATTTGGCTTCTTTTGTGATGTTTTTCTATTGTAACGCAGAAGGATCTTGATGTAGAGAATTTTTTGATAGAAAGCTGATCCACTATTATTTTTTTATGATCACTTTTCTTCCTATACTGGCAAATGGGGTTTTTGATGAAGAGTTATCAAGACATCAGATTGATAAAAATCCAAAAATTTATAGGGCAACTTTTTTCCACTCAGCATCTTGGATCAGCTACTTTAAAACTGTGATAACTGCGTTTATATATGCAGTCATTATTTATTTCCCAACGTATTCGATACAGACTGCTATTAATGATAGAGGGTTTACTGACAATGCGGCTGTTATTGAAATCACTGTCTATTTTGCAACTGTGGGAGCTTCGTGGCTTTATATCATTATAGAAACAAAATCTGTGAGTAAGTGGACTGTTGGATCTTTAATACTGTCATTAGTATCTCTTATTATTTATGTAAATACAGCCTTTGAAGATGATGGAAATTACCATTATGGGGTTCTAGACATGCTTTATAGCAGCCCTATGTTGATTCTCTATATGTTTATGGCTCCTCTTGTCTGTTTTGCGTTTAATCTCTCATTCAAACTTGCTAAAACTTTATTCAGTCCTGATATTTTTAGCATTATAAGAGCTAAAAAAGAGTTTAAACTCAGCATGAGTATACTTCCAAGGCTTCATCAATTCAAAAATAAGCTTGAATCTATTTACAGACGATCAGGAATAATCCACCACTCCTATGACTCTTTTGAAATTAATCCATTTACTTTAAGATTCAGATCTCAGCAGGTCGAAAAAGAGTTCCAAGTGTATTCTTCTCATAACTCAAATAATATCAGAGCTCTGCTTGTCTTTGTGTTTATTTCCTATCTGATTTCTTGCATATATGAATACTTCGACGTTGACCATTCTGATGCTTATTTAATTTATCTTACAATTACCCTTAGCTCTTATTTGATTTTTGTATCGATTTCGTTGACTCATTTATTTCCGATGTATTGTAAGGAATTAATATTGACGACCCTTGTGGGTTAGTCTAAACAAAGAATTATTTTTCAACTCCCTCCAAAAATCTATAAAAATGATTGTAATTTTTAAAAAAAATATAAACATTTATTTTAGAAATTTTTCAAAAGTCGGTTGAAAAAGTAAACGATGTTTGAAAGCATCAAAAACAGAGGAAAAATTACATATAAAATTCTATATTCTATCTAGACTAAGCAAATTTAAGCAGAGAGTTCAAGATAGGATTTTATAATAAACAGTAAATATTGTATACTAACAAATAGCAAACAATATCGACTAAATGAATTTAAGAGTGACATGATTCCTTAAAGCCTCATTTTTAAGCTTTCTGAGAGGGTAATGTTTTATTTTGTAGAATCCTTTCAAACCAAAAATTGACTCATCCAAGTATGAAAATTAGAAGCGTTTGCATAGAATATAGCGAGCAGAAAGTAACTTTATAATAAGGATTATCCATATCGATAATTCCTTCTATATCATATATACATAAAAATTATTTAATTTGTGAAAATCTATTACACACATAAATTTGGAGATAAACCATCATGATAGAAAGCATCTTTGATCAATAAAATAATGCTCTGGATATCTGATAATTCCCATATAATAGATAATTGCAATATTTTTATAAATTTCATTATGGAAAAATTTTTCAATGCAGAACTTGAGCAGATTAAATGGCATTAAAACAGCTTTTGTATGTATGAATATAGATATATGAACAAATAGTTTCTGTCGTTTCCACTCTTCATACCAATAAAATCATTTTGAAAATTACAGTCATTTTATAGGTTTCGGATTGAAAAAGTGCACTTTTTTTAACCTGACTTACCCTTGTATTTAATATTGGCATTATTTACGTAAATGCTTTTGCGTTCCATAAGTATCAAATGACTATTTATTTATACTGGTCACCTATATATCTGCTTGGGGCAAGTGGAGGAATTTGAATAGAAATGACTACCATTTGCTTGATCAGCTGGGGGTGCTTATTCGGGCTTGTTTTGTCAGATAACTGCACTTTATATTCAGGCTCTGACAATCGAGCCATTTTTGCAATAGAAACAATTTCTATTTATTTAGCAATGTGTATAATCTCAGCTATACGAGGCTACTCCGCTTCAAAAACCAAAAGAATCCGATGGACACTCATCAAAAAAGTTGAAGGCGAAATAGAAAAATCTGAACAGGTTTTAAGCTTTGTCCTGCCTGCATTCGTAAGGAAAAGGGTAAAAGATGGGATCAGATACATTACTGAGGACCAAGGGGTGGTATCTGTGCTTTTTTGTGATATAGACGACTTTGAAAATATCATCACAAACTACCCGAGCAGCGAAACTGCCCAGTTTCTTGATGAGGTTTATAAAAAATTCGATACCATTTGTGAACAAACTGGCGTCACCAAAATAGAAACCGTAGGAAACGTGTATATGGCCTGTGCAGGCCTTAAAGATAGCGAGGCAGAGCTTCCTTCGTATTTTCGAAACATATCTCACGCAAGACGTACAATAGAAATGGGATTAAAAATTCTCAGTACAGTAGAAAAAATTTATCTGGGCAAAGGAGAGCCGCTAAGAGTAAACATCGGGATTCACACAGGGCCAGTGACAGCTGGGGTTGTCGGCTACCACAAGCCTCAGTTTTCGCTTGTGGGGGATACAGTCAATACTGCAAGCAGAATGGCTTCGACATTAAAAGACCCAAGCATGATTCAAATTTCAGAAAGCACCCTGAAGGACCTTGACGATAAGTCAGGGTTGAATTTTATTAAGCAATCTGTGGATATCAAAGGAAAAGGAAACATGAATACCATTCTTGTCAGCCTAAATAAGTCTCCAGAAACCACTACGAGGGAAAACGAGCCTCTGCTGCCCGCAATTCATTCAAATGTAAGCAGTCCTGAGCTGAAAGCGATCAGAGTCCGAAACAGCTTGCAAATTGAAATGAATGACGCCCCGACTTATTCTCCATTATCGTCAACGATCTATACTGAGTGCAAGTCAACTGATTTTCAAGCGTTTAATCCTCACAAGCAAGGCCGGAAATTCAACTTTATGCAGATTTGTCCGTTTAATTACCATGAAAGTTTGCAAGATAAAGAGCTGAGGACTCAAATGTTGAAAAATTATTCTTTTACGATCTTTGGAGGGTTCATTATTTGTTGCTGTATAAACTGGATCCTATTTGGGACAAATCTGGCTGCAATGCTTGCAAATAAAGATGATTTTTATAAGCAGCTGGATTTTGGCACTTATACGTTTGAGGCGATATTTTTTACTATTCCATTGGTGGTTATTAAGAAGCTGTATAAAAATAAATCATTTGGAGTTATATTAGAAATCACCTGTGTCCAAGCAATCATCATTATATTGATTATGGAGTTTTGGGACCCTTTTAAAAGTGACCAAATCTCGGCGAATGAATATTTATACCTTATGTATTTTATCCTACTTCAATGCACTGGTCTTTTTTTCAAAAATTTAGTGATGGTTTCTTTATCTTTAGCTGTCTTCTGGATAATTGCAATCAATCTAAACGGCTCCTCTTACCCATTTGAGTTAACTGTATTTGCCATATTTTATACATTTATAATCCAATTTATAGCTCATTACCGTGAAAAAAACCTTAAAAAATTCTTACAGCCCCTCTTTAAATTGGAATAAAAAATCCTGTTCCAATTTTTTTTGTTTTAAATTTTAAATAATTTATTTTTCTCTATTAAGAAATTTTAAAAAATTTAAATAATAAAAATTAAACACAATAATTGGATTTTAATTTATTATTAAATAATTAATTTATAAAATTTAATAGATTAAGCGTTAAAATTGTTTAAATAATGTTCTACTCGCACTTTTTACGTTAAATTAGGTCAAAACTATATTTATATAAAAATTAATATTTTCATCTATTAAATTTTCCTATCAAGAAACACATTATTTTCCAATTTACAAGAAATTAAATTACCAAAAAATGGGAAAACTTACCTATATTTTGTCCAATTTTAAGGGTGGGCGAGTTAGAAATAGAAGAAAGCTCCAACAAAGAGCTCGAAAAAATTGAAGCTTTACTGACCCAAATGATGCCATCTCATGTATTTGAAAACCTTCGCGAAGAAAAAGCTACAGCAGACACATTCTCCAATGTAACTATTTTATATGCAGACATCGTCGGCTTTACAGCTTGGTCTTCCAATAAAGACTCCAAAGAAGTTGTAGGCATGCTATCTGAGTTTTTTACTAGATTTGACAAACTATGTGTAGAGAACAACATCTATAAAGTCCACACCATTGGAGACTGCTACGTCGCAATGAGTTTAAATGGGATTGATTTCGAAAGAAATCCTTCCCAAGAGTGCTTAAACGTCATAAATTTCGCCCAGTCTTTACTTGATACTATTGATATGGTAAATACCGAGCTCATGCTGAATTTGTCAATGAGGATTGGGATTCATACAGGCAGCATTATTGGAGGAATTGCTGGTGCCACAATAGTGAGATATGACATATATGGAGCTGATGTGCTTATTGCGAATAAAATGGAAAGCAATGGGGTTCCTGGATCTATTGCAGTGAGCGAAGACACGATGACTTTAATTGAAAGCTACAAGCCTGGGATGTTTGACTTTGAATTCCATAAAGAAGTAGCTATTCCTTCTATCAATAGGACAATAAATGCATATATTTTGCAAGCAAATGTGAAATAATAAATTAACTTGAAAAATTCAAGCATAATTTAGATAAAAAGACTTTTAAGAGCATTTTATTTAAAAAATGGAAATAAAGGTGCTGGCTGGGGTATTAGTTTTGACAGTGCTAGTTATATGTAGGATGTTCTCCTATGTGAGGCCATCTATAATTATGCAAACTCTTGAAATTGTGGCTTATGCTATTTGTGCGTTTATTTTGTTGTATTCAAAATTTACTAGAGTAAAGGTGATTAAAATCAAGCCCAAGTCTGAAAAAATTTTTATGAATCATGAAATTTGTGAAGAAAATGAGCCTAGAAGAGTAGTGAAATCTAGTTCGCCAAGAAAAATTGAAAAACAAGAAATAACACAACATTCTAAGCAGGAAGAGTTAAAGAACTTTAAAGTTTTTCCTGAATATGATCCAATTCGTGTTCCATCTCTTATAAATGGCTTTAGCTCTGAAATGGGGCATAAAGACATATACATTAGAAGAGCCCCGAAAAGCATTCCCAGGCATGTCATAAGTATATGGTGCTTCAAATACTCATGGTGAGCCAAATTCTGATCAGACCTGATTATGAGCACAGGCTGCTAGTCAAACTGAAATTTGATTCACTATGGGTTTTTGGAGCAGCAAATACCTATAAGTGTTTCAGCACTCTCTTAAGGCATGTCAAAATATTCAGAAAAATATAGAGAATTAAAAAGCGAGCTTACTAATCAATTTGAGTCAATTGATTATGTGACCAAAGCTGAGTATAATGGATTAGCTGAATATTTAAAGAATTCAATGAGATATGACAGCAGTATAGAAGAGCGATTGCCTGTGCAAAATAATATTGTGGAGTCTTATAATTCAATTATTGAAGGAATCACTCAAGAATTAAATAAAAGAATTGCAGAGGAGGAAGAATTTAAGCTTGCTGAAAAATTGCAAATTGAGGAAGCTGAAAAATTGAAAGCAGAGGAAGAAAATAGAATAATGGCTCAAAAACAACAAATCTATGGAGAGAAAATGAAAATTGAGGAAGAAAAACAAAAAATTGCTAAAGAAAGACAAATTCATGAAGAAAAAATGCAAAAAGATCAGCAAGAAAAAGCTCCAGCTAAAATTTTATCTGTATCTGAGCCTTTAGATAATCCCAAGCCAGCTGCTCAAGTACCTCCAGTCCAAATAAAGCCTGAAGAAAAGCCCGAAAATGCTAAACAGGCAAGCATTCCTTTAATTCCACCAAAACAAAGCCAGCCAGAACCCATTAAACCAGTCTCAAATAATTCTCAAATTCCTGCAAAATCTTTGTCAATTTATTCCCAAGAGAGAGAAGTTCCTTTTATATTTTAATTTTAATAGATTTACTCTAGCATGTTTTGATGCCTGAAAATCCCTTCACTTGAGGTTCAGCTAAATTAACAGCTCTGAACAACGGTAGGTGAACCGGCATAACTGTCGAACCGTGAAAGTTAATAAGCCGTTAAGACTTCTCTAGTCAGTGCCAACCTCAGCACCGACCCTTTTCTTCAAGCTGAGACTCTTAAGAAGCTTGATTTCTCTCACTAAGCTCGGTTTATAGGTCTACCCTGTTTGTGGCAGGAGCTAGGACCTATCGCTAACTGAGATTTTTAATATTGTGCTCCTTTTATAACTCCAGAATCTCCAACCTACAGAGACCGCATGGAAAAATTAATCGCTGGATATGATTCATCAAGACTTAAAGCAGAAAAGAATTGTCCTTCAAATATAAGAGACGATATAAACGCAACAGTAAACCAAATAACCTCAAGCCGGACAGATATTGAGCATTTAAATCGTAGAATAGAAATTGCTATCAACGTGCTTAAAGAATTAAATTCAGAACAAAGAGAAGACGCGCTGTACTTATTATGTGAAAGGGTAACTTCAGCTGTACAAGATAAATGTGATAGCATAGTTTATGGACCAGAATATACGCTGAATTTCATAGACTTTATCTTGACTATTGGGAAAACTTATCATGAAATCAGAAAAAATTTCTTTTTATCTATAATAAATAGAAGGAAAATTTTGGTGCCAATATATGGAACTGCTGATCCTGAAAGGATAATGAAGAGAGTCCTGCTTATCCCCTCCACTAGTATAAAATTTAGCCCATTAGTCTAAGGTTTTTTTCGAAATTAAAATTTCAATTATAGTCAAAATTCGTACATTAATTTAGAGCTGATCAATTATTATAAAAACAAATGCGTATATCTGATCAATAATAATAAATCTAAATGTATATATTTGAAATAATTTGCTCGCAATGAGTGTAAAATTATTAAAAATTAATTTACTTGGGGAGTTAATGATTTGAATGAAGGTTTTAATAATGATATGTGCGTTGCCGAAATGAATTTATCTAGGTCATATGGGATCTTGCTTGCTTCTTTTTACACACATAAAGAATCCCCTTGCAATGTTGGTGATTGCTGAAGGTGGCTTTCATTTTTCTTAAATATCCCTGAAGAATATATCGATAGGAATTACATTCCTACACTTGAAGGATTCTTAAAAGTAAGTGGCCCATTCATGAAGCAATACTATTCATCGCAATTTTCAAAAATAGCTTCACTTCTAAGCGATGCCTATCTTCCTATGGTTAAGCAAAGATTTTCGGTGAGATACCAACATAAAACTTTTATAGCACAGTTACAAAAAGTTATAAATGAGCTTTTAAATAATTAATATTACCAATATAAATCTATAGTAGGCATCGAAATTAAAAAATAATTAATGATTCTAAGTCTGAAAAAATTATATTAAAAATGAAGAGAAATGACAAATAATAACATGAAATTGCAGTTTTTTTTTAAAAAAATAATAGTATAGGATTTACTGTGATTTATTCGACATAGGCAGAAGAATAAGAGGAAAATTTCTAGTGGGTTGGACCAATCAGGCTGTTCAAAGCTACTGAGAGAGGCTCATTTGTCAACTCTCAATTCCCCTGCAAATCACAGTAAAAACCTATAATTTTTTATTTTCTATTATGATTATTCATCAAATTTTGTAAAAAAATTAATATCATTTAATAGGAAAAAAATTCTGAAATACTTTTTCTTTCTACCCATTAAAAATCCCATGTCCTTTTTCAAATCATTTATCTGCTACTTCAATCCATAGTTATTTATATTATTTAAAAGAGCACAATGGGTATTCCCTAATACAGAGCCAAACCCCCTAGATTTACTTCGCGAAGAGATAGGTACAGATGAAGTCTACGTTAAAGTCAACGCAATTCATCGCTTACAAATAATTGCAACTATCCTCGGCCCAGATAAAGTTCAGAGCCAATTGTTGCCTTATTTATCAAGTAATTTTTTACTCAGCCTTGACAAACGAAGAAGATGAAGTTCTTTTTGCTTTGGCCCAAGAGCTCGGTAATATATCCTCATTTTTGCCGAACCCCAGTGTTTTGCTTCCATTATTAGAAACCCTTGCAATGATGGATGAGACTGTAGTCCGAGAACAAGCCGTAAAATCCTTAATATCAATCTCCAACGTCCTCCCAGACAGCGACATTATCAATCTCCTCGTCCCTTGTGTTTTGAAGCTTTCTGCTGCTGAAAATTTTTCCTCAAGGATCTCTGCTGTCACTCTATTTGGAGCTGCTTACCCAAGGAGTGGGAATTTCAAAGAAAAACTGAGACAAAAGTTTTTAGAACTGAGCCATGAAGATACTCCTATGGTAAGGAGAGCTGCAGTTATTGAAATGGGCATTTTTGCAAAAGTCGTAGAAAAACAGTTTTTGATTTCTGAATTAATCCCAGATATAAGGCAGCTTGCACAAGATGAACAAGACCAGGTCAGAACTTTGTGTGTAGACTCTATGATTGAGGTAGCAAGGCTGCTAAATAAAGAAGAAAACAAGCTGCACACCTTACCAATCATCCTTTTAGTAGGTGAAGACAAGTCGTGGAGGGTCAGGTACCATTTCGCTCAAAAATTCCCACAGCTTGCTGAAGCATTAGGAAAAGAAATCACAGAAAATTCCCTCATACAAACTTTTGTGCAGCTGCTGACCCCCCCCCCTCCGTGAGTGAACAAAACCATTAGAAAAATCGCTATTTTTTGCCCAAAAACCCACCCTCCGTGAGTGAACAAAAATTTTTTTAATACAAAAATTTTTTATGGAAAAAAAATTTGATATATAAATGATAATTAGTATAATGAAATCTAGAGCTAATTCTGTTTAATTTTAAACGAATTGCTTTTTAAAACATAAATTTTATAAATTAAATTAATATTTGCTTTCCAATTTTTGCGAATTAGGATTTTTTTAAATTTCGAAAAAAAAAATATTTTTTATAAAATTTATATATAAATTGTTTTAAAAAAAAAAATTAACCCCCCTCCGTGAGTGAACAAAATTTTTTTGTTCACTCACGGAGGGGGGGGAGTGAGAGATATAGAAGCAGACGTCAAATCTATAGCTTTGCATTCATTGAAAAGTACAATGAACTTGATAAACAGAGAAAAAATACAAAATTTAGTGTTTCCTACTGTAGAAGCTATATCTTCTGACGTCTCTTTAAATCCTAAGGTGAGGAAAAACTGTGCAGAGGTGATTGCTGAGATGGTCCAATATGTAGGCAGAGAGTTCGCTTCGTCAAAAATTGCTCCAATTGCCCTTGTTCTGATGAGTGACGAGAGCTTTGAAGTCAAAATGAAAATGGTAGAAGGCCTAGGCAACCTAGCATCTGTGATTGGGACTGAGCTGCTTTCACCACCTATTATAAATCAAATGGTATCTTTAGTTAAAGAGTCCCCACAGTGGAGACTGAGGAAAACCGTCATTAAAAGCTGTGTTGACATCACAAGACATCTAGGAGAAGAGGCCTTTATTAGACACTTGCAGCCTATCTATATGTCATTTTTAACTGATCCAGTAAACGATGTCAGAGAAGCTGGCATCGAAGAACTAAACATATTAGCCACAGTAATGACACCAGAGTGGACAGTTGCTGAATTTTTGACGAAATTAGAAGAAATCTACCACAGCCAAGCCAACTGTATTGCAAGAATTACAATCCTTAGAGCTATGGGCAGCATCTATGTAAACCCAGACCAGTACGTCCCAATCTTCAATGAAGCTGCCAGAGATAAGGTCGCCAATGTTAGGCTGATTTTGTGCAAGGTCATAAAGAAACTTTCTAGCAAAATTGATGTCTCGCAATTTAGGAATCTCTTGCAAGATCTATCCAGAGATGCTGATAAAGATGTCAAGTATTACGCTCAGCAAGCTTTAAGATAGGATAATTAAATTCGTCTATAAATTGGTTATTTAAATAATGGGAAAATATGATGAAATTGTTGAAGAATCAGTCGAAAGCCAACAGCCTATGTCAATTCTGTCAGCACCTGGAGAACCAAATGAAGCAGCAGTTAGTCAAAGCCTTATCACGATTTTAGTAAAAGTCTCTGACACTGACACTCGTTCAATTTTGGTAGACCCTGCAGCAGAAATCGTAGGAAATTTGAAAATTAAGCTTTTTCCAAAAGAAATGCAGGAAAATAAATACGTAAGACTTATTTTTGGAGGGAGAGTTTTGGTTGATTCACATTTAATTTCGCTTTATAAATTGAGCGATAAATGTGTAATTCATGGATTTGTGACTGATGTAGTGGATGAACAGCCTGGGTCATCAAGAACGATGCTGAGGAGACAACAAGCAAGAGGACTTGATAAGCTTGAAGAGTCTGGGTTCACTGTTGACGACATTCATGGGATGAAATTCCATTTCCATGCTATGTGTGTATATAGTGGTATTAATAAAGACACTGAAGAAGAAAAAGTGGCTTTGGAGGAAAAATGGCTGGAAGGGAAGCTGCCTATTATTAACGCGAGTCCTGATGAAAGAACCAGGATTCAGCTGAATTCTTTGCATGAACGAGGAGATGGGCTGAATTTCATTTTGGGGTTTTTGATTGGAGTCTTGTTAAGTTTTTTGAGCTTATTCGTTTTAAAGTACTTTAAATTAAACGAATTCCAGAAATTTGGCACACAGGTTGGCTTGGTTTTATCTTTGCCTATTTTTATTTTGACCCTCGTCATTATTTTTACAGGAGAATTTTAGAAAGTCTGCTTATAAATTGTCTAATATATTAAATTTATATAACATGTCAGTCTTATCTAAGAAAACTCATGACTGAGTTTAGCGAGCATATGTGTAAAGCTGACTCTTCTTGTGTAATCTGGATTAAGCATCTCCCGCAGCATATCAGATATCCATTTAATCTTGAACCTTGAAACATAATCTTGCAGCTGAGGCTGAGCGTCGCGTTCATTTAGCCCTTTTACTTCCGCTAATGTATACATTTGTAGGAATACCATGCCTAAAGAGTAGACATCAGATTTCTTTGGCTTATAATTGATTCTTTTAGGAGTGTTTGGATTAGTTCTAAACTCTCAATAAGCACTATAAAGCTCTGGCGACATAAAGTCTTTTCTTCCTTGAATATATTTCAGGTCAGTAGCCATGCTAAACTCAGCGATTTTTGGTTTTCCATCTCTTGTCAGAAAAATGTGTTCAGGCCTGATATCTTTGTGATAAATTTTATTTTTCTCAAGAAAACTGAACCCTTCTAGTAAATTTAAAACGATATTTTTATACTCTTCTATAGTATAAGCTATATGTCCTCTGTTTCTTCTTGTAATATCAATAAATAAACTAGACTCACAGAATTCCATAACCATAGAAAATTCATACATTTTTCGGCCATGATCACTTGTTTCTTCTATATAAGAGCCATAATATTTTAAAAATGTAGGGTGTTTTTCTGAGATTTTTTCGAGGATTTCTCTTTCTTTTTGATAGATATTCAGCTGTTCAAGCTTTCAGTGGCTATAGGTTTTTATAGAAACTTCTTGTGAGCCATCAAGAACTCCTTTTGAGATTTTCTTGCGTAGCTGAGTAAGCTCATCTGTGCTAAGATGCAAGGGAAGGTATTCAAACTTTAGCCTATCTTTAGACAAAGCAGGAAAAGATGAAGCAGAATATATAACCCCGAATCGATTGCTATATGAGTTGATTGCATTTGAAAGCTCTTCATCTTTAATTTGGAGAGATTTTAATAATTCCAGTATTTCTCTTGTTCCTGCTTCATCTTTTAGTGCAGGCTCTCCAGTGATTTTTGAAATATCTAAAATATCATTTGTTTCCTCAATTCAATTAATTGCATTATTTATAACAACTCTCTTTACAAAAGAAACGTCATATCCAGCTTCTTCAGCTAATTTAATCTCTTGAATGCTTAATTTGATCTCTTTTTTATCATAATAAAATGGCGTCGTCGAGAAAATTCCTCTCTGAGGATTTTCTTTCCTTTGGCAATTTTATTATTATAGGGTTCAGTTTTCCCAGTGATACCTTGTCTAGCTATGTCAGGTAAGCAATGGGGAGGGTGCACAACATCCTTGCCTGATCCTTAGATATGTGGTGGACTCAGGGTTTTACTGCTTTACACTCCTGAGGAGGGAGACCCACATACGGCACAATGCGCAGGAGTCAAGTTTTGAACGAGACAAAGCAACCTGTGAGATTTGGCAGCCAATTGGCCGTCACTTGCTTAGGATGGTCCGTTGACCCGATAAAAAGGGTGACGTTGGAAATTCCCGGTGCCGTTACCAATTGTTATCTACTGGGTTGAGCTCTTGTGGCTTTGCTAAATCACCCTGTGGAGCTGGAGTAGCACGTTAAATACTCTAAGTAATGTTAATTTTAAATTTTAATGTTAATGATCTCTTTTTGATCAATACACAATGCGTTTTTTAGTAGGCACCTTTTTATTTGTTCAAGGACTCATGCTTCTTCATCTTCTAAATCTCTATAATTTAGCTCTTCTTTTATTTGTTTTATTTTTCCAGCCCATTCTAGCACACTTGCTATATCTTCACATGAAGAGGAGGCTAAAACAACTTTTTCAAGCATCAGGCGCACTGAGTCTTTTATATCAAAATCTGGGCAATTTACTTTGAAATAGGAAATAATGTTAAATGTGAAGCTAAAATAAGTTAAATCAAACGGCTTGTGGTCTATAACAGCAACAAAGTAGCAAGCGTAATAGAGGATTTGGGCAGTTGGAGCAATTTGAGGGTTTATGGTAAATAAGTTGTTAATTTCTTTTTCCATAGCTTGGAGATCTTCTAAACTGAGGGTATAATTAAAGGTCATTAATGTTTTGAGAGTGTTTGATTTTGTTTGACCAATTTTAGGGATCAATCGCTCGTGAATGTATTGAATCATGTCTTCAATAGGATCTGAATCCATTTCTATAATTATAAAATATTTTATAAATATTAAGTAAAGGGTAGATTTAGCAGCATAGCAGTCGACTTACTTTTTGGTTAGCTTTATCTTTTTTTTTTTTAGGAGGCTCTTATAATGATTATTCTCTCTTATTTTAGTAGCTCTTCGTTTGGTGGCTCATCTTTAGGTTCCTTTTGCTGCCATTCAGCCTCTCCCTTACCTCTCCTGCAGTCTTCAATACAAATAAATTGATAGTAAATATTGACTAGCTTTTCTAAGAGTTATATATTTGTTCTAATTTTATTTTTCATTGAATCTCAATAAATTCACTAATAAATTTTTAAAATTGCTTAAATCAGGAGTAAATTAAGGCAGAAATAATTATGGAAATTTCCCCTAAGCTGACAAATTCCTTAGAATTTGCTGAATCAATACTCCTACCGAACTACAAAAAATACGCCAAGCATTGGCTTGCTAATGCCACAAAGAATGAAATCAAAGGGCTGAAGATAATCAGCTACATCATCAAATGTGAAGGGAAAAAACGTTTTAAACGTCCCTCTATGAAACCTCGCATTTCTGACCTAAGAGCTGCTGAAAACGACATAAGAAAAGAATCTATGAGGTCTCATTATGATATAGAGTTTGGAGTCGAGCAGCTAAAGCATATTTCAGGCAGCGCAATTCTGAGATATCGCAAGTTATCTGAATTATCTTTTAGCACCATCTTAACGAAAGAAGCTTTAATCTATTTGGAGCGCTGGATACAGCTTAGAGATAGCGAAGAATATCAGACGCTGCTTTTAAACTGCCTGAGAGGGATTTATTCTTGTATAACATTGTAAATCAATGAGATATAGACTATTATCAATTTTATAAAAAAATGGGCATATAGAATAGTATATTAAAATTCAGCAAAATCTGCCTGTGACTCAAACCCAAGAATCGTTTTATTGGTACTCAGCAGAAGACCAAGAGAGAGTCAAACAGAGCAATCGGAATTTTGTCCAAACGGCGCCTACATTTTATAAGAGATCGAGAAGAGCATTGAGCTCAATTAACCCAGGAGACATCACTTTTGAAATTCCAGCTTATGATAGATCAATGTCTAAAGAAAGAAAACTTAGTGGACTGAGAGGGAATGGAGATTTTACAAGCTGGATTTCTAATTTAAATACTGGGAAAGTTAGCTTGTATCAAGACTCATTTTCAACTCATTTTTCACCTATTAGATCGGGAAGAAAAAGTGACTTTAATACATCAGTGATTATAAAGGTTGTCCCTTAAAATAAATTTTATGGCATCTTTTAAAAATATATTAGCCTTAATTGGTTTAATGATGATATGCTACGAGAATTTTTACTTTTAAAAATAATTAGATTAATTGATAAGACGATTGGAGATCAATTGAAAAGGCATTGATTCAAATGAGTAAATGCTTTATTATAATTAAAATTTCTCTTTATATCAATATCTTGTTTAAATTAAAAATAATTTTTATGCAGACTATGGCTCCTATGATTGCTCAACTAGTGATATTAGGATAAGTCCACCTCTTTATGCAAAATTTTTAATTTAGAACAATTTTTTTATCCTTCATTTTTTTAAGGGTTTTTACAGGCTAAAATTATTACTATAATTAAGTTTAACTTTTTCGCTTTTTGAATGTTCCCACAACTCAGCATCTTCATTTACTCTTTTAATAAATCTTAAATTCAAAATAATTAGTTCATTTTTATCTTCATTATAAAATCATCGCTTTCATTAATTTTAATACAATCTTAAAATATCATTAGTAGCGTTTTTAACTTTCTCAATATCTATATTTTATCTTTTCTATTTAAACTTTTCCCTCTGACGTCTATTTTTAATTTTAATTATTTTCAGCTTCATCTCAGCAAACGAAAAAGTTCCATGCAGAGAAGCTCAATCCAATCAATCTCCCTCCTGATAAGAGAGTCCAGTTATTAAAATGAAAATGTCTCGTGGGACTAAGCGAACAGTTTATAAGCTAACAGATACCTCGCATCACACACCGTTTAAAGAGAGAGCGCCAAGCGTTACATCTTTAGTTATTTCCCATCCAAAGCAAGGCTCATTTGCAACGAACCCATCACCTCCAAGGTATCCTTTACTAAACCAAAAACTATCTGCTTGTGTTAATTTACATAACACACGTTCACAAGCTGATTTAAAAGGAAGAGAAGACCAGCCGAATCCTGGGCCAAAAAAAATCAGAGATGGATCTCCTGCCACAACAAATAAAATTTTGAATAATTCTCTGAAAAAGCAAGCATCATCAGGCAATCTATCAATGATCTCTTCTAATGGAAACTCTTTTTCATTAAGTCAATTGGATTCTTCATTCCATTTAAAATCAATTTCAAACAAACAAGAAGCCTTTACTCACTCTTGCACTGAATGCCTTGACCCAAAATCTCACATTAAGCAAAAATCGCTCAATTGCACAGAAAGCGATTACTCTCTGAATGAAAAAATAAAGGTTTTGGAGCTAAATGAAGAAAAAATCCCTCTGAAATACAAACTTTCAGTTATTAAGCAAGCTTTAGAAGAAATTTCGAATAAGGATCAGCAATATGGGCCAATTTTAAAAAAAATAAAGCTGAGCTTGGATCAGTATGTGCGCGAGATGAAAACTATTGAAAAATTAAACGAAATTTTAAAGGAAACTAAAGAGGAGCTTGAAAGGGTAAAATCAGACAATAAAAATCTGCTTGCAAAGGTTGAGATTCTAAGTAATAAAAAACCGTTGAGAACAAATTCACAAGATTCTTCAAGCTCTAAAGGAGAAAATAGCGAAGTTGTTTTAAAGCTAATAGAAGAAAATAAAGAATTAACACAAAATCTGTTATGTGCGCAAAAAGAGCTAAAAAAATTTCAGATTAGAGACAAAAAATATATGATGTTGATTACAGAAATGAAGAACAGAGGATATCCAGTTGATGAAATTTATGATTCTGCAATTAAAAGCTCAAAAAGATCAAATTCAAGAGGAAAAAAGGTACCCACATTGCCATTAGCAGATGTTAAAAATTGTATATCAATTAGCACTGGGGACTCTGATCTAACAGGTATAGAGTCTCAAGCTACCACAGGGCACAATATCACATCTATTCAAAGCCCACCCGAAGACAGGCATGATGTCCCAAAGCTTAAAATTCCTATGAAAAAGTCTACAGAATTTCATCAAGAATTTATGTCAAAATTTGATGAGTTTTCTGAGTCTTGGAGGCATCAAATGGATGTGCAAAAAAGGTAATCCTCGATCTTGTGTATCAAGTAATATTCATAAGTTAAATTTTGCAATTTTTAGGATTTAGTAAAAAATAAGTTCAGTAAGTGCCTCATTCAAGCACAAAATACTTGTGAAAATCAATATATATATTATAATTAATATAATATATTTTTTATGAAGAAAGTATGCTGTTTATTAGACTAGCTAAAATTTTAATAGTAATTTTTTTTCATTTTTAAATTTTTATAATTCGCCAATAATTTCTGAAAGAATTTTCTTTAATGAATCTAAGTTGGTTTTTTTAATAAATAATTTAATTTAACGTTGCTTTTAATGTTTCATGACATAAATATTGGATATTAAGCCTAATATATATTATTTTACCAATTTTAAAATGAGACGCTCTACTAGACCCAGAATTTCGATAAAAGAAAGAGAAGAAACAAGCAAAAATATAAAAGTGATTGCAAGATTTAGACCTTTAATTGATATAGAATTACAGCTTCCAGAAACAAAGCTTGATCAATATGCCTTTCCAACGGATACAAGTGTATCAATTAAACAAGGTGTCGAGTCAGAATTGCTTATATATGACAGGATTTTCCCACCAGACGCTACACAAGCACAAATTTTTGAATTTATTGGAAAGCCTATTATAGAAGACGTCCTTACTGGATACAATGGCACAGTTTTCGCATATGGCCAAACAGGCTCAGGTAAGTCATTTACTATGATGGGGCTTGATATCTATGACAAAGATTCTCAGGGTATCATCCCAAGAGCTAGCAAACTCGTTTTTGAGTCTTTATCAAATATCAAAAATGAGGCAGAAATTACATTAAAATGCTCCATGCTTGAAATATATAAGGAAAAATTAAAAGACTTATTGGGAAATAATAGTGCAAATTTAAAGATTAAAGAAGATGTAAGAAAAGGAATTTATGTGCATGGGCTGACTGAAATGTATGTGGTTTGTGAAGAAGAAATCATGGAAGTTTTGTCTTTAGGTGAAAGCAATAGAACTGTAGCATCCACGAAAATGAATAATGTCAGCTCGAGAAGTCATCAGTTATTTATGCTCGAAATTAATCAGAAACTCGCTAATGATTCTGAAAAACGAGGAATTTTGAATTTGGTGGATTTGGCTGGTAGTGAAAAAGTGAACCAAACTGGAGTGACAGGAAATAAGCTTGAAGAAGCCAAAAAAATAAATTTATCACTAAGCGCTCTTGGAAATGTGATTCATGCGCTAACTAATGGTTCTGAGCATATCCCATATAGAGATTCAAAGCTGACAAGGCTCTTGCAAGAATCACTAGGTGGAAACTATAAAACTACTTTAATAGTCTGCTGCTCTCCTCATCCCAGAAATCTTGATGATACACTTAATACTCTTAAATTCGGCCAAAGAGCCAAAACGATAAAAAACCAATTCAAACTTAACATTAAGAGGTCTCCAGAAGAATACATTAGAATAATTATAGCTCATGCACCTTAATAGATTTCTCTATACCCCAGCAGAATACCGATCAGAAAAATATGGCACAGGTAGCCTGCCTTTATACAGTATAAGTCTGATTAGGCACCTTAAAATCATAAACGGAGACTTGCCATTTTCGTTTTTACTTTTCAAAAAAAAGCTGACAGATACAAATTAATTTTGGAAATTAAAATGGATGGCCAACAATGATCTAAAATATTTCAGGGGCTATAATCAGCTCAAGCAGCAATTAGCTGAGGCAAAAGATGAAATATGTAGAATGAGAGGATACTGCCCAGGAGAAATGACATCCCCTGTAAGTGGTGTAAGAAGTTTAACTAACATATCTACAACCATCACAGAGGATATTTTATCTCCTCTCACCCCTATGTCTGGGGAAGATCTAGGAATTTCTTTTGGCCAGGTTAGGGTTAAAAGTTTTCTTGATGATTTTGGACCAATTGACCAAATTGTTGAAGAAATAACAAATTTAAAGCAAGAAAAAGAATCCTCAAATGAAAGAATTGCAGAGCTAGAAAAAGAATTGAATCATGAAATGATTAAAAGGCTGAAAGCTGAAACATCTGCAATGGAGTATTTTCAAATGTATAAAAAATTGTCTATTCTCAATTCAAATGATGAAGATTCAATAAGAATGATAAAGGGCGAAAATGAAGTGCTAAAGCGGCAAGTTGGGATTTTGCAGCACCATTTGTATCAAATAAGTGAAAGATTTAATATTATGCTGGGGAAATTAAAAGCTGGGGAAAATGTGGCTGAGTGAGAATTTGTTGATCCAAAAATAGACCAATTATTAGCTGCTGAGTTAAATGTAAAAACTGAAGAGTCATTTTTGAAAACATATAAGCAGTCTGAAGTTGGAATTGATATCCCAATAGATACTGAGTATATACAATCCCAAGATGAATACGCACAAGAAATCAGTTTAGCTTTAGAAACTGACGCCAAGCTGAGCAGTGATGTAATTATTTTCCAGTTGAAAAAACAAATAATACAATCTGGGCTTGCGAATAGTGAATTACTTACTCCCCCCCCCCCCTCCGTGAGCGAACAAAACCATTAGAAAAATCGCCATTTTTTGACCAAAAACCCACCCTCCGTGAGTGAACAAAAATATTTTTAATAGAAAAAATTTTAATAGAAAAAAATTTTGATATATAAGTGATAATTAGTATAATGAAATCTAGAGCTAATTCTGTTTAATTTTAAACAAATTGCGTTTTTTTAAAACATAAATTTTGCAAATTAAATTAGTATTTGCTTCCCAATTTTTGCAAATTAGGATTTTTTTTAAATTTCGAAAAAAATATTTTTTATAAAATTTATATATAAATTGTTTTTAAAAAAAAAAAATTAACCCCCCTCCGTGAGTGAACAAAATTTTTTTGTTCGCTCACGGAGGGGGGGGGGGGAGTTAGGTGTTATTATGATATTCAGTGGAAATATAATCTCCTTAAAGAAAAATTTAATTTGAAGCTTTTATTTGGGAGAAATCAAGAAAAGAAAATTGCAGGCTATGAAGAAATGGTAAATCATCTTCACGAATCTTATAATAAACTCATCAGTATTATTGAAAAGCTAGAAACAGAGCACTGAAATAAAGAGCATATATTAGAGATGGGCACATTAAAAGGGAAGATTATAAGGCCTATAAATATAATCCCTCGCAACAAATCAGAATCTCCGAGAAGAGAAGGAAAGCTAACTTCCCCCCTCCGTGAGTGAACAAAACCATTGGAAAAATCCCTTTTTTTGCCCAAAAACCCACCCTCCGTGAGTGAACAGAAATTTTTTTAATAGAAAAAAATTTGATATATAAGTGATAATTAGTATAATGAAATCTCGAGCTAATTCTGTTTAATTTTAAAAAAATTACGTTTTAAAACATAAATTTTATAAATTAAATTAATATTTGCTTTCCAATATTTGCAAATTAGGATTTTTTAAATTTCGAGAAAAAAAAAAATTCTATAAAATTTATATATAATTTTTTTAAAAAAAATTAAGCCTCCTCCACTAGTGAACAAAATTTTTTTGTTCACTCACGGGAGGAGTAAGAACTTCTGTTTCTCTTAAGCATCACCGTATTAAAGATTCTCCACAGCCAAAATCATTTGTAGAGCACGAAGAAGGCTATAAGCTTAGAAGCTTAGAAACTAACTTAAAAGTGCAAACAATGTTCAGCCAGAATCTACGTAACAGTTATGAATCAGTAAAAAATGAATGCAGCATCTTTAAATCACTTCTTGAAGCCTACCAAAAACAAAATTTAGACAATTACATGAAAGAAAAATTAAGGTGGAAAAAATATCTTGAGCAGTTGAAGAAAACTTGTGATAAGGAATTATTGAGAAAACAATTAGAAATCAATAAACTGCACGAAGTTCTTGGAGATTGAATTAAAAAATATATGGAACTTCAAGAAATTGTGGCAATCCCACAAATGAAGACAAAAGATTTTGAGGCCACTAAAAGTTTTATAAATAAGTTTGATATGCTTCTAAAGGAAACAGACTTGGCTATTAAACCATCACAATTAAGTTTGGTAAATTCGCCTTTGCATAGCCAATTTAAAAAGCCAAACTTCTTGTCTATAAACTGCCAAAGTGGAGATATATCACCCCCACCCTTAGACGACTAATTAAATTTATTTTTGACTAATTATCAAAATTTTAAAAAAAAGTTGTCAAATAAGCATAATCTTATATTGATTGACCAGGAATCGCATTTTTAAAGACACCTCCAGAAAACGTAGCATTATAATACTTCGTGATATCTGTTGCTTTTCTATTAAAATGCTGCTGCTTATCAGAGTTTTTTGTTTTAACTTGATCATAAAGTTTCGCAGGATCACTATTAGAAGATGCTAAAATATTTCTTGCAATTTTTTTATACCCACTGTTTTTGCTGAGAAGTGGGTTTTGTTTAGGCTCCAGAAATTTTGATGCTGAGTTTGGCTTAGCCTCAATAATTTTGGTTTCCATACTTTTGTCAGCTGGGTTTTGTTTTGTATCTGGCCTCTTTGGTGTTGCTGGCTTACTATGTGCTCTTGAAGCTGGTTTCTTTTCTTCTTCAATGGTAACTTCTGCATTTGCTTGTATTTTAGGTGCAGAAGGAGCCCTAACTTTGCTTCTTTTTGACACAATGCTAAATATATTTTACTCTGCATAACAATTCAGACAAATCAGGGTAATTTCATCAAAATTAATTTCTTCTATTTTACACATTGGATTCCCATCTGCATCCATTGGAATACACAAAGCAATGACTTCTTCAAAAGAAAGCCTTGATTGACAAGTCCTGCACAGTTTGTCAGTGAATCCATATTCGTCTATTACGAGTAGATTCTCTAGAACTTCACTTAAATGGGAGCTGAGTTTAGATGCATGAGATGATTTCAATGAAGATAATGCTGAGGCCTGTGAACGAGTCAGAGAAGCATATGAGGATTTGGAAAGGTGGGATACTGATGTCACTGCAGATGCTTGTGATTTTCCTGCATGAAGCTGGGCTCGGGCACTGTTAAGTCTTGAAGTCCTAACTGAACTTAACTCACTCATTTTTTACATGAAAAGTTAAATAAAAGTTGTGAAAGAAATGCTGGTGGGCTAATGAGATTTGGGAATGAAGGGAAATAATTGGGAAAATAGAAACTTTAATTATGTGATATAGAGGTAAATACAAAAAAACTCCGAGACCGGGAATTGAACCCGGGTCCCCTGCGTGACAGGCAGGGATACTTGACCACTATACTATCTCGGATTGAAAATCTGCCATTTATTAACTTTAAATATCAAATCTCAAGCAATTATGAGATTTTGATATGAAAGAACCTCAGTCAAAATCATTTTTTTATAATGATTTTTCTAAAATTAAAAGTAGTTTTAATATTATCCTAAGATATGAATTTTAGTCTCACAATTTTGATAAGATTGATTTAATTTTGGACGCATTTTGAGGTTTGCTAGCATAAAACCCTCATTATTAAGATTTTAAATTAAAAAGTGTGAAAATTTAAATAAAAGCAATATAGCTATTTATATCTTGATAAATAAATGCCGTCTCGGCCCAGGTATTGTCTCTTGGCAATACAGCCTCGAGGACATTTTTTTTATATCCAACAAGGTTTCGCCAACCCATAAATGGATAGGAATGCTAGAGTAGCCATTCTGGAAGTGGACAGAATCTAGCCCTAGTCAGCTTTTAGGATTGGATTTTACACCGAGGAAAAGGTGGGTTCAGAATTGGAAAGAGAAATCCCAGCAAAGTCTAGAGGCAATGCCTAGGCCATTTGGATCTTCCTAGCGTTAAACTGGGAGTTACGCCTCAGGCTTTGAGTTTTCTTTTGTGCTGAGAGTCAACCAGAAATTTCATTTTCGGTATTTTTTGTGGGTAACCTTCGTTCAACCCAAGCATCGTGCTGCAGAAACCCATAGCCTCCTCACTCAACACTGAAGTCGGCATGATAAGGAAGAGAATCCTACTTCGCAGGTACTATGACGTCAGGATGGGAAGAAGAAGAAAGGTGGTTTTCGATCCTATTCTCGCCCATGAGCCATCTAGCTAGAAGAAATTCTCCCTATTCGACGTTAAAAGAGAGTGAAATCCCTTCGGAATCCTTGGCCACTGTGTTACAACAGGTCCGTATTTAAGTTTATATCTTGAACTTTTTTTGTGGCTTACTTTTTGATATTTTTTCCCTTTTTACAGGTCCAAGGCTAAGAAGCATTTTTGCAGTTTCTTCTAAGTCATCATCTTCCTTTATTTCATTTTGTTCACTCCTTCTAGATGGATTGCGATTTTGTACTTTTGAAGAACAAAATCTTCAAAGCTCTATAAATGCTGCTGCTTGAACCATAGCAGGATTATTCGCTTGTAAACCAATTTGTGGAATTGGAATAGGCATCGGCACTTGGCTTTTATTTTGAATTCTATTTTCATTCAAGCTCTTAGGATTCACAGCTTGTGGTCTTACTAAGCTTTCAGACTCTTGAATAGGGTTTTTGAGAATATCTGTGCTGGGATTTATGGAATTTGTGGGTTTGGCAGCCACTGCTTTAGGTCGCTTCTTTACAAAAGGTTTCTTTGATTCAGATTCTTTTGAAATTTCTTTAGCAGAATCATCATTATAGCTATTTCTAAATGGAAGCTTTTCAGGATCAATTTCAGGCTGCACAAACTCCGCTATGCCAGAATTTCGGTTTTTAAAGACCTTTTCAATGCTTTTATTACTTATTTTTTCACTTGTATGAATTTTGTGAGCCATCTCAAATGCAGAATTTGCTTCTGCTGTTTGCCCACATATTTCATACACCGTTCCAATATTAATCCATGCTTCAATTGATCTCCTCCACAGGACAGTTGCCTTCAGAAAACATTGGAAAGCTTCATAATTTTTTTTTCACTGCCCAAAGACCGCACCTAGGCCGATTCAGTAAAAAATCTCATTTGGATTGTACTCAATAAGCTGTTGAAATACACTGAACGCAGAATCCAAGTTGTAGTGCAAATAGCATCGACCTATCAAGTATGAAATATTAAAACATACCAAGCTCCCAGGCTCAGATCTTTGTAAAGCATCGTTCAAAATTTCGACAGCCTCAGAAAATCTTAATTCATGGTATTTTTCTCAACCAGAGCAGATGCGGGATAAGATTAAGGGCGGGATTTCTTCTTTTTCCTGCCTACTAGCTAATAAGGACCTTATTTTTTCTTTATCGGCATGAGGAATGAGTTGAAAGTCACTGGTTTCTATATTATTTTTAAACTGATCTAGCACAAAGTTTTCTTCAAATTGGCCAGTTGAAGGTGTTTCAGGGTTGTCAAATGTTAATTCTTTTTCATTTGTTTTTATTTTTGGTGAGAAAGATTCATCTGTGTGATTGATGAATTTCTCTGATTCTGAAAATTTCCTAGTTTCCAGTTTATTCTTTATGGTTCCAAGATCAAATGCTGACATATTATGGTAAATTTAATAAAATTTGCTTAAAGGAGGACATTAAACCTTTTTTTTTATAGGAATAGAAATTTATGAAATTATTGATAAATTGTAAGAGCGAAGCAATTATAGCCACGGCCATCTTTTCTTCAAATTATTCAAAATGTATTTCAAAGTTTCAGCAATATCAAATAAGTTGAAGAACGATTTAAATATAAAAGCTCAATAAATTAAAGTATTTGCAACTAATCTTCTTTATTTTAAATTAATTTTCTGTAATTATGAATATTTATTTTTTGCTCACTCCCCTTTTGTTCGCTAACGAAGAGGGGTTTAATTTTTTTATAATAAATTTTATAAAATTTTTTTTTTCAAAATTAAAAAATTCCATACGTAAAAATTGAAATATAAAAATTAATTTCATTTATAAAATTTATGTTTTAAAATACAATTGTTCAAAATTAAACAGAATTAGCTAGAGATTTTCGTTATAATAATTATCAATTATATATATTAAATTTTTTCATAAAATTTTTGTAGCTCATGCTCACGGAGTGTGAGTTAGAATTTCAACTTTTGAGTGAAATTTTAAGGCGGAATTACAAAAAATTAAATGAATAAGTTTATTTATTTCTATACGCAATTTTCTGCTAATGATAACTAATATCTAAAGAAGCAAATAAAAATGCATTAAAAAGAATAGCGTAGTACAGATATTTAGAGCTTATATTTTTCTAGTCATCTATCAGATACATCACAAAGCATTAAGATTTGCAATAATTGATGTTTTTATGCTTAAAAATTGATTTTGAAAAAAATATTTGAAATTATAAGTAGAATTATTAGTTAAATTAATGACATATTTTTCACTTTATAAGTCAAATATAGCCATCTTATTTCATCCAAACATATCACTATATATCAAATCATAATAAATGAAATTTATTGTTCTAGCGCTCATACCGCTCTGCGTTGTGAGTGATTTGGTTGCTGATTTCATTCTGTCATCTTCAAATCTCAAAAACGGAAATCTTTTCATCAGCACAGATGGGAATTTTTCAATTTACTCGCCACAAAGTATCTACAGCGATGATGCTTACGTTCCAAAACCTACTGCAATTGGTACATACTTTCATGGCTCAACATATTTGTATAGAGAAAATTTCCCATCAGCTTTTAAGGTGACTCATAACTTCTCAATCAAACTTTGGGTTTATTTTATTAACAATTTAGAATCCTCTGGAACTGTTTTTGCTTTGAGTTCACCAACAAATACAGAAACTCCTTATCCACTTTCTATATATCAGCAGCAGGGAAGCCTCTATCTTTCAACTACTTTAATTGAAACTTCTTCATTTCCTGTAGATTTAGGTATTTTTTATATAGGCATATGGAAACTAATAATCCTTACTTCAAGTGAAGGCACAGATAACAGTGGAGAAGTTAATATTTATGCTCCTGACGGAACTGAAAACTATCCTAGCCTTCATGCTACTGCTCCATACCAATTCCCTCTTAACGCTACTCAATTGAACTTTGGATTCAGAAAATCATCATTTATAGGGTTTCTATTTGAGGCTGCAATTTATAACTCAGAGCTTCTGTCTGCAGATTTCTCACAGTTTTATACAAGCAGCTGTGAAGGCTGTTCATTTTGTGATCCTTCTTATAACTGTCTAGATACCAGCAAGCTATATCCAGCTGAGAAAGGAGAATACCCAGGGTTTGAGCTTTGTGACAAGTCTTGCAACTATTATTGTGAAAACAGCAAGGCAGAGGATTGCTTTTGTGATAATGAACTGATAAATATAAAAAACTCAATCAATTATGATGAAGAAGAAAATAAATGCTGCAGCAATCAGCTGTCTTTGAGCCAAAAAATTAACAAAGAAGAAACTATCGAATGCTGTGGAGAATTGCTTGAAATAATAGGATCTTTTGATTCTGAAAACAATTTAAGTGAATCTGGCCTTATTATAGTAAATCAAGTAATAAATACTGATGATGAAGACTGTGGAGATATAAATGAACTTATTACAATCAGACATGTAATTTCTGAAGACTATGAAGAAGAATGCGAAGGATGCTTGAAATTGATAACTATCACTCATACCATCAATCAAGATAAAGAAGATGAGGATTGCTTAAATTGTGGAGATACCATCTCAGTTAATGCAATTATTTCTGAGTCTGAAGAAGATTGCCAAACCTGCGACTCTTTGTTTACCCTTACAAATTCTATTATTGATGACTTTTCAGATTGCCTATGCGAAGATTTCATAACTTTATCCCAAGTTATCAGAGAAGAAAGTGACTGTGAATTTTGTGATTTTTTAACGTTTTCAGGAGAATTATTTGAAGAAGACTGTGAATTTTGTTCAAGCTTATTTACGATTTCTCAGGTTATTTCAGAAGAAATAGAAGAAAACTGCTCGTGTAATGATTGAGTAACCACAAGATGAATACTTTTAGAAGAGAGTGACTGTGATTATTGCTCTAATCATATAGCATTATTTGGATGATTGGATAATGAAGATAATACAAATTGCTCTTGTGATAATAACTTTATATCAATTAATGGGACCTTTGACTACTCTGAATTATGCTGCGATTCCCAAAAATTTGAGATAGAGGGCATTATCTTTGATGATAGTGAAGAGGGATGCTGCTCCAATGAGCTTGTAGAAATCCGAGGAATTTTAGAGACAGAAGAAAAATGCTGTAAAAATGATTTAATCGAAATTCATGGGAGTCTTCTTGATGATGGGGAGTGCTGCAGCAGTAATTTATTTACAATTTCAGGAATTATACTTGAAGATGAAGAATGCTGCCTGAGTGATTTAATAACAATAGGAGGGATGCTTATTGATGAAATAGAATGCTGCGATACTGGCTTCATCAATGTAAAAGCTATGATTTTTGATGAAAGTGACTGCTGCACTACTGACCTGCTTGCAATCGAAGTGACGATATTTGATGAAGAGGATGATCAAAATTATTGCTGCTCTGATAATTTGATGCTAATAAATGGATACATCTATGAAGAAGACTGCTGCACTCAAGATATGATATCTTTGACAGGAACTATATATGATGAATGTTGCAGCAGCGATTTAATAACTATTAGCAGCATAGTTTATGATGAAGATGATGATAACAATTGCTGCATTAGTGATTTCATTAAATTAAACGGTTTTATGATAGATTATGGCTGCTGTGATGGTGATTTGATTGCTCTCAGCGCAATAATTTCAGAAGAGGAGTTTTGCTGTGAAAGTGATTTAATAAAAATAAGTAGCGCTATTTTTGATGAAGAATCATGCTGTGAAGATAATTTGGTAACACTTCAAGGCGAGCTTTATGATTCTGAAGACTGCTGCTCTGACTCTTATATATCTCTTCATGGAGCCATTTGGAATAATGAAGAAACATGCTGTGATGGCCAAAATTTTATAGCTTTAAACGCAACAATCTATGATGAAGAAGAGTGCTCAGACTGCAGTTCCTATATCAAAATAAACTCTAATATCTATGACGTCGAAGACTGTGGCTCTTGTTCAGACCATATCACAATTAACTGGAAAATTGACAATGAGTGTCCATCATGCTCTGAAAGTCAAACAATTACTCTTAAAGCTTTTCTATATGATGAGGAAGATTGCAATAGCTGTTTGTCTTCTATAGCTTTAAATGCTACTATTGATTCTGAGTGCTCATCATGCTCAGACCTTATTAGTTTTAAGTTTATAATTTCATATGACGAAGATGACTGTATTCCTTCATAATTAAAAATATGGCGTCTTCGTCTGGGCATGGCCTTCCGGCCATGCAGCCTCGACTCATATTTTAATTATATCCGGCAAGGTTTTACCATTTCAGAGATGGACAGCAATGCTAGGTAAGCAATTCTGGTAGCTTTCAGAGCCTAGCCCAAGTCTATTCTCAGGGGTGGATTTTTCCTCGTGGGGAAGGAGGGTGCAAGGTTGGAAAGGGGAAGCCCAGCAAAGTCCTCTGGACCATTCGGGCAACTCCCTAGCGTGAAACTGGGCGTTACGTCCCAGGCTTTGCATTTTTCCTTTTTGCCGATAGCCGACCAGAAAAATCCATTTTTTGGGTTTTTCGGAAAAGCAACCCATTTAACAAGCAAGTAGCTCATCCATGAGCCGTCGAAGACGTGGACATTTGCCCTGGAAGCACCCTGGTGATCGAAGCGAGTTTGTCTCCAGCAGACTGGTGGGCCCGATGCGACGAAAGGCGAGTGATAAACCTGGAGTTGTAACCCCGTAGTGGACGTTAAGCGATATAAATTCTAATGTAATGTAATGACTGTATTCCTTCATGCAATTCTGGAGAATTTTATAATGGAACTCAATGTGAAGCCTGTGGAGAACTTTGTGCAAGCTGTATAAGCAAAGAAAACTGCACAGTTTGTGAAGATCCAATAAATATGAAAATTGATAGTGAAAATCCTGGTAATTGCTTTTGTAAAGATGGAACTTTTTATAATGGAGCAACTTGTGAATCATGTAAGCCTTTATGCGAAGTTTGTGCAGAGGATGGGAGTTGTTTGAAATGTAATGGGCTGCATTTGATTTTAAAAGATGGGATGTGCGAATGCGAGAGTGGATATTATTTGGCAAATGGAATATGCACTCAGTGTGGCCTTTTTTGTAAAGAATGCTCCAACAATGGCACTTGTATAACTTGCAATGATAAAAATACCATGGAATTAAAATATGGCGTCTTCGTCTGGGCATGGCCTCCCGGCCATGCAGCCTCGACTCATATTTTAATTATATCCGGCAAGGTTTTACCATTTCAGAGATGGACAGCAATGCTAGGTAAGCAATTCTGGTAGCTTTCAGAGCCTAGCCCAAGTCTATTCTCAGGGGTGGATTTTTTCCTCGTGGGGAAGGAGGGTGCAAGGTTGGAAAGGGGAAGCCCAGCAAAGTCCTCTGGACCATTCGGGCAACTCCCTAGCGTGAAACTGGGCGTTACGTCCCAGGCTTTGCATTTTTCCTTTTTGCCGATAGCCGACCAGAAAAATCCATTTTTTGGGTTTTTCGGAAAAGCAACCCATGTACAAGCAAGTAGCTCATCCATGAGCCGTCGGACATTTGCCCTGGAAGCACCCTGGTGATCAAAGCGAGTTTGTCTCCAGCAGACTGGTGGGCCCGATGCGACGAAAGGCGAGTGATAAACCTGGAGTTGTAACCCCGTAGTGGACGTTAAACGATATAAATTCTAATGTAATGTAATGATAAAAATACCATGAAATTTAGTGTATTAAATCCAGAAGAGTGTGAATGCATATCTGGGACTTATAGTGATGGAGAAACATGCCATAGCTGCGGCTCATTTTGTGCTGAATGTACAGACAGCATCACTTGCCTTTCTTGCACAGTTCCATCAAAAATGAAAATCAGCACCTCAACCCCAGGAACCTGTGAATGCTCTTCAGGCTTCTTCAAGTCCTCTAATTCTTGTTCTGCCTGCACAAACTTGTGCTCAACTTGCAGCTCTGAAACTTCCTGCACAACCTGTGTTGCCAATACAAACCCAATTTCCAGCAATACTTGTACCTGCAAAGACGGCTACTTCAAGTCTTCTAATTCCTGTAAATCATGCCCTTCATTATGCACAACTTGCAGTAATAGCACTATTTGTTCTTCTTGTGTAGCCAATGCTGCTTTAAATGTAAACTCTATGTGTGCTTGTAGCTCAGACTTTTCAGTATCGGACGATTCCTTATCTTGCTTAGCCCAATGCAATTACCTCTGCACATCTTGTGATAAAAATGATGGGAAAAAATGCTCAGCTTGTGTCAGTAATGCTGAATTGTTAGGAAATACTTGCTCTTGCACTGAAAACTCAGTTTATGATTCTGGGACGAAGTCTTGTGTTTGTAATAGTGGGTATACTCTTGTGAACAGTAAGTGCGTTACTTGTAAAAATTATTTTTCATCATCTGATGCACTTTTTAAAAGAGGGCGAGCAGTGAATAGGTCCAGGGTAACTGGCGAGTTGATCCAGGCCCAGCTAAGTGAATCCTATTCTTTTCGAAGTTCGTAGTGGTTACAAGACCGAAAACGCAAAGTCGGTTAACACTTCTGGGAAGCAATGTGAGCCTGCTAAAGGCAAGGTAGTCCAGAAGTAGGCATATCGGGTACTTCCCCGTATTAACAGGGGTTAGAGGAGTGCCGCAAAGCTAGACTCAAGTATGTTTGGGTGAGCTTCCTCGAGAGACTAGTGGCATCACCATTTTTTGGTGACGCTGACAGAAAAAGGGTTTGGTATATGGCGTGATTGCTTAGGGCTACCTTGAGCCTGAAGTTGGCTAGGACGAAGAGGGACTGAGATAATCTGCAGCAACCCGTTTATAATTGACTTAATCATTTCGTATCTGATGTGGTTTCGATTAGTTTTACATCGACATATACAGCTATTTTGATAGAATTTAAATATTATTTAGATACAAGTGTTGACTCTTCCTGCTCTAAAACTGTAGCTTCTACGAGCCTTGCAAAACTAGGCACCAATCCAAGCTGCTCTTGAACTGATAATAAATATTTGAAAATCACATTGGGGACAGATTATTTAATTAGGAGTGAAATACTTTATTTGGATGGAACAAATATTCTTACTTCCGCTGTGCTAATGAAAAAAAAAAAAACAAGAAAATGAAGCTCTTCACTAGCAAAGCAAAAAATTCTTTTACTGTATTTTTTGCATAAAAAAATTGATGGCTAATTAGCTATTATAATAATGAGATCTACAGCTGATTCTAACAAATTTAACGGCTTGCTATGTAGAGCATAGATTTAATATTGAAAAGTTTTGATTTCAAGTATTAAATTTTCTTTGAATTTTTAGAAGACAATCTTTTGTATAAATTTTTTCAAAAAAGCCTATGCTCTTCGATAAAAAAAAACTTTATTGTTGGTAAAAAAGTTAGAAAATATGGGACATGCTCAGTGAATTATCAAGCACTGAGTGGAACTGTCCAACTGAGCACTACAGCTTCAATTTCTGCCGTTATTTCAGGGCAAACAAGTCTATAGCCCGATTCCTGCTTTGGATTAGGCTTGGCCGATATCGGGATCGTCAGATGGGGAGTTGAAGAGCTTAATTGTCTCCCCATCTGAAGTATCCCAATGTGAGTCAAGCCCAATCCAAAGTAGAGATCCGGCTATATATCTCTTACATGTGGCAGTGATCCTTTAGTTTACTCAGGTGAAAAATCATACGGATCTGCAGGTCTTGGGCTAACTTATTCATGGAGCTCCACAATTTCTCCTCAGATCTCTACTCTTTCCACTTATATTTCTTCTCAATCTTCCTCAAAAATTAGTATTTCTAGAAGTTACTTCAGCACCTCAGTTACCACAACTTTAACTGTTTCACTCACAGTGACTAATAAATTTGGAAATAAAAGCACTTCTTCAATTACCACTATAATTGAGCCTTCTGAAGCACTCACAGTTGCTTTCGATCAAGGAAATTCTATATCTATTTTAGCTTCTGACAGCAAAACAATTAAAGCTTCAGTAAAAACGCAATGTGGCTCTACTTCTGAGTCAATCAGCTGGGAATGGGACTCAATAGCTGTTGATGGGTCTCCTACATATGATTCTGCATCTATTTTGTCAAAATCTAAATCCCCCAATAAGCTTGAAATCGCCCCAAATTCTTTGCCAGCTGGAGGAACTTATAAATTCAGAGCTATTGCAACACAAACAGTTTCAGGGGTAACATATACAGGCAACTCAACTATAACGATAGCGACTAGTCATTCTCCTTTGGTTATTGCACTGTCAAGAAGCAGTGGCAGTATTTCTCCAAGCCAAGATTTTGTAGTGAGCGGGGCTGGTTCTTATGATCCTGATGATGCTACTGGGTCACTTAATTATACATGAAGCTGCGTGACTACTGATTCAGATTCCACGTGTGTTGGAGCTGATAAATAAATAAATTAACGATATGTATTTAAGGTCCCTACTTCCATGTGTGACTTTCCTCCGCGCTCCGTGAGGAGCCCGTGCTGGCACGAGCGAAAAGGATGGACTTCCATCACTGGTTCTCTGAGCCAGGCCGAAACCCCTGGTTTCTCGGTAGTGGGTTGCCTTATTGGGTCGTCAGCCGACTGTCGCCGAGCACCACCATTTTCAACTCAACCTTCCGCCCCGAGTTACGCCAATCTTTGTCTCCGGTTGGCCAGGCCGTCCTTCTTTTAAGGACCCTTTTAAACTGGAGAGACCGCCTTGTTGTCTAATCTGCCTCCCTTTTTCTCAGCTTATCCGCTTGAGAAAATCTCAATCGCTTCCGCGATTCGGGGTAGACCACAGTAGCAGCTTGAGCAGGTAAGTCGCCCTGCTCCATTTCGGGCACCCACTGGCTTGGGCGCTGCTGGAAAAAGAAGATGCTCCTAACTGCCCTAGGATCTGGCCACGATCAGCGGGTCTGTGTTCGCCCCTGGTCGCCACCAGAGTCCAGATATTGCTGGGCTAAGTCGCTTCTTCTGAAAACCATGCCCGGATATACATGGGTTACCGTCACTGGGAGGACGGGTCGGACGTCATACGCCATTTTATGTATATGTGTTGGAGCTGATAATAGCGCTTTAGTTATTAATGAGATTGGGGCTAGCTTAACTATTCCATCAAGTAAGCTAGTAAAAGGAGCTAGTTATGATCTTACTCTTAAAATTAGCAAAGATACGAGATCTTCAAGTTCTGCTATTACGATTTCTGTACTCAATGCAAATACTGATGCATCAATATCTATTGCACTCAGTTCTCAAAAGGTGAACCCTCAAGCTGTGGTAAGTCTAAAAGCTGCTGTTGAAGTATCTTCAGAAGTTTCTATCACATGGAGTGAAATTAGTGGCTCATCAATATCAATCTCTCCAAACAACCTTCCTACAGTTTCTTTCAAAGTTGGAACCTTATCTGAAGGATCATCTTATACATTTCAGCTATCTGTGTTCGACACCTCCATAAACTTATCCTTAACAATTGAGATGCCTGTAACAACAAATTCAGGAGGAAGCTGCACAGGCTCAGTATCAATTTCTCCAGACTCAGGTCAAGCATTAATTACCTCTTTTTCCATATCAATCAGCGGCTGTGTTGACAAAGACGAAGAAGACTACCCAATCCTTTATAAATACACTGATACATGAAATTCAAAAACCTACAAGCTTTCATCAACTACAGAGTCAAATAGCGTGACTGCTAATATGTACCCAGGCGATAATACTGTTGTAGTCTATGTGTGTGACCAATTAAATACTTGCTCTTCGTATTCTAAATCAATCACAGTAGAAAACTATTCTGCGAGATTTCTGCAGACTACCTCACTATTAAGCTTATATAAGCAAGCTATAATTGACCCTGACCAAATTCCTTCAGCAATTACACTATTCTGCAGCTCTGCTACAATTGACTCAACTCTATTCAGTACAATGTGGTCTGACTTGCAGTTATATGTAAGTGAAAATACAGCTAGCTCTGATTTATTGAACGATGCAATGTCATCTATTTTTGCCTTGACAGGACAAACTTCTATAATGTCGTCTGGTATGTTTGATATATTTATTGAATACCTTGAAAACTATGAAACTACAAATAACATTATGCCGACTTCTGATACTATAAAATATGCTGTGGATATCACAAATAATTACTTGACCTTTGGAGAAACAGTCAGCTTTAATGGTAGCTCAATAGAATCTTATATTGTCAAAACCAATACATTTATACAGCTGTTCGTCAAAAAGTTTACATCAAATGATTTAGTATCTCAGCAATCTCTTGGCTCTGATGTAAATACCGACACAATTAGCCTTTATAAGCTTCGAGATTTCCCTACATCATTTTCAAACAGCACCTTGAATTTTACTGATCACCGATCCATTAGTTTTCCAAGCTCTCTCCCGTTTAAAGACACAGATATCACTAATCTACGGGCAAATTATTATACATATTCAGACGACTATTCAGATGTCGCTGAAATTAGTTTCGGGCTAAGTGGGAATTATTCAAATTACACTCTTATAGTTTCTGATGAAAACGATTATGACTATAAAGCTGCTATGAATCCTATTTCAATTGAGCTGCCATTTTATAAAAATGTGTCTATTGCATGGAGGTGTCTTTATTATAACCAAACCACTTCAGCTTGGCAGTCAGATTCAACCTGCAAAATAAAAGAAGTGAAAAACTCGTCAGTTGTAGTAGAAACCACTCATTTATCTATGTATAAACTTGGAGACACCCCAAATGTCCCACCTGATCCATTTATTCCTCCATCTTATAGCTGTGAAGATAACAATTATCCAGCAATTTACATTTTATCAGTGGTTGTTTTTATTGGGATTATTTTTATTCCTGTAGCAGTTATTGCAGATAGAGCTCAAAATACCCCAGAAATAGCGAAAAAGGGGCAGGAATCTAGCTTAACCCAAAGATACTTAATAAACGAAACATGCATGACTTCAATGGTCCCTCCAAATTCTCCAAAAGAAATTACCAGTGATCAGAGCTTTGGATCGCCAAGTCAGCTGGTAGAACCTGATGAAGAAGAAGTAAAAGAAGACAGCCCTCCCAGCAGTGATGATGACGTAGTTAGTATGGGAGACATTGGAATTGATGAGCCGCAATACACTGAAAAATCCCACGCAAGCGAAATTGAGCCAACAGTAATTCCTGAAGAAATGGCTTCTGCAACTAAAACAGAAAAAAGTCAAGAGCTCAAAAGAAAAGCACTTATTATGATTGAAGGGCACTTAGCATTTGGACTGGTTTTCTATAGATCAGAATTCAGCAGGGTTTTAAGGCTGCTAACCTTAACTGCTATCATTATATTTGAGCTGTTATTAGAAGGCCTATTCCTTTATGGATTTGAAACTATTGATGAAGGCTCACAAAAATCATCGACTAAATCAGTTTTTGAGAATTATGAGCCAAATTATTTTGGATATACCATTTTGTCAATAGCAATAGCGATGCTAATTGAAGTTTATTTGATTATTGCATTCAGCATAGATAAAAAGAAAACACCTTATATGGCAGCTTCTGGGATTTTGGTTGCGGCAACTATTTTATTTGGCTCAATTATTGGGACTGTTTGGCTAAGCTATAAATTTTGCCATGATTGGAATGGATATTGGGCAGCAAGCTTTTTGTTTGGAATTTTAGTTGAGATTTTTGTCATGCAAACAATTTATATGCTGTTCAGATATACCTAATTACGATGAATAAAACATTTTTACTGATTAGCCGTTATCCTATTTACTATTTAAATAGGATAGCCTCAACAAGTAGGAATTGTTTTATTTGATATAATTAGGCATATCTATTTCTAGAAAATTTGCCGGAGAGTAAAAAGGAAATGAGCTTAACTAAATCGTTTACTTTAGCCTAATAAATGGTTTGCTTAATAAAATTGATTAAATATAATAAAAGAGGAGTTATTTGAATTGGATTCTTTTAAATCTATAGAAATGTAATGGCAATCTTGTATTTTTTATAAAAAAGTCAACCATATGGCATACAAGTAAATTAAAATATTTAGATGTAGATATTTATTGGGTGATTTTCCTATAGACAAAGATCTAATGCATGTCATTAGCATTTGAGATGTCATATTTTAATTTGCAAATTTAGAATTCATATAAAGCGATGCATGAAAAAGAATTATTAATTAGATTGTCCATTTTTATATAGTAATTAGAAATTTATAGCTTAGATCGCTCTAAATAACCATTTAAACAATAAATTTACATTTCCATTACTTCCCTTTTTAATTTGAACAAAGTATCAGTAAAATTTTCATTTTTGGGGTAAATTTGCCCTCATTTGAACTTGAACCAAATTTATAAAAATAGTTTAGAAGGCGCAAGTAGATTGCTATTTAAAAAGTTGAAGCACTGAACCAATTAATTTATTACTGAATTATTTATAAAAAATAAGTCAAAAATATTGCCTTCAATTTATATAATTTTATTTTTAATAATTTAAAATAATAAAATTAGCCCCTTTAATTGGAATAGATTTTTCCCCCAATTTGAAGTGGGGAATTAGCCTCCTGCAGAAATATATTTTCTATATTATTGACTTGAAACGTTTATTAAATCCGTAAAAAAATTCAATAAGTTTAATTTTTAATTTAGATCATTAAGTTATGTATATAATTTTCTAACCGCAGTTGCTTGCCATTGGGCACCCTTTATTTTTGCTAACTCTGATGGTCCATAAAATTTTAAAAATTAGAATATTATTTGCACATTTCCCACAATATTTTGGCTTGTCAAATTAAATTTTTAAAATATTTGAGACCATCAAAAAGCGGTTAGCATGATGAGATTGTGCCCCAAGCTGATCAATAAATGCGAATAAACTATATTAGCGAACTAAATTAATGCCAGGTAGTTAGATTTTGAAGTGTGTGTGTGGATTAGATTTCAAGTTTAACAATATAAAAATCGATCAATCAAGGATCGGAGGAGTTAATAGCCTAAAGCACAAACTTTATTCTTAAATAATTATCTCATCTTTTATAATAATAATAATGGAATTCATGACGTCAAGCATGAAGGCAATTTCTTCTCCCATATTTGGTTGATAATTCCTATTTTTCACCCATTTTTAGTAGAAAATTTGTCTTATGACAACTTTATCAAAATTTAGCAGGTATATCAAGCAGTTGCAAAAAAATTTCTTAAAGATGCCAGGAATCTGAATTAATAGATTTTGCTTGTTATAAACCATTAAGGCGTTAATATTATGTTATTAGATAGCATCGAAATAAACTAAAATCTTTTATATGACGGTATCCATTGAGTATATAAGTTTATCTTCCGAGATTTTTGGACTTCTCTTTTCAGATAAGACTTTTGATGAAAATAAAAAGACAGCAGTAAAAAACAAGACAAAAATAGACATGCAAGTTGAGCTTCAATCATAATCTATACCTAATTATAATCAAAAAGCATGCCTACTGGTAAATAATCCTATTTTCATATAAAAAATCGGATAACGGCTAATCATTCAGAATTTTGCCATTCTTCGTAATTAGGTCTAAAAATTCAACCAAAATCCCTGCCCCCAGGGATCCAGTAGCTTCTCCCAACAATGCAGCTAAATTCATTATAGAAGACAGCGAGTCTGACAAATGCAGAGAGTCTTCATACCCATAAATCGCTAGTGATGATTCGTGCATATAAGGATAAGATGGAACTAAATAGATCTTACTATATGTCATAGAATTCGCAATCCCCAACAACGGGATCGAAATTATTATCAAATCCACTTGATTTGGGAGAAATATAGCAGGACCCATCAAGCAAAACGAAACTCCTGTTAAAAATAATCCCACAATCATTAGGATTCTTTTGTCAAATTTTAATAATCTCGGAAAAATAATTCCGCCGATCGCATAGCACACTGAGTTTACTGAAAAAAGGACCCCAATTATCTCTTGGTCAATCCCGTTGTGGCTTAAATGCAATGCCATAGATGCAGCCATAAAGCACATTGTATCAAAAACTATAAATTGGATAATCGCGGTCAAACCAATTTGCTAAATAGACTTTACTGGTTTTATAAATAGTCTCAAAGTGTCTACCTTTTCATGATGCTGTGCATAAGGCTTTAAATGCCCCAAAGTAAAAAACGTAACGAAGCCTGAGACAAAAACTACACCACCGACAGTAATAAAAATCGTGATAGCGCCACCAATCATATATAAGCATGTTCCGAATAGAGGCCCACTGACCATTCCTGCACCAATAAAAGCGTCCATTTCCCCCACAACTTCTCCGACATTGTCTTTGAACTCTGTTATTAAAATTGCGTAGCTTGATGCCCAAAATCCGCCAGCAGCAATCCCATATAAAACTCTTGAAATAATGCTAATAATTAAAAATTCTGTTTGAGGGCATAGGAATATAAAGCAGAGTAATATCATGGAAATTCCACAGAGGAATAAGGAGCCTAAGCATATAAGCTTTCTTCCTATTTTCGACATATATCTTGTTACCAGAAACACTACAGGTATTGAGGTGATAGGAGCGATACTTAATATGACTCCTATTGTTCATTGCGAAATGCCTTTGCTTTCAGCAATTCTAGGGTAAAAAGGCCCTAAAACCCCGTATGCAACACAGATTATAAAGCTTCCGAAATTCAGTGAAAACCTCAAAAAGTTCATTGTTGTAATAATTTAATTATTATATTCGTCATCTTTAAAATCCCTTTTTATGACGCTCATATTCTTTCCATAATGGCGATAAATAATAAATTTTATTTACTAATAAATATCGTTAGATTTATTATATGAATTTTTAATAAATATCGGTTATTAATAAAGTAATATAAAAGCATTTAATCAGTTATCTGCTTGTTTCCTCATTGATTATTGCAGTATTGTCAACTTCCATCGTCTTCAGTAAATACTCATCAGTATTTTTATTAATATTTTTTTTAACTAATGACGCAATATCACATGAATAGGCAAAAATTGGTACAAGTATTAGCACAAGTGCCAAAATAATGGTGCATGATTTTTACTTTGTATTTTTAAGAGATTTATTAATTAATTTTATAGCTTTTGAGGTAATGTCAGCAAAAATATTCAGCCAATTACCTCTGAGCATTTGTCTTTCTGATAATATCCAGACAAAATGGATGCAGCCCAATATAATGCCAGCGCTGTGTTGGTATGTGATAAAGTCTACCAAAATTCCAGAAACAACCGCTCCTAGAATTTCTCCAATAGACATCGAAAAATTCGAAATTGAAGAGAGGGTGTCGCTTAAAGGCAAATTATCTGTATAGCCATATTTTGATACTGCAACTTCCGCCATATAGGAATAAGAAGGGACTAAATAAAATTTACCAAAAGCTAGAGCACACATTATCCCTAATAAAGGAATACTAATAATAACTATTTGCACATCATCTGGGAATATAATTGAAGGCCCCATCATGCTCATAGCAAACCCGATCCCAGATAATCCTACAAGCATGATAATTCTTTTGTCTACTCTCGTGATTTTTGAAAAAACTATGCTTCCAACGCCATTACAAAAATAGAACGCTGTAAAAAGAAAGCCGATATTTTCTTGGCTTACGCCATATCCGTCTAAGTGGACTGAAATAGAAGCAGACATAAAATACATAGAAGCATAGACAAATAGTTGGATGTCTGCTGCAAGAAATATTTGCTATATAAACCTTACAGGTCTTTTTCATAATCTGAAAAGCTCTAATTTTTCGTGTTCTTCTATGGAACTATGAAGATTGCCCAAGGTAAAATAAGCTAAAGGGATATAAATTATAAAAACAGCACCAGAAACTATGTAGGCTACTGAAACCCCCCCGATTAAGTACAAAACTGTTCCTAGTAAAGGGCCGATTACACTGCCAATTCCTGAGTGAGCGCTTATTTCACCAATCACTTCTTGTGCTTGATCTTTGAATTCAGAGGTAGCAATTGCTAGGCCAGATCCCCATAGAAACCCAACACCTACTCCATAAAAGAATCTAGATAAAAAACTCAACGCAATAAATTCGTCCCTATTGCAGTCTGCAGCAAAAGGGAGAATGATCATTGAGATGCCTTGAATTAGAGAAGAAAAGAGAAAAATAAATTTTCTCCCCACTTTGTGTTGAATCTTATTGTTGAGCCAAATTGAAGGAACGCCTGTCATTGGAACAATGCTGAAAATAAGTCCGATTATTCATAAGCTTACATGGTTATCTCTTGCTTGTAATTCCCTTGCAAATAGTTTGAATATTTAAAATTTTTCAATTTATATATTAATTATTAATTAATAAACATATAAAATTAGAAGTAATTTATTAATTTTTATCAGGATTATGTAGGGGATAGAACGGTTGAAATACCCCATAAGCCACTGAAGAGAGGAAAAAACTGATGCCAAGCGATATTTTCTTTATATTCAACATTTTATATTATTCCCATATTGTGGCATATTTAATAAACTTTTAGCAATGAAATTAGATTTCATCATTAAGATTTTGAATTTGAGTCTACAACTTAAAATCGACAAAGCAATCTTAATAACAATTAAATCAACATGCTAATGGAGATAATTAAGATTAAATTAAGCTATTCTTTCGACAGTGCCAGGGATTTCCACACCTAAATTGTCATTCCCCGAGAGACCCAGGCAAATACCCTTCCTTGCCGCTGCAGACAAGGGATTCGCACAACCGATCTTGTTATTCTTGACTTTCATAACTCTGGAGCCTATGGGCCCATCACCTGGGTCGAAAATCTTTGTTTTTCTCGTTAGGCAGATGCCACCTCTTGAGCCCTGCTCGAAATTTATCAACCACTAAGTCTCCCCCCCTCCGTGAGTGAACAAAAATTTTTTTAATAGGAAAATTTTGTATGGAAAAAAAATTTTGATATATAAGTGATAATTATTATAATGAAATCTCGAGCTAATTCTGTTTATTTTTAAAAAAATTGCTTTTTAAAACATAAATTTTATAAAATTAAATTAATATTTGCTTTTCAATTTTTGCGAATTAGGATTTTTTAAATTTCGAAAAACAAAATTTCTATATAAATTTTTTTTAAAAACACCCCTCTGTGAGTGAACAAAATTTTTTTTCACTCATAGAGGGGGGAGTAAGGGCTTTTTGCTGGTCCTGCCATTTCTAATAATGATCTCAAAGGCAAAAGCCCCAAAGTCATAGGGATTAGCTCCCTAGGGCTAAGGGAAAGCCTAGCTCGATATACACAAAGGATTGCAGGCTTCTTCTATCCTTCCCCTTCACACTGAGCTGTTGCCTACTGGCGTTAAAAAAAGTTGAGGAGCTGTCACCATTTTTATGTATATCTAATGGAGATAATAATTTATCTAAAATCTATTAAGCATCTTTCATCTCATAAATATCAAAATATCAAGATTTAATCGAAAATGAACTGTCTGAAAGAGCAAGAATTATTTTTATGCCAACAGATGCTACTAATTTCTTATTGGAATAGTTTTGATTTTCTTTAAGAAATCTTAGGAGTATTTGTTCGCTTTTTAATCAATCAGATTTAGCGAATATTTGCATAAAGGCTTAAAGCTGATTTAAGCACTTATCTTAAGGAAATTTTAGATATTTTTAAAATAATTTAATAAAAAGTTGGAAATTTTTGCATTTCTTATGATTTTAAGCGAATAGAAATTTCTAATAATAATCAATTGTGGGTTAGGTCAAAAAAGTATACTATAATTTTCTAAAGACCTTCCTAAACCTATAAAAATGACTCTAATTTATAAAAATGGTATTAGTATGAAAAAAGTACAAATAGCGTTTTTTGAATTTTTCCATGGGGTCTTTAAAAAAGTATAGTATACTTTTTTGGCCTCACTCATCAATTTTCCCATAATCTTATTTCATCTTTTAATTCTCAAAATCAGTGAAACAAGTAAATTTCTGGATTAACATTATGAAGGCACGCTTACAGATTAAATTCTGAATTCATAAATTTACTTTACTAATATAAATTTCCATTAAAGGATCATCTTTTATTTTAGTGACTTAATTTATAAAAGTTGAACTTGCTTCTTGTTCTTAAAAAATTACTGAATTTCATAAATTCTTTTTATTCTGCCCTGCTTTTTTTTTAGACTGACTAAATAAAAGTATTATAAGGATAACATATTGTTTAATACCAGGATGGTAGAATCTATAGATGAATGATGGCAAGAAGAATTTATGGAAAACTTAACTTCTCCACTCTGGATAGCGAACAAAATCATTAGAAACATCCCTATTTTTAACAATTAAACCCATAGATGGCAAGCAAAATATTTTAATATACAAATTTTTATTAAACAATTATTACTCGAGCTCATTCTATAGGCAGCTTTCATCCTTAAACATTTTTTTTAAATGACTGATTTTTCATTTCCAAAATCTGGAATTTTAAAATCCAAATTATATGACCCCTACTTGGCTAAGAAAACAAAAAATTGACTTGGTCGCTAGCCAAAAGGAGTAAATAACTTCAAATTAGTATGTGTCTTTATTTCAATAGTGGTGAATATATTGAAGTTCGGACTCATGCTATGATACGGTAAAGGTTTTGTTATAACACCGTCAAGCATGGCCTTATCAGGGGTTACAGTAGTATTTATCGCAGCGATTTATCACATGAAGCTGAAGTATAATCGTATTACTGTTTTCTCACTCCCCCCATCCTTGATCGAACGGCTCGCCATCGTTCAACCAAGGATGGGGGTTAAGAGTATTTAATAATTATTTTTACAGCAAAAAATCGAATTAATTTCATAAGATACCAATTTTTAATATTTTGATTTTTTGGTTACCCCTTTAAACTGTATAAATTTTAATTTGTTCCTTATTGAATTAAAAATTTTAAATTTTAAAAAATCTCTATTTTTAGATTATTAAGCCCAGGTTAATGGCTAAAGCACTTCGGATGGCTGATTTCGTAGCTATCTACCGTTTCAAAGTCTCTGACAACAACTTCATTAGGCACATCTTCCCAAGCTTTTGATAACTAATATATTTTTTAGATATATAAAAATTTTCATGATATGAAAATCGTTCAATCAAGGATGGGGGGGAGTCAGCAACTATTTTCCTTGAGATATTGACTTTTATGATGTTCTATTCAGCCCATTATTTGGAAACAGAATCCTATAATATTTTGCTGATGGAATCGACATTTGCAACAGTTTTCTTCGAGTGTACTTTTTTTAGATCTTTATGAATAAACGTTTTTATTCTAATAAAGCATATCACGCTCTGACATGCATGGGAAATGATTTTTGAAGGACCTGGAATTACAGGGTCAGCTCAGATTATTTCCATAGTCACTATAATCACTATGTTTATTTCACGGGAATTTCTGGCAAGAAAGATAAGCTATGGTAGATATTCGTATAGAAAGAAACTGGAAGTTACAGAAAAAAGACTGCAGATAATACTCCAAGCTTTTCCAGATGGACTCATTATATTAAATTCTAAACTAATCCCTGAGCTTGTAAATGAAAAAATGTTACAGTTTTTAGGATGCAACTTTGAAAATATAATGGAAACCTTATCAAAACTTGAATATGCCAAAGGCAAAAAACTACAAAATCTAAACACATTCTCTCACAATTTAATGGAAGACCTGAAATCTTATGATTTACAAGAAAGCGGGGAGCTTAATTTAGGAATAATTGAGTTCAGAAATTATATCCTGCAGTGAAAAGTCAAAAAAATTAAATTTGATGGCAACCATATTATATTAATTAGCGCTGCTAATTCAGAGCAGCTTATAAAACTTGAACAAACACAAGCTGAAAACAGATGCAAATCATATATGCTTAGAACAATTTCTCATGAACTAAGAACACCGATTTCGGCAATTATCACTTTTGCAGACCAAGCTAAAGAAGATATAGTGAATCCAGAGACCTTAGAAAAGTTATCACACATTCGCACTTCTGGGAATATTTTATCTAAAGGTGAGTAAAATAAAAAAAATTATATGGCTATTAATATTTAATTTATATAAAAAATAAATATTAGCTATAAATTGAAAGGAACTCAATATAGTAATTGGAATATTAAATTTTATTAACGATATTTTAGATTACATACAAATTACACAAGGAATGTTTGCACTAAACAAAACAAAATTCAATATAAGGGACAAAATTAATGAGTGCTGTAATCAATTTGGATTCATGGCTAAGAGAAAAGGTATCAACTTTACTGTGAGGATCGATCCTTCTGTTCCGGATGAGATTTTTACTGATCCTGAGCGATTGAACCAAGTCTTGATGAATTTTTTGAGCAATGCAATCAAATTCACAAGCAAAGGATCAATAGAACTCAGCGCTATTTTAGCAGAAGATGATAGGCTAAAATTCTGTATCAGCGATACAGGCATTGGGATTCCTGAGCAAAGATATAAGCAACTTTTTGAATTATTTAAAAATCATAATTCTGAAGAAATTGCTTCCCATGGGTGCGGACTAGGGTTACATTTGTCTAGCTTGATCATCAAGGTTCTTGGTGGCGGGAAAATCTTTGTGACATCCTCTCTAGGAAAAGGGACTGTTTTTTCATTCAAAATTGATATTTTCCTTGAGAATTCAAAACAATTGATAAATTTAGATTTTATGGAGGATCTATTAGACCCAATTAATCCTGTAAAAGTACTTGCCAAAAATTCTACTCATAACTATCCAAAAGTTCTTATAGTAGATGACAATGATTTTAACAGAGAAGTCTTAGCAAGCTTACTACAGAGGAATAAAATTCAATACATAGAAGCAATTAATGGCAAAAAAGCTGTAAAAGCAGTCTTAAAGCAGGACAAAAAAAAGATCCCAATTAAATTGGTCATTATGGACTGCAGTATGCCAGTCATGGACGGCTGAGAAGCGACTAAAGAAATCAAAAGATTATGGGATACTGGAAAATTAAGTCATATGCCCGCTATTGTAGGGCATACAGCTTATAACTCTGATAAAGATGTCACCATGTGCTACGCATCAGGAATGGTTTCGTTCATCGCAAAACCAGCAAGTCCAGATATAATTTTGAAAACTGTTTCACAATATGTGCAATTTTAATATATATTATTTGTTTATAATTAAAAGAATTTTATTTAACTTTATTTTTAAACAATAATATGATACACAGAACAATTGTCATAAAATTTGCTAACTTTAAACTAGTATTTAGTTGGGCTTGTTTCTCTTTCACAAAAAATTTGGTCAAAATTATCGTTATGTCAGGAAAGTTCAACGTCTTCTTTAGGATTATTTTCCACTACTGATCAAATATATGCATCAATAGGATCCCATATTGCTTTATTCCATCTCCCCGACTCGCATATTTCTTCTACCATCAAGTTGTAGTTTTTTTTAGTTTTAGGGTAAGGCTGCGATATTAGTTGATTATGCTTAATATTTAGTTGAAGAATATCAGGCTCAATTGAATCAGACATAAGAGTCCAATAATCAAAATTTGAAGCAAATTCAGGAACCATCAGACTCAAAATGAATTCAATTGACTCAACGTCATCGTTTAGAGCTTTTTTGGAGTTTAATCCTGTGAAAAGAAGAACATAAATAGGGTTGTTATTTCTTTCAGTTAATGACGCAGTTTCTATCAAGAAGCTTCAGTATATTATTTCAACTTCATTAAGCAGCAAAATATCAGCTACTTGGTTGATAATAATATATGAATCTGAAAGCATTTCTCGTACTTCAGGTGTTCTTGAAAGAGCATGAAGTAAAAACTGCCTTTTATAAGTTACGCCTTCCTCAAGAAAGGTTTTTCTGATTGAAACATACTTATTATACAAACCATTATGGGAAAGTTCACTATCAAAGATTTGGCTCAAATGGCTGATTAAAGCAGTTCCATATTTTTGGCTTTGGTTAATCATGATTTTAATTATTATAAGCCACCAAAATATGGTGAGTCCTGAAAAGGCAAATGATTAGTGAGTTGCCCAAGAGATTTTCCCTAGAAGTATTGTGTATACCTATTTAATTAGATAGACACTAATGGTATAACATCTATTGTCTATCTTGTGCAAAATGAAATGGCTTTTTATTTATTAAATGGTGAAATTAATATATAATTAATAAATTGAAAGGAGCTGCAACAAATAAAAAGCTTAGACCTTATCTTCGACTTTAAAGCAACAAAAAAAAATAATTAATTTTTTATAAAGTCTTGATTCCTGGGCTGTCTTCTTAATTTGTGAATTTCTTTCTTTATTTTGCTTTAATTTTAGCAACAAATGCTTCTTACATTTTCTGGGGTTACGCAATTAATTAATATTTGATTCAGTAAATGAAATCACTGCTTCAAATATTTTCAACAGTAGAAATACAATTAATTTATCTCAAGCCTACGACATTTAAGGGAAGAGCTGTTCAATTTATTCACCTTAAAAAAATATAATAAAGTTATGCTAAAAACTCACTTCTTAGTATGCTATCGGATGCAAGTCATTACAGATTTTTATTTAAGCTAAGCAAGGCCTTTCAGAAAAACAATTTAAAGTAGCTGATTGCATATATAAATAAGCAATATATTCGAGCATTTCTTAAACATTATTTAAAAAATTATTAAAAACATAAAACCTCACGTATTTTCAGATAAGGTTTACCCAATAACTATTATAATTTTTTTAGTCACAGCTTATATATAAACTCAGCATTAATTTATTTTATTTCTGCTGGCATATTAAGAAACTCACTAAATTCTTGACTTTTTTCGTGGTATCGATACTTCAAAACATAATTCAAAAACTTTTCCATGTCGATTTTTCTTTTCTGGAGGAGCTCTTCATTAAATTGACTTTTCAGTGAGACTAAATTAAATAGCGAAAAAGTCTTCCCAGGAAAGTACAATTTTTTTAATTCAGGAAATTGCAAGACTAAGCTTTTTCTGATATTGTCTAATTGAGAGTATCTGAATTTTATTTTCCAGGAAAACCCATCTCTTCTTGTGACAGTCACTGTGTACTGGGTGAATAATTCGTTGTTTTTTACTGCTGACTCATAATCTGTGATTTCAGCATTATATTCCTTAAGACATTCAAGGCCGTAATATGTCAATTTTAAGCATACAATTGGCTCTGAATAGTGATCTGGGTCCTCAACTTTTATTTCATTGCAAAATGGCTTGATAATTTGTGATTCTTCAAAAGAATCTCCGCAATTTAAATCTTGCTCAAGCTTTATTCACAATGTGGTTTCTTCAATGAATTGCTTTATCAGCTCTCTAGGAATCGCAAAGCCAGCTAGCATTATGTCGCCATCAAATTCATCTCGATCCATAAGACAACATTTTAGTGGCTTTTGGCTGTCTCCTGAGATTTCAAAAGTTTCGTCCCAATGCACTGTATTTGAAACATTTTTGGCAATTGTTGAGTAAGATCGAGACCCAGTTGAGATTTTTACATATGGTGTGAATTGTGAGCAATTCTCTGAGAAAGAGCCCAAGTTTCTAGCTTCAGACACTTTTACTAAGAGATAAGGGAACTTATTAAAGCCAATTTCAGATGAGAAATCCGTTGTAGTAACACTTGAAACCATTGCTATACTTTTGTAATACTCTTTTAAGAGTATTTGAAAAAATTATCTTAGCTTAAATAACAAAAATCAATCATCAGAAAATTACAAGTAATATAAGCAAATAGGATTTTTACTTTAATTATTAAATCCTTTTTCTATCTGCACCCTCTTTGCTCAATAAGAGATTAAAGCAAAATACCCACTAATATATTAAAGCCACATCTTTAAAAGAATGGGAAACAGAACAAGCAACATTCCAACCCAAGTTCCATACGGAAATGATCACATGAGGATGCAAAAGCCAAAAGATCTGGAAATCAATAATGAGTTTGAATCTCCAAGGAAAGGCATGGCCCGGCCTCAGACCATGCCTTCCTCACCCAACTACCATCAGTCAGAGTTTGAAAGCCCAAGCAAGATTTATTCACCAAGGTTGCTTGGCAGAGTTTTTAGCCAGCTATCCCCACAAGCAATGACAAAAGCCTTTCATTTCCCTGACGAAGACCCAATTGATGCTGCCGGATATCATCACCGACAAGTTTCGAAGCATCAACTATTCCAAGCTGAGGTTTACCATGAAACATTTAATTAGTTCTTTAAGTTAGAAACTATTTGGCACTTCTGATTTAAATTTCTTCCCTTCCAAATAGCAGTTTCAGAAAATCTTTGAACCAAATTAATTTGTGGAATCATGCTAGAAAATCAACATATTTAAAATGGAGGTGGAATTAATTATCCAAAAGAAAATAAATTTCTGCGCCAGATCTGCCACGAATTATTGAAAAATCAGTTATATTTTTACATTAATTAAAAGTCTCATAAAATTAAGGAGATTACAATTTAAATAAATTTTGTCAACTAAATGGAGTTATAAATATAATTTAAGGAAGAGACTCATAATGGCCAACATGATAATGAGGCATACGACTATTTCACCAGTGAAATCAAGAGTAAACGATTGCACCGATCTCCTGAGCTTAAATTATATTTCTTCGAATCCGGTCAGAAAGGGATTCGAATATTCGAGCGAAAACAATTTCCAGTATTTTTCAAGAGCTGGAAATTCTTCAAAACATTCTCATAAGAAATCTTTCGATTTTTCAGGCAATAGCTTTGTTTCTGATGATCTAAAGAATAAAGTACTTTTTATTTAGATTTCAAGTCTTTTTGGTTCCCATAAACAAATTATGAATGAGCTATTAAATGATAAATCGTCTTATAATCAGCTTGATATTCAAGAAAAGTTGAAAGAATTGAGCTTACAAAATTCCAAATTGGTATTGGAAAATATTGCATTGAAAAAGAAATTATAAATAAATAGGCTAAATAGAGGCTTTAACTTAAAATTAATTATTTAGAGTTTTAAGGTGTCCCCTGGTCGACAGGATGATTATCGAAGCTAAATGGGCTCACCCCTAAAGGTGCAAAACTAGTGAGGTCACCGAGCATATCCTACGCCACCTCTTTTTATCGGGTGAAAGACTACCTAAACAAATAGCTAGCAAGCCTCCACACTTCATGGGTAGCGTTGTCTCTCCTTTCTTCAAGTTGACTCCTAATTACCATGGATGAGCCGCCAAATTATTTTTGATAAAAAGTTCACTGTAAAACTGAACCCCATAAATAAAATCATGATAGAGAAAATAGCAGAGCTAACTTCTCTTAAACTGAATGCCATTTATATTTATATGCTAAATACAGGCAAATTTTTTAAAGATAATTAACACTTTTAAGGAGTAAATAGTATAGATATACAGAGAGGAATGCTTAAATCATTCTAGAACAGCATAGCTAATCATCATTATTAAAACATGTTTATAATTATATTTGATTACATTATGCAACAAGAAGAAGGTTTATATCCCACACATCCATTGCAGAATCAGTCTGGCTCTATTTCATAATTTTCCAATGAAATTGTTCTTGGCTGTATAGGAGTTTTTAAAGACTCTCTTGTCATTTCTTGTGATGGACTTTTCATTTCTTTATTACTTAGGGTAAAATTTTCAAAGTTTATCACATCCTGCTCTTCTTCCTTTATATTTTTCTCGTCATCTTGCATGAAGCTGAAAGCATTAGACTCGTTTTCGCACTTTTCCCATATTTCTTCTTTAAAATCCATGTTACTTGACAAAAAGCTGCTGCAGCCTTCAGGTCTGAATTCAGCATCAAAAGAATTATTTACTGTTTTATCAGGGGTAATTGCAATACTAGAGCAGCTTGACAAAGATTCTTCGCAATGGCTGTTTTTTAGTTGTGGAGGAGGCCAAAATCTTTTTAGATTATTAGCAGTTCCTCCGTATTTCATTTCCAGCTGATTTCTATTAAAATCTTTAATCAGAGCATTTTCAGTTTTGTCAACGATTTCAAATTTCTTATATGTATTAGATGGCAAAATATTAATTAATAGTTTCCATAATCGAGTTGGGTTGACCACATAAGCTTTGGCAAGTCTGCATTGATAATGAGTATATAACTCTGTTGCTAGTTTTCTTACATGATTTTGATTGACTTCATTAAAACCTTCAAAGTCTAATAGCATCACCCAATTTTCAATTTGTCCTGGAAGCAGCATAGAGTCAATTACAAATTCTAGTAAAAAGTAAGCACAAGCTATAAACTCTTGGTATGTGTATTCTGCCAATTTAGACAGCTTAAGTACAATTAAAGGCCGATAATAAATATCTCTGCCATGTATATAGACTCCACCTGAATTCAAAATATTTTGTACCAATGGGTATACATTCATATAGTTCGGCCACTGTGATTTTCAGTCCAAATGGGCTTGGATTGCTTCTTCTGCTTTTTTTAAGTCCCATCCTTGGCCATATAAAAATCTTAGCAGTTCGTCTTTTGGGATTTTATTAAAATTCTTTTCAAGCTGCCGAAGTGGCTGTAATTCTCAATCTTTGTATTCTTGCTTATTAAAAATAAGCCTTTCTACATAGCTATCTGTTTCAATTAAAGCTTGCTCACCTTCAGGCCAATATAAATGTGAAGCTTTTGGAGGTGCATTTCTTGATTTGATTTTGTGCATGATCTTTTAGACTCTTAACTTTAAATTATTTATGCCATTAATTCGTAGCAAATTTATTTATTTCGATAGCCCTAAATTTTATATATTTTTCTTCTTTTTTAACATAGGTAAGGAATCAGAATTCTTGTTTTTATTTTTAGCTTCTAACCGCTTACATTTTTTGTAAAGATTATTTTAAATAAGTTTCTCAAATTATTTGTTTTATATTTACTACCCCGGTGATTTATTTTTGGGGTAAATTAGCCTACCCTTTAAATTGGATCAATTTTAATTTTTAGGGTTAAATGGCTTTGATGTTATTTAATTGGATTAATTTTAACCAAAATTAAAAAATTGCATGCATCTTACTACATTTTAAAATAGGGGAGTTAGGATAATGATTTAATGATAATTAGTGATATAAAATTTCAATTAAGCTAATTTTTTATGGAATAGCAGCCCCAGCCCTTTCCTTCTTCAATAATTCCGCTTGAAAGCATTCTTTGTAAATGATCAGGGAGGTTGTCAATTTTAGCATCAAGCTGGTCTTTTATTTGCTTATCTGTCACCCCTCTTGGGTTTTTCCCTGGATTCGCCTTTTGTATAGCCTGCAAAATTATATCATCAACATTTACTTGAATTTTCTGCACTGGCGGCTGGTTCAGCTTTATATGCGCCCACACAACCCTAGCTAAAAATTCATCGACCTGTGTCCTTTTGTCCAATTTTTCAATCGAAGTCAAAACAACACTCACATTATCATGAAATTTTCTCAAATTCCCTGTAATATGCACATACTCTCCTTCCTTAAAATCCTCATCTCTCATTATGCTCGGTTTCTCGTCCCCTTTTTTATAAATCACAGCTGAAAATTCCCCAAATGAGTCCTTCAGTTTAAATTCAAATCTTAATGCTGTTTCCTGGATCTCTGAAATCCAGCCAACTGTTTCTATTGTATCCAAAGACCTGTCGTACCATTTAAATGTCTCGTCTTCACTTTTAGATATCTGAGTTAGCATAGACAAAGTGCAAGGCAGATACTGCTGAGATTTTCTTTCTGTTTGAAATCTTCCATATCCCGCGTTTGATTCCATTTATAAATTAAGGGAACTTATAATTATTTACTAGATGAGAGTTAGCATGCTTATGCTTGGACTCAGGTGTATGGTCAGTTGTCCAAGAGCAAAGTGATAAATCTCGCTTAGACCTGCGAACTGGAGGAATTAATGATTTTTGATTGGAAGGGATAAGGGGTTCTTGAGTGAAAAGTTTGGTGGGGATTTTTTGAATTGAAGGCATTTTAATTTTGGTTTCGCTTAAGCTTTTTCTGTACAGTGGCTGGGGATGAGTAATAAATGATTTACTTAAAAAATTCTTTTGCCTTTCTTTTGGTGGTTTTTGAGAGGTTTCAACACTTTTCCTAAGGTTTTTGAACGCTTTTAAATATTGCTCTTTACTTTTATAGTGAGTCTTGTTGGAAATTGAAAAATTCAAATCACTCTTTATATGTGACTGAAAAACATTGATGTACTGACGCATTACTTTTGGCTGATTTACGTCAGCGAGGCTAAAAGCAGGCTTTAGAATTGTGTGCTCTTTTGGTTGACGAGAATTATAAGCATGATTAAGTAGACGAAAAAAATTTGATTCAGGGTCATTATTTACAAAAGTAATTTTACTGTATAGCTGAGGATCTCCATTGAAAGATATCGAATTGATATCTGTAAACCCCTTTTTAGGCTTCAGAGGTTTGATAGATTTGGTAGCAAGTGAAAATAAAGGATTTTGAACTTGACTGGCTTGGATTTCAAGTGCCAAACTTGACTTACTGTGTTCTAGTTCATCTTTTATATACTAATTTACGATAAAAAGCCCACTATGAGCATCTTTGGCTAGTCAAATATTAGCTGGCTTTCTAAATTATTTTTATGCGCGAACCAAAAATACTTCCTGCTAGTTATTCTTCGTAGAAATGCATAGTATTGTAGGTATTACTTTGTCTGGATTTTTGTGTTCTGTACATGCTAATTTAATTATGTGCACTTGTAGTTGAAATTATTTACAAAATTTAGAAATGGAGTTTTCTCTATTTAGCTGAAATTAATAAATATTATATAGCCATTTCATTGAGTTTATCAATAATCCGGGTTTTGGCTAAATATTGTTTTATTTATAAATATAAATAGAAATGCTATTTATTTATAATTATTATTTTATTAACAAGAAATTTATATTCCAATGCATTTTTTGTTTCATTGAAAATACTCTGTATATAAAAAATCAATTAAGCCAAATTTAAGTTCTTTAAAACAAGAATTTAGCTTATTTTATTTCCATTTTTGAAAAACTTGTTCCACTACAAAGAAAACTCATGAATTCAAGGTTTAAATATTGAATATTAATTATACTTTAGCCTCCAAATCCGTAAAGAGTTCTTCCTTGTCTCTTTAATGCGTAAACAACGTCTAATGCAGTGACAGTCTTTCTTCTTGCATGCTCTGTATAAGTAACAGCGTCTCTTACGACACCTTCCAAGAATACTTTGAGAACGTTTCTTGTCTCGTCATAGACCAATCCGGAGAGTCTCTTAACACCTCCTCTTCTTGCGAGTCTTCTGATTGCAGGTTTGGTGATACCTTGGATGTTTTCTCTTATAACTCTTCTATGTCTTTTCTTTGCTCCGACTTTTCCTAAGCCTTTGCCTCCTTTTCCTCCTTTTCCTCCCATTTATATATAATTATAATCTTTAATATAAGCGCTTAAATAGGTTGAAATTTATCTCATATTTATTCAATCTTATTTCTTATTGGCGGAATTTTTATAAATGTCTAATTTCTAAATTGCCCAATAAAATTCCAGATTCCATTATAAGAGGATCTTTATTGAAGATATAGGTGCGAAAATTCAAATTAGGATAATATATAATGGCAAGAACAAAACAAACCGCAAGAAAAACTACCTCAGCAGGAAAAACCCCAAAAAAGCACTTGGCAACTAAAGCCGCCAAGAAAGTCTCAGCTACCACCTCCTCAGGTGTGAAAAAGCCACATAGATTTAGACCAGGAACAGTGGCCTTAAGAGAAATCAGGAAGTATCAAAAAAGCACCGAACTTCTTGTGAGGAAACTCCCATTCCAAAGATTAGTTAGAGAAATCGCTCAAGAATACAAGACCGACTTGAGATTCCAAAGCTCTGCTGTCCTTGCTTTACAAGAAGCTGCTGAAGCCTATTTAGTTGGACTTTTCGAGGACACCAACCTTTGTGCAATTCATGGAAAGAGAGTTACTATTATGCCTAGAGATATGCAGCTTGCAAGAAGAATCAGGGGAGAAAGATCTTAATAAATCCAATTTGATAAATAATTTACTTTTTCAAGCTTAAAATTTACTTTTATAATTTTTAATTTTTCCATTTCTTTATATTTGTTACAAAATTTTAAAAGAATAGTCATTCTTAATATTGTAAGTCTTCAAAAAAGTTTAATTTATTTTAATCCATCAAAAAATCGTTAAATTAATTCTCAAAGTTATCCATAAAAATTCCAAATAACATGAGTTCAGAAGAAGACTTAAATTCTTTCTTAAAATCAAACCGCAGTCTGCCAGAAACAGATAAAATACTCCACGAGCTTTTTAAACAAGCGTTTATTACTAACTGCTCTCTAGATGATGCTAGCTGCACTCCAGAAGAGTTAAAAACACTTGAAGAGCTTGATACTCTTGAAATCTTAGAGAACTTAAAAGACTTACTAACTGATCTTCTTAAATTCAAAAAAGATTATAAAACGTCAGATAAAGCTGAACTCGCCAAAAGAAGTGAACAATTTGAAGCCATGCTTCAGAAACTTGAAGCAGAAGTTCGAAATCACATCCGCATTGAACACCAGTTGAAGCTTCACATAGAAACTTCACAAGGCAAAGTCGATGAACTGGAAAAACTTAAAGAAACTGCAAATAAGCAAATTAGGGACCTAGAAATTAGACTTCAAGAAAAACCTGCTGAAAATGAGAAAATTCGTCCAAGCTTGCATAGAGATGCAGATAGAGTTAGGAAAGATTATGAAGAAAAATTAATAAAACTTGTTGACGCAGGAGAAAAAAGAGAAAAAATCATACATAAACTTGAGCATGAATGCGCAAAATTAAAAAATTTATTCGAAGAAAAATCAAAAGATTGCGAAAGATATAAAGAGGAATTAAATAAGTATAAAGAGAATACAATAAGTAAAGAAAAAAGATTAGAAGGGCGTGGAGGGAATAACATCGACGATCTAAAGCGAAAAGTCGAAGAAAAAGCGATCGAACTAAACTGAATGCAGCAAAAAATTAAAGGAAGTGCGAAATCTCCCAGCCTGCAAGGCAAAGAAAGGAGAAGTGCCCGAAAATCCTTAGGCGAAATGGAATTAATAAAAAATTCAAGCCCTTATGGAATTCGAAGAGAATACACCGAACCTGCCCCCAAAAAAGATGAAAGACCTGGAACCTCTTTTAAAAAACCCCGAAGCTCTTCAAGAGGTCACATCCGAAGCCACTCAGAGCACGAGCGCCCAGCGAGCTCGAAACGAATCCCGTTACACTAATTGTTAATTTTAAAAAATCTATCCAATTAATTCAGTTTTACTACGGTCAACTTTTTTAATGACTCTGATCCAGAGCCTCAAAATTTCTTCATCTTCATCATGCACCTTCACAAAATTTTTCAGCAAAACTTTATTATAACAGTTAAAATGAGGCTTCAAGCTTCTTTCTTCATAATCTGATATATGTGGGACAATTCCTTTGAACTTTGCTAAATACCCAGGTCCTTCTATTCTCATAGAAATCCTTATAGGATTTCTTGAAATTCTATACAAATACACATGAAACATGTTCGCGAAACACTTGGCGAGGACAATAAAAGGGTCATGCCCAATCCTTCAAATCCCTTTGGGCCAATCTGTATTTCCATATCATGAATCAATAGGTCCAGAGAACGACCGCAACCCTCCTTCCTCGTCCATGATGATTTCTTTATACTCATGTTTCCTTATTAAATGGTCAATGAGATCTTCTTCATTGCTTTTACATTCCAGGCATTTAATAAAGTTGTTATATGAACAAGTTTTACAGTGCTGAGGCATATTTAGCAGAGAAATCATTTCCCCACAGCCTTCGAATTTGCACGGGACTAAAATTTGGTCTAGCATATTTTCAATCACAATATTCCTGGTCTTGTTTGATATTGAGCTATTGCAGAAAGGACAATTTTGTGTAATTGAGGAGCAAAGAGAACAGATGCTGTGGCCTGAGCTGCATAAATAGACTGGTGGCGTGTAAACACTCATGCACACCGGACATTCGAGTGTGTCAGCAAATTGCTTAGTCAAAGACATTTTGTCCATTTTTAATTATATTAGGATTAAAAGTCTTCATCCCAGTTATTAGCAACATTTTTGGGTTTTCTGGATTTCCCTGGAGGCATTTCTTCGCTGGCTTCTTCTAAAGATATGATGTCGTTGATGCTTCGTTTGTTTTTCAGGGCTGCCTGGATTTCTCTAGAAAGGTCAGAAACCCTAGGCCTATATGGCGAGTCTAGCTGCCGTGACAAAAGTTGGTCTCAATTGAAGCCGTTAAGCCATGGGTGGGCTTTTAAGTTATCTATGCTTCCTCCTGTTCTCATAGCAGGGTTTTTTGACAGAAGCTGCTCTATAAAAGGCTTTGATGGCATCCTGGGGTCTACAAACGCAGGATAAATCAGTCGTCTTTCAAGCACTTTTTCATAAATTGCGAAGGGGTCTTCTTCCTCTTCTCCAAAAGGAACTCCACCACACATGAACTCGTAAAGCATGATCCCTACACTTCAATAGTCAACTGCTACACTATAGCCTTTCCCTACAATAACTTCTGGAGCCATATAATGAGGTGTCCCAACAATAGTATAGGTGCGGCCATTTACAATTTTAGCAGTCCCAAAGTCAATGAGTTTTGCGTATCCTTCGTCGTCGACCATTACGTTTTCTGGCTTGAGGTCACGATAAATGATATCACGCTCATGAAGATGCTCTAAAATGACAACTAAACTTGCTGTGTAAAATTTAGCATCTTTATCGGTGACTAGGTTCAGCTGCCGAAGCACATCAAATAGATCCATTCCTCTTACAAATTCAGTAAGGAAATAGACACGTCGAGGGTCTTTAAAAGTTCTGACTAGCTTTAGTATCAAAGTATGGTCCAGCTGTAGCAGAATTTTTCGTTCTAGGACTAAGTTTTCTTGGATTTCAAACCTTTCGATTTTCTGCCTATCAACTGTTTTAAGAGCATATAAGTGGCCTTTTTCTCTATGAACTGCCAAAAATACATTCCCAAACATGCCTTTTCCAAGCACTTTGACGATAGCTAGATCTTGCAGCGTAATGTTATCGTCTTGTAGATCTATTCTTTTTTGCAAATGCTGTCGGATATTCTCATCTATAATGCTCAAAAAATCTTGCTGGTGCAGAACCCAGCAAGAAACAGGGCCATTTGCTACAATTGTGGCGCTTCTGAAATGATTGAAAAGGACACTTCTTTCTCCGAAATAGTCGTGCTTTGTGATCGTTCTTACATTGATCCCATCTTTAATTACGTCAACTTTTCCAGATTTTATGATAAAAAAGCAGTCGCCGGGATTATTTTGTTGGACGATTACTTCTTGATTGGAAAATTCACGGATTTGTAATGCGCGGATTAATGCTTGGAACCTGTCAGAGCTGAGGCCTCGGAGTAGTTGGACTCTTTTTAGTACTGAGTGGGCTTCATTATTTGTGGTGACTTGGCTAAAAACACCTCCAATGCATTCTTCGAATTCTTCACGTGTGCATTCAGCGACTACTGCTTCTCCATCAGCGACAACTTCTTCACTATAATTTCCAGATGGAGTATTTGTGATATCTTGATCACCAATGCATTGGAACACGTCAGCACATTCATGCCCATTTCTATATGTTAATTTCCCTTTCATTACCATCCATAAGTGCATGCCTTTAGGAGATCCTTGTCTGACCACTACTTGGCCATTAGAATATGTAATTACTCTTAGTACATTGATAACCCTATCAGTCTGATCCTTTGTAAGCCTACTCAGAGTGCTTGAGGCATCAATTGCCATCCTCTTCGTATTCTGATATATAATATGCTGCAACTGGTTACCCAATGCCTTTGTCAATCTTTCTCTGCCAATTGCTACACATTTTACATCATCAATTGCTGATATACTTGCAGTCCTCACACAGTTATAAAGCAATGCTTGTTCCCCAAAGAAATCGCCTCTAAACATCTGTCTTATTTCTCTTCCTTCTTGTGTGCAGCTTACGCTTCCTTCTTTCAGCACATAAAACAGATCTCCAGGGTCTCCTTCGCTCACAATCCTTTCTCCAGGCCTAAATTTCAGTGTAGACAATGACCCTACCAGGGCATCTCTTTGTGCAGGCGTTAAAATCCTGAAAAGTGGGACACTCTCAATAAATTGCTTATTTTCTTGGTAATTCTGTGCATTAACAGTCTCTACAGCATGTCTGAATGTTTTTCTGTCAAGTCCCCAAAGTGTTGTCCTTTCTGAAGTTTGAATTGTGGCTGATCTTGGAGAGTCATGCAAAAGTGCCAGTTCACCAAACGAATCTCCAGCACCCAGGGCTTTTACTTTTTTTCCATTGACATAGATATCTAATTTACCTGAAGCGACAATAAAAAAGGTGTTTCCTGGCTGGTCTTGTTCAAAAACTACTTCAAGTGGGCCTAAGGTATAATGCTTCATATGATCAATTAAAAGTCCTCGGTTTTCATCTGCTAGACTGGTGAAGATAAAATGTTTGTTAAGTGCTGTATTGATTAATTCTTTATCTCGTGAAGTTTTTGGCTTGTCTACTACTAAGGCGTTTGGGGCATCTAACGATACTGAAGAAACTTTGCGGGTATCCACAACTGGCTTGTTTTTCTTCACTGGGTTACGAGGCATAGAAGAACGGACTGGGATTTTTTTTTCTTCTTCACCAGAAATACTTTTTCGAGGTTGCAAGCGAGATGGTCTTTTGTCCATTTTACAGCAGATAGATTATTTGATAAAATAGGTGAAATAATGGAGTTGGAGTGTGGTATATTCTTACTACCGTCTTGATTGATGATTTTATTGAAAATTTCTAAAAATTGGGAAAATTAATTATTATCCTTAATTTTTTTCATATAGACTGATATGAAATGACTCCTCACCAGACTCAGCCTTAACTATCTATTTTTAATATAGTAATTAATCTTAGAGATAATGCAGCATAATCTCTTTTTTGAAATTAATTGCGATTTTATAACATATTTGCTATTATATTGCGCATTCTATCTCTTGTGGCTAGCGCATAAAATATTTTATATGGAAAAATTTTTAGCTTAATAAAAAATTTATACATAATTTTTTAGACAGAATTTTTAACCCTAATGATAATGATCAAGGATGGGGATTTAGGAAATTGAATATAATGGGAAAATGAAGGGTGGAAGAAGGGTAGAAGTAGATGAAATATAGAGAGAGAATAAATTTAGGGAGTATTAAAAATTTGTGGAATTCATGAAAGCAGACAAATATTATTGCTCAAAATGGAGGTTTATGCTTTAGAAGTATACAATAAAGTAAGAAACAAAATGATTTTGACTGTGCGTTATAAAGGCTAAAGTTCTTTTATTATTTGAGCTTGAATAAAGATATGTAAGAGGTGGCGATTCGCAAGTAGAATTTTGGCATAGCTAATAATGTGTGAGCCATATTTATTCATACTAGTAGCATATTTGGTATTTAAATAGAAGCAGATAAAATCTTATTGATTTTTTTTGCAAATTTAAACAAAATTTTTTATCATGTGTTTTGTCAGATTAAGAATGAACTTTTTTTAGGGTGCCAAAAATGATTTGTTTTCTGCATAGAAATTAAATAAGAAAGATAAATTAAATACTAATTTCTTGCTGGAGTTCGCAAAATATCATATAATAGCATTTTTCTATTTAAAAACAATTATTTTTTCCCTTTCAATTATCAAAATAATATTTATCTGATATTTTTTTTAAAGCATAGAAATAAAATGGCGTCATGGAACTAGTTCTTTCCGAAAAATATGCCATGCACCAGCAATTTTATTATTATGGAGGCTTGGTTTTACCAATAAGTCTTTAATCAGCTATACCAGGCAAGCAATATGGGGATGGCCCTTGTGTTTTAGTTTTGAGGAGGCATAGCTTTCACCATTTTTCTCATAGTGCAACCCTTAGTCGGAAAATACACAAGAGTAAGTAACAGCAAGGTAAAGCCACTGTGAGACTATCAGTTTTAGATATATGAAATATGTTATGAAATCTTAAGTTATCAGTCAAGATGGATAGTGACTTAGGCAATAAGGCAATAAGGGAGGAGCTAATACCTCATCTATTTTGTAAAGTGATCGTAGTAAACCATATCTATGGTAATTTACGTTATGTTTTTTAAAGCAGTTAAATAAAAATAATTTTGTTCAATTTATTAAGTATCAGAATAAGGAATATTTTGAAATCCTTATATTTAATACAACAAAAGCCTAATTTCCAAGATTTCCAAAAATTAAACTAAAATATTAATGACAGTTTCTTTTCCTCCATATTTCTGTCTTACAAGTTTTTTATTAATATACTCAAAATGTCAATCCAAGGTGTCATTGAATTTGCTCTTCATTTAGAATCTTTTCGCAACGTCGACTTATTCCGTCAGGGGCTTTATGGCCTTCGTTTTACACTATACTACACGTTTGATGACGAAAAAAACTTCGCCTTCCCTTACAGTACAAGTTCAAGCATTTATCCATCCTCAAATCCCGACCCTTATTTTATCGAAGAAATGCGGACACAAGATGTCTCAGTCGAGTCTCGCAAATTCCTCCTCCGATTTTGCGAAGAAGTCGTCGATTTCAACGAAACTATATATTTCAGAGCTGAAATGGAAATTAAAGAAGACTTCAAACAACAGAATTTCAAATTGCACACAGAATTACTATTTGGAGACTTAAAAGGAAAACTAACACCAGAAGAGGCGACCCAAGCTGTAATAGATGGGCTGGAAATTGTGACTTTATCTGAAGTTGATTATGTTTTATCCTTCCCAAAAGGTTTCAAGTCCAGTTATTTTCCTGCTATATTTGATGATGACCATAGCTCAATTTTAAAGGCAACTTTACATTACACTTTGCTTGATTACCACTTTAGAGGGAACGGGCAAAGTGAAATAAAAAAATCCAATGATATCAGCCAGAGCTTGAGTGAATATTTATTTAAATCAAAAAATGGAGCATCAAAAACATATGCGGGCATGGCTGAAACTGATATGATTTACAATAATTTTATGAACCCACTTGTAAAAAGCTATGAAAAATTAAGAGAGCATTATATGCTGATAGCAGGAAAATTTTTTAATGATAAAGAAAGGGATAAGTATGGAATAATAGCTGTTCCAGAAACTTTGAATATGCCGGGAAACGATTTGCAAGCGCTTTCTCCTAATTCAAAAGAAAGAAAAGAGACTTTACACAGGTCAGCGCTTTCTACTGAAGATAACGAAGCTGAAGATGAGATTGGGGAAGAAAAAATTAATGAAGAATCTCCTTTTAGCAGCAGAGTAGCGTCGCATGACCCAAAAGTTATAGCCACAGCGATGCTGATGGAACTAAATACAGTTTCTGGGCAGCTCTTCCAGCTTTGGCATCAATTTTTAGACATTTTAGAAAAATCTAAAACAGTTTCATCTATTTTATCAGAAAAAAGACAAATTTTATACAGACAAAAGCTAAGCAATTTTTTGATTAGAAGAGTCATGAGGTCAAAAGACCTAGGAATGGTCGCTGACGAGTCAAAAAATGAGCAAATGCTCAGAAGTGTTAACCAAAAAAGATATGAAATTACAAACAGCAGGCAAAAGCTTCCTCATATTTATGATGAATTTACTTTTGCTGACTTCCAAAATTACCCAATATTGGTTGAAGAACTTTCATTATTAGACGCCTCAATTCCTAACGGAACTCTTGAGCTTGCAGGTATTGATTCATCAATGCTTTCAAAAAATAGGAAAAATTCTGGGCTTTCTTCCCATATAATTGTATTTGTGCATGGGTATCAAGGAAGATCTAACGATTTGAGAATCTTAAAAAACAGGATAAGTTTGGCTTTTCCTAATACTTTTTTGTTTTCTTCAGTTAGTAATGAAGAAAATACAGATTTATCAATAGAAGAGCTGGGCCAGAAATTGGCTGATGAAGTTACTGTGTATATAGAAGAATTTTTGACCTATAAGCCTATAGGGAAAATTAGCTTTATTGGTCATTCTTTGGGAGGTTTAATAATTAGAGCAGCTTTGCCTCTTTTGTCAAATTATACAAGCTATATGCATTTGTTTATGACCCTTTCGTGCCCTCACTTAGGCGTAATTGAAGGGAGCAATAGTGTTTTGAAAGCTGGGATGTGAATATTAAAAAAAGTAAAAAAATGCCCAAGCTTTAAAGAGCTCACATTTACAGATAAAGAAAATGTAAAAGATGGGCTGATTTATAAGCTTTCTGAAGGAGTAGGCTTAGATTGGTTTAGCCATGTGATTTTGATAAGTTCACCCCAAGATCATTATATCCCACACTATTCAGCAAGAATTGAGGCTCCTACAAGTTTGGAGCATTCAAAGATTTTGAGGAAAATGGCCAAAAGATTATTGGGCAAAAGAGAAAGAATTCATAGAATTGATGTACATTATAAAGTTGATGTAAAAACTTTTGATCAGTGGATTGGAAGAGCAGCTCATATTGAGTGTTTGGAAAATAATAAGTTCATGGATAGTCTTATATATTTACATCCTGAACTGTTTTGCTAAGGAATATAAAAATTTGTTTTTATCACTTTTATTTATTTTAATTAAATTCTAATAGTTAAAGGAAAATAAAATGGTATCGTCGACGGAAAATGGACTCCGGTACACATTCCTTATGGAGCAGGCAGGACCTGCCCTGATGAATCTGACAATAGTGCCGTGCCATTTTTTGAATTAGGACTTCGAGTTTAGGATGCATGCTGAAGTGGGAAGTCTTTTTTCTTCCTGAAGATTTCCTTGTACTGACCTAGGAAGCTAATCCTTAGGCTAGGTGGGTTTACGCAAGACAGGCAAGCTAACTTATGGCCTTATAATTTTAACTTTCTTTAATAGTTTAAAATTATCTTAATTTATGCATCGATGTGCAAAGTTTTGAAGAAGTTAAATATAAATTTTTGATTTTTAATTCAAAAATTATTGAATGATGGCTGTTTAATTAATTATAATTGATTTGTTTATAGTTAAATAACCAAAAAAATCTAATGATTTTTATTATAAAATAAAATTGGGCAAAATAAAGATTGAATTTATTTATAAAAATTTTTCGAGTAAATAATTTTTAGGCCTAACTGGATGATCTATTTGTTTGATAATCTAATTTCATATATTAAACTCACAAAAAAAAACTGATGAAAAATCAGTCAAGCAATAAGTAGCATTTTCCATTTTATTAAATATTATACATTCATTTAATTGCCCATAGAAAGAAGTCCAGAAATTTCAAATTAAAAACATCTTCTGAACTATTCTTTTTATCGAATTAAAGGCACTTAGCTCACATTTTATTTTGTACAGTTTGGTCTTCAAGCTTTTTCATAAATTTAAATTTCAAGCTATTTTTATTTTCCAAATAAAAAAGTCGATTCCCAAGGATTATATAATTATCATATTATTAAATATAAATTTGATTTTTTCTCTTTAATAGAGCAGCTAAAAACAATAATTTTTTATGAATATACATTGATTTATTTATAGGATTTAATTTTTAAAGGTATAAATAAAATAATTGAGCATTGCAATTGTTTCGTTGAAACATTTTATCGCTATTTAAGCCAATAACTTTAACAAAAATGTCAACCATTGATAGAAAACCGTGGACACCACAAGAAGACGACGCAATTCGCGAACTTGTAATCAACATGGGTATAAAAAAATGAAGCCAAGTGTCAGCCATGCTTCAATCAAAGTACAATATTCAAAACAAGACAGGAAAGCAGTGCCGGGAAAGATGGAATAATCACTTGAATCCAGCCATCAGCAAAGACCCTTGGTCTGATAAGGAGGACGAAATCATCGTCGACTTCCAAAAAAAATACGGAAATTGCTGGTCAGAAATGGCAAAAGTCCTTCCGGGTCGGACAGAAAATGCAATTAAAAATCGTTTTTATAGCAAACTTAGAAAGTGCTTAAGAAGCTACAATAAGAACCGTCCAAAAGGTATGAAAATCACTGCATCAATAAAGACGATCCTTAAGGACCAGTATACCGTTGAAATTCTTCTTTCCCATGGCGAAGGGCAAATTCAAAGTTGCTTAGCTGAGAAAACTGGACCAGATATTGAAAAAATGTCCAATAAAATTTCTCAAAAAATAGCAATACAACCGAAAAATCTGTCTAATAGTGAAAATTTAGAAGAAGTTAAAGAAGATACAGCCAGTAAAATAGTTGAGAAGAGCCAGTCTTCTCAAGCCGTCCAAATAGGGAATTATTACTCGTTCCCAAGCTCATACATTGTTACCCCAAATGCGCCTGACATGCTTTATATGAATTATCAGCAGCAAAACTGATATAATTATCAAAGGGCAATTTGGGCAAGCTACATAACCTCACCATCCATTAATCAATTATACAATACTTCTGGGCAGATCTAATGCTCAGGATTACTCTTAATCCTCCTATTTTAGGATGAACTGTTTTATTATTTATAAATTAGATATTTCTTTTCTTTAAAGTGAATAATTTGTATTAAGGTGAATTTTTTCTGAAAGAAATTTAATGAATCTTAATAAAATTTTGTGCTAAAAATAAAATAAATTAAAAGTTTTATTCTGGATTTTCTACTTTTTAAATAAGGAAATTAGAAATATACATCATAAGTATACTAATATTTTTTATATAACCTTTCTTTTAAATTCGCCAGCTATTTTGTAACAGCCTTAGGAAGAAGTTCAAACCCCTAGTGTACTCAATAATAGTCTAGAGTTTTGATCCTTCTTAAGTTAAGAATTTTCGAATAAAAGCAATTATATTTTGAATACTTTGAGAAGCTTTATACGATTTTTTTTTCTTGTTGTGAGAATAAAATTCAGCTTTCAATTTAAAAAGGATTAAGAACTCAGTTAACTAAATATATCTATCTCTTATAATGTTTAATCTATATGGCACATAGATTCTAATTACAAGTTCACATAAAAATTTGCCTTTCCTTGATTATTTTCAAATCATATTTATATGGGAGCTAGAAATATATAGTTAATATAATAAAGTTTTTGTAGTTTAAGAGATAGCAGTAATTTTTGAACTTTAGATGTTGTAAATAGAGCATTTTTAATTAAAAATTTTAGCTTTCTGTGCTATGAATTCTAAAAGTAATAGGAAAACGCATTTATCAAAATATGCGGCATAAAATTAATATTTATTATATTTGTAGAGTCTCAAAAACAGCTTTAAAGTAATTATTTTAATTATAAGAGAGTGCTGGCAATGTATTTCCTTTCATTATTTTCAAATCATATTGGTGCGCTAATTCTAGTTTTGAAAAAATTGGACAGCTGCTCTCATGTCTCGTAAAATTGCAGCAGCTCCAATGCCCAAATTTTCCTTCATATGTGCAGCCCCCTCCACAATTTCCACAACCGCAATGGCTTTCTGTGCAGATTTTATCTTTCGCGATTAATAAATAAATAAACTTCTCAAATGGCGTAATTCTTTTGCATCGAGCATGTCAAAAGCCTGTATGATCTGATTTGCACTCACTTTCCTTAATTTCACTTAAACAGCAAGTTCAATGTCCATTCATCCCTTCATAACCGCAATTTGTCCCTCCTTCTATTTTTCCACATGAGTTGCAAACACATTTAGTAGGGGTACAAATTTCAGAGCATGGGTTGTGCCACTCTCCGTGATGATCTCTTGGGTTTCCATATAGCATCTTTATTGCAGCTCTATCTCCTGCAGAAAACGTTGTTGCTCTACCAGCTATCTTTCTCAGTTCTTTATTCCTATCAAAAGATAACCCACACTCAGGATAGTGCATCAACGAAAAATAATCATATCCGCCAATTGGAATTCCTTTAACATCATAATCGAATCCCTCTTCTTCTACTTTTAAGTGCTCATCTCTATCATTTCTTTGATGTTCATGTATAAATCCTGCACAATGCATCATTTCATGTAAAATACACTCCTCTAGCACTTCTGATCCATCAGGGTAGAACTCTGGGAGACTTATTACTTGATCTTGAATATGCAAGCATCCAATATCAGCTTCAGGGTTTCCTCCACTATTATTTTGTATAGAAGTAACCCAATAAGATTGACTTGATGCCAGTTTGAATACACAATGAGGGAAATTCACTCTATTTCAATGGTTTATTGCTTTATATACCTTTTCAAGCAGTGCTTGAGATTCAAAAAATTCTATCTTGAAGAAAATTTCTCCATTCGGTCAGCATAGTCGATATATATCAGTTTAAATCATTGAAATCTTCTTCATTATTGCTTCCTTTAAAATTCGCCATGCAAGCCATCCCCACCCCCATAATAAGTCTATTAAATTATAATCTATTATATTATTCAAATAATTATTAAGAATAACTTAAAGAAAATTTCTCCGTTCGGTCAGCATAGTCGATATATGTCAGTTAGATCATTGAAACCTTCTTGATTATTGCTTCCTTTAAAATTCGCCATCATGCAAGCCCCTCCCATTCCTATAATAAGTCTTTTAAATTATAATCTATTATATTATTCAGATAATTATTAAGAATAGCTCAAGTTATTCAAAAATATCAAAATTTTAGCTTTATAATTAATTATTATTGATTCAAACTCATATTTATGCTTAAAGAGCCTAATCATATAAGATCGGATTTTCATATTTTCTGGTTAATTTTAAGTATTTATAAAGGAAACTTACTTATTATAAAAATGGTGAAAATTTTGTAATATAAAAAAGGCTATTTATTCAGAGCTCTGAGATATCAGTTTCCTTTATTGAATATATAAATGACCGAAATGCTAACTAAAAATAGGTATGGTTTATTTTTTAGTTATTTTTTTTTCGACTTTCGTCCATCAACTGGACGAATGTTCTTCCAATAGTTTCTCAATTTTAATCTCTATAAGAAACTTCCTTATTTTTTATTTGTTTCAACAGTCAGTTTTCTATGCTTAAACCTCATAATCTTCTCAGTTCTTTATTACCATCAAAAGATAATCTATACTCAGTAATGCATTAACGATAACGAAAAATAATCATATGCTCCAATTGAGATTGCTTTTATATCATGCAATAAATGTTCAGGCCCTGGCCTCTATTCAGAGATAAGCTATTGTTTCAGCCTGAAGCCAAGTAGCCAAGTAGCCAGAAGACCAGCAGAATAATACAGATTAAGCTAAGTTCAGAATAGAAACCTCATATCTTCCTAATAAATTTATGAAAAACGCTTAAATTGCAAGCTTAACCATAATAGTTAAAGAGTTCATCTAGCAATCAGAGAGAATTCTATAGCCTTGATGTTGAAGGTAGCGCTAGGCCTTTATTATATACTAAAATTTAATCCATCGCTTCATATCTATCGGGAAAGCTCCGGGAGACTTGTTACTTTGTCACCAATGGAAGGGGAGAGAGTTAGAAATATATAATTATAATAAAATTTATTTATATTTAAGAATATATCCCTTTTTATGAGCTTTAAATATTGAAAAAAATGATTTTTAAGTAAATTGTTTAGATTCTCTGTTAGAATAATAGGGAAAAAGCACTTATAAAAATATGAGGTATAAAATTAGTCTTTTTAATACAGTTTTAAAGTTGATTATTTTTAACTATATTAGAGTGTTGGTAATATATTTGCTTTCATTATTTTCAAATCATATTGGTGCGCTAATTGCTCTCATATCGCGTAAAATTGCAGCAGCTCCAATGTCCAAAATTTCCTTTATATGTGCAGCCCCCTCCGCAATTTCCACAACCACAATGGCTTTCTGTGCAGATTTTATCTTTCGCTAGCCATGAATAAATAAACTTCTTGATTGGCATAGGTCTTTGGCATCGAGCATGTCAAAAGCCTGTATGATCCGATTTACACTCACTTTCCTTAATTTCGCTTAGACAGCAAGTTCAATGTCCATTCATACCTTCATAACCGCAATTTGTCCCTCCTTCTATTTTTCCACATGAGTTGCAAGCACATTTAGTAAGCGTGCAATTTTCAGAGCAAGGGTTGTGCCACTCTTCGTGATGATCTCTTGGATTTCCATGTAGCAGCTTTATTGCAGCTCGATCTCCTGCAGAAAACGTTGTTGCTCTACCAGCTATCTTTCTCAGTTCTTTATTCCTATCAAAAGATAACCCACACTCAGGATAGTACATCAACGAAAAATAATCATATCCTCCAATTGGAATTCCTTTAGCATTATAGAAAAAAAAATCCTAAATGAAATTTTTCAATGAGATTAGGGAGGAGTTAATTGACGATCTGGAGAAATTACTTGAAAAAAGCAAGACTTTAAGGTTTAATAGTTATAATTAATTTTAGTTTTTTAACATCATAATCGAATCCCTCTTCTACGACTTTTAAGTGTTCATCTCTATCATTTCTTTGATGTTCATGCCTAAATCCAGCACAATGCATCATTTCATGTAAAATACACTCTTCTAGCACTTCTGATCCATCAGGGTAGAACTCTGGGAGACTTATTACTTGATCTTGAATATGCAAGCATCCAATATCAGCTTTAGGGCATCCTCCGCTTTTATCTTGAATAAAAGTAACCCAATAAGATTGATTTGATGCCAGTTTGAATACACAATGAGGGAAATTCACTCTATTTCAATGGTTTATTGCTTCATATACCTTTTCAAGCAGTGCTTGACTTTCAAAGATTTCTATCTTACACTCCACTCTGTGAGTTTAATAAAAACATTGAAAATTCCCTCTGTGAGCGAACTAAATTTTTTAATATAGAAATTTTGTATTGAAAATATTTTGATATATAAGGATAATTATTATAATGAAATCTCTAACTAATTCATTTTTTAACAGCTTGCATTTTAAATAAATTTTACAATTAAATTATATTTTCTTTAAAATTATTTCGAATTGTTTAAAATTTGAGCAAAAAAATTTCTATTATTTTATATATAATTTTTTTTAAAAATCACCTCCGTGAGAGCAAAATTTTTATTCTTGTTCATGAAATGGGGGAGTTGAAGAAAATTTCTCCGTTCGGTCAGCATAGTTGATATATGTTATTTAAATCATTGAAACCTTCTTCCTTATAGTTTCCTTGAAAATTTGCATAATTTGCATGGCAAGCCATCTTTCTCTTTCCCCTACCCCCATATAAAATCTTTTATAGGAAGCTCCCTAGAATCACCTGATGGGTCAGGCATTTGTAAGTGAAACTCTCCAGCTGGCTTGGTTAACTTAAGTGAGTTCAACTAGAGTTATCCTCTCCAATCGCCTGCCCTTACAGGCCAATTCTATGGAATTACCTATAATTATAATCTATTATATTATTCAGATAATTATTAAGAATAGCTCAAGTTATTCAAAGATTCCACTTTTATATCAAAATAATAACTTTATAATTAATTATTATTGATTCAAACTCATATTTATGCTTTAAAAGCCTAATCATATAAGATCGGTTTTTCATATTTTCTGATTTATTTAGAAAGTAAATTTACTTATTATAAAAATGTAGAAAATTGTTGAATATGAAAATGTTATTTATTCAAAGCCCTGAGATATCCTTTATTGATAATTTATATGACTGAAATTCTAACTAAAAATAGTTATAGTTTATTTATTTTTAGTTTTCGTCCATTAACTGGAAAAATGCTCTTCCAATAGTTTCCTAATTTAATAATCTCTATAACAAGATTCCTTATTTCTTTATTTGTTTCACCAATCAGTTTTCTGTGCTTAAAAACTACATAATCTTCTCAAATCTAAAGATACATAGAACTATTTCACTTAAATGCAATTGATAATAATCCTCCTTTCTTTTATAAATTTACTCTAATTCTCCATAAATATAACGTTTTTCAATTATATGAGCTTCATCCTCAATCTTGGACTAGCATCATCAATATTGTTCACCATTTTTTTGATCTTCCACCCTTTTCATGGGTAAACACACTCCTTCCTAATGTTTCTTAGCACTGCAATTTGTGTAATCCTGTTCAATCATTTCATCATCTGCACAGCCTTTATCTTTATCAACATACTTATCACTTCCAGCTCTTTGCCCTTTTTCATACTAGCATGAAAATAAATAAGACCTTCATTGTTCCTTCTGGTTTGAGGCTTACCATGTGAATCTCACCCAGATTTCCTCTTCAAATGCTTTGAGGACTTCATTTTCTCGATACTCTCATAATACTCAAAATCCACATAACCCTTGCAGTTTCCACGATCTTTATCGTTTTCATAATCTTCATAGCCTCCATAATTTTCATATTCCTCATGGCTGTCATAATCCCCACAATCTTCATAGTCTTCATAATTCATATAATTTTCATATCCTTCGTAATCTTCAAACTCTTCAGAAGAATAATCAAAAAGATATAGATCTTAGGAAGCGGAGGTTGCGCAGGCTGGATTTTGGCTTATATGGAGGAGTAGATCATTCTCCAAAAGGATTTATATGTTTTCAGTTGTGCCAAAGTTTGTTTCAACAAAAAATTTTAATAGGCATGATTTAAAATGATAAGTCCATACAACCGAACATTTGCTAGTTCGTCAAAAATTAACACCACTCTCCGAGAGCCAGAAGTAGACACTTTACAAAGGCAGTTAGATTCATTAACTATCAAACTTGAGCATGAGCGCCGACAGTCTTCATATCTAGACGAGCAGATTAGATTAGCAGAGCTCGATTTAAAAGGAAAAACTGATAAAGATAGCGCTGCAAAACAAAATCCAGGCAAATCCCTCCAGTTTAAGCTTCAAAAACTTGAACGAAAGCTTTGCCTTGAGCTTAATCAGTGCAACGATACTGCTAATGAGAACAATGAGCTTAAATTACAAATAGAAGAACACAGAAGAGATAAAATGCATTATAAGCGAAATTTAGATTCCCTTAAAGAAGATATGATTAGATACTCTATCAAGGCTAAGGTGCAGAATAAAGAAACAAGAAAAGGCTCTGAATCTGTAGATAGGCAAAGAGAAAAAATTCAAATGATGAGAAGCAGAAGTGTATTACTTAGAAATAAGTACGGAAATAGGGTAACTCAACTTCAAAGTGTATTGAGAGAAGAAAGAGCAAGCAGATTCAGATTTATCAAAGAAATCGAAAATTCTAACATTCAAAAAGCTAATTTAGGAATAGCTGACACAATTAATGGCTTATTAGCAAGATGAAAAAGAATTTGTAAAGGCAAGAAGAAGGCTTTGGATTTTTATATAAAAAATATTAAGGTACTAGAAAACGCGTTTGATCAAATTAGAGAAGCCACTGGGATGGCAAGAATTGAAGAAATTGTAACAGCTTTTATTAAAAGTGAAGATCAGAATTATGAATTGTGCTCATACATTAATAAGCTGAACTCAGAAATCGATTCGCTTGAAGAAGCTCTTAAAAGAAGCACTCAATTTATGACTTCTTATCAAGAGTCTAAAGATTCAAGAGATAATATAAATTAAATAAATATAGGATTATATCTATTGTTCTAAAAAAAAGCATATTAATCTAAAAAATGATAAAAAAGGAAATGATTACAAAAGTAATCTTGAAAATCGGTTTGCTCGTGTTAAGCGTAAAAATTCTCAAAAAATTTCACAACTCTTTGCTGTTCAGAATGGGACAAATGCAATCGGCCCTGTGATTTGAAAAATCCAAGTTCTTTGCAAGTCAACATCTTTAGATATCAGATTTCCAAGCTCACATAATTTTAATAATGAAGAATCGTTATCAGAGGATCATTTGGTTACTGCACTTGGGGAAATTGAAGAATATATAAATTACATTTTATTCTTAACTAAATAAAATTTGCTATTAATACCTTTATTATACTTAAAAATTAAAATTACTTATTAATTCAGCTTGCCGATAAGAAATCAGTTCAAAACTATATACTTCTTCAAAACCAAGACCAAGGCGAATTAAACACAACTTTGAAAACTATTCCTCTTGATATTTTAAATGAAAAAAGCTTTGAGAAAAAGCCTCCAGCTATTGATAACATCTTTTTAACTACCAGTGATCTTTACGATGAGCATACACTAGATGAATTCCACCATCCACTTACAACGAGTGATCTTCAGTTAAAAGCAAGAACTATTTATGACGCGTCTCTAACATTTGATACTTCAGCTAAAAAAACTGGCTTTAAATTCGATAATATATAAATAATTTTCATTTTATAATGAAAATAAGCCTTTATGCTTCTGCTGATTATAATAATTATTTTTAAAGTATTTAAATAATTAGCTAATTTTAGCATTTCTTTTATTTTGCAAAATCGGTGCGTACTTTTTTTGTGTGTTTCTACTTTTTAAAATCCTATGAGTTTCAAATATGTTACTATTAAGCCTCCTAGTAGGGGGTATAGGCTTCATTGAGATTCCTTTTTCAGCTAGAGTTAACTTTATATTTTGCATTTCTTTTTCTCATAATGCTGAGCTTCTGATTTTCAGCTTTCCTGTTCCTTTACAGTATCCAGTAACAGTATCTGAGTCTGTTTGCGCAAGCACAACATGCATATTCCCACATAATTCTTTGACTCCCCCTTTAATTTGAAAAAAAAAATATCGGTTTAAAATTTTGCCTTAGCCCACATAATTTAATGGAAAAATACAAGTAGAATATTATTTAACCAGTCTTCACACTAAATCGAGTAATTTTTTGAATTATTTCTTCTTAATTTTAAAAAATTATATTTTTTCATTCCTAAAATTTTTATATATAATCTATTTTAAATTGGAACAGAATTTTTTACCCCAATTTAAAGAAGGAGTAAGATCTTTTGAAGTGATACCCTTTGGTAACCCTTGCAATGAATACTCAGCAGTCTTTGGTTCATCTTTTGGTAAAGCCCCATACGATTGACTGCTCATTAACTCCCCCTTGGCTAGAGATCAAACTATTAGATATATCTCTATTAATAGAGCATGAAAATCAAATTTAATATAAATATATAATTTATAATTTTTATGTCGAGATTTCTCACAAATTGTATATATTTTAAATATTTAAGTCTAAAATTTTTAAATAAAATTAGGTTTTAAATGAATATTTAAAAATATAAGCTCCTTGGGTAGAGAGCACAAACATTCTTGCTTACAAGTCTAGCGAAGTAAACATTCATGAATTTGTGAAGAATTGTGGCGATCATGGGGATTAAAATCAGCAGGTGGCTTAGATTTAAGGTTTTCTACAGGTTTATTTGAATATTGTGTAGTTTCTCCTGTAATCGGATTGATTGGCATTTTATCGATTTCTCCAACAGAAAATGATCTTGAGTGACCTTTCCTTTGGACTTCAAAAATCCTCCCAAATAAATTCGAAGATAAAGGATTTTTCTTTTTCGCTTCATCGTTTTCACTAGCACATTCTTGTATTTTTGGGATATAGCCCGGCCTTGATTGAATCGTCCTAGGCTTCAAAGTGCCCAATCTATTGTGAGTTTGTGTAGGGCTGGAGCAACTCCACAAGTTGGCAAGTATCATTATAGGTTTCATTTGCCAACTGGTAGAGTTGGCTTGGCAAAATTGCAGAAATATGCTGCTCCACCAGTTCAAAAGGCATTTTGCAGCCCAGGGTGATCCAAATAAAGCCCTCTGCTATAGTCGTATTTTTTATTACAAAAAATATTTGAATCCAGCATTTCATATTTTCGTTTTTCAGGCTTAAATTCTAATTTTTCTTCTATATCTGGAGTACAGCTCATTGAATGCACTCTTCTATGTTTTGTCTCAGCAAAGATTTGAGATGCCATGTTGAAATCCCTTCGTTCTTTAGGGTTCATACTGCCAGTCTCTTGGCGATAAGAAAGATTATTTAGTTTGCTTTCACTTGAAGGCACCGAAAACGAGCCATTCACTCCATAAAATTCTTTGCTAAACCTAACCTGAGGAGACTCTTCTCTATATTTCGGTTCAAATTCTGTCTTTTTAGGTGTTTCTTGGTGTAATACAGGCTTCCTAAACGTCCTAGTAGAAACCGATCTAACGAATTTATTTGAATTAACAGCTTGCATCAAAGCTCCATCTAAAACCTGACTTTTCGCATAATCATAATGATGTCTTTGGCTTGGCTTGCTTGGCATTTCTTTATCAATGGTTTCGCTTTCTTTAGACCTATAATGATGTTTCTGACTGTTCAAAATTAACGATTGCTTTCCGTTAGCTTCATTTTCAATTGTCGACTCTTGAAGAGCATCATATGAATAAGACCTTCTATGTGCAGCATTAATCGGGGCATAATTATCTTTAAAAATTGTCGATTGAAGTCCTGCAAACTTCCGAGCTCTAGCTTCCATGTTTAATTAAATATCTTTTGCATTTAATAAACTTCAAAATCATTATTTATTATGTCTTCAATTTCTTCTTTTTTAGCACGAAAATACATTTCTCTCATGTTGGCGAACATTGAGCTTTGCTTGCGATGGCCAGTATTTAGAGAGCTGTTTGGGGAATTTTTCTTGTAGTAGGAAATTGAGTTGTTGAATTCACAGTATTTATTTGTGCGCTTCATTTCTTTTAATTTTTCTAAATCGGCTCATCCTTGATCGATTCTTTCGTCTGTGCTCAATCAAGAAAAGGAGTTCTAATGCTAAATTTTCTATATAGCGATTTGTGATAGAGTGATTAATATATTAAAAATATGTAAGAAATTGAATTGAAATTGCATGAATAAATAGGGCATCTCGGTCGAGTTATTGTCTCCGGCAATGTAGTCTCACCCTAGGAGATCCTGGGTGATTGCGCTAATAATATGGCCGCAGCTAACCTGCAATTAAAATTAAGCTCAAGCATTGGAATTGCATAGAAACAGTTATGTGGTATAATCTCTTAAGATCCATTATTTTAAATATAGATAGTTAGATTTAAGGTGGTAGAGAGTAGATTTCATTCTTAACAAGATGAAAATAGTTCGATCAAGGGGTATCGGAAATTTTCAATTATACCGCTCGATCAAGGATCGGAGAAGTAAAGGCTTTTCTTCATCAAGGAGTTTTTCTATTTTATTATCGAGCATCCTTTTATTGCGAGCTTCCATAGCTTCTTTGAGGTTTTTTTCGTAGTCGAGCTTTTCCTTTTCTGTGTAGGCTTTGTAACAGTTGTTGCAGACCATTACTCCTTCATAGAGTCTTGGATTAAGAAGCTCAGTTATGTTGTTTGTATCTTTTAATTTATCAATTAAAAGGCTTTTTCTAAGAATCATTTTTCCCTTTTCTTGCTTTTCTACTATTGATGCTACCTTTGTAGAATTCTCGCTGGTTCTTGAAAACTTTTTTCTGATTCCACAGTATTCTCCAGGGCAAAAAAACTTCGGGTTCTTTGAATACACAAAACTTGCTGACTCATTTTGTAGCTGGGTACATTTATAAGTAAAAATTTTTAAGAAATAAAATTTTTTATCTCTATCCTCAGAAAAGTCTAAAACTAGCTCAGAGAGTTTTAAATTTTCTTTAGCAAGAATTACTTTGTTTATATGCTCTCTTATTTCATGAAGCTGCCTTACTGCATCTGCATAGCTCTGATTCATTTTTATTTCGTAAATAATGGTTTTTTCTGGGATATCCGATTCAGTGCAGTACATATTTCTCAATTTATTGATATAATAATTAGATAAAGCTCTCTCATCAACCAGAATTTCTTCGTTTTTATATGCATCAAACTGTTTGCCATAGTTTAATTCATGATATAGTGCTTTTAAGGATAAGCCTGGATATGATTTTGATGAGCTTAAATATTCCTCAAAATCTTCTGCTATTTGGTGCTGGGTTTTCTGTTTCCTTAAGACTGCGAAGGAGGAGTTTGACATATTTTCTGTATCCATACCTGAATAATCAGTTTCATTTTTGCTAACACTTCTAGCTAGTCTTAGTGGTGATTTTTTATTTAAATCTTCAGAGTAAGTCGCACTTCGAAAAGTGTCGTCAAATGAACCCATTTCTACTAGTTTACCCATTAAGCCTTTTTCTTTACTCCCCCCCCCCCTCCGTGAGCGAACAAAAAAATTTTGTTCGCTCACGGAGGGGGGTTAATTGTTTTTTTTAAAAAAAATTTATATATAAATTTTATAAAAAAATATTTTTTTCGAAATTTAAAAAAAATCCTAATTTGCAAAAATTGGGAAGCAAATATTAATTTAATTTGCAAAATTTATGTTTTAAAACGCAATTTGTTTTAAAAATTAAACAGAATTAGCTCTAGATTTCATTATACTAATTATCACTTATATATCAAAATTTTTTTCCATTAAAATTTTTTCTATTAAAAAAATTTTTGTTCACTCACGGAGGGTGGGTTTTTGGTCAAAAAATGGCGATTTTTCTAATGGTTTTGTTCGCTCACGGAGGGGGGGGGAGTTAGCAAAAAATTTATCGAGGGGCATTAAGTAAGAGTCCTGAAGAGATTTTTTAATTAAAACTGGGCTATGTCTTGATGATTTTTCAGGAGTTCTGATCACTTGAATTTCAATTTTTTCTGAATTTGATGGCTCTTTTGTATCTTCATACTTTTTTTGAACTATTTTTGTGTGATTTGTAAGAGGAATTCCTTCTCTTCCATATCTCTTATACGCCTCTTTTGGGCTGCACACATAATAAACGCTATCCAATGCATTATATTCCTTTTTCCCATCTAACCTATCTTTATTAGTAATTGTAAAAATTTTTAACTCTTTTAAACTCCACATGATCCTTATCTTAAAAGCTTTCCTCCCTTTCGGCAAAATATATCTCTGTATAACTGCTTCATGTTTATATGCATCTTTTAGTTCATATTTAATTTCATTTGCCTTCATAAAGATCCTATCATAATGACTGTCAGGAGTTTTCATTATCGCAAGAGGACTAATTAGGTTAGATTTTCTATGGGCTTCAAATATTCTAATAATAGTATATATCTGTGAGGCTACCAAAGAGGTCTTGATTTTTAAACTCCCATCAAAATCAGTATAAATTAGCATGACTTAAAATTGCGCATTCGCTGCAAGGACTTTTTTAGCTTATTTTTAAAACTATTTTTTAAGGATATCTATTCGATATATTTTGGTTATTTTTGTTTTATTTTTTAGACCATTATTTTGGCCTGATTATTTTGGTTATTTTTTAGCTATTTGTTTAATTGTTTTTGACCTATTTTTCAATAATTCATTATGAATTATTTTGAGGTTTTTTTTACATAATTTTTTGGATAAAACAATAGGCAAAAGATTTCAAAAAAATAGCCAATAAATATTGATCAAAAAAAGGCTAATTTGTGCAGTGTAGTCATTCCGCTAGAAACAATAAATTAAGCTAGGAGATTCAAATCCATATCCAAAAATCAATGTATCTGGAACGTTGATATTCAAACGGCAGTGCTCTAAAAGTACTGATAGTGTTTTGAAGCTAAAAACTCCAGATTGTATTACAGACCGTGGAGAAATATCAGCCGATTTGGAATATTTCTGAATTAAATTTCTTTCTCTAATTCGTTGCACTTCTAAGCCTGATTTAGGCTTGGAAAGCCAAATTTTCTGGGCAGACTGTGAAAAGCTTTTACGGGACCTTGGGACTGATCTTTTGAGATTTTTGCCCTCCTCTAATAAATCTAAATTTGTGTAGGTTTTATTGGGTATTGCTTTTAGAGATAATTGAAGTTTTAAATTCGAGTCTGAAGAAGGAAGACGAGCACGCCTCTTCATTTGAGCTGACTTCAGCAAAGATAAATGTGCTGTAATTTTTGAAAAATGTGATTCTGCCATTATATCTTCTACTTATAGCATATATTAGAGATAATTTTTAGTTATATACTAAGGCTTTTTAGCTTGTCTAGGAGATCTTCTAGCTTGCAGTGATGGAGTTGAAGTGGTTGTAGATTTTGAAGGAATTTTTGCGGTGGCTGCATTTGGCGAAGTTGTCGTGATAGTTGAAGAAGGGAATTTTTGAGCGTCTTTAGTTGCGAATTCCTTTGCATAGTCATCATAAAATGTTCTTAGACGGAAGGTTTTTCTATTCACATCTCTCACATCATTTGCGGCATTTAGCAAGCTCATGTAGTCAATTAAATTGAAAAGCTCCTTATCATTTTTATCCTCATGCCAAGAAATAATTGGGATCCCATTATCTACCTGGAATCCAAACGAATAAGCTGCGTTATCTATAATCACCATATCCTGCAATCTTCTATTCGCAAAAATCCTCAGATCTTTGACATAAATCCCGTCAATAAGTAGACAGGATTCTCTATATAGTCTATGGTGTATCAAATCTCTATAAGGGTCAAGATAATCAAGAACCATATCAGCATAGCATTTATGACTAGCTGTGAACACAACCACTTCAAATAATTTATTCGCCTCCGTCAAGCACTCTTTCGCAAAAGGTCTGATATTAATCCCTGCATTAATTAAGTCTCCTGTCGGATAAAGCACGGGCAAAACTACGTCACAGGCACTGAGGTTTTCAGTGCAATGCACCAAGGTTTCATCTAAATCGAATATAATTGTTTTTTTGTTTTCCCATCCTACTCTTTTTGGAAGAGTAACTCTTCTATCTCTTAATTGGACTGGGTCGGGGTTGGTAAGGGTTCTCACAAACTTCATGGCTTGGAATGTCTGAAATAGATGCTCTTTGTATAGGATCTCTGATTGATATTTATGCTCTTCGCTGGAATCTGGCTGGGATAAAGTTGGACGTTTTACTCTGGTGACGATGCTGTCAAGGTCTATTGCTTTTTTTGGTGAAGCTGATTCTGGCACTTCTACTGACTTGCTCAATGGTCTTGGAAGTGCTCTTGTGCTCTTGCTTTTGCCTTTTGCTGACAAAGAGCTGGAATGAGGCTGAATTTGATAACTCACTGGGCTTTTGAGAGCTTCTTTTGTCTCAACCTTTGGGGTATTAGACGTGATTGGGGTTGGGATTGAATTAGCGGATTCTTTTGGCTTTGCGGGCTCTACTGCACTTTTTGGGCGAGCTGCTGGGGTCGCAGGTTTTGCACCTTTGTTTGGAGACATTGAGGATAATAGGTTTTGGAAATTTTTGAGGGTAAGTGCTTTACTCCCCCCCCCCTCCGTGAGTGAACAAAAAAATTTTGTTCACTCACGGAGGGGGTTAATTTTTTTTTCGAAATTTAAAAAAAATTCTAATTTGCAAAAATTGGGAAGCAGATATTAATTTAATTTTATAAAATTTATGTTTTAAAACGCAATTTGTTTAAAATTAAACAGAATTAGCTCTAGATTTCATTATACTAATTATCACTTATATATCAAAATTTTTTTCCATAAAAAAATTTTTCTATTAACAAAATTTTGTTCACTCACGGAGGGTGGGTTTTTGGGCAAAAAATAGCGATTTTTCTAATGGTTTTGTTCACTCACGGAGGGGGGGGAGTTAGGAGAGTTTTTCTCAAACTTAGGAGGGGCTGGGGCAGGTTTTTGCCCTTTTGCACCTTCTGAAACCTCAATAGTCAATTTTTGAAGCTTAGACACAGACTTGGAAGAGATAACTTTGGGATTCTTGGGTGAGGTTGACATTTATCAATGATTTTTTATTGCTTTCGAATTAGTGCAAGAAAATTATTTTAATTCATATAAGAGCCTTAAAAGTCCGATAATAATTCTGAAAAAGAAAATTATAATTCCATTTGTCTATGTGAATAAAATATCTGTAAAATAAATTGATTTTTTTGCATTATTTTTTTTTCATACAAAACTATTGTCAGATTTTAGTATTTCTCAAAATCTTAAAGGATTAACTATTGGGTAATAAAATATTGGCTCAAAATCTTTCAGTTTGGATCTCTTAAAACTAAATCTATGCTGTTTAATTCGATTTTCAGTTAATTATTTTTTTATCTAATTAGGATTCATTAATGTTGTAAATATCATTGCAGGTCTTTGTCTGCTTATAAGATTATTAAGATTATCATAATTTATATTAATTTTTTGATATACTCTGGCTTCTCTGTGTGTGTCTTATATTATCTTAGATTAATTTTTTTTTAAAAATTTTTTAATATTTGCTTGAAATTTGAGACAAATGACAAAATTATCAGTGATATATAAACATTAATTATCTATTGCTTCTTTCTTAAAAACAAATAACTATAAATTTAGATAATAATTCTAATCAAATATGAGCAAAAGGTTACAAACTCGTACAATAAATTTTCCTAGATTATAGCAATTGCCCAAGGATGGCGCTATCTTGCGCCATCCTCGGGCAATTCAAAAATGGCCCCACACCGGGAATCGAACCCACGTGTGGGACATATTTGGTGTGTGGCCAACATCGACTTACACGCACCAAAAATGGCCCCACACGTGGGTTCGATTCCCAGTGTGGGCCATTTTTTGAATTGCCCGAGGATGGTGCAAGATAGCGCCATCCTCGGGCAATTCCTATAGCTGATTACGAAGCACTATCAGCCTGCACATCTCCACCTACAAGATCTTCAATTTCATCAGGTGGCCACGATTCTCCAGATCTTGACGATGTATTTTTCAAGACTGCGTCCCCTAAAGCCTTGAATTTACAAATTCCTCTTCGAAAACATAATACCCCATCTCCAAAAAGTATATCCTCTCCTAAGCAGATTGGCTTAATGAGAGCATATCAAGCATATTTTTCAAAACCGAAAAAGAATAAAATTAAAGAAACCCCAAAGCAAAGTAATGTCACAAATGAGCTGGCCTCAGCAATGCAAGAAAAATTCGAATTAGAAGTGCAGGTCGCAAGACTTAGATTTGAGCTGCAAAAAGGAAACTTGGAAAATAAAAAATTAAAAGAAAAAGAGAAAACAATTGAAAGTTTGAATAAACATCTGAATGAACTGATGGAAGAAAACAAAATATTGAAAGAAAAGAAAAATAAAGTGAAAAAGAGAGTAAATATAGAAGATTTAGGCAGGATTACTAGGAGTATGGAAGAATTCAAAAAGAAATTCATGAGCTTTCTTAATAACTATAGCTAATTGTACATGAATTGCACATGTTATAATAAAAATTCTTGAAAATAAGCCAGGGTCGCTGAAGAAAACGTTGAGTTGGTATTGTGTTCTAAATTGCTATAAATCATGCTTTCTGATTCACTTCCAAAAGAAATATTATATTTCTTCATAATGCTTCCAGTTTCTAAGCCTCTGCTCCGCAACTCTTGAAGCATCATAATGATTTTTGACTCTCTTAATTTATAGTGACTTACATCCCATTTGATTTCTTTTATTTTTTTGTTTTTTTCGTGAAGCTCTTCAATAAGCTTATACTGTGGGCTTTCTTTGCATTTACCAAAAGCTTCCATTGTTTTAACATTTTTTAATTTAAGTTCTTCAAATTTTGTTTTCAAAATTGTGTTTTCTTTTATTAAATCTTCGATTTTTTCATTTAAAACTATTTTTTCATTAATCAGAGAAACAACTTGCTTTGCTTTACCGTCATATTTTTTTTTCCATTTATTTGATTCTATTTCGCTAGTTCCCCCCTCCGTGAGCGACCAAAAAATTTTTTTCTCTCAAGAAAAGGGGATAATTTTTTTTTTCGAAATTAAAAAAAATCCCAATTTGCAAAAAGTAAAAAGCAAATATTGATTTAATTTGTAAAATTTATGTTTTAAAATGCAAGCTGTTTAAAATTAACAGAATTAGCTAGAGATTTCGTTATACTAATATAACCTATATATGCCAATTATTTTTTCATAAAAAATTTTTGTTTGTTGAAAGTTTTGTTCGCTTACGGAGGTGACGGGAGTAAGAGCATCATGGAGAGTATATTGTATGACTCTGAGGAAATCTGAAATCCCAGAAGGTAGCTTCATTATCTCTTCTAAGATCTCTATTTGAAATCTTATTCTTTTGCTGGTGTTTTCATTATTTTCGGAATTACAGAAATTTCTAACCTTATCATCAATGAGCAAAAATTCTTTGTTGTAGCTGGAGTTGATGGCTTCAGAAGCACTATTTATATGAGCTTTCGAACTTGCTGCCACTGAGCTAAACGATAATTTTTGTGATAGATTTTGGACTCTAGGTAATTTTTCTACACTTGATGATCGGCGTCCTGCTGCATGTTTAAGACTTAGTGAGAATGCGGGGTTTTTTATAGGTGTCGTTGGGCCGCTGAAAGGAGATGCTAAAGATGACTGCGGTTCTGAACAGTTAATAAATCTTCTGGGTTGTTTTTTTAATGACATTTTATATATTATCGTAAAGAATCATGTTTTTTATTTTTTATGTCTATAAAGCTCTCTTAAAATATCCTTTATGCAAAACCAGTTTATAAAGAGTTATAATTTTACCATATTAGTAGTCTCAAAATGAAATGAATGGTACTAACTTCCCCCTTCCGTGAGTGAACAAAACCATTGGAAAAATCTCTATTTTTTGCCTAAAAACTCACCCTCCGTGAGTGAAACAAAAATTTTTTTAATAGAAAAATTTTGATATATAAGTGATAATTAGTATAATGAAATTTCGAGTTAATTCTGTTTAATTTTAAACAAATTGCGTATTAAAACATAAATTTTATAAATTAAATTAATTTTGCTTTCCAATTTTTGCAAATTAGGATTTTTTTAAAATTTCGAAAAAATAATTTTCTATAAAATTTTTATATATAAATTTTTAAAAAAAAAAAAATTAACCCCCCTCCGTGAGTGAACAAAATTTTTTTGTTCACTCACGGAGGGGGGAGTAAGGCTGCCATTTTATGTTGTATATAGCCTTAATATAATTAAAATATGGCGTCTCAACTTGGCTTGGCCTCTAGCGAGAAACCAGGAGTTTCGCCCTGGGCTACAAGTTTTACCCTTTTGCCGAAAGTCGGCCAGAAATTCCATTTTTTGAAATTTCTGTGCAGGCAACCTAACTTTCCGACTACGGGGCGTATGTGCAGCCCATATCCGTAGGAGCAAAGCTTTGAAAGCCGTGAGACGGTTGCTGGCGAGCAGGCGAGTGGAGCATTATGGAAGGGAATAAGGATCTGCGGGTCCTGACAGGGAGCTTTTCGATAATCTTAATTAACATTAACATTAACATATAGCCTTAATATTAATTAGGATAATTATATTTCCAAAAATGTCTTAAAGCATCAACTTTTCTTTGATATTTTTTTATTTTTAGATAATAAAAACCAGTAACTAAATCAGCATTTAAATTAAGCATTAAATATAGTTTAGCCCAAATTTTATTTGGTTTAAAAATCAAAATTCAATTTAAATGTAAAACCTTTGAGTTTTCTCATTATTATATTTATGCTTTGCGTCTGTACCTTTGACCTCTTCTTTGGCCTCTTTTTTCCCCTCTATCCCCTTTGCCTCCTCTTTCGCTTTTTTCAACTTTCTCAGCTTTATTTTGCTTCTTTCTGCTTTTAACTTCCACAAATTCGTCTTGATCACTTCCGGGCTTTTTTTTGACTTCCTCCACTTTCTTTTCTTCTTCTCTCTCAGGCACATAGCTTTTTTCAATTTCTTCCGATTTTTCTTCTTTTATTTCCACATGTTCTTCCACAATTTCCTCTTTCTTTTCCTCAACCACTGTTTCCTGCACTTCCTCTACCTTTTCTTCCACAATTTCTTCAGGCTCTTCTCTAATTTCTGCAGCTTCTCCCCAATCTTTTTCGTCTTTGACTTCCCAGTTTCCATTCCAAGCTGGCCCAGTTTCCAGCGTTAACTCAGGTTTTTGAACAGGAGTTTCTGGTCTTACGTGGTTTATAAAGGTCCTGAGGATATTATTGACGAATTCATTCAAACTAAAGTAGGTGCTTTTGGATCCTTCAAGATAAGCCTGGGATCGGGTGAGATATTTTTCCATATCACAATTAAAAATGGAATGTATGAGTTAGGGGTCTCGTCTCCTATACTTGTCCTAGTGAGGGAAGTTCAACCTTTCTGAAGGAAATTAGCGTTTGGGACTGCTCCGGCAGCCCCAAGCGTGCTTGAATCGCATTCAAGACATGAAGAGAGACTCGTCCCGGCCATAGGCAACTGTAACGGTTCGACGGTTAGGCCGATTCCACCTACCGTTGTTCAGAGCTGTTAGCCAGTGGATGGAATTCATGAAGGAAGAGCTTGTTTAGATTGATCCTAAGCTAAGTGGGGGTCTACAAGAGTTATCGTAATCTTAATCTTAATCTTAATTTTTCCATATGTGTAATGGTCGCTATCAAAATATCTTCAAACTTCGCTCCAGGAGTCCCAGAAACTTCTTTAGCGATTCGTTCCAGCCCTTCCGCCATATCTTTTTCTTCTGGATCAAGGCTTGCGTAGATGTCTGGATGTGTCAAAAATTCGCAGACCGCCCACAAATTTACAACTTCTGGGCTCAAGTCAATTTCCTGAGGTTTTTCTGGCTCCACTGGCTTGGTAGTGGGAGGTGTGACGCTAGGCAAACTGGCCATCGCTCTTTCAACTTCAAGAATTGAGTTTTCCACTTGAGATTGCTGTTTTAGAACGTCTGGGGAAAGTTTTTTTCCAGATGAAGCTGAGTCCTTTTTCTTTTGCTCGAATTTTTCGGCTTTTTTCTTGAGGTTACGAAGGCGTTTTTGAAGGATTCTCAGGAATGAATCTGATTCACTCTCCATTTATTCTTAGAAATGATTGTGAACTAAAAAGAGATATTGCATGAACTAAAAAAATTGGGGTTTTCAGGAAGTTAGCGAATAGTTTTAGAATTTTTAAGGGTTTTGGGGTTCATGGGGAAGAAATGGGTAGATTTTCGATATTTAATTATGAAACAGGAGAAAGAAAAATAGAGGCCGTTTGGTCTAGTGGTATGATTCTCGCTTAGGGTGCGAGAGGTCCCGGGTTCAATTCCCGGAACGGCCCTTTTTAACCCTAGCAAGATAATTTTATCTCTCTGGGTAGTTTTAGGTTGTATAATAATAAGCTGCATCTTGAAATTTAGCAAAAGAGCAGCATAAGCTGCTTTCTATACAATAGATAAAATAAAACAATATGGTAGCCATTATCTAATCAATTTTTAGCTCACCTTATTATTTATTATCAACAAAAGCCTTATTTAGAAAAATCAAACGTACAGTTATCTGATTAAATATTATTGTTGCCAGCTTCAAGCTTAGTTTGGAGTATTCAGCATCCCTTTGACCTCTTTGAGCATCTCCTCAAGCTTTTCTGCTTTCTGCTTTAATGTGTTTAAATAATTGATTTTTGCTTCTGGAGTCAGTGAGCTTGCATCATTTTCTAAGTCTTTTTGGAATTCCGTAATACTTTTACCAAGCAAAGTATTATTGCTGTGTTCGCAAAACAAAAAGCTGTCTGTGTTAGGAATCTGTTCATAATCTTGAACAACGATCTGATAGCTGCTTGCCTTGCTCTCTCTTGCCTTTTTTGCAGCCATATTAAATCTATTTTGATCACTAAACGAGGCGTTTTTCTTGATAACTCCATAGAAACGATTCTTTACAGCGTCTGCGGCTCGGCCTGGTATTAATTTTGCAATTGTTTTCCAGTCTAAAGCGTACTGAAAATATAGATCAACGAGCAGTTTATCTTCATCTGCAGTCCATCTTTTAGACTTTGATTTCCGGATCCTTCTGCATCTGGCTTGCTTCTCGCTCATTGGGCTTGGCGGGGATTCCAAGTAGGTGTCCTTGTATTGGTTTAGGGAGAGGATAATTAAATATCTCGTTTCAGCGCTTCGCGGTCGGCTTCACTTTTTTTGAGCACATATTTAATTATATCTAACAAGTTTTTCCCTACCCAGAAGCAATTCTGATAATGGGCAGAGCCAGCCCTAGTCCGCTTTCAGATTGGATATTGCTTCGACGGAAAAGGAAGATTCAGATGGGGAAAGGTGAAGCCAAGAAGCGTAAAAATTCAATTTTTAGACTATTTGGGCAACTTTTTATGGTGAAACTGTTAGTTGCACCCCAGTTCCTTTTTGTCAATAGTTGGCTAGAAATTCCATTTTCGGGATTTTTGTATAGACAGCCTTCGTTCAACCCAAGCAGCATGCTACAGAAGTCCATAGCCTTTCCACTCAGCACTGGAGCCAGCAAGAGAGAGAGGAGACGAAGAATTAGAGTCTACTTCACAGGTGCCTTGGTGTCAAGTGGTGAAGAAGAGGAAAGGTGATGCAAGAGCTGTAAGTATCCCGGTGAGTCATCTAACTCGAAGAAGTCTCCATTCCGATGTCGCAAAGAGGGTGAATCCCCTTTAGGGATCCTTGGTAACCTCGTAAACAAAGGGAGCAGCCAAGCCTGAAAAAAATTTAAGTTTAAGTTTAAGGTTAGGGGAAAGACTTTGAAGGTTTGAGCTGCTAAAGTATAACATAAAACTTGGGTCGTCAAAATCTTGTTGGTCATCTGAAAAATCTGTTGAGGTTGTGTCTGCACTGGGACTTTGTGACCCCGTTGAGTATAAAAGATCAAAATTTGTAGCCAAAGAGGAATTTTCCAAATTTTCCACGGTGCTAAATTTAAATTTTTGTTGAGTACTCTCCATATTTATTATTTATATTTCTAATTAGCATTAAAAATTAGCATTTATGAGGGATAAAAATTTAAACTCAATATCAAATTAATTAAGCAATTGAGATTTTACTAACTCTCCCTTGTATGCGAACAAAAAAAATTTGGTTGCTCTCGCTAATTTTATTTTTATAAATTTCATATTAAAATGTTTTGTTTCTTTAAAATATTCCAATTTCGCCATTTTTGAAAAACAATTTTTTTTTGTTGAAATAAAGCTGTTTTAATTCTAATAGAATTAGCTAGAGATTTCATTATACTAATTATCATTTATATATCAAATTGCTTAAAAATTTTTTTTGTTCACTCTTGGAGGGTGAGTTTTTGGTCAAAAAATAGGGATTTTTCCATGATTTTGTTCACTAAAAGATAGGGGCTGGAATAAGCTATAAAAATTTTACTCTGTCAAGGGCTTGCTGTATTATGAATTTGCAGGTACATTTTTAAAAAAAAATTATTTACGGAAAAGACTGAATTTAAAATTATATTTTGGCACAAATTTGAATTTTTTACCTGGAAGAAGATTTGTTTTAGTGTCAGTATTATTTAATAATAAATCAGATTATGAAAATTAAGAAAAATAATATTTCATAAGGAGGAATTTTATTGACTTAAAAATGTACTAATATCTATTTCGAAACGGATTCACTATCTATGAGTTCAAATATCAGGAGCTGAAGCAATTTTTATTAAAAAACATTATTATTAATTTTGTTTATCTCCTGGAAAATTTCTTAACATATCTCTGACTTGTTTAATTTGTTCTTCAAGCTTTTCCGCACTCTTTTTTAGAGTATCCAAATATACAACTTTTGCCTCTGAGCTTATTTTGTTTCCATTTTTTTGCAAGCCGTTTTTCAATTCGTTTAGACTTTTATCCAAAATCGTGCTGTTTTTTTCAAGCACTTCAAGCTTCTCAGTGCCAGTTTCATCACTAATACTAGGAAGAGCTGAGCAATCGCTATTTGCCCTATTTTCTCTAGCTTTTTGGACAACCATGTTTAAGTTTTTTTGATCACTTCATGATGCATTTTTCTTAATAACTCCGTAAAACCGATTTTTTACAGCGTCTGCTGCTCGGCCAGGTATAAATTGTGCAATAGTTTTCCAGTCTAGAGCGTATTGGAAATAAAGCTCAATTAGGAGCTTATCTTCGTCTGCAGTTCATCTGCTTGATTTAGACTTTAAAATCCGTTTACGTCTGATTTGTTTACTTTTATTTGAATTTGATATCTCTTTGCAAACATTAATTGGGTTTAATTTTGAAAAATCACCATTTAGCTTGATATCACTAAAATAAAGCATATAACTGGGATCTTCAAGATATTCTGGGTCTTCTGTAGACATCGCTTCCTGATAAGGACTCTCAGGATCTTTTCCATTATGTGTGTTGAAATTAGAAATTTTTGGGAAAAGGTCGGAAGATGAGTCAGATACAAGTAAAATTTCTTGAGGCGAATTTTCCATATAGGCTTATAAAGCTAAAATATTTTTAGCAGTATCCATTTTTATTAACTGAATTGAAATGCTTGCCTACAATGGTATACAGTAAGGATAAATTAAAGCCCGTGATTACTTGAATTTTATATACCACCTGAAATATTTTAGATCATTATTGATTATCCATTTTTAATTTTAAAAATTAATTTGGACTTGGCAGCTTTTTTGAAAAGTCAAATAAAATGACAAATCTCCATTTATAGTTTTAAGATGTCTTAGACTGTATAAGGCAGATGCCCTAGACCATATTTTTTCTGGTCGGTATTCTGCTGGGGTATACGGTCTATTATGGTGTGCAAATTATATTTCTTTATTATTATAGAATTTTGAGGAATTAAACTACCAACTTTTAAATAAGCAGCCTAACATTTTGCTAATTACCTATTTTTAATAAGTTAGCTATATATTAATTGCATGATTGATTATCCATAAAATTAGGCTCACAAAAAGAAAATTCCACATAAATTAATCTAAATAAATAAAATGGCTTAAGGCTTATAGCTATCAAGTCCAAGCTGGGTTCTCTGAGTTAAATACACGCTTTGGACTTGATTACACATTTTTATGACATCTGAATCTGGCTTATTATAAAGTCTACAATTTTCAAAAACCAAATCGAGATCTTTAATAAACTCTTCTCCTGACTTGTAAACATTATTATTGAGTTTCTTCTTTATTGTTCCAAAATCCATAGGCCGCTTCACAATATCAAAATAGTCAAGGATGTTTAACTTCACTGGATCTACAGGCTCATGGAAAATCCATGCATGATTAGCTCTCCACAAATTTGCGATCAGCTTTTTCCCTGGTTTTTCCCATGGTTTTATTTTGTCAATGGAATCTTGGTCCATTCTGTCAAGCTCTTCCAAGGTTTCTGGATTTTTCCAATACTTCGCAATATCAGGATGGTCTTCTTCAAACTTCATCAGCTCTTCTTGAGAAATTGGCCTTTCCTCCCCTTTTTCGTCAACAATCATGAGCTGGCACTTCAATTTTTTGCCTCCTTTTCTCTTTTCTTCCTTTTTTTTCGTTTCGTCTGGTTCTTTCTTTTTCCCTCCTTTATCAAGAGCTCCTTTACTTATCAAATAATCAATCATGATTTTTATGTTTGATTTTTTAGCCCAGGTTAAAGGAGTGTTCCTTGACTTGTCCTGATGGTTAATATTAGCTCCATTTTCAACCAATGCTTGTGTAGCTTCAAATTTTCCTTCACGGCAAGAATAGAAAATTGGCGTTTGTCCTAAATTATCGACCAGATTTACATCTGCTCCTCGAGCTATTAAAGTTGTAACTGTTGAAGTATGGCCTTCTCTTGAAGCGTAATAGAGAGGTGATTGGCCATATGCGTCTCTTGCATTGGGATCTGCTCCAGCGTTAATAAGCATTTCGACTTGGACATCATGGCCATGCCGGGAGGCATAGAATAGGACAGATTGCTGAAGTGCGTCTTTATAGTTTGCATCTGCACCTTCTCTAACTTTCCATCATATATAAATCAGACAAAAATAAGCAAATAGCATTACTTTTAATAAAAACAAAATATTTTTTAATGTGAATTTTAATATTTATTAAGGAAAGATGTAAGTAAAAGTTCAGTAATTTGATTTCCAATATCAATATTTTGATGCTGAGCACTATAATAAAGACAAGTATGGCGAGATTGAGAGTTGTCAGTAAGGCTAAGGAGGAATTTTTTGGGATAATTTTGAAGTTCATTTGAGACCTCTTCAAAGCTACCTGTTTTTATAAGCTCGAACCAACGAGCCTTATCATACTCAGAGCTCATTTTATTATTATAGCCATTTTAGTTTCAAATAAAATTATACTTACTCCCCCTATTAATGAGCAAAAAAATCTCTTTTCAATTTAAAGGGGGTGAATTTTTTTTTATCAAATTTTTATAAAAATTAAAAATATAAGTTGAATACAATATTTCGAATTTTTCATTTGTTTTTATATAAATTAATTCAAAAATAAATCTATTCAAGCGTGAAAACTCTTTATGTGGTATTTTACTTGCACTTTTTTACTTAATTAGGTCAGTACTAATTTTATAAAAATTAATATTTTTATCTAAAATTTTTATTATTAAAAAAAATTGTACCAATTTAAAGTACCCAAAAAATGGAAATTTACTGATATATTTTGTTCCAGTTTAAAAAGGGGAGGAGAGTTAACTTTATAAAGGTTAATCCTCATCAGATAAGGTCGTCAATTTTAACAAAATAAATGCTTAAAAATTATTCATACTAAAGCGGCGCTTTAGATGTCCAATTATTTTGATTAAAAACATTTGCATTATTTTACAAAGTACTTGAGAAGAATGGATACTATAAGTAAAAGCTGATCAAAATATATATTTTTCTTTATATCTTAATTTATTTTTTGCGAATGATGTTTAATTATTGAAACTCAAGCATAATTGCTGTGAAATTTATTAAATATGGCTTGAAATTCTTATGGCAAAATTCCGATGGTCTCATCCCTATATCGAATTGAATCAACAGCTCAAATTTTACAAGAAAATTCGTCTATTTTTTATTCTAAAATAATTCTTTTAAAACTTTTCTCTTTATAATGATTCCATTTTAGCAGTTTTTCCTCCCATCTATTAGCTTTAGAACATATTATCTATTCAAAAAACAATTTTTTATATTTCTCAATTCCTTTTAATAATCAAAATCTTTCATCCACATTCAAATTACTAAATCAGCAACATCTGATCAAAAATAAACGAACTATAAATTTTAAAGTAAGTTAAAAATAATGGGATCTGACACGTCCAAACCAACCAACATGAAAGGGGATTTATATATCTCTCTAGAAGATAAAAATGTAATTGCAGGAGACTATGTCCGTGGGAACGTTCATGCTCATCTTAAAGATTCCGTTGCAAGCCCAAAGCTCATTGTCTTTTTCCGAGGAAAAGAAGTTGTAGAATTTCTCACAGAGCACCAAGAAAGCAATGGCGATCATGGTGCGATTACTTATCAGATAGACCACAGTGGCAAACAGCTTATCAAAAAAGGCAAAGCCATTATATTCAATAAGCCAAATATGACAGTTCCTTCTGGGAATTATTGTGTTCCTTTTAGATTCAGACTATATGAAGACCTTCCGCCAAGCTTCAGTTCAGCAGTTTTCACTAAAGGTGTTGCTAAGCTTGAGTATAAAATCGGTGCCTTGCTCGATGTCCAGGGTATCGAAATAATGAAATTCAAGAAGCCAATTAACGTTATGTCTAATTATTTTCCTATTCTCCCGGAGCTCTATCCTCGACAGATTAGTCATGAAGTTCATGGTTACAACAATACATTATGATGCATCAACAATGAGAAAGCCTCGTTAAAAGTGTGAATTGAAAAGGCAACTTTTGGGCTAGATGAGTCCATTGACCTCTTTGTAGAAGTAGATCTTAAAAACTTTTCTTCAGATATCAGAAGAGTAGAGGTCGAAATCAATAAAGTTACAACTGTGACCGCAAATAAGAAAAATTGTATTACGAAAACTCAGTCAAAAAGTCTGTGAAAAGATACATTTAAGACAGAAATTTTGGCAAGATCGGGGACTCAAAACAGGAAATTCAGCATTCCGGTAGCTGCAATACTGAGAAATGATCGAACGTATACTATGAAGTCATGCTTAATTAAATGTCAATATATTGCAAGGGTTAGGATGCATACTGATTATAAGCTTTTCAGATGCACTGGATTCCCAGCAATCGAACAAGGGATCGTTATTTTACCATTTAAAGCAAATGGAATGCCCGAGCCTTCTACTTCAGCGAAGCTTGACAGCTCTATATCTCCATTGATAAGCCAAGCTTCAACTGCTGATGAGGCATAATTACAGTTTGTCTTAAATAAGACTTTTGAAATAGCTTGTAATCTAAATTCATTTGCTAAAAACCTAATTTTTTCATTTTAAACGAAATAAATAAAAAGCCATGCAAAAAATAGGATGGGTCTTCCTCTTAATATAGCACACCCTTCGTGGTTGCTCGCCATTAAGTACCCCCTCCCCATGTAACCCACCCTTTGACGGTCCTGAAAATTTTAAATTGTAAATTATTATTATTTGACAAATCCCCCTCAGATATTTAAACTTGTCAAATTAATATTTAGCATGCTAAAATATTTGGGATTGTTAGGGGGTGGGTGGCATTGGGAGGGGATACTCCAGGCTGATCCAAAAAGGGGTGTAAGCTATACTTATAGCAATCTTTGTATATACACCTTACTATATTCCACAGAATCAATTGACAGTTCATAGGGGCTCTGCAAGACTTACGAGAATGAAGCTTCCTAAAAGTGCTTATGGCTTTTCGCTTCAATACCTTGATATATCGAAATCAAGAGGAGAAGCAACTGTTCCATTTCTATTTATTCATGGGCATAGAGGAAGTGTGAAACAAGCAATTAGCATGAATCAATTTTTCTCAAATAAAGGACTAAGTATTGATATGTACTCTGTAGATTTTAAAGAAGGTGCAGTAGGGGTATCAGATTCTTTGCTGAGAGAGGAGGCAGATTTTATTAAATTATCCTTGATTGAGATTGCAAATATACTATACGCCCTTCCTATAGATGGCGCGCAATACGCCATCATCGGGCCATGTCGGGAGAGGGGTTCTCCACGAGGAATAGTTCCACGTTTGGAACCCTCTTTTTCCACGAGCCAAAAAGAGGGTTCCACACGTGGAACCATTCCTCTTGGAGAACCCTCTCCCGACATGGCCCGATGATGGCGCATTGCGCGCCATCTATAGGAAGGGCGTATATAAAGATTAAGCTCAAGAAAATAAAGAGACTATTTTTAAGATCATTGCTTGTTTTTATAAGATAAAATTTACATAATTTTTTTTTTATTTGTATAGCTTATCTATTATAATATAAATATCCAAACAAAAAAATTGGCTTAATTGCTCACTCAATGGGAGGGATTGCAGTTAGTCTTGCTCTTTCATTACCTGATGCTCCAGTCGACAAAATTTTAACATTAATTTCATTGAGCACCCCTTTCGAAGTTCACCCATTAAACCTTTACATCGACTCTGCACTTATTTACAAACAAATTCACGATTTCTGAAGAGACCCCAAAAACAGCCACATTTTTGTTCTTTCTGTATCAGGTGGAGTGAGAGATACAATGGTTCCTCCTCAATTAACAAATATTGAAGTTTACAAGCCAACTAATTCTTTGCACATATATTCAACACAAATTGAAGGTTTACATAAAGAAATGGACCATTTTGCTACTGTATGGGCACTTGAATTTTTTTCAAGACTTACAAAAGTAATAAAACACATTATTAATAATAAACCTGAAGATGTGAAAACTGTAGTAAAAAATTCATGGACCAACAGAATGAGTAGAATGATTAATTACGAGCAGAAATGGAAAGAAATTAATAAAAACATTACAATAGAGAGCGATCCTATAGAACAGGATGATGGAAAGATAAGGGTAGAAGGCTATAAGCATTATAACCTGCCAAATAATAATGGTGATGGGCTATTAATTGTTGTCTGCTCCGTACCTATTGTGCTTTATAAAGAAACTAGGAGTGTTTTGGAATTGGAAACTGCAAGTCTTGTTTTCGAGGAAGAGTATTATTATAAAATTAATGTTAAAGCTGGAGACTCTTATCTTTATATGCCAACTGATGATTCATATGTGCTTTTTCAATTTATTTCAGCAATTTCAAATAATTATAGTTTCATGCCTGCAGCTTTATTTGGTATCCATAATAAAATTGAAGGAAAAACGACTTTAGCAACCCATATACACCCTGGAAAAGAATTTTCTCAGTCAAGATATGCAATTCGTATTAAAATTCATAGTGGTGGTCAAATAAAAGGAGCTTTAGCAAGCTGCGCGCATGAAGAATTAGTAAAATTCAACGAGACTGACTTCACTCTTTATTTTCATGAGTACTGTGAAAATGGTCCTGATATTTGGATTTTTGGGTATGATAGGGAATTTAATTACACATTAGAATTTAAAATTGACATTGCGGCATCCTTGATTCTATTAGCAAGAGACCTTAAAACTCATGTAGTGTCAGCATTTGTATTTTTTGAGTTATTTGTAATTATTGAAAATTTATACAGGATAAATAGGTATTATTTTTTGGGGGTTTTTGGTGCTTGTCTTTATTTTGGGGATCAGTTTTTTAGAGTGAATGGGCTGCTTGGATATGATGAAGTTCGTGATGTAGGTTTAAAGCTGGGGATAATTGATATTTTATTTATTCATGCAATGGGATTAGGATTATTTGCGTTTTTCAGAGGCTTATTTAGTGTCTTAAAATACATCAGCCATATGCTATTTGTAAGAATACCAAAACAGCTTCTCTTGTATAGCTTTTTAATTAGTCCATTGATTTACTACTATCCATGGCCAGTCATGTCACTTTTTGCTCTTATAAGCTTAGAAATCTGCTATTTCAAGCCAAAATTCTATGTAGAAATGCTTTTTTTCTCTTTCACGTTATTTAATTTTACAATTTTTAAACAAGTAGGCTGGTACATTGTAATACAAGATTACGGAATAATTGAAAAGATTTCTATATGAGATGCCTTTAATATTATTTCCTATTTATTTTTGGTGTTTATTCTTGCTTTTTCGCAGAGGATACCTAACATAAAATACGATCTTTTATTTATCGCATTTTATATTGGCTGCTGTGCTCAAGATATTTTATATCGCATTAATGTCATTTTAGGCTTTTCTTGCATTTGGCTAGGATTTAGGATTATTTTCGCTAAAAAAGACAAAATAAAAGAATAAAATTTAAAAACAATTTATTTTTATAATGCTAAACAATTAATTATTTTCTATTAATAATGTCAAGCACATGTCTCTCCATTATTTTATTCACATCAGCCTCTGTTTTTTTCTTCATAAAATTCATTTGAAGATCTCTATTCTTAGGAACTATAGCTGCTTTTTCTCTCGGCCTTTGTGGCTCTTTTGGGGCAGGCTTTATAGGCAGTTTATTATTTTGATTATTTGTCTTCGGCATAGTAATCCTAGACTGCACTTCGCTTCAGCTTTTGCACTCATAGAACATATTTCTTTCTTTAAACGACTCAATTAGCTTTTGCCACAGCTCATTTCTTTGCAAGCACTCTGCCTTCCCCACAATCCATAACCCAAACTTCGCTCTTGTAATAGCGACATTCATTCTTCTATAATCTGACAAGAAGCCAACAGTATTCCCAGATCTCACTGCTGAGAAAATTATCAAATCTTTTTCTCGGCCTTGAAACCCATCTACAGTATTAACTTCAATGTCAGATTTTCAATCACTTTCATATCTTTTATATAGCAACTCTCGTATAAGTTTAGCCTGCTTTTTATAAGGAGTGATAATCCCTATATTGAGTTTCATTCTGTGTATGCAGGAAAAATGGTTATAAATTCCCATGATAAATTCTGCTTCGTTAATATTTTGTATACTTGTGTCATCATAAGTTCTGGACTCAAAAGATGTTTTTAGATCAAAGAAAATTACTTCTTGGGCAGGCATCCAGTAAGGTTTTTCACGATTGTCTAGCTCTTCTGCAACTTGAAGTCTGCCTTCATAGAAATAAAGTGATGGAAAGCAGCAAATTTCTTTGGTCATTCTGTATTGGATTTCAAGCATAATTACTTCTGCGCCACCTTGCATAAGCCTTTCAAAAAGAGATCTATTGTAGAGAACATTTTGAGAATTTTGGCAAAATGTAGTGGCTGGAAGCTGACGAGGATCTCCCACCAATACAGCGTGCCTTGCTTTGTATTGCAGAGGAATTAGAGTGCTTAATTCTATGCTTTGGCAAGCCTCATCTATCAGCACATAGTCAAAATCATGAGGAACTGCTTGAATCTCTTTAGATCCAGCCCCACTTAGTGTGCAAAATATTATGTCAGATTTACATAAAATGTCCAATTCTTGAGCTTTTCTTCGATCTCTATATTTATCTCTGTTATGCTTAATTCTATACATATTGCTTGTTAATGTATTTTTTTCTACAGTAAATTTTTCTTTTTCCTTTATGTTTATTTTTTTTGATAGTCAATTAATGTTCCTTTCAACATTATTTAGTTTTTTTTTAATTTCATTTAACTCTTCTTGTTGATCAATTAGCCCTTCTTTTTTGAGCCTTCCGGAGACTAAATTGCCTAGCATGATACTTTGAACAGATTTTGGTGGCTCTCTTGCATCATTAGGATTTTTCTGTCGAAGCTCAAGGTGCTGAGAATTAAAATTCCCAATGCGGACAAATGATAGGTCATCCCTTTTATTCCCTGCTTCGTTGAACAGACCTTGCTCTATTGCTCGACAAGCCAGCTCATCAATGGCTGCATTACTTGGTGCGCATACTAACTCACCCCTCCTTCCATAGGCAAACAAAACTATTGGAAAATCCCTATTTTAGCCCAAAAAACCATCCGTGGGATAGCAAATTTATTTTATAAATATTTTGATATATAAATAATAATTATTATATGAAATCCTAGCTAATTCTGCTTAATTTCAATCAGCTTGCGTTTTTAAAGATAGATTTTACAAATTAAATTGATTTTAGCTTTACAATTTTCGCGACTTTGGATTTATTATATTTCGAAAAAAAGCAATATGCTAAAAAAATAATATAATTTTTTTGAAAAAAAATTAACCCGTCCATGAGAGAGCAAAATTTTTTGCTCGCATACGAAGGGGGATTAGGAGACGTGGCTTTTCACCCGAATTAATTTTTGATAGTAAAAATGATGACATAATGCCTAGTAGTGTTTGAGTTTTTCCAGTCCCTGGAGGCCCTTGCAAAAGTGTAATGCCAGTTGTTTTACTGCAGATCTTTTGAATGGCATCATATTGAGATGCATTATAAATTCTTTCAATATTTCTAAAATAATTTACTGGAGCACAAGGAATGCTGATCAAGCTTTTTTTTGCAGGATTCATTATAAATTCATTAAGGTCCAGAAATTCTGCAAGCTTTATCATCCTGAACTCTCTTATTAATGTTGACAGAGAATCTACGTAAATTACATTGAAAGGTTTTGAGAACTCAATATCTTCTAATTTTTTTAAATTTGCTTTTATCATCCAGCTGCTATTAGAATTTTCCCGTTCACATACTCCAAAAAAATATATAGGTTTCAGGTTTAGGAGTTCACTCCACCCCTTTTAAATTGGAACAAAAATTCTTGTTCCAATTTAATAACTCCCCCCCCCCCCTCCGTGAGCGAACAAAAAAATTTTGTTCGCTCACGGAGGGGGGTTAATTTTTTTTTTTAAAAAAAATTTTTATATATAAATTTTATAAAAAATATTTTTTTCGAAATTTAAAAAAATCCTAATTTGCAAAAATTGGGAAGCAAATATTAATTTAATTTGCAAAATTTATGTTTTAAAACGCAATTTGTTTAAAATTAAACAGAATTAGCTCTAGATTTCATTATACTAATTATCACTTATATATCAAAATTTTTTTCCATTAAAATTTTTTCTATTAAAAAAATTTTTGTTCACTCACGGAGGGTGGGTTTTTGGTCAAAAAATGGCGATTTTTCTAATGGTTTTGTTCGCTCACGGAGGGGGGGGGGGGGAGTAAGGATTAAAGTACCCAAAAAATGGAAATTTTGCCGAACCTTTGTTCTAATTTAATTGGGGAAGTCAGCAAAAGAGGCTGGAATATTATTGGTTTCTTGTAAAGAAAAAACGAGCACTAAATCGTCTTGCTTACTCTCCCGCTTTAAATTGACCCAAAACAACATTTTAATTATTTAAAATATTTAATTTAAAATTTTCATAGGAAAAACTTTGCTTATTTTAAAATTTTTACGAAATATTTTGATTAAAGTGTATTTTGTTAAATAGTATTCTACTTATCCTCCATCCTTTAAAATACAGCGTATGATACGTAAATTCTCGGTTTAGTAATATTAAATAAGTTATTAAGATATATATTAAAATGGCGTGGCGTAACTCCTATAGCTGACATTCCACAGGGCATTCGGGGACCTTGAGGAAGGAAAATGGCGTTCGCAAATGCATCTGGCTGGATTTTACTCTGCTTGATGAAGCGCAATATTTGGCTAGCCGACTTCAAGTTTCACTTCAAAACGAAGGTTTTTTGCCTTAGAGGGAAATGGAGCCGAAAGTGGTTTCCAACAGAACCATTGATATGTTTCCTGGTCAATCAGGACTGTTTCCCAGTATGAGCACCTGTGCTTCAGGTTTCATTTTTTCAAAAGTCTAGCAGAAAATCCAATTATATTGAATTTTTCATAGTGGGGAAAAAATTTGTTGATGTGTGAGCAGCAACAAAATCACCCAGCAAATAATGTAAGGCCTTGCACGAACTAACGAGCAAGCGGGGAGCGTAGGTGGCGGAGATAGCCATTCTGGAATTATAGTGGGCATTTAGATAAGTATAATTAAGATTAAGATGAGTTATTAAAGCTTTTAAATTACGAATAATCCAATTTGAAGCGGGGCTTAATTTACTCAAAATTTGAAGTTTAATAATAATTTGCTCATATTTAAAAAGGTGAAGAGCTAAGAGAATGGTAAAAGGAAAACTCTCCTCCTCTTTTTTCTTCTCCTGGAGCTATAAATCCATAGTCTCCTTGATCGCTATGAGGGATAAGTTCTAGCAGAGAGCTTGAAGAAAAATTCGCCTGGCTTAAAGCACAGAAAACAAGGGCTCTAAGCTCGTCAAAAAATGCAGGAAAAAAAGATTCCTTATAGAATTTCCCATTTTTAAATTCTAGAGGAATTTGTTTGTTAGCTAAAAACCTGCCTTCTAAATTTTGGAGGTCAAGACTTAGTGCAAAGCTATAAAATTCTTCAATAGAAAATCGATTGCAAAATCTTAAACTTTTTTCATTTGCTTCTAACTGAGATTGAATTCATTCTTCTGATAAACTCTCAGACATGTGTTTTGTTTCCTCTTGAAGTTCTTTTTCTTGATATCCTTTATTTCTGGTTTTTTCTTTTTGTTGTTTTTCTCTTTCCTTTTTGTCTGTTTCTTGTTTCATGAAATCATTGAGCTTTAGCATCAGTTTTTGTTTTTTAATAATTTTATCATTTTCTTCTTTTTCTTTTCTTTCTCTTTTGGTTGGGATTTCAGGTTCTTGAGATTTAGTCGTAAGATTATTTTGTTTCCACCTTAGCAGCTCGTTAACGCACATCCCAAAAATTTATTAAAATATCCATATTCAAGTATTGGAAAGAAAATCTAAGTTAATTTATAGAATTTATGCTTAAGAATGCAAGCTATATAATATTAACTAAAGATTTCGCTATAATCTAAATTAGTTTATAAATTGTACGCTCTTAAGGATGAAGTAAGCGCATTTTCTTCAGATGTTTTCTTATATGCAAGTCAAAATGGATATTGAGGTTTTTTAATTCCTATATCAAGATGGGGATTAGACCTTGGCAAAATATGTGATTTGTGCTCTACTTGAGATGTAGGCTCAGAGTATTTCTTTGGATATGGAGCTGGAGGAGGCTCATACCAATCATCAAGTGACACATCACCCTCATTGTCATTATGCAATTCTTTGAGTCTCTCTGAAATTGTGTTAAGAAAAGAAGTAGATTTTATAGTAATTTTAGGGCTTGAAGTAATTGCATTTTCAGTTGGCTTTAAGTATGATTTAGTTGATACTTTAGGATTTGGACTCTCAGTGAGATCAATAAATTTTTTGGTGAGGGGATCTGATCTTAAATCTTCTGTTAGGTCTACAAAATAGAAATATTTTAGTTACGGAAATGATAGCTCGACCAGCCAAGAATTGCCTTTTATTAAGTTAATTTTTCTCCTCAGATGAGTTTTTCCATAGCTGACAAAGAGCATTTCCTTAAGCCAAGTTCTGCCATCAGATCAACTGACCTTTGGTTCCTTATTAAGATGACTGGTGAGATGAAGGATTGTGGGACGAAGACTGAGCATTTATGCTGCACAAGTCTCTGCAGGAAAATAAATTGACAGAGAGATAGATCCTCTGAGGTAAGATGGAAGCAAGCCCACAGCTCATCAGACTTCATGGATGAGATGCAATTGATTGTTCGAAAGTCTTTATTAAAGAGCTCATAAGAGCTTCAACAATGCGAAAGCATTGTTATAATTAAAGAAAGATTGTTCGAAGTCAAATTGAAGGCAGGTGTTTTGATGAAAATAAGGGCTTGAGATGTGAAGATAAGCCCCTTTCATTGCTAGCAGTGGGTAATAACGGCCTTAAGGCAAACTCGGTGAGCTTTAACTCATGGTCTTATGATCTCTAAATAAATTTGGTTCGTTTAGGTCTACAACACAAGAATTTTTCATTTTGAAGATTATGATGCAATAGCTAAATGGGGGATTTTAGAAAATTTATTTAATAAATTAATTAATATTAATTTCAATTTAATAGTAAAAAAGCTTACTCCCGTACTTTGTGAACAAACAAAAAAATTTGTTCGCTCACGGAAGGGATTCAAAATTTAAAATATTGAAAAGTAAAATTAATTTAATTTGCATAATTTATGTTTTAAAATGCAAGTGGTTTAAAATTAACAGAATTAGTTTGAGATTTGATTATAATAATTATTTTATATATAATCAACACTATTTTTATAAAAAAATTTGGCTTGCTCAAGGAGGGTTGCTTCTACTCAAAAGATAGGGATTTTTCAATGGTTTTGTTTGCTCAAAAGAGGGGAACTAGCTGGAATTAAACATAAATATGTATATCAAACGCGCCAAAAGGCAAAAAAATATGCAGTGGAAACTTTAGCTTTTTATATTGGGCTCGACTTGAGCTGTTTGTCAAAAATAATATAATAAAAGAATTAACCTTGGCCATAAGATAAAAATAATAGAGAAATAAGCTTATGCAATACAATTAAATAGGAAGATCTGGGAAGATAGTTCCCTTACTCTACTCATGAAGGGAATCCTTGACTCTTCTGAGAGTCTGGATCAACAGAGACACTATCCAGTGGCGATGGATAGTGGGAAAAGAGTATTTTTTGAAGCTGGGAGTGAAAGAAGTTTTAACGGTCAAATTACTGTAGATCCGTTGCTCAGAGAGGAAGTCTTATCTCACGTAAAAGGCTTGAGAAAACAGGAGATAAGATTTTTTAGTTATTTTACTAACCAACTAGCTTATGAAAATATAATCAAAATTATTTGAAGATATATAGGAATTAAAAGCATGAAAAGCAGATCAGCTATCTGTTAAGATTTTAGATGCATATTTAAAGAGAATAGGAATGAAAGTAAACAAGAAATGATAAAAGTAGATTAAAAAATTTATCTATTTGGGAAACATCATGGTAAGTAGCTATGAAGCTGTACTTAACCTTTCATATAAAGTCTGAGCTCTTTCTGAAATTCTAAAAGGCTAGTTTGCATATTGTCAGAGTATTGCTAAAAGGTGCAGGATAAGCATATTAAATAAAAAACTAGAAGCTTTCTTTTTTCAATATTCAATTTTATTTATTATGACTAAAAATATACGATGCGCAATTAATAATGAAAGGACAGAGAGCATCAAATTTAAAGCAAGCAATATATGATAAGAAATTAATATATTTTATAGGTAAAAAATGAAAAATAATAATTTATGTATAAATTATATAGGAAGCAAATCGATGAAAATAAGCATTAGAGGTAATAAATAATAAATTCTGTATGCTTTCTTAAAATTCTATAATAAATTAATCTCATTATTTTCTTGCGAAAAAATGATCCAAAGTCAACCCTTTATTCGCTTTTTTATTTTTACTTCCAAAATCCAGTGAGATTGATTTTCTTTTTTCTCCATCCTCCCCATTGCAGCTTGATATATGAATATTCATCCTATATTCACTCATGGTATATCACTCCCCACAGTTAGGGCATTGCAATCTCATCAACTTAACTCCGCTTGGTTTAGGCTCTTCATTCTCCATTTTATCAGGTTTTATTGAAGTATGTAGAAAAGAATTCACAAACTCTTCTTTTGATGTTTTTTGCTGAGGCTCAGAGATTGATCTATTATTTTGGCTTTTTCTTTTCTGCCTTCCATAACTTAAATTATTTGCTTTTAAACCTAATAATCTGATTTGGCCAATTGGTGATAGCAACTCCAGCTGTTTTAAAGCTAGCTTTGTTATATCCTCAAGCTTATGAATAAATTTTTTTGATGTTTCAGATCTATTTATAACTTCATAATTCAAGGTTTTTATAGTCACTGTAAGGTTTTTGCATTCAGCGTCTTTTTCTTCTAATTCTTTTGCTATTGTTTCACAAAAGGATTTTAATTTTTCTTCAATTTCTTGTAAATTGCCAGTAGGTGGGAATGTCCTAGAAATGCTGACGCTTTTGTGCTCTTCCGATGCAGACTGAGGATGATGAGTTGGTCCTAACCCTAAAGCAGATTTTAATAAAAATACAAGAGAAGTTTCATTGAAAACAAAGCTGATTTCTAGCTTTTTCTTTAAAATATCTTGGCATTTTTTAACTCCAAGCTCATTTAATAGCTTCTCTAGCACTTTTCCACATCCAGGGACTTTTCTGACATTTTGTTTTTCAATAAAATCTATAATAGCTGCTTTTTCTGGCTGCAAATAAAATTGTCCATTAGGCTTGTTTATTTCTGTAGCCATTTTTGCAAGTAGTTTATTACTTGCGATTCCTGCCGATGCTGTAAGCTGAGTGCTGGTGAAAATTTTTTCACGAATTTCGTTCGCAAGAGCTTGTCTGCCTTCATGAGTATCTAGCCCTCTATCTTTAAGCACAGGAGTTACCCATAAGCTCGCTTCATCTAGCCCAAGACTTTCAAAACTTTGGTCATATTCTTTAAAAATTTCTCGAATTTTTTCACCTTCACAATGATATTTGCTAAAATTCGGAGGAACAAATATAAGATCTGGGCACAATCGTTGGCCAATAAAGCCTGGCATAGCACTTCTTACACCAAATCGTCTTGCAATATAATTTGCTGTAGTAATCATTTGGTAATCACCTACAGCTATAGGCTTATCAGCTAGCTCAGGGTTATCCCTTATTTCTACAGATGCATAAAACATATCCATATCAATATGGATCCAAGTTTCTGATAATTCCCTTTCTTTTTCATAGTCTCTGAGCTTTTGATCTATTTCATCTGAACGTACTTTGATGTATCTCGGACCTTTTGCGATATTTTTCTGGATTTCGTTTTTCATTGAGTTTGCTTTCTTTTTGATTTGGTCAATTTTATGCTGCTCATGCTTGAAATAATCAGTATTTTTGGAAGCTTCGTAAATGATTCTGTCGATTTTGTCACGATTTATACCTTTCATGCCAGCTTTTTCATTGGTGAAATTACAAATGAGATCATATTTGCTGCTAGGAGGATCATCGTTATCCATTTATGAATGCCCCTAAAATTTTATTAATATTTGAGGAAATTTTTAGAAAAAATGTTAAGATGTTATCAAAAAAAAATTATTAGTGGAGTATGAGGAAGATGGGTAGTGCCTTTAAATTTAATAAATGTTTTAAGGTATTATTTTAAAATGATAGAAAATGCGCTATTATTTGGAATACTCATCTGTGGAATATACCCATCATTATTGTCAGCAATTTATGTCTCAGTTGCTTTTGCATATTTCTTTGATGTTGCATTTCTAAAAAAGAACAAACACAAAATTTATATGGGTATTAAATATAGGAAATTCCCGATGATGGCGCTCAATGTGCCATCATCGGCAACGTGTTTTAAGGGTACACGCTGGTAATAGGTTCCACATGTGGAGCCCTTTTTGACACGTGGAGAATCCTCACTTTCACGTGCCAAAAGGGCTCCACACGTGGAACCCATTTCCAGTGTGGACCCTGAACTTTAGTTGCCCGATAATGGCGCTCAATGCACCATCATCGGGCAACTTGTATAATTAATTAAATGGCTTTGAAATTTTAATTCAATGTTTATTATTTTATTTGTTTAATTTTTCAACAATATTTTCGCACACTTCTGTTTATTCGAATTAGGCTTTATCCATCAAATTTGATTTTTTATTTTTCTAAAGCACCAATTTATAAAGGTCTAATTGGATACTCTTTTATAGTGATTATATGGAAATTTTTGGCAATAATAATTTTCTATTCTGATAAGAATTCAGAATTATTTAAGGGAAATGATGAATTATTAAAAGTTTTTGGAATTTTTTTATCAAACCATGCATATTTCGACTCTGATGCAGCTTTAACTATATTTCCAGATCTATCAGTTCTGCTTGCCACAATATTTTTAGTTAAATACACAAAGAAATACGATTTATGAGTTAAAAAGAAAATTCTAGATTTGCATGACAAGCAAGAGACTAGTGAAGAGTTAGGAGTTCTTACTGATTCCCCAATGGAAAGGAAAAAAATATATACTCTTTTTTATAACCGAAAAACACTGCTTTGTGGTCTGGTGTACTATCATAGGAGCTGCCTTTATGGACTACTGCAACAATTTGTGTATTTTCTTCCAGATATTAAAGAATCATAGACTTTTAAGGATAATAAATGCTGTTTAGCCTAGTGCACCATACCACCCAAACAGTGTTTTTCGGCTATATTTAAAAGTATATCATTTTTTTGAAAAATTATAGCTTATTTAAACTATTTATTGGAACTGTTTAGCGTTTGAATAACTTTTCTAATACTTTTTTTGATTATGCTCTTATCTGACTTAAACTTTATCAACTTTGGCAGATTTTTTATTATTTGCTACTTTTTATCATATTTAATGATTAAAATGCAGAAAACTATAAATAATTCATTGAGGCAAGTTTTTGTAAAGTGAAAATTCCTCACAATTTATAGCTTTTCAACATTTGCCATTAGGTATCTCTATCAATTTTGTGGATATTTTTATGATATTAATAATGATATTACTGGCATTATAGGATTAGCATCCTTTAGTGTTGACTCATTTTATAAAATTATGATATGTGAATGCATTATTTTATGCACACTATTATTTTTTTCAAATAATTATCAAAAAATTTCTATGCATGAAGATGAACTAACTCGCTCTCTCTTTGGTTATCAAACAAACTGTTAGATAAATCCTTATTTTTTGCATATTAAATTAAAACACTTTTACTTGCCAAAAATTCTTTATTTTTTAAACCTGAAAAAAATTATTGGTTAAATGATTAATAAAACAATTTAACCTTTGGCTATCGTGATGAAATTTTTGCTCAGTGACGAAGGGAAGGTAAGCCCTATTTATTCTTGAATTAAATCTATAGAAGTAAAAGAGGTAAATTTGGTAAAATTATTTGCTTCTTTAGGTAAGCATTTCAATTTACTGCTCTTTTTGGTAATTTTTCTTATTTCAATTTTCAGAAGGCTTTCGATATCAATGCTGGTCTATTTATTTTTTATTGGAAGATATTGTATGAAAATATGCTATGAGTATTGCAAAAATATAGAAAATGAAATAGAAAAAGATTACAGTAAAGATTTACTTATAAGGTTAAAACTATGACTTCAGCTATTTTATTTGACCATAATCTGCATTTTGATATCATATTTAAGTTTTATTATAAATTTCACAGATTTTGGAGAAGGTTTTCTTGAATATGCACAGTGATTTTATTTTTTATTTGGCTTTAGTGTGGCTCCTGATGATGATCTTTTGATATGCCGATTGCAGATGAATGATATCTATATAAAGCATAAAAATACTTGAAATTATTTATAATGTTTCTCTTCAAATACCATCGCAAATACAGTCAAATTATATAGCTCAAAATTATGAGTATATTTGCATTTTGATTTCATTAATTATAGAAAAATTATGTATTGAAGCCCTGCAAAATAATGAATCTAGAAGTGCACTTCATAGTGAATCTTACTGAAAACTGTTATCTCTTCTAAAACTTTTCGCTGACTCCCCCCTTTAAATTGGAACTAAAAATTTTTTCCAATTTAAAGGGGGGTTAAGAAAATGTTTTAAAAAAAAAATCATTATAAAATTTTTTATAAAAAAAAAAACAATTATATAAAATTTAAAACAAAAAAAATTTCAAAAAATTTATCGAATTAGATTTATAAATTTTGTTTAATAAAATGCTATTTACTCTTTATCCTTCAAAATAAAGCAAGATATAACTAAAATATTATTATTAATTAATACGCCACTATTAATTGGCATCAAAACTATATTTACACAAAAATTATTATTTTTATTGATAAAAAAAAATTAAAAAAAAAAAATTTAGAAAATTTATCGGTCAAAGTGCTAATTTTGTTTAAATAAGATGTTATTTATACTCTATTCTTTGAAATAAAGCAAGAGATAAGTAAATTTTGAATTTTTGTAAAGAATTCGTATTGAATTTATATCAAAGCTATTTAAATAAAAAATATCATTTTTATCAAAAAAAATAAAATTTTTTTCGAAAATATTTTAAAAAAAAAAAATTAAATTTTTTAAAAATTTACAATTAAGGATAATAAATTTATTCAAATAAAATGCTTTTTATACTCTATTCTATAAACAAGAGCAGGATAAAACTAAATTTTTAATTTTAGTTAAGAAGAAACATTGAAATTATATCAAAACTTTTTACATATAAAAATTATGATTTATATATATAAAATTTTTTATTATAAAATTAAATTTTGTTCCAATTTAAAGGGCGGTTAATTTACCAAAAAAGTGGAAATTTTACCTATATTTTGTTCCAATTTAAAAGGGGGGGGAGTGAGGCGATCGTACCAGCAATGCTATTAACAATAGCTTTTGCTAGGATTACTTTTATAAGTATTATTTATGTTTTCACAGTGATTTATATGATATTTTCAGCTACTCCAGATATACGAGCTAAAATTTCCAATAAAGTAGTTGTTTTTATGATATGGCTTGAATACATACTTTATCTTACCAATTTAGGAGACGATTCTCCGATTCCCGTGCCAAAGATAAAAGGAAACCCTATACCTTGAATAAAAGAAATAAACTGAAACTCTGATTACCCAGAATTTTTAAATGTTGGGGTGGATTTTAGCCAAGTTAAAAAAACATTTGGAGAATTGTTTTTGCTTATAGTTATTCAAGCTTATTTTATTTATTTATCTAATCTTGGCACAGAGTTGCAGGTATTGCCATTAGACAGAGCAATGAGCAGAACATCAAAATTATCTATGAAAATTTTGATTTTTATAAAAAATGTTATATATTCAAGCTGCCATTATTTTTCTCTTTTTATTAGTCTTTTATTTGTAATTCAAAGTCCTGGACTAATCTCACTTGTTTTTTGTCTTTTTTGTTTATTTTTTATATTCAAGGCAAATGATATTTATAAATCTCAAGAAAAATTTGAACAATACAGACAAGCTTTCAAGAATTACTTAATTATTTTTATAATTATTGAGTTAACACTTCAAATAATTTATCAAATTCCTTTGCATTCATTTTCTCCCACTAAACAGGGTATTTTGTTTCCCCAAGGCTCTCCTGTAGATGGGTGAGACAGATTTAGCCTGCCACATGGTCTTTCCTTATCGGAACATTGGGCTATTCCAGATAGTAGTTCTATTCTATGGATCTAATCTCCAGGATAGATAATTAAAAGTCAGAAATTCAAGAGGCTAGCCCTTCCATTTCCTCCTTTGAACTCCGAGATATTGGAGACTGATTTTGGAATTGAGAAAAGGCTTAAAATCAACTTATTACAGGTCTTGGCTTGCTCGTCTATTGGTAACGCAGTCACCAAGGATCTTCAGAGAGATTCAACCTCTTTGCAACGTCAAAAAGTAGAACTTCTTCGAGTAAGATGACTCACCAGGTGATTATCGGCTCGAAAACTACCTTTCCTCTTCTTCACCACGTGACGTCAATGCACCTGTGAAATAGAACTCTATGTCTTCGCTCATCCTTACCTTTTCGGCTTCAGTATTGAGTGGGAAGGCTATGAACTTCTGTGGTATGCTGTTTAGGTCGAGCTAAAGTTGTTCGCACAAGATTCCCAAAAATGAATTTCTGGCAAACTATCGGTAAAAGGGAAAAATTCAAAACCTGGTGCGTAACTCCCACGTTGCCTTAATGATTTATAAATTGCTTTTAAACGCTTCTGAGCTTCCCTTTCAAACTATGGACCCTCCGTTTCCCTCGTGTAAAATCAAATCCTGAAAGCGGGCCAGAACTAGGCTCTGTGCATTATCAGAATTGCTTATCTTGTATAGTTGTACAGTTCTGGGTTCGCAAAGCCTTGCCACATATAAATAGTATGTGTTTGAGGCTGCATTGCCGGAGGCAATGCCCGGGCCGAGACGCTATTTTATTTATGGAGCCGAGAGAAGGCAACCATGATCAGCAGTTAACTTCCTTATAGCATCAACATAACTTAACTTTGCATTCATATTATCCCTCTGTTTTCAAAGAAATATTGGAGGCGTTTGGATTGGTACAGTTGTGGAGTGCAGGAGAGTCTGGGATTGGAAGTACTAATATACAGAGAAAAAGAATATTTCTTAAGGTCTATTCATTCGGACTGTTACTTCTTGCTTATAGAATTATGAAGAATTCTGATTTTCAAGTTTATATTAATAAAAAAAGAGAAAAATTCAATGGAAAGGCAATATTAATTGGAATTAAAATGGCTCAAAAATTCAATGACAAGAGGGTGAGAAAAAATAATCAATATATTGCCAAAAAAGAAAAATTCGAAAATGAACTGAGAAAATTAGATTATATGATCAATTCATGAAATAATATTTTCTATGGAAATGAATCTGGAAGAGTAAAGATAGAAAGGTCTAAAACAATCAACCAGGAGGCAATAGATATGAATGCTGAGCTGAAAATAGATGCAAAGCGAAAGTTTGAAAAATTTTTGCTTTATTTTATTAATGAAGTACTTTTTGAAAAATTTATAAATTCTCTGTATCATGAACCTTCAGTGTCTAATAATGATGAAAGTGTTTCGTGTGAGTCAGTAGCAGAAGAGAGGTCGCTTTATGAAATCAATTTTTCAATTGAAGAATCATCTGAGAATGATTTCGAAAAAAATAAGATTTTTCAAATGAAATTCAAAGATTATTTTATAGCTATCCTTTTGGGAATTCTGAGCAACACAGAAAGCATTGTTTATTTCATGTTTATAATGAATCATATAATTTATGCAAGCCTTGAATCAATAGTTTTCCCTCTCTCTATTTTTGCTTATGCATTATTAGAATATCCTCGGCCTCGTCCTATATATTTCCGAATAATGACATTGTATGCCCAATTAGTAATTATTATTAAATACATCTTCCAACTTTCTCTTTGAAAGCTTTTATTTGGTGATGATGTCTTTAAAACTTACTATGACACTGGAAAAATAGGTTTCAACTTAGCAAGTAATACATATAGTGAAAATTTGATTAATTATGTCATTTTAGATGCCTTATGCATGCTTGCTCTTTATGCACATGAATATTATTTAATGAGAACAGGACTAAGTGAGCGAAGCGAAACTGAGATTGAGTCTTTGGAAGAAGCTTATGCTAGAAATTCTCTTGAATATCCTGACATGCCAATAATTCATATAGACGAAAACCAAGGATTTTTTAAAAAAATCATATTAAAACTCAACCTGTTTTTGCAGCGTTTAACACCTTATAATAAAGATGAAAAACCTGGAATTGACTTGTACACACCTATAATTCTTATACAATTATGAATATTTATATATCTTTTGTTTTTCTTTTCAAAAATGGACTGAAATTATAGTAGCGCTTCAAATGTTTTTGTGTAAGTTTAACATAGGACGAATTCTTTCCCCGGAAGAATGGTTGTAGCTCTTTTATTTCATTTATTTATTATGCTTTTAGATCGATTTTTATATTTAAAAAGTACAAAGAAAGAAGTTGAAATATATATTGATCAAATAAATATTGGATGAGAGTGAAGATCAGTAGGGAGATTTTCTTTGCATATTCTTTTAGTTTTAACTGTTCATGCACTGGTCTTCTGGTATTTCCCTATCAATGGAAACAATGGAATGTCAGGGACTCCATACTGCCTAAACTTATTTGAAGAAAAGCATTGCAATAATTTTCAAGTCAATTTTGCATTACAATGGTTTTATATTTTTTATGTCATTTATTTTATTTTAGTTACTTTGCAGTTTCAAGTCGGTCTTCCAAGTTTGAGAGAAGTTTCTTTTCCATTGATGAGGCATACCGATAAAACTTCCAATATTTTTTTTAAGATATATAGAGGCCTGCCATTTGTATTTGAATTAAGAACTGTTATAGATTGATCTTTAACAAAAACTTCTTTGGTTTTTTTTGATTGATTAAGATTTGAAGATATAAATGCACAGCTGTACCAAAACCAATGCGATGCTGAAAGTAATAAGTCACATATAAAAGGGCAAACTATAGGGATTTTTTCTAAAATTTTCATTGGCGGATGTGTCATTTTATTTATCTTAGCAAGCATTTTCGCACCTTTGATTATTTTCAGCTCTTTAAATCCGATCATATATGAAAATTCTGTAAAAAAGATGAGCATCGAGATCGGAATAGTGACAGTTAACAATAACTATTATAATATTTTTACAGGATCAAAAGCATCAATATTGAAACACATCACATCTAAAGAGTGAAGCGAATTAAATTTCAATTCATTGAATGATGTAGTCGCTACTGAAAAAGATATAACACAAATAATCCAATTAGAAACCATCCCAGATAATTTTTGGATAATATCCCCAACCGCAAAAAAATTATTATGCACTTCATTAACGTCTTATAATTCCTCTTTCCCTGATTATTATTTGCAAGCAATTTATAGTTTTGAAAGAAAATACCCAGCTTCTCAAACCCAAGTCCAGAATAATAAAAAGAAAAAATTAACAAATGACCAAGTTCATGCCTTAGCAAATATAATATGCAATAATAGTAATGAAACTTTTAGCTGCCCAAAATGTTTTCCTGAAGTTATTATGATTCAGAGTGCAGGAGACGCAATTTCACCATCATTTATTACAGACACAGATTATTATTTGCAGTTAGATATGAAATATGCAGGTAATTCAAGCTATTGAGAGGCTGGGTTTTGATGAAATGGAAATTTCAATGGCTTGAAATTTTATGTGATTTCAAATAATTATAGCCCTGTCACTTTGAATTTCTCATTGATTACGTTCTATATATCAGTTGTGCTTTTAATAGGAAGGATTTTAAGGTCGATTGTGTCTGGATTGGCACAAAATATTGTTATGACGGTGATGCCAAATCCTAAACCGCTAATTAATCTTTGTGAAGGGATTTACGTAAGCAGAATCACCGGAGATTTAGAGAGAGAAGATGAATTATATCACGAGTTGATTGATATAGCAAGATCCCCAGAAATCATAAAAATAATCACTGGCAGGTCTTCTATCAAAAACAAAAATGAGTAAAAATATTTAAATTAGGAGTTCAAATTAATAATAAATATAGAAACAATTGAGAAAAATGTTTATATGAAATTTACAAGATTGTGAGCTTAGACTAAGCTATAATAATAAAATTTTACAAGCTTAGCAACAAAATAGCTTGTTTATGCTATAAAGCTTTAAATTTCACTTAAAACATATTGCGAGAATGCAATTGTTTATTTAAATAGTGATTAAAATTGATTAAAATAAATTTAATTAAAATATTAGTTTTATAACTCGCTTTTAAATTATTTTACCATATCGGTGGCGCTCTACAATATTTACTTAATTGCAGCTCACCATTTCTCTCTGATTTTTCTCAGACAAGTTCTTCCGATTTTTAATATACTTATAGAGCCTTTTAACTTTAATAAAACCCTTTCCAATTTTGGTTAATTAACGTAATATTTTAAATTGTTGCATTCTTTAAAGGGATGATTAAGAAGAAGCTCACCTTTTAACTCCAACTTGCTGCTCATCAAGTCTTCCTAGTTTACATCATTTAAGATAATTCTAAACGAGCATCGTCTCAGGCTTGCCAGAAAACCTTCACTGGTAGCATTACCTCACTTTAAAAAATGACTCCTTTGCGCGCTTCACCAAAGGCTCCCTCCTGTGCCAAGCGTTAAAGCCTTCTGCCTAGGATAAGACCCTCCAGCCTGCTGTTTGGTGTTACTGATCCTGCTGGAGAAAGGCTCACATGGGAAGCCGAATCCATAATAAAACCTTTTCCAGCTTGATTTTTAATTGAACTTGTCCATTCATCATAATTAGAAGCATCCCATATTTCGATTGCTGTTATTGTTACCAAAAATATTTTATGGGAATTATAAAATAACGCTAAAACACATCCTTGGTTAAGTAAAAAGTCAACATAATGGCTTGCTACATTTTGGAAGATATAGAAACCAAATTTCTCATGAGGCTTTTGCTGCATTCTTATATTCTGCAGCCATGCATTTCCATCGTTGCTTTTAATTACTTTTTCTTTGGATTTTAAAGAAATCTTTATATTTCTCTTGCTGAACGAGTAGGGCTCAATATTTTCCTGAACTTCCATTATTAAATTATAAAGCTGAAGCTAAAATATGAAGCTTCTACAATTTCCTGAAAAGTGTGCATAATAAATATTGAACTGGTAATGCATTTATTGGGTCAAAAATTGATTAAAGCATATGGTGGAATTGTGCTATGTTAATAAAAACAAAAGAATTGCAATAAAAAAAATATAAATAGCATATGATCAATTAGAAAGATAAAATTACTCTGGATGCCTGTATTTAAGAAATGCTATTAAAAGTATATAGAAATAGCTACTTTCTCTATAAAAGTTTTAAAAGTGACTAGAAACTTAAATCATGCTATATAAATGCCATTTATTTTCAATCAATTCGATACAGCTTAAAGTTGGACAAATGCTATATTTTAGTTTTAAACTTAATCTAATATTCAATATTAGTGGATTTAAAAAGAATCAACAAATTCTTGAATGCTCTCAAACTCTTTTCTTAACTGGATAAGCATTCTATTCGTCACCTTGATTTTCATCATATCATTAATAAACTTCTCGTTAAAAACTTCTGGCTGAAACGTCGGAAAGCTTATCGACATCATAATCGTCATAATTTCTTCAAATTTTTTATTCAAAATCAACGGTTTTATTTTTTCGATGATTAAAATTGACGCTTTTAATATAATTTTTCACCCTTTCTATATAAAAATTACATATAAAAACTGGTCCCATAACTGTAATAAAAGTGCAGGTCTTTGGTTCAGCAGCCCTGCGAATATTGTAATAAATCAAGAAGAGGAGTAGTGGCTGGAATTTATTGTTTCTGAGTTAAAAACCAAGTGAGTGTCAGGAGAGATTAAGGATATAAGCCTATCTAAAGAAAAGAAAAAATACTTTAGTTTGGGGAGATCTTGAGAATATAGATCTTCCATCTTCATATTCCTTATCATTTCATCTAAACACCAGAATGTAGTTTCTTCATCTTGAAATACAGAATATAAAGTCCCTGCTATGTAGTTCATCCCTTGGCAATATCCAATATCTATCCTATAGCAGGCATAGGCTCTGAGTATTTGTTTGACGATATCTGAGTTAACTCTTGAATTTCCTGAGTAAGTTCGCAGCATATCCATAGAAATAACGTCTTCAAGCTCCTTTATGGAGTTTCTGTTACTATGAAGGTGCTCTAATACCTCTGAATACTTGCGTCTTGGGTGATAGAGTAATGATTTTCAAGCTAATTTCCTGACTGGATAAATCTTGTCTTCGAGCAATGCTTTCTTATATATTTGAGCTTTTAGGATTATATTCCACGACTTACAAACTTCAAGCAGAGTGAAATAATCATTTTTAGTAAGAAAATCCAATGTAAGGCCTATAAACATATTTTCTCCTCATATTGCTCTTTCAGTTGTGCGTTCTTTAATAGATTTGGCATAGCCTCTTTCACTTATAGTAAATCCTGGCTTAAGACCATGCAATTCATATAAAATTGATAACACTTTTTTTTTCTCAAGTCCTGATTTTTTCGCAGCTTCCATAATCAAGTTTGTAGCTATATCACAATCTGTGTTTAGGTTTATCATATAAAATATAAACTCATTCAAAATTTGGCTTGCAGAACTTTTTTCAACAGTTTTAATCGAGAATTTCTTATAGTATGGGTCTCACTTTTTCTTTGTGCGTCTTAATTTCTTTTTATTTCTATGGAAATTTTCGTTTTCTGTTATAATTTTCGAATTTATTGCTCTATCAATCGTTTTCGATCAAATTTTTCTATCTTGAAATTTATCATTTGCTAAAAATTTAAACAAATAGCTCCGAGCTCCATCTAGCGTATAAAAATTGTGAGATAAAATAACAATTTTATAAAAAGCTACTATATCAGAGTCGATTTCTGGGTTAAGATTTTCTAAAACTGAGTTCACAATTGTAGAAAGCGTCACGATATTATAAGGCTCTATGAATGCAGAATATTTCCTAGTCTCCAAAATTTCACAAAACATTATCCTTCCTTCAGGACTCCTAATAATTTCATTAATTGGATCATTCCCATTATCATCAAATGGGGATGCCTGCAGCATCGGACTATCATCACATGTATAAAAGTCTGCTGATTTTTTCCTTTCTCTAGGAATAATCGCATACAGCTTTGACTTAATAATTGCCACGTTGTCTTGCATTGGCTCATATGGAATATTCGAAGAAATATAAGAATCTTCTATGCTAAGAGGATCTTGCCCTTTTTCTTTCATTTGTGCTTTTCAGCCTTCATAGGTTATTCATTCTTCTCTTGGGACTTCTTTTAAGGATCCTAAACAATCCTTTTCGAAGTTATTTAAATCATCTTTTATTGAAATTTCTGAAAGCGACTGCGATACATTTTCTGCTAATTTATTTAAAAATTGAGCATGTTGCTGCTCGGTTTTTGCGAATTTTTCGATCATTCCTTTGATAAAAATAAGCCGGCTTTCTTCATTTGCTTTTAATGAGTTGGAGATGTCTCTTCTAACTATGTCGTATTCAGTTCATTGTTTTCGCTCTTCAGCTAATGAAGCGAAGTAGTTTTCATTAGCAACTTCTGCATGAGTTTTCATTTCTTTCGCATTTAATGCGGCTAATTCCATTCTCTTTTTTTCGTGCTCTAAATTCAGCATAATTTCTGCTTTTTCTTGTTTTGTGTGCGCTTTTAGATACTCGTTTCTCATTTTATATACATTTTCTCTGGCTTTAGTTAACTTGTGTGCAGCTTTTTTACCCTTCTCGATCAGTGAATAATGATGCAATGAAAAACTTTCTTTAAAAAGCTCTAAGGCTTCAATAAATTTTGTATCGATTTTTCTATATAAATTTTACTTCGCAATTAATAGGTTTTGGCTTGATATTGATTTGACTACAGAATTAAACGCGGCAAGCGCAAAAGAAATCGTTGCAGAACTTTCGGTAACATCTAAATCTTCGGCAATATCGTTAAACAGTACTGCAATGCTATCTTTGACATGTCTATAGCCTTTGAAAAATGATGTTAGCTCATTTAAACTTTCGATGCTTTTTTGAAGGAAAAATTCCGGAATTTTATAGCTTTCAAAATCCATAATTTTCTTATTAATTTATTCGCCTAATTGAATCAAAAATTTAATTATATTTAAAAAATAAAATAGCTTTAAAATAATGATAAGAAATCCATTGGAATGGTCCGTTAGCGATGTTGTCCATTGACTTCAAGTAATAAATTGCTCTGGAGCTCAAGAAGTTTTTATGTATCATGGAGTTGAAGGTAAAGATTTATTGCAGCTCACAGACTCAGATTTACGCTTTGATTTTAAGTTTAAACGAATTCATGATCGCAAATATATTTTAAGAAAAATCCAGGAATTAAAAAATATAAATTCTGCAGTGATTGAAGTACAATTTCGGGACCAAACCTGCTCAGTTCGAATTTCTGATCTTCAGTCTTATACATTTGAAAATCTTAGAAAAGATGCTGCAAGATATTTTGGAATAGATGAAGAAAAAGCTATTATTCAAGATAGGCATGGATTAGTATGGGGAAGTATAAGCGTTGCTTGTATTTTTGATAGCAATTTAAGGCAAGAAGAAGCCTTATATTTGCAATTAATTGAAGAGGCAAATAATAGGCAAAGCTCTCCTGAAAATCAGGCAGCACTCAGTCAAAACGAAGAAGATTTCAATGAAGATAATCCTTTTCATGAGACTTCAAAATCAATAGAAGAATCCAGCCCTTGGGCTGTTAAAGAAGAAATGGCCTCAAGAGAAGAAAGCCAAGAGCAAAGGAAAAGGAGAAATAAAAGATCCCAAAATCCAAGCTCTGGTGGATCAGCAAATAAAACAGGAAAAAACTCATCATTAATTAATCCGAAAAATGCTGCTAGCAATTCAGGATCAGAAAGAAGTGGAAGATCCAATAGATTAAATGAAGATGAGGAAGAACTAAGAAGTGTGTTGAAAATTATAAAAAAAAGCTAAAATTTAATTAAGTTTATTTAAATTTTTAATTAAATTCAGAGATTTAAATAAAAATGAGTATTGATTAGCTCTTATATTTTTTGAAGGTATAAGAGATGTTTAAGACAGTTCATTAAACAAATCGACCTTATTTTAATTAATTTGGATAACTTTGGATTTTCCTATAATAAAAATCCTGAAATTTACTTTTTTTTAAAGTTATGTGAATATCTATACTATTGAATTAATTTATCCCACCAGCAGTTTCTACACAAAATACTACGAGCCCAATCAACCCAAAAATCGAAGCTAAAGCCATTATAGCCCAGCACAGAACGAGAGTCATTTTACCGGTTTTGCCTCTGAATGTCTTAATGTAAAATCAGCAAGGCAAAATAAAGCATACGATAGGGCTTAATGTAGATCCTAATACAGTCAATAATTAATACGGTGGTGACAAAATAATTCCTTGCCTATGACGCACCACTTTGGGCGCTAAAATGGCTTTATAGCCTAAATAAATGTTCAGGCCTTCGATTCTAACTCTAAGCTTGCTGTATGGAGGGCGTATGATGGTGGGTGACTTTGGGAGTCAGCTGGGTTGGTGACCATTTAAGTCCAGGTATTGATTATCCGGATGGTTTTTGGGCCACAGGTTCTTTCCCTGCCATTTCGGAAGGTCATGATTCTTTTTTTCTGGGTTTCATCACCCTTCCTCAAGCAGCTAGCATGAGGCATCGGGCTAACCTTTGCCTCCATAACACCCCCCACAAGATGCTCAGTTCAGATGAGTCTTTCTAACGCGTTGAAACTCAGGGATACAGTGCAAACCTTTATTCTGGGAGAAGACTGCTCTTGATGGAGCTCAGGTAACAGATACTATTTCCTGCAAGTAAGGGTCTGGTGGTTTAAAAGCATGCAGAGGCATCACATCTGGAAGACCTTAAGCCGCCTGATTTAATTCAATACAGTCACTATCACCCTAATATTTGGAATAGCAAGAGAAATCCCCATAGCTGATAATAGCATTATAGCAGTAATAAACATATGATTTTTTGAGGAAACTGGCTTTTCTCCCCAAACAAATGAAAATATGGCTTGCCTGCATGGATAAAACGACAATGGACAACCAGTTAGTGCAATAGCAAGTGTTGCACAGGTCGCCTAAATAAAGTTTACAAGTATCATCACAACGTTCCCATTTTCATAGTCCCCATTTAAAATTTCATCAGGAAAGTCAAGGGTTGAATATTCTTTGTAAAAAGTAAGATATCCAAATATCCCGATTAATAAGTAAAGTCCTAACGCCATACCTAAGCTTCTATTTAAAACTTTAAATCCTCTAGTTGTGGTTTTTCTTTGAAGTTCTTCATATATAGGAAGAGCATAAGGCTGAGAAGTAAAGGCAAAAATTATGATAGGAAAGACTTCAAAAACGGTTCAAGAAGTTTTCATTTCTGTGGCTTCTGATATTCGTTCTCCGCAACTCCCAAATCTCATACTGAAAAAAGTAAAGGTGATGGCAAAACATAAATAAACCAACGAAAAAAAGCAAATAGTTGATGTGTATTTTAATGAAGTCATCTGCTTAAATAAGCATAAAGGGAAAACTATGAATAAAGTAATTATGCAGCCCCACAAATACTCGCTTTGTAATACGTCATTATCTGTACCGATTCTTTTTAAAATCAGTGGAACCAAACTTTTCAGCAGCACTAAAAAGGTGACAGCAGCACCATAGTTGCTTATAATCAAACTAATCTCTGTAAATACCTTCATTTTAGTCCCAAATAGCCTTTCCCCTATCATATTATAAGTATCTAGCCCAAGATTTTCGGCAACAATAATAAGTAATTGCGATGCAATAAGACTACACATCATTCCAATAATGATTAAAATAATTCCAAAATAAAATCCAGCAAGATTAACAGCATACGGCAATAAAAGAATTCCAGCTCCCATTGTTGACGCCAAAATATTAAAAATACTGCTCTTCATCGACCCAGGGCTGAATTTTTCTCTTACTCCCCCCTCTGTTAGTGAAACAAAACCTTGGAAAAATCCCTATTTTTGCCTAAAAGCCCACCCTCCGAAACAAAAAAACTTTTGATAAAACATAAATTTTACAAATTAGATTTAATATTCGATTTCAATTTTTTGCGAATTTTTTTTTTTTAAATTTCAAAAAAAACATTTTACGATAAAATTTAAAAAAACAAAATTAATCCCCCTCCGTGGGCAAGCAACATTTTTTTGTTCGCTCACGGATGGGGAAGAATTTAAGAAATTTGCTGGTTTTTTTAAAATATAGATGAGCCTATCTGTTCTTGTAATGGCTCTATGTTTTTTTGTTCCAAGTTCTTCTAATATTGAGACCCTTAATTCTGAGCTATCTTCGGTGTTATCTTCATCAAGAACGATGCTCATATTAAAATCCTATTAATTATTTTTTTGATAACTATGCTAGAATTTACATGTGAAATTATATCAACCCAATCATGCCCTCTTTGAAGCTCACCATTAGCATTCATAAACTTATATTGTTTTCGCTTTTGAGATTTCGATAAACCAGACTGTTTTGGCTTACTGACAAATTCTTCTTCATATTCATCAATAACTGGATTTAATAATTCATCAACGATTCCTCAGTTATCTAAATTGTCTTTTAGCGAGACATACACATTAAAAGTAGCTGGACCTCCTGCGTTTTCTTCAGCCTACTTTTATAATACGATTTTTGCAATTTTTTGAGTAAGATCATCCTTTGTATTTTGGCTCAGCCGGTTGTCTGAAATAGTGAAAATCAAAGGATTTGTCGGGTAATTTTCTGGCCAAATGATTTCAAAGCTGATAAATGGTCGAGTTTCTAGCTGTGGGATTGGGATTTGGAGCTCTAATAAATTCCCATCCTGTCTGACAAATTCTCCTTCCATAAGCATGAACTGAAGTGCCTCTAGTTCTTCCAGCTGCTCAGCATTCATTTAATAAAGCCAAAATTAAATGTGAAAAATTATTTATCCAAATTAATAGTCATTAAATGCACCATCATTTTCTTCGGTCCCTTGCAAATCAAGGACTTCATTTTGGAATTGATAGAATCTTCTGCTTAAAAGTCCTTCAGTATTAATATCAGAACTGAAAGTATTAAGCTTTGCTTGCAACTCCCTTATCCCTTCAATTTTTCTTTCCAAAATTCTATTCAAGCTCCCTACATAGTCCTCAACATCGCTTCCAGGCTTATCTACATTATTCAGCAGTATCATTTCTTCTTTAACAATGTCCACAATAGTATCGATATGCTGCTTATGAGACGTTATCAGCTCTTCTTCTTCGTTTAATATTTTGGCTATCAGTTTTTCATGAGTTTCTGACATTTCTTGTAAATCTTGCTCATTCATGGCTCTCCAATTTGGGTTCAAATATTTACCTAAGCTATCTTCTGTTGTAGAAGAACGAGACCTGGTCGCTAAAAGTCGGTTTGCCCCTGTAGGCTGAGAATTGACTTTAGCTGTTTGTGGCTTCTTTTTTTCTTGGACTTTGGTAACAGTAGCTAATTATAAATTACATGGCTTTCTAGGCAATAATAAAGAGTCAGCTAGAATATCTTGAACTCCTCTGGGCGATTTGTTGCCTTTTTTCAATTCTTTGACTCGATCTGCATATCTGAGTGTGTTTAGAGTATGCTCAACATCTCCAGAGGATGGTGAAATATTTGCAATCATAACGGTTTTGCTCTTTCCTGTAAAACTGTCTTTAAGGACTTGTGTCAGAATGCTTCCTCTGAAAGGGGTATGCTTTTTATCTTGATCTAGTGCTCTTATGCACTCTTTAAGAGCAAGTAGACTTTTATTGATTTCTGCACCATCAATCCTGGTTTGCTTTGAGTTGTCAACTGTGTCTGCACCTCTTTCACTACCAGCTAAATCAATAAATGAGACTTTCCCTACCAATTTTCGGCCGAGTTTCAAGCTGATATTCAGCACTGCGTGAGATCTTGAAGATTCATCATTGGCTCCTGTAACTCCTACAACTCTGTTTGATAGCCCAAAACCGATGATTCTCATTAAATCTTCTACTGTGCTAACTTCGGTTTCCATTAGTCCTACAATATTGACTTTTTGGTTAGCATCTTCTCTTGCTATATAATTAGAATATGGCAGGTATGGCATTCCGGCCATGCAGCTTTGAGTACGTATTTTAATTATACTCGGAGAGGATTTACAGCCCAGAAATGGACAGCTATTTTAGGTAAATCAACCTTACTGAGTCAGTTTTTCAGGACTGGATTTTACCTCGAGAGAAATGAAGACTTGGAAGTGAAAGGGAAGCCTCAGGCAGGAGAGAAGTTAACCTCCTAGCGGGGCGTAGGCGGCTCAACGAAGCAAGGTGGAGATAATACCCATCCAGATATCTCAATGAGCTTTTCGATAATTTATATTAAGGCCAAGACATCTTCTCTAGCTACAAGCTGCTGTCTTTCATTAAGCAAATCATGAATTTTCGCACAGTAAATCTCATAGAAAGAAATCAGAATTTTCAGCTTGTGGGAGTTTGCACTAACCCTTTCAAAAACATCTTGAGAAGCAAGCAGATAAAGTCCTGGCACACGAGATTCCCCTAGCATTGTATAAGTCTTGCCAGATCCTGTTTGCCCATATGCAAAACAAGTGATATGTGAGCCTTCAAAAGCAGCTGAGATAAGTGGCTGAATACAAAATTGGTAAATCTAAGTAGAAATTACTTCTTGGTTAGTTGCAGTTTCATCGTACACTTGGTCATATAAGAAGTTATGGCCTTCTGTGAATTTGGTGAGATCCACTTTTTGTCTAAATAAAGATTACTTGTCTTCTCGCACTATAAGTGATTCTCTGGATGTGATATCAACGATATCGGTTTCTTTTTTTTTGATTTCGCTAGCTGTAAGAGGACGCTTGCGTACTATGACTTGAATTTTCGGTCTATCCATTTTCAAATTACAAAAATAGTCTCATTACTGTCGATATGAGAAGCAAGCAAATTAATTTAATTAGATTTTAATTAAGATGTAAATTCTACAGATCAAGAAGCAATGAGTTGGCCTTCATATGTCCTGATATATATCTTCCTTGGTATTTTCTCCCATATATGAACGCTCTTTTTTCCACATTGAAATCATCAACAATATGCTTTATATAACTTTTTTTGAATTTCGGCTCCCTCTCTGTCAATTTATCTTCAAGGCTTTCTATGTCATTTCCTATCTTTTGTCCGATTTCTTTGATTCCTTGCTTTTCTTGCTTTGTGTTCTCTTCTAATTGCCCACATTTTACTATAACCGCATTAAGACAGTTAATTTCAGAGCTTCTGTTAGGGCTTAAAGATCTTCTCTTTGACGGAGAATGACTTGTAGATGCTCAGGTTGATGCTATAGAATACGGATGGGATGACCCTGGAACTGATGTAAGAAAAGTTTTAGCTGGGCTTTGACTGGAGTGATGGAGGTTGTAATCAAACAAATAGCCTTTTAAATGTGGCACTGAGCTTGTTTTGGTGAATTTAGGGTTCATCCTTTCCTGAAGTCGGCAGCGTCGGCGTGCTGTAACTCCCCTCCTTCAAATTAAAACAAAAACAATGGTATTATTTACATTTTTTTTGTGCTTTAAGCCCCCTTGAAATCGTAACAAATTTGCTTGTCAATAGGAAAATTTTATCGCTGAAAATATTAATTTTTATAAAATTAGTTTTGACCTAATTTAATAGGCAAAATGTAAGTAGAATATTATTTAAACAATTTTCATGCTGAATTGATTAATTTTTTTATTTAATTCTTCATTAAAATAAGCTAAAATTCAAAGTATTGCACTCAATTTATAATGTTTTAAGATTTTAAAATTAAACAACTTCTATAGAGAAAATTTAAATATAATTTTTTTAAAAAAAAATAACCCCCCTTTAAAGGAGGCGAGTAAGGAGCTGTCTTGATGAATAAAATTCTGAAGCTAAATACGATGCATTTTCTGTGTGTGTGAATTGATCTGGTGGAGAGTTTTTGGATTTAGATTTTGCTATGATTTTGCAAGCATCCTTTAGTGTGCCTGTGTAAGAGTTTGCAAGAGAACCACCTTTAAACTGCCGTGGATTTACAACCAAAGACTCACTTGAGCTGTGAGAATAGGAAGGTCTAGTTGTTAGGCATTTGGTTTCATCTCTATCTCTTGTGAGCTCTTGATTGCCTTCAACCAGGATCTGTTTTTTTACTGCTTCTAATAAATTCCTCGTCGAAACAGTTTTTGTCTGTTTAAGTCTGCTTATATAATCACTAACCTTGTCAGGGTCTTCAGGGAATGCTAAATCATTTTTCAAGCTTTCTTTGAAGTTCTCTATCATCAGTCCAGTTTTACTTATATTTTTTGTCCCTTTATCCGGGGAATTGCTTATTGCATTTCTTTTTTCATATATACTTACATCATCAAATAATTTAAAATTCTTTAAATCAGGCCGTTTGAAATTTCCTTCTGAAGGCAAATGTCTTCTGTGCTTCCTAAACGGTTTCTTTTCATGGTCAACAATATGAAAATGCTTGGTATTGTTATCAAGAATATCTTCTTTTTTTTTAGCTTTTGGGGTTGAATTTTCAGATTTTTTGTGTGGGATTTCGATTTTTTTTCTTTGTGTAAGATTTTGAGAAAGTGCTCTGCTAAAATGCTCTCCATAGTCTTCTGTTATTTGCGATTTATTTTTGAAATCCCAAAAGCGTATGGCAAATGTTTCTCTTGCTAAGCTCTTTTTCAATAAATTAGTGGCTTCAGCTACGTTTTCATAGGAGATGATGTCTTTTTCTTTAAAGACGTCCATTATTATTTAATCATTTTTTGATGAAGTTAAACGCAAAATGTAATTAAATTAAGAATAATGTTTATTAGAGCAGAAAATAGATAATGCAAAGAACTGCAATATTCAGAATATTGTCCTTTACACGTTAGCGATTGGAGGAAGTCTTGTCCTTCTGAAAGTTGATTTTTTACAGTCCATTTGGTATGGGTCAATTGCACTGGGCTTGCTCAGAGATTCGTCGATTTGTTCCAAACTGATATTTTCAATTCCATCATACATGCTTAAAAAGCGCTTATTTTTCATCAATTTGTTGACGCCTAAATCAAAAATCTGTTTTTGAACAAGTAAAAGGTCGTTTCTTGCGGTATGATTTCTACTTATTATTGAGTCTAACTTCTTCATGTCATCTTCTAATGATAAGTCCAAAGCAGCAAATCTAACTTCAGATTTGATCGGAGTTCTTATATCGGGAGTGGTCGATTTTATTGTAGGGAGCAATGGTGGCTCTACAGATCTAGCACCGTCTTTCAAAAAGAAGTGTTTTTCTTTTCGTTTTTTCACTGAAAGACTTCTCATTGATTTTTCTCTTTCAATTGAATTAATTTTTTTGGCAATCAAACTGATATTCATGACTGAACTCTGACTAGGAGAAGTCTGGTCAGAATTTTTTTGATTCAATTGAGATTTATGTCTTCTTTTATGTGGACGGTATATTGCAAGCAGCTGTGCAATTGTTGACTTCATGATTTATATTTAAGTCAGTTAAATGAGTATGTTTAATATTTATTCTATTTTAAATTCTAGGAGAGATTTGAAATTGAGTGAAAAGTTGTGGAAAATTTATGATTTTGCGATATCAAAAATATTAGTTTTTAAATTAAATTTCGAAATAAATTATAATGATTTCCAAATTATTTATGAGATTTAACTATTAAATTCTCGCATCATTTTCAAGCGATCTTATTGCTTGTCTTAAGATATCAGCATGATCAAACGCAAGTCTATCCAGCCAAGTTAAAACTTCTGCCAAAGGATAAAATTGAGCATGCTTAGCATCATCATTGGCAATAGGAACTGCGTCTTCGTCTACATCTATTCTATAAACGATGCTTACTACATGCCCTCTTGGATCTCTTCGAGGATCTCCAGCAACTGTTATCAAACTTGGGTTTTTACCAATCAAGCCACATTCTTCTTGAAGTTCTCTTAAGCACCCCTGAAGAGGGTCTTCATTATAATCGACAAATCCTCCTGGAAATGCATAGTGATCTTTATATGGGTTTCCTCCCCTTATTATCAATAAAACATCGTACTGCCCATCTTGCCTCTTGCGAAAAACTACAGCATCAGCGGCAACTGAAGGAGTTAAGTTACCATGAGCTCTTGCAGGGAATTTTCTTCCGAATTGATCAAGCTGAACACTCATAACTTAATAATTTATATTATTTTAATAAATTGCTCTATTTATGCATTTTATTTGCCTTTCTTTTTCTTCTGGGACTCATTGCTCTTTTTCGGCCTCACAGAAAAATTGTCAGGTGTAAACACAGTTTTTGGCAAATTTGATACAAATGATCCAACGCTAGAATTTAATGATACATCTAATACAAATGAGGTTATAGGTGACACTGGCCACAGTGTTTGAGGCCTATCTTCATTAGTTTTTGTAAATAAGGCTTCCTGAACAGATTCATCTATATTACTCACATTAATATTAGGCAAATTTCGTTTGTACCTGAAAATTCCATCTTCTTCAAAATTCATAGTTTCATTTATTCTTAATTTAATCCCTCTGAATTTTCTGACCCATCTTACTGCAATCACAAAAATTAGCCCAATGCTATGAAATCTCAAAAGATACGAAAATTTTTCCAATGATTTAATTTTTTCATGAGCTTGTTTTAAAAGTCTTTCTGATTTCCCTATTCTATTCATATTCAGATAGCAAAAAAGGTTGAAAGGCTCGCTCTTATATTTTTCAATGAAGGATGCCAAGCTTGTAACTAAAGCGTGAAGGGTTTTTAAAGCAAGAGATATTTGTTGTAGAGAAAATTTAGCTGATAAATTAGCTGAGGAAGGAATTTGGATTTTTGTTGATTTTGAAATAGCGCCAACTCTATAGCATTCAATTTTAAGCTTTTCAATAGAATCGTGCAGAAGTTCTAAAATATGTGAGAGCTCATCTATTACACATAGATCTCTTTGGACATTGACCAAAGATTTGCATAATTTTTTAAAAGAGTTTTGGACTTCTTTTATATCTCAGTTCAGGTCTTCATTTGTAGATTTCAATTGATTAGAAGTCCCAGATACAGAATACACTTTAATCCTCTTTGTTAGTGAGAAATTTTGAATTTTTTTGAAAGTTATTATAATTTAAATAAACATCAAAAATATATTATATAAAAAACTATTATTTTTAAATTAAGTTTTTGCTTGTTGGCCAAAGGGATTAATTTTTCAAAAAGTTGGGTATACCAATGGCTTTGCTCTTTAACCAAGAGGATGAGTTAGAATTATCTTGGATGTCAGGATCACTGAAAGCTTGATAGGTACTTAGTTAGTTAATGTTAATAAAAATACTCTTCTTCAAGTCCTGATTCTTGCGGTCTTAGTTTGGATTGACAGCTCTGAATAACGGTAGGTAAGGCAGATCTAGCTGTTAAACTGCCAATGCTCCCAAGTCCTTTAGACCTCTTATCTTTACTAACCTCAATGTGGATCATTCTCTTGAAGTCAGACCCTCAAGAAGTCATGGACTTCTCTTACTGAGCACGGCTGTAAGACTGTTGTCCTAACCCATAACTCCATTTTACATTGTGTAGTTAGTATTTAATTAGTTAGTTATATATGTTGTCCTTGACAGGGCTGGGGATTCTCAGCCCTGCATGCTCTTCGTCATCTACGGGGCACAGGCAGTCACCCTCCTCGCCTCCACAGGCAAGGGAATCGCACACATTGCAGTCTTCCATTACTCCTGGAGCCTAAGGGCCCATCACCTAGGTTGAAACTCCCAGTTATTCGTTAGATAGATGTAACCTCTTCGAGGAATCTGCTTCATCTCATAGCTGCTGCTGGCCCTATCCATTCCAATGAGAGTCTGAGAGAAACCTCAAGATTCTAGGGATCAGCTTCCAGTGGGGTAAACCAAACCCGGCATAAATAAAATAAAATATTAACGACCCCTTTCCACCTAAATCCCCCCAACACTGGGCCGCTGCCTGCTGTTGCTGAAGAAATAGGGCCAAGAGATTGGGTGGTCTGTCGTCACCATTTTTATGTATATTGATAAGCACTTAAATTCATATTTATAAAATGAATTTAACTTTAATTCTCTCAATCTTAATATATGTGTTTATTATAAATTAAAATAATCCAGCTCTTAAGAAATCTTATAGCATTTTTGATTTAAAATTACAAAACTTGCTTACCCTTAATACTTGGATGAATTCAAGATACTAAAAGAGTCTATCTTTGTTGCCTAATTTTATTATTAGACTTAACCTAGCTAATTTAAATTTTTAAAATAGCTTTTAAGATGTTTTTTAGTCAAAGCCAGAGGATAATTTTTTGAAATTGATATTAATTTAAGTACAGAAGATATCAGGATCCAGTTTATTTTCTCTTTTTTCAATTAATATTCAAATATAAAACCAAAAAATAAATGTCAAGTAGTGATTTCAGTAGTGAAAGCGATTTTGATATGGATGTAGATGAAGGGACTGCAGTCGGCTCAGTGATGCCATCAATTCAAGTTTCTGAAGCCCCACGCATAATTGAATCTCAAGTCTCTGCTCAAAGTGACGAAGACTCAGAACTAGAAGAGCCACCAAAAATAACAGTATTAAAATCAGAAAAAGAGCCTTCAAGTGTAGAAATCTCATCAGGTTCAAGCGACTTAGACTCAGTAGTCGACACTCCACAGCCAAAACAAAGTCCTCCAAAAGAAGAAATGAAATTTCTTGCAGTCAATAAAAAACCTATGACAATCGGTGTAAAAGATTTCAACAAAACAGTCCCATCGCCCATGATTTCTCCTATAACAAAACCCAAACCTTCCCCAAATATGCTAACAACCCAAAAAAAGCATCTGCATACAAAGTCATCTAGAGACTTTTCAGACCTAAATTTTGATGATGACTTTGCCTCTACTCAAAAGCCTAAAGGCAAGCCTATTGATGTGGAAAGGCTATATAGATTTCAAGCCAAAACACAAGCAAAAATAAAAGAACTTGCTGGCGCTCAGGTGAAAAAAGATATGGAACAATGCACTTTTAAGCCGAATATAAAGACAAGCAGAGAGAAAAGAACTGCGGAGGAGTTTATTAATGATATGGAGAGGATGGAAAAGACAAGGCAAAATGCTATTGAAAATTTGAGGAATGAAAACCTAAAAGCATATGGAAGAGGAGGTCTGAAGCCCAAACCAACTATATGTAAAAAGTCAAAAATAATGGTTAAGCAGCATCAAAACGGAAAAAATAAGGTACCAGTGCATGAAAAATTGTGAAAAGATCACACAAAAAAAGATAGAGAGCAACTATTATCGCCTATAAAATCAGTCAAAGAAGATCGGAGATCATTTACCCCAAGCATCAATCAAAAATCTTTAAGATTAGAAAGAAGTGAATCCATTGACAATAGGCTATATAATGACGCATTAAGAAGAAAAAGAGCAGCCAGCGAAAGCCCAGTTACGGAAAGTGTCTTCCGAGGACGTCTAATAACAGAAAACTCCGAAAAAGTTCTAGCAAAAAAATTTGAAATTGATTTTTCCTCCAAACTAAAAGAACTAAACATAGAAGATGCAATAAATTATACTAAATTTGTAACATTATTGAAAGCTATGAGCTTCATTATTGGTACTGATAATGATGAAGAGAGGAACACTATTATTGAAATTTGGAAGCTTTTAAAGCCAATAGAAAACTATGTGAGCATAGAAAATGTGCTTACTCCTTACACAATTTATTTTTTATAGATAAAAATACTATTATGCAATCCAATTTCATATTGCCAAAACAAAAAATTTAAATATAGCCAATTCTAGTTTAAATAGGGGGAGTGCAAGTAGAACACTATTTAAACAAAGCTAGCACATAAATCAATAAATTTATAATTTAATTTTATAAAAATTAATTATCGTAAAAAAAATATCTTAAATTTGGAACAGACATCTTAAAGGGAAGAGTTAATATTTTTAAAGGTATTATGAACTATCCTTTATCTGAAGGAAATGAAGAATTATTGGTATTTGATAGAGACTTTCTTCATAAAACCTTTTTTAGCTTGTCAGAAAACAGAACAAATGCTGTTTCATTTTCTAATAAAAATCCAAGATTTAAAGATAAAATTAAGCAATATAGCTTTAGACCAAGCTTAAATAAAACAAGCTCATTACTTGCAGGGAGGTCAAGAAATAACCGCAGTTTCTTGTCTGGGCAAAAAAGTAACGTTGATTTCTTGGTAACTGAGCAGCAAGTTCTGCAGGAAAAATGGGAAGAAATGAAAAAGCTTAAGGAAAAAGAAGATGCCAAGAAATACACTTTCAAACCAACGATAAACAAAAAGAAGCCTGCAGCACCAAGCACACCGAAAAACAAGGATATGTTGGCTGCCCAATATAAGCAGCTTAGCTCAGAAAAAGATAGATTTGAAGCTCTTTACAGCCTAGCAAAGGTAGAAAAAAGCAAAAAAGAAAAGATAGCGAAGTCGAAAGAAGATATTGAAATTGAAGAAAATATGAAAGAATGCACCTTTACACCTAAGCTCGAGACTCAGAAGTTTAATAATGAATATGATCAAGTGAAAGGTGTTTCTCAAATGATTAATAAACTAAGAAAAGGAAAAACTGAAGTAAGCGAAGAAAATTCTTATAGGAAAGGAAACAGCTTATCACAATCAAGGCAGTCACGGCTATCAAATTATGAAAAACAATTAACCAAAGATATAGGAGAAAGAGATACTTATCAAAATTCAGAGAGTTCAGAAGATGAGGACTGCTTGACTGTATCAGTGAATCTTCCTAATGGAGTTGTAGACACACTAGTGATTTACCGCCATGATAATAAAGCTGACGTTATCCAAAGGTTCATTGACAAGCATTCTATTGATGACTCCTCAGCAAAAAAATTAATAGATGGCTTAAATTAGTAAAATTCAATAAATTATATAAAAAATATTTAATAACCTCTGGACAGCCTGCTAAGAATTCTCTGCAGCTTGACCTGCTCTTTGAGAATTCCTTTCTGCTCTTGGCTATATTCCATTTTTTCAACAAACCTATTTTCATTGCCTTCTCTTAAAATCAATTTTTGGAACAGCTCATTCTCATTTTTTTGCTGAAAATGATTTGGCTGTGTTTTCCTTAACAATCCTTTTTCAACATCTTTAGAATTTTTCCCTAATTCTGATTTTTCAATATTCCTTTGAATTTCATCAAGAATTTCTTTTTTCTTTTCAGCTTCTTTCAGTGCTTTAATTCTTTTTGACTCTTCGAATTCTTGCATTTTCGTCTGCTTAATCATTTCTCTTTCCTGCTTGATTCTTTCAGTCATTAATGCTTGAAACTTTTCTTCAATGTTCCTTTGTGCATTTGATTCTTCAATGAATTCTTTTCTTTTATCTTCTTCAGCTTTTCTTTTTTTCTAACTATATTTTACCTCTCTGACTTCGTCTCATTGAGCTCTGATGTTTTCTCTTTCTTTTGATACTGGGATTTCTTTCCTGCTTACTTGTTTTGATTTAAGATAGTATTTGCTAGATAAGCAGTGAGAAGAAGCTGATCTTGTCTGCTTTTTGATTCCTTCGATAACTCTGTCACTTGGAGATTCAAAGTGTTCTAGGGACATATTTCCTTGATGGAAACCATAGGTGGACAGTGTTGAGTAACTGTGAGTGTCGTATCTGTAGGGGCTGTCTTTACTTGAATATGCCAAGGAGTCATTTAATGGCGAATCTTTTTCTGTGGCGAAATTTTGAGATTGGAGATCACTAGAAAGCTTTTCAATTTTCTTCATAGTGGAACTTACATCAGGGGAAAGAAAATAGCCAATTTCTTTAATTTTTTTTATAGGAGGAGTGCTATAAATATCAAAATTGTCTTTCTCATCACTTGCAGGCTCAGTTGTTACAACTGACTCTATATCGTGTGGATTATACATTTCGCTTGTTTTCTCACATGGCTCAGTCATGATAATAGGATCCACGTCATATTGATCAGTTCTTACAGAAGAGTTTTGGACTGATTCAAAAGTATCAATAATTACATCTAATTCATCTTGGGTATCTATAATAATCTGAGGTGAGTTTTCAGTCTCAAATTTATGTTCTTCTTCATTTGCTTCAGCATCCAGGCATTTGCTTACTCCCCCATCCGTGAGTGAACAAAAAAAATTTGTTTCAATCACAGAGGGGGTTAATTTTTTTTTTCGAATTTTAAAAAAATCCTAATTTGCAAAAATTGGAAAGCAAATATTAATTTAATTTATATAAAATTTATGTTTTAAAAAGCAATTTGTTTAAAATTAAACAGAATTAGCTCGAGATTTCATTATAATAATTATCACTTATGTATCAAAATTTTTTTCCATAAAAAATTTTTCTATTAAAAAAATTTTTGTTCATTCACAGAGGGTGGTTTTTGGGCAAAAAATGGCGATTTTTCTAATGGTTTTGTTCACTCACGGAGGGGGGGAGTTAGCGTTAACTCAAAAGTATTTATTTTTTGAGGAGATTGGAATGTCCCAAATGCAAACCTTGGAGTATCACTTTTTTCTTGGCTCACAAACCTATCAGCAAAACTTTCTTCTGTATTACAAGCATCTGTTTTTATATTCATTTTAGACCCAGATCGTCCAAAAAATGAGGGTGACCCTGAAATTGATTCAAATGGCTTTTTTGGGCTTGATAGTTTATAGAGTGGAAGGTTCGGGACTTCTTGCTGATGAATTGTTTTAAATTCTTTGAATCTTCCATAATATTCGAAACTTTCATTTAATAAATTCAAAATTTCTTCAGCACCTATTACTTTTTTGACCCTACCAGGATTAAATTTTGAGAAGTGAGAATATGCGTCAAAAATTACACTTTCCCTGATTTTTCCTTCTTTTATGAAATTCGGGATTTTCCTGATAGTTTGCACAACTTGTCCAACGTTACTTGTATATTTTTGGAGGACTTCTCAGAGTCTACTTTTCATTACTTTAAATCCTGATGAGACAGTAACATGGGAATCCACTTCAGAAACAAGTATAAGGAAGCTATGGGCTAGCTCTTGGATATCTTGTCCTGGGAATTTCTGAGCTCGAAAGTCTTTTAGCGTTTTAACTGTAACTTTCCCTATTGCAGCATTTAGATTTTCTTCTGCATCTTCAAGCCCTTTTCTTGTGCATAATCCTGGGGAAAAACAGTTGGCATTAGCAATTTGAGTCTCAAGCGACGCTATTATATCATCACATTGAACTAGCAGTGGGATAGGAATATACTCATTATGATTCAGCTGAACTTGGATTTCCTGCATAATTTTTGTCATCTTAGCAAATGTTGGGTGCAGAAATGGGTGGCTTAAAGCTTTATAAGAAAAAATCAGCTCAAGGACTAGTTCAATTTTTTCTTTAAATTCTGAAATCTGCTCCAAACTGTATTCATGAGACCTCGAAATTTTTACCAAAAAATCCTTTATGGCTTTTATGGGTGAAATTTGCCCCTGCCTTTTTTTAAGCCTGACTTCTTGAGTTAAATAGTCTACGCCATTTAAGTTTTCTCTGGAATCGTCAATGTTCGGTGTTAATGATCTTTCGCTCATATAAGATTTGGATAACTCTTGTGTAGGCTTGTTTTTCAAAAGCGGGATAAATTTAGGGGTGGTGCTGCGTTTCCCTTTTATTCCGGAGTCTATCCTGGATTGGGTGTTTTTATAGTCTCTTTTTTTAGCTGCTGTGGATAATGATCGTTCTGCTATAAAAGATCGTGACCTAGGGGTTGAAGCCGCATTAGGAGAATTTTGCCTTAAAAAATTATTCTCATAATTTGCCTTGTTTGAGAAATTTTGTGATTTTGGGGATGTTAGGTCTTTGGATAATTCTTGCTTGAAATATTGCTTTAATAAGTTTTGCTTCGAACTGAGACGTTTTATTTGAGATTCAGCATGGCTTGGAGAGTGTCTATTAATAGGAGAAGAAGTATCAGGATGATTGGAAATATTTGTGACGAATTTATCCATTTGAAATTTATTTGATATTTTGATGAAGAATTTAATTCAAACAAGGCCATTTTTATGAATCTCAACTGTAAGTTTTATTATTTCCTTAATGTGTCTCATCTTTCATTAAAAATTAGCTATTTTTTATTGATTTAACTATTTAGTATCATCTCTAGAGAATAATCTGCATACTTTTCTGTTTTTTTAAGTAAATTTCACTTTATTGAGAAAGCCTTACATATATTTTAATAAATAAATTCGATATTTTGTCAAAACAAAAGTAATTGCAGAAGCTATAGAATTTAAACTATTTTCAAAAAATTGCGTTAAATTGGCTAGCCATACAATTAAGTTTGACATATTTAATGATATCAAGCTTTCAAGATATCACATATAGATTCAAAGAGGCTTCAACTCGTTTAAAAAGCGGTGAAAATATAGCCACTAAAAGATTCTCAAACTTAGAAAGCATGTCAGCAACCGAAATTATGGATTCTCGAGTTGATTCAGGAATGATTTTAGTTCAGCTTCCAAAAGTGCAGGAATTGATTAACGATAATATCATCCCAAAACTGTCAGCACTCTCTGAATCTGACCTTTTAAGTATATGCCATTTACAAGTTAAAAATTTCGCTCTTTGGCTTGAAGGCCAATCTCTTCCACATACACTGTATTCTTGTGTTTATCTGCACACTCCAGAATTATTGAATGAAAATCCAATATTAAAATCTTTGCTTAAATGCATTGTTTTTATTGTGGACTGTGTGCATAGGCATGTGCTGAAAATCACATCTCTAGCTCATTTCATACAATTAATTTCTGAAATAATATTATTTTTGTATTTAATAAAGTTATATGCAAAAATTTATCAAAATAAGAGAAGAGATTAAGAGAAGACGATTATTCATATACATCAATAAAATTTTTAGCATTGTTTTCAACTGAGCAAGATGTTGAAAGAGATTTATTGAATGCTGAACGATCAATAGGAGATGAAAATGAACTTTTATTGGCTTATTTGAGATCTTTTAGAGGATTATTTTATATCATTTCAGGCTTATTTAAACAAAATTTAAATGGGAGAGGAAGTGCTGAGACAAATATTCTCTTCACACTGAGGCAGCTAGAAAATATGAGCGAAAGAGATTTAGGAGAAATAAATACAGGAATTTTTAATAGCTCTTATTGCTTAGTGAAGCTACCACATTTTCCGCCAACTAAGGTAGAGCTCTTCAACGTTAGCGGATTGCTCTGTCCCGAAAATCTCCCGAGACAATGAGGAGTTGGTTTTTACCAGCAAATATTTGTAGAACCAACTCTTAAATGACAAATCTGCAATATTTAGTGGATTTTTCATTTCAAAGGCATTTCACCGCATTTGCTGGTAAAGCCAACCCCCAATCATCTCGGAGACGTTGGGATCATAACAGTCCACTAGCTAAGATACTCTATATATGAGGTAGAAAAATATACATTTGCTGATGCGATTGTGAGAATAAGAAAATTTCTTGTATCCATGTCAAAATTAGCTGCGATGCCAATAATTGATGACTTTGAAGATCTTATAACATATATGAACACTATTCCTTCCAATGATATTGTTTCAAAAATTTTGTATGATTACCATCTATTTTCAAGGAAAAATGATGAGTGGCAAATATTTTATTCTTTTCCATTTAAAAGATTAATACTCAATAGTATGCATAAAATTGGAATAGATACAGCATTTTTAATTCAAAATGATTCATTTACAAATTATTTTAAAAAAGTAGAAGTAGTCTTCAATAATATCTGATAATTGTTTTAAAAAAAAAATTTATTTTAAAATTTTTTATTTTATTAATAAAGAAATAATTCTTCAAAGAGCTCGTTTCTTTGACTTTGAAAAATGACACAAGACAAAGAAGAACTTTATCAAAATATTTCCCTGATTTCAATATTTTAATAAATGAAGCAAATTTTACAGAAGAAGCTATATAGCTTTTTTTGCGCATTTGCTTTGAAAGTGATGAGAGTTGAAATAGAGGGCGAACTTTTTTCTAATGCAGTGCTGCTTGAAAGAAGCAAGAAACAGTAAGTTTAGTATATTAATAATATAATGCTAATATTTTTATAAAATTTATGGAGAGGAGTAAATCATTGAGAATTTGGAAAAATTAAATTCAAGGATACTGGCTGCCGACAATACTATGAGTGTACTTAAAGCATCATTGCTACTGCTAAAGTTTGGATTAAAATCTCAGAGCAAATTTTTACTTATGCTAGATTTTCTAATATAAAGATCAAAACGGCAAATAATGGACTACATCTTACTACTTAAAAAAACTCAAATCTCTTTCGATTGTATTAATAAAAATTCAAATGCTACCAAATCCTTTTAGGTATAAAATTCGATTAAAAGGTTCAAATCTTCTTTAACTCAATTTGGAATAGGCCTATTGCTCAGATTCTATTGTCGGTTTCCATATTTAGTTTTTAGCTTTAAATTGGCATGCCAAAATCTTTAGGCTTGCTAAAATTTTAATAAAATGGAGCCAATACACAATCTTAAAAGTGTCAAGAGATAAAATTAATAAAGTTCCTACTTTCTTAGACAGCATGGAATCACGACAAATGAATACTACACCTTCTCTTATCTCAAATCAAGTACTCCTTTTTTGAAATCTCTCTGCGTGCTATTCCAATTTTAGCATCTGCCGTATCTCAAATCGATTTCTTCTCTATGGGATTCCAATCCAGCTTCCTATATCTAAACTTAAGAGAGCAAGAAAGAAGTTCCTTCAAGCTGGTATTAGGGTAATCCAACAAGCAACTTTCGCATTAATCGCTTAAAACTTAAATTTATTAGTCTGCTCCAATTAATATACTGAATTGATTGCTCCTTGCTTTTTTCAAGCAAATTTGTATTAGAAAAAGTCCTCACCCTCTATTTCAACTCTCATCACTTTCAAAGCAAATGTGCAAAAAAGCTATATATGGAAAAAATAGACAAAATATAAGCGAACAATTGATTTTCCAGTGGATTTTTACTCACACAGTATTATATATGATCCAATATGTTAGTTCTGGATTTAAACTTGATCTATATGCTCAAGAAGAAATTGGCATGATTATGTTTTATATGGACTTTTTATACGGAGTTTACCTCAATGGGCTTTCCTCTTTATTAGAATATTTGAGTACAAAATCAGCTAAAAAAAAGAAGTTAAAAGGGATTAAACTCATTCAAAATGAATTTCAACTTTCATCTGCAAAACAAATTTTATGCAGAGGAATAGTCAGATTATTCATAATTCTCCTTAAAATGAATCTTATACAAAGAATCCCTGAAGAAGCTGAAGAAATAAGATTCAGAAATAGGTTTAAAAGATTTGATACTTTAGTAGTCCCTCAAAGGCTTGACTATAGCTCATGATTAAACGTAAAATCTTTAGCTGAAACTATGGATATTGAGAAGTTAATCACAGATTGCCAAGAATCATTTGAAACAGCAAAAAATCAATTAAAGGAACTAGATGGAATTTTTATGGTGAAAGAGCTTATAAGAGTGTGTGTATGGAATTCATTAGCCATAACGAAAGGAGCATGCTCAAATTGGGAGTGCAAGCTTAATGTAATGTATAATGAAAGTCCAATATTTCCAGTGATATCTCTGGAGCCTTTACCTAACAACGCTACTAGTTAAATAAATAATTAATTTTTTTAACAGCTGAAATTAAAAGACTCATGGCCAAAAAGTTATGCTTACTCCCCCCCCCCCCTCCGTGAGCGAACAAAACCATTAGAAAAATCGCCATTTTTTGACCAAAAACCCACCCTCCGTGAGTGAACAAAAATTTTTTTAATAGAAAAAATTTTAATGGAAAAAAATTTTGATATATAAGTGATAATTAGCATAATGAAATCTAGTGCTAATTCTGTTTAATTTTAAACAAATTGCTTTTTAAAACATAAATTTTATAAATTAAATTAATATTTGCTTCCCAATTTTTGCAAATTAGGATTTTTTTAAATTTCGAAAAAAATATTTTTTTATAAAATTTTATATATAAATTTTTTTAAAAAAAAAAATTAACCCCCCTCCGTGAGCGAACAAAATTTTTTTGTTCGCTCACGGAGGGGGGGGGGGGGGAGTTAGTAATTAAGTTTTTTATCGATTTTATCAGTAAACATATTTTGAAATACCCTAATAATGCGTGATATTAAATAAGATATTTATTGCTCAAAGGTTGCTAATAGGTTTTAAATAATTATTAAAAATTTGTAAAATATGAAAAATATTAATACTAAAGTATATATCTCTTATTACCTTTGTTAACCTAGTGAATTGGCATTAAACATGCATTTTAATAAGAGATTCTGTTTAGCTTATTTTATATTTTTCCATTTTATCCAAATCAATAAAATGGAATAACCCAATTATATAGTCTGATTACCTTTCTAATATGATTTAATAATTATTCATATGCTCAATTCGAGATATTTTTTTATCCAAAAGCTTCCGACTATTGATCTTCTTAGTCAGCCACATTAAATAAATTCTTATCATTTATTGCAATGCATATTATAGGTTCTTCAGTGAGATTTAAATAAAAAAATATTAAAAATATGTTAACCAATTCGACACTTCTCCCTTTAATATGAAGCTTATTTGCGATAGTTTGCGTTATAATTGAAGCAGTAATTACTTCAGATGTTGAATGAACCAGTTCAGAACTTGCAGAATGATTGCAATCAGGCCGTAGCAGCGGATTAGATTGGATATTTATTATAATATCCCCAGCAGTAATCTATCTTTTGTTGGCTTCAGGACTGGTTGTTTACGCATCGTTTAGCCTTAGGCTCGGGAGCTTGGGGATAACATGCGAAATCCTTGCTATATGAATAGGCGATGTAATGAAGCTTCACTATCAGCATCCTAGACCATTTTGGAACTATTCTGATGTAGATGGGATAGAGTGTGCCAAAGATTGGGGAGCTCCCTCTGGGCATGCTTTTCTCTCAGCAGCAGTTATATTTTTTTATTTGGGTGAATGAATAAGAAATAGAAAAGGTGTAATATGGAAATTCTTATTGTGCATTTTAATTGTATTTATTATTGATCTAGATAGAGTGTACCTTGGGGTTCATTTCTATTTTCAAGTTGTGCTTGGAAATTGCCTAGGAATTTTATTAGCTCTTACTTTTCACAATTTAAAAGTTCAAGAATTCATACTAAAAATAGGCGAAAATTGGAAATTTTTTACTCTCCCCTTTGTGAGCGAACAAAAGAGTTTGGCTCGCTTTCAGAGGGTTTTTTTTAAAGTTTTAAAAAAATATCCCAATTGAGAAATAAAAATTAATTTAATTTGTAAAAACTTATGCTGCTTAAAATTAAACAAAACTAGAGGATGATTTTATTATACTAGCCATCACTTATACATCAAAATATTTTTTTCATAAAAATTTTTGGTCTCTCACGGAGGGTCGCTATAATCAAAAAATAGGAATTTTTTCCAATGGTTATGTTCGTCCAAAGAGGGGGAGTTATTGGCTTCAGAAATTCTATATGCTTTATTTTTAATGTGAACAGGTTTTCTGTATCTATTCAGCTCATCAAATTGGGAAGAAAAATGGACATTTAATTTTCATGAATCTTGTAAAGGAACTTTAAAATATAATACCCCTATGTTTGCTGGAGTTCTTGAGTCAACTATAATATTAATGCTTGGTGGATTTTGGATTGGAAGGTATTTTCTCAAAATAGAGCCTTATAAGATTACAAAGCAAACAGCTTTGTTAGGATTTGTCCTTTTATTATTAGGAGCTGGAATAGACCAAGGCATAGAGCAGGGAATAATTAAGTATGTGAGTGAAACTGTCAGCTTTATTGTTTTCTGCATTTTAAGATTTCTTGCAGGACTTTATATCGGATTTGTGATACCTCGCGTAGTATCAAGATACTATATTAGCCACGCAAAAGAGCACTATATACAGACTGCGAAAAATGAACTAGAAGATAATAATAAGTACAATGAGAATATCTCAAAAGTAGAAGATCCTACAGATCGTAAAAGTCCGGATGGTGAAGCATCTGGAGATCCTGAAAATTAAAATACTCCTTATGGATATTTTATCGAGAGATAATATTACCTCTTACTAGATAAGATCTGATTCACAGTAGTTTAAATTAAGCAATTAGCTTTGAAAATTAAAAATATCATATTATGAGATTAATTCATAATTAATTATATATGATAAAAAGTAATTAAACTGTTAGTAAGGCTTAGGCTACTCTTAAACTTATATAAATATGAAGAAAGAAACTGAAGAGAGTCTGTAAGCAGCTATCCAGGTGGTATGATACTCCTCTAGCTAATACAGATATGAAGCTAAATAAAATAGTAAACCCCTCAGAACTTCCTATTAAAAGACTCCCCAATCAGAAAGATGACCCGTCACCTAACAAGCACCTCAAGCAATACAATAGCTTCGAATATTCAGAAGGTATTTCTTACACAGTTGAACAAAAATCTGTATTTAATTATTTCAATTTTATTGGAAAAGCCAACAAAGAATTGAAAGCAATTTTCCATTCCAATCCACAAATGAAAGCCAAAGCATGCCAATACAAAAATTGGTCTACTATTACAATGTATCTAAAAGAGCAATTAAATATGAATCAGAGATATAATATAGATGAACTTAATAATCAGAAAATAATGATAGACAATGCAATTAGTTTTTTCAAAAAAATTCTTCAGGATAATTCGCTGTGTGAACCTACAAAAAAAGAAGATGTGGTCAATCAGGGTGTTGACTGGAAAACTGAATTCAATTCAGCATGTGAAAGAATATTAAATCTATCGGTAGAAAATAAACAAAATTTGAAATCGCTAATAATAGGCACCAAGCAAAGCTATAACAAGATAAGGGAAAGAATATTAGTTCCTAGTTCGGATTTAAATAAGCAAAAGAGTTAATTTAACTAGTTAATTTAATGTAAAAAATAGTTAAAATGGAAATAGAGAAGTACCAGAAATAAATCTAAATGATGTCTGCATTCTTCAATTTTTAATTGAGATATATGCTACCCTTAATTTTTAATTATTTCTTATGCAAAATTACACTTTAATTGCTTTTGTAGAAAATCTGTTATTTAAGTGTCACTCTATTAAGCTTGCTAAGCGGCTTTACAGGCAATAAGTGTGGCTGTGTTTCTATAACTGACAAAGCTTCATTCAACTTTTCTTTAAATAATATATGCTCATTTATCAGTTCCAATGTTTCCTCTAAATTCGATGTCTCTTCAATATAATTTAAAGAAGCACTCAAAAATTGAAGAAATCTCTCTGAATCCGGTAAATTTGAAGATGCATTTGTGTGATATAATAAATACTTCAAAACAAAATTGAAAAAAGTAAGTGAGTTTTCTGGACAAGTTTCCATTTTAGGATATGATTTTGTGTTTGAAATTAAGAGTCCTAGCATATAATATCTGTATTTCTCTTTCTTTAATAATGAAAGCCCTTGCCTTTCTGCTTCACTTTTTATGACTTTAAAATTTGCTTTAGTTGTATGATTAAATGCTAATTGAGAGCTGAGCAAATAAATGAATAACCTTCCAAGATCATCAGAATTTATATGGCATCCTCTATTTATTATAATTGCTTCTATTACTGCCAAAAGATTGTTGTCAATTGAACTTTGTATTAGGTTTGGGGCAATGTCAAGCGAAAATAAAGGATCTTTTATTACCTCGATTATTTCTTCAGAAGAGTTTGGCAAGTTTTGGACTAATGACTGGACCCTAGTTTTTAAATCAAGCTGGGAAGCGTTTTCTTGGCTCCATTCACGTAAAGCCAAATCAGGGTTTTTACCACAAAGAATTTCTTGAAGAAGCTCCATTTTTATTTGTAAAAAATAGGGTAGAGTGTGTGTTTATCAATTTTTGGCAGAAATTCGACTTGATGGAGTTGATAATCAAAGAAAAAACTATCTAAAAAAAGTTTTATTTAATTTATAATATCTCCTACTTCATCGAGTCGAATTTCTGCCAATTGCGTACGTAAATACACTCAAACCTAAAAAATAAGGAAGATTAAAGCTTAAACATTAAGACATTCAGCACCAGTTCTCATAAAATAGCAGGATCTGCAGACAGGCTGGTATTTTTCTAATCCGCCGTATACTTTGACTTCTTTTTCTCCTGATATTCTAACGCTAAACCACGCATCTTCTCCACAATATGAACAAATGCTGCTAAGCTTAGTAATTTTTTCTGATTTAGCTGCCAAGTGGCAGACACATCCAAATGGCTCTCTTTTGAAATCAGAATCTAAGCAGGCCACAATCACTACTTTTCCTCTATTCGCCATTTCATCTGAAAACTCAATTATATCTGGGAAAAATTGTCCATCGTCTATGGCTATTACATCGTATAAGGCTGCATCTTCCACGAGCTCAAATAATAAATCACATGATCTTGCTGATAAACTCATATGGTCGTGAGTGTAAATTTTTTCATCATTTTCGTTAAATTTGTTGTCTTTTGTTTTTATTAATAAGCATAAATCATCTCTTATAATATATCGGTTAACCCTTCTCAGAAGTTCTGTGGACTTTCCGGAAAACATTGGCCCAAAAATGATTTGGATTTCTCCTTTGTGAGGTCTTTTTATTTGGTCTTGAGCTAGAGAGTTTGAGGTATCAGACATTTTATAATTAAGATTGGGGATAATACAAAGGATTAATAAATAACTCGTTAATATTTTAATATTCCAGTGAGACTTGTTTTCTTTTAAGTATTTGTGAGATATATTACCTTTTATAAATCAATTAGCACTTTGTTTTGCTTGCTATAACTTATAAAATGTTAGCTTATTTTAATTTTGAATTTTATACATTTTGTTTTAAAATTTATTAGTTATAAATAGGGAAGTCTGTGAATTCAAGAATATTATAAAATTCTTTAATTAATATGACGCTTAATTTAATCATTTTTTTCATGTTAAAAGACTAATATTTATATTGTCAAAATTCGTCAAAGTCAAATTTTTTAGACAGCTCGGTTTCCTCAAATATCTGTCTATGTTGTCAAAGTAGAAGACTCTTAATTGGTCAATAATGATAAAAAGGTAGAATAGGATATATTATATGAAATTAGATAAAGAGCTTTATTTTAACTAAATCAGTTAAGGTTAACTTCAGTCGAATTTTAATAAGCCTCGTTCGCGTCAAAAAGCTGAGATAAAATATATGCTATTGTTCCAGCAGCTGGATTAGCAATACCTAGACCAATAAGTAATAATCTAATCCCCTGCTTTATAGCTTGTTTTGAGGCCTGCCTTTCTGCCCAAGCTATTATTTGATTTCTATAGCGAGCCCATATGCTTTGCCCCTTCTTTCTACCCATCTTATTATTATTATTATCAATTAGTTTATCTCATTATTTACAGTTTCTACAAAGCTAATATCTGCAGTCTGATATATTAACAAGTTTTTAATTTTTTCATGAACGAATAATTAATCAATTAGAACATTTATTAGTAGATAAAATATATTAAAACGCTCAATTTAGACCTATGAGTTTAGTTCATAAATTATTTCTCAAATGGTTTATAAATTTATAATTGTATTTTAAAGCATTTTCGTCTAATGTTTAATATGTCCATGATTGATAAGAAATTAATACTAAAGCCCTAGTATTTTAATTAATAATTAAATCTCACTCTTACTACAACAAAATAATTTATAGAAAGTATTAAATAATCATATAATAAAACTGCTATAATTCATATAAGGCAAGGATGTAAATCGTGATAGTTTATAGTTTATCTGCATTTAGGAAAGATTTTATTAAACCTTGCAATTATTTAATGGCTATATACAGTTTAATTTATCATAAATTCCACAGTAAATATTTAATTATTCATACTTAATTTAAAAGAGATATTTAAGCTCATGCATTATAAATCCTCCAATATTTCTTAAGAGAAGATATAAAGAAAGAAATTATTGAAAATCCTGAAAAAATAAACGAAGAAATTGATAATGAAGACGAAGATACAGCATCTGAAATCAGTTTTAAGACGACAAGCTCACAGAAAAAATATATTGAAGAACTTGAGCAGATGCTGAGAGAAGAAAGAATGGTAAACCTTATACAGTTACGTATTAAATTAGAAGAAGAATTGAAGAGTTTAAATGTTAATTAAATTTAAGCATAGCAAGCAATAAACCCCTAATTAAAATTTATTATAAATGAGCAGAAAACGATTATCCATAATTGCCCAGCATCTATGTTCTGCGGAATGATTAGCAACATACCAAGAAACATCTGATGGAGTAGCTATTATTACTATAAATCGTCCATCAAAGCTGAATTTCTTGAATAAAGAGATGTGAGATCAATTAAATTCTTATTTGTTGCAAGCTGAATCTAATCCTAATATCAAAGTCATAATACTAGCAGGAATTGGCAAACCATTTGCAAATGGAGAAAGTTTACCGGCTAAGGAAGAATTAATAGCGTCATCGTTATATATTGTTATATACTTAAATTATGATCAGAATTCTGGCCGGTATCCGATCAGAACGATCGAGCTCACCTGAGGATGCCAATAGGTGGCATTTCAGCTATTACGGACTCTCAAGGTTCTAGGGTCCTCCTCTCCAATTGTGTCGTAGCACGTGGACGGCCTGTGTCGTTAGAGTGCTCAGATTTGAGACTTGCTCACCACTTGCAAAATCTCAATCTTCACTGACTCTGCTCCAGTCTCTTTTCCTTGACATCTTCAAGACACCTGTGGCCAGGTTCTGCGGTAGGAAAGCCCTTCTAAGGGTCGAAACCCACCTACAGAGGGAAGGAAAGAATTAATAGCATCACCTGTGATTATTAATGACCCTACAGATAATTGATTTGGCCAATTAGCATCGATGAAAAAGCCTATAATTGCACCTGTTAATGATTATGTATGTGATGAAGATTTTGAAATCGCTATGATATGCGATATTGTTATTGCAAATAGCACAGCAAGATTCGTAATTCCAAAAAGTAAAATGAGGCTAATTCATGGGGCAGTCGGTACTGAAAGTTCAGTCAAAACTGCGAGGAAGCTCCAAGTAACAGAGCTAGTTTTAGTTGGGGATGTTATTTCTGCTGATGAAGCTAAAAGAATTGGTCTAATTAATAAAGTTGTTGAAAATACTCTAGATGAAGCTATAACTGCTGCTAACTTCTCTCCATTAGGAAAGTTCAGCTAAAAAATTAATTTTTAAAAAAATCGGATTTTTCTAATGATTTTACTTGCTAATCAATAGATAGAGTAAGGAAACTGCGAGTAGCCCACTAGGTGATATCTTAACTGCCAAAAAAGCAATAAGTTTATATATGAAGCAAGTTTATCAGAAAGGATCATCTACAAATTATATATATTTAAATAAGCAGAAATAAAAAGATATTGATGAGATAAGGGGTCTTTTAAATATCTATATAAGCTTAAACTATTTCCATGCTATTAATATGTTTACGTTAAACATGTTTATGAATATAAACAAATTTTAAGTCGCAATGAAAACTTATTCAACATTTTCCTTTTTGAGGTTGAAAAATATAGTAAGTCGTTGGGAGAAGAAAGAATGCTATATTCTATATAGAAATTTCTTAAATTAGAAAAAAAAATTGTCTATTAAAAATTAAATGAAAGCAACAAAAAAGCATATTGAAATGATTTATTAAAGATATGAATGCAAAAAGATTTGCCACAATTGCACAGCATCTATGCTCAGCTGAGAGACTAGCAATTTACCAAGTGATATCAGACAGCATAGCAATTATTACAATAAATCGTCCATCAAGATTAAATTCTTTTAATAAAGATGTGTGGGATCAATTAAATTCATTTTTTCGACAAGCAGAATCCGATCCAAATATCAAAGTTATCATTATAACAGGGGTTGGCTTTAATGAAAGAATTGACAGCGTCATCAATAATTGTGAATAATCCAGTAGATAACTGATTTGGTCAACTATCATCGATGAAAAAACCTATAATTGCTGCTGTCAATGGATATGCAATTGGTGGGGGATGCGAAGTCGCTATGATGTGTGACATTATTATAGCTAGTAAAACAGCAAAATTTGCATTGCCAGAATCTAAAATAGGACTAATTCCTGGAGTAGGAGGCACTGAAAGGCTAGTCCGAACTGTTGGGAAATTTAAAGCAATGGAATTAGTTTTAACTGGGGATGCTTTTTCTGCTGTTGATGCAAAAAGGATTGGTCTTGTTAATAAAGTTGTCGATAATGCTTTAGATGAAGCTATTGGAATTGGTAGGAAAATTATAAATAGTCCACTTCATGCTATCTGCTCTGCAAAAATGGCAATAAATTTCTCCCTTGAAGTAGGGCTTTCAGAAGGACTCGAGCACGAATTATCTCTATTTAATTCAAGCGTTTCATTATAAAATAAAGATGAATCAAGAGATTAGAGCTCTATTTATATATCAAAATAAACTTATATTTTTTAATCATAATTATCAAAAACTTTCAAGGGTGGGCACTTATTTTCGAATTTTTATTGTTTTCTGGCTTTAATTTTCAAATTTTTAAAAATTACTGATGATAGAATAAAATATGGTAATTTTGATGAAGAAAATTTTCTGTTAATTGTCAGATTTATTAGCAGAGTGCTGGCCAAAAATGTGAGAAAAAATTAGAAAATTAAATTTTAAGCTTATTGAATTAAAAAAACTCAAGAACTATTTATTGAAGAAATTATAAAAATCAAAGATTTTAAGCAAGGCGATAGTTTATGTCTTATAATAAAAACATGAATAAAAACGTTAGACTTTTTATTTTCTCCATTTCAATAATACGCTTAAAATTCAACGTAATAAAAAACTAATATAAATGAAATACAAAAGACGCTATGGGAAAAAAAAGAAAGCTACAAGAAAGAGGACAATTTTAATTCCTTATTATCAAGCATCCTTAAAGGAAATTATGCAAGACCTTAAGATAATTGACTTCGAAAACCATCAATTACTGCCAAAGGAAGAGCCAAAACAAAAAATTAAAAAGCCAATAAAAATTACTGATGAAAAAGTTGCCATAGAAAGCTTAGTCATATTAAGTCAGTCTGCAGAGAAAACTGAAGCTCCAAAGCCTGAAATTCAACTGGCTCCTCGACCTCAACCTCAGCCTCAACCACAGCCACAATTCAACCTTCAGCAATTCTGGCAATATTATCCATATTTTCTCTACCAGAACTGCGCGTATAATATGGGCCAATTTGGATGGTATTATAATTAATTAGTTCATATAATTTGTAAAAATTGAGAAATTATCATATTAATAAAGAAATTTGTAACGTGCAACTTACGATTTTAAATTAGTTGTTTGGTCATTTATAAGAAAATCAATTTATTTATTATTTAAATGGTTTATTGTGTCGGTAAATTATTTACCTAAAATTAGAATTTTTTGAATTTTGTTTTTAATTTATTTATACACTGTGTATAAATAAATCTTTATTTATGCTTATTATTATTTCAAATTAAACTTAAAAGACTCTTAAAATCTTCTTTCATTAATATGGAATCAAGCGAAGATAGTAATCTCACACAAATGCTTCTTCGGAAAGAAAAAGAGCTGCAAAACCTGTCAAAGCTAAGAGTAGCTCAGCTTCAAGAGCAATTAACTTTAAAAGACCAAACCATTTATGATTTAGAATCTCAAATACGCAGACTCCATAATGACTTTAACTATAATTTAGCTTTAATAAAGCAGCGAGACGAAGAAATCGCTGATTTAGAGCAAAAAGTTTCTGAACTCTCCCACATACAAAGAGAAAAAGCTGATGGTAAAAGCTCAGCAAATATTTATTGATCACAAGATGAACAACCGCCAATGTCAGATATTCAAAGGGAATTATATCTTACTCCCCCTCCGTGAGTGAACAAAACCATTAGAAAAATCTCTATTTTTTGCCCAAAAACCTAAAAATTTTTTCCATAAAAAAATTTTGTTCACTCACGGAAGTGATGATTATTATAATGAAATCTCGAGCTTAATCTTAATCTTAATCTTAATTATATGTTATTGAGTAGCTCCCGGCCAGAACCGTAGGCCCTTTTCTTCCTCCTTTTGGTCGCCTCGCTTGCTTTCCTTGCCCTGCTCCCAGTGTACACCTAAGTGCCACACAGGCTACCACTCGGCTCCTTCCGGTCATGGGGCTTGGTCATGAAAATTCCGGAATTAGGCGGACTGGGTCACCATGCTCCACGTCGTCGACTAGGGTTAGAGCTAGGGATTAACTCCCTAGCTCTTATCGGCATCTGCTGTGCCGTCCGATTTGGGCACCAGCAGTCCCTAGAGGAAAACCCTTTTTTGTCCCATGTCCCGTCGGGACGATCAGAAAATCGTCATTGCTGGACTGGGAGGGAAACCTTCCGGACACAAATACCAGTACCTATACCAGACTTTTCCCTGAGTGGATTGGCTTCAGGCCGCAGCAAGGTCCCCAATCACACCACAGGTTCGGGAGAGGGACGGGTCGGTGTCTCGCCATTTTATTTGTGTATGAAATCTCGAGCTAATTCTATTTAATTTTAAACAAATTACGTCTTAAAACATAAATTTTACAAATTAAATTCCAATTTTTGCGAATTAGGATTTTTTTAATTTCGAAAAAAAAAATTTTTCTATAAAATTTATATATAGAACTTTCTCTTCAATAGCACGATAAGGCGCATTAGGTTTTACCGAGGGTGTTGGACATATGAAAACCTGCTATTCCTTATTCATGGGGGAGAGACAAACAGCCTAAATAAAGAATTCTGCCTGATCAATCTCGAGAACTTGAAGAGAGGCTGTGTGGAAAATTTACATTTTGGTTCATCAAATAGATCTGACGAGCCAATTCTAGCCAGTACTTGAAATAAAAAATGAATTTTATTAATTTTCTGATGAAGAGTATGATCAGAATTTTAATAATTCCCTTTTGACAATAAAATTCAAAATTCAAACTTTTAATAGAAGATTTAAAGAGATAATTAAATCGTTAAGATAACGTAATGAATACTCTTTGCTGCCTTAGGTAGAAGATGCCCAGTAATGATTTTTATAATTTGACTTTTTTCATAGTGACTTAACCATCTTAATAATTTTTTTAAAAATTCAAAATTCAAACTTTTAATAGAAGATTTAAAGAGATAATTTAAGCATAAAGATAACGTAATTAATACTCTTTACTGCCTTAGGGAGACGATGCCAGTAATGATTTTTAAAATTTGACTTTTTTCATAGTGACTTAATTAATTACTTGATCCTGTGCCATTTATTAAAATTCTGATCATACTCTTCATCAGAAAATTAATAAAATTCATTTTTTATTTCAAGTACTGGCCAGAATTGGCTCGTCAGATCTATTTGACGAACCAAAATGTAAATTTTCCACACAGCCTCTCTTCAAGTTCTCGAGATTGATCAGGCAGAATTCTTTATTTAGGCTGTTTGTCTCCCCCATGAATAAGGAATAACAGGTTTTCATATGTCCAAGACCCATCAGTAAAACCTAATGCGCCTTATCGCGCTATTGAAGAGAAAGTTCTGTATAAATTTTCTCAACAAAAAAAAATTAACCCCCCCTCCGTAGCGAACAAGATTTTTTTGTTCGCTCACGGAGGGGGGAGTTAGGGAAGAAGAGCTAAAACAAGTCAAGCAACAATTGGAAGCACTACAGCAAGGTGAAGAAAATAGTGATTTTTATTTGGAAAATGAGCTGGATGAAGCAAAAATTGAAATAAATGAGCTTAAAATAGAACTGGAAAATGAAAAAGCAAAATCAAAAGAGTTTGAAGAAGCATTGAAAGATGAGAGAATTGCTTTTGAAAACGAAAGAAATGAAGTTTTAAAGCAGTTTTATGCAACTAAAAATACACTAGCTTCTCTTGAAGAGAGAGTGAACAAGAATAAGCTGGATAGTGATAGAGATAAAGAAGATCTATCACAAAAGGTATTTGAAATTTCAAAAGAAAGAGATGATTTGGCCCAAAAGCTTGAAGAAATGAGCATGAAGCATAAAGAAGAGATAAGCAAGTTTGAAATGACGAAACAAATAAGATACGAAGAAATCGACTCCCACCAAGACATGATAAACAGAATGCAGGAACAGATAAAGCAGGTACTTGAAGAAAATGCACGATGCAACCTAAAAATTGACCAAACAAACAGTAAAATGCTAGCAAGAGAGAAAGAACTATCCCAAGAAATATATGAGCTAAGAAAAGAACTCACCTACAAGCTTGAGCAGTTAGAAAATATGGAAAACGCTTTAAAGCTAAAGAACACAGAAATAGACACAACAAGAAGCCAAATTGATCACTGGAGAACTCAAGCACAAACAAAGTCAGGAGAAGCTTTTAAAATGAAACAATTAATGATAAAAGCTGAAGAAAAAGCAGAAAATTTAGAAAAAGAACTGAGAAACTACAAAGATTTTCATGTCCAAAAATTTGAAGCTGAGCTTGAAGAGCAGCGGAAAGAATTGCAAAATAAAATCAATCAAATGGATTATGGGCATAAAAATAGAAATGAAGAGCAGAGGCTTTTGAGAGAAAAAGACTATGAAATAAAACTGCTGCATGATAAACTGGAAAGCATGAGCAAAAGTACGCATGATTTTGTAGATTATCAGACATTTTTAAACGAGCTTGAAAGAGCAAAAGATGAAATCTTCACAAAGGATCGAGAAATTGCGAGACTGAATAAATTAGTTGAGTCAATTAAAAAAGAAAGAGATAAAGCTATATTAGAAAGAGAACAGTTTAGAGATGTTAATTGTAGACTAATTGCTGATACTCCACAATCTGAGTCAACTGTTTTGACCCAGAAACTTCAAAAAATTGAAGACCATATTGGTTTGCTTTCTACCGATATTATGGCTATAAAAAGGAATAAAACATATTTTCAACAGCCTTATCAGCCTGAAGAGCCCAAACGGAGGCCTTCAGAAAGTATGTCAGAATATGAGCCTGAAAGAGATTGGAACACTGTTAAGACAGCAAAGTCAAATAAAATTCAGCAAGTAAAGTCAAATCTGAATAAGAAATTCAATATGACAAGTTTTAAATAATTTAATCGAACAATTTAAAGATAGTTATAAGATGTCGCTTCTTCTATTGGAGCTTTTGTCATTTCACTCCATAAAAATCTTCCCAACTGTAAGCATATATAAACTGCTGCAAGATTTAGCAATACTTTTACTATAGACAAATCTTCTTCAGGCTCATCGCCTCTTCCAATGAAATACAGCAAATGTTGCACCAATGCATTGAATTTGTTTCTCAAATAAATAAGCACTGTTTTGACTCCAGCTGATCCTCAGCTTTTAATTCTAATTAAGGCTTCCCAAAAAACTCCCATAGAATGCATGCTGTTTTCAATAGTCTCAGCAGTAAAACAAAGCGAGCTGACTAATATAGAAAACCTTTCAATTGCAATCATCCCTTTTGATGGAGGCTCACCATAGGCTCCCATTCCCATTCCATATCCTCCCATTCCTCCGTATCCTCCATATCCTCCCATTCCCATCCCCATTCCTCCATATCCGCCATACCCCATTCCCATCCCCATTCCTCCATATGAAGAGTACATTCCAGGTCTATACATTGATGAGTAAGGTGACGACGACATCATAGGTCTCCTTGCATATGTATTATTGCCTAATGCATTAAGAGTTGCTCCATTAGCTGTGGTTATGTTTCCAGATATTTGATTATTTGATGCGTTGGGCATTAATGCTGGATTTAAATTTGGATTAGTTTGGTTCGCAGTAATTGCTGGGGCAGGTGTAGCTGGAGCAGCAGACATCGTAGAGATTGGCTGTGTCGGAGGTTGGGTTTGAACTCTTGGACGCTCCCAAGGTTTAGGTGGTGCTGACATATTAAATTTCTAGACAATAACTCAGTATAGATTTTTATTCAATATATCTTATTCAGGTTTTTAATTATATCGCAAAATTAATCAGAAGCTGGGGTTGAATTTTTAATAAATTTCATAATTTTGTTCTTTATCAATGGCCCAGTGTAATCTCCTATTGATTGTCCTTCCTTAAGAAGCACTAATGATGGGAAAGACTTCAAGCTCATCTCTTTGCAGGCTTGGTCATTTTCTTTACAGTTAATTTCTCCGAATAAAATCGGGCTTCTTTTCTTTTCTTTTGATTTTCTTGCTACACTCTTAATTTCTTTTATTTCCTCTTCTTTTTCATTTTGGTAGCAATAAAGAAGCATTAATCTGTTTGGAACCTTTCCTAATTTCACTAACTTTTCAGGAGTCATAGATACTACGTAATTTATCTCATCTACTTCAGGGTATCCAAAATATTTCCTTAATTTGTAATAGTAGCCTTGGTGCTCAAGAAAATAGTACCCAATTACGAACATCGAAATATATGGATACTTGTAAGGAGCTTTCATGTTGATTTTATTATTAAAATAGCTAATAATATATATGCCTTTAATTAGAGAAATTATTTGAAATGTGAAAATTGAACTATTAATGGCAAAAAATTCTTTCTAATAAGAGGCATTAAGAATTAATGTTCAACGCTACATAAAAATTGGAAACAATCACAGAGTAAAAAAATTAATTAAAATTTAATTTTTATGACCTTAATCAAATGCCTTTATAAATTTTTTTGATCTTCACCATATACTTGAATATTACTATAGTTTCAAAATGAATCTATCAAAATAGCCATTTGAAAATGTAATTAAAATTCAGTTATGACAGACATTGATTTAAGCGATCTCGAAAGAGGACTTCATGATTTATTCGAGTATGCATTCGTCACAAACTGCAAACTAGATGATGCTGAAGTAACTCCAGAAGAAAGGCAAACTCTTGGAGAATTAGACTCATTAGAAGTTCTTGAAAATTTTAAAGACCTCATTCTAGAGCTCATCAACTTTAAGAAAAATCATAAAAATTCAGACGCCGCTGAACTCAACCAGCGTTGTGAACAATTTGAAAAAATGCTGCAAAAACTAGAAGCTGAAGTCAGAAATCATATCAGGGTTGAGCATCAATTAAAGCTTCATATAGAAATATTAACATTAACTATTATCAAGAGGCCCATCGTAATAGCTAGGGTTTCCCCCGCGCTCTACTTTCACCCTTCACGCTTCACCCGGTTGCTCACCACCAATCTATCACGACCTTCAAGGTGTTGCTCCTACTGGACGAGGATGTGCACTCGCTGCCCGTAGTTGGATGAGTTAGACCACCCAGCAGTACGTCAACAGAGGCTGCCCATTCCGAAAATTTGAAAAAAAGTTCTGGTTGGACTGTCGGCCAAAATGGAAATCCAAAGCCTGGGACGTAACGCCCAGTTTCACGTTAGGGAGTTGCTCGATTGATCAGGTGGTACCTTCCTGATGCTGCTGAGCTTCCCCTTTCCAACCTTGAAAGCCATTTCCCCTGAGGCAAAACCCCTGGTATCAGAATGAGCTGCGGTCGGCCTAATCCGGCGTTGTGCTCTACTGTACCAAGGAAAACCTAGTGGATACACATTCCGAGCGCCTTTCTCTCTACCACAAGGGTCCCCCGTGAGCGCAGGCTACAGATGTTGGGAAAAAGGGCTGGATCGCCGTCGCCCATTTTAATGTATATGCTTCATATAGAAACAAGTCAAAGCAAAGTCGATGAACTAGAAAAATCCAATGAGCAAGCCAACGCTAAAATCAAAAAGCTGGAAAATAAGCTGCTGAATCTTGAAAAAAACCCTAAGCAGAGGCATAACGAAAATAAGCCGAACAATGAGAAAACTTTGCCAAAGGACCTTTTTATTAGGAAGGATACAGAAGATAAAATCACAAAGCTGGAAGAAATTGCTGAAAAAAGAGAGAAATTTATACAAAAACTCGAATCAGAGTTTGCCACAACAAAGTCATTATTAGAAGAAAAATCAAAAGAGTGTGAAAAATATAAAAAAGAAATTATAAAACTTAAAGAAAAAGAGAAGGAAAAAAGCGGGGATTTTAGAGTGATAAATAATATTGACTATCTAAAGAAGAGGATTGAAGAAAAATCAATTGAGCTTGGAAAAGTTCAAATCAGGGTGAAAGATAAAACTGGTGAAAAATCTGCATTTATAAAAGAAAGAGGAAGAAACACAAGGGGATCGTTAGGGGAAATTGATTTGATGAGAAATGCATCACCAGATGGCCTTAGAAAAGAATTGACTGAACCTCCTCTTAGACATCATGATGATAAAAAAGGAAATGGAACTATAAAAAGACCAAGGAGCTCTTCAAGAGGGCACATTAGAAGTGCGTCTGATCATGCTCGTCCAAACAGTTCAAAAAGAGCGCCTTCGAGGTAAAATATGTATTAATTAAGTTTATTTTTTCTCCGACTAATTTGATTTACTCTCAAATGTGAGCCTGTTTTAAAGTCGCGCACAAAGCTGTAGAGATTTAAATTTTTGCAAGGTTTATTATTGTCTTCTGTACTTAAATATGATAAATAAAAATATTCCTAATTATTAATCATTATAACTTACTATTGTAAATAGGATGATGGCAAACAGTATAAATGATTATAATCGTTCTAGTTCGGTATAATTTTTTTACCATATTGATGATTCTTACATTTTCGCTTCAATTTGATATTTTCTGACAAAAGCTCAATGATCAAGTCTTTCAGCTTTTCAGTTTGATTATTATAAGACGTGGACTGGCTAGAATTCGAGTATAATGAGTTATGTAATTCCATATTTTTTCTGGTTCTTTGAATAGATGGCCTTAAGTTATTATCTTCTTCTAATGAAAAATGATGAGATTGCTTATCCAAAGAAATATTGGATAAGCTTCTTTGATAAATTTTATCTGTATTGCATACTTCAGAAGTAGTTAAATCATTCATATTAATATGAGTTAAAGTTTGTCGTTTTTGATTTTTTCTATTATAATATTTCAAGGCTTCGCCTCTGTTAATAGTTCCCGAAAGTCTATCAATTAGCTCTGCTTCTTCACAATTAGAAACGTGAATAGAACCATTTGATATTTTTTTCTTATCAGCCATTATATATTTTCATATTTTCTAGCAAAGATAATAAATATGTGTGTTAAATGAATGATAAAACATCAATTATTTATGATAAGGTATTTGATAATATCAAAAATTTTGATAAAAATGATTTGTGTCCTATATAATATTTTATTTTTCCATTAGCCACTACCTTTTAACTTAACCCTTAATTCTATTTCTTAGTCATATCAATTCATCCATATAATTTTTACAAATTAGTAAAGATCGCTTAATGTGATTGGCAATCCGATTCTTTTATTGCATATATAACAACTTAATCTTCCCTGATTCTTGCATAACTTTATAAATGAACTATGGAGCGTACTTCAATAGACAACGAACTTAATAGTACTCGTGACGAAGAAGACGAAGACCTTTCAAGTCTGATTCACTCTTGGCTATCCTACGACAAGTCCACCATAATGAATTTTTTGTCTATTGTTTTGGCTTTAATTTTAGCCTGGATTTTAAACCTATTTTCCCATTTTTTTTAACTTTTTTTTTTAATGATCAAAAATTTTATATTTTACTTATAGACTAATGATTAAAAATTATCTCAAAATAATTAATATTAAAATTGCTTTACAAGTAACTAGACATAAATTTGCTTCAAAAAATTAAACAAGAAATATAGGTCAAAATAAATAAGGTCTAAAATAAGCAAAAAAAATCTGCCAAAATAAACATAAAAAATTATGGAAATATTTAAGACCATTGCAAAAAAATTAGTCCGAAAAACTTTAGGTTAAAAAGCTAGTTCAAAAAGTCTTTTGGTGTAGATGACTCTTGAAGCAATCACTCTTATCCAAACAACAAAAATGAGGTAGTCGAAGTGTCTCCTAAAGGAAGATTTTTTAGAGTAAATTTTTACATAGTTTAATGATCTCTTAGGATCTGGAGCCTATAAAACTGTATATCGAGGGCTGGACAATGACCAAGGGTGTGAAGTTGCCTGAAACAGTATCAGTGTTAAAAATCTACCTGCTGAAGATAGAGCTCAAATAGCCGAAGAAGTCAAATTAAATAGGAGACTTAATCATCCTAATATTGTTCATTTCATATCAGCCTGGACAAATCCTAATAAAGAAGAGCTCGTCTTCATTTCTGAGATCGTCACTGGAGGATCACTACGACAATACTTAAAGAAGATAAAATTTCCAAGGTTAAAAGTAATCAAAAGCTGATGCAAAGGAATTCTCCAAGGTCTGCAGTATTTGCACTCACAAAAGCCTTGACCGATAATACACAGAGATCTGAAATGTGATAATATTTTCATCATGTCTAACACAGGAGATATAAAAATCGGAGATTTTGGTTTATCTACAATCATGAGAAGCAAATTGCATACATCAGTATTAGGAACTCCAGAATATATGGCACCTGAGGTCTACGAAGGCAGCTATGATACGAAAGTCGATATTTTTTCGTTCGGAATGTGCGTCTTACCCGCCTAAACGTGAGCGAGTAAGCCATTGGAAAACCTACTTTTTTTTCGAGAAGTCCATAAGAAAGCAAAAATTTTTTAGAAAAAATTTTTAATATATAATTATGCCCTATCATTGAGGCTCTCCAAACTTTAAAAAAAAATAATTGATATATAAATGATAAATTATTAGACTATTCTATTTAATTTCAAATAGCTTGCATTTCAAATAAAATATTATAATTATTTTTTTTTTACGAACTTTCAAAAAAAAAATAATTTTAAAAAAAATAAATTAACCCCATGATCGAGCGAGAAAATTTGCCCACTCACGAAGAGGGTTAGAAATGTGCACACTTTCAGCACCTTATAAAGAGTGCAAAACCCCGGCAGCCGTCTATCGAAAAGTTATGTCACGAATTATGCCTGAATCCTTGAAAAAAATTCAAGACGACGAAGTCAAAAAGTTTATTACACTATGCTTGGAAACAGCTGATAAGAGGCCAGCTGCAAGCGAGCTCTTAAATCACTCATTTTTAGTAATAGATGAAGAAGACCCTAGAGTGCATCAAGCTGTTCTGCTTGCTAATGAAAATGACGAAGTCTTGCAAAATCTTCAAAATAACTTAATTTTGGCAGGAAATATTGCAAATGAGCCAGAGAAGAACCTTGTAGAAAGCTCTTTGATAATCAAAGACAACAGAGGAGCACTTAGACAGGTGACTTTTCAATTTGATTTAAATTCAGACACACCTGAAAAAGTGGCCGAAGAAATGGTTAGAGATCTTGATCTTGATCCAGCCTTAGCCATCCCTATTGCAAATGAAATTGAAATTCTAGTATTTTCAAACACAAATTCTAAAAATTTATGCTCAGAATGTTATTTTAAAGAAAAAAATTGCCCAGAAAAAAATGAGGATATATGTAAGCATGTCAACAATCGAGCTCCTATATATAGCAATAGAAAAGTTTCGATATCGGCTCCAGAAGATGTTAGGATTAGCCAGAATTCTTTAGAAAAAGAACAATCCGAACACACATTAGATGATTTATTACAATTAGATAATACAGATTTTAATATTTATAGCAAAGAATTACCACCGATCAATGAAGAAGTCCAGCGACCTTTTAGAGGGGCAATAAGAAAAAGATCAAAAATAGGAAACGACAAAGAAAACGTGATGCTATTGCAACAAGCGCTGTCAGCAGTACTCCGAACACGAATAAAAATGGACGGATTTTACGGAGAAAAATGCGAAAATCAAGTCAAGAAATTTCAAGACAAAATTGGATTAGAACCAAATGGTATCGTCTCAGAAGAATTATGAAATAGATTAATGCTTGAATATAGTAAAGTATGCGAAGAAGATTCAGATTAAATCGTCTTCTAAAATTTAATTCTAATCAGGATTCTATTTACATTAATTATAATTGAAATGCGAATTAATTAATTTACTCGAGATACCAGGACTGTGGAAAACCTGCGGCATCTCTTAATTTTGTGTTAAAAGGTGGACGAATTTGTAGTTTAAAGGCTGAAAGGACACTTTTATATACTTCTTTTGGATTATCCCCTGCAAAATGAAGAAATCATTTAAGCCCAATTTTTACATGTGAAACTTCTTCAGAAATAATTTTCGACAACAGCAATGCCGAAGTTTTATCCGTGTTCGAGCTTTTCAATTTATTTATAAGGCGATCATGAGAATCCAAAGCTCTTCCTTCACTAAATAGAGAAGTAAGCACAATTCTTGCACAAATATCAGCTGATGTCTTCTTTGAGTAAAAATAAAGAGCGTCATTGCATGGGATTGAGGGAAATGAATACCCTAAGCTTTCCATCCTAGTTATAATTAAGCCAAAATGATGCGATTCTTCGCTGGCAATTTGAGCAAAATCATGGTAAAATTCATAGGGAGCATCTGGAATTGAAAGAGTGTCTCAATACATAAAAATTGCCATCAATTCAATATAAGCTGCTGAATGAAGAAGGCTGTGCTCAAGCGGGATTTTTAGCTTTGGTTTAGCTGTAAAAGGGTTAATAAACTCAAGATTTTCAGGGAAAACTCATTCATTTTCCACTTTTTCGCCAAGCTGAAGCTTATTTGTTTTGATTTGCTCAAAGCCTTGCCTCGAAAGTGACAATTTTGTAGCGAGATCTGGTGCTTTCAATATTCCTGAGACAATTTGTCTTATCTCATATTGGTCATTTTGCTTATGGCCTTTTCAATATGGAAAAATTCCATTGTCAGAAATATTTAAGTCGAAAAAAAATTTATTAAATTAAAATAGCATTCGAAAAAAATATCAGTTAGATTTATTGTATGAGACATCGATGACTTTTAAAATATTTCCATTACATTCCCATGATTTATCATTAAATTCAATTTTATAAAATAAATTAGCTACTTACGAAATAAAAGCTCGTCTTGCAGGTTGAAGTACCTTTGCAGTTCACTTGGCTATAATTTTTATCAAAGCAAAATCTGACTTCTTTGAGATAACTTTTTGAATTAATGGTGGAGCATGTTGTATCAACCGTATATTTAAGTGCCTTTATAAAAGCGTCCTTTGAGACTTCTGAGGTGCCTGGCTTGACTCCTCCTGCGCTTAAAGTGCTGAGAATGTTTAATTGTTTATAAAGGGCTACTCCTTTGTCGAAATATGAATTGCATGGTATAGAGGGAGTAATGCAAGTCCCATGTTTTGTCCATTCATGGGTCCAGAAAGTTTTGGAGTCTCCATTATTTGATTGCCAGTATTTTTTAAGTTCTGTTTCTGTACTTGTAGTGATGTTTAATGGCGAATTAGGGCTAGGTTAGGCTAATTAAAGAATAGAGCTTATTTCACTGAAAAATGCCTTGAATTTTTTTTTCCAGCTACGAGCGAATCTCTCTGGGATATGTCAGCATTTCCATCAGAGATAGCTTATTCCGGTTTCTTTATTCTTTCTCTAAGTCTCGGAGCACACTGCTTAAGGACTTGGCAGCTGCTGCTTAAACGACTGGAGTTACAACTAGTGATAAATCCCTAGCCACTATCTGTATCAACTAAGCATTCGTCATCACCATTAGTGCCTCAAGTAAAAAGTTTCTTCGCAAATACCCATCGGGAAGACACACAAAGTCTTCATTACCGGATAATGGAGGTAAATACTACCGAATGGCTAATTAGGGACACAGTCTTGAGGGTATGTGCCGGACCAATTTTCAGGCCAAAGTCCGTGGATGTTGAAGTTAGTTGATAAGTACCCACTTGGGCAAGATTTATTAAGGCAGTCAGTTGGCTTCCATTGGACTACAAATAAGTAATACTCATAGCTTGCAGTTAAATCAAACGGAAAAGATGCAAGTGCAACTGAAATAAGCAAAGCCGCAATAATTCTCATTATATAATGGGCGAAAAAATTAAATTGATAAATAGCATTGCCAGATTTCTAAATAAAGATAGATAAAGCTTTCAAATTTGCTCTCCATTTTTGAGTTATTTATTATCACAGAAAATATGAATTTTATGCTATATGAGGCTCATATTTAGTCATCTTATTTTATTTGATTTTATAAGTCAAGTATCAGCACATAAATAAAACCTAAAACTATATCTATTTTTAATAGCCTTACAAAATCATTGAGAAACGAATTTTTTTAAACGTTATTGAAAATTAAAAACCATGTTTTCTATCTCCAAGAAGCATCTTAATTCTCAATCTCCTAGCTCCCCATCCAGAGTGAACATAATATTGGGAAAAATCCCTATTTTTAGGTCAAAACCCTGTTTATGAAAAAATATTTTGACATATAAGTGAAATTATTATAATAAATTGCAATTTAATTTTTAATCAGCATGTATTTTAAACATTAATTCACAAATTAAATTAATATTTTCTTAAAATTAAGATTTTTAAATTTTGATGAAAAAAATTTATTATAAAATTTGTATATAACTTTGGAAAAAAAATTAACCCTTAACAAAAATTATTTTGCTCTCATAAAGGGGTGGAATAAGGGAGCAGAGTATTCCATTTCATCAAATAGAGATTTTCCTCTGAATCCCCAACTCAGAAATAAGCAAATTCTTGTTATTTGGGAGATTTTTTGCACAATATTTTCAAATAGTAAATTTTATATTTGTAAATCGAATATTGTTATTCCCCCCACCTTTAATTGGACCATAAATTATGTTTTAATTTAAGGGGTTTAATTATTTTTGACAAATAAATTTATATTTAAAATTTTTAAAATCTAAAAAATAAGTTGAGGGCAATACTTTAATTTTACGAAGAAATGATTAAAAAATTAATTGATTCAGTGTGAAAACTGTTTAAATAGTATTCTACTACTCCACTTTTTTCCATTAATAAAGTTTTCCTATACTAAAACAATATTGCTCCAGTTAAAGGGGCGAAGTTATTATTTGTGGTTTGTTGATAAAAGTGATTAGTAAAAAGTTTTCCTTCTTAATTTTAATAAAAAATAATTTAAAATGTTTGATATAAAGTAACTTGATATGTTTGATAAAAAATAATTTGATATATTTTATACAAATCTGATCTGAGTTTAATAAATTGAATTTCTGATAAAAAATTTAAATTCTGTCAAATAGAGATTTCTTTAGATCAAGGACCTGAATGAGTTTTAAATTGTGATAGCTAACCAAAGGATTTGCTTTTCAATATTCTATTGGTTCCTTCATCTTAAAATTCTTTTTCCATTTCCAATTTCTTCAATTCATGCAATCAGCATTGGTAGCACACTGAAGCATTGATAAAAACGTGGCTTTCATCATCTATAGTAGATAACGGAAAATTAAATATTTATCCTCAATTATAAATAGTTTTTTCATATATTCATATATAATTTATTTTTGAAAATTTTTGAGTAAAACCCCACTAATAAGCAAGAATTTGCTTATTATTGGGAGGGAGATAAGAGGATTTCAGAGGCAGCACAGGAACAGCACAATTTCTCACCATAACTCAGTCAAAGCGTTTAATTATCGAGATTCAAGTCCTGCCTTATTAAATTCAAATCATTATGGAGGAGATGTATCAGTCAATACTCCTCTCATTGTCCCGAAAAAATACTCCATAGCAATAACAAACTACACTCTCACTGAAAATCCTGAAAAATCAATAAAAAATGACTCCTCGAAGCTGTCCCTTATAATTAACAAAACCGAGCCACCAAGCCCTTCAAAAGAATTTATATCTACTCAAAACACGAATTTATTAAGTAGCTCTAAGCACAACACTTATATCGCTATTTCTTCTCGAAATATTTTCAAAAAAGATCACTTTTTCAAAAACAATGATTTTCCGAGAACTTTTGCAAACGATTTTGAGCTTAAAGGATACAAGCTATCAATATCACAATTGCGAAAAAATTTACAGTTTGAAAGCTCCAAGCTATATAAAAGTCAAAAAAATCTCAATAATATTCATCTTGAACCATTGGGTAAAGCCAACGAACTCATTAAAGAAGATACTACATCAAAATTTACTTCCCCAGCAGCTGCAGGAAGCTCTAGACCTGATACCGGTGAAACAGATGGAGCATCAATTCAGTCACTGAGCTATGGACAATCATTAATAAATAAAGAGCCGACTTTAAATGAAATGATAGAAAAAGATGATAAAATGGTGAATATGCTATTTCGCTAGCGAAATTTCCTCTGCTTAGCTCATTTTATGATTATGAGATTCGGTTTTCCCCGAGAATCCTTATTCACTATATCAGGTGAGCAATGAGAGAGATGCACAGCCTCCATGCCTGGTCCTTCTTGTGCTTGAGAATCTTAGGGTTTTATTCGCTTACTCCCCCCCCCCCTCCGTGAGTGAACAAAACCATTAGAAAAATCGCTATTTTTTGCCCAAAAGTGAGTGAACAAGAATTTTTTATGTAAAAAAAATTTGAGATATAAGTGATAATTAGTATAATGAAATCTAGAGCTGATTCTGTTTAATTTTAAACGAATTGCTTTTTAAAACATAAATTTTATAAATTAAATTAATATTTGCTTTCAATTTTTGCGAATTAGGATTTTTTTTAAATTTCGAAAAAACAAATTTTTTATAAAATTTATATATAAAATTTTTTAAAAAAAAAAATTAACCCTCCTCCGTGAGTAAACAAAATTTTTTTGTTCAGTCACGGAGGGGGGGGGAGTAGCATATTCGAGAAGGGTAACCTTTAAGCGAAACATGCGCAGGAGCTGAACAACTCGTGAAGACAAGGCATTGAGCGAGACGTTCAGTCAGATTGATGACTCTTTGTTTTGGACTGATCTCCTATATCTCCTATATAATGAGTCATTTTAATTGACAGAGGTGGCCTCTGGATCACTATTTCTAGCTAATCCTTTACTAGGAGTGTCAGTAGACACGACTCTATAAGTGCCTAATGAAAATTTGTAACTAATCATTTGAATGATAGAAGAAATGAGCTCAACATCAGACGTGACCAAATATCATGAATTTAAATTCAAGCTGATGACTGAAGACAAATTTTACAAAGATATCAATGGGAATATAAGAAAATGAAAAGCTGGGGATACTTTAGGAAATGGAAGCTATGGGAATGTTATAAAAGCTTTTGATGTAGAAACAGGAGAAATATTTGCTGTTAAACGGCTGTTTTTTAATAAAGAAAACCAATTCCAAGCAGAACTTGTAGACTCTATTGACATTGAAATCAATATATTGAAAGATCTTTCGCATCCAAATATAGTGAAATACTTAGGTTGTGAAAAAGTTTATGATACTTTATGCATATATTTCGAGTATATGCCAGGAGGATGCTTATCCAGGCTACTTTACAATCTGGGTCCTCTTCCTGAAGATGTAGTGAAAATTTATTTAAAACAGATTTTGTCAGGGCTTATTTATCTACACTCTCTAAATATAATATATGCTATATATAGCTTATAGTGCTTGAAGTAATAGTTTATTGACTTATTTATATAAATAAGTATATATTACATAGAGATATTAAAGGAGCAAATATTTTAATAGATTCAGAAGGAACGCTCAAGTTAGGCGATTTTGGCTGCTCTAAAAAATATACAACGACAAATGATTCTGGATTTTTAACAAGTGCCAAAGGAAGTCTGCCTTGGGCTACATATCTTTCCTTGGGAAATTTTCCTAGCTATTGGGTTAAAACTTTTTCCGTAAGACATTTACTCACTTTTCTGATAAGAAAAAGTCTCGTCCAATAGTTTCAACAAAATTGACTTGGGGGAAAAAATCAATGCTGTACCTGGATGGCTCCTGAAGTAGTTAAGCAAAGTGGCTATGGCAGAAAGGCTGATATATGAAGCATAGGATGCCTTACATTAGAAATGCTGAATGCAGAACCACCTTGGAAAGGTCATGATAACTATATAGTTGTTATGATGAAAATTGCAATGACAGACGAACTTCCAGTTTTCCCTGCTAGTATATCTGCAACAGCAAAGGACTTTATTATGGTCTGTCTACAAAAAGATCCTCATAAGAGACCTTCTGCAGAAGAGTTGATGTGTCACCCATTTTTATCATAATTAATGTTTTGATTATCAATTAATTATTTTATTTTGTTTTGCTATAATCAAATATTCTTAATGATAATATAAAATCATAGCTCATTTTCTTTTTTATTTCAAAAAATTTTAAATAAACTTAAATTTAAAAGTTACCACTTTAATGAAATAATTGATTTTCACATAAAGATGGAAGGAAGAGAAGAATTCAAAGCTCCAGCACCACCAGCAAACTTGCAAGCTCCAAAGAGAACTTATAAATTTGCAAACAAAGCCAAGAAGGAAAGAGGAGCAAAATCTCACATTGATTTTATGAGGATGGCAGACAGTGCTGAGAATCCTTTTGGGATAGACAGGAGTGCTGGCTTGAGGCATTTCACAATGGAAGAAGTTGAACAGCACAATAAAGAAGGCGATGCTTGAATTATTTTGAATGAGAAAGTTTATGACATGACTAAATACATAGACTATCACCCAGGAGGGTCTATTATCATGCAAGCTGCAGGAAAAGATGGAACAGCACTTTACAACAGATACCACCCGTGGGTCAGTGCAACTGCTATACTAGGAAAATTTCAAATAGGAACGGTCACAGTCAGAAGGAACTTCTTGATTTAGATATTATAACTTTTTTCAAATTATTTTAATAAAATGATAAAAAATGCCACAAAAGTAATTGCTGGGCTAAAGCAAGAAAGGTTGTCATCATCTATTATCCTATGTAGACCCCATAATAACCATTTCCAGGTCCTTATGATTAAACGTAAATCTTCTATGAGTTTTTCAAATGCACTAGTTTTTCCTGGTGGGGCTTTAGAAAAGTATGACACAGATCCAAGATGGGCAAATATTATCGAAACCCCTTCAGAAGAAATTCAGGAAACTGCTTACTCACAAAAAATTGACTTAAAATCCTTAATGATTGGAGCAATCAGAGAAACCTGAGAAGAAGTTGGAATCCTGCTTGCGAATAAGACTATCTCAAGAACACAAACAGGAGAAGAATTTTTAGAGTCATGCTTAAAAGAAGGCTCGAGGCCTGAAATCGAGAAACTTCACTACTTTAACAGATTGATCACTCCGCTCAATATGCCAAATCGATTTGATACTGTATTTTTCTTGGCAGTTTTAGAAGCTGATCGAGAGGTCCAACTCGATACAAACGAAAGTGACTATTACTTGTGGGCTGAGCCTAAAGAGTTTATTAGCAAGCATATTCAAAAAGAAATTATTCTTTTCCCGCCACAGGCTTGTGCATTATCAACTTTGTCGAAATTCCAAAATCTGAGCCATGTTATTGACTATACAAGGAGATTAAGAAAAATACCAACGTTGGTAGATCTTATTAATAATACCTATGCATATTTAATGGGAGACTATAGAAATCAGTATACTCCTGATCATTTCAAGCAGTCCAAAGGAATTCATTGTCTTGAGCTAGGAAAAACAGAGATTAGATATCAAGTATCTCCTGATGTAGAAAGTTTTTTAATGTTTCCTTCAGAAAGGCTATAGCAGTAGTTTTTTGGTAATTAATTATTACGTTTATTAGACTGATTCTCAACAGCTCTTATATAAATTAGCACTTATTACTGATTATACTCTATGAATCTTAAAATATTGTTGGCTAAGCTTAATTATACTAATAAATTCAGAAATATGGGATGTTGTTCAAATAGACCAATATTAAACGCGACTCAAAAAAAGTTAAAAAGTTTCTTGAATGTTTTCCACAAGTCAGAAACCTTAATTATTGAAAACAACCCAAATAACTCAACACCAGAAACTGATGAAAAAAATGAATCTTACAAAAAAGATTTCCTTGCTATTACATATGATTTCATTGATGACAGTGAAGATGCATTAGCGGAGTTTTACAATTTGACTGGCATAAAGCTAAGTTCATATGAAGATTTCTGCAGTAGAATAAAAATTTCTGAAAATCTTATCAAAAATCCTTCAGGGGAAGAAGGCTTTGAAAATTGGATTGCTGAAAATAAAGGAGAAGGGTGGGAAATTCAGAATGTAGGCTGCTATAAAGGTAAAAAAGGCGTCTTTGTTGCTTCATATGAGTGATCTTCATTGAAGCAAACAATAGATATCCCAGAAGGCAGTTGCCATCGTATTCTTTTAGTAGGAAGCCATATATGCAGAAAAGCAGAGTATGAATGTGAGGCTAAAATAAGGTTAAAAACATTTGAAAAAGGCTGCATAAACGAGCAAGAAATAAATTTCGATTGTCCTTACAAAGAGCCGATAATAGATAATTTTTGTGCATGGACAATCATGTCACTAAGTTCTGGAATAAGCAAGCAGCAGCAAACTGTAGAGGTAGTGTTCAGTGGAAAAGATAAATTGTTCGCTTCAGGCCATTTAGGAGCAAGGTTTGGGTTCTGCTTTGCGTATTTAATCGAATATCAAAATTAATATCTCTATAGGAGTGAATTATTTTATAGAGAGAAATAATTTAATTATTAGCAAGCTAAATTTAAAAGCAAATTCTCTAGGGAGAAAATAATTCCAATAGAAAAATAGAACTGAGGGGTATATTTATCAATTAAGAATCGAATTTTATTATAATTTAAAATGGCCGAAAGGAGAGCTGTGATTAAAAACGCGGATATGTCCGAAGAAATGCAACAAGATGCAGTTGACTGCGCAAACCAAGCCATGGAAAGGTTCAATATAGAAAAAGACATCGCCGCCTACATTAAGAAGGAGTTTGATAAAAAATACAACCCTACATGGCATTGCATTGTGGGCAGAAACTTTGGCAGTTACGTGACCCACGAGACAAGACACTTTATATATTTCTACTTAGGACAAGTAGCGATATTACTTTTTAAATCAGGATAAGCATTTATTTAAATAATTATTTGGCTAACTTTTTCTCAAAGCTGTAGAACTCGATTCAAAATTTGATTTATTTATAAGAAAAGCTGTTATAGCTAATTTATAGAAAGAAGCTAAACTGTTTGATATTTAAGTAAAGATTTACTTACCAGCGTTGTCTTCTGATTCCTGAAAGGCAGGCTTTATAAATATTTTCTGAACTGTCAGGGTCCATAAATGGGCTGACACGCAGATCTTTGATTTTATCCAGATCGACTTGAGTTTCTAGTGCTTCAGCCGTCATTCTTTTGCACATACTTTCTGCCTCTTTTCTGAGTTTAGGGACATTCACTCTGCCTTTTCCAAAATCGCAGCCTCTGTAGCAATAAAAGCGTGAGTTATTATAATATTCAAATGTTTCTTCGCAGGCAACGTAGCACATTCCACCTTCTTCAAAGCTTGGATATGAGGACATATTTTTATCCAATCCAATTTGAGTGATAATATTTGAGATATTTAGATATACCTAATTACTATGAATAAAGGATTCATACTGATTAGCGTTATCATATTTTACATATGAAAATAGAATAAATTTACCGATAGCTATGCTTTTATTAATTAAAATTTGATTAATTTTGCTTTCAAATTAAATTATATTAATTTAAAAATAGATGGAAATTTTCCTTATTGCTATATAATAAATGCATATAAGATTTATTCAATTTTTACTTAAGCAGTCAGCTTGAAAATATTGAATCGTTGTATTTTATATCTTAAATATGAAATCATTTGAATTAATTATATTCCGAAGCTTTCAGCCGAAAAAGAATAATGGAGATGCTAAAAAATAGGAAATCTGCTAACTCTTCTTTCCCCTTACTAACGAGCAAAAAAATTTGAAAAATTAACTAGTAAAAAATTATTTTTTAATAAAAATTTGATAGAATTAATGATGATGATAATACAATTTCTAGATAATTCTTAAGCTAGCTTTCTAAAACATAAAATCTATAAATTAAATTATTTTCCTTATCAATTTTGCTATTTTAGATAGTTGTAGAAATCAGAAAAAATTAATATATTTTTTTATACAACCAAGGGGGAGTATGCTAGACTTCTAAATTTAGAAGGAAAGTATGGCTTTTAGAAAAGCTCACAATTTCCTATTCAAAGATAATTTCAAGCAAGTGTGCCGTTCAGAAGTCCTGCTTTCTTCTTAACTACACTTCTTGAACGAGATAAAACTAAAGCAAATTATCTCTTCTACTGCTTCTTCCAACCAAAATTCTTCAAACTTTTCCCAAGGATTCTGAAAACCCTCTATTCTCTTTTCCTCCTAATAATTCAAATTTTTTCACCCCAGTTGGTCTCCATAAGTGACTTATAAAAATGTCCATGAGCATAAGTAAAATCCTTTCACAGGCTTAGAAATAAAATAGTGGCGTTGTCTGAAATTGGACTCTCAGGAGCACTCCCTGTGGAGCAGCGGACCCGTCCTGATGAAGCTGAAAACAGGGTTTCTTTCCCTTTTTGAAGAAGGCCTTCAGGCTTGGGATACCGAAGAATGAAGTTTTGCTTCTTCCTCGAAGATTCTCCTGCTTGTGTCAGATGGGCTTAAAGGTTTTGCCTTCCACATAGTCTTCTCTTGTCCGGAATATCGGGCCACTCTACAAATAGTGACTCTACCCTATGGAGCTGATCCCTTGGACATGGCTCAGATCGGAAATACAAAATGGCAGTCTTCCATTCTCCTCATTCGACCTGTGAGGTCTGTGGAGGTTGTCCTTTTGAAGCCAAAACGAGGAATAGGCTAGTGGGTTTGCTCACTAGCCATTTAACAAATTAATTATAATTCCTCAGGTTTAATGTCGAAACCCATTTGACACCACTCTTAATGAAATTTTAGCCACTAAAAAAATTAGATTTCCTAATATAAAATAAATTAGATGGGTAAGCTACAAACCTTTCTCGAAGAATTTAAAGCTGCTTTTTACAGTGATGACGTAGAGTGCCAACTTCGAGTTCACGAAAAGCTCGAAAATCACTACCATCATCATCCTAATCTCCGGAAAATCTCCCAGAAGTGTGCAGAGTATCAAAAGTTCCTTGAAGAAATAGATTGCTATGACATGTGTCTTGAATTGCTATTAAATAACGACTGAGATCTTGAGTATGAAGGCAACGATATTCTTGTCGAAAGCAGAGGATCAGGGGCAGATTTTGTGTCACGTGCAAGTCTTCTGATTAATGCTTCAATCTTGCCCACACTTTCAGTTATTACGGAGACTGATTTATTAAGCACATGGTAATTTAGATGTAGGGTTCAAGTACTGAACGGAGTCGAAATTATTGCAGAGCCTACAAATTCAAGAAAGCTTGGGTTTTACAATTTTTGGTTCCCTTGGCCGCTCTCTGATAGACAGTGCGTTTTGGAATTCAGCGCATATCCTGTAAGGTCTGAGCAAGGGGTTTTAATAATGATGAAGACCCCAGAAACTTCGAAATATCTAGGTGCTGAGATACCGGCAGCTGCAGAAGGATTGGCTAGGATGAATATTCCGATCGGGGGAGTATTTGTTCAATATATTTCACCAATATTAACTAAAGTTGTTATTGTGGTTCAGGCAAATGGAAATATTGTATTATTTATTTAGAGTTCTGTACCTGATTGACTATTCAACTTTGGGACAAAGAGAATCATGTATTACTTAATGGACGCTTTGAGGAACCAAGTCCTAAATTTCCAAGGAAGTATATATGAAAGAAGAGTTGCTGAGAGAGAGGAATACTATCGATTTATTTGCCAGTATATACAGCATAACATTGGAGACTAAAATTTAATAATCAATTTTAAAGTAAATGCGATTTAAAGTATTTTTTATTATAAATAAAAACTGTTTTCATTCTTTGAAATGGATCAAATTTGATTTAATTATCAAAGCAAATTTTATCATAAATATGGTTAAAAATATACCTGGTAAGCCTAAATCCGGAAAGCCATGGAAAACTAACTCGAAAAAATCCACAAAATTGGACGAAGAGCACAAAGCAGCCTTACCAAAGGTAACATTTGAAGAAAGAATGAAGAAAAAGCAGGAATTAGAAGAAGTTAAAAAACTAGAAAAATCACTGATGGAAGAAAGAGCGAATAAGCTAAAGCAAGCCAGAGAAAAATCTGAAACGAAGAAAAAAAACAAAGAGATAAACCAGTTTAAGAGCTCTTCATTCCAAGTCATCAAAAACACAAAGAAAATGAAGACGATGAGCAAAAAATTGAGATCACAAATTGCCAAGATGCCACCAGGAATGTTTTATAAGGTCATTCATGGTAAAAATATCAATAATTAACAAGTTTTATGATAATATATAGCAGTTATAAAATTCTATTATCTCATTAAAGATCTCTTGGCTCTTCTGACTCTCCAAATTCAGAATCACTATTTGGGCTTGGCGAGGATTTAAAGAAATTCCCTTCAAGTGGCTCTAAATTCGGGAGATATATTTCTGTATTTACAGATGACTCTGCCTTTTGCTCTTCTTTGACGTCTTCAGATATATCAGGGTTGATAGCTTGAGGCTGAATCACAAATGCTTCAGAGTCCGGCTCAGCTCTTTCTTCAATCATGCTATAAGACCTTTCCAGAACCAGTTTTCCAGATTTATTTTTTTCTGCTTGTTGCTGTTCCCCTCCATAGGTAGACAGCCTATCAAGCAAGGACATTCTAAATTTCTTTTTCCTTGCTGGCTTTGTTTCATATCCAGGAGATATGTCATCTTCAACTTTATCACTGTCTTCACTGTCCATATAAATCATCGTAAACTTTGGGTCTGCTTTTCTTACAGGGAGCTCGCTTGCAGGCATTTCTAATTGAGAATTAGTAGCACTTACAATAGAGCTAGAATAAGATTGACCTTGCCCATATTTTTCAATAAATCCTTCTATTTTTGGATATATATGAGGATCATTAGAGAACAGCTTACTCCTTCCTGTAAGAAAGCCAAAATTAGGTCGCTCAAGGAGAGTTTAATATTTTTTAATAATTTTTTTAATTTGAAAGGAAATATAATCTTAATTATAGCTATAGATAACGCCAAAGCACTTATTTTTAAAAAAAAAATTTTCAAATTGTTTACTCGCTCACGGAGGAAAGTTAGCAATTGGCTTAGAGATGCCACGAACATTACGGGAATCGTAGTTTCTGTTAATAAGCTTCATTTTTGGAACACGATGGTAGTTTGGCTCAAAGCTGTCTTCAGCTGTCAATCGTTTTGTTTCTGGGGCGCTTCTTTTTTCAAGCCACTTTTTCTTGGTTTCTTCCTTATCTAAGTTCAACAATATTTTTTTGCATTTTATTGCTACATGTCCTAGCTCTTTACAAATATAACATTTTACCAGCAACGTCGAAAAATCATTGTCTTCACATTTTTTTGACAGCAGGTCTGTCTGCTCTTTTGCTTCAGGGAATTTTTCCAGAAGCTGGTTCATATTTGCTCTAGACAAGCTTAACAAATCAACAAAATCAAGACACTTCGCCGAGGCGCATCTTGGCTTTTCTGTAAAAAAAGCAATTTCTCCAAAATACTCTTTTGGTCCTAAGTCTTTATAAGTTGACTTTGTGGAGTGATGAAAAATGTCGATTTTTCCATTCTGAATAAAATACATCTTGGTGCTCATTTCGCCTTCTTCAATTACTGTATCTCCAGGAGCATAAGTTTCGCTTTCTAAAGCTCTTGTCAATTGAGAAATGAAGTGGGCCTCATATTGCTCAAAAATTGGGCAAAGCTTGATGACAATCCCGTGAATGTGGGCGTAGATTTCGTCACGTAAAGGCTCTGAGAGAAGCGTCAAAATTTGTTTTTCGTCGAGGTTGCTTTTCTTTTTATTTTCCCAGACATATTCAAGATATCTTCTTACTCTGAATTGTAAGTCATGTGGCAAGTCTTTTTTCCTCATATATCGATTCACAGCGACAACTTGCTCTCTGTAAGCATTTTCTACGGCATTTTGTTTGCTTACAAGAGAGCCAATGCTACCTACAGTGTATGCAAAGACACCACAGGCTACAATCATAGCAAACATTGCATATATTTTCTCTGGGAGTGTTTTTGGAACAATGTCTCCATACCCTACAGTTGTCATGGTCGTAAATGCCCAATATAAAGAAGTTATATATTTGTCAAAAGGGCTTGAATTTTCTATTTTCGCAACAGTCACCCAGGTCGTAGGATAATACATCATATCTAAATCCCCTAAAAAATACCACCAGCAAGCTGTCCAGTGAGCTATAAAGAACACAATAGAGAGCAAGCGCAAAAACATAAAAATTGTGGCAATTGCATTGCTCGCTATGTAGTCTTCAATTTTTATCAACATTCTTTTAAGTTTTGCCATGCGCACAAGTCTAAGAATTCTTAAAAATCTGAAAACTTTTACAAGCCTTAGAAACTGGTTTGAGTTGGATAAGCTGACTTGGCCGCTGTCTGAGCTGTCTCCGTCTTCAAATGGTCCAGTAATAAACCAGGTAAGCGGGATACTTGCTATTAAATCAAAAAGGAACCATGTTTTTAAGTAATGCTTTATAATTTCTTTGCGATTCATTTGCAAAGAGCCTTTTGCGTAAAATCCTGTATTAAAGCACACAAAAATATCAGCCATGAAGCAAAGAGTGATAAAAAACTCCAAATATTTTCACCAGCCTGCAATTGGAACATTAAAGCAAATCCTATATGGGACGGTTATAGCGTAGTAGACTATGAAAACTGATAATATAATTGATCTAGAGCAAAATCCTTATATAATATTTTCTACCTAAATTATTAGATTGATTTTATTGAAATTTGATTGGAAAATCTATTTATAAATTTTATTATGATTTTTGCAATACCGATGAAAATCATAGTTGTGATATCCCATAATAATTTTCATGAAGATTCGGGCTGAATGGGACTTAAAATTCATAACCTTGATTTTCCGTCTTTCGATACAGGAGCACTTGGCAAAAATGAATCTTTTTTTATTGTTCTTAAATGATGCAATGATTTATTTGCTGCGTTTTTGGGATCTTCTATAGGACCTTGAGATAAATCTTTTTGTATATTTGTTCAATTAGATCTCTTGAGGCCTGAGTTTTCCATTTATGAAATTATTAAAGTTTTACTTTTTATTTAAATTATTTGGGCTGTAATGGTACCTGTTAAATCTAGAAAAAACAAAGCTAATTTCATTTTATAATTACTTTGATGTCTTCGACAATTAAGCTGGCTTACTCCAATTACTAATAAGGTTGCAGCTTTTTGAATGAAAATATGTTCTAATTAGAATTAATTTTTACACAATTATATTAGAATATCCTTTACATATTTAAATAGATTTCACATCTCCTTATTGTCTTCATTATACCATATAAAATATACATTAAAATGGCGGCACGTGTCACCTACCTTCTTGGCATAGCAGTCCAAATCTTATGGCTATGGTGAACTGGGACGGACTCTGAGCTGAGAATCAAGTGCACGCTCAAGAGATGTGTATTTGGGTAGGCTTTGGCTACTCTCCTGTGGTTGGAATGGAGGTGTTCAACAACGTTTCTCTACCGAAAAACTAGGGGTTTGGGTCCAGGCTGCAGAGAGTAGTCTTTTTCCTGTACCCGATAGATTCCAAAGAGTTGATCCATGGAATCAAGCTATTCCAATCATTACATTACATTAGAATTTTATATCGCTTAACGTCCACTACGGGGTTACAACTCCAGGTTTATCACTCGCCTTTCGTCGCATCGGGCCCACCAGTCTGCTGGAGACAAACTTGCTTCGATCACCAGGGTGCTTCTAGGGCAAATGTCCACGTCTTCGACGGCTCATGGATGAACTACTTGCTTGTACATGGGTTGCTTTTCCGAAAAACCCAAAAAATGGATTTTTCTGGTCGGCTATCGGCAAAAAGGAAAAATGCAAAGCCTGGGACGTAACGCCCAGTTTCACGCTAGGGAGTTGCCCGAATGGTCCAGAGGACTTTGCTGGGCTTCCCCTTTCCAACCTTGCACCCTCCTTCCCAACGAGGAAAAATCCACCCCTGAGAATAGACTAGGGCTAGGCTCTGAAAGCTACCAGAATTGCTTACCTAGCATTGCTGTCCATCTCTGAAATGGTAAAACCTTGCCGGATATAATTAAAATATGAGTCGAGGCTGCATGGCCGGGAGGCCATGCCCAGACGAAGACGCCATATTTTAATTATCAAGCTATTCCAAATCGCCCGCCGCAGGGCCGCAGAAGTCCATAAGCCGCCCACTCAAGATTGAAGCTACAGGGAGGAGACAGAAGGTACCGGAAGTGGCATCCACCTTCTGGGGAAAGACCACTCTAGGCTGAGTCGAAAAGCGGTTGAATCTCCCGTACGGGAGGTGTTTGGTGACTGCGCCACAATATGGCTGTTGACTGAATTTCAATATTCCTAATCCGATCCTATATCATATAAAATCTATTTTTTAAATTTGAATGCAGCCAAGCAATTAAATAAATTTTTAAAAAAATAGATATCCCACTTAAATTAATAATGAACAAAGCAGTGCGATGAAATGGGAGTTAGAAAACTGATATCCTTTGCTTTAAAAATTTTGTGGCTTATCTTAATTATATAACTAGAGTTATTTTCCTTTGATATTGACATAATTATCCTATATCTTATAGGAAATAGTTAATTAACAATTAAGATTAATAATGCTAATTTATTCTTAATTATACACTTATAAACCTTTGTAAATTTAAGATATAGAAATTTCCCATAGATGGCGCTGTTTGCCCTTGATTTGCCCATGAGAAAATTTTTTGGTTTGACCAAACCATATGGGGACTGGTCGAACCAAAAAATTTCCCCGGTGGGCAAATCAAGGGCAAACAGCGCCATCTATGGGAAATTTCTATAACTAATTAAAGGAATGGTATATATGTAAGCGTCTTTATAAATAATTAAGACTGCTTTTTTTCTTCATCTGGATCGTAATTAGGATCACCTCTATCAGCTATTTCAACTGGTTCACTTTCATCCACTGTTCCCCAGCCTCCATGTCCGCCTTTTTTAGGGTTTGGATCAACACCTTGTGCAGAGTGTCGGTCAAGTCTTGCATCTTTGTCCTTTTTCCCTTCGACAGATCTCTTACTAACCACCTTTAATTGGAGATTAAAAATCCTGCTCCAATTTAAAAGGGGTTAATTTTTTTCGAATAAAAAAAACTTAAATTGAACCTAATATTTTTAATTTTAATTTATTTTTATAAAAATTAACCAATTCAGTGTAAAAATGTTTAAATAATATTCTCTTTCCATTAAATTCGGCAAAACTAATTTACTAAAAATTACTATTTTTGCATATAAAATTTTCCTAATGAAAAAGAAATTCTTTAATTTAAACGAGGAGTTATGATCTTCTCTTTCCATTTTTTATTAATAACATAAACTGTCCACTTAATTCAAAAATTAATTAGTTGATGCAGAAACTGTTTATGATGGCTTAATAGGAATCACAAAGGAGGTTGTATTCTTCTTTAAGCCTCTTTAATTCAGACTGGACACTAACACACTGTAAAAATATTGATTCACTATATATAATTGGTATGCTTTTTAGTAGAGATTAATGTTTTATGTTAAATATATTATTATATTTATTATATATCTAATCTATATGGAAAAGAATATTTTTGAGTCTTCAAGAGTTTGAGGGCTATGCTTCTTGAATCCGCTCATATCTTTTTCGTATTGCTCTTCTAACTCTGCCAACTTCATATTTTTCCTCTTAACTTTATCAGGTTTCGTCCTAACTCGAGTTTTAGCTTTGAATAATAATTTACAAGACTGTTTTACCTTATTTTCTACCAGCAAAAAATCATCAAAAGAATTTTTTCTTATGGCTTCTACAATGACAATAGGAGATTTCGAAATATTCAGTGAAGAATTTCTTGAATGCCTTGATATATTTGAATTGCTCCTACTTGGAGGCTGTATAGAAGTTCCTCTTTCTGACCTTCCTGTGTTGCTTTGTGTATCTTCAGCCTTGGATTCTGCTTTTTTAGGGTCAATTCAGCAGTCAAGCTTAGATTCAACAGTATTTCAGTTTATTTTTTGCATATTGACTCTTTCAGATCTTCTCCTGAGAAAGAGAATTATTAAAATGGCGTGATCTGACGTGGACTCCTGACAGCCAGTGAGTTGATCGGGCCAGGAAAGGCAAGCCACATGGCGATAGTTCTCGTTCTCTCGGGGTGGGTTTTTGGTCTAAGGGATAACCTTACTCACCCCTCCGTGAGTGAACAAAACCATTATAAAAATCCCTATTTTTTGCCCAAAAACCCACCCTCCGTGAGTGATCAAAAATTTTTTTAATAGAAAAATGTTTTATGGAAAAAAATTTTGATATATAAGTGATAATTAGTATAATGAAATCTCGAGCTAATTCTGTTTAATTTTAAACAAATTGCGTTTTTAAAACATAAATTTTATAAATTAACTTAATATTTGCTTTCCAATTTTTGCAATTAGGATTTTTAAAATTTCGAAAAAAATTTTTTCTACAAAATTTATACATAAATTTTTTTTAAAAAAAACAAAAAAAATTAACCCCCCTCCGTGAGTGAACAAAATTTTTTTTGTTCACTCACGGAGGGGGGGAGCTAGATCTTTTTTCCTTACCTGCAGAAGTCCCTACTGGCGCAAAGTCCCGATACTACTCCATGGAAGCAATTCTTGAGTCTGCAATAGGGCTCTGACAGGCCATGGAGGAGGCAAAGACGATTCACCCATACTCTGAGCCCTGTCAGAGGTTAAGGGAGTATTTTTGCTGAACTTTGGGACCAAGAAAGGCGAAGCCGATCAGTAGGGGTGTCTCCCCGACAGACCTCTGACATCACCATTTTTGGGGGACGTCAGATGGAAAAAGGTGGTGTGAGGATAGCGCTTAGCGCCAACGTGAAGCTACCGTAGGACGGAGAGAGAGCTGAAATAAACCCCAACGACCCCTATAAATTTTAAATCTAATCTAATCTCCTGAGAAAAAGGTTTGGGTGGCTTTGCTAATATAAGATTGCTATGACTTGAAGGAGGCGGTGATAAAAATTTTACCTCGCTGATAGTAGGATCTTTGGAGGAAACTGGGTTAACGCTTGATTCTTCAGCTGAACTTTCATAGTGGCTTGTCTCTTCTAAAGGAAATGATATTGGGTTTTGAATTGCTGGTGTTCTCTGTGAGCGGATACTTTGTTTACTATTTAATGATAACTTCCCTCTCTGTAAAGGCTGCCTTGTTTTTGAATTTGTGACACTTTTTCTCAAAAATGGCTTGGGTGCTGCTTTTTTATGTATTCCTCAAGATGGACTAGCAAAAGCCAAAGCGACTGAGCTGATTAAATCTTGTTTTAATACGAGATTTTCTGTACTAGTCTTAATTTGTTCTATGAGTAATGCTATATCAGGGGTTTTAAGGATCCTTCTCAGCTTCCATCCTTTGACAATTCCTTTTAATTTTTCTTTTTTCACTTTTTGCATTATAATATTTGCTTTATTCCGTTTATAGCTTCTTCATGCTTGCTGTATTATCCCTGCACAGTGCTGTTTAAATTTATTCATTATTTCTTCTTTCATCTGAATATTTCTTTGAGAAAACTCTCTTATTGCTCTAGTAATCTTAAGTGCTGCAGTTTTTCTTTTTATTTTATCACATATTTTAGCTAGCTTTCTCTCCCTTTCTTCTCTTATCCAATTTTCCTTGAGAATTTTATACCTTTTTCTACCTCTTATCCCTCTAAATCATGCCTGAATTCTAACTGCAGATTTCTTTCTTTTTTCTATTTTTCTTTCCTTTTCAAGCGCAAGTTGCCTCAGCTGCTCAATTTCAGCTTTTTTATAATTTTCTGTCTTTTTTGGCCTTTTTTCTATACTATTAGTTGTGTCCTATATAAAATTTACAGTTGAAATGGAATCTTCGTTTTTATGATCAATTTTTGCTATGAAGGCATCGAACGTTAATCCAACGCTATTTGTTGCCTGTTGGGGTTGAGCTTTTTTGAATTCTCCTGTTAATTCTGAAAAGTCTTCTTCTGAGCTTATAGAGGATTCAAAATCGGAATCATTTGCAGAGGAGCAGCCTGAGGATATAGGGGAATCTGCCAAAGGTCGAATTTGGGCTGCCCGAGATTGCGAGGTCTCTTCTATTTCAGTTTTATATGAAACTTCTACTATCTCTTCTTTTGTGGCGGGTGGAGGAGATGGTGATTTTTTGTAACTTGCCTTACGGATAAGATTGAATACAGAACTAAATGACATTGATGAAATAAATATAAAAATTATGGAAAGGAAGCACTAATAGAACTCCAGCATGAGACGATCAATTTATTGGTCTTTACAATCTCATGCTAAAGGAATCAAAGGGATTAAAACAGGCTGCTTGTGCATGCTTGTGTCGGACTCTTTTACAATACAAATTCATTTGATGCAGAGCCAATTGTTCGCCCTTCTTTAAGATGCGTACAAGTAATTCATGCTATATTGAAGAAGAAGACTAAAACTTATTCACATAAGTTATAGCCTTTCTCTTACAGCTTAAGCACTCCATATAAATATTAGATAGTTATTTTACATCTTCTTTACCTTACTTAAGCCAATTTTTAGCTTTTCAATGGTATCTTTGATGAATTCTCCTTCTTTTAGGCTTTTATAGTCCAAACTTTCGCCTCTCGGGTGCTTTGAGATGATTTCAGTGTCAAAATTTATAGCTGATTTTCTTCCATATACAATGGTAGCTCGCTTATATGATTCTGAAGAGAACAAAGGGAGCCTCGTTTCAGACTTCTTTGAATTAGGCCTGCTTGGAGGCTTAGAAGGCAGCGCTGAATGAGTTCTCACCCTTATGATGTTTTGCCTCACTATTGGAAGCGGGGGGTTCTTTATAGTTTGGCTCACTTTTGGATTGATATTGAAATTAAACTCTTCTTTTAACTTAAAATCAATGTTTTTATTTGTGACTGGGCTGATTTCTGACATCAAATCAAAAGTGGTCTCGGTTTTGTGTGTCGGCTTTATCCTCGGAGGTAGCTTCTTTTTGGATTCTGCATAAAAACTTGTGTAGTGAAGGTAGCAGTCTTCGCAGACTTTTATTTCTTGGGCTCCCCAGGACGGGTCTTTTTTCATTTCTTCATATTTTGTGTTAGTTAATAATGGGTTGAGCCTTCTTAAAACATTTGGCACAAGGTTGCATTTGTCTTCGGAGCTTTCGTTTAGCACCAACGCAGTTTCATCGTTTACTTGATCAGGTGGCTCATTGCCTATCTCAGAAAACTTGAGCACTAATCTCAATGAAATGTTGTGCATATATTCACTTCTTACCAAATGGTTACAGCCAACACACAATTCTCTGTTTTTCCTCATTTCACTGAATTTGCAAGAGCTTTTCACTTTTTTTTCAGTTGCCAAGCTGGAAATCATCAATATAAGCTCCTGAGGCATTTTTTCGTTTTCCTTGTTAGAGCGAGTCAAGTCAAATACTTTTAGCGAACTGCAAAACTGCAGCCACAACAAATCATCTGCATCTTGTTTGAAAAACAAAGTCATCCTCGCAACTGTGACATTTCCTCCAGTCACTGCTTTAATATGATCTACAATTCCCAAACAAATCCTTTGCACCTCTTCAACTAGTCAAGGCGCAGACAATGAATCAATTTTGCTATTATGCTCTAGCCCTTCATATGTGACAAGTTTATCATAAAATTCCATCTTCGGGTCATCCAATTTATGAATATTTGTTCTTTTTTCAAGCAAACAAAACTGAGGACTTCATATGACTTTAATCAGAGAATTCTGTGCATTTTTAGGATGGATTCACTTCTGCAAGATCCCACTCAAAGGCTTATCTCGGTTATGGATGAAATCATTAAATGACTCCGGTGTAAAAAATTCGACCGTTGCTATGTTTGCTTTATCTTTTTTGTTGTCGCTGAACCCCATAAATGAAGCGATTATCTGCTTGTTTTCGTCCATGAACTCCTGGAAAATAAATTTATGGGTCACTTTTGTTTTCGATTTTCTCAACAATTCACCAGTTTCTGTACAAAAATACCAAAAAAAAGGCTTGGCTCATCGATAAATGACAGTTTCAGGAAGGAGGATATTAGGACAGCAGAGTCCTGTGCTTTCGTTCTGCTTCCACAAGTGGAAAAGCAGCCATTCTGTGAATCCAGCTGCACCTGATCTCATTTAAATGGTCTATTATTTTAAATTCGATGCATAGTAACCCCTAATTAGAGTACAGATTAATCTCCAAGAAAGGCGAAGGGACTTTCTCCGAAGTTTTGAAGGCTCAAAGCATAAAAACTGGCAAATATGTTGCCATAAAATGCATGAAGAACCATTTCACAAGTCTTGAGCAGGTAAATAACCTCCGAGAAATCCAAGCATTGAGGAGACTTTCCCCGCATCCTCACATTGTAAAGCTATTAGAAATTTTATAGTAAACTCTAGCGTAGTGATGAGCCGACAGGAAGATTGGCTCTCGTTTTCGAGCTCTTAGATCTTAATTTGTATGAATGGATCAGAGGACGCCGCCATTATCTCCCAGAAAACAAAATAAAGCATTATATGTACCAGCTGTTAAAGTCAATTGACCACATGCACCGAAATGGGATTTTTCATAGGGATATTAAGCCTGAAAACGTGCTACTAATTGAAGAAGTGCTGAAATTGGCAGATTTTGGATCCTGCAGAGGGATTTACAGCAAGCAGCCGTATACGGAGTACATCAGTACAAGGTGGTACAGACCTCCTGAGTGCTTGCTAACTGATGGATACTATAGCTACAAAATGGACATTTGGGGAATCGGTTGTGTCTTTTTTGAAGTATCTGCTTTGTTCCCACTATTTCCAGGGAACAATGAAATGGACCAAATAGACAAGATCCATAAAATCCTGGGGATGCCTCCACAAGAAATCTTAGCTGATTTCAGAAAAAAGGCTAGAGAAATAGATTTTAATTTTCCTACAAGAGAAGGGACTGGAATTGATAAGTTAATTCCTCACGTATCCCCGGTCGCTAGAGATTTGATGTCAAAGCTACTGTCATACAGCGCAGATGAAAGAATATCTGCAAGACAAGCACTAAAGCATCCTTATTTTAAAGATCTTAGAGATCAAGAGAGGCCTCCTCAAATGGCGCCATCCCCTCAAAGTTTAAGAACCCCTGATGCTGATAGTGCAGCTGGTGATGAAAGTAAGGGATCTGAAGGCATTTTACAGTTGCCACCAATCAAAGCTCAAGGAGGTATAATCCCTAAAACCAAGAAAAACCCAGAGATGAAACTGAAAAACAACACCTCGAATAAAAGCATTACAATTGACAAAAGCCCTTATACAAGTAAAAAAATAACCCTGGAGCCAAGAAAGCTCTATGCGCCTGTATACAAAAAGAGCTTTTATAAAAGTACTTATTAATAAATTAATCACTTTCTTCGTTAAAGTCTCTTTTGTTTATGATTTCAAACAAAACCGAGTGGCTTTTGTCTTTATCTGGCTCGAAGACCAAGTTTCTAGCTTCTCTTTCTTTGTCAACATCTGAAAGCTTACCCCAAAGTTTTTCACAGCGGACTCTGTTGCTCCATTGCAAGCCTTTACGTACAATGGCTGGGACATCAGGTATGAATACTGAAAGTATGCCTGCCCGAAATAATAAAAAATATTTTTATTTGCAAATAATTATAAAGGGATAAGGTCAGAGTAATTATAAATGATATATCATTTTTAGAAGGAAAAGGATATGCTCCATGATAATGAAGCAAATCCATTGATCAGTTGTGGAATCAAAGTGAAAAACATCTCTTGTGAAAACTATTAAGCCTGCATTTGTGCCTGCTCCGATGAAAGAGATGATTTGAATTATTACCATTCATACACCAATAGAGTTGTCTATGTGAGGGAAAGGCCTTCTTGAAACTTTGATTAATTTTCAGGCGTCAACTCTGAGTTCTATTATACATAACAATAGTGTTAATAATGGACTGAATGGGAAAGAAATCCCAAAAAGAACGACATATCCATAGCCAATAATGACTTCCATGTAATCCTCCAGCGGAGTCTCATATTCACTTACTCTAACTAATCAACAAAAAAAATTAAGATTTTTCACAATTTACATAATTTTATTCAATAATTATATGTTTATTTAACTCTGCTTTTTATAAATAGTGAGTTAGGTTATACTCATATTCTTCAATTGCCAACTCTATATGAGCTGACATTTCTTTAAGTCTTTTATTTTCTTTATAAAGTTTGATATATTTTTCTACAATTGGATATCCCATTTCTATCAGGTTCAATAGCAAGCTAATAATAAAAATCACCCCTAATTGCAATCCCAGCTCTGACATACAATCGTTATTATCACAGCCTTCATATCTGCCTTTGAAAAATGCTATATAAAATAGAGAGGAATAAGAGTTGACAAATTGAAAAGAAAAAAACTTGACAGTCAAAGCATTTAAATATTCTGAGTCGCTTTCATAATTTTCCCAATCAGTCAGCTGAGCTGATATTTTTTGATATAGCAGTTGCCCGATGATGGCGCTCAATGCGCCATCATCGGGCAACACCAGACAAGGGTTCACAGTGGAAATGGATTCCACGTGTGGACCCTTTTTAACACGTGGAGAATCCTTATTTCCACGAGCCAAAAAGGGCTCGACACGTGGAGCCTATTTCACGTGTGGGACCCTTGTTTGGTGTTGCCCGATGATGGCGCATTGAGCGCCATCATCGGGCAACTGCTATATAAAATGTTTAAAATCTTGATTTGGATTGCATTGAATAATCCAGCCACTCTTGGACCCCAGGAATCTATATTGTTATATGATCGATATATAAAAATTGCAATCAATGAGGCAATAACAAGAGAAACAAAAAATGCTATCATGGTAATGCTAACTTACCAGGCCGAACAAAGGTTTTTATTATAGCATATAAATTAATCTTTAAATATATAAAAGGACATGGATTTAATAAATTTGTGATTATTTATTATATATAAAAATTGATGATACCAAAAAAAATATTTGTTCGATTATGGAAAGGGTTAATATTTTCAAAAAATGGGATTTTTATATCATATTCTTTAACGGAATGGAATAAGCATATTTTTAACACAAACATGCTTTTCATTTTCATTTATTTTTTTCATTTTCCCACTTATTGGATCTTTTTGGTATACGCCTTTATATTCCGGTCTCTGCTCTTCATGGACCTCGAACTCTGAAACACCCCATTCCCAAGCTAATGTTTTCTCTCTTCTTACCCAGATTTGGTCCATGAAAGTGCTTCCAATGCTCAGCATCCATGCATATAGCATAAAAGCAACTTCAGCTCCATTCATCGCTGTGCTTTCAGGATTATCAGCTGAATAAATGATGATACCAAAAATACTTCCGATAACAGAAGGGATAACAAGCCACGCTGTATAGGTTTCAAGCCATGCAAAATACATAGCTATTTTCTCCCCAAAATAATCTTTGACTTTAGTTATTTTTTGAGCCCTCCAGAAATGTCTAAAAGTTACCCATTCTTTATCTAGATACCTTAATATCGCTTTATCATGCTGAGGGAATTGTGATTCTAATATCTCTTTAGCGGTGAGCTCTCCAAGATCGACTACGCTAGTAATCATGCTATATACAAGTCTAGCTTTGTCTTTGTACTTAAAAATGCTCCCATCTGTAAATTCATTTCCAAACTGATCATATCGCTGATATATATACTCTAAATATTTTTTACCTTTGGCATCTCCTTTATTTTCAACGTCCCTTTCATATGGGCCATAAGGAGCTACTTTTTGGAATTCCAATGTGTCATTTGGATCAGATTGAAATTGCAGTTGGTAATCAACTAGATCTGCTTGGACTTTTAAATTATGTTCACTGCTTGATAGCTTATAAAATAATTTGTCCCCCAAAACTGACACTGTCACACTTGCATTGAGCTGTAAATGCTCTTGAAATATTTTTAGCATTGTAGTTAATACTTCTTGTATGATTATCTTCATTTGGATTGTTGGATTTGTTGAAAAATAGCCTCGGATTCTTCCTAAGCCTTCTTGGTAAATAGGGTCATTTTCACTGATGATGAAATAACGTCTAAATTTTTTCTCTGCTGATCCTGCTGGCACATCTTGGTCGAAAAGCTCGCATTTGTAATTTTTGCTTTCCATATCAAAGGGATTGTTGAAAACCAGGATGTAATGATGTAATTTTTCTGATTCTAGTTCTTTTCTTTTTGCACTTGAGCCTTTAGAGGTGTTTGACTCATCAAAAGGCAGCTAAGATACAACTTACCACTGTCTTCACTTTGCTATTCATATTTAATGAAACTGTTGCTTTTTAATAAAATGAGACAAATTTGATGATTTTCCAGATTAGTCGATACTTTTTAAAATAAAAAATTTGTTTTTTTTGCGGCCATATTTAGAATAATTAAAGAATTTAGAGATATGCTGATTGAAATTTATATTACGATATAAAAATCATTATAATTATTAATCATTTTTATTATAATCGGTAAAGGTTTTGTCCGCGATTTCTATCAAATCATATTTTCTTTTATATTCAAGTGGTTCAAATACTAAATTTCTAGCTTCTCTTTCTTTGTCGATATCAGAAAGTTTCCCCCATAATATTTCTCCTCTTACTCTAGTACTTCATTTTATGCCATTTTCAACTATTCCAGGAACATTAGGAATAAAAACAGAAAGTATCATTTTTAAAATAAAAAGAGAGTGCTCTAAAGCTATGAAGCAAATCCACTGGTCAATTGCTGAGTTTAAGTGAAAGACATTTCTAGTAAATGTTATTAGCCCCATATTTGTGCCGGCTCCTATAAACGAAATTATTTGAATAATTACTATTCACACTCCAATTGAGCTTTCTTGTGCAGGAAAGATTCTTCTTGTTGCCTTGATTAATTTTCATGCATCAACTCGAAGCTCTATAATGCAGAGAAATAAAGTCAGCAAAGGACTGAATGGAAAAGAAATCCCGAATAAAACGACATAGCCATATCCAATAATTACTTCCATATAATCATCTAAAGGGGTCTCATATTGAATTAAATTATATTCAATTTCTTCAGCAGATAAACCAATCTGGGCATCATTTTCTTTGATTTTTTTATTTTCTTTATAAAGATTTATATAATTTTGAAAGATTGGCAAGCCAATTTCGATCAAATTTAGGCAAAGAGTGATAATATAAATTATTCCCAATTGGAATCCAAGCTCATATACACAGTTTTCACTTTCACAGCCTTCATATCTCCCTTTAAAATATGCAATATAGAACAGTGAAGAATAAGAATTAACAAACTGAAAAGCAAAAAGCTTTATTGTAAGTGCATTCTGATATTCCGATTCAGTTTCATAATTTTCCCAATCAGTCAGCACTACAGCAATTTTTTTGTAAATGATATTCAAAATTTTTATTTGAATTGCATTAAAGATTCCTGCAATTCTTGGTCCTCATGAATCGTCATTACTATTTGCCCTGTAAAAGAAAATTGCTATTAATGAAGCAATTACAACTGTTACAAAAAATATTATTGTGCTCAAACCTAAAACATTTTTCAAAATCGAGTGTCTTTTCTTCTCATGTATTTTTTTCATTTTTCCAGATATCGGGTCTTTTTGATATACTCCTTTGTATTCAGGCCTTTGCTCTTCCTGACCTTTTATGTCGCAAACTCCCCATTTCCATCCTAATACTTTTTCTTTTCTTAGTCATATTTGGTCCATAAAAGTACTTCCAATACTCAAAAGAAATGCATATAAAAAATAGCAAACTTCACCTGCATTTATTGAATCAGAAGGGCCAGAATCGGCCGAATAAATAATAATTCCAAAAATGCTTCCAAAGATAGAAGGGATAGTAAGCCATCATATATAATTTTCTAATCACGCAAAGTACATTGATTGTTTTTCTCCGAAATAATCATTTATTTTTTCAATGTTTTGGTGCCTCCAAAAATGCCTGAAAGTTACTCATTCTTTATCAAAATATGTTAATATCCGATGATCGTGCTGTGGAAATTGAGCATCAAGAATTTTTTGTGTCGTTAATTCTCCAAGCTCAATAACACTTGATATCATACTGTATACCAATCTTATCCGATCTTTATGCTTAAATATGCTCCCATCTGGGGTTTCATTCCCTAAGTTATCGTATCGCTTGTATATTCTTACTAAATAAAAATTACCTTTCTCACTTCCTTTATTCTCTGCATCTCTTTCATAAGGGCCATAAGGTGGTACTTTTTGAAAATCTAAATCATCATCTGCATGAGGCTGAAACTGAAGTTGATAATCCACTAAATCCGCTTGAACTTTAAGATTACGCTCAATACTAATCAGTTTAAAAAAGAATTTATCTCCTAGTAGTGAAAGTGTTACCGTGACGTCAAGTTGCAAATAATCTTGAAAAATTTTTAAAGTTGTTAATAAGAATTCTTGAACCAAAATTTGCATTTTAATTGTTGTCTTTCCATCAATGTGGCTTCGAATTCTGTCAGCAGCTTCTTTATAGGCAGATTCATCTTCACTTATATTAAAGAACCTTCGAAATTTAATTTCAGCTTTCTCTGAAGATACATCATAATCATAAAGCTTGCATTTGTAGCCTTTCTTTTCTGAGTCAAAAGGATTGTTGAAAACTAATATATAATCATAAAGTTCAACTGCGGGTGGCTCAGTGTTCTCATCTGATGAATCTTTCAGCATTGATGATCCATCATTAGGCATCTTATAAATACTGATTTTGCGGAGGAGCAATTAAATTAATAGGATTAGCTGAAACTTTTTAAAAGAGCAACTTTTACAAATATTATCTGTTAACTTTAGAATCTAATATATATTTGAATTAGTTATCTTTATTAGCTAGATTTAAGTCAATTATTTTTGTTTTATTAAATTTGACTTACTTACTTATTATTCAGGAACCTTATGCTTCCAGCAAGCCTTTAAGGCTCTTTTTCCTTAGCTTTTTTCTTTTTTTTTTTCAGCTCTCCTTTCTGCTCCAATTTACCTCTCCTTCTTTTTGCTTGTCATCCTGCTCCAGTTCTCGCTTCAATTTTTGCTTCAACATCTGCATCAACTCCTGCTTCAACTTCTGCTTCAACTTCAATATTTACCTTGTCGAAAATCTGAATAGTTTCATTTCATCAAGTATTTCCCTTTAACCTTAAATGCTCATGATAATGAATCTTTCCCATTATTCTTCTTTAAATCTTCTTTTCAAATTCTTCAATCTCTTATTCAGAAAATAATTTATCTATGTACTCGAGATGCGACAATCAATTTCCTCATCAGAATCCTTAAAACTTTACGATTCCGGACTCGAAGTCCACATGGATTTGTTTTTGCTAAACCCTTCAAATTCCATAAACCTAAAAAAATAAAAAGGGCTTTTATTGGTTTGACAGTTTTAAATCGAATATTCTTCATTAAAATCAGACTAAAATTAATTTCAGCTCACATTATTTGCTATTATGCTATGCTCTATTGACTATTTTCTCATTTATAGCCTATATTTTCGAAAATAAAATGCTTAAAGTTTGGTTAATGATTTTGAACTTAAAGGAATAAATTTTGGCAAGATAATTGAAATATAGTATTAATTCATATCTCTTACCAAATTTATATTAGTAAAGATTAACCTTTTAAATATTATTTAATTTGTTCGTCAATTTTGTTGAGTCTATCTATGAACTCAACCCAAACACTTTTAAGTTTTGTATGTGATTTAATTTCTTTATTTGCGTATGTCTCTAATTCCATTATATTCCTCCTTGTTGTGAAAGGTATAAACCACATAGTTTCTTCTCTGAGTTTATAATTATGGTATCCGTATCTATCTTTGAGCTTTTCTACATCTTTTGTTTCTTGGTGAAGCATTTTCGGAATCGCAACTTCTTTGTCGCTTTTCATAGCTGCAACGTTTATATTAGTAACACTCGGATCAAGCTCCCATTTAAGTATATCTCCATTATTCCACAATTTTTCTTTTTTTCCTCGAAGCCTCCTATTTTCTTTCTGGTATTTATTCAAATGTCTTTCTCTATCTTTAATTAAATCTCTAAATGGGATGCTTTCATTATATGTGAATTTAAATAAAGTGCTTATATGGTCTTTAACAAAAACAGCTCTTTTTTCATCACTTTTTGCAAGCGTCCCTAAAACACCTTGAAGAGCTCTAAATATTTCTACATTTAAATTCGTCTGAGAAAGCATTTGCAGTCTTTCCATATCATTCATTGACTCCTTGAGCTCTAGCATAAGCTCAGATGTATTATGGAGCTGTTTTTCAAGCTTATTTGCTTGGCGTTTAATTCTCCTTTGGATTTCTATTGCAGAATTGACATAATCTCTTAATCTTTCAGTGTGGTCTTGCGAAGTTGAAGGGTTGATTCATACAAAACCCTCTAAAGAAGGCAATTCATCAGTAGTCGATGGCTCACGAAAAGTGCTAGTCTGCGTTTTAAATAAATTATATTTCAAGTTATCATTTTCTTTCAAAAAATGAACAAGATATAAGGACCTGCTTAATAATGGATGGGATAGAATATTTTTCATAAATCGAGTTAAGAACCTCTGATCTTTTCGATTTGTATCCATCACGTTTCTAGTAGTAAAACGTTTGGGTAGCCTTGGCGGTACATAAACTCCAGGAAAAGTTCTTGCAAGTATATCTCTTAGCCAATAAAAATCATTAGTCTCTCTTTCTACAGTCCAGTCTAGTGGCATAGTTCTCAATATATATTTTCCGAGAGTTATCTTATTGGTAGACGCCCCTGTAATTGGCTTGCTCATTATAGTCACTTCACAAAGGTTTGCAGAAATTTCTGTATCCGGCAGAGTCTCAGCTTTGACTTTGTATATTTCTGCTTGTGCATCTTCTTCTATTAAGGCAGCCCTTACGCTTGACCTTGCCAGTTTGACTTCTTCAAATCTGTCAGGCATTGACTGAAATCTTTTATAGTCAGGCTTCACTGAGAATTTTTCTGTTTTCATTTCTGTTGAAAATCTCTTAAAGTTTTCAGGCAAAAAATCTTCCCATCTTTCTTCTTCTTTGTTAGACTCATCTAATGGAAGCTCAAAAAATGGCTTTCGGTCTTCTGATTCAAAATCTGATTTTGTGGTTTGCTTTGTTTGTTTGAAGATTTCAATTTTCTGAGTAGTTATTTTTGTGTTGCCGGTAGTGTCTGCAGACCGGAGACTCATGTCGGGATGGATGGGAAGTTTATTGACTTCACCTTGAATAGGAAATTCGTAAATTTTTTCAGGTTTGGCTTCTTCCATTTTTGAGTGTGATTTTTGTAATGGATATAAATTGATTTTGAGATTTTTTGGTTTTTTAATAGAAAAAGAAAAGACAGCGATTATTTGTTTAAATTGCGATTTTAGAGATAATTATGGATAAACTAGCAACATTTTTTTGCTTTTTCCTTAGGCTGAGGTTGAAGCAATAATGCATCGCTGCCTCTACTTAACCTAGATAATGCAGATTTATCTTCTAAAATTTTTTCTGCTAGAACTTGGAATAATTTTTCAACATCAGTTCCTTCTTTAGCTGAAGTTTCTAAATACTCCATATCATGTCTTTTTGCGAAATTTTGCCCTTCTTTTGTAGGTATAATTCTTTGATCTGCTAGATCAATTTTATTGCCAACAAGGAAATTTTTTAAATTTGGTGGAGCGTTATCTGTCAAATCTTTAATTCACCAATCAAGATCATTGAATGATTCTCTTTTGGTAACATCAAATACAATAATAGCTCCACTAGTATTCTTATAATAAAGCTTATTAACAACTCTAAAGTTCTCTTGTCCAGCTGTATCCCAAATATTGAGCAATATATCTTTATCATGTATTCGAATGTTTATTGTTCTCTCTGCTAATCCTATAGTAGGTCCTATACTAAAAGTGAAAGTTCCATCGCAAAACCTTTTCATTAAGCTGCTTTTTCCTACCGTAGGAGCACCGATAATAACGATTTTTATCTTGTGAGCACCGAATTGTTTACTTGATTCCATCTTATATATTTTGCAACATAAATACAATTGAATACTGTTAATAGCTATCAGCTTTGTGGGAACATAAAAAATTAATGAAAGATAGGAATTAGATTGGATTTAGCATAAAGCTCGGCTTAATTGAAGAAATAATCGCTCATTAAGTATTAATAAAATATAGATTAGCTGCTCAAACAATATTACTTTCCTTTCCTCTCATATGCCCCGATTTTTATTCAGAAAATGGGAAAGAGTGAACGTTAAGGATTGAATTATTATTCTTAAAAAGAAATCTCACCAATTATCAATAGATAAAAAAATATTAAGAATTAAATTATTCCAATTGCAAATGATGCCATTAGGTACAAAATTAAGCATTTAGCATATAGAGATGAGCTAAATGAATTTTAGTCTTATTAATGCTGATCTTAGCATACTCTAGCACTGAAAACAGATAAGTAGGTATTTATGGATTATCTAGCTAGTTTCCAATTTTATTTATCTTTTGAAACAAGAAAATTGAAATAAAATTGCGTAAAAATACTTCAAGAAGCTGAAAATTACAAAAATGCAAAGAAACTTAAGAAGTATGATCATATTTCGTTATATTTCGTTATATTACAGAGTAGAAACCTGTAAATCATCATTGCGATTCAAATTCTTTATCTTTCTTAACTTACCTTAATTCTCTGAATAAAATAAAACTCTTACTCCCACTAGTTAGTAAAATATTTTGCTCAGTCATTTGATTTTTTGTTTTTTCAAAATTTAAAAAGAGAACTTAAAAAGCATTTCAATAATATTATGTTAAAAACATATTTTTTGCTAGAAATGGCTTTGTGTAATCTCCTGGCAACTTATTGATCAAGAGCATAATGATCTATGCTTCGACAAAGGAAAGATTGGAGAGCTCATAAAAGGAAATTCATGGAGAAGTGCAAGTGGACTTGCTTCTAATGTTGAAGAAAATGAAATTGTGCAGGTCTTTAGGATGGGAGATGATAATGAATTTATAAGAATTTATATTTTTAGATCAGTCTATGATTGATATTATAAATATTTTAGAATTTATCAGAGTTTTTTGGGATAGCCTCTTAGAAGGTGAAGTATCTAACTCCCCCCCCCCCCTCCGTGAGCGAACAAAACATTAGAAAAATCGCCATTTTTTGACCAAAAACCCACCCTCCGTGAGTGAACAAAAATTTTTTTAATAGAAAAAATTTTAATGGAAAAAAATTTTGATATATAAGTGATAATTAGTATAATGAAATCTAGAGCTAATTCTGTTTAATTTTAAACAAATTGCGTTTTAAAACATAAATTTTGCAAATTAAATTAATATTTGCTTCCCAATTTTTGCAAATTAGGATTTTTTTAAATTTCGAAAAAAATATTTTTTATAAAATTTATATATAAATTTTTTTTAAAAAAAAAAATTAACCCCCCTCCGTGAGCGAACAAAATTTTTTTGTTCGCTCACGGAGGGGGGGGGGGAGTAAGTAATAATTATTCTTATGTTAAGAAAGAAAGTTATTCTATTTTTTAATAATTACTTATAAATCAAAATTTTTTATAAAAATTTTTCTAGCTCTAGAAGAGTGTTTTTGTCCAAAAAAGTAGGATTTTTCAAAATGCTTTGTTCACTGAGAGAGAGGTTTAGAATCTTAGCTCATTCTTTAATGGCATCATTACCTGTTTTCCTCTTTGCTGTGCTGTTAGCAAACCTGCCTTCCCTCTCAACCCTCTTCCTCTCGTAATTGCTATTCCTTTTCCTGTTGAAGTCTGTTTGATTCTTTTAAACATCGGTGCATTTTTGAACATATCAGGCACAATCACAAATCTTATTTGTGCGCCTCTGATATAAACTTGCTCTAAAACATATACATTCCCATCACGAGATGTGACAGTCACTGTTTCCAATCTGCAGTTCATTGTGTCTTCTGCATCAACTAAATATCCTCTATACAATTCGCCAGTTTTTAGCTCAATTGTAATCACATGGTTTTCAGCTTCATGCAATAGTTTGATTGGGACACCTATGCTCATAATAAATATGAGCTATACTCGAAGGCCCAAAGACTCTGACACAGAATCAGGTGAAGAAAAAGAGGATTATCAAAATCTTTACGAGTCTGAACAAGATCGATATTATATAAACTCTTTACCAGAACTTGAAAGGGAAAGAATTCTATCTGAAAGATATGAAAAAAAGCTCACTCCCCCTCTAAATTGGAAAAAATCCAGTTCCAATTTAAAGAGGCTAATTTTGTTTTTAAAAAAAATGTATATTAAATTTTCTCGCAAAATAATTTCATAAAATTTTAAAAATAAAAAATTGAATGCAATATCTTGAATTTGAATTTATATATATAAAGAATCAATTTAAAATTTAATCGATATAGTGTGAAAACTGTTTAAATAATATTTTACTTACACTTTTGATATTAAATTAGGCCAAAATTAATTTTATAAAAATTAAGGTTTTCACGTTGTAAAATTGCTTAAATTTAAAAGGGTTAAAATATCAAAAAATGGAAATTGTTTGCTTCAATTCAAAAGGAGCGAGTTAGGGAAAAAGACAGAGAAAGGATGCAAATGCAGCTGGAAAAAGCTCAAGAAAGGAAGCAGCCAATTGTAGAAGGTATGGAAGAGTTCTCGGATGAAGAAAAACGGGGAAGGCGAAAAAGAAGGAAAAAAAGCGACGATGATTATGAGCCAGTTGCTAAAATGAAGAAAAGTAAGCTGCAGATTATTGAAAAACAAGAGCAGGCTTATGATTATAAAAAAGAGTCGGCAATTGTGCAGCTTGAAGATATTGAAAGAATCAGATTAGGAAGAGACCAGCTTGTGAAATGATGTCCACATTTGTATTTTGACAAAACAGTGAAGGGCGCTTTTGTGAAAATTAATATTGGGAAGAAAAAAGGCACAAATGAAAGCGTTTATTTAATGTGCGAAGTTGTTGATGTGCTTACTGGTGATTATTATGAAATCCCTGATACCAAAATCAGTACAAATAAATATCTCCATCTGGCTCATGGGAAAAACAAAAAAACTATGAAGATTGATATTGTTTCTAAAAAGCCTTTTACAAGTGAAGAGTTTGAAGCATATGCAGAAAAACTCAAAAAAGACCAAATAAAGCCAGTCACCAGAAATCATATTGATAACAAGCTAGCCGAAATTCAAGCTGCGCACAACTATAAATACACAAGTGATTAGATTATATTAGATTAGAATAAAAGTTAGAATGATTTTCGGGGTTTATTTCAGTCCCTTTTCGCCTTCACCGACTTTAGGCTCGTCACCCAGGGGGATAGGAGATATAATAAATGCTCGATGATGGCGCTCAATGTTCCATCATCTGGCAACCTGTATAGGAACGACCCCGACCTCTCCTTCTCGTTCCCATTACCCTTCGCATCGGAAGCGTAGAGTTGTCTTATGGATTCTGGCTTCCTTGTCTCTCGTGTGGGGTAAAAGCCCTGTCGTGGTGCCCCAATCAGGGATAAAAAATCCACCCTGGAAACAAATTCCAAGCCCCTGCCCTAAATACAAAAACCTAAAAGGGTATGGGAGAAGGACGGGTCGAAGAATTCCCCATTTTATTTTTATTTGGGTGTATACACAAGTGAAGAAATTGAAATCATGGTAGAAAAACAACTTGAAGAAAACATCGCGAAAGGGAACATCGAGTCCTTTGCAACCTTGGAGCTTGAAAAACTCAAAGTAAGGCTAGAAGACATGAAAGCGAATCCTGAAGGAATAAGTGAAGAAGAACAAAGGAAAAAAATTCGAAGCCTTGAAGACATGATCAAAAAGTTGGAAAATGCATTGAAATTTGACGACAAAATTGTGGTAGGTGAGACTGTTCAAATTTTAAATGAAAGAAATAGAACTAAACAACTGGAAATTGACTTATGAAGGGTAAGATATTATTAAGGCTGAACAAAGAAAGCTACATAAGCTTGAAGAAGCAAAGCAAGAAAATAAAAAAGCGGAAGAAGTGAAACCTAGTATGAAATAATTAGAACTTTCTCAATATGAAATGGACCAGCTAGCAAAGCAGAGACTGGTGACTATTCATTCTGTTGATTTAGAAATTGATGATTGGATACCACTAACAGGGCCGCTGAGAGTACCAATAAGAGAGTATCCTGCACTAGTCACTCCTTATCCTCTTTAATAATATATATACCTAATTACAACGAATAAAAACGTTCATACTGATTAGCCACTATTCTATTTTATAGAAAATATGATAATAGTTGCCAGTAGGTGCATTTTTATTCATTATGATTAGACATAATTTAAATCGAAATATTAAAAGAACTGTTAATTAATAGATTGTTAATTATTTGATTTAATTATATACACCTATTCACCAATGTATCTTGGCTGGTATGTAGGCGAAGGACTCTCACTTTCTCCAGGACTACCTTCAAATGTAGGCAAAAAGGCTCTGCTTTCAAAAGAATAATTTTCAGAATGATACTCATTTGGGAGAGGTTTTAATTTTATAACAGAACTATCCTCAATTTCAGATTGAGTTCGTTTTATTTTTTCATGAACCATCACTTTTTCAATTCCATTTGGCAAAGAATTAAAAACATTTTTCATATCTAACAAAGCAAACCTTTTCGGTTTAAAAATGCTGGAATCAAGCTCTATCGGCTCCCATTTTTTATCAGAATATTGAGCTGCAAATCTTGAATTTTGATTATTTTTGTTGTTTAAGCTTAGCCTTCCAGTCCCAAAAGCAGGATGCAGTCTTGAGTTGTTATTAATTTTACTAATAGAAGGCAAATTTTCTTTTTTCACACTTATTGAGTTAACTAAATCAGATTTTGTGCTTCTTTTCGTTGAATGACTTCGTGATCTCATTGACAGTTTGTTGGGCCCAAATCTAATTGTACTCGGGATTTGTGTAGTTTTGAATTCATCTCTTTGTGAAGAATTATAACTTTTATACAAACTTATATCATTTTTTGATTTTTTCAATAATTCTTTTGGATTTATATCAGAAATATTCAAGAAGCTTGATGAGTCTAGTTGGCAACTGTGCATTCTCGCTACATTTTTATGTCTCTGTCTTAACGGATTCTCCATTTTCTAATTTTTAGGTTATTTAGATAAATCCTAATAATGGCAGATGAGCTAATTATTGACGCCAATCGTTGTGCTTTCCGAGAGCTATTTAGCAAATTAAAGCAAAAGGAAAAGATGCTGACCTACAATGAATTATTCAAATTTTTGGAAAAGGCACATATATTTCCTGATTTATTAGATATTTATAGACTGAAATCCTTGATTTTGGATAGCGCAAAAACCAATGGGAACTATGATAAAAGGCCAAGTTTTTCATATATGGGATTTGAAATTTTATTATGCGAACTGGCTAATAAAATATATGAGAAACATCCTCAAAATGAGAGGTTTAAACTCTTGATAAGGCATATAGTGATTTCATGCAGGCTGCTGTATGGTGTTCATTTAACCCAGACTTTGTCACAAGACCCACTTGATACTTTTAATTCTGAATCAACAAATTCTTTATTTTTTGCTACTGAGGACAAGCGGTTAGCAAAAGCACAATCACTTACTCCCACCCTCTGTGAGCAATCAAAAAATTTTGTTTCAAGGAAAGCTGCTAATTTTTTTTAAAATTTATATGTATAAATTTTATAGAATTTTTTTTCAAAATTTTAAAAAATTTAAAAAATTCCCGAAATAATTTAGACAAATATTAATTTAACTTGTGTATTTTATGTTTTAAAATGCAAGTATTTAAAATTAAACAGTATTAGCTAGAGATTTCATTTTAATAATTATCACTTATATATCAAATATTTTTTCATAAAAATTTTTTATTTACGGAGGGTGGGTTTTTACTCAAAAATAGGCATTTTTCCTAGTTTTTTTCTGTCACGGAGGTGGATTTAAGGGCTTAACTTCCCCTTTTCAAGCATTCAAGAATTCCAGGGATAATTCTTTCAAAAACATTACTAACAAACTACCAATAGCAAATCCAGAAAAGAATATTAAGCCCGCAGTAAAAAATGATTCAACAGTTAACATTCTTTTAAAGACAAAAAGACCGGTTCTGCAAACTGCTCATCAATCTCCCAACAAAATCTCACCAGAAGTTATTGGAAAATTAATTGGATCGAAATCATTAACAGTCTCTCCTCTAGCTGCTTCTGAAATTCCTTCACCACAAACCCCAAACCAAAACTCCGATGATATGAGCCTTTCATTCGATGATAGATATGAAAAGATTGTAGAACTATTTAGCGAGTTTAAGAAAAAGAACGAGTCACTAAAATTACCAAAAACTGGCTGCATTAGCTCGAAGGTTTTAGAATTTATAAGCCATATAAGAAACCGAAGAGTAGGAACAGTAAGCGTCATTTAGAAATATTTATTGAAGATGAATTTTGAATTATGGAAACTAAAAACTCTACGAAAAAAATTAAATTAAATATATAGTGCTTTTTCATGAATCGTCTTATTAGCAGTTCTAGTCGTTTTCATAAAGCAAATCTTACAAAAATATATAAAATTAATATGGAAGAATGGAGCTATGAGATCTGCGATTGTGCTAAAAACCCATTCATGTTTGTTTGGTCTCTTTGCATCCCATGTGGACTCCACTGCATGCAAACTTGTAATGCAAAGCATGCAGATCCTTTAAATAAACACTCAGCTTTACGAGCCTACTTATGCGTTTTATTCTTTGGATGTGTAGGAGCATCAATTAACCGCAACCTACTTAGAAAATCATTGAATATAAAAGGCAATCTCTTTCATGACTTCGCACATTTGATCATTCCTTGTTGTGCTGTGACGCAAGAATGGATGCAGGTCATGAAAGTAAAGAAGGGAAGCGGAGAGCTTTTAATTACTCAACTTAAAGTTATTTAACCCTATTAATCCTGCCAAATAAAATGCTAACTCCCCCCCTCCGTGAGTGAACAAAACCATTAGAAAAATCCCTAGTTTTTGCCCAAAAACCCACCCTCCGTGAGTGAACAAAAAATTTTTTTAATAGATTATGGAAAAAATATTTGATATATAAATGATAATTAGTATAATGAAATTTAGAGCTAATTCTGTTTAATTTTAAACGAATTGCTTTTTAAAACATAAATTTTATAAATCAAATTAATATTTGCTTTCCAATTTTTTGTGAATTAGGATTTTTTTAATTTCGAAAAAAAATATTTTTTATAAAATTTATATATAAAATTTTTTAAAAAAAAAAAAATTAACCCCCCTCCGTGAGTGAACAAAATTTTTTTGTTCACTCACGGAGGGGGGGGAGTAAGAATTAAAAAACTATTTAATCTTTGTTTTGAAAGTTTTTGTAAATTGTAAATGGAGGTGCCATAATCAACTAATTATTGTAATTTTTTTCCTCTCCATTGATTAAAAATTATAATAAGAGATGTTAATAAAAACTAATTAAGGCCTTCTATTTTCTTTAATATTTATTTTAATAAATATATTATATGATAATAATTAGCAAAGTAAACTAAAGTTTGGAAGCATTATTTATAAAAATTTAGCACTTGGACAATAGAAGCTAAATTATTCGATCATTATTTATTAGGGAAAAATTAGATTTCCTATAAAAATAATTATCATATCTCACACATTTTATGAATAATTTTTCTCTTAAATTTCCTAAAAAACAGTCAATCAAATCTTTTAATTAATTCTATTATATATTATCTAAATATTTAGAATAATTATGTTCATGCCTTCGAAGACGCTAAGACAATTTCATCTCTTTGGCTAGTGACTGATTTGAATTGGGCTTCTTCGATTTGTAGTAGATCTTTCACCCAAGAATTCCTCAGCAATTTTGGCACTTCAGTTGCTGGGAGTTTTACTATTTCTTGGGTCGGTGAATTCAAAGCCAAGATTTTTCTCAAGAACTCAGGAGTTTCAATTGCATCCTCATTGCTTTCTTCGACGAAATTAAAGCGACTATGAAGTCTTCGGGGCGCGAAGTCAAAACTATAAACTCTTGGCTTAGTTTTTGGAGGAGTCTGAAACTCTTCGCTGGAAACTCTTGGCTTAGTTTTTGGAGTCTGAAACTCTTCACTGGAAATTCTTGCTCTTTGAACTCGAGCTGAAGGAAGTACATGGTGTTTATCTGGCTTTGCTGCAATGACATTTAGTAGCGGAAATATGGAATTATGAGCCTGAATGTGACAATTATGCTGAATGTCTTCACGTGTGAAGGTATCTGACAAGCTTCCTTCTTCATGTAGATACATGCAATCAGGATTTTGACATCTGGTTCCTTTTACATATGAATTGCAATATTTAGTAGTCCCATATGTAGCTTTTATTTCTCTCTCTTCATACACGAAGCCATCACAAGCCTAATCGGATTTTACTTTAATACACAAAGTTGCCTCGACCTCGCTATGGTATGTTAGGTATGCACTGTATGACAAACCTGAAGGATTTGTATATGCATTGGCTTTATTTACAACACATTTTTTTATTCGGCCATATTGACCAAAAAACTTGTCCATGCTCATAACCTAAATAAAACTGACCTTCTCATCAGCCAAACTGGGAGAAAGCCCTATCAAGTAAACAAGATTTCTTTGGATTACTCGATACTTAGCAAGTTCAGCTCTGCTGTTTTGGTCACAGAGTTTTGAATATGATGAACTGAATAAGGGTTACTTAAAGAATAAAGCTCTGTGACAGTGCGGACATCTGGGATTTATTGCATCTTCTGTTATATGGTTAGCACATTTGGTGCACAGGACTTGTCCGCAGTTACACAATTGACGTGATGGTAACGCTGTCTGGCAAACACCACAGATTCTGTCTTCCATAGATAATTTATAATAAAAGTTATTTTGATATCAAAGCCATTAGTTCAATAAACGCTTTAAATTTGAAAATTTAAACTTATTTTGGTGTAAAGGAAATGGCGTAGCAGATTAATCAGTAAGGATTAAAATTGGAATTAAAATTTTTAAATTTGAATTCGAGCGGGTTTGCTACTCCCTATTAAATTCTTTGTTTATTGAGACAAATAAATTAAAATAGTATTAAAGGGTTATGCTAGTCATAAGTGGGTTAACCTGCTAACGTCGTCCACTTTAGTTCCAAAATGTTGCACTTTTGGATTTATCTCTTAAACCACTTGTTTAAGGATTAGCTCCATAGTGCAGAACCGCTGTCTGTAGAGTCCCTGATGGCCCCGATGAGGAGAAGACCAATTGTAGGCAAAGCCTGCCTAGCCCATTTGGCAGAGACAGAAATAACTTCGGGAGTAGCAAAATTTCCTTATTCAGCAAGGCTTTCAAACCTGAAGGCCTATTTCAAAAAGGACAGAGTTCCTGGTTTCAGCTTCATCAGGATGGGTCTTACCTGCTTCATAGGAGCCTAATTTAAATCAACTTAATTATTTTATTCTAATTGAGACAAAGGAATATCTAAATAACCTTTCTAAAGAGCAATAATCTTTAGGAGGTATTTGCATTTAATTATCAACTATTATAGTAGTGCCAGCATCATTTAAAAATATAATTTAGATAAACTATAAAAACTAACGAGAAAATAGTAATTTATAAACAATTAATAATTATTTAATAAGGTTCTTATTATTCTGCGTGCTATGAATAAATGCAGAATATATGTTTATCTTATTTTTAAAAATTAAAAAAATTAGAAATAGCTGTATGACCTTATGCGTCTTAATAAGGCTCTATTGCTATACATCATCTAAATGTTTATAAAATTATTAATAGACTTAATTTTTGAAACACTGAAATAAGTTGAAATAATTTAAGGATTCAAATGAGCCTGCAAGTTAATCAAATAGAATAAAGTTTTAGCAATGGCAAGGTAGACAGCTGAAATTAATAGCTGTTTCAAATAATTATGCTCAAATACAATAAAATTTAAAAAAATCAAAAGCTGGGCTTTAGAGGTATTTTATTTACGTTTTCATAATCCAGATGAATGAGATGGATTTTTGCTGCGAGTAGACCATTTCAGTTCTTTTATCCGTGCAAAGTTTTCATCACAATGTGATAGCAAATATCATGGAAATTCACATATTTTCTGCTGTTAATCCCTTATCATTTTAGCATCAAAATAATTTAACTAGCAAAACATTTAGGCAAGATTATTGCTAAACTAATTATCTCATTTTCCTAACCGTTTTAATTTAAATTTAAGTTAACTGAAAATGAAATGCGGCTAGCTGAACATTTTCCTCGCTCGACATTTACTTGAAGATATTTGGTCGGATTTTTTCATTCTAAGGCATTTGATCGAATTTTTACCTTTCATCTAGCAAATGATTTGCGAGGAAAAAGTTTCGACAAAATCAACGAGGAGATTTCACTTTGGGAAAATATTCTGATCAGTTGGCATGTGCCTGAAAATACTAATTCATATAACTAATGACTCAGCCTATTTTTAGATACGACGAAGCGAATTGGATAAATGATATTCTATTCACATGAGCATTCTCCCCTATAAGGTTTTGAGTTAAAAATAAGCCAAATCCCTCAAATTTAGTGGATGTTCCAAAGAGATTGAAGTTTAACGAATCTGTTGATAAACTAGAAAAAGAATGAGAAAATGAGCTAAATAGTAAAAACCCGAGTTTTTTCAAAGCCTTAATTAGAGTTGTGGGCTGAGATTTTATAAAATATTGTATACCAGGAATAATAGGCTACAATTTAGGACTGGTCCAAGCTGTCCTTGTTATTTTCTTACTCCCCCAATAACAAGCAAAATTCTTTTGCTTTAGCACAAAATTTTCAAAGAATATGTATAGGGTCGAAATTTTTCTTATTATTGGGGGTTTCAGATAAAATGTAAAACTTGCGAATCTAAGTGCATTTGCCCAAAATAATAAGTAAATTTCGATCCATATAAAATTTATATTTAAATTTTATCCCAAAGCCCCAGAATGAGCAAGAACTCGCTTATTACTGGGAGTTAGTCGAGTACATGCGTGATGAAGATGCAGATCATTATGAAGCAATTTATCTGGTTATCGCATACGCTACCTCAGTTATATCAGCCCATTTTTTGTTTACTATCAGTTCTTTCAAATTAAGGGTCTTAACTGCCAGAATCAAATCAATAATCCCATGTGTTATATTTAAAAAAGTTTTGACAATGTCAAATGTAGCAATCTCAGAAGGAGACAATAAAGGAAAACTCTCTAATGTGATTGCAACTGAACTAGAATTTCTTGATCTTTTATTTGTCACTATGCTTGTTCTGGCTATGCCAATTTTTATAATAGGATCATATATTATTTTAGGCATTTTGATAGGTTGGGCTGGAATAATTGGCTTAACTATAGACATTCTTCATTTTCCTATAATAGTTTTATTAGCGAATATTGTAGGGAATTACAGGCTAAAAATTGCGATCCATAGTGATGGAAGAGTGAAAATGATCACAAACCTTATTGAAGGCATTAGAATTATTAAACTTTATGGGTGGGAAGATCCATATTTAGCTCTCATTTATAAAAAAAGGCTTGAAGAAATAAGAGAAGCAATCCACAAAATAAATGTTTTTTCTATAGGAAACACAATCGGAACAGCAGGATCATGCTTGATTTTGCTCATAACTTTTTGGCTTTTTGTGCACTTTGGAAATGATTTAAGCAGTGGGGAAGTGTTTTGTGCAGCGACACTTTTATTGATGGCTCATGTCCTGATTACTAGATCGGGAGTTGTAGCAATTACAACAATAGTGCTACTTATTCTGTCAATGCAGAGAGTAACCCAAATTATTTTGCTAAAACCAAGGCCAAAGTCTCAAAATTCAGACACAATGGGACATTCTGTGTCTGTGAAAAATGCAAGTTTTGGATATAATGGGGCTAATACTGGAAATAGCTCTGAGCTACATAAATTGAGCGAAGGAGATGGAGAAAAAGAGCCTGCACTAATTGGCATTAATTTTGAGCTCGAAATTGGCGAGCTTTTAATTGTAGTTGGACCTTCAGGGTCTGGAAAAAGCACTCTTTTGATGGGATTATTACAAGAAATAGCTTTAAAGTCAGGGAACTTCGGAGTGAATGGGAAAATTGCATATTCTGGAGATAACCCTTGAATTGTTTCTGGTACTATAAAGGAAAATATTGTGATGGGCAGCGAGTATAACGAAGAACTATATAACAGAGTAATTTTTGCATGTGCACTTGAAAAAGACTTAAAGCTGCTTACGTATGGAGATAATACAAATATTGGGAATAGAGGAATAACTTTAAGTGGAGGCCAGAAAGCAAGAATATGCCTTGCCAGAGCAGTCTATACTAATAGAGATATAATCCTTCTTGATGACCCTTTAAGTTCTTTTGATCCAGAAGTAAGCGCTCATATATGAAAATACTGCATTAAAGGAATATTAAGCGGCAAAACGATCGTTATTGCAACTCACCAACTTCAGCTTGCTTCAAAAGCTGATAAAATATTAATTCTATTTCAAGGAAGGCAGATTTTCTTTGGAAATAGTGAGGAATTGAAAACAAGGGAAAATATCGTGAATATCCTTGGCGACTTAAATGACACTTCATCTGTATCTACTATTAAAAATAGCGACCTAGATAGTCTGATCAGTGCAAATGTTAACCAAGATAAAATTTCTATTGAAGATGAGGCAAGTAGCAAGCCAGTTGTGGTGAAGTCTTACTTTAGGTACTTACTTTATGGGTATAAATACTCATTTATTTTCGTGATAATTTTTCTTATTTTAATTGCAGCCCACGCAGCAAGTGTTGCTGTGATGTGGTGGCTTGCAATATGAGCTGCACAATCCGAAAGTGAACAGGAAAACAACTACTACGTATATGTTTTTGCAATTATTTCCTTACTAAGCTTGATTACAGCATTTCTAAGATGCTACATTCTGTATTATGGTATGGCTATAAGTGGTAGAAATCTTCACAACGCCGCACTTGCAGGGATCACTAAAACAAATACATGATATTTTGATAAAAACCCTACGGGAAGAATGATAAATAGGTTTTCAAAAGACACTTTATTAATGGACGAAATTTTAATGATGCATCTTTTTGAATTCGTCCACACACTAATTTTGCTTTGGGGTACATTTATAGTAGTCACCATTGTAGCTCCTCTTAACGTATTTGCTATTACAGCCTATCTGGTTTATGTGATATTTTTAGCACTAAAACTAGTCCCAATTTCTAAAGAACTGAGATCAATTGAGTTGATGTCCAAAAGTCCAATTTTTTCTATTTGCAATGAATCTGTGCTGGGGCTGGTCTATATAAGGTCTTTTGATCTCCAAGAAAAGTTCTATTTAGATCTAAGGAAAGCTGTGGAGCATAATCTTAAATGCATATTAAATAACGAACTCTGCATAAGGTTCTATCAAGCTTATATTGAATTGGGAGGCACTTTATTGAATATTATAAATGTCATTATACTTGTAGTTTTTCGAGATTATGTAAGGGAAGAATTCGCAGCTATGAGCATGTCACTATTGATATCAATTTTAGCTTTGGCATCTTGGTGGGCTGAAATGATGATAGAGACTGAAAATTTAATGTCTTCTCCACAGAGATTGATGGAGTATGCAGATTTGCCTGTGGAAGGAAATTTTGACTCAAGCAAAAAATTCGTGATACATTCAGGCAAAATCGAAGTACAAAACTTATGGATGAGGTATCAAGACAATTTACCATTTGCTCTCCAATATCTTGATTTCTATATAGAGCCTGCTCAAAAAGTTGGAATTGTAGGGAGAACAGGCTCAGGGAAATCCTCTTTTATGCAAGTTCTTTTTAGGCTGATCAACCCTTATTCTGGCACGATTATAATTGATGGACAAGATTACAGAGAAGCCGGGCTTCACCAGTTACGCAAACAGATGTCAGTGATTCCTCAGTCCCCTACGATATTTTTAGCAAGCTTCAGAGATAATCTTGATCCTTTCCATGAGCATACTGAAGAGGAAATCATGCAAGTCCTCAAAGAAACCAGACTTTATGATAAAATAAATTCATATCCAGACGGGCTTAACCACATTTTGAATGGTGACGGAGGAGGCTTATCTGCAGGGCAAAAACAATTAGTTTGTTTAGCAAGAGCAGTGATAAGAAAAAACAAAATCGTAATGATGGATGAAGCGACTTCGAATGTCGATTTCGAGACTGATAAATTTATACACAAAAAAATTAAAAAAATGTTTGTTGACAGCACTTTACTTATAATAGCGCATAGATTGAGAACAATTATTGATATGGAAAAGATCATTGTGATGGAAGAAGGGACTTGCAAAGAATTCGGAGATCCGAAAGAGCTTGTGAAAAACGAAGATTCTTTGTTTAGAAAAATGATAATGTACACTGGACAAGTGGAATCTCAGTATTTGCTGAAGAAATTAATAATTGATTAATATGAGTTTTATAATAAATAAATAAATAAATAAATAATTTTGCAAGACAATAGGAATGTCCATTCAAGAAGGCCAGAATTGATCTCAGTTGCCTAATTTAGATGTCCAAAATAGAGATCAAGCTATTGTTAATCCTTCTGAACAATATTAAAATTGCAGCTAAGAGATAGGTCCTGTATACCTGCTCCGCAGGTTGGGTCTATACTCTAGCTTATGTGACAGAGGTTGATCCTCTTGAGAGTCTAGAGTGAAGTGAAGAGGTCAATGCTGAGTCTGGTGTTGATCGAGGAGTCTTGAGTGTGATTTATTAGCATTAACGGTTTGACGGTTAGGAAGGTCCACCTACCGTTATTCAAAGCTGTTAATTAAGTTGGACCTCACTGAAGGAGATGTATAAAAAGAGATTTTTCTATAAAGTTAAAGTTAAAGTTAATCCTTCTGATATAGAAGAAAATAGCAACGCAGAACCTTATTATGAAGAATCTGTCTACCAAAAATTGGTCAGGCCTTGCAACAGATATGATGAGTTTATGGGGAAATTTACTGCCAATGGGTCAATGCCACCTCCTTGTTTGGCTCAATATTTCGTAAAAGAACAAAAAGTATCCAATCCAAGGTTCCTCAGATTTACATGCACAAACTGCTCTCTTAATGAAAATATACAATACAATATCGGAATTCCTCTCGGAGCAATTTGGCAGCCTTTTGCAGAACTCTCACCTGAAGATGATAAGGTACCTTTAATAGAAAGAGAACCTCTTAGATGCACAAACTGTCTTGCTTATATGAATGCACATTTTAAATTTTCTAATAATGATTTCAAATGCAATATATGCGGATATGTACAAAAATATTCTAAAGAATACTTTAAATCTCAAGGCTCATTTCCAGAATTCAGCCGAGGAACTTATAAGTATCTAATATCAAAGGAATTGCAGGGGAGCATCGATAAAAATATATATTATTTGGTATGCATCGATATAACGAATTTTTCTTTAGGGCTGGGTGTTTATCAGCAAGTTTTATCATCAATAAGAGATATTTTGAATTATATCCCTAATCCAGAAATTGTAAAGATTGGAATCATAACATATGACTCATTTCTTCACTTTTTTAGTTTGAATAACTCTCCTGAAAGTATTCAAGAAGTCATTGTTTCAGATGAAAATGATCTATTTATCCCATTCCATTTTTCATCACTATGTTATAATGCACAAACCGAAAAAGAAAAGATTGAAAATTTAATAGACAGTTTATTGGGATGAGAGTTCTCTGAAATAAGTAAAAATACTTTACCTGTTGCCACTATTATTGATTTGGTTAAAAATCATTTTAAAGGAGATGCTGCATGCCGACTTCTTTTATTTTCAAGTAAGGCTGAAAGTCTAAAAACAGAAAAATTAAATTATTTAGGCTCTTTAGAGGAGTTCATTAGGCTTGGTAAAGAATGCACAGAAAATTCTCTATGTGTTGATTTATTTTTATTTACTCCCCCCTCTCTGAGCGAAAAGATATTTTGTTCGCTCATAAGGGGATTGAGGGGGTTAATTTTTTTTAAAAAAATTCAAATTCGTAAAATTGAGAAGTAAAAATTAATTTAATTTGTAAATTATTTTTTAAATGCGAACTGTTTAAAATTAAATAGAAATGTTAGAGGTTTCATTATAATAATTATCACTTATATATCAAAATATTTTTTATAAAAAATGTTTTTCCTCGCTCCTAAAATTAAGAATTTTTCCAATGGTTTTGTCTCACTCACGAGGGTGGATTAGTAATAGCGTGGATATTTCTTCTCTAGCAACGCTTTCTTCACAAACTGGCGGAGATATCTATTATTACCCAAAATATTTATCAAAATATGACGGTGAAAAACTTTATTACCAGTTATTGAGGATATTTACTCGACCACAAGTTTTTGATGCAAATATGAGAATCCGATGCAGCATAAAAATGGCTATTGATGATTGTATTGGGAATTTTATAAAGAAAAGCCCAGTTGAAATGCAAGTGGCTGCTATTGATAGTGATAAATCTATCGGAATAATGCTTAAATATGATGGAGTGCTTGTAGAAAATGAAAAAGTTTATCTCCAATGTGCAATTTTATATAGAAATAATTTAGGACAGAAAATTTTAAGAATTTATAATGGACTTATGATTGCAGATGAGAATTCAAAATTTACACATACTGAATATGGAGATTTGGACACAATTAATAACATCTTAGTTAAAAAGTATGCAAAAATGATGTTTGAAAAACAACTGCAAAATGTGAAGAGTGATTGATATAATTTCATCTATAGAGTCACTAATTATTATGGATGGGTTATTTCAGGCGCAGGATCAGATGTATTAAAACCACATTTTGTTGATATGCTGCCCTTATTTTACAATACAGCAAATAAACTTGCAGGACTTTCATTTAATCAATCTATATCAGATGACATTAGGCTGGTGTCTTCATTTTCTTTATATTCTATATCTTCATCAAAGCTACGTCTTTTATTATATCCAAATATTTATAAACTGCATGACATAATGGCTCAGCCCCGCCTTCCTGGGACTGCCTCGAGCTCAACTACAATTTATCTACCTGATACTGTGCCTTGTAAAAGGGAAAGCTTATCTCCTGAAGGGGTTTATTTGCTTGCAAATGGAGATATAATTGTTATTTTTATCGGGAAAAATGCACCAGAAGAATTTTTAATTAAACTATTTGGGAAGCCTTTAGATCAGCTGAGTAAAGAGGAAATTGATATAAAAAATATAGGAACTGAAGAATCAGAAAGAATTTCTTTAATCATAAATGAATCACGAATAAAAAATCCAAATGGAATACCTCCTCTTTATTTTTATTTACTCCCCCCCCCCTCCGTGAGTGAACAAAAAAATTTTGTTCACTCACGGAGGGGGATTAATTTTTTTTTTTTTTAAAAATTTATATATAAAATTTTATAAAAAATATTTTTTTTCGAAATTTAAAAAAATCCTAATTCGCAAAAATTGGAAAGCAAAAATTAATTTAATTTATAAAATTTATGTTGTAAAAAGCAATTCGTTCGAAATTAAACAGAATTAGCTCTAGATTTCATTATACTAATTATAATTTATATATCAAATATTTTTTCCATAAAAAATTTTTTTCTATTAAAAAAATTTTTGTTCACTCACGGAGGGTGGGTTTTTTGGGCAAAAAATAGCGATTTTTCTAATGGTTTTGTTCACTCACGGAGGGGGGGGAGTTAGAAGAAAAAGATAACTATGAACTAATAAAACAATTTATGGTGGAAGATCAAAACGGAAATGAAACAAGTTATGAATTATTTGTAGAAAATATAAATTCTTTGGTGCAGTATTATGAAGATTAATTTTAAACTATATAAGGCCAAGTCAGTATTTTATAAATGCTTATGAACTTTTCGTTATTAATTATTAAAAATTATTTGAACTTGTTAAGAATTTTTATGAAAATATTTTCTCTAACTCCCCGCATCCTTGATCGAACGGCTCGCCATCGTTCGATCAAGGATGGGGGTTAAATTAATTAATACGACTTATAACGCTTAACGTCCCAATACGGGGTGACAACCCCAGGTACTTCCACTCGCCTTGTGCTGCATCGGACCCACAGGTCGCTGGGGATGACCTGCTTTGATCGCCAGGGTGCTCCTCGGGAAAGTGTTACGGCTTCGACGGCTCATGAATGAGCTACTTGCTTGCTGACATGGGTTGCCTTTCCGAAAAACCCAAAAAATGGATTTTTCTGGTCGGCTATCGGCAAAAAGGAAAAACACGTAGCCTGGGACGTAACGTATCTTTCACACGACGACTATTTCATAACGACTATTTTTTTTTTGGCCTATTTTTTTTTGGCCTATTTTTTTTGGCCTATTTTTTTTTTGGCCTATTTATTTTTCACCTATTTTTTTTGGCCTATTTTTTTTTCACCTATTTATTTTGGCCTAATTTTTTTTGGCCTATTTTGTTTTGGCCTATTTTTTTTTTCACCTATTTTTTTTTGGCCTATTTTTTTTTTCACCTATTTTTTTTTTTGGCCTATTTTTTTTTTGGCCTATTTTTTTTTTGGCCTATTTTTTTTGGCCTAGTTTTTATTAATGTCCTATTGTCTCTATTGATCCCCGACATACATTAAAATGGAGATAGGTGTAAACCTGCCCTCTTGGCGCAACAGCCCAGACCTTATCGCTACGGCAAATTGGGACGGACTCCAAGCCAAGAATCAAGTGTATGCTCAAGAGATGTGTATCCGAGTAGTTTTTTGCTGCTTTCCTGTAGTTTGGAAATGGATGTGCTCAACAAAGTCCTTTGGATCCGAGAATTCATGGGCATTCCTCTACCGAGAAAACTGGGGGGGTTTCGGCCCAGGCTATAGGAGAGTAGTCTTTTTCCTGCAGCTGTAAAAGGAAGGTAATTCCTCCCACGACAGACTACAAGGAGTTGATCCTTAGAATCAAGCTACTCCAATCGCCTGTAGCAGGGCCGCAGAAATCTATAAGCACTCGAGATTGAAGCAGTAGAGCAAGGAAGAAGGTACGGAAGTGGTATCCACCTTCGGGGAAAGACTGTCTGGGCTAGAGTCGAAAAGCGGATGAACCTCCTTTACAGGAGGTCTTTGGTGACTGTTTCACCAATATAGCTAACGCCTGTCTTTAATAGCATAACCTAACTTATACTCTATTTATCCCTATTTCCTCCTAAAATAGGACTAATTTTTCTATTCTCACATGTATCTATTTCTAACTCCCCCTTCCGTGAGCGAACAAAATCATTGGAAAACCCTATTTTTTGCATAAAAACCCACACAAAATGTTTTATGGAAAAAATTTTGATATATATATAGCTGATAATTAGTATAATGAAATCTCACTAATTCATTTAATTTTGAGCAATTACATTTAAAACATAAATTTTACAAATTAAATAAGCATTCGATTTCCAGATTTTTGAAGTTTTAAAACAATATTTAATATAAAATTTCGATATAATTTTTTTTTAAAAAAAAAATTAGACCCTTCCATAAGCGAACAAAATCTTTTTGTTCGTTTACGGAGGTGGGGAGTAAATAAAATGGATATACAATTTTCCTCTAAGCAGCTATATGGAGGTGCTATTGAAGCAGAATTTCCAAGCTCCGTTAGCGATTTGTCTCAAGTTACATTTGTTCCAGATAACCAAGAAGTTTTTACAGATTTAAACACAGAAGCTACTCTTATACTAGATCTACTTGAGCGTGCAGAGTGTCAAGATGAAAACTCTGCAGCTTACCATTATAATGATCTTGCCGGCCAAAACGAAAGTTCAGGTCCAGGGCAATCCACAATTATTTCAACACGCGAAATTTCTCCTCAAGAAATGCCAAATATTCCTGCTGATTGGAAAAAATACATAATTAAAGGCCAAATGCTGATAAAGCCAGATAAAGGCCAATTTACTGATAGAGATCTAGTTAATATTCTGATGCTTATTATCAGAATCGCTGAAGTAGAAACAGATATTGTTTTTCATATTAACTTACCGGTAAAAGAAAGGATAGACCAAGAAAACGCTATGATCGAAAAATACTTTAAACGGTTTATGGAGTCATTTAAAATCAATGATATGGGTCTTTTTGGGTAATGAAGTTAAAATTAATATGAATTTCTAGATTATCGATAATAAAATATTTTATATGAAAACCAACCAAGATTTCTTCTCCTTGCATTTCTGCTTACTGGGGACAGCTCAGCTCAGCCTTATTTATGGAAAAGCTGAATTATTAAAGGAGGTTCCATATGTCTTTATATTATCTCCATCACTGTGCTATTTATTGATAGAAATCATCTTACTCCCCGCTGTTAGCGAACAAAGCCATTGGAAAATCCCTATTTTTGGAAAAAATATAAAAAAATTTTTTATATATAGGGCTATAATTAATTAGTATAATGAAATATCATTCTTATTTTGTTAATCATTTTTTAAAACAGAAATTTTATAATTTTAGCTTTACACAATTTTGTGAATTAAGTTTTTTTTCAACTTCAAAAAAAAAATACTATAATCTTTATGAATAGTTTCTTTTAAAAAAAATTAACCTATCCGTTAGCGAAACACAATTTTTTTGTTCGCTAGAGATGGAGGAGTTAGCTATTATAGAGATTATTAATTCTGAAGAAGTCACTCAATCAGAAGCCTTAAAAATTTTGATAAAATTTGCAACACTTGGACTTGCTTTTACAAGTATCATTTTTTTGATAGAAAGCATGGATTCAGGGTTTGAATCGCTAGTCCCGATATTATTACCTTTATTTTTAATACTTGCAATGCATAGCTCATGTAGAGTACTGCATAAGCCTCCACCAATAATTTCATCAATCCTCAATATATTACCGCCTACATTATCTGTTTGCACTATAAATGGGACATGCAGCTCAATGTATGTATCTTTATTTTCTTCCGTTTTTAGTGCATTTGGGGCATCTATATCAGATTTTATTACAATTTTAAACCCTTTGACCTATCTTTTGCTATTCTTGACAATACTTTCACTTTTTTTTTCAAAGCACTCAATAAAGCATCCACCTTTTCTTTTGGGATTATTTTCAACAGTTGGAATATTATTATTCCAATATCTAGATTTATTTATGATGATTTTAATGTCAAATGGCTTGCTAATGGTATCTGTATTATGGAATAATCAAATGATAAAAGTCGGGGAATTCAAACGTATTTAATTGCTAATCAATTTTATTGAGTTGCTGTTATATTTAATTAATAAACCGAAAAATTAATTAAAAATATTTTCTTTATTTTCTTGAGTTTCTGTATATATTCTGCTTGAGAAATCTGATATCTCCTTCTTGTCATCATTGACATTACTATCTTCAATTTTAATTTTCTCTTGGAAATTTAGCCTCAAAGGGCTACCATTGAAATGCTTTAGAGGAGCAGAAGATGGCTCTGAATTGATTCTCTTTGGATGAACTGGCGGCTTTGCTGGGGTGCTTGGCTTAGAGTTTCTCATTTCTGTGTTAATATTATCAAATTCGTTCTGTTTATCACTTCATTCTTCGTTTCTTTTTACTGGTGAAACAGAAGAAACCCTCAGTGTATTGTTTACTTTGCTGTATTTTATTTCAATTTTTTTGCTTGTTATGTCCCCAAGATCTAAATTTGAGCTCTTTGACCTTTTTTTTCTTTCACAGGATTTTTGTGTTTTTATTACTCTTTTAGCCTCATTTAAGATTTTTTGTTTCAAAATATTGACCTGGTTTTCTATTGATGAAGAAAGCCCTGATGAATACTCAATTGATTGCTTCGAATGCTTTACGATGTGTTTGTCAGGAGAGTCAATTAAAGGCTGTGCGCACAGCTTATAAGATTTGTAGGACTTTGAGTGAATAGCTTGATCTGATAGTTTTGTTAGGCTAACTAAGTCTCCCCCTGTGAACGAACAAAAAAAAATTACTTGCTTCCTGAAATGGATATTTTTATTTTTTAAAATTTCTATTTAAAAAGCCCAATCCGCGGAAAAACTCATTTAATTTATAAAATTTATGTTTTAAAACGCATGCTTATTAAAATTGAATTGAACTAGCAAGAGACTTCTTTATAATAATTATCACATATATATCAAATATTTCATAAGAATTTCTCACTCTATCATGCAGATTTTTTCCCAAAATAGGAATTTTTCAATGGTTTTGCTTACACAAGGAAGGGAGTAAGTATTTTTTATTTTGTTTGATGTTCCTGATGTGTTGTTTGATTTCTGAAGATAAGACCTTTAAATCATCATGACCGTTTTGCGCAGTGTCTATTCTTTCTTTGTTTGAAGTCATGATACCTGAGATAATTTCTTTGTGAATTTTTATGATTTTATTGTATTCTGGCAAGAAAGGGGTTTGATATTTGGAGAGCAGAGATGAATAGGCACTACTCAGTTTGCTATGAGCTTTCGCTGACTCTTTAAGGAATTTTTTAATTGACCTTACAAAAGAAAGGCAATTTTCCAATTCTCCTTCAGGGATATCTACCCCTCACTCTTTAAGATCGAGCAAGTTGTCTTTAGTTAAAAAAATACATTTAAATCATATATAAAAAAAAATTTCTAGAGAATTATAATTGCAAATTCGAAAAGAAAAATTTAATTTAATTTATAAAATTTGTGTTGTTATTAAGAACTCAAGCTGTGATAAATTTAATCGAACTAGCAGAGCTCTTTTTATAACAAATATTGATTATTTATTCTACCAAAATTCTTATTAAAATTTTTTTTTCTTTAAAAAGGATTGATTTTCGGAAAATAGGCATTTTTCCATAGTTTGCTCGCATTTAAAGCTGCAGTAAGGTATTTGAAATAGTTTCCATATGCCATTATATATAAATATCATCTTTTCTAATATCTCATAATTAGTTCTCAAATTAGATGTAAAATATTATGATTATAGCATCCCCCTCTTAAAAAACAATTTTCATTTTTCTAAAATCCCCCCCCCCCCTCCGTGAGCGAACAAAACCATTAGAAAAATCGCCATTTTTTGACCAAAAACCCACCCTCCGTGAGTGAACAAAAATTTTTTTAATAGAAAAAATTTTAATGGAAAAAAATTTTGATATATAAGTGATAATTAGTATAATGAAATCTAGAGCTAATTCTGTTTTAATTTTAAACAAATTGCGTTTTTAAAACATAAATTTTGCAAATTAAATTAATATTTGCTTCCCAATTTTTGCAAATTAGGATTTTTTTTAAATTTCGAAAAAAAAAATATTTTTTATAAAAATTTATATATAAATTTTTTTTAAAAAAAAAAATTAACCCCCCTCCGTGAGCGAACAAAATTTTTTTGTTCGCTCACGGAGGGGGGGGGGGGGGAGTAAAATAAAATAATTAGAGATCTTCTTTAAAATCTTTATCTGTTCCCTCCTGAGCTTTTTCACCTTCACTCTCTCCATCTGCAGTTTTTTCTTTCTCATCCTTGGCTTCCTCAGCTTTTTGTCCTTGATTTTTATCTTCTTCTTTCTTTTCTTCATTCTTCATATCTTCACTGCTATAAGATTCTCCATCTACAGTCACATTTTCCATCTTTACCTTGCTCCAGTCAAAATCTTTTCCAAAATTCATGAACTCAGGGACCTTTGGCTTAGGTTTTTGCATTCTCTGTAATTTTTCTACCTGCTTAACTGCTTGGTCAACTTTACTCGAAATTTCGCTGGTTTTGAAAGCTAACGGATCCCAAGGGTTCTTAGCCTTTTGCTCTGCTACTCTTTCAGAAATCCAAGAGCGAGTATTATTGATTGTGAGTCTTGTGAAAGCCATTTCTTCTTTTGGTATCCAAGGTTTCGTTGCATTAATTGTCACAAGCTTTTCTTCTAGTTTTAATATTTGAGCTAAGGCATCAGCTACAGCTTGATCTCTAATTTCTGATTCTTTTTCTCTTTCCAAAGCATCGGCAATTTTACCTTCCAAGTCTTTTTTAGCTTTTTTGATTTCTGTGGAATTTGCAATTGTGTATTCGGCTGATTCCATCCAGTCGTGGGTTTCTGAGATGGATTTGGAGTATTCCTCGCGCTCATTTTCTTGAGTTACTTGAATAAAAGCTGATTCTTCAAGTTTTTCTCGGAGGAAATAGATGTATGACTCCAAGTCGTTTTTCACTTCGGCTAGTCTTTTCTTTTCTTCTTCTTTGGTTTTAAAAGCACCAATGCGAGTCATGAGTTCATAAGCGGCTTCTTGTTTGAGAGTTCTTGGGATTTCTAAATCAGTTTCATTGAATTCAAGCTTTTTGTCTTGCATTTCTTTTACAGTGATTTCTTCGTACTCAATTTTATCTGAAGTGCTGTTTTTAACTTCAGAAGCTGCTTCAGTGTCTTTGTGTTCTTCTTTCTCTTTAGAATCCTCTGATGTTTTTTCTTCATTTTTGTTTTCGCCTTCCTCCTGAGTATTTTCTTTTTCTTTATTATCCTCTTCTACTTTATCTTCATTCTTGCTTTCCTCTTTTTCGCTTTCTCCTTTCTCAGTTGCTTTTTCTTCCTCTACCTTTTTATCTTTTTGTTTTGGAACCTTTTTAACTACATTAACTTCAATTCTGCTATGGACTTCATATAAGAAAGGCAAATTGCTTGAGTCTAGTGCAAAAAGGAATAAAAGATCCACCTCTTTTCCAGACTGAACAAATAAGTCTTGAATCCCATGAACATCATAACTGAGAGCATCTACCACTTTATCTCCATAAGCTATTTGCAAAATAATTTTAAGATCTTCTGTATGCTTCAAAATTACTCTTTCCAAATTTCTTACAGGAACTCCATATGGGAAGACCTCTACTGTCTTAAAAGGCTCACTTCCATCCTTTGTGTAGAATTGTGCAGTAACATTATAAAGATTGATGTCGGTCAGCCACAGTGGCTTTACATGCACAACTTGGCTATAATTTGCAGCAAAAAGAGCGGCACCGTGAGCCATAGCTTCGTCTCCATTCAGATGAGTCCCTAGTTCTACTTTCAGCTTGTCTTTTAGCACATCTTGGACTTTTGGAATTCTGCTGACTCCTCCTATTAGCTCAAAGCTATTTATTTGTTCAATGGTTAGTCCAGCGATTTCTAATGCTTTATTTACTGGCTCGACTAGTTTATCAAGGAATGGAGCCATCATTTCTTCGAACGCATCTCTAGTTAGAGTGATTTTCAAGTCTTTTTCTTTATAGAGGCTATTTACTGTGACTGGGACAACTTTACTAGCACTTAATGTTTTTTTGGTAGACTGTGCTTGATGGAATAGCCTAATCATAGCTCTTGACGATTCTCTTGCATTCAGTCCAGTGCTTTTTTGAAACTCTTCCACAAAATGTTCAGCTAAAAGCTTATCAAAGAAGCTTCCTCCTAAGTATTTATCGGATGCGTGTGCAAGAATCTGGATATTTTCTATTTGTTTATTTGTGGTCCCAAACATTCTCTCGACTGTTGAATACTCTGCGATTGTAACTTGCAAATAGCTAGCCCCAAGGTTATAAAACAGTGCCCTATGGGTAGTTGTATTATCTAATCTATCAATCCCATAGTAAAATGCAGCAGCTGTATTTTCATTTACAAACGACAATACATTGAGCCCAGCTGCATAAGCAGAATATATTAAGGCAAACCTTTGAGCTCTAGTCCAAAAACTTGGTACTGTGATTGTACAATCCTTCACATGTCCCTCTGCAAATTATAAATATTAAAATGGCGATATTTGCCAAACTACCCATTGGTCCAACGGTCCATCTTTTGATCACAGAGAGCTGGGACGGACTCTAGTCGAGAATCTAGTACCTTCTTATGGTTGGAAATGGAGGTGCCCAGCAACATCCTTTGGATCCGAGAACCTATAGGTATTCATCTACTGAGAAACTGGGGGGTTTTGGCCTAGGCCACAGTGGAGCAGTCTTTTTCAGTAGCTGTCGCTTTTCGACACCCGACAGACTCCAAGGAGCTGATCCTGGAGTCAAGCTACTCTAATGCCCGCCGAAGGCCGTAGAAATCCATAAGCCGCCCAAGCAAGACTGAAGCCTCAAGGCAAGGAGGAAGCAGAAGGTATCGGAAATGGACCCACTTTTGGGGGATATACCCTTTGGGCTGGAGTTAGAAAGCTGTAAAACCTAACGTATGGAAGGTCTTTTGTTACTGCATCACCAATATGACTAACGCCTGACTTTAAATAATTTAGTCTAAACCTCTGCAAATTTTTCTGTGATTTTTTTGGCGTGTTCCAAAACCATGACAACTACTTCTTCATTAGTAAGATCAAGCCCTTTAATTCTGTAGCTGATACTAGTTCTGTTTTCGTCTTCAAAAAGCTCGATTGGCTGGAATGTTGATAAAAAATTTTGACGAGCTTTGACATCGGTATATGGGATCCCTAGAAGGCGATGCGGAAAAGCAATTGCGAGATCTGGCTTTTTAGACTGCTCTTTTAAGGCATTTTCTCCAAATAAGCGCCCTTGTTCTGTGAATGCGATGGCTGAAGGAGTCGCTCTTTTGGAATGCTCATTTTCTACGATAACTAGTTTTTTGCCAGGACGGATAAGTGAAATCTAGGTAAAAGTTACTTTGAAATTGTCAGTTCCAAAATCAATTCCAATCACACTTGCAGTTGCAAGAAAAGTCAGAAGGTAGAAAAGAAAGATTGTGTTTTTCATACACGTGTTTATAAATGGAGCAAGCTTATAAACTCACAAGGCATTTTTGTGAATTAGAGAGCACTAAAGAGAGAAAGCCGTATTCTTCTGTATGTAGATAATGAGGAAAGATATAAACTTCATAACATCAGAAACATTTCACTTGAGCAATATCGACTTTATTACATCTGGGCAGGCTCACAAATAGAAATTTCATTCAAAAAATTGGCTAACAGAATTTTTTAAGTTCTTTAACTAGCAAAATTTTAAACTCTATGAGCACCAAGTTCAATTAAAATAAAATTCCATTGCAATCTTTAAACTGAAAGAAAAATTTAAAATTATTTGAAATTTAAAATTCAAATTTTAAGCAAATTGCATAAAATTTGTTAGATTATCAATCCTTATAAAGCAATTAATAGTTTTATCATTAAAATTGCAAAGGGCCACTAGAGTTAAAGAAAAATTTATAGCTCTTGAAATTTTACCACTCTAATAAAAGTATCATGTAAAATCTTAATTAGAGTGCTGACTTATGTTTGGTGCAAAAGCGGAGTTTATAATGGAGAAATAGGACTTAAAGCTAAACATTGAAAATTTTAATGGGCGAAAGCTCTTGAAATGATATGGCTCCAATGAATAAGCAATGCAAAATCTCTAGTTGAATGCTGACTGACGCTTGATGTATAAAACAGAATTTCGTAACTCAGAATGCCAAACTAATCCTATTTTGATTAAATAATCTACCAAGGTTAAAGAATTCGACCCACATATCTAAAGAATTTTTTTAATGAAGAAATTGGGCATCCCTAAATAGGTGTAGGCTTTCATATAGCCTATAAAAATTGAGGTTACTTATAATCAAAAATTATTCATAAACCAGTTATTTTAGGCTCTTATCGTGGTATTATGATACCCTGTAGAAGGCACAAAGATTGTAGTGAAGACTGTTGAAGGGTTCAATACAGGTGACACTGAAAGCACATCAAATAGCTTGTCTATATTCATATTGGCTTGGCCGATTTGCTCAATTTGCTGTATTGCAACTGTTTTTCTGTCGTCCCAGCTTGGATCCACAAGCCAAGGATCATAATTAGTCTGTACCAAATACCAAGTAGTTGAATTTAGTTTTGGAGCATCAACAGTTTGAGCTCTGTCCCTTACAATAACAGATCCGTCATTTTCATTCACACCTCCAAGAATATAATAAGTTGCATCAGCAAGTTTAGCATTATACAAATATGTAAACGCATCTTCGTATGAGTTCTCATTAATCAAAGCTTGCCTAATAGCCCACAAATCCCCTTGATATCCTAAAAACAGTGCATAATTATTATAGGATTTGCCCTAGGATGGCGCTATATGGCGCCATCCTAGGGCAAGCGAAAATTGGCTCCACACGGGAACCGTATTCCACGTGTGGAGCCATTTTTCCACGTGTGGAATCCACATTTTCCCACGTGGAAAAATGGCTCCACACGTGGAACACAATTCCCGTGTGGAGCCGTGTCTCCAATTGCCCGAGGATGGCGCAATATAGCGCCATCCTCGGGCAATTTCTATATCCAGCTTTGAGCCACTATCTCTCTGGTTTTGAGTAATAGAGAAGCCAGAATAGCTTATTCCAGTTCCAACCCCAAGGTACCAAGCAAAGCCAACCGATGTATAAAGAAGCTTCCCATCTTTGGTGACGTCAATAACTACAGTGGTGTTTCTTAAAAACTCTTCAGAATCATAGTCAAGATTTCTTCCATGGATAATTGTGCCATTTGTTAATCTAACAACAATGGAGGTGCAAAATGCATTGTACTCGTACATGAAGTTTAAAAAAGCTGCTTCTTTGTAAGTGATGTTTACTGTTTGGGCCATCCCTTGAAGCTCTTGTTTGAATTCTGGGTTGATATAGCCTCTATTAAGCAAAATCATCAAAAGATCAAGCTTAATAGGAGTGATGGAATACTTACTTCGCCCATCCGTGAGCGAACAAAATAATTTTTCGCTCACGGAGGTTTTGTTTTATGAAATATTTATATGTAAATTTTATAGAAAATTATTTGTTTTCAAAATTTATTTTATTATTAATCTATCTATCGCTGCATGAGCAGCATTTCTCTCTTTTTCTCTTTCAAAATTTAAAAAAATTCGAATTTTAAAAATTGAGAATCAAAAATTAATTTAATTTACAAATTTATATTTTAAAAGCAATTAATCAGAATTAGATAGAGATTTTCGTTATAATAATTATTATTTATATATCATTTTGTTCATAAAAAATTTTATTTCGCTCACAGAAGGTGGGTTTTTGGGCAAAAAATAAGGATTTTTCTAATGGTTTTGCTCACACTCACGGGGGAAGTTAGCATAATTCTGAGCAAAAGTTTTGATAATGGAAGCATATGGAGCTTGCACATGAGCCCATCTTGTAGATGGTGGATCATTTAGACTGACTGTATAGCGCTCTGGAACTGAGTTACCAATCGTAGATAAAACGAATAAAGCAAAGAATAATAGCTTCATTATGTTTATAATAATATATTCTCCTGAAGTAATTATCTAATTTAATTTAATTCAACTAGATCCTCAAAAGACGTAGGTAATCAACTTTTCTTAAATAGATTAAGATCCATAATTTTTATTAGTAAAATCTGCTGGTTGAAAGTTTATGCTTGATAATTCATTAAAAGCAATAATTCATAACCTAATAAATATTAATTTTGAAGCAGTCCAGCTTGCAATCCTTATGCTAACTTTCAAACATAATATGCATTTTGATTTCTATATGGATTTTGCAGAGACTTATGTTTTATAAGCTTATCCCACACGATATCGAAGTTAAGATTTTAAGAATTATTAATTAATGTATTTGCTTTTTGTTCAGAGAGTAGTTTACAATTAGTTTTATATTTTCAAATATTATAAAAACAATTAACAAAATATTAGCTAGAAGATACTTTATTCACTACTGATCTTCCTCTTAGTTTCTCAACAACAAAGTAGCTGGATCTTTCAGTAGATCGTAACACTTTTCTGATGAAGTCTTGATCATGAGAAATTATCATCATTTGCAGCTTTGGGTTTCCGTTAACTAAGCTAGCAATTGCATCTCCTAGTCCATCTGTATTATCAATATCCATATTAGTCGTTGGCTCATCAAGCGCAATAATACAGTTTCCACTTGAAAAGGCTTGAGCCAGTGCAATTCTAATTATTAAAGATGCTAGCATCCTTTGTCCAGCTGAGCATCTTCCTCTCATATCTAATTCTGTATTATTCCCAATTAAAGTGATCCTATAATTATAAGAAACTCCTTTATCCTTCTGAATCGGGTCTGTTTTTATCATAATAGTCTCTATATCTCTTCCTTTATAAGTTTCTGTTCATAAAGTTCGCAAAATCATATTGATTTGGTCGATTTTTTGTTGGTGATATTTTATTATTGCATTGTCCAAACATTTTATAAACGACTTATGCTCGCCAATTGACTTTTCCAATATTCGTGTTTCAATATAAAGATGCGCAGCTTTAGTTTCAGACATTGAAGTTGGCTTTTTGCTGAGCTCTTTAAGTTCTTCTTGAATTGAGGATAAGCGTCCTTCAATCCTGCCTTGCTCCACTTTTATATCTAGTTCTCTTTCTTGTAAGTCTTTAAGCATAGCTCCATCAAATTGGCTTAACTTCTGGTCTAGTTCAACTATTTCCCCTTCAAGCTTGCGCAAATCAGCTTTGAATTCTTGCTGCTTTTTGAGCTCATTGAATTTGCTAAATGACACTTGCAAATCTAAAAGTTCTTTAGAAGTTGACTGCATGGCAATTGATAGATTTTTATGTTTTTCTTTTGAAATTGAAAGCTCAGATTGTATATTATCCAGAAGGTTGTCTAGCAATTTCATTTGAGATAGTGTGTCTTGATATGAGCTTGAATATGAGCAGGATTCAAGATATGAGTTGTAGATAGACTCAAATCGAGAGATTTTTGAGTTCATAGCATTTTGGTTTGAAGACTTGCTAGATTTTTCGTTTTGGAGAGCTTCTTCAGCCTCTTTGATTTTGGTTTTCAAAGGATCAATTTCGCTGGATTTTTGCTCTATTTGTTTCCTCTTATTAATGATTTCTTCTTCTAGTGAAATTAAATTAGGAATGCTTGATAATGATATAAGTTGACTGTTTAGCTCAGAAATTTTAGTATAGCTAATGTCGATTTGCTTCTTTAAATTTCGAATATTTTCACAGAAGATTTTTTTCTCATTACTCTTTGCATTAATTTCGTTAATTACTTGAGAAATGTCAACTTTCTTCAGGATTAGGAGTAGGATTATCAAAGTCAGGCGTTAGCCATATTGGTGACGCAGTCACCAAAGACCTCCCGTACGGGAGGTTCATCCGCTTTTCGACTCCAGCCCAGAGGGCTATCCCTCTTTCGAGAGCCCTTCCGGTAGCTTCTGTCTCCTCCTGCCTTAAGGCTTCAGTCTTGAGTGGGCAGCTTACGGATTTCTGCGGCCCTGCTATGGGCGATTGGATTAACTTGATTCCAGGGATCAACTCGTTGGAGTCTATCGGGTGTCGAAGTGCCTTTCTTCGACAGCTACAGGAAAAAGACTGTTTCCCCTGTGGCCTGGGCCGAAACCTCCAGTTTCTCGGTAGAGGAATGCCCATGGGTCCTCGGATCCAAAGGACGCTGCCGAGCACATTCATTTCCAACCACAGGAAAGCAGCCCAAAACCTACCCGGATGCACACCTCTAGAGTCTACACTAGATTCTCAGCTCGGAGTCCGTCCCAGTTCGCCGTAGCCATAAGGTCTGGACTACTGCGCCAAGAGGGCAGGTTGACACGTGTCGCCATTTTAATATATATCAACTTCTTCAGGAACAGTAATATTTTTTGCAATAATATCTGCATATAGGACTTTTGAATTTATTTCCAAAGATTCTATAATTGAGTACATTTTAGAAATATTTTCTAGTGCATTATTTAATAGAGAGCACCTTTCTTTTCAGTTATTTCTTTGAATCCTTGCTTCTTCTAGCTGAGGCATTTTTATTTTTAACTCTTCTCTTACTTTATTATAGCTTTCTTTTGTATCCTCAATTAATTTATAGTTCTTAGAAAATCCTTGTATTAAATCCAGGCATTTTTGAATGGATTCGATCTTGCTTTCTAAAGCTATCAAGTTTTCTGGCTCTGTTGATTCGACATTTTTTAATTCTGTGAGTTTCTGTTTTAAACAATCTGTGCACGAATGTGTATCGCAATCACAAATAGGGCAGCTGCCTTTTTCAATTGCTTCTTCGATTAAATACCGCTTTGCCGCGGCAAAGTTCTTAAGATACGTAAATTCATGATTGGTATCCGCTTTCATTTTTTCAAGAATGCTCTGATATTCATGAAACTCAGCTTTTTGAACTCCCAATGAACTTAGCAGTAATGGTAAATCAGATTTTGAGGGAGTGCTTTTAGTAAGTTCATTTATGTTTGCTTTCAATTTTTCTATTGAACAATTTGCAGATTCAATCCCTTCTTCAAGAATAGAAACCTCAGTCAATTTTTCTATATATTTTTCATGCGCCACATCATAGAGCTCTTTAATCATATTTTGATAGCTATTTATATAAATTGACTCAAGACTTGGGTTTTCTGCAACAATTTTTCCAATTAATTCTTTTAATCTGGCTAGATCAGCTTCTTTCTGCAAAGCTTTAATTCTGCTCTGGTTTTGCTCAAGGCCAATCTGCTTTGAAAATTCCAAGTCTGAAAATTCTTTATCAAGAATCATAATCAGTTTTTCTGAGTTTTGATTTTCTTTATCCATCTCTTGGATACTGATTTGCAATGATTTAAGACTTGATTCTAAAGAAGATCGATTGGATTCTGACGATTTAACTCTAAATTCATCTAGATCAATTTCTTGCTGCCTTACCACTTCACTTAATGAATTTATTTCAAATTCCAACATACTTAGCTCATTTTTTAATCTTTGCAATTCATCGTTATATTTTGATATTGAGATATCAAATTCATAGTTCATTTTATTTAAATTGTGCTTTCATATATCAAGCATGCTTTTTGGGTTTTCTTCTCCGATTTCGCTTCTCATTTGCTCTTCTAATTGTGCTTTTTTGATTATTTTTTCCTCATAAAAATCGAGTTTACATTTTGTACTTCCAACTCTTTCAAGGATGTTTCCTTTATCGCCCTCAAGCTTTTCAATTTTCACAGTTAGCCCTTTAATTGAATCCTCTATACTTTTTTTGTCTTCTATCAGCTTATTAATCTTATTTTCAGTTTCTTCTATATTATCAGAAATAATAATGTCTCCATATCCTTCAACTATTTTTTCTAGGCTGATTTTTTCATTAATTTTTGCTTCTTTGCAAGACATCAGATTCTGCATTCTATTTGCCGCTTTTTTCTCATTTTGCACATATAAAATTTCATTTTTGAGTTCTTCTCCTTTTTCTTTTAATTTAATTTCTTCTTCTTTTAAGCTCTTCATTTTTTCTCTATCTTGTCTTGCTTGATTTATGAGTGTTTGTGCTCATATCATTTCGTTTTTCTTACCTTGCAAATCCTGTGACTGCTTCTTTATGAATTTTTTATGATTTTCTAGAGCTTTAGAAAAAGCTTCAGTTGAAAAGATTTGATCGAAAATCCTTTTCAGATGTGAAGAGTCAGAAAAAGGCCATAAAGATTCGTCTTGATGGCAAAATGTCACATATTCCAGGATTGGTGAAGAAAGTCCAATTAGTTCAGGAACCAACTTGTCTATATCTCCAACTCGCAAACTATTCTGGGCTTCTTTTCCTTCTTCGTCTAGCGTGCAAACAATATTTTCTGATTTTTTAAGCTCTAATTTGTCGCTATCTTTTCTGACAAGAGATATGAGCCTTCCAATCCGAATTGGCTTGCCTTGAGGAGTCCTGAAAAATAGTTTCATTGAAGCTTGCACTTCTGGCTTTTGAGCAATTTTTGGATCGTGAATAAAACTTTTACCTCCATCTGAGTTGGGCGGGAACAAACCAGTTGTGACTGCCTTTAAAGCCTCAATGATTGTAGTTTTACCAGCACCATTGTGACCTAAAATTAGGGTTAGTCTTGGATCAAAGTCAATAGTTATTTCAGAACTTGAGCTGAAACTTCTAATGCCTGATATTTTCAAACGCTCAAGCATAATAAGGTAAATTATTAAAATGATTAATTAATTCCTTTCATGAAATAACAGCAAGAAGCTCTTAAAAAATAATGAAAAATATCTCAAAATGTATGCATCTACATTTCTTAACGAGTCATGAAATATGATGGAAGCCTTTAAGAATAAATCAAGAAATTTCATTATATAAGCTTCAGCCCATCATCTGTAAACCTATTATTGATGAAGAGTCAAAAAATACGCTTTAAAAATTTTCAAAAATTAAATTTTAAAAAAAGTATAAATATTTTAACTGAACACTCTAAACATAAATTTTTCTTGAAATTTTATTTTATAGCACGTACTTGAGATATTAATAAAAATTTAAGCTATACATAAAAGTTTCGTATGCTATTTAGCTAGAATCATTAAAATCCGAGCAAAATACTTGATTTCGCACTCATTTATATTCATGACTTTATATATTTATAAGTTTTTGTTAAATAAATAATCGATTGAAGCAATATTTTTTATACTAAAATATTTATCTTTTTATGATAAATTAACGATATAAAAGAAATCTTGTCTCCACTCAAAAATAATCATAATTACTAGTTTTAAATCATATTTATAATTATTTTTTATGAATTTGTCAAAAGACCTCAAAGCAATCGAAGACAAAAGAATGGCAGCTGAGAATGAGCTAGCTCTTAACAAAAAATTTTTTTAATATAACAATTTTTAGGAAAAACAGCGATATATAAGTGATAATTAGTATAATGAAATCTCTAGCTAATTCTGTTTTAATTTTAAACACCTTGCATTTTAAAATAGAAATTTTACAAATTAAATATATATTTATTTCCAAATTGGATTTTTTAAGTGTTGAAAAAAAATTTTACTATAAAATTTATATATAAAATTTTTAAAATAACAAAAATTAACCCTCTCTGTGAGTGAACAAAATTTTTTGTACGCTCACGAAGGGGAGTAAGAGAAATTGAAAGATTGATATTTAAGCTAGAAACAAACTATCTTAAAGATGCTTCAATCGATGGAAACGTAATTAGAGGCTGAGATGCTCTAATTAACCAAAAAGCGTCAAAAAACAGTGGATATCTTGGAAGGAAATATAGCAACAAGCCATATTCAGAGAAAGACAGAATCTTTTCAATGTCTTCAGCAACGATTCCTTACAAACTCGCAGAAGATGAATTTCAAGATGGTCAGCTCCCGCTAAAAAGAAAATTAAATATTGGAGGAAAAAACACTCTAATTAAAAGGAAATCGAAAAGAAGACTAGAAGATGATGGTGACTACAGCGAAGGGACTATTAACTAGCAAGATAAGCCATTATCATTAATTTTCTGTTAGAATATCTTTGTTTTTTCATCGTATCTTGTGTGAAATTAGTGCACTTACTGATTTCGTTATATTATCTTCTAAAATTAGGGGCTTTTATTCATTTAAAAACTAATAAAAAACTTATTTCTACTTAATAGCAGACCGAATTATCTTATAAACTTATGCGAGATATGAATCTAAAAGATTGTTAATTACTTGAGAGTTAGACCAAGGCCCAAAATTCAAGCTTTACTATATTAAAATATTCTCTGCCGCTTAAAATTTCATTTGCATACGTCTTGCAGGGTCCACTCGAGCCATGGACAAAGTTTCTATCAATATATAATCCAGTTTTACCGCCAGAACCCATAGAAATCCCATCAGAATCTGAATTCATATAATAATCATTCTCCAATGTAGGGAAAAAGCACTGTATTCTTCTTGAAGTATGGAAAGTAAATAAAAAGCAGTCTCCAGTCCCATAAAATACCTTACTCGGTTTCCATTGATGCGAAGCAAATCCTCCGAAAATATGATGGTCGCTGTCTTCTATAACTACCACAGACGGTCCTGCGCCTTCAAGTAACCTGAAAAATACCTCATAACTTGTTCCATGGACAGTGAAAGAATACGAAAGATGCCAATTTCTGATTTGGAAGAGCATTCCCATGTTTTTTGTGATTTGCTTGACCATTGACTCATTCAGTATCTCGCTTGGCCTTGAAAGTTCTGGTAATATGTCTCCTTCATCTGGAATTACGCTGAATCTTATGCTTTTTCTGGTTTCTACCTGGAATTCTTCGATTTCTAGGTTTAAATCTTGGTATTTTTCTTCTTCATTTGCTTGTTCAAAAATTGACCCTTTCAATCCACTTTCTACATACTGCTGATATGACTTATTCAAATCGTAATAAGGCACAAAAGTCTTGCATCTGTGCATTGGTGACAATTTTTCTAGCTCCTGTCTCGCTTTCACAAGCCCAGCTAATTCATCTGCGTTTACTTTCTGTTCAAAATAGCTATACTGCCCATTTGGTCCCATATCAGAAATCTTAAAATACACATTGGCTTTTGGGATGTTTGTGCTGATGTCTTTTTTTTCTTTTCCTGTTTTAGTAATAACGAACTGGACAAAGAAATTTTTGACTTTGTCTTCTGGGTTTAGGGCGTTCAATGATGGCAGTTCTAGCACGCTGCAAGTTGCAATATCTCTTATTGCGATACACAAGCGAAACTGGCTAGCTGCAGCTGAGTATTTCCTTGTGTTTGCAATGACTTCGCATCTGTCGTTATTTGACAATGGACAAAAGACAACTTTATCGTGAGAAACACCAAGATCTCCCATTACATCTCCATCAGCAGTACAGTAAACAGCTTCAACTGTATAGTCATTTCTAGAATCAATTGAAAAAAGAGTTTGCTCAAGAGATAAACGTTTTACAGAGCTGGCAATCTCAGTTTCTTCTGCTTTGTCTTCGTATTCTTCGACCGATAGAGATTTGAAATCTGAGGTTTGTACCTTCAAAACCATTCCAGGAAAAATATCTTCTTCCTCTTCAAGTTGGTTAATTTGGCAAAGATCCTCAATTGTCATACGGAGAGATGATGAAATGCTGACTAGGGAGTCTCCTGGTTTCACGGTATACCGTTCAAATTCCATTATAGAAGATGAATTTATTAAGATATTGACTTAATACTTTTTTTACTAGAAAATTATTTTAGAAAGCTAAGATTAAGCTAATAATATCTTAAATTATCCAAGATGATATGCTAACTCCCCCTCCTGAGCGAACAAAAGATTGGAAAAAAATCCCTATTTTTTGTCCAAAAACCTACCCTCCGTGAGCGAACAAAAATTTTTATGAAAAAAAAAATTGATATATAAGTGATAATTAGTATAATGAAATCTCTAGCTATTTCTGTTTAATTTTTAAAAAAATTGCATTTTAAAAGTTTTACTTTTCAATTTTTAAATTTTGAAGAAAAAAAAATTTTATTCCGTTAGCAAACAAAATTTTTTTGTTCGCTCATTGAGAGCGGGGGATTAAGATAAGAAATTTTTAAAATGAAGATTCACCATTAATAGAATCAACCTGAAATTATTAGAAAAATTTTAAACTAGGAATGATTAGCCTTATCAAACAAAGAAAAAATCCAAATCGAACAAAAAAAAAATAAAATAAAAGCTTGTCCTAGTTCTCTCCCTGTTTAAATTGGAAAAAATTCTTTTTAAATTCAAATTGTTTATAATTAAAATAAAATTAATGCCTTATTTATTATATTTTTATGAAGAATTAATTAAAGACATTAATCAATTTAGTGAGCCACTAAACTGTTCAAACAAATTCTACTTGCATTCTCTATTTTAAATTAGTTTAAAGTTATTTATATACACATTATATTTATCCAGTAAAATTTCCGTTGAAAAAATTAAAATTAAATTCAATCTTAAAGGGTGATTAAATAAAATTATCCACAATGCAGATTTATTATATTTTATAAATGATTTTGCTTCCATTGTTTTGATAGCAAAGAAATCAATTAACTAAACTTTTCATTAAAATGTCAGAATCTCAAGCATTTATTTCATCTATCTATAAAGCTGATATCTCAGAAATCTATCGAGTTCTCCGCCGAACAGGCATTTTTCCACACAAATGCAAAGACTCAAGAGGCTACACAGCTCTTCATATAGCTAGTATTAACTCAAATTATGCAGTTATGGAATTTTTAGTCGATTATGTAATCATCATTCAGATCAGGCGAACATATGGCCTTGAAGCTCCAAAGATTTTAAAAGCCTGAGCGAATGAAAAAACTTCTGATGGATTTTTACCCTTGCACTTTGCTTCTTTCAGTGGCCATTTGGTATTTTTAATATAGAGAATCATTAAGCTTCTAATTGAAATTGGGTCAGAGTTGCATGTAAAAAATAACCAAGGGCTTACTTTAATGCATGTAACAGCGCAAGGTGACCAGCCTTTGGTTTTAGCTTATTATAGAGAGCTTGGTTTAAATATTGATGATATTGATGAAAAAGGGGGAACTCCATTGCATTGGGCATGCTATATGGGCTGCGAAACTGCAGCTTCTTTATTATTGGCATGAGGTGCAGATCCCAGCAAGCAAGATTCCGAAGGACATACTCCTCTTCATCTTGCAACCACAGCTAACAACACAAGAATAATCAGAAATCTATTACTCAAAGGGTCAATAAGAAACATAAAGGCAATCTTTATATTAGGATAAAAAAGGTAGGTATCCTATTGATATAGCAAATGAAGGAAAGCAAAAATCATCAATAAAATTACTTCGGCCTATTGGAATTTTTTCTGAATGTGGGGTCAAGCCGCCACTGCGGCCGCCTAAGAAAAGCTATTCTTCACTTTTAGTATTTTTGTTGGTATTTATAGGAGGAAACTTGTTAAAAATATTTATTGTTGATGAATACGTTGGAAAAGGATTGAGGATCACTTATAGCCTGTTAATTATTTTTGTAAGCATTTGTTTTTTTATCACATGGCTAAAAGACCCTGGATACATTAAGCCAGGCGAAAACGAATCAATATTTCATCTATATGAGCAATACGAAACTCATTTAATATGCCCTGATTGTGCTGTTTATAGGCCAGCAAGATCTAGACACTGTCAAACATGCAATAAATGTGTTGAGAAATTCGACCACCATTGCCCATGGATTAACAATTGTATAGGTGCTAAAAATATTGGTGTGTTTTATATTTTCATATGTAGCATATGGATCTCATTGATTTTTGCAATTTCTTTGAGTTTGAAAGTTTTAATTGATCCTGAATTAGATGCCCATGCGTTTGATGTCGCACTTGAAACTTCAGTAGCGTTTTCTGTAATAACAATTATTATTGCAAGTGCTTTTATGATGCCAGTCTTACTTACTTAATATTTACAGGCGTCCGCCTAGTGTTGACGCAGTCACCAAGGACCCAGTATTAGGGGTTCACCTGCTTTGCGGTATAGTCCAAACTGGCCATATAAACCAGTCACCAGGACATACACCTACTCCTTCCCACGCGCGTGAGCCGTGGCTTAGTGTTGAGTGGGCGGGCTATGGGCTTCTGCGGCTGCTGCTTGAGTTGCGTTGAGCATGGGCCAGGCTCTGCTCTGCAGAATTGCTTACCATGGCATTGTTGCTCATTTCCGGAATGGCAAAACCTTGCCGGATATAATTAAAATATGGGTCGAGTATGTGTGGCCGGAGGCCACACTCAGACGAAGACGCCATATTTTAATTATTTTTTAATGCCAGTCACATTTTTAGTGTCAGTCCAGACTAAAAACTTCTGAACCAACAGAACTACAAGTGAAAGATTTTCGAAACCGATGAAATCCAAAGAGTCAGCTTCTTCAACTGTTTCTTTCTTGTCGATAGACCAAAATGGCTTTAAAAACTGTTGGGAAATGCTATGCAATAAAGGAGTTTCTTCAAGAGTTTCTCATGAATTCAGGCCTCATGAAGATCATGAAATCAGCTTTTTAGATATTGTAAAGAATTATGAGAAAGAATATGGAGACTCAAAAGTTTAATACAAAATATTTTAATAAAAATATCTAATTAATTAGTCTAATGCAGGATCAATGCTATCAACATGAGAATTTTCTTTATTTTTGGGCAATTTTAGCTTGTCATGCTCGTCCACTAGAGTATCGGAAACTTCGGAAACATATGCTCTAACTCCTTGGGGTGCTAGTAAAAGTCCATTTCTAAAAGTAACAAAAAAATTAACAAAAATTTCTTCATCAATTATAGTCCTGATTGGAGCCATACTTTCAGCAATAAGTTTTGATGCAGCCTGAAAGCCTTTTTTAAGTTTCTCTACGTAAAACACATTTTTCATTTCATTCGCCATATTTGATTGTCCTTTGCAGACTAAACTTGGTAAAGTAACACAACAATGCTTTAGAATTGAGGGAATTATTTCCGTTTTGAGCTTTGGAAAATTAATTTTATTCTCTGACTTTTCATCGAAAATTTGAAAAAGTAGCCTTGATTTAGTTTTTGGATCAGATTTGCTGAGCATTACTCCAATTATTAGTAAATCATATAATTTATAGTCTCCGTCTTCTCCTTTTAAACTTAAGTACATTTCGGTAATATTTTTGTGAGTGCTGTAGTTTTTGATTGGAATTAAGAGATTCTCACTTACTCTTTTCAATTGAGATTGATTTAATTTAGAATTATACGAATATTTTCGAAATATTGAGTCTGTTTTCTTTGAACTTATAAGATGGAGTTGAAGGCCGCGTTCAGCAAAAATAACTGCAAGTTCTTCAGAAGGTTGTCCTCGGGTTTCAATGCAACCCATTTTTAATTTAAAAATAAATACGTTAGCCAAATAATTTTTCACGGAGTCAGAATAAAGTATGATAATTGTATTTGGTTGCTTGAACATTATTATCAACTGTTTTTCATATTATTAAAATGTGCATATTATTTTTTTATAGTTATCTTTAGCATTAGCCTGAGCAATTAGTAACTAGATTATAACGATTTAAGATCTCTTTATAAAATCAAATTTTATTCTAAATCTGCATTTTTTGGAGTAGTTCAATACGGTCTCGGCCTAATGCGTCGTTAATAAAATTGATTTCCTCTTCAGAAAGGTTTCATTCGTTCTTAGTGAAAACACCGCCTTCTTGATTTTCTTGCTTCAAATTATAAGCCCTATTAAGGTCCTGCAAAGCTGCTTCTTCTTGTCTGAGATTATTAAATAATTTAGCTCTGTTGCAGAAATACAAAGGATTATTGGGATTAAGCTTGATTGCCTCACTATAGCATTGCATTGCTTCTTGATATCTCTTCAACGCATAAAGAGCATTGCCTTTACCATTATAAAATTTGTCATTATCTTGAATGATTCTGATTGCTTTATCATAGTTTTCTACTGTTTCTGGATATCTTCCTAATTCATTTAAAGCTAATCCTTTCGCCCAGTAAAAATTAGTATTATTTGGATTGAGCTTAATTGCTTCGTCATAGCATTCGATTGCTTCTAAGTATCTTTCTAAATTCTTAAAAGAGTTACCTTTTTTATTGTATAAATTAGCATTGTTTGGATTGAGTTTGATTGCTTCGTCATAGAATTCGATTGCTTCTAGATATCTTTCTAAATTTTCATAAACATTGCCTTTTTTTTGGTAGAAATAATAGTAGTTTGGAAAGAGTTTGATTGCTTCGTCGTAGCATTCGATTGCTTCTTGATATCTTTCTAAATTCTCAAAAGCGTGGCCTTTACAATCGTAAATGCTTGAGTTGTTAGAATTGAGTTTGATTTGTTCGTCATATCATCCGATTATTTCTAAATTTTCTGCTAAATATTTTAGAGCAATATCTTTTACATTATTTTCATCCAGATAATAAGGATCGAGCTTAAAATTCTGGTTATTGCATTTTAAAGCTTCAATCTTTTTACCTACTCTTCTAAGTAAGACATGCTTATTATAGTAAGCAACATCAATAATGATTTTTTGATTTAAATTAAAAATATAATATTCTCTAGACGATTCAGAAATAGTTGAGATGCATATTCCTCCTTTATTATATGAGCAATACACTTGTTCAGGATCGCAATCCATTTTTGATTTTCCTATTCATCTCCAATTCGAGTAACTTCCAATTTCGCTTTCATAGATTGATCCATTATCGCATTCAATCAAATATAGTCTCTCTGCATTTATCAGGATCTTTATTTTCATCTCTTCAAACTCATAAGGAATTGTCGTGAAAGAATCAATACCAGTTGAGTATGACAAAAGATTTCTAGTTTGATATCCAGAAATTAAAATATTCCCATTAAATATTATACAACTGCACATATAATCATGTTTTGGCATTGGATTTAATTGAATTCATCGATTTCGATCCAAATCAAATCTACTAGATTGAGATAAATAATTTTCATCATTTCCTCCAAAGCAATAGACGCTGTTGTTGAAATAGATACATGATGATCATTCCCAAGGAGCTCCTGATGGCAGCACTTCGACTCCACCATTCACATCAATTAGCACTGTAATTCCAGAATGTCGATTATTACCATAACAGAATAGCTTGCCATTTGGAAGCTGAGTTATGCAAGTGTCTGAGTCTAGTGGCTGTGGAATCTGCAAAGTTTTGACTTCTTCTGTTTCAGTTTCAGTGTTATAAATAATTAAATTAGTTCTGTTATTATTATCACCTTCTATAACATTATAAAGAGATGCCTTTTGTTGATAAGCTTTAAGATACTCTTGGTAAGCTTTCATTAGTGGTGGATCATAAAGACTAGAACTGGTCTGAATTGCTGAGCAAGTTGTTCTGAAATCTATCTCTAGTTCTGGATTGTTTGGTCTGCTCAAAATCTCAGCTGTTTTATTTCTTAAGGTCTCTATAACTTTTAAAACACTTTCTGTTTCCTTAGATTTATTGTTGAGATCATTAGAAACAGTGCTTATTTGAGAATTAAGCAAGCTTGTCTCGTTTTCTAGGGTGAGTTCTATTGGCTTGTTTACGTTTTTAGGCCCTTTCAAGCTCTCACTGTTCTCATTTATGATCAAGGAAATCGAATCCTTAACGTTTGCTGACTCTATACTTGCAGGCTTACTAGTTTTATTATGCATTTCATGACTATTTTGCATATTCCTGTTTTTTAAATATGCCCCACATATTTCTGTAAAGAAGGATCTATTTAGACTCTCTAACTTTTGATTGAATATGCAAAACAATTTGGCACCGTTATAACAATCTCTGTTGGCTATGGTCATAAATTTTACTTTCTCAATAGCTTCTTGGGGATATAAACTCAATAATCCTAAAATTGGATCTTGTTCTGACTTTAATAATTTTGAAACTTGGGAAATCTTTGCAAAGAAATCATTTATTTCATCTGAGTAGCAATCCAACTTTCTTGCAAAATCTAAATCCTTCTCTGAATTGGAAAGATGCTGGCGAAAGGAATCCATAATTATTATTCTCAACTCGCTACATTTTGAATCTTCTTTTGTAAGGTATTCAAGAATTGCTTCTTTTGTCCCTTCACAAGGCTGCATAAAAATTGATTCAAGATTATGGGCTTTATGAGGCAAGTTTGCATGCTCCCCGATATGCTCTCCACACAATAAAGTATCGGGAGAAGAGCATTTGCATGCGTACTCAACCTCATTTATACACCCGGGCTCGAAACATTTCTTCACCATCATATAATAATTATAAGAATTTATTAATATTTTGATCTTCAATTTTTAAACAGTTTCGATACAATTAAAAATGCCCAATTTAATTAATTGCAATGGTCCTCATAAAAGTAATTAGTTTTTGATTATGGAGTGCTATAAATATTGTTCTGATTACTTTATTTAATATCTCATATATAGTATAATAAGATAAGAAAAATACCAATTTCGGTTTAATTTTATATCCGGGCTTTTTCTACAGCTTCTTAATGTCATAATATATGTGTATAAAAAAGTTCTACTAATCACAATTAACAAGTACAGATAAAATCTGACAAATTAAATACTCACGTGGCATTAGGAACTTTATCGATAAATTGATTAAAGTTGTCCTCGGGTTTCAATGCAAACCATTTTTAATTTAAAAATAAATACGATAGCCAAATAATTTTTCACGGAGTCAGAATAAAGTATGCTAATTGTATTTGATTGCTTGAATATTATTATCAACTGTTTTTCATATTATTAAAATTTGCATACTATTTTTTTATAGTTATCTTTAGCATTAGCATTAGCCTGAGCAATTAGTAACTAGATTATAAGAATTTAAGACCTCTTTATAAAACCAAATTTTATTCTAAATCTGCATTTTTTGGAGTAGTTCAATACGGTCTCGGCCTAATGCGTCGTTAATAAAATTGATTTCCTCATCAGAAAGGTTTCATTCATTCTTAGTGAAAACACCACCTTCTTGATTTTCTTGCTTCAAATTATAAGCCCTATTAAGGTCCTGCAAAGCTGCTTCTTCTTGTCTGAGATTATTAAATACTCTAGCTCTGTTGCAGAAATACAAAGGATTATTGGGATCAAGTTCGATTGCCTCATCATAACATTGTATTGCTTCTTGATATCTCTCTAAAGCATAAAGAGCATTGCCTTTACCATTAAAAAATTTGTCATTATCTTGATTGATTCTGATTGCTTTATCATAGTTTTCTACTGCTTCTGTATATCTTCCTAATTCATTTAAAGCATATCCTTTCATCCAGTAAAAATCAGCATCATTTGGATTGAGCTTAATTGCTTCATCATAGCAATCGATTGCTTCTAGATATCTTTCTAATTTCTTAAAAGAGTTGCCTTTTTTATAGAATAAATCAGAATTGTTTGGAAAGAGTTTGATTGCTTCATCATAGCATTCGATTGCTTCTAGATATTTTTCTAAATTCTCAAAAGCATTGCTTTTTTTTTTGTATAAATAAAAATTGTTTGGAAAGAGTTTGATTACTTCGTTATAGCACTCGATTGCTTCTAACTCCCCACCCCCCATCCTTGATAGAACGGCTCGCCATCGTTCGTCAAGGATGAGGGTTAAAAAAATTTTTTTGGGGAAAAAAATTATATATAAAAATAGAAAATATATGTTTTCTTTTATATATCGTTAGTTGCTATTGAAGCAACTAACGATACTTTAAATAAGAGGGTTAAGAGTATTTAATAATTATTTTTACAGCAAAAAAATGAATTAATTTCATAACAATACCAATTTTTAATATTTTAATTTTTTAGTTACCCCTTTAAACTGTAAATTTGTTCCGTATTGAAATAAAAATTTTAAATTTTAAAGAATCTCTATTTTATAGATTATTGAGTTTTTAAGCCCAGGTTGATGACTAAAACACTTCAGATGATTGATTCCCTAGCTTTTCTGTAATCTCAAAGCTCTGAAAACAACTTCATTAGACGCCCTCTGTATATATTGAACATACTTATTTTCCATAAAATAAAACTAATGATAGCTAATATATTTTTATATATATAAAAATTTGCATGATATGAAAATCGTTTGATCAAGGATGAGGTTTAATTTTTTCCAATTTTAGGAATTTTTTACAGTGAATCGTTCGATCAAGGATGGGGGGGAGTAAGTATCTTTTTAAATCATAAAGGTCGTTGCCTTTTTCATTGTAAAAATCAGCATTGTTTGGATTGAGTTTGATTTTTTTGTCATATTGTTCGATTGCTTCTAGCTTTTTTCCTATATATTTTAGAGCAGTATCTTTTACGCTATTTTCATCGAGAAAATAAGAGTCAAGCTTAAAATTCTGGTCATTGCATCTTATTACTTCAATCTTTTTACCTACTCTTCTAAGTGAGATATGCTTATTACAGTAAGCAACATCAGTAGTGATTATTTCATTTAAATTAAAAATATAATATTCTCTAACATTTTCAGAAATAGATGAGATGTATATTCCTCCTTTATTATAAGAGCAATACACTTGTTCAGGATCGCAATCCATTTTTGATTTTCCTATTCATCTCCAATTCGAGTAACTTCCAATTTCACTTTTATAGATTGATCCATTATCGCATTCAATCAAATATAGTCTCTCTGCATTTATAGTGAACTACACTGACTGGCACGGGGTGCTTTTGGCTCAGTTTCGAGCCAAAAGCACCACGTGCCAGTCAGTGTAGTTAACTATATCAGAATCTTTATTTTCTCCTCTTCAAATTCATAAGGAATTATAGAGAAAGAGTCAATATCGATTGAGTATAACAAAAGATTTGCATCTTCATATCCAGCTATCAAAATATTTCCATTAAATATTATGCTATATCAATAATAATCAGCTTTTGGCATTGTAGTTAATTGAATTCATCGATTTTGGTCCAAATCAAATTTACTAGATTGAGGTAAATAATCTTCATCATTTCCTCCAAAGCAATAGACGCTGTTGTTGAAATAGATGCATGATGACCATTCCCAAGGAGTTCCTGATGGCAGCACTTCGACCCCACCATTCACATCAATTAGCACTGAAATTCCCGAATGTAGATTATTACTATAACAGAATAGCTTGCCATTTGGAAGCTGAGCTATGCAAGTGTCTGAATCTAATGGTTCTGGAGTCTCCAAGATTTTGATTTCTTCAGTTTCAGTTTCAGTGTTATAGATAATTAAATTAGTTCTGTCATTATTATCACCTTCTGTAACATTATAAAGAGATGCCTTTTGTTGATAAGCTTTAAGATACTCTTGGTAAGCTTTCATTAGTGGTGGATCATAAAGACTAGAACTGGTCTGAATTGCTGAGCAAGTTGTTCTGAAATCTATCTCTAATTCTGGATTGTTTGGTTTACTCAAAATCTCAGCTGTTTTATTTCTTAAGGTCTCTATAACTTTTAAAGCGCATTCTGTTTCCTTAGATTTATTATTGAGATCGTTAGAAGCAGTACTTATTTGAGAATTAAGCAAGCTTGTCTCGTTTTCTAGGGTTAGTTTTATTGGCTTGCTTACGTTTTCAGGCCCTTTTGAGCTCTCACTGTTCTCATTTATGATCAAGGAAATCGAATCCTTAACGTTTGCTGGCTCTATACTTGCAGGCTTATTAGTTTTATTATGCATATCAGGAGTATTTTGCATATTCCTGTTTTCTAAATATGCCCCACATATTTCTGTAAAGAAGGATCTATTTAGACTCTCTAACTTTTGATTGAATATGCAAAACAACTTTGCACCGTTATACCAATCTCTGTTGGCTATGGTCATCAATTTTACTTTCTCAATAGCTTCTTGGGGATATAAACTCAATAATCCTAAAATTGGATCTTGTTCTGACTTTAATAATTTTGAAACTTGGGAAATCTTTGCAAAGAAATCATTTATTTCATCTAAGTAACAATCCAACTTTCTTGTGAAATCTAAATCTTTTTCTGAATTGGAAAGACGCTGGCTAAAGGAATCTATAATTTTTCTTCTCAACTCGCTACATTTTGAATCTTCTTTTGTAAGGTATTCAAGAATTGCTTCTTTTGTCCCTTCACAAGGCTGCATAAAAATTGATTCAAGATTATGGGCTTTATGAGGCAAGTTTGCATGCTCCCCAATATGCTCTCCGCACAATAAAGTCTCAGGAGAAGAGCATTTGCATGCATATTCAACCTCATTCACACATCCGGGCTCGAAACATTTATTTGCCATCATATAATAATTAAATAATTTATTAGTATTTTGACCTTCAATTTTTAAGCAGTTTCGATAACAATTAAAAATGCGTCCTTATAAAAATAATTAAATTTTGATTATGGAGTGCTATCAATATAGTTCTGATTACTTTATTTAATATCTCATATATAATAAGATAAGAAAAACGCCAATTTCGGTTTAATTTTATATCCAAAGGCTTTTTCTAAAGCTTCTTAATGTCATAATATATGTGTATAAAGAAGTTATGCTAATAACAATTAGATGAATTCATTTTCTTCTGCTCTCAACAAAGTAGACTTAGCCTTTAGCAGCACATGGGTTTTCCATCTATCTAAAGGTGTAATCTTATTAAATTGCGCTGTAACTCCTTCAAACGCCCCTTGGTCACCAGTTCTAATAGCTGCAAGCAAATCTCTCACAAATCTGCATTCCCTCGAAGTCTCAAAGCTAGGGTCTCTATTCGAATACATATTCAAGTTATTCTCAGCTCCAACTGTGTCGTCATTAGCTAAGAAAAGCAATGCAGCTTTAAAATAGCAATCTTTGGCTGAAAACCTTGTCAGATTATTCATCAAATATCGCTGCCCAACTAGTTCAAAAGTCTATATAGAAAATACTTTGATAGCTTTCAATATTGTTTCTCCATCCAAAGAATCCAATGTGCTTAATTCAGCTGCCTTTAAGTGGCAAGAGTTTGCAGTTCCATCACTATTATCTAATTCGAACAGTTCAGCAGCTTGCGAATAATTTTCACAAGCAAGGCCAAGCATTTCATCAGTTTCATATATCTCTGCTATTTGTTTTCTCAGCCTTGCAGCTTGTCCAATTCGGCTGCTATTAACCAAAATTTCAACAGCACGGTTGTAATGGCTTACCGCATCAGCTGAATTCACTTTTCTTACGACGTTTCCTGCTTCTGAATAATAATTTGCAGCTTCGTCTGGGACACATTCAGCACACTTACAAAATGAACGGGCTGAAGAAATGTCTATATAGAAAATACAGTCTTTGCCGAGACGGTAGTAATTAGCGGCTTGCTTATAAAGCTCAGCTGCTTCTTCATGTCGGGCATCACGATTTGAAAACATTCTCCCGAAAACACCTGGTTTGCATTTCTTTTCTGCCTGATTGAATGCTTCTTGGGCTCGCCTGATATAATTAGAGTCTTCAACCATTTTTTAGTTAGCATCTGAACAAGAGAAATATTGTGATTAAAAAGATATAAAATTTAAATTTCCATTATATTAGAATTATTGCAAACTATATTGAAACAATAAGAATTATTAATTTAATGATTGCAATATAGATTTCAAAAAATCTTCAAGCTGAAGATGATCTTTTATGCAAGAACTGAAAAACTTGCACAGAGATAGCTCATATTTTTTCGCTTTTTGATTTTTAAATAGAGGGATATCATTTTTCGATTGCTTGGAAACTAGGATTTTCCTTATAATCGTCAATGAGTTCACATCAGTTTCGCTGTAAAGAATGCTATTTTCCATGTGAAACATTTTCTTCTCCTTGCTTTTCATTGATATAAAGCTAATAAAAGATTTTTTATTCTGTTGAAAAGACTGCATGCTTGATTTTTCGTTATGAAGCTTCTCTACAGCTCTTTCTAAAAACTTTTCATACTCATAGCTTCTTAATATTGCTTCAATCATGGCGTTTAAATCTAAAATTTCTAGTTTTATTCAATCTAAAAGCCCTTTATAAGGATTTACTGGCTTGCTTAAGTTTTGAAATCTTATTTCTCTGACCCCAAAACATTTGGCATATTTTAAATTTATTTCACCCAGCTCTCTAAAAAGCCTTTCGCTTTCTCTCATTTTTCTTTCGTAGCACTCTTGGTTTCTTTTACAAACTTCTTCGAATTGTCCAAAAAGTTCCAAGCAAGCTTTAAATGCCCTATAACTATTATCAATAACTTGTTCATTATCATGGGAATCCTGATCAATATAATAATCAAGAAATTCATTTTGATAAATATCAGCAATATCTTTAAATGACCTTCTTTTCATTTCGCTAGCAAGTCTGTAAAAGTCATTTGGGTTCCTAATAAATTGTTGGAACTCTTCAGAGTTATAAATTGGGGACAGTCCTGATGTCCTCTTCAAGAAAAAATCCAAAATAGCTCTTCTTTCTTCAATAAAATCAGGATCTAAATTTCCAAGAATCTGCTTTGATGGAAGCTGAGGAATAAAACATCCGGGTCAATGTTGAATTAAAACACTTCTAAGAGCTGTGAAATCTTTATATCTCCGTTCAATTTCAAAGTTTCCTTTAGCATCCATACCTTGAACTGTATAGATAGCGTGCTTATTTAAAGTGCGATCAATTATTTTTGGCTTTGATACTGATATGATCACTCGGTCAATTTTATTGAGTCCAGAAGGAGATGTAAATCGATAATGGTCACTGGAGTTACTTTGAGAAAAGTTTATATATTCTTCTTCTAGAGAGGAAGCTGTTGTGGATTCTGAAATTTGATATAGAGAGCTACCTATATCCATATATTGGGTTTGATTTATATAAGGCATTTTTTGGAAAAATTTAAGAAAGAATTACATAATTTATTAGCCTTTGCCATTATCAAGTAATGCTTTATGCAGCTTAGGAATTGATTTTGAAAATCTTCTTAGAATGGGCTAATTAATCTGTGAATGGAAATGCAGATTGTTGAACTATAAAAATGAAGAGACGAATATGCCTTTATCTATTTAAAAATTAAATGAAATTAATTATAATTGTAAAACAAATACAAGGAATATTTTTTATGCATTATTGGTGAAGGAAATAATCTCAGTCAAATGATGAAGTCTTTATTACTTAATCTTCTGGTGGTGCAGAAACGTAAATTGCTGGAAACACTGCCTGGTCAAATATTCCAATTGAGTCCGCAAACCATGTAGTCAAGAACAAAGGCACTCCTGCCTTAAATAAATATGCATGGAACCCATTCCACATCTGTGCAATATAAAATTGGTCGCTCAATGCTTTCCAAAACGCTTCTGCATAATTAGTGAAGAAAAGCTCTCCCTTTGAATTCTTCGGTAGCTCTTCAACAAAATGCCTTAGAAGTCTGAATGGGTAGCCCATGAACAACCCAGAATATACCCCAAGACTCACATAGGCAGCTCTTAGCCAGCATTCTGGAGTTCCAGGCTGATCAGTCCCCCAATGCTTCATGTGCCTTGATTTCTCTTTCCAGAAATCAGTCCAAAAAAACAAGCCCAAAGTTTCACCAAAGGCTTCCCCCATAATAGGCCCTGCGCTCCTTACAAATGGATACATCCCATCTTTTTTTAAAATTGTTATAGCAGCATGCAGGTGATTTCTATACCCCCTCGCATACTCTTTTGGAAGAATTTTATCTTGTTCAAATCTTATTGAAACATTGTGGAAAGGAACAGGAATTCAGCATGTAACGAGACCAATAGCTCCAGCAGTGATTAAACTTTTGCCTCAATCTACATTTACAGTGTGGAATTCATGCGGGTACCCGCCTGCGTAATCTTTCCAAAGGTAAAACCTGGATGTTTGGAATGCAAGTCCATAGGCACTATTAAACATAATTCCTGATATGACTTCGTGGCGGAAATTTTCCATTTTCATCATTTGTCTGACGAAAATTCTTAGTGAATGTAGGCTGTCTGGGGCTTGATAATAGTGGAGCAGATCACTTGCAGGGTTATAAATCTGGTTCCATAGAGCTTTAGTGATGCCAAAATAAAGACCGGAAAGCTGAGCTTGCTGAAGATTTCAAGCCGGATTCCAGTTGGGTGGAGTCATCCACCTATAATATATCATTCGGGTTCGAGCATTGTGATTTCTCGCGATTATCACAGGCTTCTGGCCTTCTATTTCTTGATACATATTTAATAAAAGAAATTACTATAGTCCACTATTATTTGTTAATAGTCTATTAAGCATATTTCTAATAAATATTGATAGAAGATTTCCTATAAAAGATCCAGATAATATTGAGAAGATATAGAGCTTTTAAATTTATTGAAATTTAATAAATTAAATGAATGCAGCAGAAAGCTCAGCGATTTTAGTATTTCTATGCCTTTTTCTTATCTACAGTGCAATAACAGTATTATGTGGCTTCAGAGCGGTCAGGCTTCATAAGTTCTCATCTGAGTGAAGACATACTAAGTTTTTCTATCTTACAGTGCTTTCTCAAGCTTTATTGCGAGCTATTTGCTTCTTGGTGATTCTTACAAATATTGGAAACATTGATGATAAAGGAATTTATTTGTTACTCTCAGTTCCTGACTCTTTGTTCGTTGTGAGTTATTTGATGCTTACTTGGCAAACTCTAACAGTCTTTTACTATGCTCACCATTCTCAATTAAGATCTTCTTTTTTGGCGAAACTAGCAAAAAGGCCAACACATAGCTTTGCAAGCGCAATGCTTGTAACTCTACTAATACTGTGGCTATTTGCTCAAAGCTTACTTTATCTATTGATGATAGCTAATATTATAACTGAGACAAATATTTCAACTGAAATAGGGCTGGTGAATTTTATTCTACCTGTTTTTGTAATAGGAAGCATGATATATCTACAGATCAAATACTCAGGAATGCCTGCCAGATCCTTAATATGAAAATCCAGACTGAAGAAAATCAACTGTGTGACTATATTTTGATCAATTGCAAGATTTGCTGGAGGAGTTGACAACATTTTAGCTGAATACTCAGAGCCAAGTATTAGTTCAAACATTACAAATAGAACTGACCATGCTATGGATACTGCTGCAGCTGCTTTAATGATTCTTTCTTTAATAATTAGCGAAGTTATATGCATGATTTTGGTACTGGATTTCAGTTTTATTGGAATTTTTTTATTTTCTGAAGAAGATGACCAGCAGAGCTTAATGGATCGAAGCCCTTCTGTGCAGCAAACCCGTTCAAGTGGGTCTTCAGAAAGAGATGACTATACAACGTTCAGTATGATCATTACTAATATGATGATGACAATGGATGATTTAGAAATCAAAGAAGAAATGCCTAGCAGGAAAAACGGCTTTGGCAAACTTTATAAGGCCAGCTATAAAGGCATGCCTGTTGTGTTGAGAAAAATCATCTTTAAAAGATTGAGTGGCTACGTGTTGGAAGAATTCACAGCAGAAATCGATTCTTATCAAAATTTAGTAAGCAATAAAATTATTCCAATTGTAGGGGTGATTTTGGATCTTCCAACAGTAGGCATTGTATCACCTTACATTAATGGAGGATCTTTATATAAAGCTCTTCATGTGGAAAAGGCAGGGTTTACAAAGCAGGAAAAATATCATATTGCGCTTGAGCTTGCATCTTGTTTAGAAACAGTTCATGCCCAGGGCAAAGTGCATGGCCATCTGAGCTCAGAAAATATTTTGCTTAACGATGAAGGAGTTGCCTTGATTTCTGACTTAGGATTTCAGAAAATGAAAAAATATGCAGGAATTATTTTTGGATATACAAATAAGTCAGGATGGAGCTCTCCTGAGATCTTGCAAGAAAAAAGACTTACGCCTTTAAAAGTCGTGCCGAGTGATGATATTTATAGCTTTGGGATGGTTTTATGAGAATTAATGACAGGACAAGAGCCCTTTCCAGGCTACTCAAGTCAGCAGTTATATCAGCATGTGGTAGTTGATAATTACCGGCCTATGATCCCAGCTGAAATCCCAGAAGCACTGCGGAGTTTAATTATTTCGTGCTGGAATAAAGAGCCAGCTAACAGACCTTCAATGCAACTTATAGCTAGAACATTAACCCGTTTAATTAATGAACAATAAATATAAAATGTTTAGAGCAATCCCTACAGGAAATAAAGTGCTTACTAAGAAATGAAATGAAAGAAATGACGAACTCTTAGGCAAAAGGATCAAAAATATCCGCCCTATGATCGATAACACCTGCCCAAGCTCTTTTGGAGTTCAAAAAAAGTTATAGAAAATTCCTGGGGATAGCGCGGAATACGCTATCCCCAGGACCAACCGGGATCGGATCCCACATGGAACGAGGGTTCCATGTGTGGATCCATTTTTGACACGTGAAAGTAAATATCTCACATGTCAAAAATGGATCCACACATGGAACCCCCGTTTCCATGTGTGGATCCGATCCCGGTTGGTCCTGGGGATAGCGTATTCCGCGCTATCCCCAGGAATTTAGTATATCTAAAAGAGAAAAACTGATTGAAGGTAAAATCTAAAAAGATCGATACTCAGAAATAGAAAAAGATAATAGGCATCTGCTTGAAAGAATGTCGCAAATCATGAATAACCGAGCACAATCTTGCAAACCAAAAACACATTCTGTCAAAAGTTTAAATTTAGATTCAAGAAAAAGGTCTTTAATAAACATCACTTTAGAAAACCAAGCAATGCTGAAAAGGCTAAGGAGCAAAAAAGCAGTTTATAGTGTGAAAAAATGAGAAGCAGAAAGGAAAAATAACGAAAACATTTTGAATGTGATTTGTGAGTTTCCATATAAATTGGGCAATAATTTGAGGATGAGAAAAACTATATCAGAAACAAGCTTCAAAAAAGTAAGACAGCGCGGATCAATTGATAGTAATATAGAGAAGCCTACTACATTACAAGATCTCTTGTTTAAAAAAAGTGTTATGATTTCTGGGCGGAGCTTCATGCTCGAAATTATGAGAGGAAACACGTAAAAATTATTTAGTCATATACAAATTTTTGTAATTGATGGAGAAAACCAAAGATGTTTTAATTTAGAAATGTCAATTAAAGAAGTACATAAGCTAATCAAAGGAGAAAATTATGAAGATTTAGTGAAAATGCTGATGCTAGAAAATGATGAACTTGTATTAGTCAAATATGAAGCGAAAAATAAAGACGAGAGATCTCCAAATATTTCCTGTCCTGATATATAAACTGCCATTATAGATAGTGGAGTTTTGGATAAATTAAGAAATATTTTTCTTCGTAATATTTAAGATGGCTGAGAGGATTATAGTGTGTGAAATGACTGATGATATGAGGGATGATGCAATTAAAGAAGCAAGGCATGCAGCTGAACAAAAGGAAAGTGAAAAGGAGATTTCGCGAGCCATAAAAAAATTCTTTGATAATAAGTACTCCCCATGTTGGCACTGTATTGTGGGTAAAAGTTTCAATGCTTATGTCTCTTATCAAACTAAACACTTCATTTTCTTTTATGTCAAGCAGATCGCGGTTCTTTTATACAAAATGGGGTAATGTTTTAAGTAACCGATAAATCAACTACTATTTAAGTGGGATTAATAAAATAATAAATTAAACAGCAAAATTGCTATATTTGCTTTTACTCCCTTCCTTCATGAGAGAGCACAACTATTGGTAAATCATAATTTTTTGAAAATCAATCCCTTCCCTGCACAAAAATATTCTGACTTTAACAATTTTTATATATACTCAGTTGCTTAAATTTCTGATCGGCTCCCACGAGCCAAAGATGGATTTCACGCGTGAAAATCCAGAAATTTCACTTGGAAACCCATTTTTGGCTTATGAGAGCCGATCAAAAATAACGACAAATTATTATTGAATTTTTAAAAATTAAAGTTTTAAATCAAATTTTTATTTTTATAGACCCCATTAGCTAGTCAAAAAATATTGCTCATCTATGAAGTGGCATTAAGAAAACTTCAATAGCCTAAATTTGCAGTAAAGCCTAGAAGACAGGCTTTTGCAATAAATTCGAGCTAAATCTATTATAGATTATAACAAACAATTTTTGTTTCAACTCCATATATTATAGGGTTTTTACAATGATTTCCGTTAATTACAGAATATGCTATTATTATTTTTCTTTACTAATTTCGATTTTCAGAATGTTAAAAAATTAAAATGGCATTATTTTAGCACTTTTCGAAAGAGAAAAATTAATTTCAAAAAATCTAATTCCCTATTTTAAATTGGAAAAATAAAATCTGCTGCAATTTAAAGGTGTTGCTTTTTTATCATAATTTTTTTTATAGCAAAATGCTTATAAATATTTAAAAAACATAAATTAAATATTTTTTTTGATTTTTAACCTTTATGATGAGCTCATTCAAAAATTAATCGATTCAAGGTCCCAACTATTTAAATAGCATTCTGCTTGCACTGCATCCTATAAAGTGAATCAAACCTATTTTCATAGAAAATATCATTTTCCTCTGTAAAATTTATTCCAATTTAAAGGGTAGTAAACAAAATTACTAGCTAATAAGGTTTGCTATTCTGTCTTAATGCAAGAAGTGAACTAGAAATTCTTTATTTAGCTTCAAAATTTTTTTTGTTACAATTCACTGCATATTAAAAAATAGGCACCATTAATTCTATTAATATTAAAGATATTTTTAAAAATTTTTATAATCACACTAATCTTTCTATTCATCATTTGAGCAATTATGGCATTAAATAATAAAGACCTTTCAAATGGAAAGCTATGCTTGTAATTTATAATTTAAAACATGTCAGAAAACAACGCCAAAAAACGAGGGAGAAAACGGTCCATTATCAAGCCTCCAAGTAAAAAGCTCAAGCTCGAAGCCTCTCCTCCTAAAGATCAATCAATTTTCCCCATAAATCCCATAATTTCCTTTGATTTCCTAAAAAGTAAAAACAACCTCAAAGATGAGCTCTTACAAGATTATCAAGAACTACACTCCTCCTTCACCACAAATTGCTCCTTTCATCAGAGCAAGACCGTAATTAAAAATATTGCCAAAATTATTGAATCCCAGTTTGAAATAGATGGTCAATCTTTGATTGACATACTGAATGCAATTCAAAATGATTTGGCTATGAGTGACTTTGAATTACTGGCATGGGCTGCAATTCTTGAAAGGATCAACGCTAAAGAATTTTTAATTCCAATCAGAAATTTACTGACTCCCCCCCCCTCCGTGAGTGAACAAAACCATTGGAAAAATCGCTATTTTTTGCGCAAAAAACCCACCCTCCATGAGTGAACAAAAATTTTGATATATAACTAGTTCTGTTTAATTTTAAACAAATTGCTTTTAAAACATAAATTTTACAAATTAAATTAATATTTGTTTTCGATTTTTACAAATTCGGATGTTTTTAAATTTGGAAAAAAAGTTTTTATAAAAAAATTAACCCCCATCCATGAGCGAACAAGATTTTTTTGTTCACTCACGGAGTGGGAGAGTGAGCAATTTTGCATTTGTTGCAAAAAGTTCTTTAAACGACGGCATGGAGCCTTTCCAAGCTTTCATGGTTTCAAAGAGACCAAACTTTGTAGAAGAATACAATGAATGAATTAAAACAGTTAAGCATTCATTCTCAATCAATTTAAGAGATATTAACCAGAAATACAAAGAGCTGTGAAAGACAAGAGATGATAGTCCTGCAGAAAGTATTTCAACCAGCTATTCTATTTATGTAGATGATGAACTCAATTCAGCCTCTCCTTATGATCATGATATACTGGCAAACGAAAACGGAGAGAATCGAAGTTTAAGGGAAGATCCAGTAACACCGAAAAAAACGCCGGATTTTCCACAGTTCGAAAAGTCTGAAAGTTTAAGTGCGGAGAATGAGTATTATTATTATAAGTCTGATCGACTTTCTCCCTTTTTTACTTTTGAAAACCCTGAAAATAAAGCTGACAGTGACTCGTCATCATTACTGAGTGCAGAATAAAAAATTTAATTAAATTTTTGAGAGGAATAAATGGTAGTCCGAGAAGGCAAGATTTGGGTAGGATTGTTGAAATATTACTTAAGTAGCGTTAATAAAGTTTACTGTATTAAGATGGAGAGGTTGATATATGATAAACATACGATTCATTAATCTATTAGAAATTAATAATTTATTTTCAAAGTTTCATTAACAAAATCAGCAATTTTTTTTATTATTTCCTCTTCAGGTTTTATTATCACCAATCTAAAGTTTTTTACAAGCAATCAATTAAGCCTAAATGCCCATTGCTCTTAATTACTGTTAAACTAATACCTATTATTAAAGTTATGAATAAAAAGACCCAGTATCAAGAAGATATCATAAAATCAGTTCTTGGTCTGCTCCATTCCAATCAGTACTTTAAAGCTCTTACTTCGCTTGAACAAGAATCCAAAATCAGGCTGCACTCTTACGGGAAAGAAATTGATTTTCTTTATGATCTTCTAATGGACGGACGATTTGATGATGCAGAAAAGTTTATCCAGCCTCTGCGTTCTCGATCCGAATTTAACTATACAAAAGTTTTATACGAAATTCGTAAACAAAAATTTCTTGAATCAATCGAAAATTCAGATTCACCAAATCTTCAAGAACTTGTGAATGCTTTAAAAGAAATTGAGTCTTTGGCAAGTAAAGAAGAATTCAACACACTTTGTTTATGCCTCAGCCTCGATAAAATCACTGATCATGCTGATTACTCTGACTGAACGATATGGAAAGGCCGTTATTATTGCTTTAATGAATGCATAAAATATATGAATCATGTATATCCCATAACAAACTATCAGAAACCCAAAATAAATTTAGAAGAAGTCGTCCTGAAATCTCTCGACTCTGAGTTTTCTCCTAAAAATGAAAAAGTTGAAGGCACAAGCCCTAGAGTTTTGAAAACAAGCACTCAAGGCTCCAGAGAAAGCTCGCGGTACTCTTATAACATGAACCCAGAAAATAAAAAAATTGAACCAAATGAAGGGAGTTTTGTGATTAATGAAAGCGAAACAGACAAAGAAAGCAAAAAAAGTGTCAGCTGGAACATTGGCAGCAAAGAAGAGCAAGAAATAGGAAAAGACCCAGAGAATCCAAAAAGCGTGTTTATTGAGTCACTTGATATTTCAAGTGAAGAGCCACAGCAAGAAGAAAAGGAGGAAGAAGAGGACGAAAGCCATGGCTTTGCTCCGACAAACTATGAGCTGATGGCTCAATTCGATCCAAGCACTTTAAGAGAAGTCACCAAAGTCAAAGATATACAGCCGATCCGTGCCTGTGCGTTTAACCATGATGGGGATTATTTTGTATTAGGAACGAACTCGAAAACTCTCAAAGTCTGCTCATTGCATAATATTGTTGATGGACTAATTTACAATGAGCAGCAAGGTAGGGAGCAGTTTATTGATATTGTATTTGAAATGAATAATGTTCATTATGGCTCAGTCTACTGTGTAGATTGGTCAAATTCAGGGCAACAAATAGCTTCAGGGTCCAATGATAAGTCTATAAAAGTCATTTATGCGCCTGATTTTTTGACTCTTCAAGAAACAAACTCAGAAACTGTGATTTATTCAAATGGGAGATATCTTACTGGAGAAGGAGATTTGCCAGAATTGCAAGAAAGGCTGCTAACAGGCCATGAAGGAACTGTAAGAACTGTACTATTTCATCCTGTTGACGAAAGAGTATTAATGAGTGGAGGCATTGCAGATGCTTCTTTAAAATTATGAAATACAGAAACTGGGCAAAATTACCAAAGCTTAGCTGGCCACTTAGGTGCAATTTACAGCATAGCAGCAGCTGGAGATGGCAGTTACGTTTGCAGTGTAGGGACCGACAAGAAAGTCAGAGTTTGGGATATAAGAAGCGCCAAATGTGGAATCAGCATGAATGGGGAAATGTTTTCAGAAATGAACTCTATCACTGTCAATAATTCTATCCAAAATATCAGAGCTGAAACCAAAATAAAAATCGCCAAAATGTACATGAATAATAGAGGCATGAATAAGCCTCAACCAAACAGTCAGAAATTAGCTGCAGTCGGCCATACAGACGGGACTGTCTCTATTTGGGACATCACAGCTGGCAAACTGTTCAGTAAATATACATACCACTCATCAGAGTGCCGATCTGTTGATTTCTCATCAAATGGGCAATGGATCGCATCAGGATCTTTCGACTCAACGCTAGGTCTTATTGACATGTCAAAAGGCCAAGTTTTCAAGCTCGAGCCTCATATGGACCGCATTGTGAGTGCTAAGTGGCATCCGTCCCTCCCTATTTTGCTGTCAACATCTGCAGATAAAACTGCACGCATTTTTTCTATATGCTAAGATAAATATTCTATTATTAAATGGACCCTTTTTTCATTGCAGCAAGCAAACTTCGTAGGAAGCATTATGATGAATGTATTGAAATATGTGACCAATTATTAGCAAAAAACGCATATGATCAGGCTGCGTGGTTCTTGAAATGCAGAGCTTTAACGCTAAAATGCTGGATTGATGATCTTGAAATTGATGAAGAAGGCATGGCTGATATTATGCTTGATGAAAATTCAACGGCGGCAGTTCCAAGACCAGGGACTTCGATTCAGAGACCAAATTCATCAGCAAGCGGAGGAATTTCTCCAGCCATGAGGCCAGTTACAAGAGGTGGGAGGCCTATAACTGGATTTGCGAGGCCTGGATCTGCAAGACCAACTTCATCATCAGGCTCTATCGAAGCCGCAATTAGATCACAAACTGGGAAGCCAGGCACGGCAAGGCCGGTGACAAGCTCCGGAAGATATCTAAGATTAGGCACAGCTTCAATGTTAAGCACTGGAGATCAATTTATTGTTGCAGACAAACTTGATATGAAAAGAATGGCCCAAAAGCAGGCTATCGCTAAAGCGCTGTGCGATTATTTGATATATGTTGATCATAACCCTAAAAAAGCTTTAGAATTGTGCGCAGAAGCTACGGTTGTGTCAGGTTTTCAAGATTGATGGTGAAAATCAAGACTTGGAAAATGCTATTTCCAGCTTGGACTGTTTAGGGACGCCCAGAAGCAGTTTGAAAGCAGCTTAAAACAAGAAGATATGATTCCTACACATATAGAATTGTCAAAAGTATATATTCGGCTAGATCAGCCTAATTTTGCACTAAACCAGCATAAAAAAGCTTTAGATAAGCACCAAGAAAATGAGAATTTGACATTAGCATTAGCCAGGGTCAATGAGCTCATGAACAATGCTGACTTAGCAGCTTCTCTCTTTAAAGCAGTTTTGCAGGTGAACCCATGCAATATTGAAGCAATAGCATCCCTCGCATCCCATAATTTCTATACAGACCATCCAGAAGTTGCTCTAAGGTTCTACAGAAGGCTGCTGCAATTAGGAATCAGCAACGTAGAAATTTGGAATAATTTAGGACTAGCTTGCTATTATGCAGGACAATACGACTTGTGCATGAAATGCATGGAAAGAGCTTTGGATGCTGACGATAGCAATGGAGATGTGTGGTATAATATTGCAAATATCGCAATAGGCATGGGAGAGCTGAACATGGCTTATCATGCCCTGAAAGTTGCTGTAAGTGTAGAAAATACACATGCAGAAGCTTATAATAATTTAGGGGTTCTAGAACTTAGAAAAGGGAACGTTGAGCAAGCTAGAAATTACTATCAGTCAGCTACAAGGATTGCTGACTACTTATATGAGCCACTCTATAACTCAGCACTGCTTGCATTCCGAACTGGCGAAATGCAAGAAAGCTACAACCTTGTACAGAAAGCTCTCGCAATATTCCCAGAGCATGCTGACTCTAACTCCCCCCCCCTCCGTGAGTGAACAAAAAAAATTTTGTTCACTCACGGAGGGGGGTTAATTTTTTTTTTTTAAAAAAATTTATATATAAATTTTATAAAAAATATTTTTTTTCGAAATTTAAAAAAATCCTAATTCGCAAAAATTGGAAAGCAAATATTAATTCAATTTGCAAAATTTATGTTTTTAAAAAGCAATTCGTTTAAAAATAAACAGAATTAGCTCTAGATTTCATTATAATAATTATCATTTATATATCAATTTTTTTTTCCATAAAAAATTTTTCTATTAAAAAAATTTTTGTTCACTCACGGAGGGTGGGTTTTTGGGCAAAAAATAGCGATTTTTCTAATGGTTTTGTTCACTCACGGAGGGGGGGGGGAGTAAGGAGCTGCTAAAGACACTAAAGCAGCATTTTGATTCTTTATAAGTTAATTTAAACCTATTACTTAGTTAAGATTCTGGCCTGGTCTAAAGGATGTAATAGTGCCCAAGCTTTGTGTAAGATTATAAATTCCAGCCATTTGTATCCCTGATTTCAAAGCATAATTAGGTCCGGTGTATCCCCACCAATCCCAGCATCCATCTGTATTTACCTGCGACTGTGGAAGTACTTGTGGGTAAATTACTACAATGTTATTGGCTTCAGCCCAGCCATTAAGGCCGCTATTCTTAATAAAAACAGCTCCAACAGTGTCGTAGTTCTGATTGCAACCATGAAGAGCGACATGAACTTTGCATGCGTTTTCAATGCAATAAGCAGGCTGATAAATCCAGCCGAATGTGTCCATTCCTGCGCTGGAGTTGGATACAAACTCATGTTGAGGGAATTGGTACAAATTTGCAAAATTCTGAGTAACTGCTGGCTGCAAAGTGCCGTAAATCGATTTCAGCATAAGTCCAGCTGCATCGAGTTGGCAGTTATTTATATATGGAGTTCCATAATACCAGCAAGGATTTCCTTCGCTGCTAGTAATCCATGCAAAATTGGCTTGCTGGTCAAATGTTGCATTAATTCTATGATTGTCTATAAGACTTTGGTAATAAGCATAGAGTTTTCTCCCTACACTTTGATTTACAACTTCATCCTTTGCTCCTGCAAAAATCCAAACGTGATCCGTTGCTACGTTCACAACATTGTCAATGTTCCCTGCTGAAGCTTGATCCTTACTCCCCCTCCGTAAGTGAGCAAAACCATTGGTAAAATCACTATTTTTTGCCAAAAAAAAATTTAAAATAGCAATTTTTTAGGGAAAAAAATTCGATATACAGATGATAATTATTATAACGAAGTATCTAGCTAATTCTGTTTAATTTTGAACAAATTGCATTTTAAAACATAAATTTACTATTCAATAAATATTTGCTTTCCAATTTTTTTGAATTGGAATTTTTTTAAATTTCGAAAAAAATAAATTATTATAAAATTTCTAAATGATATTGTTTTTAAACCCCTCCATGAGCAAACAAAGTGGAAGTTAGTGTATTGGACTAAAGCATCTGTATTTATTAAATATCCAGCATTGGTGCATGCAGTGGATGCTGTTACTGCTGAACCTTGGGCACAGTAATATGGTGCACCTGCTATAAGGCCTGCTCCTACGCTATCTGCAGAGAATGCAATGTTTAATTGGACTGCCATATTTGCGCCGGCGCCCAAACCTGAGGCAGTGAACGCCTGGGATGATAAAGAAAGGCCTAAAAGTCCCAAGAAGAAAACAAATTTCTTCACCATATTTTGTATAGTGAAGCCAGTTGAGTAAGTGACGGCATAAGATTAAGAATTTAAATAAAATTATTTAATTTATCATTAAAATAAATGATTAATGGTCCTTTTTGAATAATAAATAAAATGGCATATTGCCTCCCAGCAATGAAACTTCGAGCACAATTTATTTATATCCGGCAAGGTAAGCAATTCTGGTAATGCACAAGGCCTAGACCTAATCAGCTTTCAATATTTGATTTTACCTCTAGGCGAAGATGAATTCAGAGTTGGAAAGGGAAAGCCCAGCAAAGTCTACAGGCAATCCTAGATCTTCCTAGAGTGAACTAGGGGTTACGTCCCAGGCTTTGATTTTTTTCCATTTTCCCATAGTTAGCCAGAAATTTTACTTGAGCAACTTCCATGTACCCATGCAATATGCCGCAAAAGCCCATAGTCTTTTACTCTAAATGGTGGCGACAAGGCAAGGAGGAGACGGAGACACAGAACCCTGCTTCACAGGTGTCATGGCGTGAGGCAGTGATGAAGAGGAATAATGTGTTGAAAGAGGGTGAATCCCTCTAGGGATTCTTGTGACTGTGTAATCAATAGGCGGCAAGCAAGCCAAACAATAATAAGTTTAAGATCCTTTTTTGAATAAAAGATTAACAAAATCATAAGTAAAAAGGAATTCAAATTCTTAATTAATTATTTCGAATCTTTGTATATGGCTATCCTACAGCAATTTTTGAAAAATGAGATCTTTAATTATAAAGATAAAGTTTCAACATAAATTTATTTATATTTCCAAAATTTATTTTTATCGCTTGCATAAAATTAAAATTATCAGGTTCATCATCTGAATTTTACAATATTTTTGATTTTTTCGTCCTCAATCTAATACTAGAATTAAATCTCATCGGAGAAAGATCAATATGCTTTTCATTAAGTATCTTACTCAATGGCTTAATTGTTGAGCCCAATTTCGCTCGAATAGGAGATTTAGATTGAGCAGCTTTTAAGTGTAGTCGTGAAGTGCTTAAATCTCTTACTCCCGCTGTTTAAATTGCTACAAATATCAGCTCCAAATTAAAACAGTTTTATTTTTGTTGCGATAATTTATTATCGATCAAAAGTGCTATAATGTCTTGTAATAATTCCTTATCTTGTCTGGCATGCAATAATTTTCTCCAAATGTGGAAATAAGTATAACACACAGAAAACTTTAATAGAGCAAGTTGTTTTTAATTTTCGATTATTGCATCATTAAATTGAATAGCAAAGCTATTTAAAGCAATTATTATTTTTACCTAACAAAATCAAATCTTATTTTAATGATCTTTGCTCCAATTTAAAGGAGGGGTGTTAATGGAGAAGAAGAATCTTTATTAAGTATTCCAAAATTGTGAACGAAATGGGAGGTTCGTAGTAGATTGATTTTTGGCTGTTTGATTATCTTGTTCTGGGAGATGGAAATAGGTATTGTTTTTTCCTTTTCTGTTTTTAATTTTGTCAATCTTCTGACAAGATCGTTATATTCGAAATGAACTCCATATCGCATTTCTTCGCTTATAGTTGCTTGCTTTTGACTTTCTTCAATTAGTCTTTTGTGGAAATCATTAGGCAACATTAGATTGATTTCTATTACAGTTTTATGGAGAATTATATCATGGCGAAATGAAAATTATCCACTATTAGTTAAAAGTAATTTTTATTGATGGAAACACCTTAAAGATTGATTTTTATCGAAGGCATTAATAAACTGAATTAAGCAAAAAGTTATATTAAATAAATACCAATTTAATATGGTGATCGTTAATTATGGGAACAGGAAATAGTTCAATTTATGTTATTATCAAATTTCAAATAAAATTTCACAATGGTAATAATGCCAATAATTTGTAAATCAACACTAATCTTCATTTAGTTAAATTTAAGTGAAAAAAATTAAAAGCTTAATTTAATCCAATTGTCCACTTGAAACTATTCTAACAATTTTAGTTGGAACATCACCTTTTGTTTGAACGTTTTCTATTTCTCTGCACAGCTCAAAACCTTCTATAATTTTCCCAAAAACAGTCTGTTTTCCATCTAAATAAGGCGCAGGTCCAAGCATTATCATAAATTGTGTCCCATAAGTTCCGTCCCCATTGCTAGTCATCGAAAGAAATCCTTCCTCAGTATGCTTTAAAGCATAGTTTTCGTTTTCAAATTTTGCATCAATTTCAATTCCTCCTTCTATCATCAGCCCTTTTATTATTTTATTGATCAAGCTTCCTTGATAGTAAAGATTATCTTCATTATATTGAAATTCTCCAATGCATAATCTTCGGAAAATCTCTGCTGTATGTGGAGCAATATTCGAAAATAGCTCGAAAACAATTCTTTTTGGGGTAGAATTTCCTATTGAGATATCGAAATAGCACTTTGGGTTATCTTGATGATGCTGGGCTGGCAACTTTTTTTCGCTTCACGAAGAAAACATTTTTTTGCAAATTTCTTTTTCCTTTCCTACAGATTTTCTTAATCTTTGGTTTATGTTTGCTTGGAGATGGAGAAACTCTGAATTGTTGAAATCTAGCTTAAGCCCATTTGTGCAATCATTAAGAGAATCCTCAAGGTAATTTAATTGGAAGTTTGCTAAAGCTTTTCTATATATGACTTTTATATTAGTGGGATCAAGCTGCAAAGCCTTTTCTGAGTATTCTTTAGTTTTGACCCAATCCTGAAGCTTTGTATAGCATATCGCAGAATTCGAAAATAATTGGATTTTTAAGAGTTTTTGTTCTTGGAGAAGATCTGGTGATTCATCTTCATCGATTGGGAAATCAATCATAAAAGAAATTGCAGGGTTGTAGCACTCATCAATGGCTTTTTTGAACTCAGATGATTTTACTTTTTCGTTGCCAATTTCTTTTAACTTCTTCGCAATTTCAAGCCTTTCTCTGAGATTTGAATCACTAAATGGATTTTTATTCTTAGATTTTCCTATTAGTTCTACTTCAAACTTTAGAATTGAGAGCGGAGGAATTAATGGTGGCATTCCTTTTTCTCCATATGCATAATCAGAGCGGATTATAAAATTAGCCTTCTCACCTATTTTCATTGTTGCTATTCCTTGGTCAAGTCCTTTAATTACATGCCCTTCACCTAACTTAAAAGAGAAAGGCTCATTTCGAGAATAAGAGGAATCAAATTCCGTTCCATCTTCAAAAAACCCTCTATAATTAATTTCAATTTCATTTCCTTTCTCGAGGAGATTTGTTTTGCGATGGCGAATTCCACTTTCATCTGAAGAATTTGCAGAGCTTTTAGAGCTGATTGTTTCTTTGATTACGCCTCCATCACCGAAAAGATCCATTTTATTTCTGATTAAGGTATTATTAATAGGAAAATTATAATGAGAAATACATTAGTTTCACGAAGGCTTCTCACCCTGAGTTATCTCCGAGCTCTTAAATTATAACATATAAGTCTCGGATAAAATAAAATCGTCAAGAATATAAACCCGTAAGTCAGGCTGCCAAGTATTAATGCAGCCTCCTGCACGTCATCATAGCAGTTTTCTTCTATACAGCTTGATCTTTGCATCACATATACGCCGAAAAAGTTATAGCCAAGTACAGCAGCAAAATAAATATCTTTATACATAGTCATAAAAATAACTCCCAGTACGAATAAGACGCTCATAATTAAAACAGTTCAACTATTGAAGCTCATCCCAAACATTTCATCTGATTGAGCTTTGTCTATTTTTATTATTGTAATTATAATGCATCTGCAGAGCTCTACTAATACTAGAGCTACCAAAACAGAAAACTGCAGATGAATTCCGATATATTCGAGCCAAGTCACCATATACCTTCCATCTTCTTCATATTTTATATTGGAATATACAATAACTAGCAAAATTCCAACTATTATCAAAATAAGGTCATTGAAAATAAATGAAATTGTTTCACTATATAGTCTTCTGGAAAAAATATAAGCTCCCAGCAATACGCATACAGGAAAGTGATAATATTTTAATTTTTCACTTACTACCCCTTGATGGAACCGATCGTCCGCGTTTAGTCAAGGATGGGCTGAAAAAAATCTGAAATATAATCTTATATATAATTTTTATTAATTTAACCAGAGATAGAATATGCAGTATACTAGCAAGGATACTAAAATCGCATTAGAAATGTCTAGAAGCAAATATACATGCAATCTTTAAGATTCATTAATATCAAAGATAGGTAGTTAGATTTGAGAGAGCCTCATGCTTGACTATATGAAAATTGTTCAATCAAGGATTGGAATTTTCAACTATGACGCTCAATCAAGGAAGGGAGGAGTTAAGAATGAAATGGAGTTTGTTGACTTTTTAAATAAGACTGGAATCAAAAAGACTGAAAGAACCAATATAAAAATCCAAATTGAAGATTCAAAATAAGGATCTATAGTAAAAGGAGACTCATTTGTTGGTGCAGATCTTTCGCCAAACCTAGAAAAATATTCTCCAGCAATAAAACCACTCAGTTCACAAGTAAGTCCTAGCAGATTTAAGCCTCTGAGGAAAATTATATGGTGTTTGGAGTATTTATTATAGAGCCAACCGCCTGGGATTCTTTCTATAGATGACTGATCGACTATTAAAGTTTCTGCTTCTGATAGCACAGATTTTCCTTGTGTGTAAATGCTTCTTAGTGCCAAATAATTCGAATCGTCTACCATAAAAGTAGGATCATCGTTTTTACTATCCATTTATAAATTAAAGTAATTTTAACTATCGCCACTCAGGTTTTTTAGGCTCTTGATTCGCAGCTCTTTCTGCTTTGAGCATCGCCATATTCCTAGCAATTTGTTTTACATAGCTTGGGGCATCAATTGTTATTGGTGCATGAGTACATTCAGCGAGTTCTTGCTTTTCGCGTTCTTCTATAATTGATTTGACCCTTTGCTCGCTGATTCTTTGCTGGTCTTTCATTCTAGCTACGTATGAATCTGGGTCATCTAAAATTTTTATCGTTGATGTTACATTTGTGTAGCGTTTGCTTTGGAAAAGACCAGAATCTAAAAAATTTCTGAAATTCTGGTTGATTTCTTCTTTTTTAGCGTTTATGTTTTCTTCACGTTTCTTCGAGTCTCCATGGCACATTTCAGCAAAACTTCTGTTTTTCTTCAGCTTTGCCTTTTTTGTGATTTTTGGCTGAAAAGTGCAGCCTTCAGGCTTTTCTGTATTTTTTAATGTTTTAAGCTTTTTCTCTATCATTTCATTATTTCTTTCATAAAATTCTTTCTTCACCAGCTTCTTTGATCTTTCACAAATCATAGGAGCTGGTGCTGGCATGTTTTCATAATAATTTTTCTTTTCAATTTTCATCAACTCATAGAGAGCCTGCCTTTCAAAAAAAGGTCTTGACGAAAAAGAGTCTCCATACTCTTGATATCCAGTAGAAGAAACAATTGATTGCTTAGAAGAAGAATTAATTTCCTCTTCAGGCTCTTTCGGTTCTTCTATCTCTTTGGGTTTTGACAATCTTTCAAAAGGATCCTGCTTTACATACTCTTTAACAGACTTCATGCCTTTCGCAACACCTTTTACTTTCGGTGCAAAAGTGCATTGATCCTTAAGCATAAGCTTCAGCCTCGGGCTCATCCTTTGCTCATTTGCATCTAGATATCTTGGCTGTATTTCAGTCCTATTAATTTCTGGCTTAAATGTGCATCCTCTTAATTCTTCTTCCTCTTTCATTCTTTCTTGCTCTTCTCTTAGCTTCTGAAGTCTAAAATTTTCTTTGATTCTTGAAAGCCTTTCAAAAGGGCTTTCAATGATTTCATGAGAAATTATGTTTGTTGTAGGCTGGAATGTACAGTTTTTTTTAATTATTTGCTGCTGTTGAGCTTTGAGTCTTTCTTGCTCAACTGAGCGTCTGAGGTCTCATTGGATTTGACGATGCAAGAAATTGGATGATAAAGAATCTGAATAGTCTTTAGGAGTCATAGAAGGAGGGAGGCGAGGATAATAGTCTTCATCTTCTATTAGATAATTTTGTTCGAACTCAGTTTCATGGTCGGGGCTATTCTCTTGGGATATGTGGGTATCATCTGGAACTGTATCGACACCTGGATAATTATTACAGGTTAATGTCTTTTCTGTTAGTGAAGATTGAGTAAAAAATGGTAAAGAAACCTTTTCTATCATTTCCTCTTTGGTGATTTTCCCTTCTTTGAGTTGTTCGATGAGCTCTGCAACTGATGTCATAGTTTTTGAAAATGAAAATTTATTGAATTTGAATTTATTGGGTTTTGATAGATTTGTGTGCTTACTCCCCCCGTCCGTGAGTGAACAAAAAAAATTTGTTCACTCACGGAGGGGGTTAAATTTGTTTTTTTTAAAAAAATATATATATAAATTTTTTCGAAATTTAAAAATCTCATTGCTATATAAAAAATTGGAAAGCAAATATTATAAATTAAAATATGGCGTCTTCGTCTGGGCATGGCCTCCCGGCCATGCAGCCTCGACACATATTTTAATTATATCCGGCAAGGTTTTACCAATCCAGAAATGGACGGCAATGCTAGGTAAGCAACTCTGGTATTGTACAGAGCCTAGCCCTCAGTCCAATTTCAAGGTTGGGTTTTTACCTCGAGGAAAAGGAGGGGTTTGGATTTGGAAAGGGCAAGCCCAGCTAAGTCTGCAGGTAATACCCAGACCAATCGGGCAACTGCCTAGCGTGAAACCGGGCGTTACGTCCCGGGATCCAGACTTTTCCTTTTGCCGAAAGGTCGGACAGAAATTCCATTTTTTGGAATTTTTGAATGGCCAACCTCGTGACACATGCAGCAGCCGCAGAAGTCCATAGTCCGCCCACTCAACACTGGATCCGAGAGGAAAGGAGGAGACGTCCGAAGCAGAACTACACTTCAGAAGTGCCATGGCATCAGGCGCTGAAGAAGAAGAAGAAAGGCAGTGTCAGAGCCGAACACTTGCCCGGCGAATCATTGCTCCAATTCGATCAAGGCGAAGCTGAAGACGGCGCAAAGCGGATGAACCACCCGTGTGGGGAGGGTCCTTGGTGACTGCGTAACCAATATGGCAGACGCCAACCTGTAAGTTTAAGTTTAAGGAAAGCAAATATTAGTTTAATTTGTAAAATTTATGTTTTAAAACGCAATTTGTTTAAAATTAAACAGAATTAGCTCGAGATTTCATTATAATTATCACTTATATATCAAAATTTTTTTCCATAAAAATTCTCATTAAAAAAAATTTTGTTCACTGACGGAGGATGGGTTTTTGGGCAAAAATAGGGATTTTTCCAATGGTTTTGTTCACTCACGAGGGGGGAGTTAGAGAATTATTTATTAAAATATAATTGACAGTAAGATTAATATTAGTGAGCTATAAACGAAAATAAAAGGATCTTGAGATTTTTGATAAGAATAATATATAAGAAGATAAATAAATTTTTAGGCACAAATGAAATTTTAAAATGGACCCTTATCTAATTCAAAGATTGCAACAAAGAAAAGAATTAACAAGAATAAGCTTCTGAGATTTGAAAGATGAAAGTTCAGATTCAGAAGAAGACTCGGAACCAAGAAAAAAGTCAAAACCTATTGAAAATGCTGAGCCTCTCAATAATATTAACGAAGTTCCTATAGAAGAGCAGCTAGAAGAGCCAAATGTTGTTGTATGAGGGGTTGACAGATCTAAAGAAATTCGCCCAACATTCAGGGAAGAATGCAAACAAGTTGATCCAAATATACTAGAAAAATTAGGATATGTCAATAGAAATTGTCGTCCTCCAAGCTCAAAGAGAAAAGAAATTTTGACCTCAGCTGATGACAAAAAAGCTGGACATTCAATATCTATAGAAGAGAAAAAGCAAAAAGAAAAAAACAAAATTCAAGAAATTAAAAATTTGCTCCAACATAAATTGAAAAATAATCCTTAAATTTTATACTATTGATTAAAATATTTAAAATAACTAGCAACAAGATTAAAGCCCTTAAAAAAATTATGCTTTTAAATAAAGAAAATGAATTTAATTAGCTAATAGGGAAAAGAGGGATTGAGAATCGAAGCTTTATTAAAAATTTTGTATCAAATCTATAAATCCTCATTCGCAATCCAAACCATGAGAAACTTACTTGGTTTATTAATTTTAAGAAGGTGGATCTTTATCTTAGAATAAAGCTAATATCGCTGCTGAAATAGCAAGAATTACTCCTGAACTTTCTGCGCTCTTACATTCCTTATGCCATTTCTTTAACTTCTTATAAGGAACAAAATCGATTGCATCATCAATATAGCAGTCGCTTGCTTTTTCGATGACTGGATAATTTACAGCTTTGATGTATAAATAAGCTGTTTTTTCAACATTTCCATCACTAGCAGTTGCAAGCCATTCTTTGGTAAGGTCATCTGATTGATGAAGTGCACAGTAGGAGTGTCCTTTGCTATCTGGAACGCAAACGCATTGTCCAGGAGCTCCATTGCTGGCTGTGCAATCGCTATGCAGCTGACATTTCTTTGGTAAATCCCCAACAGTCTTTTGAGTAGCTTGACAAACTCCATCCTTTACAGCGGCAGATTTGCAAGCAAATAATGAATCTGCTGCTTCTCCGTCTTCAACTGTCCAATACTTAATGCACTTCCCTTGGTTGCAAATATGTCCAACCTTGCATTCATCTAAGAATTGACATTGCTTGCCTTCACCAACTCTTTTTGCGCAATAAAAATTAGTTTCATTGTTTTTGCAGAAATAATCTGGGTGGCAGAATGACTCGCCTTGGACACAGACATCGTTCTTTTTGAGGTACTCAATGCAAGTGAGATCATCGATTTTTGGATCATCTTCAGTCACGCAAGGGACTGCTTCGGAAACATTGAGAGCGAAATATGGGCAATGAAGATCTCCAGTGCAGCCTCCTAAGGTGTAAGTATAGGATGCATCATCGTAGTTGAGGCAAGTATCTGTTTCTTTATCAGAGCATTTGTATTTTGGACAAACCAAAGGCTCATCTACTCCAGGAACTGACACAGTAGTGGCATCTCCTGTTGTCTCTTCTGGAGCCTGCTCCTCAGCGGACTCTTCAGAAGCTTGCTCTTCAGTTGTCTCTTCTGGTGCCTGCTCTTCAGTTGTTGCGTCTTGACCTGCAACTAAGCCGAAAAGTATAGAAATTTCCCATAGATGGCGCTGTTTGCCCTTGATTTGCCCATGAGAAAAATTTTCTGGTTTGACCAAACCATATGGTACTGGTCGAACAAAAAAAATTTTTCTCATGGGCAAATCAAGGGCAAACAGCGCCATCTATGGGAAATTTCTATATCAAACTTATAAGAAGTGTTCTCCTCCACATTTAATTACTATGTAATTTGTCTGATATAAATCTAATATTTTAATTTTTATGGCAAAATGCAAATTGTATTTATTTGGTATTTCTTCGACAATTAATAATCATTATAAAATAATTCATTTAACCCATCGCTGGAAATATTTATACCGCGAATTTAGTAGATTTGCTGCAATGATAAAAAAAACTTTAAAGAAAGAGAAATCAGGTCTGGTCTTCTAAAGCATCATATTCATAATAAAGTCTATAATAGCATACTCATAATTTATAGCCTCAATTAAAGATAGATTCAATTCTAGTTTCACTCCTTAAAATATAATTAAAAGGTAAGCCCTTAGTTTTTGAATTGCAATTTTTCTTAGTTTGCAAAAGATGGATAAATCATCATCAGAATCTGATTAAGCCTTTTTTATGTAATTTTATAAATAATTAATAACCTTTTTAAATCCGAATGGAACATAAGACTTCAAAATTCTTCAAATTATTGATTCTGGAAGAAAATCTTCTTATTTCAATTCTTTAATATGATTTAAATATTTATTTTATAATCCATTTTTCTTAGAATACTTAATAATTTTTTTAAAGTTTTTATCTAAAATATAAATAATTGTCATTTAAATTATAAGTAGCTTTTATTTTTTTTCTAATTGCTTAATCTATTAGCAATTTTTTAATTCCTGGACCAGCCCAGACATTCTTTTTCCAGTTATTTAATTAATTAGATAAAATAATTAATGATTTTAAACTTACCCAAAAGTATATGAATATGATTTCAATTGATAAAATGGCTTATAGCCATGAGATGAGTACATAACTCCTTTACCTGCTTTTAAGCTTCCATTCCAAGGCAGTCTTGGGTGCCTAATACTACATTCATTGATAAGGACTCTTGGGCCTTTGATTTTATTAATGAATTCTATAGCTTTACTTTTATCCTTTGAATAAATCCCTGATGCGAATAAATATGGATCATTATTAAATCTGCTTAATGCCTGGTCAAGCACAGGTAGCAACCCTACACCCCCACCCCCCCTTAATATAGTATAGATATATCACAAATGCTAATTTAGAGCAGGCGTAATAAATAAATTATTATTTTAGATATTAAAAATTACTGATTTATACAATATCATATAGCGTAGCGCAATCGATTAAGGAGTAGTGAAAATTTTCCTATAACTACTAAGAACCCCACATCTAGAGAAATTTGCTGACAAGCATAATGATCTTTGGTATTAATTAGCAGTATATCCTGTATATATTTATGAACTTTGTGGAACAATGGCTAAAGAGACATTTAGAGATCTAAAAGTAAAACTGACAATAGCAAATACTATTTTTATTAGCACATTGCTTTTCAAATGAAAGAGATGCTCTATATAAGTTAGGCAGTAGAGAATAAGATATGGAATGCTATAAATAAGCTATCAGAGTTGATCCAAATTATGCTGATGCATACAATAGCATAGGAGTTATCTTCTATAAAGAAAAGAGTTATGAAAAAACACTAAAACATTGTAACGATGCAATTAAAAAATCCAAACTGTGGAGATTATTATTATTATTTATTATTATAATAATAAAGGAAATGCTCTTACTCCCCCCCTCTTTAAATTGGAACAAAATATAGGTAAAATTTCCACTTTTTTGGTAAATTAACCCCCTTTAAATTGGAACAAAATTTAATTTTATAATAAAAAATTATAATAATTTTTATGTAAAAGGTTTTGATATAAGTTAAATGTTTCTTCTTAACTAAAATCAAAAATTTCGTTATATCTTGTTCTTGTTTAAAGAAGAGAGTATAAAGATCATCTTATTTAAATAAATTTATTATCCTTAATTGCTAAATTTAAAAAAAAATTAATTGTTTTTTTAAAAATTTTTCAAAACAATTTTTATTCTTTTTTGATAAAAATGATATTTTTTTATTTAAATAGTTTTTGATATAAATTCAATAGGAATTCATTATAAATTTAAAATTTTACTAATTTCTTGCTTTATTTTAAAGAATAGAGTATAAATAGCATATTATTTAAACAAAATTAGCACTTTGATCGATAAATTTTCTAAAATTTTTTTGTTTTTAAATTGTTTTTTATCAATAAAAATAATAATTTTTGTGTAAATAATTTTGATACCAATTAATAGTGGCGTATTAACTAATAATGAAAATTTAGTTATATCTTGCTTTGTTTTAAAAGATAAAGAGTAAATAGCATTTATTAAACAAATTTATTAATCTAATTCGATAAGTTTTTGAATTTTTATATAATTTTTTTTTATTGATATTTTTTTTAAAAAAAAAAATTAACCCCCCTTTAAATTGGAACAAAATTTTTTGTTCCAATTTAAATGGGGGGAGTTAGATAGTTAGGAAGAAGAGAAGAAGTTTTGGAATGCTATAAAAAACAATCAAAAAGAATAATGGCAACTCAAGATGTGATATAGGCATGGTATGTAAGAAAATATGAATATAATTAATACTTGAATTCGCAAAAATTTTATTTTATGAATTAATTACTTTTAAACCTACTATTTAAGCTAATTATCCATCTTCTGCATATCCTGCATTAGCTCATATTACATCCATCTTGAAGTTACCTACACTGTATTCATCTTCGCTGCACTCTGTAGTTATTGTATTGTGCTTGATTCATTTAATAATTACTGACATTATCAATATCTTTGGCATTGTATTTATAAATATAAAAAACAAATTTAATATATTTCCTAATTAATTTTTAATTAATTTGAGTTTATTAATTAATCGCAATTATTAAAGCAATTTATAGACTTCATTTATCAATATAGCGCTTTAATTGGGATTATATTTAAAATATATTCTTTTTGAGGGGGGTGGGGGGGGGGGGGGGGGTGGGGTGGGGTGGGGGTGTGGGGGTGGGGGTGGGGGTGGGGGTGGGGGTGGGGGTGGGGGTGGGGGTGGGGGTGGGGGTGGGGGTGGGGGTGGGGGGGGGTGGGGGTGGGGTGGGGGTGGGGGCGGGGGTGGGGGTTCCCTTATTGGGGGGGTGGGGATGTAGGGTTGCTACCTATGCTTGACCAAATGCCTCTTCATCTGACTCAACTGGCGAAATAGCTAAAACAGGCCCGATGAACTCCCCAATAAACAGGCTATCATGATCATCAAGATCTGTAATAATTGTAGGCTCATAAAATCTACCATTTCCAGTTTCATCATTTGTAGGGCTGCCTCCACATATTACCTCTGAGCTGTTTGCCACAGCTTGCTGGATCATATTCTGCAAAAATTCCATATTATCTGGGTCAGCCATAGGGCCTAAGGTTGTCATTTCGTCCATTGGATCCCCCATTGTTAGACTCATTATTTGAGCTTGTGCTCTCTCTATAAAATCATCATGCACTGACCTATGAATTAATAATTTTTTAAAATTGAAGCAAGATTGTCCAGCATTTTCCATTGCCTTTTTCCCTATTTCTGCTGCACATTTATCTAAATCTGCTTCAGCGGAAATATATATCATATTATCTCCTGATAAGAATAATCCAATGTCAATCATATTTTTTTCAGCAAGAGACTTATAAATCTCTTTTCCAGACTCTACTTTTCCTGTAAAGTGAACATATGACAGCTTAGGTGATCCAAAAAATTCAGGAATTTCATTAATTTGTAGCATAAGGTCTTTAACTAAATAATCTGCTCCTGCATGTTTAAAAGCTTCATGGAACCTGGTTCCGCACAAAGGAGAATATACGGAGTGCTTTAGTATAGCAGTATTTCCACTCAAAATAGCTGGCACCAGTCCTGACGCAATCGACATCAATGGATACGTATAATCAGACAAAATCAGCACAGGCCCAATAGGAATCTTGGTGATCTTTTTATAGGAGTTTTCAGTATCTTCAATAACTTCATCACTTAGAGCATCTCTTGCTAAACTTTTTAATTCATTAGAAAAGACGATCATATTGTCAACTTCTTGCAAGCTTTGCCTGATAGGCTTTCCCATCTGAGTTGTGATTTCTTTGGCGATTTCTTGCTTATTCTAAGTAGCTCATACTTCTTTAAAATAAAGCAAAGCTTTATCTAGAACAGAAATTCTTTCGTCCAATGATGTGAGCTTCCATGTCTTGAAAAAGTCATTGGATTTATTGATAAATTCGTAGGACTCTTCTAAAGTTGTATATGGGATTTCTGCAACTGTCTAGATAAAAGGTACTTGAAAGGTATAGGGATTTTCGACCTTCAGGAGAGTGGAGGCAAATCGACGGGGAAGCCTCAGCATATTTTTATAAAAAGGGCCGTTCCGGGAATCGAACCCGGGACCTCTCGCACCCAAAGCGAGAATCATACCACTAGACCAAACAGCCTCATGGTTTTCCAAGATAGATCTGGATTATATTGAGAACTCTCTATTAATGAAAATTCTTTTAAAAATAAAATAAGATCAAGTCTTTTTATCTTCATAAAGAATTAAGTATCATAGCTATCTTTGTGTCTTTACTGAAATCAATTTGATTTAGCTTGAAAATGATAAGAAAAAGAAGAGAAAATAGATAATCCATATTTTAGAACATTTTAGCGGGAAATGGATGCGCAGAGTAAATTTCGTTCAAAAACCCAAGATATCTTTGAAAGCAACATGGAATGAAGACTGATTAATGATGGCCCACCCAGGGTAGGCTATCTTTTTAACATGAAAACTCACAAAGTTGTTGATGAAAACAGAAAAGAGCATGCTGCAGTTCTCCTTTATTTTTCTGAAGAATCAGGGCAAATCTTTAAAGTAATTCTCCGCTACGAACCTTATTTTTATGTCCTGGCCAAAGAAGAGTTTAAAACAGAAGTTTTTGGAGCAATTTCTCGGCAATTTTCAGGATTTTTAAGCAGAATTGAAATGGTGGATAAATATGATTTAGATCAGCCGAACCATCTTTCAGGCATAACAAATTCCTATATAAAACTCTATTTCCGAAACATCCAAGATCTAGTAACAGTGAGAGGAAGAATTAAACAAAAAATGCACCCAGGCCGAACATTAGATAAGTCTCAGTACCAAGATTTCTTAGAAGCTATAGAAGACACAAGAGAACATGATGTGATTTATTATACTCGTGTAGCAATTGATCTAGAAATCCGCTGCGGATTATGGTATCAAATCACTTTTCGCAACGGAGTCCCAGTGCTTAAATCTTTGACTGATAAACTTGCCAATCCAGGCCTCAGGGTCCTTGCCTTTGATTTAGAAACTTACAAGAAACCATTAAAATTTCCTGACTCTGAAACTGATCCAATAATGATGGTTTCCTATATGATTGATGGATTAGGATTTTTAATAATAAACAGAGAAATTCTATCTCAAGATGTAGAAGACTTCGAATACACACCTAGACCAGAATATGAAGGAAAGTTCTCCATTTTCAATGAACCGACTGAAGGCGCTATGATCAAAAGATTCTTTGAGCATATACGTGAAACAAAACCAGTGATTTTTGTGACTTATAATGGTGATTTCTTTGATTGGCCTTATTTGGAAAAAAGAGCTATGAAAAACGGGATGAATATGGAGAACGAAATAGGGATTTTTAATGAAGGAGAGGAATATAAAGGGAGACTAGCTGTGCATATGGATTGCTTGTACTGGGTCAAAAGAGATGCATATTTACCTCAAGGGTCACATGGGCTGAAAAAGGTCACCAAAGCAAAGCTTGGATATGACCCTGTAGAACTAGACCCTGAAGAAATGGTGAATTATGCTCGAGTTAATCCTCAAGGACTGTGCTCTTACTCTTGCTCTGATGCAGTGGCTACATATTACCTTTATAAAAAAATGATCCACGACTTCATTTTTGCCTTATGTACCATTATTCCATTATATCCTGATGATGTGCTACGAAAAGGCTCAGGAACTCTTTGTGAAGATTTGCTTATGGCCCAAGCCTATTCCCGAAATATAATTTTCCCGAACAAAATCAGCGAAGAAGCTGAAAAATTCTATCAAGGAAATCTAATAGAATCGGAAACTTATATAGGTGGCCATGTTGAGTGCATAGAGGTTGGTGTTTATCGTAATGATATCCCAGTCAAATTTAAGCTGAGTCCACAAATATACCAAAAGCTAATCAATGAAGTGGATGATGCCATAAGTTTCTGTGCAAGTATTGAACAAAAAATTGATCCAAGCGAAGTAGCAAATCGTGATGAAGTCCGTGAGGCGATTCAGAAGATTTTGGCAGGATTTAGAGACTCCCCTCATAAAGAAGCAAAGCCTCTAATATACCATTTAGATGTAGGAGCTATGTATCCGAATATTATTTTATCAAATCGTTTACAGCCAACTGCTGTGGTAAATGAAAAAGTTTGTGCATCATGCTTATATAATCGCCCAGAAAATAATTGTAAAAGGAAACTTGAATGGGAGTGGCGTGGAGAGGTATTTCCTTTGAAGAAAGGTGAATATGAAGGCGTTAAAGCTCAGCTTGAGCAAGAAGTTTTTAATGGCGTTCCATTTTCTTTGATGCCTCCAGAACAGCAAATGACCCAAATAAAAGAAAGAGTCAAAGAATACTGCAAGCGTGCATATAACTCAATCCATACCACAAAAATTGAGACGAAACAAGACACAGTCTGCATGAGGGAAAATTCTTTTTATGTTGATACAGTTAGAGCTTTCAGGGACAGAAGATATACTTATAAAGGGCTCGTAAAAAAAGAAGCTGGATGCGTCAAAGATGCAGAAAACAGAAAAGACCCAGTAGGAGCAAAAGAAGCAGAAGAAAGAATGAACTTATATGAAAGCTTGCAGCTGGCTCACAAAATCATTTTAAACTCTTTCTACGGATATGTCATGAGGAAAGGTGCCAGATGGTACTCCATGGAAATGGCAGGGATGGTCACACATATGGGTGCAAATATCATTACTATGGCAAGAGAGCTTGTAGAACAAATCGGCAAACCTTTAGAGCTCGACACTGATGGCATTTGGTGCTTACTCCCTGAAGGATTTCCTGAAAACTACACCCTGGTCTCTAAAAGTGGCAGAAAAATGTTTATGTCTTACCCTTGCACTATGCTTAATTTCTTGATTTATGATTCATTCAAAAACACACAATACCAAACTCTAAATGAAGATGGCTCTTATGATACCCACACAGAAATGTCAGTATTTTTCGAAATTGATGGCCCTTATAGAGCAATGATTTTGCCAGCATCCACTGAAGAAGGGAGAATGCTTAAAAAAAGATACGCTGTTTTCAACATGAGCGGGAAATTGCATGAAATTAAAGGCTTTGAGCTAAAAAGAAGAGGAGAACTAAAATTGATCAAAGTTTTTCAAGAAGAAATTTTTGATAGGTTTTTGACTGGCAGCACATTAGAAGAGTGCTATAAAGCTGCTGGAGAGGTTGCTGATAGATGGTGGGATATTTTAGAATATCAAGGCGCTGGGATAATGGCTGAAGAACTTATTGAATATTTGTGCGAAAATAGAACGCTGAGTAAGTCAGTAACTGAATATGGTGCCCAAAAATCAACTGCAATTACAACAGCCAGAAGACTTGCAGAAATTTTAGGGGATGAAATAACCAAAGATAAAGGACTAAACTGCAAGATGATAATATCCAAAAAGCCTGAAGGAGCTCCGGTTACTGAAAGAGCTGTTCCTGCAGTGGTTTTTTCATTACTCCCCCCCCCCTCCGTGAGCGCGAACAAAACCATTAGAAAAATCGCCATTTTTTGCCCAAAAACCCACCCTCCGTGAGTGAACAAAAATTTTTTAATAGAAAAAATTTTAATGGAAAAAAAATTTTGATATATATAAGTGATAATTAGTATAATGAAATCTAGAGCTAATTCTGTTTAATTTTAAACAAATTGCGTTTTTTAAAACATAAATTTTGCAAATTAAATTAATATTTGCTTCCCAATTTTTGCAAATTAGGGATTTTTTTTAAATTTCGAAAAAAATATTTTTTATAAAAATTTATATATAAATTTTTTTTAAAAAAAAAAATTAACCCCCCTCTGTGAGCGAACAAAATTTTTTTGTTCGCTCACGGGAGGGGGGGGGGGGGAGTTAGAAACTGAAGTAAAAGAAAAATTTTTGAAATTGTGAACTAAAGACAATTCTATCAAAGATTTTACGTTGCAAAATGTTATTGATTGGGATTATTATAAAGAGCGCTTGGGCGGGACAATTCAAAAAATCTTATCAATCACAGCCATTCTTCAAAAGGTGTCGAATCCAGTCCCTAGAGTTCCGCTTCCAGATTGGCTTGGCAAACGCACGAGAGATCTTGATCACAATTTTAAGCAAAAGTCAATTGACTCTATTTTCAAACCACAAGCTTTCCAGCCTCCAAAAGTCCCAGATATTGAAGATATGCCAGTCCGCAAGCCAGAAACCATCCCTATATTGCATGACATGACAAACTGCCCTAGTTTTTTTCTAGACTTTCCAAATTGGCTTTCATATTCTCAAAGCTCCTGGAAGCAACGGCGAAAGCACAATCTAGCTTTAAAAAAGCTGAGACGAGAAGGTAAAGTTCAAGAAGCCCCACGAAGCATTTCTACTTATCTAAAAAATAAGGATTCTTCATTGCTTTACAGTCTATGGCATGTTATTGGGATTCATCATGTGCAAAATGGGATGTTTAAGCTATGGGTATATACAGAATTTCAAGATTTACACTGCTTGACTCTAGAAGTTAAAAGAAAAATTTATATAAATAGCTCGGTAGAAAGAGAAAACCCAAACTTTAAATCTGTAAAAATGACACTCCCTCATAATAAAACTTGCAATTACTTATATGAGTATGAAATGAGTGAAGCAGATTTTCAGGATAAATTTTTTGTGATAAGCAACGCACTTGCGGATCCGCAGATTGAAGGGGTTTATGAGACAAAAATTCCAATTGAAATTTTGGCGATAATTAAACTTGGATGTATATTAAAGCCAAAAATAGATGGACTTGAGAATATTTTGGAGGATAAAGGCAACTTGCTAGGACATGTATTTAGAATTGAGGATTTTGAGGTTAGAACAGATGCTGGATATTTGAAAGATATGTCAAATTTGACGAAATTTTATTTGCTTCACGTTCAGGCCGGTGTTAGAGGAATATGAATGCTGTTTTCTCCAGCGAAATCCATGGTTTTTGTGTATATAATAATGCCAGGCCACAATCCAGATAAGCCATCAATGCAGCGACTGGTAAAAGAATGTTTAGATTCGCAAGAGTGGGTGTGTGAAACCCTATACCCTAAAAATCAAGACCAAGCTTTCAGGTTGATTGATAAAACCCTTCTACAAGAAAAAAGTGGCCCATCATTAGTTCTTTTTTCTTCTGCTTCAATTACTATTGATTTTCTATTAAAGCATGGCATGGCATCTTTTGAAAAAGATTTCCCAGTCATAAATGTTTTATCTCCTCAATACTCACTTCCAGCTCTTGATTGGCAAAAAATAGGTATCCAGCACCTCTGTCAGCTATTTCAAGCTATTCCTATGTGGTTTGAAAATCAACTTGGCTTTTCTCGATATTCATGTGTCCCTATAGGAAATTTACCTCAAGACCCAAGCTTATTCTTATGTGATCTTTTATTTGCAAGATCACTAAAAAATTCGCAGCACATTCTATGGTGAAGCAACGAAAACTCTGCAGATTTTGGTGGCGAGGACGATTCAGGCTCATTAATAGAAGATAAAGACTTTTTCTGTACTGAAGTGTGTGTCCCTGGCTTATACTCTGACATCTCTGTTGAGCTTGACTTAGGAGTTCTCCCCACAAATGCTATTCTCTGCTATAAGCATTTATTTGTGGGTGAATTAATCGAAGATAATCCCAACGATGAAAAAGTCGTGTGCTTAAATTCTTTCCGGAAAATCAGGTCACTTATAAATACCTGGGTCGACGATGTGAAACAGTATAAAAACCCATATGCTGACAAACTAGTTATGCATAGCTATAGATGAATTGCAAGCAAAGGCTCAGGTATGTATGATCCTTTGCTGCATTTAACAATTCATAAACTTGTTGATCAGCTTTTCAAACATTTGCTGGCAGAGCTACAAAAGTTGGGAGCAAAAATAATTTTTGCACATTCAGATAAAATTATATTGGGGACTGGAAGATATAATCTAGCTGATGCACAGAACTATTGCACATTTTTAGTGAAATCTTTGACAGCTTCTCCATCCTTTGCGTACTTATCTTTAGAAGCTACAAGATTTTGGCAGATTTTCTTCTTTAAAGATAATTTTAATTATGCAGGGATACCCATATCAGTTCAGGAAAAACAAATCAGAATAGCCTCACATTGGCATCTACTTGAAATGTTCCCTGAAGATTTTTCTAAGCTTGCTTTAGTCATTATCGCTCAAATGCTGCATGAAAGCTACACGTTCTTGTCAGAAAATTATGAATCTGATACAATAAGATCACAGCTCATAGAATTTTTGAAGCATTTATTAGCAAATCAAATTTCACCCAAATTATTTGAAACGATTCATAATATGCAAGTGCAAGACACTCTTGCGTTTCCGAAAAAGGTTGGAGCAATATTCACTACACAAAATGCTGGGCTAGAATTTGTAAAAGTCATTGCACATTTATTGTCATTGGAGCCAGACTTGAGTGATACAATTTTGACTTTGAGAAAAATTTATTAGCTTCTCGTGAGCGAACGAAAAAATTTTTATTTGTTACGTACAGAGGGGTTATTTTTTTAAATGCCATATATAAATTTTTATAGTAAAAATTTTTTTTATTTTCCAAGTTGCAAAAATTTTGGAAAGCAAAAATTAATTTATTAAGATTACTAAATTATAGTGATTTTGCACCTGAAGCAGACTATACAGAACCTTGTATGTCGTTAATTTTGCCTGAAATTATATGTCCTAATTGTGTATATACAAGTTATAGGTTAAGTGTTATAAGGCTATAAGCGGATAACCACTAGCCTAACTATCTGTCGTTAGCCCAAATATCTACGATTAGCTTCCTAAACTAGAGCCCCTCTCTTTTGGGTTCCCTGATAGTCCTGATGGGCAGAGATTAAGTGGGAGGCTAAGCTGTCTAGCCCACCTGGTACATTCGGAGTAGAAATAGAATTTCCCAATTCGGAAGGAAAGAAATAAAATGATGATGTCAACGGAAGATGGACTCTGAGACACTTCCGATGGAGTATACAGGACCCGTCCCGATAAAGCTGAAAATAATGCCTCTGCCACTTTTGAAGTAGGCTTGGGTTTGAGATCCCCAAAGGTTTTCCCCTGACCCTGCTAGAGGCTTTGCCTCCCACTTAGTCTTTGCTTATCAGGACTAACTGGGCATCCGCAAGAGATGGCTCTAGCCTAGGGAGCTAATCCTTAAGTTAGGTATAATTTATGGTTATATAATGGGTCATTGTGCCAGAATAGAGGGAAATTATCCATGTGGGTTTTTTGTTTAGAGGAAATTTCACTATATCTCTCTGAGTTGGTGAAGCTTATGCAGCAATGGCATCTGCAGTATCTGTGATTAATAGAATTGAAATTGAAGATGTGAAGAAGATTTCGGAGATCGTGGAGAGAATATGTTAGAATTTGAATTGTCAAATCAGAATCGGGTTTAAATCAGAAAATATCAGACTGAAAGGTCTTATAGCCATATTTTAATTTTTAGCTTTAGTTAGTTTAGATTAGGCTAGGTTAGGTGGGTTTAGCCAGATAGGGAGGCTAGTAGTTTATCCGTTTATGGCCTTAAAATTTTTAACTTTAATTACTTCTGAAAGTATCCCAAAACCCATATACCTACTTCAAAAAGCAACAGGGGACTATTTTCAGATCCATTGGAATGGGCTCTGCCTGCTCCATAGGAGCCCCAGAGTCCTTCTTAATAAACGTCACCATTTATTTCATCGTATATACAAGGGATATTGATTTGTGTAGAGACCCTATGATAAGTCAAGGAATATGGAAATGCTACCTTTGCGATAATGAATTTGATAAAGAGCATTTTGAGTTAAAACTAGTTGAACTTTTGCAAAATAAAATGAAGGACTATCAAAATCAAGACCTGCAGTGTGTGAAATGCAAGATGAATAAAGGGAATTTGCTCTCAAGGCATTGCTTATGTTCGGGGATTTATAAGCCTACAAGAGATGCTGAATCTTTTATGAAGTTCTTGACGACTGTTAATGAGCTTTCCGCTTTTCATGAGTTTACGTATTTGTGTGATTTGATTGGACCAATTGTTAATTCATTTAATTAAGATAATTTTATAAATAGCTATTATTAAGCTTATTTTTATTAGAAAATGCCTTGTTGCATATCTCAAAATAAGACCAAACAGCTTAAGTCATATTTAGCAAAAATAATAAATAATGGAAATATTAAATAATAATTTAGCCCAATCTGATACGGATGAGATTGATTATAGTTTTTGGGATATGGGGCTAAAAGAAGACATTTTAAAAGGTATCTTTGCTGTTGGCCTCGAAAACCCTAGTGCTGTTCAACAAAGGGCTATTAAAGTAATTTCCAGAGGTAGCGATATAATGATTCAATCTTGAAGCGGAAGCGGAAAGTCTACAGCATTTATTATTGGAATGCTGCAATCAATAAATCTAGACACCAATGAGCTGCAGGCAATAATTTTGGAACCTACCAGAGAAATGGCTAAAGCACTATATACACAAATAGTTAAGATTGGGGAATATTTAAATGTCAAAGCGCACGCTATTTTTGGAGGCATTAATTTCGCTGAGAGTAAAAGAGTGCTAACTCTCCATCAATGAGCAAACAAAAGTAGAAGGGAAAAAATCCTATTGTTTGAGGAAAACAATCTGAGAGCGAGGGAAAAATTTTTTATGAAAAAAAATTTAATAAATAAGTGATAATTATTATAATGAAATTTCAAGCTAACTTTACTCAATTTTAAAAAGCTTGTATTATAAACATATTTTACAAATTAAATTAAATCATTCTGAGAATTGGATGTATATAAATTTTTTTCAAAAAAAACTCCATCAGCGAGCAAAATATTTTTGCAGGCTCACGGAGGGAGGGGTAAGGAATAGTATTCATGTAATAGTTGGTACCCCAGGAAGAACCCATGATTACATTAAAAAGGGCGTTATTTCTGCAGCTAGAATTAAAATTTTTATTATAGATGAAGCTGATGAGATACTGGGAAGAGGATTTAAAGACCAAGTACTTGAAATCTTCCAATTTTTGCCTAAAAACTTTCAAGTTTGTTTCTCTTCTTCAACTATGCCAGTAGATGTCTCTGAAATGGTAGAAATATTCATGAAAAATCCAGTAAGAATAAAATTAATAGCCAAAGAATTAACTTTGGAAGGAGTTAAGCAATATTATATTCAAGCCGAAGGCGAAGCTAAATTGTCTATTCTTTTGGATCTTTTAGATTCTATTGAGATATGTCAAGTTATTATTTTTTGTCACAAAAAAGAGACAGTAGAAGCATTAGTTCAAGCTTTTCAAGGTAATAAGTCCTTCACCCTCTTGAGCGAATAAAAAAATTGAAAATATTCCTATTTTTTGGGTAAAAACCTACTTTCCATGAGCGAACAAATATATAAATGTTTTTAAAAAAAAAATTTGAGATATAAGTGATAATTAGTTTAATAAGATTGGAATTTTTTAAATTTCGAAAAAAAACTACAATAAAATTTAGATAAATTTTTTAAAAAAAAAATTAACCTCCCTCGAGTGAACAAAATTTTTCGTTCACTCGCGGAGGGGGCAGTAATTACAGTGTATCGTTTATCCATAATGACATGAATCTAAATCAGCAGGAAAAAGCTATGAGAGATTTCAGAACTGGATCTACTAGAATTCTGATCGTGACTGATTTAACGAGACGTCTTATTGATCTTCACCAAAGTTTTATTATACATTATGATTTTCCATTGAATTATGAGAATTATATTACAAGAGTTGGTGGCAAATCAGGGATTTATGGCCGCAAAGTGCTTTCAATTGGCTTTATAAATCAAAGCGAGTTTCAATTTTTAAAAGACCTGGAGAGTCATTTCTCAACTATCATTGAAGAATTGCCTAATGATATTTCTAACTTATTATATAGGGCCTTCCTATAGATGGCGCGCAATGCGCCATCACCGAGCCATGTCGGGAGAGGGTTCCACACGAGGAATGGTTCTACGTGTGAACCCTCTTTTTGACCTGTGAGAAAACTACTTTCCACGAGCCAAAAAGAGGGTTCCACACGTAGAACCATTCCTCATGTGGAACCCTCTCCCGACATGGCCCGGTGATGGCGCATTGCGCGCCATCTATAGGAAGGCCCTATAAAAACATCCATATGCAATTATCAAGTTTATTATTTATTGCTTAATTTTATTTAACTAAGACAACTCCAACAGATCTTTTTGCATATCTTAAAGATTATTATTTTTAATAGGAATATAAATTAAATTTATAGAAATATCAAGCAATTTCATAATAATTATCAAATATATATGATTTAAAAGTTTTTTATATTAAAAAATGATGGAAAGTGGCTTTTGCTCAAAAATAGGGATTTCTCCAATAGCTTTGCTCGCTCATGGATAAGGGAGAGCTAAAATCTATAAAAATTAGAAAATGCAATTTAAATCTCAAGAAATTCTTGATTAATAAAGGCGGTATATATAAAAAATGGATATGTTTGCTAACGAGCAATACTCTCCTAGAAAGCGAAACATGACTTTCCCCCTAAATCAACAAGAAGTCATTCAAAGCCAAAAAGAATCGACCGAATTCCTTCTGAATAAAATAAAGCAAGACTTATCACTGTCAGACAAAGCAATCAAAGACTTCAAGCAGCTAATTGATTCACACTATTCTAGTCAAAATGATAAAGAAATAATCTACCAAGACGCTTCTTTAATTCATACTCTTAAAGCTTTTTTCTCTGTCCGAGGAATCAAGTCTTTTTCAGAAGAAAAGTTAAAAGAATGCATTAGATCATATGTCACTCATAAGATTGACCTGGAAAAAAAGCAATGCTATCGGCATAGTGATCAATATTTCTCCCCGAAAAAACTCTCAGACCACCTAGATGAGTCATCGGAAAATGAAATAGATGATTTAATGAACAAAATCCAAAATAATAGCTTTAATGCAGAAATAAGTGAAGATTGGAAGTTCAGTGACGAAAAAAATAGCTTTGAGATTGCAGAAAATGAAGAAACCTTTACGGAATTCAATAGAAACTGCTTGATCTCTATTTTAAAAACTCAGCTGAACTCAAGGGACTCAGAGCTGAGAAATGTAAAAAAGGCATATGAAAATGAAATTAAAAAGAAGGAAAATGAAGTTAATGAGTTGAGAATGAAGCTGGAGGAAACTGAAAAGAAGATAAAAAGTGGAAATTTCGTTGATTTGCTAAATATTCAAGACGAAATAAGGCTTAATGAAAGATCATCAATTGAAAAAATGCTTAAACAAGAAGGGGAGTTAAAAAGCTTGCAAATTGAACTAAAAATTGTGCATAAATAAAATGGCCTTTTGGTCCAAGCATTGACTCCGGCAGTGCAGCCTCGAACGATTTATTTATATTCGGCAATGTTTCCCAAACCCATAAATGAGCAGCAATTCTAGCTAAGCAATTCTGGTAATGCACAGAGCATAGCCCTAGTCCGCTTTCAAGATTGGATTTTACCTCGAGGGGAAAGGTTGGCTCAGGGTTGGAAAGGGAAAACCTAACAGCGTCTACAGGCAATATCTAGACCATTCGGGCAACTTCCTAGTATGAAGCTGGGAGTCACGCCCCAGGCTTGAATTTTTCCTTTTTTGCATACAGTTGGCAGAAAATCAATTTTTTGGGATTTTGCTGCAGAAGTCTATAGTCTATCCACTCGACACTGCAAGGAGGAGACGGAGACATAGAATTCTATTTCGCAGGTGCCAGCATCAGTCGGTGAAGAAGAGGAAAGGTGGACCATGGCACTCGTCTCACCAGATAATTCAAAATCCCAACTTAAAATGTTCTCCTTGTCGGCGTTGAAAAGATTGTGAAGGGCTCCTTGGTAACTGCTTACCAATAGTCGAGCATTAAAAACCTCTAATTTATGTTTAAGAACTAAAAAATGTGCAAAACGAATTAGATGCCAAGATAAAATTGCTCCAAAACAATGCAATTGATATTTCAAGTTTGACTGATAATGCTAAAATGGAAAAAAATCTGAGTGATAATTTGGATTCAAAAAATGAAATAAGATTAAAAGGAGCAGAAAATAGTAGATTAAAAGAAGAAATCAATAGACTTTTAGGAGATAAGGAGAGGCTTTTCAAACAAATAAATTGCATGTATAGGAACATTGAAGCCATGAAAGATTGCTTGGATTCACATGTGAAATTTTTCAAAGAAAGAGACGAGATTAGAGATAGGATATTAAACCAAGCAATTTATAAGCAGCATCAAAATGCAAAAGAAGAAATTAAAAGAAACTATCTTATAGAAACAAATATTTTATTGCCGAAAAGAGAGAGGGATTATGGTTTTTCATTTTGGACCTTGCTTATATCTATCGCAATGACTCTTTTTTATTCGTTATATTACAGCTTTGTTCTAAACGAAATCCAATAAGCGCTATAGAAATCGCTTTTATTATGTATTTAATGCTTTTGTTTTAATATTAAATCTATTATGTATAATTTATAAAGATTTATCAACTCATTTATCGAATAAATTACTTAAATTAATGTTTTTTATATAGAATCCAATTTTTAGAGCATTAAATCTTATTTATTGGGATTCTAGATTTTGGTTTTCATTAATAGGATCAAACCCTCCTCCCTCCTGAAGCTTCTTGAAGGACTGGACTAGAACTTGGTGCCAATGTATTGCCTTTACGTAAAAAAATCCTAGCACAAATCCACTTATGGTGAACGATAAAATGATCCAAGCAATTGCATAAGACTCCCCGTTTCCATAAACGCTGTCCCAATGGGCTTTATAATCATCATATCTGATAACTGAAGAATAGAGTAAAGCAACCAAAAATATAATCGAGAATCCTAGCAATGCATTTGCGTATTTCTTAGAAGTCCCTTTTGATGCAACCTTTAAGACCTTCAGGCCAGTTATCCCCATCAGAATTCCCAAAACTGAAACTCCTAATGCAAGACCCCAGTCTATTAATTTCCATGCATCAGTCCAGTCGAGTTCCTCTGGTAAAAATATTTTGATGATGTTTAGAAGCAGCATCACTGAAAAAAAGCCGCATAGGAAATAAGAAAAGAGTCGAATAATGCGGATTGAGCTATGGACGTGCAGATCATAGATTTTTTTGGTTATTCCTTCACTTTCTTTAAAGCTGTAATAACTCACTGTCACGCCTGAGCTTATATTGAACATTTATAAGGCTGATTAATTTTAATAAGTTAGCATAAGATAAATAAAGACTATAGATGGAGGATTATAATCAACAAAAATTCTGTCCTTTAGACAAATAAAAAAATATATTACTATATAATGATTATTGAAATAATTAGATTGTATAATAATTCTAAAAAATTCAAAAGATTTAATTAATTCAATATAAATTTTAATTAAGAAACCATGGCTGATTAATCTTTCTCTTATATTCTTCTATTCTACTCTTTAGCTCGAGATTTGGAATTAAATCATTCACTGAGATTGGCTTAAAATGCTTAGGATCTCTTCCTGTAGTTTTAATCACTTTTATTATTTCTTCTTTTTCGTATGTTATTCCAGTTATATGAACTTTTACAGGATTTTCCATAATTTTCTTAGTAATTGGATCAAGAAATTCAATAGGAGCCCCTTGGCTAATCAAATTATTTGGTAGTAAGTTTTTTATCATTTCTTTAATAGACTTCGATGCATATAATCTTGTGTATTCCTTAGCCCTTTCATTATAATTTAGAATGTTATCTCTATACACTGCAGCTTTGTTTGCATCTAAAGGATCTAAAGGCTCAGGAATCATAAGTAGACCATAAATGCAGCTTAATAGTTGTTTAATATGAGTATCAACAGTATAAAACTGGTCTAAAATGGAATGACAAATCGGCTCCATGTCAAATGGCAGTGTATTTTTGATATGTACATATTTCATCGAAGTGCGTTTGTTCGAAAATTTTAAATAGTCTGACATTTGAGCGAAATTTAACTTTTTTCTCACAGCTAAAAGTTTCAATCAATTTTCGACCAAATGTACTTGGGTGAAAGCTCGCTATCAAAAGTGCACGATCATTGGGCCTGCACCTTGACAAATCCTACCATTCTCATTAACATTGCAGTGATAAATTGGGGTAATAAATCTTATCTCAGGACACTTAAAGGGGTAATTTTTTCCAAATCTTAAATAGAGATGAAAGGTGCCATTTTGATAGGGGGTTAATTTGGGACCTTTTATAAAAATATTCCAAAATGTGTCATCCTGCTCACATGGGAATACAAATATATATTTATGAGGGTTTTCATTTAGAATATGCAATTCTTTCATTATCCTTTTATATCTGCTTGCTGTTGAAGTATTTTGCCAAACTGGACAAGAAACAGAAACTCTATCAATGGTTCTTTGAGAGCTCTCTAGACTGAGATCTATTTGGTAAGGCTTTTTCATAATGGGAGCTTTTGATGAAAAGTTTTGCACTTTTAATTCTTCAAAGCGTTGAGAGTTTAATTCGAGTTTTGAAGATACATTTTCTCTGCATTTTACTGATAAAAATGTTTCTGATTCAAACAGCTTTATTCCTTCTTGATGACTACTTGGTAGAAAAATATATCCTCCAGTAGCCAAACAAAGAGCTTTTAATTCATTTGATAACTCTCCAACTACAACTGCATCAGCTATTATTTTATTGCTAATGAGTAGCTTGGCAGTTTCCAGTGGTTTATTTTGAGAGCAAGTATCTTCACCATCACTCAGACAAAGAATTCTCAACAAAATCTCTGGATATTTCTGCTTTAGAGGTAATAAGGCATTTACTGCAATATGAAAAGAATCCCATAACTTCGTTGTGCCTTTAGGATTTAAAATTTTGGTCTGATTTACAAACGTTATTATATTCTCAGTAAAATTTGAAATTTTTTGTACATCAGAATTAAACACATAAAGTGAAACAATATTTTTCAAATCATAGCCTATTGTCCTATCAGAAAAAGATTCAAAAAATTGCTTTATTGCGTCAACTCTCTTAAATTTATCCTTGCTCCCAAAATACTGATTATCCATTGAAGAACTATTATCAAATAGCACAGCAATCGCCTCTTCTGGTGTCCGCGTAATTAATTCTTTTTGTTCTTCCTCAACGATATTTATTTCCAATTGGCTTGCAAGCTCTGAAACATCAACATCTTCGCATGATTTGTCAATTACATTCATTAGTGTTATTTTATTCGGCTTACATTCTGTAAGTCCAAGATTTACGCAGATATCTTTTGATTTGTTCAATGTGAGATGGTTTTTGAATTCAGAAGATTTCAGAGATAATGGAGCAATGAATTTAAGCAAGGGGTGATTATTTCTTAATTGCGTTCATTGCTTATAGGTTAATTCTGAAGTGAAAGCTTGCAACTGCAATAATACACTATTATTTTTTGGATTAAAAGTACCAATCCACTGATCAGCAGATGTTTTGCTGCTTAAGGAAGCTCTTTTTGTAATATACTTAAAACTATCGTCTATTGCTAGATCTCCAATATTCAAAATTTTCCCTACATTTGGGATTTCTTGATCTAAATTGATGTATTGAATGACACTGTTATAATCATAAAAGCTGCAGTTTCCATCTTGTTTTTTTAATTTCACAGGCTCGCCTATATCATTAAGTGAAAGTGGACATATAGCATTCATAATCTCATATTTTTCTTCACCTGCTACTTGATCTTCCACAGCTCCACTAATTTCAAATAAAACTCCTAAAATTTCTAAAGAATGTTCAAAAAGCTTAGCATCAGAAATATTTATATTGAAAAGATTCTGAGATAAACTTTTGATGAGTAATATGAATCCTTCCTCTAAAGCTATTGAGTTAAGAACGCTCATAGATCTATTCTTTTGCAACTCATATAAAGATTGGATTAATGGAGAGCAATTATTACTTAAGTGCCGAATGCAAGACAATAGTTGCTGATAATTTATTTTTTGCAGTTCTACTTTAGAAAAAGCATACAAAAATGAATGAAGAGTTCTTCTTCCGGCTACAGTTTGTGGGATAGATTGTGCTTGCATTGCTTTGTAAGAGCCTTCGGTATTACCAACTTCATAAATAAAATAATTCAAAATATCTCCTGGCTTTATATAATAGCTACTCAATATTTTATTGTCTTCAAACAGTGAGTCGTTTTTATCTGTTATTTTTAAGTTGAAAGTTGGTATGCTAAGAAGATTATACATTTTCTGCTTCAAATTTAAAAAAGTATTTTTCTTTAAGTTAACCTTTATGGCCCAAGTTTTAGACTCATCCGTATCATGTTTTAAAAAAATTGTATCGTCTCCATCATTATGATTAATTGGAGGTTCTATTTTATGATCAAAATCTGGGATAATAAATCCACATATTTTTTCTTTATCTTTTAGCACCTCGTCACAACTAGTAAAGTGCATTTGGTATAGGGATCCAACTAGGGGATAGCCATTTTCACTATAAAATGCACATATTAAACCAGGATTCTTAGCTTGGTGATAATTAAGGACCATTTTTGACAATTCTAATAATTTTGCCTTATGCTCGATTTTGAATGATATAAAATCTGATGGTCTTGAGGAGTTAAAAATCCTGCATTGGATTGTGTATTTTATAGTTGGAGTTTGTATCTCTGATAAGCTCAATGAGATTTCTGATCCTGGAGAAGAAAGCACAGAAAAGCTGTCTGATGAATCGGATCTCGAATATGATGCCATAGTGTTCCTTTCAAAAGAAACAGAAAAGCTGAGCTCTGATTTTCCTGATAAGGTTGCACGATTTATAATAGTGCTGTAAGTTTTCTCGTCTATGATTTTCACTATTCGGCCATCTCGATCATACATATGCTTGCTTACTGAGAACAGCTGATAATATTAAAATGGCGATACGTGTCAACCTACCCTCTTGGTGCAACAGTCCAGACCTTATGGTCGCAGCGAACTAAGACAGACTCCGAGCCAAGAATCAAGTGTAAGCTCAAGAGACGTGCATCCGGGTAGTTTTTTTGGCTGCTTTCCTCTGGTTCGAAATAGAGGTGCTCATTGGATCCGGGGACACATGCATATTCCTCTGCCGAGAAACTGGGGGTTTCGGCCAGGCCACAGGGAGTAGAATTTTTCCTTTAGTTGTTGAAGGAAGGCACTTCGGCGCTCAACAGACTCCAAGAATCCTTGGAATCAAGCTACTTCAAATCCCCTGTAGCAGAGCCGTAAAATCCATAAGTGGCACTCTCAAGACTGAAATCGCAAGGAGGAGACAGAAGGTACCGGAAGTGGCACCCATTATTGGGAATAGACCCTCTAGGCTAGAGTCGAAAAGGGGTAGAATCTCCTGTACGGGAGGTCTTTGGTGACTGCTTCACCATTATGGCTAACGCCTCTATAATAACCTAAACTAACCTACTGAGAAAAGCTTAAAAGATTTCCTCAAATAGATAAAAATACTTAGCGTCTATTTATTTTGAACTTCTATAATACTGAATTGCCATGAATCGGCATTCGTTTGTCCCGAAATAAGTTTTATGAGCTCGTGATATGTTTTTGGAGCAACAATGCATAGAGTAGTATTTTCAGGAATAGAGATCAATAGATCTATACTATTCTCAGCCATTTTATTTATATTATATCAATTCAATTAATCAACAGTATATTTATTATTTAATTCAAATGGATTTCTGATTTGGATTGAAATGATTCCTTCGACACTTAAATTATGCAAAAAAGGTATACCATTGATTTTTGAGGGAAAAAATAAAAATATGGTAATATCATCCAACAAAATCGAGAAATATCACTAATGAAATCATGCATGAAAATACATTAAGGCATTAGCGATTGTTGCTTATATTAATTTTAAAATTATTCTTCATATTCCTCTCCTGATCCATCCACTCTGCAAATGGCCAAATGCGCTTCATAGCATTTCAAATGGCACGGTTTATTACACACTTTGCATTTATATTCTGTCCGGTTATAGCTTCCGCTGCAATGTGCGCATTTTCTATGATAGTTCATTTTTTCCATAGGCTCTTCGGTCTGAGGCCTATCTTTTCCAGAATTATATCTTATCAAATCCAACCCCAAAGATTTTTTAAATGTATCAAGCCGGTTTCTCTTTGTCTTTTTTAGTCCTGTAAATTGATTATAAATAATGAAAGAGTTTATTATTGCTGCTTGGACTAAAAAATTGAATATAGATTTTCATACCCTACCAGAGAATTTTTCAGTACTTGAGATATACTTATTGAATTCAATGGCCCCGTCTTTGAATTTTTCATATTTTTCTGCCAATTTAGGCCTGCAAAGAGTTTCTGGAGCTCTGTCTGATCTTTGCTTGGTTTTTACTGTATTGCTTACAGATTCCCTATTAGAAATGAAATGCATAGGTCTTTTATCAGTCCATGCACAATACAAAATGTCTCTGCAGGAATAATATTTAGGGATCGAACTTCGCTTAGTTTTGGGGGGTAAGCATCCTTCATTTCTGTCTATTTTTGCAGTAAAATTAATTCCTAAATCATTAAGAATCATTGCAAGTTGAACACTTGAATGGCGCTTGCCGAAATAAAGATGGCAATCTCTGCTTTCCAATCCATCAACTAAATTTAAAATGGTGTTTTTTCCTAAATTATTTTCAATTTCTGTATATGATCCTCTCACAAATGCAAAATTCCATAAATAGCTTAACGAGCAATCATATACGCCAAATATTTTTGTGTGGATACCTCTTGGCTTATCTTTATAAGGAATGGGGACTTCTTTAATGCAAACTCTTTTTCCTGGGTGAACGTTTTTTTGAAAATTCGTTCTTATTTTATTAGCGATTGGCAGCAAGTTCTCAATACATTGATTTGGGCAGTTACTACAAGAAAGATGAAGCATGTCATACAAAGCATCAAATCTGTCTTTTGGCATTGCTGATGAAATTACTTTATTTCCATATAAATCGCTTGAAGACCAATAATCATTCATATAAGGGATTCTTACAAGTCCTATTAAAATTCAGATACCTATAAAAGTTTCCATTTCGGTTGGGGATATTCTTTCTTCCATTGCTTTGGATTTTTTATAGCAAACATTATAATTCCTCCTCATAAAATCTGAGTAAGTTACTGTATAATTTATAAGGAGATTAATAACTTTTGAGTCAAAAAACTTACGAAATAGGTTAATAGGATTGGGGTCTTCGTTATGGCTTGGTGGATTTATCATGATTTTTGCAGACCTTTTGTGAATGGATTTTAATTTTTGGAAATTGGTAGTTTCTTTCCAATTAACAGCAGGGTCTGAGTTCTGAGACTGGTCTTTTTCGGTTGTTTTTTGGTGCTTTTTGGGCTTGCTTGATAGCTCCATGCCAAGCTCATCTATTATGGGGTTATCGCATGGCTCTTCTATTGGGGCTGAATCCTCTACAGCAAAATCAATTTGCTCCATATCATTTGATTTCATATTATTTATTAAAAATTAGGTAGAATTGAGACCCATTTATATGGAATTTATTCACTCTGATGATGCCCCCAAATTTATTATTTTAAAGTTATAATTTGATTTATTTTAAAATTATAATTTGATTACTACAACCCAAAATGACTTTGCAAACTGGTCGAACAAATAAATATTTATTGAAAACTATAAAGCATTTACTTATTTTAGATTATATTATAAAGAAATGAAAAGCAGAAACAGTTACAAAGAATCTATCAGTGATGAGCAAATATTAAATCAATCACCCAAAATCAAAATTCTTCAAAAAGAAGTTGAAATTCTTGCAGATAATTATCACGTTCTATACATGAGTGAATTTCGAAGCTTAGGAACAATCAATATCTGAACCCATAAAAATTCATTAAAAAAACTAAGGCTGCCAGAAAAAGCTGCAAATCGCTTTACAGCTATTTGTCGAATTCCAGGAAATAAGATATTCTGCTATGGAGGTGTAAAATTCGATGGATCATGATCTGGGATGACATTCACTATCGATTCAAATAATGAAATTGAAATTTTTGAGTCTGGGAATCCATGCATTCAGGCATGCTGTATTTATTTTGACGGTTGTGTTTACACCATTGGAGGTCTCACCAACCAATTTAAGAGATTTAATCTATCTCTAAAAATGTGACAAAAAAGAGTAGAATGCCATTCCCAACGCTTCTCTACAGGAGGACAAATTCAAGGATTCATTATTTATTCTAATTTAGAAGATGGTATAAATATTTATGATCCATATGCAAATACCCACCAAACAGTGCTATCTCTTCCTCATAGCTGAAAAAATGTGTTTGTTGGGAGTAATAATAGAACTTATTGTTTCCAATTTTATGAGAGTATCTATGAAAGTGGTTTTAATAATGTTTTTAAATGGAATAATATTGGAAAATGCAATTTGGTTTTAAAAGATATTTTTGGATGTCCTACTAATTTCTGCAATAAAATATATTTTTTAAATGGAGATGATGTTTGTGAATTTGACTTAGGTAAAAAGCAAATTAAAGTTAGTTTTAGTTTCACATGGCTTGGGGCCTATTCAGAATGCTGCACATTTTAATAGTTTTGCAAATTAAAATCTTTGATTTTGAATATTAAATTTTTCTTCAATTAAAAAAAATATTTATGAGAGATAATACAGCATAAAATTATAAGAAAGCAATATGATCCAAACTATTTTTCTATTTTTAAATTAAATTTAGCCAAACTATTTTTCTATTTTTAAATTAAATTTAGTCCCCAATGTTTATTTTGGCTTATCTGTAATTGCTAATTTAAATTTTTGAAACATTGTTCATATAGAAAGCATGATGATTTGAATTTATTAAAAATTAATCATAATATAATGAAATCTCTGCTAAGAGAACTAAGTGCATTGACCCTGCAATTGAAGATATAAATTATAAAGATTCAATATCTAGAGGAAGTTCAGTTTACGAGAAAAGCCAATTTTATTATGGTGAATAAAACCCAATGAAAAAATTATAAATATGTTTCAATATTTTATAGAAATAGTTGACACTTTTAATTTTGATATAATGATTCATTAATTTCATTACCATCTAAGTTAAATACTTAAATTAAATTACCTTATATGACTTATACAGCAATTTACCAAATGAACAAAATTGTAAAATCAAAAATTCCCTAAGAAAGCTAACTTAATTTTGCTTTTGCTTGAAATATGCGAGGGAAAATTCCTATGAAAAATAAGCACGCAATTATACTGCCTTTCTTTTCTTAAAATTCACAAATAAATGGAATCAGAAGAGTTTGACGAGTCTACATCTATCCCTGACAATTATATCTGCCCAATAACCCAAGAGATTATGATAAATCCCGTTGTTGCAGCTGATGGGCATAGCTATGAGAAAGAAGCTATTTTAAAATGATTCAAAACAGGCCACCTCACAAGTCCATTAACAAATGAAAAATTAAGTTCTTTTTCAGTCATTGATAACTTCAGATTGAAAGCAATTATAAAGGATTTCAAAGAAAGCCTATCTGAAGTTCAAAGACAAAAACAGTTAAAAATTGAAGAAGAAAGAGCAATGAAAGAAAAAGAAGAAGCTTATAAAGTAAATTTAGAAAAAATTCAAGAAGAAAATAAGGCAAATTTGGAATTTTTAGAAGAAGAAAAGGAAAAAGTTAAAAAACTTAAAGAAAATGTTGAGCAAATGGAGAGAGAAGCAGAAAAGCTGCAAGAAAAGGTTGAAGAGATGAATTTAGAAAGAAAAATTAGTTATGAAGATAAAATTATTGAATACATAGCAAATAATCTGAGTTTTGAGCTAGCGTTTTCGATAAGGCAAAGTCTGAGATATGCTTTATAAAATAAATAGATATATTAAATTATAAATTAGCTTTTGATTGAGTAGCATTAAGAAGTTGTGATCTAATATAATTATTCATGAAAACAAATATATATTTATTAATATAATTGTAGCAATAAGCTTAAATTTTTAAATACTCAATCTTGTTTTCTTCATATTTTGCATCGCATTAATTATTTATAGCATTTCTTATCAAAAAACCATTCAAAAGAATCACGATGGTAAATAGATGGCAATGTAATGTTTGAGAATCTATTCTCGATTAAATTTCCTATCAAATTCTAATAACGAATCTTAATTTTTTTTTAATTGAATAGTCACAGTTTTAGATAATTTTTTAGCCCAACTGCATTCTAGCTATCTAGTTTCATATTAATCGTCACATCTTTCAATTCATTACTGTGTGCACCAATCTTTATTATTTATATTCTAATATGTATGGATTAGATTTTATTTGTATAGCATATTTGGCATCAAAGGTATAGAAAATTAATTTATATAAAAATTCGAATTTAATGCAAAAATTTATTCTAAATCTTATTTTTGATGTATATATTTGAAAATAATTATTTCTTCAAGAGGTTAATGAATTTTTTCTCTAATTTGTGACATTATTTTATTAGCGATCCCTGCTTTTCTCCAATATTTTTAAGAGAATTCATATCTAAATGTACGAGCATATTTATAGTTGGCGCTTCTCAATCTTTCCCATTGAGAAAGAGGGGAGTTGGAGAAACCATCTAATGCTGAATTGACCAATCTACAGGTGAAAGACCACAAGATATAGGGGTTCTGCAATTTGTGGGGTCAAACCAATATTATTTGTCTTCTCGAACTCCCTCTTTCCTCCAGGTAAGATCGGGAAGCCTGAGCCATAAAGGTGCTCGGGTTATACGTATATCTTTATTTTTCTTATAATTTCCTTGAGGGACTCCGCACGCCTCTCATTTCTTGTCTGGCATTATCTGGCTTTTTGAATGTCAAAGGGCTTGACAAATCTAGCGAAAAATGAATGGATTGCCTAATTCATTTTAAATATGAAATGTAGGGAAATATTTGATTGAAGCTGAGGGGATAAATAGAGAGCATAAGAACTCCAGAGCTATAGGTCATGCTATTTAATATTAAAAAGATTGGATAAAATAAACAGGAGTGGGGTTAACTTAGGTGGTAAAACCACCAAAAGCCTTATAATCTTTTTTATTCTTCTCTTTCAATTTTCGGGCATTTTTTCCTACTTTTCTTCTCATTGAGCATCACTTTATTTTTATCTAGCACAAGTCCTTGCTGCTCAACTGCCCACAAAAATAGCTCATCATGTTCGTAACTTTCCTACTCATCACCTATTTCTCTTCCCAAGTTTTCGATAAATGCTATCTCAGCTTCTTCCTCCAGCTCCACCATGAGAATTTTATCTTCCCACATCTCCACCAGCCATCATATTATCCAAATCTTCTTCAAATCATGATTGTCACTATAAGAATCATATTCTCCACAAGAGTCAAAGCAGCTTATATAATCGTAAAACTCCATAGTGGCGATAAAATAAAAGTTGGATAAGATAAACAAATGCAAGAATTTCAAATTTTACAAAAATAAAATTATCTATCCTGCAAAATATAAGCCTAACGTTCGGCAAAACTCTTTATTTTTAACTACCTGAAAATATTTAACCTGATTTCATATTTAATCAATAAATATCATATATTTTATCTTATTAAACCTTATTTAAATCCATTTTTACCACAATCATCTAATAAAATCACGAAGAAACCCATTAGCTATTAAAGTCCCTGCCCTCAAGTATCCTCATTACAAAAAAATAATTTTATTATAACCTTCTAATTTTTTTGAGTATATTAATCAAAATGGAAAGCATCGAATCTGAGAACGAGGAAGACATATCCAAACCTAAAGTCGAAAAATTGAACTTCTTCCAACGAACATGGCAAGATTTAAAAGCTGCTCTTATGGGAACTCTATTTGTTATGGCAAACGACAGCCAAGCTTCATTCAAAATGAATGTTTTCGCAATGTTTATTGATTCATTTCAGCTGATGGCATTTCCTTTCAATGACCGTATTCAGTTTCCTTGAAATAAACAGTACTCGTCGTTTGTCTTTTTAGCATGCTGATTTATGGAAATGGAATTTTATATATCAGACTCCAGTGCCCTACAAAATTTAACTATTTATTTATGCCTTGTGTTTTTTGTTATTGTAAATTTAATGAATTTTGCTATAGTTGGATACAGATTTATAAACAAAAAAGTACAAAATGTATTTTTACTAAAAACTTTAAGGTCGGTTTCTTCGCTTTTGACAACCTCTTTGTATATGCCTTTTTTAAGCATTTTTATTACCATTTTAGGATGCGCTGTACGCTTAGACGACATGGATGGGTGCCCAAAAGACCAAAGCTGACTACTGATCATTTCTTCAATTGTATTTTCAATCGTTCTAGGAGTAATGAGCTTGATTGTCGCTGCAAGCTATTATGAATTAGAATACACAAGCGACGACATAGTAGCGAGGCCTCACGCAAGGGTTGAGTTGGCATTTTTTGTAATTAAAGGAATCATTACTTTTTTTACCACAATGTTTTTTAAGCCTGAATTCTGGGTGATGCTCTATTTTATCCAGCTTTTTTGTGGAGTTACAATGACTTATTTATATATGTTTTATTTGCCTTATTATGACTATAGGACAAATAAACTGCAGACACAGTTTTTGGGCATATTCACTTGGTCAGCAATTTGTCTAACTTTCCCACTTTTTATAACCGGCGAAGAAGATCCTGTAGGTATTACACTGTTTTATATCGGATGCCCTTTAGCATGAATTTTTGTAGGGGAAGGCTGCAATATGCGAAGGGAAGTGCTGCTGAAGAAGACAATAGACACTGTTAAAAATCCTTATGAAGTAGAGCTTCATACAAGATTTTTGCTAATAAAAAGAGCTGGAACATATAAGACTGATGATGCAGAGCTATTAGATGAAATCGAGGATTTCTATTACCAGGCTGAAAGAAAGTTCCCAAGGTCAAGTATTTTAAAAATCTTTGTAGCTCAATTTCAGTTGACTTACAAAAGCCGACAAGAAGCAATTTCAAAGCTGGATCAAGCCGAAAAAAGAAATCCAAAGCTTGATGAGCAGTTTATTATATATAAAACTCGGCAGAACGTAGGACAAGATGCAATTACTATGGTCACATTTGACAGTTATTTAGAATCTGCCCATCTTGCTGAGGTCCAGGTGTTAAAGGCTCAAACAGAATTTTGGATGAAGCTGAGTGAGAGTAAAGCCCCTGTCTTTGACAACTTGACATCATTGTCAAAAATAATAACAAAGAACCTCGACAAAGCTTACACTTACTACCAATATTTAATGAAAGTCGACAGAACGCACCAAAAAATGCTCCCAATGTATGTGTATTTTTTGCAGGACTTGATGTTTAAGTTTAAGTTTAATGAATTACTCTGGCAAATTGCCTTTAGTCTTCTTTTACTTGAGGGTCCAGCTACATTAACAGCTCTGAATAATGGTATGTGGACCAGCCTAACCGTCAAACCGTTAAAGTTAATAAGCCCGTTAAGACTTCTCTAGTCAGTGCCAGCCTCAGTACCAACCTCTTCTCTTCAAGCCGAGACTCTCAAAAAGCTTGACTTCTCTCACTAAGCTCGGATGATAGGATCATACATGCTTAACAGAGTTTAGGACCTATCTCTAACTGACATTTTTAATATTGTAGGACTTGATGAACAGAGACGACTTTGAAGTGCAAAACTTACGTAACAGAATTCATGATTTTAGGTCCCAAAATTCAATCGTAGCCGTAGTGAAAAAGGTTGAAATCGGAAACCCTGAAGTTATCATATCCAGCAATGATAATTCACTTGGGCGAATAGATAGAGTGAACAATAGTCTGCTTTCCTGGCTGCAATATCCAAAATCTGAATTAATGAACCAAAATATTTCAAAGTTGATGCCGAAACCATTTGGGAGCAATTTTTTGCGCAAAATCACAATGTGAAAAAATTTCTGGGAAGAGTCTTACGACATTGCCCCAGAAACTTTGTACTTTGTTGATAAAACTGGATTTATCGACTCAGGAATGTGCAAATTTATAGTTAATAATGATAAATTTAAGACAAAAAATCAGGACACATATAAATCAGACGATTTTCCTATGATAAGTAATGGGAATTTACTTGGAAACGCGACTCCATCAGGAAATAACCCTTCAGATGTTTCCTCAAATCACCAGTGGCCATTAACTGGAGACTCTGAAAACAAAATAATCTGCGACATAACTATAAGTGATGAAGAAATAAGCATCATTATCCTCAATTCAGACTTTAAATTAGTTCATTTTAATAAGCAAGCACACCTATACTTTGGCGTTCTTCCAAGTTTGCATGTGAATAAAGACATAGGAGCAATAATAACGAATTTTAAAGATATTTTCGAAAAAGCCAAGCTGAAAATAAAGTTCAGGTCAATTGAACGTTTGGATTTTGATCCTTTCAACGCTTATGTCTTAACTCCTAGTGGCCGATATATCAGGTTTACTTTCAACATCTCTGAGCGCGCAATAGAGAAAAAAACGTTTTATATAGTAAACATTGAGAACGCGCCTTCGTATTCAAAGTCAACTGCGCTATTTTTGGCACATTTTTCAAAGGTCTTAGAATCGTTCCTAGGAAGAAGACATACATTTTATTTAACAGGAGGCTCAAATCAAGAAAGAATGGAAAATGGCTTAAAACGTACCAAAAAAACATTAACGTACCTTAAGAAGCACGTTGAAGAAAAAAATAAATCCTTTTCTCCTTTACTTTCCAAGCTTAATCGAGTATTTCTTGTTTTTAATATCTGCATGGTTTCTCTAATTACTGCGAGTTTTTTCGTCACGAAATCTACATTCAATCAAATACAAAGCGACTTAGACTACATGGGAGACCTGACAGATATCCAAAATTATAGCATTTTACTATCTTTTTTTGTGAGGCTACTTGATGCTTCACATAGCGACCTTAAAATGCCTGAAACCAGAGAGTCCATACTTCAGCAATTGGATTATGCTGCTTTAAATTTAAGTTCATTAGCCACAAAAATGGGGAGGCACCTAGACTTTGAATGGCTGCAGAACTCAGATGTGGACTGTTTAGCATATGATCCTGAGAAAGGATACTACAGCAATGATTTTAACCCAATAAACAGCTTGCTTCAGCAGATAACTTATACAAAGAACCTTATAAAATCAAATTCAACTGCATGGGACGTAGAGCATGAGCCTGCTGCTTATTGGGTTTTTGAAAATGGGATGAATTCCATTGCAGACGTTCTGACTCACTTATCAAACGAGCATCATGACCAAGCTTATACTGATCGACAAAATACTTTACTGTCAGGCATTTGATTTGTTTTATCAGAAGTTCTATTAGTGTTTCTTTTATTATTTTTCTCAGTTCCTTTGTTCATAAAATCTGAGCAGATCCATTTGGAAGTCATTGGAGCATTTTTCAGTATAAATCAAGCACTGGTTTCATATCTAAAAGAAGACTCCCTGAATAAACTATCTATGAGAAAAGATGCGAAATATCCAGACTGTAGAGGACAATATAGAGGAGGTGAAGAGCTGTGGAATGAAATATTTTTTTCTGATAAAAATCCAGAGTCAGGATCATTTACTCATAAAAGAAGCAACTTGATTTCTTACAACAGAAAATGGGTTTCCAGGCTGAAACTGTTTGTGTCTAATGGTCTTATGAGGACAGTTTTGATTTTTAGTTTAATTTCATTATTCTTCGTACTAGTTGTTCAGCTTTGAATTGGAGAAATGGTGCCAGTTGGACTATTAGAGCATAGTGTAAGAATTGTAAAATATTTCGGCACAATGGAAGTTCTTCTAACAAGATCCAATTTATTTTTATTAAATACAATAATGTCGACTAACAAAGGATATAGCGATATCATAGAAATTGATGGGGTTTTAGCTAATGCATATTTATCGATCGATTATTCGTCAAATGAGGTTATGAATAGGACTGAAGAAATAAGAAACTATGTAGAAGTACTCCTTGTCGGGAACAGCTCAATGGAATTAACGTATGACGAAATTTATACGTTATCCAAAGATCAATTTTATAATGAGTTTTTTTCAGAAAGTTGTGAAGCTTTGATACCCGGGATTAATTGCTCAGACTTACAAAATGTGCTGGATTCGGGGTATAAGGACTCTGTTATGTCTTTTATATTTGAAACGCAAGCATTAGCTAAGAAAACGTATGTGGATCTTATTGATAAAACAGTTAAGGAGAGGTGGAATGCTCTAGATACTGATTTGCTGAATAACATTGAGCTTGAGTATAAATATCTTTGACTTATGGGGCAAGGAGTTAAAGAAAACGTTTTGGATTATTTTCATTGAATTTCTGAATTTTATTATTTAGTGAGAGAATATATTTTAGTTATTTGATGAATAGTCGCAGTTTTATACTATCTTCTTATGTTTAGGAGGGCCTTGATGAACCAAGAAAAAAAGAGGCGACTATCCAGATCTATGCTCTTACTTTTACCTGAAAAAATTATCGTCAGATCTCAAGAAGTCCAAGAATACTTATATCATATAAATTTGGATTAATGTAGTTGTTTATAATTTATGCAGATCTAATTCATTTTTAAGTTTAATAAATGCATTTTTCAAAGTTTTTAATTTAATTTTCGAATTGCAAAGCAATGATCCAACCAGGAACTCACTGTATAAAAAGTTTTTAAATTATCTTATTGCTATTATTTTATTGTTTTCTCGGCCTCTTTCTAATATTTAGTTCAAAATGGCAGAAATTTTAAGTTGCTGATTTTTTTTTTCTTTGATATAACTTCATATAGCTAGAAGGCACTTGAATTTATTTATCGTGTTTTTTTAATTAAAGTTCTTTATTTAATGCAGCATTATTATAAGTTATAAATATCCATGAACATTTCCCTGACATTAGACAGTCTCAACCAATTCCATCAAAAAGCAATGGAAATAGACCAAATCAATCAATTCCGTGATGATATAGTGACACTTATAAAATCTTCTTCAAAGAAAGGCCTCTTCAAAGGAATTATAAATCCTTCTGAGCACATTCAGAATTCACGCACAAAAAAATTAAATAGTATTTTACCCAAAAACCAATTTCACAATAGAATAAATATTTTTGAGGAATTCATTAAGCATCCAGATGTCAGCATTGGCATAAATGTTCCTCCAACTTTGGTTCGCATTGCCCAATCAGCTGTTCCATTTTTAATTCAGACATTAAAAAATGGCAAAGTCGCAACAAGAGTCTATCAAGAAGGTGAATTTTTCATCCAAAATAAAGAAGATGATAATAGTATTTTTTGCTATAAAGCTCAGAATAAAGAAACTGTCCTATTTTTTGATGGGGAATCTGCAAAATTAATGTGGGAATCATCTCAAGAACCAGTAGCGATGCAGCCATTTATTGAAAGCTTATCAAACCCCCCTTCTCTGACAAGAATAGTCTGAAAAGAAGGCTCAAAAACAAAATATTTCTCAATCATAAACAAGAAAAAAATCCCAGTCAGGTCTAAAAGTGGAACTAAAGTTACCCTAGATAAAAAAGTAAAGCAAGCACGTTTACGTTCATGCGTTTCTCCTTTCGAGTATTCAAAATCAATATTAAAGACTACAAAGTCCGTGAACAATCCTTTCAAGCTTAATTCAAATCTTAAATTCCCAAGGTTCGAAAGCAGTCCAAGTAATTCTAAAGCGAGTTTAAATCAGTCAGATTTTTCCAATATTAAAAAGAATTTGATTTGAAGCGATGTTGAGAAGATAATAGAAGTTGACAGAACAAAAAATTTTCTTGTAAATTCAAAAGTCCCAGAAAATTGCATTTCATTGGAGACTAAAGGAAAATTTGATGAGATAGATAAAATGACTTTTAATGTTGTGAATTTTTTGAATGAACATGTTTTTAAAGATTTTAAGATATCTGCAATAGTTCTTGATTTTATACAAGATAAAAGTAGAAAATGAATATTATTGAAATGCAGAGAATGCTCTTTTGATAGTCATTTTGATATTAATTTTCATCATGAAAAAGAAAGAAGCTCAAGCTTGCCAAGAAGAAAATTATCCAGTAGCTCATCAAAAGGTTCTAATTCATTCCATGAAGAAATGGCAGAGCCAGAAATATTAGATAATCGCTTAAGCTTTAATAATCGAGAAGAATTAAAATGCAATGAAGCCCAAGTGCAATCTAAAAAAAAGCCAAAATCCATTCCACTTGATGAAATTTCTGAAAAAGATTTATCAGGAAGATATGAAAAAATTAATAAAATAGCAAACCAAAAAACGATTATCACTCCAAATATCATAAAAGAGCCATCAACGCCCCAATATTATACCTCAAATCCACTATTGTCAAAATTTAAATGCCCTTATCATAAAGTAATCATTGATCAAATTAAGCCTCAAGACTCAGTCCAAAACTATACTCAGCAGCATATGAATGAAGCTGTAGATAGCTTTGACGAAATCAAAATCAAAGGGCAAATTTCTAAATTACGATCTGAAAACTTAGTTCAAAAGTATGGAGGTGATCTTTTTTGGCAAGAATTTATCCTATCATTGTATAATAAAGTTTTGGCAAGTGAGTTACTTAATAAGTATTTCAAAAATTGCAAACTTGAAAATTTTACGATGATAGTTAATGGGATGTTCATTATATTTAATGGCCAAGTTAGCCTTGAATTTAGAAGAAAAGTAAGGGCTATGCATCAAAATATGGGATTGCTTGAAAAGGAGTTTGATTGCTATTCAAATATCTTTGAAGATCAGCTTAATGAATATCAAGTTGAGGAAAATGATAAACAGATTATTATGTCTCAAATCAAATCCATGAAGTATCTTATTTGCAGACAGACTTGTATATAAATATCAAACCCATTTAAATTAAAAAATTAAAATTTTTTTATTATGTTTTATAAGTAGATGCCATATTATCATAAATGGGAATTTCATCATCAAATCCTTTAGCGTCATTTAAGAAATTTTCAAGAGAAAGAGGTGTTAAACTCTTTGTGGCTGGATTAGATGCTGCAGGAAAAACATCAATGATGTATAGGCTTAAAAATTTTCAACAAAATTCTGCTGAGTTTGAATATGGGGTTTATAATTATTGTGAGAACATTTGAATTCAAAATATATACTTTATTAATTTAGATCTTGGTGGGGTAATGCGATTTAAAGATTTATTTCAACTTTCCTACCAGGAGAACATTAAAGGAATTATTTTTGTTGTGGATTCGAGTGACAGAGATAGAATTGAGGATGCAAAGTCAGACTTTCAGGAAATTTTAAGACAAGAGCTACTTAGTGGCATTCCAGTTTTAATATTGGCAAACAAGCAAGATCTACCTGGAGTTATGACGGTAGATGAAATTAAAGAAAAGTTTGAATTATTTTTAATTAGAGGTAGAAGTTGATACCTTCAAGGGTGCTCTATGATAACTAACAATGGATTATCTGAAGGACTAGAATGGCTCTCAAGAGCAATCCAATCAGACTCATAAATACCTCATAATTTGCTACTAAAGACATAATTTTTTATTTTAATTTAAGCAGAAACGTTATTCATTATCTAGTAAGCTAAGCTTTATCATTCTTCTGTCCTGACGCAATCTTCCTAGCTTCTTCATAGCTCAACTTTAATTCTGCAGGCCCATCATAGCGTTCTTCATCTCCAAAGAAATTTCTTGTTGCAGCAAATACATCTTGTTTATTGGTTTCTTCCACTTCTCCTTCATCTCTTTCATAATAATTTGAAATTGATCTTCCCATGTCATCTAAGTTTCCTGTTGGCTTTACCCCATAAAACTTTGATAGAGTTGGGCTTATGCATCAAAATATGGGATTGCTTGAAAAGGAGTTTGATTGCTATTCAAATATCTTTGAAGATCAGCTTAATGAATATCAAGTTGAGGAAAATGATAAACAGATTATTATGTCTCAAATCAAATCCATGAAGTATCTTATTTGCAGACAGACTTGTATATAAATATCAAACCCATTTAAATTAAAAAATTAAAATTTCTTTATTATGTTTTATAAGTAGATGCTATATTATCATAAATGGGAATTTCATCATCAAATCCTTTAGCGTCATTTAAGAAATTTTCAAGAGAAAGAGGTGTTAAACTCTTTGTGGCTGGATTAGATGCTGCAGGAAAAACATCAATGATGTATAAGCTTAAAAATTTTCAACAAAATTCTGCTGAGTTTGAACATGGGTTTTATTATGAGAACATTTGAATTAAAAATATATACTTTATTAATGTAGACGTTGGTGGGGCAATGCGATTTAAAGAGATTTTTCAACTTTCCTACCAGGAGAACATTAAAGGAATTATTTTGTTGTGGATTCGAGTGACAGAGATAGAATTGAGGACGTAAAGTCAGTCTTTCAGGAAATTTTAAGACAAGAGCTACTTAGTGGCATTCCAGTTTTAATATTGGCAAACAAGCAAGATCTACCTGGAGTTATGACGGTAGATGAAATTAAAGAAAAGCTTGAATTATTTTTAATTAGAGGTAGAAGTTGATACCTTCAAGGATGCTCTATGATAACTAACAATGGATTATCTGAAGGACTAGAATGGCTCTCAAGAGCAATCCAATCAGACTCATAAATACCTCATAATTTGCTACTAAAGACATAATTTTTTATTTTAATTTAAGCAGAAACGTTATTCATTATCTAGTAAGCTAAGCTTTATCATTCTTCTGTCCTGACGCAATCTTCCTAGCTTCTTCATAGCTCAACTTTAATTCTGCAGGCCCATCATAGCGTTCTTCATCTCCAAAGAAATTTCTTGTTGCAGCAAATACATCTTGTTTATTGGTTTCTTCCACTTCTCCTTCATCTCTTTCATAATAATTTGAAATTGATCTTCCCATGTCATCTAAGTTTCCTGTTGGCTTTACCCCATAAAACTTTGATAGAGTTTCATAAGGAATTTGATTGATTGGATCCTCAGGTGGCAAAGGATATTCTTTTGGATGTAAAAACGGAACGTAAACTCTTAGCTGGTTTACGTAGTTTTCTTGGGTAATTGTTTTAAATTTGTCTTCAACTGGGATATCACGGCCTTTGTTATAAGTCCCTAAGGCAGACATTTCAGTTATTTTGCCATAGGTTTTACCAAAAAGATTTTCTGACTTGGCACCAGGGATAAAACCCATGTAATTTGGAAGCTGGGGCCTTCTAGGCTGTGGCTGGGGAGGTTCTTCGATTTGCTGATTTTTAGGGATATGGCCTGTGTAACCAGGAAGATGGCCGTGTCTTTCTAACATATTAAATTTAATAATTAATGCTAAAATATACTAAAGAAACGATTATAGCAAGTTAAACTTTAAATAATTAATAATTTGTGTTTAATGATAAAAGAGGAATTTCTTTTTGAAGGAGCTAGAGAACCCGATAGGATTTCAAACTGTGAAAGTTTTCATTAAATTAGGCTCCAAATTTATTAAAGAAATTTGGACATTAGCAAATCGCTTTGCCTTCAAAGCGGATAAGCTGAAACGATTCTTCTATTATTTCCAGAGACAGTTGTTGGGCAAGTCTATTTATAAATTGATTGATATCAAATTCTAGCCTTTGAATTGATGCTGTAGTGATCCCAAATTCTTTGCAATAAATTCTATTCCTTACCCTAAAAAGGTTCAAACTTGAGTTAATAGTGTGATTCAATAGCCACCCAAATATGGCTGTTTTTGGACATTTAACTAAGCCTTTGATGATTGAATTATAAAAGACAGAGCGAGAAGAAGTCACATTTTTTAGTATTCATGCCGATACAATCAGGAATTCTTCAATATTCGCTAGGTTTTTATTTCGAGAACAATCAAAAATCATACAAAGAAAACATAGCTCTTGGCTGGAAAGATGAAACTTCTTTGCAATTTTGATTCAAGGGCTACACATAGTTTGGGGAATTTTAGTTTTAATGCAAATACGATTTATAATTTGCATGTGGGCTACCGTAAAAGCCTGCTCGTATTTCATTAAGACCAATTTTTTGATGCTTATGCTTTTAACCATTATTCTTAGTAGAAAATTAATCATAATTTATATATAAATTGAAATTAGAATAAATTCTCAAATTGATTTTTATGTATGGATCAAAGACCTTATACTGATCCATTAATTTCAGATTTATTATACTCTGAATAAAATAAACTTTAAATACTAAAATGCCTCAATAATTTAAGTTAATGCTTTAATTTTGACAATAAAATATAGATAGAATATAAAGATAGCAGAATTACTTGTGAGAAATTACCGTAACAATTGCAAGCTAGATCTTACCTTTTGAATTAAAAAGAATTTAATTTTTGTCCTTTTTAAATTTATTATTATTATCTTTAAAAATATTTTTGTTATAGTAAAAGGATTACGCTTAAGACTAATTATGGTAGAATATTTAATGGCTTCCCTAAAACTTAAACGCAGTGGCATATTTAATCTCAATAAAGTTCTTAGGAGCTAAGCGAATGATATTAAGGGGTTTTTATTAAATATCTTATTTATTATTTCTTACCTTTCTATTATAATTTTAATTTAAATTTATTATTCAACATAATAAATCAGAAAGCATTTGTGAATTTTAATTGTTTAATTTTCCGAAATATTAATTTTTATTATATTAAATAATGCTAAGACTCTTTTAATCTTAGTTGATGTTAAGTAACTAAAAATAATACCTCTTCTGTTATTTCGGCAGCTATCTTCTGAGCAAGTCGACTTATCTCCCTAAACAGAAATATAATAAAAATTAGGAGATTAGCCTCTATGAGATAGTAGTTTTTTTTAAAATAATTTTATCAAAAGTATATTTTTTCATTTCACGGTTGCAATTATTTTTTATTTTGTGTCATCAGCGAAGATTAGAGTATATTGAGTTAGGGTAAATAACGGGGCTTTTTTGGGATGACGGCAAGCAAAAACAACCCTTGCTGTCTACCCTAACTCACTATATTATTAAATTACTGTGAAATGATACTTTTCACTTAAGAGCATTAAATAAGACTATGCTAAATTTAAAGTGTCTCTACCAAGCAAGAATATGCTTTGCTGATTGAGAGTTAGAAACTGATTTACTTTAATTTCAAAGAATTGGATGCTCTGCAAAGAAATTCCGAAGTCTTGGGAATAAATTAATATACCAGGCATCGTAGATATCCTAAGTTGAAGGCCTAAAGTGAATTTTAAAATTCATCCTAAAGTTACTGCCTTCAAGTTTTTGACTAGTTTATTAGCTACTGACTGATACAGAAAACCATCATGAGTCGTCACGCATTTTACAAGCCAGGCAGCTATAGTAAAGAATTCTTCTTTTCTTATTTTTGCTGATTTCAAAATGAGGCTGAAGAAAAATATTTCAAAAATTGTCATGTGGAAGTCTACTGCTATCTTGACTAAGCAATTATAAAATTTCGCTTTTCCTACCCAAATTCTATTAATTGTTTGCATATGGAGTATTGAAAAGGAATTCTTATACTTCAATGATAGCAGTCTCTTAATGCTGATCCTTTTTACCATTAATTTGATTATTTGACTAAAGTTTTTTAATGAGAAAATCTATATAAATTGCTTATGTGATTAATTTGGTATTTTGTATATAACGGAAACATCATTTATTTTTTTTTGATATTCAAAATGAAATAAATAAATTTTCATTTACTTGGCATGCAATGATTTATTATAAGGCCTATAGTGCTATTAGCAAAGGATGGCAAAAGTAATAAAATTATTCAAGGACAGTATTTTTAATCAAATTCTTCAATAATAAAAGATCTAGCAAACAAATAATTCTTCGAGCATAAATATTTAAGAATGTCTTTTCTTCGAGAATTAGGATGGCTAAGATGGAGTTGCAAAATAATCCATCAAGGCTATTTCTATAGGAGTATGTTAATAAAGATACGGTTTTTGTCTTGCAAACTTTTTATTTTTCCATGGTAATGCCCCTTCATCGGGCAACAGGCCAGGATTCTTCGTTAAGTGGTCTGAAGCAATCATTACACAAAAGCCTATTTTTAGTAAGATTTAATGGTGAAATCTGCTCTGGGCAGCATATCGCCTCAAGCCTCAGCTGGGATGGGTTGTCTTAGACAAAGAGATAGTGAGGAAATCCTAAACCTGAAACTCTTAAACATAAGCTTATTACAGGGTTGGCTACTACCTATTGGTAATGCAGCCATGGAGAACTTGATCAATTGGGAGGATGATTTGTTTGGTAATTTAGTTCGAACACCATCTTTTGATGAAATGGTACCTCTGAAGTTAAGTTCTATGCTGCCATCTCCTCCTTGCCTCGTGGGCTCCACACTCATAATTAGGAAGGCTCTGGATCTCTGCGGCATAATGCGACTTAGGCTGAAAGAAGGTTGCTCACACAAAAATCCAAAAAATGGAATGCCTAGTCGACTCTTAGCAAAGGAAAAATGGAGCCCAAGCCGTCACTCCCAGCTTCATGCCAAAGGTTAGTCCGATTATCCTAGGCATTGCCTGTGGGCTATGCTGAGTATCCTTTTCCAACTCTTGCTTTTCTTTTCCCCTAGGTAAAACCTAACTCTAAAATATACTAGGATATGCTATCTGCATTACCAAGTTGCTTACCTACCATAACTGTCCATTTTTTTGGTTCAAACTTGCAGGATAATTAAATATGCACCCAAGGTTGCATGGTAGAGAGGCCATACCTAGGTCGGGAAGCCATATTAATTTATTATCGAAACCTGGAACTTAAGAAGCGTAGAAGAAGTCATCTCAGTCATTCATAGGTAAAAATTGCGTTCCTCCCAACTCAGGGGACTGATGCGTATGACTGATAGCAAAATTCTACTAGGGCAAGCATGCAACAATCCAAGCAATATTGTAGAGAGATTCAAACAGAGGAAAGCCACAAGAATGTTCAATGTTCAAAAATAACAAAAATTTGATCTTAAATCCTAAAGAATTAGATTATCTATTAGAATTTGCTCAAATTTATTGATTATTATGAGATAGTATTTCTATAAAATAAATATACCTGAAATAAGCTTAATTTGAAGTAAAATTACTTTGGTCAATTTATGTGGCATATTAAGGCCGGTCTGCGAATTATTTTTACAGTCTATATAATGATTTTAACAAAAAATATTTGCAAGATAAAATAATTTCCATTACTTATTGTAAATTATCTATAACTCCAATGTTTCTTCCATAATTGTTTTCAAGAAATTTTAAGTATGGGAGATTTAAACAGACCTCTTCTTGGCTTATCTAATTCAAATACTCAAGATTTATCTCCATTAAAACTTGAACGCAGCCCTGCAAAAGACCAAAAGTCGTCTTCAGACTCAAGTGTCTATTATCTCAGCATGGGAAAAATAGAAAAACGTAAGCGAAAAGGAAGTATTGAAAAATTTATTCGAAAATTCAATTATTTTGTCCCAGTTGAAGCTTTTGCAGATTTTAAATGCAATTTTGATATAACTAGTGATAAAAATTATGTTTTTTCAGGTACAAGTGAAGGAGATCTGGCTATGTATGGCTTCGATGAAAAACGAATTCAAACTCAAAAAGTTGCCCATCAGGCAGTTTCCTATATAAAGCTCGACTCAAGCAATGATTATATTTTTATAGGCGTTATAGACGGTGTCATAGGAAGGCTTAACTTAGGTGGGGATTACGAAATTGATGAGTTTCTCTGTCACAAATCAATGATAACTGGCATAAAAGTTTCTTCAGACGACGAATGAATGTACTCTTCCAGCAAAGACTCAAAAATTATCAAATGAAGAGTGGAAGATAAGGAGCCTAAGTTGCTTTATAAGCATGAAAACGCAAATGAAATTGATTTAAGCGAAGATAATAAAATTATCATTAGCTCTGGGAGTGATAAACTAGTAAAAGTTTGGAATGTTGATACTAATGCTGAAGTAATTGCATTAGGACCAATGGGCTTTGAGATTAAATGCATAAAGTTTTCAAAATCCAAATTTATTGCATGCGGGACCTCAGATGGAGAAATCAAAGTATGGGAATGAGGATCATTTGAAGTTAAACACATTTTTCATATGGACGATAAAAACTGTTCAGCTATAGGTTTTTTATATGGAGAAGACTATTTAGTGTCGTCATATAAAACTATACAAATTTGGAATATGTGAACTGGAGAGTCAGATATCACTCTAAATAACCAAAGAAGCGAAACTATAAGACTACTTGTAGATCAGAACAAAATTTTTTCAAGTACCAAAGATAAAAGATTCTTAATCTGAAATTTCCCTGAAATTCCGGATCAGGTGTGCATCCAAGCTCATGATGGAGAAATCCTAGACATGCTATGGAATAGCGAGTATAAGCTGTCGAGCCTGAAAAGTTACCTAAAGGTGGCAAGTCAGTTCCAAGCTAACAAATACTGAGAAAAAATCAGCATTTGTCAACTTGGAGTTGGCTTGTCACCTCTAAGTGACTTTTCAGACTCGCCAGCTACAGGGAAGAGCTAACGCGAGAGTCGTTATATGCGTGCATGCACTATATAAGCTGTATAGCTCATGCACCTTAATAAATCTCTATACCCCTGCAGAATGCCGACTAGAAAAATTATTGTATAGGGCACCTGCCTTATACAGTACAAGTCTGATTAGGTACCTTGAAACCATAAACGAAGACTTGCAATTTTCGTTTTTAACTTTTCAAAAAAGCTGACAAGTACAAATTAATTTTGGAAATTAAAAATGGATGGCCAATAACGATCTAAAATATTTCAGGGGCTATACTTTTCATTAGGAGTTGATAGAAAAATTATTGCATGAGAAGTAGGAACTAATGAGAAAAAGCATGAATTTTACTGTGAAGGCAACAGCACCCCAACAATGTGCTTAACACCTGATAAAGATTACATTGTTACAACTTATAAGCATGGGCTGATGTTTTGAGATTTTACATATGGGAAAACATGGGAGCATGAAGTTTCTGAAGAGTGCAGTGTAAACGCTCTTATTTTTAGTCCATCAGGAGAATATTTTATTACTGGTGATGACAAATGGATGACGTTTTTCAAATATAAAGCAGGCAATTTATATCAAAATTGGAAGATTTTAAGACAATTCACAATCACATCGCCAATCAGTGCTTGAGATATGACAGAAAATGACTCCATACTCATTGTAGGGTTAAAAAGTGGAGATATCTGGCTTTTTAGTTTAATTGCAAATAAGCCTACAAAAGTATGCGAGCTTCTTGGCCATACAGATTTTATTTCAGGACTCCAACTTTTAAGGAATGAAGATCATTTTATATCGGTTTCCTATGACACCACAATTCGTATATGAAATCTCAATAAAAAATGATGCATGAGGGTAATAAAATATCATGCGGACAAAATCTTAAGCTTGGTAATTCCAAATAATGAATGTTTTATTGTTAGCTCCAAAGATAAAAGTATTTCTATCTGGGCGTTAAACAGTTTTTCATTAGTATACTTTTTCCTTTAGATTTTCTCTGACTAAGAATTTATATTTTACTCCCCGCTCCGTGAGTGAAAAAAACCATTGGAAAAATCCCTATTTTTTGCTCAAAAACCCACCCTCCATGAATGAACAAAAATTTTTTATGAAAAAAATTGATATATAAGTGATAATTAGTATAATGAAATCTCGAGTTAATTCTGTTTAATTTAAAACAAATTGCGTTTTAAAACATAAATTTTATAAATTAAATTAATATTTGCTTCCCAATTTTTGCAAATTAGGATTTTTTTAAAATTTCGCAAAATATTTTTCTATAAAATTTATATATAATTTTGTTTTAAAAAAAAAATTAACCCCTCTCCGTGAGTGAACAAAACTTTTTTGTTCACGCACGGACGGGGGGAGTTAGGCAAATAAGGCTAGAAATTAAAGCACATCTCACTGGGCAATCCAAGGGAAATAACTTTAACAGCACTTAATTATCAAAGTGGAGGAAAAGTTTTTATTTTTCCAGGTATTGATTATAAGTTGTATTTAGCTCAAATTGGTGGAGAAATTTGTATTCAAAAAAATCCTTTAGGCGATGATTTTGCTTTTTATGGACCTGGGAAAAAAATTTGTTTATTTTTGAATTATGTCAATAATATATTGACTCGGCAAAATCAGAAATATATAGAAGAGCTAGATAAATGGGTGATTATGCCTTATAAGATTAATACAACTCATTTGTTTTCTTATTTTCAAATGCCAAATCACTTAAAATGTGCTTTAGATAATGATAGTGCATTTTTTGAAACCTCTTTTTGGGAAAATCCTTTATCTTTGAGTTTAGCTGGCTCGAGCAATATAATTAGTATTATTTTGTATGGACTTTGCAGAAAAGTTTCATTCAATCCTTATGAAGTTCAGTTAATAAGCGGCTATTTACCTCAATTAAATATAGAATGATATAAATATCCAAAGCCACTTGAGCAGCTTTATCAAAGCATTCTTCACCCAGTGAAGATAATAAATAATGTTCCACAGTTCTGCGAAAGTTTACCAAGCCCAATTGTTCATAAATCAGACTATTTATCTATTGTCCCGACTGATCTAATTCCAATAAGCCAGCTTAAAAAACGAGGCCAGCCTATCGTATTCTGGGAAAATGCTTTATGGGTTCACCAATATGGTTCATATGAGAGTTTAAAATTTTTGAACAGTTTATATGAGCACCCAAATCCAGAAATTTTAAGGACGAAGTTTGTTAAAGCAATTTTAGACTCCAAATGAAGAGATGTTAGATATGTTCTATTTTGCTATGGGCTTATTTATATTTCTTTTCTAATTTTATATTTTATTCATACTCTTGATCGCCACCATAATCCTGAAAGTATGCTTTTACCAATTTTTGTAATTAATGCTGTCATGCTTTTATTTGAATTTTTGCAAATGTATTTGAGCGGAAGAGATTATTGGGGAGATATATGGAATTTTTTTGATATGACGAGGTGTTCTTTTGTGATACTTTATGCTGTTTTAGTATGAGTGATAGGAATTAATGAGTTGACCAACTATTTTTTGTCTTGGATTACGTTAATTTCATGGATTAGAGGAGTAGCGTTTTTTAGGTTTTTTGAAAGAACTAGATATATGGTGAGATTGCTTAGAGAGGTTTTATCAGATATAGAGTCATTTTTCTTTCTGCTGTTCTATTCAACATTTGGATTTGGAGTTGTCTTTATGGCAGTTCAAAATAATCCTGAAAAATCATTTTTTTCAGTTTTATCATGATCTTATTTAATTGATTTAAGCTCAATAGAAATAGAAAGCTATGATATTTCTGATTATGCTGTATTCTTATTTGCTTCTGTAGTAAATCTTATTATTATGATGAATATTTTGATTTCTGTTATTGGAGATACTTATGATAGAGTTCAAGAAGGAATTATCGTTGCTGACAGAATTGAGCTATTAGAAATTATTATTGAAGGCGAAACTTTGGCCTATTGAAATAGAAAAAATGAGTCACATTCATTTATACAAATGCTAACATTGGACAAAAACGAAGAAGATTATACTTGGCTTGGAAAAGTTAGGGAAATAAAAGCAAGACTTATTACGCTATCGAAAACTGTCGATCAAACTGTTGAAAAAAATGATAAACGAGCAGAAAAATTAGATAAGAATTTAGCTAAAATTAAAGCAAGTAATAAGAGCTTGGAAGAAAGGCTCAAAGTAATGAAAAAACATAACAAACTAATGGAAGAAAACTTCGAAGCATTTTCGAATAAAATGGATGAAAAAATGAGAAATCTTGAAGACCTGCTCACAAAAGCAATAAAAAGTCAATAATTTATATAAACTTATTAATACTCTTATTATGTTGTGCTCTTCTTTTTATGGAACATGCTTTTAAGTCTTGATTTCTTTTCTGGAGATTTTAAGCATTTTCTTTTCTCATTAAGCAGCATAACTTCGTCTCTCTTTAAATTCATCATGCTGCAAATAACCCCTATTACTGTTTCAGCCTCAGGTCTTTGTGGTCCAATCATTTCTAGCATATTTAATATCATAACTTTTAGCTGCTCTACAGGAATGTCCTCGCCTTTCATAGAAGGACTTCTCGGCTGCCCTTGTGCAATCTTTAGTTGCTCTTTAAGCAGCAAAACCTGCTGATCTTGCATTTTTCTGATATTTTCTATGTCATCTAATTCATCACGTAGTTTCTTATTTAAATTCGCGTAATGTGTGGTGGCTTCTTCGACTGAATAAAACATGGAACCAATTTCAGATTGAGATCTCTCAGTATTTGATCGTGATGGAGATTCTATAAGTGAAGGCCCTCGAGATAAGTCTATAACGTCTATATCATGAGAACCTACATCAGCGAGTCTGACTGGGTGAGCCATTTCTGGACGCTTTTTAATTTCCCGCTCTAAAACATCTTCAAAGTCGACTGAAGACTGATGCTCTTTATAGCGAGAAGACAAGAGACGAACAGCTTCTAAGCAGCCCATATCTTTTAAGTCAGCTGGCAATGTATTTTCGATCTCTTTCATAAGATCTTTGGGTGAAAAGGTGCCATCAATTTTGTAATATGAAGCTAGCTCGTGGACTGCTTGAGCTATAGGAATTCGACGAAGGACTTCTGGGATTTCTTCGGATATTTCATCGATAATATCACGGTACTCCGATAATTCGTTATCAGTAAGTTTTATATTCATTTCGTCTTTATTTTTTGTTTCTTCAAAAGATTTTCCAGTTGCCTGAGAATCTTGATATACATTAAAATGGCGTGGTGAACGAATCCACCCTCTTAACACCTTGTAGCTGTGGAGACCCAGGGATCTTGTGGAAGTTAGTGTGTATATCCAGCCAGGCTTTGTATGGCTTGAGTGGAACGCAATGTCGGATTGGACCGGCCGCAGCTCACTTCCGAATCAAGGTTTTACCTCTTGGTGGAGATGGACTCAGCGTTGAAAGGGAAAGCTCAGCAGAGTCTACGTGACCAATCGAGCAACTCCCTAGAGCGATATCAGGCGTTGATTCTGGGCGAGAATTCCATCTTGGCCGATAGTTTGACCAGAAAATTCATTTTTTGAGGGCAACCCAAGTCTGACATACGGTACTGTGATCCAGTCCACTTCACTAGCTGTTCGACGCGCATCTCAGCGATGAGGAGTTTTCCCCTAGAGGTGGTGGCAGGCGGCCCAACAGCAAATCAAGGTGGAGAAGCACACCCTGCGGGTGCTACCGAGAGGTTTTCAATAATAAGTAATTAACTAACTAACCTGAGGATCTTGAGATGCTAATATTCGTTTTAAGTCTGATAATTGTTGTCTTAACACTAATTGAGTTTTAGCTTCATCATCTAAGGTTTCTTGAAGATGCTCATTAGCAACATTTAAATCTTGGATTTTGGCTTCGAGTGACTTTTGGGCTACTCTGGATTTTTCAGAGATATCTCTCGCTTCTTTTTCAAGACTTTCTATATTTTTCTGTAAATTTTCATTATAAATCTTTAAGTTATCTCTTTCTTGCTCAATTTCTCCATAATCTATAGATTTTTCTTCAATTGCAGCAATCTTGCTATCTAGCTCTTCTTTTAATTCAGCATTAATTTTGACGAGTTTAGAGTTTTCTTCTGCTAATTTTAGAATTATTAAAATTGCGTGATCTGATGCGGACTCTGGTGTTTCTAGAGTTGATACGAACCGAGACGAGAGGAAAAACATAGTGGTAATTTTTTCTGGTGTGTGTTTTTGGCCAATGGCTAAACTTCGACTTTTTTGCGAGATTGTAGATGGGGATACCAGTGTAATGCCCTTCATCACTCCATGGAAGCATTACTGAGCCTGTGATACAGCTCAGACAGACCATGTAGAAGGTAAAGACGGTTTACCTATATCCGAGCCCTGCTGCCGATGGTTGATGTGGGTTTTGTCGTTTGGTGAGACCCAGAAGATTTTTCTTCAGACTCTAATGATCCAATTTTTTCATTTTCTTGTTTAAGTAACTCTATTGTCGCTTTGAGATTTTTCACATAAATTTCATATTGTTGGTTTTCGATGTTAAATCTATCGTTTTCTAAGTTAAGTTGAGTCGTTATATTGTTCATTTCCATAAAATCATTGCCGATTCTTTCGATTTCTTCTTCTTTTGCTGCAAGTTCATGCTTCAGAGAGACAACTTGCTTATTTAGCTTTTCGATTTCTATGGTTGAATATTTCAAATTATTGTCCATCTCTGCGATTATTGTATTCTTTTCTTGGTTTTCTTTGGAAATCTTCTTAAATTCTTCTTCAAGATCTGAGTAATTATTTCCAGATAAACTAGATTGTTCTTGAATTATTTTTATTTTTGTTTCAAATTCTGAAATTTGTCCTAGCATCTCTGTTTCACTTTTACTGTATCTTTGAGAGCATTCTTCAATCTTTAATTTTAGTTCATGGATTTCAAGCTCTTTTGATTCTAATTTTTGGTTAAGCTCTTCCTCTTTCTCATAATTTTTATCTTTCTCATTTTTCAAGCTATCAATTTCATCAGAAAGTTCTTGAATCACTTCTTCTTTAACATCAACGTCATTTTGTAACATTTTTTGGGCTCTTTCTTTCTCTTCCACTTTTTTATTTAACTCTTCAATTTCTTCTTTGTTGTTTTTAAGGATTTCTTCATAGCTTTCAACTGATTTTTTTCTATATGAAACATACAATTCATTGATTTCTTCACTTAATTTTTGTGACTCTTCTTTAAGACTTTTAATTTCTTCATCTTTTTGAGATTTAATCAAATCTTTGTCCATTTTCATCCTAGCAACTAACTCATTTTTTTCGCTTTCTGCTTTGGCTCTTAGGGTATCTGAATTGCTTTTTTGTTCTTCTAGCTCAATATTTAGCTTTTCTATAGTTTCATTAAGTTCAGAAAGTAGAATTTTGTGATTTTCAATGATTTCTTTTGTGCTTTCTAACTGAATTTCAAGATTCTCCTTGTCATTTCTTAAATTATTATTTTCTTCAGTAAGGATTCCAATTGACTTATTAGAGCTTGACAGTGTAGTTACAAGATGATTTGAGTCATTTAGCTTGTTTTCAAGCATTTTGATCTCATGGTCTTTAGATGAGATTGTACTATGTGAGAGCCTAAGTTGTGACTCCAATTCAGCCTCTTTTTGATTATGACTATCAATTAAATCTTTTATATCATTTTGGTACTGAGAAATCTGGAGGGTAATTTTGTCGTTTAAAATCAAGATGGTCGAATTTTCTTCTGATTTTTCTGAAAGACTATTACTGAGCTCTGAGTTTTTCTCTTTAAGTGATTTTATTTCTGCAATGTAATTAAGAGTGGCTTGATTTAAAAATTCATTTTGGTTGGTTAAGCTTTCATTTTCTAAGGTTTTTTCATGGATCTCTTGATTTAAAGATTCAACATTTTCTATAAGTGATGTGATTTGAGTATCTTTTTCTGATTTTTCTTTATCGGCAGACTCGAAGGCTTCTTTATACTTATCAATATCATTCGAGAATTCGATAATTTGATTCTCCTTATCATTGATAATATCAAAAAGTTTTGTAATTTCTTGATCCTTTAAGGAAAGTGATAATTCTAAGCCAGTATTTTTTTCTTTCATTATAGCTAGTTCATAGTCTTTTTCTTTTACAGCTGCTTCTAAATCTTCCAGCTTTTCTGAATACTTTGTTGAGTCTGCATCAATTTCACTGAGCTGAATTTCAAGCTCTTTAATTCTACTTTCAAGCTTTGCATTTTCATTTATTTTTTCTTTAATTTTCTCTTCCAGCTCATTTTTCTTCTCTTCTAATAGAGACTTTGATTCTATAATAGTATTAATTTCTATCTTATTTTTTTCAATAAGATCTATGCTTTCAATCTTATTTTTGTCTAATTGAGCTTTCAAATCTTTAATTTCTTTTTCATTTGTTATGATATTTTCTTCAAGATTCTGAATCTGGTCATCTCTTTTGCTGATAAGAGATTTTAGACCTTCTATATCATCTAGTAAATTATTATTTTCGTTTTCCTTTTCATCTAAACTTGTCTTCAAAGTCAAAATCTCTTTTTTACTTTCTCCAACCTCTTTTACTAAATTTTCAATCGTTTGGCTTAGCTCGATTTTATCTTTGCTATTTTTATTGCTTTCTGTTTCATAAACTTTAATTTTTTGAGCCAAATCGTTTTTCTCTGTCACTATATTTTCTACTTCCTTTTCTAAATTTTTAATTGTTTCTGCCAAATAAATATTTTCTTTCATTTTCTCTTCCAATTTTTGTTCTAAATCCTGATTTCTTGTTAGTAAATTATTTTGATTTTCATCTTCTTCTTTTATTTTTTCCTGCAATTTTTTTTCTAAATCCTGAATTTTTACAAGCAAATCATTTTGATTTTCGTTTTTTTCATTTATTTTCTTTTGCAATTCTTGTTCTAAATCCTGAATTCTTGTAAGTAAATTATTTTGACTTTCACTTTTGCCATTAATTTGCGATTCCAATATTATAACATAATCTGCCAATTTATTCTTCTCATCGTCTTTTAATAAATTTTCTTCTTTCAAAGAATTTATTTTGTCATTTAAGACATCAATTTTTCCTTTATTTTCTGAGTTTTCATTTTCTAATTCTAAAATATACTTAGTAAGTCGATCTCTTTCACTTTCATTTTCTGATATTTGAAGCTCTAAATCTTTTACTAGCTTATTGACCTCATTTTCTTTTTCTAAAGTGCTTTGTCCTAAACTGCTCAATTCATTATCGAGTATTTCAATTTGTGCATTTTTTTCTATAATTGATTTTTCCAAAGATTGAACTTTTTCAGTATAAATATTCAGGGTTTCTTGATTCTCTTGTTTTAATTGATTAATCTCATCAAGATGAGAACTCTCTAGTGATTTTATTTTTTCACTAAAATTAAGAGAATCATTTTGTCTGTCATCTTCTAAACTCTTGATATTTTTTAAATATTTCTCTTCTTTATTCTTTAAAGCTTCTGCTTTTTCATGTTCATCCTGAAGATTATTTTTTAGCTCTTTTATGCTCTCTCTGCATTTGCTGATTTCCTTATCTTTTTTCTCAATATTTTCTTTCAACTCATCTATTTCACAATTAAATGTTTCTATTTCTTTCTTAATTTCATTATCTTTCTCAATAATATTTTGTTTTAATTCATTTATATGCACAATATTTTCTTCGATTTCTTTGTCTTTCTTTTCTATTTCGCCCTCCAAACCTATTATTTGCTCAAGATATTTATCTATTACACTGTCTTTTTCTTGAGATTCTTTTGCTCTTGTCACAATATCATCGTAATCTTTTTTTAATTTTTCTAATTTATTGCAAAGCCTTTCGTTCTGACTTAAAGCTTGCTCTAATTCATTTGCCTTATGGGCTAAATTGTTTTCTTTTTCCTGAATTAAATTTTCCAAGTTTTTGATTTTTCCTTTTTCTTTCTTTAAGTCTGCTTCTATTTTTTCTTTTTCTGTTTCAATATTGATAATAATTTCTTCAAATCGGCGTTTTTGAACCTCAAATTCAGCTGAATCTTTTTCCCTTCCTAGATTGGCAATTTGTATCGCTTGAGTTAAAGAAAGAATCTCTTTATCTTTTTCGGCAATAATTTCATTATTTTTTTCTTTTGCTGAGTTAGCTTCATCTAAGCTGTTTTGAATTTCTTTAATCTTGTCTTCATTTTCTTCGCTCAGCATTTTATAATGCCTTACACTATTTGCAAGTCTATGTTATGATTACTTTTCTTTTTCTTCCAATAAATCTTCACAGAGTTGATTTAAAGTTGTTTCTTTTGTTGCATACTCTTTTTCTTTTTTATCTGATGTTTCTTTAAGAAGATTAAGTTTTGCATCGTTCTCTTCAGTAAGCTTTTTGATTTCACTGCTATTCTGATTAAGTCTATATAAATTTTACTGGTTTCTAATAAATTCATTCTCATTTTGCTTTTCAATAAATTTCTTCTCCATCATTTTGAGTTCAAATTTCAAATTGTCAATCTCTAGCTGCACTTCTTTTTGCTTTTTTAGTGAGCTTTGTTTTGCTTCATTAAGTTCTTTGACAGTTTCTTCTAATCTAATTTTATTTTCATTTAATAATGATTGGTAATTTTCTGATCCTTTTAATGTCGAGTCAATCCATTGCTTTTGAGATTCATTCAAGTTATTCAACTGATCTATTTCGAGCAACAAGTCATCCTTTTCGCCTTGAGCTGCCTTACAAAGCTCATTTAGTTCAATGATTTTTCTTTCATAAAGATCAATTTTTTGTTCTTGATCCTTTTGAAGAGTATTTAGCTCTAAACTTTTATCTTCAAGCTCCTTTGATTTTTTCTTTAGATTATCCTGAAGATTTTTGATAATTTCTTCAAGTTGCATCTCTTTTTTCTTTGAATTTTCTATCCTTATTTCATAATCTTGCGCTTCATCATTAAATTGGTCTTCGATTTGGCTCTTTTCTTCTTGATTAAATTAAAATTAAATTAAATTCTAGCAGGTCTTTGGGGTTTATTTAAACCCTTCACCGTCCCACCACAGGCTTCAGGCTCAAGTACCCCTAGTCATCTGGCATCGCACAATACCCTTTCCCTATCTACATCACTAGTCTCGAGAAGACTCATCCGATTTTTGTGTCTTGGTCTGGTTCTTACAGAATTGATTTATTAACTCTAAATCGTGCTCAGGATATTGATAAAATCACTTGGTGCCTTCTTTCAGACTACCCTCCTGATAAAGAATAAACTGTTTCTCAGAAGTGTGAGCCAAACATTGTGCTCTCATTACATCGTGTGAGGGTGAAACAAAAAAGCCTGCTATTGAATCCTGGCCAGGCAAACTAATGCCGGGCCTCTTTAAAGAATGGAATCAACTTGCCAGTCAACTACCCTCTCTATCTTTTATAAAATTTTCTTTTTGAAGAATATTAATTTTTTCTGATAATTCAGCATTTTCTATCATAAGCTTTCCATAACCCTCTTTCAAAGCAATCTTTTCACTGTTTGAATTAATTAGATCTTCATTTACATTTTCAATAATTTTTTTAAGTGAATAATTTTCATCCTTCAATATATCAAGCTCTGCAGCAAGTCTGTCATTTATATCATCCAATTCCACAACTTTTTCTTCCATAGAATTTAATGATTTTTTGTATTCCTCTACTCTTTCTTTCAAGGATTTAATTTCTTCTTCTTTTCTCTTACTCCCCCCTCTGCGAGCGAACAAAAAAATTTGTTCGCTTAAGGAGGGATATTTTTTTTTTAATTTTATAATAAATTTTTAAGCATCCAATTCGCAAAAATTAGAAAGCAAAAATTGATTTAAATTTTTTAAATTTATGTCTAGAGTGCAGACTGTTTAAAAATTCAACAGAATTAGCTCGAGATTATAATAATACTAATTATCACTTATATATCCGAAATTTTTAAACTAATTTTTTTACTCATGGAAGGGGGAGTTAATGCCATTTTTTAAATCATCAAGCAGGCTTTTTTCTTCATTTTGTTGTTGATCATTGAATTGCAGATTTTTCAGCTGATTCTGAATCTCCTTATTGAGATCTGCAATTTCGCCATCTTTTGCTTTGATTATATCTTTATATACTGTGTTGGAAAAATTTCAAACCTCTTATTTCGCCAATAAACTGCTTCCATTAAATTTTTTAATAGTTCAAACATTAAAACTATTGTTCCTATAATTTAAATTAAATAATTTGTCTATAAATAATGATTGCAAAACTTTATATTCTATCCAGTATCTAAAATAGACATCTTTGAATGAGATATTATTCTTGGAAGCTGCATTTTATTAAAATAAAACAATTTTTATATAATTATTAATTTAGATTGTGATATTATAAATAGAGATTTCTAATAAAATTGCTGATTTTTATTTTTAAAATTATTATAAGTATATCTTGTTTGATTTTTGTTCAAATCCAAAATGCAGAATATTGAGATCTATTTAAATATTAAAAATATTGCGTTATTCGGTTTTAATTTTATAAAAAGAAATACAAATTAATGATGGTGGTTTTTTTTTGGATTTGAGCACATCTTAAAAACAAGAGATGCTCTCAATTCCAAAATGCAAAAAATAATGATCTATTAATATTAAGTAAATTTTAATATTAAAGAACTGCATTATTTCGAAAAATCTCTCGAATCTCTCTTAAAAATAAAATATACTTAAATTGTAATAAAGAACATTTTCATATCTTTTACACTCTTAGGAGTCATAATAATTTAATTTATGTAATTTATTAGCATCTAATTATTAATTGTCTAAAATTTTATTAACTAACTCCCCTGTTCTGTGAGTGAACAAAAAAATTTTGTTCTGGGGTTAATTTTTATTTTTCGAAATTTAAAAAAATCCCGATTCGCAAAAATTGAAAGCATATATTTATTTAATTTGTAAAATTTATGTTTTTAAATGCAAGTTGTTTAGAATTAAACATAATTAGCTAGATATTTCGTTATAATAATTGTCACTTATATATCAAAAAATTTTTTATAAAGAATTTTTTTTCGTACATGAAGGTGGTTTTTGAGTAAAAATAGGGATTTTTCCAATAGTTTTGTTCTCTCTTGGAGGGGAATAAGTCTATTCATATTGATGATGGATAAATGAGAATTCACCAGATACTTGCTTATGCCTGATCAAATCAAGCCCATTAGGAAATTCTGCCAACGCTTTATACCTGTTTATCTCGTTTAAGTTGGATTGCTCTTTTTCATTTAAAACATCTTCTAATTTCTTTAGCTCTAGTTTAAGAAATGCAATATTGTCATCTTTCTCAGTTACTGAGTTATCTATATCTCCTAGTTGCCTTTCTAAATCTTCAATTATAATATTGTCATTTTTATTTTCTTCTTTTAGAGCCAGGTTTTCCTTGCTTATTTTTTCTATTTCTTTTTGAAGACCTTCAATTAGTTTAGCTTGAGCTTTTAAGCCATCTGATTGAATTTGTGAATTTTTGATTTTTTCCTCTTTTAGTGAAGAATACTTTCCAATTTCATCAGCTAAATTTTCATTTTCTGATTTTAATCTATTTATTTTTTCTTTCAGTTCATTAATCAAGAATCCTTTGTTTTCTTCTTCATCAGTAAGGATTTTATTTTCATATTGAATTTCTTGGAGTTTACCGTTTAATTCCTCAATTTCTTTATCCAACCCTACTATCTTTTCATTTAGCTCTTTAATTTGGCTCTCATGCATCTTTTTTATTTGTTTTTCAAGTTTTTCTTTATCTTTAAGCGACTCAGAAAGACTAATAATTTGGTTTTCCAAAGATTTTATCTGGTCTTTATGGACTTTTTCAGCTTTTGGGTCGATTAATTTTTGTGGAGAGTTTTTTTCTATTTTTTGTCTGCTTTCTGATTCTTGTTTTAAGCCTTTTCGTAATTTGTCAAGTAAAATGTCTTTTTGCTTTATTTGATTTTTTAATATTTGCTGCTCTTCAATATGAGTTTCTACTTCTTGCTTTAGGTTTTCTGATTTGGATAATTCTTCATTATACAATTGACTTAAATCTTCAATTCTTGCATTTGCTTCATTAAGTTCCTTGATTTTTTGGTCTATATATAGCTAGATTAAAATAAATTCAAGGGTAATTAAAAATAATAAACTTATAGTATAATTTATATAGAAAATAGGGAACAATCTTTTATTAAGAAACAATATTTGCATGAAACCTATTTTAATAAATAATAACTCTTTTTTGAACTTATCAGAGCCTAATCGAAGCTGAGGCATCATTTCATTTTTTTCTTTTTCCATTACCTTGATGATCGATCTCAATTCCTGATTTCTTACTTCTTTCAAAAGAAATAAAATTTCATCGCTTGACGGAAATTGAAATTCGTGGCTCTTATATGAAGTAAGTAGGATATATCCTGATGAAACTGAAATAGTGCTATGCCACTTTTCGAGTAGGCCTTTAGGCTTGGGGAAGCCTAGCCTAAGAGGGAAATTATATTTCTCATCCGAAGGTTCTCCTATCCTTTCCAGATGGGCTAGACAGGTTTTGCCTATCACATAGTCTCCCCTTGTTCGGAACTATCAGAGCAATGTCCAAACCTGGATTGCTAATATCTTGGAAGGTGCTTAGGTCGGAAATCCAAAGAACTGCCTTATATTTTCTCTCATTCAAACCTCGGGGTAAATTGAGACTGCTTTTCTTGAAGCCAAGACTAAGCAAAGGCGAGTGGGTTTTCCATTTATAAAAGTTTAATCTTTTAACATAACTTACTTCTTTTTCTTTGCTATCCTCTTCCGCTTTCTTCAAGATTTCTTCAAATTGCTCAGCTTTATCACTAATATCTTTCAAAGCTTCATTTAAATCGCCATTTTCCTTTTCAAATTTTTCTTTTTCGCTACTGATTTCATTTATTTTTTCTTCCAAGCTTTCAATTTCTTTATTTTTATCTTCCAAAATTTTTGATAAAGAAAGTATTTCTTCATTCAATTTTTCGATATTCTCATAGTCATTATCAGCATTTTTCCTTCCTCCTCTGACCTTTTCTCTGCTTTCTTTACGAATCGCTGTGCTTTTCTTTCCACTGGAGTGCTCTTTTTGGTATACTTCTCGTAGCCCTTCATACTCATTTTTTAGATCTTCAAAGTCTTCGCATTTTTTATTGTACTGTTCACTGAGATTTTCAAAATTTTGCTGAAATTCCTCTTTCATAGATTCGTTTTGTTCTAATTGTTGATTGAACTTTTGGCCTAATTCTTGATACTCTTTTAGAAGCTTTGACATGTCTTCTTTTAAGCTGAAATTTTCACGTTTAAGCGCTCTGGATTCTTCCTTTAGCTTGAGATCACTATCCTTAATATCAATTGTCCAGCCAGTCTTAGTGGTTCTTGAAAATCTATCATTTCCTTTATAATTTTCAATAATTTCTTCTAGTTTTCTCTTTTCAGATGCATGCTCATCTTTTAATCTTTGAATAGCTTTTTCATAGGTAGATGGATATTGTGCAAACTTGGTTTTCCATTCCTGTAAAGCATCACGCTCTTTTATAATAGAATTTAATTTTTCTAGCAAGGAATGATCAGATGATTCTGGAGATCTTTCATTAGAAGAGGCTGGTCGAGTTAAAACTTTTTTTTCAAGATCATGGATTCTTTGCTTTAAAGCCTGACATTCAGTTTTTATTGTATTGATCTGAAATTCTTTATTCTGGATATAAGCAATTTTTTCACTTAGCTCGTCTTGTAAGGAAACAATAACTTCATTAGCTCTTTTCAATTCTTTTCTTAACAAACTTGTTTCATTCCCAGGAGAATATTCATTTTCTCCATCCCTAAGCATTTGTTTTAGCCTTCCTATATATTCGTCAGCTTTTTTAAGATTTTCCTTTAGTTCTCTATTTTCAATCAAAATATCTTCATCTTTTGATTTTTTTGGCGAAAATTCTCGATTTTTGAACATTTGGCTTCAAATTTGGTTATTTAAGTTCGCAAAAACTTCTCATAGTTTAGCCTTCAGGTTAATTTCATCGGTTCTTCTAGCGTCTTTTAGTATGATAAGAGTTTTGGCTTGAGCGTCCGCAAGCATCTCTGAAATAATTGAAAAATCTTTGGCAGACGCTGATTTATTCTCGGCGGTTGGGCTTGATAAAATTTCTTGGTCTAGTTTGTGCTTTTCTTCGTTTAGATCCTGAACAATTTCTTTTCAAGCTCTTGAATGGGTTAGAGAAGGATTCATTTCTTCGCTGTATGAAGTGAGAGCTAAATAGGAATTACACATGATTTTGTGAACAACTTTTTGTAGTCGAGATTGGACTTGGCTTGATTTCGTGTCTTCAAGGTGCTTTGAAGCTGAAGAAGGCCTTGGATGAAGCCTAGAATAATTGAAGAATCGATTAGTATCATGAGAGGGAGGATCTCTGGAGTAAGATCTTATGGGTTGAGTTGAAGTCATTTTCATTATTAGATATTGAATATATTTTTTGATAAGAAAATGAAATAAATATCTACTTGAAAAACAAAAATTTTACTAATCGGCACAAAATAAATTCAAAAGCCACTGCTTATTTTTTCAAAGCTTTAAGGGCCTATGCATTAATTTAAGTCTTTTCCAAATTTATGTAAAGTATCAGCTAGCCTTAATAAATTTAAAGATAAATAATTATCTCTCGGATATTTATTTTATAATAAAAAATTCAAAGCTTTGTGATTCTATATCACTTAGATATATATAAACGAAAAGCTATTTGAGAAGAAAGCATGTTCATTGTTTTTCTGTCAGTAATGAGCTTGAACTTTAAGTGAATCGTAATCCTAAACATGAAATAAACGATTTATGAATAAAGAATTCAAGAACAAGAGATTGATATAAATAAAAATCCTAACTTTAAGCTTGAAAGATTTAAAGACTGAAGAATACTTTAAAAGCAGATATGAAATTAATATTATGCCAATTAAAAAAATCGATTTTCTGAAAAGCTGCTAAAAAGAGAACACTATTAGCAAAATATTCAAATAATGAGGGATCAGAAATAAATAATAACAGCCCTGAAGTTACAGCAAAGGAGAATTTTTCTTCTTGAGTTTTTGATCTAAAATTACAGAATAACCCTGACAGAGAAAATGCAACTGAAGAATCTGAGAAAATCGTATCCGATTAGCCAAATAACATTTAAATCTGAAGTTCTCAAAATTTTTTCAAGAAATAAGAGTTCAAATGATCTCATTTAGCTATATGAACAAATCATTAAATTTAGATAAGAAACTATCTCTAACTGAATGTGCTGATATTATTGTGCGACAAGTTGGGAGATGAGGGTTAGCTGCCAAATTTGCAAAAAAATTCAGAGAGTTGATATATCAAAATTATGGATTATGGATAGAAAGAATTAAGGATTTACGGTTCCTAGGAGTGAGCTTCTCAATAATCTTAACTAAATAGCTTTAATTCTCATGCTCATTCTTTATCTTAAGATATGAAACCATAATTTTTATGCTTTCTCAGTTTTTCAATAGGAATAATTTTCACACTCTAATTAACTGAATGAATTGCCTTTTTTTCTATTTAAAATATAAAATCATTTCATGCAAATTAAATTGAATCAGCTATCAGCTATTTATGTTGCATCCAAAATATTAAATCACTTATTTTAGGACTTATTGAAATAATATGGTGTGCGGCCAATATTTTGAGATGCAAAATCAAATTATTTTTGACTTACAGTTCTACTCCTACCGATTAAATTGATTATAAAAATTTGAAATTTCTTCAAAGATAAAATTCTTGCTATAAAGAAACTTCAAAAGTAGCTATATTTAATTTAATTGATAAGTATTGAAGATTAAGCAATTCTTTTTTCAATGACTGGCTTTCTTAGAAAAATATTCGAAGAATTAGTTAACGACTCTATGAATTTTTTAAGTTGGTATCAATTTAGCTATAATTAATTTTTTTATTTATTTATAGACTTTTTGAAAGGACTAAAATTTCTTTATAATTGATCTTATTACTATTATAATAAAAATATCCACCATACCAATCAGTTTCTTTTAATTAATAAATCTTTGTGTATTTAATATGTCATTCATCAATTTCCTTCAAGGCTATCAAGAAACAAACTTTCCCGCCCAACTAAATGATGCAATTCAATATTATCTTAGCAATGGGGATTTCGAAGCGGCATCGAATGGACTTTGTCAACTAATTTCACTTAACGGCAGCAACCCAGTTGATTGAACTAATCTAGGTCACTGCTACCTTATTATGCAAAAATTCGAAGAAAGCTTCAGAGCCTACTCTAATGCTCATCAACTATGGAACGATTCAGCTCCTGCTCAACTCTGGTATGGTTTAGGACTTCTTTGCTCCAAATGTAGACTTTTTGAAATAGCCGAGAAATACTTCGAAGCGACCCTTAGGACCGACCCCAATTTTGAGTATTCACCACAAGTATACTTAAAGCTGGGGATCATTAATAAAAATTCCAAACAATATCTTAAATCCCCCCTTCCGTGAGCGAACAAAACCATTTGAAAAATCGCTATTTTTTGCCCGAGCGAACAAAAATTTTTTTAATAGAAAACATTTTTATGAAAAAAAAATTTGATATATAAGTGATAATTAGTATAATGAAATCGATAGCTAATTCTGTTTAATTTTAAAAAATTTGCGTCTTAAAACATAAATTTATTAATTAAATTAATATTTGCTTTCCAATTTTTGCAATTAAGTTTTTTTAAATTTCGAAAAAATTTTTTTTATATATAATTTTTAAAAATAAAATTTAACACCCCTTCGTAAGCGAACAAGATTTTTTTGTTCACTCACGGAGGGGGGAGTAAGGCAATTACTTACCTCAGAAATTGTCTTAACATCCAGGACTTAAATAAAGATGAAACAATAGAAGTCTTATGTCAAATAGCAAGCTGCTTAGAAATCTCAAAGAAAAATGAAGCATTAGAACTATACAAAATTGCAAAAAATTTGCAAACAAACCTGAAAACAACGGTCTGCTTGGGCTGGGGACATTTTATTAATTGAGAGTACGATAAGGCAATTTTGTTATTTAATGAAGCTTTAAGCTTTATTGAAGATACAGAGAGCAAGGGGTATTGCGATATTTTGTATTTAAAAGCTCGTTGCTTGGCTGAAACTAAGTCGTTTCCTAGAGCACTTTCAATATTTAACGCAATCACTGGTAAATATCCTGAAGAACCAATATATAAAGTGTCCCTTGCAGTTGTATTCGCGGAGTTAAAGCAGTGCCAAAACGCTTTGAAATGTCTTTGTGATTGCTTGTCACTAAAGTACGATGAAGTCGATGTTTATGTAAATTTAGGGGTTATAAATGAGCTTATGTTTCAAAGAGACGAGGCTAAAAAATGGTATCAAAAAGCTATCGAAAAAAGTCCGACAAGTGGAACTGCAAACAACAGACTCAATTTATTAAATAAACAAAAAAATAGACCAAGGAACATTCCTAATTTATATCAGCCAAGTATTGATATCACAGAATTTCCTTTTAGGCATTTTGAGATGAGCTTTATGGGGGAAATATTTGCTACCCAAAAAAACTAAAGGAATCAGATAAATGTCCATTTTGGATCAGTATGAGCCCTTTTTTTAATTATATAACATGGCCTTACAGATTTATAAATTGCTTAATGAATATTTTTTAAGATATCTTAAGAATGCAGCATTTGCTCTTAATTAAAATTGCATACTTATATAATTTATATTGAATTTTTTGTAAAAAATTCATAAGCTACTAAATTTTTCTACTTGGATAATTGAAAGCTTTTAATTCCTCCTTAAATCATTGAGTCCAAAGCGACTAAATTTTTTAGTCTTCATTATTAATTTTACGAAATTTTAACGGCAGCATCAATCTAACTTATCTGACTCTTTTTACGCCCTCTTATTATCAAGAATCCAGGAAATATTTATCAAGCTTATATCTCAAGCAATAATTATTCATTTCTCCATGCTCATTAGCAATTTTCTTTCACAATCGAATTCTAAATAATCAAAAAAAATTATCAAGTTGTATAATTTGAAAAATCACGAGTGTAATTACATTGGTGAAAGCTTTTAGAATTTTAACTTTATGTTTTAAAGAACAATATAAACAAAAATTACGATTTTGATTTACTAACTCCCCCCCATCCTTGATCTAACGGCTCGTCATCGTTCGATCAAGGATAGGTTTAAAAAAAAATTTTTTTGGGAAAAAATTTTATATATTTTTTTTTATTTACTTTTAAATCAGAGGGTTAAGAGTATTTAATAATTATTTTTACAGCAAAAAATTGAATTAATTTCATAAGAAGACCAATTTTTAATATTTTGATTTATTGGCTACCACTTTTAAACTGTATAAATTTTAATTTTGTTCCTTATTGAATTAAAATTTTGTTTTTTAAAATTTTAAAGAATCTCTATATTTTAGATTATTGAGTTTTTAAGCCCAGGTTATTTACTAAAGCACTTCGGATGGTTGATTTCGTAGCTTCTTGTCGTCTCAAAGTCTCTGAAAACAACTTCATTAGGCACATCTTCCAAGCTTTTGATAACTATTATATTTCTATATATAAAAATTATATGAAAATTGTTCGATCAAGGATGGGGGTTCAATTTTTAGGAATTTTTACAGTCAATCGTTCGATCTAGGATGGGGGGGAGTAAGCAGATAAGAAAATACATTATTTTAGATATAAATTCAATTAAATCTTAAATTCTACTTGAATCATCATTCGAGCAAAGCCATTTTGCATTGCATTTTCGAGTGATTAACATTAAATAAAATCATTAATTATCACATTTTTCAGACGTAAAATTTAATTGTCGTCAGTTATATTTTATTTATATAAATTCGAATCTGAGTCTAAAAGAGAAGCATCTGACAAATTAAACACTATACTTTGAGTTACATAGCTAATCCTTGCGGATATAAATCAAACTTAAATAATTGATTAAAATTACTAGCCTTTCTTTATTCCATCTTATTATAAACTCCTAAAGTCTGTGATTCTCTTTAAAACTAATAAACCTTAAAATTAAGAAAATATTCAGAATTCCAGAAAAATGGACGGCTGTGTTGACACTTTAAAATTATTATATTTCTTAACCAAATTCTGGTGAATGTTGTAGTGGATTATAAAATATTAAATAAATGTCATATAGAGAACTTTTGCAAGGCTACGAAGGAGAATCAAGCCAACTTGATGACATTGCAGAAGCAATTGAATACCACCTTAGCGTAGGTGACTTTACAACTGCTTCTAATGTGCTTTGTCAATTAGTAGCGCTTGATAATTACAATGCAGTAGAGTGGACAAAGCTAGGCCATTGCTATCTTTTGTTAGAAAGATTGGACGAAAGCTTCCAAGCCTACACAAACGCCCACTCAGTCTTGAAGGATTCTGCTCCAGCTCAACTTTGGTACGGACTTGGACTTCTTTGCTTCAAGTGTCGGCTTTTTGACATGGCTGAAAGGTATCTTGAAGCAGCCCTTAAGGCAGATCCAAAATTTGAGTATACATCACATATATACTTAAAGCTTGGGATTATAAATAAACGCTCCAAACAATACCTGAAAGCCATCACTTATCTCAGAAACTGCCTTAACGCCAAGGATCTGGGATTAGAGAAGACAGTTGAGACCTTATGCCAGATTGCTAATTGTCTAGAAGTTTCAAGAAAGATCTATGCAATTGAGCTGTATCAAGTTGCCAGGAGCTTGAAAGCTGACGTAAAGACTACTGCATGCTTGGGATGGGGATTTTTTGTAAATAAAGACTTTGATAAAGCTATTTCAACATTCAACGAGGCTTTGAAATTAGCTGAAAATCCAGACTCCAAGCCTTACTGTGACATAATCTACCTGAAAGCCCGATGTTTAATGGAGACGAAATCTTTCCACAGAGCGCTTTCATTGCTTACATCCATTACATGTAAATATCCACAAGAACCTATATATAAAATGTCTCTCTCTGTTGTATATGTAGAGCTTGAACAATGCCAAAACGCTTTGTCATGCCTCTATAGCTGTCTAACCTTAAGGTATGATGAAACTGAAGTCTACATTAACTTGGGAATTGTCAATGAGCTGATGTTCATAAGAGAAGACGCCATGACATGGTACCAAAAAGTAATTGACAAAGACCCGAATAATAATATTGCGGCACACAGATTGAAATTATTGAGCAAACATAAAAACAAGCCAAGAAATATTCCTGAGCCACTCCAGCCTAATATTGATATAACAGAATTTCCTTTCAGGAATGTTGAATGGACTTATCAACAAACTGTGTATCCTCAGAACTGGCTCAAAAGCAACATTATTCAAGAGACGTCTATTTTAGGTATTGCTGATAATGTATATACAAAGTAATTTTAATGTAATTAGATAGTGATTTCTTTAATTTTACAATTTCAAAATAAAAAAATTATTGATATTAAGTGTTTATTAAAAATAAGGCATGCAATTCTACGGTGAATAAGATTTGCTGATAACAAGCTTATATTTATTTTAATGAATGTCTATGAAAGTTTATGAAGAGGACGCTGATCTATTTCCTACCACCATTAATGATAAGCATTTACGAACAAAAAAATTCCATTTACTATAATAAAAGTATCAATATTTATAAATTAGTTAATTTAATAATTTCCCCTTAATTACAAAAATTATGATTTTATTGGTTAAAATTCAAGTCAGTGTCTGTAATCTTACAATCAAAAGACGCCATGAATTTCAAAGATGCAGCTGACGTTTTAGAAGGTTTATTTTGGAACGCTGGATACAAAGGACCTTCAGGTAGTGATGAGAATATTTCTCCTTGCGGACTAAAAGGGCTAAAGAAAGTCAATGTCCCTGCTTCCATATCTAGGACTACTTTAATTTTGCAGGTACCCCTTGCAGCTTGATAATTTATTGGGCACCCATAAACTTGCCTTCCTTTTTGTGATGCTACTCCAATTTTAAATGAACTTTGTGAGTCATTTGAAAATAGAGCATTGTTTAAAATTTTGACTTCCCAGACATGCTTTCCAAATGGGTATGGGTTTTGGCACAATACGATTCCAGCTCTATCAAATTGAATCCATTTTTCTGACCCTCTTGCTATCATTGTTGCGTGCGTTCCTAAAGTGCTTGCATCAATTTTCTGGGCATCGTGTGTTCCTATTGTAACTACTTCGCTTCAATCCCCTTTTTCATCTGTAGATGCTAAGCTTGGAGACACTCTGAATCTATATGAAGTTTTGGGTAAAAGATCAGTAATTATACAAGTATGAGCTGGGCCTTTATATACTTGTCGAAACTGCTCAATATTTTGGATCTTTGTGCCTACTCCATATTCCAAGCAATACTGCAAGTCAGGCGAGCCTTTAGGTGGATGGCTTCAAGACACCTGAATTGCTGAGGCTGTCTGCAATTTTTTAATAAAAACTCGCCTCTCTAATGGATTTTCGTCTAAAGATTGGAATTGGCAAGAAGAATTATCTCGAATATGAGTAGGGGTGCAGTTCCGTATTCTTGGAGTAGATGCTTGTTTTTCATCATAAAAATTCATAAGGTCTTTATCTTTCAGGCAGTTTTGTTCGTTTTTTTTGAGAAGTGTACTTTTATTAGTGATATCGGAAACTCTCTGCCGTGGGGATTTTGAGAAAGAGTTCATACTACCTTTTGGTGATGGCACCCTTGATGAGTTTTCGTCTCTAAAACAGACCTTTTCTAAAGCAGCTTGCAAGGGTTGTACATTGATTTTACAATCAAAATCAGAGTTTATTGTTAACTCTTGGCTTTCGTCATTCTCCAGAGCTTGCTCAATTATATGACTTAAATAGCTTAAGCTTGTAAAAATCGTAGTTGCAGACTGATTTTTTGTAGCCGTTATAAACTGTGCGATTGTCTGCAGTTTTTTTATCCCTTTCTCCAAGGACTCTTTCGAAAAGTTCAGCTGGTTTATTTTTCTTTCTTTAGCAGTCTCAAGTTCACTTATAATTTCTTCTTCTTTTCACTTCAACATTTGTTTCATTGAGTTAAACGCTTGCGTTACTTGCAACTTTACCTGATTTGCATTATTTTCGATCCCGTCCAAGCTTTCTTTGACCCTTATGATCCCTTGCTTGATTTCTCTAGATTTTGCTTCAATTTTTTCTTGCTTAATTTGAATCTCATTTAAAGCATCATCTATGACTTCATCGAAGGCTAAAACAGCGTGATCTTCATGCATGCTTAAACATCTGTCACAAATAGCTTTTCACTCATCAGTACAGATGTGACTGAAACTGAGTCCATGCTCTTGGCATTTTTCTTCTGATTTTCCAGCATCGTAATTGTTTGCGGCTGTAACGATATGCCTTCTGTAAACTCCTAGCGAATGTAGGTGTGCTGAACAGTCTTTACACAAGTATGCCACACATTGTTTACAAAGCACTGTACTAGGCTTGTTTTCGCACCGTTCGCAGGTCTTTAAATCTTTATGTAATAACGATTGCAGAATTCTATTTGGGATTATTTCCTCTTCACATATTGAAATACCGCAAAACGGGCACTGGTCACTGACGTGTTCTTTGCAGACTGATTTCAAGCAGCAGCTTAAAATGACTGGACTGTTTGGAAAACTTTGGCATAGCTCGCATTGGAATTCTTCCATTTTAAATTTGGCGCCGATATAATATTACATTTAAGATAAATTAGAAGAGCTGTTATTAGATGATGCTATAAAAGCACTGATTTTCTGAGCTACAGCTGTATTATCTGAGTAAAGCTTGATGGTGTAGTCATGAGAATTATAGAGAAATTTTGGGTTAAAAAGATGAAACTTTTTGTATTTTTGCAGATTCGTGATGAGCTTGTTACCCAAAAACAAAAATTGTTGGTAGAGATGCTGGTTTTTAGAGTGCTCAAGAAGGAGGGTTTTAAGTAGGTCTTCACGCTTGTGGATGAGATGGAGGATTTTTAGAATAGTTTTACGAACAATGAGAAGCTTCTTGCAAGCTTTGCTGAGAGCTTTGAGAGTTTTGAAAGTTGGGAGAGTATCAATAAGAAGCTCGAGTTTTAACTTGTCAAGGGTGATTCGAGCTTTGAGGAGGATTTTTGAAACCTCCGGACCATCACTTCAAGGTCTTTTGGCAAGCTCAAAAATTTCATGTTCTGTGAATAAGGCAATATCATTTTCTGAGTTAAACTGAAAAAGATGAGAAATTGCATATATACCTGCTTGCCAAGAATAGCCCACAAGGAGCATTTTTTTGGGTTCGCCATTCTTAAATATTTGGTTAGCCAGAAAATATGTCATGCCAACGAATTTGGCAAGCCAGCTATTGTCCGGCCAACCAAAAAATGCTCCTTAGTGGGCTATTCTTGGTAAATAAGTATAGCTGTCTAGCACTGTATTTTTTCAATCTACTTGTGGTAGATTGGAAGGGACATTTTCTGATTTTTGACTTTGGGGAGCAGGCTTTTCAGGTGCTAATTTCACTATTTTTGAAAACCTTGAAAGCTTTGGTTTTTTTATTTGGACAATTCCATATGGGCTTCGGAATGGAGAAGTATTTACGAAACTTCTTGGTTTGCTAGATGTTGATAGGCATTCATTTGAACTGAAATTTTCGTGGTCAGAAATCTTTCCCCTTCTGCATGATGAGTATCTTTTAGGCTCTGCTGGAGGGTGTGCGACAATTTTAGTTAAAATTCGAGGATTTTTTAGCTGTTCTAGCACGTATATCCAAGAGTTCCTATTTTTAACAGCATCCGAATTCATAATTTGGTTAATCTCTTTAACCCTGCTTTCTGGGTTTTGCGGTCTTTTGCTTGAGTAGCTATTTGATCTTTCCTGCGGATTGTTTAAATTTTCATCGCTATTATTAATTTTTGGATTTGTTGAGCTTTTATTTGACCTCTTAGCCTCTGGTGTTCTATTAGAAGCTGCTGGAGACTTTTTGCTATTAACACTTATCGAGAAGCATGCTGCAATTCCCGAAGGACTATCTCCATCTGTAACTCCCCCTTTGCCTGCTCGCTAGTTCGAGCACAACCTTAGAAAGCATATATCTGCCGAACGAGGGACCGCACTCGCCACCTGGTAGTCGGATGAGTCACACCCCGTGCCTACGTCAACAAAGGTTGCCTCCTATGGAAATTCAAAATAGTTGAATTTTCTGTCGATTCTCAGCCAACATTGAAATCCGAAGCCCAAGGTGTAATTCTGATTTCAAGCTGAGGAATATTCCCGATTGGCCAGTAAATATACAGCTGGCTTTTTTGGGACACCCCTTTCCATTTCTCAGACTCGAGGCAAAAACCTATATCTGGAAGAAGCTTGAGGTCGGCTAGCCCGAGATTGAGCTTCGCCAAGTTAGGGAAAACCTTCCGCACACATATTCCCAAACGCCATCTCCTTTTATAAAGGTCTCTCACACTCTGCGGGATGTCAGCTTTTGAAGTTAAAAAGATGGGTGTCCTTTTCCATACCATATTAATATATGGCTTTTTTGCTAGCAATTGGCTTGATATCAATATTTTTCTTTTGGTTTTTATTTATATGTTTTATTTCTTGAGCTTTTTGGGCTATTTTTTGAGCAAATACATCATCTCCATAGCTTGAACTGTCATCCAAAATCCCTGATTCTCATTCCTCATTTCCGTTGATAGACAGTTGATTATTGTGAGATTTTTCAGCATTAAATTCTTGGTTTTGTGGAGTATTTGTTTCGATTTCTTTTAAGGTTGGGGTTTGCTTATGTATTGCTTCTTGACTGTTAAAGGATTCTTGGTTTCTTACCGAAGATTCTTTACTTTCAATTTTTGGGTTTAATTTAGCTTTGATATTTAGAGAGGGGTCTGAGGACTCAAAGCTGTCATTATATTGATCAGATTCATTTTCACTCTGTATAATAGAGCCTTTATCTTTAGAGTTCGATATTTTTGAACTGTTTCCTTCTGGATTTGGCTTACTTTCAACTGTTTCATCAAGAAAATCTTCAGAGTATTCGTCAAAGGAAACAATTTGGCTTCCATTATTTGATTGTAAAGGAAATGAGTATTTTTGGTTTGCAGTAGTCAAATTATCAGTGAAGGGATTTTTACTCATGCTTAATAATTAATTTCTTCGATATTTTAGATTAAAAATTAATTAGCATTTAAGCTATAATTATGGTTTTATTTAATGATGAAATTCATATCAATAATTTTTGAACATTGGATACATTGCATATCCAAAATAAAATAAAATAATATTTAATACTCCTGCTTTAATGTATTGTGGTATTCCTATGTAGCTATTTAATTTCATAAATGTTTCATTTCATATTTAGATATAATTTAAAAAGGAATTAGTAGACATGAAAGGGAATTTAATTTATATCCTTTTAAGATGCTCCTGAAATAAATATGAATTAAAGAAATTCTATATTAAAAATTCTTCTCAAAATAATTATTTAAGAAATTTTACAATATTATTAGGCGTTTTATTATTTATCTGCATATCATCGTTACAAATAAAATCAAATGGAAGACAGTTCACCTAGCTATTCAGTAAGCGCATCGCGAAGCCAATCTCAACCCCTACAAACACCTTCTCTTGAAATACAAAATTCTCAAGATTTCTTCGGACTTACTCCTTCCCCACCTAACAAAAACATAGAACTAATAAGCAACTACTCCAGCTCTGTATATGAAACGCTCCCTATTCTACCCTTACCTACTGTCACATACCTTCCTCCTCAGTCTAAAATGGTTTTCGACAGACTTATTGAAGATGTCAATAAGCGTAACCACCTAAAAATTAAGGTAAAAAAATTTCTATTATGCAGAGAAGAAGAAGAAATAAAATCTTTCAGATCTCCTAAAAGATTAACGAAAGGACAAGTTGAAGATCTTTATAATCGATTATTAGCCGATCAACAGAAAAGACAAGAATCTCAACGTTTAAGGCAAATGATGAAAGAGTGTTTTATAAAAGAATCACCAAAATCTGTAATTAGTAAACAAAAAGAAGAAGAACTTTTAGCAAGACTTAGCGGATATGCAAAGAAGAAGAAAGAATGGCTCGAAATTATGCAAGAAAAGAAAAGAGAGCTAGAAGATGAAGAATTTGAAAGACTGCAAGGATTCTTTCAGAAAAAATGCAGGGACCCAGATTTATTTGAAAGACTAAGTGTGCCTAAATCAAAACCTTCATCTAGAAGCTTGTCAGCGACAAGACTAAATTTTGTATCACCACCCAGATCTCCAACTGTAAAAGCGAAAAAAATATGCCTGGTGAGTAAAAAACCTATTGATAAATGCATAAGCTCTGCAAGAACACAAGATACACTTGACGTCTCTAATTCAAAATCAAGCTCATGTGAGTCAACTGTTCCATTGTGCGTCGATGCCAAGCCAGCAACACCTTTCAGTCCAAAGCAAGCAGGATTAAGTCACCCATGCACTCCTAACCCAGAGTCAACAATGAGAACTTGGTGTACCGCAAGAGTTTCACTAGTCTCTGAAGATAATAAGACGGAAAGTCCAAAAGGCAAATTTACATTTCTCAATGTCGATGATTATTTGAACAATCTTAAGGCAAAAATTAAGTCAGAAATAGCCCAAGCCAAAAATCAAAGCTGCTTGCCTCGTGAAATAAGCCCAAGCTTATGGAAAATTTTCAAATTATTCCCAGAACTCGAGAAAAAAATGAAGATTTTGCCGAGATAAATTCTTACTCCCCCCTCCTCGGTGAGTGAACAAAACCATTAGAAAAATCGCTATTTTTTGCCCAAAAAACCCCCTCCGTGAGTGAACAAAAATTTTTTTAATAGAAAAAATTTTTTATGGAAAAAAATGGAAAAAAATTTTGATATATAAATGATAATTAGTATAATGAAATTTAGAGCTAATTCTGTGTAATTTTAAACAAATTGCTTTTTAAAACATAAATTTTTATAAATAAATTAATATTTGCTTTTCAATTTTTGCGAATTAGGATTTTTTTAAATTTCGAAAAAACATATTTTTATAAAATTTATATATAAATTGTTAAAAAAAAAAAAATAACCCCCCCTCCGTGAGTGAACAAAATTTTTTGTTCACTCACGAGGGGGGGGAGAGTTAGAATTAATTTTAATGTTTTAAAGCAGGAACTCATTGATTCCCATCTTTGGATAAATGGCTAAATTGGCAAGTAAAATCGCTGTCAAAGCCAATAAAACTTGAATAATATGGAACACCCTAAGAAAAGAGAATTTCGTATATGCGCTTTTGAATCTATCATTGTAAACCATAAACAGTACTCTTCCCTCAGTTTGTCTTTGCCTCAAGAACGATACTTGTGACTCCCTTAGTCCAATAGCGACTAAATCCTGTGTAGGCACGTCGAAATATACATTCATCAACTTTGCTCTCTTGCAGACTTCTGGTGCATAAATCATATACTTAAAAGGGTCATCACATAGCTGTCTGTTAGCTCTATGAGCTTTAAATATTCTTTCATAAATAAACCACACAACAAGCCATACAACGATTACAAAAATGTTAATGAATGGAATTAAGCCAAGGATAAAAGTAATGAAAAAGGAAAAGATCATATATAAAGATTTCCCTTGGATTGCCCAGTGAGATTAAAAGATTTTTACTTACTGGATAGTATAATAAGCCAATGCATAGAGAGCATGTGTGTCTGCTTCCAATAAAGTCCAAAATCTTTTCATCCAGAGCCCATAAAAGCAGTTATTGTCGATTCCTTCAAATGTTCCTTCTGATACACGATTGCATTTGGCATTAAATTGCTTTACCACATGATTATAAATGCCTATAGGATCCTCTGAAGTAATAAATTTGGGTTTTCCTGATTGCCTTTGTGAGAGATTTCTATAGAAGCGGTCTGCTTGAGATTCGACCTCTGAGTCTGCGGACATTTAAAGCTTGCTAGCCATTCTAGCATAGGTTTCGATAGCCTAAGCTCATTTTTGCATGTCTAAGCCCAATTTTTTTATAGTTTTATCATGCCAAATTAATTTTTAAAAATAATTAACATGAAAAAAGCAGTTACTAGATATATAAAAATACACCAAAATTATCTCTATCGAATTAAACTAAAATTTCGCTATAAAGCTTATTTAAAAACAAAAAATTTATTTAATTTGTATCAATAATGCAAATAAGGCATTCTGACGCACATGTGGCAAGTTTTCCATTTCTCCAGTCCAATCCTTCAACAGACCCATTATGAATTCTTCCATAAAATCCGTTTTCAAGAGTTTCTAATTCCCCCTCAGTAATCGAGCAAAACATTTTATTTGCTCATAGACGGGGATTTTTTTTTCAAAATTTAAAATTATCCCATTTTTGAAATAATTTAAAGTAAATATTAATTAATTTGTAAAATTTTATGTTTTAAAATGCAAGCTTTTTAAAATTAAACAGAATTAGCTAAATATTTCATGATAATCATTATCAATTATATATCAAAATATTTTTATCATAAAAAATTTCTATATCAAAAAATTTTTGTTCGTTAGGGATTTTTACGGTGGCTTTGTTGTTTGCTCATTGAGGGGGAGTAAGTGGAAAATCATCAGGTAGCCATTCTGAGTAACGCAAGCTACTCGTTTGCCGTTTTCTTCTATTGCTGCATACGTAATGGTATGCCATTCTCTAATAAAATTGGTCGTAAAGATGTGCAATAAAGTCCAGGTCTTAGGGTCGTAAATTCTCATAGTTTGGTCATCAGATGATGTCAAAAACAATTCGCAAATTTCTGCATTTTTAATTGAAGTTGCTGAGATTGGGAGCCACCTAACACCTGTAACTGCTTTAGAGTGCTTAGGAAGAGCAATTATCATATTTTTCGAAGTTCAGTCCCAGATGTTGACAGTTTGATCTTCAGAGCCTGTTGCTATTAAGCCGGAATCAGGTGACCATGCTAAAGTCCATATTTCACTGAAATATTTGAGAGAGCCGAAATTTACGTCTTCACTATCTGATTGTTTGTCATGGGCAATAAAACTCGTATCTACGCTCATATTGCTATCAGCAGCTTTCGATAGAATTCAAAGCTCTCCATTCTTGGTTCCAGCTGCTAGATAATCTTTTATTAAGCCCTGCTTTCAGCTCATACATATAACATCACTTTGCAAATTCCAAATTTGATCGTAATTCTCAGTTTCCCCATTTACTTTATACAAATGCCCGTCGAGGCCTCCAAGATAGATTTCTTTTCCATTAATATCCCACGACAAACATCGAATGCCCGATGGAATTTGTCTTTCATACACAAGTTGATAGGTTTTTGTATCAAAGACTTTTATATTCCCAACAAAATCTCCGACAGCAATTAAATCTTCTATTGGGTTTATCTCAAGGCCACAACAAGTGATTTTAAAAAACTCTAATTTCAATTCTTTTGTGATTTCACTTGAATTGGGAAAGTCTTTAAAATTTCACAGGAAAATGCCGTATTCATTAAGCCCAACCAATACCGAATCTTGAATAATTCATCTTAGGTATGCGCAAGTTTTATTTATCCACTGAATCCCTGTTTTTACTGTTTGAAAAGCAGGATTAACGAAATTTAAGTCGATTTCTCCCAAAACTTTTTCTTGATTTATATCGAATTTTGTATAAATTCCTGAATTTGGTGAAAAATAGCAAAAATTATCAATAAACTCTAAGCAAAGCATTGATCCAGCTCCAGTTACTTTAAACATATGAAGAATTTCCAAAGTTTCCATATCAATAATAGCTATTGTTCTGCACAAGTATCCTACTGCAATTTGTCCTTTCCTATTTGTTATAATTGAGTTAATCCTACTGAAATTTGGTAAAGTAATAGATAACGAATTTCTGTCCCCTTCAATTCTTTGGAACAAGCAGCCATAGTATATGAATTTTCTCTGATGCCGTTGTCTCATGGTTTCCATTATATCATCAATAGGATCTTCACTATCAGAATCGCTATGAAAATCTGTGCAAGCTAAATCTTCAGGAATAGGCATATCTCTTTGTCTTAGACATGGCCCTCTATGCTCATCTGGTGTATTCTCTCTTAATGCGAAAAGAGAATTTAGATGTGAAAACTCACATAGTTTATAATTTCCTCGAATAGTTAGAATTTTTTCAAAGCTAAAGTTTTCATTAATCCTCCAAACATCAATAATTCCATTATAAACTCCAAATACAGATGATGCAGCTACTAAATTTCCTTGATTATTTATTCTGCTTTACAAAAGAGCTGGTAATTCCATTTTTTTATTATAAAAATAGCACGCTCTACTAAAACAGATTACACATCCATGACGAACAATACGCTCTGAACAGATTGCTGATGATAGCAGAGTTCCAGATAAAGAAAAAAGCTTGATTTCTCCACAATAAGCCATTGTTGTAAGCTTGTCTGGGCTATCAGGAGGAATTGGGAGAGTAACTACAATTGAATTGTTGTGAGCTTGAAATCTGTACAATTCTTGTAGAGTAAGAGCATCACGTTTAACAATATGACCACCAATAGGGTGATAAAGGGAAGGTGAAGGCTCTGAAGTTATGAACACATTTTGAAAACGGCTTGAGTGGAGACCGATGTATTGGGATTTTAGGTATGAATAGGGTTTCTGATCCATTCTGAAAATTTTATGAGGAAAAATAAACTGAGTTTTATGAGATTTGCAATGTATGGCTTGCTTGAAAGATCATAGATAATATAATAATTTTCTATGAGTAATAAGCTATATCATATTCAGTTGCAATATAAGTAGATAATTAAATCTATTCTATTCTACTAAATTATAACAGCGCTCGCTGTTGAAGCCCTTAAGGCTCTTTAATAGCCAATCTGTCATGATAATTAAATCAAATAATAAAAAACTCTTAATTCACATATTAGGAGCTTGCCGCCATAAAAAATTATGCAGAATTTTAAATATTTATTTCATAAAATATTGCCTATTATTTATTTAATATAGATTATTAAACAATAATGATATCTTGAGAAATCTTACTCTTTTCTTACCTAATATCATTTTTATAATAATTTTTTAAATAATTTTTAATATTATTTTAATATTTATCAAAATTAAATCTTTAATTAATCAGGGGGATTTGCAATTATAATATAATAAACAATCTAAATGCAACAAGCTCCAGAAACACTTCTTGCAAATAGCACGATTCAATTCAGCACTTCATGTGAAATTTGTGGTAAAGATTATGATCCCATCAATCAACTGCCATATATTCTGCAAAATTGCAAACATTATTTCTGCTTGCCTTGCCTTAACAAAAATAAGATGCGTTCAACAGCTGAAACAACAGGATCACTATATTATCTCTGCCCAACTTGCAAAGGTAAAAGTCGATATGCTGACAAGCACTCTTCTCTTATGCTAATTAAGATTAATTGCTCTTGGATTGTTATTACGCATATTTTAATGGTTTAGAAAATTATTTGTAGGTGCAAGGCTAAATAATCACTTTAAATGAGCATGTTAAATATTTAGAAAAAAAAGTTTGTCTTCATCATGGCTTGGATTTTGTCGCTTTTTGCCCAAGCCATGACCATCTTCTGTGTGCCACTTGTCTTCCAGAGCACAAAAGGCAAGAATATTTTATGCTAGATAGTCCAAAAATAAAAAAATACACAAAAGATAAAGAAGTTCTACTAACAGAGTTTGTGAATAGAATGCATGACTACATAAATATATCTAAAATAGAGGTTCAGGAGCTTGAAGACCTAACTTACCTCTATTATTTAAAATCAGATAAATTCATTTCAAAAAAATATGAATATAACTAAAATATTTAAAATGCATAAAACGCCAATTTTTATAAATGACTGATTTTGCGGAGTAAGGGATCAAAATAGCCAATATGAATTACATATCAGCAAAATTATTGAAACAAAAGAAGGAATGATTAAAACAATAAATGAAAAAGCTCAGACTTGCATCAATGAAATTGAAGGAATTATAAAGAAGAAAGAAATAAAAGAACTCTTACAGACAATAACTGATAACTTAAGCCATTATGCAAGAGTCTTTAAACTTATGCAGAAGAAAAAGGATAAGTTTCCTAATCTTGACGAAATTAGCCAGTTGGAAATTAAAAATAAAGATATGACTCTAATCAAGCCCGCTAAAATGTTTAATAGGGATAAATTAGTAGCGCCGCCTATAGATACGATTGATTATGAAGGCTCTATAGAGCAAGGGGCATTAGCATATAAAAGGAGGAAATTAAAGATGGAGCAAGAGCCAGAGGAAACCAATGAAGCAATTGCCAATGAGCTAATTCAATCTCAGCAAGCAGCAATCGAGAATGAAAATCAAAATAACCTTCGGGATCAAGAAACAAATCAAGCTCTTGATCAAACTCAAGCTAATTAAGATGCATTTGAATTATTTTAATAATATAACTCCTGCACACTTTTAGCTCATTTTGATTCAAGGATCTTCTTCGCAATCTGGAGCTCTGATAGCCACCTAAAGGGGGCAAGTTAACTCCAAGTTGATAAATTTTGACAAAAGGAAGCATTTTTTTGCCAGCATTTGGGTGACTCGTTAGAGCTCCTTTTGCGAAGAAGAACCTTGAGTCAAGGTGCTAAAGGCATTCACGAGCTATATTAGGATTTAGCTAATATGCCGAGTATTTAATATTATTTTTTATATTTAAATTGCCTCTAAAATTATTGTTTTATCATATATAATCTTTTGTGAAATTCGATTATTAAAGTTAAAACTTGCTTAAGTATTAAAAAACATTTGGTAAATCATGAACTAAATACAAAAATATAATTATTCTCACATTACTCAATTTAGGCTTGCTTATTCAATTCATCTTTATTTAATTTCAGTTATGGATTTAAAGCAAAAACTCGAGTATCAACAAGGAATTGAGGATTATTTAGAATCAAATGATGTCTATGAGCTCTTTGAGTATCTACTAAAAGAACTTCTAGTCGACAAGCCAGAAGATCCCATTGATTTTCTCATTCATAAACTTGAAAATCCTCGCCGCCGACGTCTATTTCTTGTAGGAGGGATTGGAAACTCTCGTCGTATGATAGCTCGAGACTTGGCATCAAGATTCAGAGTTGAGGCAGTCAATGTTTATGATCTTCTGAAAAACGAGGTCAAAAAAGCTGGAAAGCACGCAGAAGGAATCCTTACAGCCTGGCGTTCAGGTATCTACGTTCCAGATGACATAATTCTTGAAATTTTAATGCCAGTTCTCGAAGGCCTAGAAAAGCAAGGCAAGAGTTATTCTTATTCATCATCAATAAAAGTACTAGAACTCAGCTAAATTATATACTTCGTTATAACAATAGAAATTTAAAAACCAAATTGTTTTTTTAATCTATCTTAAAAAATATACATACTAAATGGTTGTCCTAGAACAAGAGTTCAAAGTCTTGCTCTTCAAAGAGCAGGAATCATTCCAGACCGAATTGGAATTTTAACTACAGATGAAAACGCTTATAAAGAAAAATTCAGACAAAACTTCATTGAGTCTCAAGAACAAAAACCATCAGACGAGAGCATCGCTGAATTAGCCTCACAAAGAGCAATAGAAGAGCTCAGCTATAACTTAAATGGCGTCAAAGATGTGTACAAAAACCAATGGCATGAAATTGAGTCTACTGGAACTGTTGATAAAGTCGCTGATAAGGTAGCAAGAATTTTCTTAATGAAAGGAAGATCTAATGCTCCTAGAAGACCACCAAAAGTAATCCTATTAGGGCCGCCAGGATCAGGAAAATCGACACAAGCTCAAAATTTATCTGTTAGATACGGATTAACACTGGTATCAACAAGCCAATTACTAAGGGATCAAATCAATAGAAAGTCAGAAATCGGGAAAAATATAGCAGCAATTATGTCAACTGGAGATATGGTACCTGATTTCATAATTACAGAATTGGTTAGAAATAGACTGCAGGAAACAGACTGCAAGATGAATGGGTGGATTTTAGATGGGTTTCCAAAAACTGTGGAGCAGGTAAGGTCGCTTAAAGAGTTCAAAATTCAACCATCTCATGTGTTTTTCTTAGAGAGCTCTGATGCATTAATATATGAAAGAATTGAGCAAAGAAGGCTAGATCCCGTTACTGGAAAGTACTATAGTGTTGCAGCACTCCCAGACGATCAAAATTTAAGAGATCGTTTAGTAATCCTTGAAGAAGACTCTCATGAAGCAGCCAGAAAAAGACTTCAAAACTATAAAGAGCATTCTACAAAGCTGCATGCAGAATTTGCTAAAGTTGGGATGAACATCAAAGCAGAGTTAGATGAGAATTTGATATCTGAAATGATTGGAGATGCTATTGAAAATTCTATTCCACATGAATTTGACTAAATTCTTAATAAATTTCTTCTTAATCATAATATCAAGTTTATAAATATGAAAAAAATTATTTCCCAGAAATAAAATGCCCTACTCGTCATCATGCCTTTCATTTCTTTTCTGCAAGAACAATAAAAAAAGATCTAGCAAAAAAAGCTCAAGATCAACCATAAATATTTCTTCTTTTCAAGAATTTATATCACATAAGGCGAATTCTTCAACACAGACACCTTCATCTGGTGACATCGAGTTTAAACAAACCTCACCTTTACAAAAATTGCATCTGCAGCATTAGCTGCAAATTCATCCCACAGGTCAACAATTGCCATTAAAAAGACAGATGGCTTCTTTCAGAATTTCCAAAACCAGGATAAGCTTGAAACTGCAGAGTCAGATTTATCGGTATCATCTATAACAAATCAATTATCTTACGGAGTATACGTAGAATCCTCGTTGTCAAATAAGACATTTTGCGGTATATTTAATTCAAAAGATGATGGGATTCGCTGGGATAAAAAATTCAGCTCAGCTAATCCATCGAAACTTCTATCAAACCCTTTTGCTACTGACACCAATAGTAATCGGCTAAGAGTTGTTGCGATAACTCCTATGGCTTGCTTAAGGCGAAGGTTCTTGCCTAAAAATCAAAGAAAAAATGACAATATGGCAGATACTGATAAATTCAGAGAGTGTGAATGGATGATTTTGAAGGGTTAAGCAGCAATAGCTTAGTAAATCTTTAGAAGCATTAATTTAAAATAATTTTATTATCAAATATAATTCTTGCCTTAAAATTTAATTTTATTGCACATCTCTTATTAATTTTTAAATTATTAGATTAAATTAGTTTCTAATAAGGTTTTCTCGTTAACTTTGGCGTCACCTCTTGTACGAACTCTGAAAAAGTGACTCTCCCATCTCTATTTCTATCATATCTATTCATCAGCCCTAATAAATCAGTCTCACTCGGGTACTTTCCATTATCCATTAAAAATTTCCTAAATTCCTCCAAAGAAATAAAGCTATTTCTGTTATAATCCAAGCTGCAAAAAGTATCTGTGGCATTAAAATCAGGTCTTTTAGAAATTTCATGTCTAAGTCTTTCTGAGGAATTTTCGTTGTTTACTAGACATCTCAAAGTTTTTCCAAGCTGAATCATAGTGTCGCTGGTAAAGATTTCTCCTTTATTATTTCTTGGAATCCTTGCTTGGATAATGGTTAAGTATTCATGCTCTTTTGGAGCGAGCATTTCACAAATGTCGGAGTATCTCAATCTTCCGTCTTCATCATTATCAAAATGCCTGAATAATAAGTAAATTTCTTCTTCAGTCGGGTAAACTCCAAGTGATTTAAAACAGTCTTCTATATCAATTTTTGATAAATACCCAAGCCCTTTTCTATCAAATAATCTAAAAGCGTCCATCAGGGTAAAATCTGAACAAAGGGCGAGGTTTCTTAAGCAAGACTCTAATTGGCGATCAAGAAGAATCTGCTCATTAAGAAGTCGCAATAAATAAACACTTTCTACTACTGAGGTTGGCCGAGCTCTTAAAGAAGATCTCAGGTCAACAGTGCTGCTATTTAAATGGGGAGATTCTATGGAAGATCCAAATGTTCTGTATGCATTGCCTGAAGATCTAACTCCCTCTCCCGTTAATAAGCAATTTCTTATTAAATTAATTATCTGAAAATGTTGCACCCCACGAATAACAAGAAATTGCTTATTACTGGGGAGTAAGAGAAATCCGGGACAGATCATTTGATGATTGGAAATTTTCACGAGGAGAAGTTCTATATTGGCTTGAAGGAGATAAAGAGCGATCAAAAGATTTTCGAAGAGGCTGAGAATAGCGAAGTGATTCTAATGGAGGTACACGCTGAGTTACGCTCCCTTGAGATCCCAAAAATGGGCTCTTTGGAGATAAACTACGCCTTAATGGAGAAGAATTGCGTTCAATACTTCGGTAAGATCTAAGTGTTTCTCCTTCTCTTTCACTCTCAATTAAGCGCGATCCTCAGACGAGAATCAGAAGGAGGTCGCCCAACGAAACAATGGGTGATAAACACTCATGAGATACCCCAGGGAATTTTCTTCCTAGCTTAATTAATAGATTTTGATAGAAGGTCTGCAGTTCTTAATGGCGAAGATCTTCTAGCCGACTCTCGGAACGAGCTTTCTCTAAAGGTTTGGGCTAGCCTATTATCGCCTCTTAATGGAGAAGTTCTTCTCGCTGAGTCTCTGAATGATTTTGCCCATTCTCCTTCTCTAAGAGACTGCGTAAATCGGTCCCCACTTCTAAGCGGCGAGGTTTTCCTTCCAGTTCTATACCCATCTTCTCTGAAGTACCCGCTAGAGTTGTATTCTCTTGATCCTTCATCATTTCCAATTGCAACTGCATCTGAGAATTCTCTATAATTGACTCTCCCATCAGCATCTTTATCTATCCTTCTAAAAATTGCATCAATTTCGCTTTCTCCGACTTTAAACCTGTTTAGCCTCAAAAATTCTAGTAAATAATATCTGCTTATATATCCAAGTCTTTTCGGGTCCAGAACTTCAAATGCCGCTCTTATAGTGAAATCATATCTGGAATTTAGTGATTTTCTATTGAAATCTAACTCCCTTTGCAAATCCAGTTCTTTTTGAAATAGCTTCACGAGTGAGTATTCTACATCATAAGAAATGTGAAGCTTTGGAGGACGAGTGGTTGCAATTGCTTTGAGAGAAGGTCTCGTGGCTGGCAGGACAGATTCTAAGAAATCACTATAAGAAACTCGCCCGTCTCTGTTGTGATCCCAATTTTTGACCAATGTGAATGCTTCTTGCTCACTTATTATGACTGAATTTGTGTATGCCTACTCCACAACACCTATTTTTTAGCCATATTTTTTTGACTTTTTTGTCTATGCAAAATTATACGCCTTTAAACATCTTTTAGCTAGCCAGTATCTTATTTTTCTTCCTCAAAAAATATTTATTTTAAGAAGAAAGAGCACACTTTTTGGATTAATTCCATATTAAATATTTAAAGATAATTTTGAATTTATTTTTGCTATTTTATTTTGATTGCAATTATATTTAAAGTTTTGGTATTGAAAAAAAATAGGCCATAAAAATAAGCCAAATAAAAAAAATTAGGCCAAAAAATAATTCAAAAAAAATAGGTCTAAAAAAATCGGTCAAAAAATATGCCCAAAACAAAGTCAAAAAATATAGTCGTTGTGGAATAGGTTTCGTGTGAAGAACCCTGAATTTTGACGTAAAAAGTGCAGGAGATCAAATGCTGAAAGATAACTGTTCTCACTTTTATCAAGGGCCTTGAAAATTGAGAATGGCTCAAAATCTGGATGCTCTCCTAAGACTTGTCTGATTACTTCTACTGATAATTCATATTCTCCAAGGGAAGCGAAAAGCTTGGCTAGTTTATATTCACTTTCAGATTTCAGCATTTTTATTGATAGGAAATTAAAATGGATTTTTTGATGTGTGAATTTTTTTTTAAATCTTATAGGTAAGTTAAAGTAAATTAATTTACATTATTTGTTTATTCTATTTTTTTCCGTTTCTTTTTAAAGCATAAATGCCCATTGAATATGGATTCAATGTAATTTATTGATCCCAACAATGGAGCTGGAAATTTCGTTTTGTCAATTTCAATTGGCTTGGGCTCTACGAAGTTAAATAAAATTTCTTTATTTTTTCATCCTAATTTTCCTAAATCATCTGCAGCCAAAAATTTCGTTCTGTTATCGCTTATTTCTGGCTGCATTGATAAAAGTTCACACAAAAAGACTCTTAATGAGTTTTCTGTTGTTTCCAGTTCATTTAAGCTCCCACTCACCCCTATTTCGTTAATACAGGCTGAAGTATTTTTTATGATATCTGCAATGAGCATCTCCTTTGCTTCATTTAATTTATATAGAACTTTATTTATGTGCTCGTTTTCTTTTTTTATTTCCGCTATATCATTTAGAGAATTCTGAACTGAGGTAATAAGTTTGGATACTTTTTGTTCATTTTCTACGAAAATTTTTTCTTTGTATTTTATAACTTCTTGAGTTTTTGAGCTTTTTAGAGAGCTGAAGTCGTGGGTTATGTGGCTTGTCAAACAGTTTTGACAAAGAAGCTTTTCATCTACTGAGCAATAAGCGATTATTTCTGATAAATGAGTCTTCTCGCAAGTCAAGCTTGGCGGAGAAACATTTTTCGACAAAAGTTTGAGTAAAATATGATTTTGGCTGATTTTCTTACTTGGCTCTCTACAAATAAAACAAACATAGTTTGGTGCTCTCTCATTGAGACACGCAAAGCAGAAGGTATGACCACAGCTGAGAACATAAGGTATAAAAAGAGAATTGAACTCTGTTTTGCAAATAGGGCATAAAATTCACGAATTTTCGTCTGAATTTTGATCTGAATAGCCCCCTTCTTCCATTTATTAAATTCTTTAAATTTTTAAAAAGATTTTTAATTGATATGCTTTTCTTTATACAACTGGATAATAAAAGGGACTTGATTGGGAAGTTATTTAACTGAGCTATAATAATCTTCAATGAGCTAAATTGATGACACCATAATTACAAAAGCTAAGTAAAAATTTTTATAGATATAAAAAGTATTATTTATAGGCTAAACTCAAGTCCTATATCATATTTTATTTATGCTAATTAAAAATTAAATCAACTATAAAGAGTTGTTGTAGCTTGCATAGTATGACTCGAACGCTCTATTGATTGGCTTATGTATAATAGTCTTATTAAACTCAAACCCATACTTCCCAGGAAATCCTTCTTCAAGCAATTTTTTAGTAACTTCGCTCACATTGACTTTTCCAGGCATTCCATTGCTTTCCATTTTATTAGCAACATCTACATCAGGTCCATAAATATCATATCTAACTATGTCATTCCCTGTGATCCCTCCTACCAAATCTCCTGTATGCATTCCAATCCTCATATTTAATTTCGTCATATTTTTCTCATTGATATCTTTTATTGCCTTTACCATATCAAAAGCCATATTCAGCATATTCTCACATTCCTCATACAAATTCCTCTCAGTTTTTCTACTTTGAGCGTCTCTAAAGCTCATAATGACGTAGCAGTCACCAATTGTGTGAACTTTAAATACATTATGGCTTAAGCATAGATTATCAAAAATAGTGAAAAATCCAGACAGCATAGAAATGACTTCTTCCGGACTTCTTGAAGAAGAAAAATCAGTGAAGCCACAAATATCAGCGAAAATCATGGTAACTTCATTAAATCGGTCAGTTGTAGCAAGATCATTCATCATATTTCTGACAGCATGGGGCGGGATTAATTGGTTTAGCAGCCTTTTAGTTTTGGATATTTCACTTTTCATGAGTTTGTGGAGGTTAAAAGTAATTCGTGATTGTTTCTCTTTGTTATGCAATGCAAGCATGTTTAATAGGCAGTAGAAAATAAAAGGAAAAATTGTTTCTAGGGCTTCTTCTTTTTCAAAATTAATAGAAATAATAAGAATTGTGGGAATTGTAAGGAGCAAGGTAGAGAATAGCAAGTTTGCAAAAGGAAGAAAGCAAGCAGTGCCAATTAACTGCAATTCAAATAGGATTTCTAGCGTAATTAAAATACAGCAGTTTTTTGGTGAATTATAAAAAGTAACCACATTCAAAATTCCCAAAGATAAAAATCCAGCAAATAAAATTCATGAAAAGAAAATTTTTATATGAAGTTTTCTATATTTTGCTAAAACACCTATAAGCGATAGCAAAATCACTATTTTTAATGAAATGAGTCCAAAAATTATTTCATCTTTATCAATGAAAATAAACCTAAATAAATGCACAGTTGTAGCAAGTAAAATTAATATCATTTCTCCTCATATTTTATATTTCATTGCCAGCTCTAATTTGTCGATAACTCTTAGCCTTAATTCGACTTCCTCTTCAGTTTTATAATGAAATCGAGTAAGCTTTATTCCTTCTACAAACCCAAGCTCTTGTTTAGATAGCCCAGATCTTTCTATCATTTCGTTTAATATTGAAGTCATATTAATAATTTTTTTGCATTTTTCACCTCCTTTTACACTATAAAATCTGTTGCTTCTCCGAATAAAACCTTCAGTTTTAGTGGCTTCCCTCTTAACGATCCATGAATTATCTTGATCGGTGGTTGAGCCATTATTATGAGAATCTATTCTATCACGCAATGGGCTTAGCAGGGGTTGCTTTTGCACTAGAAAAGTTTTAAGAATCCCTTTACCTTTAGCTTCTACCTTATTATAAATAAAATCAAAAGCGCAATCTTTGACTAATTCATAAGTTGACTTACTCCCTCACCTCCGTAAGCGAACAAAACCATTAGAAAAATCGCTATTTTTTGCCCAAAACCCACCCTCCGTGAGCGAAACAAAAATTTTTTCAATAGAAAAAATTTTTATGAGAAAAAATTTTGATATATAAGTGATAATTAGTATAATGAAATCTGTGCTAATTCTGTTTAATTTTAAACAAATAGCGTTTTAAAAAAAACATAAATTTTACAAATTAAATTAATATTTGATCTCTAATTTTTGTGAATTAGGATTTTTTTTAAAAAAACATTCTATAAAATTGTATATATGAATTTTTAAAAAAAAAATTAACCCCCTCAGTGAGCGAACAAGATTTTTTTTGTTCGATCATGGGGGAGTTAGAAATTTGGATTGAATCTGGCTCTTTAAGTGTACTCATCATTCTGCTGGCAGTGTTTACAGTATCTCCAACTAGAGAAAACTGAGGTTTATGAAGTCCTACAACGCCTGCTATTACCGGACCTGAGTTTATTCCTATCTTTACCCTTAGTTTTTCACCAGTTTTAAGAAAGACATGCTGGAGTTTATCTAGAATTGCTAGGGCTAGTTCTACAGTTCTCATCCCATGATTTTTGGTTAGCTTTGTTTTTGGGCGCAACACTTCATCTTGAGCTATCCCTGCGCATGTCATGAATGTTTTATTTACTGTTTCTATCTTCGCTACACCAAAATCATCACATAATTTATCTAGCAAATCAAAATAGGCATCAAGAAGATCAATTAATTCACTAGGAGAATGAGTTGCACAGATGCTATCAAATTGATAAATATCACAAAACATCACAGTAACATCAGGCTGGCCTAGCACAATTGCTCTTTCTCCTTTTTTTACTTTATCTTTGATAAAATGTGGAAATAAATTTGATAATATTTCTATACCTTTGTTGTATTGAAATTTTACAGTCTCAATAAAAAGATACTGCAATTTTGTATCTCTTTCATACGCGTAACTTATCATTGCGTTTAGGAATACCATACCAGAGCCCAAAAACAAATAAACAAAGCCATTCAATATCCCAATAACCAATGGGGAAATTTTGATTTCTATTGTAAACATTCACGCAGCATAAATTATGAAATTCGCAATATTTAATATAGCCTGAGCTTTGTTTTGGCTCGAGCTGAGCCGAATTCTCAGATGCCACCCAGGGACTTATCAAACCAACATTTGTTGAGCAGCTTATCCCTTGGTGGCAAATCTACTTGATACTCTAGACTTTCTACCAGGGAATTGGCTCTACCAACAAATGCTGGTTTGATAACCATTGGTGAGGTTAGGAGACCTTGGCACAGCCCAAACCAAAGCAGGGCTCTTCTATAAAGAAATGTAATAAGAGTAATTTTTGGTCACGATAAAGGTATAAAACGACATAAGAGCACTTGATAATGTCATATCATAACCTATTCCATAATCAATAAATATTTTAAATAATAAAGATAGCCCAATTCAAGATATTATCAGCTGCGCATGATATTTTTCGAACTGCTGGAATCATAAGCAAATAAAAATAAAAAAAATCAATATTAACGTGATAATTTCTAAAGCTCTCAAAATGATGTGCTCATCGTCGTTATTTGTAAGAAAGATGTTAAGAATGAATATAATAAAGAATACTATCAGGCTAAGAAGAACATATAATCTTCTGGAAGATTTGCTCTCTTTTACAGAATCAGCCTGAAATTCATTTTCTAAATATGGATTGCTAAATCGCATAGTAATTGGTTTCATTTTGTAGTTAAGTATAACAGCTTTCTTATCTCACGCAGTGTCATAGTTTGTGAAATCAAATAGCTGTTTGAAATCTTCTTGAACATTATCTGGGCTGATAAGCGCTGTGCTTTTAAATATTTTTTTATTTCTCAAATAATTTTGGCTTTGCTTAAGGTGAGCTAAATAATGAAAGGAAAGCCTAAATGCCAAGCAAATTAGAGGGACAGTGAATAGATTTATTAAATTGACAACATTTGAAAATAATTTAGATGATGTGCCTTTCATGTAGTAATTATTGGCAGGTCCGTAGTCAAGTAAAAATACAAAGGAAAATGCAAATAATATTACGAATATAGAAGCAATGAAGAACAGGAGGCTTCATGATTTGGCTATAACTCATAACTCATATAAGACTACTTGAAGAATTATTAAGAAGCAAATGCAGCCTATTGTGAAATAATCTTCAGCATTACCATGCAAATCAAAACTGTCTGCAGTAAAAAGCACTGCCAATAAAAATATTAAAAGTGCCTGAAAAGCTCCAAGCACTATATATCATAAACTTTCCTTAGACATAAAATCTCATCTATAATAGAGTTCAGGTTTTTTAATTAATTTTTCTTTTTCATAGTCTTTATCAATCACTCCAAGCCATATAATTGGCAAAATGATAAGCATGCCATAAAAAATAGTGATCATTCATGATTCATATAAAAAGCTAGCTGAGTACATATTAATAAATGAGTAATAAAATAGTAAGAATGCCAATAAGCAACTAATGTAGATTATAAAGTCTGCATGCTTATTGCATGCCTTGACGCAATTTTCTTCTCAGCAACTTGGAGATTTGGCGAGTCATCTAAAAGTAGCAAGCAACTCAAATAGCAAAAGTATATCCTTTTGACAAGATATGTCAACTTTAAGTGGCTTGCGGGTTTTAGATGGCGCGCCAACTATCCAAGTTATGAAAGAAATTGCGTCAAGGCACACAATAAGCCTTAAGACGATATAAAACTTGTCGAATTTTTGGCATCCTTATGCAGTTTCAGTGGCCATAAACTTGCAGTAAAGGAATCAGGCATTTGAAGTTTGCAATCGCAAAGTCACTGCATTTTGCTGCTTGACACCCTTCCTTCCCTAATATCCCAATGCCTATATTTGCTTCATTAATCATGGCACAATCATTTGCTCCATCGCCGATTGCCAGCATGACAGGGCGAGATAAAACGTTTTCATTAAATATTTTTACGATCCTTGCTTTTTGGGCTGGAGTTGTTCTATATAAAATAACAGCTTTAGCAGCACAGCCAAGTGCTAAAAAATATTGCAAATGTTTGACATTTCTCATTATAGCATCAAGTGAGAGTCCTTCTACAGCAATTCCATAGTTATATGATTCATTTCTTTTTATAAATATGCAGTCTTGTTCTAGCTCAATACTAGTTTTTGATTCTGATTCTTTTAGACTCATTGACTCAGATTTCTGTATAAAACTACCTGATTCTTGTGGTAAAAACCTATTATTATACTCCTTTTCAAGGACCTCAAATAAAAATTTTTCATGAGAATAAGATAATTGTATAATTTCTGTTTCACTGTCAAATAATGTAGAAGCGTATGCTGTACTTATAGAAGTTTCACGTCTGTCACCCGTCATCATTCATATTTTGATCCCTGCTTTACGAAGAGAACTTACAGTTTCTGAGACACCATCTTGAAGTTTATCCTCAATTGCAACAGCTCCAATAATATACAAATCTTTTTCATATAAGTTTGCTACTTCTTTGAGCCTCGATTCGCTATTAGTCATTGCATTTTTTGCAGCTATTCATTGCTCCTCAAATTTAGCAGCCTCTTCTTCAGTTAAAGTTTTTCTGGCAATAGCAAGCACTCTTAATCCATTTTTAGTGTGATTTTCTATTTCTTTTGTCAATTTCTTTATATATTTTTCTGAGTTTAATGATTTTGTGCACAATACATCATCGGCTCCTTTGCATAATAAAACTGGATATTTATCACAATTAAGCTCTTTTACCACAATTGACATGATTTTTCTCTCACTCTCTTACTAGTAATAAGCAAATTCTTTCTTATTCTGGAGGGTTTTTTAACGAAAATTTTCAAATAATAAATTTATATGAATAGATCAGAAATTTGTTTTTTAGATAAAAAGTGAACCCCTCAATAATATCAAGCAAATTACGATCCATATAAAATTTACTGTTGAAAATTTTGTATTAAACCCCTCGAATAAGCAAAAATTTTTACTTCTTACTGGTGGGGAGTCAGGATCAAATTTGTTAAGTCCATATATTTTATAATATTTTGTTGAACCAAAGATTTTTAGCTCCATTACATTTTCTTTTGTGCTTTTATATTCAACACCAGACATAAAAGCTGCCATTATTAGTGCTTCTTCATCTAGAGACTCACCTTTATATTTAATATCTTCATTTATTGACAACGGACTAACAGTATGACAAATTGCTAGAACTTTTAATAAATCTAGCATGGTGTCATACAATTTGCTACTAAATAGGAGAGGCATTTCTTCAATATCATAGCTTTTGCCTTTAATTACAAAATATTTTAATTTCACTGAAAATTAGTCGTCATTTCTATTATCATTTATTAAGATAAATTCTGTCTTCATATTAAATTATGCTATCACCCCAAATTGATGTAATTTCATTTTTATTTTCAGTAAGAGTCCCAGTTTTATCTGTAAAAATGTATTTAACCTTTCCCAAATCTTCATTTAGACGTAGACTACTGCTTATAATTGTTTCATGCTTTTTATCATCATAAAAGCATAAATCTTGCCTCATAAATCAAAATTGTATTAAACCAATTAAATCAACAATACTATAATAATTGATAGGGATTAAATAACTAAATAATATGAGAAAGCTTAAAATATCCATTCAAGATGATGAAGGGTTCAAGCCTGTAAAATATTTGTACTCATGCTCATAATAGTATGAATGAGTGATAGTAAGTATGCATAAAATTAATGTCATAGCTGAGAGCAATATAAAGATTCAGAAAATATATTTATCCATTACTTTATCAGTATTCTTACTCTTATGTCATATATCATTTTCAATGAATTTAGCTAACACTTAAATAATGATTAGAATTAAATAGTTCATAATGAAAGTATAATTCTTGAGAGTTTATCATAATTTTTGTGTCTGGACCAGTATAAACTACAATCCCCATTATTCATTCACTCCCCTTGGTTAGTAGGTAAAAAAAATTTTGCTCATTAACGGAGCATTAATTGTTTTAAATTTTATATGAAATTATATATTCTGGATTTAAAAAATCCAAATTGTAATATTTGGATGAAAAGCTGTTTTAATTTATACCTTTTCACAATGATTAGAAGAATTCCTATGATAAAGTTACCCTATTTTTACATATTAAATATGATAATGACTAAGTTTTATGAATGTTTCTATTCATTGCAAAAAGGTATATAAATTTAAGGCTGTCAAAATTTCAAATTTGAACTTGAGACATTTTATTTTCTTAAAATTTTGATCTAATTTTTTTCCATGAAGGTCTTTGCAATTACGGGATCTTTATAGTATTAGCTGAAGTTTTCATCATTTTCATCATTAATTATATATCAAATTATTATTTGTAAAATAAAATGTATATTATAAAAAATTGTTGCTTGCTAACAACAATAGGTATTTGCTCGCTAATCAAGGAGAGACAGTATTTTTCAATTTTGACCCTCGCAATACAAAATTCTCAATGGAAAGAGGTATCGCTTTAGGGTATTTCACCAATTTTATGCTCCCATATACAGTATGATAATTATCATTAGGATTCAACAAATATAATGGCATTCACAACAACACTTCTCTCTCCTGGCGTTTAAAAGTTTAGAGGCCTTTCTGTGGCCTGAAAGCCAAGCAGAAAATGGAATCTATGTGTACTGGGCATCGTGCTACAGTTGGGCTTTGCCTACATTGCTCGGCAATGAATAATTCATAATTCTTGATCTGAATTTGGGGTAAGGGCATTATGCCCTAAAAGACGATACCACCATGACAAGGCATTTAATTTATTTTATCTTTTAAAGCTGTAAATTCATGCTTCACTTGCTTTTAATCAACCTTTTCTTTACGATGGAAATCGCTATTCACACAAAAATAAAACTTCAAAACTCCAGTAATCCTCAACTAGTTCCCAGTTTCATATGCTGAATAAAAATTGCTTATCGATGCAACACCCATTTGCTCTTGACTTACTTAACCTATATGGGCCAAAGAGAATCAATAATGATTTTATGCAGATCATGTATCTGAATCTTCAAAATCACAATAAAACTCTTTGAATTCTGCATGAACTGACAAATTTTGACACTAAGCGCCTGAAAAATAGTTTTTACCATAAAAAGGCATTATTGGTCAGATAATAGCTGGGGATTTATCTTTAACTAGAACTCTAGCCACTGAAGCAACAGTTTTAAGTTATAAAATGTTTTCTCTAACAAGCTGAAACAGTGTCAAGAATAAGGCCGAAATACGAAGTTGAGCTATGTCTGGTAGAAATGCTGAGATACCAAGGACTGCACACCCACAGTTGAGCAAGACTATTGTAAGCTTGCATTGGATGAGATTCAAACAAAGAGGCACATAACTTTTAGTCAAACCCAATCTAATCATTTGGATGATCAATTTTTAGAATTGCATTATCCAACTTAAAAATCCTATGAATTGCCTTTTCATAATTTTTGCTTTCAAAAATTTTTGCAAAATCTGAGACAGGTTTTCTCATGCTCAGCCTTGTAGACCCATCTAAATTAAAAGTCTCAAAGAAGCAAGAGTCTTCTGAGTCACTTGTTGCTATCAAAATTAAATCTGCTGGCACTTCTTCATTATTTTTAACTACAATCACATATCCCACCCTTATGTCTTCTCATTTTTTGTGTATAAATTGTTTACTGCTTTCACTTCAAACAAGAGAATCTCTTGAATTTACGCAGGAATCGCTTTTTCGTTTCAAATAATTAGCAAATATATCATGCACCAAATTCAAAAATAAAGAAATCGCAAAAATAGTTGTTGTTGACTCGCTTTGTAATGGAGAAAGATCATATGGGATATATTGAAAGATTGTGACAATTAGATATGGCTTATTAGATGAATAAAATTTTATGTTAATAATTTTCAGTACCCAAAATTTTTTTGGAGAAAAAATATTTAACTAAAATTTTGCTTAAAAGTTACATTATAAAGATTATCAAATATAGCCTAATCTTTTAAATTGGGAGAATAAAATGAATGGGATCAGAAAGAAATATGAATTCAAATTTGTGTTTATTGAGTTGTCTGGGTAAAGGTTATTTCGGTAGCCTTGGCCTCTAAATATTTCAATTTCACGAGCTACCGCTTTAGAAGAGTCATATTGCAATGTTGTTTGTCGAAGTTTATATCTGCTTTTATCATCTGAAGTGTCATCCATTGTTAATGCTATTATTTATCACTTAAAAGATAAAGCCATAATTATTTCAAATAAATTTTATTTTTTAATTTTAAGCATTAAAAGTTAATTCTAGTAGTTGTGTTTGATTTATTTCAAATGCTAAATTATAAATTTAGATTAAAAGATAATTATCCAAATGTGGCTGCTTTGCTTGATTATACCAATAATAGAAATTAATCAGCACACATAATAAATAACTATCTAGTATTTTATTTTAAATTCAATTCTGCATATCATAGTTAGATTCATATCATAGCTACTTAAGTTGCTGTATTTAGGCAAGATGCTTTTTGATAAGTTTAGATGCATATCATAAATAAAAACGTTATAGTAAATTAATCTATCTTTTAAATATATTTATATCTATTAGAATATAAATTATAGTAGTTTTTTCAAGTTTTAATAGAAAATAAAAATTATTTTAATTACTAGTTAAATCATAAATGTCATTACAAGCAGCAGATTTATTTTTCAAATGTTTGCAGCTTAGTGAGTACGCAGGAGCCTTCATTAGAAATGTATGAAATAGCCAAAATTTAAATGCATTTGAAAAAGGAGTCAATGATCCTTGCACTGCTGCAGATTTAGGAGCTCAGAAGCTCATATCTGCAACTTTGCATCGTTATTTCCCTGATTTATGCATAATTGGTGAAGAAGATGTTATGGTTGAAGACAAAGAGTAAGGAAATAATCAGCGCAATAAATTTAGATAACAATAGCATTGATCCATTTGCAAGCTATAATAAAGAGTTGGAAATCCAAAAATTGACTGTTTGGGTTGATCCACTAGATGGGACCTCTAATTTTGTAATGGGAGCTTTAGAAGGGGCAACCACGCTTATAGGGATTGCTTATGAAGAAACTCCAATTTTTGGAATAATTCATCAAGTTTTTGGAGATGGGGCTCCCTCTTATTTTGGAGGGATTGAGTTTGGGACTTTTTATAAGGATCAAGCAGAGATTAGACCGTTTCATCCAGCAGAGTGCGAAGATTTTACAATAACTGGGACAAGGCTACATAAAACACTTTTGAATGAAGAAATGAACAATATTTTGAGACCTGATAGAATTATTGAAGCTGATGGATGCGGAAATAAGTCTTTGCAAGTGGTCAGAGGAATTGCATCTTCCTATTTCACATGCACCACCAAAACTTACAAATGAGATATGTGCCCTTCTGCTGCATTTATGCGGGCTTTTAATGGATTTGTAGTCGATTATAATGGAAAAGATCTCCCATTTAATAAAGAAGCAGACAAGAGAAACCAATTCGGAGCTATTGTAACCTTAAAGGAAGATTACAAAAATCGGATTATAGAAGCTTGGAGAAGCTTAAACAGAGATACATTAGCTTAAATTATTATTATCATCTTAAAATTATTAATTTAATATGAGCTTTTCAGACTTAATTTCAGTGCTATCTACCCAGTATTCAGCACAAATCACACAACTTCTAACTTCTCGCGACAAAATACCAAGGTTTATACTAGAGTAAGCTTTATTCAGTCTGATGGAGTTTATTGACATCTCCCCGCTCTGGGGAATCAGTCTTCTTGAAAACCCTTTAGACATACTTTCAGACTTTAAAAACTGCATAATTTCTATTGAAAGAAGTTTTATTCAAAATAGCACGGTCACAACTTCTTTTTCTCTCAACATCCAATCTTCCCCAATCTGCGTATCTAGACTGAGCGATATCTTCTTGCACCCTAGAAAGATGGTAAATGTTACCTCTTTAGCTATAAAATCATTATCCTCAGCTAAAACTATCATAAATTCTTCTGAGTTTTTTTGTAGATCTTGCATTGATAGTTTCTCTGTCTTCGCTGATTTAGCATATGTAAATACTATTGAGTATCCTTATAGCTGCAAAGTCAAAAAAATCATGCCAAATGATTTAAAAGCTTTACCGAAGACAAAAGTTGTAGAAAATACTATGATGATTGACCAAGATAGTGAGAAGTGCTTACTCCCTCCCCCTCCGTGAGTGAACAAAACCATTAGAAAAATCGCTATTTTTTGACCAAAAACCCACCCTCCGTGAGTGAACAAAAATTTTTTTAATAGAAAAAATTTTTTTATGGAAAAAAAATTATATATAAATGATAATTAGTATAATGAAATCTAGAGCTAATTCTGTTTAATTTTAAACGAATTGCATTTTAAAACATAAATTTTATAAATTAAATTAATATTTGCTTTCCAATTTTTGCGAATTAGGATTTTTTTAAATTCCGAAAAAAAAAATATTTTTTATAAAAATTTATATATAAAATTTTTTTTAAAAAAAAAAATTAGCCCCCCTCCGTGAGTGAACAAAATTTTTTTGTTCGCTCACGGAGGGGGGGGGAGTTAGGGTCTTGTTTTGATATAGAAAATTCCTATAAATTACCCTATAAGGGAAGGCAATTGTAGAGAGAAACTCTCCGATTGGTTGGATAAACTCAGGTTTCCAAACCAACTGGAGAGAGGTTCATTTGACAGTTCTCTAATTGTCTGCTCTTATAGGGCAAATATAGGAATTCTCTATATTTTAGAAGGGACGAATAAATATAGTGATTATCAAGAAGCTATCATTAGTGATGGAAAGCAAGAACTCTCAGCAATAATGGAAGGAGCACTCTGCCATCAGGTAAAGCCAGGAGATTCTGTAGAAGTGACTTGCATTTTAACTCAGAGATGGCTGAAAGAGTTTATATCAGGACAAACTTGTGAGGCTGAATATGTCCTTTTAATTTTTGATATTAGAAAGGTAAGACCTATATGCCAAATCCCTAAGAGCGGTATTGCGTTTTTGAAGGATTCATTCTTAGGTACTGACGAATTCTCAGTCAGAGAAACTATACTGAGAAGTGCTTTTCCTCAATCCTATGGAAATTACTATGTGAAATTTGGAATTTTGCTCAACTGTTTGGCTTATTTTGGAAAAGCTTGCAGCAATGTTCTTATTATGGGCGAATCAGGCACAGGAAAATCTACATTTGTATCATCCCTTCAAAGGCTATTGCAAGGAAATATCAAAATTCTGAATGGTGCTTTAACCTATAAGTCTTGTCTCAATAAATCATTTTTAAAAAATTCTTTAACAGGAAGCCTTGAAGCTGGCCTTATGCAATCAGAAAGCTTACTATGCATTGATGATTTTCACTTACTCAAAGATAAGCCACTAGTCTATAAAGCCATGGAATCAAGAAGCGTCATAGCTTTTGTAATGACATATGAAAATAATGAAAATTCTAATCATAAAAATCAGTTTGATCCGACCATGAATAAAGGTATAAAGCTAACCCCAGAAATGGACAGATTTGACCTAATTCTTAAAGTAGCAAACTATACGCATGATTCAGAATTTTGCACAAGGAAACTGAGTGACAGCTCAATGGAAGAGTCTTCAAATATATGAGACGTTGATACAATAAGAGCATATTTGCTGTCAATTGTGAGACCACTGGAAGGAATAGATATAAAAAATCCAAAAATTCAGTCACTGCTAGAGAGGTTTATTGCGTATATGATCACTTATAATTTGAAATTTTCTGATGGAAATTCATCAAGTGGGCTTTCTATTAGACTGCTTGAAAGTACAATAAAACTGGCTAAAGCTAATGCAATGCTGATGTCACATAAAGAAGTAATGATGCAAGATGTGCTAGACATAATGCTTCTAATAAGTTTGGGAACTCAAGATGACTGTGGATTGCTGAACCAAGCCTTTATTAATAGACAGATGTATCATGACGAAATCTCGAGATTGCTATATAACATTGAGCTATGTGTAGGACCATCAAATACCTAACTCCTCTTCCGTGAGCGTACAAAACCATTGGAAAATTTCTAATTATTGCCCAAAAACCCACCCTCTGTGAGCGAACAAAAGCTTTTATGAAAAAATTTTGATATATAATTAGTATAGCTAATTCTGTTTAGCTTGCATTTTAAAATATAAATTTTATAAAATTAAAGAAATATTTGCTCTCCAATTTTTTATAAATGGGGGATTTTTTAAATTTTGAAAAGAAATGTACTATAAAATTTTTAAACCCCCTCTGTGAGGTACGAAGTGAGAGGAAGTAAGTAAATATAAGTTTTAGATATTTTCATTTATTTGCAAATAAAATATTTATAGTAATTATTATGTCACCACCGAAAGGTAAAAAAGCAGCTGGAAAATCTGGAAAACAGCCCGTCGATGAAGAAGAGAAAAAAGGTCCAGCTAAACTAAAAACATGCAAGTAAACTCTATTAAGTCATGTCAAAGCAAGGCATATCCTGTGCGAAAAACAAGGAAAACTATTAGAAGCATTTAATATCCTTAAAGAATCATCAGGAAATAGGCCATCGCCTGCTGAATTTGGAAGAATTGCTGAGCAGTACTCAGAATGCTCCTCAGCCAGACGAGGAGGTGACTTAGGATGGTTTCCAAGAGGCCGTATGGTTGGTCCTTTCCAAGAGGTTGCTTTTAATCTTGAGCCTGGAACAATGAGTGAGCCTTTTAAAACAGGGTAATCTCTATTTAGTGAAGGGTGGCACATTGTACTTGTTGAAGGAAGAAAAGCCTAAAATACAAATAACTAACCCCTGAAATTTAATAAAATCGTAATTTCCAAATGATCACTCAATTTTGTTTTTAAGCTGCTGCCTTTTTTATATATTGATTTCCTATAAAGAAAAATAATTCAGCCATTATTTTAATTTTTGTCGAAAAATTCAGCGAAAATCTGTCGTTGTTGAGTAAAAAATTGTGAATTGATGATTTAATTTATAAACTCACGAATTCTATGGCTCTATACGCCATTTTATTATTTGGATGAAGCAGAATCCTTCTGTAAGTAGCTCAAGAAGAAAATCCAGACAAGCCCATTTCGCAGCTCCTTCAAATATTCGAAGAAAGCTCATGAGCTCTCACTTATCTAAAGAGTTACGTGACAAACATGGAGTAAGATCAATGCCTATTCGTAAAGGTGATGAAGTAATCGTGGTTAGAGGTCTCAACAAGACTCACGCTGGCAAAGTCATCACTGTTTACAGAAGAAAATTCAGAGTCCACATCGAAAGACTTACAAAAGAAAAAAGCAATGGTCAAACTGTTCATATTCCAATTCACCCTAGCAATGTTTACATCACCAAACTAAAAATTGACAGAGATAGAAAGAATCTCATTGAGAGAAAGGCCGCTCACAACAAGAGCAAAGGAAAGTGGGCCAAGAAAGACATTTCTTCAGTCGATTAATCCTAAATTTCTTAATCCCCTCCATTTGTGAGTGAGCAAAAAATTTTGTTCATTCAAGGATGGGTAAATTTTTTCAAAAGATTTAAAAAAAATTTCAATTTGCAAAGATTGAAAATTAAACATTAATTTAATTTATAGAATATTCAACAGAATTAACTCGAGATTATAAAAAAAATTTTTGCTCAATCATGGAATTTTTTTTTTCCCAATAATAATGGGTTTACTCATCACAAAGCAGGAGGGTTAGTCAAATTCTTATTAATATCAATATGGACTCATCGCCTCTAAGCAGAAGACATAGCATGGCTCGAGAAAATGCCGAAAAAGTTTTCAACTATTTAACAGCTCGCTATAAAGCAGAAACTGAAGCTACTTGTCAATCTTTAGGCTATTCTTTAGATGAGCTTAATCAGACGTAAGAAGTTATTTAGAAAATCAGCAGAGCAAAAAGAGCGTGGAACACCTTCAGATCTTGGGAAAATTAGGCATATCCATCATGAAGAAAGAAGAATGGCAAAAATCATGAAATTAGCATCAGAAATGATTAACGTCATAGAAAGTAAAAAATAATCAGGAACTCCTTCGTTCGATAACTTATTGAAATCACTCAATATAACTGAAACAAAAAAATCAGGCAAAAAGTATTTAAATTCTTCGCTGAATTATGAATCTTTACCTAGTTATACAAGCCAATTTTCCAAGCCCCAAGATGTAATCAATTATAACTATAAAAAAGAAAAGGAAAAATTTAATAGAAGCTTAATGATCATTGATAGGCAAACTCAATTAAGAAAGCAAGAAAATAAAAGAAAACAAGAAAAGATGAAAAAATTTGAAGAGAGAGAAAGGAAACTAAAAGAAGAAATGCAAAAACGCGCAGAAGAGCACGAAAGATTTACTGCAAATATGAATGAAATTAGAAAACAGAGGCTTGAGAAAAAGGCTAAAATTGAAGCGGAATTCAGAAAACAGTGCAGAAAGCATGAAATTGATTTGGAAGAAAGAATGGAAAAATTGAGTGAAGAAAATAAAGTACAGCTTAGAAGAAAATTGGAGAAAAAACATGCTGAAATTTTAAATAAAATAAAAGCTGACTATTCCAAAATTGTGCATGAAGAAGTAAAGGAAAACACTGATAAAAAGTCTATGCTAAGAATGATGAGAGAAATTGAAGATAAAATTGAAAGAAGAGTTGTACAATACGAAAATAATGTAAAACAAAGAGTCCAAACAGCAAAAGAGCACTCTGAAAAAGTTGATAAAGTTATGAGTCAAAGCCAAATCGACGAAATGAAAAGGAAAGAAGAAAAATTAAAACAAATTGTCGAAAAATCCAGAAAAATAGAAAATATGCTTGGAAAAAAAGAAGATCTTGCCCATTTGAATTCAGAAAAAGTAAAAAATGTGTTAGAAAAAAAATTTGACCGAAAAGAGCAAGGGATAAAAGAAGTAAAATCTGAATTTAATAAAAAATTGCACGAAATCGAAGAAAAAGACGAGAAAAAAACGAAATTTTTTGATGGGTTTGCTAAGCATGTACAAAAAATTGTAAAAGAAAAAATTCAGAAAAATTCTGATGTAAAGCAAAACCAAACAACTAATTATGAAAAATGCTGCGAAGATTATGAAAGGTTTAAGGATAAAGTAATGCAAAAGCATTTTAGGCTTTCTCGCTTAGCTGAAGATATAAAGACGCATAGGCAAAATTTATCAGCCCTTAAGAGGAGAAGCAATTTAGAAGTCAATATACTTCGCAATGCTGCTACTTCGAACAGTCCTATGAAGAGAAGTGAGATTAAAGCATTGAGAGAAACATTTTAGTTAAAAAATTGATTTTTTAAGTTTAAATTTATAATTACTCATATAAATTAATTAATATTCTCATAGCATTATATGCAAAAATAAGGAATTAGGGAAGCCTTCAGAGAAAACTAGCACAAAATATGTGATGGAATTGATAATGTGGTGCTCGAAGTAATGATGGAGGACTCAAGCGAAGCAAAGCGGATAAGCAAATCAAGGTATTCCATGCAAACTGACTATTAAGAATCCATAAGGATTTCAAAAATGCGACAGCATTGCTATTAGTAATGATAATGACATGAAAAAATATTAGGATCAGTCATTGAATTATCAAATTTTCAGATAACTAAATAAAAGATAATTTTTTACCATATTAGAAATAAGTATAAAATATAACATAATAAAATGAGAATAAAGGTCATATTTCAAGATGGACTTAGTGAAAGATATCACAAAGTTTGGTGCGCCATACCTAAAGACATTGATAAAACTGAAGATCTCCGAAAATATTTAATAAAAACATTTTTTGTCAAGGGGAATCAAAAATGTATAGTAGAGATGGACGGATTTGAAATACCAGATCTTATGGATATCAATGAGCTTATTAAAGAAGATGAAGTTTTAACTTTAAAACAAAAAGAAAAACCAAAAATAGAGAAAAAGGCTGTAAAGGGAATATCTAGCTCTGAGTCTCCAAGTGAAAAATCTAAATCTTCTTGTGAAGAATCATTATCTTCGGATGATGACTTGCCCAAAAAGAAGAAACGAAAGTTCAGCAATGAAAAAGTCCAGAAAATCGATAATGAAGACAAGGGGACCAATAATATAGGCACAAAAGTTAATTTATACAAAAAGAAAAACGATAAGCAGCTTAAGCGTATTCAAAAAACTAATCCAAAAATAGAAGCCTATTCAGGTACGCACATAAAATTTAACGAGTCAGGATCTAAAATTTATAACCCGAAAATATCGCCTGAGCTTAATATTAAAACTCCCGCAGAAGAATTTGAAGAAAAAAAATCTTCTTGAAAAATAAAGCCAATTCCTAAAAGGAAGCCAAAATTCAACGTCGCTACCCAATCAATTTTGAACACTGACGGAACTCCTAACTCCCCCTCCGTGGCAAACAAAACCATTAGAAAAATCCATATTCTCTGCCCAAAAAATTACCCTCTGTGAGCGAACAAAAACTTTTTTAATAGAAAAATTTTTGATATATAAGTGATAATTAGTATAATGGAATCTTAGCTAATTCGGTTTATTTAAAAAATTAAGTTTTAAAACATAAATTTTTTACAAATTAAATAAATATTTGTTTCCAATTTTTGCGAAATGAGATTTTTTAAAAATTTAGAAAAAAAATTTTTCAATAAAATTTTTAAAAAATAATTAACCCGACAAGTTGTTTTGCTCGCTCACGGAAGGGGGGGTAAGCAATTCATCAAGAGGTTTGGTGAAATCAATCCAGAATTGGAAATCCGTGAGATCTACGAATTTGATGAAAATGATTATGAGCTAGCCAACATAAATCAAATAAAAGAAGGCGATGAAATTTTATTTAAAACTTTGGAATTAAATGAGGAGACATTGACGCCTGCAATGTCTGAAGTAAAAAGAGGGAAAGTTGCTAGTTTAGAAGATGGAAAAGTAACTATTGTATTGATGAGAGAAATTGATGAAGAGGAAAATAAAAAAATTGGAGAATTGGACATTGTTGATGATTTGCTCATGGAAAAATTTCAAATTACAATAGAAAAGAAATGGTTAGTTGATGTAAAAATCAAGAAAAATAATAAGGTAAGTTAAAATAGATTTCATTATTTTTCATTAGGGAGTTAAAGGATTCCATGAAGGTGTAAATTTCAGTATTGTGCCGCTTTGTTTATTTTTAAAAAATTCATCTCAAGAATGGCTCTTCAGTTTTGAATTTGAAGACTGCATATTACTTGCTATTGAAATTTCAATATTTCTCGAATTACTTGAATTTCATAGTAAATCAGCTATTTCTTCATTTTTAGAGAAATACTCCATCATGGAGTGCGCAAAACCAAAACTTTCAGGTCAATGCTCTGCTGGCACTTGAAAGGACCATGGTCTTGAGGTGGAGGATTTCTCCAGGGCGGGGTGCAGACTTGGGCTGACTGGGCATCCCCTCGACCCACAGACAAGAGGACCGACAGCGCAACACCTATCGGGCACTTCTGGGGAGCATGATATTGCCTGTAAATGGCAGTTTCCCTCATAACCTAAGCACTACCAGGGTTAAGAGAGTCCTGTGCTGCCAAGAGGTTAGGGTGAGTCTCCTCATTAGAGTGGCATGTCACCATTTTTGGTGGCCAGAAGGAAAAGGGTGCTAGGTGGCTTTATTGTTTAGTGCCACATGAAGCGTGAAGCCGATGCTCGATTGGCTTGGGGTTGAAAAATAAACCCTGTTTTTAACCCTCTTTAACCGTAGTCTCTCTCATTTTTAGCAGAGCTAAAAGTTCCTAATAACTTGTAAAATCGAATAATCCAAATCATAAAAATTAATGAAAGAAGAGTTGACAATAACGCAAGTCCAGCATAGTCATACCTTTTAATGCGAAAAATTAAAGTCATCCTTAAAATGTTGATAATTGCCATTATAAGCATATAGGCCAATAATAGCTTTTTGCTTAGTCTCAAAGCTCCTAGATATCCTATAGTTGGGAAAAAAGCAATGATAACAAGAGGCCATATATCACTAAATGCAAAAATAAAGCAGAGCAAACTATTTACAGCTGAAGTTATCATTACACGTATTGCTAGACTGCTAATTTCTTCAAGTTTAAGAGACTCTCTATCGTTTATCATTATATAATTAATTTTTCATCGTAATCGTTACTTAATTTTTGATCAAAATTCTGGTTGGTATACCGATCTGAATTAACCGAGCACCAAAAATTTCGCAAGACGCTTCAGCTGCTGCTGGATTTACTGTACAGTTCCGATCCTCTAGGCTCAAGAATCCTCCTCTCTGGTTGTTGCCAATGACACTTGAACTGCCCTTGTCGTTAGAGTGTGTAGGTTTGGAACTTGTTTTACCACTTGCCCTTCCCAGCATAAGCTGATTCTGCACCAGTTGCTTACTCTTGACTCTCTTTGGGATGCCCATGGCCTCTGATCAGAATGATTGAGCTTGTCGGAGTACATCACCAGGTGACTTCTCAACTATTAAAGACTTTCTGTAAGGCTCCTATCCTCCAGATTCCAAGGCTCTCTTCCCAGTCATTGGCGGTGGCACATAAACAGCTTATGCAGTTAGAGTGCATAGGCTTTGGATTTACTCACCACATGCTCCATCTCAGTCTTCAATGATTGTTCTAACCACCTTGAGTCGAACTTCTACAACACCTCTGGTCAGGCACTGTTGAAGGAAAAGCCTTTTTCGCATGGCAAATCCACCTATAAAGGGAGGAGACTCTCTATCATTTAATCCTGGATCTGTGCTTGAATTTTGATTATTAAATGAATTGTTTCTAAATGTAATAGTAAATTGTGATGGCTGCTGTCCTTCATCAATATTGAAATTGTTTAATTTTCTGGGAAATTTTTCATTTGAAAGTGATAGTTCTTGTTGGATTTTAATATTTTGCACTTTCTTTTGTGTTTTCAACTCTATTCCATGATTCATATTGTTTTTAATATTGCATCTCATGCTATGTCGATTAAATAAATAAATTAATTAGATAATAATTCAACAAAAATATTTCTATTCAAACTTAACTTATAATAAATTTATTTGCATTTAAGATTTGTCTCCAATCTTTAATGAAATTCTTAATATCCCATTCTAAATGTATTTTTATTAACATACCAATATGAAAAATCAATCCCAAATCCCTCATTCATTATCTCCTAGGATGAACCCAAAAAGACTTTTGCTGTTGAACTCTAGCAAATTCGATCACAAGCTTCCTCCTATATCACTAACACCTGGCAGAAGACCCAAATATCTAATTCACTCCTTCCGTGAGCGAACAAAATATTTGTTCGCTTACAGAGAGCTCGATTTTTTTTGTTGATAAAATTTATATATAATATAGTACATTTTTTTCTCAAAATTTAAAAAATCAATTCGAAATAATTTTAAAGCAAATATTAATTTATTTGTGAAATTTATGTTTTTAAAATTCAAATTGTTTAAAATTAAACAGAATAAGCTGAGATTTCATTATATTAATTATCTCTCATATGTTAACACATTTTTTTCACAAAAAAATTTATATTAAAATTTATTAAAAATCTTTCGTTTACTCACAGAGGGTGAGCTTTAAAAAAAAAAATGGATTTTTCCAATAGCTTTGTTCACTCAAGGAAGAGTAAACAATTTTGAAGAGCTTAAAAAAATGACTGATGCTTTCGAAGAAAATAAACTAAATCATAGCATAACTGCGAAGCCAATAAAAATATTTAAATTTGACCATAAGGAAATCCCTCCTGAGCAAATCCCATGATCATCAAATTTAATGAATTGGAAATCCGTACTTGAAGAACAAAAAGAGTTCGTCGTTATGCTAAAGAAAATCGAGCTAAGCAATTGGGTATTAAAGAAAACGAAGCAAATAAAATAGAGAGATTGAGTTATCGCTAGGACGTTTATAAGAAGAAATTAAGCAGTGTTTAGTTTGGAATTAATCTAAACTTTTTTATGCCTATTTAAAGAGAAAAATAACTGAACATAAATAATGCTATAGAAATATTGCATTTTCTATATTACCGCGTGGTTGTGTTATACTTAGGCCTTATTTTAATATGATAATGCTAAAAATTTTCTAAAAATATTTTCTTCTGCCTAATACGTTTAAAAAGTTCTATATAAATTACTAATTATATAGCTATGAGATTTTTCACTTTATCAGTTATTTATTATTTAAACATTTTCGGTGAACAAATCTCTCGATTATAAGAGAAATGCTATTATAAATGGCAGAGTCATTAGAAACGCAAATAGGTGATGCAGATGATCTTGAAGACAGGCTAAGTGTTATGGAAAGTGTTGTAGAGCAAATGAAAGCTACATTTATTACGCGAGCGCAACTTGAAGTTTTGCTTAATCAATATATCATTCTTGAAGATTCTATTTTATTAGGCTTGCAATCTCTTGCAAAAACTGCAGAAGATCCTTCAGTGCAGCAACAAATAACAGCTTGTGCAGAGAAATTCAATGAATATGGCTCTGATTATCAAGATACATGAACTGAAGAATTCTGAAGTATTTATGAACTTATTCGTGAAGGCTACCAAAAATCAGGGAAAAAGAAAACTGGCGTCGAAATTGCAAATCAAATTGCAGACGTTCAGGAAATCGCACTTACTTTAAATAGAATTTCTAGAGGAAACACAGTTGAAGGAGCAGGAAAAAAAGTTCTTGAAGAGGTAGATGAGCTTTCAAAGAAATACAAATCAAGCACTTTGATTGTGCCAGAGAGAGAAGAAGAGCCTAAACAGCAAAAAAAATGTTCTAGCAAATGTTTGGTGATGTAATCAAGAAATATTTTAAATTAATTTATAAATTTAGGATTTTTATTAGTATATAAATGGCAAAGTGGATTGTTGACACCGATGCAGGCATCGATGATGCCCAAGCATTGATTTTAGGGCTTTCCACTCCAGGGTTTGATATAATTGCAATAACAACAGTTACAGGGAACACAAAAGAAGAAGATGTGTTCTATAACACTTCTGAAATTTTGAGGGTTTGCGATAGAGAAGACATACCTATCTATCGCGGTGCCCGATCCCCAATACTTACTATCTCTCTAAAATAAAATTAAATCTTTGAAAAATATTTATATCCATAGTACTAGGCATTAAATTGTTAAATATCCCAACCAAATTTACCTCGGAAGCTAGAAATAACGTTTTTGCAAGCCATTTTCATGGCATTGATGGCCTAGGAGAGTATTGGTCTAGACATGAGAGGCCATCATTTCCTCAAAGAAATCTTGAAACTGCATCTCAAGCAATTGTCAGATTGTCAAAAGAACATAGCGATTTAAGTTTATTATGTCTAGGGCCATTAACAAACTTTGCTACTGCCTTGCTTATAGATCCAAATATAAAATTTACTCAAGTCATTGCAATGGGTGGAAATTCTAATTGTATAGGTAACATCACTCAATTGGCTGAATTTAATTTCTATGCTGATCCAGAAGCTGCCCAAATTGTACTGAAGCGGTACCCTTTTACAACATTAGTGACATGGGAGCTTACATTTATGGAAGAGCTGCTTTTTGATAAAGAAAAAAGCGAACTTTGGTATTCTGACACTAAAAAAGGAGAATTTATAAGGGATATCACTTCTTGGGTGCTAGATAGATGTGAAAAAACAGCCACTTGTGATTCTGTTGCTATGGCCGTTGCAATTGATCAAACACTAATAATGGAATATGAAGATCAGCCTGGAGAAGTTTGCATTGAAAATGGGATCACAAGTGGAATGGTTATTGTGTATAGCATCTTCATTACCATTGCTTGCCTCGAAGCATAGTCCTTTGCGGCAACTTGCAGCTCTGAGGGATTACTTAAAAGCGGTTATTCAACCTAAAGTTAGCAACCCACCTAGAGGATGTATTTTATTAACTTGGAGTTAACTTGCCACCTTTAGGTGACTCGTCAGAGCTACAAGTTGCCGCGAAGGACTATACTTTGAGGCAAGCAATGACATGAAGAGGCTATATAGGAATAAACAACGTTATGGTGATATGGCGATTAATATCAGGCTGATCAATAAAATAAACGCAGAAAGGTTTTGGGAAATGATGTTCCAGAGTACAAAAGGTTAATTAAATGATATTATTTATTAATATTAAAAAATACAAGTGAGAAAAATTCTTCATTTAAAATGCTTCATTTTTTAAAATTATTTGGTATAAAAATATAAAGTGGCAATTAGGATTGGGGAGAAAATCGTTGCAACAATATCATCATTTACTGAAATGCACATTAATGAGAATATAAATAATTAATTGATTTAATTGATAGATATAAAATCCATAAAAATTATAGAAACAACTTTTAAAATGTAATGCACCTAGAGCAAGTTCCAGCACGTTTACTTGACACTCTTGAATTTCTTTCTTTTTGGCGAATTATTTCTAGTTTTGACTGCATGTTTGGATATACTTCTGACATTGTCCGTTTCGGAAGCTTAGAATCCAGCACTTCATATTTTATTTCAGGCTCTTCATCAGAACTCGAACTTTCTGATAGGTGATAAAACTCTTCAGCTGAATAAAACCTCTTTCGATGTGTGCTTTCAATTAATTCGGAAGGGTTAAGTGCTTGATTTTCTTTATCAACTTTAAAATTATTTATATCTTCTCCATTTAATTTTCAAAATTTTAAAGCTTATAATAGTGCAGATCGCTATTTATATGCAAAGGATATATACTATATTAATATCTATGCTTTTAGTTCATAATGCATTATTAGCAAATCATATTATAATTAGAGTTTAATATAATAAAGCATAAATGTTGATTGTCTACAAGCTTGATATTAAATTCATCTGACTCCAGAGTGCTCCAAGTCAATCTTGATGAATTTGAGGAATTTTCAATGGCATTTTCATGGATTAGTAAATTATTCATTGATGACGTCATCTTTATGCTTTGAAGAAATTCAAATTTTCTATTGAAATCTTTTATCGCTGATAGTATATGGCTTTCTTCAGCTCTGCATTGTAAATCAATATGAGAGTCATTTGATTTATTTTCATTTATTTCGCTCATTGCAACGCTGACACTTAGAAAAGCTTCGTCATCTGAAATATTTTCTATTGGAACGTTCTTTTTTATTATTGGATTTCCTGAAACTGCTATTTCGGAGATTTCCAATACAGCGTGTCCAATTTTAAATTTAGTATTTCCGTTTATTACAATAATATAAAAATCCAAGGTTTTTTGGTAATATTTATCTTGCTCGCAAAACATAGTGATATCAAAAGTTAGCAGTTCTTCTATTGAAGTCTCTCAACTCACTTTGTTATATTCTTTTGGTTCTGCTATAATTTCTGATTTTTTTCTCTTGATGATTACTTGGATTTGCTCAGCTTCTTCAAGCTTGATTTTGATGGAATGTATGCTGACTTCCAAAGAGTATTTTAATCGTAAGGCTGAGTTGTGGCTGGTGGAGATCATATTTTTTATTATAGTAAAATGATGAGTCATATTTAGAAATTCTGAAAACAATAATTAGTATAGACTTAAAATTCCCAGAAAAAGAATTTTTGTAAAATATATATATAAAATGTTGCATCTCTCCAGAGTAGCTCGTAGATTCTTCGCAGAAGTCGTCAAAACTGATTATATGGTCGTCAAAATGTATACCCCTACAGCCAGCCTCTTCAATGGTGCTACTGATATCGAATCAATCTACTTTGAAACATTAGATGGTGGGAAAGGAGTCATGAATGCTCAACACATGACATATCAGACCACCCTTCTCCCTGGACTTATTGAAGTTCACTTCAAAGCTGGCCAAAGCAAGAAAATAGTCCATGTTGGTGGCATCCTTCAGAAAAATACCGACAATTCGGTTGATATTGCCCTATTTGAAGCTTTTGAAAAAGGAGACTTGGATTGGGATGCTTTAAAGAAGAGTGATGTTTTTGCTAATGAGCCAATAGGAGAAACAGGAGCAGATGTTGATTTTTTGAAAAAAGTTGGCCTTCAGCTTAGAGATGAAGTCTCAAATGCAGCAGCTAATCTTTAATATAAAGGCTTAGAATCGAAAGAAGTAGGCTATTTAAATTTTAAACTTATGATTCCATTTGGCCTTTTTCTCTTCTTAGAATAAGCTATAATTTTCATAAGAAACATGCATTTGTTGAATATAAGAAATTAATTTTATTGGAATGTTTGAGAAATTTTAATAAAGATTGGCAATCTAGGTTTTGCTGATGCCACGACATGTTTAAATTGGCATCTCTCTCCATAAGCACAAAATCCGCTTTCTGTAAAATGTTTACATTCTTTTATTTTCTGAGCATCCTTGCCTCTCAGTTCATCCTTTCCATGAGCGAACGCACAGCCGTCTCCAAACTGACAGTGCCCATTAACCCAGTTTTTACAGATTTCTGTCTTATACTTTACTTGAAAGTCAGATTGACCATTAGTTTTCGCTAGATTTCTGCTTTCTTTGTCAAAATCATTATCTAGGCGTTTAATAGAGGATGTCAACATTAATTTTTATTATAGCCAGGCAAAATCAATGGCATATTTTATTTAACGACCGAATTAGAAATATCTCATTTCTGCTTGCTTTGCTATTTATCTGACAAAAATTAATTTAATCCGAATTCGCAGCAAAATGAAAAATTCTCAGCTGGCTTAGGTTAAATTTTAGTATGATTCATATATTATTCAATTAAAAAGATTATTAAAAGGGGAATTTTCATGGATATCAGAAAATTTTAAATTAATAATCGGAATAGGATATGATGAAATTCTAGAATATTCAGTAAATATGATTACCACGCCACTCAATGTGAAATTTTAATGATATTTAGATCTGTTTCTGGTCAATTTTTATTATCCTAGTCCCGCCTTTTAAAAATAAATTTAAGGTTAACGAAAGCAATTTTTTATAGTAAACAGGTTATATAATTCATGCAATTATTTATTATCTGTATCACAGAGCATTTTATAAGCAATTAATTGTGTTTTTGTAATTTTTTAGATTTATAATTTTTACTTTAAAGAGGCACTCTGGGTCATCTTGTATCTTTTATATTTAAGATTAATTAATTAAAAGAAGTATTTTATGTTTCTATTATTGGGTACGGAAACTTATAAAACTATTTTTAAAACATTAAATTAGAGGGGTCAATATTATTAGTTAAAAGCTAAAGCCATTACTAAAGCTGACACTTACATTTAGTTAGATTATAGAAAAGTTCCCTGTCGGGATCCGAAGATTCTTATTCCATTCCATAACACGAAATTATTGGGACAGCCTCTTATAAGGTAAAAAGAGTAATTTTAGTATTAAATCTTCCATAACGCTCCACTCGCTCGGTTCGCCCACAATAGTAGCACCACTTCAAAGCCTTCTCCTATATGACATTGTCCTGTGCATGCTCCCTGATGGTCGGAAAGTTTGGGTCGCCGTGCCGTGCGCAACGGGGTTGCCCACCATTTAAAATTCAAAAGGGTTGAATTGTCTGGTCGACCCTCGGCTAAGATGGAAATCCGTAGTCCAGGGCATAACTTCTAGTTTCACACTTGGAATAGTCCCGATTGATCAAGCTGTATACACATATCGAATGCTAGCCTCCCTTCCTTAATGTCCACTGTATCCTTTCGGATGTCGTCTATAGGAGTTAAGAGGGTGGATTGTCTTACCATACCATTTTAATGCATATGTATTACTGAGGCTGGCAAAATAACAGAAAATCCTCCATTGTCCATTTGATAATCACTTTGTGCATCCCAATATAACGAAGTATAAACATTCTGCACGCATTGATCGTTATTTTGTAAATAAGGATGCATTACATATGCATAATACCAATACTTAACTGCATCATAAAGCTTATAATTCACATTTTTCATGCATGAGAAGCTCCATCTCGCTTCAGTATTGCAAGCCACAACTAATAAACTTTGTTGCCACTTTTTAAGCTGGTTTAGTAAATTTACCCCAGGTTTGTCTCCAGGGAAAGGAACGCAATATCCTTGCGCTTGAGAATTATAACCACAAGAGCATTTTGTATTAGCAATATTTCCATTGCTCGTCCCCCAGCAGTCAGCATCTGAAACACACTTATGAGGAAGATTATACCTCAGAGTTTTGTTTGAATCGTCCTGGATGCAAATACTTGGCGCTGGCTAGAGCTGCAATTTTGCAAAGTCAACTCCAACCAGTTGGCAAGTGAAACCTATAATGGCGCTTGTCGGCTGGTGCCAGAGTTGCAGCTCTAGCTAACTCCGCCAGCTCGCCAGGCATTTTATAACCCAGGGCAATCCAAACGAAGCCTTAGACTATATTATTTGATACAATCCCAGGAATGCATTGACTTTTACCATTGCTTGTAGTGTTGCATTGAGCACTTGCGCACAATAGGGAGACAGAATTTTCACAAGTTTGCAAAGGTTGGCTCACCGCAATTGAAAAATAAGGTTTGCAGATTCCTGGATTTCCTGAAGCTGGGTTATAGTCACATCCGCATGTGGTTACACAGTCAGTGTCATTTTTACAGCCAGACTCGCCAGGTCTCAGTAGTTCTATACAAGTATTAACACTGCAGCCTAATCCAGGCTCACAATCTTCATTTTGCTGGCAGGTTTCAGCATATCCCGAGCCGACACAGATTTCATTATTACAATAATTGCTTATACAACTGGAATTTCCAGAGCAAGGATATTCTCCTGGATATAGGTTGGTTCATTCTGTCTGAGGGACAGAGCATTTAACTGGAGTATTGGCTGGGACGTCAGTGGGTTCACAATAGTTGCCGGATATATCTGAATGATCACAAGGGTTAACAAGGAAAGTTGTAGTTGTCTTATTGTAGGTTATACAATAAGAAAACAGGGTTGATGTGCGTGATGGATTAGGGTCACATTGATACTTATTGCAGACTATTGAAGCTGTGCTTGGAGAATCTGTGGCTGGATAGAAAATTTGACTAGCTACCAAGCATGGTAGAAGAAAAAGGAGTACCATATTATATGCAGTGCTGGAGAATTGTTGAATAATTTAGATAAAATATTTTTTACAATAAAATCTTTCTCTGTAGTGTTTTGCTCATGTTTGGATTATAAGCTAAATTGACCATTTTTCAGATGTAAAGCTTTGTATTAAGCAATGAGCGATAATTTGCAAGTGAGCAATTTAATTTTTAAGATACATATAAGTCTTAGAAGATTTTTATAGTTTATTTTACGATAAAGTAAAGGAAGTAAAATTTTCAATCATTCGGCTTTGCTAACCTTTTAAATTAAGATTAGAAATCATACCAATATAAATATTTAAAAGACAAAGAAATTGCCACTGATAAAGATCATTATTCTAAAAGGTCGATAATGAATATCAGAAATTTCTTTAAAGCTTAATTTTCACATATAAAAATGTCCAATGAAAAATCATCTATTTAGCTTATAAATGAAATAATAAGATCAAAAATTATGAGGAGATGAAGGCAAAAATAATGCATAGCTTCATGCTGTTTAGATGCATCAAATCAGATAGCGTAATTTCATCTGTCTAGAGCTAATCCAAACTCTATGCAAAGTTTGCACCAAATCAGCTTTTCAGTCAGATTTTTATTCTTGAAAAGAATTATTGCGTGAATTGTTAATTCTTCAGACTTATCTATTATTTAAATAAATTAAATATTAGCATAGAGCATAGCTTTAGCCACATATCAGAATCTACTTAAGTATATAATTTTCTATAAAGTTTTATATTATTGTTATTTCTGGAATAAGCAATAAAATAAGAAAAAGCTCGAGCAATCTGCAATTTAAATATATAAGGCTTCTAGCATTAAAACATAATTTAAGATGATATAAAATTGTCTTAGCATAATCAGTAATTTCAGCTCTTCAATATTAAGTATAATGTATTTGCCAGAATGGTATAAAATTATATGGCTGAATCAGACGAAGAGTGATGGAAAGAAGAGTTCTTAGCGAACATTGAAAAATGCAAACAAATGGCAGTACTTTTAGTAGTCATTGAAAATTCAATGAAATTTATATCTGCATTTATTATGGACAAATCTTTTATTTTTAGCTATACAAGTATTTTGATGACAATTGTCACTTTTTTAATAGCCTGCCACCTAAATAAAACAAATATAAAGTGCAATAACTTTAACGTGCTTTGTGCAATTGTATTCACTGAACTATTTAACTCAGCTCTATTTATAGTTGGAAATAAATTTGACAAAGATTCAAAAAGTATTCTTTTTATGGAGTCGACACTAATTACAGTTTTATTTGAATCTTCTTTTATAAATTCGTTATTCTTTGTCAACCTAGCCCTAATAAAGAATATCATGCTATGATATGGAGCCTCAATGCTGTTTGGAAGCGACGGGATAAGCTCTCTAATTCAAATAATTGCTTTTATAAGCTGCCTCACCATTCATACCACTAAAGAATATCAAGTAAGGAGAACAACCTTTGAGCGCTATTCTTATAGAAAAAAGCTAGAAAAATCTGAAAAGCGGCTGGGAACTATATTAAATGTTATTCCTGACGGCTTAGCTATTTTTAGCTCGCAACTTGTTCCAGAATTAATAAACGAAAAAATGAAAGACTATTTAAATTGCGATAATGAAAATTTTATTGAAAAATTGATTGGGCTAAGGTATGTAAAAAATAAGAAATTTCAAAATATTAATCCAGACTCTGACAGTTTAATTGAAGATCTTAAATTATATAATAATTTGAACCTCAGTGGAGAATTGATATTGGGGATAGTTAAAGAAAGCGATCTCAGCTTACAATGAAAAATAAAAAGAATTACGGTCGAAGATGAAGAAATTATCCTTGTTACAGCCTCTAACTCAGGACAGTTAATTGAGCTTGAACAGAGAGAAACAGAGGACAAGGTCAAAAAGTTTATGCTGAGAACTATTTCTCACGAGCTTCGAACTCCTATTTCTGCTATTATTTCTTTTGCAAATCAGATTTATGAGCAGACTGATGATTCTTCACAAGTCAGGAAAAATGTGCAACATATAAGAACATCTGCACGAATTCTGATGTATTTTATTAATGATATATTAGACTATATGCAATTAATGAAAGGAATGTTCAGTCTCAGACAGCAAGAATTCAATATACGAGACAAAATTATTGAGTGTTGCGATTTATTTGAACTAACTGCATTACGCAAAGGAATCGAGTTGAAAACTCGGATAGACCCTCAAATTCCTGAGATTATTTATAATCCATTATATTAACTTGCATATTAAGTAAAAAAAGGACCTCATAAGCAGATATAAAATTTTGATGGTTTTTCAGGCATATTCGACATAATATGGCATACAATGATCCTGAAAGGATATGCCAAGTTTTAATTAATTTTTTAAGTAACGCTACAAAGTAACCTTTATGCAGATTTACCAACAAAGGGCGAATCGAAGTTTGTGTGACTTTATCAGAGGATGATAGGCTGAAATTTAGCATAAGCGACACTGGGATTGGGATACCAGAAGAAAGATTTAACCAAATTTTTAAGCTGTTTAATAGCTACGATACTGATGAGATGGCCAGTCATGGTAGTGGGCTGGGGCTGCACTTGTCAAGTCTTCTAGTCCGAGAACTTGGAGGAGGCGATATTTATCTTCACTCAGTGCAGGGAAGAGGCACTGTTTTTTCCTTTAAAGTTAACTTCGCAGCAGAAACAAGACAGAGCTTTTCTGCTATTGACTGTTCAGAAGAAATACTTGAGCCTGTAATGAGGCTAAAAAGCTTTATCAGCTGTGAGTCATGCGAGTATCCACAAGTGTTGATAGTAGATGATACTGATTGAAACAGAGAAATATTAGCTGCAGTATTAGATAAACTAAAAATACATTACTTAGAAGCCGTTAATGGCAAAAAAGCGCTCAAATTAGTGATGAAGCAAGATGCCAAAATGAATCCTTTTAAGCTTGTCTTCATGGACTGCAGCATGCCAGTAATGGATGGATGAGAGTCTACTAAAAGAATCAAGCAGCTTCATGAAGAAGGCAAGCTAAGCCTGATACCTGCTATTGTCGGATATACTGCGTATACCTCAGAAAAAGATGTTATAATGTGCTATGAATCTGGAATGGTTTCTTATATTGCAAAACCTGCTTCCATAGATACAATACGTAGAGTATTAAGCCAATATCTAAGGCTCTAATGCTTTGCAATAACTGATATAATTAAATCATTATGCTAGTAATGATTGAAAATTAACATAATTTAGTTTGAGTAGCATTAGCTCATAATGTCTGCATAATAAACGCTTTCTATAATTAAAATAAAATTTTATAAGAGCGTTTTATTTTTTTCTTTGATCAGTTCCTCAATTTGAGCCCTCATTGCTTTTTTTTCTTCTTCAGCTCCAGCTAGCTTCAGTTTCAGCGCTTTATTTTCCTCTAATAATTTTTTCACTTGTCGATCTGAGCCAGAAAGTTTTGAAACCATTCTTTGGAGTCTTGCCACGCCATGCTTCAAAATAAAATTTTCGTTTATAAGAGAATTGTTCTTAGCTTGCATTTCTTCTTCAAAGATTTTATTTCTTACTACCTCTTCTCTTATATCACTCTCATTTACTTTAGAAGCTTTTGAAATTGGTTCTTCATTGTCTTCGTGGTTTAAATTAATTGACCTTTTTGCAGGGATTTCAATTAATGAATGATCTTCCACACTATTTCCTGATTTATTTTTGAGTATTAATGGATTAGATTTTTGTTTTTTATAGGTTGCATCAAGCTTGCTTTGAAAATATTTGATTTTTATATCTTTTATAAAGTTCTTCTGATATTTTTTGAATGCTTTTTCTTTAATAAAAAATTGTGAGTTTAGGCAATCCTCTTCGTTTAATGTAAAAATATCAGGGATATACTTAGCTTTTTGCTCTACATAATCCTGGCTAACTCCCCCTTCCGTGAGCGAACAAAATTATTGGGAAAAATTTCTATATTTTGCACAAAAAAACACCCTACTTTAGCGAACAAAAAGCTTTTATGAAACAAAGTTCTTCATATAAAAGTGATAATTAATATAATGAAATCTCTAATTAAATTTAAACAATTTGCACTTTAGGAATAAATTTACAAATTAAAAATAATTTCATTCGAATTTTCGCGAATTGGAATTTTTAAATTTCGAAAAAAAATGTATTAAATTTATATATATAAATTTTTAAAAAAAATTAAGACCCTTAAGTGAATGAACAAAATTTTTTTGTTCACTTACAGAAGGGGGGAGTAAGAGTTTTGATTTCTTCTTCACTATGACCTACACTAAGAAAATAATTTTTTAAATTTTCAGGCCCTTTAAGCAAAAAGACAAGCGCTTCATGTGGCTTTCTAAGCTTAAATGCGCTAATGATGCTATTTTCATCGAAGCCAAGCTCTTTATATCCGTTAATCCAATATTGATAGTCAAAGTCCATCACGTGAACTCAATACTTAAATATTATATGTATCCCCATTTTGCGTATTTACTTAAGTTTAATTAACTACTTGATTTTGCTAAGATCTGATTTGTCTCAATTTCCCCAGTAATGATCATTTTCATAGACTGCTGGCTTTGGTTAAAAGCTGCTTTTCTTTCGTTTTCTTGTGAATTCTGTAGGATATAGCAGTTATTTAAAAGCTCAATATACTCGTCTGACCTTAGTTGGCTAATTGTTGTTCTCAAATTTTGGATGAAGAGCTCTTCTTTTTGTGTAACTTTCATAAAATTCATGATAACCAAGTGCAATTTTGCAATTTCACCAGAAATTTGTGAGGTCTCAGGGCTTTTCACATTCAGGCTACTTCTTAACAGTGAGCAGCTGACTTGATATCCTACAGAAATAATATCACTTGAATAAGCATGACCAGGGCCTAACTTTTCTATCAGCTTTGAGAGGATCATAATCGCTACCTTCACAGTGCTTCCCTCTATAATATTGCAACCAATTTCTCCTATATACCTTATGAAATCCCCAAAGTCTTCTGCATTGAGAAACTCCACATCTTTACTGATAAAAACTTCGATCATTTTTACAAATGACCTTCTAATAGAAATAGCTTGCTGAGAAATATCACTGATAGTTTCTACTGGCTTTGGGACTTGCGTGATCATCATTTTTACAATGGAAAAAGTGATCGATGGAGAAATAGTGGAATTTGCATTGGTTTTGTATTTCTGACAGACTTGAGTGATAAGCTAAATAAAAATTACATTGAAGACACTTTCAATATTATCGAGTGTAGAATTGGATATCAAATAGCTGATAAGTTCTTTTATATAAGGACTTGAGTCATCTTCCATCGTTTCCACAAGCTTTTGGGCAAAATATACAAGAGATTTGTGGAGCTCTGGGGATAGTTGTGTAGAAAGCATAGACCCAACTACTTTTTGAGCTAGCTGGGAAATTTTTATTTGGACTTCAACAGGGACTTTGCGGCCAAATCCTGATAAGACTTCTCCGATATAAAGTAAAGCATTTGGAGTTATTTGTTGGCCAAGAAGATTTATAACTGATTCCAGGCATGATTCTTGTGTAGCTAAATCATTAGATCTGCAGCCAATGATTAACCCGATAGCTTTGTAAAGATTTTTTTCAGATTCCCCATCGATATTTCCTTGCTTAATTCTGTTCAGTATTACTTCTAATACTGGTCTTGAATAAGGAACAATTGCTGCTGGGATTTTTAAAGCAAGTCTTGAAAACATGTAAATTGCATGCTTACTCCCCTTCAATGAGCGGACAAAATAATTTTGCTTCTCACAAGGTTGATTTCTATTTAAAAGAAGATTAAATATAAATTTATAGTAAATGATTTTTTCGAAATTTAAAAAAAATCCATATTCAATACTATTTTAAAGCAAATATTAATTTAATTTGCAAAATGCTATGTTTTAAATTAAAACAGAATTAGCTAGAGATTTTCATAATCTAATTACTGCTTATATACTAAAAAATTTTTTTAAAAAATTTTATATTAAACAAATTTTTGTTTGCTCATAGAGGGGGAGTTAGAGACGTCAGCGTCTTGGTTTGACATATTCCTAATCATTGGCTCCAAAAGGTTTTCAATAAGCTGCTTATGCTCATTTCTGCTGAAAAATGTCCCATATCTAACTCCAATCTCAAAATATTGCCTTAATATGATTTTATGGTTCGACGCTTTTAAGTTTGACTGCAAAATTGCTCTCATTAAAAATGAATATTTTGTATCAGTCGTCAACAGCGTGCTTAAATCTGTCAAACTTTCTCCTAAATGGAAAAACAAAAATAAAGGCACCTCTAGCTGCTCTACTGTGAAATTTTGAATATTTCCCAAAATATCATTAAATGAAGATATCAAATAGTCTACCACTGGCTCCTTCGTGGACTCAACTTGCAGAAGTTTTTTAAATAAATCTGCTAGTTCTTTTCTGTACTTATAAAATTGGTCTTCTTCATCTGAGTTTTCAGGGCCTACATGCTCAAAATCTGAAGGAAATTGGCATCTCTTGATGAGAGTCATACAGATTAAGCTGATATTATTTTTTTCTTGGTCTGTCAGAAGCACAGGTGGTTGCTGATATTCTTTGCTTTTTAAGTAATGAATGTATTTGCCAATAAACCCAATCACAATTTTTGAAATATTTGTGTCAGCAGAGTCTAGACACTTTAAAGCCATCTCAAGCACTATTTGGATGTGGCCTAGAACTTCTGCGTCAATTAGATTTGAGCCTAAAGTATCAATTAAGCTAGAAACAGCTTTTGGGACGTCAGAAAGCATATCAAAATTATCCAAATTTATACCTTGTAGAAATGGAATTAAGCCGATTTGATCAATTATTTCCAGCTTCTTTTTTGGATCCATTCGCTTGGCTACTACACTCTCTAAGCAGTTGATAGCTGGGATTTGGCAGGCTTCATTGGAGACGTACTTTATCATGAATGGTATAAAAGTAAATGTGATTTCAATAGGAATCCAGTCTATATATGGAGAAATCACTTGGAAAGTAGCCGCTATTAATTGGAGGTTTTCTGATTGTAAGGTTTGTAGCCATAAAGTAGCTGCTGGGCTAAGGACGCTCTCTCTCATGGCATCTTTAAGCTCGTTAGATCTTCTGAGCTGTTCTTGCGTCAAATATCCTAATTCCTCAGCGAATTCTTCATTGAATAATTTTAAGACTGTAAATAAAAGCTTCATATAAGAATCCCTTCTAGGAGCTCTTTCAATCAAAATGCTAAAAGCGTCTTGCCAAATATATGGGAAATCGTTTTGGACTGCTCTTACATAAAGTAAGGCAAATTTATTAAGGATACTATAATGAAGCTCAAGGAGGCTAGGCTTATTATCGATAACCATGACAAAAAATCTGTGGATAGCATCACGGCTAGCCTGATCGTAGGTAATGTAGTTTTTCCCTAACTCCCCCTTTCTGTGAACAAAAATAATTTTGTTCGATCAAGGAATGGGGTTACTGTTTTTCTTTAAAATAATTTATATATAAATTTTATAGTAATTTTTTTCCGAAATTTATCCCAATTTGCAAAAATTAGAAAGCAAATATTTATTTAATGGTAAAACTTATATTATAAAATACAAGCTGTTTAAAATTAAACATAATTCTGAGATTTCATTATTCTAATTATCACTTATATATTAAAACAGTTTTCATAAAACATATTTTGTTCGCTCGCGGAGAGTGGGTTTTTGGGCGAAAATATGGATTTTTTTCCAATGTTTTTTGTTCTCTCAAAGAGGGGAGGAGTAAACATGTCTTCTATAGCCTGCAAATATCAGAAAATTAAAGTTAAGGAATTGGGATGATCAAGATTGATATCCAAAACCATCTGTAGCGCATATTGGTAAAATGAAGGATCAGCCTTTGTGGACTCTGTTAAATTGAGAGCTTGCTGCTTGAGATGCTGAGGCAAGCTCGGATCATATAAGGTCAAAATGGCCTGCTCAAGATTTGACATATTATCAAACTTATATATGAAAAGTAATTATGGGGCTTGTGATCTTCTGAGGGCTATGACAAACAGATGAAAATTAATTTGAAAAAAATAAGCTAAATTTAGCTGAAAATGCTAATGGACAAAGAAAATCAATGACTGAAGAGCAAGTTTGTGGCTGATAATTTACTAGGAATCATTATGATATGTAAGAATAACAGAAGGATAAGACATTAATTACTATTTAGTAAGACATCATCCAAACTCTTTAGGTAGCCTTGCCTATATTTATATTGTTTGAAATATAATTTTCATCTTTTGCAAATAAACACTTAAACAAGCTGGATTTCTCATAAATTCATGACTTTTTTATAATTATCATTTATATGGTAAATTTATTAAAAATCAAGTAAAATGATAAGCATTTTATGAGTTTATAATGTCAGAGCGAAGTGAAATAATAACCGAAAGTGACTCTAGTAAGCTTAAAGAGGTGAAATCCTCTCGAGCAGCTTTATCAAGGCACTCAAAAAGCCGGAGTATGATAAACATCCGGCCAAAGACTGCAAAAATTTCATCAAAAGAAGAGATCCCATCCCTTAACCTTAAGGCTAGTCCTCAAGAATCCAATTCTGTGTCACAAAGTCGCCCTATATCTTCTTATCAGCACCGTGCTTCTTCATTGCCACTAGCTGATGAACAAAGCCCTAAGTCAGTTAAATGTCGATTATCTGAAGACGATATCCCAATTATTTCAGAGGCAGATCATAAGCTAGGAAATTGTTATTGCCACTATTGCACCTGCAAAAAGCATATATGCCCTGAGGATTATAGACGTGGTATGGCAGTATCTTCTATGTATTCATCAATTTATAAGCATGACTATATAAAAAAATTTGCTCCGAAATCATACCCGCTATACAATATGTCAAACTATATGTCTAGGTCAGGAAAAATTGATTTTATGACAATAAATAGGCAGGATTATAAGCCTTTTCACCGCAGTATCACCAAAGGATCAAGGTCTGACAAAGAGTTAATCAAGCCAGTAAAATTCGTGGCCAGTACATCGTATGCCAATGAATTCCCTAACTGGGGAGCTGTAGAATTTATCCATATGAAAAAAGTTTATTCGCCATATGAAGAAAGCTCTACTAAGCTTTCCAATATAACAACATATTCTGAAGCATTTTGCAAAAAACCACAAGAAAACTCAACTAGTGTAGTTACAGATTCTACAGTTTCTTCAATAAAAACAGCAAGCAACTTCAATCCTGTCACCTCAAGCAAAGTATTTTTAGGTGAAACTACATGCATGAGAGACTATAAGCCAACCAAAAAGCATAATTATGCTACACATGTCAAGGCAAGTTCTCAAGACAATATCTCGGTAGTTTCTTCAGCTTCAAGGTTTATAACCAATTATGGAGCAGAATTTGTGCCAAAAGAAATTCCGAAGCGCCTTATAAAGAAAAAAGAATTTTTGTGGAAGGCTTATAGATAATTCTTTTAAAAATTCTGTTTAATATTTAATAGCTTCTTTTACTGTCAAATAATGATTCTTTTGCCATACTCCATGAGAAAGCCTTTTTTGATTTATATATTTTAAGCTTGGAAAACCCATAATTTTGGCTTATAAATGGGAAATCTAACGATATATCTTGGCGCACTTCTTTTTTGTCTTTTAGCGCTAATCTACACTTTCGATATTTCCTCAACGCTTTCAACCAGCTACTCTACTGTACAAGCCATTCAAAAATCCCCCACAACTCGAACATTTTTAGGGATCTTTCTAGTATCTCTCTGCATCTTCTTCATTTATTCTTTCATTTCTAAGCCGCAATCCAAAAGATCTTCTAAAGTCTATGCTCAGCGTATTAATCCTCACGATTATCAAAACCAAGCCTCAGAATATACTAAAGAAAAGCTGAATGAGCTTTACTCAAGCCCAGAATTCCAAACCTTTATGGCACAGAAAAGAAACGCTAGGCCATCAGAAGAGCCTCTTTATGAATTATAGGAATTGCCCGAGGATGGCGCTATCTTGCGCCATCCTCGGGCAATTCAATAATGGCCCCACACCGGGAATCGAACCCACGTGTGGGGCCATTTTTTGGTGCGTGTAAGTCGATGTTGGCCACACACCAAAAATGGCCCCACACGTGGGTTCGATTCCCGGTGTGGGGCCATTTTTTGAATTGCTCGAGGATGGCGCAAGATAGCGCCATCCTCGGGCAATTACTATATCAGATGACGAGCTTTCAGATTAATAATGTAAATCCTAAACACTTTTCTTATGTAAATTCAATATTTATTAAAAGACTCCAAAGCAATACACCATTGATTGATATAAATGGTAGACGTAAAGACAGCTGCTGCTATCAATGCCCAAGCAGCCTTAAGAAACTACTTAGTAGAGCCTGTTATTGATTATCGCACTGTCATCGGTGTTGAAGGTCCTCTAGTCATTCTAGACAATGTAAAGTTCCCAAAATACGCAGAAATCGTCAACGTTCACCTTGGAGACGGCTCAACTAGGCGTGGTCAAGTCTTGGAAATCGCAGGAAAGCGTGCTGTCGTGCAGATTTTTGAAGGCACCTCAGGAATTGACACCGTTAACACTAAATGTGAGTTCACTGGCGATACTATGAGAATGCCTATAAGTGAAGAGATGCTTGGAAGAGCATTCAACGGCTCAGGAAACCCTATTGATAAAGGTCCAAGAGTGCTAGCTGAAGAAATGATCAATATTCAAGGCCAACCTATCAATCCTTTTATGAGAACCTACCCTAAAGAAATGATTCAGACAGGGATTTCAGCTATCGACGTTATGAACTCTATTGCAAGAGGCCAAAAAATCCCTCTTTTTTCAGCAGCTGGTTTGCCTCACAATGAAATTGGTGCTCAAATTTGTCGTCAAGCTTCTTTAGTAAAAGGCAAAGACACCCAAGATCACTCCAAAGAAAACTTTTGTATTGTCTTCGCAGCCATGGGTGTGAACACAGAAACTGCTAGATTTTTCAGAACTGATTTCGAAGAAAATGGATCTATGGAAAGAGTCGCTTTGTTTATGAACCACGCTTATGATCCTACAATCGAAAGAATTATTACTCCTAGACTTGCTTTAACAACTGCTGAATACCTCGCCTATGAAAGAGAGCTCCATGTGCTGGTCATTATGACTGATATGAGCTCTTATGCTGATGCCCTAACTCCCCCCCCCCCCTCCGTGAGCGAACAAAAAAATTTTGTTCGCTCACGGAGGGGGGTTAATTTTTTTTTTTTAAAAAAAATTTATATATAAAATTTTATAAAAAATATTTTTTTCGAAATTTTAAAAAAAATCCTAATTTGCAAAAATTGGAAGCAAATATTAATTTAATTTGCAAAATTTATGTTTTTAAAACGCAATTTTGTTTAAAATTAAACAGAATTAGCTCTAGATTTCATTATACTAATTATCACTTATATATCAAAAATTTTTTTCCATTAAAATTTTTTCTATTAAAAAAATTTTTGTGTTCACTCACGGAGGGTGGGTTTTTGGTCAAAAAATGGCGATTTTTCTAATGTTTTTGTTCGCTCACGGAGGGGGGGGGGGGAGTAAGAGAAATTTCTGCTGCCAGAGAAGAAGTGCCTGGCAGAAGAGGATACCCTGGGTACATGTACACTGATCTTTCCACTATCTATGAAAGAGCAGGAAGAGTAGAAGGCAAAAATGGCTCAATTACCCAGTTCCCTATTTTGACTATGCCTAATGATGATATCACGCATCCTATCCCTGATTTGACAGGGTATATTACAGAAGGACAGATTTTCATTGATAGGCAGTTGAATAATAGGCAAATTTATCCTCCAATTAATGTGCTGCCTAGTCTTTCACGTTTAATGAAAAGTGCTATTGGGAAAGGAATGACAAGAGAAGATCACCCTGATGTCTCAAATCAGCTTTATGCAAATTATGCTATTGGAAAAGATATTCAAGCAATGAAAGCAGTCGTAGGTGAGGAAGCGCTGACAAGCGAAGATTTACTTTATTTAGAATTCTTAGAAAAATTCGAAGGCAGATTCTTGACTCAGTCTATCAATGAAAACAGACACATTGAGGACAGCTTAGACATTGCATGGAGTTTATTAACTCCCCCCCCTCCGTGAGTGAACAAAACCATTAGAAAAATCCCTATTTTTTGCCCAAAAACCCACCCTCCGTGAGTGAACAAAAATTGTTTTAATAGAAAATTTTTTTTATGAAAAAAGAAATTGATATATAAGTGATAATTAGTATAATGAAATCTCGAGCTAATTCTGTTTAATTTCAAACACATTGCGTTTTAAAACATAAATTTTATAAATTGAATCAATATTTGCTTCCCAATTTTTGCAAATTAGGATTTTTTAAAAATTTCGAAAAAAAAAAAAATTTCTATATAATTTAAATATAAAATTTTTTTTAAAAAAAAAAACTTAACCCCCCTCCGTGAGTGACCAAAATTTTTTTGTTCACTCACGGAGGGGGGGGGAGTAAGAATTTTCCCTATCAATAGCTTAAAGAAGATTACAAATGAAGAAATGAGAAACAAGTATTACTCAAGAGAACACCACTTTGAAAGAGTTCGCCAAGAAGCTGAAGACTTAAAGAAAAGAGTGAAAGGCGATTAAATCATAATTCAAAATTAAATCAAAATCTTCATTATAAAATTAGATTTTTATTTATCAATAATCCATTGATGCATTACTAGGTGAATACTTCAACGAAAGCCAATGGCAGCTTGAATTTGAAAACTCCTTTCTACATTATCGAAAAGAAACACTGGCCTATAGAGTGGCTATTCAGCTGCATTAATAAGTTTGGAGCTGAACTTATCACTGATATGCTTACTGCGATATAATTTTAGAATCTTATAGCAACTGTGTGAAAACCATCAATGGTTCCATTAAACCAAGAAATATTTCCCAGAAGATTTTGAGCATGGAAAGGAATGAAATATCATAAAGGATTTGGAGACTTGGCTTATATAACCTCAGAAGATATCTAAGAGCTAATAAAAAAAGGTTTTATCAAATGCAGCTGCTTAAATTAAAATTAAATTTAATAAAATATGGGCTGCACTGTAAGCTTGACTTTACAAATCCAAAATACCCAGAAGAAAAAGGCTAATCGTTATATCAAGCTTAATCCTGTTATACAAAATAAGCTATATCACTCTAGGATCAAAAGAAAAATAGAAAAATGTTTAAACGCAGGTAACACAGAGAATACAGAAAATATTGTTTTAAATAGTTAAATAATTGAGATTTTAGCATAAAAAATAATGCATAAAAATTTTCTCCTAGACTATTGAAATTTAAATCTTTTTTATTTAAAAATAAATCAAATAAAAATGAATTTGTCGGAAATAGGCCTTATTTAATGTTATTGTAAACTTGTAAATTCTATGAATTAGAAATTAAATTATTAATTTAGGAGGTTTTATGAGGAGATTTTGATAAAAGAACTTAATTTTTTCCTCTCTTGCAATATAAATAACTTATTTTAGGCATATGCAAGTCTTTTCTTAAAATGGAATGAAATTCAAATTAAGATTTTTAATTATAATAAAATAATTGTCTTTTCCTAACAAAATTAATAAATCTTTTCAAAATAATTGTTATCCATTTACAGTAAAATTAATAATGGGTTGTCTATTAAGTGTGCAAGTCAGCAGCAAGACATTTCAAAAAAGTCGATATATTGAGCTTGATCATCCTGAAAAAAATTCCTTATTCGTCACTAGACTGCAAGCAAAGAGATGTTCAAATAATTTCCGATCTAATAAAAAGCTCGACCAGCACAGTATTGAACGAAAACTCACAGCCAGTCATCTGGATTCATCAGCAACAGAAATATCTTAAATTTTTATTTTAATTCAATTTTTGCATAATTTTTCATTAGAAAGAATTTTCGAGGCATTTTTAAAATATGGAGGATTACCCTTATAAGCCTACTCGAAAAATGCTTGAATCTTATCTTGACAAACTAGAATCGCCAGCAACAGATTGTGAATCCCCAGCTGGAAGATTTAAATCTAAAGAAGTTTCAATTACAAATTCTGATGAAAATCCATTTAGTTTCTCTTTTAATGGCAAAGAGAAACTTTCAGAAGCAACTATAAGAGAAAATAAACGAAAATATCAGTTTGGCTTAAACCTGCTACAGTGTTATTTTCAGCGAAAAGTCAAAGCTACATTTAAAATTATAAAACATTATACCCCTGTAATATTGGAGCCAAAAGAAAGATTATTAAAGAAAATTATTACAAAGGCAAAGCGAAAAAGTTTAAAGCACTTTTATAATCAATGGCGCATGAATTCAATAAAGGTGACCTCCCAAACCCAAATAAATTCAGCACTTATGATGGTCAATAAAGTGAATTCTTTTTCTAGACAATATATTGCTTTCTCAATCCTTCACAGCTTATTTTCCAAACATTTCTCGATTTTTGCACAAAAATTTCTATAGCGTCTGAACCGCTATAGCTGACCTTGGCGAGGGTTCTCTCCGCAGCAACTTGGAGCTTTGACGAACAACCTAAAGATGGCAAGTCATCTCCAAGCTGACGAATCCTTGCAAAAGGGCGCACTTGTGTCAACTTGGAGTTGACTTTTCACCTTTAGGTGGCTCGCCAGAGCTCCAAGTTGCTGCGGAGAACCCTCGCCAAGGTCAGCTATAGCGGTTTAGACGCTATAGACAATGCTTCAAACGATCTAAAAGCTAGCTCAAAACTACCAAATTTCGGCATAAATAAAAGCATCGAAGGACTTCCAAAAGACTTTTCCCTTCTTCCTGTAGAATTCAGACTTAAATCTTTTACAAATGGATATACAAGACTTATCACTTTCTTCGAGAAGAAGCAAATTCTTAATAAGAAACTATCATGAACTGCTTTATCTAGCCCAGCTTTCTTTTTGAAGCAGACAGATAGATATATAGAATTAACTGAGCAAATCTTTCAAGCTAAAGAAGCTAAAGAAAAAGCTGAATTTGAAAAAGAAGAACTTGCTGCTCTTCTAGAATCTAAAAACGAAGAGCTGAATAGCCTTTTAGACATGCTCGAGCACCAAAAGTCCTGGGAATCAAAGCTAAAAAATGTTGAAAAAGAAACCCTTGAGGAGTCAAAACTACTAAAAAATCAGCTAATAAAATAGATTCATTCCATTTTCAGAATACTAAATATTACTTCTAAATTTGTTTTTATAAAATAAATAATGTAGCCAATAAAACAACAATCTGAAATTGAAAAAATCAATAAAGAGCTAATTTCATGCATAGAAGACAAAAAAAGGACTGAAGAAGAATGCTTACGAGCTTATCGACTTTTAGAATCCGCTCAAAAACAAATAAATGATCTCCAAAGCAAAGATGAAAAAAAATTAAATCCAATCAAAGAAGAATGTGAAACATGCTCAGAATTAGAAACTGTTAAAGCTGAACTCGAAGAATATAAGAAAAAATGCGGGGAGCTCGAAGAACTAAGTTTATCTGCATATGATCAAATTAACAGCATGCAAGAAGAAATAAATAAGCTGAAGCCAAAACCAAAAGGAGCTACCCAGAAAAAGACGATAACCAAAAAAAGTATCGATATGGAAAAGCCTCTTGGAGAGCAAGAAAACCAATTCGCTATCGAGGTGGTTAACCTAACAAGGCAGCTTAATAAGCTAAAACATGAAAGTCGAGCTCAAGGCGAAGCCTTGAGAAAAACCACCTTGGAAAGGGATGAGCTGAAAAAGCTAATCCAAGGCAAAAATGAAGCTTTAGACAGGCTCAGGAAAGAAAATGACCAGCTTTGCCTATGCTTATCAGGGGATCACTACAAATCAGTTCATAAGCTTGAAACTCAGCTTTCACAGACTGAGTCCAAATATAAAGAAATTTCAAATGAATTAAAAATCCAGTGCCAAAAAAACGGAGAACTTCAAGCAGAAATTGAAATATTAAAGAAAAATATAAGTTAAGCTAAACAAATATGAAATTCATAGCATTTTATATGGATTGGTCTCTTGCATTTCGCGCAGCAATTATAAGCTGTCGTATTATGATTTCCCGTTTCTCTACAATAGCTGCAAGCCTGTGGTCTTATTTTCTCAAAAGTAGATTGCTTTGCTATTTCTTTAGGGTTTGATTCTGGCTTTTTTTCTATCATATGAATGAGCTGGGTTGCTAATGTTCTTTGAAATATGTCAAATGTCATATTCGCAGCAAATCCTCTTTCGGCATAGTGCTTATAAATGATAAAAGAATTTGCTATTGCGATTTCTAGCATGTAAACAAAGCTTGCCTTCCATCATCTTTTGGATCTTCTAGCTGTTGAGTATGGCTTAGTAAGCTTATCGAAATACTCTGAGCCACCCATTCCCAGCTCATATTTTAAGCAAAGGACTGGCTTTTCTGTCATAACTTTGGTGCCTAATTTGTTAAATCGCTTTACATTATCTTTTTGAGTTCCTTCTATATTTGAGAAGAAGTAATATGGTTGTTTCTCATATAAAGCACAAAATAATAAGCTTCCTTTTAAAAAGAACTGAACTGGGTTTTTCTTGTTTATTTCAGCTCTTGGAGCCTCTTTTATGTTTTTCTCAATTCTTCCAGTTGTTGAAAACCCTAAATCTGATAAAACATTGAGCAAGTCAAGGTTTCGACATATTTTATCAAAAAGTACATAATATTTATTCGCATTCTCATTCAAAGATTTCAGCAGACCAATCGGGGCGTAAGTAGAAAGATTTTTTCACACTCCTTTTTTCTTATAGGGATAGATCTCAAAATTTCACATATATCCTGTAGCAGAATCGTACAAGCCACAAACTTTAAAATCTCATTTTGCAGGTTCATTTGGAATGTATTTAGCTGGAGGATTCTTGTTTTTATATTTTATAGCGCATTCTTTTATAAATATGAATTTTTCCTAAAATATAATTTTTTTTGCAATTTCGCGAAAAATGGTGGTATATACAGGCTCTAATTTGTTTATCCCATCCTTAAAATGTGTTGAAGATAATCTAAGCATAAGTTGAATACCTTTGTATCTAGAAGAACTCATTATGGAAGAAATCACTGGATTGCGAAAGAGCGGGTCTTTGGATCAATAGTCTGTTTCTTTTGGAGTACTTACAAGACCTGTCATTATGATGACTGCTAGTCAGTTTTCAAACTCAAGTTTTGTTAATGGGGTCAGATCTTTGATTTTGTACCATGGATTTGGCTTGGCACGCATTTTTTCTGCGATAAAGTTGGAATTTTTTATGATTTCATTCATAATGTTGTCTTCGAAAAAGCCCCTGAAAATATCTAATGGAGAAATTGTGGTAAATTGAGAAATATTCGGATATGGATCCATAGGCGGAATAGTATCTTCTCTGCCATATTCTGCAATTTCAATTCAGTCGTTTCCATCTTCAAAAAATTCATTAGAATAATTAGTTTCTTTTATTTCCTCTTCAGATGAGGATGTGCCTTCTGAGGACTCACTAGAAATTACTTCAATTAAATCATTTTCCATTGTTTATTATTATGTGATTTTTTAAATTTCAGTTAATTTACTTTAATTTCTTATCTTATTTTCTTCTTAATTCAGTCCATTTATTTCAACGCAAACAGTTATCTTTGCTATCTCTTTACAACTATATTCATAAAAATTGATCAGCTTAATTATTTTTTCTTCCTCCTAGACTGCACAAGCTCGAATCCATCTTCATCAACTGTTGGCACCAATTCAGGTGGTTCAATTTCAGCATTCTGCATCATGTGTGTGACTTCTTCAACTTCGTTGATTTTCTTGCATTCCTCCACACTTGATTTTTTAAGCCTCCTGAGTCTGTCTAACTCAATTGAGTCTCCAGATCTCGATTGATTATAAACAGCCAAGAAAATTCTTGCAAGCTCCCTTGCACTGTCATCTTCTAAAATCACTGAAAATTTTTCTTCCATAAATTCGTCTAATAAGTCTTCAATATCTTCTTCTTCAACTTGGTAATGAACAATTGTGTCGGTTAACTGAGCCATAAAAGCCTCTTTGTTGCTTGGATCTCCCCAGCCATGGTCTAGAGCGAGATTCATAGCAGTCCAGTTGTCAAAACAAAGCCTGATTGCTTCTGCGACCTGGCTTTCTGCCATTTTTAAAGGAATTAGTCTGAATAAATTATTGCTAGAGTACTAAATGCAGCTAAAACTAGTCCAAGGCCAATTGTTTTTACTTCATCAGCTTTATCGTGCCTGAAAACTTCTTCGATTTCATTGTTATAAAGCACAGCTGGAGAACTAAATAAGATTTACTCTTTTGGAATCGGTTTTGTGCCTTCCTTAATCAGCTCTCTTGGTGGATATTTTTTCATTAAATTGTAGCTTTGAGTACAAATTTTGTCTATATCTAAGCTATCGACAATTTCTTCACAGCGGTGGTGGAGTTCATGTATTTCATTAGTTTCCATAACAATCTCCTTCTGCGATAAAACAATATTTACTGCAAAATATAAAGGTGCCAATGAATGGGTGCTTAAGAAAAAATCATAGACTCTGCAGACCTTACTATATTCTTTGATATCATGTCCAAGTCACGCTATAACCCAAGACAGACAGAACATAGGGACACTTAACTCATCTTCAAACCTGTAGTATCCTTCTATTTTATCCGCTAACTCTTTATCTAATTTCCTAAGGAGGGTATAGAAAAGCATCAGTGAAGGCACTAGAGCCTCGTCAAAACTTTTCCTCAAGGAGTCTCTGACGAAGAGCTGGGCACATTGATAGCTCATTTTAAAGCCTAAATCCTGATCACCCACTAGCAAAAAGGTAGTGCACAAAGAATGAAAGCCTTGAGAATAGTGAAATTCTGGCTTGAACTTAAAGACTGCGTTAATTATATTGGACAGGTCAACTCTCTTAGCGATTCTTTCTTCTTCAGTATAAGCATCGGTCAGATCTAGCCCAAATAAAGATCGATTTACATCGAGACCTATTATATCTGAGTCTTTACATTTTATTTCTCCTGTGCTCCAATTTGACATGAAATTTGTTGAATCATATATCTTTAAAAGAAGAGGCCAAACTTTTTGGCGGTTTTCATTTGTTTTAAGCCCTTCATCAATGCAGATCTTTTTAAGCCTAACTATATTTCTTCCTGCTACGGCACGATCAAGGATTGCTTGAGAGTCTGCCATTTATAAAATTAATCTCTTAGAATTTATATATTAAGACTTCGCTATTTGCTGCTGAAAAAGCTCCATTTGGCATAAACCCGACTTTGATAACTTGACCGCTATTTCCTGATATTTCTTGAGTTTCCTCAATTTTCCCCTCCATGAGCGAACAAAATAATTTTGCTCGCTCATAAAGGGTTTAAGTTCTTTAAAAAATTAATTATATATAAATTTAATAGTAAAATTTTTTTTGGAAACTTAAAAAAATCCCAGTTCGCAAATTTGGACAGCAAATGTTTATTTAATTTAAAAAATTTATATAAAATTTTTTTTCATAAAAATATTAAAAATTTTTTTGTTTGCTCAGTTGTTTTTTGGGCAAAAAATAGGGAGTTTTCCAATGGTTTTATTCGCTCACGGAGGTAGAAGAGTCAGTATTTTGGCTATAAAGAAGCACTTTATTATCGGAGCATCCAATAATCATACAGCCCATTGATTGATTAACATCTAATGAAATAGGGAAATGGCTAAGTACAATTCTCCTTGTGGTTTGATGAATTAGGAAATTTCTTATAAGGATATATTGAAGTGTAGATGCTATACAAGCCACATTTTCCTCATCTAAAAAGACAGCTGAACTATGTATTTGATTAAGCTGCTTGTAAATTTTATATGTCGAATTCAATGACTCTTCAGTATTATCAATATCCAGCCCATGAGGATTTTCAAAAACATTATAAATATCAACAATTTTTTCATAGTCCCATACGCTAATTTTCCCACTATCAGCCGCAGCTGCCAAAAATCCTTCATTCCAGTCGAGTGATAAGGGTTTTCCTCCAGCCATCCCTACCTCTTCACTGTTTAATGTTAATCGATTCCAATTCTCTGAACTCAACATTAAAACTACCCCAGTTTCAGATGCTACGAATAGCCTCGATTCATTTTTCCAGCAAATAGCTGAAACTCTGGATTTGAAAGGCTGGCTTTTCCCAACGCTTTTTAGCAAGTTTGTGCTGAAAAATTGCAAAGAACCATCAGAAAAGCCAGCAACAAAGATCTCATTATTTGGGCTAAAAGCTAACGACGTGCAAGGCAGCTTGATATCATATTGAGTTATTTGGGAAAATGTTTCAGTATCCCATAGTCTGATTGTATTGTCAGAAGCTGTAGAAATTATCATGGAATCAGCAACAACCGCTTGCAGCTGGCTATCATATAGGTGGCTGCTTACAATTCGGGCTGATTCTTTTTCTTTTCAATTGATATACCAAATAGTTCCTGAGGTGGTTGCAGCAATTCCTTCATGGCCTGCTGGCTCAAAACTAAGTGACTTTATATACCCATCCATAACAATCACTTCGGCTTGTCCTACAAATGAATTTGAGCTCTGTCTCCAGCTCATCAAATGGTTAGAATTTCCACCTATAGTTGTCCTTTCACTACCTACTGCTATCGAGCTTACTTCATTTCCTAACAAAAAGTGAGTGGAAATCTGATTGCAAGTAATCAGATCCCACACAATTAATTTTCCGTCTCCAGTTCCGACTGAAACTAAGTCTCCATATATATCCAATGATGTATAATCGTATATCATCGAGCTTAGCTTCCTGAACTGCAAATCAAACTGCGAAGTCAGACACCATTGAGTCACTTCTTGTCCTGCTGTCACAAACTCATAAGAATTGAGCTTTCACTTAGCCATGCATGCTGGGCTTTCTAGCAAAGCTGTAGAAATGACTCTCCCTGAAGAAATTTCCCAGATCACAACTATAGGCTCTTCTTGGACACCTAGAGATAATAAATATTTCCCATCACTAGAAAAGGAGAGATGAGAAACCCCTTTTTCATGAAAAGTCAAGGACTTTAAGAGCTTCTGAGTTGAAGAATCCCAAACCAAAATTGGAGAGTTTATAGGGGAGGATGATCCAGCTACAATTAAAGAGGAGTCAGGAGAAATTGCTAGTGTGGTGAGTTCTGGGCCTGACGAAAAGAAAATTTTTTGGATGCCATTTTCTCGTAATAAGGTTTGGATTATTTTCTGGCCTGAAGGATAAGCAAACCACCCCTGTTCTGAAGCCCAAATTAAGTTGTTGCTAGTTGTTGCGTTGTACCCAATTACTCTGTCAAGCTTTAGCTTATAGGCTTCACAGCTCAAAGAAGGGGTTTCGTGCTTTGGGGACTCACTTATTTGAGGCTCTATAGGATTTTCTTCATAAGCCTCTTCATTTTCTATAAAATCTTCATTAATTTCAGCTTCTTCAGGCATTTGCTCAGCTAAAATTTCGTTTTCTTCAATATTTTCTTCATAAACAGCATCTTCTATATCCCCTCTGAACTCCCAAATAAATATCCCATCATTTCCTAATGCAGAAGAAATTACTAATTTTCTGTCATTAGACCACATTAAGCTCGTAATTTTATTAGAATGGCCAATAAATGCTTGCCCAACTGTTTCTTTAGGCTTCATTCTATAGTCCCACACTCTTAAAAACTTGTCACTTCCTCCAGTGACTAAATACTTTGTATTTTCTGAGACCATCATTTTGGAAATTTCTGAGTTAGGATGAATATTTTCTAACTCTCTCACAGGAACAGCTTCATTTTCTTTCAAGTTATAATATTTGACCTTATAATTTGATTTATAACAAATCAATAAGAATTGCTTTCCATTTGGCGAATACATAATCTGACTCACGCTCGCAGCAGAATTTATCATATACTTCTTTTTCATGCTTGCGCAGTCCCAAAAAGCTACATTTGTCTTATTACTTCCCAGAACTGCAAACTGTTCTGAGTTTGGGGCAAAGCAAATATCAATAAATTCCCCTTTATTCTCAACTGGGATCGTTTTTAGGGCTTGGTATCCTCTGCCAGCCTCGTAAAAACAGACAATCCCATCATCACTGGCACTTAGCATGTATTTTCCATCTTTAGAATGAGTGACTTTAACAATTTTTCCTTCATGGTTTAAAAACTCGCTTTTAACAGCTGTGTTTTCTACTTCAAATATCCTTATTGTTCCGCTCTCAAAGCCACAAGCAAAGTTATTAAGTCTCCCCCTCCATGAGCGAACAAAAAAATTTTGTTTGCTCACGGAGGGGGTTAATTTTTTTTCGAAAGCAAATATTAATTTAATTTGCAAATTTATGTTTTAAAGTGCAAGCTGTTTAAAATTAAACAGAATTAGCTAGAGATTTCGTATAATAATTATCACTTATAATCAATTCTTTTGTTTCATAAAAAAATTTTTTGTTCGCTCATGGAGGGTGGGTTTTTTGCCCAAACATAGGGATTTTTCCAATTTTTTTGTTTGCTCATGGGGGGAGTAAGTACTGGATGAAAAGAAAGTGTTATAGGGGCATCCTCTATTGAGGTAAACTCATAAAGCTCTTCAAAAGTTTCAGGGGTCCAGACACGAATGGTTCTATCTTCGCTTGCAGTTAAAATACTGCCGAACTTTGGATGGACGTCTAATGCTACTATATTAGATGTATGCGACCTTAATAAAGTTTTATATGCATTGGTAGTCATTCCGAGAATTCCAACTGTGCAGTTAGAAGTACCACAGACAACATGTAATCCGTCAGAACTTATATCGACTGCTGTAACTGTGTCTTCATGATGGGCTTCTAAATAAAATTCAGAAAAATCGAGAGGCCAGACTCTCATATAGCAATCCTTACTGCCTGTGACACAAAAGCCTTCACTTACAACGATTGAGTGGATTCCTGCGTCATGAAGCTGTAAAACACCTTCAAGCTCTAAAGTTCTGTAGTTAATTTGGAACAGCAGCCCTTGGTTATTGACAACAAAAACCCTCTTTAAATGCTCATCAATTATTTCAGATTTTGCACTTGATGTGAAAATTTCAAAGCTCAGGTCCAGAAATTCAGTTGATTTAGCGTGATGGTTAAGAACAACAGCTCCTCCTGATAGCCGATCTCCATTGATTCGCCATGATCTAATATTTTCTTTTCCGCATGACATTAGCTTTGAAGTGTCTATAGGTGAAAATTTTATAGTATTTATATGGTAATTTGAGGTTTGTTTTATAAGTAGCTCAGCTTTTCCGGGGTTAGTAATATCCCATATTAAAATTTCATCTTTAATTAAACTGTCAGTACCTGCTGTTACCAGGTAGTGGGAATCTGTGCTGATATCAATAGCTTTGACATTGTTTAGCTTTGCAAGGGAAATATAAGATGGAGGTCTTCGGGTTTTTATTTGCCAGATCAGAATTAACGGGTTCGGGCTGTCTTGGCCTGAAGCAATCAAAGTGCCATCAGAACTTAAAGCTAAGCATACAACTGGGGATGTGTGTGCAAATAAAAACTGTTGCTTTTGGGTAACTGGGTTTATGAGGACAAGAGCGCATCCTGAAGGGTAGATTAAATATTTGGAAGATCCTTGGGTAAACTCTGGTGGATAAGCACTAAAGTCACTTTGAGGGCGTGTCCATTTAACATTTCCAGGCTTTCCGCCTGAATAACCAATAATATGAGTTAACCCCATTATTGGATCAGGCAATAGAGGATTTTCTATATCTTTGACTACTGGAGCTTCTACAATCCTTACTTCTTTTATCCTCTTTTGATTAAACGAATCACTTTTAATGCTTTCTCTAGTAAAAGACTCTCGCTTCTCTTCTTCAGTTGATATCCTTTTTGAGCTCTCAGAAGCATTTTCACGAATTCCCTCACTCCCCCCCCCTTTAAATTGGAACTAAAATTTTTGTTCCAATTTAAAAGGGGGTTAATTTTTTTTTTAAAAAAAAAAATATCAATATAAAATTTTTTATAAAAAAATATAAAATTTAAAAACAAAAAATTTCAAAAACTTATCGAATTAGATTAATAAATTTGTTTAATAAAACGCTATTTACTCTTTATTCTTTAAAGCAAAGCAAGATATAACTAATTTTCATTATTAGTTAATACGCCACTATTAATTGGTATCAAAAATTATTTACACAAAAATTTTTATTTTTATTGATAAAAAAAATTAAAAAAAAAAAAAAAAATTTTGGAAAATTATCGATCAATGTTTAAATAAGATGTTATTTATACTCTATTCTTTAAAACAAAGCAAGAAATAAGTAAATTTTGAAATTTTATAATGAATTCCTATTGAATTTATATCAAAACTATCCAAATAAAAAATATCATTTTTATCAAAAAAAGCAAAAATTTTTAAAAAAAAAATGAATTTTTTTTTAAAATTTACCAATTAAGGATAATAAATTTATTTAAATAAGATGCTCTTTATACTTTTTTCTTTAAAAACGAGCAAGATATAAATAAATTTTTAATTTAGTTAAGAAGAAACATTTAACTTTATATCAAAACTTTTTAGATAAAATTATATATAATTTTTTATTATAAAATTAAATTTTGTTCCAGTTTAAAGGGTTAATTTACCAAAAAAGTGAAAATTTTACCGATATTTTGTTCCAATTTAAAGGGGGGGGAGTCAGAAAATCCATTTGACTGTTTATTTTCTTCATCATTTCTAGGTTCCTTTTTACCTTTGCTGACTTGTTTTTTCTCTTTTCTATTAACTTTGTTGTCTTCTTTTTTATTCTTCTTGAATCCTTCTCTTTCTTCAATATCTGGGAAAGAAATTCAGTCATAGACATTTTCCCACCTTTCTTCTCGTGAAAGCTTTAGCATCATTTCTCTTGGCAAGGTATTGTGATTATATAAAATTTCTGAAGTGTAAATTCCTCTTACAAACATATTTGAGCACAAGTTTATTGCTTTTAAAGCATGACTAATAATCCACGGGCCTAAATATTGATCAAAAATTGCTTTCGCGTCTATGCAAGCCACAAATCATTTTTCATTAGGAAAGCAGGTGAGCTGCAAACCTGATGAAGTTAGCTTGCTTTCTTTGTAAATGTTGCTAATCGAAATCCTAAATGGCTCTTCAGCTTTAGTTTTCGAATTGCTTAAAACAAGCTCAAAGTGCATTGAAAAGAACTTATTAGGCGGCACTTGCAGTTGAGCATAGATATAACGGCCAGTAAGTCCTAAAGTTTTCAGATGAGATCTTTGTTTTGGGATTTGAATATTGTTGGCGGCTGAGATTGATCCAAAAAGTCTGAAAACTCTTTTTCCTGTGATTCTATCTAGCACTTCAGTGACATCTCCTTCTTTTTGAGTATTTTTCCATTCGCTGATATTAGTAAACTTGAATACATCGACAAATGGATGCTGCCATAGCTCGCTTGACTTCATATCAAAATTTATTGAAAATGCTAATAAATAATGGAAGTCTTTATTTAAATTTTAATAGGGTTAATGAATGTAAATGTAAAGCAGCTTCTATAGCTATAAATCAATTTTAAAAAATGATTTAATTTAAAGCATTTATTTGTGAATTCGAAAAATAAATATTTAAATATTAATTAGATTTAAGCTAAATGAAGCATCATAAATTAAAAAATTAGCATATAGATATATTAAAAAGATTTTAAAACATATTTCAAATTCCATAATTATAATCCATTGATTTCAGATCCATATTTTCTGCATGGCATATATCTTAATCTGACTCATATAGATATATCAATCTAATTTCACTTCTTCAGCCCAACAATTTTCCCTTTTTCAATTTAAATCTCTGATAATTTTTCCATATTTTGATATGATTAGTTATTAATTTATAAACAAAAAATGGCTTATCAAAAATCTGGCAGTCTTATCATCCGTCCAATAAGTGCTAAGCTAGACAGAGACGTTGAAGCTTTAACCACAATGGATCCATATGTATTCATAAAAATTGGAAACCAAGAAATGAAATCTAGAGTTTGTGCTGATGGTGGAAAACAACCAAACTGGGAAGATCAGCTTAATTTTGTTATAAGCGGAGAAGATCAAGCTTATATTGGAGTTTGGGATAAGAGAACCCTAATGTCTGACTCAGAAGTCGGGAGCAGCATTTTCCCTCTGATAAAATTATTTGACACTAAATATCATGAAGACTGAATTGACTTGTTTTATAATGGCCAAAAAGCAGGATCTTTAAGACTTTATATGGAGTTTAGACCGACAATACCTGCTGGACAGTCGCAAGGAGAAGGAGTTTTTCAAGGGCAAGGGTTGTCAACTGGTCAAGGATTTACAGGAGGACAAGGCACTGGAAAGTTAGGGGAAAAAGAAATATATACTGGGGAATTGAAAGGCCAAAACTTAGGGACGCAGCAAGGCCAATACAACTATCCTTCAGGAACATCACAAAACTACCCTCCTAGTGGCTATTAATTATATTAACCAATAAAAATGGCAAATCTTCCGTGTTCTGGTACTTTAAAAGTTGGCCCTTTAATAGCAGAAATTATAAAAACAGATTTTACAGCTGAAAGTGATTGCTTTTGCAAAATTATCCTTGGAAATCACTTTTACCGCACAGGAATCTGTAAAGGCTGTGGCAGAAAACCTAAATGAGATGATAAATTTGAAATCTTTATAAGTGAAAAAGATTAAGATTAAGATTAAGATTACGCTGGGTATTTAAGGTCCCTACTACGTCCGAGGTCGCATGCCACGGTTTCCCGTGTGGTGGCAGAGCGTTCACCAAGCCCGGGCCGAAACCCCCGGTTTCTCGGTAGAGGTATTGTCAAGGGCCGTCTCATACCGGCTTTGCTGACCACCTCCATTTCCAACTTGGATCGTCGCCTAAGTTTACGCGCCAACTCCGCTTCGTCGCCCGTCAGATCTGCCCATTGAAGGGCACCTTTTCAACTGGAGAGACCCCCGTTTTGGTGTCTAACTCGCCTCCCCTCTTTTCCGGTCATCCCGATAAAGAACTCAACAGCTTTCGCCATTCGGGGCGAGCCACTAAAGCAGCTTAGGCAGGCAAATTCACCCTGCCTCATTTCGGGCACTCACTGGGCTGAGCGCTGCTGGCAAAAAGGAGTCACGAATAACTGCCCATGGGTCTGGTCGCAAAAACTGCGGCTCTCGCGCTTAGGCCTCTCGCTTCGAGGTCCCAGACGTTGTTGGCTAATTCCTGGCTCCAAAAACCATGCCCGGATATACATGGGTAACCACCACTGAGAGGGTGGGTCGGTCGCCATACGCCATTTTATGTATTAAGTGAAAAAGATAAATCAATGTTAATTGAGCTATGGGAGCATTCCCTTGAATTCTCTGAAGAAATTATCGGCAAGGTAAATATAGCTCATGCACCGATATGGATTGCCATCATTGAAAATGTAACCGTTCTATTGGACTTCATATATTGAACTTCTTAGAGTAAAGACTTTATTTAGAGAAATATTCAGATTATAAATATAATATCACAAGTTTTTAAATTAATTTAATATAGTTTTATATGAGCTGCTTTTAAATAATTTTAATAATAGTACAAGGCTCAGTAAATAAATTCAAGGCGTTAAGAAGATGCATTTTAGGTTTAAAAGGAGAGAAATATGTTTGAAAAATTAGAAAAATTACATATAAGGAAAGACAAGGTGTAATCTAACATTAAACATTAGAGACTCAATAACTAGTATAACAAGCCAAGCAGGAATTCGCCCCTGTAAACGCTGTACAGGTGGCGCATTCTTTCTACATCTTCAATGATAACGATCTATGCCGGTGCATGAGTTATATCTACTTATCAGAGCTTCATATATTGAACCAAAGCATTGAAAATTGGTTTGATATTAAGATAGAAACAAATATTTTTGGAAGAATTCAAATAAAAATTGAGCTTGAAGAAGGAGAAAAACAGAAAAACCAAACTGAACCTCAAAAAGAGATACAAACTGCATGAAATTTGTAAGAATTATATACAAATAATTATTTTATTAAAGTTAGTTAATAAAAAATAGTTCTTTAGCTCAAGGATTTTCGATTTTCATTCTTATTCTCGAATTGAGAAATGGATCACATTAATCTGCTGATCAGAATGCTAGTTGCTTAACAAAATTTTCCATTTTTGTGGCTATTATTTCTGTAATATACATATTTAATGGCTAATTTTCATCCCGGTACAGTTTGCATCCGACCTATAAGTGCTAAAATTACAAGAGACACAGCGACAATAAGAATGGACCCATATTGCGTCTTGAAGTTGGGAAATTTTGAGCTACAAACAGTCGAGCACAGAGGAGCTGACAAGCTTCCATCATGGAAAGAAGAATTGACTTTTAATGTCTTGCCTGGAGATGATCTGCTACAAATAACACTTTGGGATAAAAATACACTTTCAAAGGATAGAAAAATTGGATCTGCAAGTTTTCCATTATTTGAGCTTTTTTCCAAAAGATTTATAGAAGATTGGGTTGAGCTAATGTTTGAAGGAAAGAGTGCTGGACATATAAAACTTCAAATGACTTTTCAGCCTGAATGGGAACAACAAAAAATAAGCGAGGGTGAAAGACTAGAAGAGAAGGCAGAGCTGCAAAAAGAGCAAGCTCAACCTGAAATATCAGGCCAAAGATTGAAAGAATACCCAGCTTATCAAGAAAGTGGCATTCGAAGAGAAGAAGTGAAGCCAGAACTTTATAATCAAGAAGAGTTTCCTCAAGAAAAAAAAATTTTTAGTGTGGAGCCTGGCTCGGAATACCAAAAGGAATACCCTCAAGAATCTCAGTACCAGCAAAAACAAGAAATCCCTATACATGAAAGAAAAGGATACTCTGAAGAGCTTCAGCAGAACGTGCAGTACTCAAAGGAATTCCAACAAAGACAAGAGATCCCATCATATGAGAGGAAAGGGTACACTGAAGAGCTTAGGCATGAAAAACAGCCCCCTCAAGAATCCCAGTACCAGCAAAAGCAAGAATTCCCTATACATGAAAGAAAAGGGTACACTGAAGAACTTGGGCATACAAAAAAACACCAGCAAGAAGAATCTCAGCAGCATCTCCAAAAAGAAGATTTTCCTAAACAAGAAAGAAAAGTATACAGCGAAGAGCCTAGGCCTGAGTATGTGTATAAGCAGTATCCCCAGCAAGGAGTTCCTCAGCAAGAAAAAAAAATTATATAAAGAAGAGCAATTACTTAGATTATAGAAAAGCTCCCTGTCGGGATCCTAAATCAATATTCCCTTCCATACTCCACTCGCCCTCTTCACCGACAATCGTAGCACGCCTTGAAAGTCTTGCTTCTGCCAGACTTGGGCCTGCGCATACGACCTGGTTAGGTTAGGCTATTAAAGACAGGCGTTAGCCATATTCGTGATGCAATCATCAAAGACCTCCATGAGGAAGGCTCTTCCACTTTTCGAGTCCAGCCAAGAGGGGCTATCCCCCAATAATGGATGTCACTTCTGATGCCTTCTGTCTCCTTCTTGACTTGTAGCTTCAGTCTTGAGTGGGCGGCTTATGGATTTCTGCGGCACTGGTGCAGGCGATTGGAGTAGCTTGGTTCTAAAGGATCGTCTCCTTGGAGCCTGTCAGGTGCCGAAGTGCCTTCCTTCGAAAAAGACTATTCCTCCGTGGCCCAGACCAAAATCCCCAGTTTATTGATAGAGGAATGCCCATGGGTCCTCGAATCCAAAATGAAGTTGCCGAGTACTTCCATTTCCAATCACAGGAAAGCAGACAAAAATGACCTGGATACACATTTATTGAGCCTACATTGATTTTTTTATCTCGGAGTCCGTCCCAGTTCGCTGTGGCCATAAGGTCTTGACTGTTGCACCAGAGTCGCCATTTTATATGTGCACGCTGCCCTATAATTTGAAAGTTTGGGTCACATTACGTACTCCTAAAGTAGTTTTCCACCATCGAATATTCATAAGGATTGAATTTTCTGGTCGACTCTTGGCTTAGATGGAAATCTTTAGCCCAGGGCGTAACTCCTGATTTCACGCAGGGAATAGTCCCGATAGGTCAAGACAAATGCTTTGGTACAGCTGGGAAGCCTTTTCATCTTCGGATTAATCTCCTTATGAGGCAAAACTTGGCGTTGTAGTAAAACTTGCAGTCGGCCAGCTTGGCATTGCGCTTTACTGAACTAAGAAAAGCCTGGCCGGATGCACCTATCAAAAGTTAGCCCCATTCCTCAAGATTCCCGGTACCTTTTCGAGAGTCGGCTACAGAGTTAAGAAGGTGGGTTAATTCACCACACAATTTTTAATGAATTTATATAAAGAAGAGCCACTTGCAAAAACTTGAAAATATGAAGAGATTGAAAAGCCAAAAGAGCACGATGAAAAAGAGGAAGAAAGAAGAGAAGGGATTGCACAAAAAGGAGAGCTCAAAGAGTTTCCTAAAGAACCTTCCAAGCCTGAAATATTGAAGCATACAATCGAGAAAGAGACATATATATTCTCAAAACAACCTAAAGAAGAAGCTGAAAGGCCTATAATTCAACGTGAAAAAGTATATGATCAACAATTATCAAAAGAACAAGTGCAACAGCTAGAAGCTCTTAATCTTAATTATCTATAACGCTTTACGTCCACTACGGGGTAGCCAACTCCAGAGCTACCACCATATTTATTCACGTGTCAGGTCCATGGACCTCTGGATTGACCCACTTTAATCACCAAGGCACGGGTAAGTACGGCGTTCCAGCTTCGACGGACTTCGCTGCCGCGACAGCTTTGTTCCGATTCAGCTCCTGCGCGTGTTCCGCCTGAGGGTCCACCTCCTCGGGTGTGCTGAGGGGTAAAGACCTGAGCTCTTGATCGCACTAAGGAGCAGTTCCTTTGGTTATCTCCAAAGTTAAATCGCTATTGCTGTGCAGAAGTTCTCGAGATAAAACCCAACCCCATAAATAAAATTGCTTGAGTGAGAGAAAATTAGCAGAGCTAATTTCGCTTGAAGCGAAAGCCATTTTTATTTATAACAGCTAGAAGCTCAGCAAGAAAAGCTATATGAGCAAAAACCATCGCATGAAATAAAACTTCCCGCTTTTCAACACGAGCAAATGCCAGCACAAGAATCGGCACAGCCCATTTATCAAGAAAAAATGCATGAAGAGAAGCCAATCAAAAAAGAAAAGAAGCATAAAGAAAAGTTACCCAAAGAAGAAAAGTTGCACACAGGAGAAAAAATGTCAAAAGAAGAGAAATTGCACAAAAAAGAAAAAGTCCCGAAAGAAGAGAAATTGCATAAAGTAAAAGTTCCAAAAGAAGAAAAGGTACAAAAAGGAGAAAAAATACATAAAGAGAAGAAAGCTCCAAAAGAAGAAAAGGAAAAAAAGGCTCATAAAAAAATACCCAAAGAGGAAAGTCAGCCTGAAGAGAGGGAAAGAGTGGAATTTCAAGAACGACAACCAAGAAAAGAAATGGAATTTCAAGAGCGTCAGCCCAAAGTAGCTTTTAAATCTCATGAAGTTCAGCCAGGACAAGAAATGGAGTACAGAAAGCAACCCAGAGAAGAATTCCAACCTCATGAAGCAGGCTATAGAAAAGGAATGGAATTCCAAGAGCATCCGAAAGAAGAGATCCACAGAGAAGGTATGAAATACCGAGAGCAGCCTAAAGAGCAATACAAACCTCAAGAAGTATCCAGCGAAGAAGCTCATCAGCCTCTTTATTTTCAATATGGGATGATTTATATCCGTCCTCTTAGCGCCAAAATCACTCGAGATGTAGCAGCTGAAATAATGGACCCTTACTGTGTTTTCCGTATCAGTGACGCTGAAAGAGTCTCAGAAGAGAGTAGGTCAGGAGACAAAAACCCAATTTGGAACGAGCAATTGCCATTCTTTGTAGGGCCAGGAGACTTTTATTTGACAGTTACCTTGAAAGATAGAAAAGCGCTTCAAAAGGATAAAATCATTGGAAGTGCAGCTTTGCCACTCTTTAAACTTTATGCTGATAAATTAGTAGAAGACTGGATAGAGCTAAAATATGAAGGACAGTCATCTGGCCATATAAAAGTAAATATGATGTTTTATCCTAATGAAAAGCCCGAATCAATAAAAGAAGCCTCTGCTACGAAAGAAATGTCAGACCAACAAACTGGAGAAGTCAAAAGAGATGTATTTGAAGGCCAGCAGTCTGCAGGACTTAAGAAAGATATACAAGAAGGAGTATTTAGAGAACAGAAAGGGCCAATTAAAGAAGGAGCAGTAGGTGAACAATACACTGGCTTAAAAGAAAAGCATCAGGAAAAAGAAATATATCAGCATTCTCAGAAAGAAAAGCCTAAAGAACATAAAACGACTCAGTATGAGCAGAAAATTCTTTAATCCTTAATTAATTAATTTTTATTAAATATAATAGTAATATTTGAAAAATTGATTGATCTGGAATTTTGAACGATGATTTTAAAATATTTTATGTTTATGTTTAGTGAATTCCTCTAGCACTGCAGTGCCTTAAGTCCTCTTTAGCTTGAATCCAGCTTCGATAGCAGCTCTGGACAACGGTAGGTGGATCGGCCTAACCGTCGAGCCGTTATTGTCATCAAGCCCTTAAAGACTTCTCTAGTCCATGCCAGACTCAGCACAGACCACCTCTCTTCAAGCCGAGACTCTCAAAAAGCTTGAACTTCTCCCAAAAAGCTCAGATAATAGGGCTAGCATGGGTGAAGAGGGTTAGCTTAGTCCATTTAGCTAACCCTCCTAAAAGAATGGGATAGAAAAAAATTTCCAAAAAAAAGGAGGGTTAGCAAAAAGTTTTCATATAGCTGCATATAAAATTTTAATGGTTTTTTTGCTAACCCGCTTTTTTTGGTAGCGGATTTTTAATATAAAAAGCTAACCCTATTAAAAAAGAGGGATAGCAGAAAAATTTTCATAATTCAAGAGGGATAGCAAAATTTTCTAAAATTTCAAGAGGGATAGCAAAATTTTCAAAAATTCAAGAGGGATAACTTTTTGCAAGGAGGGCTAGCTAATTGTAAAGTTTCTAAAAATTAATTATATATTAATATTTTTATCACCAAAGGCCAGTATTGTTAGAATTCCATCGAAAATTTGAGACTATAATTGTATAAATGGAGGCAAAATTGACATCAAGTGACTCTCAAAATAGCATTGAAGATGAAAATCAAGGGTCCAGCTATCGATCTAGGAATTGAGAGGTAAAATTCAACAATAAACTTCTTATTTTTAAGCTAAATTTTACCAAACTTTATTTCCAAAAAATGATTTATTTTTGCCTTTATACCCAAGCTCCTGCACCAGGGTTATCAGATCCTTCTACAGCTTCATCAATATCATCAGTCCTTTCAATATCTTGCCAAGTCAATCCTTCAGCATCTTCAGTCGGCGTTATTAAGGCCAGACTTGCATAAATCTTCGGCATCATTATCAGTCATATCCCCTTGTTGTTTATCATATGGTTGGCTTGATGAAACACAGGAATTGCTTCATCCACACCGTCTTCTGTGATAATAGTTTGAGAATCTGTTGCATTTTGTAATTATTCTAAGTCTGCTTCAGTATCTGAGACATCTAAAAATGATGGAGTTGCGAATAAATGATTTTCTCTTTACTTTGTAGGGATATTGATAAAGATAGTAAAGCACATAAAAATGATAAGGTTGTTATAGCCATTAAATTCAACAGTAACATGTGAATCAAGCGAAAAAATTTGCAGACATTGTCTACACTAAATGTGCTCTTGAAGATAAAACTGTAATAATTGTGAAATCAGCTCAGACAAACAAATGGATTTCTCTTAGATGTTATTTTTTCAAAAAACGAGAGACACGTATGATTTCTCCTCTATTGAATTGACTGCTTTATGCCCATTTAAGATGCATTGGAGAATTGCCCAAAACAACCAGGAATCCTTTGCATACAAACTCACAGATATCAATCCATTTAATTTTCATCAACGAATTACAGATTATCAGATTCAAAATGAGTCAAAGTTACAAAGAATTCCTCTTGAAATGCAAGATAAGGCAATAGAATTATTTTGGCAAAAATTATCAGTTAATGAGATGTTTACTGCAGGCATTTTAATAACTAGCAGAGTCGAAGGAATGCATGCTAAGTTAAAAGGAATTATGAAAACAATTAAAAGAAATAGTGATATTAAGATTTTTACGGCTTTTGAGAGTATTGCAAGTAGAGAAGACGAAAAAATAATGTTAAAAGAGTATGAACAAACCAAAAACACAACTTTCACGATAAATACGATGGAAGCAATCGGAAAGTTATATTCTAATCATTGTTTAAAGCACTACCAAAACTCTATTAATGGTATTAAAGCAACTTTCTTAGAGGACAATAGGGATGATGATCAAAGATGGAAAGTTTTAAACAAAATACCCAAATTGAGTAAAGAAGAATATATAATCAAAAAATCTCTCAAATACACATGCAGGAAATATGAAAAATATAAGATTCTATACAACCATCTTCTTTTTATATATAAAATTACTGGGAGAAATATTATAGAGTTAATTATTGAAAATACAGCGAGAAGATGGCTATTGCCTTCAGTTTCTGACGAAACGAATAACGAATTATTCAAAAGAATTCAAGGTGTAACTTATTATCGCAAACTAAATGCATCTCCAGTTAATCAAGAAGAGAGAAAGAGATATTAGCTATTATAACTATCTAATCATCTATTTAATTTAAATTCACATAAAATAAATTTTTACAATTAGCTAACCCTCCTTGCAAAAAGTTATCCCTCTTGAATTTTTGAAAATTTTGCTATCCCTCTTGAAATTTTAGAAAATTTTGCTATCCCTCTTGAATTATGAAAATTTTTTCTGCTATCCCTCTTTTTTAATAGGGTTAGCTTTTTTATATTAAAATCCGCTACCAAAAAAAGCGGGTTAGCAAAAAAACCATTAAAATTTATATTGCAGCTATATGAAAACTTTTTGCTAACCCTCCTTTTTTTTTGGAAATTTTTTTCTATCCCATTCTTTTAGGAGGGTTAGCTAAATGGACTAAGCTAACCCTCTTCACCCGGCTAGCATGATGAAATAGGACTCAGCCCCTATCCCTAACTGCCATTTTTAATATTGTGATTTAAAATATAAATTAATGACAGAATTTTCTGCCAATTTTCATCCTATTAATGGCCATAAATAATAAAAATGGCTCATCCAGGCAAACTAATTATACACCCTATGAATGCTAAGTTAACTCGGGACGTTGAAGTAATTGGAACTATGGACCCATACTGCGTAATTTCAGTAGGAAACCAAGAGCTGACCTCAAATATTTGTATTGAAGGTGGCAAAAATCCTCATTGGGACGATCCTCATACCTTTACAATCAACAATGAAGACACCGTCACAATCAAAGTTATGGATAAACGACTTATGAAAAAAGATGACGAAGTAGGATCAGTGACTGTCCCACTATCTAATATTTTTAACACGAGAATGGCTGAGGACTGAATTGAAATATTGCATAATGGAGAACTCGCAGGACATCTCAGACTCCATATATCGTTTATACCAAGAGATACAGCAAATGAAAAAGAAATGGAACGTCAAGAACTGCAAGACGTAATAAGTGATCCAGTTAATTTATAAGAATATTTATATCTTTAAGAGATTCTCTATTAGTATTTAGTAGCTGAAGGAAGATGATTTCATATATTATAGGTTTCCTAATAATATAGGATATATCATAAATCTGATCGGATAATAAAATGACTTTTTCAGGAAAACTAAGCTTCTGACCAATAAAAGCAAAGCTAAATAGAGATGTGGCGATTATAGGGAAAATGAGTCCATTTTGTGCTGTTTCAGTAGGGGATCAAAGGTCTAAAACAAGGATTTCTTTGAAAGGCGGAAGAGAGCCACAATGAAATGATAAGCTTGATTTTATAACATTGGGAGAAAATAAAGCAAGGATTGGAGTATATAATAATGGAATACTTTTACCTGAAGAAGAAATTGGAAGTAGAGAATTATCATTCCAAGGCATTTTTTCTGAGCAATGCATTGAAGAAATTGTCTATATTTATTATAAAGGTGAAATTGCAGGTCAGTTGCTGCTTAAGCTAGAATTTTGTCCACTTAACGAATTAGTATCTTCAACTTTAAAAGAAAAAACTAGCACTGGACTTGAAGCAAAAGATACCAAAAAACTTGAGAATTCTCCTCATGATTCAAAATTAATAGATACGCATCAGCAAGGCTTAATTAAATAGCATGATAAGATTGATTTTATTATTTAGGATCAGTAATTATAAAATAAATAATTATCTAATACACTTAAATTTTTACTAATTTCAGACGAGAGATGATTTTTATTTTTTAAAGTTCTTCATTCTTATTATCTAATAAGATAAATATTTAAATGTTCAAGGGCTATTTGATGATGAAAAATACCTATTTTTTATTTGCCTTTATTTATTTCAATAAATAATTAGATATTCTGAATCTTTTAAATTATAAAAAGAAATATTAAGAGTATAATAAAATCTAATAAATATATTAAAATTCTTTTTAAAACAAAAGAGCCATCATTCTTTTATTATTCGTCACGATTTTTAATCTCTAAGCTAATGACAAACTGCATAAGCCTTAAATATAATTATAATGGTATTACTGAATAAATTATAATCAAATTAATTAGACATAATGAATAAATTTTTAAAATCCTAACAAGGCCAAAAGTTATTTTTCAATGCTATTGCAATTTTCCTTTCTGTTCTTTCTTCAACTTAAAGTTTATATGCATATAGCTTAGTTTCATTAAAAAATAGTTAGAGAAAGTTAGATATAAATTCTTGTACAATATTCAAAATGGCAGTTGGAATATCAAGCTTCTTGAGAGCTTCGGCTTGAAGAGAAGTGGTCAGTCCTGAGGCTGGCACAGATTAGAGGAGTCTGCAAACTTTAACGGTTAGGCCGGTTCACCTCTATGTTCAGAGCTGTTATCTTAGCTGAACTTAAGTAAAAGAAGACTTAGAGACAATAAAAGTGTAAGGAGAAATTCATTAAACTTAAAATTCTTGTTTCTCAATGGCCAAATTGTGACTCCAAAATTAAGTTTCCACACTTTCATATCTATTTTCTTTATTAAACAAAATACCTATGATCAATGACAATAATGAAGACAGCTTACATCTGGAAAAATCTATGGAAATCCGCGCAATCCACTTATTATACAACCAAAACACAGAACATTTATCCCATAGCAATTCTATAATAACAGCCCACTACTCTTCCTGAAACTTTGTGCCAAAAAATATTTTTGAACAATTCCACCAGTTATGATACGTTTGGTTTTTGTTTATTTTGATTCTTGAATTATCTTATTATGGACGCATAGAGAATTCTCTTTTAGTTTTGCTTCCATTTTGCATTTTACTCATATTAAGGCTCTTGTCAGACGGATACTTCGATATAAGGAGACATAAGTTTGATAATGAGCTGAATAATCGAGAATACAAAATATTAACGATAGATGACACAATAAATAAGAAAAGTAGAGAAATATCTGTGGGAGATCTAGTGCTACTAAAAAGAAATGATATAGCTCCTGCAGATTTAATAGTGCTCTGTACCAGCAATTATAAACAAAAATTCCATGTAGATATGACTGATATAACTGGAGAAGCGCAATTTGAAGTTAAAAAACCTGTAAAAGAAACCCGATATGCGTCTAATTCAAATGATATTTTTGAGACAGTTAATGAGCTGTCTAAATGCTCAGCAACAATAAAGGTGCCTGAGGATTCTAGCTGTGATTTTTGAGGATCAATTAAACTGAAAACAAACCCAAAGTCAGTGGAATTGAGGGAAATAAACTATATAAGAAGCGGATCCAAAATTTTAGGGATTGCATGAATTTATGGACTAGTTATATACACAAACGGCGAGTTAAAGCAGAATCAGCAGTCTTCATACTCCTTATCTTTATTTGAAAAAAGTATCAATAAAGCGATTTTTTATATGATGATTTTGTCATTTTTATTAGTGTTCTTAAGCAGCATGATCTGCATTTATGGGGTTGGGATATATTTTGGTGATAATTCTCAAGGCTTTACGATTAACGCTATTATTCTTTTCCATGGGCTTGTGCCTCCTGTTCTCTTGATCTGCATCAAAATAATTCAAATTAGTTTTATCATCAAAGTTTCAAAAAATAATCCCGGAATCCTGTTCAATAGTTTAGATTTTTGTGAGGAATTAGGACAAATTGAGTATATTTTAACTGATAAGACAGGAACACTTACTACTAATGATGTACATATATCGATTTTTGTATTAGATGGATTAGGATTATTAAAGTCAGGCGCTAGCCATATTGGTCACTAAAGACCTCCCGTACGGGAGGTTCTACGCTTTTCGACTCCAGCCCAGAGGGTCTATCCCTCTTGAGAGTACCCTTCCGGTACCTTCTGTCTCCTCCTTGCCTTGAGGCTTCAGTCTTGAGTGGGCGGCTTATGGATTTCTGCTGCCCTGCTACGGGTGATTGGAGTAGCTTGATTCCAAGGATCACCTTGGAGTCTATTGGGTGTCAAAGTGCCTTCCTTCGACAGCTAAAGGAAAAAGACTGTTTCCCTGTGGTCTGGGCCGAAAACCCCAGTTTCTCGGTAGAGGAATGCCCATGGGTCCTCGGATCCAAAGTACGCTGTTGAGCACCTCCATTTTCAACTACAGGAAATCAGCCGAACCTACCCAGATACACACCTCTTGAGCCTGCACTTGATCTCTGCTCGGATTCCGTCTCAGTTCGCCGTGGCCATAAGATCTGGACTGCTGCGCCAAGAGGGCAGATTGGCACGCATCACCATTTTAATGTATATTTTTGTATTAGATGGAGTTACTTATTTAAGGGACTCTCCCAGTTCTAAAAAAAATAACGATGCGAACAAATCTTTATTAGATATTTCCAATTTCAGTGCGTTTATTGACTTAAAAGACGAGCTTCAGAGATCAAAAAAAGATGAATTTTCGTTACCTTACTATTTTGTTATGTGCATGGCTATCTGCAATCAATCAAACACAACGGAAGAAATGGACTGCAATGTTTTGTCAATAGAAGATGAAGCCATGATAGAAGCAAGTGAGGACTTAGGACTCAGCATAAATTCCAGAGAAAATAAAATAATCAATTTAAGCTGCTTTGAAACAGAAATTTCTCTAAATGTTATTAACTCGAAAAGCTACTCCGAAAAAACACATAAATCCAGGATGATTGTTAAGGATTCTTTTAAAAATGAAATTATTTTGTATGTGAAAGGAACGAAAAATGAAATGTTGAAGTCACTTGTACTGGCTCCAAATCTTAGACACTACTTAGAAAATAACGCTTATGAAAGCAAGCTGAATGGAAAAAAGCTATTCTATTTAGGATATAAAATTCTAAATGAAGAAGAAGTTGAAGAATTTGACTATAAATACAGAATTGCCAAATTATCACCATTAAATAGCGAAGGAAAAATCGAAGATACCTTTCTTAATTTAGAAGCTGATTTAAATTTTTTAGGAATAATTGGACTTGAAGACAAAGTCTATGAAGATACGAAAGAAACTGTTTCTATTCTCTCTAGCGCTGGAATAAAATTTTGGATGCTAAGTGGAGATTCTGAAGAAAATTCGATTTGCGCAGGCATTTCTGCTAAATTAATTGATCAAGATGCTAAAATCGTAAAACTTTCAGAAATTACTTCAGAGCTTGACTGCATGCTTGAAATGATTAACCAAATAAAATCAACTTTTATCAACCTAGACATTTCAGTCAAAGACAAAAGTATCGACATTAACCAAGTCTATCATAACTTAGAAGAAAGCCTAGTAAGTATCTCATCTGATGAAGACTCCAAACATAATAGCAGCAATTCCACTGCGAAAAGCGAAATAAAAACCCATCGCTTGCATAGAGTCCCAAGAATTGTGTCCCAACTCGCTAAATCCCAAATAAAAATTCCTTCATTCAAGCCTTCTATCCATGAGCTTATAGATTTTACACTCTCTGTAGATAGAAGCGCGTTAAATTTTGCCTTAAGTTCTGAAGAAAATCGGAAGTATTTCGCCATTCTATTGGCTGCTGCTAAAAGTGTATGCTTTTACTCTCTTTTACCTGAAGATAAGACAAAAATCGCGAAATTTTTAAGAAATAATTTTTCTTACAACCCCACATTTCTTGCTATAGGAGAAGGGAAAAGCGATTTCGGAATGATTCAAGAAGCCCACATAGGGGTTGGGATGGCTAATTCTTCTATAGCCTATGCAGGGCTTTTATCAATATCTCGATTTTCTCAACTCAAGGAATTGCTGCTATTTCAAGGGCATTGGAATTATATAAGGATGTCCAATATGGTGCTTATAACCTTTTACAACAATTTTTTATTGATATTTATAATGTTTTTCCATTGTGTTGTAGGAAGATCATATGGCTATAAGCTATTTGGAGATGAAATGATTGCAATTTTCCTTGTAGTCTTTATTTTGCTGCCAAAGTTGGTTGTTGGGATTTTTGATGAGGACTTAGATAGAGAACAATTGACGAAATATCCTCAAGTTTATAGTATTTATATGAAAAATACGCTACTATCATTATGGCAAATTTTATATCTCCTTATTATTTCCTTTATTCAAGCAGGGATCATCTATATCCCTATTTTATATTTTACTATCATTGATGAAAATGGTACAACAATCAGCTTAGCAATGATTGAATGGCTAATTTATTTTTCAATCACAGGGGCATCTTTATTATTTATCCTTAATGAAACTCAAACTTATAATCGATGAACAATCAGTTCTCACTTGATTTCTATTGGATCCTTAATACTCTATTCTACTCTAACCTCTTATTTCAGCAATAATGATATCTCAGGAGCTCTAGAAATGGCTAAAAGTTCTTACTTGTTTTTCCTCTATATTTTACTGACCTTAAGTTTATGCTTTTTGGTTATTTACACATGAAAGATCAGCGTAGTTTTATTTCTTCCAACTCTAGTAGATTTTATCAAAGCTATGAAAGATTTTCAGTTATCTGTAAAAGTTAGATCGAAATTTGAAATTTTCCAGAAAAATTTAGAAGCGATTTATAAAAAAACAAAAAGCATTAGCATGTTAAGCGATTCTTTTGATTTAAATAAGCTTACTATGAAATTCATATCAGAAATGAGAGAAGCACAATATGTGGATGAAAATAGAGGAAGCCATACAAAAAATTATAAGCTTTTAATACTCCTGCTGGATACTTTAATAGTGATCTTTTTAATTGATTCTTATTTTGAAGTGAGCGATAAGCATAGCTATTTGACTTTTATGCTCATAAATATTTCAGTCTATGTTTTTCTGACAATTATTACTTTTACAAGATATTTTCATAGTCATCAAAAAATTATAATTATTTCGCTGCCCGTTTATTGCATGGCGTTATTAGCACTAGCAGGATTTATTTATAATGTGACTGATAATATAGTGTTTTTTAGCTGACCACCGCTCTTTATTATCGGCACCAGCATTTTTTGAATTGAAATGGTTTCCATTTCTGCTTTAGTGACTCCTGTATATATCACCTTAGAAATATTTTATTTGGCAAAAAATGTCCCTTATCATAAAGGCTTGATTTTATCTCTGCAGTTTTCTGTACTCTTCATATCATTGACACTTTTTGCTGCTTTCATAGCATACTTTTCAGAAAGATCAAACAGAAGGCGATATATGCTGATGAAAAAGGTCGAAATTGAAGTTGAGAAATCCCAGCATGTTCTAAATGTCGTCTTGCCTGCATTCGTGAGAAAAAGAGTGAGAGATGGATGCCGGTATATTGCAGAAGACCAAGGCATGGTAACTGTGATATTTTGTGAAGTTTGCGATTTTGAAGAAATAATTTCTACGTATCCAATAACTGAAATCTCATATTTTATAGATGACATTTATAAAAAATTTGACGTTGTATGTGAATCGACTGGAGTCACAAAGATCGAAACCGTTGGTAAAGTTTATATGGCTTGTGCAGGATTGAATGACAGTGAACAAGAAATTTGTGCATCAATGAGAGCAATCTCTCATACAAGGAGGGCAATAGAAATGGGCTTAGGAGTTATAAGTGCTGCTAAAAAAATAAGATTACGTAAAGGAAAAGGTTTACAAGTCAAAGTTGGCATCCACACAGGAACTGTTGTAGCTGGTGTAGTTGGATTTCATAAACCTCAATTTTCACTTGTTGGGGACACTGTAAATACTGCAAGTCGAATGGCATCCACTATCCTAAAGCCAGACAAAATCCAAATTTCTGAAGAAACTTACCGCTATCTTACAGACAAAAGCAGCTTGAAATTCAAAACCCAGACAATCCAGGTCAAAGGAAAAGGCTTCATGAAAACCCACTATGTAAAGCCCAGCGCATTTGAAGAAGTCATAATTAACCACCATCCTCCTAATTATCATTTTTCAATGCCAGAATTAGGAGGAAAAAATTCACCTAAAAAAACTAATGAAGCTCCTCACACTGGGATATCAGCTATGAAAAGACAGTCAGTGGTATTTTCTGAGCTGGACTTAGAAGACCCTACAGAGCTCTTTGAGAGAAAAGAATCAAGCGTTATTGAGCCAGTAAGGCTACTATCATGAAGGTTTTTTGAAAATGAAAAAGAAAAAGCACTTAGAATGCAGATGACAGAGAGTAGCTATCCAATCTTGGCAGGAGGAATCTTGATTATTGTTGTGTGCAATGCATTATTGGCATTGTTTAGTTTATTTTATGCAATATTTGATATAGATGAAGAAGATTTCTATCTTGATACTATTTTTTATTTAGTTCAGTGTCTTACTTTCTCTGGAATATTAGTTTTTCTAAAAAGAAATTATAAAAAATACCTATTTGCATGGCTTTTACAGCTTTTTTATTTAATAGCTATTGTATGGAATGTACTTTTAAATATTAGGTCAAAAAATATTTATGATGAAATTGTTTGTGAAGCGTATGCCCTTTTTATGATTCTCGCTATGAATCAATGCTCCTGCAGCTTTTTTAAGAACACTTTTCTTGCAACAATCCTAGTATCAATTCTTCACATAATCACTTTAATTGTAATTGACTACAATTACCTCCGCCACCACATCCCATTTACAGTATTTTTCGTAGCTGTTTCACTGTGTACATCTTACCATAGAGAAGACGATTTACGGACCTCTTTCGCATTAGAACAATATGCCAGTAAAGAGCTGAAGAAGACTGAAAACCTGCTTACACAGATGATGCCACCTCACGTGTATCGCAATTTAAAAGAAGAAGTGGCTAATACTGACACCATAATGGACGTCACTATTTTATATGCAGATATTGCTGGGTTTACGGCTTGGTCTTCTGATCATAATGCTAGTGAGGTAATTGGCATGCTTTCTGAGGTTTATACAAGATTTGACAAAAAATGTGTAGAAAATAATGTATATAAGGTCCATACAATTGGAGATTGTTATGTAGCAATAGGATTTGTGGGGAATGATAATAGAGATTCTGAAAGAGAATGCTTAAATATAATAAAATTTGCACAATCATTAAATACGATTATTGATGATGTGAACAAAGAATTATTTTTAAATTTATCAATGAGGATTGGAGTCCACACGGGAAATATTATTGGAGGGATTGCTGGGACTAATATAGTTAGATATGATATATATGGAGATGATGTAGTTATCGCGAATAAAATGGAAAGTTATGGAGTTCCTGGTTGGATAAACGTTAGTGAAACAACAAAAAATTTAATAGAAAGCTATAAGCCAGGGATGTTTAAGTTTGAACCTCGTGAAGAGGTCGAAATTGATGCAATAAAACGATCAGTTAAGCCGTTTCTTATAGTTTAGAGTTTGGGAATTTTTACTTTAAATATTGGAGAAATCAATGTAAATTTATATCGATAAATTTTTAAGAGTATTTTAAAATAAATGGTATGAAATTAGTATTGATCCTTAGAAAATCTAACCTTGATGGATTAATGACTTATAGAAAATTCAAAAGTCTCTCAGTTTTAAAACTTTTTACTGCATAATTTTATCATATGAGTCAGAACAGTTTCATTTTAATTTTATTAAATATAAACTGTGCGTCAGCTTTAATTAAAAATCTTAAATGATATTATAAATATGCCTAACCCAAACAGCAATACAAGGGATAAGCCAAAAGAATTTAGAACAATCCACTTGCTAAATTGCAATTTTTCTACACATTGATCGCGCAATAATGAAATAACAACTGCTCGCTATAATTTTTGAAATTTCATACCGAAAAATGTTTTTGAGCAATTTCATCAACTTTGGTACTCATGGTTTTTGGTTGTAATGATTATTGACCTATCTTATTCGCATTCTTTAGAAAGCTCTCTCACAGATGTACTTCCATTTTGCATAATCCTTCTAATCCGAATTATTGCAGATGGAATTCATGACTTAAGAAGACACAAATTCGACAATGAAATAAACAACAGAGAATATCAAGTATTGACAAATGACGGTGATATAATTAAACTAAACAAGCATATATGTGTGGGCGATGTTATAATTCTGCACAAGGACCAAAAAGCTCCGGCTGATATGATTGCCATATGTACATGGGAAAACAAAACAAAATTCTATGTAGACGTCACTGATATAATAGGCGAAGTCCAATATGATATCAAAAAGCCTGTAAAAGAAACAAAAATCGTGATAAAATCCCAGGATTTGAATGAAAATATTACGGAATTAAATAAATTGAACGTTGTAATTAAAGTTCCGGAAAGTCCAAGCTTTAAATTTTGGGGCTCAATAAGACTGAAAACTAGCCCCAAGCCGAATTCACTTAATGAAATTAATTATATTAAAAGTGGCTCAAAATTGTTGGAGATAGACTGGATTATTGGAGTTGTAGTGTACACAAATAGAGAAATTAAAAAATTCAAAAGAAGATATGCGCATTTATCTCTTTTAGAAAAAAAAATCAACAAGATTGTCTTCTATATCTTGATTCTTACGATTTTACTTACATTTATAGCAGTGATGGTAAATATTTTTGATTTTGGCTTGAAGTATAGTGATAATACTTGAAGCTTGCTAATGAACACAATCTTATTATTTCGTAGGCTAACTCCTCCATCCTTGCTGATCTCTATGAAACTTATCCAATTTTTCTTCACACATGGCGTCTCTAAGAACAATCCAGGAATTAAATTTAACTCATTAAAAGTCAGTGAAGAATTAGGCCAGGTTGAGTATATTCTTACAGATAAAACAGGCACATTAACCTCAAATGAAGTCGAGCTTCCAATATGTATTATGGATGGGGAAACTTATATTAGGGATAAACCAATGCTTGATACCGAGCCTACTCCTCACTTAGAGACTGAAAGAGAAATGATGGCTGATACATATAATTACAAAAGTTTTTTCGACCTTAGAAGTGAGCTCTTATCATATAAAGATGAATACCCACTTGCTTATTATTTTGTTATGTGTATGGGCGTCTGCCACCAATCGTGAACAACTGGGCAGATGTGCTGCAATACCTGATCAATGGAAGATAAAACTATGATTGACACAAGTAGCAGCTTAGGATTAGAAATAATTGGAGCAACAAAAGAAAAAGCGACTTTAACGCTTTTTAACCAAGAAATTATGCTTGATATCATTACCTTAAAAGGATACTCCGAAAAAATGCAAAAATCTAGGATTATTGTGAAAGATAACTTTAAAGGTGAAACCATCTTGTATGTCAAAGGCACAAAAGCAGAAATGCTACGATCGTTTAATGTGTCAGCTAAATTTAAACATTATATAGAGAGCAATGGGTATGAGTCTCAGCTATCTGGGAAAAAGACAGTTTTTCTTGGATATCGAATATTAAGTGATCCTGAGCTTGAAGAGTTTAAATATGAATACAACATAGCTAAAATTTCTCCAGTCAATAGTGAGGGGAAAATTGAAGATATATTTTTCAATTTAGAAAATGGGCTAATTTTCTTAGGAATCTTAGGTCTTGAAGACAAAGTTCTTGAAGAAACAAAAGAAACAGTTACAGCGCTCACAAATGCAGGAATAAAAATTTGGATGGTCAGTGGCGATAGTGAGGACAATTCTTTTTGTGCAGGAGTTGCTGCAAAGATTTTTGACCCTGATTCAAAAATAGTCCGATTATCTGATTTCTCTACAGAATTAGACTGCAAATTAGAAATGATCACCCAAATCAGGAAAAACTTTTTGACTTCCCAAACAGAAGAGCATATGCACTTGAAGACTGATCATTGCCAAGTTTCTCCTGAAGATAGTTTTGCAAGTCTATCATATGATAAATATGATAAACTGAACTCTAAAAGAAGCACCCACCTAACTCAGATGTCAACACTTCCAAGTGAAAGGAAGCATCGAGTGCCGATTGTAGCTCAAATCGCCCCAGAAAACCTAGAAACCCCTATTTTTAGTCTCCCTATATATGACATTACAAATTTTACACTGTGCATAGATAGAAGTGGATTAGAATTTGGCTTAAGATCTGAAGAAAACAGAAAATATTTTGCGGCTTTATTGTGTGCAGCACAAAGTGTGTGTTTTTACTCGTTTTTACCAAGTGACAAAGCAAAAATCGCAAAATTTTTGAGGCTGAATTTTTCTTATAACCCGATTTTTTTGGCAATTGGGGACAGCCAATGTGACGTTGGAATGATACAAAAAGCACACGTTGGAGTGGGGATAAAAGGAACAAGAACCGCATATTCTGGGCATATATCGATAGAAAATTTTGCCCTTCTAAAAGAATTACTGCTTTGCCATGGCCATTGGTTTTATATTCGAGCAGCAAAAATGGTGCTGATGATGTATTTCACAAATTTCCTGCTTGCTTGGGTTATGTTTTGGTATACAGTAACTGGGCATTCATCCTCCTATTTGCTTTTTGGAGAAGGCCTAATAGGCTGCTATCTTTTCGTGTTTACCTTAATTCCAAAAATTGCAGTAGGCATGTGGGACAAGGACTTAAATAAAGAGCAAATTTTTAAATATCCACAAGTATATTCCACCCTTCTCCAGAATACTTTGCTTTCCAGATGGCAGTTTTTATCTATTTTTGGCCTATCATTGATCAATTCTCTGGTTATTTTTCTACCAATTTATACAGTGGAAATAGTTAATGGTGATGGATTTACATTAAGTCTTTATGGTTTAGAATGGACAATATACATAGCAATGACTTCTACAACACTGGTGACAACTTTAATTGAAGCTTCTTCTTTCACCATATGAACCTTTATATCTCAATTCTTATCTATTGGATTTTTAGCTTTTGTGGTTAATCTATCTTCAATTAATGAAAACGATAGCAGATATGGGACAATAGATGAGCTTAATGAGTCAGTGCTCCTTACTTTGTATATTATTATGGGACAGCTTGGAATTTCTGCCATTTCGTATGGGATCAAAGCTTGGTCAATGTTATTTCTCCCAAGCCTTGCTGATTATGTAAACGCAACCGAAAGCAATTTGATAGTAAAAGTAAAATCGAAAATTGAAACCTTCCAGAACAACCTTCAAGCGATCTATAAAAAAACAAAAAATTCCCGAGAAAACAGGTCAAGCTTTGGCATCAACGGAATTACTTTAAAATTTACTTCTATGAGCAGAGAAGCTCAGTATATGGATGAAATCAAGGCAAACAACATAAAAGCTTACCGACTTATGATTGCATCTTTATATCTGCTACTTATTGATTTTCTGATTGATTCTTATTTTGAGGTGGATAATCCTCAAGACTATCTTCCATTTATGGTAAGCTCTGTAATTATCTATTTTATCTTAATAATAGTACTTTTTACTGAATATTTCCAGATTTATTTAAAATCCATTATTGTTTTTACAAGGCTTTTTAACATTATCACTATAATTATTGCAAAAGCTGTATACGGCGCTTTTGATCCTATAATATTTACCAACTGAGCTCCTTTATTTCTTATTGGGATCAGTTTTTTATGGATCGAGATGGTATCTTCGACTATTCTTTCATCAATAATCATAACAATTCTTGTTTCCTATGAGTTTTTCGACAAATTAGATTATTCTGATGCTGTGGTTTGCTGCTTGGAATTTATCATTTTATATATTTCCCTTATTATAGTATCTTCCTTAATAGGCCACTCAATCGAGAACTGGAACAGAAAACGCTATGTTTTGCTGAAAAAGGTAGAAATTGAGGTCGATAAATCATTGCAGGTTCTCAACGTGGTTTTGCCAGCTTTTGTAAGAAAAAGGGTGAAGGATGGCTGCAGGTATATCGCTGAAGATCAAGGGGTTGTGACAGTTTTGTTCTGTGAGATTTGTGATTTCGAACAGATTGTTTCTGACTACCCACATACAGAACTATCGTATTTTATTGATGATATTTTTAAAAAATTTGATGCTGTATGTGAGTCGACAGGAATGACTAAAATTGAGACAGTTGGAAAAGTTTATATGGCCTGTGGAGGGTTAAATGACAGCGAGTTAGAAATTTCACCTGTATTTCGAGAAGTTTCACATTCAAGAAGAGCAATTGAAATGGGACTAGGTCTTATTAGCGCTGCCAAAAAGGTCAGACTAAGGAAAGAAAAGCAGCTGCAAGTTAAGATAGGAATCCACACAGGGCCTGTAGTCGCTGGTGTCGTAGGGTTTCATAAACCTCAATTTTCTCTAGTAGGCGATACAGTAAATACCGCAAGCAGAATGGCCTCAACAATAACTGTACCTGACACAGTACAAATTTCAAAAGCTACATATAAGCACCTAGACGAACGAAATGGCCTACAATTCAGCAAGCAAACTGTAAAAGCCAAAGGCAAAGGAGATATGAAAACTTTTCATGTAAAGCTTGGAGAAGCAGTTAGTTCTAGACCAAGAAGCCGGGCTAGGAATAACTTGACAATTCCAGTTAAAAAGCTTAGCAATGCAGGGTCAAGTGCATGCATCATTAAAAGGAGCTCTAGCGATTTCAAATGCTTTACTCCAATGAGTGCAGCCAGAAAGCAGTCATCAGTGATGCCTGAATTTATCGAAGCAATGGATGCAACAGATCTTTTTGTTAGGACTGAAACCAAAGTTATCGAACCTATAAAAATATTTAGCACTATGTTCTATGAAGATGAGAAAGAAAAAGAAATTCGGGAGCATATGATTGAAAGCAACCATTCTATTTTATTTTATGGGCTACTTTGCTTTGTTATATGCAATGCATTTATGGCTATCATTGAAATCATCCATTCAGCTTGGCTTGGAGATGCTGGGATGAGAGCTCATCTTGACCTTGCTTTTTATCTCATTGAAGCTCTTGTATATGGCACTCTGCTAGCTTTTTTATATAAATTCCATAATAGCAAGATATATGCATGGACTCTTGAGATTTGCTATATTCTTTCATTAATCTGAAGTATAGTTACAAATATTGCTTTAAATGACCCTTCTTCAGAAATCATTAAAGAAATCTATATCCTTTTCATGATTTTAATTTCAAGCCAATGCTCCTTTATGTTCTTCAAAAGCACCTTCCTTTTTTCCATCGTTTTATCGCTGCTCTATGTTATTTCTCTTATAGCAATTGACGTGAATTATCTTAGGCATCATGTATTATTTTCCGTGTCATTTGTGACGGTTATTATATGCACAACTTATTCTAGAGAAAAAGATTTAAGGATTTTTTATACATTGGAAGATTATGCGAATAATGAGCTCAGAAAGACAGAAGATTTGTTGACGCAGATGATGCCTCCTCACGTATATCATAATTTAAAAGAAGAAGTCGCTAATACTGATACTTTTACTGATGTAACTATTTTGTACGCGGATATTGTAGGATTTACTGCATGATCTTCTAACCATAACGCTTCTGAAGTGGTTGGAATGCTTTCAGAAATGTACACCAGGTTCGATAAAAAATGCGTTGAAAATAACGTCTACAAAGTTCATACAATCGGAGATTGCTACGTCGCAATTGGGCTTATGGGAAACGATAATCGAGATCCAGCAAATGAATGCTTGAATATGATAAATTTCGCACAGTCTTTACAAGAAATCATAGGAATCGTCAATGAGGAACTGTTTTTAACGCTTGGGATGAGAATAGGGATGCATACTGGGAAAATTATTGGGGGGATTGCAGGAACAAATATCGTTAGATATGATATTTATGGAGATGATGTGCTGGTTGCTAATAAAATGGAAAGCAATGGAGTAGCTGGATCAATAAACATCAGCGAAGTAACTAAGGAAATTATAGAGAACTATAAGCCAGGGATGTTTAATTTTACCTTTAATAAAGAAGTTGAAGTAGACACAATCAAAAGAACTGTTAAATCATATTTTATCAACCTAAAGTAAAAAAATGTAAACTTTACCATATAATTAATAATTTTCTAGGCGATAATCTCAGAAAAACAAATTTGAAATATTAAATTACAAATTTAAATTTTATCCATCAAAAGCTTTGTGAACTCTTCCATATCAAAAAATCCTTTCCCATCAGGATTCGCTTCCCTCACAAGTTCAGTCCACAAATTCAAGTCATATTCTTCTCGATCCGCAAGAACGTTCATAAAATCAGCCACAGATATCTTCCCTGTATTATTTTTGTCCAAAATTGCAAAAGCAGCCAAAAGATTTGCATTTGACAACAGAATCTTTTTGTCTATTGTTGCTCTTAAATACTCAGTAAATTCAATAAAGCCATCATTATTACTGTCAACATTAAGCAAGATCTCTTCGGCATGAGTATATGCTCCATCCCCTGGTATGAAGCCACTTAATTGTTCAAATAAATCTTCTTTCCCAATTTTTCCATCTCCGTCCTTGTCCAAAATTACAAAGGCATCTCTAAGGTCTTTTAGCTCCCTGTGATTGATGAGCTGAGATGTTATAAAAGTCAACAAAGCATCTCTAAGCTTTAAAGTGCTTCTGAACTCTCGCAAGTTTTTAATTACGGCTTCCAGTACTGGCCTTTCTACCTTTGGTCTGCTTCTATTAAGCCAAGGATGACTTAAAGATTGGGAAGCAGAAATCCTTTCGCTTAACGGTGCTATGAGTTTTTTTATTAAATCGATTGCTTCTGGTGATATTAGTCGAAATGCTGATGATTCTGTGGTATAAACCCCTTCTTTTACCTTTGCCATAATTTCGTCATCAGTTTTCCCTCCAAAAGGAGGACTTCCTGTCAGTAAAATGTACATAATAACTCCGCAGCTTCACACATCGCATCCTTCATTATAGGATCCATTAAAAACTTCAGGTGCCATGTAATAAGTAGTTCCTACCACACCAGTCGTTTCATTATTCAAATCTAAGTAGCAGGCTGTCCCAAAATCTGCTATTTTGATATTTAATTTCCGATTTCTTTCTTCGACCATCATATTTTCAGGTTTCAAATCTCTATGAACAATTTTCAATGAGTGACAAAATGCGACAACTGACAATAACTGCCTCATGATCAAAGCAGCATCATCTTCGCTAAATTTTGCCATTTTCTCAATTTTATTGAATAGCTCGCCCCCTTCACAGTATTCCATAACTAAGTAGTAATTTTTAGAGTCTTCAAAGAAATCGTATACCCTAATTATATTTGGATGGTCTAATGTTCGAAGGATTTCCATTTCCTCTATCATTTTGCCTTGCTGAGTGGAATTTTGGCCAAAAAGCTCTTTTGAGTAAATTTTTACTGCCCGAAGAGCTCCAGTTATTCGATGAGTGCATCTTCTTACCTCACCGAAACCTCCTAATCCTATGCGATTTCCCAGCATATATGCTTCAGAGAACGGAGATAACTGGGTTTTTATAAAAGTCCCTGCACTTACTTTCATAGTTTTCTTGTGTGGTGAAGTCGTCAAAGGAGAAGCAGCTATTGTCTTATGTGGACCTGAAGAACCGCAGCAACCCATTGTTATTATGATAGCAACAATATACATAAAAATGGTGACAACAGACCACCCGACCTCTCGACCCTATTTCTTCAACATCAGCAGGCAACGGCCCAGTGGTGGAGATTTAGGTGGAAAGGGTCCGGTAATCCTTTATGTATGTTCGGGCCGGGTTTTCTTCGAGCCCGGCGAGCTAATTCTCGGACTTGGAGTTTTTCCTCCAGGGCAACCATTGGAAAGGGCAAGGTCGGCAAATGTTTGAAGGCAATATGACCTTCAGACCCAGAAGACGGTATTTGCCCAACGAGAAACTGGGAGTTTCGACCCAGGTGGTTGGCCCTTAGACTCCAGAAGCCATGGAAGTCAAGACTGGTGGTGCGAATCCCTTGTTTGAGGCAACAAGGAGGGTGTCCGCCGAGGCTTCTCAGGGGCGATGAGCGTGTAGGGGTGAGAAATCCCCGGCTCTGCAAGGCAAACGGCTTAATCTAATCTAATCTAATGATAGCAACAAATATTTTTAGATAAAATTAAGATAAAATAGAAATAATTGCTCTTATGAGGGTTTTCCCTAAAATTCACATTATCTTTTATGTCAGCTGTTACAATGCCAGAAGTTTGTAAAAATGAATTTAAATTTCACTCACTCCCCCACTTTAAATTAGAACAAAATATAGGTAAAATTTCCATTTTTTTGGTAAATTAACTTCTTTAAATTGGAACAAAATTCAATTTTATAATAAAAAGTCTTACAGATAAAAATCATAATTTTTATCTAAAAAGTTTTGATATAAGTTAAATGTTTCTTCTTAAATAAAATTAAAAATTTAGCTATATCTTGCTTTATTTAAAGAATAGAGTATAAAGTATCCTTAATTGCTAAATTTTTCAAAAAACAATTTATTTATAGATAAAAATAATATTTTTTATTTAAATAATTTTGATATAAATTCAATGCGAATTCTTTACAAAAATTGAAAATTTACTTATTTATTGCTTTATTTTAAAGAATAGAGTATATAGAATCTCATTTAAACAAAATGAGCACTTTGGATCGACAAATTTTCTAAAAATTTTTTTGTTTTAATTTTTTTTATCAGTAAAAATAATAATTTTTGCGTAAATAGTTTTGATACGAATTAATAGTGACGTATTAACTAATAATAAAAATTTAGTTATATCTTGTTTTTGTTTTAAAGGATAAAGAGTAATACATTTTATTAAAAAAATTTATTAATCTAATTCGATAAATTTTTGAAATTTTTATATAAATTTTTTTCGGATAAAAATTTCTTAACCCCCTTAAATTGGAACAAAATTTTTTGTTCCAATTTAAAGGGGGGAGTCAGAATATGAAGAAGAAAAGTGAATTTCGAGTTTAAGCAATTTTTATAAGATTTTTTCTCACTAATTAATGTAAGAACTAAAAAAGATATTTTAATATTGATATTTAAAGTAAGTTCATGATGCTAATATCGTGCTTTAGAGAAAATTTTTTATTTTAAGAAAAAGAGATGGAGATATAGGGTTTTAAATTTAGGATTTAATTTCTGAGTCATAAATAAAATAAATGCTCTTATAATTGAAATTAATAAAAACAATATTTTTATTATAAACAGAAAATAATGATATTTAAGGCGCTCAACAAAATAAAAATATTGGGACATTGCTATTTTTTGAGCTTACTCCCCCCCTCCATGAGTGAACAAAAAAAATTTTGTTCACTCACGGAGGGGGGTTAAATTTTTTTTTCGAAATTTAAAAAAAATCCTAATTTGCAAAAATTGGGAAGCAAATAATTTAATTTATAAAATTTATGTTTTAAAACGCAATTTGTTTAAAATTAAACAAAATTAGCTCTAGATTTCATTATACTAATTATCACTTATATATCAAATTTTTTTTCCATTAAAAAATAGCGATTTTTCGAATGGTTTTGTTCACTCACGGAGGGGGGGAGTTAGATATCTTTGCCATAACTGAAAATTTGATGTTTAAATATGTCTTTGATATGGGAAAACTAAATATAAAACCGAAAAATAACAGCCTTAATTATTTTCAAATTAATGTAAAAATATAAGAGCAAATAATGCAGAGTTGGAGCTATAAAATTAATTCTAGGAAAGTACAATTATAAAAAACTAAAATAATTTTAGAAAGAATTTTTAGATTTAATGTAGCTCAAAAACTTTTCTTAAGTGCAAGATTCCTTCTAATAATATTCAAGTTAAATAATTTGATTAATGTTCAATAACATAAATAAAATGGCATTCGGTTCGAGCGAAATCGGCTTTTCCTATTTTCTCTCTCTCATGGAATTTTATTTATGGGGTTTTTCCTCGAAACTTCTGCACAGCAATGGCGGTTTAACTCTGGAATAACAAGAGGAACTCTCCTCAGTGCACTTAAGAGGCTCAGGTTTCTACCTCTCTGCACATCTCTACATGAAGATGCCCCTTAGGCGGAACACGCGCAGGTGCTGAGTCAAGGCAGGGCAACGGCAACGTGCCGGGTGAGACGTGCGGCGAAGATTGACCACGAAGCATTGCTAGAAGGCTTTAGCGGTGGGCTAACCACCGTGAATCCAAGATGGCTCGGTGATGTCACTAGTTTAGCTATATCCCTTTTATAAGGGTACGTCACTAGACACCTTAAACACCAGATATATTAAGTTAAGATTAACGTTCAATACCCACTTAATGTGTTTCTGATTAGCATATTGCCATTAATTTATTCATGTTTAAAACAAATCCAGATGTTACAAAAATAATAATGGGCTGTTGTGAATCAAAGCCAGAAAAGCCTTCCTTAGGGTCATCAAAAGACCAAAGTAGAGCTGAAAGATTAAGCTTGATAAATGACTCAAATGAGCCAAGCGCTGTTACCACTCCAGTTATGAGAGCCAAGCCAAGAAGATATACCACTCTAGCCCGATCTTCAGCTAAGAAAAAATCAGTAGGAATTGATCCGAAAAAAAGTTTTAAGCGAAGGAGTAGCTCAAGAATTTCCAAAGGACTTACAAGCGAAAAATATAAAACAATAAAAATCCTTCAGACAGGGCCCAGTGGAAATCTATATTTAGTTAAAGACAAATATAATGGGACACAAAGAGTAGCCAAAGAAATCCCAAAAGAGATTTTTGGAGAAAATCCTATTGAATTCTTTAAAGAAATGGAAAAGTTCAATAAACTTGTAAATTTTATGCAGAATTATCCTCATATAATATACTTATTATGATATATATTGAGAAAAATAAATTTTTTATTAGATTTAGCACTATTTAATTTAATAAGTCTAAGATTTTTTGAGCTAGCTGAAACCGATGAGGCATTTTATGTTATTTATGAAAAACTTTTTGGCTCAAGCTTGCTAGAAAAAATTTTAGAGCATGGTGCTTTTAATGATTATGCTGCTTCCACTCTTATTTCAAATATTTTAAAAGCTCTAAATCATTGCCACAAGCTCGGCATTATACACAGAAACATAAGACCAGAAAGTATCGTTTTCGATTCCAATGCTCGTGATTCTACTTTAAAACTCACGAACTTTGAATTTATTTGGACTTTAAGCGAAATGCAACAGACAAAAGATACAGTAAAAAATATGTAGGTTACATATATGGCGCCAGAAATGATTCAAGGAAATTATAATAAAAAGACAAGTGATATTTGGAGCTTGGGAATTATATTGCATGTCTTAATGACAGGAAAACTACCTTTTACAGGCAAAAATAATGATGAGGTAATTAAATCAATTCAAAATGGAATTGATTTGAAATCAAAAACATGAGCACTTCATTCTGATGAAGTTAAAGATCTTCTTTCAAAAATGCTAAAAATCGATCCTGATGATAGAATTTCTGCTGCAGATGCTTTAAAGCATCCTTGAATTGTGAACAAAAGCCGGAAGCTTGACCAAATCAAAGGCAGTACTGATATACTCAATAGATTTTTACATTTTGACGTAATTCATAGTTAGGCTTCGAAAAAAATAGAAAAGTCTATTTATTTTGCTATTACCTCACATATATATAATGATAATGACCAAAAAGAAATAATTGAAGTCTATAAAGCTCTAGATAAAAATCATGATGGAAAATTAAGCAAAAAAGAAATAATTGATGGCTGCAAAGCGCTCAGAATTGAAGTAAGTGGGATGGATGAAATTATTATGAAATGTGACATTGATAAGAGCGGATTTTTTGAATTTTATGATTTTGAAATTGCAGCTGCGCAATGAAATTATGAAGATGTAAAAGAGAAACTTAAAAAATCATTAAAACCATTAGATTTTACTTGCCGTGGAGCAATCAGTTTGGAGGAATTAAAAAAAATTCTACGCGGAATTGATATGGAAGAATTAGAACAGTTCTTCAAATATGCGAGAATAGATGAAGAAGGGTATATTTCATATGAAGAAATCAACAGCTATTTATTAATGAAATTTGATTAAAGTAAGCAAAATTCTAAAGTTAAAAGGGCTCGTAAAAAATCTGACAAATAAATTATTATTCGTTTATACATGCTATACGTTTCACACTTAAATGAACTTTAGCATTTTTATACTAATTTATAGCTCACTATCAACTTTTAATCTTCCAATATGATTTTTAAAGAGCTTTTAATCTGGATTTTAACTTTTATTTTAGAGCTTTAAGAAATTTATTCTGACTACCATACATTTGCTTTTTGCTATATATTAAAAAAAACACTATTTATGGATAATTTATCTATTTTTGTATATCTAATCTATATGAACGTTGTAAATTAATGAGCACATATGGAGATTTCCCAGCATATTATCAGTAATAAAATATCAAAATACTAGTTTATCATAATTATCTCTAATGATTCCTAAAAATTTATCAAAATCAGAAAGCAAAATCCCACGCACTGTCTATAGACAATGGTCTAAAACAGTAGACGAAACACACATGAATACTCTGATGCCTCCAAAATCATTTCAACTTGATCTTCATCAGCTTCGTAAGGAACGATTAATGCAAAAACAATACTCGTCATTTACAGATCGATCACCAACTGAAGAAAAAACTCTTGACAAACTTAATGACGTCGAAGCTGAATGGCAACGTTATAAAAGTGTAGGAAAACAACGGCCGGATGATGAACCAAAACTCCTATACCATCATGATAATCGTCCCCAAACCTCTTTGAGGCTAAGACCAGCTGAATCAGATGATTTAATAAGACTAGCGAAAACTGCTATGGTTTTATTAGAGCGAACGTCTTTAGAAGTTATCCACGAAGTCCCAGAAAAGAAAAACCTAGCCAAAACCCCTGATCTCATTAAGAAAAAAAAGGACATAAATTTGACCTACAAGCCAGTGAAGAGCAAGCTGGTAGCTTTAAACGGAAAGCATGGAAATTTAAATAGCACTCATACTTTGGTCTTTAAAAATTCCAATGACTTGGTTTCACCGAAAGATAGAAAATTGATTTTTAATAAGACACATTCAGAAGGAAACTCAGACTTGATGAGGATAATTAGAAGTGCACAGCATGATCTTGATTTGAAGCCAGTTAAAAGGGTAAATCATAATAAATAATGTTAAATTAAAATTTTATTGCCCGAGTGCTCGTTGTAAAGATTGCTGGAGTTGGAAAATTTCTTGATCCAGCAGAGAAATTTCAACTTTTAAATCTTCTTGGTCATTTGGTTTATAATCATCTAAAATTTCTTCTTTTTCAGGAGATTTAGTTATCGGCTTTTCTTCTATAGATAAAGGCCTAATAAAGGAATTCAAAGGAGAATTAGAAGGCTTGTCTTCTTTAGCTATGGGTTTGATAAATGAGCTAGAATTAGAACTGTATGGCCTATCTTCTATTGAAATTGGTTTTACAAACAAATTTGATGTGGTTTCTGGTATTTTATCTTCTTTAGGTAGAGGCTTGATAAAAGAAGAAGAAGACTCAGAAATCATTTGAGATTTGGATAGGGTTTTTATGATCTCTCTTAACTGCTCGATAAGTGTGCACTGCTCGTTCATCGAAGACTGCAAAACACTTATGTGGCTATTCATCATTTCTTTCTCAGAATTCAACTTTTCAATTTTCTTTTCTTGCTCCTCTATGATTTTCTTCAAATTTTCTTCCGCCATTGGATTTTTGAGTCTTTCTCTCAATTTGAGTGTTTGCTCTCTAAGTTTTTCAAGTGCTGTTCTATACTCTTCAATAGTGTCTTCTTTGTCTTTCAGCTCAGCCCTTAATTTCTCTTCAATTCCTGATTTAATTGCTTTTGAATTTTGAGAGACTGATAATGTTTCAAGCAGATTTTCAACTGAGTCTTCGGTGATCACTTTCAATGTGGATTCTATACAAATGTTCATCTCTTTTATGCTGCTTATAAACTTATTCTTTGTGACGTTTGAAAATTCTTGGTCGAACAGCAATTTTGAATGCTTTGCTAAAACGCGACTGAGAGAATTTAAATGCCGTCTGCCAGAAGCAGATCTATAATTTAAAACTCCTTCAATATCTGCTAATGATGCTTTCAGTTTATTAAGCACACTTTGCTGCTCTTTTAATGTCGTATTGCTAGCTTCTTTCATTTGGTTTTGCAATGAGTTATTATTGAAAACTAATTCTTTGATTTTGAGAGTATCATCTAAATGCTGCTGCTTTAAGTCTTGAAGCTCTTCTTTTAAGTCATTATTTAAAATTTCTAGCTTAGAGTTTTCATGCTGAAGCCGGGCAACTTCTTTTGCATTAAAATTTGACCGAGCCTTAATTTCTTCAAGCAGCTGCTGATTTCTTTTCATATCATCATACTTCTCTTGAGATATCAAAATTCCTTTATTTCCTTTAGGTGTAGTATTAGAAATAGGCTCTTCATCAGAGGAATACTTTGGGGTGCTGCTTTTTCGTTTACGGCTGGCTGATCTTTGCTTTGTTCTGCCTCCTCTTTTCATATTTGATTTTATAGTTCCTTTCTATTTTAATTGAGTTTTTATTAAATCAAAAGAGTTGAGTTTGAAATGGAGTATCAAATTAAATATGGATTTTGCCTTCCAAAATAAGAAAATAAAACCTTTTACTCCCTCCCTCCTCCTTGAGCGAACAAAAAAATTTTGTTAACTCACGGAGGTGTTAATTTGTTTTTCTTCGAAATTAAAAAAAAATCTCACTTCTATAAAAATTGAAAAGCAAATATTAATTTAATTTATATTTTAAAACGCAATTTGTTTAAAATTAAACAGAATTAGCTCGAGATTTCATTATATATTAATTATCACTTATATATCATTTTTTTTTCCCATAAAAAATTTTTGTTCACTCACGGAGGGTGGGTTTTTGGACAAAAATAGGGATTTTTCTAATGGTTTTGTTCACTCACGGAGGGGGGGAGTTAGAAGGCTGAAAAATTCAAATTACCCACAAAAACGCAGTTTAATTTCTTTAAAAATACTTCAAATACAGAATGAAATATTTTTTAAAAAAATAAAAATAATTTTTTTTAAGCTGCCAAACATCTCTAATATCAACTCCATCTCTAAGCGTCCTATAATAGCATTTTAGCTTTGATACTAGGCGTCGATTCCCCACGAAACTCCTGGTGAAATCTAAATTTCATTAAATTTTCATTTCCACACCTTAAAAATGGTTGACGTCTTAGAGATCTCAGGTTGGTTAATTTAGATTATATATGATTAAGAAGAATCGGAAGCACTGGCAGCTTAGAATTCTTCACGATTTTATCAGAGCTGATGATTGGAAGCTCAATTTTTTCTTCCTTTTTCTTTTTAGGCTCGGCCTGGAAGTAAAAGTCTTTTGGAATTTCTATATCAGTTAAGAGCAAAGGCTGGATTTCCATGTGGCATTTCATGGCGACTCTTTGACGGTCGTGTATCCTCCGATGGACCAAAAGCTGTGAAGCCTGCCGAAACTTCTTCCCACACCCCAATTCTTCGCAAATGAATGGCTTCTCCCCGGTATGAATTAGCATGTGCTCCTTCAGATTTTGTTTACTTACGAACTGTTTTTTGCAGTCTGAGCACAGGAAACACTTTATTTTCAAGTGTGACGAGTTTATGTGTCTTCTGAGATTGAATTTTGTTTTGTACACTCTGTGACAAAAGTCATAATAGCATTTGTATGTTGATTCCTCCATTTTATTCAAAGCGTCATTAAGTCAGCTTTTTTATGTTTCAACAAGTCGATTTAAATGATTTTTTTATCGTTTCACTCTGGGTTTAGTGATCTCTTAAAAATAATTTTTACAAATTAATATTATTATTTATCCTTCATTTTGAAATTATTTTTTAATGCTTATGGTCTTTAATACTGTGAATTCTTTGATACCTTCCCCTAGCTCACGTCCCAGCCCACTATTTTTCATTCCTCCGAACGGGACTTGTATAATGCTTTTTGAGACATCGTTTACAAACACCATTCCTGCATCAATTCTTGGGACGATCTCATTTTCAGCCTTTTGTGCATCTGCTGTAAAAATCATTCCGCCTAGGCCAAATTCTGTATTATTCGCCAACCTTATTGCTTCTTCTGTATCTTTTACTTTTGATATAGCAAAAACAGGGCCAAAGGTTTCTTCACGCATAACAGGCATATTTGGGGTAACATGAGTTAATACAGCAGGCTCGTATTGTGTAGGGTTTAAAATTTTCCCTCCATGCTCTAACTTTGCTCCCATTTTAATGGACCTTTCGACTTGGGTGACAACGTTATTGAGAAGATCAGGCCTGGCTAAAGGACCTAGTTTAGTTTCTGGATTTAAGGGATCTCCATATTGCCACGTTTTTAGTTCGGCAATTAGATGTTTTACAAAAGCAGAGTGCACTGATGCGTCAACAATAAATCGTTTTGCTGAAATGCAAACTTGTCCGCAGCCTTGTAGTCTGGCCATCACAGCTGTTTTTGCAGCAGCCTTGACATCGGCATCTCCTAAGACAATAAAAGGATCAGACCCGCCAAGCTCTAAGACACATTTTTTTAGTCCCATTCCAGCCATAGCAGCAACATTACGTCCAGCTCCTATAGACCCAGTCAAGCTGACTCCTCTTATTCTATTATCAGCTATTGTTCTTTGAACTTGATCCATATTAATAAACACGTTTTTGAACTCATGCACAAATCCTGCATCTGAAGTGATATTGTCAAGGGCCTGTGCAACCTGAGGAACATTTTCTGCATGCTTAAGAATTATTGTATTTCCTGCCATCAGATGTGGTATCCCGCACTTTAATGGCATCCAGAGTGGGAAGTTAAAAGGCATGATAATAAACAAAGGCCCAAGAGGCTCATAATTAACATAGACTTTGCTGCCTGGAATATCATAGTGAGTTGGAGCCAAAAGCTTTTCAGCGTTGTCGGCATAATAATCACAGCAATCTGCACATTTTAAGACTTCTCCTTTTGATTGACCAATAGGCTTACCCATTTCTTGCGTCATCAATCTAGCTAGGTTTTCATGGTCTTTTCTGAGAAGGTCACCAAGCCTTTTCATTTTCTCACCTCTTTCTTTAAAAGAAGTTTTGGAATGTCGCAGAAAAGCCTGATAGGAAGCGTCAATTGTATAATCAAGCTGTGCTGCAGATATGAAATCGAAACTACGAATATAAGCCTGGGTGAAAGGGTTCTGAGAAATGAAAAGTCGCTGTGCCATAATTATTATATTGTTAAGCTGACAGAATTGTTCACATAATTATCAATATAAAATAGACAAAGAAATAAGCTTAATAATTACACTTGTAGGACTTCGGAGAGCTATCTGATGTTTTTAAATTGTCAGCAGTTTCTAATATGTTGTTTAGCTTGCTGAAAAATGAAATTAAGTCTGAATTTTGATAAGACGCTTCATTTTGCATGGATTTATGAGTTTTCGTGCTAAGTCTGAATAAATCAGAATTTAATCCTTCAATAATTCGTTTTTGGGACTCGATGATGAGCTTTTGTTCATCTAGCTGGTAATTAAGTGTCTGAATAATTTTTTGATTTTTTTTATATTTGCATATCTTCTTATTGCATTCTTCGTGGCATCACTCTTGATCCCTCATTTCTTTATTTTTTAAGAGTTTGTCAGACAATTTTTTTATCAATGAGTCTTTTCCTTCTATTTCCAAGTCATATATATTTTTTAACTTCTTTGTTAATTCTTCTCATTTTTGGCCTGTCTTATGTATTTCTTCCCTATGTATTGATTTTATTTGTCCTATTTTATTGTTAAACTCTTTTTCCATTTTTTCCTTTTCATTTACCAAGTAATTTTCATATTGCTCTTTCATATAAACCATTTGTTTTTTGTAATCTTCTTGGAGATTTTTGTTATATTTCTTGAGTTTAAGTATTTCATTTGTAGCCATTGTGTACAATTCGTTGCCTTTTGCAAGTTTTTCTTTAAGGCTTTCTATATTTCTGTTATAAGAATTCCCTAAAGTCCAAATATCATCGTTAGTACAAGTAGAATATCGAAATGTCCCATTTGTGTTACAATTCAACGTATTTCCAACAAAAATATCTCCAGGGTCTTTTTTCCCATAAGAGTTTTCGCCATTAATTCCAAAGCTATTTCTTGTTCAATCTATTGTGATATTCGGGTCTTCTGAGGGAATAGATAAATCTGAACTATCACTAGAACTTCTGCTCCTTTGTCGGTATACTGACTGCAAATCAGCAGCTTTAATTATTTCTTTTATTGAGATTCAGGACTCTCCTTTGATGTTATCTTTTTGTTCCATTTTATTCAGACTTTGAATAATATTATTACATAAATTTAACAAGTTTTCCTATTAGCCCAGTAAGTGAGAATTTCTCTCACCTGGGATATTGAATTTGAGCTACCTTTAAACAGGTTGACTTCTCTTATTTTGTCGCATTGTTTCCTATACAAAGAAATCCTAGTGTCATTAGAAGATTCTAATGACCCAAAAGGGTTCTCAAAAAACCCTTCAGCAAATGTGTCATTTTCTTCATCAGAACTTGGATCGTAATCATCAGTGCACAAATCGCTGTAAATCAGCTTAAAGCCGACCTCACTTTCTTCGTAAAAGCTCTCTGACTCAATCAGAGACAGCATTCTGCTCCTTGACCGAAGGCGAGGTGTTTCAGGCGAGGCATCTGTGCTTAATAGCGAAATTTGGCTCTTTGTTTGGTGTTTAAAAACATCTTTAAGCTCAAAATCGCCTCCGTCGACTGATGTTAACCTTGGCCGAATTCCTAAGGTTTGAGAAATGATCCTTGGTTTGATGTTTTTTGTGGTGTACTCTATTCTGACTGATAATATATTGAAAGCTGTTTCAAATTTGAATGGGATTGATGGAAAATATTGGATGTCTCGAGGGAGAATTGATGGATCTCAGCTGATTCCCTCTTGAGAGGCTGTTCTAATTATCAAAGATATTGAAGAATTTCTAATTTCTGAAGCTGGCAGCAATAAACTAGCAGCCATTAGGGCTCGGATTCCAGCAATTTTCGGCGTTTCAGTCAGATTTTTGGAGAAATCAGCAGCAAGCCTTTTGGGGATGATATGAAATTTTCATCTTTCTAACAGAAGCGGATGGCAACCTTCAATGCACTCCAAAAGGTCAATTTCAAATTCTTTATGAGGAGTTTGCTGGTTTTCCCAGAGGACTCGAATACTGTCATGGATTGATGAAGGCTTTGGACTGTATGATTTTGTAAAGGAATTAGAAGAAGCTGCAAATAGAGGGGAACAGCTGTGGGTTTGGGAGATGAATTCAATAAGTTTTGTCATAAAATCTTGCATCAAATTTTGTTCTGAAGCGCGGCATGATTCCATCTTAAACAGTTATTTATTTTAAACGAATATGTATAAATAAAATTATGGATATTCAGAGTAGCATAAAGAAGAACAATTTGAATTAATAATTATTTTAAAGTTAGAGGGCAAGTCGGGAATAATTATAAAAAGACAGTATAATTAAATAATAAAGTTAATAATTATGTATGGTAAGCTGCTAAATAAGGCAACATGACGAAAAGTATGAGCTTATTTACGTAAAAAAACGTATAGTTAATAAAATAAATTTTAAAAGGAAAAATGAAAGAGTTAAAAAATTATTTTATTCATGAATAAAAAATTGCAAATATTTTGTGCCTAATCTCTAATTCTATATTATTTAAATGATTTCTTTAGAAAATGGCCTATGCTATTTATTTCCCGCACTATATTTAAATGCTGATAAAATTTATATTATTTCTTCTATGATTATTTAAAATTTTCTTTGTTAGGAAGCATAATAAGCATTACAATTACTTATGGCAAAGAATTTAATATAAATTTAGATTTATTTATACAAACAATCTTTTATGTTAATTTATCTTAGTTTTTCGACAAAATTCTAAAAAAATACTCACTTTCCATCAGCCCATCTTCTGGTAAATCTGTGCAGTGAACAGCATTTTGGATTCTATCAATTCCAAATATTGCTCTTATAGACCGTGGTTTAGAACTTCTTGCTACATCAGGATCCAAAGGTCCACAAATTTCCCTAAAGCTTTCCACCGGATTTTCTTGCCTTATTTCCATAGCTATACAAGGTCCTGATGTAAAATGCTCAACTATCCCACTAAATTCAGGTAAAACACCTTTATAAACATCTAGAAATTCTTCAGCGTTTGGCTTATCCAAATTAAACATTTGCAGTGCAGAAATTTCAAACCCTTCGCTAATAATCATATCAATAATTCTTCCTGCATTAGTCAATGCATGAGGCTTAATTACACAGCATGTGCAATTGCTATAAGTAGCTGTATTGCCAGGTAAGCTAAAGAAATAGTCAATTTCTCTGGCAGCTCTGTCAGCTGACTCGCTGCCATGGACAGCGTTTCTTGCGCCATCAGAGCCATAAGCTGCTCTTATACTTTGAGGAGCATCCACTCTTGCAGTGTGCGAATTTGCTGGGCCTATAATATCTTTTCACTTTGAAATAGCGTTTCCTGCAATCAGCTCCATCCCAACTGAGATATCACTGCTAATAAAATTGACTAAATCTTGAAAAAACTGTTTTCCATCGTGCTCTGAATAAAGCTGCCTTGCTTGGTTTACAGTAAATCGATGCATCTTGATATTAGTGATCTTAAAACCTTCTTGTATAATCCTGTCAATGATTTTCCCAATATGATTGTAACAGTCCGGCTTTATCATTGCAAATGTCCGCTCTCTCTGGTTTTCAAAGTGGCTTTTCGTGAAATTGTCACCATATTCTACCACTTTAAGCTGCCTTGAGTATATAGAAATTGCTGCTCCTAAATAGAGATCTTCGAGAGTGAGATTGGGATATTGAGATCTTTTGAGGAAAATCCTTCGGTTCTTTAAATCATACTAACTCCCCCCCCCCCCTCCGTGAGCGAAACAAAACCATTAGAAAAATCGCCATTTTTTGACCAAAAACCCACCCTCCGTGAGTGAACAAAAATTTTTTTTAATAGAAAAAATTTTAATGGAAAAAAATTTTGATATATAAGTGATAATTAGTATAATGAAATCTAGAGCTAATTCTGTTTAATTTTAAACAAATTGCGTTTTAAAACATAAATTTTGCAAATTAAATTAATATTTGCTTCCCAATTTTTGCAAATTAGGATTTTTTAAATTTCGAAAAAAAATATTTTTTATAAAATTTATATATAAATTTTTTTTAAAAAAAAAAAAATTAACCCCCCTCCGTGAGCGAACAAAATTTTTTTGTTCGCTCACGGAGGGGGGGGGGGAGTAAGTAAAGTATACCATTTCAATGGTCTGATCTATTGGGTATCAAAATAGCTGATACTTCCTTACAAGTGCTGCTGCTTGATCGAACCAGTCCACAACAAAAGCATACCTTTCTTCATTTAAAGCCATTTAATGATTAAACTTAACTAATATCATAGTCATGTTATCGCAGCCCAAGCCGCCAGTGTTTTCAACATCTGGCGCAAGACATCTGTCAATGACCTTTTCAACTACATCTCCTAAGTCCATACCTTCTGCAATATTTTTATAACAAATCTCAACACACTGTTGGCAAGTTAAAATATCCCAAATCCCATCACATGCCAACACAATGAAATCACACTCAGGTGTAAGCTCTTCGACTTTAATATCAGGAAAAGCTGTTACCATCTGCTCTTCAGGAGCCAGTTCTGCATTTTTTTTATACTCTAAATCCCCAATCGCTCTGCTTAAATTTATATTTCCCATAACTCTTCCATCTTCTACATTGCCCCCTGCCCTTGTAATCCTATCTTTTTCGATCTGGTTGTCAGGCTTATGATCTTGTGACATTTCAATAGCCCTTCCTGCTTTAGCTAATACACATCTGGAATCTCCTACGTTCGCAACATATAACTTGTTGCCCTTAATTAAAGCTACCACTGATGTGCAGCCTGCTAGTGAGTCTGCGTCATCAACGACAACTTGATAGTCTTCAGGAAGGTCGCGTTGCAGTCTTACTAATTCACGCTGGCCTTCTTTACTCCCCTTTGTGTGCGAGTAAATTTTAATCTCTATCGGGGTTAATTTTTTAACAAATGTATATATAAATTTTATGTTGAATTTTTTCAAAGTCCCAACTCTCAAAAATTGGGAATAAAACATTAATTTAATATGTAAATTTATGCTTTAGAACTGTTTACAACTCAACAGATTCGCTAGAGATTTCATATATCAATATATTTTTCATAAAATTTTATTTATTAAAAACTTTTTTTGCTCATGGATGGGGAGCTAGTAGTTAGAAGTTGGTCCATTTTGAGGTAAGTTTCTTGTAAAGCGACTTCAAAACGATTTGTTTGATAATTACGATTTGCTAAAAGCTCTTGGCGGAAATGACGCTCTACAAATTTGGCAACTTCTTTACCTCCATGCCCATCAAAAACGCCAAAAAGCATTGCATCTGGGCCCAGATTAACTTCTGTAATTTGTGCATCTTCCATGCTTATTCTCCATCCTTGCATTTCTGATGCAGCAAAACTGTATTAAAGTTACCTGACTCGCTCATTTTGACCTTTAATTGTATGTTTGTCAGTTTTTGGTGAAGGAAGGTATGCACCCATATTTTATCGAAAATCATGAGGATTATAATCTTTTCTTCTACTTTTTGCTCTGAGGTTTTGCTGTAAAATAATCGCAGAAAACAATTTATATTTTATTGCATTTGAGTGCTATAATAAAATTCATATATAAAATAACTTGCTCCACTTTATTTATATATAATTAATGATTATGATGGTAAGAATATAGTATAAAATTTAAAAAATATTTAAGATGGAGCAAAGCATACTGCGGCACTTAATGGTAGGGAAGTTAAAAAAACGATTACTCGCCCAATTTTAGAACAAAAATTCCTATTCCTATTCAAAGGGGTATAAATTTTTTTTTAAAAAGTAAAAAAATATTAATTGAAACAATACTTTTTTTTATTTTATGGAGAATTAATTCAAAAAATTAACTGATTTATGCTTAAAACTTGATTTTTTCCCATATAATAATTTATAAAAATAATATTTTACCGATAAAATTTTTCCAGTTTAAAGGAGGTCAAAGTATTAAAAATAGAAATTTTTTTACAGATATTTTGTTCTAATTTAAAGGGAAGTAGAGTAAGAATAAATCTTAATAAACTTAGTTTTGTAATATCCCGGTCAGAAAATTAATGAAATAATAAAAATGATATCGCCAGATATGGTCCAGGAAATTTTCCAAAAGCTCAGAGAAGATCCAAATAATTCGAAATGCTTTGAGTGCGGAGATTCTGACACTAGATTCTGTTCTGTTAACCATGGAATTTTTATATGTGAGAAATGCAAGGTTCTTCACCAGTCATTGCTTTCCAACCTAAGTTATGCTAAGCAAGTTTCAAGTAATTATTGGACTCTTGAAGAGCTAAAATACATCATAGCAGGTGGAAATTCAGCTTTTGAAGAGTTTCTATTATTTTATGGTCTTAAAGATACCAAAATGGCATATAAATACTGCACTTATGCAGCTGAATTTTATAGAAAAATGCTTAAAGGTATAGCTGAAAATGGAGCCTTTAGAGGATATTTACCAAATTTTGAAGAGAGTAAAGTAAAATCTATCAACATAAAGGCAAAGTCTGCAGATGCGCAACTAAGTAAATATGATGAAAGACGGCTCGAGAGTGTTCAAGTAGCTTTGGACGAAAAATTTGAATCAAAACCTTGTGCTAGTGAGTCTAATGTTCAGTACTTACCCGGGATGCAAGTTATTAGGAGAAGAAGATTTAGTATAGGCTTAGGATTATTAAAATTCAGGCGTTAGCCATATTGGTGGCGCAGCCAGCAAGACCTCCGTACGGGTTCTACCGCTTTCCGACTCCAACCCAGAGGTTCTGTGCCACTTCCGTTACCTTTTTTCTCCTCCTTGCGGCTTCAGACTAGAGTGGGCGGCTTATGGGTTTCTGCGGCCCTGATACGGGCGATTGAATTAGCTTGATTCAATGAATCAGCTCCTTGGAGTCTATCGGATGTCGAAGTGCCTTCATTCGACTGCTGCAGGAAAAAGACTACTCCCTATGGCCTGGGCCGAAACCCCCAGTTTCTCGGTAGGAATGCCTGAGGGTCCTCGGATCCAAAGGACTTTGTTGAGCGCCTCAATTTTCAACCACAGATAAGCAGCCAAAGCCTACCCAGATGTGCATCTCTTGAGCCTGAACTTGGTTCTCAGCTCGGAGTCCGTCCCAGTTTGCCGTAGCCATAATATCTGGACTGCTGCGCCAAGAGGGTAGGTTGGCACGTGTCGCCAATTTAATGTATGATTTAATATAATCGGTTGGCTAAAAATGGTCTATTGCAATGTTGTTAAATTTGGAAACCAAGTTGCTGATAAAACCTATAAAATTTCACAAACACCTACAATGAAAAAAATTGACGATCAATTTGTTATTGCATTTAATACAGCTGAAAAATTTGCCAGCAGAATCTATGATGCTACCCAGAAAATATATTATGAGTATAATAAAAAGCTAAAACTTGTTGATTCTCATGAAATTTCATATAGAAAAGTTTTTGCTGACGAATTTCATAGAGCTGATACAATCAATACTGATGAGAATGTAAGAAATCTTAAAAAAGAATTATGGAGCTTGATAGAACAATTGGATAAGGCAGAAGCCTCGGATGCAGGAATTATTTTAAGACCTGATGAGGTCGAAACTAGTCAATTTCATGAAGAAGAAACTTATTTTGTCGAACATTAATTAATTTTTTACTTAAAATTTATATATGCTTTGAGAAGCTTCTAAAAAATCATTGAACACTAAAAAAAGTATAGCTCCAGAGTCAAAAAAATTACTCTCTGAATTATTTCTGAATATCAATGAAATTTGTTATTTAAGTAAATTATGTAGACCCAACTTTGCTTGCATATCTTTGAAATCTTGAGGAAGTTCAGCCTCTAATTTTTTTCCTTTTATTTTTAGTCCCCATGAATGAAGATATAATCCAAGTCTTGTTTTCGCTCTACCTATAGTTAAATATCCCAGTTTCATTAGGAAGTTGGTTTTATGAAAAATTTCAGTCTGGCAAGCCCAGATGATGCTGAAGATCCAGACCAAATCTAAGCTCAGGCTATATATTCGATCTTCCTTATTAAACTCAGAACAATCAAACCCATACTTATAGTCTCCAACTAAAGGACATTTCAAAACTTTTGAAGCATGCACTCTTATTTGATGCTTCCTGCCAGTCACAAGTTTAAACTTTAAGCAGGAAAAAGGGCTTCCTAAATACTTTGAAGTTGTAAGCATTTCATAAAAAGTCTTCGCAAACTTCCCAACTTCATTGACTTCTTGCCATCCCTCTTCTGATTCTTTTAAGAAAGTACTCAATTCTCCTTTGTCTTTCAGTGGCTTCCCTTTAACAATTCCAATATATTCTTTTTCTTCCATATCTAATTGGCAAGCTTTAGAACTTTTCCCAAATGCCATAATCCCAGATACATTTTGATCCAATCTATGCATTAATCTTGATCCCTCAAAGTAGTTCATAGCCAATTTGTCAGCACTTAGCTTTATTTTTATCCCACCTTGAGTAGCAATTCCAGCTGGCTTATTTATCACAATGATATCATCGTCTTCATAAATTATCCATTTTTGGAACATATCTTTCATGTCATTATTAGCCACTATTGGAGAGTCGAAGTTTATATACTTGGGGAAGTAAAATTTGTCATTTATTTGCAATTTGTAAAGATTAGAACTAGTTTTCCCAGATTCATTCATAGCATATACTTCACCTGTTCTGAGTAGCTTATTAACTAAAGTCCATGGTAGCTTTGATCTCTTTAACAGAAACTTGTCAAGTCTAAGGCCTGCATCTTTAAATCCCTATATTGATTTTACAATCATTAGACTTTGCATTTTATTTAATTATTAATACCTTCAAGTGATTTTTTAGAGAAAATCCCTGAAGTTTTGCTGACATTAGAGTGCTTCAAAACGGTGTCTAATTCTTCGAAAGCTTGTTTCTGAATCAGTTGAGTGTTTTGAAGCCTTTTGATTAGCTCCATTTCAAGCAGTTCCATATCCATTACTTCTTTTTCCTTAGTTTTCCGAATGCCGTCTTCAGTATCAATTCTTTTCTGGTAATCATTTTTGAAATCCTCGAACTTTTGGTTCCTTCATGGGTTCACCCAGATTCAAGATCCAATGCTTGAAAACCGGCTCCTGGGAACCGACTTTCAAGCAAAAATTCAGAATTCCGAATTAGCTTCCAAATTCAAGCAACTTTTGACATAAAATTGATTGGTGTGCTTGAATATGGTGCTAATTTTTGACGGTGCTAATAGAAAGTCTATCCTAGACCTATTTTCAAGATTTTTATAATAAAACCTCTCCAAATTCTAAAAAAGTCAAAAAACCGAAACCTATATTCAAGATAATCTTGAATTTGGACCCAAATTCAAGATTATCTTGAATTGTTTTACTACTATGCATTTTCGGAAATTTAAAAATTTTGATTAGATTTTTTTTTTTTAATTTTTTGTTATTTCTTAATCCTGACCAATTTAGATTGTTCTTTTTCTACTTCTGTGATCTTCCGTTTGCCCAAAAGAACTTTTAATCATTAAAATGATATGGTCTCATCTATATGAACTACATTTGGCATTAACCATCTTCTTGAAGTATTTTTCACAACAAATTCTACGAGGTCAATTTTATTTATCTTTGCTGCATAAAGTAAATGACTGCATAGCATTTTATATTTGATTATTTTCTTGCAACTTCACGCAATGTCTTCCAGATCAACTTTAAATACAATAGATTCTTGGAAGCTGTTATCTTCAATTTGAAATGAATTTATCATGTTTTTTTGTAATAGCATGCAAATTAATTAAATTTTTATATTCTTTTGCGAAAATGAGATTGAAATACATTGTATAAAACTTGCTAAATTCTTTCAAAAACCTTGAGAAGCTAATATCCACATAGAAATGCAGTTGGTTGTATATTTTTGCTTTGATTGCTTCATCTTCGTCTGCCAAAATTTCTTCAAAAGCAATTAAGATTTTAGCATTGTTTCTTCGTTTCATAGCTGCCATAACTCTTTTTAGTAATGCATTCATTGATTTAACCCTACTTGTTGATTTGATGCCAGCAGAAAACATGTTATCAGTAGAAAAATTGGCTCAATGTTTTCTATACTCATAAAGTTTCTTAAATCCACGATGAGTTTTAAGAGAAGGAAAATTCTCTCATAATTAATTTTCACTTAGCTTTGAAATTGGCTTCAGTATCTTGCTTATATAATTCATAAAATAGCTCTTCAAGCCTTTCGATGTTTACTTCCTGCTTATAAAAAAGGCCCATTATATTTCTGTGAATGTGCCACATACAAAAAATGACGTTTGAACTTGTAAAGCAATCTTTTATTGCATTATATTGAGCAAGATCCCTATCAACAACAATAGTTAAAGGATCTCTAAATCCTAATTCTTTAAATTTTTTCAAAAGTTCATAAGTAATCTTCTTTCTGCTCACTTAATGTTAGTGAGATGCAAAGCAAAAAATTTCCACCAAAAGAATCAACAGTCATCATGACAATTGCTGATTTAAAGTATTCATGATTTGATGAGTGCTGTCAACTATCACAATCTCAAATAAATTCTTTCAATTTTCTAATCTTTCTCTTGTAGATATAAATAAGCGCTGATTTGTTTCATCTTTTAACATAGTTAAATTTGGATTGTTATCATCTTCATTGCTTTTTATAATATCAGCAAATGTCAATGCTCTATTCTTTTTGTGAGATGCCTTCAAGAAAGTTTTCCCATTTTTCTATTGAAAAAAAAATAACTTTCCGTGTTTGCTTTCTAGAATTTCATATATTACTTTCGTTGGATACATTTTTTTAAATAACTCCTCAGCATCAACCTTGCACTGATATGGAATTGCCTGACATTCAGAAATATATCGTTTGTCATCTTCTGATATTCTTTTGTGATTATGATATGGATTTATAGAATCACACTTATAGATAAATCCATTATTGTCAACATCATATCTTCATCTCATCCGAAATTTGCATAATTCTTCACTCTCAATCCATGGGAATTTGAAGCTTTTATGCTCTAAAGAGAAGTAGCATTGAAATACGTAAGTGCTAGTGTTCTGAGATGAGTAATATATTCTTAATATTGTATTATCGTCTTTGATGAAAGTTGCTTTTATAAAGGATGTAAATTCTTGATGTGAGCCAAAGTGCAAAACTGAGTCTATCTTAAATATTTGGCTTGAATATCCTTCAGTATTGTTTATTTCCTTTTCAGCTTCCGAGTTATTGGCTTGATCAACTGATGGAATTTGTTGATGAGCTATTGCATTGAATATTTTTTAAAAAATTATCACTTTCTTCTTTGGAGATGCCGAAAAAATGACTTATAAGCTGTATTGAAACACTTAAATTATCAGCACATTGCATTAAAACTTCATCATTTAGCCAATGTTCGTTCTCATTCATCTGCAGTTTGCAAATAGTTGCCGCCAAATTTATCTTATCCATTATATTAATATAACTTTTAACAGTGATAAGCAAAATTTGAATAAAGATTATAATTAAATAATACCTATGCAATGTATTATTCGTGATTTTTACGTTCTTAACATCAACGCTTTAAGATGCTTCAGAACAATTTTAATTTCATAAGAATCAAAAATTTTTAAATTTCCGAAAATGCATAGTAAAACAATTCAAGATAATCTTGAATTTGGGTCCAAATTCAAGATTATCTTGAATATAGGTTTCGGTTTTTTGACTTTTTTAGAATTTGGAGAGGTTTTATTATAAAAATCTTGAAAATAGGTCTAGGATAGACTTTCTATTAGCACCGTCAAAAATTAGCACCATATTCAAGCACACCAATCAATTTTATGTCAAAAGTTGCTTGAATTTGGAAGCTAATTCGGAATTCTGAATTTTTGCTTGAAAGTCGGTTCCCAGGAGCCGGTTTTCAAGCATTGGATCTTGAATCTGGGTGGACCCTTCCTTCATTGGTTAATACGCTGTGTCGCAGACATCTCACTACCTCTTATGGCAGATTTCCTAGCTTGATTTTCTTCTCTAAAAAAATCCATCATGTCTTTTTTCTTCCTTATATTTTCCTCTCTTTGTTTTCTTACATTAAAAGCTTCTTCTCTTTTATTTTGTAAAATCGCTTGTTTCAATGTATATGTATTATGTTTTCTTTCCTCTCTTATTTTATTGTAGTGCGACCTTTGCTCGCTTAGTGCTCTTTCCCTTTGCGTCTTAATTTCAGATTTTTGCCTCACAAACTCCTCTTGCTCTTTTTTCACATTTTTCAGTTCTTGGGATTTTTTTTCTAGTTTCTTCGATTTTTTTCCATGTCCTGGCTTCTTCTTGCTGCAATAACTTAATTCTATTGGACAGCAGCTGCGCATCCTGCTCCATCTGTTTTCTCAGCTTTTTGGCTTCTATTAAATTAGGTGAACGGTTGAGTTCCATATACTTCAATTAACGAAAGTTTTGTTATAATTTAAAGATGGAGTCAAAAGACTCACTTCAAAGCTTCGATAATGATCCTATTGAAGACCACCGAAAGTTTGTAGAAGCCAAAAACATGAGAAAACAGGCTGAAGAGGATGCAAAGTTGTTATTTAATCGTATAGCCCTTTTAAAACAGGAAGAAGCCAAAGCAATCAGATCTATCGAAGAAACAAGAAAACGGGCTAGAGAAATCATGGAAGTCAGAGCTAGGAACTTAGAAAACCAAAAGAAAAAAGAAGAACTAAAGCAAGCCAAAGAAGAGGAAGAAAAAGAAAAAGCCTCTCATTATAGAGCAGAAAAAGAAAGACTTAAATCTGCAAGATCTATGACAAGAGAAGAAATGCTGGGAAAACTTAAAGCTGAAGTACAGCAAATCAAACAATCCAAACAAGAAAGCAAAAGCATAAGGGAAAAACAAAGACAAGAAGAGCTTAATCAGAAATCGGATGCAGCAAATCAAATAAAAAGAGAACAAAAAGAAGCAGAAAGAAGGAAAAAAGAAAAAGAACTGCAGAGAAAAGAAAAAGCAAGAATTGAACTGCAGAGAAAAATTGAAGAGGAAAATAAAATTAGGGCAGAAAAAGAAGCGGAAATTGCTAGGATGGAGCAAGAAGAGCTGGAACTTATTCAGAGACTGCAGAATTCGCAGATTTTGCAGAAGTCAGTGTATGACCAATTAGAACAGGCACTGTCCGGGAATCCTGATTCAGTAGCTTTTCTTACTGCGCCGAGTTTGCCTGAAACTAATGCTATAAAATAAGATAAGTTTTAAAAATATAATAGAGAATTATTATCAAAAATATTTAATAAGTTAAATTGTTGAGAGTATATGAGAAAAATATATAATCATCAAAGTGAAGCGAAAAGATAGTTAAGGTCATGAAATTATTGACTTTTATTAAATAGGGAACCAAAATAACAATCAATTCTTGAAAACGTATTCTAAGCATTTCACCATATTAAACTTTTTATAACTAATTAGAAAATTTCTAAATTGATAACCTTATCTTAATTTTCTCCAAAGAACTTGTCAGCGAGTTTTCTATAAGTCGGTTTGAGATGCTCTGGCTCATACTTACTACAATACATAATTGCAGCCATGGAGGCTGAGAACATGAATGTATGTGCTGCAGGAATTGGGACGACAAGTCCTCTTCTCTTAAAGAACTTCCACAAAGCGTCCAAGAACCTTGGCATAACGTAAAGTGCTAGCTCACTTACTCTTGCTGGTGATTCAATAAATGTAGCAGTCACACACAATGAAGCTACGAGCACCAGAAGCTTCATGCTAATTATTGGGATGTACTTAAATACCCCTCCGTGAGCGAACAAAAATATTTTGTTAGCGCACAGAGCGGGGTTAATTTTTTAAAAAAATAATTATATATAAATTTTATATTTTTTTTTTGAAATTTAAAAAAATTCCATGTAAAAATTGAGAGGAAAAAAAAATTTTTGTTAGCTCACGGAGGTTGGGTTTTTGGGCAAAAAATAGGGATTTTCCAATAGTTTTGTTCGATCAGGGGGGAGTAAGATAAACACAAATAGTAACCTTGCTAATAAAAACCATCATGGTTAGTAGGAGAGTTGATCTCACTCCCCCCCCCCCCCCTCCGTGAGCGAACAAAAAAATTTTGTTCGCTCACGGAGGGGGGTTAATTTTTTTTTTTAAAAAAAATTTATATATAAATTTTATAAAAAAATTTTTTTTTCGAAATTTAAAAAAAATCCTAATTTGCAAAAATTGGGAAGCAAATATTAATTTAATTTGCAAAATTTATGTTTTTAAAACGCAATTTGTTTAAAATTAAACAGAATTAGCTCTAGATTTCATTATACTAATTATCACTTATATATCAAAATTTTTTTCCATTAAAATTTTTTCTATTAAAAAAATTTTTGTTCACTCACGGAGGGTGGGTTTTTTGGTCAAAAAATGGCGATTTTTCTAATGGTTTTGTTCGCTCACGGGAGGGGGGGGGGGGAGTCAGACATTGCTTTCCTGCACCTCGAACGACAGAGACTGGCTTGCTGAGGAGCGATTTGTATCGTATAAGGACCGGGATGAAGTGGAGAGGGAAATAAAACTTCATAGCAAATTTGAAAGCTTTTATGAAAACTTTTATCCAGTGGACAAGGCATGGGCCATCATGAATGTAATCGCATGTGAAAGGATGTGTCCCTGCCGCTGCTTGAATAACCTGCTCAGGAGTGAAAACCCTTACCATCAAATAAATGGAAATTTGATCCCATGGTGATGTAATAGGAACTATTCAGTTGTAAAAAGTAATGATTCGCAATTAAAGTGTTATATAAGAAAGCTTAACCGGAAACTATAAATTATAGCACTCCTCAGCTCAATTAATTAAAATTTCTAAAAGATTCGTTTTATGGATTTTAGAAGTTATTCTCTAAAATATAGCGATTTATAAATAATTCATAAATCAATAACAAATAAAAACTATGTGAATTATATTTTAAATATGAGAGTAATCCTACCCGAAATTTTTTGGCATGGCAATCGAGAGAGAATTATGTCTTTGGACTTCCAAAGTTCTTCAACCCCTCAGTTAGCAACTTGTGGAGCTGACTTAGTTTTAGGCATCTACATTCGTATCTGGCAAATAAATCTCTTTAACAATGAACTGATTCCACAGCATATTGATGATTTGGCGGGAACACATGAGCGATGTGTAAACGTCGTTAAATTTTCCCCTGATGGAAAATTATTAGCTTCAGGCAGTGATGATGGCTGTGTCGTTATCTGGGAAAAGAAATTAAAACCAGTCTTTGGAGAAGACCGTGAAGAAATTGGCTGGGGGTCCAAAAGAGTTTTACGTGGACACGTAGGAGAAATCCATGATTTATGCTGGAGTGAGACAGGGAAGTATATTGCTACAGCAAGTATGGACGGATCTGCTATAATTTTTGATGTAGAAAGAGCTAAAGTTATACAGAGATTAGAAGGACACAAGCATGTGCAAGGGATTTCTTGGCATAGCGGGTATTTGGCTACTATGTCAACAGATAGGACTTTAAGAATTTTTAAGCAATCAAAGAAGGGTTTTTATATCAAACACTCAGTCAGAGATTATGAGAAAAACAAGCTCTTCCAAGAACAAGGCCAAGCTTCAGCATTTTTTAGAAGGCTTGCATTCAGTCCTTGTGGGAGCTTATTAATTGCCCCAGCTGGGCTCTCAGGAGACATTCCTGTTGCTCACTGCTTCTTTAAAAAGCAATTTACTGTTCCAAGTATAACATTCCCAATAAATATAACAAACCAAGAAAAAGCAAGTGCAGTTTGTGTCAAATTTTGTCCTTTCTTTTATAAAGCAAATGATACACAGCTGATTGCAGGTCTTGAGCATAAACTTGTGTGGGCAGTTGCTACAAAAGACTCAGTTTTGATATATGATAGTGAGCATGCAACTCCAATAGGAGCAATTACAAATGCCCATTATGCTCCGTTAACAGACCTAGCTTGGTTTGGCGATAAACTATTAGCAGTAAGCAGCATTGATGGGTACGTTTCCTTTGTAGTCTTCGAAGAAGGAGAGCTTGGTATCAGAATTACTGCAGAAGTTAAAGAAGAAAAAAGCCAAGATATGGAAATTGAAGAAGAAGTTGAAGTTAAAGACGACAGCTCCAAAAAAGACACTGGAAAACGAAGAATCTGCCCAGTCGCTGTTGTAGGTAATTAATTGCTTAAATAAATTATTATAATTTGAAATGATCCCAAGACACATGATTTTCAAAAATCCTGCACTAAGAAGTTTCTTGGTGCAAAGGATTTATAGAACTATACTCAAAGAGCACAAAGTCTTTTTTGACCAGGTAGTTGTAAATCACTTTAAAAGTTCCATCATCCCCAAATTCAAAGAGTAAAATTCAAGTAGAATGAAGCACAACTATCAGTATCGTAGAATCAGCCATTTCATTCAAACCACTCAAGAATTAGCTGAAAACTTGATAATTTCTAATAAAAAATCAGATGAGTTTAAAAGGGATATAAAGAAGTTGCTGGAAGTAGGGTACGGCAAATCCAATCTGTTTCCTGGCTCCAAAGAAAAAATAGACATGATAAAACTAGGGCGCTTAGAGCCATTTATCCTCTCAGAAGAACAAAAAACTTATATCTCTGAGCAATGCGTGAAAAACCCTTCCATGAGTATTTATTATAAAATTGCGCTTAGCTATCCTGCAAGACTCACAAAAGAAGAAGGAATAGCTTTAAAATCACCTGAAGAGTCTAAATTACAAATAATAGATTAAAAGTTTAATCATTAATATTGGTCATCTACAACCCATTTAACTCTTTTCCCTTCGTTCCACTCTCCTTCTCTTTTATTTCCTTGTGAAGTGTAGTATGCACCTCTTCCATGCTGCTTTCCATTTAACCATTTTCCTTGATATTTTCTTCCATCAGGCCAAGTAAAAACTCCGTAACCTTGCTTTTTGTCTTCAACATATTCGCCTTCGTAGCGTCGGCCATCCGACCATTCGAAGATTCCTTTACCATCCATCTTGTTGTTTTTCCAGTCTCCGAAATAGACTCGATTGTCGCCTCACGTGTATTTTCCTGTGCCATGAATGTTGTTGTCTTGGAATTCTCCGTCGTAGGTGCTTCCATCAGCCCAAAAGAAAGTTCCTCGGCCATGCTTTTTACCGTTGATGTAGTCTCCTACATATCTAGCTCCATCAGGCCAAGTTTCAGTTCCTTTTCCATGTTGCTTGTCATCTTGTCATTGGCCTTCATATTTTGCTCCATCAGTGTGCATGTAAATTCCGAAACCATGAGCTTTGTCGTCTTTCCAATCCCCTTCATATACGTCTCCATCGCCATGGGTAAGTCTTCCTTTCCCATTAGCTTTATCCAGCATCCAATAGCCTTCATATTTCGACCCATCTGGCCAGATCTGAACTCCATATCCATGGCGTTGTTTGTCGTTATTTCACTCTCCTGTATAGATAGCTCCATTTTCAATTTCTACTGGACCGTATTTGGTTTTGCTAGTCGAGTCAATAGGAGGTGGAGGCGGTTTGAAGCTTCCAAGCTTGTTTTGAGCAGCCCTTGTTTCATTATTTGAATAATCCGGAATGCTAGTTTCAGGAATTATCTTGATTTCAGTGCGGACAACTGGAGTATTCTGAAAATCGTTCTTCGTAGGTGTTATTAAAGGTGGAGCCTGTGATTCAGTGGCTGTTTTAGGGTTTCGTCGTGCCATTCCAACTGTATCACCTTTCAAGGTTATATAGATTTCATTCGATTTCTTGCGAGTGTAGTATCCTCGAATGATGCTTTGCAATTTGATTAGATCTCCAATATCTATCTTATTTGGCAAATCTCTGCCCTTGTTCTCTTCACTTGTTCTAAACACCTCACGATCAGAGTTTGAAAAAAATTTGTCGACATCGATTGATGAGTCGGCCATACGGAACTGATTTTCTTCAGAGACTTCTCCTTTAAGACATGAGCATTTTGCACCCATTTATCTATGAAAAAATATTTTATTAATTATATAATTATGCAACTTATAACGATTTTATGATCATTAGCAGCAAGACTTTTGTTTGCGATATGGTAGCTGAAAGACATATGAATTGAAAATTAAAAAATAAGATGAATATTTAATTTATTATCTAGTTAAGCCAACTAGAAAGATTTATAAACCAAGAATTACCACATTAGTGATCTATAAGGCCTTATTAAATTATAAAAGGATTCTGTCATTGTTAGATAAAACTATTTAATTTATTCGAAAGAAGTTTATTAGCTGAATATCTAAATTTATTGAAACAATAAGCCAGATATCAGTTAATTAAAATATTTTTCAAATTAAAAATCTAAGAGAGGCTATTATATTTAAGTCTTTACTTATAATTATAAGATGAGATTGCTCTTGTGAACAGTATAAACTAAAGCTGCTATAAGAGAATATACATTACGAAAATTTTATTAGAATGACTGTTAAATTTTATGAAATAAATATGAAATTAAATTCAAAATGGGACAAAATATTCAAACCTGCGTAGATTGCAGCAAACTCCCAGTAATACTTGATGGTCCAGGAGAAGAAATTTCTACACATGAAGGACAGGCTAATCTATCCCAAAGTATCCGAGTTGATTTTTCTCAAGAAAATAAAAGCAAGCCATCATCACAAAACCCAGAAATCACATTTTTAGATATTTTAAAAGGGACTAAAATAGGCCAAATAAGGCAAACCACCACAACAGATACATGTCAAACAGAGAAAAAATCATTTGAATGCAAAAAGAGCAAATATCGCTCTAAGGCCAATAAAGAAAACCGATCTTCAATAGATCAAAGCAGAATTGATGCAATAAAAAGGGCGAAATACACAAAAGATGTAACCCCAATTTTAAGAAGTCCAGGATTTATAGAGCTTAATCTTACAAATGTCCTAGATATTGAAGAATTGCGAAGTGAGCTGAACTCAAGTATAACAGTTCAGACGTCTTCGAATTTCCAATCAAATCCCCAAAGTCCAAGCTTTTTTGGAGTTTTAGACTTAGACTCTACAAACTCTTATCTCAAAGGAATTTCCAGCAACATTTCCAAAGAATCAGTCAACCTTGTTGAAAGAATTCGCAGCAAAACTATCAGTCAATAAATTATTTTGTAATAAATTAGTCAACTATTATACCAAATATTTAAGGCGGCCCCTCTGCGAAATGGTGGTCTTCATCTTTTTTCTCTTCTTCAGCAGGCTGGTTTTGATTAGCTCCTGGCTTTGCAGCTTCATCGTCCAGATCTTTGGTTCTTTTAAATTTAAGCTTTCTGTACTCGTGCCTGTTAGGCATCACATAAAGCATCAAAAAATCGACGATTCTTGGTGTAATCGTCGTCAAAGTAACAGCTGAGCTTAAGTTTAGAATAATCGAGTTTAGTGTCAATGCATAAGCTTTTCCTGTACTTAAAAGCACGAATTTAATGCCTGTACTATTTCAGTGGTCTCGATATTTAACTCCTTCTTCTTCATAGTAGATGTAGCGACTATAATAAAACCCAATAGCTTCTCCTCCAGTGACATTATCCACCCTTTCTGCTGTTACATCTGGGTCACAACTGGGACTCCATGTCGCATCACACTCCCAATGTAACTTTACCTTAATCACAGCTCCAGTATCCTTAATATCTTCATATTTGGTATCAGCTTTTTCAAGAATGTCACTGACAAGATAAGAATTAGACCCACTGTTTGGATATACAATGGGATCTGTTTCATCAAATGTAGAAAATTCATATCCCGGAGCAAGTCTTATAAAATCCACATTTCCTTGAAACCAAATTAAAAAATTTTCAACCCCATCAAGCTCATAATCTGTATAGTTATATTCAGAACACCATGTCGGCTCATAACAAAAGCCTTCTGAAGTGCAGTTTCCTGTTTCCATGCAGTCTGAGTTGGAGTCGCATTGTCTATTGTAATCAGTGCAAGTTCCTATTACTTCTCTTATTCTCTCTCTGACCTTCGTGGAAATAACAATTTGAGACGGGTCATATTGAGGATAAGCAATGTCAACAGAGTCTCAAACCCTGACTGTGCTGTTTGTAAGGGTTACTGCAGTTCCTGAAGCATAGATGATAGCTTGGCCAGTTGAGTATTCGTTGTCTATGTAAGCTGCCATGATGACGATAACGTAGACTATGAAGTAAAGAAGGATTCCAAGGTTGATAAGGATTTTTATAAGTCCTAAATATCGATCTTTAATGAGTGCCATGACTGGTGTCTCATAGCAAAATAGCTTATCGAGATCAGCTTGAAAAATATCTCGAAGCTGAAGTTTGAGAACCATTTTTATAGCTGTTATATAGTAAAATGACTTGCAATTAATTTAAAATAGTAAATCTTGCTTCCTTTAGCCAGATAATCACTCTTTTCACGTTAAAGAGCTAAGAAATTATTAAATTTACTCGATAGTACGCTTTTTAAAAACTTAAATCGTTATTTAAGTCCAAACCTCAATTAGCAATCAAGGTCAGTTAATTAGTTACAGTAGTTTGTATGTACTTCGGAATGTAAGCCAGAATTACAGTGATATCGTCAACTACTCCTCTCTCATGCGCGCTCCACCTCTCCCAAGCGAGTTGGGCAAGCTTTTCAGGAGCAGTTTTAATATTCCTTGAATTGGCATCAATAATGTCTATTGCTTCTTGGTTTCCCACAAACTCTCAAACTCCATCACTACAAACTAATAAAAACTCGTCTTCTTCATCTAATTGATACTCTGACAATTCAGGCTCACATGACACTCCTATAGACTGAGAAACTGCATCACCTATAGCTCGGCTCATGCCAAGTCCTGGGTATTCTTTTCCTTTTAGATAGACTCTAAAAGGATGGTCTCTTGACTGCTTTTTAACCTCTCCTCCACACTTTTCAATTCTTTCCTTTTCGGTTAAGTTTTCTGGCTTGTGATCCGCTGTCAGCTCAATAGGAGTCAGTGTGGGTCCTTTTCTCCTCGCAATGATCGCTCTGGAATCTCCAACATGGGCGATATAAAGTTTATTGTCTCTGTAGTGAATTAAAGTAGCAGTTGTTCCTGAGTATTCACAGTCAAATTTGGTATCCTGGAGGTTGCAGGTGTTAATCAAAGACTGGTTACATTGTGTGAAAGACTCCTTCATCACTTGCTCCGGGTTTGCTTTCCAATTCGCATTAGAGAGCATAATAATAGGTAGTAGGGTGTGCACATAATTTGATATATCATGTCCATAAAATCCATGCCCATCAAATACGCCCAAAATAAAAGAAGGGCCATCTATGACTATACAGTAATCATCTTGGTTGGGACTTTCTGGCTTAAGACCCTTCTTGCATGTAACTGATATCCCAAGATGCAGTAAAAAATCTGTATGAGTTTTGTTCCCAACAATCCTTGATCACTTCTCATCAAAACTTTCCTGGCGTTTCGTGGGCTCATTTTTGCTTTCCACGACATATCGTTCGTTTACCAAAAATAAGCTTCCTTGCTCAGGCTTTCCTTCAGTTGGTGGTCTGCTTTGACCTGAATGCAATTTAGCTAAAACCTCTAAATTGCCTTCAATTGAAGTGCGGGAGCTATTTGGAGCTGAGAGGATTGAAAGCCTTTGACGGCCTACGTTAGGGTTTGAGTTGGGCGGGGGGATAAGACCTGGAGCGATTTGTAATTCTTTTCGTGATTGCTTGTTGTAGCATGATCCCATTTAATATATTCAGGCTTTTTTTAATGCTATCAAAAATTGGAAGAAAGATTTTATCGTCAGAAGCTTATGAAAAAATCTGTAGGGAATTTTATATTTTATTTGCTCTACAATAAGGTGATTTGCTTTTTAATAGAAATAGGGCTTTTGAGGTCGATGGCAGCAATTTGGAATATTATGGCCACACATCTTATAAAAATGTTTCAATTTTCATACATAAATTGAGAATTTTTGTAGACTAAGAGACATTAAGTGATGATTGTGATGAATTATAGCGCCTTTCTTAAGATGGCGCGCAATGCGCCATCACCGGGCAATGTCGGGAGAGGGTTCTCCACGAGGAATGGCTCCACGTGTGGAACCCTCTTTTTGGCTCGTGGGAAAAAAGAGGGTTCCACACGTGGAATCATTCCTCGTGGAGAACCCTCTCCCGACATGGCCTGGTGATGGCGCATTGCGCGCCATCTTAAGAAAGGCGCTATAACTATATGGATATTATGGAAATAATTTTAAAGATTAATATTTTGTTAAATAACTCACAATAAAGTTATATCTTACATTGCCATGGCATTTTAATTAGTTAACTCCCTTCTCCATTTAAATTGGAACAAAAAATTCTGTTCCAGATTAAATTGGGGTTAATTGTTTTTTAAAAGCATATTAAAATAATACAATTTCATAATTTTTAAGAACTAAATCATCTTAATTTAATGCAACATTTTTGATTTTAATTGATTTATTATTAAGGACTCATTAAGAAATTATTAATCGATACAGTGGGCAAACATTTATATAGCATTCTACTAGAATTAGCTTCATTAAATTAGATTAAAACTATTTATATAAAATAAACTTTTTCACTAATAAAATTCAATTGAAAATTAAATTTAATAGGTTCCCAAAAATGGAAATTTTACCAATATTTTTTTCCAATTTAAGAGGCTAGGGGGTAAGGTAAATTTAAGTATTTTAGTTATTTAAGAATTGGCTGAGCTAATTGTTTGAGAAGATATTGAGTTTTAGTTTAAATAAAAAAAATGGATAAATTGATAATAAAAGATAATTAAAAGAATGGGAAAATATAAGGATTATAAAAAGGCTTATTTAAGTTGATTCTCTTAAATTCATTATCACTTTCATAATTACAAAAATATTTACCCGGAAAAGTATAGCCTTCATAAATTTGGGCTATAATAAGGCAATATTTTTAATTTATAAATCTTCGAATAAAAGCAGTCTCATTAACGAATAAGAGAAGTTAAAAATAGAAAGCCCGATATATTTGAATAAAAAAGTTTAAATCTTATTTTTTTGCAATAAATAATAAAGGATTTTCTCCAATCAAAAATAAAATAGCACATGCTAGCTTTAAGCCAATTATTTTTTTTAATTATTTAAATAAATAATATCACTAATCCGCTCACTCCCCCTCTCCGTGAGCGATCAAAACCATTAGAAAAATCCCTATTTTTGCCCAAAAACCCACTCTCCGTGAGCGAACAAATTTTTTTTTATGGGAAAAAATTTTGATATAACGATGACCCCCCTTCAATCTTCATGTCTATTGCAACAAAAATTTTTCGAAAAAATCTTCAACACAACATTTTTATAAAAAAAAATTAATACATTTTTCTGTAGGACCTAACTTCTCAAAAAACAATAAAACAGCGCTACTGTAAGCGTTTCATGACCTTCTCATCGAGATTTGGATGGCTATTGTCATCGCTCGCCATTTTATTAAACTTTCTAGCTAAAAAGTACGGGGAAAAATTAAGATGCACATCGAAAATTTATTATAAGAGACATGAAAAAATTTTTTTTTTTATATAAAATTTTATATTAAAAAATTGAATTTTTGTGCAATAGACACGAAGATTGAGGGGGGGGTCATCGCTATAAGTGATAACTAGTACCATGAAATCTCGAGCTAATTCTGTTTAAATTTTAAACAAATTGCGCTTTAAAACATAAATTTTACAAATAAAATTAATATTTGCCTTCCTATTTTCGAGAAGTGGGATTTTTTTATATTCCGAAAAAAAATTTTTTCTTAAAAAAAAACCCTTCGTGAGCGAACAAGATTTTTTTGTTCGCTCACGGAGGGGAGAGTCAGGAAATTAAATATTTACCTAATTACAAGCTATTTTGTTAAAATCATAGAAAGCAATAATAAAAAAATCTGCAAATAAGTTAAAATCTTTTTCTTAATTCTTAAAGACATCTAAATCAAAGATTAACTGTAGTTTATAAATAGAGAATCATTCAGGGTCTAGATCTTTAAATATACCCTTCTTCAAACCCAAAATCAAAATATAATTCTTTTACAAATAAAATGGCTGAGTGGTGCACTATAGAGTCAGATCCAGGCGTCTTTACAGAGCTTATCAAGCAAATCGGAGTAAAAGGGGCTGAAGTTGAAGAAATTTACTCAATTGATAATCTCGAAGACTGCAAACCCGTATACGGGCTAATTTTCCTTTTTAAATGAATGTCCGGGCCCCAAAAGGAATGCATGGAATTTTATGACCCTGACTTATTCTTCGCGAACCAAGTAATTACAAATGCATGTGCAACCCAAGCAATTTTATCCATCCTCCTCAACTCCAAACTTGACATAGGCCCAGAGCTCAGAAACCTCAGAGAATTCGCAATGCCACTAGACTCACAAACAAAAGGACTGACGATAGGAAACTCAGAAGTTATAAGGAACGCCCACAATAGTTTTGCCAGGCAAGAGCCCTTCGAATTGGTCAAGGTAAAAGCAACAGAAGACGACGACGTTTTCCATTTTGTAAGCTACATCCCCTTTAATGGGCATATTTATGAGCTCGATGGCTTACAGCCAGGACCTATTCACCATGGTGAATGCAATGAAGAAGACTGGCTCGAAAAAATAAAGCCAGTCCTTTTCGAAAGAATCCAAAAATACTCACTCCCCCCCCCCCCCCCTCCGTGAGCGAACAAAACCATTAGAAAAAATCGCCATTTTTTGACCAAAAACCCACCCTCCGTGAGTGAACAAAAATTTTTTTAATAGAAAAAAATTTTAATGGAAAAAAATTTTGATATATAAGTGATAATTAGTATAATGAAATCTAGAGCTAATTCTGTTTAATTTTAAACAAATTGCGTTTTTAAAAAACATAAATTTTGCAAATTAAATTAATATTTGCTTCCCCAATTTTTGCAAATTAGGATTTTTTTAAATTTCGAAAAAAATATTTTTTATAAAATTTATATATAAATTTTTTTTTAAAAAAAAAAATTAACCCCCCTCCGTGAGCGAACAAAATTTTTTTGTTCGCTCACGGAGGGGGGGGGGGAGTCAGAAAACGAAATCAGGTTTACTTTGCTTGCAATCGTAAACAACAAAAAAGAAATCGCAGAGGCTGCATTAAGAGAGCAGCAGTCCCACATTTCAGCGATCCAAAGCAAGCTGATGTCATTAGGTGTAGAAATCGATAGCAGCTATATGGAAATCGAGTTCGATGAAGACTATTTCAATAACTTGCCTGATGACATAAACCAGCTGCAGTCAGAACTGTATGCGAAGCAAGAAGCCGCCAAACAGCAGCAGAATATCGTGGAAAATGAGAGCTTTAAGAATAAGAAGTGGAAGGAGGAAAATGTAAGAAGAAGACATAATTACATACCGTTTATTCTTGCATTGCTGCAGAAGTTGGCTGATAAAAATCAGCTGATTCCTCTGTTGGAGCAGGCGAAAAAGAAAAAGAAAAGAGATAACCCTGAACAGCAAGAGGCATTAAATAAGTAATGATTAATCTAAATTTCCCCCTACTCTATTACCAGAATATTGAACACTGAGGTTTTGAGTGACTCTAGCGTAGAACTCTGGATAAGTTATATGTGGCACTGTAGCGTCTTCAACTAATTTTGAAAAGAAACTAAATGATTTTTACCTTTGCTCTCTAGCATCGCCATTCATAAATATTGATAACCCTTGGAAAACTCCGCAAGACCATTTGCATGATCTGATAAACTCGAGCAGCTCAGGGTCTGCAATATCTTGGCTTGTGTACAGAAAATGAGAAGCCTCTTCGATTCTTCCTAGAATTTGTTGGATCAGACTAGGAGGTGCTTCTCTCCCATATATAAAAACTTACCTATCCATATGAACATCTCAATTCCTGTGTCCAATAAATAAGCTCCTCTTCCTTCCAAATAGCTAAAACTGAGATTCAGAGGAGTGAAATCATATCCCATATGAAGAGGATACAGCCTTGGATAACTAATGATGGAAGTGGCTGTAGCACTTCAAACATCTAATTTGTACCTTAAAAAATTGTAGATGTCCAAGTTGATGTTGTCTATAATAATGCTTACATTGCATATGCTGAGGTAGTTTAATTAATTAGCTGATATTTTATTATAAAAGTTTAAAACCACTCGCTGAAACTCAACTTATGTAAGAATACTTTCAAAAGTAAATAATGGAGTCTTGATCATCCCAAGCATACTGACAATAAATATATCTAGAGATTTCGGAATTTCTCCAAAAAGGTTCAGCCCTGTCGTCACTATTTCTCTGCACCTATGCTCCATAATTCTTTTACCCAGCTCAATTTTATTTGTTTGTGAAACCTGGTCTACAGCTTGTTTTGAAATCAAGTTAATCATTGCACTTGCGTCAATTGCATTATACAGATCTTTCATATCATTAGAAGCTGGCACAAGAAGATTATGAATTCTGATTTTTCTTTCTCCATTAGACGAGGTATAAAGAATTCCCATTTGAATATATAGCTTTTTACTTGACGCAATGTTGTTCTCAAGCTGTATCACATAAGTCATAGTCTGTGAGTCATTTAATGCAGGAATAGACAGCACATCTCCGCTTCTCAAAGAAAAATGCCCATAGCATTGTGTTACTTTATAATCCCTGCTGATCCTAAGTTTCATGGCGCCTTCCCAAAACGTTTCTCGATTCACACTTGCTCATATTTCGTTTTGGAGCTTTTCTTCTCCTTGCTTTTTGGTAAAGTGGGAGTAATAATATACTTCTCCGCCTGTGAATTTTGAAATAGTCCCTAAGGTAAAGAGATTACAATATTGGGCTGCAGATATAAAGGTATCAACACTGATGCAAGCATGATTAAATTCGTTAGCCATTACTTTGTAAATCTCAGGAGTTGAGCTTAAAATCATTTCTCTGGGATGTCCAGCTTCAAGATGTGTGTCGCTTTGAAAAAGAAGAACCTTTCCACCTTGATCTTTTAATAGCAAATATGCAGCCTTAAGAGCGTTTCTATATGCAATAGATTGAGGAGCTACTGGAAGTGACTGAAGCTGAGTCAATGCAATCGCTGCATTTTTGCCACAATCTTCTAAGTTTACCATAAACTGTTGTTTTGGCACTGGCAGTTCGATTTCTGTATATTCTTCACTCACAGTGAAAATAGTCGGATTGCCAGAAAGAGATACAAAATGCACAGATGTGTCGAATCCAATTATCCCAATCTCAGTCCTAGGCATCCCAGGGAACTCCTCATTTGCTATCAAAGACTGTATTGTTTCACAGACAACTTCCAAAAATCCAGTTTCCTTGCTTCTCTGAGAGATATCGATAACAAATAAATATGCACAAGCCATAGGCGCTTTTGCAATATAAGCTTCCGGAGCAATCGCTTCATATGAACAATTATTAAGCTCTGGTCGTTTACTTAAATCTGATCTTTTGCCATTTTCATCTAAAGGAGCGAAATATCAAGCTGGCACTTTATTTATCCCAGTACAATAATTGCATCTTCAATGCTGCCCGCCACCTAGAAATTCTACATAAGGGTTGATGTAACTTTTACAATGTCCACATCGGATTACTTCTTCATCGCTAAATGCCACTTCTGGAAGGGGTTCTTCATTTTCAAGAAAAGGCTGGACTATGACTCCGAACGACAGCAGACAATCCCTTTCTAGCATTTTTGATATTGGAAAACACCTAGTCGTTGGTATAAGATAAGGCTCAGAGCTTCTACCTATAGAGTTTTCCATTATTAAATAAACTATTTTTTAAGCATGTCTGGTCAAGCATAGGACCCACCCCACCCCACCCACCCCACACACCCCCACACACCCCACACACCCCACACACCCCACACACCCCACACACCCCACACACCCCACACACCCCACACACCCCACACATCCCACACACCCCCACACACCCCACACACCCCACACACCCCACACCCCCACACATCCCACACACACCCCACACACCCCACACACCCCACACACCCCACACACCCCACACACCCCACACAACCCACACAACCCACACAACCCACACAACCCACACAACCCACACGTCCCACACACCCCACACAACCCACACACCCCACACATACACCATAAAATAAATTTAATATTTTAGAGAGAATTAGTAAGTGGCTTTTAATTGGGCCTTTATTTTTCAGAGTCTTTAAATTTTAACACATTGATGCATATAAAGTAAATTCTATAACTTTCAATTTTTTTGATATTTGGTATTTCTTACAAAATTAAAAGATAGCTTTGCCACAATTCTCGTATTTTAAATATAATTTTCTATATAGAATATTTAATAATTATAAATAATTTATAAAGAAAATAATATAATCTTCATAAATAATTTATAAAAATAAAATGTCTAAAAGAAAAATTCAAAACCAGGGGGCTGATGAAAACTCAAAAAGGATAAAGCCTAATGAAGATGAGAATCTTTCAAATTATTCTGACTCATCTGAAGAAATGCCAGAGTACGAGGAAGAACCAAGCAATTTCCAAATTGATGAGGCTGGTGAAAAACCAATTCTTGAGATAGTTCCTATTCGAGGAGATGGAAATTGTCTGTACAGATCTTTAGCCCAAATTCTAACAGGAGATCAAAGCAATCATTCCTCCATAAGACAATTGATTGCAGATCATATCGAAAGAAACTCAGACAGGTACAACGAAGCCCTTCAAGATATACTAGACTCAGACCATAGACAGACAATTAACCAATATATCCAAAATATAAGAGAACCAAGCTATTGAGGAGGAGACCTTGAAATTTCTGCGGCTTCTGAGCTTTTTGATTTAAATATTGCAATTCACTCTGAAATGCTTCGAGATCCCTTTATCATATCAACAGGCGAAAATACTAACCAAACTATTCACCTACTTTACACTAATGGCAATCATTTTGATGCCCTAATAGAAAGCAATTTTAATAGAAGCCCACTCAGCATTTCAAAAATTTCTCATTCTTTAATGGAACCTCAAAAGCTTAAAGAAATAAGCTTTCAAGCATCAAAACTTATGACTGATACTATAAAAAGGGAAAAGGAAAATGGATTATTTCCTCAATGCTATCAAGAGGGTTGCTCTTATGAAGATGTTTACAATTATCTTTTAAGTGGTCGAAAAATCTATCCTCCCAGTTTTAATCTCATAGAAAACTTAAAACAAAGAAGAGATAAAAAGAAAAAATTTTAAACAAAGGGTCAAGCACTACAGTCTGATTTTCGAAGGATCAAATTTATATTCAAGCTCACGATTATTATGAAATACTAAATATAAAGTAGTGCCATTTAAAATGGAAATTCTAAACTGCTAAAACTCGCTCATATACATAATGGGATACACATACCCTCAAGGCAAATGGCTGATTGACTGTCAGATAAAGATATTTATTGACCACAAGTGCATAATGATTGCAGGATTTATTATGAAAACTGCCTTGATTGCGGGCTAATTTTTTAAAAAACAAATTCAAGGAACAATAAAAAATATCATACCTTCAAGTAGACCACTTGAAAGAATTCAAATGGATTTGTTCGAACTTACTGATGAAATTAAAGATTACACAAACTATAGATACGTCCTATCAATAATTGACCACTTTTCAAAATATACCTGAGCATATCCTATTGCATCAAAAACTGCAGAACTAGTTTTGAATAATGTAGAGCATCTTCTTAATAGTTTGCCTAAACTCCCTGATATTATTCAGACAGATAATGGATCTGAATTTGCGAATAAGTCTCTGGAAACCTTTTGTGAAAGATTTCAAATAAGAGTAATACATAGCTCATCTTATAATCCACGAGCTCAAGGCACAGCAGAAAATATTAATAAATACTTACACAGATATCTCTGAAGAAATTTTAAACAGCAAAACAGCCAACAAGACTGAAAAATCCATTCAAGTTTATTCAGCATATTGAACTTTTATAATAAAGAAAGAAGGCATACAATCACTGGGTTTAAACCTCATGAAGTTTTTTTCGCAACAGATCAATCCTTATTCGTTAGAGTTAAAGAAAATGTCGAAAATAAAAAAAGCAAAAGTACGAAGCTACACAAAAACTTTTCTCTCGAGGAGATAAAATTGTATTCCACAATCGAGTTCAAAATATAAAAAATTGATTAAAGATTGAAAAATCTGCAATTTTCTCAAATTGAAGGCTTATTTGGTCAAATCCTGCAACTGTTATTGAAATAAAGTGTGGCTACCTAAAAATTCAATGCGATTTGAAAGCTTCAGACTCAATTACCCAAGGATCAGTTTGGTATATATCGACTAGAGATATCAGAAAAATACAAATTGATCAGTGGAATAAATTGCTAAGCAAGAGCTCGAAAAATAAAAAATAATAAAAATGATAATTTTTTTTTGTTAACTTATAATAATTTTAATTAATTTAAAGCTATGAGATACTCTGATATTTCAGTTGGATGGCATTTCTATTGTTGAATTGCATAATTCATGCCTACATTGATTCTACCATCGGAATATTGGTGTTTCCTTGAAACAACCCTAAAAGCAGGTGAATTACCCTGTGATTTCAAATTTGGTTTACCAAAGTAATTATTTTGTTTGGAGCAAATTGTAATTTTTGCGGTAATTCCGCTTATGGAGATATTCAAGGGAAATGGCCATAATAGATTAAATTATGAGATATTTTCTTATTTAGCTTTGGCGTCAAATAATGAATAAATTACCGCTAAGCTTGATTTAGTGCAGAGGCTAGGATAAGTAGCGAAATCTTGATCGTGTGTGCTGCATGCCAGTTGCAAGCTTTGGAGAAGCCAACTGTCATTCATTAAAACGTAGTGTTTGCGGATTTAGATTGATAATCTAAGATTAAATTGAATATCCCATTGATAAAGAAGTTGGTATTGAATATGATTTTGATGGAGAAGATTATTCTGATACGAAGACGCTTTTGCTGAAAAGGTAAAGCATTTGGTAAATTGATGATTGCAGTTTTAGTTTTCTTGAATGGATTGTCTGTTCTTAAAGATTTTTATTTATGCAGAATTTACTGAAGTTGATTTTAATTGTAGAAGGAGAGGTTTAGCAATACTGAAGTAAATTTTCAATATAAGTTATAAGCTATTAATTTAACTATTATAATCTAATGTCTTATTTAGAAAAATATTTGTTAGCATATTATTTCCCATTTGAATTTTATTAAAAAGAAATTTCGATATAATTTATACACTTTTATACATGACTTGATAGTCGATATTTGACCTTTAGGCTAAAATGTGTAAATTCATCAAATGATTACGATTTTGAAGAATTTTGTTAAAGATTTTAGTCATATTTGCTTGCTAAAGTTTAAAATTAACATCTAAGGCACCAAAGCTAAAATAGCTCCTAACTCCCCCCCCTCCGTGAGTGAACAAAAAAATTTTGTTCACTCACGGAGGGGGGTTAATTTTTTTTCGAAATTTAAAAAAATCCTAATTCGCAAAAATTGGAACGCAAATATTCATTTAATTTATAAAATTTATGTTTTAAATAGCAATTCGTTTAAAATTGAACAGAATTAGCTCTAAATTTCATTATTTTAATTATCATTTATATATCAAAATTTTTTTCCATAAAAAATTTTTCTATTAAAACAATTTTTGTTCACTCACGGAGGGTGGGTTTTTTGGGCAAAAAATAGGGATTTTTTCTAATGGTTTTTGTTCACTTACGGAGGGGGGGGGAGTAAGAGGTATCTTTAAAGAACTGGAGAGCTACATTGCTTTTTAAATAATATATATTACTTTCAAGCAAATGTATGTAGGATGCAATGCCGTGAATGGGTGGGGTGGGGTGGGTCCTATGCTTGACCACATGTCAACCCTCGCAAAAATTTCCTCGTCTTGTTTTTTCAGCTTTTCTTGGAATTCTGCCTGGAAATTCTTCATTTCTTGGGCAATTTTGTACCCAACTTGATCAGTGATCTCTTCGCATTCTTCTTCAATGGTTTTTGTTTCTTCTTTCGCTAATTCTACATCCTCATGAGCTTTTATATAAGGACTTAAAAAAGCAAGGGAGTGAGGATCGATTTCTTTGCCTTCTTCTAGATTGAGAACTATAGGGAATCTTCCATTGAATTCAGTTTTGCTTGTAAGCATCATGTCTGTTTGGTTGCTATATGCAAATTCATAAAGACTATAATGCCGTAGGAAAGAGTCGTGGTAAAAATCGATGATTGATTTTATTTCATGCTGAGAAAATACTTCAATACTGTATGGAGGTCTCTGAATGGAATGCTGAGAAAGAATTTGCTTAAGATGGCACAATAAAACTGCTTCAGTGCTGCGGAGATTTAAAAATTCATTGAGCAGGGAATCAAAAATTCCAAGAAGACAGGAAGTTTTTTCTAATGAGTAGCTGTGAGAAGTGCAAAATCTTAAGCTGTTGAGATAGAAATCAATTAAAATTTCGTTTTTTTCATCTGTTGAATTCAGTTTGAAAAAATGTTTTATTATTCCTCGGAGCTTGATTATGTCTGAAGTGTTGGTTAAGTCTTCAGTTTGAGTTTTAGAGACTACTTTAAATACAAAAAAAGGAGTTTCAGACATATTTTATAATTATTAATTTTCGCTCGCGGACTCATCTTTTGGCCGCTTTTTTTCTTGCTCTCTTTTTGATTTGTTTTTCAGCAGCCTTTCTGTTAGTTTTTTCCTTTTCTCTGCCATTTTTGCTTCTTCTTGCCGCCTTTTTTCTTCTTCTTGCTTAGCCATTGTTTCTTTTTTGCTTACTCCATCCCCTTTAAAGTGGAGCAAAGCAACGATAATATCGGAAAATTTTTGTATTTTTATAAAAATAGATTTGACCTAATTAATTAAAAAGTTCAAATAGATATTATTTAGACATTTTTCACTCAAATCGATTAATTTTTCATAAAAAACATTTTATTCAAAGAATTGCGCGAAAACAATAATTTTTATAAATTAGTTTTGGCCTTATTTAATAGAAAAAGTGCAAGTAGAAATCTATTTGAACGGTTTTCACACTAATTTGATTAAGTTTGTTAATTTTTCTCCTCAAAAAAAATGAATTAAATTAAAAGTATTGTGCTCAGTTTATATTTTTTTTAAATATTTAAAAATTTTTATAGAGAAAATTTAATCCGCCTTTAAATTGGAGCAGGATCTTTGCTCCAATTTAAGGGGGGAAGTTAATCTCCACCTCATTTAGTGCCCAAAAGCTTTTTTTTCGCTCAAGGAGGGAGGCTTTTTTTTTTAATTTTAATTTGATATAATCCCAATTTGCAAAAATTGGAATCAAAATTAATTAAATTTGTAAATATATGTTTTAAAATGCAAGCTGTTTAAAATCAAAGGTATTAACTAGAGAGTTCATATATTAATTGCCACTTATACATCAAAATATAATTTATTATATTAAATAAACTTTAGATGGTGTTTTTTACAATATTTTTATTTGCTAAGAGGTGGAGCTAACTGCTCCTTAAGATTATTTTCTAGCTTTTCTTTTTCTTTTTTAAGGAACCTTTCTCTCTGCTTTCGCTTTTTTTCTTCTTCTTGCTCTTTAAGCTTGTTCTCTTCTTCTTCCTTCTTTTTGTTTTCTTCTTCCTTTTTAATTTTCCACTGTTTTATTTCTTCCATCCTTTTTTCTGATAAAATAGCTTCTCTTTTCTTTTTTGACATAATCTCCTCTTCTTGTTTTTTCTTAGTTTCTTCCTCTTTCCTCTGCTGGCTTACCTCATTTCTTTTTTTCTTTCATTCATTTATCTCAACTTCCCTCCTGCTTTTTTCCAACTCTCTTTTTGCCCTTTGTTTTTGCCTTCTTAAAGCTTTTTGCTCTTCTTCTTGCTTTTTCTTTTCTTCTTCCTCCTTTTGTTTTTTCTCTTTTTCCTCTTTTGCTTTTACTACTCCCCCCCCATCCTTGATCGAACGATCCGCCATCGTTCGATCAAGGATGGGGGTTAAAAAAAAATTTTTTGGGGAAAAAATTTTATATATATAAAATAAAAAAATATATATATTAAACTAAATTTTTTTTTTTAAAAATTTTAAAGGATCTCTATTTTATTAGATTATTGAGTTTTTAAGCCTAGGCTGATGACTAAATCACTTCGAATGGTTGATTTCGAAGCTTTCTGTCGTCTAAAGTCTCTAAAAAAACTTAATTATGTACATCTTCCCAAACTTTTGATAACTAATATATTTTTATGTATATAAAAATTTGCATGATATGAAAAATCGTTCGATCAAGGATGGGGGTTAATTTCCCCAATTTTTAGGAATTTTTACAGTCAATCGTTCGATCAAGGATGGGGGGGGAGTTAGCAGCTTTTCTTCAATTATTTGTTTTCTCAGGCGTCTTTTGCGTTCCCTCTCCTTAGATTCCATTTCTTTTTGCTGTATTGCCACTTCTTTTTGTATCATTGCTGTGTTTTTAATTTTCGGTTTTTCATTTCTGCTTACAAGCTGAAATGCGCCAAGATCAGTTGTATAAATCAAGTCATCAAGGAGTTTGGCACATTCATTAATTATATCATTCGGATACCTGCCTGATAGCCTTGCAACTTCATATTTTATTCCTGGAGTAAGTATTAATTCAAAAGGCAGAGCAGGAGCTTGGTAGGCTGCTTTAAATGATGACATCCCCATATATGACAGATTTGCTTTCGAGCTTGTTATCATACTTGTGTTATCTTCTACAGGATAGAGCTGAGGCCTAGCTAGCACCCCTTTTGCTCTTACAACTGTTTTATATTTTATTTGAGGCTCTAAAATGTGTGTTCCAAACAGCCCACTTATTAAATCGTCCATCAATCCCAATACAACATTTTTGCTTTCAGGCAGCTGCAATGCTTCAGGGACTTCATAAACAATCTCGACATCTTTTTCAGTGACTCTTTTGTAGCCATCAGGGAGTGGAGTATTTGGGTCTTTTTGCAGAAGAACATTGAGTCTTTTAATAACGTCTCTATCTCCTACACCTGGGTCTGGCTCATCATAAAATCTAGTTGAAACGCCTTTATCTGAGCTTGACCGTCTAAAGTGGTCAAAAAGGGTTTTTTACCGATACTTAACTTGACTTAATTATTTGGTGTTTAAGGTGTCTAGTGCCGCAGCCCTAAAAAGGGCTTTTAGCTAAACTAGTGCCGTCACGGAGCCATCTTGGAATCGCGGTGGCTAGCCCATTCGACCAAGCCTTCTATCGACGCTTCGTCCGGCGCGTTGCCGTCGCTCTGCCCTGACTCAGCTCCTGCGCGTGTTCCGCCTAAGGGTCATCCCCCCGTGGGGATGTGCTGAGAGGTAAAACTCTGAGCCTCTTGAGTGCACTGAGGAGCTGTTCCTTTGGTTATCCCCAAAGTTAAACAGCTATTGCTGTGCAGAAGTTCTCGAGAGAAAACCCAACCCCATAAATAAAATTCCATGAGGAGAGAAAATTAGAAGAGCTAATTTCTCTTGAACCGAATGCCATTTTATTTATGGTTTTCACCGATACAACTGGAGCGTAATGGCTTAGATCTTTAGGAGGTCTTGAATAAATAAAAAGTGCAGCTTGGACGATGAGTTCTTGATACTCATTAAAATCTACCTTAATTTCGCTTTTTCTTTGTCTGTTGTGGCAATAAGTTTTCATCAGAAGCCCAAATTCATCTAAGCTCATCATTGAAGAAGTGACTCCTTGCTCTTTCAGAAGCTTATAAAATTCCCCTTCGTATAGACTGACACTTTTTTCAGCAGCAGTATCAAAGGTTTCTTTTCCAACCTTTTTTTTGGTATAGCCAGTGCTTGAGTATTTTCTGAACAGCAGCTTAAGCACCCTTGCATACCTTTTTAGGATGATATTGATATTTTCTTGTTCATCTAGTGTCAGTTCTCTTAAAACATTATTGTTTTCTTCAATTTTTGACACTTCTGTAATTACTTCAGCTTCTTGGGGAACTTTGCTTGCCACGCCTAGCTCAATTCTTCTTTTCTCAACTTGCCGTTTGAGGGCTCTTTTTCTTTTAGCTAATTTAAGCTTTTCTTTTTCTTCTTGGACTCTTCTTTCTACTTCTTTTTCAATTCTCAGCTGTCTGACTTTTTCAATGTCGTACATAACTCTTCCTCTAGGCTGAATAGAGTTTTCTGAAGTGAATGAAGAGTTTGACCTGTACCTCTGCATCGGCTTTTCTTTATTTCTTTTCCTTCTTGGCTCCACTGGCTTCTCTGCCACTTCTTGTTCTGCAGCTTGGACAGCAACTTTTGCTTGCTCTTCTTCTGCTTTTTGCTTTTCTTGGAAATCGAAATTATCTACTAAAGCATCTGGCTCTCCTAGTAATCTTAAAACTGCCAGTATCCCCTTGCTATTTTCTCCAGTCTGTGTTTTGATTTCTTTATTTGTTTCGAGCATTTCTTGCTTGATTCTGTCATTTAGGCTATCATTTCTCAATTTTATTACCCTTTGTATCATATCAAGCATTGCATTTTTCTGTTGAATTGATTTAAGATCCTTATCAACGACTTCATCGCTCTCTTTTGATTCTTCTTTTTCTTCCTCCTTTTTCTCTTTTGGCTTCTGCTTACTCCCCCCCCCCCTCCGTGAGCGAACAAAACCATTAGAAAAATCGCCATTTTTTGACCAAAAACCCACCCTCCGTGAGTGAACAAAAATTTTTTTAATAGAAAAAATTTTAATGGAAAAAAATTTTGATATATAAGTGATAATTAGTATAATGAAATCTAGAGCTAATTCTGTTTAATTTTAAACAAATTGCGTTTTAAAAACATAAATTTTGCAAATTAAATTAATATTTGCTTTCCCAATTTTTGCAAATTAGGATTTTTTTTAAATTTCGAAAAAAATATTTTTTTATAAAATTTATATATAAATTTTTTTTAAAAAAAAAAATTAACCCCCTCCGTGAGCGAACAAAATTTTTTTTGTTCGCTCACGGAGGGGGGGGGGGGAGTTAGGCTTTTTCTTGGCTACTCTTGAGACAAGCTTCATTCCAAATTTGGTGAACCTAAACAAGTATTCTTGCACAGGGGTGTTATCTATGAATCTAGAAGCAGCAAGCATGAAAGGTATGGCTGCAGATTTTGAAAAAAGTGGCTCATTAATATAAATTTTACCTAAAATGTCCATAACTTGGATAGCATGTTTGACAGTCAATCTTGGATGCTTAGCAATAGTGATGAGAAAGTCAAAATCCACAGTATTGAACGAAAGATCAGGAGACACTTGAAGCTGCTTAACTAAAGGTTCAACCACAATTCCAACAGGAATACTTTGAATATTTACAAAGGTTGAAATAAAGTTGGCCAATATAAATTCTCTCACAAGCGGATCATCATAATTTTCGACCAATGAGAATGTTAGTGTTTTATATATGATAGGAGCATATGGATTTCGCTCAGCAGTAAATGCATCTAATAAATGGAAAAGCTTCCCTAAACACCCAAACTTAAGGATTCTGTACTTATCACGAGCGCCACGCTTGATAGAAGTAAGAATTGAGCTTGCAAATTCTTCATGGAGCTCAATAGTAGTGGGGAGATAAATTCATATATCACACACAAAATTCAAGGCTGCAAGTCTGACATCTGGGGGCCTGCGGTTGTCGGCATCTGCTTCTCTTAACCCAAATTCCATTCAAAAGTCAACGATACCAGCGGTTACAATTTCTTGTTTAGCTGCTCTGATCTCACAAAGAGAAGGCAGAAACTCATTCATTGTGGTCAAATAGTGAATACTTTCAGGAATCTGACTTCTTAACTGTAAAGAAAAAAGCTCCAAAAAGTGGTTTCTTGCAAATTGCACAAAAACTGATACCACTTGAGATTTTATGTCAGGCCCATATCTTTTGCAAGCCAATAAGCAGCCTTCTATTCCTCCACCATCAGATACAAACCAGTCTCAAGCAGCAGGCAGCATATCATATTCTAAAAAATCAGAGCCTAACTTACATCCCCATTTAAGAGCGAGAAAGAATTATTGGAATTTTTATTTAAAAAATTAACCCTTCTTTAATAGCTAGAAAAAAAAATTTACTTAAATATTTTAACAATTGCTATAAGAAGATCCCTAGCTTAAAAATTTAAAAATAAATATGATTTCCATCTCATATGAGCAGAAAAATTTTGCTTTTTCTTACTCCCCCCCCCTTTAAATTGGAATTAAAAATTTTTGTTCCAATTTAAAGGGGGGTTAAGAAAATTTTTTTTAAAAAAAATCAATATAAAATTTTTTATAAAACAAATTCAAAAATTTATCGAATTAGATTAATAAATTTGTTTAATAAAATGCTATTAACTCTTTATCCTTTTAAATCAAAGCAAGATATAATTAAATTTTTATTATTAATTAATACGCAACTATTAATTGGTATCAAAACTATTTTTACACAAAAATTATTATTTTTTATTGATAAAAAAAATTTTAGAAAATTTATGGATCAAAGTGCTAATTTTGTTTAAATGAGATGCCATTTATACTCTATTCTTTAAAATAAAGCAAGAAATAAGTGAATTTTCAATTTTTGTAAAGAATTAGCATTGAATTTATATCAAAATAATTTAAATAAAAAATATCAAAAAAAATAAAATTTTTTTTTTGAATTTTTTAAAAACAAAAAATTAAATTTTTCAAAAATTTAGCAATTAAGGCTAATAAATTTATTTAAATAAGAGATGCTCTTTATACTCTATTCTATAAACAAGAGCAAGATATAACTAAATTTTTAATTTTAGTTAAGAAGAAACATTTAACTTATATCAAATCTTTCTACATAAAACTTATGATTTTTATATATAATTTTTTTTATTATAAAATTAAATTTTTTTCCAATTTAAAGGGGGGTTAATTTACCAAAAAAGTGGAAATTTTACCTATGTTTTGTTCCAATTTAAAAGGGGGGGGGAATTAGAAGAGTGTTAGCAAATAGCCTACAGCACCATAAAGCAGTTTCAATATGTTTAGAAATGAAGCCTGATTTGAGCGAGGATAGAATCAAGTTAATCGAGCCATTTGCTTCTTCTTGGGCTATTAATTTTACTAAATGTCTAATATTAGCATAAATTGACTGATACCATGTGACTATTGGGTTATGCTTCCCTCTAAGTCCTTTAGCTATCACATGAGCTAAATATTTTCCTCCTTGTGTAAGTAAACCTGCTGCCTGCTTCGGTTTAAGTTGAAAATGTTTACAGAAAGAAGTCAATAAAAATTCCAAACAAGTTTCACTTTTATCTAAAGCTCTTTCTGCGTCTATAGATTCAATAAAAAGGGCTCCATCAGGCCCTGCCCGAGCTTTTTTCGGCTTTGGAGCTTTGCTTTCAGCTCTGCTATTTTTAATATCAGGCAATTTTTCATCTCTTTTCATAGATTGACTGTTTTTGGTTGAAGATCTTACACTGCTCCTGATAATTTTTTCGCTTTTTTTTGAGTCAAAGCTATTTTTTAAGCTTTCTCGCTTAAATTTTGCGCTTTCGTTTATCTTGACCTCATCAATCTCATGGATTGACTGGTCCAATATCAATTCATCTACTTTTTTTTCTTCATTTTGCTTATCTCCTCCTGCAGATCCCATCCTAGGAGCGTCAATTTCCTCAAAAATCTGTGCCTTTGCCTTGTTTTCAGCGTCATAAATTTGTTGTAATACCTCGACGACCATGTCTCTGTCCCCAGCTACTATAAGAGCCCTAGTATCTGGATCAACAGTTACTTTCAGCATTTCCAAAGCTTGACATAAAACTTTCCAATTGTAGAGTTTAGTGGATGCGTTTGTCACTTGCTTCAACGAGTTTATTTCAGGCATCGGCGTTGTGAGTCGCTCCAATTTATTTTGAATTTGGTTGAGACGCTTTATGAGGGAAGTGAAATTTAGGCCATTTTCTAATGCTCGGGAGGTTTCTTGGTCCAACATGAATTTTCCACTCTCTGTTTGTGAGTGATTGTCTGCTAATAACACATTCGCTTCTTTAAGTCAAAAATAGAGTTCGTCGCTTATTTCCATTATTAAATTTTGATTTACAATATATGATGGTGTTGCAAGAAAGCAAATTAGAGTTAAGATGGAAAGATGCTAAACTTATAGTTTTTGGATTATTTATGTGACTGAGCTTGCAAAGCCATTATGCAAAGAGTGTTCAGTTTCATTTTTATGTTTTTTATTAATGCAAGTATGATTATCAAAGCTATATGAATTGCATTAGATACATTTGACATATCGTTAGTTGCTTAAATTAAACATTGCAACCTGCATGTGGAATCTTTTCCGCGTGTGAAAAGATGATTCCAAATGTGAAATCAAAAGGGCTTCACATGTGGAATCACGTGGAAAAATTTCACATGCAGGTTGCAAAGTTCCAAAATAAGCAACTAACGATATTATTTTTTGGATTTTTTTATTTAACAGTTTTTAAATTTTATTAACTTTCTCATTTTAGAAATAGTAGAATATTTACGAAACCTTTCTTTTCTTCATTACTCTTTATTTCCTAAAAATAAGCATTTCATCTTAAGATACAATAATAAAAGATGGCAAAGCGTCCTAGAGCCACACAAGACAGCAAACCTGAAGGAGAGCCCAAATTTTTGAAAAATGACAAGGAATACAAAATGCTCAATGATTTGCAGAATAAAGGGACACTTTATGACAAAATTTCAGCAATAATCAGGAAGATCGAAATCACTTACAGGCCAGATAAATTTTGCGATTTTAATTCGATCGGAATCTTGCTTGACATGGCTAAAAAGAAAAGCAGGCATCACAGTGAAGCTGCGGTTGATGGTCTAAAAGAACTTTTCATAGAAAAATTGAGAAAGCCAAGGAAACCTGTAGAAAATGAAGAAAGTGAGAAAGAAAATGGAAAGGGAAAACAGAAAAAGAAAGAGGAAGGAAAGGGCAAAGACGTTGTGCAAGAAAAAATAATTGAGAAATACAGAGAATTTGTTGAAATTTTGAAACAAAGCAGTACGGTGGAGCACTATAGCCCAGCAGCGATTTTTGATCGCCCTGGGCTAGGAGATGGCTTAGAAAATCCCCAATTCGGTTTTTCAACTCAAATTGGCAAACGCATCTTATACGGAGCATTTGCCAACTCCCCAATCTGGTTTGTCAACTTGAGTTGAAAACCCAACTCGAGGAGTTTCTGAGTCTTCTTCTAACCCAGGGCGATCAAAAATAGCTCTTAGGCTATACCATAAGCATATGATAAGAACTATGAGTGAGTTGGTGATTATGAAAGAAGAGCTGAGAGATAGACTTATTGAAGAAATCATAAATAAGCTTGGCGATCCAAATAATGCCATTCCTACCTGTGTAGTTCTCGAGTGCAACAATATAGTAAGAAGAAGGAGATTCTTACTTGTTCCAGTTCTAAAGGCAATTTCTCACTTCGTATTTAGGAAAAATCAAAGTGCAAATGCAAAATTTTATTACATTTTTACTCAACAGAGACATATTTTCTTTTATTAAAATTCATAGTCCATATTTAATGAAATATGCATACTCCATTGTTCTGATCAACTCAATTAAGCTAAAGCCAGGGGAGCAAGAAGCAGTGAAAATAATCATCCAAACCTTATTAAAATTATTTACTACTCTTGTAAAAGAAGCAAGGCAGCAAGGAAGCAAAGCCATTGCATTGCTGCTGAAGACATTGAATAAAACCTTCCCCTTGCACAGTGCTAAAGGCGCAGTCTATCAAGATTTCTTCAAAGCTGAAATTGATGAGCTTTATAGCTTGACCCACCATCAAGAGAACATCAATATCCAAATTGAGTCCTTAAGGTTTGTTTTTCAGATGGAGCTTACTCAAGGCGCTATTTCAGACAGATATTATCGTGCTCTTTATGAGCATATTTTACCACATCCAAGGCTTCGCTCAATCAACTACAAATCTTTGACTCTTCTATTTAACACAATAATGATGAGTCTAAAAGAAGATTTCAACCTTACAAGGGTCAAAGCCTTTTTAAAGAGACTAATGCAGTGCTGCTTGATTGCTGATTCTCCATTTATTTTGGGAACACTTTTACTAGTATATGAAGTCATGAAGATTCATCCTGGAACTTACACAATGGTACAAGAAGCTATTGTGCAGGATGAGGAAGAAAAATATGAAGATGCCCCTGATTCTGATGCAGAAGAAGAAAAAGTGGAAGAAGAGGAGAAAGCAGAAGAAGAAAACAATGAAAAGCCTTCACTGTCAGGCTATGACCCTATAAAAAGAGAGCCAAAGTACTCTGGTGCTGAATATGCAAACTTTTTCGAGTTAAAGCAGCTTACCAAAAACCTCCACCCAACAATTTCAAAATGGGCCCAAAAAATTTTAAATAATGAGCCTATAGAATACGAAGGCGACCCACTCCTAGATTTTTCATTAATCAATTTCCTTGACCGCTTCGCCTACAGAAACCCCAAAACCAGCATAATTAGCAAGCTGCAAGGAAAGAAGGTCAGAATGAGTTTAGTTGAAGAAACAGTCAACTCCAAAAATTTCAAGCTAAAAGGTGAAAACGAAGTGAGAGAAGAAGAAAAATTCTTCCATAAATATTTCAACATGAAAAAAGATGAGCCTGAGGAAGAAGAAGAAGACATGGACGAAGACATGATCGGAGAAAATGATTCTGATGTTATGGACTTTGGAGATCTAGATATGGGTGGCGAAGGAGATTTTGGAGAAGAAGAAATCGAAGATGCAAGCAAAGGAAGAAAGAAGATGAAGAGAAGTGTTTTCGCTGACGCCGACGAGTATAACGAAAGATAAATTTTACACAAAATAGTCATAACTAACTCTTATATATTAAATTTTGAGGTAGAGCAAATTCAAAATACTCTGGATGCCTGACTGGTTTTAGATTGACACTTTGGAGCTGATTTTTGTTGATTTTAAGCTTGTATTGTCCATCATCTTTTAAATCAGCCCTTACCACTTCAGTAGTGATCCACTCTCTTGCGATGTCAAACTCGAAAACAAATTGTGAAATCTTGATCTGATCAGTCTCGTTTTTTCGCTGCAAAATCTGCTCTTTTAACGAATTCTTGAATTGCTTATAAGTCCTGTTGTCGCCTCTAAATTTGGTTTTCAAGGCAATCACTGTTCGCCTATATAGCGCAAGAGTTGGATTAAGGCCGACTATTGCCATTTATAATACATTCTAATTAAAATATTGCTTATATAAGGCCACTCTTATTTTCATAGCTGTCAGCAAAAGTTGTGACTTTGCTGATATTGTTGCTCAAGTTTAAGCTGTCTTCTCCTTTATACCGCTTGCTCTTGCTGAAACTGCACTTCTTTTCTGAGTATTGCTCCTTACTCCCCCCCTCTGTGAGTGAACAAAAAAAATTTTGTTCACTCACGGAGGGGGTTAATTTTTTTGTTTTTAAAAAAATTTATATATAAATTTTATAAAAAATATTTTTTTTTTCGAAATTTTAAAAAAATCCTAATTCACAAAAATTGGAAAGCAAATATTAATTTAATTTATAAAATTTATATTTTAAAAAGCAATTCGTTTAAAATTAAACAGAATTAGCTCTAGATTCATTATACTAATTATCATTTATATATCAAAATTTTTTTCAATAAAAAATTTTGTTCACTCACGGAGGTGGGTTTTTGGGCAAAAAATAGCGATTTTTCTAATGGTTTTGTTCACTCACGGAGGGGGGGGGAGTTAAGAGAGTTTTTCTCCATTTGAATCAGCTGTTTAAAAGCGCTTTTGCCATGCGGGTCAATTTGTTTATGCTTGCTCAATAAAATCGAATAAGTTCCTGACAGTCGACTGCTTTCTTCTACCTCTACACTGATATTAAGCGATTCTTTTTCAATCCCACTGATATTTTCAATATCAACAGAATCTAGCTCAGTTTTGTTCTCCTTGGAATTCTGGCTTTCATTGATGATTGGAGGTTTTATTGGATCTCTCTTAGAGTTATTTAATAAACTCTTGGCACTGAACTTGCTACTTTTTGTCAAGTGAAAAGGCCTCGTTTCAGTTATGTTGACTGCCTTTCTTGATTCTTGAGAAGTCAACCCAAAGCTTTCCTTTGGGGAATAATTGAACTTCTCAGTTGATGCAGAACTTGGAAACTTTCGGTGGATTGTGGATTTTTCAACAATTTGCTCAAGTTCTTTTAATAAATTCAATGAAGAGTCTTCAGGGAGGCTTACGTTGGAAATTTCTGGGAGATTCCCAGTATCTTCTAATTCAAAATTTAAGCCCAGCTTGAAAGATTTTTCTGGGTTGATGCTGAGCTCTTCGTCGATGTCAACAATGGATTCTACATCCATTTCTTGACTTGTGTCTCCAGTCAGGCGCTTAAGCTTAACCATAAAATAAAATTAAACGGCTAAGTCTTATAATTTGATCCCTTCACACACTTTTAACTACTGGACCTTGCTTGCCAGTAGTAGCTCTGCTCCTGAGCCCCATCAACAGCAATCTTCTCCAGAACCTGGAGCTTGAGCCGTGTCCCTGAGCTTCGACGGGCTAGGAAGATACCTCTGTGCTGAACCTTTTGAGGGTGCTATGGAGTCAAAAATTAGCCTGATACTTCCTTTCGGCCACCTTGAAGAAGGGTGACAACAGAAAAAAAAGAACTAGAGCCTTTCGAAGCCGGCAGAGAAAGAATCTGCGGCTCAAAAGTCATCCGGACAATCAATACTTGGACTGGAATGACCATCAGCTGGCTCCCAAGATCATCCACCCCATACGGTGGCCATAAAGCAAGCTTAGTGTTAGAATCAAAGGACCTGAACCCTTGGTTTGTCTATAAAGCCATTTTGGCGCCCAAAGTGGGGCGTCGTTGGCAAGGGCATATTTTGTCACCACCACCATATTAATCGTTGCTTAACCATAAGGGTATTTGCTTTCTTCTGGGTCATTTCGAAAAGGCGCTCCTGGCTTTCGAAATCTTCCAGCATCATCGATTGGGCTTGAGAAGTCTATCACTGGGTCAGTTTGGACAGCTGCGTTAGTTTGAAGCAGCTTTCGGCCGCAGGTTTGGCATATGCATACATGAGGAAGTAACTTTAGCATATTAATTTATTTAAATTACATCTATTTGAATATTAAAATTTGACCGATTAATAATAAAAAATATATAGATACCACTATTTACCCTTTAAAATGAAGCATTAAATAAGCTTTCTAATTCTGGTTTAATTTATTTTAAGGATTATGCTCAAGTCTTATTTAGTTTAATTTAATAGTATTGATTCAAAATGGCTACAGGGCGTTTTGGTAAAAAGTTTCGGATCATATCAGCAATTGAGAAAGAGGACATTAGACTTCTTCTTCTTTTAATGCAAAAGCAAAATCATAGGCCAGAAGCTCCAATCGATAAGCTAGGAAGCAATATTTTTCATTTAGCTTGCTATCTTGGTAAAATGACGATGATAAACTATATTTATGATAACTTCCATCTAGATATTAATTTGCATAATGAAGACGGAGAGGCGCCAATCCATATGGCAGTAAGTGGAGGGCATATAAACGTAGTAAAATGACTGTGGGAAAAAGGAGCCGATGTTCATGTTCCAACTTTATATTATCACAAAACTCCATATGACTATTGCTGCAACATGATAAAAACCAAAAAATTTCCAGATATAGGAGGAAACCCTCGACAGTGCTTGGCAAAAATAGTTGAGATTAAAAATTATTTACTAGAAAAATATTTTACTGATAAAAGAGGGGAAGAAAGAAGGAAATTCATCTGGGCTCAACAGAAACTAAAAGAAAAAGGCAAGCCTTTTGGAAGACTGACTAAAGGAATGGCGAGAGAGATTGCTGAATTTCTTTAATTTTAATCCTTAATATCGTATTATAAAATAGAGTATTTGAATCAATTTATTAAATTCTGATTTTTTGGATTAGTCATATTGAGATTATGCCAAATATTACATTGATTGTATATCTATTTACAAAAAATATACTCACTCTCCCCCCCCTCCGTGATTGAACAAAACCATTAGAAAAATCGCTATTTTTTGCCCAAAAATCCACCCTCCGTGAGTGAACAAAAATTTTTTTAATACAAAAATTTTTTATTGAAAAAAATTTTGATATATAAATGATAATTAGTATAATGAATCTAGAGCTAATTCTGTTTAATTTTTAAACGAATTGCTTTTTAAAATATAAATTTTATAAATTAAATTAATATTTGCTTTCCAATTTTTTGTGAATTAGGATTTTTTTAAATTTCGAAAATTTTTTGTTCACTCACGGAGAGGGGGGGAGTTCTAAAAAAAGCATTGCTTATGTTTAAAATTTGTAAATAAATCATGTTATAAATTAAAATTTGCTAATTATTTAATTAAGAGGATTTCGAAACACTGAGCATTGCTTGAGTTCTTCTAATAGTTTTTTATATTTCTTATCAGGAAGTGATCTTCTGCAATTCACACAAAACCAATCTCCTTCAGGAATTTTAGCCAAATAGCCACAGCTTGTATGGCATCCAGAATTGCATTTGTCACAAAGAAGCATGTTTTCTTCCTGATCCCTTTTCCCACAAATTTCACAAGCAATCGCACTAATCTCTTGCTGAGAAATTTCTTCCTCATTTTCGCGGGAATCAGTCTCAGCCTCACTCACTTGTTTTTCTTCGATTTTTATATTATTTTCACATAAATTCTCATTGATAGTGGATGATTTGATAAGTCTCCTTCTTTTTTAGGCCATCAGGATTAACCCCAAGTATAGAATTTTTCCCATAGATGGAGCTGTTTGCCCTTGATTTGCTCACTAGGAAAATCTTTTGGTTTGACCAAACCATATGGTACTGGTCGAACCAAAAAATTTTCCCAGTGGGCAAACAGCGCCATCTATGGGAAATTCTATATGCTTTTTCCTACTTCCTTTTTACCGTCAAAAAAAACGTAAGGCTTTTTTTTTTTTAGGACAAAAACCTATGATTTTCAAAAAAGTGTAACATAAAAAGCCTATTCCTCAATTTTTACAGGAAAAAACATTTTTGAAAAGTATTTTTATCGGGATCTAATTATTAACTGGAGATTTAGCCTTAAAGATCTAATATATAAAGACTTGCTACAATCTTAATTCTAAATCCTAAAGATGCAAGCCAAATGAAGAAAGAAATTGATTGTATCTTCACCAATACACTTTTTTGAAAATCAAATATTTTATCCAAAAATCGTGAAAAATCCTGATAAAATTGGAAACATCATATATCAGCTATAATTAGTAATATCTAAATTCTCCCCTCTGTGATAGAAAAAACCTATGGAAAAATCCCTATTTTTTGAGCGAACAAAAATTTTTTATAAAAAAAAAAATTTGATATATAAATTATAATAAGTATTATAAAATCTCTAGCTAATTTTGTTTAATTTTAAATTAAAACATAAATTTAGCAAATTAAATAAATATTGCCTTCCAATTTTTGCGAATAGGATTATTTTAAATTTTTTGAAAAAAAAAATTTACAATAAAATTAATGTATGTCATGGAGTAAGAGATTAATAATTCAAGATTTAGACTTCTCTAATAAATATACTTGGATTGAATAACTGATAGATCTCTAACTCATAATGAATGCAATTTCTTTCTTTATTTTGCTTGCATCTTTAGGGTTTAGAAGTAAGATTATAGCTAGTCTTTATATATAGATCTTTAAGGTTAATTCTCCAGCTAAAATAATTAGATCCCGATAAATTCTTTCAAAAAAGTGTTTTTTTATCCTGTAAAAATAAAGGAAAAAAACACAGGAGGTTTTTTCCTGAAAAAAAAAAAACTCCGTAATTTTTGACGGTAAAAGGGAGCAGGAAAAATCTACCTTTTGTTTTCCTGATGAGCCCCTTCTTTTTTTGGTTTTGGTTCTTTTGCTTTAATTTTGCACCTTTTTTGATGTGCATTCTTAATTTTGTGGTATTTTCTTTCTGAGAGTATCAAGCCGAATTCATAAACGTCCAGAATGAAGGGTTTGATGCTTTGATTTAGGAATTCATCATATTCTGATTTATCACAGATAGTTACAATAAGTCCATTTTCATCTTTGTACTTAAAGGCTGGCTCTTCTACTCCAAAAAGGCTTTTTGATTTTTCTATAACGTTATTATAGTCATTTGGGGCTTCGCCAATATTTCTTAATTCATCACCAAGTTTTAAGTATAGCTTCTTCATCTTATAGGTTACTCTCGGTTTCCCACTATTTAAAATAATAGAAATCTCCATTTAAGCAAAGCCTAAATACTAATTATCAGTGATTAGTAAGATCTAAGTATTAAACAATACAAATATGTTTATAATTATATCGCAGCAGAAAGAAGGCAATATTTTAATTAATTGTCTATATCAAACACAAATAATAAAACTTTATAGCACTTAGACTTTTATTTTTATTACACTTCGCATGAAAACTTCATTTGGTGTGTAGAAATTTGATACTTTAGAGAAAAGCGCGAAATATAATTGGCACGATTTAAGGAACTATAAAATAAATAGAACTCACTTATATAATTTAAATGGCAAAAGTCCTTTTATCTTGAATATTATGAAGTGCAGGATTTTTCTACCTTGTCTATTTCATATACTACAAGATGCCTTATAAGAAAGTCGGTCTTTCTGGCTCAGTATCTATTATTTAGGATATAATTGCATCTATTCACGACGAAAATGAGCCTGAAGATTATATTAGTCCAAATTGCACTAATAGCTTTTGTTCATGGAATTATTTCTATTCAAATCAAAACTTCTCATTAACACACACAAACTTTTCCCGCCTTGTAGAGTCAGCTGACGAACATTTAAAAACCCTCCTTGAGCCAAATGACCCACCTTTAAGATGCTTGCCAGAAAAATTTGGTTATACAAGAACTACTGCAAAAGAGCTGTTTCCAGATGTGGATTGGCCGACATGTGCAAAGAAAATAGGTGAAGAGAAGCAAATTATTTATATTGACCCTATTGAAAATACTCTCTCAATGAATTGCTCAAATGGAAAAGGCTGGTATTCATTCAATTAAATTAAAAGCTTAAACTGATCATAAGCGGGTTAGCCCACTAACCTTTCCTATTCTCAGCTCCAAGAAAAGTAGTCTCAATAGGTATCGGAGTTCAAATGATTTAGATTAGATTAAGTTTGAGCGAGGCATAAAGACTCAATTATTTCAGAGAGTTCCCCAGTCGAGAATTAGTTTCAAGTTTGTGATCATTAATTCCTAACCCTACTTATTATTCTTCAACCCCAACCACTAAAAATGATGGCTTAAGGCTATCTAATAAAGCATTTATCGGTCGGAGTTTTGGTCTTTGCTGGGGCGCTCAAGTTCCTCTGTAGCTGGGATAGGACATCAGATGATTGGATGGTCCTTATTCTTCCCCCGCACTCCTAACTAAAGTCCTTGCGCAGCCCTTCACCTGGAGAAGTGTGGCAAGGCATCACATCTTCTGGTGGGAGTTGTTGGGATAAAAACGTGTTCGCTAGCATTGAAACACACCAAAAAACACTCCAAATATCTAAGCTCAATGGATCTCATCTTCCATGGACCTGATTCAGCCGACAGGACAACGTACCCATCCAAAAAGCCATTTAATTAAGTATGAGATCAAATGAAGAAAGTTGAAGGCTTCCATTTTGGGTTTCCAACCTAAATCACCTGTCCAAGTGATCAACTCCCTAGGGCAGAGCCACAGCCTGGGGTGCACCCCGTTGTTCTTACAAGAAGCCACTATTTTGGTAGGCAAAACCTACCTAGCTGGCCTGGTAGGAAGTCGAAAACTTTGCGTGAGAAATAAACTTTCCCTCTTTGACAATGCATCCCTAAGCCTGAAGACCTACTTCAAAAAGGGAGCAACCCTGCTTCAGCATCATCAGGAATTGCGTCTTCCGTGACGTCACCATTTTACTACTAATGGTAATCATTAGGAATTAATCCCCATGAAGAAATGACTGGGTTCCAGGTCTACCTTGAAGATCTAAATGAGTATAAAGGAGCACCAATCACACTTAAACATGGAGAAGAGTGGGCATTTGGAACTTGCACAGAAAAAAAAAAGACCTTATTCGAAGGTGCTACTTATTCATTAAGACGAAACCAAACTGCAATTGAGAGAACTCAACAAAAAATGAAGGAAATGCAGCACAAAGCAAAAGTTGCACACAACTCAACTGAAACTAAGCCATTAACTGTTATTATTCTAATCATAGATTCTTTATCAAGAAGGCATTTCTATAGAAAATTGCCTAAAACGATAGAGTATCTGAACAGTATTGACTCTTCGAAGTTCATAATTAAAATATGGCGTCTTCGTCTGGGTATGGCCTCCCGGCCATACAGCCTCGACACATATTTTAATTATATCCGGCAAGGTTTTACCATTTCAGAGAAGGACAGCAATGCTAGGTAAGCAATTCTGGTTGTGTGCAGAGCCTAGCCCAAGTCCAATCTCAGAGGTGGATTTTTCCTCGTGGGGAAGGAAGGTACGGAGTTGGAAAGGGGAAGCTCAGCAGAGTCCTCAGGACCAATCGGGCAACTCCCTAGCGTGAAACTGGGCGTTACGTCCCAGGCTACGTATTTTTCCTTTTTGCCGACAGCGGACCAGAAAATCAAATTTTTTGGGTTTTCGGAAAAGCAACCCATGTCACAAGCAAGTAGCTCATTCATGAGCCGTCGAAGCCGGAACACTTGTCCGGAGGCGCACCCTGGTGTATCGAAGCAGGCTGACCGAGTGGTCTGTGGGCCCGATGCGGCGAAGGCGAGCGGCAGGTCTGGGATAACCTACCCCGTAGTGGACGTAAAGCGTTATAAATCTTAATGTAATGACTCTTCGAAGTTCAGCCTTTTTGACTTCAAAATCCACAATGTGATGGGTGACAACTCGCTCCCCAATACCTATCCAGTCTGGACAGGTAAAACTCTGCTTCCTCAAACTTCTGAGGAGAGGCATGAAAACATGGTGAAGAAAGCTGATTTGATAGGAGCTGAGTCAATCTGGCACTATCTTATAGAAAGAGTAAACTATATCTAGGGATGAATCACACTGTTTGACATTGAGTTTTGTAATAACTACATGGCATACAAAACGGGCAGAAGAATAGACACTGACCATATGACAGGGGTGTTCTGGTGTGCCGCTGAACGACTGTCTGGATACCTGTAAGCTTTATTTAGGGACATTACTGAAACTCAGCGTTGCATCGGAAATCAGAACTCTCACTTCTATAGTCTAAACAACACAATTCAGTTTGTCAACAGCTATGAAGGCTTAAATAAGTGGGCTCATGTCACCACGGAAGCTGGACATGAGCATACTGGCTCAGTCATTTCATCCCTGGACGATGATTTAGTTTGGTTTCTGAAAAAAATTCTCCAAACCAAAGATGAGTTGGTCTTATTTATGATGGGAGATCACGGTATGAGATATGGCGATTGGTATAAGCTGCTAGAGGGGTCAATTGAACACAAATTGCCAATGCTTATCACCCTTGCCTCTAATTCTTTGTTAGATGATATCCCTAATAGCTATGACTCTCTTTATCACAATTCTAACAGATTGATGTCTAAGCTTGACCTTCACAGGACGCTGAAGCATCTTGCCCACGTGCCTTATTACAGAGGCTATACAAAAGAGTCTCCAGAGTATTTTGAATGGGATGCTGAAACTAATAAATCCTTAAGCTTACTTCTTGATAAAATACCGAATGATAGAAGCTGCCAAGACATCAACATCGAACCTTTCTATTGCTCCTGTTTGGTTTTCACAAAAATAGATGAGAGCTTATACGCAGGCAAAACTTCACTTACTCCCCCCTCCGTGAGTGAAAAAAAATTTTGTTCACTCACGGAGGAGGGTTAATTTTTTTTTTTAAAAAATATTTATATATAAATTTTATAAAAAATATTTTTTTTCGAAATTAAAAAAAACCTAATTTGCAAAAATTGGAAAGCAAATATTAATTTAATTTATAATATTTATGTTTAAAAAGCAATTAGTTTAAATTAACAGAATTAGCTCTAGATTTCATTATACTAATTATCATTTAGAATCAAAATCTTTTTCCATAAACAATTTTTGTATTAAAAAAGATTTTTATTCACTCACGGAGGATGGGTTTTTGGGCAAAAAATAGCGATTTTTCTAATGGTTTTGTTCACTCACGGAGGGGGGAGTTAGAAGTAAAGAAATGAATATTAAGAAGCTTATAAGAGAAATAGCTGAATACTTCATATATTTAATTAATGAAGAAACCGTCACTCCATACAAATCCCCTGGGTTCCACATATGCCAAGAAGTTACATTAAAAGCGGTTGACTCAGTTGAATGGCTTAAGCTTGCTCCAAATAAGCATTTCTATAAGTTAGCCATCACTGTTAATGAGCATCCTTTAGCAAGATTTGAAAGTGTTGCCTTGGTGACTTCTCAATATGAAGAAGAATTAAACACACGAGAAGGGTACCACTTAACGAAAACATATCTCAATGGAAAGAAAAATATAAAGCCAATCTATATCAGAAGACAAGATATGTATGGAGGATTGTGCGAGCAAATGTGCAACCTTAGGCAGATTCTTGCACCTTTATGTATATGCCATAAGTTGGGAACAATTGAATGGAATGAGCCAAACATGGTTGAGGAAATAAAAAGCAGATATATGTTTTATATGGGGGATATTGGAGAAAGCTGCACAGAAAAGTGCAATAAAGAAGGACTGATATGTGATACAATTGGAATAAATGTGATGAACAGCTGCAATGATATGAAAAAGGTTTCCAATTGCAAAACTTGTGTGGATGGGGATGAGAAAATGTTTCCAGGAGAAAATAATGGGGTCTGCTATTTGCAAAAATCAACTAACTACCCCTCTGTGAGTGAACAAAATTTTTTTAATAGAAAAATTTTTATGGAAAAAGAATTTGATATATAAGTGATAATTAGTATAATGAAATTTCGAGCTAATTCTGTTTAATTTTAAACAAATTGCGTTTTAAAACATAAATTTTACAATTGAATTAATATTTGCCTTCCAATTTTTATAGAAGTGGGATTTTTTTTTAATTTCGAAAAAAAAAATTCTTTAAAATTTATATTAACTCTCTCCATGAGCGAACAAAATTTTTTTGTTCGCTCACGGAGGAAGGAGTAAGTATTTCTGTGACGAAAAATTGGAAAATATTAGGCGAGGATGTGCTTGCAAGGGTAATTCGTAATTATATTAAATTAGGTAATTTCTATGAGTTCTTCTATAAAATCTTATCAATTATAGACTTTCAAATACAAGTTATATTATTAGCTCATCAAAGAATAGTAGCTCTAAATGATTAAATAATTTAAATTCAAAAATTATCTATACTAAATAAAATGTGTGATAATATTTTATCATAAAGCAGAATATTCAATTAATCGAGCAATGAAATTATCTTTTTGCTTATTTTTTTTAAAGCTTGCAAATGATAATTTTATCTATTATTTGAACTCTGTCGTTATTCAAGTCCATAATAGTCTGATCTGAGAATAATAATTTTCAAAACATTTTGCTGACAAATTTTCTGGATTCCAATTATTCTTGCGCTATCTATCTATCTTAATTATATAATTTAAAAAAGCCTAAGGGTCATTTAAATAAAAGCTACGGCCTATTATTTTAATTTAGCTTCGCCTCTTCTGCCCCTTCTTGAGATTCAGGTTGTTTTTGGGCTGGTTTCTTGCATTCCTTAATTTTTTCCCAGCCTTGTCTTAGAAGGACAACATTTGACTTCCAATGCTTTAATCCTAGCTGCTCAGGAGTGTAGCCTCTAGACAAATTCCTTACCACATAATCATCATAGTCCTTGATAATTCTCAACACCAAGTCACTCGTAGAAACACCATCAGTTCTGTCCGTGGCCAAAAATCTCCCCGCTTGCTTCACTTCATAATAGCAGTCACCAGTTTCATCGGAACCTTGCGTGTAAGGTATCGCATCATGACAAATATATCGAATATTGTGCTTATCTAAAAATTCTACAGTGGTGACCCATGGACTTGGACAAATGACTTCGTCTGCCCATTTACAGTGCTTAACCGTCTCTGATCTTTCATATTCATTCATAATTACTTTCCCTTTGTATTTAATAGTGTCCTCATCTCCTGTAACACCAACTACAAGATAGACGTAAGGGAATTTCTTCTTGCACTGTTCTAGCATTCTTGCATGCCCAAAATGAAATAAATCGAAAACCCCATCACAATATAGACGGATTGGGTGCTCTGGATCATATCCAAGTCTTGGTTCGTCTGCCATTTTATTTTCAACAAATTTAATAAATCATTTTGGCTTCGTTTCATATAGAGGATATCATTCACAAGTAAATGCAAAATGGCTCTTCTTTAGCCTTCGCTTATTTTATTAATTTTTCCAAGTTACTCAAATTGGCAAAAAGATCTATACATCAATCATTTCATGTATAATTTTAAAAAACTTAGTCTATTATAATAAATTATGTCAAATTAAGCTGATGCTTTTATATCGGTTAGATTCTAGTGCCAACTCTATTTTTCTTAAATGAATCTGTTTAAATTTATTACTTCTGTTTTTTGCATTAATAGATATTTTATTGAAATTAAGTCTTTTCAATGTGGGAGAAATGCGGATTGAAATATATACCTACTTATTGAAATAAAAAATGAAAGAATATAAATTTCCAAGTTCTCTTTCTTAGCTATTAAAAGTAAGTTTATAATATAGTACAATCAAAGCCTCCAAATTCAGTTAATCCTTTATTTCACTTCTAGTATCTTAATCTTAAATTACATTAATGAGGCGACTGCCGTGTTGTTTACGCAGACACCAAGGACCTCAATGTGAGGTTCACCTGCTTTGCGCCGTGTGCCCAACAAGCCATAAAGACTTGCAAAGGGAAACACGTCTACTCCTTCCCGCAGCGTGCTGCGGCTTAAGTCTTGAGTGAGCGGGCTATGCAATCCTGCGGCTGCTGCTTGAGTTACGAGAGTTGGCTTTCCGAAATTCCAAAAAATGGAATTTCTGGTCACCTTTCGGCAAAAAGGGAAATTCTAAGTCCTGGGACGTAACGCCCAGTTTCACGCTAGGTAGTTGCCTGAATGGTCTAGGCATTGCCTGTAGACTCTGCTGGGCTTACCCTTTCCAAACTTAGACACCCTTTTCTCTCGGGGAGAAAATCCATTCTAGTCGTTGGGCATGGGCCAGGCTCTGCTCTGCAGAATTGCTTACTGTGGCATTGTTGCCCATTTCTGGAATGGCAAAACCTTGCCGGATATAATTAAAATATGAGTCGAGTATGTATGGCTGTGAGGCCATACCCAGACGAAGACGCCATATTTTAATTATCCACTTCTAGTATCATCATCTCGGATTGAGCTACCAATTAACGAAGCTTCTGGAATTTTTGATGAATCAATCCTTATAGAGTTTCCTAGAAGTGACATATCGAATATTGGCTGTCGTACAGTATCCTCTATGTTTTCTTCGTCAGACTCAGTTATCTGATAAATAACTGAAAACCTTCTCTTGCTTTTAATATCTTCTTTTCTCGTTTTATCAAATAAATGTGGTGATTCACCAGTTTCCATCGAATTTTCAATATAATAATTTTCTACTTTCCTCATAAGAGATTCATGACCTTTATATCGACTAAACGCTGTGTCTCTATCATTAAAGCACCCAGCAAATACCTGCCTTGCTTTATGGCCCCTTTTATCAAGCTGATTTTCAGGATGAAAAGGGATTTTCCTCCCTCTGATCTTTCTCCCTTCAAGCCAAATATTTCTTGTGTGTTCTTGATCTAAGTTAAAAATCAGGTTTTTGCATCTTGCTGCAACATGTCCCATCATTTTACACAAATAGCAGGAAATATGAATATATGTATAGTCCATAGTCAAGCATTTTTTGGCTATCATCATTAGCGATTTATCATCTTCTGGATTGGTGCAGAGAATGTCGTAAAATCGATAAAAAGTCATCGAAAATACTTCAGTAAAGCGTGTCGACTTCACAGCAGCACAGCGCGGTGCTCCTATTAGAAACCCAATCTCTCCGAAGTACTCATCAGCTTCTAAATTTGTATAACAAACTTTGGAAGTTGGATGGTAGACTTCCACTTCGCCTGACATAATAAAGTAGAGAGTCCTGCTAGTTTCGCCTTCTTCAAATATCTGATCTTCTGCAGCATATGCCTGATACGTTAGAAGCCTTGGCAAATGGATCACTAATTCTCTTGAAAAAAGACCACTCGTAAATAATATACACGATTTTATCACATGCCCGTGGAGATGCTGATAAATTTCGTCCTTAAGAGGGCCACTAAAAATGTCTAATATATTTTGTTCGTCATAATCATAGTCATTATTTACCTCATGTGTGTAGTCAAGATAGCTCCTGACTCGAAATTGAATCTCGGATGGAAGATTTTTCTTTTTCATATACCGATTGACAGCTTGTACTGTGAATCGGTACCTATCTTCTCTTGCATTGGCTTCTGATATCAAAGAAGACAGATTACCGATGATGTTGACAAACATCGCTGACAAGCACACCATTGAGAAAATTCCATACAGTTTTTCAACAATTGAAATTGGATGGAAATCGCCGTATCCAACTGAAACCATTGTTGTTATCGCCCAATACATTGATGTCACGTAAAATTCCATCTTGGGTATTCCACTTTCTACGTCTTCTTGGAAGTCTATCAGTCAATTCTGGTTGCGCTTTGTCATGTTGGTCAAAGATACGTAAAAAAATAAACAAGCTGCTCAGTGAGCTATGAGTATTACCCTTGAAAAAAGTTTAATAAATAAGAATCATATTGAAGCGAGCTGGGTTTTGAAGTAGTCGTCAATATCTAGCAGAATCTTTTCCATTTTAAAAACTTTCAATAACTTGAGAAATCTCACAAGTCTTGACAGTTTAATTGAGCTGAACGAGTTTTTAGTCTCACTAAATGAGATCTGCTGGTCCTCAAAAACAGAACCAGTCAGAAGCCAAACTCAAGGAAAGCTTGACATCAAGTCAAGAAAAAGTCACCTTTCAGCGTATTGCTTTGCCATCATTGTCCTTATCATCACCAAAGCACCTTTATAAAAATATCCAGTATTGACCGTAACAAAGATATCCATAACAAATAAGATCTGGACCACGAATTCCACATAAATTCAATCACCTTCCACCTGAATCACAAAAAAAATAAAAACTGGGATTGAAATTACCAAATAAAGGAGGCAAGCTAAAATTATAAGGTCTCAAATGACTCTAAATGCATGGTTTGGGTGAAATATGAACGTCGAATTCCAAAAATTGTTGGTTTTACTCTTGCGAACTTTGTAAAAATCTCCTGAATGAAAAGTTTGTGATTTCTTCAAGGTGTGAATTCTGTTTTCTTGAGACAGATATGGTTGAAATTGCTCATTGCTAATTGCTGTAGAGGGTTCAGGGGCTCTTTGATCGTGCTTTTTCAGTATTTCCATTTATTCCTTTAATTTTATATTTTGAAAAGAAGCAAAATAATGATTTTTGGAGAATTAGAGGTTGGACTTCAATCCTTTAATTTCCTTTAAAATCCCATAAAAAATGTAGTTGAACATTCATTTATAGCTTGGAATATAAGAAGGTTATTTTTTTTAGAATTCTGAATTAGCAAATATGTTTATTCTAATATTGGTTAATACTGAGGTGTATTTATTATTTCTCGATTTTGGTACTCCATGTCTTGTTTAAAATGCTGGTTACTCTTAAAGTTGCTATAAAGTGTAAACAGCAAATGCAGACTCTCAACTAAACTCTTATTGTTTGGCAAGTTATGCACAGGAATGTCCAATATCGCACATACAATTCTCACATAAGTTCCTAGGTCAACTTCCAAATCCGGCCCAGGGAGTTCTAGTGCATTCACTGCGTCTTCTACTTCTGCAGGCCAAACATCCATAAGAGTGTCAATATCTGGCATATTTTTTGAATAATTAACTGTTGGAGGTGGCTTTACGCGATGGGCATCAGCAATGTTTGATATCCAGGTCGTAATTTTCTTGGGATTTTTGTCAGCGTTTTCAATCGATCTAACTGCAGCCCCAGCGCCACCAGTTCCAGGTCTCTTGATCAGCGGTTTCAGCTTCAATTCCAACAGTGCAGGATCTGTCTGGTTTAATTTTGGCTCGTCGAGGGTGACTAGTCCTAAATCTTCATGTGCGCCATCAGGTCTTGGAATTTTCAAAAATGCGTCGACTTCTCCTACAGATGGGATATAATCAGGGACAAAAGGTCTCAGCTTCGTGTCGAGCTCAATTTGCTGAGGTTTGTATCTCTGGATATACTGAAAGAGCTCTTTTACTTCAGCTGAAACAGCTAAGTTTTGGTACTCTGCAGGATTGTAAGCACCTTTGATGTTGAGTTCTTCTGAGGCTTCTTCGCTCATGTTTTCTTGGTTCTTTTGTTGGAATGCGTTGGGGTGCATCATCATTTCATTTGATCGCCCCGAACTCCCGCCAGATTCATGGAATGAGCCTTGCGCTTGTTGACCGGGACTATTTTCGCTTGGATTACTTTCGACTTCTTCTTCTCCGCTGTCTCCTACGTCGAAGGCTTCGTCATAATGCATGTCTTTGATATCTGCTTGGTGCCCTGGCTGATTAGAACCTCCATGCTCCATTCCTGGGTCTTCTACTTCTTCGTATGATTCTTCATCACTCTCAAACTCCATTTTCAAATAAAGTTATAGAAGCAGTTTATTAATAGTAGCATATAGATATAATAAAAATAGTCGGGTAAAATAATCCTAATGCTTCTCTGTTAAATAATTTATTTACATTTAAAGACAGGAATGATTATATAATATGGTAATAAAGATTAGTAATCCTATTAACCTCTTGCTACTGCATAAATGAAGTCATAGATGCCATATACAAAACATTGGGCACTCGAAATGATACTAAAAAGTGTCTTTAAGGATAAATAAAAATTCCTAGCTGATAAAAATAATAAAATGGCGACATTGATGGATATAAGACTCTGAGGTGCATCTCCTGAAAGAGTGGGTGGATCGGCGCAATGGGTGGCGAAAGTATTTCTTCATGAGCTATAGACCATCTCAAAGGGAAGCCTAATGAAATAGGGTGCTTTGTTTCTCCTCTCAAAGGTTTTTCTGTCCTGAAAGACAGGTTAGGCAGGCTTTGCCTACCACATACTCTTTCCTTATGAGGACTATTGGGTGCCCTCCAGATGGTGGCTCTACACTTAGGGAGCTATCCCTAGAATAATGGTTTAGGTCAGAAAATTCTAGACAGCAATCTTCCATTTTCCTCATATGAACTCTAAGGTATATGGAGACTGGCTTTTAGAGTCAAGAGAAGGCAACAGTCATTGGTTAACCCTGCCTAAGACGGCAATATCACTTAACTTAGCTGATAAATTATCCAAATGTCAATATTCAGTAATCTAATGGCTTTAATTTATGGCCGTATTTATTATATTAAAAAATGGCTGAGAGAAATCGATTTAAGTATATGAGATTTAACAAAGAAGGAAGAACTTCACAACTAGATGAAGAAAACGTGACCTTTGCCAGGAATGATGAATCTTCTCCTCGCCAAATTGTTTATAAAAACGAATGCCCAAAAGAATTTGAAAATTTCAAAAATTGCATGACTGAGCATGATAATAGACTATCGGAATGCGCTCATCAAAATTCTGACCTGGAGCATTGTGGCAAAAAGGCATTCAGTTTAATTAATGCTATGACAGAATCTTATGACTACCATAAAGGCCTACATAGAAAGGATGAGAATAGTTAATAAATACTAAAATGATCTATCTTCTGAATTATCAATTTCTTGGTGGCATTTCAGTATTGAATTCTATTTCCTAATTTTAAGAGAAATGATTGACTCAAACTGCCATTTAGCATAATCTAATGTTGGCTCAGGAATTTTTGACATCAGTGCCATAACGTCTTGTTTAGTTTTATTTGCTAATTCTGCAAATTCTTTCCTTTGTAGATCAGGCACAGCCAAAATTAAGCTTCTTACACATTTCCGCAATTCAATGTCTATTTCATGCATCAAAGACTGCTGCTGAGGGACAGATATCAATTCTCTAGGCCTCAAAACTTCTGCTTCATTTGTCAGTAAAATTGCCTTTTGGCTCATTTTTTCTATCTCTTGAGACTGAATATGCTTTGAATTTTTCCAAAACTTTTCTTGTTGAAGTTTCTCATAATGAGTTATCAAAACTTCCTCAGTTACTTGATTTTCTCTCTGTAAATTTTGGCTGAGCGCGTTTTCAAGAGAAATATCAATTATTAAATGCAAGAATTTACTTGAATGCTGCTGTGCAATTCTTTTGTAAGGCTTGATTAGAGATTTCAAATGATTTACATCATCAATTAGTATACTTAATTCAATCATATTTAAAAAAAAATTAAATTGTTGATAATAAAGCTAATACAAGGCAATTAATTATATATGATTTTGCTATCACAATTATTCATAATTTCTAAAAATCTTTCGAGGAATAAGATTCTTGCTTGATGGAAATTTTCCACTGAAAAGTTTCCTAATTCTCTTAAAATGTCATCATAACTTAGCAAAATCCCATCTAAACTTCTTGCTAAATATTTAGCCAATGTAGTTTTTCCTGATCCTGGGCATCCCGAAATGACAACAACTATGTTATTCATTTCTTACAAAATTAAATGTATAATGGTGTCGGTCTAACCACTCCAAGAGGCTCTGGGACAAGTGGATACGTCCAAAAAAACCTCGCTTATATCCAAAAGCCCACCACTCGTGCTGATTTCCAAAAAGAGCTTGCAGCTATCAAGGCAAATCCCCTTAAGCCGCCTAAAAAGCCAAATCCAGAATTAATTGAGCACGAACAGAAAAGGCAAATTGAAATCCATCTGATTAATTTCAAGAAAGCTCTTGAAGGGCAAGGACTTTCTCCTGAAGAGATTAAGGAAAGAGTTGACAATGCCAGAACTCATCTTTACGCAAAGCTGCATGAAGCACCTTTACTAAACCAAAAATCAAGTCACCAAAAAGTGATACAAAAAAATGAAGAAATAGCGAAATTTCGAGACAGCTTTGGAATCAAGAATGATTATGTCCCTGGCTCTTCTTTTGATTTTGAAGCATTAGAAGAAAAAAGACAGAAAGAAAAAGAAGACAGGGCTATGAAAAAAAAAATGGAAAAATTAAAAGTGCTAGAAGAAGCACAAAAGAAAGAAAAAGAAGCCAGTTTAAAGAATGAAAAGGCAAAAATCCCTATTGAAAAGGAGAAACCTAAAGAAGAATTCAAAAAACCCTCAAAACCTATTGAAAATGCAGATAGAGAGCCGATGGAAGATGGAGAAATCAAGAGTGAAAGCTACCAAAAAGAAATAAAAGAGAATCCCAAAGAAAATCTTAAAAGCGAAGAAAAGACTTTGGAAAAGAAAAATGCTCCAAAAGAAAGAGGTCCCCAAAGAAAAGATTTAAGGGAGAAAAGGCGGTATTCAAGAGATCGTCAATCTCGAAATTATCGGAGAAGTCCAGATCATTATAGAAGGAGAAGCCCGTACAGAGATAACAGGAGGCCTAATTACAGAAATCGAAATAAATACTCAGACGATTCACAAAGTCCAGATTACAGAAAAAGTCCAAAGGAGTCAAGAGACAAAGCAAGGAGATACAGAAAATACAGTTCCAGCAGTAGCAGGAGTTTTAGAAGTCGAAGCTGCAGCCACTCAAGTTGCAGCGGGTGCTCTTCATCATCCTCATGTTCAAGCTGCTCTAGATAATTTTAATTCTTGTTAACTTAAGATATTTCTAATTCTCCTCTGTGGGCAATAGCTTCATAGGTTTCCACTATCTTTCTCTTTACTTCTTCAGCCCTTGGGCTTAATTTTGCTAAGCCTGCCCCAATTTCACTTCCAGTGATTGGATGAATTACTGTAAACAATCCTTCCGCATGATCTTGAAGTAATAAACCATTTCTGATATCAAACTTCCCATCCTTAAATTCATTCGCAAAATAATCGAAAAAGCTAAATATCAAATGCCCCAGGTTGTACTGGGCGCTGTTAGATGTCTTGACTTCGTTGTCAAACCATACATCATAGCCTCCTACAAGCTTGGGCTCATGAGGCTTGTTTTGAAGAGAGTTAAGCAATGGAGGGTTTATTGTTTGCAGAAAGCCCAAGACTAAGAAAGACCAGTGATAGTTCTTCACGATGCTGGACACTCCTTTAGCTCTTGACCATATTTTTACAAATATAATGAGTTCAGTGACTAGTGAGTCAAGCGAACAGTATTTCTTGGCCAGAGAAGTGGTTTCTAATCCTATGAGGTCGTTGATAGATAAACTGAAAGAGTTTGGATATTGAGGAAACTTCATTTGTAAAGAGTAAGCTGTTTCTTTTATTTCAAAGCTAGGATTAGCTGATAAGAACGCATTTTTAATGTTTTGAAGCGCTTGTTGAGGATTTGCAATCGATGGATTGATGACTGTCAAGTCAATATCTGAGTCAATCGTCCAAATTCCTGCAGACGTCGACCCCAATCCTTTAATTTCTGAATTTGGAATAACCCCAATTACTGTATTTTTAATTTGCTCACTCCCCCCCTCCGTGAGTGAACAAAACCATTAGAAAAATCGCTATTTTTTGCCCAAAAACCCACCTTCTGTGAGTGAACAAAAATTTTTTTAAATAGAAAAATTTTTTATGGGAAAAAAATTTGATATATAATTGATCATTAGTATAATGAAATCTAGAGCTAATTCTGTTTAATTTTTAAACAAATTGCTTTTTAAAACATAAAATTTATAAATTAAATTAATATTTGCTTTCCAATTTTTTCAAATCAGGATTTTTTTTAAAATTTCTAAATAAATTTTTTTAAAAAAAAAATTAACCCCCTTCCGTAAGTGAACAAAAAAATTTTGTTCACTCACGGAGGGGAGGAGTCAGTAATTTGCTTAATGATGTTTAAGTGCTCTTGTTTAGGCGTATATTTGTCAATGAGATTCATTGCTGAATCTTCAATTCTTGCTACAAGCTTTTCAATCTCTGCTTTTGACTTTTGGGCGTTTTCTTCTTTCTTTTTCTTGACATATGCAGGCTTCTTTTTTTCTTTCTTTTCCTCTTCCACTCCTTCCTGTTCTTTCCGCTTCTTTTCAGACCTTTTATCTTTTTTGTATGACTCTTTCAGTTTGTTGGATTGCACCTTTTCTAGCCATGCATTGAGCTTCACATTTATGGCATGCTCATTGTATTCACTTAAAAAATGGGTCTGATTAACAGCTTTTACAATGACTCTCCAAGCCAGCATTTCCTTTTCTTTAGGCTTTGTGCTTCCTAGAGCTGCATCTAATGCGGCAAAGACTTCTTGCTCTCCGCTTTCTTTTTGAGATGCAATTTCAGCAAGTTTTTGACCTAGCTCATCAGCATGAACAAATTTCTCTTTTTCAATTGAATTCATAACCTCTTTTAATAATTTTTCAACTAATTTGCTAATTTTCTCTTCATTTTTCTTCTTAGAGTGCCCTGCTTCTTGCTCTTTATAAGGCATCCCAGGCACTTCAAGTTTTTTGCCTTTATTTTTTTTAGATTTTTCTGGTTTTACTTCTTCTTGTGGCTCTTTTTCTTCTTCTTTCACATTCTCAGTTACTTTATCTCTTTCTTCATCTTTGAATGAAACTCTTGTCTCTTTATGATTCCCTTCATAAATTCTAATTAAACTTTCATTAGGCTGAGACTGGACCTTTTTGCATATCTCTCGGTACGATTCAAGCAGTCTTGTCTTCTGATTAGGAGTAAAGTTAGGCTCAAACTCCCTCAGGTTTCTTTCTATATGAGGTAACAAGGCCCCATGTCGTTCATCTATTTTTCTATCGAGCATAAAGTAAAGGGTATTGAAGACAAAAATACTAATTAACTCATGAGCTCTTATTTTCTTTTCCAAAATTATTGAGCATCCATTTCGAAGACTTCCCAATACAGCAGTAATATCTGATTCATCGTTTGCTAAAATATCAACATCTTTTGGGTCAAGCGTGAAGATTTTGTCTGGCACAGCAATCAATTCTTTATGTGCAAGACTAATTTTTACTATTTTTATTATTTCTTCATTTAGTTTCATCAGCTCAAAAAGAGAGTGCAGAACTGAGTTATAAGCTCTCGCTATCAGATCAGTCAAATGCTGATCAATGCTTGATTTGATTTCTGTAAAAAGATTAAGATTAAGATTACGCTGGGTATTTAAAGTCCCCTCTTCGTCCGAGGAAGCATTCTACGGTTTCCCGTATGGCGGCAGAGCGTTCACCAAGCCCGGGCCGAAACCCCCGGTTTCTCGGTAGAGGCAATGTCAAGGGCCGTCTCATACCGGCTTTGCTGACCGCCTCCATTTCCAACTTGGATCGTCGCCTAAGTTTACGCCAACACTGCCGCGTCGTCCGCCAGATCTGCCCATTGAAGGGCACCTTTTAAACTGGAGAGACTCTCGTTTAGTTGTCTAACTCGCCTTCCCCTCTTTTCCGGTCATCCCGAGAAAGAACTCAATAGCTTTCGCTATTCGGGGCGAGCCACAAAAGCAGCTTAGGCAGGTAAGTCGCCCTGCCTCATTTCGGGCACTCACTGGGCTGAGCGCTGCTGGCAAAAAGAAGTCACGAGTAACTGCCCATGGGTCTGGTCACAAAAACAGCGCCTTTTGCGCTTAGGCCTCTCGCTTCGAGGTCCCAGACGTTGTTGGGCTAACTCCTGGCTCCAAAAACCATGCCCGGATATACATGGGTAACCACCACTGAGAGGGTGGGTCGGTCGCCGTCCGCCATTTTATGTATATGATTTGATTTCTGTAAAAAGATTGCTTGCATTCCTGAATTGCTCAATGATATCGTTTGTCATTTCAGGCCGGGTTCTTTTGCCATTCGTTTGATTTTTGGCCCAGTCCGAAAATAGTTGCAACAGCCTGCATAGGATAATTCCTCTCGTTGATGGGTCCAAACTTTGAGTAGCAGAAATTTTATAGAGGGTTTTTATTGCTGCTAAGTTTTTATATTTTGCTTGGTGCTGGCTGAGGAGAATTCCGATAGTTAATGGATTCTCAATCTTTTCTTTTGTATTGATAGCTCTTTCAAGAGCTGCCTGAGGCCCAGACTCACAAAATGCTTCTAATATAGGATCCATTTTATATGCCAATATCAGATTCAATGTACTTTATCTTATGATATTCCTTTACTTACTTACTTACTTACTTAATTATTCGGTCTTTAAGGTGTTCGGTGCCGCAGCCCCTATAAAAAGGGCTTTTGGCAAAACTAGTGACGTCACCGAGCCATCATGGATTAACCTGGTCAGCCCAGGCCCAAGCCTTCTATCAAAGCTTCGCCGCTAGCCTTGCTGACTTCTCACCCGGCGCGCTGCCGATGCCTCGCCCTGACTCAGCTCCTGCGCGTGTTCCGCCTAAGGGTCATCTTCCCGTGGAGATGTGCTGAGGGGTAAAACCCCGAGATCTTGAACGCACTGTGGACCCGTTCCTCTGGTTATCCCCAGAGTTAAACGGCTGTTGCTGTGCAGAAGTTCTCAAGAGAAAACCCAACCCCATAAATAAAATTCCATGAGGGAGAGAAAATTAGCAAAGCTAATTTCTCTCGAACCGAATGCCATTTTATTTATATCTTATGATACTCCAAATAAATATTATAGTCAATTAGATGCTATTTAGCATTCTAAATAATGATTATTTTTTGCTGATATTTTTCAATTATTTATAATGAATAATAATTTTTCTGCTGTCATTTGTAGGATTTAAATGCATTGTAAGTGTGTTTATCATCAAAGTTAAAACACTCCTGGTTTTATGCTTAAATTTGAGGCCAATATGGCTTTATAATAAATTTATTGAAAGTTGTATGATGATATCTCAGCTCACTTTGAGAAAATCTATGAAACCAAACAACGACTGATTCATAAAAACAAAATGATGAATTTTATCGGTGATCCATGATCAGATAATCGAGCTTTTTAATACTGATAACTTCATTTTCATATAAGGCTATCATGCTCTTTCGTGATCCTATTCATATAAGGAAATCTCTAAATTCACTTTTAGAGGAATTGAGTAATGCATTGCATAATATATCAGTCTCTTCTGAGAAATTAAAGATTTAAAAATTAGATTTTTAATCCTCAGGCTCCTTTTTGTTTAATGTTAAATAATTAATTTATTAATTATTAAACAATACTCTTCCCAGGTCTTCTCCTCTTAATCTTCTTGGTTACCAATACTTTGACCTGCTCAACCATTTCTTTGCTCACAACAACAGTTGCGGTATATGAATTTTTTGTTCTATCAGATGATTCCACGTTCCATTGGCTTGGAAGTTCGATCTTCACTGATTCAAACTGCTCCTTATTCTCATTTAAAATCTTGATGCCTTCAGGCGACTCGCATATCCTTATATTTTGAGATTGCTCATTTGAAATATTGATGCTTTCAGATGGCTCACTTATCGTAATGGCGATTTCTTGCTGAGTATTGTTATTTTTTAAGGTTTCAGGAGTGATCATATCATTAGAGTTAGGAATTGTGGTCTCATCTAGTTCGAAGATTGAGTTGTTGGTCTCGTTTGTATCATCTGGGGTTAATTGGATGTCGATCATACTTGTGTTACTTGAGTCTACTTCTTCAGGTATCATAAGAGAAAGTAAAGCTTCATTCTTAATTTCCTTAAGAAGTATATTTTCACTTATAAGTTTAGGTTTTGCTGTGGTTTCTTCATTTTTTCAATTATTTGAAGTCATGAGACTAAAGCTTCTTTTAGCGATAGCTAAGCTATTTCTATTTATATTTGCTGTTGGTATCATTGTTTTTCTAGGAGTAGCATCAATACTGTTTAAGCCTGTTCTTGGAGAGGATTCTTGACTTGGGCCTATATTACTCATAGAACTGGTGGCCTCTTCGGTCGGCAATGTTGATGCTATTGTCTTGACAGCTTTATTTTTGCTAAATAGAAAGTAATAATCATTGTACTCTTTCATTATCAAAGCTCTAACTCCTGAGGCACTGACCAAGTTAGGGCATTTGACCACTTGCTTAATAAAGGCACTCTTTGGAATAAAAGCTCTGCCTTGCAAAATCAATTTCATTGAGGTTTCAATGAATAACGGCTTCCCTTCAAGCAATTTACTTTCATAGTTATGTAATAAATCCTCAGGAATTTGGTCCATTTTCTTGCCCATTGCAGATCATACAAGACTGATAGAAACATGGGCAATGTCTTGCAACAGAATTTCCACGTTTCGAGCTCGAAGGTTCTCTCCATACACTTGGTGAACGTCATGGAGTAAAGTTGCTTTCTGCTTTACTGTTCCTTTAGAAAGCAAAATTACCAATATTTTGAATCTTTTTGGATCTGTGCGGTTATCTTTTTTATATATATTCTCTATGATATTGTCCTTTTCAGACTTGAATATGCGAAACTTTGGCGGACACTTAAAAAGTTCAGAATATTCTGACTTCCCCCTTTTAAATTGGAACAAAATATATGGGATTTTCCCATGGATGGCGCTATTTTGGTCTTGATTTTCCAAGTGGGAAAATCTAGGCCAAAACAGCGTCATCATGGGAAATTGCAATAGCTAAAATTTCCATTTTTTGGTAAATTAAACCCCCTTTAAATTGAAACAAAATTAATTTTATAATAAAAAATTTTATATATAAAAATCATAATTTTATGTAAAAAGTTTTGATATAAAATGTTTCTTTTAACTAAAATTAAAAATTTAGTTATATCTTGCTCTTGTTTAAAGAAGAGAGTATAAGGAGCATCCTATTTAATTAAATTTATTATCCTTAATTGCTAAATTTTTTGTTGTTGTTGTTGTTGATAAAAATGATATTTTCTATTTAAATAATTTTGATATAAATCAATGCGAATTTCTTACACAAAATTGAAAATTTACTTATTTCTTGCTTTATTTTAAAGAACGGAGAGTATAAATAGCATCTTATTTAAACAAAATTAGCACTTTAATCGATAAACTTTCTAAATTTTTATGTTTTTAATTTTTTTTTTATCAATAAAAGTAATAATTTTTGTGTAAATAGTTTTGATACATTAATAGTGGCGTATTAACTAATAATGAAAATTTAATTATATCTTGCTTCGTTTTAAAGGATAAAGAGTAAATAGCATTTTATTAAACAAAGTTATTAATCTAATTCGATAAATTTTGATTTTTTTTTTTTAAATTTTTTATAATTATAAAAAATTTTATATTGATTTTTTTTTTTTTAACAAAAATTTTCTTAACCCCCTTTAAATTAGAACAAAATTTTTTGATCCAATTTAAAGGGGGGAGTGAGAGATTTTTTTCTGAAATATGACCCCTTGCTTCCTGTTTGGAAGCAATTAAATTAATTTTTGTCTGAGCTGAGATTGCGGGAAAATCCAGCTTTTTTTCCCATTTGCAAATCTTTTGTTCATTAGTGTGGAGTTGTGGAAGGTAGCCTGTGTTTGACGAAGTGCATCCCATTTTATAATAATAAGTTATTTCAAATTATTGCTAAACTAATGGGTATTTTATATAAGGAAATAGATGCTAAAGCTATAATTTGTCATAAATTATGTTATGGCGAAACAAAAAGATTTATTAAAAATTATTTTAATAAGCATGTTAAATCATAATAACTTATTAATAAAAAATTTTAATTAGAAATATTTTAATAGGATTGAGGCTGCTTTTCGATATAGTTAGAAACCCATATTTTAAGTAAGCAATACTATACAACCATTTATATGCATGATAGACGAAATAGAGTTCATAATTTGACCTACAAATTTGGCAGAATTATATAATATTTAAAATTCAAGTCAAAATAAATAACTTTTGTATAATTCTGATCACTTGTCGTTAACATTTGATCGCTAGTGATTAGATTTCTTAAAATTAAGAATAGAATCTAAATTTTTACGTATATGCTAGACTCAACAAAATTATCAAGAGCAAGCATATTACTTAATAGTTAATATTATTATTTTTCAATACAAAAATAGATCCACCGACTTGCTAAATAATTAATTTTAAATTCACAACTTTTATAAAATTATTATAGCATAATAACTCAAAACCATCCGAAAAAATGATTCGTTCAAAATCCCTTTGCTCTCCAAGAATTGTAAGCAGCGCTTTGCCTACAGAACGTAAAAATATTAAGACAGCTCAGAAAGTCTACATATGAGAATCATCTATCCCGCAGGAATGAAAGCAGAATAAGAGTGTTAAGCTCGAACTAATCCATGTGTCCCAGACAAACAAAAATAAAAATACCCTAGATTTCCTTGTGGAAACTCAAAAGTACATCAATAAAATCTGCGGCAGAAGTCTTGACCAAATCAGAAATAATCAATTAATTTCTCCTTTGCTAAATTTAGCAATTGAGAAATCTGGCACAAGTAACATCCCTCGCAGAAAAAGAAAGTCGACCACTCAAAACATGTCGATCCTTGCAGAAGGGTCTAAAGGCTTGTTCATATCAGAACTGAGCCCTCCAAAGACAAACACCTTGGCATCAAAATCATACCTCAGTCCTCGAAGCATTTCCTTTCAAAAGCTTGCTTCAAAATCTCAAATAATAACAACTAAAAAACAACCAATTCCACTCATTGTGAATCAGCTTGGAACTGATTTCTTGCATCGGGTAAATAGTGAACAGCATATAATTCACAGTTATTCCATCCCCAATGGATTCAAACTTCAAAAACCTTCAACTTCCAACTCAATTCTCTTATCTCCTCGAAGTCAAGACGAACAAATGGGAACTTTTTTGAATAGGTTTGAGAATTCGAACAGAGTCCCTTATAAAGTTCCTAGATCAAGAGAAGGGGTCAATGGATGAAAATTATCAGCAAGGAGAACAAGGGGGAAAAGGGAAAACACTGTATCAAGCATCTATCGAAAAATGAAGAGCAGCAGTGAAAGACTTATCCATACAGCAAATCAATAAATTAATTATATCATAATTACACCCTGTTAGTTCTATTCTAATTTTCATTTTTATTTAAGCACCCAGAGTTCAAGCATTGACAATGAATCCAAGAAATGCCAATAAACTTGCGTCTCCTCTGAGTTCAAAATTCAAAAAATCTTCTCCAGTGAAAAAAATCCAAAAATTGCAGAAGCAAATTGAGATAGCAACCACATCAGCGCTTAAATCAGTTCAGCTCTATGAAGAAAGAAAAGAGTTTATGGATGTTGACGAAGGAGAGCTATGTGTAAATCCGCACCCAAACTTCGAGTTCAACGGGATAAGCCCTATTAGATCAGAAGAATGCTCCCCTGAAATCAGCTTTGATTCCGATCTGAATGATCTACAAGTACAAGTCAAACCTGGGTCTGCATGTCCCAGGAAAAGAGACATGGACTCCTTTTTGAAATCGTCAATGAAATACGGCACAAAGGTCTCTCAGATTTTATCTGAGTCCGGGGTTGCTTCTCCACGAAAATTCAAACAAACATCACAGCCTACACAAATCAGCAGTTCGAAGCAGCAGTCAAAAAGTCAAAAATCGCTGAAAGAAAGCCCAAAAAATTTGAAAATTGAAAAAGAAGTTCAAAAGAAAATTTTGCCACTTGAAAGTCTGTTTAGTAAGACAGAGAACAGACATAGCATAGGGTATTTAACTTCAAGAGAAATTATGATGAGCTCGCTAACTAAGTTTGGTATGCTTTATTATAGATGGACTGAATAGTTTGTTTTCGTATGGATCAAGTGGCCCTGAGCATAGAAATTTGATAATTGAAGGAGAGATGGCTCCAAAAGCAAGAATTATATCAGGCCCAAGCTCTAGAGTAAAAGCAAATGCGTTATCCATAAAACGCCAAGCTTAATTTAATCATTGTAAACTTATATAAGATCTTATATTGATAAGTTCTCTCAGATAAGCTAGCACAAGTATTTTCTATTATTTGATTTTGTCTCTAAGATTTGCTAATCAAAACTTGATTAAATTAATCAAATGGATCAGGAGCGGTCAAAAGTGATCATCTTTTTGCCCATAATAATAAAATGGTTCGTCAAAAAAGTTTTTTTAGAGAGAATTTTACATCCTCAGCAATTTTTATTATTATGGGGTTCAGTTTTCCCAGTTAACCTAAATTAGCTATACAGAAGATGCTTCAGCGCATAGGCTGAAGCTCCGGCCTTCTGCATAAGATTTATATGCCTGTCACTCTCAAGAAAGTACCTTAGGCGGACATGAACAGAAGATTGGTAACAACAAGAGCAGCACTCCCCTTAAAGACTCTTTAGCCAGATTGTAGGCTTATTTGATAGGAAGCTGGAGGAGATTGTTCGTGATGCCGCAGCTTGGAGTTAAAAGGGTCTAAATCCCTACTGAAGAAAAAAATATGTTAAAATCTAAATCAATAAATAAGTAAGGTTATCTTTGTGCTCAAACTTATTTAAATAATATCAGCAATCAAACCTTTTCTCATAAGTTGCTCTGAATAGTTCATAGAAAACTCACAGGCTTCTTCCAGGTTTGAAGATTATAGCTCTATTTGTGTCCTTGACTAATACCTAGATTTATGATAAATGCATATGAGCTATTATTAGCCAACTCCATTTCTTTGCTTTTAATAGACATCTGAGTTATCAAGAACAGAATTAGAATCTTAAGCTATAAATTAAAGGCAACTTTCTTTGTACATCCATTATTTATTCTATTCTTGCCCGCTGTATTTTATAACTGCCTTTCATTTCTCATGTCTAGCGCTCTCGCCTGAGCGAACATCTCAATTGTGCTTTCTAACTCAGACTTATCTCTTATCTGGATATTTAATGGAGACTTAGATTGAGTATAATTCCCGGTCTCTATGGTGCTCGGCTGAATCCCTTCTCTCAAAGCTTGGAAGAGCTTCATGATTTGCTCAACAGACTTCTTATTTCCTCTATTGCCGCCTATTTTCTGTTCCCAAATTGCATCTTCCAGCTCCTGGAATCTCTTGGACAGCTTTTCATCAATAACAATTAGCTCTCCTTGAGGGGTTCTCAAAATTGTGGAAAATATATCCATGACTTTTGCAATAATAAAAGGAATACTCCAAGTGAAAACATCCATGAAATTGGGTAGCATATATGGGTGTTGATTATAGTTGTATTGCTGGATGTTTAAGGTGTTGTTGTCAAACTTGATGATCGCTCCTTTGTTGTTATAAACGTCACAGTAGTTCGGAGCTGAAAAGATAGTGATCACTGCAGGGAATTCGTTGTTTCCGTTCCAGCGATGCATTTTAAAGCCATCTGGCTGGGCTTCGTGAGCTCGAATTACTGAAATTAAATCATTTCTGCGCAAGAAGTTGTTCATAGCGTCCATTCCGAAATAAAAACTGCAACCTCTCACCTCGTTTTTCCTTCAGCCTTCAGGAAGTCTTCCATCAGGGGTGTCAACTGGGTCAGACCATAGAATATCACAATAAAGTCCTTGTTTTGGAGGCTCTATAAATCTATTCAGTCTTGTCAAATCTTCAACAGTCCTCAACTCAGGCGAAATTCCACCATGCAAAGCCAGAAACTTCCTATTCACCAAGCAGGAGATGGGAATGCAGTCGAAACTCTCCATAATCCTGTCATAAATTTCAGAGTCAAACTTGTATATGCACTCAGTCCTGAAATTGAAATAAGTTGTCATTTGGCGACACTCGTGGTTTCCTCTGATCATATAAAACGTTTGCGGGAAATTGATTTTAATAGCGTAGAGAAGCATAATGACTTCCATAGAAAAAATTCCTCTGTCTACGTAGTCTCCTAAGAAGAGGTACTTCGTATTTTCAGGGTTTCCACCAATTTCAAGTGGCTGCATGATTTTTCCTCGGGCATTTCTTATTGTAGATATTTCCATTGCAAAATTAATTAGAATTTTTTCTCATCAAGAAGATTTTGCTAGGAAAGTGTTGGATTGGAAAAATTTTGACCAAATAGCACTGATAAGTGTCTCTTTGGTAAAAATTCACAACCAAAAGATGTGATACAATTTCAAACATTTTGAGCATGTCGTACAACTGACCATGAATATCACCAACAATTGTCACTGGATCTTGGAGAAACAACAAATTTTCTTCAGCTCGGAAGATGCTGGATACCATATCGATGATTTGAATAACATCTGCTTTGTTAAGACGGCCTTCTCTCTGAAAATGAACTTTTAGGGCCTTGTAAGATGGCTTTCCATTGCAATCTTCAGGGAAAAGTAGTTCGTGGGAAAGAGGTCGATGAATGGGAGGCTTCACGTCTTTCATCACACGATCACCTAAGGGATCTGACAATTGATCCATATTTATATAGTTTTTCTTTTTTATTAGTTTCTTTAACATTAATACATTAATATAACATACCATTTAATCAACTTTGAAGGTTCAGATTTAAACTGTTAACTTCCCCTTCCTGAGCGCGAACAAAAAAATATTGTCCGCTCACTGAATGGAGGGGTTAAATTATAGAAGTTTCCTATGTTTGGCGCTGTAAGGCCGATAAAATTCTGATCGGAATTTATCGGTTGGTTGCACCAAATCAATGCTTGGTCGGACCAAAAAGCGATTTTGGTCCGACGAACTTGGAAAGCTCCTGGGAAAATGTCTGCGCTTTCAGCGCTATATAGAGGAAACCTCTATATTTTTAAAAAAAATATATAAATACTATAGAAATTTTTAAAACAATTGAGAAGCGAAAATTAATTTGATTTGCGAAATTTATATTTTAAATGCAAGCTGCTTAAAATTAATAGAATTAGTGAGAGATTTCATTATAATAATTATCATTTATGCATCAAATTATTTTTTTCATAAAACATTTTATATTAAAAAAATTTTAGTTCGCACACGGAGTAAGAAATGATATAAAGATAGCTTTTAAATTTAAAGCAAATAATTGTTTGAGCTTCCTTATATATTATTAATCACCAAATGAGAACATTTCGATCAGGTTAATATAATTCTTAAATATTTTAATTTGAAGCTAAGTGAGAAGCCAATATAAATTTAAACATTTCTTTATAGAAAGTTTTATTTGAAACGATACCATAAGGACTAATCTTTTATCAAAAATGGTATACATAATAATATAGCTTTTATAGCCCAGGAACCGATATTGATCGACCTGGGCTGGAAGAATGCCTTCAAATCCCCGAATTAGCTCTACAACTCAAGTTGACGAACCAACTCAAGAGAGTTGACAAATATGCCCTATTTAAGGTCAGCCCAAAGTTGGTTCGAATTTTATTTATCTCCACTATGGAGTTTTACGATTACGCAAGCGGCTCCATGTCAAATGGCTGTGGATTTTTGACAATTACATTTCATCGAAATCCATTTGGTCGAAAATTTTTGATAGTGCGGCATTTGGCCCCAAAAATAACGGTTTTTTTTCGGTCAAATGTCTCACTATCAAAAAATTTTCGATCAATTTTCGGCCAAAAAATTTTCCGTGAAATGGGACACTATCAAAAAGGCAAAGCCATTTGGCCTGCACCCTACGCAAGATGCTTTGACTCTTGCGGAAAATAAAATTCTTTATAGCGACAATTCATGATTTGAAAAAGATTCGATAATGTCATTGCTGAGGAGGGGATGTGGGAAGAAGAAGTTTGTATGATGGAGCTGGAGGGTGTTAAGATCTTATTTCATCGGAAACTTGGGAAGAAGAAACTGGTGAAAGCTGGAAAACGCGAACTTGATGAGCTACTGTAGTGGGTGGCTGATTAGAGAGGACTTGTTCTAGATAATGGGGATTAATACTCGCTGCAAGATTTAGATTAATCAATTAGGGATGGATCAGAAGAAAGCAAAATGGGTGGCTGAAGAAGGAAAAGAAGAGAGACAAGAGAAGAAATTGGAAAGGAAGGCAAGAAAGGTAGAGAAACTAGAGGGAATAAATGAAGTTAAAAGGGCACCAAAATTCAAGAGAACATGAAATGCCAAAGGGTCAGAAGGCCAAAAGAGACAACCGGGGAGGCAGAAAAAATCCAGAAGAAAACTCAGAAGAAAGCCTAGAGGAAAAACAGGAGAAAGCCCAGGGGAAAAGGAGAAATGCCCAAAAATTGAAAGAGAAGAAGCAAAAAGGCGGCAAGACCTTTTCGATGCCTTGTCACTTTTTAACCCCCAAGTTGGTTCGTTGCCTTTAGTCGAAAGAACCAATTCGGGGAGTTGCTAGGTATTCTCCCAGCCCAGACCGATCAATATTGATTTCTGGGCTATATTTAAGGTAAATTGGGAAATTGAATATAATCTTCTAATAAAAAAATATTTTGGCATTAATGCTTGATGCACAGAGCAGAATAAAGAAAAGGTTGATTTATAGATGGCTTTCTATGTTTAGCAATTAAGAATGCTGCTATATATATGAGAAATGGCTGGTATATACCAGTCCCATTTTTAAAGTTCAAGAATTTTCTTCACTTAGGCCAGAGTTATACACTGCAAGAGTAGTACTTAAAAAAATTGAATCATAGCATATCTGCTTTGGTTTTGGGAACTCTTCAACTTTCTATAATATTTACAATGAAACTTCATAATCTTTCTAATCAAATTCAGAATTTATATAGAAGATAAGCATGAGTAATTAAATGAATGCTCTGAGATTGAGAAGGAAACAGACCTCAATATATAATCATCAAAAGGTTGATGAGTGAGCTTTAGGGCTTATTATATAAGTATCCAATCAAAGCTAAACATTTAAATATGCAGACTACTTCTCTTATTTCAGTTCCCTCTATTTAAAAAATTTCATTTTATAAATTATTAAGAGCAAATTATTGCATATAGGCGAAATAAATTCAACATAATAATTCATAATCATTAAATGGATCAGAGGGCTAATATAAAGGATGCAAGATACGATATTTGCATGAAATAGGGCTAGTATGTAAATCAAAGAAAAGAACCATCATTTCATATCAATAAGAAATCCATATCTTCTACAGGTAAAAAATAATTTGCAATAAAACAGTATCAAAAAAATATATAATTGAAATTATGATGTAATATCTGAATCGTATGCAATAAACTAGCATCAATAGAGCTAAATTAAATGATTAATTGATCTCTTTCACACAAGTGCACAACAGTAAATATTGGATTACTGCATTAACTATTAAATTCTTTGCTTGCATCAATTAAATTTTCCAGTTCTTAAATTACTAGAAAAACGTAAGATTTGATATGCATAATTAAATAGAATTCAATTATATTTTTTATTTGTTTTATTAAAATAATTACTAACTGTTTTTTAATTCAATTTTCACAAAAGTTAATTTCAATAATACCGCAATTGATTTTAACAGTTTAGCATTTTTATATGCTCACTCCCCCCCCCCTCCGTGAGCGAACAAAAAAAATTTTGTTCGCTCACGGAGGGGGGTTAATTTTTTTTTTTTAAAAAAAAATTTATATATAAATTTTATAAAAAAATATTTTTTTCGAAATTTAAAAAAATCCTAATTTGCAAAAATTGGGAAGCAAATATTAATTTAATTTGCAAAATTTATGTTTTTAAAACGCAATTTGTTTAAAATTAAACAGAATTAGCTCTAGATTTCATTATAATAATTATCACTTATATATCAAAATTTTTTTCCATTAAAATTTTTTCTATTAAAAAAATTTTTGTTCACTCACGGAGGGTGGGTTTTTTTGGTCAAAAAATGGCGATTTTTCTAATGGTTTTGTTCGCTCACGGAGGGGGGGGGGGGGAGTCAGTATTTATAATGCTAGATGAGATTATTTATTTTTAAGACTTATCATAAGTACTCTGTTATATCCGATATACCCCACTTCTCTCTAGTTCTATAAATGCCGGCTCAGAGGACTTGCATTGCTCGAGATTGCTTGAACGAACCCAGATTCACATGCAGCTGCAGCCCAGAAGTTGAAATATGCTTAAAGCATATATATTGGCATTTGCAAGGTTCTAATATTCCAATAAAGCTTCACTCGTTCACAGAATTAGAAAATTCTAAAACTCCTCTAAAAGTAATAGCTGTTGAATTCTTGGGGAGCTATAAAGCAGATCTCAAAAAACTTAAGGAGCTGTATTTCATTAGTGAGAGTGCTAAAGTAAACATAATTAAATCGAAATTAAAGGAATTTCAGGAAAGGCTGAATAGAGAAGTCGATTCTGTAGAGTCTTTTAGAAAAAGGATTATTAATGCTGATGAATTGTGATTAGAAAAATCACCAACATTAATGATAAGAAAGCTGGCCAAAAAGGTGAATAAGGATCTTTTCATGCAATGTGATGGTCCTATATTAAGCATTGAAAAAAACTTTTCTGCTAGTTGACAGAGTCAGCAAATAAGAAAGGCAAGAAAATACAATTCTTTTTCATTAGAGCATTGCCCAATGATAAGCATCCAGAGTCAAACAAGAAAACACAATTATCTTCCAAAGCAACCTCGAAATATTGCTATTTCAATTGCAATCATTTTATTATCAATCATTTACTTAAATATAAACTCCACTCCAGAAAGAAGTTTGAAAATTTCAAGTTCTCCAGAAGAAGTTTCAATCATTTTTGATCACACTAAAGAGCAAATTGCAAGCCTATCAATAAATCCGCAAAATGATTTAATCGTCAAAGAAATTTTCGAGAGCTTGAAGGTAATCAATGATTTTTTTTCACGAGAGTCAAGGAATTTTGATAACTCTACTTTGTGTCACTCTGAATGCTTATCTATATCTCAAGAGCATAAATTTTATTATCGGAAGTTCTACAATTCATATACCTATGGCGTCTGGAATATTGTGTATAAAGGTAATGGGATTTATATTTTTGATATTAAAGAAGGAGAAAAGGATTATTTTGGAGTAAGCTTTTTTGAAAATGGAGAAAAATATGTTGGATATTTTACTTCAGGGGATAAAGAAAACACTTTAGGGCTTTACTTTTGAAACAATGATAAATGATATTTTGGCAATTGAAATAATGGATACGCACATGGGAATGGGTTTTATTATAATAAAAATGAGACTTATCAAGGAGAAATTAAATGAAATGAAATTAAAGGCAAAGCTCAAAGAAAGTGGTCAAATGGTTCAGCGATTGACGGGACAATAATATCTGGCTGGTGAACTGGAAATGGCATTATATACTTCGCAAATGGCGATACTTACCAAGGACCATTTAAAGATGGTATGGCCGAAGGCAATGGAAAATATATATGAAATTTAACTAAAATTATCTATGAGGGGTCATTTAGCAAAGGCTTGAGAAAAGAAGAAAATAAATGATATAGAAATTGCAATGGTAAAATGATAATCGGTAAGCAAGTTTTAGGAAGCAATGTGAAAATAGAATTTAATAGCAGCAATGAAGAGTGCAAATACAGTGCTATCTTGGAAGATGCTGGAAAAGCTATAATTATGAATATAGATATAACTGAGCTGTCTTTTAATAAAAATAGACCAATCGTTAGAAACAGACCTAACTAATTAATACAGTTAATAAATTTAACCAAATTAATTGGTTGCAATAGAGTTTAAATCAAAAATAACTAGGTTCGCAAGAAATAGTCTATATAATTTATTGAACCCTAATTTTAAGAAAGCTCAATATATTTTAAAATTTTTAAACTTGCCACATACATAATAATATTTGACCTGATAAAATCATTTAAATAAGTATCAAATTCTCAAAAATTAGTATACAGTGCAAATTATAATAATATAATTTACTCACAAATCTTTAGTAAATATAAAGTTTAATCTCTTTAAAGCGTCCTTACTAATAAGCAGATATTCTTTAATTTAATTTTCTTTAACAAATTCCAGCATATTATTAATTATTCAATATTAATTTAACGAATTAAATTAAGCATATATAAGTGGGTTTATAATCTGAGTTTAATAAAGAAAACGCAAATGGAATAAATAATATCAATATTTATTATTAGCTGATTTTTTCTATAAGAATTTTCATAAATTAATCTTAACAAAGAAAGCAAAGACAAGGTTCATACCCCAGCAGAGGTTAATATACAGGGGTGACAAATCGAAGGAAGGAGGCTGGATCTCAGTAGATCGTAAGACAAGCTTATTCTCGTACGTACAATCCCTCGTTCCATGTAAGTGGTCTGCAAAAGATTTGTCCCAGTCACTATTTGGTACAATGAGAAGCCGTCTTCAGCATTTCGCCTGGACAAGGATCTCAGTTGGGAGTGGGATTATGGTTTCCATAGGTGACTGGCGGACGTGCGTTCCAGCATTGATTTTGACTTAGAGGCGTTCAGTCATAATCAAACAGATGGTAGCATCGCGACACTTCCTTGTCAGGAAATCTCATGAACCAGTGATCTGGCCCAACGGTTCCTCTCATACTGAGCTTGATTACTGTAGCGACATCATTTCATCAGTAGGGTAAAACTAACCTGTGTCACGACGGGTCTAAACCCAGCTCACGTTCCCATTAGCGGGTGAACAATCCGACGCTTGGTGAATTCTGCTTCACAATGATAGGAAGAGCCGACATCGAAGAATCAAAAAGCAACGTCGCTATGAACGCTTGGCTGCCACAAGCCAGTTATCCCATGGATTTTATCTCGTTGAGAAGGAAAGCATGGCAGTTGGAAAAGAGGAAGCCCAGTATCGCCTTCAGTGCTTTCGTCATAGGATTTCCCCGTACTTAATCAGTCCCCCTGCTATCCCTTCTGGATTGCACGCTTACTCCACTTGGATAATCAAGAATGTTTACATTACTTGGGATAATAATAATAATAGCATTTTAAGTAATAATTATGATAATCAATAGATTAGCAATAAATTCACAAATAGTTAAATGCCAATCTATATAATTCATCATATCTAAAAGTGTTAGCCAATTTAATAGCGAATCTCAAACTTTAATAATTCTTTAATCTCTAATCTATTAATTATTCAAATTTACTCGCTAAAAGAGTACATGGCTAAACTCAATTAAAATTAACTCTTAATTGATCTTTTTTAATGCTCCTACTTAAATTTTGGAAAGATTATTTACTGGAATTTTATCTAATTTAAATATAAAATAATTATATTCTTGTATTAACTAAGAAGTAAACTATTATGAATAAAATCATAAACTTAAATATAGCTCATGTGTTTTATTTAAACTTATTCTTGCTTAATATTAATTATTTCTATTGATAGCCTTTTCATAAGCCTTTTTGAATGCTTTTAAATACATGTCTTTATTTGTTGTTATAAAAAAAGCTTTTTCAATATCATCTTTTAAAATGCTTAAAAACATCTCTTCAAAGTCTGTAGTAGTATTTTCAGCCATTTGTCTTAAAATATCCACCGGATGGCTTCTTGAAAGTGTATCAGCAATATTTTCAGCTAATTGGTCTGCATTCCCGCCTTGATTACCTTTATTTTGGTCTAATAATTCTAGTAGCAAGCTTTCAGTGCTATTGTAGCTTCCAATTTTCATTAGCATTCATCTTGCAACCCTAGGGCTGAATCCAAAAAGACTTGACAGTTTCTCAACCTGCTCGTCTGATATAAGGTTGTCGCTTTCCATCTCCATTTGTACTGGGAAAATAGCAGGTACTCTGTTGATTGATCCAACCTGAGCCTCTTTTGACTCTTCTTGAATTTGTATAGGATTTTCAATTTTATTTATACCAACTATTTCTTCATTTTGAATTTTTGAAATTGTTTCCTGTATTTTTTCAGTTTTATTTTTGATATCTTTGATATCTTCATCGATTTTGGACAATTTGGCCTCATTGTCCATAAAAGACTTGTTTTGAATGTCAAATTGCTCTTGGATTAAGGCAGGATCAAAAGCATTTAGACAAATATTTCTTTCTTCAAGAATTTGGAGCCTTTTATTAAGTCTTTTATTTTCATTTATCAAATCACTGATTTTTTCATTTAATTCCTTTGAAATTTTTTCTGTTATTAAATGCTCCAGATCACCATCCAAAACAGCATAAAATCGAATCTTATCCTTTACCTTGATCTTGCTAGTTTCATTTGCGACAATTTTTAAGGCTTCATCTGGTGTTTGTAATAATGATAATAGGACATCATTTTTCTCGAAGACTGAAATTTCAGCTGTCTGCATTACTTTAGCAATTAGGTCTTGGCAATAATTTATACCACTATCTATATTCCTTATCCCTTTCTCAAATGAATTCTGAGACTGAATATAGACTTGAGAGTATTTATTTAGGGTTTCTCTTTTTATGGCTTCAAGCTCATTTGCCTTTCGAGAAAGTGAATCAATCACCCAAGTCTTTGTTTCTGCAATAGGCGCTTTATATATTCTTTCTATTTGATGAGTGTTTTGCTTCTCGCTCATGTGGTTGTTTATATGATTTAAACAGAATAAGCCTATCTGAGGAGCACATTTGCATATCCATTCCGCTCGATTTAAGCATTTTGGATAATAAATACACATATATGCCTCCGTCATGATAATTAATATTAATTCTATAAATTTTATTATTGTGAAAGCCGGTCACTCGTCTCTTATAGGCTGGAATATTAATTTTAAACTTCTATTTTGGGATATTAATTATTGCACAATGCTAGATTCCAATTAGGAAAAACGAAACTTGATGGCCTTACTTCAGAAAATCTGGATTTTATCATGAGAGACTGTTTAGTTCTTCATTGAAATCAGATTATTTTAGTTATGATTTTTATGAAATTGGTATAAGAAATATTAAAAACAATGAGCTTAATTACAGCTGCAAAAGCCACTCTTCTTATAAGCCAAATAGAGAATGCAAGAGATGAGCTTGAAGAAGGGCTTCGACAAATACATCGTTATTGCTGAGTTCCCAGCAATTGCGATTTATTCCTCCATCAGGATATTTTGAGAAGCTTTAAGATCCCAGCAGTTTCAAAAGAACTTTCAAGATTTCCGATCATTGTCGCAGAAATAAAAGAACACTTATCTCAAACAGAGCAATGAGTTTCTTACATTGCTTACCAAAACGAATTGCTAGGGGAGGCATTGAATTTTATTTTTCATAATATCACAACTAAGCAGCTTCCTGAAGGAATTTACCCTGCTTTCTCTGATTTGAACTCAGAGTGTAATTTACTTACTCCTGACGATTACAAGCTTATTTCTATATATATACAGATTTTGATAAATCTTGGCAAATACAAAGAATCAATCCTCAGAGAAATTTCAACTCATAACATTATTCCAAGACTTCTATTTCTGATTGAGAAAATTCCAGTAAACTTGAGCGATAAAAATTATATAGTACTTTCCCTTGAATAGCCGATAGCGGGCTGGCTTTATCCTGCTATCGGGCTATACAAGGGAAAGAGCTATAGACCAATTACGTATCCTCTGAGAGATTATGCTACAATCTTACTTAATATGCTCTTTAAGCAGCAAGCTATCGCAGACAAAGTTTGTAACCATTTAGCTATGTTCAAGTGAATTTCAAGAATAATTAAAAATACAATTGCAAACTCCAGAGAACTGCTTTTAGCAGAAACTCTATCGTTGCTCAGCTTTTCTCCTAACTTCACACCAGAAATAGACTATGAATTTATAATTAGAGACTGGGTTTATGGAAATTTATGCATGATTTTGATGCCAGATCAAAGAACTGATCAATGAAAAACTCTAAACAACGGAAGAACAGACGAAGAATTGCTTAAGCTCGCTATTTTTTTAGTGATTATTTTAGTCAATACAAGTAAAACTCAAGGCGGGATTGATGAAATCATTGCGTCAATCCACTATTATAATTATGATATATTTTGAAGATTCATTCATTTCTTGCTCCGATTAAAAAAGATTGACACAAAATTATGAGTCAAGACTTTAAATCTTGTAAATAATATGCTAACTCCCTAATTTAAATTGGAACAAAACACTTAGCCCAGAAATTTGCTTTTCAATAGGAAAATTTTAAAAGTAAAAACTAATTTTTCTAAAATAAATTTTGATCTAATATAACAGAAAAATTCAATTAGAATATTATTTAAACAGTTTCACACTAAATAAATCAATTAATATTTTGACTAAATTCTTTATAAAGATAAATTACAATTTATAAATTGGGTTCAATTTATATTATTTTAAAAAAATATTTTATAAATAATTAAAAAATAATTATTTTTAAAAATAAACCTCCCCTTTAAATTGGAACAAGTTTTCGTTCCAATTTAAAGAGGATTAAGACATCCCGATTATAATCCTCCATTGTATGCTACACAGTAAAATTTATGCAGACTATCAACGATTGCTTTTTGTATCCTTGGAAACTTGGATGAAATCTTACTCATATTGTGCTGCAGGACTTTTAAATATTTGGTGTTTACTCTTGAAGAAAAAGAACTGCTTCTTGCTGTTGCTTGCCAAAGGTAAGTCTTATTTAGAATGAAACAGCCAAGGCACTCTCTTCAGGCTCCTCCTCTTCCAAATTATTCAACTCTTGATGACTTGAATACCCTCCAGAGGGATACAGAAAAGTTAGCAAAAGAGTGAAACAATTATTATAAGCAGAAAAATCAGCCATGGGAAAGCTTGCGGCCATTAACATCAACACCTTTAGAATTCAGCTCAAGACAAGAGCGAATCATCCACAAAATAACACAAGAATTCAAGCAATATAGGCTGTTTTTTCGAAAGCTCCCCTCTCCATGCACATACTGCAAGGATTTGTATGGTCCTCCATTTTACCCTGAAGACACCTTTTGAGGCTATTATTCAGACCCAGAGGACCAAAAGATCCATGTTTCCACTACCTTGCTTCAATTTATATCAGATATCACAGAGAACGAAAACATGAAGTTTATTTTTGATAATATCATGTGTGTATTAAATGAAGTTTTATGTATTGGAGACTCTGATATCGAAAACAAGGCGAAATGCGGAATTATCACTTATTATTTGACTTGCACAGAACTCAAAAAAAATTTTGTTCATTCATATCTTGCATCAGGAATGTTATACTTCCATGAATATTATATGAGACTAGTTCTCAAGTCATTTTCAGGGAGCAGCATAAGCGGAGTAAAATGCAGATGGGATCCTCAGGACAAATTCTTTATACTTGAAACTGACCCAATGTTTGGTGTGTCTAGCAGAATGAGCAACTGAAATTTGCATATTTTGCATCACCTGTTAGAACTTCTGACTACAGTTTTGAGACAATCCCCTGAATCCGCTGATGTTTTTCTTAGAAAGCAATGCTCAGGATTTATTTCAATAAACTATGAACTTGTGCTGAGTTTATATAAACTTGCCAATGATAACTCGCCTCTGCAGTCCCTTGCCCTAGACATTATTGCTAAAACAGAAGAAGTACTCTATGTCTTTATCAGAAGATTCCCTTCCCTTTTCTACACAGTGCTAGATTCAGTCATTCTGAATGAGCAGCTTTTTACTGTTTACTCTACAATGACCAAGGATATCCCTTCTCTTCTGTCAGCATATGCTCACATTTCTACCTTTTACTTGTTTATCACCAAGGACAGTACAAATAAATTGGCAAGGAAACTCATTGGCACTACAATTTTGCCCTTTGCAACTTCTCTCGTAAAAGTTTTAAGACACCTATGCACAAATATTGAGCAACTAGAAGCAATAAATCCTTATGAGCTCAGAGTGGATCTTGCAATAGCCAATATTCTTGAGAGGATAGTCATTGTGAAGTCTGCTCATTATCTTGTATTATCACTAGTTCATTGTTTCAGAACAGACCCTCAATGTATAGAATCTATAAGTCCTTCGTTTTATGTGAACATGTTTAGTAGGCTGACCACAATTTTGGAATTCGCTGATAAAAATTTTAAGAATAAAAGTGCTTATGAGGATAATTATGCATTCCCTGAAGAATTCAAAAACAATGACATTAAATTGATTCCTGGCAGCAGAAACTGGATCGCAGTGGACTTTGAATATGAAGATGAAGACATTTTATTTCAAATGTATTATTCTTCTATTATGACGTGAGCATGACACATTTCTATGTTTGATCAAAACTGCCAAGGATTAATAGTCCATGATTCAATGAAATTTATGATGAGGCTGGCTTTTGAATATGAGCGGTGGGAGATGGATGCTTTTATGGTCACCACTGGGGTAATTTACAATTTCTCAGTCCTTCATCCGAACTCCATGCTGAACTGCCTTCCTGTTATAGTAGACATAATAATCAAATTCATTTCACTGATGAAGATCCCTTTAGAAAGCTATTTTCTGCTATTCCAAGTCTTAAGAAGCATTCATCCTAAGCTCTCTTATTCTCCTCTTGCACAAAAGCTGCAGATAATAATTGCTCCTTTAAGAGCAATTTTATCCTCTGACTTGCCTATGCTTAAATACTATAACTACCCTATGCTGGAAGAAGTTATCCCTCTTGAAAAAGGTCAAATAGCAGTTGGACGTCAAAGACAAGAAAGAATAACTGAAGATGAAACTGATATGAGGACGTATTTTCCTTTGCAGTTTTTGCGAGATCTACCTGAAGAACTGTCAAGCACAAGCTACGAAATCTATCCTGGCCAAGCAATTTTTCAGAGAGAAGCAAAAACAATTATCCAATTAATAACCCCTATATCAAACCACGAATTGATGAAAGGCATTAAAAAGCTGCACCCAGTTCATGCAGAAGGAGACAAGTATGTTAGCTACAAAGACAAAAATCGAGATATCTTATTTGGTGCAGGCAAACAAGTGGTTGCTACTAAAACAACTATTTTAGAAAATCACTTTGAGAGCCGTGTGGACGAAATCTATAAGAAGTTTCTCATTGATAAGTTTGATAAAGAACATCAGCTTTAATTATATTGTAATTTAGGAAATAAATTTTCGAACTTAATTACTGTTATAACCAAAACACTACCTTATTTGCTAGACGATCTACTATGCCCATCTCTCAGTAATTCTTCAAATTTGACTCTTTCTTCAGGAGTAAGCATCTGCTCAAAAAAGATTCCCCTAGCTTTCAATGAGTTTATGCAGTTTCGTAATAAAACTATAAGGTTAGTATTCACATTTGGATCTTTATTCATGTAGTTGATTTTTCTCTGACTTGGCGACAATTGATTACTATGGGGCTTCCTTGAGTCATATCTTTGTGGGGATGATACAACTGTTGAGTTTTTGAAGTTTTCAATAGGCATCACAATGTATTTAAAAATCAAGCTTGCATATTGCTGGATAATTTCTGCAGGGAACAAACTCATGGCTTTTAATATTGCAGCAGGGGGAGGCGGGATTAGCTGCAAATAGGTAGCTAACCCTATAAAAAAATAGGGATAACTACCAAAATCCCAAAAATTAAGCAGGCTAGTTGATAAAATAATATAAAATTTTTTTAAATTAGCAGTCAAAAATAAACGCTTTGCAGCTAACCTGCCTAAATTTTTCATATAAAAAAATTACGTCAGTAACCTCTAAAAAAGAGATAACTGCTAAAAAAAAATTAGGAGGTATAGCTGAAAAAAAAAAGTAAGCTGTTAGCTGCCAAAATTTAAAAAAAATTAGGTGGTTAGCTGCCAACTTATATATAAAAATATTTGGCTCTCGACAACTCTACGTATCTTTGTTAATAATGATTATTAGAGATATTGCAGTGTATTAAATTCTATACAATTTTAACGATTTATAGCTTATTTGCTATTATATTATATACACTTTTTTAGAGGGTTACTGATATAATTTTAGATATGAAAAATCTAGGCGGGTTAGCTGCAACCATTTATTTTTGACTGTTAATTTAAAAAAATTTTTATACTATTTCGGCAGCTAGCCCGCTTAATTTTTGGGAATTTAGTAGTTATCCTTAGTTTTTTATAGGATTACCTACCTATTTGCAACTAACCCATGCGACCCTTGCAGCAGCATTCACCTTCTTGTGGTTTGATGACGATAAAATTGCCATTGCTTGGAACCAGTCAGAAATATTTAGATAATTTAAGCACTCTTCATTTGCCAGAATCGACTTATTGACCAAAAATAATGAGGTTAGAATTGACAGTGTCGAATATGCATCCGTCTTGGGAATTCCAAGGTACTGTATGTATTTCATAAATCCTCCCTGCACACGGGAAAAATCAACTGTACCGATTGTTGTTAAAAGTGCTAATGACAAGCCATCATATTCTAAGTTTCCTTCCAGAGAGCATAAGGGCAAACACCAATTGTCAATAAACTGAGATATTTCTAATGGGCTTTTTTCGGCTTCTTGATAGAGCAACAAGTACTCCTCTATAATCTTTATTGCAAGAGTTCTTTGGTTTTTATCAAAGTTTTTCATCAGCTGTAGTAAAGGTTCAACGTAAATTAAGTTTTCCTTTATAGCGTCCATATTTGCAATAAGATAGTGCCACAAATAATAGCATTTCTCAATGTGGTGCTTTCCTATTTGATTTAGCAAAAATGATGAAACTGCCTCGATGATTATTTTTTCTTCAGGATACAGATGGACAAGGCCTTCGAACATGTCAACAAGAGCTGAAATTATCAACTCGCTGTCTGAATTAAAGATTTCACTTAGGCCTGATGACTGAAATGCTGCCAGCAGTCCAGGGCATTTCTCAAAAGCTGACATATTTATCAGGGCTGACACAAATAAATCAAATTTAGCTTTAACCCTATATACATAAATTACCGGTTACGAGCAACTCGTCCTTCTCGTGCCCTACCCAGCGTTTAATCTTAACTCTAAACCTAATTATTCACAAATCAGCTTTGCAATTCACAAATATCAATCCCCAAAGCCAGCATTCGCCGGTCTTGGGCTGTTCGAGTCAGCCAGTATGATTGGTTGCTTTCGCCATCTTTTAAAAGTACTGACACAAGTGATATCATATTTCATATCATTTGAGGTATTGTTGACTGTCGAATTAAAACAAAAATATCTGTCGAAAAATCCTGTAAAATCGAAAAGCAGATCTGCGCTGGGATAGTTTGGTAGAGTAACTGCTTAATTGTTAGGCAGATTTCATAAATCACAATTCTATCGTTATTGCATGCTTGGCGAATTGTTTGAATTACTCCGTATATAGACACATAGTCAGTGATATTTCTGACCCATTTCCTCATTATTCATAAGGCATCTCTAAGAACTAGAAGCTTTTTGAATCCTTCGCATTGCAAGTTTCCTAAAATACTGACTCCCCCCCTCCGTGAGTTACCAAAACCATTAGAAAAATCGCTATTTTTGCCCAAAAACCCACCCTCGTGAGTGAAATTTTTTTTAAATAGAAAATGTTGTTTATGGAAAAAAAAATTGATATATAAGTGATAATTAGTATAATGAAATCTAGAGCTAATTCTGTTTAATTTTAAACAAATTGCTTTTTAAAACATAATTTTTATAAATTAAATTAATATTTGCTTTCCAATTTTTGCGAATTAGACTTTTTATAAATTTCGAAAAACAATATTTTCTTTAAAATTTATATAAATAAATAAATTAACCACCCTCTATGAGTGAACAAATTGTTTTGTTCACTCACGGAGGGGGAGTGAGGATTTCATCAAATGATATGCTGCATTCAATCCCTGTTTCTTGCAAACTTGGAACGATTCCAATCAAAATACAAACTGCATGCGACTTCGGAAACGGCAAGGAAGGGATTTCTCTTGCCAAGCCTGGAATATATTTTGCCAAATTTGGAAAGACTTTCACCAAAGCAAAAAGCAGCTTCTTCAAATAGGTTTCATCTGCTTGCTCATGATGCTGCAGGAAATCTTCGATTTCACCCATTTCCCACAACTCTCATCGTTTGCCTCAGCCTTCTTGGTCCAAAATTTTTTGTAGTAAACCTTCTGGATTTGCTTGAAGAATTTGCTGTGCAGCTGGGTTACTGATAACCATTTCTTTTAAGTTAAAGCAAGACTGTCTTAAAAGAGCATCCCTTTCAGGGGTGTTTGGCTTTAACTCAGAAATGATTTTGCAGTTCAAGTCAATGTAAATCAGCAGTAGTTCGCTTGAAAGGAGGTCAGGGAAGCTTGCATCTATTAAATTGATGCCTTTTAAAATATCTTTGGCAAGAGTTTCTCCATTCATTTTGTAAAGACTTTCATTAGCTTTATTGAGAAATGACCTTAAGACGTCAGAATCTTGAATTACTGTAAGCAGCTTTAGCATGATTTTATCTAAATAATCAGAGTTCATCTGCAGTCAAGCTGCTTTTATTCCTGGGTAAAGCTTAATAGCGAATTCTTTGAACTGAACTCTAAAAATTCTTCTTCTTATTTGTACTTTTATGACGGTATTTACTCCCCCGTGAATGAACAAAACTTTGAAATAATCCCTAATTTTTGGGTAAAATCTACCTCTGTGAATAAACAAAAACTTTTTGCAATCAAAATTTTTATGAACAAATATATTAATATATAAGTGATTATTAGTATAATGAAATCTCTCAAATTCTGTTTAATTTTAAAGAGTTACAAAAATAAAATTTACACATTAATTCATATTTTGTTTTAAAATTATTTTGAGATCTGATTTTCTTAAATTTCGAAAAAATTATATAAAATTTATGAATAATTTTTTTAAAAAATTTAACCCCCTCTCTGAGCAGACAAGATTATTTTGCTCACTCACAAAGGGAGAGGAGTTAGTAATTTTAAATAGTCTTCATCAGGACTCTGCGATTTAGTAATTAGCAAAGTTTCTAGTTGCTTTCATTGGTCGTAAAAGCTATGCTTTGATATTGTGCCAACACAAATCTGCAGCAATTCTCTTAGCTTATTATCCGGTTCTGGATCAATAAAAAGCTTGTTGAGTAGAAATTCCTTACTTCATAATTAGCAAAATTTTACTTATTAGAAGTTGTCGACAGAGTTATTAATTGCAAATTTGTATGAATAGATCGAAAAATTGCTTACTCCACCATTTGTGATTTTACTTTAAAACCATCCATAATCAAACAAAAATTATTTTAATATAAAAATTTTTATGAAAAAAAATTGTTATATAATAATTATTATAATGAAATTTTTAGCTAATTCTGTTTAATTTTAAATAGCTGAACTTTCAAACATAAATTTTATAAATTAAATTAATTTTTGCGAATTGGGATTTTTTTTTAATTGCTATAAAATTTATCTATACAATTTTGTTGTAAAATTTAATCCCCTTTTCCACAAGGGAAATTAATAAATAAATTTTTACATTTCGTTAGAATACTCTTATAATAAGCAAATTTCGATAAAATTTACTGTTATTTTGTAGTTTCATCCTAATAAGCAAAGTTTTGCTTGCTATTTGGGAAGTTAATTAACTCCCTCCTTTGGTTAGCGAACAAAAAAGTCATGCTTGATAATCAACTGTGTTATAATTTATTCACCATAATAAATCTATACCCTATCAGAATACCGATCAGAAAAAATATGGTTCAGGACATCTACCTTATACAGTCTAAGTCTGATTAGGCATCTTAAAGCAATAAATGAAGATTTGTTATTTTCGTTTTTATTTTTAAAAAAAGCTGACAGGTAAACTATGTTTAAAAAATTAAAATAAATGATCAATAGTGGTCTAAAAATGCATGGCAATAATATTTTTTTAAATTTTATATTTAAAATATTTTTATTTTTTAAAGAAATTCAAATTTGTAAATATTAAATAAAACAATCTAATTTATTCATAAATTAATGTTTTTCTATATTTGCACTTTGTACCAAAATGCTAATTATCCAAGACTAGGGATTTTCTAATAGTTTTGCTTACGAAACAATGGAGATTAAGTATTTTTCAGCTTCTGGCACAGGTGCAGGCTTTACACTGTTTCCGACAACATGCCACTGCCTTACAATTGCATTTTTTGCAAGCAAAAGAGCGGCAAGCTTGCTTGTTGTGTTTGAAGATTGCTGATATATAGTGAATAAAGAAGGCAAAAAGCCTTGTTTATCCTCCAAAGTAGCAATATACTTTTCTGATGGCACTCTTATAGAAGAATCTGGATGAATTGCATTTAACAGCAAAACTTCGTCCATTTTGTTTAAATTTGCAAGGAGTTAATTTTTATGTAGTTTATAAACGTTTTAAATACTGCAGTTCATCATATAGCGCTCGTACATTTGGAAGCTCTTCTTGCAGCTTCTGTTTTATTTCCTTAACAAGTCTTTCTAAGGATTTATTTTCTGGGTTTTGCTTTAAATTACTTTGAAATTCTTTTAGCTTTTCTTTATTGAATTTCAGTTCAAGCAGCTTGGCTTCGATCTGTTCTATTCGGTCTTCTATATTGTGAGGCTTTTCAGTTTTGGGGGAATCAAATTGAGAAATAGATCGTGAGTGAACTATTGGGGTCATTTCGAGTTTTTCAGTCATTGCTGCAGGAGATGGAGCTCTAATAGGCATTCTTATCATTGAGGAAAGATTCATGTCAATATTCGTTGCGGCAGGTGATGCAGCTCTGATTGGCCGTTTTATCATTGAAGAAAGGTTTATGCCAATGTTCCTTGATAGTTCATTGGAAAATTCTGATGTTTCAGGCTTGGCTTGATTTGTCGGTTGCTGTGCATCATTTAACCTTCTTGGAGGCCTTCTTTGTTTTTTCGCTGCAGATGCATTATCAACCCAGGTTGGGTTTATTGATTGCAAAGGAGGCATTTTTGATGGTTTTTCTTTAATTTGTTCTCTTTTATCTTTTTTAATTCGTCATTTTTCAAGCCACCGATTTGCATATTTTCTTACTAATTTTCAAGATTTTTCTTCTTTTTCTCGACTGTCTTCTCTCACTTCCCCTCCATGCAAGAGAGCAAAATTTTACCTGCTAATGAGGAAGGCTAATTATTTTTTTAAAAAATTTCATTTTTAAAAAATAGAAATTATTACTTATAGATTTTTAAAATAATTTCTTTGCTATATCACATAAGGCGTTTTCAGATTATAAGGATTTTTCAAATGATTTTGCTTGCTCAAAGATGGGAGTCAGCATTGATTCTTTCTTTTCTTTCCAAATTAAGCCAACTTTCAGTCACAAAGCCATGCTTTCTCTTCTAAGCTTATCATAGTGAAGTTCTTTTGCATGATTTTCAAGTTCTTTTTTAGATTTTCGATAGTTTGTAAATTGAGATCACGCGCTAAGCCCTTTCTTATAAGTTGTTTTTGACCAAAATTTTACTGAAGTAAAAAATCTTCTCCTTTTTAAGTCTTCCAAAATTATGAGTTCCTTGAGCTGGTTCAATGCTAACTTCGCGAGATTTTTATTGTAGAAAGAGATTGCGTCATTTAAGATAGCTCTTTTCATCCTGATAATGAACTTATTCAAAGCAAAAGCTTTCATTATTTTTTTCAAAAGTTTTATATTTCGGATCTTGTCAGCTCTTTTTTTCATAAGTTTGTAAGCTACTTTTGATCTATAGCTATTAGTTCAGTTTCTCAAAGCTTCTTGTTGGACTCTATTTCCTTCTCTTACTCTAATAATTTCCGTTGCTTTTCCGTCTTTTTCATGCAGTGATCTTTTCTTCAAAAGTGCCTTTACTCAGTCCTCAAATATTTTTTTCTTAAAATTGTTCTCACAAATTTCTTCCACTTTTTGGCGTTTATAAGCAATTTTAGTTTTTAAAAGATACCTTTTAATCCACAAATGAAAACAAGAGCCTACCAAAAATAAAGGGTGATTTTTTTGGATAGCTTTCCTTTTTCTAATTATAGTTGAATTTCTTATTAAAACCAATCTCCAACCTCTCAGGGACTTTCTTACTCCCCCCCCCCCCTCCGTGAGCGAACAAAACCATTAGAAAAATCGCCATTTTTTGACCAAAAACCCACCCTCCGTGAGTGAACAAAAATTTTTTTAATAGAAAAAATTTTAATGGAAAAAAATTTGGATATATAAGTGATAATTAGTATAATGAAATCTAGAGCTAATTCTGTTTAATTTTAAACAAATTGCGTTTTAAAACATAAATTTTGCAAATTAAATTAATATTTGCTTCCCAATTTTTGCAAATTAGGATTTTTTTAAATTTCGAAAAAAATATTTTTTATAAAATTTTATATATAAATTTTTTTAAAAAAAAAAATTAACCCCCCCTCCGTGAGCGAACAAAAAATTTTTTTGTTCGCTCACGGAGGGGGGGGGGGAGTTAGCAAGTTTTTTAAATAAAGCTTTCTAATTGAAGGCATAGTATTAGTCTTTCACCTTTGAATCTCCAATGCATATTTGAGAGATTTTATTGTCTTTTTTCTTGCATTTATCATATAATGCCTATTTGAATAAGCAATTTTCCTTCTCATTACCTTTTTATCAACGCAAAACCTTTTTCAACATGCAATTGACAGTCTTGCAAGCCTCTTAATATATTTGGTATTTGCCAATTTTTGAAATTTAGCTTCTTCTTTGAACTTTTTCCAGAGTTGCAGTGCTTCCTTTCTCCATTGATTCATTCTAATTATTCTTGCAGAGTTAAGTAGATCTTTTATCCTTTTGCGATTCCCGCAAAATTCGATTCAGCTTTTAAAGCCTTTGCAGTAACAATTTGAAGACCAGAATTTCAGGGCAACATACTCATTTTCCTCAATTAGAACTTTTTGTGAATGATAAGCTTTTCAGAGCTTCAAGGCATTTTTCATCAATCTTGATTTGATTCAGGATTTCAGAGTTTGAGGTTTCTTTGTTACAGATAACGGCCTATATATGAGATTTATTTTTCGAGGTTGATTAATTGTTTCTATTTTATTAACTTCTGAGTTACTAGCTGATTTTTCAGTTGAGTTGATCATCTGAGATTCCTGAATTTCATTTTCCATAGTAAATTTGATTATTTAAATCTGTAATTAGTGAATTAATATAAAATATTTATAATTAAATTCAATATATCCTTACAATAAGAAGTGAGTTTTTCATTTCTATAGCATCTCATATTCTCTAATTAAATCAATTAAAACATTAATTTATTTCAAAGCCAATTATCTTATAGTTCCAAGCAATATAATAAACCTTCCTATAAATTAAGTCATTGCTAAACTAATGCTTGCTATTAAAAGTTTTAAGGCACTAAATTCATACGTCACAATGAAGTTAAAAATGTAAAAAATTACATAGGTCTGAAAATCAAAATCCCAAAGAAAAAGCATTGGATGGGAAAAGTAAAAATATTGGCCACTATCTCCTTGGCAGAACAATAGGTGAAGGGACTTTCGGCAAAGTGAAGCTTGGAAGCCACAACTTGACTGGAGAAAAAGTCGCAATAAAAATTTTAGAAAAAGATCGAATCTGCGACGTTGCAGACGTAGAAAGAGTTTCAAGAGAAATCCATATTCTCAAACTCATTAGACATGCTAATATAATTCAACTTTATGAGGTAAACTGCATCATAGATAATAGAAACGCCCTCAAAGCTGTACTTAATCATGGAGTTTGCTAATGGTGGCGAGCTCTTTGATTATATTGTTGCTAATACAAGGATTAAAGAAAAAGAAGCATGCCGATTTTTCCAACAAATTGTGGCAGGAATTGAGTACATCCACAAGCTGAATGTTGTTCATAGAGATTTGAAACCGGAAAACCTTCTATTGGACCATAATAACAATATTAAAATCGTTGATTTTGGCCTCAGTAACACGTATAAGCCTGGAGAGTTGCTGAAGACCGCATGTGGAAGTCCATGCTATGCAGCCCCTGAAATGATACAAGGGAAGAAATATGTGGGCTCAAGAGTAGATATTTGAAGCTCTGGAGTCATTTTATTTGCTATGATATGTGGATATTTACCATTTGAAGACCCTAACACAGGACAGCTCTATAAAAAAATCATTGCTGGCGAGTACCATTCCCCGAAATTCATTTCTGCAGAAGCAAAAGACATTTTGAAGGGCATACTGAACACTGACCCAGACAAAAGGTACACTATTGAGCAAATAAGGCAGCATCCTTGGTTCAGCCAAGTGAAGCAAGAAACGACCCCAGGAATCCTTGTAGGCTATGATAGCATCAATGTAGATTCAGAAATTTTAATGAAGCTTCAAGAATACAGCATTGATACTCAATATGCTCAAAAATGCATAGAAGCAAATAAGCATACTCATATCACCACAGCGTAAAGCGTATGCAGGTATTATTTATTGCTGAAAAAACACTTACAAAATGGTGGGACTTCAGTTGCTGATTATAGCTATCTTTCTGATAGCGAAACAACGCATATTATTCCTCATCCCCCGCATAAACTGAACCAGAGCTTTAACCAAACTATATCAAATGCGCCTCATCCTCCTTTATTTAAACTGAAAAATGAACAACTAATAACTCCATTAAACCCTCGTCATCGGCGATTGGTAAACACTACAGTCTCATACAAAATAGGTAGCACTGGAGGCTCTGGGTCAAAAGAAATCGAAGCAATAAAGCCTGAATACCCTACAAGCATGACTCAGAACTACCACCTTAGAGGAATATCGCACCAAATAAATACGTATAAATCTGGCTCACCTAAGACTAGGGGACACCACTCAGTTTCTCCAAAAAATGTAAATCCAAGACAAAAGCATCTAAAATATAGACTTATTGGAAGAGAAACCATGGGAGTAGCAGGAACGCCTCGACCTCCTACACGAGTGACACCAAATGGTCAAAGAGCTTCAGGATCTAGAGGAAGAGTAAAAACTCCAGGGCTAAATGACAGTATCGATTTTGATACCAATAAAAGCTTGAATAACACCTTTAGATTTAGTCCAAGAACAGCTATTACAGCTGATGGGAGCCATGGACGTCGAGGGAGAGCAAGCAGAGAAAAATCTTATTTGTAATTATAACTATTTTTATTCTACCATAATTGTCCATTTATAATCTTGCTAAATTCATTTTTAATATCTCAACAATTTAATCAATTCAAGTGTCAATAATAGATAAATTTAATGCAATATAACTCTTATGGGAAAATAGATGGGATCTCTACCACCTCTCAAACGACCCTTTTGCAATGCACCGGAATTGAAACTTGATAAATCTTTTAATTTTCTCAAAAAGGGCTAAGAATAATAATGATCATGGATATTGAAAGCCTCGCAAGAGTGTGTCTCAGGAACATCCAAGACCTAGGTGGGTCCAGGACCAATCTGCCAGCAGGCCAAGGTTAGGTATATTTTAGCTCTCGAACTCCTCGAAAGACTTGAACAAGCTGAGAAATGGGAAAAAGAAAACTACGTTTCCCTGAACACCGAGCCTACAGAAGAAACGGAGCCTCCAATCCTCACTTTTCCCTCGCTGCCTTCCCTGCAGCCGCTCCCCCGAATGTCTGATAATCCTAAAGATATAATATTTGATGCTTTTTTATGTGACAAACCGGTTCCCTCTCTCGCTCCTATTAATACAGACCGTGTTTCTCTTCTTCTCAAGGCTTTAGCGCTTTCAGTCAACGCGCAGCCTCTTCTTCCCGAAGAGAAGTCGCTTTTGACTCACTTCATACAAAATAAGAACTACCCTTCGCTTCAAACTTTTATCTATCAGAAGCTCTTACACGGATACTTGGACTTGCCTGAATATTACTCGCAGCTCGTGTCCTTCCTCATTGATTCCTTCCCTAGCGTTGAAGTGGCGGCTGAGGTGATAAGAAGGCTGCCTCTCCTCACTGAGGAGCTGTGGAAATACATCTGGGCGCACTCGCACGAGTTCCTGTACCTTCTGAAGGAGCTCGTTCTCACTTGTGAAGAAGGCATTCAAGGGCTGGACGAGATGTTTGGGATGCTTGACTCAGAGGAAGCCTTGGTGCAGAGCCACGCAACTTCTCTGATATCGAAGCAGCTCTACTTGGTGTGCACAGAGGAAATCGAGCAGCGGGCTATCCAGCAGCTACAGCAAGTCTGGTAAGAAACATTCAGCTTTGACACTTTAAACTCACACAACTTCGAGCCCAAAATCCGCCTTTTCTTTAAGTTGTTGAAGAGGAATCCTGAACTTCTCTCTTCACTCATTCCGATTTATTCGCAGATCGCGAGTCCGTCAGTGAAAAACGTGATACTCCAGTACTTTGCCAGGAGTTTTACCAAAAATATTCCTCAAAACCATCCGATACTACTGGAAGCATTCGAAAATATCAGTATCTTTTATGCAGGCCATCCGTTTACAAGAGACGCTTTTAACATCATCAGCCAGCTACAGAGTATACACCAAGACGTAAAGACTCTCTTGATAAACAAGGTGCAGGCAAATGAGCACCAAGTTTTGCCATATTTGGCTCCACATTTGAATATGGTGATTTTCATGTAGGAAGATATTGCTCAGCTGCTTCCCTCTCTTCTTGGCTTGACAGAGCAGCAGCGGCAGAACTACCTTGCAAAGATTTTTGACGCTCCAGATATAGACGCTTGTGACTTCCTTGTGCTAGTTCTCCAATTCCAAGGATCACCCACTCAACTAGTCCAGGTTCTAAAAGAGCTTCTAGATCTGCGGCACATTTACCCTCCAGAAGTGCTTCAAAGAGTCACTGAAAAACTGGTCAGAGTTGAGCCAATCCCTGAGCTATGCATGTACTTCATCTTAAAAGCTAACGAGCTATACTCCCAGCTGAAGGTCTTCTTTATTTCTTACGCTCTACCTCATCTCCTAAACAGGAAGATCTGGGACTATCCACGAATTTGGAAAGGGTTCGTTGCCTTTGTGGAAAGAACTGTGCCAGAGTCCTTACAAGTCCTCGAGCTGATGCCGAACGACATTCAAAGTAAGCTGTTAGAACGAGAAGTCATCAAGAAAGGGAAGGTTGAGGACTCTTTGAGAAGGCAAAAGAGGTAAATAATTTATGTTTTATAATAAAATAGTGAGTTATTAACGCTGGATCCACTCTACACTTTGTGTATCTTTGTGTTAATTAAGTGTACATATCTCTTCTTGTATTGGATGTCGAGCCATCTTGTGACTCCAGTTTCTTGCTGGTCTTTTTGCTTCGGTTTCTGATGCTTTCGTTTATCGTGGAGTTGTGGGAAGACTTGGAGCTGAAGCAGTTCACAGCGCTGATTTTGAACGTCAGGGAAAGTCTTCTTGCTGAGATGGCTTCTCCTAACAAGTTGCAGAATAAGTCAGGGTCGTCACCGATTTTTGCGCTTTCACAGATAAATTCAGTTAAGGAGCCATTTTCTTTGATTCCTCTGCAGAAGCAAATCAATGCTTTGTTGTCGAGTGAGTCTATTTCGAAAGAGTAAGATAAGTTTAGATATCTTAACACCCTGTGAGAGATAAGAGCCTTTCCAAGAGAGGAAAGAGCTGAGTTGGATTTAAACTCGTTATATGATAAATCCAGCTTGCTCAGCATGTCTGGCAAGGATTCTACTATATATCCCAACCCCTTTGCTGAAATTTTATTGTTTTGGATATCTAAGGAAGTAATTGGGATTTTGCCTAATAAAAGCTGTTTTAAATATTTAATTCCTTTATCACCTAGCCCGATTCCACCCAAGCTGAGCTCTTGAAGACTAGTATTCTGCTGCAGCCCTGCCAAAAATTTAACTAAATGCTCGCTTTTTCTGAGAAAGGAGACCCCGCTTAAATTCAAATACTCCAAGTGAGTATTTAAACTAATGCTGATCGCAAACTGCCTCACAATACTTGAGTTTGCAAATGCGTCATTATTGTACCCTAAATCCAGCCTCTGTATGTAGCGGTTATGAGCTAAGGTCTCCGATAAGCAGAGTAATGCTTCACAAGACAAACAGGAATCATATAAATTCAATTCATAGAAGGGCGAGCTACAGTTCAAAATATTTAATAAACCTTTTGGATTCGTTATCAGATTTCCTTGAAGATTCAGAGATTTCGCTCGGTTCTTGCCGCCCCTGTCTAAGAGTTTTCCTAAAATTGAGCCTGTCAATTCATTAACTGGAATTCGATTATTACCCAAGTCAAGTGATTTTAGCGCCAAAGTCTTTTTTAGCTGAATTAAGGGTTTAAATGTCCTTACTATAGAGTCTTGACTCAGCATGCAATTTTGCAGCACAAGTACTTTGATTCGGTTTGTGAGATTATAATGATTTTGAAGTTGGGATGAAAAATACTCCACAGAATGGCTCACTAAGTATTTATTTGAGAGGTCAAATCTTGTGTAATGAAGCTCAATTTGTCTGTCTATAAAATCGATTGTTCCTCCGTCTTCTAAGTCTTCGAGCTTATTTAATTGCTCTTGGATTTCTTGTATGTCCATATTGATTTAGTATGAGAAAACTACTTAAAACTACATAAAAAGATGATTAAATTCGCATATAACTTCATTATATTCTTTACAGCTTTAAAATATTAGAACTAGCAGCCATTACGCATCAATATATGATTCATTAGATATACTTTTGTCATATGAAGCATTATGACTTTTAGCTCTTAGAGGAGGCAGTTTGAATTCTTTCTTTTTTACCTTTCTCGAATTATTTTTTGGAGGCGTTTTGCTTCTTGATTTCTTTACTCTGTTTTTTCTCAGTAATGACTCATCAACCAAGGTTCTGAAGACCACTCTGTCGTTGACACGACCTTTCTTATTAATCTAATTCTCTCTTACTCCATCTCTATCAATGAGCCAAAGCTTTGGTTATTAGAGTGCTTTAGCACAAATTATAAATAATAAATTTTATTCTAAATTTGTTTATATTTGGGTGGAAAAATTCGATTCATGCATATGAATTTTACAGTGTAATTCTGTCTTTTCAACCCTAATAAGCAAAATTTTTCTTATTGTTGGGGGCGAAGTACGAGTTTTTGCTTTCGCAGTAATTTTCGTTTATCATAAGTTGCAAAAAAACCTGACAAATTTGGGTCTCTTAAGCTGTTGTATTCAGGGATTTTGCAGCTTTCAGGCGTTGTTTCGACTACAAACTTTTGGTACCGATTTCTTGCATTATAACTCCGTGAGCGATATTTTATTCTTAAGTCCATCTTTAGATCATTAACATGTTAATTAATTTGTTTTAATATAAATGGGGTGTCTTAAAATACAATAATGATGAATGGGGTCCAAGAGCTGTTAGTAGCTATGGCTGAAACTTTTATTTATAAAGCCATTTATAATCAAAAATTATATTTACTTGCTGAAAATACAATAGAAAATTCATTTTCATCCCTTTTTTCTGATAAAGCTTGTGATAGTTTGCAGCAATCAGTTAATCAGCATGAAATCAATGAAGCTCTAGCTTCAAGCAGTCAAAAGAAGCATAAATACAAGAAAAAGAAGAAAAGATTTAAATCGGGCTTGCCATTAACTCCTAGAGTTAAATATAAATTGTTAAAGGTTAAAGCAAATATAGTTAGAAAGCGCATTATTGTTCACAGTTTTGAGTATGTGAGAATAGTTTTAGAGCAAATGTCTTATCGTCAAAATCCCATTGTGTATGAACTGTAAGTAAATTCTAGATAAGCCAAAGATTTCATATTAGCTCTTAAAAATAAAATAAAATTCAATATCCTTACTGAAAATATAGAAATAAAATGGTGGAGGGCAGCGTTCGGGAATGTATATCCGGGCAGGTTTTACATGGTTTGTGGGGAGCGCAATGTCGGATTTACCCGACCGCATGCTCATATTCTGGTCAAGGTTTTACCAATGGAAAAATATAGTAATTGCTGGAGCCAGAAGGGGACACTTTACCAATTGGGCAAAGTCCCTTGCGCGATACTAGGCTTGCGTACTGAATTCTGCATTCCATTTTGGCCGATAGTCCGACAAAAAATTCGTTTTTCAAATTTTTTTAAATGCAAACCCTGTTAGCGTACGGCAGGTGGCCCAGAGTTTCTTACTCTCGTTCGTAAGGAACAGCACAGTGGAAGACCGTGTCCTGACTTGCAAGAAACGTTGAAGCGTTACGCGGAGGCCGAGTAGTGGTCTTTGTACTTGCAGGGTGCTTCTCTATAAGTAATTTAAGTTGAAATCAAACGAGACAAAGGTCGATGAATTTTTCATTAGCTTAACTACTGAAGATTAAATAATTTCTGTAAAAATTTGCAAAATAATTTTTTGAAAAAATAATTAAAAATAACAATTAATTAATTTGCCAGACTTCACTTAAGTTGGCACTCAAATTAGCTAATTACATATAATTGCCATTTAAATATCAACCATATTTTACAGCTTATATTAATACAAAATTACCTTTCCAGAAAAAAACTTAATCAACCGTGTTTATCTTAAAATATTCAATCAATATTTAATCAGTTAGCCATCTTATCGTCTGTTTCAAACCATATTGTCTTTTATTTAAATTTTATAAATAAATTGCAAACCTCTCGATAATCCATGGGGAAAAAAGCATTCATAAGCAGACATATCGTTCTCTGTAGTAATTCCGTCACTAAGTGCAGCAAGCCAGTGTATGGAATAATTTTAATTGACAACGAAGTAATTTATGATGTTATCACGATCGAGAAGGACATTCAAGTCTACGAAGTGATTGAGAAGTACTACGATTGAAACCCTGTTGACTGTGAAGACCTTTATATTTCCCCAGGCTTAATAGACCTAAGCGTTAGAAGAGAATGAGAAGACTATTCTCACCTCACCAAGGCTGCAATTGCTGGAGGTGTCTCTTTTCTTCTAGAAGAAGTCGGCTACTATGTGGATCACCCTACCTCAACTGGTGAACTTTTCTGTGATATTGGGAAATTAGCCACAGTGGACATCTCCAGTTTTGAAAGGATTAGAGAACTTTCTGGGCAAGGCTATCTGGGAGTCCGAGGGTACCTTTTTCCTCCAAGTTCTACAGTTCAATGCATTCCAAATAACCTCAGCGTAGTCTTTTCAGAAATTTCCCAGATGCAAATGGTTCTATTCTTAGATCCAACACTTGCAAATCCGAGGATGCTCTATATAGCCTCTCCTATGAGACTGGTAGGGCTAGAAGAGAGATTCCAATCTTCAGCTCTGAGCGGCAGTCCAGCTAAGATTTTTGCGGGGGCTTTTCCTGATAATGCCGTGGAGTCAGAAGAGTCAGATAAAGACGAAGAAGTAGAAATCCCAGTAGCCAGGCTTAGAAGGATGACTTTATGTATTGATAACTATTCCACTCCTATAAAAAGCAGATCAAATTCAGATATGTGAACTGATGTAGCTACCAAGAATGACCCAGAGCTCAAAATCAACTCAATAGCTGAAGCAGGAGAAGAAGAAGAATTAAGTCCAAAAAAAGTGAGGAAAAACCTGCATACAATTTTCGATGACCTAGACAAAAGGATCAAGGAGAGCTACCAAAGTATTGAGAACCTAAGTTTGGCAGAGCAAAACACATATACAAACTCAGGGTCTACTAATTTTACTTCTCTATCTCCTAGTAGGTGCAATCCGATAGATAGCGAGCATAAGCAAGAAAACTCTTATCGCTCTAGGATAGAAAAACGACGACCTCCCTCTTTAAGTATTAAAACAGAAGACAAAACAATCAAAGAGCAAGCATATTTGTACCATCTTGCAAACTACCCAGACCATTGGGAAACTTCAGGAGTAGAAAAAGTGATCCAAGAGCTAAAGAAATCAAGTTGCAGAGTTCACATCACAAATATATCATCAGCTGCAGCCATTAATAGAGTGAGGCAGGCAAAAGATGAATTCCCGCTGCTCACTTGTGAAATCCCGGCTTATCATTTAAGCTTTACAAGTGCTGCAATTAAGGATGGAGACACAAGATTCAAAACAAGCCCTCCAATTAGAAATCAGTCAAATTTAATGCTTCTGTGGGACTTGCTGAAGATGAATGCAATAGATTCAATTAGTTCTCAGCACGCATCAATAAAACCAGAACATAAAGCTTTGCACTCAGGCAATTTCCAAAAAGCTTTAAATGGAATAAACTCATTAGGCTTCACACTACAAGCTGTCTGGACTATGCTCAATGCTCCTGCGTCTACAAGTTCCCAGCTTGAGCATTATATTGTAAGGCTTGCCAAATGGTTGAGCCTGCGCCCTGCAAGGATTTTGAACATTGATGACACCAGAGGTAGCATTGAAAAAGGCAAATATGCAGACTTGGTAATTTGGGATCCTTATGATAGATTTAGGGTTAGAGAAATTTGGCTAAATGCCATTGAAGCTGAACATTTTGATAGTATGGCATTTTCTCAGCTAAATTTGGTCGAAATTTTTGATAGCAAGACATGTCTTATGGAAAAAATTCGGACAAATTTACTCGAAGAACTATCAAGCACTTCTAGCAAAAAGTATGCACCTGAGAAATTCAATCACAATATCCTGAAGTTTCTCCTTTTATAAATATGGACCTGATGGGGAAAATTCACCAGGTTTATCTGAGAGGAAAACTTGCTTTTTCCAACAATGAGTTCTACCCAAGAGGGAAAAAAGTATTAAAATTAGATGCTTAATGTTGTTGTTAATTTTCTCTTATAAAGATGAGCTTTGGTATTTATCAAAGCTATATAAGACAGCCAGAAAAATTTTTCGCTCCTTCTGTGCCTTATAAAGTCGGCAAATATAAAAGTCCAAGGCGGAATTTTAAAAGTCCTGAGGTTTATAGTTCTCATGCAGCTCCTGTTACAATTACTAACTTCTCCAACAAATCTCTTATAACTAGCAGACTTTCTTCAAGGGCTTCTCCAAGATATTCAACAGAGATGGATTGGTCAAGAGATAACAGAAAGTTGGATAACAGAAGAAAAACTTCAATGGATTTTCAAAAAAATGACTCATTGTATATGAATTCATACTCAGAATGCTCGAATCTGTGTCTGAATAAAGTGAATTTAAGTCTGGAAGAGCCTGCGATAAAACGACCTACTACAAAGTCAGTGCGGAGATCAACAGAAAGTGAAAACGTTTTTTCAAACCAAAAGGAAATTATTAGGGAAAGTTATGCTTATTTAAGACCGAAATCGATGAAATATACACAGTATCTGAAAGGGCATGAAGTGAGTGAAAGAAAATACCCAAAATCAAGCAGATCTTATAGCGTCAGGAGAGATGAGAGAGGACAAACTGAACAAAACCACAAAAGACCAAGAATTGAGAACTTGGAGAAATATACGTCAGAGAAAGTAAGAAATGTGAGGTCAACTCGATATGAATGCTTTTCACCAGGACTTTATCAGAGTGCTATAATTAGCAACTATTTACTCGAATTACAATAAAAATAGTAATGTGTAACATAAACAGGTTTCTTACTTTGTAATTAAAGATTTCGAATAGTCCTTGCTGTGTAACTGCGCGTCTAACTTATATTATTTTAATGAGTTTGCTTAATGAGTGGCTAAAATATGCATTATTACCATACTTGTAATAATTATTTCCCCAGCTTCACCATATAAATGCTAACTCTCCTTCCTCTGTGTGAGCAAGCAAAACTATTGGAAAATCCTATTTTCAGGAAAATAATAATCCCTTATTAGCGAGCAAAATATATAGTATTTTCTCTTTGATGGCCCTGTAAGGGCAGGCATTTTTAGCCGGAATTTTCTGAGGTTGGTCGGACCAACGCACAAAGTTGGTCAAACCAAATCAGGAATCCCGGCTAAAAATGCCTGCCCTTGCAGGGCTATTCAAGGGAATTAATTATAGCTGCAATTCTAAATCTAACGAATTTTATTAAATTTTTGGCAAATTACATTCCAAAACATACTTAATGTATAAATCTAAAAAAAAGCAACTCCATTAGTCAGGAGTAAGAGGATTTAACTGGGCCGTTTGCTTTTTTGTTTCTGGCATGTTTATATTTGGAGTCTCCAATGCCATGACAGCTAAATGAATGGATCAGACCGAGTTCGATGGAAAAACTTTTTCTCACCCTTACTTTCAATGCGCTTCAATGTTCCTTGGTGAATCTTTGTGTTTGGTATTTTATGTGATCGTTAAAATAATTGCAAAAAGAAAACAGTCTCAAAAGAATGACAGCTTTATCCCTAAAATATCAGCTGAAACTGACCAAACCAGTATGATAGCTAAATTTGGGCCTTTATGCTTTGCATTAGCGGCTTTTCTTGATCTTTGTGGATCTTTGATGGACTACATAGGCTTGAATCTAACCGCAATCTCTGTATACCAAATGATCAGAGCTTTCAGAGTTATTATTGTGGCAATATATTCTGTTATCTTTCTTAAGCGACATCTTTATAAGCATGAAGTCACAGGAATTGGGCTTATCTTTGTAGGGGTTGCTATTGTTGGGCTATCAAGCGTCTTATACAAATCAAGCTCCTCCAAAAATCCAGTGTTAGGGATAGTTGTAATTGGTATAGGACAGCTCTTTTCTGGGTCTAATTTTGTGCTTGAAGAAAAGTTTTTGAAGAAATTGAAGATTGATCCATTGAAAGCTGTCGGAATAGAAGGTATTTCAGGGATCTTTTATTTTGCGATAATCCTTCCAATATTAAACGCCATACCTTGTCATGGCAGTGATATGTGCTCTGATGGGTATGTGGAAGACTCTCTTAATGCTTTCTACCAAATAGGGACGAATGGCCTGCTCTTTTTCGTATGGTGCTTTTTCATGATCACAATCTGTTTTTTTAATTGGACAAGCATTGGAACTACAAGTGCTGCAAGTGCACTTGTCAGATCAATAGCTGATGCAACCAGAGCAATTATCATTTGGATTATCAGCATTTCAGTAGGATGGGAAGAGTTTGTATGGCTTCAACTTATAGGATTCCTTATTTTGCTTCTGGGGACAATGACTTATAACGAAGTGATTGTTTTGCCTGGATTTAAAAATTCAGTTATGAAAAAGAGACAAGATAAGGAGTTAGCTGCGAAGATAGAGCAAGAGAATATCAAAGCTATTCGAATAAGTGACATAACTAAAGATGCCAATTAATTTTTATTAGGGAGTATATGATCATGAGTTAAATTCTTTTTGTGCATTCTATTTTTGAAGAATTATCATTAACTAAATGTTAATTAAGCTTTGACTGCATCAGGCTGATTTTCAGGGGCAGCTCTTTGGATTTCAGGCAAAGCTAATAGAGCTTCAGTAACTCTGGAAACAATTGGGAATGGAGTCAAATCCACATTAAACCTTCTTGCGTTATAAACTTGAGGAACAAGACATGCATCAGCAATGGTAAGCTGATCACCTACACAATATGTCCCTGCAACTTGTTCTAGCACTCTTTCAACAGCTCTGAGCCCGTCAGTAATAACTTCAGCAGCCCACTCAGTTTTATTCCCTCCTAGAGCTTCAATTCTATTAATAATTGTCAAGTTTTGCAATGGCTGGATCCATGAATTAATTATTTCACAAATTTCCCACATCTTGGCCCTAAGAATCGGTGTAGAAGGAAGTACAGAAGGAGTTGGTTGGATGTCTTCAAGATAATGAATAATGGCTAAGCTTTGAGATATTCCAACACCTTCTCCATGTAGGTATGGGACTTGCTTAAGAGGATTCTTCTCAATGAACTCATCGCCCTTTTGTTCTCCTGAAAGAAGATTGATAGCATGGTAATGGTGTGGGATGTTTTTGATGCTCAAAACAATTCTGACTCTCCAGCTGCATGAGCTTCTCCAATAGCTGAAAAGGGTGTAGTCCATATTCGAAGACATTTTATTGTTAATTTGAATAGCTGGATAGTCTAAAATTGATTAATTAAGCTTCTAACAGGAATTAGGCTGAACCACCGTTATCTTTAAAGTCATACAAAAATGGAAGCAGGATATCACAGTCTTCTTTTACAAGAGTTCCATCGGCACACATTTCTTCAGCGTTCAAGATTCCATCTTCTACAGTTGCGATGCCGTTAGAGACATCCTTAGTGATCCAGTTTGTGATTTCATGTGAAATTTCGGCATCGGACAATTGTTCTAGGAAGTTTGTTTTGGAGAACATTCCTTTCTTTATTGCATCTGCATCAACTGCTAACTTGCTTCCATTATTATAAAGAGATTTTAGGTTTTTAATTAATAGCTGAATAACTTATTATAATTAGAAAATAAAAACATTATTGTTATTAAGACTTATCGAGAAGCTCGCTGTAATTCTTGATGACTATCTTCACTCGTTATGCTCCTTTTACCAGCTTGCTATTCGTACTCGAGTTTACAAAAGTTGCTCCTTCCTGGACAAGGGCTCCACTCGCACCCCAGTACTTGAGTAAGCTGCGTCTCCGCCTATACGTCAGCAGTGTTGTCCACAATTAAAAATCAAAAGGGGGTTGAATTTTCTGGTCGAGTCTCGACCAAAATGGAAATCCGTAGCCCAGGGCATAACTCCTATTTTCACGCTCGGGAATAGTCAGACCCCTTTCAAATTTTCGGACCTATTTCCCACTTTGGAAAAACTTGGCATTAGAGTAAAGCATGCAGTCGGCCAACCCGACATTGCGCTTCACCAAACAAACAAAAAACCTAGCCGGATACACATTCCCGAACGCATCCTCCCTTTCTCAAGGTCCCTGCGCACCCTGTGGGATGCCAACTAAGGAGTTAAGAGGGTGGGGTTGGTACGCACACCATTTTATGTGTATAGAAAACATAAACACTTTTTTAATTTTTTTATAAAATAAAATTATTTGAAAATCATGACAAAAAAATATTTATTAAAAGTCCTAACTCATTATTAATCGGCGTTGTAAGCAGGAAACTACAATGAGAGCACAGATTAAAATTTTGGTTGCCATTATATGTTTATATTTGTTTAAAAATTAACGTTAAGATTTGTTAGTAAGCTAACGTTCAATGAACAAAAATGGAGTTTTTAACAATTTGAGCACACATTGAAAATTAAGGCAATCTTAAAAAGTGGGATTGATAATTAAATTCTATATGTAATAGTATTAAGTGTCAGGAGTTCTTACAAAATTTGTTATAAAAATAGTGAAATAACTATATATTTGTTAAATTAGTTAAAGGTCTTATTTTTTTAATATAATTAAGATCTATATAATAATCTACATTCAAGCCAAGCAATTCTCTTATTCTAATTAAAGATTAAAATTTGAAAAAATTTTCGTATAAAAATTGAGCAACTTATATAAAACATAAGGACTTTCGTATATACTTAAAGCAAGTTAGCATAAAAATATTCACACATTAGAGAGCAGATTGTTTTGTGAAGCATATTAAAATAATAAAACGATACCTCATAAAATCCTCTTGATAGCTTTTTCTATCCTCAAACAATTTGCTATTATGGGGTTTAGTTTTTAAGGGTGACCCTTTAGCTGGCTATATTAAGAAAACAGCACAGAGGGGTATAGCATTTCTATACTTGTTAGGAGGATTTACACCACTTGACCTCTTGACGAATATAAATCCTTAGGCAAAGCATGCAGAAGAGCCAAGTAGCAGTTTATTTCAACACGATTTTCCGGGACCCAACGTCTTGCGAATGAAAAGTCTAGGCGCTCAGTCAAGATGGCCAGTTGCTCCAAGAGTTCAGCGATTAATTAAGGACTAACGCCTCACATCTCTATGGCATCACTGGCACATAATAAATCATATAATAATTTAACTTAAGTTGAGAGGCATTCCAAAACATAAAAAAAGTAAAATATGAACATATAAATCATGTTTCTTCATATACCCGATATCAGTGTATCCTCCACATAGTTCGTAGCAGTAGGGAATACAAGCTTGGAAACAGAAGACCAAGGATTTGAAACCGAGGAATTATCCCCTCAATCCAATTATGGAAGTTCGAATATTCTAGTAGCTGTAAGATGCAGACCATTTTCTACTAAAGAGCTTCAGACAAACAACCAAAGTATTATCCGCGTGCTCGATGCCAATTCTCTTATATAGCACTTTCGCTTGAATAGCCCGATAACTGGCTGGCTTCATCCCGTTATCGGGCTATTCAAGGGAAAGAGCTATAGTTCTTACAGGCGGGTCAAAAATAAGAAGAAACAAGCCTGAAACCTTTATATTTGACTACGTCTTCAATGAAACAGCATCTCAAAAAGAAATTTTTGAAAAATCAACTCTTACACTAATTGACGGAGTTCTCAATGGCTTCAATTCTACAATTTTCGCGTATGGGGCCACTGGGACTGGTAAAACCTATACCATGATAGGAGATGGAAATTCTGCAGGGATCATTCCTGCAGCTTTCACTGATCTTTTCACAAAAATTGAAGCCAACCAACGAGAAAGAACTTATAGTGTAAGGATGAGTTATCTAGAAATTTATAACGAGTCTCTCAAAGATTTGATTTATCCGAGCAATATCGTTCTTGATATCAGGGAAGACCCTATTAAAGGAATCATAGTTTCAAATCTGACTGAATATATGGCAACGAATATTCAAGAAGTTATGGAGTGCTTAAACTTAGGAAACCAAAGAAGGACAGTTGAATCGAATGAAGTCAATGTGGTGTCAAGCAGGTCTCATGCGATATTACAGATAATCATTGAAAGTAGAGATAAAGCCTCAGGGATTGAATCTGAGCTAACTATTGGAAAGCTGTCTATGGTTGACTTGGCAGGTTCTGAAAGAAATATTATGACGAATAATAAGGGGATAAGGCTTATAGAAGGATCAAATATTAATAAATCGTTGCTTGCATTAGGGAATTGTATTAACGCCCTGAGTGAAAGAAATGAAAGGGGAGGAAGGATATTTATCCCATATAGAGACTCTAAGCTTACCAGACTTCTTAAAGACTCCTTAGGAGGAAACTGCAAAACAGTCATGATTGCGTGCATTTCCCCTTATTTTGAGTGCTGCCTCGACACATTAAACACACTTAAATATGCACGAAGAGCTAAAACTATCAAAACATGCATCAAGCGAAACATAGTCAACACTTCCCATCACATTGCAAACTACACCACAATAATTGCCCAGCTCAGGCAAGAGGTATCCTCTCTGAAAAGCCTATTAATTCAAAATAAATCAGGCAACTTTTCTCCAGTTGGAGTAGAAGGCCATCAAATTGAAATCAACAAGCACTTCCAAGCAGAAGCCAAGATAAGAAAGAAACTATTCAAAATCCAGCAATGGAAAGATGATATCGGATTTATTTTGTTTTCAAAGCAAACTGAACTGAACCATCTGAAGTCGCAAAAAGAAAGAGATGAAAACCTTTTAAACTCTTTAGGGGCTGAGATTGAAACTCTTACAGCTTCACTCAATAATCAATGAATTGAAGAGGAAAAGATGAATATCAAGCTAAAAGAGCTAGAGTCTAAACGTAATGAGTTTTATCGAACCTGAATGAGCAGTGGGCTCTCAGAATCCCAACTGTCTAGCCTAAAAATATATACAACCTTAGCCTTACCATAAACAGCAAGAAAAAAATTCTGATGAGAGGAATCGGCTTGGAGAATAGTCTTTTGCTTTTGCGTTATGAACCAAAATTCCATTCTCCAAGCCGATTTCTCTCATTAGCAAGTTTTTCTTGCTGTTTATGGTGAGTATAACGATGCTTATCTAAAAGAAAACATCTTTTCAATGAACATGATTTCCCTCAATAAAGGCAAAAAAAGCGAAAGCTCTTTTATAAAGCAAAAGGATGCATATATTAACTCCTCCCTGTGAGCGGACAAAATCATTGAAAAAATCCCTAAACCGTGTGAGCGAACAAAAATTTTAATGAAAAAAATTGATATATAAGTGATAATTATTATAACGAAATTTCTAGCTAATTCTGTTTAATTTTAAAGAGCTTGCATTTTAAAACATAAAATTTACAATTTAAATATATATTTGCTTTCCAATTTTTGCGATTTGGGGTATTTTTAAATTTTTTGAAAAAAAAAATTAATATAAAATTTATTAAAAGAAAAAAATTATCCCCCTCCGTAATCAAACAGAAAATTTTTTTTCGTTCACGGAGGCGAGGGAGTAAGCAACTTGAAGAACAGCTAAAATTACGTGACAATATAATTAAAAAAAACCAAAAAATCTTAAAGGACTCTAATCTTCGAGCATCTCCTGAGCTAAAAGAAGCTTATGAGCAGATCCAAACACTCAAAGAAGTCAATTCATCCTCTATTCTAACCCCTGATTTTAGTTCTAAGCCTTACACCTCACTAACTCCTGGGCCATCTGATAAGAGTCTTATATTTCCTCCAGTCCTAAATAGCCAAAGATCGCGACTGAAAAGAAAATCTGAAATCATCCCTCCCAATTTTAGCCTAAACAGACCCAAAAGAAAGACTTCTTTTGAGTCACCAAAGCGGACTGGAATTAATTTCTTGCATCCAGAAGCATCAAAAATGAGCTTGCACAACAGGAGCTTGAGCGGGATCAAAGCCAAAGCAGAGAACAGTTATTCCCAAATAAGTATCGAAAAAAATAAGCCAAAATCTAAAGCGCCCGCTAATTCAATAGCAGATAAATACAAGCAGAGCCTGTATATTCAACGACCGAGTAAATACCCAATCCAGCGAAAAAGCCGAATTTTCCAAGTGAGAAACTACTTTTCTCAAATCCGAAAAGTATCCAGCACATATGTAATGTAATTAATCTAACTCCCCCAATAATAAGTAAATCCTTGCTTATTCGTTAGGGTTTTACATAAAATTTTAAAATCGTAATAGATCGAAATTTGCTTATTAATGGGGAATTTTTTAGGGCAAATGTGAAAAATGAAAATTTTGGCAATAATAAGCAAATCTCGAAAATATATATATGAAATCTGCTATTTGAAAATTTTAGGCAAAACCTAAACGAATAAGCCAGAATTTACTTATTACTGAAGGGAGTAAGATATTTTATAATAATATGAGGAAAGCATGGCTTCTCCTCCTACTGTTATTGAGCCTTTCTTGTGCTCAATACAGTGGAGTTATTATGAAAAGCTGTTCTGGTTGACGCTTGAACAGGCTGCCACTTGTAAAAAAATTCATTAGAGAAGACTCCGAATTCTATAACTTGGAAATTATATATGAGGGCGGAGATCCCAGACTTATCTTTATAGACGAAACCGGCAAAGAAGCTGAGACCGTAAACGTCTCCGACTTGGATCAAAAAGGTATCAAAAAGGTGCTGGAAGACCATGGGTTTTACCCAACTCACTAATTTTATTGAATTTGGCAAGTGAAGTTTCTCCCTCAATGCTGGAAGAAAGTGAGCCGATTAGTTCAGTAAAAGTTATAATGCAAAATTTACTGTAAATTTGTGCTTTATTAATAGTCTTTTGGTTATTTTCATATAAAATCAATTTATAAAGCAGTTATCATGGCGAGGCCAACTCATGTAGACAGTCAAAGAATAATTTCTCTGCTAGAGGAGATGAACCAGAAGCTCAGAATCCTCTCGTGGCTTTCTGAAGAAAACCTTGAAGAAGTTTCATATCGGCAAGAAGAGCTCAGCAGCATTTTAGATGGAGATCTTGTAATCAGTTTAATCAACCATCTCCGTCTTATGCAAGCTTTCAATCAATATATTACCAAAAGTGACGGAAGGGCCGAGCGGAACTTCCCTCATCAGCGTAAATTCCTCACGTTTTTTACCGACGTTTTTAAATTTTAAAAATTCGCAGAAAATATCCTCATTTTTTTGGATAAAAAAAACGCTTTTGATTGGGCTTGGCTGACGTCATAAAACGTCAGATGGGGAGTTAGCGAACCAACTTTTGCTGCCAAAGTAAACTCCACAGATGGCAAATCCTCTTTCTATTGCAAATTTTGTTATCTGGAGATTTGACTTTTTTTTATCTGGAGATTTGATTTTTGCCAGCAAAAGTTGGTTCGTCAACTCCCCATCTGACGTATCCCGATGCCAGCCAAGCCCGATCCCTGCTTTAGATCGGGCTATACCACATTTAGTTCATAATTGATTAATAGATATCCATGACATCGACATAGAAAACGAAATCCCAGAAGACGCCAAAACAATCGGCCACCATCTGGAAGTTAGCACAAGTGAAGTTTGCCGATGGCTGGCAAAAGACCCATCTTCCTTCGAATATCTCACCAAAATGATCAGCCGCACTTCTTCAGGGACCAGAAACTTCTCTGAGACCACCAAGGACTTGCAAAAACTCTATTTAAATAAGCTAATGACTCCAGTTGAAGAAGAAATGAACAGGGAGCGTGAGCTTCAAGAAATCGAAGAAAAACTGACCAAGTCAAAACAAGAAGAATCCTCCTGGAACGACAAGCTGACAAACTTAAGGCGGCAACGAGAAGAAGGCAGAGAGAACAGGAACAAAGAAATCCAAAAACTCAAAGCAGAAATAGAAAAAATAAAAAAGGAAACTGAAGACCGTATCAATGGAATCAATAAAACAATACAGAACAGGCAAAAGAAGTCCAAGCAAGAATACGAAAGCAAGTTTACCAGCCTTGCACAACAGTTCGAGCAGCTTACCAAAGAAGTTGACGACTTAAGAGCTGCTAATAAAGTCAAAGAAGACTCATTAATTGGAAATAAACAAAAACTAATGCATAGGCTGGGTGACAATATCAAGGACTATGACAGAGATATGATTGACAACCAGCAGCAGCACGAAAGAGAAGAAAAAACTTTCAACGAAAATAAAAAAGCTTTAGAAATGATAGAAGATCACATTAGACAGTTGAGAATGGAAAAGAAAAGAATGGAGGAAGAAGAAGCCAAAGAAGCGCTGAAGCGCAAGAACTTCGACGCACTAATGAGCCAGAAGAACACTGCTTCTGAGTACATCTCAGCACACTGGAAAGGATACAAATCAAGACTTGACTATGAGAAGCTGAAAAAGAGCAAGAAAAAGAGGAGAGGCAAAAAAGGTAAATAACTCTTTCATAATAACTAATAGAAAATATGTAAAAAAGCCGTTAATATGAACGGAGAAAGATACGAGAGAGATAGATTTCAGTCAAGAAGAGTAGAAATGCAAAGCAGGAATGAGCCAAACCATGTTTATCAGCATTCGCTTACAGAAAGATACAGAAATGTGGAGGATGTTTATAATTCTCCAGATCGTGAGTGTGAATTTTCCCCAAGCCTGAACTATTCTTTCAGTGAAGAGAGGTCTAATAGATACGAAGACAATACATATCCTATCCCTGTCCAGCTAAATACAAAATTTATGACTCCTGAGCGCGAGCATAAAGAATTTGATATAAAAGATGAATGGGATGAACTAGAAGAAAGGATTAAGAGACTAAAAGAAAAGGTCACTACTCCAATAAGGCCGAAAGAAACACCTAGAACGCCAGAAACGTCTCAAACAACTTCATCATCTTTAAAAAAATCAGAAAGCCTAAAGGCAAATAATTTATACTCAAAATACAACACACTTTCCCCTTATGCTAAATCTACGTTCAGCCATGATGTCAGGACAATGGAAAACAAGAAATACACCTATAAGCAAGTTCAAAGTCCAAAGCCTTCAAGCAGAAAATCGTCACTTTCTAGAGAATCCCAGTACCTTGAAAACTTCCCTCTTGAAGAAAAGTACATAAAAGGATTAATTGAAATTGTAAAGCGACACTGCAAAGGATGCTATAGTTTCAAGCAAGAAATCATTCGATATAATCGAAGCTATATGTCAAATAATGAGGATTAATTTAAATTTGTACAGGAAATAATTATTTATTTCTTTTTTGAGTTGCTAGGGGTTCTTCGTGACGATTTTGGGGACTCGCATCGGACTTTTACTATTTTGTTGCCTTGTTCTTCCTCTTCTTTTACTCCAGGCATAAAATTTAAATCTGTCCCTTGGAAGCGGCTAAGGTTGCGACTAGGTTCAGGGATGCTTTCGACATAAGGAGACCCAAAAAGTTCTTGATAAAGCCAAATTATTTTATTTCTAATAAGAGCTGAGCTGACTGTATAATGGTCGACTATATAAACAGCTTTGGAGATAAATTCCATAGCATCGGCTCTCAAATAAGTGTGAAGCGCTTCGACTGAAAGATTGTAAAGAGAAATTGCTTGATAAGAGTTATAAATCTCGACGTCTTGAGGGTTTGCAAGCTGGAGGTGGTCACTGTATTTCGATAAAACTTCTAAAGCTTCTATGTTCAGTTCCAGAGCTTTTTGATGATGGCCAGTTAAACAGGCAGCATATCCAGATAATGATGAAATAAGCACAGGCTCTTCATATACGTCAAGATTTCTAGACAAATCCAGGCCTCTCAGCAAGAACTCCAAAGCTGCGCTTGGCTTTTTTTGCTTGATATAATAGTATCCAGTGCTGATTTTCTCTTACTATAAAAAGACTCTGACTCTTATTCGCTTTTTGTTTTTGAACTTTATTTTCGAAGATTTTTCTGTCAATTCTTGCAGAATACCTAGCAGTAAATAAGCCTTCATGCTTTTCCCTTTGTTCATGCAATGCAAAAATCATGTGATGACAATTTCACAAAATTTGTTTGCCTGCTCAGAAATCTGCATATGGTTTACCAATTTTGGACTTCTTAAAGCAGCTTTTTTTAGTGGTAAAGTAGCTAACCAAGCTTTAGCAGCTTTTGAAAATTTTTTTTGCTGCTCAAAGCCAAACGCTTTGTACTCTTTTTCTGCTTATTTCTTACGCTCTATTTCAGGAAAAGATGTAATGTCGAGATCTCTGCACACAATTGAAATCGGCTGTATTTCAGTTAAACTTTGTAAAGGACTTTCTCCGAATATAGATATGATATTAACAGGCTTTCTACTATTCATTAAAAATTATGAAAAATTCTGCATTGTAGCATTATGATTTAAATTGCTATATGAAATTACAACCCTAGCTGAAAATTAATGAAGCATTAAACTTCTTTGATCGGTGAGACATTCCTAGTGATTCTCTGTGACGTATTGTTTGACCGTGACCTTTTTTTTCTTTCTTCTTTCATTCTGCTCGCTAGCTTCTCACTTGCCAAAAATGTCTTGGTTTCTTCAAGCTTATTCATGATGACTCCTTTTTTTCTTTTCGGAGAAGGACTATGCTTCAAGTCCCGCTTTGATTCTTTTCTTTTGCTTTCTTTAGGACTTCTAAGTGAAGCGATTTCTTCCTTTTTGGCATCCAGTCTTTCCTTTAAAATTTTCAATGTGTTCCCAGCGTTTCTTTTCCCAGCCTCTTCTAAGAAAAGTTTATCATTAAGCTGAGAAACGACTTCATTAGACTGCCCCCTCTTCAGTGCTGTCTCTTCTCTTACAGAACTTCTCTTTTTTTCTGCTCTTTTGGTTTCAGCTACCGCATGAGCTATTTTGTCAGCTAAATCGTTCATGGTTCATTCACTTTGTGATTTCAACAGTTGGCACTCTTGGTTTATATTATTCAAATTTTCGCTTAATTCTTCATTTAGGCGCTTCAATGATAAATACTCGCTATGCAGGACTTCTACTTTGACTTCTTCATTCTCTTTCATGATATCAAGCTTGTCATTGTCGCTATCCAATTTCATTTCTGCTTCTTCGTGCTCCCTTCTCATAAGATGGAGCTTCCATTGGATTTCTTCGACTTCTTGGTGATCAATTGTGAGTTTTTCGATTTTTTCTCTGAGCTTTGGGATTATTTTTTTGCTGTGGTTTTCTTTGTTCCTCTTCATGTTCTGCCTGATGTCGTTGATGTATTTTAGGTTTACTGGGTTCAAGTCTAAAACGAGCCTTAAAATATTTTGGTTTAGCCTAGAAACTTCGTATAGGATTTGTCCAGCTTCATCTTTTATAGAGTTATCTTTTAAGACTAGGCTTTCAAGTGTGGTGTTTTCTTTTAAGGCTTGGCCTAATGAAATTCCTCCAGCATTCTTGATTTTATTCCCAGATAAGTCTAGAGTTGTGAGTTTTGTGTTTTTGGCGAGCCCAAGAGCTATAAGTTCAGCTCCTTCATCTCTGATTAAGTTATTGCTGAGATCTAGAGTTTCTAAAGTCTTGTTTTTAGTCAATCCTTCAGTAATGTCACTAATCTGTTCTGGCTTTATCCCACATTTCCCTATATGCAGTTCTTTAAGTACTACATTATCAATAAGCAAAGCCAAAAACGCAGAAGAAAGTCCTTGGGTTAAAGGGTTATCATTTAAGATCAGGTATCGCATTTGGATATTCATACGCAGCGATTCAAAAATTTTTGCAGCACCTTTTGTTCCTATTTCACAACTAGAAGCATCAAGCTTGATAAGTGGACATGAGCCTTCATAAGCTCCTATTATCATTAGCGATAGATATTCAGCTCCGTCACTTCCAATACGATTTGAAGACACATTGAGCTCCCTAACGTTGGTAGTCACCAGCGTTTTCGTAAGCAATTCCATACATTGCCAATCCAAGTTATACTTTTTTGAAGTTTATATGCATTCTAGCTACCAAGTTAATTCTAACTCAGATAAAATAAAAGATCAGTCTAACCAAATTCAGCTTTTAAAGCCTCTTGTGAAGAATATTATTTGCAAGGTTCAAAGATACCAGAGACTTATTTTCATTTAGTCCTTCAGCAATATATTGAACTCCTTCTAGTCCGATTGAAATTCCTGACAAATTTAAAAATTCCAATATTCTGTTTGATTTTAGCACTATCCCCAAAGCTTGGGCTCCTTCAATCCCCAGCCTATTTCTATGCAGTCCTTCATGAGATGACACATCAATGCTCGCTAAGCTTGGATGTGTCTTAATAATTTTAAAAATTTCTGCAGCCCCACTTGGAGTGATATCATTACTGCTGATATCAAGGTGCACAAGTGAAAAATTTTTCCTCAAAAGCTTGATTAACTGTATAACGCCTTCATCTCCAATAGTGTTTTTCCCAAGCTGTATACATGAGAAATTCATATTATTCCTTAAAATTTCCCCAATGACTTTAGCTGATTCTTGTCCTAGTCCAGATTCAATCATATCGAATTTCCTATCTTTGAAGTGAGTCAGACAAGAATTGAAGAACCTTGACTCTTGGTCAGGAATTACTGTGATTCCCAGGTCTGCACATTTGGCTTTGTAAATTTTTTGCAGTTGAATGACAGTAAGGCCTTCAATGGCTGCTTTTGGGATAGTGCCTATTGAAAGAGATCTGGTAGGAGCTGTGGTGGGTCTTGAACTTTTGACGATTTGGTTTGTACCGTCTTTAGAATCTTTGAGGACTATGCGATTTGGAGTTAGTAATCTCATCCGAGGGTTGGGCGGACGGGAAGTTTTGGAAAACTTAGTTGGCTTGTTCTCGTCGTTATTTTCGTCAGGACGAGTTATGAGGAGTGACTGCAGCTTGCCCCAGGAGTTTGAGATGCTGATTTTCTGGCTGGATTCTAACATTTTTAAATATTTTATGGTTTCATAATGTTAATAATTTTAAAAAAGCATGAAGTCTGAGTTTGTTCTTATCCAGAAGGAGCTTTATATTCATCTCTATAGTATAGTCACTTAAATTGACAAATCTTTGCTAAAAAATTATAAAACATGAGTAAAAAGATTGCCATAATTCGTAAATCAAGCCAAAATCAGCATTAATTACCATAAATATAAGGTATATAAAGAAAATATCCAGAATAAATTAATCCACTTTAAAATTCAATAGTAAAATTTGATTGATAGATTAGCATATTTATATATTTTAAGGCAAAAAATGCAATCTAACAATGTCATGTGGAAGAAGCCCAAAGCTCTTCTGTGTCATATATGGTAAAAAAGAAATAGTGGCAGAGAGTTCGGAACTGCATCCCTCGAAATCCACCAAAAAAGCTGTGCCAAGAAATGGGAAGAAAAGGAAGCTTTAAAACCTCCTAAAATGCGAAAGCCAGTTCCCACAGCTCCACAAGCCGCTTTAGGTAGAACTACTCAGGCTAATATAGATAAGTATAATGAAAGTGCCTCCAAAGCTTTTGAAAGCCAAGCAATGGCGCGATGCCCTAATTGTTCTCGGACTTTTTTAGAAGACAGACTTGAAGTTCACCTGCGCAGCTGCACTTCAGCTAAACCTCATAGGGGAATTGGACAGGTATCTGCAACTCAAGCAATAAATGCTGATGAGGCCTATGGAAATGAAGATATGAGCTTAGTTTCATGCAGAAAATGTGGGAGAAAGTTCAACTCTGACCGTATTGACTATCATCAAAGTGTCTGCAAAGGGCCGACGTCAGCTCCTGCAAAGCCAGTTGTAGCTCCTAGGAAGCCACAAAAAAAGAAAAACGAGATGCCGAAATGGAAAAAGGAGCATATTGATTTTGTTAATAACATAAAATATGCCAAGAAGATGAAAATCGTGCAAGAAAGAGGTGGGGATATCAGAGATATTGCGCCACCCCCACAGATGTTTGATCCAACTGAAGAGTATAAACAATGTCCGTATTGCTCGAGAAAATTTGCTCCTGAGACTGCGCTTAGGCATATACCAAAATGTAAAACAACTATAAATAAGCCAAAACCGCCACCAAAAGCGGTTCAAGGCAGTGTTAGAGCACCAGAGCCTGCTATGCTTGCTCAAAATAGAGATGAGCCGAAAAGAATGAGTCAAAGCTTCAAACCTGCTCCAAGTCAGGCAAAAACAAATATTCAGCCAACTGTAAGTCAAATTAGAGCAAATGAGCAAAGTTTTAGACCCGCTCCAAGTCAAATAAAGCAGCCTGAAGTTAGAAGAGCTGACAATGGTGTTAAAAATTCTCAGAGTCAAAAGCGCTTACCTAAATAAAAACAAATTTTAAATTAAATCTAATGCAATTAAATATATTTTATTGCAAATTTCGAAAGTAAAAATAATCTATTTAATTTAAAGGCTTATTAGTCAAAAATTGTAAAGAAAAGATTTTATCATAATTAAATGGGAGAGTTAGAAGAATCAAAGAAGCAGATAAATTCTGAATCATTGAAACCATCCTCAAGAATTGCAAACCCTACATCTTCAAAAGTAAACGCTGCCCCTGCTAGCTCTGCCAATTGTTTTAGATGCGGTTCAAGATTCCAGCCAAACGCTAAATTCTGCAGTTCTTGCGGTTCAAAAAGATAATCTCCATTTTATCTCGTATTTCTTAACTAAAATTTCATAAAAATAAATCAATAAACCGCAAAATGCAATCTCAGCAGCCACAGCAGCCTCAGCAGCCTCAGCAGCCTCAGCCTCCACCAAAGAAAGCGCAAAAGCCACGCTACAAATTCACAGAAGAAAACCTAACTAACAAAGAAAAAGGGCTCCAAAAACTATACCAAGAATGCACCAAATTCCAAATCCAAGGAAACGCAACAGATGATATTAGGAAACTCATGAACTTATGCAGGGAATGGCATTTCCAATTGGCGCCAAAATTTGAGTTTCAGTATTTCTTACAAAAATGCCAAATATTAGGCCAAAAAGCTCCAATTAGAGCTTTTATGAGCAGGATTCGAAAAGTTCACAGCGGAGAGATGACTTGGGCAGAAATAGAAAGGCCAACAGAAACTTTTTCAGATCATGAACAAAATGAAAATCCTGCAGATCAGCCAGATGAAGGTATTGACTCGTCCTGGAAACAACTTGTTAGCTCAGTCTCAGAAGAGCGAAAAAGAAAACACTCTGAAGAGGAGATAAATGAAGATCTCAAAATGGCTAAAATCGTAGAAGAAGAGAATTATATTTAATTAACTATGTAATCAGTGTTATAGCGCTTTCCCGAGGATGGCGCGGAATGGCGCCATCCTCGGGAAAGTCAACTAAGCATCCACACGGGAACTGGGAGTTCCACGTGTGGATGCCATTTTTGACATGTGGGATCCAAACTTCCACATGTGTCAAAATGGCATCCACACGTGGAACTCCCAGTTCCCGTGTGGATGCCTTCCTGGCTTTCCCGAGGATGGCGCCATTCCGCGCCATCCTCGGGAAAGCGCTATACTTCTGAAAGTTAGCCGGTATTAATAATGGCGCAATTCTGCATAATTGATAAAGAAATTCAATTTGGTTGCCCTTAGCGTAGATAATTATATCCAGTAAGTTCCTGGTTCGGTTCTGTTTCAGATAAAATCTTTAAAAGAATTTAATTTTACTAGTTAAGTTATAAGGCATGAGATCTAAATAAAACTCGATTAAAAAACAAATAGAATACTTATAGGATTCTTTAGAAAATTTCATAAATTTTATATAACTGATTATATATGTCAAGTTTAAGATCAAGCTCCCAATATGCAAGCAGTTCAAGCAGCAAACCAGGAATAGGTGTTGCAAAGGATGAGCCTCTAAAGCCACCAGTGATTGATTACATTGATATGCCAAAAGCTCTCTATGAATCTGCCAAAGAAGTTTGTGAAAGTGCAGTGAGACAATTAAAGAAAGGGGAAAAGAAACATTTTTACAAATGTGCCAAGCAGATTAAGAAGATTTTAGAAGAGAGGAATAGAGGTTCTTATCATGTAATTATAGGAAAAGACTTTGGAAGCTTTTTCAGCTATGAAGCAGGGAATTGTGTGCAGCTCTGGGTTAATGATATTTGCTTCTTGATATTCAAGCATGGATAAGTCAGATTAAAATATAATAAAATTAAAAATTATGAAGAAACTTTTTTTATCATCTATACAAATTTTTATAGTAAAATTATTTATTAACTCCCCCCCCCTCCGTGAGTGAACAAAACCATTAGAAAAATCGCTATTTTTTGCCCAAAAACCCACCCTCCGTGAGTGAACAAAAATTTTTTTAATAGAAAAATTTTTTATGGAAAAAAATTTTGATATATAAATGATAATTAGTATAATGAAATCTAGAGCTAATTCTGTGTAATTTTAAACAAATTGCTTTTTAAAACATAAATTTTATAAATTAAATTAATATTTGCTTTTCAATTTTTGCGAATTAGGATTTTTTTAAATTTCGAAAAAAAAAATATTTTTATAAAATTTATATATAAATTTTTTTAAAAAAAAAAATTAACCCCCCCTCTGTGAGTGAAGAAAATTTTTTTGTTCACTCACGGAGGGGGGGGAGTAAGGAATGAAGAATCTGAAAATTAGCTGCAGAATACGCTCAGCAATATTTTGATATAAGTAATCTGATAAAAGGTAATTATTAATCAAAATAGATACTTACTCCCCCCCTCCGTGAGTGAACAAAACCATTAGAAAAATCGCTATTTTTTGCCCAAAAACCCACCCTCGTGAGTGAACAAAAATGTTTTTAATAGAAAAATTTTTGATGGAAAAAAATTTTGATATATAAATGATAATTAGTATAATGAAATATAGAGCTAATTCTGTTTAATTTTAAACGAATTGCTTTTTTAAAAACAAACAATTTTGCAAATTGAATTAATATTTGCTTTCCAATTTTTGCGAATTAGGATTTTTTTAAATTTCGAAAAAAAATATTTTTTATAAAATTTATATATAAATTTTTTTAAAAAACAAAAAAATTAACCCCCCTCCGTGAGTGAACAAAATTTTTTTGTTCACTCACGGGAGGGGGGGGGGAGTTATATAAAATGTCTTATGGCTGGGTAACTGAGAGTGCTTTGCTTCCTAAAAAGTCTAAAGAAATTCCGGTTGACTCAAAATCCTTTATTGGTCTTCAAACACAGATTTTTGAACTTTCACAAGAAAAAGCAAGTAATTCAAAAATTCCAACTGGGAGATCATTAAAGGAAATATTAATAACTCCCCCCCCCATCCTTGATCGAACGACTCGCCATCGTTCGATCAAGGATGGGGGTTAAAAAAAAAATTTTTTGGGGTAAAAAAATTTATATATATATATAAAATAAAAAAAATATGTTTTTTTTTTATACTTTTAATTAAGAGGGTTAAGAGTATTTAATAATTATTTTTACAGCAAAAAATTGAATTAATTTCATAAGAATACCAATTTTAATATTTTGATTTTTTGGTTACCCCTTTAAACTTTATAAATTTTGATTTGTTCTTTATTGAATTTTTGATTTTTTTTTTTCAAATTTTAAAGAATCTCTATTTTATTAGATTATTGAGTTTTTAAGCCTAGGTTGATGACTAAATCACTTCGAATGGTTGATTTCGTAGCTTTCTGTCGTCTCAAGGCCTCTGAAAACAACTTCATTAGGCACATTTCCCAAGCTTTTGATAACTAATATGTTTTTTATATATATAAAAATTTGCATGATATGAAAATCGTTCGATCAAGGGGTTAATTTTCCCCAATTTTTAGGAATTTTTACAGTCAATCGTTCGATCAAGGATGGGGGGGGGGGGAGTAAGGAAAAAAGTCCAACCACCACCACCAGCAGAAGAATCCAAAGAAGTTGATAATAGAGTAAACCAAAATTTAATAAGCAGATGTGATATTTATCAAGAAATGAAAACCAAAGGATGTGAAGAAAACGAAAAATTTTTGGTCAATTTTAATAAAGATTCTGATTCTTCAGATGAAGATAAGAACACAAATAGCGAATCAAAAAAGGAAAATCCTTTAAACTACGAAAGAGAAACAGCATATAAATCTCAAAAAATTGTAAAGCAAAGCTATGATCACACGCTAACACAGTTAGAAAAAGACTCACTTCCAGAAGTTCTCAATGAAAAAGAATTGCTAAAGCAGCAGCAAATTTTAATAAAGAAAAAGAGACAAGAAAGGCTAGAAGCAAGAAAAGAAAAAGTCAGGAAAATGAAATCTTTTGAAAATGTATAACTCCCCCCCCCCCTCCGTGAGCGAACAAAAAAATTTGTTCGCTCACGGAGGGGGGGTTAATTTTTTTTTTTAAAAAAAATTTATATATAAATTTTATAAAAAATATTTTTTTCGAAATTTAAAAAAATCCTAATTTGCAAAAATTGGGAAGCAAATATTAATTTAATTTGCAAAATTTATGTTTTAAAACGCAATTTGTTTAAAATTAAACAGAATTAGCTCTAGATTTCATTATACTAATTATCACTTATATATCAAAATTTTTTTCCATTAAATTTTTTTCTATTAAAAAAATTTTTGTTCACTCACGGAGGGTGGGTTTTTGGTCAAAAAATGGCGATTTTTCTAATGGTTTTGTTCGCTCACGGGGGGGGGGGGGGGGAGTAAGTATTAATTAATAAGATTCAAAATAATATGAGCATTGACCTAAATATAGATGAGCCTAAGCCTCAAGTGGTTTTCGTTTCTGCAGAATCATTAGACGTCCCCATTCCACCAATTCTTCAGACGCCTTTTTTTGGTGGGAAGCCAAATGGATTCGTTTTTCATTCCCCAAAAAGTGAAAATGCTTCAGCAATTCAAGAACCAGAAGAAACAAACCAAACGAATATCCCTCATCCAGTAGTCAAGAGCCCAAAAAAGTGAAATTTGATAAGGACTGAGATCTGTGGAGTTGGAATCATAATTAAAGGATATGGAATCCCTGAAAAAAATACTAAATCTATTATTGCTGAAACTGAGTATACTTATGATTTGCTTGTGAATAGAAAATGTTTTTCATGTATTAAGTACCCTATACCCACTAATTTGGACTATAAAATAGATTATGATAGCAACTCTGAAATTGCATTTAAAGTAAAAGAAGAAACAATATACACATTTTGTAAAAATTTGTCTAATTCTGTGGAGTGATATATGAGCAAGGTCAATTTTATGCGAATGCTAATGACTATAATTATGATTTCAGCATTTATTTTGTCGATTTTTGGAATTATTTTAATTGCTGCACTGCTGGAAGATTATAGACAAATTTGTGTGGTTTTGTTAATTTTACCCCCGATTGCAATTGTTTTCTATGCATATGTTGTACGATCATATGTAAGAAAACTTCGGAAACTTATGGAACATAACATTATTATTAATTCTCAAGAATTGAATCGACAGGGAATTAATGTAGAGTTAGGGAAAAATTGTATATTTATCAAATTTTCATTAGAACTTCCTATGGCACTGTAATTATGTGATCCAATTTTAAGAATAAAAGCTTTTGCTCCTCCCCTTTAAATTAGAAAAAAAATCCTATTCCAATTTAAGGGTATTTTTAAAAAAAAATTATATTAATTAAATCTTTTTATAAAAAAATTTTTGCTATAGATTGAGCACAATATTTTTGAATTTTAATTTATTTTTATATAGAATTAATTGAAAAAAATTAATTTATTCAGTGTAAAAACTGTGTTTAAATAATATTCTGCATCACTTTTTCCGTTAAATTAGGTCAAAACTAATTATAAAATCCATATATTTTTACCTATAAAAATTTTCTTTAAAAAATAATTTAAAGGAATTAAAGCACCCACAAATGGAATTTTACCTCTATTTTATTCATATTTAAAGGAGGATTTAGTCTTAATTTAATTGTAATATACAAGCTCAAAATTGGATAAAGACGCCAAATTGCCAAAACCGCATAATTTTGCATAATAAATTCCACAATCATATTAATGCAATAAATGTTAACTTAAAATGTATTAGTCAATAGGTGGGGAATATTTCTAAAGTAAAACTTACATCTAAAAGAGCTGGGTCTTCACCATCTGCAGTCATTTTGTGCTTAACTGCAGGCCTTGGGACACCAACATCGACCATTCTTACATATTTCTTCAAATTTTCAGGAACTTCTTCTTTTTGTGGCTGTTGCTCTTCTTGTTGTGCTGGTACACCTGGTTCCACAGGCTTTGGAGGTGGTTGAAGTTGTTCAGCTGGAATGTAGTTCAGTTTATATGCTGTTTTTTGACTGATTTAGAGCTATTAAATAAAGAATTATCCTAATTTCTGATTATTTAATAAAGAATACTCAAGAATTGCGGCTAAAGCTTCTATTTTTTCAATTTGATGATTCACTTGACTCAGTTTATTATGAGCTTCGGTGCAGAAATGGTTCAAGAATTCGCTTGTCATTATAGCAAAAGCATTCACGACTGCAATTAACTTTTTCGGTTCAATTGCTTCTCCCATTTTATTATGCTAATTAATAGGACTTTTCTTCTTCATCATAGTAATCCTCATCAGAATATTCTTCATCCTCATAGCCTTGGCGGCCAAATTCGTGAGTTTTTACTGACATGGACAAGTCTTTTGTGTCACGCAGCCTGTAGCCACATTTCTTGCAAGGGTAGCCTTCTTCTGTATTTTTGTAAACGTTGGATTTTACATGATCGTCGCAATATGAGACTTTACAGCGCAAACAAGAGTAAGTGCCAATAATTTTTTTTTTATTTTATTAAAACTAAAAAAAAAATATATTTGAATATTTTATAACTTTCCCTATGTGAGCCGTTGAAGAATTCCTATTTTTTTAAAAAAACCCAGTATTTGTGAGCGAGTAAAATGTGTGTTTTAATGAATTTAATATAAATTATATATAGTAAACTTCTAAAAATAATCCCTTTCATAAGGGACCAAACAATTTTTGCTAGTTTACAGAGGGGCAGTAAGTGCCAAATTTGCTGCATGAAACACATTTAAAAGTTTCAGTTTCCAGATGCTGGCAGCTTGCTTGGTGTTCGAAGTGGTCATCTTCACAGAGTCATTGATCGCATGTAGGACATAGATACATTTTTCCACCGTGGCCCCAGACAGAGCGTTGACATTCTATACAGACTACAGGGTTTTCGCCATCTCTAAGCGGACATGAGCATGCATGAGACTGTAAGCAGCGCTTGGAATGGCATATTCAAGTTTCACAAAAATCACAGATTGCGCCTACAATGCCTAATCCTGTAGCATTAACACCTGGGTGTTTTATTACACAGTCAGAGCTTCCTGGAATGCATTTAATTTTCCCACAGGCTCCACACATGATATTTTTCGGCAATGAACTACAAAAATAACAAAAAGACCTATTTTTCTGCCTTGTCAAACAATCTCTGCATTCCATATCTGCGTTACTAGGGTGATCATGAAGTTCTAGCGTATTAATTCTTCCTAATCCGATCTGCTTTTGTCTTTCCCTTTGCTTTTCAGCTTTTTTCCTTTGCCCAGACTTTTTATTTACCATTTTAATTATTAATGCAAAAACATTTTGCTTCTTTTCTTCTTAAGCTTGGCTTTCAGATTAATTTCTTCTATATATTCCTGCAGGTCTTCTACAGTAAATTTATATTTTTTGACTGCACTTGTGATGGCAGCGCTTGCAATAGTAACAGAGTCTTCGAAATATTGCACTGCTTCATGCTTGATTTCGAAGATATCCATTTTCAAAGATCTGAGGAAAGTAAAAAATTTGATCGAAAGGTGGCTTGCTCTTGTTTTCCAGAACTCAGCTGATTTGCTGGCATTTATATATTTTTCTTCATATTCCTCAACAGCTTCATTAATAGACTGTGATTTTTCTCTTTCAATATTTGCAATCTCTAGTTCTAGCTTGTCTTTTATTTCTCTCAAATTTTCCACTTCTTTTTTGTATTTTTCTAAATCTATTTCTGCTTCTCTTTCCATTGATCTTTCAGTTTCTTTTACATAGCTTAGCATATTTGTTGTCGAATCCAGCTGTTCTTTTACAGCTGACAGTTCTTTTTCAGCAGCACTTTTGTCAACGCTAATCTGCTTAATTTCTTCGTCCTTTGCTTTTGCGTCATTTCTTAATGCACAATTTTCTTCTTCCAGCTTTTGAATTGTCTGTAAGGCATTAGCCAAGTCTGCTTCAAGCTGGATTTGTTCTTGCTTTTTCGAATCTTTTTTAGCTTGCACTATTTGAATTTCATAGTAACTTGCTAAACTATCACAATTTATTTGAGCAGCTTCAATTATTTTTTCGATTTTCTGGGAAAATTCGTCTTCTTTTTCTTTTAAAGTTTGCCTTAAATATTGGGTTTCGTCTTCTAGCTCAGTGATCCTGCGCTGTCTTTCTTCTAGAATGGATTTATAATGGCCTTGATCCTGACCTCTAAAAGTATAGAGCTCTTGAGGAGGGCTTGATGGCTTTTTGAAGGATTGGGAAAGATAGGCGGCAAATTCGTCAGATTTTCTGGGGAGTTTTGATACTACTGCTGACGCAAGATCTTGCTTTAGCTTGACTATTCGATTATATAAGTCTTTTTCCATTATTAATTTTAATATATTATAAGAATTGCTAAAATAAAGGACTTAGTAAGGAGATGTTTCCCTTGTGCCGTCATTATGAGTGCTTTCAGTTTGGTTTATTATTCCAGAATTTCCAGTTTGGTTTATTATTTCAGGATTTCCATATATTACATCTATTTTACTTGCAAAATGTGGGCAATGATAAAACGGAAATCTTGATAGATTAAGTAGCCTGGAGCGTTGTTCATCTTGATGAATAATCATTTCAGCATGATAAATAACTGAGTAATACCCATCCTCATAAAATAAGCACAGGAGAGGGCCACTTTTGCCATTAAGCCTTTCAAAATAATCATGCTCTTCTCTTTTTATTAATAATATGTGAACTTTCATAAAATTTGCAAAATGAGTTAAATAAAAAGCTTTATCAGATATAACAAACTCATCGTTTCTTACAATGGACTCTTGTTCACTTTTCCAAAACTTCATGCAAGTAGCAAACAAACATCTCATCCCGAACTCCATAGCTTCTGCTCCTCTGTAATCGTTGTTTTCCATATAGCTTTTTAATCATGATAAGCTTAACTTAGATCTTTCATTAAGTAGTATGCTTACCATTTCTCGATATCTGGAATGAAGTTCAGGGTTTAAATAGATATATTGTTCAGATAATTTAGTGTATTTAGCGAAAGCTTCAAATGTGTATTTTAATAGGCTTTCTTCATTTCTTAATCTCAATATACAACCAAAATAAGCAGCTCCGATTGCAAGATAAAACGAACTTTGTCGTGGCTCTGCTTTAGAGATCCACTGAAAGTTACCAAACTGACCTGGAAGGCTAATAGGTGTTCATTCGCAAAGTCTTATTTGGTTTTCCATAATAAAATTTATAATAGTTTGTCCCATAATTAAACAATGAAAATAAGTAAATAAAAAGCTTTCAATGGACATCTAAATACATTTCACAAACATGTTTCATAGAGTCCTCAAAGATTCTTTAGTCTGCGGGAGTCTCTGATACTAAATAATTCGTTTCTACTTGTCGGTCCTAAACTCTTGTTTGGGTTCCACGTATGAAACAAACATTCGCTATAATTCAGGCTCTTTAAGCGATCTCTAGCTTTTGAAAAAAAATCACTTTTATTATTTAATACTTATAAGAATGTTTCTAAAATAAATACAATTTTCTTGCAGTATACAATAATTTTTTGAAGTATAGCTATTTATCGAAATATTAGAGTTTTATAGAATCTCAAATAAACAGAATCAAGCAAGGACTATGAAGAAATATCAAGATCAAATTTAATTTTGATTTCTTTATTGTTCTAATTCATATTAAGACGAAAAAATAGCATCCACACTTCATGGGCAAATAAATTTCTAGTTCTATCATAATTTTCATTAAATCTCTACTTTTTTGACAATAATGCAACTTTTCAAACCTCATTATTTTTTATTGTCAAAAATAATTTATTTCCAAAATACCCATAAAACCACTTTTTAAGTAATATTAAGTTCAATAGCACCTCAGCAGTCTCCCGAATACCTTATCTTGCTTCAGAACCCTCCACAATCCAGCCTTATCAAACTCTAACTTGAGAAAATGGCCATAATTTATGGCTAAAGGAGACAAAGACAAGTCAGACAAGACACCTTCAAAGAAGGTTTCCCTTCTTGCCAAACCATCAAACGCAAGCGGTGGCGGAAAAGCAAAAAAGAAAAAGTGGTCCAAGGCCAAAGTCAAGGATAAGACTACCAATTCAGTCTACTTTGATCAAGAAGCATTCGACAAACTTACGAACGAAATCCCAGCCAAAACAAAACTTATCACACCATCAGTCTTGTCTGACAAGCTGAATATTAACCTCTCTCTCGCAAGGCATGCATTATCAGAACTTGAAGCCAGAGGAGTCCTCAAAGCTGTTGGAGATTTGCATCACGCACAAAAAATCTATACTCGTGCAGCTCAAGAAGTAGCTTACTCCCCCCCCCCCCCTCCGTGAGCGAACAAAAAAATTTTGTTCGCTCACGGAGGGGGGTTAATTTTTTTTTTTAAAAAAAATTTATATATAAAATTTTATAAAAAATATTTTTTTCGAAATTTAAAAAAATCCTAATTTGCAAAAATTGGGAAGCAAATATTAATTTAATTTGCAAAATTTATGTTTTAAAACGCAATTTGTTTAAAATTAAACAGAATTAGCTCTAGATTTCATTATAATAATTATCACTTATATATCAAAATTTTTTTCCATTAAAATTTTTTCTATTAAAAAAATTTTTGTTCACTCACGGAGGGTGGGTTTTTGGTCAAAAAATGGCGATTTTTCTAATGGTTTTGTTCGCTCACGGAGGGGGGGGGGGGGAGTTAAGATTAAGAAAAATTTGACTTCAATTATGATTCAGAGGCTTGTTTTAATTCTTGATAAAAATTAAATTTCACAATAAATCTGCTATATTAAAGCAAATAATAGTGAATTATAGTTAGATGATTATTAGCAGCACGCTTGCTTCTCTTTTTTCTCTTTCTTTTTGCTTAAATCAATTGGTGGTTTATACTCTGAAGTTTCTGTTTTTATTTGTGATAATGCATTTCTTGCAATCATCATAAAAGCATCGTCAACATTGACAGCATCCTTGGCTGAGGTCTCAAAGAATGGCATGTTCCCTGTATCCCTACACCATTGGCTAGCCCTTGCATTTGGCACTTTTCTTTCATCTTCTTTGTCAACTTTATTTCCTAGCACCACAAATGGGAAATTTTCAGCATCTCTAGCATTGGACTGAGACAAAAATTCTTCTTTCCATGACCCAAGTGATTCAAAGCTTTTACTTGATGTTATGTCATAGACCAGCACACAGCAGTCAGATCCACGGTAAAACGCAGTTCCAAGGCTCTGAAACCTCTCTTGGCCTGCTGTGTCCCAGATTTGAAGAGTGACCAGTTTGTCGTCAATCATGATTTCTTTTGTTAAGAAGTCAGCACCGATCGTAGCTTTGTATTGCTGAGTAAACCTTTTGTTAACATATTGGTTCATGAGCGAAGTCTTGCCAACACTAAGTAAAGATTACGCTGAGTCTCCGAGGATGATTACTTTGAGTAGGTGCTTTCTTCCAGATGCCATTTTTTATATTCACCTATAAAATGAGCATTCGGAGAGCTCAATTATAAATATCAACTACATTTATTATAATTTAAGTAAATATACTAATTATTTGTTTAATTGTGATTTTATTAAAGAAATTAAGCATGATTATAAAAGTATTTCAAATAATTAGTTATAATATTAAAAGCCATTTGTAACTTATTTGCAATAGAATGGGGTATGTTGTCAAAGCTTGATCTGATTTGATAGGATCTAAAGAGAGCACCTAGATAAGTTTTTCAATAATAATTAGTAGGCATTTTATTTTGGAGTTTTCATAGTTTTATCGTTTTTTAATTGAAAATAGAGAGTTTCTTTAATCAGTCTATTCCTAAGATACTCAAGAGGTCTATGGATGCAAAGGATATTGTTCTTTACGCATTATACTTGCACTTTATCCATTAAATTAGGTCAAAACAAATTTTATAAAAATTAATTGATAAAGAGGTAGTAAAATCATCAAGATCTTTTGAATTCTTCGATTTAATAATACTTTCAACGAGGATATATGGCCCAAAAATAGTTGTTTTTTATATTCTTAATTCCTATATGAAACTATATCAATATGATTTTGGTGGATTGTTTATGATAAATAAACAGCCATGCAGCTATTCATGAATCCATTTTTTAAAGAATTCATGAAAAATTAAATAGCCCTCCACTTAAATTATTTTTGAAACATTAATTTCAGTTGGATTATGAATCAAGAGGATAATAATCTTTATTAACTGTGGTGTTACATAAATTGATTGTTCCTGTATATTGCTTTAAGGTGACTGTAGTAAAACCTCCAAAAGGTTGCCAACTGTTCGTATTAGGCTTGTCATCATGCTGAATGTTCCATAAAAAGAAGTTTTTGGCTCCTGTCCAAGATGCGCCTACAATGGCATTTCAGTCCAGAATAGATGTATAGACTCCAGGAATATTTCCAGTTTGTGAAATTTTGCTCATCATTGATAAAATAAAAGATTGATTATAGCTTTGACTTTTATTTCATGCATATTGAGTTACTTGGACTCATATATTAAGACTTCTATGCAGTGGTACAAGTGAGCTAATTGCATCCCATAATTCTTGTACTTGGCCTGATGGATTTCCACAAGGTACACAAGGAAACATATAAACATCTACAAGATACATCCCTGCAGCTAAAGCATTTTTCATGCTAGAAACTACATTTGGATCTACAGCACCATAAGATGTATATCCTCGAAGTATTGTACCGGAATATCCTTGTTTTATTAGGCACTCAAAAGAGCTCTGACTGGTAAGAGCTGAGGTATCTATTTCAAGGAAATCAAAAATCCCATAAATTTGGGAAGACAGGAAGAAAGTTATAAGTTTAAGGATATTCATTTATTACATAATTAATTCTCCACATGCTAAAAGCTAATAAATATGCAAAAATTCTATATGATTTTGCAATTCTTTGTTGACCAAAATAAGACAATAAAAATGCTAGAAAGCCAAAAATGCGCAAAGTTATATCAAAATCTGCCAAAAGCCTTTAATATCTCGCAAAATTTCGAAACACAAAATTAAAAGGGAAATTTAAAATTTATATTCCAGCAAGTGTCTATTTTGTATTTATTTTAAAATTTATCACAGTTGATATAATAATATTATAGTTTTCTGAGGATAATATGACCAATTTAAGGATTATCACCTGTAAATTTTTATAGTGATATTATATTAAGTGTTGCGCATAGTATTAATTCAAGTAGTCAGGAAAATGTCAGGGGAGTGATAGATAATTAAGAATAATCCATTTTCTGCGAAATTGAGGTAATTCGCGTAAATGGAAAATGATGAATCAAATCCTCTTTCAGAAAACAGTTTAAAGTTATTTTTAGAGCAAAGCTATACGACTAAGCGAACTACAATCTAGATTAACGGGTTTTATGCAAAGATTAATCATTTCTCATATTATTTTAAGAAAACTCCTGTAAAACCTTCAAACCCTCTTCAATTGTCGAAATTAGGAATGCCATCATGCTGATCTTTGATCTTAATAGTTTTAAAATATCTTTTAATTTTCACATAATGATGCAATTTAATAGCATACAAAATGATTGATGTTAAATATAATAGAGATATTCAATGATTATAATTTATTTCAATTTTATAAGCCAATACTTGTCTAACTTCCCCCTCCGTGAGCGAGCAAAACCATTGAAAAAAAAACTATATTTTTGCCCGAAAACCCACCCTTCGTGAGTGAACTCAAATTTTTTTAATATAACAATTGTTTAGGAAAAAAATTTTGATACAAACTGATAATTAATATAAAAATTTCTTGCTAATTTTACTATAAAAATTTATATATAAACCTTTTAAAAAAAAAATTAACCCCCTTTCGTGAGCGAACAAAATTTTTGTGGAGTGAGTAAAAGAAAATTACTTTAATTAAATATCTAATATTAAATATTTACTATAGGCAAGTTTAATATAAAACTAAAAGCTATTTTCATTAGTCGACTCTTATTTCTACCCAACTTTTGGTCTCAACAATCATTTAAATTTAAAAATGTTATACTACCATCACTTATAAAAATTTATTATCTTACTTATAATTTTCAAGCGGAATTACAAAATCTTTGCTTTCTGTTGATAAATTTTCTAACTGCTCAGCCTCAATTTTTTTTCTCATAATTAGTCTATCTAATGCTTGTCCAGGTAAATCCAAAGAGTCTAGCTCTTGTTTTTCCTGGTTTAACAAAGACTTTACTCTATTTTTAATAGAACTTTCAGTTCGAGTGTTGAGCTCTTTTGCAATGAGGCTTCATCTGTTCCCTAATTTCTTATGAGCTTCCAGCAGCATTAAATCTTCTACAGGAGTTCAAATTCCTCGGTTAATCTGAGGGTTCAAATGGTTATTCCATCTCTCTTTGCACTGCTTCCCTGTCCTAATTTTGATTCCTTTATGCAACTCATTATTCAGTATATTAGCCAGCTCTCCTCATTTTTTCTTACCAGTACCCAAAAGCTGTTTTAACCGTTCATCTTCGGGCTCAGATCAAATTCCAGGTCGCAAAGTCCCACTTGTTATTACCTCATGAATTTTGCTCATGCATTGCTTTGGAGGTTTATTAACATATTTTGCGATTTCGTTATAATCATTATAGTCCAACTTGTCGATTTCTTTTCCTGTTCTGATGCAAAAATCCCGGGTCGTTGAGTATAGAAGCTCAACTTCTTTCCGTTTTCAAGTTCTGTTGTATTTTGTTTTTTTCAATGGAGATTCAGTATCTGTTTTTTCGAGAGAATTCGGGAGATAAATCCATGGCATAAGGCACATAGGATTTACCGAAGTAAAGGCAAGGTTAGGAAATGGGAGATGAAATTTTGTTTCACTCTCCATATTAATTAATTTAATGGTCATACTTTTAATTAATTTGTTTTATAACTTCTGATAAAGAATTTCATGGATTATTTTTTTTTAAAATAATACTATGATCCAGCATGGTATCAGTATTTTTAGTGAATTTTTTTTAGTTATAAATAATTTCAAAATAATTTATCCTGACAGTTCTATTGAGTTTTTCCAAAATACTGCAGAAGCAGCTATTTTTACAAAAAAGTTGATTAAAGTGAGGCCCGCACCTAGCCTTTTTATTGGCCCTTCTAAGCTCTCATCCATTCAGTGTGAGAAAAATAAAAACATCCATAAGATATCATAAATTTCAGAAAATAATATTGCGTATATAGCTCAGGAGCAATTTTTGATCGCCTTAGGCTTAGGGAAGGCTCAGAAACTCCCCGAATTGTTTTTTAATTCAAGTTGACAAACCAAATCAGGGAGTTGACAAATACGTCTTATAGGAGGCATTTGCCAATTCCCCGAGCTGGCTTGTCAACTTAAGTTGAAAGACCAACTCGGCAAGTTTCTGAGACTTCTTCAGCCTAGGGCGATCAAAATCGCTCCTGGCTATACTATATTTTTATAGGTTTTATCAGTCCATGCTTCCGTCAAAAAATATAATAAAGCCGTAATTCCTACCATCAAATTTAAAAAATCCGATCTAATAAACATAATAAGCACACTCATAAACATTATTCAATAAATTGACAATTTTGTTGGGATATCCCACGACACAGGTTGTCCTAAATTTCTCCCATAAAATTCATTATCCCTCCCCATTGCTATTCTAGCTGACTCAGCAAAAGGGCTCTTCATCTTATCTAAATTTAATTTTAAAATTTCAAATTCTTGTCTATCAAGTTCAACATTTTCTTCTAGCTGCCTAGCCACATCTTCCATATATTTTGCTGTGCTTCATATCCATTGCAGCCTTAATTTTATTTTTCCTCCATTCCATTCTCCATTTTTATTGGTGAGCTCTAATTCTTGTTCAGCTTTCATCTGATCTCTAAGTGCTGATAAAGGAATTTTTACTTGACTAATAAAGCTATTTTTCTCATAAATTTCTAGATCTAGTGTCCCAGTTCCTTTTGTGATAGAAAATGTAAATGCTTCATTCCAAAATCAGCTAGGATTTTCTTGAGTTTTAATTTCTTGGCTTTCACACTGAAGCTTTATATATAAATTTGTATTTGGTCTTTTTGTTAAATTTGTGCCTTGGAAAACATAGACTGTTAGCACGCTTCCGTTCATTAGTCCTTGGGAGTTATATGTTTCTGTAGCTTTGGATGTGACTATTTTCTTGCGAGTTTCTTCAAGTTTTAAATAAGCTGATTTCATTTGAGATTGCAAAGTTTCTAAATGACTTTCTATGTTAAATTGGGAATCTATATAAAAAATTAGGAATTTCTCTAACTCCCCCCCATCCTTGATCGAACGATTCACTGTAAAAATTCCTAAAAATTCGGAAAAATAACCCCTTGATCGAACGATTTTCATATCATGCAAATTTTATATATATAAAAATATATATTAATTATCAAAAGCTTGGGAAGATGTGCCTAATGAAGCTGTTTTCAGGACTTTAAGATGACAGAAAGCTACGGAATCAACCATCCGAAGTGCTTTAGTCATCAACCTGGGCTTAAAAACTCAATAATCTAAAAAATAGAGATTTTTTAACACTTAAATTTTTAATTCAATAAGGAACAAATTAAAATTTATACAAAAAATCAAATTATTAAAAATTGGTATTTTTATGAAATTAATTCAATTTTTTGCTGTAAGAATAATTATTAAATACTCTTAACCCTCTTATTTTAAAGTAGTATATAAAAAAAAAATATATATTTTTTATTTTATATAAAAATTTTTTTTTAAACCCCCATCCTTGATCGAACGATGGTGAGCCATTCGATCAAGGATGGGGGAGTAATGTAAATTCAGCGTTTCCGTAATCTTTACTAAAATCGTTTACCAAGTTTTCCGATAATTCTTCATCAATAAATTTAGGTAGCAGAGATTGAAGGTCTGACACTGTTAGCCTTGAAGCACGATTTAAGCCTAATGATTGGAAATGAGAAAGATATTTGACTAGAAGAGACTCTCGCTCTGTTTGTTTGGAGCTTGATGAAAGAGATGGACGAATTTCTCGTGCACTCATTTTGGAATTATTATATTAAATTATTCTAAAAATTGATAAAGTGAGTTAGGTAGTAGAAAGCCTGTGCTTATTTTATAACAGTTGGAATAATTTTTTGATTAAAAATATTTACTAAATCCAAATTTTTCAATATCTCAAACTTAATTTCGGTTGACGTTAATAACGTATATAAAAATTACACAAATAATGCTATTTCTTTTAGCACTACTCCCTCTTATATCAGCAACAAATTTTCTCGACCATTCAAGCGGAAAACAATCATTTTGGGATTCTTTTGAAGATAATTAAATATGGCGTCTTAGCTTAGGCATGGCCGGGAGGCCATGCAATCTTGAGCACATAGTTAATTTAATCCAGCAAGGTTTTAACAAAATTGGAAATAGGCAGCTATGCTAGGTAAGCAATTTCTGTGGCGCAGGGAGCCTAGCCCTGGCCCATTTTCCGACTTGGGTTTTACCTCGAGGGAAAAGGAGGCTTGGAAGTTGGAAAAAGATTGCTCAGCATGATCCTTTGGACCCAAAAGGCACTTTCCCAACTCAAACCAAGGGTTATGGCCTGGGCTACAAGTTTTCTTTTTGCCGAAAGTCGCCAGAAAATCTATTTTTTTGGATTTTCCTGCAGGCAACCTCTTCACTGCAGCCTGGAGGAAGACCCCGGGAATCTGTAGTCTGCCCACTCAAAATTGTAGCTACCGCGTTGTAGCAAGGAGGAGGTGACGGCCAGGCAACCCACCTTTCCGGCGATCGGAAGTAGACGTTACCGCAAAGCGGATGAATCCCCTGGTGGGATCCTCAGTAAACGAGTTAACAAATTGGCCTCTAGCCACCTAATTAAGTAAGTAAGGGATTCTTTTGGAGACTGACTATTACAATATCCTATGATCGGCTCATTTTCATCAATTTTTATTTTATTTTTGTTTTTTGCTCTCTATATTCACTGCAGAAAGCGATTACAAGAGAATAGCGGAGTAAGGACACTTATAAAATCGAGGAGACTAAATTCAAAAGAGACTAAGCCTTTTAAATTATAAGACTGCTTATAAATAGGAATTTCTTTTAATTAGATATAAACGTAGCAAGAGAATTTTAATGAGTTTTATTGATAAGAATTTGTATTATTTTTATATAACTCATATTCTCATATTTTTGGTATAGGAATTGCCCGAGGATGGCGCTATCTTGCGCCATCCTCGGGCAATCCAAAAAATGGCCCCACAACGGGAATCGAACCCACGTGTGGGGCCATTTTTGGTGCGTGTAAGTCGATGCTTGCCACACACCAAAAATGGCCCCACACGTGGGTTCAAATTCCCGGTGTGGGGCAATTCCTATATGTTTTTTCCATTGAGATATTTAGAAGATTAAAATCTATTTAATTTGCTTGCCTTGCATTGATTCTTATACTTTTTGAAGATCTTGTGATTATTCCTCTAGGCATAAATCCTAGCTGACTTATCATTCCATGCATTTTCAATGGCTTATAGACTCTCAGAGCCATGGATATAGAGGGTTATAATCATTATATCCATCAAAATATTTTTAAAATCATATTTTAGCTATTGCATTATCTTAGCTCATCATTTTAGAGTAATAAAATGTGATTTAGTTTTTTTGTTCGAATGTACTTAACGTGATATTCTCAAGGAAAGCATTTTTCTTTAAACATATTATTAGTTAAAGAAAAATTAATCAACAGAACATTTTTTCTAGCTGCATTACAGGCGCAGTTAATTTTAAGGAAAGCTTTATAATATTTTAAATATCAATCTGCATTCAATTTTCATAGTTAGATATAATTACTTCCTGAAAACCGATTTTTTGATTTAAAATTGGGCATTTTCTTTATATTTTGAGTGCTTCATCAAAATATATTTGTTTTAAAACGATATTATTATGAAATGCAACACTTTCATCTATAAGTACGAAAATGCGTTTAATTTATCATTATATTTGGATAACTTTTGTTCTTATATAAAATTAAATAGTCATAAAATAAATTTCGCGTTTGCCCTGAAATTTTTTCCCTTTTTACTTTTAATGTCCCCGCCTAATAATTTCAAAAAATGCCAGGAAAGAAATCTCCTTCAAAGCCAAGCATGACCAAAAAAGCTGAGACTCAAATTTCCAATCGAGTTGATGAAGGTGCTGATAAATTGCGAATAACTTCTCATGAGCGTGCAGGTCTCATATTTCCAGTTGGAAGGATCCTTAGAATTATGAAAGAAGGCCGTTTGGCTGATAGAATTTCAGACAAAAGCGCTGTTGCTATCGCAGCTGTGCTAGAGTATACAGTTTTGAATTAATTATCTATAATTTTTTGCTATTTCAGACCCTTTTTCTCTTTATATTAATACTTTACTTTTTATTTTTATGTTAAATTCATTTATTTATAATTATCTATCAGCTGAAATCATAGAATTGGCTGGAGATCAAGCCAAAGAAGAGCGATCAATGAAAAAACACATGATTAAACCCCGCCACATTACGTTAGCTGTAAGAGCTGATGAAGAATTAAGCGAATTTATCGGTGAACAAGTAATAATTCCTATGGGCGGAGTTATTCCACATATTCTGCCAGAAATTGAGAAAAAAACAAAACGCAAAAGAGCTAAAAAAGGTCAAGATGGAGAAGAGGAAGAAAGTGGGGATGAAGAAGGTGAAGCTGAAGATATGAAATAAATTAAAATCTTCAAATAGTTTGTAATAAGAATTTGTTAAAACCTTCAGTTATTTCTTCTTAATTAATTCATGATAGGTTTCAGTGTCTTTTGATATATCTTATTTTTTAATTAAGAAGGTAAGCCTAGATTTTTTCATCCTCATTTATCTTTTTAAAAACTTATAAGCGAAAAATTGTTAATTAATATTTCAGGGATTTATTTATAGTTTATTAATATCTTTATTTCGTAACATGATATGTCTGAGAAAAGAAGTAGTATCTTTTAAAGCATCTATAGTGAGCTTTTCGTACTCCTTTTTATTGAAATCAAAAATTTGTGTGCTGCTTGTTCTAATAGTTCTTCTTTTTTGTGAAGATGGCGATTTTGGTGATGTTGATGAAATTGGCGATATTGGTGACTTTTCATTGCTTTCAATTTTTGTAGGAGTTAGGCCTCCTCCGAATGGCCTTTTTGGTATTTTCTCAATTTTTAGCAAAAAATCTTTATTTTTTCCTTTGATTATGTTAGGAGAAGCCTCTTCTTCTTCTTTTTTTTCGTCAATTCGTGTGAATTCAATTTTGTATTTCTGTTTATCTTTTCTCTCAGCAATATGTGGGATAGTTTCAGATGCTAAATCCGAGCCTAAGCTTTCAACTGAAGAATTTCTTGATTTCGCTTCGGGATTTGATTTTGTGCTTCGGTGATTATTAATTTTTCCTAACTCCCTCTCCGTGAGGAAAAAAACAATCTGTTTGCCTATGGAGGGAGGTCAATGTTTTTTTTAAAAAAATTATTTTTTAAATTTTATATTAATTTTTTTTTTAAAAACGTTATAAAAATTAATTTAATTTGCGATGTTTATGTTTTAAAATGCAAGCTTTTTAAAATAAAAACTGAATTAGCTAGAGATTTCATTATAATAATTATCACTTATATATCATTTTTTTCATAAAACAATTGTTGTTCGGAGGAGTTTTTTCCAATGGTTTTATTCGCCTACGGAGGAGGAGTAAGGTTTCTAATAAATCTTCAATGTCCTTTTTACTATCATTTTTTGGAGACTCCAGATCAGAATTTTGTTTCTGAGTACTTATAGATGGGTGAGTTGAAAGAAACCATAATTCTTTAGTGTCACCAGGAAAGCTGCTCGGAGTAGAATCTTTGGATGATGAGCTAGAAGAGTAGTTAGAAAACGAACGAGTATGCTTGACAGTTTTTGGGCTTCTTATTTTGAGATATCTTGTAGAAGAGGCTGAATGCAAGTTTAATAGGCGCAAATTACGCTCTGAAAGAGGCTTTGGTCCAAGTGGTGGCAGTTTGCAGGAGCTAATTGGTTTCATTTAAAATTTAGTAATCTATGGCTTTAATTAGGTGCGTTTTGTATATTAAGACTAGAAAAATATGATGGATTCTGTTTTAAATTTTGCTTAATCAAATAATTGCTTCAGCTATGCATCTTGTTCTAAAGCATTTATGATCTCAATTAATTATCAAGATTATTTTTACGCTATGAAGATTTAAGTTAGCTATTTATAGGTGCAGGCCCAATGATTATTTACTTTTAATAGTTGCATTTCATCTAAGAAAATTTGGTCAAAAATTTTTAAATAATTCGCCTTTGCTCGAAATTTAATAGCTTTTTCGATCAAATGTCTCACTATCAAAAATGCTTCTAACATATTTCCCTTACTCCCCCTCCGTGAGCGAACAAAAAATCTTGTTCGCTCTCGGGGGTTAATTTTTTTTTTTAAAAAAATTTATATATAAATTTTATAGTAAATTTTTTTTCTTCTAATTTGTAAATATATATCTGGCCGGAAAATGGCCAGATAAGCAACCCTCACCTAGTGCCATGTGCCTAGGGTCCGAGGGCTCGCAGCTTGCGGGAGGTCCGGGGTACGTTTGCCAACATAATTGGGCTTTTTCCTGGACCCTTAGAAGAAAAGTACAAATTCGGGATGACTTCATGGAAGAAAGGATGCTAGGAGGCTTCGAGCGGAGCATGGGGCATGAAGGAGGACCAGACGATCAACTTCAGGCTGATTTTCCCCCCTGAAGTGGAACCTGTGACCGATAAGGCCTGGATTCAAGGGAAGCAAGGGTCTCCCCGTCAGATGATGACGTCACCAATTTTGATGACGTCATCAAAAAAGGATCAAAAACATTTTAGAAGTTTTATGAAGATTTTACTTTGAAATTTTTACAGTTTTTGAAAGGAAAATTTTGTGAAAATTTATCTAGGAGCAAGTGGCCTGAAATAAAGCCCGTAGTCTAATTAATCTCTCTCTCTAATTTTTAAAATCGAAAGCAAATATTAATTTAATTTGTAAGAATTTATGTTTTAAATACAAGCTGTTTAAAATTAGCCAGAATTAGCTAGAGATTTCATTATACTAATTATCACTTATGTATCAATTTTTTTCATAAAAAAATTTTTGTTCGCTCACGGAGGTGAGTTTTTTTGGGCAAAAAAGGTATTATTCCAATGGTTTTATTCGCTTACGGAAGGGGAGTTAGGGAATATTGCACTATCAAAAATACTGTCTTTTGGCATGTACTCTATTTATATATTGTTAATTTCTTCACATTTTTCCAAAAGCTTTATTCCTTTTTTAAAAAGGTTAAAACTCTTAGCCATAATTCTGATGAAAGATTTTTGGAAAATTATTAAAAGACTATTAATGTACCTAATGCTTCTTTTTGTTTGGAATTAATGCTTACGAGCCTTAGTTTCATTACAATTTTGCAATTGGAGAACAATTTGCAATTGATTTGCTTGTTGATCCATTTTATTAAAATTTATTTAATTTTATAAAGATGAACTAAATTACACGAATAAAATAGCTTGAGTATTAAATGGCAGTTATTATAATTCTTGCTATGTTATAATATGACTGAACGAATTTTCCCAGAGCAAGAATCTTTTTCTCTTATCCCTTACTTTTAAAAAAAAAATACTTTCACTACTCAAAACATACTATTTAATTTTAAAAATTAATGAAATTGATATTAAAATCACTATTTTAAGGCGCCTTATAAATTAAAAAACCTGTTAAGAAATGGAGTTAGTTTACCAAGACCAACAACTCCAACAACAGAGCATATAAATGCAGTCAATTTTGAAAAAACAAGAAACCAGCATACTGCTGGATATCCTAAATACAAAAGACCAGAAATTTTCGACGACAATGCTACTGAAATATATCCAACTCTTTGACTAAGGTTCAGCCAGACTGCAACATGCATAGGATGCAACAAAAAAATTGAAACCAAAGTTTCAAAAAAGCTAGGAATAGGCGGCTTAATTGCTATTTGCTGCTGCACAGCACTAGGAGCCTGCTGCTGAATTCCTTGCGCAATTTCTTATTTTAAAGATACAATACACTACTGCCCTAACTGCGAAATGAAGCTTGGCTGCCGGTCTTTTATCTAGTCCTAATTAAAATTTTATTTATATTATCAATCTTGGCCTAGAAATTTTCCCAGCTTTTAGCCTTTCTAAATAATTTCTATACGATTTTTGTGCTAATTCTTCTTTATCCTTGAATTTTACTTTATTTTTTTCATTAGGGAAAAATCTGACTGCTATGACAGATTCAAGTTTATTGTCTTTTGATTCCATTTCCACTGTTGAGGATTCTACGCTTTGTTTTTTCTGTATTTTGCTGGCTGATTTTTGTCTGCTATATTCAGTCCTGGAGCTTAGCATCAGAGTTAAGTCTTTTTTTGCTTTTAACGAAATTTCGTTGTCTTTTTCTATTAAAGCGGCGTTCATATCAATAAGAAGGTCGTTGATATTATCAGTGTTAATTTTTCCGAGAGTGGAACTGTACATTTTGTCACTGGTTTTGAAGTTTGATAAAGATGGGCGAGTAGAAATTAATTGAGTTTTTGCTTGCCTTGGGTCTGGAGAGTTAAGCTTGTGCTTGTAATGTCTAATGACATTATAAATATCATAGCATCTCTCACAGACTTTTACATTTTCATACATCTTTTGGCCATGCAGCTGAGAACTCATGCAAGAGTCAAAACCAAGATTTTTAATAGTCTTTTTAAGAGATTTTTTAGATAAAAAGCTTTCTACCTCTAGATCTTGGATTTGGCCATTAATCGGCAAAAATTTTAGCCTGGATAATATTGACTGCCCAAGATATATAATATAAAGCGGCATTTCATATAAAACCAATTTTGGCAAAAACCGTCTTCTTTCTTTTTGCAGGTAATCTCCTGCTATGCCTAAGCGGACTTTATTTGCTTCATTTTTCCCATCCCACGTATAAGCTAGTCTTATTGTTTTAAGCTAAATATTTTTTACAATTTCATCATAATTTACTTCAGGATCAGTCTGGTCATATTTTCCTTTCAAGTTATAATTACAAAAATCACCTTGACATATCTTTTTTGACACAGATTTACTTCTCAAAATCTGTGTTGTGCTCTTGCTGACAGGTAGCCTTTTCATTACAGATGGGGATCTTTCTAATATTAATGAAGGCTTTAACGAGCTTGGGATTTCATAGACTTTGCATTTTCGTGTCCCCATAAATCATAGAGATCTTGTTTTGTCCAAAATAAATAAAAATTCAGTCTTTTTGATCCGATAAGAAGTATTCCTATGCAATGCTTTCATTATACTGTCTGAGGATGTATCTAACTCATTACATAAATTTTTAGCAGTCAAATTGATTTTTTTGCCAGTTTTATCTTTTTTGACAAATCTCTTTATGTATCTACCGGATTCCAATTTTATTTTTACACAAATTTTATGTTCTGAGTCACCTAAGGTTGGGATTCACATTTGAATGGCATTTGGCCAGCTAATTAACTGCTCAAGAATAGTTGTGATTAGATAAGTTTTCGTTAAAGGCAAATATGAGCTTTCATTAATAAGGTGGCCAACCGTTAGCTCTTCTAAAAGTGGATCATTTTCATTAGGAAAATCATAAGGAGATAAAAAATGCTGCACAATTAATTCTCTACTTGCCTCTTCTGTAGCTTTTTTAACTATTCCAGATAAAAACAATTAATTGCATAAATTGCGCATATTTTATAAAGAATTAATAATCATTAATTTTATTGTTATCAATTTAGGCCAATATACATTATAATTCTCATCTGTATAAATTCATCGATATCCAGAAAGCTCTTCAGGATCAATAAAAACAGTATCCAAAATCCTGATTTTCAGCTGACAAATTGAAAGAGGCTTTCACAAGTTTTTTATAACCCATACCGAAGATTGCTCAATGCCAGTCATTTCACTAGTTATTTTTAATAGCTTTTTCGCCTTATTATAAAATATGCACTCAAGAAAGAAAAGGACACAGCCACCCACTCCAGAAGAGATCGCCAAGGAAAAGGCAAGGCTCCAGAAAATGCAGGAGCTCCACACAGCTGTGTTTGCCTCAATGGAAGCCCAGGATTTGTCAACTGACGCTTTTGATTTAACAACAAGAGCTATTCGGACCTCATCAGATATTTATACATTTTTCAATTATCGTCGCCAAATTTTGCTGAAACTTTTTGAGGAAACCCCTGAAGACCAGCTTCCAGCTTTATTGAAAAAAGAATTAGACTTATTGGGCGGCATCATAAAAGAATCTCCAAAATCTTATACTTTATGGTTTCACCGACAATGGATTTTACAAAGGTGCAAAAATCTTACTGATATTATGGAGAGGGAACTGAAACTGTGTGAGTATATGCTAAATAAGGATAATAGGAATTTCCATTGTTGGGATTATAGGACTTGGTTTGTGAAATTTGCGGGGACTGAAAGTTTGCAGGATGAGCTTTTGTTTACTGATTCTATGATTTTAAGAGATTTTTCAAATTTTAGTGCCTGGCATTATAGAACAAAGGTAGTTAAACAGATTTATACAGGAGAAATTCCAGATGAGTTTGTTAGAAGTGAGCTGGGGAGACTGAAAAATGCTTATTTTACATGCCCAATGGATCAGAGCATATGGAATTATCATAGGTGGCTGCTAAATCAAAAAGAGCCTATTATGATAACTGGGATATCTCCTAGAGAGTTCGAAGAAACACCCAAATGTTTTATTATTGGATTTTCCCATAATATCAAAGGAATTAATGAAAATTCTATTGGAGTTTCACAAGGCTGGGAGCCGCTACAGGGCACATGGGAGCCTTTATATACACAGCCATTTTCTTATATATGAAAATTCACCCCATCTCAGTCTGCACCTGGAGATATAGAATTCCGCTTAAGCCCTATCAATACAGAATTAACTGATATTAATGGTCATAAAAAATTGACATCTCTTCAATACAAGTTCAAGAAAACAGAAAATAAATCAGAATTTTCAGTAGAAGGACAAGAAGATGCCACATTTTTTGAAAGTGAGCTTGAGTCGATAGATGAATTGTTAAGAATTGAAGAAGACGATAGATCTCAAGCTGTGCTTAGAAAAGCTCAATTACTAGAAACCTTATCTTTTATGAATTCAGAAAAAGGCAATATTGATCAAATTATTGCTAGTTATCAAGAATTAATTAGAATTGACTATAGAAGAGCTCCATTTTACAGAGAGTCTTTGAGTGTGTATCTTATACACCAATAAATATGCTTTTTTGCCTTGAGTGGCGCGGTACGGCGCCACTTCGGCAAGCTCCTTCTTCCAGTTGGCCGAGCCAACTCAGGTTGGTTCGGCCAACTAGAATTGACAAGTCTCCCCAAAAGGCCTCACTTGTCAATTCTCCAGTTGGCCGAACCAACCTGAGTTGGCTCGGCCAACTGGAAGAAGGAGCTTGCCGAAGTGGCGCCCATACCGCGCCACTCAAGGCAAAAAGCTATAGCTTATATCACATTTAAATAAATTATGTGTGAAGAGTGTTTAAATAAAGTATATAACGCTATAAAAAATAAATCAGCCGAAAGCAGTCCTATAGTCAGCAGAAAAATGCTCGCCAAAATCCTAGGGTTTATAGATCTTAATCAATAAGTAATCTATTAACTATACGTGTACATTAATAAAAAAAATACCAAAAGTATCGCAGCTAGCAAGAATAATATTTTTTTGCAATTTCCATGCGATTTTTTTTGATATTCTTCTGCTTTATTCAGCTCCAGCACAGCTTGACCACTGTTTTCACTTGCATCATCTACATGATTTTCTATTCTGTCAAGTACCACCCCTTGCTCTTGTACGGTTTCTGCACAATATTTCATCATGTCATTGACCTCTTGTAAGCATTCTTCAATTTTTCCTAATTCAATCTGTCTGTCCCTTAATATATCTTCATCATATACTTGAGCTTGTAGCTGTGCTTGCTGTTGCAAATTTTGATTAGTTGTTTGAGACTCATTGAACTTGTGCATTGATTCAAGAAGTCTGGAGAATTGTTTGGTGTATGTATATTTTATAATAAAAATAGCTAATAGTGGAATTATTTATAAAATATTATTTTTTATAAAGAAAATGGTATATCGACTAAAGCTTGCCGTTCCATTTGCTCTCTTTTTGTTTGTGGCTTTAAGTTTTTCAAGATATTAATTGCTTCTTCTGTCTTTTTGCACTCTGATTTGAATAAGTCTACACCAGTTTGTGAATACTCTCGCTGGACACGAGATACAGCCCTCTGTAGCTCTCTCATACAAGTTTTGACAATCTCTCCTTGTTGTTGGGAATTGCTTTCAAGAAGATAGGTCTAAGTGAAAAATACTCGCAAACCTCCTGGCTCTTTTCTTATTGACATCTTATGGGATTATTGATAAATTAGATATAAAATGGATGCAGCGTATTTTAGATATTTTAGCGGAAACCAAGTGGATCAGATTAAATTACTGGAAATGCAGGCTGAGTATCTTCGATATTTAGCGTCGTGCTATGGTGGAAATGCTCCTATCTTGCAGTATCCAATCCAGCCTCAACAAGTTTCTAATGGAAATATTCCAAATTTTCAAATAAACTGTGCTGAGTTTTTTTCAGAAAAAATTAAATATTGATGCATAATTTTCTATTTAAATTAGCATATACATTTTTATACAAACCAATATATTTGTAAAAAGAGAATAAATACAGAAATTAAATCCTCTAAAGAGACTGTAAACACAAAAGTTCCTATAGCCCAAGAATATTCAAAGGAGACTGAAAACAAAGAGAAACCAACTCTAGGCTCTAGATCACAGATAGAAATACCACCATTAACTTTTTCGAATAAAGAATCAACTGAGATTCCACAAGTAAAAGAAAATAAGCAACCTGAATTGGCTAATGAGGAAGAAAGTAGCCCTATAAATGACAAGAAAATTGGAACAAAAGCAAGTAATCGGAGATATTTATCTAATCCTGATGATGTTCCCATTAAACCTATAGCAAAATCATTTGAAAGCTTGCTTGAAGAAGAAATGAAGAAGCTGAGAGAACAAGAAAATACGGCAGAAGGTGAGGCAGAAGGTGAACAAAAGCCTAAGCATCAATTTTTAAAAAAAGGAAGCAAAGTAAAGCAAATTATAGCAGCTGAAAAAAGCCATGAGGAACAAGAAAAGAGTGAAAATTTAAACTTAGAAGAAGCCAAATCTATTGAAAAAAGTGAAATTGTTGAAGAAAGAAAAGAAGAAAAACCTATGGAAGTGCCAATAGAAAATCCTGATGAAGTAGCAGCACTTAAAGAAGAATTTTCCAACAAATTAAAAAATTTGGAAAAAGAAATGGACTATTTCAAAAGAGAAAATGCAAAATTAAAGAAATTAGCAAAGGAATTGGAAGAGAAAAAAAGTGTAATCGACAAAGAAATGCATGAATTCGATTAGATTATTAGATTAGTTAGATTATAATGGGTCTCTTAGGATTATATCAGCCCTTCTCCTTACTAGCTGGTTTTACTCTCAAGTGGCTTTAGCATTAGCGTCCAACACTAGGCCACTTTTATATGTCGATGTCACAAAAAATGGTGATGTAGCCAAGTCTCTCGGGGAGACTCACCCGACAAAATTTTTGTCTGGTCTACGGTACGGACTCCCTTAACCCATGATAGTGCTCAGAGTACTGATGAAGCGCCCAACATGTCTTCTTCTGGGCTAACTTCCTTTAACAGCGCATATTGCTTCCCAGAAGTGTGAGCCGACTTTACGCTCTCTGTCTCATCGTCACGGGCCGGGATAAAAAGCTTTTCATGGTGTCCTGACTGACAAAACCGACCTATTAACCACTCACCGTGTTTTAAAAAGTGCATGAATTCGAAGAATTCAAAAAAAGAGAAGAAATCAAGCTTATTAAGTGGAAAAATAAAGAAATGGAAAAACTTAAAAAGGAAAAGGAAGCAATAACCAAAGCGAATATAAAAAAAGAAAATGAAGAAGTTGAAAGGTTGAGAGAAACTCTAAAAAGATTAAATCAGTCCGTAAAAGATCAAGAAATTCGCCACAAAATCGAAACAGACAAACTTAAAGCACAAATTGAAAAAATTTCTAAAAAATCAGAAATTAAGCCAATTTTAAAAAATCCGCGCAGGGAGTCAAAAACTGATAGAGGTAGCCTTTCAGTTAATGAAAAGATTATCATTTCCAAACCATCTGCCTCTGAAAATAACTCTATAAGCCAAGAAAATTCGATCGAAAAAACTCCAAGAAATTCACCTTCAGACAGCCATATAAAAGTAATTTCTTTCAGCAATGGAACTAAAAAAGAAATTCACCCTGATGGCCACTCAGTGATTTACTTTATAAATGGTGATATAAAAACTGCTTTTCCAGATGGGAAATCAATTTATTTCTTTTGTGAAGCCAATACAGTCCAAACTACATTTGCTGACGGGGTTCAAGAATTCAAATTTCCCAATGGACAAGCTGAAAAACACTATCAAGATGGGACCAAAGAAATCAATTTCCCTGATGGAACAATGAAGTGTATTTATCCTAATGGTGAAGAAAAATGCATATTCCCTGATGGGACTATACAAAAAATTTGTGCAAATGGAGAGAAATTGATAACACTTCCTGATGGAAGAAAAGAAATATAGCACCTGCAATTATATAGTGTGCTCTTGTGCTAGCTCTTCCCTGCAATTGGCTATCTGGCAAGTCATCTAAAGGTGACAAGTCAACTCTAAGTTGACAAATACTGAAAGAAAGATCAACTTGGAGTTGATATGCTACCTTTAAGCGACTTGTCGGACTTACAAGTTGAAGGTAAAGAGCTAGGCAAGAGCACGCTATATGCGTGAAAGCACCATAATAACAGCTGAAGGAAAATGTGTAAATGTAGGGAATGCTCAAGAATCCTTATAAATTAATATGTGTTTTGATAATTAAAAAAATTCAAATATCAGAGCGGGTTTGGTATCTTAGACATATATAGTAAATTTTAGTGAATTAAGATGTTGACTTTTGATTTTTGAGAAAATCAGCTCTAAATTATAAGAATTTAAGTGTTTACATTAAGATTTATCCAGATTTATGCTAAAATGATTTGACCAATATATTTAACCTTTTACAAATCTTTAAACTAAATTACTCCTATCAAAAGGACACACATCAATCTTTTTCAAGCATCCCCCGCACACAACATGCCCACATCTCAATGTCTCAGTCGCTTTTTCAGCATAGCATATTAAGCAAGCATTTTCAATTTCTTCAATCTTAAACTGCTCTTCTGCTGCTTTAAGCTCTTCATCTCTATCCCTTTCAATCTGTTCTTTCTTTTCTCTCAATTTGGCTATTTCTTCCTCAATTTCATAAATCATAGGATCATAATAACCCCTTATAGATTCCACTTTCTTATCTTTTTTTTGCTTCATAATTTGCTCTAGTGTAACATTCGGTGCTTTTTTGGGTTTCGGAACATATGAGATTACAGGGGTATCTAATTCAAACCTCCAAGCCATTTCAAAATTATTTCATACAATTAAAATGAACAAGAAGAAAAGATTTTATAGTGTAGGAGAGCTAAAAGAATACATCAATGATTTATTTGCAAAAGCAAAAAAATTCCATGAAATGCCAGGATTTAGGAACAATGATGCCTGCAAAAGTTATAAACACTTGATAACTATCTGTAATTCTCTAGCAATCGTGTTTATGCAGTATGATCTCATCCAGGAGTCCTTAACTTTTCTAAAAATTTCAATGGAAGTTGACAGTCTGCTTGTCAAGTATGGAAACATTTTAGAAAAATTCTGACAAGGAAGGCTGGTTATGTACAATAATTTTGCGTATTTATATCACAAGGCAAATCAAAACCAAGACTGCTTAAAAAGTTTGTATGAAGGCCATAGCTTGATGGTGAGTATGAAAGATATGGGGATAAATTGTGTGCCTGATTTATACATTTCTTCGAATTTGATGACTTTTATGTGTTTATGGAAAATAAAAAGATTTAATGAAGCTGGTAGTTATTTAGAAAAAGCTGCAAATATGGTCAATAATGTGATTAAAGGGATCAAAAAGTCAAAGCTGTCTAGTCTCAGTGCCCAGAATTTGTATGGGATTGTTGTCATGGGCAATGCTGGGCTTGCAGCTAAGCTTGATAATAATTTTGATAAAGCTATCAATATTTGTCAGGAAGGGCTACAAGTACTTAGCAGTGACGATATTTTAGCAAGACCACTTATATGTGATTTAATTCAAGATTTCCATAGAGAAAAGCACTCAAAAAATGATAAAGACTGACTAATTACGAAAGAATTTGAAAACATTTTATTTATCACCACATTTGTGCCATTTATCAGTCCAAATACACCTCTGATAGACACAAATGAGCTAGAATTAGAAAAATCTAAAGCAAGAATCAGCGTTTTAGGAGAAGAAATCAATACTTTTATAGATTCTGACATAGAAAATGTCCCAGAAACCAGGGCAAATCTGCCAAAGCCATATGCACACATCATGAATAATATTCTGTCAAAAAGAAAAAGTCAGCAAGAAGTCCCTAGACAGTCAGCAAGCACTTCTCCTGGCAGAGGAAAAATAAGGCCTAGCACAAGAGAAGGGATTAATCGTCCATGGTGAGAGAATGAAAAATTTATTGAGCAAATCGTAAATCCTGAGAGTAGAAATAGCAAATCTAGATACCCTAGTGAGCCAAGGGTAAGAAAAAGCATTCCAAGGCCACAATCTAAAGGAAGTAATGAGAGCCGGAAGTTTACTCCAGGAAATTCAGAAATTTATGAAAATTCCAATAGGTTTAACTTTTTGAGCCCTCATTTAAATCCTGCTCCAATAAGAAATTTATTCTATTTTAAGAAATTTTGACATCAAAAATATTTATGAATATTGATTATCAATTCTCAATGACAAGCGATTAATTATTTAAATAAGCATAGCTTCAAAAAGAGATAAAGATATTGGAAAACATATTATGGTAGAATTCAGCCCAGCTAGACATAATTTAGGAGATCAGATCCCAATTGAATTTTTGCCAGTTCCACCTATAAGAAGAAATGATCCTTATTCTATGATGCCTGGATCAGGATATAGCAGTGGGAGATACAATATGATTCTTGAGAGATCAAGCCATTTGTAATTTTATTTGAATCAAAATAAACACATTTTATAAATTAATTATAAATAATTATAAAACCATTTAAGATTTATTATTTTAAGTGAAAACAGCTTTAATGAGCTCTTAATAAGAAATTTTGCCTTATTAATGTCCCGCCTTCTATAGAAATTTCATCGAGCTCTCGTAAAAAAGGTTGTAAAACAGCACTAGAAAAATTATAAAATCCTTGCTCACTTGTGAACTCTTCTATATTATCATCTTGCTTGCTTGGTGCCCAAGGGTTTCTAATGAATCTAAAATACAGTTTATCTCTCCATTCAGCTTTTTGTAGAGTATAGTGGATACTTTTTGATGCGATTTTTTCATATTTCCCTGTATATCTATCAAAAACTAATTTACGAATAGTTAAATGCGGATCATACATAAAATCATAATGATTGCTATAACTGGCATTTTCTCTTACTAAAGTCAGGTGAAGTTCTAAAAGTCCTAAAAAATAGCTCGATTTAAAATAAGGCAAAACTATGGTTGACCCACTACTCGTATCTTGCTCTATCGCTAGATTTTTCTTTACTAAACTAATCCCAATATCTCTTGCAATTTCAAAAGCAAGAAAAATATCATCTCATCTTAAATTTTCTGGAGTCTCTGGCAAGTCTTCTATATCCCTAATATCAAATTTTGTTTTTGGACTTTTAAAGCTTCTATTGTTTACTGGGTATTTTACTTGAGATCATTTATTTTTTAATTGCATTGGGTGAGCAATATACCCAAACTCTCATAAAGCATTTTCATTAATCATTATAAAAATCAATAGAAGCCTTAATTATTTTCTTTATTTTTTACACTTGGCTTGGCGGCGCGGCTTCTCGAGCTGGCTCATTTTCTTCATGCTTTTCTGCTTCATCAATCAATCTATTTTTCATCTGTATGGATTTTACGCTAAAAGAAAACACAATGTACATAATCCCCAATATGATATTTGCTAACTCCCCCCATCCTTGATCGAACGATTAACTGTAAAAATTCCTAAAAATTGGGGAAATTAGAACGATTTTCATATCATGCAAATTTTTATATGTATAAAAATATATTAGTTAGCAAAAGCTTGGGAAGATGTACCTAATGAAGTTGTTTTCAGAGACTTTGAGACGAAAGAAAGCTACGGAATCAACCATCCGAAGTGATTTAGTCATTAGCCTAGGCTTAAAAGCTCAATAATCTATAAAATAGAGATTCTTTAAAATTTTTTAAAAAAAAAATTTAATTTAATAAGGAACAAATAAAAATTTATATAGTTTAAAGGGGTAACTAATAAATCAAAATATTGGTATTTTATGAAATTAATTCAATTTTTTGCTGTAAAAATAATTATTAAATACTCTTAACCCTCTTATTTAAAAGTAAATAAAAAAACATATATATATATATTTTATTTTATATATAAAATATTTTTCCTAACTCCCCCCCCCCCCCTCCGTGAGCGAACAAAACCATTAGAAAAATCGCCATTTTTTGACCAAAAAACCCACCCTCCGTGAGTGAACAAAAATTTTTTTAATAGAAAAAATTTTAATGGAAAAAATTTTGATATATAAGTGATAATTAGTATAATGAAATCTAGAGCTAATTCTGTTTTAATTTTTAAACAAATTGCGTTTTAAAACATAAATTTTGCAAATTAAATTAATATTTGCTTCCCAATTTTTGCAAATTAGGATTTTTTTAAATTTCGAAAAAAATATTTTTTATAAAATTTATATATAAATTTTTTTTTAAAAAAAAAAATTAACCCCCCTCCGTGAGCGAACAAAATTTTTTTGTTCGCTCACGGAGGGGGGGGGGAGTAAACATTTTTTTTTTAACCCCCATCCTTGATCGAACGATGGCGAGCCGTTCGATCAAGGATGGGGGGAGTAAAGAAATTAGAAGTTGATACCACTCTGAGTATGAAAAAGAAATTGTCCCCATGCTAAATAGAGCTTACAATATGAAATAAAGCCCTTTTCCGAAGTATTTTTTCAGGAATGAGAAATATTTCGTGATATGTGGTATTGGGAATTCACCTAGAATTGCTAGAATGCCGAACAGAATATAAGGTCGCTTATTATAAATAGCGTTTTTTAATGATAAATATAGAATTTATAATAATTTTTTTAAAGGAGTATAATATAACGCCATTATAAATTGAATGAATGATCCAATATCGTCAAAGTAAACGTAAACCATAACACCAAGAATTATCATCCCTAGCCCACACAGTACGCTAAAAATTTTCATCAGCAGAGTGAACCTTTTATCATCTAGTGATTGTCCTACCATTTTATTATGATTATAGGTCCTGTTTTTGCAGAGCCTAAGACAAGCCAGAATAAATCTAAAATTTAAATATTTTTTGGATTTTTTGTTATAAAATTTAAGATAAGGTTTTACACAGAAAAAACTATATGAGAATAGTTTTATTAATCTAGCTTTGATTTTATATGAATAGGATGAGGTGATCTTATATCATTTTATTTCGAAAATAATAAAGTTGAGCAACATATAAAATATTTTAATAATTAGTTTTGGAAAGATATTTTAACGGATTTTTAGCATAGACTACTGTCTTAATAATTTTAAGTACTTAAAATTTACTAAATCCCCCCTCCATCCGTGAGCAAACAAAAAATTTTGTGTCGGGGGTTAATTTTTTTTATATATAAATTTTTATAAAAACATTTGTTTTTCAAATTTAAAAAATTCGAATTCGAAAAAAAATTGAGAAGACAAAATTAATTTAATTTGCACAATTTATGTTTTAAAATGCAAGTTGTTTAAATTAAGCATAATTAGCTAGAGATTTCATTATAATAATTATCACTTATAATCAATTTTTTTTTTTTATTAAATAATTTTTATATTAAAAAATTTTTTGTTCGCTCGCCGAGGGTGGGTTTTGGTCAAAAAATAGGGATTTTCATGGTTTGTTCGTTAATGGAGGGGGAATAAGTTGCAATAAAAATAAATTAAATTTTATTATAAGAGATCAATAGATTAGAAATCCAAATAAAATTGCTCTTCTAAATGCAATCTATTAAATTTTAAACTCATCGATTTTGCTATATTTTCAATTTTCATAGATTATAAGACACAATTTATATAAAAAACCTCCATGAAATCTAAATAATAAAATGGAATATGAAAGATCTCTATTCAGGATCTACGATATAGCTCTCAACAACCCAAGATTCATCCTCTTTATCAAAATTTTTTCAATTTTCTGTATTTCCTTATCAATTTTCAATCTCACACTTTTCCTAATTTTCCATTGTCTTTACATAAACAATGGAGAAGCATTAGCTGATGCTTTTTCTTCCCAGCTGCTTTCAGGATGCGGAATTTATCAATCTCCTGAGCTGAATTTGACTCTACCTCTTGAAGATGAATGTCTCTATATCAATAACTCAACAGTCCTTTTGCCTGAAGACATTTACCATATTTCAGTCAATTCTTTGACATATGAATTTTCTATGATGACAGAGTCCTTGTATTTTCCTGAAGAATTAGTGAAAAGAAAAAATTTTACAGTCCATAATATTACTGCTAATGAATTAGTATCTGATTCTTTATGAATAATTTCACTTGCAGTTAATGAAATTGATACAGTAATGATTAATCAACTAAAGACTGTCTTTCATAGCAATGGAATGCTCAGAAACTTAAAAACAAAAGAAATCTGGATCTGGAGTGAAAGCCAAATAAAAGAAAAAGAAAATTTAGGATTTTTCGGAAAACTTCGCAATTTATGCAAAGCTTTCTTTTGATTCAGCATCGTTTCACTTATCACTGGGCTTACATGCAGATTTGCTATAATTGGGTCATCAGCTTTATTATTAGCAATTGTATCTCTCCCATGCATAAACAGAGTTCACCCTCAATGCTCACACATTGCTTATTTATCTTTTCCTTGAATAGGCGAGCCTGCTTATGCGCTCTCTCAAGCTCGTAAAAGCACTTTTAAGCTGCTTTTTTCTTTCTTTTTAATGCTTTTTGTCCTATATATGATGTATATTTGCACCTCAATACTCTGGACTTTCTATTTATTTGAAAATTGTTTCCCACAAGACATTGACGAAAGATTTTACAATTTAGTTTCTTTTGTTGAGTTTTTTTCATTGATTTTTACAAGAACAAAAAAATCTGTAGCTTATTACCCAAGATTTATATCATTTTTCCTCATTTCTTTCCTTTTATACAGATATAACTATTTTTATGGATTTTTGAATTTGGTATTTGCAATTGTTTCATCATTGTGTTTTGGGATAATGGGAATTATGATAGTGAAATGGGAAGTCCCAACAATGAATGATGGCCCAAGTTTTGCAAGCCCAAGATTAGTATATCAGATGGTCTTTAATGAGAGAAGGACTGGGCTAGCTGATTTATGGAGCATGTTTTATCCAGTTGAAGGAAGAGGATACTTTACTGACAGAGAAATGGAAAGGATTTTTCCTCAACAAAATGTTTAATTAGTAATCAAATCGATAAATAGATAAAAAATGGAATAAATAATTATAAATGAAAGCTATAGAAAGGATTTCGGCAAGGTGATTTTCTGTAATAAAAGACTCGAGCAACGAAATTATTATTTATTGTGATGAAAATAATAATAAAATAGGAGAATGCACAAGAAAATATATGAGGGATCATCGATTAAGGTTCAGAAAATCATTTGTGTTTGTAAGAAACAAAGAGTAAAAATAATATAGAAACCTATTTTATGTCCAAAAAAGAGTAAAATCTGCTTTTGTTTATCCTGAATTTTATGATCCAGCTCCAGGTGGAGTTGTTTTGGCTTCTGATAATAATGATGAGTACTGTGCGAAAAGAGAATTAGAGGAAGAAATGGGGATGAAAATTGATAAAGTTGGCTTTTTAATGAATTTTCTCTATAAAGGTCAATGGGGCTCCTTACAAAATGACAGTGTTTTTTGACAGTGTACATTTCAACGAAGTGTATTTGGTAGAAAATTTTTAAATAGTGTGACATTTGGTCGAAATTTAACGGGGTTTTTCAGTCAAATGTCCAGCATAAAAAAGTTTAAATATTTCTTAGACCAAATGTACTTTGGCGAAAAGTACACTATCAAAAAGTGAATAATCATTGGACCTGCACCCAGTCAATGGGAGTATTGATGTGCAACATTTTCTGCCCAGTGAGACCAGCCGATTATATTAGATCCTGATGAGGTTGATAGTGTCGAAATAATGAGCCTCGAAGAAATTTTAAGAAGGGAAAAAACTGAAAAATTTACTCCAGATAGCATGAAACTTTTGCATGAGCTAATCAAAAGAAATTTAATTCAGGAATAAAATTATTTACATAAAATAAAAACTCTTGCGTTTTCCTTTAGATTACATTTATATAAAAGAGCTCGATCCTAATCTGCTTCTTATATGAGTTCTATTTAACTTCGTCTGCGAATTATTATGTTTAGCCATTCTTGAAATTTTAGGTAAAAACTCATTGATTTTTTCACATGAAATCGCTAAAACTGGAGGTTTTTTTGTGAGAACTTGCTTTGATGAAATATTTTGGATGCTGAATGATTTTGATAATTTTTTATTTTGTTTGCGCGCCTGAGAAGAAAATAATAAAATTTTTGAATCTAAAATAGGCACTCTTGATATATCTTCTGGGATTACAGCACATTCAAGAAAGGTTTCAGCTCATATTTTGTCTATTTCATCTTTTAAATATACGACTTCAATATTGACTACACTGCAACTTCTATTTTTTTCTATAGCGTGGATTATGTTTACTGTATAGATCATAAATACTTTTTCTTGTTCTATGTCATCTAAAGGCTGCTTTTTATTCTATTTAATTAAATTATAGCCATTATGTCTGCAAATTAACGTATTTAAAAATACAGCTTAATGTAGGATATTATTTTCTAGCTTATTAGATTAGGATGAGTATTTAAAGTCCCTAATCCTGAAGCACTGTGCATTCCACAGCATCTGTGGGATGGGCTCCCTCAAGGTAGCATGAAACTTTGGCTTCTCTGTAGGGAATTTTCCCTCCTGATCTGGATAGTCCAGATTTTGCAGGGAAACTCCATTTTTCAATCCAGGCGCCAAAGTTGCCCAACTCTGCGTTGCTTAGGCCAGATTGCCCATTTCCGACACCCTTTTAGACTGGAGAGGCTAACCCTTGAGAGTCTTAATTTAGCCTACCTCCCCTTTTCCTCTGGATCAGCTCTAAATAAAAAACCAATAGGCTTGCGCCCATTAGTAGCAGGCCACTAAACAGCTTAGGTAGGAAAGTCGCTCTGACCTATCTGACACTAGCTCTGACTAAAAAGATTCAAAAAGCTCCAGCCAGGTCACTAATCAGCGAAAATAGAGATGGGCCTCTAACCTAATCCTTTAATAGCTCTTTGCACCAAAAAAACAACTTCCGGATTACATAAGAACGCCCGCCACTGGTAGGACTGATCTTTCGTATTGGTCAATTTAAGTATTTATTTTCTAGCTTATAAGGATAAGACTTATAGTGGTTTTCTGTATATTCAAGCCGGTGGGTAAATAAGGATTTTTTTCCTTCCCGACAACCCTGAATAGCAGTATATCGAGAAATTTCAGAAGTGATTTCATATAGAAAAAAAGTTTCATTAACTCCCCCCCTCCGTGAGTGAACAAAATTTTTTTGTTCACTCACGGAGGGGGGTTAATTTTTTTTTTTTAAAAAAAATTTATATATAAATTTTATAGAAAAAATTTTTTTTTTCGAATTTTAAAAAATCCTAATTTGCAAAAATTGGAAAGCAAATATTAATTTTAATTTATAAAATTTATGTTTTAAAAAGCAATTTGTTTAAAATTAAACAGAATTAGCTCTAGATTTCATTATACTAATTATCACTTATATATCAAAATTTTTTTTCCATAAAAAATTTTTGTTCACTCACGGAGGGTGGGTTTTTGGTCAAAAAATAGGGATTTTTCTAATGGTTTTGTTCACTCACGGAGGGGGGGGGGAGTAAGCATTATTGGTAATTGATTAGGCTCAAAAGCTTTTGAAAAATCAATAAATCTTGGGAATCTTGAAAGCTGGTGAAATTTCCTGAAAATGGAGAGAATTATTTGCTCTGAAATTTGCGTATGGTTATAGTGCATGATTCTCCCATTAGTATCAGTATATATAATTTTGAATGGTAAGCTATCACGTAGAAGCAGCAATGGCGGGATGTTTATGCAAGAAACCAAACTAGGATTTCTCGAATATAGAGAGTCAAATGCCCATGTCCAAGGCTTTTGTTCCATTATTTAAAATTAAATAAGGTTTTAGAAAAAAACACTTCAATTATAATTTACTCGATAAAATTATTTACAAATTTCCTGAAATTTGCTCGGTTCCTTCTATAATCAATCTTTTCAAATCAAGCAAATCTCTTGCTTTATAATAAATCGGCTGATAATCCGACAACACAAGTTCGCTTTCCAAAATTTCATTTAAATTTCAATCTCTAATCAAATTTTTATTGTCCACTACATATTGGAATTCAGAGGATGAGCCTAAATAGCCAGATCCTAGAAAGCTGTCTCCTAGAACCCCGAATTCTACAGCATAAAAGTAAATTTTTGATAATTTTTCAATCACCTCATCACTTGCTCCAAGGGATTTTTTTCCGATAGTTTCATTTAATTGTGCGAAATCTTCATTAGCAAACATTGGCACATGGCCCATGAATTCGTGTACGACGTCAGGCTCGGGTGTATAAAAAGGGACTGATTTATGCCTTATGTATCGTGTACAAAAAAATACTCTATAAGCAAGCCCATATAAAAATGACCTTGGATTTATCATTCCCCCGACAGGAACTAATTTGAATTTGGACTTTCCAGAAATAAATTTGTTTACCTGAGAAAATTGAGGAATTTTTAGAGGAGAATAGATGTTTAAGTCTTCTAACTCTTTAAGGATTTCTCTGTGTTCTTTGCAAGCGTGCTTATGGTGCAGATCTCGTAATCTGGTATAAAGCATATTTCAAGTTTCTGTAGCATCAGCTGGATAATCGACATCTGGAGGATCAATTTTTACTGATCCAGGATAACTTCTTACTTCTCGGCACCAAGACATGTATTTTTCGTCGTCATATCCTGGATACGAATTTCCAAGTTTTCCTACAAAATCGATGCAAGTTTTATCCACAAGATCAAGCTCGTCTTCAACTTTTGGAAACCAAATATCTGACTGAACTGAACCAAATTCTCTTGAATTTTTCTTTATTATCGATAATGCCCGCAGAAGAGGTTTTTTGAGGAATGAATTAGAAATCATTGGAGAGGATTATATGAATAATTGATAAATTTTAATTAACTCCCCCCATCCTTGATCGAACGACTCGATCAAGGATGGGGTTAAAAAAAAATTTTTGGGAAAAAAAATTTTATATATATAAATAAAAAATATATATATATTTATTTTTTATTTACTTTTAAATAAGAGGGTGAAGAGTATTTAATAATTATTTTTACAGCAAAAAATTGAATTAATTTCATAAAATAACAATTTTTAATATTTTGATTTATTAGTTACCAGAAATAAATGTCCGAGAAAGCATGCTCGACCGACCTAGAGCATGCTTAAATTAAAGTTATTATTTCTCCCCAGGTGAGGTTTTTTGGCTCAGAGCTTTTCCTCAAGCCGGGCCCTACCATTGGGCCAACGGACTCAGGGCTCCTGGGATAGGATGGCTGGCGAGATAGACTGGCATCAAGGAGTGTGGGACGAAGACTGGGCAGTGTAGGCTGCACGAGTCTCTGCGCAATTCAGAGTTGGCAGAGAGGTGGATCGTCTAAGGCAAGATGGAAGCAAGTCCGCAGCTCACCGGACTCCGATGGAGGAGACGCAAGTTAATGGGGTGTAATCAAATCGAAGACGGGTGTTCTGGCCAAGACAACGGGCGTGAGATGAGGAGATAAACTACCTTGTCGTCGTTAGCGGTGGGTAATTAAGGCCATAAGGCCTAGCGCGGTGAGCTTTGGCTCCGCCATAAAATGATCTTACGACCTCTAAATCATATAAAGATAAAGATTTATTAGTTACCCCTTTAAACTGTCTAACTTTTAATTTGTTCCTTATTTAAATTAAATTTTTTTTTAAAAATTTTAAAAAATCTCTATTTTATTAAAATTATTGAGTTTTTTAAGCCTAGGTTGATGACTGAATCACTTCATAAGGTTGATTCCGAAGCTTTTTGTCGCTCAAAGTCTCTGAAAACAACTTTATTATGTATATCTTCCCAAGCTTTTGATAACTAATATATTTTTATATATATAAAAATTTGCATGATATGAAAATCGTTCGATCAAGGATGGGGTTAATTTTCCCAATTTTTAGGAATTTTTCAGTCAATTGTTCGATCAAAGATGGGGAGGGAGTAAGGAATAATGAGAAACAATAATAATTTTATCAGCTATAAAATTTGTCGTTGGAATATGATATTATGTCCACATTTTTATTGTTGAAAAATAATTCTCAATGAGATGCTACTGCTTTCACTACTAAATAACTCATACTTTTTAAATGAAACACCAAAAATATATATTTAATAAGTTATCTAAATAATTGGCAGATTTATATAAAAATATAAGAGAAATTGATAATAGTCATAATTTATTTATTTGTATCAATATCATAATTTTAATAACTCTGAGATTAAATTCAAATTAAATTTAATACTTTGATTCAATAGTTATTTTCCTTTATCGTATCAAGATTTCATATCAAATCATTAATGTCTCTTATATTTTATTATAGTGTTTTAATTTTTAGAGATCTTCATTTATAAGAGACTGCATATAAAGCATTTCTTGGGTTAAATATTAAAACTAAGATAATATTATCACACAAAGATCAATATATATTTTTTGCAAATATTTCAGCAAACTCTTGTATAATCAAATTAAAATCGCAAAATTCTCTATTCCTAAAAACAATGAAGGATTTTATATATTTGATAAATTATCTTGTTAATCCTTAAATAATGCAGCCTATTCTCTTTGATATCAAACAAATTCTGTAGTCCAACGTGATTTTGATGATATCATCATCTCAATATAAATTAAATGGGAGACTCAACTCGTATTCTTCAAAGTCTTAAAAGTAAATCCATTGACATTCGCCTTACATCCCTAACGAAATTAGTTGAGCAAATCGAAGACACTCAAGATATTTCAGCAGAATTAATCTTAATCTTAATCTTAATTACGGCGGTTAGAATCCGCTTTGTTAACTCGGTTACCAAGGATCCCTCCAGGGGATTCATCCGCTTTGCGGGGACGTCTACTTCCGATCGCCGGAAAGGCGGGTTGCCTGGCCGTCCTCCTCCTCCTTGCCACTTCTAGGCGGCTCCAGTGTTGAGTGGGCAGACTATGGGTTCCCGGGGCCTTGCTTCAGGCTCCGTCTACAAGGTTGCCTATTCCGAAAATTCGAAGCGCGAATTTTCTGGTAAGGCTCTCGGCTAAGATGGAAATCCAAAGCCCGGGACGTAACGCCCGGTTTCACGCTAGGGAGTTGCCCGATTGACCAAGTGGTGTCCTTGGCACTGCTGAGCTTCCCCTTTCCAACTTTGGTTCTCCACTTTCCTTGAGGCAAAAGACTTGGTTCCAGAATGAGCTGCGGTCGACCTAATTCGACATTGCGCTCCACTACACCAAGCCAAAACCCAGCCGGATACACTTTACCGAGCCTCTTTTCCCTCCACAAGGTCCCCGCCAGCCTGTGGGCGTGCGGCTACAGGTGTTGAGAAAAAGGGCTGGTCCGTCGACGCCATTTTAATATGTATTTCAGCAGAATTAATCACAGGCTTAAAAAAAGTTGTCACATCTAGTGATACAATTGAAAAAGCGACAGGTCTTTCAACTCTCATAAGTATTTGTTCAGTCACTAACGAAACAAATTTAAATAATTCCTCATTAAATTATTTATTATTTTTATATAAGTATTTTTAAAAAATATGCTGACCATTTAAATAATCTTGCATTTCATTTCCTACAACTAGTTTCACTAAAAAACATCCTCTCCAAAGAAGACGAAATAATTAATCTAGCAAGTCAAGCTTTAGGTGAACTTGTAAGCTCTCCATCTACAACCACTTTTGAGCTGGCTGATGAAGAGTTTCGATATGCTCTTAACACTTTAAAAGTCGATACAAGCAAAGATGGTTTCCCTCGCTATGCAGCTTGTTGCGAAATTAAAGCAATTGCCCAAAAATTACCTATGCTTTTTGCGGTTTATTTGGGTGAATTTTTAGGGTCTATGTGGAATGCAGTTAGAGATCAAAAAGACTATATAAGAGAAATCGGTGTCTTAACCTTTGCATTGAGTCTAAAACAAATAGAATCTCGAGAAGATTTATTCGAAAAAGTTTTAGTTGAGTGCCTTAGAGGGATAACTCCAGACAGCCCAGCAGCAACTGTTCATGGCTCTATTTTAACCCTTCATCAAATGGTCGAAAAAGCTGAAAAATTAATTTTCCCAAAATTCCGAGAAGCCTGTGACGCAATTATAAAAATAAGAGACCATAAAAATCTCATTGTAAAGCAAGCTGTCATTGATATAATCCCAGTCCTCACAAATTTTATATTGAATCATGCACATAGCGAAATGGAATATGCCTTGCTTTTTCTTGAGTATATTTTTAAAGCTGTAGGAAGTATTGGAAAAGAAAACAAAGGAGAAGTGCTCAGCATATTGGGAAAAATGACTATGCTATTAGGGAGAAATATTATAGGATCTATGCAGCAGATAGTAGGATTAGTAAATCATGAACTTAAAAAAAAGCCAATTTTGTCTGGAGTTTTTGATATATTAAAAGGTGTAACTAAAACGCTAGGCCCAAAGCTTGTTGACCATTTTGAGTTGAATTTATTAATTTCTAATGTTTTCAACAGCGATGTCGAACTCAATGTAAACTTGCTTGATTTCTTAAGCGAATTAGCCATTGCTGTATTAAAATCCCCAGACCACAAAACTAAGACTATTGTATATACGATTTGTGATAGGCTGTTAGGCATGATTTTTTCTATATTAAACCAAAGGGTAGAAAAAAATTATACGCTGCCTAGGAATGAGATGTCTTCTATTACTTCTACCAATTCTGAATTTAATTTTTCGGAAGCGTTTCTGACACCGATACAGCAGCTATTTGCTCCTGCGAACAGTATTCATATGAATAACATCTGCTATGAATGTGAAGACCATTATATAAGGGAATTTTACCTAAAAATTCAGTATATGCATGTGTGGCCCACCAAAAATCAATTTTAGATATTTATATAAAAAAGACCATAAATCAAAAATTTCTATTGTTTTAGCTCTTTTTGCTTTATCAAATTTTGATTTTCATAATACTTTTTCATTGGGATTCCTAGTACAATCTTGTGTTTTACCTTACTTAGAAAGCCCATGTACAATTATCAGGCAATATGCAGTCATCACTACTTGTGCTCTTACAAAGTGCCCAAAAGCCATTAACTTAGGTGGAGTCCTCCGTAATGAGCTATATAATACAGTAGAGCGCCTATTAAATGTAGCATTGACAGATCAAAGCGATTTAGTCCGCTGCACACTTTTTAAGCACTTAAAAGAAGATTTTTTCCAATTTTTAGCATTAGAAAGCAATTTATCAAAGCTAATGATTGCAGTGAATGATAAAAGTATCCAAGTTAGGGTTGTCTGTGTAAAACTTCTAGGAAAGCTGGTGGGGTATAATAGTTCTTTTATTTTACCTTGCTTAACACAGCTATTAAGCCAATATTTAAACGAGCTGCAAGTATCAGGAAGAATGAAGCAGCAACAAGATGCTGCTGTTTTGCTTAGAGCATTGATAAAAAATACTCGTCAATTGCTATCACCAAATCTAGCTAATATTATCGACATCTATATACAGATCCTAAAAAATTCCCAGCATGCACCATTAGTCTATCAAGCTTTGCGTGGGATTTCTGCTTGTGCAGAAGTCTGCAAACAGCAGCTCAGGCCATTTTTCAATGTAATTTACCCTTGTTTAATAGATAATATTAAAGATACCACAACATTGAAAAGAAAAGGAGCCTTGGTTGCAATTTCTGATGTAGTCACATATTCTACAAGGGCAATAGAGCCTTATCTGAAATTTGAGTCTTTATTAGATACTTTGCTTGAAGTCATAAAAACTGAAGAAAGGATAGAAATCAGAAAACTCGCAGAAAAAGCTCTAGGCAAACTAGGAGCCCTTGACCCTGTGAAGTATAAAGAGCTAGAAAAAAGGACACACTCTGGGCTAAAATCACATAAAAATAACCCAGTAGAAAAGCACTTAAGAGAGCTCCATCAGAAATCATTAGAATTAACACCCTCACACAATATTTATTACCCATTAGTCGCCTTAAAAGCATTAATGAGCATTCTCTACGGTATAAGCTCTTTAAACCACGAGCATATAGAGCAAATCTTGCAAGCAAGCTACAACATTTTTAGATGCTACACTAGACAAATAAGTTCTTTATTAGAAAATATCATTCCTATCTTAGTTCACGTTAGCAAACAAGTAGAAAGTCCTTCTAAAGAAAGATTTATCAGTACTTTTAGAAAAATCACATCAGTTGTAGGTGATGACATCAATGATTGTGTATTAGAAATAACCAAAGTAATTGACTTATCAGTCTCCTCTCCAAACCTTCTTCATGAAATGCTTGAATTACTGAGAGAGCTTGCAAGCCATTCTTGCTATGAAACCATGACTTCTTTTCCTTTGCTGCTTAACAACTGTATCAATATTCTCAATACTTCAGCAGATGAGCAGCTTATAGTGAAAACTCTTAGCTTTTTTGAATGTCTTAGAGGGAAAATCGACCAATATTTATACATAACAATTCCTGCACTGTTAAAACTAGTTCAAGATCACCCAAGTACGAAAATAAGAAAACACGCCATTAAAGTAATTGCAGAACTATGTGATAAAGGGACTCACCCGCATATAGTAGACTATATTTCTTTTATAATTGACGGATTATTAAATGTAGTTAGAACTGACAACAATGAAGTCATTCCTGATATTTTTGACGCTTTTACAGGTCTAGTTGCTTCTTTAGGATCATTATTTGCAGTTTATATCCCTGCTGTACAAAGACTTATGATGAGCAAAAAAATTTCCCACAAAAGGTACGAAAATGCTGTTCAAGATTTAATAGCTGGAAGTGACCAAATAGAAAATCCTTTCAGAAGACCCCGCATGTCACTTATATCAGAGCCTGAAAGATCATCAACTATAAGTGAAGGCCGCGAAGCCCGTGCAACGACTACATTTGGTCCTTATAAGCATGAAGTTAATGTTTCTCAGCTTTTAAATGTATGTGAAACTTATGATCGCCACACAAAGGAAGAATGAAAAGACTGGATGAGGAGATTTTCTAACGAATTGTTAAAGCAAGCACCTGCACCTGCATTAAGAGAGTGTCAGGTCATTGAAGAGTACCCAAATTCATTGGAATTGTTTAATGCAGCTTTTGTGTCGTGCTGGAGTGATTTATATGATGAAGATAAAAATATGATGATAAAAAACCTAGAAAATGCTTTTGACTCACAGACAATTCCGACTGAGGTTTTGCAGGTGTTGCTAAACTTGGCTGAGTTTATGGAACATGATGATCATAAATTATTTGATGCGAGAACGTTAGGAAAACTAGCTTATAAGTGTAAAGCGTATGCAAAAGCTTTGCATTATAAAGAAGTTGAATTTTATACGTCTGCACCACATACAGAAATTATAGAAAATTTGATAGCGTTGAATAACTTATTGCATCAGCATGAAGCAGCATATGGTATAAGAGTTTTTGCTAATCCCCCCTTTAAATTGGGACAAAAAATCCTATTCCGAAATTTAAAGATCAAAACTAATTTTTTATAAATTAGTATTGATTGATAAAAGTTTCCTATTGAAAAAAACCAATTATTCAAAATTTAAAAGGGGGGGGTAAGAGAAAAGGATGGGAAAATTTAAACCAAGCACTTTTCCAAGAATTTCATCGATGGCAAGATGCAGAAGATTTGCATGAATTAATTAACGAAAAATTAATTACAGATCCAGACCAAGCAAATTCTGAAGAAACTACAGTCATTCGAATGAAATGCCTCAAAGCACTTTCTGATTGGGGAAAACTAATGTCTCTAGGAGAAATCAAGTGAAATTCTATTGGAAACAATGAAAGTTTCAAAAAAGAAGTAGCAAGCTATGCAGCAGCTGCTGCTTGGAATCTCGGCAAGTGGGAAGAGCTAGAAAAATACACAAAGGAGATGGACCAAAATATTTTTGAACAAAATTTTTACCGTGCAATATTATCAATCCACGATAACAATTTAACTCAAAGCAAAAAAATTCTTGATAAAGCTTGGGACATTGTTGATGCAAAATTGCCAGGGCTTTTAAGAGAAAGCTATATCAGAGCCTACCCAGTTGTCATAGAAACCCAGCAGTTATGTGATCTAGAAGAAGTCATTCACTATAAAGGGTATGAAGAAACTGCTGAAAAGCGTGATGAAATTCTGCAATTATGGAACTGCAGATTAGCTGGCTGTCAGCCGTCTATTGATATCTGGGAAAAATTCTTCTCATTCAGGCCTTTATTAGTGTGCCCAGAAGAAGATTTAGACACTTGGATACAGTTCGCTGAATTGTGTATGAAAAATGGCCAAATGAGACTAGCTGGAGATACACTAGAAACTTTACTGCTGAGAGCTGTTAGTGACCCAAGAGCTGGAAATTCTAGTAAAATTTATTATGAAATCACAGGAAATGAAGAATTGCACCCAGCTTCAGTATGCTTTGTATATCTAAAATATTTATACTCACAAGGACCTAAGCATAAGTCTCTGGAATATTTGCACAAATTTGTAGAGGAGCAAGAAACCATGAAAGCTAATGGGACAGCTCTTTGCAAATATTATTTACAGCTCGCAAAATGGCAAAAAGATTGCTATGCAGAAGGATTTTCTCAAGAAAACATGGATAAAGTACTGAGGAGTATTAAAACAGCTACACAATACGACATGAAATCTTACAAAGCATGGCACAAATGGGGAATCATGAACTTCTCAGTCTTAAGCCATTTTGAAAGACCATCGCGAGGAGAAGTCATTAGTAAAGAGACAATGGATCCATACATAAACAGCGCTCTTGAAGGCTTTATTCACTCTATAGAAATGGAATACAGCTTAACAGCCAGTCACAAGTTATTCTATTTTATTTATTTTAACTTATTTTTTATTATTATAAACTGTTATTTTTAATTAAAAAAGTAATATAAAAAGGCATGCAAAATTTATTGAGACTAATTACACTTTGGTTTAAATATGGAAATCAAGAAAAAGTTTCTGAAAAATTAAAATCAAGCTTTGATTTATTAAATGTAGAAGTTTGGCTGCAAGTGATTCCACAAATTATTGCAAGAGCTTCGACACCTGATCCTGTGCTGAGAGGCTTAATTGTAGATTTGTTGAAAAAAATAGCGAAATATCACCCTCATGCTTTGCTATATGCCCTAACTATGGCAATAAGGACTACAAGCGAAGAGAGAATTCAAGTGGCGAATTTGGTATTAAATGTAATGAGAGAGTATCATCAGACTATTGTTGGAGATAAAAAATGTAAAAAAAAAAAATAATAAAAAAATTAAAAAATATTTTTTTGGAAAAATTTTTACTTTGGAGATACCTTACTTGTGGCTGATGAACTAATCCGCTGCTCTGTCTTATGGAAAGAAGCCTGGCACGAAGCTATTTCTGATGCATCTCAACTCTATTTCGGAAGCAAAGATATAAATGGGATGATATCTTTATTAAAGCCTCTTCACGAAACTCTTAATCAAGGCCCAAAAACTATGAATGAAGTCGGATTCTACCAAGCATTTTCTGCAGATCTCTCTGAAGCTGAATTCTGACTAACTCGTTACGAAGAAACCAAAAAAGAAATAAATCTACAGCAAGCCTGAAATATTTACTATTCCGTCTATTTGAAACTTCACCGTGTTAATATGAAAGAAGTTGAAATAGAAAACGTCTCTCCACGCCTTTCTGAAGCTAGAAATCTTAATGCTGCTATCCCGGGAATTTATAGAAGCGATAAGCCAGTCATAACTATCCAGAAGTTTGAAAAAACCCTTACTCCCCTCCGTGAAGGAACAAAAAAAATTTTTTCGCTCACGGAGGGGTGAACTTTTAAAAAAATTATGTCTGAATTTTATAGAATTTTTTTTTCGAGATTTAAAAAATCCCAATTCGAAATAATTAGAATTTTAAATATTTATTAATTTGTAAAATTCATGTTTTAAAATGCAAGCTGTTTAAAATTAAACAGAATAGCTAGAGATTTCGTTATAATAATTATCACTTATATATCAAAATATTTTCACAAAAAATTTTAATCACGGAGGGTGGTTTTTGGGCAAAAAATAGAGATTTTTTCAATGGTTTTGTTCACTCACAGAGGGGGAGTTAGAGTTTTTCCTACAAAGCAGCATCCCCGTAGACTATCAATGATAGGAGGAAACGGCAAAGAGTATCAATTTCTGCTCAAAGGGCATGAAGATATAAGACAGGATGAAAGAGCCATGCAGCTGTTTGGACTTGTCAACGATTTACTGTCAGCAGATAGAAGAACTAATGGGAAAGATTTAATGATTAGAAGATACGCAGTTGTCCCATTAAGCCCAACTTGCGGGCTTATTGGATGGGTACATGGTTGTGACACCTTAAACCAATTGATCCAAGATTACCGACAAAGAAAAAGAATAGAAACCTATGTAGAAAGAGACCTAATCAAAGGAATGTACACAAAATACGAGCAATTACCACTAATCAATAAAATCGAAATTTTCGAATACGCCATGTCACAAACGAAAGGAGAAGATCTACAAAAAATTTTATGGTCAAAGTCACCTACAAGTGAAATTTGGCTTGAAAGAAGGACAAATTATACAAGGTCTCTTGCCACTATGTCAATGGTAGGCTACATTTTGGGTCTAGGTGACAGACATCCTTCTAATATTATGCTAGACAGGTATACAGGCAAAATCGTACACATTGATTTTGGAGACTGCTTTGAGGTTGCTATGAAAAGAGAAAGGTGTCCTGAATTGGTGCCATTTAGGCTTACAAGAATGCTTGTAAATGCTATGGAAATTTCAGGAATAGAAGGAAACTTTATGCTTAATTTCTATGTATATTTTCCTATAAAGATTGTTAATTTTTCATATAAATTCATGAATAAAAGGCATAGAAATACTTGTGAGCAAGTTATGACGGTTTTAAGGCAAAATAGAGACTCTCTTATGGCTATGCTTGAAGTCTTCTTATATGAGCCATTAGTTAGCTGGCGAATTATTGCCCAAGAGAAAGCCAGGCCTAGCCATGCTGAAGAAGGAGACGTAGTCAACGCTTCGATGCCTGATGAAAAAGACTTACAAAGAAACATCAGCGGAGAGCTAGAAATGACTGATTTATTGAACGAAAAAGCAATAGAAGTCATAGACAGGGTTTTAGAAAAATTAACAGGGAATGACTTTTCTGACTCAAAAGAACTGTCAATTCAGGACCAAGTCGACAGGCTCATAAAAGAAGCAAGATCCATTAAGAATTTATCACAAAGTTATATAGGATGGTGCCCATTCTGGTAATAGATATCCTAGTCTAATCAACTATTCCTCTTTCGTGCTTTAGCTAGTTTTAATTTTCTATATAAAATAACCCAATCTCCCAATTTTTTTTCTATAAAATATATTTCAAAGCATAAATTATTTAAATTCAAAAATTGCTGTTATGGACTGTACTCTTGGTTGCATCATAAGGTGCACAAGTACGTAGAAGATTAAAATTAAGGATACATGAACTAAGTGCAATTGTTTCTAATTGTCCCAATTTAAAGAGCAAGCATATTAACGATATCTATGTGGTGAGGACCTTTCATCTGACTTTGGGCTTCTTCTTGGGTTTTCTCTTCTGTACTCGTCTTTATCACGATAGTTGTCCCTTTCGCGGTCTCTATAGCTTTCTCTATAGTTATCTCTGTGGTTTTCTCTATAATTATCTCTTTCTCTGTCTCTATAAGAGTTTCTGTCTCTATAGTTAGTTCTGTCTCTGTCACGGTATCTCTCGCTGTCTCTGTCTCTGTAAGGACTTCTTCTTGGGCCGTTACTGGCATACTTACCTGGTGTCGATTTATGGCCGCTTGATCTTTTGGCCTTTTCGACTCTCAGTTCGCGGCCATCGACTGTTTTATTATTCATTTCTTTTATAGCTTCTTCGGCGTTATCTATGCTTTCAAAGGAAACAAATCCAAAACCACGAGACTTATTGGTTTTTTGATCTTTCACAATTTTACATTGGGTGATCTTTCCGAACTTGGAAAAAGCCTCTTCTAGGTCACTTTCACGGGTGCTGTAGCTGATATTTGTGACGTAAAGGTTTTTCCCTGAGTCGTTGGCATCAGGGCTGCGTGAGCGGCTTCTTTCCTCCTCCATTTCCAAATTATTATAATGATGACAGAATCGTGAATGAAATGGTGGTTGGATAATAGAATTTTGCCCTTGAATATGCCTTTATCATAAATAAAATGGCATTCGGTTCGAGAGAAATTAGCTTTGCTAATTTTCTCTCCCTCATGGAATTTTATTTATAGGGTTAGGTTTTCACTCGAGAACTTCTGGACAGCAATAGCGGTTTAACTCTGGGGATAACCAGAGGAACTGCTCCTCAGTCCTCTAAAGATTTCGGGCTTTTACCTCTCAGCACATCCCCACGGGAGGATGACCCTTAGGCGGAACACGCGCAGGAGCTGAGTCGAGACAAGAGCGACGGCATCGCGCCGGGTGAGACGTGCAGCAAGGCTGGCGAAGCAGGAGTTGATAGAAGGCTTGGCCAGGGCTGACCTGTTCCAAGATGACTCGCCTACGTCACTAGTTTTGCCATAGGCCCTTTTTGGGCTGCGGCACTAGACACCTTAAACACCAGATAATTAAGTAAGTAAGTAAGAATATGCCTTTATCAGTCAATTGCTTAATATTTTATATAAAAAAATAAAAAATTATTGTTAGTCAGTTCAGTATAAATAGAAATGATAAGGGAATTATTTGAACAAGATACCTTTGAAGAGCAATTTGAAATAATTGATGTAGAATTGTGTGGAGAAAAATACAGGATAAGAGAATTTAATTTTCATCCACTAAATGCAAATAAAGTTTGGCCTGGTAATACAGTTTTTGCGGGGTGGCTGCTGGGAAATTTAGAAGAGTTAAAAAATAAAAAAATTATAGAGCTGGGTGCTGGAAGTGGAATTTTAAGCATTTTTTTAGCAAAACATGGGATTGATATCACAACAAGCGATTATAATGACACAGAAATCCCTGTAAATATTGCGTATAATTGCAATTTAAATGGGATATCAGTTATTCCTCATATATCTCATTCTTGAGGGGAAAGTATTGACTTTTCAGTTGATTTTGATATTGTGGTCGCTTCAGATATTTTACTTTATGTTAAACAGTATGGAAATCTTATAGAAACGCTTAAAAAGTTACTTGAAAAGCCACAGTCAAAATTCTGGCTAAGTAATCGGAGGAGGATTGACACAGAATCATCATTTTTAGATATGTGCACAGCAAGTGGGCTAAGTGTACAAAACATAGGACCTAAAGTATTTGAAATTAAATTAAACTAATTTTCACATGAGCACTCAATACCTTTTAATTGTTATTTATAAGCTATTTTAATAAATCTATAGCTGAATTGTGTTTTTATGTTAAGCATACTAATAGAATTATATATATAATGGTTGAAATTATCTAATTATTTTCAAGCAGCTATACGAACAAAATTTTTTTGTTTGCTTTCAAGGGGAGCAAGTAAAAATAGCAAATAATTATGGAAGCCTGCACAAAAATTTATAAAAGCGAACCCAATTTAATTGAACCTTTTTATTCGAATGCAGGCTTTAAAGTAAATATATTAAACATGTAACAGATTGAAGCTCTTTTCAAATACAGAATTCCAAGATATAAACTCAAAATGAAGTTCTTAATGCAGTTGCATTTCAAAAAATATGAAACGGAGACTACTAATGCTCCTTGAAAGATTAAAAAGCAGCCATAAAAGACAAAGAGGCATCATAGATGGTGAGCATTTAAATCTCTGCAGAAAACATTCACAAGGTTGGTAAAAATAATAGAACTGGCAAAATTAACTTAAAGATAAATGAGGATAATTAATAATTCTCAAACTCACCCTGGAGGCTACTATGCAAGAATTTGGAATTCCTGGAGATAAAGAGAGGTCTATTCTTATAAATTAGGAAAATGCGAGCCAATTGAAACTAGCGATATAATTGCTGCATCAGTATTTAAAGAGAAATATTTTTATTATTATTTTTATTATGCTTACTTTTGGACAATATAGCTGCTAGTGCTATCTTATGCAGTTTAATGTTTTAATTTAAAATTAGCTACGAATAGCCTATAGATTAAAGCTTCGGTGTTTAATAGTTTTTCTCTAACCTCTCCCCCCTCCATGAGTAAACAAAACCATTAGAAAAATCCCTATATTTTGCCTCCGTGAGCGAACAAAAATTTTTTATGGAAAAAAAATTTGACATATAAGTGATAATTAGTATAATGGAATCTCGAGCTAACTCTGTTTAATTTTAAACAAATTTTACAATTTAAATTAATATTTGCTTTCCAATTTTCGCGAACTTGGATTTTTTAAATTTCGAAAAAAAAGAATTTCAAAATAATTTATAAATAAATATTTTAAAAAAAAATTAATCCCCCTATGTGAGTGAACAAGAATTTTTTGTTCGCTCACGGAGGGGGAGTAAATAAAGACTTTTAATGTCTAAAATACTCATCTTTTCAAAGATGACCCTATTAATATTTGTTTCCAATGAATACTGACTGATTCAATAGCTTATATATAAATTTTTTAATAATATCAAATATATAATATCCATAAATTCATTTTCAGTATTGATATTATCTAATACCCCATAAAAATAAGAAAAATTCAAATAGAATTTTCCATCTGATAAGTTATAAAATGTCAAAGATACAAAGAAAAGACTAGTAAGCGATATTCAGCGACTATTTATTCAAACTCGTGCTTGTAGGAGACTCAGGTGTAGGTAAATCTTGCTTATTACTGCGTTTTGCTGATGACACATTTTCAACAAGCTATATCAGCACAATTGGAGTAGACTTCAGATTCAAAACACTTTCAGTAGACAATACAATTGTCAAGCTTCAAATATGAGACACAGCCGGACAAGAAAGATTCAGAACAATAACAAGCGCTTATTATCGAGGTGCTGACGCTATAATGGTTGTCTTCGATAAAACTAATAGAGAAAGTTTTGATCATGTCAAAGAATGGCTTGACGAAATCAACAGATTTTCAGAAGGCTCTGTTCGCCTTCTGTTAGGCAATAAATTTGATCGGCAAGATAGTATTCAAGTAAGCGAAGACATGGGCAAACGATTTGCTGAGTCCCATGGCATGAAATATTTGGAGACCAGCGCTCTCAGCTCTCATCAAGTTCATGACGCATTTTTGCTTGCTACTAAGTCCCCCCCTTTAAATTGGAGCCAAAAGTCTTGTTCCAGTTTAAAGGGAGTTAATTTTTTTAAAAAAATATAAATTGAGCATAATGATTTTAATTTATTTTCATGAAGAATTAATTTAAAAATTTAATTGATTCAGTGTGGAAACTATTTAAAATAATATTCTACTTGTGCATTTTCAATTAAATTAGGTCAAAAACTAATTTTATAAAAATTATTAGTTTAACCTTAATTTTTTTTAAACAATTATAAATCGAGTGCAATACTTTGAAATTTTAATTCATTTTTATCAAGAATTAATTTAAAAAATCAATTAAAACAGTGTGAAAACGGTTTAAACAGCATTCTACTTGTACTTTTTCCATTAAATTAGGTCAAAACTAATTTTATAAAAATTAGTATTTTCACAAATAAATTATCCAATTGAAAAGCAAATTTTTTTCCTATTTAAAGGGGAGTTAAAGTAAATTTTTACGACGTTTTGTTCCAGTTTAAAGGGGGGGAGTAAAGATCTTATAGGGAAAAAATCAAAAAATGTGACTAAAGGAAAAAGACTTGACGAGCTGAAAAACAAGAAAAAATCTAAATGCTGTTAATAGAAAGTCAATTATTATAATATTTTTGTAGTCTTCTGGTCTATTACGGAGTAATGATAATATTAGTTTACTTAATCTGCAAAACAGAAAAATTAGTTTAAATTTTTAAAGCGTTTTAAGTAATAACCAATTGAGTTATTTAATAAAGAATCTGTGAGAGCTCATGTCTGGGCTCCTCAAGTGTTTCGGAATGTGTATTTATCATCCGAATTGCTTGTGTCTATTAACGGGCATCTGCTTAACTTCTTAAGCAGTGTCTTTTCCCACGCTTGCAAATTGCTTTCACTGTTGATAGTCGAGTTTAAATTTTCTCCAAATTTTTCTTTTATTTTACATTTCAAATCTTTTCTTGTCAAATTTCCATGTGTGCTTAATGCCCAAATTATGTGCTCATTCATTGAATTATTTGTTATTTTTGTGTTTTTTGTGCCATTTTTCAAAGAGTAAAACCCAGGAATTTTTTTGAAGCTGGTGCACAGTATTTGTTTGACGCTTCTTTTCCACCTGCACTCTTTTTGGTCCTCATTTGTTTCAGTCGATAAGTAGCTGCTATATATTTTTTCAATTGCTTGGATGATTTCTTCTTTAGTTCCAATGTTATTTGGAAGAGCTTTTAATGCTTCGTTGATCATGTGGTTTATGGTTGGTTTTGTTGATTTTACACGCTTTGTAGATTCTGTTTTATGATAAATCTTTTTTTTATTATTATATAAAAATATACTTTTTTTATATAATTAGAGTGTTAACTGCTTAAAATGCCTTTTTTATCATATAAATGTGCATTAGGGATATAAAAAAAATTGTGAAAAAAATTAATTCATTTATGATGAAGTCCATGCTTCATAAGCTGTGCAGCTTTTGTTCTTAAGCTGCACATGCTTCTCCCCATTTGAAAAGCTAATTGATTTCAAGCTTCATTTGGGATTTTTGAATGAGGATATGAATTATTGACAAAATTAAATAATTGCTCTTCTTCAGTTTTAGTCCAGAGCTGCCGTTTGCGAGCATCTGAAGTTACAGAAGAACTATCAGAGTCTGCAAATAATTTGTCAATATTAAAATTATCAGGGTCCTCAACCAATGAAGGAAGGTCCATTTTTTCCATGAAGCTTCGCTTGCGAGGGGTTGGCTGAGGCTTAAAAAGCTTGTCTAAGTTCATAGATTCTTCATTGGTTTTTTTTAAAAAATAAAATTATATAAAACATATAAAAAAAAATTAAATTTTATTATTGGAATCATTGGTAAATAAATTTTCGCCTGGATCTATTGGAGCGAGAGTAACCCATCCATCTAGAACTGCTGGAGAGTGCTTTTGGAATAGGACTGAAGGATTGTTCTGAGTCCACTGACGGTTTAGGGTCATCCACTCTGGCTCAATTTGCATTTCTGAATCTTCTTCTGGCAGTGTGAAATCATAGTTTTCAGAAAAATCGTAATCCATGTCCATTGCTATTATATGCTATCAGTAAATATTTTTATAAAAAGTCATATAAAATTAATTTTTAAGAAGCAAATTTATTGGATTTATAATAATTTTGAAAATTCAAGTAAGCTTCTTTAAATAATTATATATTTTTTAAGTAAGTATACCTGACAGAAATGGATTTAAAAAATAATTTAAGCATAAAGAGAATCAGAGTGTTTGAAAATTCTTTATTAATTTTCCAAAAAATTATTCTAAAACCATTTCTAAGACCAATAAAATTTTCATTAACTATGCAACATCATTTTAATTATTTAGCTAAATTGAAGCTTTTGGCTATCTATTTCTACGAGACCTTATTTTCAAAAAGAGATAAGACTTGATTTTATTATCAGAAGAGTTAATTTCATTTCATTTAGGTCTCATAATTATTATCTTGGCTACCTCAAAATAGCATAGCTTATAAAATAAAAACCTCGTTTATAGTCCGATCTATAGCCGGGAACGGGCTATAATTCTTACCTGCATAAAATTTATTATAAAACTGTGTATATCTCAAACCTTTATAATATTAATACACATGGAATAGAATATTCACAATGTTGCCACATTTAATTTTTATTTATTCTAAATAAATTAAGCCTAAAATATAGAAATTGCCCGAGGATGGCGCAATTTTGCGCCATCCTCAGCAATTCAAAAATGGATCCACACGGGAATTGAACCCAAGTGTGGGGCCATTTTTGGTACGTGAAGTCAATATTCTCCACATACCAAAAATGGCCCCACATGTGGGTTCAATTCCCTGTTTTTTGAATTGCCCGAGGATGGCGCAAAATAGCACCATCCTCGGGCAATTTCTATAGTCTATTTTTAGTTACCATAAAGATTCCATCTCCAAATGGTAATGCAATACTCTTAACTCTATCATCCCTCCCAATTCTTTCATTCAATTGTCTTACACCAACTGCCTCCCCATCATTTTGTGTGTTATCTGCTGCCAAATTAAGAAATGCTACATTATCTACTAAAATCATTCCTCCTTTTCTCATTAAAGGTAGCAGATTTTCGTAATAATGCAAATAATTCTCCTTATCTCCATCAAGAAAAGCGAAATCGAAAGTATTTTCATGCCCTTCTCTTCTAAGCCTTGCTATGGTATCAAGTGCAGGGGCTATTACAAGATCAATTTTATGGTCGATACCTGCTAACTTCCAATATTTTTTGGCTATTGATGTAAATTCCTCACTGATGTCTAGAGCAAAAATTTTACCATCATCCGGCAGCCCTAAAGCTGTGCAAAGCGATGAAAAGCCTGTAAAGACGCCTATTTCAATGCATTTTTTAGCGTTCATAGATTGGACAGGATTTTCCATGAAATCTCCTTGGATTCTATCTGTTGACATTATAGCATCATCTGGATGTATTCTTCTGGTTTCAGAGAGTAAATCTTCTTTAATTTCATTATTTCTGATCCCAACTCTATATATATACTCTATTGATTTCTGAGTTAGAGATGTTTTCACTGGCAAACTGCCTGAAAACCTAGAAAATCCTTTAAAAATACTGCTTCGCTTTGCACCAGATAAAAAATTGTACATATTATTGTTGGTATTTAATAATAAAATAAATTAATTCACCATTTCATATAATATTAAAATTTATTTCATCTTTTTATTTTTCCATAAAATTCTAGGTATAAATTATACAGACTTTAGTAAGAATTAGGTCTTTTTCAAGCTTCATTCGATTTTTCTTTATAAGCTTATTAAATGAAATAAATTATATTCTATGTATTTTTAAATATAAACTGATATTCAGCTAAACTAAGATGCTATGCTTTAAATAACACCTCTTAGACCTTAAAACTATATATTTTATTTTCTCCAAGTGATATCTCATTTAATTTTAATTCTTTTTATTTTGAAATGCTTATCTTATTTCGTTCTATTGCAGTGGCAAAATTTAACACCTAAATATATTAAAGAAATTAAGAAATGCCTATTTAGCCAATGAAATAGTTTTTCCTTTAGTTTCATATTCAAATTTATATCTAAATTAAAGTAAATCCATAAAGCGAAAATTGACTAATTTTTAAATTAAACATTAGTTATTTTCGAAGCTAATGCGAATCTAAAATTTTTAACTAAACCTATAATACTATTTTAAATTTTATACATGATATATAGAAATCTAAGTGACTCTCCTTCACCTAAAAGATAATAATAATTTATAAATAAAGCTTAATATTATTTTTTGGTGACCATAAAGATCCCATCTGCAAAAGGCAAAGCTACACTTTTAACTCTTTTATCTCTAGTCACCCATTCATTTAAGAGTCTTAAACACTTCACATCTTCACCATTATTTGTTTCGTCAACAACTCTATTGTGAAAGATTATATTATCTATTAAAACCACCCCTCCTTTTCTCATCAAAGGTATAATATTTTCATAGTATTTCAAATAATTTTCCTTATCAGCATCCAAAAATGCAAAATCAAAAGAATTTTCATGCCCTTCTCTCCTAAGATTATGCAAATTGTCTAAGGCTGGCCCAATTTTTAGATCGATTTTATGAGAAACTCCAGCTCTTTCCCAGTATTTTCTAGCAATTGATGTAAATTCGTCACTTATATCTAAAGCAATTATTTTTCCATCATCAGGAAGTCCTAATGCTGCACAAAGTGATGAAAAGCCTGTGAAAACTCCTACCTCAAGGCATTTTTTGGCATTAAGAGACTGTATAAGTATTTCTATGAAATCTCCTTCTATTCTATCAGTTGACATTTGTGCAATCTCTGGGTAGAGTTGTTTTGTTTCATTAAGAAGATCTTCTTTAATTGGTGAATTTCTTATGCCGACGTTATATATATAACTAAGTGATTCATCACTTATAGAGGTTTTGAGTGGAGCAGTGCCTGAATATCTTGAAATTATATTAAACACATTGATCCTTCTGATGACTGAGGAGAGTCTGTTCATTTTAATGGATTAATATGTCTATTTATAGTGAACTACACTGACTGGCACGGGGTGCTTTTGGCTCGAAACTGAGCCAAAAGCACCCCGTGCCAGTCAGTGTAGTTCACTATAATATAAAATTGCACATAATTTTATAAAAAAACAAAAAAAAATATTTTATTATCTTATTGACTATTTAATCTCTTTATCTCATGAATTATCATGAATTATCATGAATATACGCAAGACCTCTTTTCATTAATTTTAACAATTTTTGATTTAAAATTCATTAAAAATACAGTATAATTTGTATAATCTATTCTTTAGATAGAGAGGCGACTTATACCAATTAAATACTTTTAATATGATGACTAGATTTCTCTTTGAATCTATAGTGGCTGACTCCCTATTGATTCCTTAGGAAAAATACCCTTTAAAAAAACTCTTTTTATTATTTTAAAATATATTGAATAAAGCTAAAAATACGAGATATAAGAAAGAATTTTTAAATTTTTACTATTTAGTTTTCTTACTCCGCACATGAGCGAACAAAACCTATGGAAAATATCAAAAATCCACCCTTCGAACAAAAATTTTTTATAAAAAAATATTTTTATATATAAAGTGATATTTATTATAATGAAATCTCTAACTAATTCTGTTGAATTTTAATCAGCTTATATTTTAAAAAAAAATTTGCAAATTAAATTAATTTTTACAACTCAGTTTTGCGAATGGATGCTTTTAAATTTCGAAAAAAAAAATTGACCCCCCTTCCATGAGCAAGCTTAAATGAAGAATTGTGAGAAAAAGTTGACTTTATAACAAAAGTGAATTTAAAGATATTTGATGATAAAGTAAAAAGCAAGCATGAGAGAGATATTAATTATATTACACCATTATTTCAGGGCAATATCCACTTAAATTTTCTTTTTTATACGCTTTTCAATTCTTAAATTCCTCATGTGCAATTCCAAAATTTCTCTAAATCCGTCTTGATATCTTGTACTTTAAAATAATCATCGTGTCTGCTATTTAGTCTATTTTTTACCTTATCATCAAAGATTTTTAAATTAACTTTTGTTGCAAAGTCAACTCCTTGTCAAAGTTTTTCGTCAATATCTAGTTCTGAAATATCACAATTATACATTCTTATGGAGATTTTTTATCCGTTAATTCATCTATTTGATCTTTTAGTCTATTATAGCAAACATGATGATTTTTTGAAGTAAAAGACATAAATATAGATCAAAAAAAAGCAGGTATAAAGGAGGAAGCATTTATAATTTGGAAAAATTACAAAGATAACAGTTTAAATAGGATAAAGCCCTACAATAAAGGTAAAAATGACATTAAAATCTCTCTCCATGATCAAAAAAATTTTTTGTTCTCTTAGAGGGGTTTAGAATTTTAAATCAGCTTTTTTCTTTTAAATGCCATTGCTCTTAAAGATCTATTAAGGGGCACGTACTATAAGATTAGTATAAATTTTAAAATATATAAAATAGAATTAGATCATAATACACTCCATTAAAAATTTTACTCAAATATTTTTATTAAAATAAACTAGCTAATAACTTCCTATTGTTTAGTGACCATAAAACTTCCATCACCAAAAGGCAGAATAATGCTTTTTACTCTTTCATCTCTAGATACCCTTTCATTTAATCTTCTTATGCCTACTGGATCTGGATGATTATTTGCTTCATCTGCAACAGAATTTCCAAAAATTATATTATCTATAATAATTACCCCTCCTTTTCTCATTAAGGGTAATAGATTTTAGGGTGCTTTAAATAGCAGTAGTAATCATTGATAATTTTCTATATATCATTATTAATCTAAAACGAATTCAAAAGCTGCATAGTGCAATGAAATTATTTTTAAACTAATATATGGCTTTAACTCTTGATTTAAATTTTATTGCAATATTTTAATTTTTAATGATTTTAACTTGTTTTTTTTTAAAAGAGATTGGGCTTGTTTTTAGAAGTTTTTTGCTACTTTTTACTATATTATGAAAATACAAATTTAGGTTTACATAAAGCAAAGTTGGGATTTCAATGAAATTAAAACTCCGGTTCTCAGTATGAAAAATAGAATGAATCGTTCTTTCAATACAATATGATACCGTCATGTCAGCAAATAAGACACTCTGATATCATTAAAATAAGAATTTCATTTCTTTTTCTTATGAAGCAAAGGTTTTATATATTTTCAAGAAAAAGTATGGTACAAAGCGCAACGAAATCGCCTAATATTCATGCAATTCTGAGCTATAAGCCTTCAGATTTTACTAATATATAATTAAAAAACTCATATCACCAAAAATTAAGAATCAATTCTCTCATAAAATAAAAACAAAAGTTATTTCGATATCTCTTAAATGGTTCTAATTATAATTACAGGAAACTCATGAACAATTTTTGAGAATTCCAACAAAAAAAGTGTTACAACAATTTTTTATAGCCATCTGTTCTATTAAAACTGTAATTTCTTTTTCTAAAGAAAGAATAGTTTCTTTTTTTTGCTGAAAAATTGGGTTTATTTTTATTATGAATAGACAAATTTTTACCGTTTAATTTGACTGTAATTTTCTCAATAAAATATGGATTTTAATAAGCAAACTTATTCTTTTCTCTATAATAAAACTGATTCCTTATCTTGATGAGTGAGTAAGTTCTTATTTATGCAAACCCCTAAGTTTTGTATTGTATAATTGAGCCTAAATTTTCATAGTAATTCAAATAATTTGGCTTATCAGCGTCAAGAAAGGCATAATCAAACGAATTTTCATGGCCTTCCATTCTAAGCTTAATTAAACTGTCTAATGCTGGACCAATAATGAGATCGATTTTGCTATCAACCCCTGCAAGTTTCCAGTATTTTCTGGCAATTGATGTATATTCTTCACTTATGTCAAGTGCAAAATTTTTTCCATCACTTGGTAACCCCAATGCTGCACAAAGAGACGAAAACCCAGTGAATACTCCAACTTCAATGCATTTTTTAGCGTTTATAGATATAATGAGGTTTTCGATGAAATCTCCTTGAATTCTGTCAGTCGACATATCAGCATCTTCTGGATAGATCTTTCTAGTCTCAGCTAATAATTCCTCTTTAATAGGTGCATTTCTGATGCCTACCCTATAGATATATTCCAATGATTTATCATTTATAGACGTTTTCACTGGGATTGTGCTTGAAAATCTAAAAATTCCTTTTAAAAAAATGTTTCTCCTGACTGCAACGGAAATGGTCTGCATATTTTTTATTGTGATTAATGGTAAAATCAATGAATTTAGCTAACTATTTAACTCTGAATTACTACAAAAATTGCCTTTAAACAGTAAGGGCAATATTGTAAATGATTATTAATAATATCAATGAACATCGCGATATGCTTATAACTTCCTAGACATTAACTCTCCTTATTTAATAATACTAAATTTATAATTGTAGTTAACTCTCAATCAATCTCAACTGTTTTAATTTTTGATAAATTAATTTTCATTTGAATTTGGTTTTATAATGTTTAAATATTTATTTAGGATTAAAATATGGAATTGATATAGCTCTTTATCTCTAAACTTAAAAATATTTTTATTCCAAAATAAACCCAAAACCGTTTTAGTATAATTGCGAAAAAATTATATTTTTCAAAAAAATAATAAAGATGCTCATTATTAATGGTTTATAGTAAGAAAACTTTTTATTAATACACTATTTTAATATTAACCTATATATGAATTTAAAACCAAATAAAATCTATTTCTTTTTCCCCTTCTTTCCTTTGCCTTTCTTTCCTTTACCCTTTTTCCCTTTTTTATCTGATTTTTTATCAGGATCAAAACCAAGCACAGCTCTCACAAAAATTCTGTGCTCCATAACTTCTTCAGGCTTCATTGTAATTGGAGGGGGTAGTTCTGCAATAAGTTCTTTTACATCATTTATTTTAGCATAATAGCTTGGATTGCAGCCCATAACATCTCTGATATTAGGGTCTGCACCTTGCGATATCAGCATTCTCGTAATTTCCACATTTCTTTGTCTTACTGCTACATGCAGGGCTGTATGTCCCAGTTTATTTCTGAAATTCAGGTCACTTCCAGCCCTAATAAGCATTTCAACAATTTCCCTATTCCCTTTTTCGCAAGCTTTATGTATTGGTAAATAATATCCGACGTCCAAATGTGTTGGAGTATTTGGGTTCGCTCCATAGTTTAGCAAAATTCTTACAAGGTTAGCATTTTCCAGTTCTGTAACCACATGAAGTGAGGTCATCCCATTGATATCTTGATCATTAGGCGTAACTTCTCGATTTTGAAGCATCCTCAATATCTCTTCTGTATGCTGGTATTTTAAATGGTAAAACAGCAGATCGGTCCCAATAGTTTTTGTTCGTAAAGACTGCATATTTAATAGTGATTTCAATTTTGAATACAAGAATTTAAAACAGCCACTTTTACATAGTAAAATTGAAATTAAATAACAGTTTTGATATAAAAACAAGCATAGGGTATCAATAATTTTGGTTTAAAATTAAGCTTTTCTTCTCCCTGTAATTACTTTATGAATTGCTAAGTTTTGCTGCTTATTAACATCATCCATGTGTTCTCTAATTCTTTTCATTTCTCGTTTCAGCTCGTCAAGCCTCTTTGAATTATGATCGCGGTATTTTTTGACTTTATCGAGTTTTATTTTGAGTTTGATAAAAGAATCCATCTCGTCTTCAAGTTTGTTTGGGCTCAAGTCTTTCATTTTGCCTTTATTAATTAGCAAAATTACTGCTTGAAACTATAAAGAATTCTGTATTTGAAAAAAATTAAATTATGCTGCATTTCATGCTGGAATATCAGAATATATAATTGAAAATGATAATTTAGTTAAATAATAGTTTTGTGATATATTAAAATCATCTGTTAAATTTGTTAATAAATACAGAGATACTACTTTAAGCTTGACATAAACTATTATGCGAATTTTCAATTTTACAATTGGGAAGCTTGCAGATCTAAAATAAGAGGTGAATTTCCCATAAAAATTAATTTTTATAATTCTATTTAATTATAAATTAAATCGACTGTTGATTTATAAAAATTTCAGTCCTTTTTGACTGGCCTAGATACTGATAAATTTTCTAATAATAAGTGCCCATCATTAGAATTTGACTAAAATAATATATTAAAGCTGCATACTATATACATAAATAACCGGAGACGAGCAACCCGTCCTCCCGTAGCGGGTGTCCTTATGTATACCGGACGTGGTTTTTGGATGCGGAGAGCTACTCAAGGGAAGAGTTAGCCTCGAGGTGAGAGGCCCAGCCCAATTTCAGCTGATTTTGGGACTTGACCCGGGCAGCAGTTTTTCGCATTCTTTTTGCCAGTAGCGCCGAGGCCCAGACTCGGTGTCCGAAAGAGGCAGGGTGAGTTACCTGCCTAGGCTACTTGGTGGCTTAGCCCCGAATCCCGCAAGGGGTTGAGTTCTTTCTTAGAGATAATGGGAAAGAGGGAGGCGAAGCTCGACGCAGATCTCAAGGGCGCAAGTCTCTCCAGTTAAAAAGGTCCCGATCAAAAAGGGGCGATCTGGCGAATGGAAAGGGCAATGTTGGTATCAACTTGGGCGACACAACAAGTTGGAAATGGATGCGGTCAGCAAAGACAGTATGGCCTGTCCCTTGACCCACCTCTACCGAGAAAACCGGGGTTTCGGCCCGGGCTTGCTGTGGGTACGCTCTGCCACCCTGCGAGAAACGTTAGCGACCCTCGCATGCAGTCCACGAAGTAGGGACTATAAATGCCTAGCTTTTAATTTAATCTAATCTATATTAAAGCTGCATATTCATATCTTTTTCCCAAATATCATTCAAACTATGCTCTTACAGCAAATCCTTCTACTTTATTATTCTCTCTTTCATAATATGGTGGCCTATGCCAAATTTCACTTGCCATCCTGCAGATAAAATATGGCTGTTATCCTCCTTTCAATCTATTTCCTTTATTTCTGGGCATGCTCTTTATACTCCATCATCGCTCCTTTTTTCCCAACAGAAGCCAAGGCCAAAGGGATGGGGGAAGACCAGATCGGGTATCTTTTCAGTCTCTACGCAATCCTGGCGATACTATTTTCCCCAATCTCAGGGAAAATCATGATGTGTGTAGGAAGAAAAAAATTCCTCTTCATAGGCTGCATAATAGAAACAGTAGGTATACTAGACAGCCCTTACAGGGCTGTGGAATCTATCGGAATCCTTTGGTTGAGCCAATTTGCTACGTTTGTCGAACCAACTCACTTATTGGTTCGATCAACCAAAGGATTAATAACAGAATCCACAGCCCTGTAATGGCTATCTAGGGGAAATCCCTATATATACTCTTTTTGCCTTTGTAACTAATTTCGATGGCGACACCTTTGTATTCCTCAGCTTTGCGGCAAGAATTTTGCAAGGGATGGGAGGGTCAGCGCTGACTGTCACTTTGTTTGCGCTGATCGCTAATATGTACCCTGAGGACATTGAAGCGAAGCTCGGGTGGATGGAAACAATGGGAGGCGTCGGTCTAATTCTTGGGCCACTTATTGGTGGTGGATTTTACAGTCTTGTAGGCTATACATTGACTTTTGTTATTTATGTCGTTGTTCTAGCTGCTCTTACTGTTGCTACATTTTTGGTTTTGCCATCCCCGAAACCTAGTAATGATACTGAAAAAGCAGCCCGAAAACTCAGCTTATTAAAACTTGCCTTTAATGGGAAAGTTTTTCCTACACTCCTTGTAGTAATGTTTGGAATGGCTGGACCTTCTTATCTTGAGCCTGTGCTCTCTAATCATCTGAAAGACAACTTTGACTTATCTATTGAGATGATATCAGTGGTTTTTGCTTTGCCTGTAATTGGGTATACAACTGCAGTGAAAGGGCAGACAATGCTACCAAAATCTTTTGATAGGAGAATTGTATTGACTGTTGGTCTTTTCATTGAAGGGGTTGCATTTTTCTTACTAACGTCTCTAGATATCGTATACAATTTTATATTTCCGGATTATAATATGATTCGTTATATTATGTTATTGCAAATTATTATGAAAATTCTGTTTTAAGGAATGGGAAAGTTAGTCGGACCATCATTTGGACTTCCAAGCGAGATTTATTTAGTTATTACTGGGCTAATTTTGATAGGCTTAGGAGGCGCATGGGCGTATTTGCCATCGCTTCCCTATATGATTGATGCGGCTGCTAACTCCAAGTTGATTAGCGAGGAAAAAAATCTTGCTCGCCAGCCAAGGGAATTAATTATTTAATAAAATCCTATAAATTTTTTTTCGGAATTTAGTAATTCCATTTATAAAATTTATTGTCTAAAATTTAATAGAATTATCTGGAAAACTCTCATAGCTGGCATAAATTATCATTTATATAAAATTTTTACATTAAACAGTCTTTTGCTCATTAACGAAGGGTAATTTTGAAAAAGAGATTTTGACCGCTAAATAAGGGGAAGTAAAGATATGAAAATTGATGACCGAGAGCATTTGTCTGACTGTTTGTCTACAGTAATGGGGACATTCCACTATGTAGGAGAAGCCTTAGGGCCAATATCTGCAGGGCTGTTTACAGAGTATATAGGATTTAATGAAGGTGTTACAATCTTTGGAGGAGCTGTGCTGATATATACAGTTATCTTTGGATTGATAACCAAAGCACTTGTGAATATTTTCAGATGCAAATGTAATAGGAAAAGCAAGAAAACAGGTGAGAACGATCTTAAGCAAAAACTGATTGAAGGAGATAATAAAAATTAAGTTACAGTTAGGAAATAGAATAAATATAGCCATCTGGTCTGATTATATAGGAATCGTCATTGCAAGAAGGAACATTATAAATTTCATATGGAAAATTCTTCAGCTGAGCTCTTCCTGTAAGCTGGAGAAATGTAGGCTTTTTATTTTCTTTTCATAACAAACCCAGCAGTTTTCTTATTTTAATTGCTGATTCTTTATCCGTGATATCAATATTCTGCGAAAGCTCACCACCATTTTCAAAAAATCCTGATTTATATGAAATTTCAAAATCTCCCTTTGGATTGATCAAACATAACAAATTTCTCTCATCAGCTAAATGAGCTCTTGCTTTATTTTGATCAAACAAAAACCTCTGCCCCATTTTTGAAGCAAAATTAAACAAACTTTCCCCAAATGGTAAATAGTCAGCTGCTTTTTTATAATTTTCTACCCCGCTAATCTCTAGTCCTGAAGCTTCAGCAATTTTCATTAATTTTACAAAGTTTTCGCTTGCAATTTTTAAAATTTCTCTGTCAAAATTTTGCCTTTCTTCCCCATATGTTTCTAATAATTTTTCATAAGAAAATTTCCAGCATAAATTATGGGCATCTTTTATGCCAGAATTTACCCCAAACCCTCCAGCCATAGGCATCTGATGTGTTGAATCTCCTACAAGAAATACTCTTTTATTGGAAAAAGAGTTGGCTAAGGTCGAACTCATTTTATAGTTTCATGTTGATTTAATTACAATATCTTTAAGAGGAGTCCCAGACATCCTAATAATTATTTCTTTAATTTCTTTTTCACTGTAAAATTGGGACCCTTTTCCAAATATAGGTAAGTGGATGTTAAATTCTCCATCATCAGGATCATGCATAACAACAGATGCAGCATCATAAGGACTTAGCACAAAAAACACCATCGCTGGGGATCTTTTAGCTAGTTTTCCTAGTTCTTTTGAAAAGAAATGAATATTAATAAAGTCTTGCCATGATCCAAATCCAGTCATTTTTATACCTAAAAGATTTCTCACTGTGCTGAACTGTCCATCAGCTGCTATTAAATAATCACATTCATAAGTATCTCCTTGATTGGTCCTTATTTTTACACCATTTTCTGATTGAGATAACTCAGTTAATTCTCTATCGAAAATCATCGATGATTTTGATGGTAAATTCTCATATAAAATTTTAGTCAATTTGTGCAGAGCTAAGTGCGCAACATCCATATCTGATAATTTTGAATTTTTCCTATAATTTTCAGTTGAAAAATGATCATGTCGCCTATAAGTTTCGCCTAAAATTTCTGAGCAATAATTAATATGTCGTCAATATTTATTTTCTGGCATTTTTGAATAAATTAAATTAGAGACCCCTATATCTCGAAAAACTTCCATAGTCCTGGAATGTAGAAAATGAGCACTTGGATGCTGACTTAATTTTTTTTGTTTTTCAAGAATAACGTTTTCTATTCCTGATAGACCTAACAGATGGGAACAAGTAAGTCCAACAGGGCCAGCTCCTATTATAATGATTTTCATTATTATTTTGATAAGAGAAGTTCTGAAGAAATTATATTATACCTTATTTAATTGGTCTATTTTTATATAAAATAGTCTTCTATTTCTTTTATTTTGTATAAATTGTATATTAAATATGGATAGCCGCGTTAGAGCTTCTCATATTCTTTTAAAGCACACAGGATCCAGAAATCCTAATGACTCTTACAGAAAACGCCCTGTTACTCGTTCTTTTGAAGAAGCAAAAGCTGGAATTGAGCGGGTTCAAAAGCGTCTGGCAGCTGGAGAAAGGTTTGATGCAATTGCAAGAGAACTCAGTGAGTGTGGAAGTGCAGCAAACGGAGGAGATCTTGGATTTTTCACTAGAGGACAAATGCAAAAACCATTTGAGGATGCCGCTTTCGAATTGCAGCCTGGCCAGATGTCTGGGCCAGTGGTTTCTGATTCTGGGATTCATATCATTTTAAGAACAGGTAAAGTTTAAGTTTAATAAACTACTCTTCAAGTCCCTAATTGATTCGACTTGGACCAACAGCTCTTATTAATAGTAAATGAGACACGTCTACCTCCAGCCCGATAGCTCAGCAAATTATCCAAAACATCAAATAGGTTTTGAGAAATTTCTGGAAGTCATTTTAGCCAAAAAAGCATTAGGTCTGTTTTTGAAAAAAATATTAAAGTTGAATAAAATAAATTTTTAATATGAAATTGTAACCAGCTTGTAATAATTTTTATTTAATAGATATAAATAAATGGTATGAAGTCAGACTTGCCAAATGCTAAGGTGTCTAAAAAGTGAAATATAGTTGGAGATAAGAAATTTGTATAAGTCGAGATCTTAGGATACTGGTAAGTGGCGCTAAAATTGACAGAAATTTTGGTAAACCCTTCTAAGCCTTCAATATAAAACAATGCAAGTCGATCAACTAAAATATGATGAGTTGGAGTGGTCTAAATAAAAGTACTATTTCCTAATATCTTCAGACAATGTAAAAATATATATATAAATTTCAGTGTCGTGATTATGAAATCATTTGTAGTATAGAGATTAAAACCGCAGCATGGTAGGTTATGAGAAATATTAGGAAGCCGAAATAGGCATTGCCAATTCAAAAAAATTAAATTAATATTTAGAGATATTTAAAATTTGTATCAATGAGTCTGTTCTTTCTGAAATAAATTTTAGATTGAGAAGTCAATAAAAATGCATATAGTAATACTCCAGATCCTTTTTAGTCTTTTGCTTCAAGCCTGCTCTAACTTGTGATTCGTTGTTTGCCTTAGAATTCCAAAATCTTGGCTATGAAAAGCAATTGAATGGCTATATCCTAATGTTGGGAATTGCCTATAAGTTACTCAGCCATCTTTAGATACTTCTATAGCTTTAGCTTGATTATTTTGAAATTGCATTTAGAATATATAGTACACCCCCCCTCGTTTGTCGCATTTTCTAGTTTTTTTTTAAGGGAAAAAAAAAAAATTTACAGGACCTCGTTTGTCGCATTTTCTAGTGCAAATACATTTGTCGCAATTTCTAGTTTTTTTAATTTTTTTTTGATGTCGCAAATCTTAGTTTTTTTTAAAAAATAGTTTCTGATTAATTTAATTGAGTAATTATAGAGGAGTTTACCTTACATTTGCCTGCAGAGGGTTAGCAGGCCCGAGTCCTTCCCAGTCCTTCCCACTTTACTCTCCCCTTTTTAGAGAATAGATTAAATTAGCTTATTAACTCCATTCTCCTTGCGCTTCAATGACCTGCCTTGCTCTTTCATTTTTCACCTTAAGAATGGAATTTTGCACTTCCTCAAAAGAAATTTCGTCCCATGACTCCTGAATGGCAGCAATTAGTCTGGCTTTGCTGTCAGGCCTTCTTTTCTCCACTTTCCTCTTCAAATTGGCCCAGATCTGGGCTCTTCGGCGATTGAGTCTTCACATCAATCCGTTTTCTCTCTGCAATATTCCATAGTCTGCCTGGCAGTATGGGCTGTTGCCCCATCCTGAACGAAGGTGTAGTCTCCATCTAAAGGCTCAATATAGCCCTGGAGAATGTCTCTGATATAGACCTGGGCATTGATTGCATACTTCTCCTTCTTTATGAAGAGCATTTTGCCAAAAACGATAGAAATTCCTCCCCAGATCATAATTGAGGTTTTTCAATTGATAGGCTCTTCAATCGTTGCGTTTATCCCTTCTTTGCACAAATTAGAGTTACGAAAGAGATGCACATAGCACTCATCACTGAAGATCCATGAAGCGATATCTGAGTCAATCAAAGACCTAGCCCAGGACATTCTCTGCTCTTTATGAGCTTCAGTTAGCTGTAGAACAACCCTCTTCTTCCTATAGATATATCCCCTCTTCTTCAGCTCTCTTTTCCTAGCTGTTCTTCGCTGATGTCAACTGTCTTTCTTTTGAATTGGGCCCTCAAGCTTGCCTTTTCTCACATTCCTTAATGACCTCAGCAAAGTCTTCATCACTTCAATGCTTTAGGGGAGATCTGGATAGTGCCTCTTCTCTTCCAGCCGCTTCGTCAGATTCACTCTCAGTATTCTCTGCAGCAATTCGCTCAATAGTCCGTTTAGAAGTCCCCAAGATTGTCGCAAGTTCTTCGTTTTTAAAGAAACCTACGTCAATGATCCTCTTGACTATGCTCTCTCCATCATTCCATTTTCTTAGGAGGAGGCGATAGTCCATGGTCCACAAGCTTCCGCCTGAGCTCTAAAGTGTGCTCTTCAGGATTGAACTTGTTGGTGTAGTGCCTGATCGTCGTCAGGCTCATGTCCTTGCCACAAGCAGCAAGACGCTCTTGGATCTGCTTTGCATTGAGCCTCTCTCCATAGGCCATGCTTTGAATCATTGCCGGGATTTTTATCGGCTGGTCCTCAATTTCGCGCAACTCCATTAATTAATATGGAAGACTAGAAATTAAGCTATCAAATAAGGAAATAGGCATGAAGATAGGGGAATAAGAATGGTGAATGGCAAGTGGTGAGGCTTAAGCAATGGGAGCAGGTAATGGGAAGCAAGCTGTGGGGATTGAGGAATGGGAGCAAGGATTTTGAAGGAAGAAATGATGAAATTTCACTAACTGATCCCTTGACGAATTTTAATTTTTTAGGATTTTATAGAGAGAAAAAAAAACTAGAAAATGCGACAAGCGAGGTCCTGAACCGATTTTTTTTTGGCTTAAAAAAAAAACTAGAAAATGCGACAAATGAGGTCCTGAAAATTTTTTTTTCTCTTATAAACAAAAACTAGAAAATGCGACAAATGGCAAAAAACTAGAAAATGCGACAAACGAGGGGGGGGTACTATATATTGATAAATTTTCCTCGGTCCTGTCATCACCTGCATAGCCCCTATATCTCTATCATAAAATTCTATCTTAGCCCTAACTGCCATTTAAATTGTGAAGAGCAGGTTAAATTCTTTCTTATATATTTTTGTTTATTATAAAATTACTACAAAAACAATCGAGAAATTCATTGATTATTTATGTGTCAAGCTAATCTTCTCTGTCCATATCTAATTCTTTTTTCCTCTGCTTGCCATCATATGAATAGCATGGGTTTGGTGCGTTGTAAAATGGGCTTTCCGTATAGTTCGAAATGGCAGGAGAGCATGCTATGACTTTTTCTCTGAGCATGGTGACAACTTTTTCTGTAGAATGTCTAACTCCCCCCTTCATAAAAACAAAAAAATCTTGTTCACTCACAGTGATTTTTTTAAAAAATTTTTATATATAAATTTTAAAGAAAAAAAAATTTTTTTCGGAATTTAAAAAATCCCACTTCTCGAAAATTAAAGTCAAATATTAATTTAATTTGTAAAATTTATGTTTTAAACGCAATTTGTTTAAAATTAAACAGAATTAGCTAGAGATTTCATGATACTAGTTATCACTTATATATTAAAATATTTTTCCATAAAAATTTTTGTTCGCTTGCGCGGGTGAGTTCTTGGGCGATAATAGGGATTTTTCTAATGGTTTTGTTCGCTCACGGATGGGCGGAGTAAGGTATTCTTTTGAGTTTTGGTTTTCCATGTTACTAATAGATGGGACTAATGAAAAATCAGGACCATAGTAGCCTAAATATTCATCCCAGTCAGGCAGTTTTGGGTCTAGCTCATATCCACAAGCAATAGCTGTTTCATAAGCCCAACATCTGCCTACATTTCTTAATGTATATCCACCACCGCCTATCAGAAGTATTGGCTTTCCAAAGCTTTTCACGTACTCAACACAAGCTCCATGCCCTTTGATTGACAAGTTAAAACACCCAAGTCTATCTCCAGACAAAGAGTCAGCGCCAGACTGTAATACAATGACTTCAGGGTTGTAGATCTCCATGACTGTGTCAATGACTGGCTTGAATATTGTGATATAGCTATCATCGTCCATTCCTTCGTTTAAAGGCACATTAACCGAATACCCATCTCCTACTCCATGGCCGGTATCATTGAAATTTCCAGTGTCAGGGAAATAGTTCCCAAATTTATGGAATGAACAAGTCATGACTCGATTTGTGGTATAAAAGGCTTCTTCTACCCCATCCCCATGGTGAATATCTATATCAATATAAAGTACTCTATAATGGTTTTTTAAAAGCTCTAAAGCCCCTAAAACACAGTCATTTATATAGCAAAAACCACTAGCTTCTTGCTGCTTAGCATGGTGAAGTCCGCCCGACCAATTTACAGCGATATGATTTCTCCCTTCATTGATTGCGTTAGCGCCTATAATGCTGCCTGCTGCTGTAAGTTTGCAGTAGTCCCATAGTCCTTCAAAAACAGGACAGTCTTCTCCCATGTTAAAACCAATAAAAAGATCTAAATAATCATTCAGATTTTCAGGAGTCACTGTTTTAAGGAAATCCAAATAATCTTCTGTATGAAAGTACGATATATCTTCTTCGATAGTAGGAGGGACTGAGCTGCCATCAACTACTTCTAATTGATCAAGGACCCCATAATTTTTCAGCAAGGAATTGCACATTCGGACTCTGTGTGGCTTCATGGGGTGTCCAAGGCCATAAATAAAGTTTCCTACTTCATCGTCAAAATAATAAAGCACTTTCATTTAATTTTAACAAACCATTTTAATAACTGGGAAAAATGGACTGCAAAACAAGGGAAATTTAAAGTTTGATATTGGCGGAATAGAAGGAGTGATGTTTAAAGGATAGGAAGACTTTTTGGATTTGAGTAAATTTGATGATAATAAATGAGATCAGAAAGATTTTTTTTATTTAATTGTGAAAAATAAAGTATGAGAATGCTTGTATGGAATATTATTATCATTAAGATCTATAAGCATGTATAAGAATTATTGTTGAGGCTTAATTGATGACTGTGGTGAGCTATTTATATATGAATCACACTTTTATTTTAGAAGGCTAATTGGCGTGGCTATTTCTAAGTTAATTCATTATAAAAAGTAATAACTACAAGCAATATAATTCATAGACAGAAATAAATAAGAATATAACCCTTACGCCATCTTTCTATGTTGAAACTAGCTTATAATGTGAAAATCCACTCAAAAGCTGTTCTGAAAAATTCTGTTTGTACACAAAATGTTTTTACGTTATTATATTCTGCATCATTTCCCGGAAAAACTCTAATTAACCAAAGAAAAGCCATTAAATCATCTTTCTCCAAACAAACAGGGATAGCCAGAAAATGGATAACTCTAGAATAGTTGAGAAATTGCCCTAATGGAGCCAAAATTCATCTCAAAAACTTAACAAAACTTATTTCCCACTTAATTATAAACAAAAAGATTGTACGTTTTAATATATCTTCTGCCACAATAAATTAACCATCCTAAAAATCCCTATTAATAACTTTCTATTTATATTTATATCCCATATAATTACTTTACTCAAAATCACTAATCACTATTAGTCATCGGCGCAGCTTGAGTTTTCCCTATGAATCGTCCTTTAACTCTTATTCTCCTATCAGCAACCCGCTTCCTGCAGTCGTAGCTGATTTTTTTGCCCCATTGTCTCCTTTTCTTTTTCTCTTGGTATCTGAGAATTTTTAATTTTCTCTCTTCAGGACTTAAAGTGCCAATGCGTTTCATTGTGGTTGGTACCAGAATTTGAAAAGCAATTGGCAATTTAGGAACCTCAACATTGACGTAGTCGTCTATAATGTGAGGGCTGAGAGAAGAATTGAAAGAGGGTTCTTTGGGCTGGGATTTACATTCGAAATCAAAGGGATCAAAGCTGAAATCATCGATGTTTGAGCACGTTGAAGAAGAGAGAAGATCGACAAATGATGAAGATCTCTCTCTCTTCTCTATAAGGGATATGTCAAATGGGTTCCAACGAAATTTATTTATTATTAATAGGGAATTTTTATAGAAATTTTTACCAAATTTGTATAATTTTGGGTAAAGAATTGATGAAAATGCGGCTTTTTTCCTTGGAAAATTAGCTAGGCATGTCAAAATCCAGGAGATTTTGTTCAAAATCAGTTTGGTTTGCCTCCCACGCGGATAAGTACATATTTTTATCAGGCAACAATAGACAATATGCTAATATGAATGGATTAACGTTAGATCTATATAGAGATTTGTTCTTGGAGAAAGAGAATTTCAAGTTTCCTTTATTATGAAATAGGGTTAAATATGATTCTATGGTGTATTTTTTTTGTTTGACTACTGATGCGAGGTTAGAGAAAATTAGAGAGATTTAACCCAGAATTCCTTATAATAAGTGATTGGTTAAGAAAGAGATATTTTAATTTCTAAGGATGTACCTTGAAATTGCATGAAACTATATAAAAGATAATTAAGATTTTATAAATTTTCACCTAGCTTTTTTATTGATTTTTATAAGATGAATAGCTTAGGGATGCCAAAATCTTTCCAATGGCCTAGCTTTCATAGTTTTTCCTTCGACCCATATTTACTTCGGTATAGATTTTAATTTGCCCTGCCATATTAAACTATGTTTGAGATCAAAATTTGATAAGTTTGAATCTTCAGAGACTCAAAAAAATTATAGCAATTAATAATCACCTTAGTTATATGCAGATTTAAAAATTATAATTATTTTGCAATCATAAAAAAATAAATTCTAATAAAATAAAAAAATAGAATTTCATGCAATTTAATTATGCTGAAATTTATGAAAACTTATTACTCTTCTTCTTTTTTATTTCCTAATGACTTCTCAAAACTTTCCATCAAAATCAGCGTTTTATGTTTTTTATTTCTTTTTTTCTCAGCTTTAAACTCATGCTCCATCATATAATAATCCTGCTCTTTCCTACTCATTCGTGCTAGCCCTGCCCTTAAGCTATTTCTCGGAATTCTATGCAAATGCTCCTCTAAAAAAGCCCTTAACATAGCTTTTCTTTTTTTCCCAACCTGCCTCATTACTTGCCCAATGGCATTTTGTATTTCTTTTTCTTCACAGTTATCTAGCAGAAGTCTGCATACTTCTAATGCTAGCGGGGCTTTATTTTTATCAATTGCACATTTTCTTATCGCAAGTGCAGAAGCTCTTCTAATATTCGGATGTGGGTCTTTTGCTCAATTTATTATTAAAGCAATTCAGCTCTGTTTATCATTTATAAATGGCATTAAGCAATATTCACAAAAATCAACCAGTGAATCTTTATCGAATAAGCCTGTCTCTATTCAATTTTTAAAGATATTTAAATTGGAAATTTCGTCAGAAATTTCATGATAATGATACATCATGTAAAAAATCGATGACATTTGAAGGCTGCGCTCTGGGATGTTGAGGAAAATATATGGGACAAAGTTCATTACCTCGTGTATTGATCACTGAGAAGTTTTGGCAAGAAGGGATCGGGCTACTTTTCTTAAATAAATACCATTAAGTTTTTCATAATAAAGAGCAGGGTCGTGATAGATTTGGGTGGGAGGGTGATTTTTAGGGAGAAAGCGAATGAGTTTTTTATTGAATTTTGTAATAAAAAAGTCACGGGCGGATGGGTAATCTTTTATTAAGCCTTGAGTTTTATTCATGGTAATTATAGGGGGCATTTTTTAAAATTTAAATAATAATTTTTTTAATTTTTTATATTAAAATTTCAGATTTTTATACCATATTAGTCTACTACAATATTTTTTAAAATAATAAAATTATTATAGAGCTATCTACCTATAAATGCAATATATAGTTGCCATTTTTATTATAAGAAAATTTGGGGGCTAATAATTAATGAGAGATATAGCTATTATCGCTCTTCTTAAAGGAGTCCAACAAACAGCTGCTAAGTTCGGCTATGAAGAAGATATAATTAAATCATGAATTGCAAACTTAAACGACGATCCATTTTTTGCTGCAATTAGAAAATTAATATGGGAATGCTTATGTAAATCTGACATAGAAGTGACTTCAATGACTTTTAAACTTTCCCTTAATTCCTTGCAGATTTTTAAAAAGCATTATGAGGCAAATATTGATGTAAATGATTTATTGCTGAAAGAAGGCGAAGAAAATAAAATCAGCAAGGTGTCTGTTGAAGGAAACAAAAAAGTCGAAGAAAATAAAAATGAGGAATTTTCTGAGACAAATATAGTCAAAAATAAAGAGGAAAATGTAGAGGAGTTGATAGATGAAAATATTGAAGGAAAATTTGAAAATGAAGAAAATACTGATATGGATATAGAATATGAAGAGGAGAAAAAAGAAATCAGCCAAAATCCTGCATGATTTGAAGAGGATGAAGAAGAAATTAATAATTTAGGTTTAGCTGAAAAAGATAAGACTGGAATGGAGAAAATTGATATTGAAAAACTAGGAGAAGCGCTGGATGAAATGGATTCTGACTATGAATAATTTTTAGACGAATCATAATAAAGTAATTAAAATATGATAATCAAAATAAATATGAAATTTTATTTAAATGAGAGGAAATCATTATCTTAAGCAAAATTTAGTTTGTAAAAATAAACTTGATGCCTTTTTAAAATGAGTTTAAGAAATTTTCATTAAAATTGAATGCCAGAAAGCAAGCATTTCTGGCTCAATGTGATGAAATTTATATATAGTAATTTTTTTGTAAATGATTAGTAAAAATGAATATGATGCTTATTATTTATTTTCAAGAATTTTAGCAATGTATAAACAATGATCTTATTGAAACAATAAAAATTTACCCAAAACTGCCAGAAAAAAAAACCTTATAAATGGAGTTATTTATAAACAATGTTTTATTTATTAAGCAGCTTAAATTCTTCTTAAGGAAGCCACGAAATAGTATTAAGTAGTTGAATAACATTGTCATGCGGCCTCGATAAATGGTTTCTTAGGTGGTGCATTGATGAGTATTGCTTATTACACCCCAACATAGGGCATCTGAATTTTTGGCGATCATGAACCATTTTGTGGTGATAAGATCTTGCGCTTGATGATGAAAAAGCTTTATCGCAACCCCTCTCGCACTGGTAAGGCTTCTCCAAAGAATGCTTGCTATTGCGATGTCTTCCCAGTTGTTCTTTTGTTGCAAATTGTTTGCCACAGTCACAAGCAAATGGTCTATAGCCTTGATGAACGACCTTTACATGCCTTTCTAAGGAATAACGATGCTTAATAATTTGGTGACAATATTCGCATTCATATCTGTCATCTTTATCCATATTTTTGCAGAGTAGTAAATAACTTCAAAACTTCCCAATATGCAAGTTTAATAAAGGTTAAGAAAATTCTCATGATATTTAAAGAGAAATAAAAAATTAATTAAAGTAAAAAATTGGTTTTATTTTAAATTGAAAGATCAAGATTTTAGATTATGCACATCTTCATTATATGCGTTGCAAATGGATCAATCAGCCCCATTTTTTTCTAGGAATATTAGCCTACTTCCTTTTTTCTCTATGAAGAATTTAATTGCACAATGAGTATAAATATTATTATTTTTGAATTTATTGAAAATATCAATTTATTGCAAATTAATATTTTTAATACTGAGTAACATATTTTTTCATCTGGATCATAAAATCTCCATTTAAATTTTAATTATTCCATTCTCCAATTAATTTACTCTGCTTAAGATTAGCATATTACTTGATCTAATTATAGCTACTATTATAACTTTTCTTTTTTCAATTTTTGTTATTTAATTTTAAAATATTTTATTTTATCAATACATAAATAAAATTCTAGCTTAAGCCAACCTAAAGCTTTTGACACCCTCCCTAATCGCCAAAGCATTTTTTCTGCTCTCCCATATCAGATTCTTTTGCGTCCACTTCCAGCAAAATCCAAAGCATCTTTTCACAGACATTCTATTATTTACGTTAACAGTCATAAATTTGACGCTCATTTCATCAGCAATTTTTTTACCGTTAAAAACCTTTTCATTCCCTCTAACTGATGCCACGATTGCACAGCCAAATGCATGCTTACTGATTTTTCTTAAAGTGTTTATTAAATTTTGGGCGTAATATAAAGACTCCGGCCTTGTAGGATCGTAAATAATTATTACTGCCTCCTCCTTTATGATCGAACAAAAATAATTTTCTTGCTTGCGGAGGGTTTAAATTGAATAGAATCAACAAGAGATTTATTTATATCAAATCAAAATATTTTGATTAAAATTTTTTCTAGTACAATAAAGTGAATTTTTCCAATGATTTTGCTCACTCACAGAAGAGTGGGGGCGAAGAAAATATAAGACCGTTAGGAATATCTCGGCTTTCAATAATTTCTAGTGTTTTTGAGGGAGATGGGTAAGAGATGGTATATTTATATTGCTTGGGCTGAGTAGTCGGGATATATGAAGGGGAGGTAAATGAATAAAGATATTGGGTTATAAAAGCAGTTTTTCCAGAAAGAGGGTCACCTAAAATCAAACACCTAGAGCAAGCCATTTTATTTTGTGATAAATTTGAGACTACCTTGATAAGGGATAAATTGAATTTAAGCTAATAAATTTTTTTATCCATAATATTTATTAATAATCATTTATTTTTTAATTTATTATTGTCTTTATCTATCCACCTTAATAAGCCAGGGAGAGATATTGCAAAAGTCTTTATTCTAAGTTAATATTTAAATATAAGTGCATATTTTTATGTCAAAACGATTATCATTTAGTATGCTAATATTGTCAATAATATTTATATCAATTTTAAATAAGATGCATGAAAGCATTGGCTTTCTGTTGATTAAGAATTTAAAAATAAATTTTGACGATGAATTTATAAATTAATCATCCATGCATAATAAAAAGAAATGACTTTTTACTAATAATTCTCATAATTTGATTCAAATATGTAAGATTTTATGCAGGTCAAATGGAAAAGACTCTCAATTCGAATCGCCCGGGAGGTCTCGCTCAATAGGCCACTATATACTTGGGAAAACTATAGGTCAAGGCACATTTGGAAAAGTTAAAATTGGCACTCATATCTTAACGGGAGAAAAAGTGGCAATTAAAATTCTTGAAAAAGCAAAAATTTCAGATAAAAATGATGTGGAGAGGGTTGCTAGAGAAATTCATATATTAAAGCTGCTAAGACATCCTAATATTGTGCAACTTTATGAAATTATTGAAACTCCGAAACTTTTTATATCGAGAATAAATAATTTGCACTGTTGTTCAAAAAATAAAATAGAAATTAATTCCTTTTATATATTATTTTTAATTTATTTTACCACAATATATATAAATCTTTATAATAAATGAGGTTAGTGTTATATTATACCAATATATTATTATAAATTAAATAAAAATTAATTTTGAGCATTATTGAGCCATTTTCCCTGATAATGCATATCTGATCATGGAATTTGCAAGCGGCGGAGAGCTTTTCGATTTCATAGTTGCACACAATAGGGTCGAAGAATATGAAGCTTGTGTTATTTTTCAACAAATCCTAGCTGGAGTTGAGTATCTTCATAAAATAAATATCGTTCATCGCGATTTAAAGCCAGAGAACTTACTTCTTGATAAAAAAAATCAAATAAAACTAGCCGATTTTGGGCTATCAAATACTTACAAGCCTGGACAGCTATTAAAAACAGCTTGTGGAAGCCCCTGCTATGCTGCCCCAGAAATGATAGCTGGGAAACGATATAAAGGCTCTCAAGTAGACATATGGAGCTGCGGGGTAATTTTATATACGTTAGTATGCGGTTATTTGCCTTTTGATGATAAAAATACGACTCAGCTCTATAAAAAAATTTTGGGCGGAGACTACAAATGCCCAAATTTTATTTCTGAACCTGTGAAAGATCTGATTGGGAAAATTTTAAACGTTGACCCTGAAAACCGTTATAATATTGATCAGGTAAAACAGCATCCTTGATATAGAATGGCTCGACAAGAAATTCCTATTGGAATTATTATTGGGTTTGATAGAATTTTAATAGATGATGAAATGCTATAATGTATTTAGTTGAATAGCATGCTAAATCTAAACTCTCCCCCTCCATAATTATCATAAACATTTTTCGCTCACATGGGGGTTAATTTTTTTAAAAAAATTTATACTTAATTTTTTTTTTAAATTCGTAAAATTTCAGAAATATTAATTTAATTTGCAATTTTTTTTTTTTTAAAATGCTGTTTAAAATTAAACAGAATTAGCGATAGATTTCATTATACTTATTATCAAATTTTTTTCATAAAATATTTTTTTCAGTTACGGAGGTGGGTTTTGCCCAAAAATAGGGATTTTTTCCAATGGTTTTGTTTGCTCATAGAGGTGGAGTGAGGTATTTTTTTAATATCTATTATATAAGAAATAGCCTAAAATTTAATCTTTCAGGTTATATACCCTGCTTAAGTGAATTTTTAATTCGTGCTAATTATTAAATACCTTATTAATAAGTAAAAAAAGCTTTAAAATTATTTTTTTATATAAAAGTAAGGCAAGTCTAATTAAAAATATCATAGAAAGTCTTAATCAATTTGGCTTCAACATAAGCCAAGCCAGAAAATACATTGAAAGTAACAAGCATAATAACTTGACAACCACTTACTATTTATTGCTAAATAAGCATGGGGAAGGAAGAATCAAGCCTCTCCAGCCTAAAATTCCTATCCCAAGAATCTCTATCGAAAAAGTTCCTGGAAACATTACAGAGCGTTCCAGAACGCCAAATAGCGATCGAAACTCAATTGAACTAAAACGTCCAAATACAACAAGACCCTCTATAGGCGCCCACAATAGAAAAGTTTCTCAAATCACAGAAACCCGTAAAGTGACAACACCAAAAGAAACTTTCAAATCAGTTTCCCCTACTTCACATAGGCCAAATGCATCACCAAAGCCATCAATTTACAGCAGACTCCAAAATAAAGAAAATCCTCCAAAAATAAGGCCAGTCATAAAAGTCCATAAAGGTCCTTTTAATGTCAGCTGCACAAGTGTAAAATCTTATGATGACATTGTAAAAATTGTTGGCAATGCGCTAGAAATAAATGATGTAGCCTTTAAACAAGGAAATTTAGGGAATTTTGAGTGTGAAAAGAGCAAGGTTAAGTTTGGGGTTGAAATTAATAGTGTTGAAGGATATAATGAGTTTTTATATATTTGCCAGCATTTATATGATGAATTTATTTATTTTTATTTAATAAAAATAATAAGGAATGTATGGTAAATCAGCATATTCAAAACTATTAATTGTGAAATTTGTGAAAATTAATAATGGGGTGGGTTATGAGAGTGTATGTGAAGAAATTTTGAGCTCAATGAATTTGTAGCTGAAATTATAAATAAAATGTGTGGAGATTTCATGTTAATAGCATATAGCCCAAAACAGATCTCTGCGTATTTAATATTATTTTTTAAAAATTGATGGTTATTTAATTACATAGGAATTTAAAATAAGATGCACTTAATGCATTTTTGGCTTTCCACGACTATTTGGGATTTCAGATCTGTATCGTCATTTTGGCTTTGTCTGTGCTTAATGAAAGACTTTTTAACGTTTTCTATATAATTTTCAGGCTCCATTTTTACTATTATTTCAGGTCCTTCATAATAGTCGTTAGTTGCCTTCTTATTGTCCTCTTCTTCATCGCTAATAAAAGTTTCTTGTGTCTGCTTATTTTCATTAGTCTCAAAGGGATTTACGGAATTTAATTTTTTTTCGTTTAAATCGTTTTCCAGCTTCTCAATTTCTTTTTCTTTTTCCAAATTAGATTTAACAGTTAAATTTAGCTGCACCAAAAGCCCATTAGTTTTTTCTTGAATTTCTTCTTTTTGCTTTGATAGCTCCTCTATAATTTCTTGCATTTTTGCTTTTTCTTCATGATTGCTAATAGAGCCTGAATTTTGGTCAGCTTTTCTTAATACTAAAATCCTTAAGGCCACTAATTCTTCAAATTTTTGTTTAAGCTCGCTCAGCTCATTTCGTCTATTTTCGTAATTTGTTTTTTCTTCATTTTTTTGGTTTTCCAGTTCCTCTACCACTTTTAAATCAACTCTTTGTTTTTCTTTCGCGTAATTAAGCTGAATTTCTAGCTCTTTTTGTTTTTTTAATAATTCTTCTTTATTTTTTTGAGCTGTGTTCCGTTTTTGTAATAATAAATCCAGCTGGACATCATAATCAGACTGGCTGTTTTCTAGATCTTCTTCTAAAGTTTTCCTTTCTTTAGAAAATTTTTCTCGGTTTTCGATTTCTTTATTTATCCTTAACTTTAATTCTGATATTTCTTGCCGATATTTTCTGTACTCACTATGAAAATCTGTTATTAAAATCCTTTGGCTGCAGGTTATGCACATTTTTTCTAATTTTTGGGTTTCTGGGTGAATAGCTTGTTTAGTGATGCATTTGGCACAGATTCCTCTATAGCAAAACATGCAGGAATTTTTTTGTGAATGAGAAATTCCTGGGATATTTAAAGACATTTGGCAGACTTTGCATTGGGTGTCAAGTCTCCACTGTTCCCGATCTGAAGGAAGCTCAACTGAGAGGTCTTGGTCAGAGACTTCTGAAACCTCACTACTGGAAAATGATGAATAAGCCATTTATATGATTATTCATTGAAAAATTGTCTAATAAATTCAATGAAATCAATAAAAAATTATGAATAATTCATTGAGTTGCTATTTAAAATGATATAGCTTCTTGCATTTAAAAAAAATAATGTAAGCTTAAAGTAATATAATGACTTTTAAATAACATAAATTTTGCTGAAAAATAAGATTTAGTTGATATATGAAAATTTCCAACAAACGGACAAGAAGCCAATCCAGTCTTAGACCTTCAAAAATCCCACTTTATAGACCAGTTTCCCATCAAATGAGTAGGGAGGTTGAAAATGTTATAAAAGATTTAGAAAAAGAACACCGAGAATCACATTATCTTGATGAAGAAATTGAGATTTCCCGATCAAAAAGCCAAACACAAAGATCGTTATGTAAAACCTATGCAAGCTGAGAAACCAATAATGACTTACTCAAGATAAAAATATCGGTTCTAGAAAAAGAACTAATAAAAGAGCAAAATCGACTTAATGAAACAATTTTGGAAAATAGTGAGTTACGTGAAAAAATTAGTAGCAAAAGAAAAATTCAGCAAAACTCAAAAAGAGCTATAAATGAGCTTGAAAAACAATTAAAAACATACAACAACCCGACAGAAAATAACGCTAATCTTGATGGCATAGATTTTTTTCAGAAAAGACAAGTTAACTTATTACGGTGCAAAACAGCACGGCCTAAAAGCATGATTTTTGAAAAATCAAAAACACTAGAGCTTACAGAAAGAACTCTTCCCTCGAGTAAAATTTCTTCGACAAAAGGAGAAAATGAATTATACAAAGTCAGTAGGCCTTATGAGTCAATTAGAATTGTAAATTTACTAGCTCCCTATGTGAACGAACAAAAATTTTTTTTCTGAATTTTTTTAAAAAAAAATTTATAGTAAAATATATTTTTTAAAAATTCCCAACGATTTCGTTCGTTCACGGAGGGAGAAGTAAAGAAAGATGATAGAGAATCGACGGATATTATTGAAAGAAAAACAAGCTGTCCTAGATAAATACACATCACATGTAAATTATTTAGAAGACGCTTTTGAAAAAATAAAAAATGCAACAGGGATGGTTAGTGTTGAGGAAATAGCTGCTGCTTTTATTAGAAGTGAAAGCCAAAGATCTTACTTACTTAATAATCTGGTGTTTTAAGGTGTCTAGTGTCAGCACCCCTAATAAAAAGGGTCAAAGCGAAACTAGTGACGTCACCGAGCCATCTTGGATTAACGTAGTCAGCCCACGCCCAAGCCTTCTATCAAAGCTTCGCTGCCAGCCTTTGCCGCACTTCTCACCTGGCGCGTTGCCGATGCCTCGTCTTGACTCAGCTCCTGCGCGTGTTCCACCTAAGGGTCATCTTCCCCGCGGAGATTTGCTGAGGGTAAAACTCTGAGCCTCTTGAATGCACTGAGGAGCTGCTCCTTTGGTTATCCCCAAAGTTAAACAGCTAATGCTTTGCAGAAGTTCTTGATGGAAGCCAACCCCATAAATAAAATTCCATGAGGGAGAATGCCATTTTATTTATGGAAGCCAAAGATCACACATGCATACTTATTTTAATGATCTAACAATAGAAATAGAAGAGCTCGAAAAAAGCTTTGTCACAATCTCAAATTCTATAAACGATTTAAAGCTTCTAAACTGTAAAGGAGAAACCCTTGCCATGAGTTCCAAAAATGAAATTTTGGAAAAAGCCAAACAAACTCAGAGTAAAAATACGAAAGCACTTAAAGAGTTAAACCAAATTGAAGCAAGCTTTAGAGTTTTAGGCTCCGACATTAATAGGATTTTAAAGCTGTGTGAAGGCTTAGTAGAAAATACTGAATGAGATATAAAGCTTGAGGAATTTTCATTTATGAAAGAAGACTATATTAGAAATGTACTAGGAAAAGTAGAAGAGCTTATTCATTTTATGGTTTATTTGACTGTATATTAGGATTAATTTTCTAATGTAGAATTATTTTTTAAAAAAAATACCAAAGCATATTCTATCTAATATAGACTATCTCAAGTAGCCAAAAACAAACCTCAACATGAGAATTCGCAACCCAAATTACACAAAACCGCAAAGAAATGAAAAACTTAAAAGAATTTTTAGAAGAAAAAGATATTTCCAATGACTCTAAAGTTGATACTTTAAAAGGGCCGGCTTCCGTTTTCGAATTAAGAGCGCTTACAGAGATGATGCTCACGAGAAAGAAATACAGATAATAATTAATTTTGAACTGATGATTTACAATATTAATTTCCCAATTTTATCATTTTTCCATGCTCCCATCTGTCTTGGCTTATTTTTCCATCATTTGTAATCGTGTATCCGTTCCCATGTTTTTTACCTTGCTCCCAGTCTCCTTCATATTTTTTTCCATCTTTCCAAGTGAAAATTCCAAATCCATTCATAACGCCGCTATCTCACCACCCTAGGTATTGCCTTCCATCAGCCCACATATATTTGCCTACACCATGGATTTGGTTATTTTTCCATTCACCTATATATTGTGTCCCATCATCCCAAATATAATGGCCTATTCCTTCTTTTAGGTTTTCTTTATAATAGCCTACGTAGCTACTCCCATCAGTCCATGTATTTTTTCCAGCACCAGTTTGAGTGTCATTTTCCCATTGTCCTTCATACATGTCTCCATTTTCCCACAAATTTCTGCCTTTTCCATGTCTTTTCCCTTCCGATAATTCTCCAAAATACCTTATTCCCCCTTCAATTCTGGTTTCTTTGTATTTTTCATTGAAATTTTCTTTAAATTCAGCTTTAAGAAGTGCAATTGGTTCTTCAAGTAATTTTTGAATTTTTTTGAAATTTAATTGCAAGTTCCCTACTTTTCTGCAGTGATCTAAAGAGAATTTTGACGACCTTTGCTTAGGAGGAATTGATTTCATAGCTTCATGTTTATACCAAAGCCACACTAAATAGATAATTACAGTATCCATCTCTTTTTCCATTAACAATGCTTTCAAGGAACGATTTTGAGCCTGAATTAAATGGGTGGTTTCCTGAGGCATAAGGATTTCTCCATCTCCCTTCATATATCTCTTGGTCTACGTGAGTAAATTTTCCTTCACCAAAAGGATAGCCAAAGCTAAATTCTCCTTGATATATACAGCCATCAGGCCAAATCATTACTCCTTGGCCATCTCTAAAGCCACCTACCCATTCGCCATCATAAGTAGCTCCAGATTTATAAGTGAAAGTTCCTTTCTTTTTCCTTTTTGTTGATAGAGGAGCTGATTTAATAGTCTCTTTAATGCTTTCTGAAGTAAAGTAATTATTGTTAGGCTGGCATAGCTTTTTTATATGCTGATATTGTTTGATATTACGATAAATTTGCCAAGCATTTTTTATTTTTACTGCTGCGATTTCTTGCTGAGAATCTGGACTTGTGGAGGTTGCTTCTGAAGGCTGAGATCCAAGGTTAACACTCCTTCGTAAATGATTATAGCTTTGCAGAATAATCTAAATAACAAATACTGATGATTTTAGATCGAGTTCGCATTTTTTGTCAGCGCCCTGGCAGCATCGTGAGCAATTTGCGTTTCCCATTTTGAAATTAATTGATGAAATATAAATTGGGAATATGATTTTATGAGATAAATAATTAAGGAATTTTGATTATTCGATTTTTTGATTAGTTAATTTAAATTGCATTTTAAAATAGCATTGATTTTTGAAAACGAATTTAATATAAATGCCAATTTCAATAACTGAAATTTCACGTTCAAAGACTATAATAGCAAAGGACGCAAAAGACATAGCAGTCTATGCTCTAACTGCAGCCTTTTCTTATTTGGCTTGAAAAATAATTTCCAAAAAGGTCATCCCTTGTATGTTTTCAAAACTATTTGATCGCCTCAAAGCTTTATCAACTGAAACATTAGGATTAACAAAAAGATATGGAGAAAACAGCTGGGCCTTTATTACTGATGGTTCAAATTCTCTTGGAAAAAGCTTTATTCATGAGCTTGCTAGAGAGGGTTTCAACATCATAGCAATAGTAAAAGACAATAACGAGTCAGCTTCTGACTATAAAAATTCGATTACAGAAAAATTCAATATTGCCTATGAAATAATCCAAGCTGACCTTTCGTTACCAAACTCATATGAAAATATAGTAAACATCATTGAAGAAAAAAATATCAATATTTCTATGTTAGTAAACAATACTGTTTATTATAATCCCTCATCATTTAGGAAATTAGAAAATGAAGATATATTTAAGTCAATCAAATTAAACTGCTTGCTACCTATCCTACTCGAAAATTACTTTTTAAAAATATTTGAGCGAAGAAACCATAAATCAGCAATCATAAACATTTGTGACAACTGAAAATCAAATGCAATTTTTAAATCTTCTATAATAGATACTGCAAGTAAACGGTATAGCATTTAATAGTAAATAAGGATGTTTTGGGGATATTTTTGGCTAAATTATAATTGAAATAAATAGGATACTTGAGAGATTATACTCTAAATAGCCTGAATAATGAAAAAATTGATATTTTGTGCTATGAGCCAGATTTGCCATATATGCAAATTATCCATAACGGTATTACTGTAAAGGTGAACTATGGGCAAAGTTCCGTAAGCGGAGTTCTATACGATCTAGGTAAAAAGTCCAAAACTGATGGAAAATCCCACAAAAGATGGGAAATCACAATAACTGAACAAAGACAGAATTAGCCTAATTAATTTATTGCTGCACACATTCCACATCTCCATCTTGAGGCGGCTTGTTTCCTCTTGTTTTTCTAGCTTCTTCTAGCTGTCTTCTCATTTCTGCTTCCTCTAAAAGTATTTCTCTCGGCTTAGGGTACTATTTATCCATTACTGTAATAATAAGTGTATTAAATTGATGAGTATATCTAATAAGATCTGGAATCAGCCTTAATCTTTTCCTAAATAGATCAGTGATTTCAAATATTTTGAAATATTTCTTATTTGAGGTTCGAATTGTGATTTTACTTGTACTTGAATCACCTGTCACTGAATATACGTCAAATGGGTATGGCAAATTTCTAATTCTTCATTGGAATTCTGTTGGTAAATCTTTTCTTATGAAAATTGGCTAAATGGAAGTTACATTTGTGGAGCTAGCAATCATTAAGTCACTTTCTGGGTTAAAGCTAGATGGAGGCTCACCTACTTCGAGCTCCCATTTGCCTTCACCTAATTCAACTGTTTTTTTAACTCTTCTTGATAAAAGCTCATAAGAATTAATGTCGTATTCTTCGACTATTTCTAGACCATCAGGAAAAGTTGTGTGCAATCTTCTTTTGCCGCCTGCTATTGCACAAGATCTAACAGGTCTTGATGATTCCATTTATAAAGAGTAAAATGTGCGGAAATTTTTATTATTTATTATATTGAAAAATTTTAATTCTCTACGAGTAAATATTTGAGAGATGAAGCTAGATTTGCTGTATGGCATTGATTTAAGGAAGAATTTAGATATTCATAGTATGAGGTGAATGAAAGAAATAAAAATTAAAAATTATAGATATAAAAACAATGAATAAATTATATTTCCCTTGATCTATCTATGGGTCTGTTAATTGGATAGCTCAAATAGGAATAGCATTGGCCTATTGGAGATTTAAATTATAAGAATTACTCATATGAGATAAAGAGATCATTTATTGCTCTGCCTGGTCTGAATCCATTTTTTACTGTTTCATTTGCCTGTCACTAGTAACTGTCACTAGTTTTCATAATTGTTTAATAATCAATGCTTTATCTTTGCTGAAGCGACATGCATAAATATTAAAATAGATCCCTTCCAATTTATTTAGTCAATAGATGCAGAGCTGGCTCTAACCGGTATCATCAATAATCATTTAACTCATAAGCACGTTTTTGGTTTATGAGCTTATAATAGCTAATTGTTCTTAAGCTACAATTTTCGATCCCTGAATCATTCTCAAGCATATATAATTATCATAAGTATTATAATGCAATTTCTTCTTTAATTACAATTTCCTTTTACCTTATTTTCATTCCACCTCCAATTTCCAGCTGAAAAATCTTTATTTTTCATTGTCTTCAAATCCAGTCAGAGCTGACCCAAAAGAACATATAAATTAGCCAATTCTGTTGTGGCCTTATAAAATATGGACCAACAATTAATTGATCTTCTCGTCGAAGTCCCAGGGAAAGGACCATTAATCATTGCAGCTCCATCTACTTTAGACGAGCTACTCTTATTGATTTCTCAATACTCTTCATATCAAAAAAACGATATTTCTATCCTTTACAAGCGAAAAGAAACTTGGTTTGGAATCATAGACCAAGCCACTTATTCATCAATTCTCAAACGTGCACAATCAGCAAGCCAATCTGAGATCGAAATTAAAGTAGAAATCAGTGCTTCTGCTCCTCAAAATCAATTAGAAGAGCTAAAAACTGAAGTCAGCTGGGAAATCATGTCAAATGTCCCTGCTCCAGCAGTATCAGTACCTGAAACTTTGAATGAGTCTGAAGCTACTCCGCTTATTCAATATCGCTACTTAAATAGTGCTGACCCAGAAACATTTAATCAGCTAAGAATCCCAGCCTTAGATATCACGCTAGAAGACCTATCAAATTTAGTTTTACAGCTTGAAAACAAGCCTCCTGCAGATTTTATTTGTGCATTTTACAGCGAAGATGGATGTCCTTTGTATGGAAGCTTGTCTCAGATGCCGTTTATTAAATGCAATGAAGTAATACCTGGATCCTGCAAACTTAATGTGATGATTGTGCCCAATTTTGATGTAAAATCTCTCCCTTCAAAAGATCCTAATGAAGGTTCTGACACTGTGATTTTCCAATCCAGCGCTGATTTGACTAAAACTTTTACTGTAAAAGTGAACTTATCGACTACCACAATCCAGGACCTAAAGCAAAAGCTTTATTCCTTAACCTTAATCCCTACTTTTGAGGCTAAATTCAAATCCAATGATATTTTCCTAACAAATGATACCTTTACACTATCATCTTACAATATAAATCAAAATCAGACTATTATTTATTGGAAAGAAAGCTATGATTACACTACAAGGACTTATAAACCTATTCTAAAACGCACTGTTGAGCAAACCATTGATGGAATTAAGCTATTTCATTCCTTTTTATATTGCTTTTCTAATGTGATTGGAACTTGTGAAAAGCCTACCCGTGAAGCCATTTTAGGCATGATAAGGCAAGCGTCTCAAAATAACACCCCACTTTTGCATGCTTTATATGAGCTTAGTATAGGCAAAAATATGAGTTTATTAGATTCAATTGCTTTAGAAGAAGGCTTTATTTTCATTATTAGCCATTTAGTAAAAGAATTAAATGCAACTGACAAGGTATCAAACGATAAACTATTTGAAAATTGTTTAGAAGTGATAGGATTATTATGCGAAATCGGCTGTAAACCAACTGAAGAGTACTCAAGAGATGAGACTTATTTAGAATATGATACAATCTGCCCATTATCACTGGTAGAACTAAAAAATCCTGTATGCTTAAGAAAAATTGATGGGACATATGCCTATTATGAGCATGAAGCTGTGCTGAAAAGAGCCCAGGAACATACAGAAATTGTTGGTGTCGGACTAGTTAAAGAGTCACAAATAAAAATTTCCAAAGATTTTGTGTACCCTGTAAAGCGAGCTATTTATAACGAAAAAGAATCTATAATTCTCTGAACTGGGACCTTTGATCGCAGCAACACTTTTCCTAACATCATAAGAGCTTCTTTCCCACAAGGCCTTGTATGGGATCAATTACTCCAAATTAAGAAAAATTACAAGCTTTCCAAAATTCACTCAGCTTTATCCTTAAAAAGTTCAGAAACCCGCCATTGCATAACCCTTGACAAAAATAAAGAAATTGTGGTAAACAGAGGATTATCACCTAAAGAGCCAAATACTGTAGAATTAATGAACATTTTGACAAGAGATGTTTCGAAATATGATATTGACGATATGGCAAGCATTATAGAAAGGATAAGCAGAGATGACCCTGCAATCGAAACAATTACAAGACCTCCAGACGAAACTATTATTGTGATTTTTGATAAAAGTGGATCAATGGGAACCACATTTGGACCTGAAGGGGAATATACCAGACTTGATGCCACAAAACAGTTTTTCGAATCTTTTGCTGATAGGACCGTTGGTTATAATCTTAACCATGTTATGTCTTTATTCCTTTTCAGCACAACTATAGATAGAGCTTGTGGATTTACTGAAAATATTTCGACATTTACAGCAGTTGCCCATCAGTCAAAACATTCAGGCGGGACTAAACTGTGGGACGCTATATATGAAGCAATCCAGTCACTTGTAGAATTTAAGGTGAAATACCCTAACACTCATCTGAGGATTTTATGTTTAAGTGATGGAGAAGATACATCGTCAACCCATGGCTATTTACAAGTAGCACAACAGCTGATTGCAAATAATGTGATTATGGACAGTGTTGTTGTTGGCGACCTTTCTCAGAATTTGAAAGCTATTTCTTATGCATCTGGTGGCTATGTCTTTTTACCAGCAACTTTGCAAGATGGAATCAAGCTGTTTGAAAGTGAGACGTTGCTGTCAGTGAGAAATAGAAAATCTATAGTAAAATGTATGGTAAATACTGATAATGATTTAGAGCCTTTAAGGAGAAAAGAGATTAATAACCAGCAGCCTGCGATGGCAGCTCCAGCTGAAATTTCTCAAGGTGCTGTGACTGCTGAACAAGCTTTGAAAAAAATGGCTGCTTCTCCTCCTGCACCACAAGGTAAAAGTGGCTCTGCAGGGTGCGTTAAAAGAATAATGAAAGAGCTTCAAAACATTTCTACCAACCCTCATGAAAATATTGTGGTTCTCCCAAATGATAATGATATAATGTTTTGGAATTTATATTATGATATATTAATTGTGGTATTTAGGAAATTATTATATAGGTATAATTATAATAAAATAGAAATGAATTGCAAGCATATTTTTAATAAAGCAGTATATATATTGAAGGGCCTGAGCAGACTCCTTATGAAGGAGGCCTTTTCCAAGCCTTTGCAAGATTTCCTAATGATTACCCCTTCAAGCCTCCTACTATTAAATTTGTGACTCCTATATACCACTGCAACATAAACTCTACAGGATCTATCTGCCACTCTATTTTGAATCAGTTTTATTCACCTGCTGTTACTGTAAGACATATGCTGGACTGTATATATGGGCTGCTTATGACTCCAGAGCCTATGGATCCTCTTGATGCTTATATTGCGGCTGAAATTAAAGATGATTATGAACTATATATATCAAAATGCAGAGAACATATACAGTTGCATGCTAGCAAATCCTTTGAAGAGCTAACTGGAATGAAAAAGCCTGTAACTCCCCCCCTCCGTGAGTGAACAAAAAAATTTTGTTCACTCACGGAGGGGGGTTAATTTTTTTTTTTTTAAAAAAATTTATATATAAATTTTTCTAAAAATTTTTTTTTTGAAATTTAAAAAAATCCTAATTTGCAAAAATTTGAAAGCAAATATTAATTTAATTTATAAAATTTATGTTTTAAAATGCAATTCATTCAAAATTAAACAGAATTAGCTCTAGATTTCATTATATTAATTATCATTTATATATCAAAATTTTTTTCCATAAAAAAATTTTTGTATTAAAACAATTTTTGTTCACTCACGGAGGGTGGGTTTTTGGGCAAAAAATGGCGATTTTTCTAATGGTTTTGTTCACTCACGGGGGGGGGGAGTAAGTGGAACAGTCATCCCTGAAGAGTTTTTAGACCCGATTTCGAAAAGGATTATGAGTGACCCTGTTATAATTCATGGGAAAACATATGAAAGAAGTGAAATTGAAAGGGTGATTGGCCAGACTGGAAATTAAAATATAGCGTCTTCGTCTGGGCATGGCCGGGAGGCCATGCAGCCTCAACTCATATTTTAATTATATCTGGCAAGGTTTTACCATTTCAGAGATGGACAGCAATGCAGGGCAAGCAATTCTGGTTGTGTTCAGAGCCTAGCCCTAGTCTAATCTCAGAGATGGATTTTTCCTCGTGGGGAAGGAGGGCACGGAAGTTGGAAAGGGGAAGCTCAGCAGAGTCCTTTTTGACCATTCGGCAACTCCTTAGCGTGACACATAGCGTTACGTCCCAGGCTACGTGTTTTTCCTTTTTGCCGATAGCCGACCAGAAAATCCATTTTTTTGGGTTTTCGGAAAAGCAACCCATGTATGCAAGCAAGTAGCTCATCCATGAGCTATCGATGCCGGCAACACTTGCCCTAGGAGCACCTTGGTGATCGAAGCAGGTCGTCTCCAGCGAACTTGTGGGCCCGATGCGACGAAAGGCAAGCGGTAGGCCGACCCCGTAGTGGACGTTAAGCGGTATAAATTTAATGTAATGATTGACCAGACTGGAAAAGATCCTGATGGCAATGAAGCAAATAAGGCTGATTTAGTCCAAAATGCTGGACTCTTGCAAAGAATTGATGAATTTAAACAAGCCCATCCTTAAGAATTAAATTAGATTAACAACAATTTGATACCTTGACTTATTATATTCTTTCTCTTTTGCTATTAATTTTTTTATCTTTAAACAGTAAACAATATTAATAATAAAGATCTTTAAACGTCTTAATAGCTCTTTGGCATGATATAACCCGATAAAATCATTAGAAAACAACTTTTAATCCAGATTTTAAGTGTATGTCTCTACCCTTCAAAGTAAAATTCTCTTCTAAGATGCTTCAAATCATTATCGAAATCATCAGAAATCATAATATATTTAAGTAAGTTGAATACTTTAGACAAAAAAAGATATAAATGCCCATATTTATACTTAACCATCATTAATTTTTCATTATATTAGACTTTTTATAATAAAATCGCAATTAATTGATTTTTATCTAGTTTTATTTCTTTTAAGATTTGTCAAATACTTCAAAGTTGCGTCAATATTTGTCATATTTTTAGAACTCACACTATAGCATGCGACAGTTCTACCTGTAATAGCATTTAAACTTAATGCTGAAATTAGCTCTTCTTCATTAAGTGCTCCATCTAAATCATTCTTATTCCCAAGCACTAATAGTGAAATTCCTTGTAGCGAAGGCCACGATAACAATTTTTGCAATTGAGCTTTAGCAACTTCAAGATTACCGAAGTCTTACTTACTTAATTACTTATAACGCTTTACGTCCACTACGGGGTAGACTATCCCAGGGCTATCACTTGCCTTTCGCCGCATCGGGCCCACGGGTTGCTTGGCCAACCCGCTTCGGTCTCCAGGGTGCGCCTAGGGCAAACGTCACCGACTTCGACGGCTCATGAGTGAGCTACTTGCTTGGGACATGGGTTGCCTTTCCGAAAACCCAAAAAAATGGATTTTCTGGTCGGCTCTCGGCAAAAAGGAAAAAATGCAGCCTGGGACGTAACGCCTAGTTTCACGCTAGGGAGTTGCCCGATTGGTCCTTAGGACTTTGCTGGGCTTCCCCTTTCCAACTGACATGCCTTCCTTCCCCCATGAGGAAAAAATTAACCCTGAAAGTAGACTTGGGATAGGCTCTGAACGCAACCAGAATTGCTTACCTAGCATTGCCGTCCGTTTCTGAGCTGGCAAAACCTTGCCGGATATAATTAAATATGAGTCGAGGCTGCATGGCCTCCCGGCCCATGCCCAGACGAAGACGCCATATTTAATTATAAGATTACCGAAGTCAGCTGAATCCACAACAAAAATAATGCAATCTACATTTCTGCAGTATTTTTCCCAGCTTTCCCGAAATTTAGGCTGCCCACCGAGATCCCAGAGTCTCAGTTCGACACCTCCTTTTTTAATTCTTCGATGGTTAAATCCAATTGTCGGTATTGTGTCTTCATCAAATTCAGAAGTTGCAAGGACATTTACAAAGGTTGTTTTTCCAGCATTTTGAAGGCCGACGATTGAAAGCTCCATTTGTTGGTTCCAAAACATTGAGCGAAGCCAGTTTAGGAATCGTGACCAGAGTCCCATAATTATTTACAACATGACATGGTTGTTTTAATTTTAATTTATTATAAAATGATATGGAAATTTAGATTTTTTTGAAGGAAAATCATTGAGAATTGGGATAATTTTGATAAATAAAGAGGTTTATATAATTTTTTCTTAATAAGTAAATAATTTTAATGAACTTTAAAATATAATGATATAGGATTTAATAATAAATTGTTTAGGGCATCTAGAAATAGATAAATATATTTGAAAATACAAATAATATGGCACCTGATCCAAATTATAATCAAAGATCTAACTTAGGATCGGTTTTTAGAACACTAGCAGCAATTTCTAAAGCCAAAAGTAAAGCGATGGCGTTAGATAACTTTGTGAAGGCAGAGAGAATAGAAAAACAATCAAAAATCGAAACTTCTCTTATAAAAATAAAAAGAGAAATTTTTCAATTGAATTTATCAAGATTAAAGCAGCGCTCAAATACAAGAGAAAAAATCGAAAACGATAGAGATAAAACAGAAAATATCAAATTAAAAGTAATCGAAATAAGAGAAAGTCTGGGTTCATTCCTTATCAATGAAGAATATAAGAAAAAATTTGATAAAGAATTAGATTTGTGTGAGCAGGTTTTAAACGGAATTGATCTAGGAAGAAAGGAGCTAATGAATTTTTTGACTTATGGAAAATAAAAAATAGAAATAATAAGAAAATTTGTGATATTTTAAAACTCCAATAATCGTAAATTATGATTTCTTTCAAAAACATAAGTTGAATTCATTTATGATCTAATAAAAGGTTTAAATTTATTTTCTATTATCTGCATGCCATAACGCCCTTCTGATATTAATCGAACGCAATCAAATTCAATAAAAATAAAATCAATCATAATAATTTAAAATCCCATTTCAAATAAATTACACTTAAAAATTATTATTATATCATATTGACAATGAACTAATATGTAATTTAAAAGTGAAGCGCCTCTTCAAAATTCAAAAGAGTGTGTTTTTCATTATCAAACTTGCTACCTACATAATCAATCAACATGTGAACTTGTCCAATAATATCATCAGAATTGCTCTTAATAGCTAGATATTTAAGGACTTTAATTTCATCGCTATTCTCCATCTCAACCTCCCCCTTCCAATAATCAACAACCTCAGTCTTTATTGATTCAATAATTTCAAGCAAACAGTTGATTTTTTCAATAGGAGTTCCAAGATTATATAATTTATTTAGCATTAAAATCGCTTCAGCATAAGGCTCTTTTCCATCATCTAACCTCAGCTTAGGCGGTATGTCCAATCTTTCCATAATTGCACTATCTCCAAGCCCTTCACATTCTCTCCTCACATCTTGCAATTTTTCTTCTAATTTCTCAGTTTTAATATTATAAATTTCTAACAAATGCGACATAAGTTTAGAATAAATATATTTTTCGACTGACGGTCTACAGTATACCATGATTTTTTCAGTGCTGCTTCTTCCATAATTATAATGAGAAAACAAAGAATCCACGGTTTCTTCCACTTGCAACTTTATCGACTCAATTGGCTGAGGCAGCAGCAAGACTGATTCTTTAGGATTCCTATACTGGCTTTTGAAAGATTCAATAAATTGGCTTAATGATCTTCCTAATGTGTAAGATTCTGATGACAAAATTTTGTGAAATAAACAATAAGACGAGCTTTCATTTTTGCAGGTCATTGTGCTTTCCTCTTCTTCTTCGTACTCAATTTTGTTATAAGTTTCATTGCATTGAGGAGAGCTTAAAAATTTTTCTATTGATTTTTCAATACCATTAAGCAGCTTGGAGATAGGCTTTTCTGTCCCAACCATCCCTTGAATGAGGAGAATTCTTTTGTTTTTGCGTTCGTCCATTAGGATCAGCATTCTTACGATTGAAGCTTCTTCGTGGGATTTTTCTTTTAATCATCAGCAGCATAAATATTTTTGAAATTTATTGTTGGGAGTGTGGACGGCAATTATGGAATTTGGGCTTCTTTCGGTGACTTCAAAGCCTTTTTTGGAGGAAATTTTGGTTAGAAGGTTAAAGAGACTCGCATGGGAGTGGGATATGGGCAATTCGATTTTTATTTGAGGGAGAGATCCAGGGGAGTCTGGGATTAAAATGTCGGTGCGAAAAGAGATTGAGCCTCTTGGAGAGTAGTCTACTGTAAAATCAAGGGAGTCTTTAGCATTTGATCTTTTCTTTTCTTCATTTGGCCGAATAATAGGCATTTCTGAATTTTCATTTCCTGATTGATCTTTCATTTAATTTATATTAATTTGATAAAAAGATATTCAAAAGCTTGAAAAAAGCTTGTGTAGATAAAATGCTAAGTTTTTCAGTTTCGCGGGATTTAAGACACTAGATATCTGACTAAAATTTATAACTGAATGAATATATATTGATTATAGGATAATATAAGTTTCATCTATTAGTAAAGTGCAATTGGCTTGTCTTAGCACGATTTATATTATCTGTTTTAAGTAGTCTCAGGGTTTTTAATCCATCTTCAATAAAATAAGAGTTCTTATTTATTTTAATAAAAATAATAATTAATTTGTTGGCAGTCGATGCTATTCTTCCTAATAATCTAAAGTCTTATTATTCTTATTAATTATCTACTTATCAATATATCAGTTATTAATTTAGAGGTAAATTAATGGATTTTAATATAAATGATTCGAAGCCTGTCGAGGACTCGCTTGTCTGTTCCCCTTCCTCAATGAGAAAAGATCGTCCCAAAAGACATGAGCAAGATTTTCCTCAAAAATAAACGTCGGCTTAAATCACATCGAGCAGACGTTCCTCCGACATCTGACACTATAAAGCTTCGAAACAATTTCGAGAGATCACCAACAAAATTTGACTCATTATATGAGCATTCCCCAGGCAAAACGAGGAGTAAACTTCTTTCAGCTAGGAATAGTAATAAAACTATTCCTCTACCAGATGATTCTCCGGATAGCAAAAGTCCTGATCGTAGATTGAGCAGTACAAGGCTAGAAACTTACAATTTTGATAAAGAAAGCAATACTCATTTGGAAAGGGAAGTTAAAAGCTATAAAAAAATTATAGTCAAAAATTTAAGAGAAATTAAGGGTAGGGAAGAAGCTTTGCTAACTGATAGAGAAAGAGAGGGCTTCGTTAAGAGTTTTAGTGATCTAAAGCCTAAGATGTATACGATGACAAAAGGTGGGAGCAACTATAGAAGATCTTTGCTTAATCCCTAGTGAGCAGCAAAGATATTAGAAAAGCCATATTTTACTTCCAAAGAATATATAGAATATATACTGATATATTATTGATTTATGAATAATAAAAATAATGAAACCTCTAATTTTAAGTAGCGTGCATTTAAAAAAATTACCAATGAATTATAAACTTTATTTTTTTAGATACCGATTGATTGGATAAAAAATTTAACTCACTCTGTTAGTAAGACAATTTTGTTCACTTGCAAAGGAAGAATTAGGAAGAAATTCGATAACTTTAAGACGGATTCAGCCCGCTTTCTAAAGTTTGATGTAAAAATAATTTAATTAATCTTATTTTTCATAATAGAATTAGTAAATCAGAATAAATATCAATAAATTTGCTTATATTGGATATGCTGTATTGAATTAAATTAGAGGCTAAGCATGGCTTTATGATAATACTTTTAGTCTCAAACTAAATATTTAAATTTTTAAACTAATTCAAGGTAAACCTTTATATAATTTTAATCGTTTTTACGTCCCTTTGTCTTTCGTTTTTTGTCTCTTTGATACCCTTCAAACTCCGACCACAGAATAATGTAATAAACAAAGCATCCCATACTCGTAAGAACAATCAGTGAAATATTAATTGGCTGACTAAACTCTATAGTTCAATCTTCATCATAATTAACATAACACAATTCTCTTGCAACAATAAAAAAGCTTTCATCAAAACATTTATCCATAATCGCTTCGCATCGATCTGAAATAACTCCACTGTACCCTTCCTTGCAAGGCAAAAAATAACAAAAATCACCTAACTCCCCTTTGAGAAAGCAAAATAATTTTTTTGCTCACTCACAAAGTTAAATTTTAAAAAAGTTCCGATTCACAAAATTGCAAACGAAAAATTAATTTTATTTAATAAATAGATGGTTTAGAATGTAAGTTGGTTAAATCTAATACAATTGGTAAGAGATTTCATTACAATAATTACCAAAAAAAATTTAGTCGTTCACGGAGAGAGGGTAAGCATACTGATTTATTACTATCTTCTGCATGTGTCCTTTCTATATGCTTCTCCAGCCCTTCCTCTTTAGAAAATTGTTTATGACATATCTCACATTCCCACGTTGCTTGGGAGATCCTTTTCTTTGTTTTTTCATAAGTTTTAAACAAATCTCTTTGCTCTGCATTTTTAAATGGACAATCCTCAGGGAGCTCATAACTTTTCACTTTATATTGATTCATCAATGGTGCCAGCTTGTCTTGCAAAAAGTCTTTGACATACTTACTCCCTCCTTTAAATTGGAACAGAATCTTTTGTTCCAATTCAAAGGGGGTGATTTATTTTTTTAAAGAAAAAATTAAATATAATTTTTTTTTAAATTTTAAAAAAAATATAAATTGAGCACAATGCTTTGAATTTAATTTATTTATGAAGAATTAAATAAAAAAATTAATAGATTCAGTTTGAAAAATGTTTAAATAAATTTCTTCTTACTTTTCGTCTATTAAATTAGGTTAATAAAAATTTGCATTTCCAACTTCAAAATTTAAACTGAGCACAATTTTGAATTTTAATTTATTTTTAATAATTAAATAAAAAAATTAATCGATTTAATGTGAGAACTGTTTAAATAAATTCTACTTGATTTTGTCTATTTATATAGGTACATCTAATTTTATAAAATTATTATTAATTTCATCGATAAAATTTTCCTATTGAAAAACAAATTTTGTTAAGTCCAAAAAATGCAAATTTTACCAATGTTTTTGTTCCAATTTAAAGGGGGGAGTTAGAATCTTCCCACGAGCATGCAATAGCTATTGATATTAAAGCAAAGAAATAATAAAATATCATGGATATAATTACAGTATGCCCTGATGAATCCGAAATTGCTTTTTCAAAAGGAACAGCTGTTTATTTTATGAAGGATAATAAAAGGATAGCTTCACTAGAGCACACAGATATAGTGAGAGGAATAGTAAAAGCTGGTAATTATTGAGTATCAATAGGTGATGACAAAACAATCAAATTTCATAGTCTAAATTGGGAGGCTTCACAATCAGTTATAGCCTATAATCTAACTCATGGCAAAAAGCCTACATCATTAGTGTTTTTACATAATTTAATTGTGTTCGCAGACAAAACGGGAGAAGCATGGAAAATTGATTTGGCTAGACTGAGCTCAGGGAGAACCAAGGAGCTTGATTGTATCGCATTTGCAATGGGGCATCAATCCACAATCACTTATATGGCAAAAGGAGAAAATTCATTAATTACTGCTGATAAGGACAATAAAATAAAGATAAGCGAAAGTCCTCAGTTTTATGAGGTGAGAAGTGTGCTGCTTGGGCATAATTTTACAGTTTTGTCTGCTATAGAATATGAAGGGAAGATTTATAGCTCTGATGAAAGTGGGTGCATAAAGAAATGAAATGGGACTGAGGAAGAAGCTAGCATACAGACTATGGAAGCGGTTCAATTATTTGTAGCAAATAATAGGATTTTGGGAGCTTCAAAGTCGGGGTATTTTTATGTAAATCCAAGAAATTTGCAGTCTTTGCCTATTGCTTTGGAACCGTTTGGAATTGCGGCAGTTTGGGAAAATTATCTTTATCAAATAGATAGCGAGTTGAGCATAAGACAAATTGATTTGAGGCTGCAGGGACATAAAACAGATAATTAATAAGGGTAACTTATAAATTACAAAGAAAAGTTTAAAAATAGTTCTTGTGGGCTATTAAAATATATAATTTTTTATTGATGAGGCTATTTTGCATTTAAAGTCATTTATTAAGCTTAAATTTATTAAAGACGAGTATCTGCCAATTTTATTGCATTAAAATATCGTTTAATTCAAAATTCATCTCCATAATATAGAAATGCGCCCTTTTTCTAAAGGCAACGTTATAATTGCAGTTTAAAATATAATCGTTAATTTTAAATAATTCACCGGATTATTACTATGCTAAAATAATAGTAGCATTCTTACTCCAAAAATGAGCAAGGATTTTTTGCTTGCTATTAAAGATGAGTTATATTTAAAATTAAATTTGTATAAAAGTTATTTTTTCGATCCCAATTAAATCCCAATTTGAAAAGAGGAATCTGATTTAATTTTGGCTTAAAAACCCAAGCTCTAAATAAAACAATTAGCTAGAGATCCCAGTCAATAGCTATTAATTATATATAAGCATTTTAATAAAATAAATTATATTACGCAATGTTTTACTTGGTTTAAATGGTTTTAATTTCCAAAAATAGGAATTTTTTCTAATGGATTTCTTGATCTTAAAGAGCAAAGCTAGCTAAATAATTTATTAACCATCATAGCTCTCCTTCCGGATAGTTTGCCTAACAAACTCTTAAGCCAGCTTTTTCCCAATTGTTATAAATTAAGATGGAAATATCCCCAAACGGAAATTTGGCACAAAACATCAGTTTGCTCACAAATATCTCTAAATACAGAGATTCAGACGAAGAAATCGCCACCGAAGCAAACGGGAAGACTCCTCGTGCAGTTTTCTCCACTCCGACTCTTCATAACGCCAAAAATATAATGCCTGAAGAAGATTCCCAAACAATGGATACCGAAACAGACCAAGAAGAGCAGCTGCAAGATGCCTTTGACTTCCTTTCACGCCTACCTCCAATGCCTTCAGCTCCGAGAAATAAAGTGCTACCTATTAAAACTAGGAGCACTTCAAGACTTACTTTGGTCCTTGATTTAGACGAAACCTTGGTACATAGTGAAGCAAAGCCGATATCCAACCCTGATGCTGTTATTAATTTGATATTCAATGGTGTCGCTTGCAATGTTTATACACTCTTTAGACCAGGAATGTATGAATTTTTGCACAGTGTCAGCAAAAAGTTTGAAGTCGTTGTATAGCTCAGACATTAGTTGGATGGGCTAATTAATCTAATTTCCTATGGCTATAGGGATTGACTGAACTCTCTTAAGCTAGCTTTACCAAATCTTCAATTCGCTGTATATTGCTGGTTGCCAAGCTTGCCAACATAATTCAGCCTTATAAATTCTCTAATTAAATGAAAAGATATTGAAATCAGCAAATCCAAAATAATGCATAAACTATATTTACTGCTTCACATAAAGCTTATGCTAGTCAACTACTGAGAAAAATTGACCCTGATAGAAAGCTTATAAAACATAGACTGTATAGAGATTCGTGCTATAATTTGAAGGGAAACTACATCAAGGATTTAAGAGTTCTTGGAAGAGATTTGAGTGAAGTTATCATAATTGATAACTCGATTCAAGCTTTTGGGTATCAATTGGATAATGGAATTCCAATTGTAAGCTGATTCGATGATCCAAATGATTGTGAGTTGTTCAATGTGCATGCTCTTCTAATTCATCTCCTTATCATATCTGCTCTATAGAAAATAAAAATAAATTATTTATCAAATAATAAATATTTTTAATAAAAAATTGTTGGGAAAGGTTAGTGTGTGCCAGATGTCAGACCTATTCTTACTCCCCCCCTCCGTGTGTGAACAAAACCATTGGAAAAATCTCAATTTTTTACCCAAAAAACACACCCTCCGTGAGTGAACAAAAAATTTTTTTAATAGAAAAAATTTTTTATGAAAAAAAAATTGATATATAAGTGATAATTAGTATAATGAAATATCGAGCTAACTCTGTTTAATTTTAAACAAATGTGTTTTTAAAACACAAATTTTATAAATTAAATTAATATTTGCTTCCCAATTTTTGCGAATTAGGATTTTTTTAAAATTTCGAAAAAAAAAAATTCTATGAAATTTATATACAATTTTTTTTAAAAAACAATTAATCCCACTCCGTGAGTGAACAAAATTTTTTTGTTCACTCACGGAGGGGGGGAGTTAGGCAAACTTTTAAACTTTCAAGGTTTAGCGCTCAATAATTTTTAATAAATAATTTTAATGCTTATTAAGTGTTCGTTTAATGGGATAAAATTTTATATAAAAATTATCAAATAATGTTATAAACGGTTAATGAAAAATGAAATTTTAATAAATAGGATAGATTGCATACATGCAATGTTAACTGATGAATTTAGATTATAAAAATTTGTTTATTTTTCAAATCATAAGTCAACTTGAATCAATTTTGTTTGAGGTATGTTATAATTTTTGTTGAAAAAAGCTATGAAGACTAATTCTAATATCCAAACGTATTAATTACCCAAATTGTATTAGAACTCTTTATAATTATATTAAACTTCTAATTCTGATTTAAAACTCACACAAAAATCTATTTCTTTTTCTATTATTTGCAATTTTTATCTTCATCATAAGATATAATTAAGTTTAAGCAAATTGAATAAACTAATTATTCGAAAATGGGCTTTTGATAATATATAGTTTTATATAATAAATCTAGAATTCTTCAAAATGCTTTAATTAATAGTATTATTAATATAAACTGTATAAATTTTTTATGAAGTTGAATTAAATTGGCAAGATGACCCAATTCAATATGGAATTTCTAGAATTACCGCTCTTGGCAATTTAGCTCAAATAACTACAACAATTTTGGAGATTACGTTTCTGAAATGATACGAAATACAAAATTTTAAAGAAATTGATATTTTTATTTATTTTTCGAATACTTAACGACTAAAGATCGCCCACGAATAACAGTGCCATTCAAATTTTTGACTGCTTTGGTCGCATCTTCAACCTTTTGGTACTCAACTTCTGCAGTCCCTTTTGATTTACCAGTTTGGTCCCAATTTATGCCGCAGGTTTTCAATGGTCCAATTTTTATGAAAATGTCTCTTAGCTCACCATTGGTAAGCCCAAAATCAAGGCCTTTCACAAAGACTCGGCCAGTCTTTTTGGATCCTTCAGATTTCTCTCCTTTTGGCGGCTTGGTTTTTTGGCTGCTGCCTTTCTGGGTGTTTCCTTTTTGGGTAGGATTTTTCTTATCTGATTTCTTGGGCTTGTCTGAAGAGAATTTCTTGGGTTTTCCTCGGGCGTCATTCTTATCTACTCCTTTCTTGTTGAATCCTTTGACTTTATTTTTAACATGAAGTTTTTGCTTCTTTTGCTTACCTTTTTCTTTGTTCTTCTTGATAATGTCATCAAGGCTCATGTTAATCTTTTCAGACATTTTATAATTATAAAGAAAAAATAAAAGCTGAATTAAATATGGGTTAATAAGTCAAAAATTGCGTAACGTAGGTTCAAAGGTTTGCTATGGCTTTTAGAGGTATTTAGCTATAAATAATTTATATATTTTATAAATTATTGTATAAATTTATTTATTCTTTTATTTGAAATTAATTTCAGTGATTATTTTTATCTCAATTAATTTAAAATTTATGTTTTAAGTTATAAAGGTCTTAAATATTTGATGATGCTATCATTTTTTTCAATTTCAGTTATTTCAATTTTTCTTCTATCTTCTAAGCATGATTTCCAATGCTTTACCATTAGATTGACAAGATTGTTTTCTCCTGTTACTGAATCAGTTATCCAATCATCTAAAATATCATATGCATGCTGCACTTTCTTTTTCATTTTGAGAAGTTCCTCTTTAGCCCAGTTCTTAATTTCTGAAACTCTTAAAGCAAAAATAGCGCTTAACTCTTGAAGTTCCAATGATTCAAGTCCTAATTGAGAAATAGATATACTAAATTGCCTTACTCCTCCTTATCCTTTAAAATTACCCAGATTTGGAAAATAAATCAAATCTTGATCGAGCTATTCATGAAGCCAATTCCCCTCCCTATCCTTTATATAACTACTTACTTTTTATAATAATGATAATGGAACATAATTATTCTTCAATTATTCTAATGTGATTTTTAGCCTGTTTATTTATATATTGCACACTCTATCTCTTATCGCTAGTGCATAAAATGCTTTATATGCGAAAAATTTTGTTAAATAGTGTTTTTTCACAAAAAATTTTTTAAATCCTTGATTGAATAATCAGCACAAGCTAAAACGGAAGGGAGTTATGTTTATAAATCAGTAAATAGCTTGAAATTTCTACTGGACAACTCAAGGTAAAAGCTTTAATTTGTATTCTTCACACATTTGGTCCAAGTCATTATAAATATCTGAATCTTCAGAAAATTCAAAATTTAGCTCAGGCACACCAACTTTGTTTCGTTCAGAAAGATTAGCTTGATATTGGAAATCTATAATAAGATTAGTTAAATTCACAAGCTTTTCTAGTTCAGTTTGGATAAGTGCTTTTGTAATCTCCATGGTTCCTTGAGACAGTTCTTTTTCTGAAATTCCTTTCATTATTTTAAGTCTGTAATTAATGGCTTCAGCTTTTCTTTCTTCAATGATATCCCACAATTTGTCTGAAAAATCATCAATTTCTTCGAAAATAAATTTTCGATCTTTTGAGGTTATCAGCTTTTAAATTAATTGATAAAGAAAGCCAGCACTGATGAGAATAATTATAGTTATTTTAATATAGAATTTGGCACTTAAATTATAATAAAATAAAAATATAATCTAATTCAATTTCATATAGCATATTTATCGACCTCCTCTCCATCAAGTTAATAATTTTATTCACAAAAGGCTCAATCATGCTTTGCTTGTGATCTGGCCTCGTCAAAAATTTCTTAAACTCTACAAATGAATGTTCTATAATAGAATCAATAACATTTCTAAATAACTGTTACTGTGTTGTTGACGTCTTCACTAAATTTTCTTTTAACGACAAAATATAATTCTTAAGAGCATTTTCCCATTGCTCATATAAAGATGAAGCCTGACTATAATTTAAATCGATTTCTGTATCCCTAAAGGATATTTTTTTCTTAACCTCAGTCTGATCTAATAGTTGATTTTTAGAAATTTCCTCACGAATTTTAAGCCATTCTTGAATTTTGGCTTCAATCATTTCTTTTACTTCTTCAATCCGATGTCCTGATATCACGTTTAAGCTTTTCCAGTCTTCAATTCCAAACAGTCGGAATCAGTCTTTAAGTCCATTGGTTTCTTTAATAAACTCGTGGTATTTTTCTGTAATTTCAGCCTCATTGGGGTGCTCAATTAATTTAAGTTTTGGTAGAAGATTATCTGGAGGAGGGTTATAAGTAAGATTATAGACATTTCCGCTGTTATCGACTCTTCTGTCTATAGCTCTATGAACTAAATTGGAAAGAGGAGCTTCTAGTCAGAATATTAGGTCAAATCCTGATTTCTCCAGTAAATAAGGTCTTATTTCTGTAAGTGACGATTTCGCTATAATTTCAGCTTCCCTCTTTTTTATGCTTCCAATTGACTCTGGAAGCTCAGTCGGATGGACATACCCGCTAAAAATCTTTTCAAATGACTTAGCTTCTTCTTTATTCCTTGGATACCCAAGTGCAACCCATCCTTGACATTTAACTTCTTCTTTTTTACCTGGCTTTTTTACCTCTTCTTCTATTTTTGGTTCATCTCCAAACAGCCCTCTGATTTTAGCTCTGAAAAGCCTTGCAAGCTCATCGGGAGAATTCCCAGGACAGTTTATCGATTCTTGCACAAAAAAATCTGATTCTTCTTCAGGCTTTTTCAGCTTTTTACCTGCATCAAGCTCTGCTTTTCTTTCTAAAACTCCATTTCGGTCTTCTATAATTTTTTCTATATCAAAGGATTTAATTCCATATTTTGCTTCCAAAAATTTTATTTGTGTGTGTCTTCCTGAAAACAATGGCCCTAAAAAACAAAGTTTTAAGGGGAAATAGTGAGGACCAGGAGGAAGCGGAGGACGAGTGTATGCAGGAAAAGCAATATGGATAATTGCTTCAATTACATCGCCTAAGTAATAAGGATTCGGAGCTTCTTCGTTTGTATTCCAAATATCCTTACCATTCAGATAATTATCAATTAGCAGATTTTCTTCTTCAGTTAGCGTGACAGCAGCATCCTCTTCTTTAGCTATATCATTTGCTTCTTGCTCAGGTGATAAAACTGCCGATTCGTCTAATTCCATTTATTTTATTATTTTCAAACAAAACATCTTTATTTCTCATATTTCCTCCTTTCACTTATTAGCAAGTCTACTTCGCAATTAATAACTTAAATATATATTATACAAAGCAAGCCATTATTATTAATCGCTTTAAGTTAAGTTTACCTAAATTTCTAGTTGAAGATTAGGAAGAAGGCCATAAATAGACCAACTGCTGAAGCCCCATCTATTTCATAAGTAAGGATTGTATAGATTGGCAAGGTGCTGATAGATGGAGTTGTTGTTGTCGCATCAATGCAAGTTGGCCACAAAGGATAGTCATTGCAGGCAGTAAAGCTGCAGTTATAAGGAGTCCCTACTCTCAACCCATCGACAAACATCGTAATGTTTTTATTAGCAGTGCTGTTTGAGCAGCTGGATGGAACAATATCACTGTACCCATCAAGCCCAGATATAATCTGCCATGCATAAGTTGCAAGTGATAATAATAAAATGGCTTCGGATGAGAGAAGATGTCACTGCGTGAATTTCCTCTCTCTCATCTAACTTTTGCTATTATAGGGCTAGGTTTTTATACATGCGCATCTGTTTGATAGGAAGAAATGGTGAAGGTTTTCCTACAGGCAACTGTTTTATATTTTTTCCACTGCCTGATAAAGGCAGGACCTTAAACCAAATAGGTGCTGGAGAAAGCCAGATAGAGCGAAACAACACGCCAAGCCACAATTGTTCCCGAAAAATCTGGCTCTATGGAGGCTAGAAGGAGTAGCCTTTGTCAATGGGCCGTACGCTTATCAGAGGAAGTGACCAAAGCTGAGGAAAAGAGACCCTATGGTCCGACCCCTCTTAAGGCCTAGCCCGAGGTGAATAAAATTAAGTAATCTAAGTCTAAGCATAAGTTGTCAGTGACTGATATGTCTTTCTAGAACAGCTAACACACATTATACCACTTTGAGTTGGGGTTCCAATAAATGTCACATTGGTCTGCCCAATAGCTGCTAGAACAGGCTGGCGTATCCATGAAGGGTAGGTCGTAGAAGAACTAGTTGCTGCTGCATTTGAAAGTGTAGGTGTAGCTGATGTCAATGCTGTTAACTCATTTTTATAAAAAAATAATATTTAATATATTTTTTAATATCAAATAATATTAAAATACTAATTAAAATAATTTTGGGAAGTAAGTCACTAGTTACTTGGCTAACGTCTAAGTTTGCTATAATAGCTAATGGGGAGTATTTAATATTGCTTCTATCATAAAGAACTTCATAAGTAAATGTCGTTGAAGATGCAAGCATTCTCATTCTTCCAGTTGATGGATTCGCAACCTCTTGATTGGTGAGCCAGCCTGGATTGATTCCCATATTTTTCGCAATTGCATTACGAATATCATCTCCTTTGCTTGAAGCAACAGAAGCTGAGAAAGAAACTGTATAAGTATAGACTGATGGCAGGCTAGGGGTTGTCAAGCTTATAGACTGGCTTTGCATAGCACCAGAATACAGTCTGTTATCAGCATAGACAAAGACATTATAAGTAGTATCAGCATGAAGCCAGTCAAAATCTAGTGTTAAACTTCCACTGGCATACAAAACTTCCATATTGTACCAGTTCAAATTGCAATGATCTCTATGTAGCCTTCTGAAAAATGCATAGTAATCTGAATCAAGCTCAGGATTTGGGTCAATCTCAGTATGTAAATAATCATAAGATCTTTGCTCATATAGCGATAAAGTTGAGTTACTAGGATCTACCAAATCTTTGCATGAATCCTTCACCATTCTATAAGATGGCGTAGAGCCTCCAGTGCAAGCTAACCACCAATAGATAACCACGTTTTGTGTGGATGAAATAGTGACTTTGGCATGGTTTCCGTCTATTATGCTACTAGCAAGGGTAACTGTTGTGGCGGTATAAGCTGAGGTAGAAGCTGCATTCACTGTTAGACTAATAGTGCTTGGGGCTGTATATGAAGCTTCGTCAGTCCCTGACAAGTCAAATTTGAGCACAGGAGCTTTCTGAGAGGTAGCATAAGTACTGTTAACAAAAAGTTCAAAGTATTTAACATCTTCGTTAGGCCCAAACATTAAATAAGTAGGAGAAATGAAGATACCAGAAGGAGCGTTGTTGAAGCTAAGCCAGACTGTAATATCAGTAGCTGGGGCTGCACCTAAAGTAACAGAAATAGGGATACTTGTGTATCCTACGACTAAATTAGGGATTTGTCCTACAGTGATAGCGACATTTTCAGTTTCAGGCTCACATACTTCTACAAGAATAGAATATGGAGAGCCATAGAGATCGCTGGAGACTCCTGGCTGGACAGTTTCTTCAGTGCTCCAATCAATGTAATAAAGTCCACTTGTGGCATTGCTTAAAGCTGCAATTCTGAATGTCATGGAGTCGTACATTTGCAAAATTGTCCAGTCGTGGAAGGTTGAGGAGTATTCGAAAATGTAGTCATCTGGGTAGTTAGGGTTGCTATGAGGGGTTAATATAAGTTTCTTTGATCTCATAGGCCAGTTTCCTATTGAAATTGTAATGTCGTCACTTTGAGTTCCTGGAAGAAGTCTGATTCTGTTGTCAGATGTTTGGCCGACACTTTTAGGAGAATAGCTATTGACTTCAATTGGGATGTAGCTTCTGTTATAGCCAATATAAGCTGAGTTAAGGACTCCATAGCTTTTTCCAAGGACAAGGTTGGCTGTATCATTGTAAATTTTAATTTCAAATCTGCTTGACCAGTAGTCATGCCATGAGAAAGTAGAGTTGTCTTCAATATCCCAATAGTCAAAATTCTTTGCGTGTCTTTCAAATCCCCATTGAGGGTTATATGCCTCAATTTCTAACTCCCTACTCCATTTTTTGAATTAACACTCTATGAGCGAACAAGAATTTTATTATAATAAGAATTTTTATATAAAATATTTTGATTTATAAATTATGGTTATAGTTCGTCTTACTCCCCCCCCCCCCCCCCCTCCGTGAGCGAACAAAACCATTAGAAAAATCGCCATTTTTTGACCAAAAACCCACCCTCCGTGAGTGAACAAAAATTTTTTTAATAGAAAAAATTTTAATGGAAAAAAAATTTTGATATATAAGTGATAATTAGTATAATGAAATCTAGAGCTAATTCTGTTTAATTTTAAACAAATTGCGTTTTAAAACATAAATTTTGCAAATTAAATTAATATTTGCTTCCCAATTTTTGCAAATTAGGATTTTTTTAAATTTCGAAAAAAATATTTTTTATAAAATTTATATATAAATTTTTTTTTAAAAAAAAAAAATTAACCCCCCTCCGTGAGTGAACAAAATTTTTTTGTTCGCTCACGGAGGGGGGGGGGGAGTTTAAAGAAAAAGCAATTTAAATTGAATTTAAAATTTTTTTCGATTGGTATTCTTGCAACTTTAAAAATATAATTACAAAAAAATAAAAAATATACTCATTACCAATGAGAGAGTAAGCTAAGCATATCAGCAGAATTAAAGTTGAATGTTTTTGTTGTTTGTACACTGAGCTCAAATTTATCTTTTTCTACATTACAAGAAGTTCCGCTAAACCAGGATAAAGCAGTTGATGAGCTTGTATTTACCTTGCCAGATTGGTCATAATAAACTGAAGAGCATGATGTCGTATCGTTCATTAGTAAAGTGTTGTCGTATTGACTTGGAAGGCCAATTTCAAATCTCAAAGTATTATTGACATCCCCTGCATAATAAAACTCAAGGGTATAATTAGCAATTTCTAAGAGTTCTACTTGATCGGTAGAAATTGACTTGAAAATCACACTGCTTGGGGCCAGATCAGTTGTAGTGACTGTTCCGAATTCTTCCTCATAAGCTTTTACAGTTCCTGCAGAATTCAGATGGTACACTTCAAAGTTTCCAGTTTGCCCTTTGGCTGGATTCATTACTTCGCTAATCGTAATGTCAATAGTAGTGCTAGCAGAAACAGTTTTATCAATCCCAGAAACGACTACATACCAATGGTCTGCAGTACAAGAAATAGAACCTAATGATGAAGAGCTACATGGGATATAATATGAATAAGGCTCACAGTCAGTCATATAGTTATCTGCTTTACCTATATACGGGTCATAATATGACCTAGGGAAAATTATCCAGAAATAATCATTTGCATCTACTTGTGCAGAGGTGAATCTGAAGGTGTATGAAGAATATTCTGCTGCGTTTGTAATGCTCATTGTTAAAGAGTTGCTGGTGGCAGGGACTAAAGTGCCGGTTACTGCTGAGTTGACAGTAAAGGAAGCTGCTGTTGTATCTGAAGTGATTGTAACCCCGTTCCAAGCTGAAATCACTTTAAAGCCCCCAGATGTAGTGCCTGCTGATGAAGGAAGATTTAAAGCATTATCAAGATAGACCTGAACTGTAGTGGAGGACAAAAGATCTTGAGACAATGTAAGAATAATTTCGCTTGAGCCACTAGAAACGGTGCAAGATGAATATACAATATTTGACCAGCAGCTATTCTTTATATCGCCAGAGGCAGAATATTGCCAAGTGTCAAAAGCTGATATTGAAATGGTTCCTCCTGCAGGCACCCTTTTAGGTAATGAGAAACTGAGAAAAAAATCAACTCCAGGAATTCCAGCTTGATTTGGATATGAGGCAGCTTTTCAGTTTGTTGTAGTTCCTGCATCTGCAGCAGCTGTTAAACTGCATTTAGCTGTAAAAGTAGATAAAGAATCAATGTAATAGTTAGAGTCAGCATCTTGAGTGTAAATTGAGGTTATATAATAGATTGGGTCTGTGCCTGATGAAGGAGGAAATACGTGGTTTGCAGTTATTGTTATTGATGTAGATGAGCTCACTGCTGCAAATTGTGATATAACCAAAGTGGTTGAGCTAGAGGAATATTGCTTTGACAATTTTTGAGATGAGCTTTGATCTGAAAGTCCTGATATTCCGAATGATACATATGTGAAATCCCAGGATTCGGCAAAAACAATAGTGATTGAGCCTCCAGCAGATATTGCATTAACAGTGGAAAAACTAATTGTTATTGTTGTGTCAACTGAGTCTGGTCCTTTTAATGAAACTGTTGTAGGTGAGAATGTTGGCTCTTTAAGAGTAGCAACTGCCAAATCATAGTTTGTTAAAGTGTCTCTATAGGTGCATTGAGTGGCTATAGTTGAACTAGCTATGAATATATTAACCGGAATGTTGGTTAGAGTACTTGAATTTTTCACCCTACTAGGAGGCGCTATGTTGTCAATTGTTAAAGCAGTACTAGTTAATAGATCAGCAAACTTAAAAGTATCAGTAAATTGTGTAATAATAAACGCACCTTTAAAGCCTATTGTTGGAGATGAAACGCGGTAAATAGGGCTAGCTGCAACTCCGCCTAATGAAATTGAAGTTGAAGAACTGGTAGTAAATCCTTCTGGAAATCCAATGCCAAAATAGTCATTTTTTGAAGGTAAATCCTTATTACTGCCGAGAATTAGATTACCTACGAGGCTTCCACTTTGATTAATCGTAAGAGTAGCAGCAGTCCCTGATGCAGTATTAAAGGAATACTTTGGTTCAGAGAATTTGGTTATAGTTTCTGTATAGCCATAAAGTTGGAACTGAATACCTGGATATGACGTAGACGTGTAATAAAAAACAGTAGAGTAAGTTCCATAGCCTGCATTTCCAACTGCAATATAAGTGGTTATAGTTGAGCTTGTGGTTGTTGGACCAAGTCCTGTTAATGTGATAATAGTATCACTACTTTTAGATGTCAATACAGCAGAGGCCGATGATGCAGTTGAAGTCACTGGAATCGAAGCGCCAGTGGCTAAGCCAGTTCCCAAATCTCCACCTCCTGATACTGTTATGTCAATGTAATAGTTGCCAGAACCAAAATCAAAAGTCTGAGTATCTGATTTGAATACACTAACTAGAGGAATCCCTACAGTTGTGCCAGAGCAAAGTGGAACTGTAGAAATAGTATTTCTATTACTGAATGTTTTTGTTGTAACTGTGAATACATATGAATCAATATCATATAATGGTCCTCCTGTTTGAGTCGTGGCTTTAGCCCAACATTCATAAAATGTCACTTTATTTGACGCAACAAATGGAAAAGCTACCTGCTCAGTTGTAATGGTAGTAGAGTATGTAGTGTAAAACCCTAACAAATAGTAGCTGCTTGAAGCTAAATCAGTGTTAAGTAGCTCAACTGAAATTTGATTAGATGAAGGAGTTATTGTATTCTCAACAGTTATCGTTGAATAGCTGCCGCTGGTGGTTAAGCTTGTTGTTGATTCTTGGACTTTTGTTGCTGAACTACTAATATAAGAGCTAGTAAATTGAACTCCAGTAGTTACTAATGGCAAGTTGATAGATATAGTTGTAGTTTTATCCCAATCGTTAGCTGGTTTGAAAACGAACCAAAGAGTTCTACCTGTATATTCTCCACCTCCCTGATACCCTGTAGAAAGTGTAATATCAGTAGGATAATCAGTTGGGGTTAATTTGTAATAAGCATGATGTTTAAATTTGGAGAATCTTGTTTTACTAGTACTCCCAAGTGCCCAGGAAATAGGACTGCTGCTAGTTTGGTCAACGGTGTAATATCCATCATATGTTGTAATTGAATTAACACTAGGAGATGAGCTAAATTTACTCAGTACTATTAAAGATATTGAGCCGGCTGGCTGCGCTTTTGTAAATGAAATCACTACTTTTGATGTTGCGTCAGAAGCTGATGATATTGAGCAGGAACTACCTGAAATTGAAACATAGCACATTGCATTAGAAGCTCCTGTAGCGTCATCTATATCTACCCACCAATTTTGACCAATATTAACATTTGTGAACTCAATGGAAACTCGTCCTACTGTAGAAGAGATATCATGACTGGTAACAAAAGTCAAATTTGTAAAAAGCGTCATTCCACTCAAAGTATCAGCTTGGGCAATAGTGCTCATAGGACTCCAAGAGGATGCAGTAATCCCTCCTGCATATGTTGCAACTGGGCCAGTGACTGATGCATAATTAGCTAATAAAGTGTTTGTTCCCCATCTCCAAATATAAACACTCCATGTAAAAGCACTTTTATCTAAAACTACTCCAGGCAAAGTAAAAGTAGACACACTGATCTTCAATTTCAGCGAAGTCGTTGTTTCTGTTATTAAGACATCTTGAGAGATGCCATAAATAAATACGTGTCCAGAACTATCAGTTTGACATGGGAGATTATTGCTCCCATCTGGTCCAATTAGTAAATTACTGTTATCACTAACAGTTACTGAGCTGCAGGTAGCATTGGAGACCTTCCAATTTGAATCCGTATTGATTTCTATTAAGTCATGCTTCCATAAGCTGGTTGTAAGAGTAAATGTAAAATAAATTCCATCAGTGGAACCTACGATTGGTTTTTCAGCGCCACTAACCGTTGCTATAGAAAGAGTAGATGAATTTATGGTTGATGCTGAGGTAGCGATGCACCCAAAGAAGTAGTTTGCATCGACTATTTGCCCAGTTGAACTTGCCCTTGTCACGATGGAAAATGGTCCAAAAACCCCTTGAGAGCTCGGAAGGGTAATTTCGCCTGTGGCTACTGACATATCAGTTTGAGCACTGATACCTCCGGAAGGGGAAATGGTTACAGTCTGGCCACTGCTAATTGTGATGGACGAAGGAAAGGTTATTTGAACAACCCCGCTTGAAATGGAAGTTGAAGGTCTAAAATGGAAGGTAAAAACTACACCAGTTGATCCTTGATTTGTTTGACTCAGCTCTATAGCATTGTTGCTCCACGTGTCTTGCCACCAAGTTATCTTGCCAGGGTCGAGTGAACTATCTTTTGAGCCTATCGTTAAACTTGATGCTGTCCACAGGACACCAAAGAGACATAGAAGCCATTTCATTTTATATTAGTGGATTTAAATCAAGAAAGATTTAAGAAAGGAATAAATAGTTATTTTAATTATAAATTATATCTGCTGAATAAAATTTTAATCCCCTTATATTAAGTTTAGGACATGAAGCTGTAGCCTGAAAAAAGATCTTATAATTAGATTATCTTGTCTAAATTTCAGGCGTTTATAAAGGAATTACAATGGATTTTTTTCGATTTCACTATTTAAGATATATAAAAAATTAATTAAATTAAGCTGGATATTAAGAAACGGCAGTTGAATCGAAGATATAAAATTTTATTGAATTAAATAAAGATAACGAGAAAATTTTAAATTCCAACCAGAAAGAAGATTAATTTGAATTAGGCTTGAAATAAAATATGAGAAGAAATATGGAAGACTATAAAGGAAAAATTTTTAAATGAAATATAAAATTAGTTGGAATTAAGTAAGCTTTATTGGTATGTAATAATCTAATAATATGACTTTCTTGCTATTAAAGATTTTAGTTCTCTCTTTAAAATTAATACACTTACTTATTTTTTTGTTTATTACGATTTTTCCTATTTTAATAATTTGAATTCAAAATATTTTAATTAAATTAAATTAAAAAGAACTTTAAACAATAAAACAATAATTTAATCAAATTAACGCTTAATTATTAGTCTACTGTTGAAATGATAGCTCTATGCTTATACACAAAAGAAATAGTTTGAAAATGATTTGAATTTGAAGAGATGCAGATATAATTTAATTTAAATTAAGTAGATTTATTTTTATTAATTTAATTTTAGGCATTAAAGAATATTTAAACACTAATTATCTTATCATTTTTAATTTATCCAATGCCACGATAATAAAATAAAAATGTGGAATTTCTAATTGCATAGGATAGATGGATAAAATAGAACTTAAACTATGGCATTAAATATGTTTGAGATCAAGCTAAAATAAAGGGCTGCATCTACTGAGCGATTTATTTGATTTCTCATTTATTTTAATTCTATTCTAATTTTTTATCACATTTTTTAAATAATTATTTTTCTGATATATCATTTATTTTAAAACTATGTTCAATAATCATAAAACATAATAAATTCCATATTAATTTAGCCACATTGTACTCCATTCTTCTATTCCTATTTTATTTAGAATATCCATGGATAAACTAACAAAACTTTTAAAATATTTGCATCTTTAGGCCAATATAGAGAAATAGATTAAATATTTTAGAAATAAAAATTATTGATCTGAGCAGCAAGCTCGATATTTTTCTATAATAGCCACAAAGCATTAATACCACTTAAATAATCCAAATAAACAAAATCTTTAGTTTATTTTAATCATAAGCATAAATTGCCCCTACAATCTAATAAAGATAATAATCAATTAAGATGGGAAGTGCTTCAAGCAATCATATTATTGATATGTCTATTGATTCAGGCTTAATTAACACCTATAAAATTGGAAAGCAGATCGGGATCGGCAATTTTGGAATTGTTCGAAAGGCTTCACTTTTAAATGATCCATCCCAATCATTTGCAATAAAAACCATCCAAAAATCGAAGATTAAAACCAATAAGGACTATTTATTCCAAGAAATAGAAATCCTCAAGAAAGTGGACCATCCGAATATTATAAAACTTTATGACGTTATTGAAGAACCAGGCTGTTATCACTTAGTAATGGAATTATGCTCAGATGGAGAGCTCTATGACAGGATTTCTGGACAGGGACACCTTGATGAATCAGAAGCAAAACGGCTGGTAAGACAAATTCTTCTGGCTGTAAACCACTTACATTGCAATGGAATCGTTCATCGAGATCTTAAGCCAGAAAATTTTTTATTTGAAGGAAACGAGCTCAAACTTATAGATTTCGGCTTATCAGCATTTTGCACTAAAGGGAAAATGAAAACTATGGTCGGCTCACCTAATTATGTATCTCCTGAAGTGCTGCATAGCAAATATGATACGAAATGTGATATGTGGGCTATTGGAGTGATTACTTATGTTATGCTTTCAGGAAGTTTTCCGTTTTATGGGAGGACAAATAAAGAAATTTTTTCAAAAATAATTCCAGGGGATTATCGATTTTCAGAACCTTCATGGCAAAATGTAACTCCTCAGGCCATAAATTTTATAAGGCAGCTCTTAGTTATTAAACCACAGAAGCGTTTGTCTGCATTTCAAGCGCTGCAGCACCCTTGGCTTCAACAGCCTCCTACAGATTTGATAACTTCCAAGCTATTGATCTCTCTAAAAGAATACAACTCAGCATGCTCTTTTAAAAAAGAAATCCTAAGCCTTTTAGCCCGATACTTGAAATCCGAAGAGATTTCAGATTTAATTCAAATTTTCTTTCAAATAAATAAATCGTGCACTGGGGTCATCACTTTTGATGAATTTTCCAGTTCATTGGAAAAAATAGATTCACGGCTTCTCGATGTGAAGCGGATTGATATTAATTTTAAAATTAAACGTGTATTTTAATATTTACTATAAAAAATAGGACATTTATTTATTTTTAGAATATTTTGAAAAAGCTTAAATTTAAAGAAGGGAAAATGAAATACTCAGATTTCTTAGCCTCGGTTTTGTGCTGTAAAACAATTTTAACAGAAAAAAGACTTAAACAGATTTTTAGGATACTTGATATTGAAAAAAATGGATTTTTAAACGCGGAAAGCTTAATTAAAGTATTTACGAGGTTTGGAAAATCAAAGGAGAAAGGCGACGTGGAAAAAATGATTGAAGATGTGCACCCTTGGGTTGCTGGACAGGTTAATTTCAATGAGTTCAAGAAATGCATCATGCCTCTTTTTCGAAGCAAATCAAGGTGAAGCTGCCAATTCTAATAATTTTAATAATGTGCAATTATTAGATGTCGAAGCTAGAGATTGGGAAGAATTTATAATTCAAACTCAAGATAAGCTCTTATACATAATTTTTTCATTTACTCGCCTTTGATTTTGGGGAAATCTATTATCTCTTAAATCCTTTGTTTTTGATCGGTATGATAATTTTTTGACAGAAACAAGAATTAAACCTTTTATAAATTTTAGTAATTTAAAAATTTTGCATGAGGGAAAATATTTTATTTCTCACTATCTAAAGATTATATAATTTCTTTATTATTGTCTTTTTAAATTCAATGATTAAAATCCATATAATATGAGACAGCTAATAATAAGCTTAGGAGATCATATCACCAAGTATAAGATTGGGCCACTTGTATTGCTTATTTAGATTCGAACGCTTGGAACAGTTTTGGATATAGTTGGATTTAAAATTTCCTCAACTGCCTACTTAGAAAACTGTAAAATTTTACATAGATGTCCGATCTCTGCGCAATATTCCTACTGAAACTCACATCCCAGACCTAGGCAGCGCCAAATTCATTGCTCCAAACACTTCAATAATCGGCGACGTCAAATTTGGAAAGAATTCTTCATTGTGGTATGGCTCAGTCGCTCGTGGAGACATCCAAAAAATCGAAATCGGAGATAATACCATAATCCAAGACCTCGTAACAATAAAAAGAAATGACGGGAAAACAGACCCAATTGTTATAGGGAAGAATGTATTTATAGGACCTGGCTGCAAGATTGGCGGATGCACTCTTCATGATCATAGTTTTATTAGCATGGGGAGCACAATTGAAGATGATTGTGTTGTTGAGAGCTATGGATTTCTAGCTGCTGGAGCTGTTCTTGCAAAAGGCTCAAAGGTACCATCTGGACAAGTTTGGGCAGGAAGCCCAGCTCATTTCTTAACTCTTTTATATTAGTGATAATGCTCAAAGAAGTAATGTAGGTAAAAATTGTTAAAATAATAAAAATTATTTTTTATTTATATGTTAATGCTAATAAGATTACGATTGTTCAAGTTCAGATTCTTGTGGTCTTGGCTTGGATTGACAGCTCTAAATAATGGTAGGTAAAATCGCTTAACAGTCAAACTGTTCATGTCCCCAAGTCTCTTAGGACTTCTTTACCCATGCCAGTCTCAGTGTGGATCAATTTTCTTGACGCCAAAACCTCAACTTCTTCGGTTAAAGGACAGTGGTGCTGCCTCTACTGCCATTTAAAATTTTATTTATATATAATCTAAAGGCAAAGTAAGAGAAGTCACCAATGAAGAAAGAGATGCAATCTACGAACATTTCAACGAAACAAGTCTTAAGCTTAATCTCAAATCACAGATGAATGAAAGCGTATGGTTTGTGCAGTCACAAAGATCGATAAAAGGCTCTTTCACTTTGCAATGCCCACACCTAGGTTTGTTCGAAGAAAGATGACTCGCCAGCAGAATGCTTGAACATCATCTTCTCCTCTAGAAATTGCTAAAGCTACTAGAGTAGTCGAACGAGCATGAGAGAGGCACGCATCCTCCTTACCTTGCTGGAACTTCAGGTTGAGTGGGCGGATTATGGAATTCTGCGACCCTCCTCTGGAGCATTTGAGTACTATATTGATTCAGGAAATACCCAGAGTCTATCTGCTGGTGGGTGCCTGCTCTTAGCGGCTACAGGGAAAGGTCTGATCCCTGGACCTAGGCCGCAAACCTGGTATGGCATTGAATTCCACCTTCATGATCCTGAAGGACATTGCCTGTTAATTCTTTTCAACTCAGGAACTAACTACACCCGTTTTAAATTGGGTTAAATTTTAATTTTTTGGGGTTGGAACAAACATTTTTTTATATCGAAAATTTGATAGTTTAAAAATAATTTTATATTATTAGCTTTAGCTTAATTAATTGGAAAAATTGCAATTAGAATATAATTTAAACAGCTTTTATTAATTTTTCATAAATAATTAAAACTCAAAAATAGCATTAAATTATATTTTTAAAAATCTTAAAAATATTTTTTCAATGAAAAATTTAATATAAATTGGCGGACTTTTGGTTCTAATTTAAAAGGGAGAGTAAATTAAAAACCTACCAGATATATATAGCACATATCCGGCATGAATCTCGACTGGTTTCTCGCCCTTTTCGCCTTGGCCATGAGGCTAAGAAAATTGCGTCAAGAGGTCGGGTACACTTCGGTCACCATTTATCTAATTGTATCGAAGCAAGTCAACTAGCCGAAGTTCATCATGAAGAAGCTGAAAAGTCATTTGAAACTGTTTTCTTACTCCCCCCCTCCGTGAGTGAACAAAAAAATTTTGTTCACTCACGGAGAGGGGTTAATTTTTTTTTTTTTTAAAAAAAATTTATATATAAATTTTATAAAAAATATTTTTTTTCGAAATTAAAAAAAATCTAATTCGCAAAAATTGGAAAGCAAATATTAATTTAATTTATAAAATCTATGTTTTAAAAAGCAATTCGTTTGAAATTAAACAGAATTAGCTCTAGATTTCATTATAATAATTATCATTTATATATCAAATTTTTTTTCCATAAAAATTTTTTCTATTAAAACAATTTTTGTTCACTCATGGAGGGTGGGGTTTTTGGGCAAAAAATAGCGATTTTTCTAATGGTTTTGCTCACTCACTCACGGAGGGGGGGGAGTTAGATGATTGGGAAAAAGATCGCAAATTCCGGAGAAACCACATAGAAACCTTGCTTGACAAGCTGGAAGAGCTAGACATTTCTTCACATGGTCATGATGCCCCAGAAACTGAGTTTATCCACGGCAACCAAAGATGGAACTACAACGAAAGGCAGCAAACTGAAAAAATAAGTGAGAGGAACTGGAAACCTTTCAATGAAGATGGTGCTGTATTTCCAGATGAATGGAAAGTTTATGGAGAAGACATGGACAGATATGAAAGGGCCAAGAAGGTATTTGACGCTCCTCCTCCTGCTTATGAAGCTCCAAATGCTCCTTCAATCCCTAGAGACCAAACCCCATGGACTAGAAGATATTAAATAATCATATCTTAGTCATAAATAATTTATTTCATTTCAGTCCATTTAATTCGTTGCCCGTCTTTAAACTCGCCTTTTCTTTTAGGTCCATTTACATGTCCTACTTCGCCTTGTCCGTGCTGCTTTCCTGCTTTCCATTGACCCGAGTATACTCTACCGTCAGGCCAATAAAAGGCTCCGAAGCCTTCTTTTTTATCATTTACATAACTCCCTACATATTTTCTTCCATCTGGCCATCGTAGTTCTCCTTTTCCATGCATTTTATTAGCTTCCCACTGTCCTTCATATACTCTTTGGTCAGGCCAATGATATCTCCCTAACCCCGAAATTTCATTATTTTTAAAATTTCCTTCATACCATGCCCCATCTGCAAAATTGAGCTTTCCCTTGCCATTTTTCTTCCCATTGCTATAATGTCCTTCATATCTTGCCCCATCAGGCCACATTTCAGTTCCATTCCCATCTTGTTTGTCATCTTTTCATTCCCCAACATATTTTGCGCCATTCTTATTAGTATACTCCCCAAATCCATTGATTTTATCATCTTTTCATTCGCCTTCATATACGTCTTGTTCTATATGTATAAGTCTTCCAAGCCCATGGGCTTTATCATTATATCATTGGCCTTCATATTTAGTTTGGTCAGAGCTTATTTGTGTACCGAGTCCATGACGCTTCCCATCTTTCATCTGGCCTGTATATTTGGAGTCTTCAATTGAGATTTCATCAACTCATTCAACGCCATCTTCTTCTATTGGAAGAATGATAGCTCCGCGGATTTTTAAAACTCCAGGGTCATCATTCATTTTTGGTTTAAGAGAATTGAGCTCTTTTCTAGCAAGGTAGCCTCGGGCTGCTGCTTTGAGGACTGGAGAGGAATTTTTTACAGGAGGAGGCTCGGAATTTTGTACAGGACGAGGCTCAGCGTGAAGGATGGGTTTTTCTGTAACATTTATTTCGATTTCGTCTACTGCTGGCTCTGATATGTTTCGTGCTGAAACTTGTCCAGGTTCTTCTTCAGGCTTGGAATCACAATTGAAAAGAAAAGCAGTGCAGTTTCCCATTTAATATTCAAGGAAAATCTGATATATGAAAGGACGTTAAATAAATAAATGGTCTTTTTAAAATCGTTTAGAATATGTAGGAATAATTGATGGAGGAATTTATAAAGGTTTTAAAAGTTTTTTTTTATGTTAGCAAGGATAAATATCGGCACAGTGCTGAGTACTTGTCTTTTTGTCTTTAAATGCATTTAAAATATATATTTTGAAGCAAAATTTGTCTAATAAATTTTAATCATAAATATCGGCCTAAAAATTTAAAATTTGTAAAATTGTCAAACAGCCCTTTTTATCTCGTTTACAAATCTACTATAATGTTTCAAACTCCTCAAGATTCTAAACACAAACCAAAATACAACTTTTCTGAAACTTCCCAAAAACAGCGAACTTCATGCAGAACTATTTTTAAGTCTAAAAGAATTTCAAAAAAACCTTTTCGAAAGCGATTTTCATTAGAAGATTCAAATGAAGTTATCGAAAAAGACCAAGCCAAAGCAGCGACCACCCCAATTTCATCAAAAATAAACAAAAATATTCCCAGAAGCTCCTTGCCACCAATGAAAAACGTGGATTCAGTATTTACCAAAGTTGGAGAATGCAGCAAATTATCCTTTATAAACACACCTTTTAAAACATATGGCAAAAGAAAAAGAAGCGAAATTGAGACTGTAGAAATAAAAAATGCAAAAAAAGAACTTAGACCAGTCACAAAAATCGTAACGGAGCTCTATGATCCGAAGCTGGAAAGGTCTGATTATTATAAATGCTTGAGAGAAGGAGAAGTTAGCAGTGTGAAGTTGAAGGTTGTAGGCTCAGATTTAGGAATTGATGAAGACTGCTTGACCGATGATGAACAAATTTTAAATTGCAGGCTGCCTTTGTCATCTCAACTCGTTGAAGCTATTTTCAATGTAAATGTTGAGGTTCAATAATTTGGTTAATTGTAAGTATTCTATTGTTTTCGTGGAATGTAATAATTTCTTTATTTTAAAAGAAGTTTTGTTTTATTAGTCTGTTAAATCTTTATAATTAATATTATTATTCTATTTTGATAAAGCTGATGCTGCTCTATGCCGTTTTAATAGGATTTAAGAATTATAGCTACTTCTTGTTGGTTAAAAATAAAATAATTTCAAAGATATTTGGTCTGAAGCTGGGTTTTATATAAAAATTTGCTTTATTTAAATAGACTAAACAATGAAAAACTTTTAAAATCAGTTTCAAAATGCTCCATGAAAATACCAATGAATATTAATAGTGTCCAAAGACTAAAGTCGGCAAATAAATTTAGATTTATCATCTACACATCAACAAAAATATTTCCAAATAATTTTATTTAACATAATTTTGTATAAATTATAGATTATACTCTCTAAATTAAACTCAAATTATTATTTAAAAAATATTTTTTGTTTATAATAAAATAAATTCAATTCCATCATCTAATGCATTTAATTCTTTTCAAAAGTAATATCTTTATAGATAAAAATTTTTTTTAATCACATATATTTTAAACCTATCTGCAAGTGTACAGAACTTGAGCTCTATCTCCATCTTTTGTTGACATATTTTATCCTCTAGTGATTAACGAATTAATTGTTAATGCAGGAAATTAAAATAACTGAAAGTCCAGAACGAACTTCAAGAAGATCAGTAACGCCGCACACCCGGCTTCTATCTTCTGATAATTTTTCATCAACAAATACCAGATCAGAGACCCCATCTCGAAAAAGTTTGGCATCTGAAAGATATCATCAAAGGAGTACAGTTTTTGACGCCACCATTGAGCAATCGTCAATTGACCAAGGTTTTATGACTCCAACCCATGTAACTATAGACTTAAATAGATCTCCTACCAAGCAAAGAATAACAAGGACTTTTTCGTCAACGGTCTTTTTACCTCCAGAGCCAGTAGTTTTAACGGTCAGTCCATATAAGCCTAAAGATCACAGTGTTCATGATTTATTTGGCAGCGAAGAAATAGAATGGCACTCTAAAAGAAACACAATCCCTGGCTATGAGCCTAATTTTCAGCCAAAATACAAAGAAATTAACCCAACGGTCACAAAAAACGAAGACATGTATGGAAAAGCTTCAGAGTCCTGTGTCCCTAAAAGTGAATTGGAAGAAATTCCTCCCTCAAATTTGACTGCAAAAGATGTGTACATTAAAAGGCATCCTTCTGACAGAGAAATGAGCCCTTCAGCTAGGAAGTCTCTTGATATAGTATCCCAAGTTTTCCCACAAGAAAATGAAAGGATTAAGAAAGTAACTATAAAAGAAGAACCACAAAATAATATAAAATCTATAAAAAGAGAAGAACCTCAAAAAAATGCAAAAATAAGAGAATATAACTCACTCACACCAAGGATTATGAGATCAGAAAGATTTGAGGAATCACAAAATACCCCTTGCAGGGTTAGGCTGATTAAAAGACCTCACAAATATGATGAGAACACAGAAATAAATATACCAAAAACTACAAGAGAAAGCCTTGAAGAGCCAAAAGAAGGAATCAAGCCGATTCAAAAGCCTCAGCAAAGCAATGCTCAGTGCCAAGCTATAATCGCTAAGGAGCTCAAAATGAGAGAGTTAAATCTTACAAATATTCCTTACGTAAAAGATGAGCATAAATTTGAAGATTTTGAGCTCACAGGACTATCTCCAAATACAGATGAAAGAAATATCAGAGACCTTTGTAAGGGTGTCCATGTTGTAAATATATACAGGCTTATAATAAATGTAAATATTTTTAATAATAGCTGATTTTGATATATAAATACTAATAAATAAGATTATTCATTATAAATAGCATAACCCCTCGCTACAATAATATCACTGGAGAATGCACTGGCTCAGCAATTTTATCACTAAGATATCAGCCTATGTACAAGTCAATTGAAAATCTCCAATTAAATTGTCTTGAAAAAGGCTTGACCTTATCCCCTTCTAAAAAAGACGTTGGGAAAAAAAATAACTACACAGAGCTATCTACAAGAAAATTTTTAGACAATATTTTGAAGCCTGAAGAAAAAAGAATTATTGATAAATACGCAACTCCGAGGGTGCAGAGACCAGATTTAGTTTCTTCAGATGACGTCTATGGAAGCAGTCCAGGTGTTGGAAGAATCAGTTATTTTACTCCAAAATCGCCTGACAAAATGAGAGCGTCACTGGACTCTTGAAGCAAGGTAAAAAACACTCCTTGCAAAAGCCCAATGAGGTCGACATCCAGAATGAGAACAGCCAACTTTATGAAAAATACAATTTCGTCCTGTAATAAACTGAAAAAGGTGTAAATAACCTAATAATTAATTATTGCAATTTTATCTTTAAGCTTTAGATTAGCTAACTGTCCTAGTAATAAGCAAACTTTGAGGAGTGTTAACAAAATTTTCAATAGCAAATTTTATATGAGGTAATGCCCAAATTTACATTTTCAATTTTTATCTGAAAACCCTCCAAATAAACAAATTTCAAATATATTTTCTAATTGAAAATTTATGTAAAACCCTGAATAATTTGCTTATTATTGGAAAGAGTAAGAAGAATATTTGATCTTGTAGTCTTTTCCACAGTCTGGGTTATCACTCCAGCAATAAAAGTTGTTATTCCACTCTCCTCTAATCTTTTTTAGGTCTCTGGACCATTCAAAATATTCAAAAGGCCTTTCAGCGTGCTTCAGCATTGCAGGGTTAAGCTTGCAGGTTCCTTTTTCGATTGTATAGTAACTAAGGAAAGAAAGCACAGGAAACATAGCTATGGTTACAAGAAAGAAAAACTGGCCTGTGTTTTTCAAAGATGTATCTATCATTCGATACTTGGTGTATGCAAAGTTCAGTCTTCTAAATGGTCCGAGTGTTGGCTGCCACTTCATCAGCTCAGCAGTGTCCATACCTCTTGGATCTGGTCTATATTTCACCATTTTAAAGTTTATTGAGAAGATTTGAGATATTGTCTAAAATTAATTTAATGGGTTTGTCATTGTAAATATTATCAATGGCTAAGTCGAAAAAATACAGTCAGGAGCATATCATCTGAAATCTTTGGCTATTCCTGGGCTAATTCTTTTTATTTATTATGCAATTAGAAATAAAATTAGGAATGCATTTTTCTTTACTCCCCCCCCCCCCCCTCCGTGAGCGAACAAAACCATTAGAAAAATCGCCATTTTTTGACCAAAAACCCACCCTCCGTGAGTAAACAAAATTTTTTTAATAGAAAAAATTTTAATGGAAAAAAAATTTTGATATATAAGTGATAATTAGTATAATGAAATCTAGAGCTAATTCTGTTTAATTTTAAACAAATTGCGTTTTAAAACATAAATTTTGCAAATTAAATTAATATTTGCTTCCCAATTTTTGCAAATTAGGATTTTTTTAAATTTCGAAAAAAATATTTTTTATAAAATTTATATATAAATTTTTTTTAAAGAAAAAAAATTAACCCCCCTCCGTGAGCGAACAAAATTTTTTTGTTCGCTCACGGAGGGGGGGGGGGGGAGTTAGAAAATATTTTTGGATTTTATAGCTAATCGTGCAATTCCATTTATTAGATTTTTTTAATAAATGCTAATCAGTTTATAAGCACTGATATTTATTAAATATATTTTTACACTTTGATCCTATATCAAAGCTGAGCTGTTTGGCGGAGGTGTTGTAAATTGAACTTGATTTCCTAACACTTTTTCTTCTGATTTAGACTTTGTTTCATATATACATAAAATGGCCAGGGATGACACTCCTCCTGTGGGTGTCCTTATTTATGCGGACTGTTTTTGTGCAAGAAGCTGCTCAAGGATTTGTAAGCTTCGAGGCTAGGCCTAGAACTATTCCAGCTGATTAATGACTGAGTGAGCAATTTTTGCATCTTTTTTGCCAGCAACAGGGCTGATTTAGGTGATGAGAAGAGTAGAAGATAAACTTTATTTTATCCCTACTCTAAATTAGGATTGATCTGAATTGCTGAGCAAGTCGTTCTGTCAGATTCTGGATTGCTTGGTTTGCTTGGTCTATGCCAAGATCATTGAAAGCAGTACTTATTAGAGAATTAAGCAAGCCTGACTCATCTTCTTGGCTTTTTTTGGCTTGTTTACATTTTCAGGCTCCACAACTCCTGGGGCCCAAAACTCCCGCAGCTCACACAACTCCCACATCTCCCACAACTCCTAATGAGAGGAGTAGGGTGATTACTTGTTCAAGCTGATGGAGGCCTGTCCCGAAGGTTTAAACTGTTGGGTTCTTCTTGAAGATGATCCAGCGAAAAAGGAAGATGGCTCGATAAAGATCTCAAGGACGAGTCTCTACAATTAAGAAGGACCTGATGAAAAGGCTTTAAGGATTGATCAATATGGGTGAAGTCTCCAGTTGGAAATGGAGGTCGCGGCAAAACCTCATTTGGGCGAATTGATTAGAAAAATATTCTACGAAGAAGTTTGAGGTAAGACAAAGACTCATGCTAAGGCGAAAGCCATCTACATACTGCCACCCCTTAGGATAGTATTTCAGGCTACCATCGCTGAACGGTGCTTTTAGAAACACGGACTATAAACACCCAGGGTTAATCTAATCTAGACTTAGTTTCCTGAATTGTTTTTTTCCTCTCATTTTTTGTTTTTGACTTGCATAATTTCGCCACAATTGCATTTACTTTAAGACTGGTCCTAGTTGGGATTCTTTTAATGTGCAAAAATGAAATAATTTTGCTTAAATCTGGCCTTGGTGTTAAGTCCTCTACATTATTACTTCTAAAATACAGTTCAGAGTTTTCCGCAGTTAACTCAGAAATTCTTTTTTCTAATTCTTCACTTCCGTCATAAGCTTGTTTTAACTTAACTACTAAATTTGTATAAGATGCCATCACATTCTCATATTTGGCTTTTAATTCTTTGTGCTCTTTTTCTAATTTTTGGTACTCAGTGTAGAAATAGTCATAGTCAAGTTCAGTTCTTTTAACTTGCCATTCTAGATCTTTTATATTCCTATATAGGCAAGATAAACAATGATGGAATATATATAATTTCTATAAGAAATAGGATTATTTTTAATAATATAAAAAAATATTTGATATAAACAGCTATAAATTTCTTTTTCATTGCTATTGGTTCTTCTGACTTTTTGGACAGTTATTTCCATATCAGTTGATTTTTTTACATAAAAGTTCAGCTCTTCTTCAATTTTTTTAAACTCAATCAGCAAATTTGCAGTTTCTTTTTCAGAGTCCTCTTTAGCTTTAGTTAAATCAAATATGGTTTTGTTTAATTGGTTAATTAAAGCCTCTTTATCTTCTATTTCTTTCATTAATTTTCCACCTTTATTTGAGCTTATTTCTTTGCTTTTTTCATATTTAATTTTCAGTTTTGAAAATCCATCTGCAAGTGTCTGATAAAGATAAAAATATGGAATTACTTTATCACTATTGGAAATAAGATAAATATTTTTATCGTGGAGATGGTCTAAAATATAAGTATTGATGTCTTCTTTTTCAATAAAAATTGCCCTGTTTAAAAAATCCATAATTATTTTAGCTTCATTTTGATACTTCACTTCATTCCTTACTCCCCCCCCATCCTTGATCGAACGATTGACTGTAAAAAATCCTAAAAATTTGGGAAATTAACCCCCATCCTTGATCGAACGATTTTCATATCATGACAATTTTTATATATATAAAAATATATTAGTTATCAAAAGCTTGGGAAGATGTACATAATGAAGTTGTTTTCAGAGACTTTGAGACGACAAAAAGCTTCGGAATCAACCATTCGAAGTGATTTAATCATCAAACTAGGCTTAAAAACTTAATAATCTAATAAAATAGAGATCTTTAAAATTAAAAAAAAAATTTAATTTAATAAGGAACAAATTAAAATTTATACAGTTTAAAGGGGTAACTAATAAATCAAAATATTAAAAATTGGTATTTTTATGAAATTAATTCAATTTTTGCTGTAAAAATGATTATTAAATACTCTTAACCCTCTTATTTAAAAGTAAATAAAAAAAATATTTATATATATATTTTATTTTATATATAAATTTTTTTTTCCCAAAAAAATGTTTTTTTAACCCCCATCCTTGATCGAACGATGGCGAGTCGTTCGATCAAGGATGGGGGGGGGAGTTAGTAATATTTCAACAGATTTTAATACAGCATTTACCATTTTAAGAGTTATTCTATTTATTTTAAGATTAAGATTAAGATTAAGATTACGCTGGGTATTTAAGGTCCCTACTACGTCCGAGGTCGCATGCCACGGTTTCCCGTGTGGTGGCAGAGCCTTCACCAAGCCCCGGGCCGAAACCCCGGTTTCTCGGTAGAGGCATTGTCAAGGGCCGTCTCATACCGGCTTTGCTGACCACCTCCATTTCCAACTTGGATCGTCGCCTAAGTTTACGCCAACTCCGCTTCGTCGTCCGCCAGATCTGCCCATTGAAGGGCACCTTTTCAACTGGAGAGACCCCCGTTTTGGTGTCTAACTCGCCTCCCCTCTTTTCCGGTCATCCCGAGAAAGAACTCAACAGCTTTCGCCATTCGGGGCGAGCCACTAAAGCAGCTTAGGCAGGTAAGTCGCCCTGCCTCATTTCGGGCACTCACTGGGCTGAGCGCTGCTGCAAAAAGAAGTCACGAATAACTGCCCATGGGTCTGGTCGCAAAAACAGCGGCTCTCGCGCTTAGGCCTCTCGCTTCGAGGTCCCAGACGTTGTTGGGCTAATTCCTGGCTCCAAAAACCATGCCCGGATATACATGGGTAACCACCACTGAGAGGGTGGGTCGGTCGCCATACGCCATTTTATGTATATTATTCTATTTATTTTAATTACAATTTTTTTAATTATACTAATAAAAATGCTTGAATTAATATCAATTATATATCTCTTTTCCAGTCTCTTTATGAAGAGCTTCGATATTAATCATAATATCATTTTTGGCTCTTTCATTGCTTTTCTTCATATATTCTTCATCACGGCTTTCATCATTATTTTTCAGCGAAATTCGGCTTTCTCTATTTTTTAATAGAGCCTGCTTTAATTCATCAAATATCGGCTTTTTCTTAAGAAAATCCATTCTTTCGACAGATTGGCTTCCGTTTAATTTTTTGCGATTTGTCTTAACTCTAGTTAAATCTTGTTTTATTTCCGACAAATTAGAAGCTCTCTGATTAGTTTCAAAGCCACTCGTTAAGTTATTAGGATTGGCTGCAAGATGAATAGCAGGAAAATAAAAGTCTTTTGCTTCCATAATTGTAAAAATGCATAGGGCAATACCTGTTAGCAACAAGATCCTATCCAAAAAATGGGATGAGCATACCAACAAGGTCCACCATGATAAACTAAAAAATATAAGGTCTCAAGTGGATTCTAGCTGTCCAGTTACTTTCGGCCAACTAAAAAGAAAACCGAAAAAGGAACAGTTAGTTGAGGATCGGTATACAGAAATTGAAAGAGAAAATAGAATTTTGCTTGAAAAAATGTCCCAGATCATGCAAGGGAAAGGAAGCAGAAGTGAAAGCAGAAATAAAAAAAGTTTGAACCAAGAAAAAAGGAGAAGAGATTTGGTGCAAATTACCATTGAAAATCATGCAATGCTGAAAAGACTGCAAGATAAGCAGCCTTCTTATAATGTCCATAGGTGGGAAGAAGAAAGAAAGCAAGTAGAAAAAAGACTGCTAAATATTTGTGAATATCCATACAGATTGGGAATTTTTTTTTAATTTTTATTAAAAATGATATAAATTAATTATTTATTATAAATAAAAACATATTGGAGCCACTGAAGATTTAAGAGGGATTAGAAAATTTTCTCAAGATGGCAGAGGTTCTAATATTTCAACAGGAAGCAGACCTGTCATAAGTGCTAATTCCAGAAAAGGCCCAAGAAAGCTTTCTCCACTAAACAAAAAAAACCAAAAAACAGTTGTTTACAAAAAAGGAATCAATATTGGGCCTCGATACTTTTTAGTAGAAATGCAGGTTGGAAGAGGCTCAATATGGATTTTCGCTCATGATGTCGAAAATCCTGAAACTTTCAGCTTAGAGCTACCATACAATGAAGCATTAGAATTGATGGATGGCAAAGAAAATTGGAATATTTTAGCAGCGTCTTTAAGTCTCGAACAGGGAGAATTAGTATTAATTGATACAAGAGATATTGAAGTTCACAGCGGAAGCCAATATTTATTCAGAGAACTAAGTGGCCAAAAATCATTGCATGAGCTCGGAAATACAGCTCAAGTAAAGCCAAGCAGAACTGAAGAAGAATTGCCAAAAGAGCAGTCTTCAAGGTCATCTAACCCTTTTGATAATTCTAAGTCACGATCTTCAAGATCTATAATAAAAGACAGTCTTACTGAGGAGTCAAAATCCAATAAAAAAATATCAAAAGCTGGCCAAGAATTTGATGGGTATAACTCCTATTCATCAGAAGAACAAAATTTTAAAGATGAAAATCAGTTTAGGACTGAAAAAAGTGAAAACCAAGAAAAATCGTCAAAAACTGGCTCAAAAATAAAATTTTCAAGAAAAAACTCATCAAGTGATGAAGGTTCACCTGAAGTCGAAGACAAAGAAATAAACACTTCAAGAGGCCCATATATATCAGCTGGAGAGCGGTCTATTATAAGAGAAAACAGCAAAGGGCGAAGATTTAATTCAGAAATGAGATATGACCCAGGATGGGACCCTACATTTGACGAAAGCAAAGACATGCTTAACAGCCACATTCAGCAAGAATCATTGACGTCTAGAGAAGAGGAAAATTCTTCAATACAAAAATCTTATAATGAAGGAAATGAGAGTGAAGAAGAAAGTGAGGGTGAAGAAGAAAATGGCAGTGAAGTAGAAGAAAGTGGGGAAATAATGGACGAAAATGAACAAGAAGAAAGTGGGTTTGTAGAGGAAAATAAATTTAAAGAAAGCAGCAGAATATCAGAAAGTGCAAAATCATTGAAAAGTAAAACTGAAAAAAATGCTTATTATGATGAGATTGATAAGAGCCCTGATAAAGGAAGTGATGTGTCTGAGGAGAACGAAGCGGAATTATCAAAAAAGCTAGACGAATTGAAAAGCTACTCTTCTAATAGAAGTTCTAATTACTTGAATAAACAAAGTGATACACCATTTAAAGAAAATTCTGAGCAAGAAGAAATTGCTATTGAGCAGCGATCTATTCAGAATAAATCGTCTTCAAGCATTCATTCTCCGCAAGTTAATAAAGAATCGATTTTGAAAGATCAAGAGCAGCCAAGCTATGAAAAGCAGACACCTAAAGACCAAAGTGTTGCAGAGCTAGGTCCAACTCAGCCAGAACACTATTATGAATCAGAGTTATCTTCAATTCCACAGCCATCTAACTTTCCTGAACCCAAGATAAAATTTACTATATTAACTATTTTATCAAAAATTTGACTTAAATAATTTATATATTTGTGAAAGAGGATAGTAATGAAACAGGGTTTATGGAAGAAGAAAAATCAAATCAACAGGTGATCAGTGCTGAAGGCTATATGGGAGAAAATGAAAACAGCAATGAAGAGGACTCAAATGTATCAAATAGCTCACAGCATGAAATCCAAGTCAAAGAGCCTACTAATTTTAGCATGAATCATGAAATAATGTCAGAAAGCTCAAAGGAAACAAACCAAAAATCTCCAGATCAGAACTTAATCCCATTTAACGAGCATGATGTGATACAACACAAGAGCCACTTTGAAGATATAAGCTCTATTCAGCATGAAATGAACCATGAAAGCAGCTCAAACCAAATAATCAGCGGAGAGATATATGTGAATGAAGCTGAAAAAGTTCCAGAAAATCACCATAGCCAAATTATGGACTCTCAAAATGAAATTAATTTTGAGTCTTTAAAAGTGAATGAGCTTCAAATGGAAAATGAAGCTGCAGAAGAATTAAAAGAAAATGAACTCCAAGTAGAAAACGAAGCTGCAGAAGTCTTAAAAGAAAATGAACTCCAAGTAGAAAATGAAGAATCCTTCAAAGAAAATGAACTTGAAATAGAAAATGAAGCCCAGCAGTTCTTAAAGGAAAGTGAGCATCAAGATAGCTTGAAAACAGAAAATGAGCATCATGAAAGCTTGCAAGTGGAAAATGAAGAAATAGCAGAACCTTCAATTGAACATCAGGAGAATTCGCTAAAAGAACCTGAAGAATTAGCAGGGCATCAGGAGAATTTGCAAATTGAAAATGAAGAATCAGCAGAGCTATCAATGGAGCATCAGAAGAATTCGCAAATTGAAAAGGAAGAATTAGCAGAGCTATCAATGGTTCATCAGGAGAATTTGCAAATTGAAAATGGAGAGCTAGCAGAATCTTCAATGAAAGGCCAGGAAAGTTTTCAAATGGAAAATGAAAGATTAGCAGAGCCTTCAATGGAGCATCAAGAGAATTTGCAGATTGAAAACGAAGTTGAATTTGAGCCTCTGCAAGAAAAACCCAATCAGGAAAGTTTCCAAATGGAAAACGAAGTATACGAGGAGTCTTCAAAACAAATTAACCATTTCTATTCTCCAAAACTAGAAAAGCCAGAAGAGCAGCACAGCCAAAATGGAAAAATGACCCAACAAGAGCTTGAGCCTTCCCTACAAAATATTTCTCAAAATGAAGCCAATTTAATCAACTTACTCGGCGAGCCTAAACCTCACCAAGAGCTAAATTCAAGCTTGCTTAATGAATCTTTTGAGCGCTCTGAAGCCACCCCTATCCTCAAAAATCCTGAAACAAATGAATCAGACTTCGAGATCAATGCCGAAGTCAATATGATTGCAGAGCACAAAAAGAAATCCGGCTACGTCGACTCTGTGCTGCCTCCTGAGCATCCAAGCCATTTATTAAGTGCCAACACCATTCTCGGATCCCCTATAAATAGAGAAGTCGGCATTTCTACTCAACTAATGATGGCTTCAGACTACGAAAACCTCGAAAACATCGCAGAAGAGCCTGAAAACTTATTAGTAGGCCAAAGCCTGCACCCTGAAAACTTTGAAATTTCAAATGAAGCAATTGCTGATAAATCCCATGAGGAAGATAAATTAACCTAAAAGAAATTTTATTCTCCTTCAGCCAATAAAGCTTGAAATGACGGCTGCAGTGACAATTTGACCCTATTTGCAGTTTCTATTAGTTTCCCTATTTCTCCTTGGCCTTGTATGCAGAGACACATCATTCCGAGGCTTGTTGCGATAATTCTTCCAGCTTCTGCTTCAATAATCATTAAATTTAATTCGTCTTCTTCTGCTTGGCCTCCAGCTTCGCTTGATGGGGCGTTTGCTTCGTAATCACACCAAATAGTTGACGCGATTGCTCCTGAAGTTTTTACATTATCTTGGTCATTTGCGGAGGCTAATAAGGCTCCTTCTTTGTTAACTAACTCCCCCCCCCTTTAAATTGAAACAGAATATAGGTAAAATTCCTACTTTTTTTGGAAATTACCCCCTTTAAAATTGAAACAAAATTTTATTATAATAGAAAATTTTATAGGTAAAAATCATTATTTTATATGTAAATACGTTAATACCCTATTTAATATGCTTCAAACATATAAGATTTAGAAATTAAACTCTATTTTGTCCAATTGTTATGGGGAGAGTTTAGAAGAATACCATTTCAGCAAGTTTACACTTTGAGATTGAGAAATTTTTATGAATTAATTTTTCATGAAATTCTTTAAATTTATATAAATTATATTTCTATAAAATTTTATCTCTGAAAAAATTTTTATATATAAATTTTTTTTATAAAAAAATTTTCTTAACCCCCCTTTAAATTGAAACAAAATTTTTTGTTTCAATTTAAAGGGGGGGGGGAGTAAGCTGAATAATAGTTACAAAATGTTATCAACTCCTTGACTTAAAGCGTTTTGAAGGGTTTGGGTAAGAGCCTTTGCGTTAAGCATGTTGATTTTTATTATAATTACAATGGAAGGAGGTTATATGGCAAAGTCAGAACGCTTGAAGCTAGCTCAAGAAGTGAGGAATACCCATTTTTCAATGGGTAACAGAGGCCCAGATTTTAATTCAACTTCTCATGAAAGCTATCCTAAATTGCCTTAAAGACAAAATATTTTTTTTAATTAGAATAATTTTTTATTTTTGGAATCATTTGAAATGAAATCCTTATTTAATTTATTTAATAATTACAAGAAATATGCAAAATTAGTGAAAGGTTTTTATTTAAGATAGCTATTAAACGCATAATAATTATTAAAATAAATATTTAAAATGCAAAATCCAAAATAAATATATGCTCCCTCCCTCATTTATTAGGAGAGGTAAGCAAAATTTTGAAATAAGTAAAGTGGATAAAAACCATGTCAAAGACATAAAAAGTTCACATTTTCAGTTAGGAGATGCTTTGCACCCTGGAGTTATGAAAACAGAAACTAAAGATAACTACAAACATTTTCAAAATGTAGATAGCGTCGATGTAAAAGCGATCAAAGACGTGCTCAGTAATTCTCATTTTACACTAGGAAACAACCCATCTATTTTTGCAACTACTTCATCTATGTATAAGCAGTACCCAAAAGATAATGGAGATCGGAATATTCAAAGAGCGGAAAGTGAAAAGCAGCTGAGGCAGCACAATTTTAAGTTCGGCACAGACAGTGAAACTAAAGAGTCAATTTTCAGGTCTGATTATTCACCTAAATCTGTCAGCAAAATAAGTGATTCAAACTTATCTTCGCTAAAAAAAGAACTCAGGGCTTCCCATTTTCAGGTAGGCTCTAATGAAACTTCTTATCTAAGCACAGCCCAAAAAGACTTTGGGCCTAAACCCCGATGCAAGTCTGAAATAAGCAAAGGTATCAGCAACGACCAAAAAAAAGAACATTTTCAATTAGGGGTCGAAAAATATGGACTTTCCTCTACCTCACAGCTTTACTTTAACCACAAAGAAGCCCCAAAACAAACTTTAAATCAAGAAAATCTTCAAGATTTAAGAGTCCACCATTTTTCATTAGGAAACGAAAAACCATTATATTCTGTCACTTCTCATTCTACATTTAAGGCAAAAGACCTAAATGAGTTAACTGGCTCTCAAAGTTTGGCGTATTTGAAAAAAGACCATATGAAATTTGGCAATGATCCTTTGGTTATATAATGCTTGATCTGCACTTTTTGATAGTCATGTGGTAACAATTTTACAATAAAAATTTTCTAAAAAAATCATGCACCAGATCCTTCTCATTTTAAAACTGTTTATAATTCAACCCATTATGAGCTTCCGCCTGATGAAAAAAATATAGCAAGAGATAGACTTTCTGATTGCCAGTCACATATAAATCTTGGTTCTGACCCTGTTGTAGCACAAAGTATCAATAAATTGACTTTTCAGCCTAATTATGGAGCATCCCCTGGAAATTTAGACCCAAAATTAGCAAAAGAGCTGAGGAGTCACCATTTCCATTTAGGAATTGATAAAGATATATTTAAAACTACGTCAAGCCTGTATGGGATTGGAAAAGGAGAGCATGCTAGGATTGATAAAGATAAAGTCAGCGACCTAAGGCAAGCTCATTTTGCCTATGGGTCAGATGCGCCTCAATTTGTATCAACCACTATGAAAGATTATAAAGCAAGTCCGCAGAAAAATTCAATTTTGCATAAGAACTTACTCCCCCCCCATCCTTGATCGAACGACTCGCCATCGTTTGATCAAGGATGGGGGTTAAAAAAAATTTTATATACAAAATAAAAAATATATATATATATGTTTTTTTTATTTACTTTTAAATAAGAGGGTTAAGAGTATTTAATAATTACTTTTACAGATAAAAATTGAATTAATTTCATAAAAATACCAATTTTTAATATTTTGATTTATTAGTTTACCCCTTTAAACTGTATAAAATTTTAATTAGTTCCTTATTAAATTTTGCTAAAAGGTCAGCTGGTCTCCCTTTGTGGCGGCCAAACGGAAGGTCGCCGGGGGTGTTTGCTTCCATGGGGAAGGGCTTGCTGCCGGAGAAAACTGCTAGTGGTGGCTCTTTGGGGTTGTTGGTCTTTTGGGGGTCGGAGTTGTGGGAGTCGTGGGGGCTCAGGTGAAGGGGAGTTGTGGGATTTCTTCTTTTTTTGGGGAGTTGCGCGATTCTGACGTTCTGATGTTGTGATTGAGGATCTTCTGATGTTGGAGGAATTGAAGGAGAGGAGGATTTTCTGATTGTGGGGGAGTTGCTGGAGTTCTGTGTTGGGGAGTTTGGCTTGATCGCTTTAACGTAGGATAGGATAATAGAACACTTTTTCTTCTTATTAAATTAAATACTTTTTTTTAAATTTTAAAGAATCTCTATTTTATTAGATTATTAAGTTTTTAAGCATGGGTTGATGACTAAATCACTTCGGATGGTTGATTCCAAAGCTTTTTGTCGTCTCAAAGTCTCTGAAAACAACTTCATTAGATACATCTTCCCAAGCTTTTGATAACTAATATATTTTTATATATATAAAAATTTGCATGATATGAAAATCGTTCGATCAAGGATGGGGGTTAATTTCCCCAATTTCTAGGAATTTTTACAGTCAATCGTTCGATCAAGGATGGGGGGGGAGTTAGCAAAACAATTAGGAGACCATAATTTTGTTATGGGAGAAGAATCTGGGGATTGGAACACAATTCATAAAAGCTCGTTTAAATGGATAAAGCCGGTGCCGAGTGTGAAATTTCATCAATGATAATTTAAGTAAAAGTTGAAATAAATTGTTGCACTATGAGAATTAATTTAAAAGCCTGCGAGTTATGTGATAAGAAATATATAGTTGATTGTAAGAATTATTTAAAACCTCTTCCAAGAAAAAGCTCACGTCTGGAGTTCTATGGTTATTATATTTAAAAATTATTTTGTTTGTCATAAGCTTTAAATAGTTCATACAATTGATAAGAGCTAGCATAAAATATGTCTGGGCCGTTTTCTGCACTTGTAAGCGACGCTATTTCTGCATTAGAATTAAACCCCACTGATTCTCGAACTGTCTCAAAAGTAGACATCCAAAGAATTGCAGATTTAATTGGAAAAGAAATAAATGACGAAGCAATTGAAGACTGCTTGCAATATCTCTACTCTAAAAAAAGCATTGGGTCTGGATTTAAGTCTAAATACTTAATAAACTGGTTCGCAAAACACTACGGTGAAATTTCCTCCTCACAAAGCCCAGTTTCTTATCAGTTCCAAGACAGACAATCCCAAGTCCACAAATCAGTTACCAACCGATCTCCAAAAGTGCCTCAAAACAACACAGGAAATCCCGTTAAAGACGCTTGCAACAATTTAATCCAATACCTTGAAAGCCTAGAAGACCCTGACTCTTCCTTTATTGCTGATGACCAAAATATAAAAAAGTTGATAACAGAATGCTTGACACAATTTGAAAGAAAACCAAAGGCCAGGCAAGCTTTGCAAAAGGCTTATGAGCTAGTAGAAGAAAATTATAGAAGTGAGCAAGCTAAAAAAGGAGAAGAATTTTCAAACTTGTCAAAAATAAGGCTGCAGACAACTAAAAATAATAGAGTTTCGAAGCTACAGAAGGATGTTGATTTTTTGATGAAAAATCAACCGAATTCAAATATTGGGTCGGGGATTTATTTTTTGCTGAGCCCTGATTGGAATGCTAAACCGAAGCCTCCAACTTCGCTATTGAGGCCAGCACATAATAAAAGGTTAAAAGAGCTTCTTCAGGAGCCATAGTTGTGATCTTTTAAATATTATAATATTGAATTTTATTATATGTCTGCAAGATTGCTATAATTGCAAGGCTTGATGCAAAATATGCATTGTAATTGTAGTGCTTTAGAACTTAAATTATAAATAATCCATTTTAAGTATGATATATTATATGTTGCTCGAAATTCTGATTGGCTTCCACAAGCCAAAATGGATTTTAATTTTAAAAATCCTAAAATTCCATGTGGAAATCATTTTTTGCTCATGAGGTCCAATAAAAAATTTAACAACTCTTTATATAAAATAAACAACAGCTCAAAAATTCCTATTTTAGGAAAATTTGGAGATTGCTGGAGAACTTCATTTTCATAATAAGATAATATTTAAATGATATTAATTAATTGAACGCTTAATTAGTCCATAAGCTAAAAGCGTTCTTTCTTGAATAATATCATGATAAATCAGCTGAGTAAAATGCCTTTTATAGAATGCCTCGCAGCCAGTTACAAGCTCTAATAGTTTTCATGATACTGCCAATAAACCGGCTTTATCCTTGCTTAGTTCTATATCGTGAAATTTTTTATCAATTAATTCAATCATTTCGAATCGTACAATAGAGTGGAGAAGCAAATCACATAAATAATTTTTTTTCACAATCTTGGTTGTATACAAGGAGTTGTTTTAATTTATCCAAAGCTTTATTCTAATTATTCCATTGTATATGGGAAATCATATTTAAGCACTTTCACTGACCTAATTTCATTTTTTCCTATTATAAAGACCCATCATTTATTTTCCGTGTCCATCAACATTAAATTTAACGGATAAATGGTTAAGGTATAGCCCGATCCATACTTTGGATCGGGCTTGTCTGATATCTTCTGACGCCATATAGGGAGTTGACTTTGCCAGAAACGTTGGTTTTTCAACTCCCCATCTGGTGTATGAGATCTCAGAAAAGCCTGATCCAAAGCAGGGATCAAGCTATACACCTTAAGCTAAAAAGTAGTCAAAATTCAATAGTAGTTTGCAAGGATAATCTTACAGTCCCATAATTAATCGAACGATAAGCCGTCATCGATTAATAATTTCTTTAAAAAAATTATTTTCTATATTGACATAGCGGTAAGGGGTGCAATACATTATCAAATATGCTTAGAATTTGGCACAAGAATGATTATGCCGTTATATTCTAATATAAATTATTATATATGCTAAAACAATAGACTTTAGGCGAAATAGGGAGTGAGTCCAGCTTAGCAATATGAAAATCTTTTGATCATGGATGGGATTAATTTTCCCATTTTTTACAGAATTGTTTGATCAAGGATAGGAACAATAGTAAAAAGCGAAGATCATGAACAATTCAAGAAGACGAAGCAATAAAAGACCTTGTGCATCAAATAGGCACCCAACAATGGGCTATAGTAGCTGATCGTCTAAACTCAATGTTCGATCTTCCTGGCAGAACAGGCAAACAGTGCCGAGAGCGCTGGCACAACCACTTAAATCCATGTGTAAACAAACAAGCCTGAAGCCTAGACGAAGAATTTTTGCTTTTTCAATCCCATCTCTCCCTAGGGAATAAGTGGGCTGAAATTTCAAAATTATTACCTGGAAGAACTGACAATTCAATTAAAAATCATTTCTACTCCTCATTAAAAAGACAATACAGGAAGTTAAATGGAATGGACGGGACCAGAGAAGAATTAAAACAATGTGACGAGTTTTTAACGAGCTGCATTGTATCGTCCATTTTAAAAAGAATTAAACAAAAGCAAAATAAAATACATGAAGTTGAAGCTGAGGATAATTTAGCATCAGCCTCAACAACAGAGTATGGGAATTTTACACCTATAGGTGAAGATTTTGACTTAATTGATTATGCAAATTATGAAAATCAGTTTTGTCAGGAAGAAGAGATGTATGAGGAAGCTTGGGACTTTAAGGATGAAATGCTTATGATGCCATTTGAAATTTTTGAAAACTAATTAATTTAAATGTAATTTGAATTTTTATATACGTTATTTACCTACTCGTTAATGGGATACGGCTTTTTGCCCTGAGTTTTTCTATTTCTTTAGCTTTATTGGCATCGAGCTCACTAATAGTGATCTCGATTTCTTTATTCATGTTTTTCTTCATCTCATCGATAACAAGCTTTATGATTTCATTATTACCCATTTCATTTGTTTCAGAAATCTGCATTGCGTAGGTATCTTTAATATTTTGCACTCTTTTAAGTCTTTCCATTATGTATTTTTCCATGATTTTTTCAAGGCTCTCTTCGAACTCCCTTAAATCATCCATATTTGGTATCCCTCCACAGATATCACTTTCATAAAATAAATCAATACTTCCAGCCCTACTTCTAATTTTATCTCTCCTTTCTTTAACCTTAGTTTCAAGCATATCATCTTGTTTTTTTAAATTTTCTTGTATCAGAACTTTAGAATTTAAAGATTCATTGGTATGCTCTTTCATAGCATTTTCGACCCCTCGAAGTTCTGTTAATGTCATAGAATGGCCTGTAAAAGTCCTGATAAGCGGATTTTTCCTTTTTTTTGGCTCATTTGTATACTGAAGAATATTTTTTACATCTTTTCGAAGTAGCAGGTTCTGCAGTCTTTTTGAGTATGCTTTGTATCTCATATCTTTGATAGACTCATAATATTCGATAGCTTTCTAAATATTTCTTACAGAATAATAAGTTACGATAGAATTTACGGTCTCTATGTCACAGCTGTTGTCAATTTTCAGTTCAAGTTCTATAATCTCCTCTGCAAAATTTGGGGGTAAATTTTCTTTAACTGAAAAAATTGTTCGTTTTCTAGTCGTCATATTTAAATATGTGACAGTTAATTTTATGGAAAATATAGTTTCTTTAGCCAGAGATGAGAAAACTTGAATTTTTATTGGAGAAATTTGAGATAGTTTATCCTCTTTAATTGTACAATTTTTTAATTCTTTTTTTGAGAAAAACAATCCGTATCTATAATTCATACAAAAGTAAACTAAAATCATCCACAATTAAAAATAGATACTCACTATAATTGCTATAGATATTTCCGCTATTTTTCTAAATTTTTCTCAGCTTTTCTCTTAATTCACATTAATTATATCCCATCTCAAATAATCAGCATTTTATCATAAATATTTTTAATTATATCTACTTTTTATAAGTTAGTATATTCTAATATTTAATTATTCTCTAATCAATTTTTGAAATAAATTCAATCCATTAAACTGATGCTCTTTTTTTAAGCTTCCTCTCATTGGGCTTCAACGCTACAGGATGAAATGGCACTTCAGGGTTAAATCTCTTCCTATACTCCGTATCTCTCATATTCCCATGCATTTCTTTTACAGGTAGCCACCCATGTCCATCAAAAAGTGTCGAATTTTGCACAAACCCTGAAGCTTGAGTTGATGGTCTCTTTGAGCATTCCGTATTTTTCCAGAACCCAGAATTTGTCGACCTATAGAGCCTTGGTCTTTCTTTTTCTTGATTCAGAAAAGTGGACCTATAAGTAGTGTCCCAATGATGATTCGCTACATTTGGATGCTCTTTAGGAATAGTTGCTTGGCCATGGAAATGGGAAACTCTATGATACTCATCGTCAAGCCCTCCTCCAAATTTATATAAAGTTCTGCCTATTGAGGTAGTCGTGAAGGGGCGATTTGGAAAATACTGTGTAACTCTTTCAGGAAGGTACTTTTCTCTTGTCAATTGTTCACGGGATACACGTGCGAAGGTCTTGGCAAAGTTGTTATCAGAGACTGCTCCTGGGATGTAACCTGCATAGCCAGGGTTTGCAGTTGTTTTGGGAGATAATGGATGCTTTTGAGACATATCGACATAGCTTGTGCGATAGTGATTGTTGTCGGTTCAGGCTCCGAAGTCAGATTGGTGGACGTCAATTTTTTGCTTTGGAAGGTCTTTAAGAGACTGAGTTTTGTAAGGAGTGTTCAAATTTCCTAGCATGCTGTTATTTTTCTATTTATAACCATTAATGAGTTCAAACTTGAGATAGAAAAATTTTGCTCCGCTCAGAAAGTAAAGAGAGACTAAATGATTTGTTATTTGTACGGATTTTAATTTTAGAAGAAAACCTCCTAAACAAAAAATAAACTGTTTTACTATTTAGGGGTTCCAAGCAGAATCTGCTAAGGAAATTTTTGAAGGAAATTTTTTAAAAAAGTTTAGAGGTTATTATAGATAATTTATATCTCAAATAATATAATAGAAAATAATTATGCAAGCCAATATCACAATGCTTCAAATATTTTGTGAAATTTAAAATTTTAATATTTGGAATTTTCTATAAATATTATATTTTTCTAAAGCATCATAATAAATTTATAAAATTAATTCAATTTTTGCCTCCAAATTTGCTTATTTCATATTTCAATCGTTTGAATAGTTCAAAGGATTCTTACACCATAACGCTTTTAAAATTCTATAAACATTTTTACATTAAAAAATATCAATTTAAAAAAAAAATTAAAAGGAGAATTAGATTAAATTCATTTACAATAAAAATGGTATGGACACTTCTTCTTTTTATTTGCTCGTTGTCCCTATCAAATGCAGGAACCCGCAAAATAAGTGATGTTTACTTACTATTACCACAAACGCTTCATGCTCCAAACGCTAGACATGTCCATTACAAAATCCAAGCTTACGAAGGATGTTATCGCTGGAGCACGGCCAATCCAAAAGTAGTCGCCCTTACAGAAATTCCTGGTGGAATATTACCAATGAACTCAGAAGGTTCAGATACAAACCTTATGCGAGATTCTTATGGGAAAAATTGCTACCCAGAATCAGTGTTAGAACCTGTGGCTACTGTAGATCGCCCGCCAGTCACTCTCGTTACTGCAGCTGATCAATGTAAGATTTTATATAGTAAATAATGGCCAGATCCTCAAATGTGAGGTCAAGGTAGAAAAAATTGTTCGCTTACCCGTCCAGGTTAATAATAAACATAAGATCGTGAATATTAAAATTCATATTTAGCCTATCTGCTTTAATTTTAGGATATAAATATATTAGGAAAAAACCCCAAATTTTTTATGATATAATTTATTTAAATAATATTCAAATCATTTTTAAAGCAATAAAATAAATTTGCTTAAATAGCTTGCTCATTATTAATAGAATAGTTAGAGATTTTGACCACAGTCAAAAGTTTCAGAGTCCAAGATCATCAGCGACTATTAGCACAAGCCTATGATGCCGAAGGCAACGTGTTCTCCAGCTTAGAAGGGCTTCGCTTCAGATGGCAGATAGTCTCAGGCTCTGACGCTATGGGAATTCCACGGCTTAAAGACTCTTTAGTCACTTCAAGCGAAGTCAGACGCGAAATCGAGAACTCAAACTACCAAAGTGACATCATTCTTGTCGAAGGCAAGTCTACTGGCATTGCAAACATCACCCTCAAGATTGAGGAGCCTGGCTACGAAGACATCCCAGTGGCTTGGACCATTATTTCTATCTCTGAGCCATTCACAATAATCCCTTCAACTGAAATCATCGTCCCAGTCAGATCATTTGTTAAATACAGAATTTTCAAGGTGTTCGAAGGGAAACTCTACAAAGAAATCGACCTGCCAAGCAAAGAATTCAAGTGGTCGACGCCTTTTGCTAAGCTTTTAGAAGTAAAAGACTCAGGCGAGCTTTTCACATTAGACGAAAAAGGGATTGGACATATAGTGGTTCACGACACCAAAATAGAAAGCAACACCCTTCAATGCGAAGTCAACGTGGTAGCCCCTGACAGGATGGTTATCATTGTAGAGCCTTATAAAGCTGAAAGCCCACCTAAACGAAGCTACAATGCAGAAGAATTTTTAGAGCTTTCTAACCCTAAAGAGTCTCCAAAATCTAACTGGAATTTAATTTCAGGTCAAACTTATTCATTAAAAATCAAGCTTTTTTGGAGGAATAAAGAAATTTTGATACCAGAAAACGCGAATTTCAAGGTCACTTTTCAGCAGCCGGAATTTTGGGATGTTACTTCAAAATCTCAGAATGGGGACCATTTGGTGGTGATACCTAAGCTAGCCCCAGACTATGTGAATAATATTTTGCCTACCAAAATCTATGGGAAGCTGGAAGTAGTTAAAAGCAGAAATTCCAAGCTTCAAGACTGGATCCCAGACCCAGCTATTACTGATACAGAAGATGTGACAATTTTGAAGCCTGTCAAAATTATTGAAGAAAGAAGACCTGTCTTGCTTCCTTATTTCGCAGTCCTTACCCAAGCACCAGACAGAAAAGGACATCTCGCACAAGAATATAAGCTAAAAGTCCAAGGTGGCTCTCCTTCTTTACAATGGGAAACCAGCGACTCCTCAGTTGCCTCAGTCACTCCAAATGGCATTGTGTATGCCCACAGACTAGGAAATACTATTATATCAGTAATAGACGCCAGCAATAATAATAACAGAGACTCTATCTCAATAGAAGTCGCAATGGTCGAAAAATTGATTTTTAAAGACGACAGAAAAGAAATCATAAAAGACCACTCTGAGGTCTCTGAAATTGTAGGACTCGCCTCACAGAGCCGAAAATTCCATAACTGCTCATCAATTTACTTAGACTGGGAAGTCAGAAAAGGCCAAGATATAGTAAAAGTACTTGAAAAAGGCACAGTCACAGAAAATAAAAGATTTGATGGAGTTTGTGAAGTAAGAGGACTAGGCGGGGCAAGTGAAGGCCAAGCGCTATTAAGTGTAAAATTGATACATCAAGCAACCGAAATCAGCTCAAAACAGCCAGAAATAAGGCTTAGCTCAGAAGAAGGGAGAATTGGAGTTTTCCTTCCATTGTCATTAGGAATTCAAGAAAAAGTGGAGGTTTCTGGGAATAATATTACAAGGACGTTTATTTATGAAAAAAATGCCATTGTGCTGACACCTGGGTCGAGTGCAGCAATTCCACTTGTAGGAGGTCCTTTGCCATGGGACGATTTCCCACAATATTTCCATGAGCAAGCAACTGATGAGCAGCGATATCTAAATATTCAAATCCAAAGCAAAAAGCTGCCTAGAGACAGAAGAACATTATACGTAGCCTGTCCTGCAGGAGTAAAAAACAAAGATTTCTCAGTCCAAATATCAGTTTACAATGAAAAATTTGAAGAACTAAGAGCTCCTGGTCTCTCCACACTAAGCTTAGCAATTGGCTGCTACCTACCTAACGCTATGACCCTGAATTGGCTTAATGACAAAGACTACCTTTCAGACCTAAAATGGAAAGCTCTGCCTACTTACTATGACAGATTCAATAGAAAGCTTCCTTCAGCCTTCTCTGAAGGCTACTGGGTGATCCTTCACAACCAAGAACTTAAAGTAAACCTAACTCTCTGGGACAATAAATCCCGCCTGTTCTACAACTTCTCAAGCTCCAATTTAGAATGGAGTTCTGACAAGCCAGAACTGATTTCTTACCTTAACTACGAAAACCCAATCCACCAAAAAGCTACTTTAATTGGTATTGATGAAGGCCCAGTCACTTTAGAAGCAAGGATAAATAAACTGCAAGACGGGACTGTTCTTTATCCATCAGTCTCAGCAAACCTACACAATGAAGTTGTGAAAAACGTCGAAATCTCACCAAATTCGTACTCTTTGTACCTCCACAAGCAAAATGTGCTAGAGCTGTATATCAATTATGGCTCTGGACTATTTGAAATTTCTAGCAATTCTTCTGATATTATCCAATACGCCTATGACGGGTATCGAAAAATCTCAGTATTCCCTAAGCGCTCAGGCAGGGTCAGTATAAGAGTAGACGACAAAGGACTTCCAGGCTCCCTCCCTGCATTTTCCAATATTCTTGTATCAGGCTTAGCAGCAATGGAGCTTAAAGAAGGCGGATTAATCCAAGTAAACTCCACAATTGTGCTTCAGTTAACTGCTTTAGACTCAGAAGGCCGCCCATTTAACTTAAACGAGCACAAATGGATGAATTTAGAGCTCCAATTTGGCTCAAGTGACGCATTTAAAGTGATCAGTGTTTCTGACAATTTCTATGAATGGGTGCTCAAAGGAGTCGTTGTAGGGGATTTCCAAGTCTACGCATATGGTAACAAAATGAAGATTGGTGACGATACGTCTACACAAAGGAGTAATATTGTCCTTATTGACGTATTTCCACCGTTAGAGATAATCCCACCTGATGTACTTTTATTGCCTGGGTCAAAATATACATTAAATTACAGAGGTGGCCCTGACCCTTCAAAGTATACATTTTACCAAATTTATTTGAACTGGATCATGACTGACGATAAAGTCGCTATTATTGACTCTACTACAGGTCTTTTAACCACGCTAAAAGTAGGAGAAACACCTATTAATTTACAAATGCTGAGGAAACGAGAAGTCCTTACCCAAGCTTTTGGAAGAATCAGAGTAAAACTTGCTACAAGTGTAGGGATTTTAGGTATGGGACCTGGAAGATCAGTCTTAAAAGACAGCGCCACAAGGCTAGTAGCTGTAATATACCATAATGGCGAAACTTTTACAGATGGGAACACCAATATTGACTATACTTGGAAAAGCAACAGCCCAACTGTATACTCTATTTTCCAAGAAGGTGACGACATCGGCAAACAAATAGCAGTAACTGGCTTAGCCTTAGCAGGTGGTAAAAGTGATATCACCTTACACGTAGAAATCCACTACCCTGCTGAGTACAAGGGAAATGAACATCTTTTTAACTCAAAAGTGACGGCCTCAGTCGACCAAAGCTTGATCTCCCAAACTCCATCTCACCGTTGTATATCTTATTTATCCTATGACTGTCAAGAAGAGTTTTCTAGGTGGATGGACTCAACCATTTTCCTTATGCCAATCTATTCTCAGTTTAAGCTGCCTTCTAATAAAGAAGACAAAGCTACATTTAGGTGCCTTGAGTGCAGAGAAGAGCTCATAAAAGTATCTGACCAAGGAGTAGTCACAGCTGGGTCACAGAAAGGAGAAGCCAGCATTATTATCCACCATGCCAGGGTTAAAGGCGATTTTCACCCAGTCAATATTGCAGTCACTGATATTGAGTCCATTTTGATAGACAAAGCTTATTTGTCAAGGTCAATGGCACTTGGCTCTGAGCTAGAGTTTAGTGTGATTTGTCAAGATCTTATGGCAAGGAGCTTCCCAGCTGGATTTGAATATGGGGTCGATATTGGCTTAGAGGTGTCAAATTCAAGGGTGGTGCAGGCATCATTAGAAAATAGAAATTCCACACTGAAAATTAGGTCACAGTATGTAGGAGATACCCTTGTGAAGGTTTTCTTGAATAGCAACCCATTAGTGAAAGATATCATTTTGGTATCTGTAAGCTCAGTTATGAGACCTGTCGCCCCTGTTTTGTTACATTTAGGAGGAGAAGTGCAGTTCCAGACAACTCACTCGACACCTGCAGGAGTTGAAGGCAGCTGGAGTGTAGAAAATCCTAACATTGTGTCTGTTGACAGCCGCGGCTATGTCAAATCTTTACAAGAAGGAGAAACCTACATCCACTACAAAGAAAAAAGCATGGACCTCAAAAGCCTAGTCGTCGTCAGCAAGATCAAAGCTATAAATCTCGCCCCTGGTGCTCCTTCCCACATCACGAACTATGAAAAGCACCCCCACTACCAAGAAAACTACAAAATTCCTCTAAAACTCTATCTAGACTCAGAAAAAACAAAAGAATTAGCTCCTACAAGAGACGAAGACAAAAAATTAATAAAACAAAACATCAGCATGAGATGTATAACTCCCAGTCACTCTGAATGGGTAACCGTTAGCAGTGCAGAAGACAAAACTAGCCGATCTGAAGAGCCAAATAGCTACTCTTGTATTATTACTCCTATACAAAATCCTGCATCTATTTCTATCCCTCCAAAGGAAATTGCAATAAAAGTCATTTTCAGTGCTAAAGATAAATCACTTTATACTCAGGAAGCCACTGTATATCTTCCATTTATATCAAAATTTGTCATCCCTACGTCAGATAAACAAGTTATCTTGTCAGGGAGGGTTACCAAACATGTGGTACAAATAGGTGGAAACTGCCAGACGATACAGGCGAATTCTGATTTGTCGTTAATTACTGTTCAAAAGTCAGAAGTCAGCGGAAAATGCCAGCTGGAAATTGGGATTATGGGTGCGGATACTGATATGAGGCAAAGGAAAGTGGAGGTTATTGATAGTGTCACAGGGCAAAAAGAAGATATTTATGTGACTTATTATGTGGAAGCTGGAAAAATTGATACTTCAGCGCCTTTTAGCTTGCATGATTTGCTAGTTATAGTGGCTTTAGCATTTTTAGTTTACATTCTTTATTATTTCTTCAAGAGTTCGCCACCTGGACATACACCGGTGAGGATCCCACAAGCTCAGTCTGGAATGCATCAGCCAAGAGCTCCACAAGCACATTTATTCCCACAGCCTATGAGGCAAACTCCAAATATATCTGCAGGACCTGCTTCATCACCTGGATCATCAGCTTATAAACAAACAGCGTATAGGCCAAACTATTAGGTAAATTAGAATAAAATTTAATTCTTTGGTAATAATCTTGGCTTCTAAAATTTTTTATAATTTTATAGGATTATAAAGCGATAAAAATTTAAAATTATTTTTACTTTAAACAAAAAAGCCAAAAAAATCTTTTCTTGATAATTCTAAAATAATAAGTTTTCAATAGGGTTTTTGCATTATAAAGTATTGATATGCTTACTCTCACTCATGATAGGAGAGAAAATTGACAAATTATAGTTTTGGAAATTAAGGCAATAAAATTTCTATATATGAAATGATAAAAATAATTTAAATTAATTGTAAAATTGTATTAGGGAATCTCTTGTCCGTTCTCAGTGCAGTTAGAAATTCTAAATTATCTAAAACATGTGATGATTTAAGTATATTTTGGTTTTCAGACACTATGCGTTTTTTATGATAAAAAGCTTATCCATATTAATTTAAAACTGGCAATAAAAATTAAAATTAAATGATATATGAAAATCTAGATTTATCTAGGTGCTTTCCAGCAGCTATGGAAGCGTTTGTGTATTCAAATTCCATATATATTAAAATGGCGTTGCAAATTAACCCTTTTCCCAATTCCTGTAGCCAAAGGCTTCATAACACCAAGAACTGAGAAGAAAAGTACTCAATAAGTGTATCTGGTAATAATTTGGGCCAATTTGTTGGAGTAGCAATGCATGGCTGCTAGCCTTAGCCTGCTTTCGAATAAGTCTTTTTCCTCATATGGAGGCTGAACTTGGACTAGAAAGAGAAAGTTTAGTATTGCCTAGGACATCTACTATGTCAATTGAGGAGCTCTTTAGCACGGCACCATGCGTTGTGTCTATGCTTCGGGTTCTATATTTTTCAACAAAGAAACGAGAAATTCTATTTTTCGAATTTTTGAAAGGCAACCTAAGCTAAAGCGGCATAGTGATCTAGAGTCTCCTCCAATTTCTGGTTAGAGACCTCTGTCCAAAAAATTAATCACCGTAATGTCGTGTATGAACTGGTCAGCAAGCACTGATGCGTTAATGGAGGTTTTTATTTGCTTTCAGGCTCCTTAGATACTTCTCAATGATTATTAAATTTAAACGCATTCAAATTCAGCTTCTATGAATTTCGCGCCAAATCTTTTTCCTTTTTACTATGTCAATCCAATGTTTAACCAGTCTTCTACATTCCCACAAGCAGTTTCACCAATAATATCAGAGAACCAGAACGTAGATATTATTGAAAACCCAGAAGAAAAACTCCCAGATCCAAGAACTTTATTAGCAAGAAGAAGGCTCAACAGGTCCTTGAAAAATAAGAGGTGAACATTTGAAGAAGATACACAGCTGATAGGCCTAATAAAAACCTATTCTTTAGATTGATATAAAATTTCTGCAAAAATGAAAGATCGAGCTCCAGATGCTTTAAAAAGCTTGAAATAATTAATTTAATTTTTGATGATTCAGCCAGATTATGGGCACAGAATTGTCTAAGGAAAGACAAATATCCAGCTTGTAAGAGAGATTGTTAGCATAAATATACCAGAAAAATAAAATTTTAAAACGCCATTTATTTATTATACTTTAAAAAACAGATTTTATGGAGTATTAAAAAAGAACTTACCAGCTCAATTAATTAAAGAGTTGGATTATTCGATTAGGACTACAAGGCAGATAAAGAAAGATTCTAATATAAAACCTTATATTGCTGATGAATGAGCAGAAGAAACAAACACAAAAATAATAGAAAGTAGCATAAAAGAATTAGAAGCAGATTTACAGCATTCCGAAGCGTTGCCAAAAAATGAAAAAAAAATTCTTTTAAGCCTTTTTAGAACTAATCTGTAACAAATTTATAAAAAAATGAATAAAACTCATTTTTACCTTTATTTGGTAATTAATATAGCAAGATATAGAAAAACTCAAAGGAAATATGGATAAATTAGAAGAGCATTTGAGCCTTGTAAGAAATCAGATCATTACATTAAGCACAAAATCGCTTGCTAGTAATTAATATAACGAAAAAATAATATTAAAAATCAAAAAAATAAATATTCTTATATTATTTTATTTATCTATAATTAAAATATATAAATTGTTAAACAAAAATCAATAATTGCTATCTTAATTATACTTTTTTATCATTCTCATAATTAATTATTCATTTTATCAAGATGAAATTTAAGTCTTAATTCAAGGCAAAATTATTCATAATTCCTACATCTATAAAGTGTTATTATACAAATTTCTCATATAATTAGCCACCTTAAATGAAATTTCAAGGCAAATTTAAACTTTGATAACTATTAAGGCTGCATATTCATTAATTCCATTGAGATTTATCATTTCTAAATGCATAAGTTTCACAAGCCTTCAAGAAGCTCCGAATCTCTTCCTTTTATAAAAGTCTCACAGCCTCACGGGAACAATTTGAACGTCGCGCTTCGGGTTTCTCGATTTTCAAACTATGTATTCATGCAGTCTCAATCAATTAAAATAAAAAAACGATTGCCTCATCAGCCGAAATTTGACTTCTCAGCAACTCCACAGCAAAGGCTGGGGAATTATTTCGTCAATATTAATACAGATACTGCAGAGAATGACAATATTTTATCTAATCATTTAAATATCACAGCTTATTCAGAAATAGAAACTCCAAGCGAATTGAATAAATCACCATCATTTATATTAAGAAATAGCGAAAGCCCTAATCGCTTTAAAAAATGCATAGAAATTGACTCAGTTTCTGGGCAGACCCGACAAAAATCCATCACGAATTTAGTAATGCCAGCAATAAAAAATCCTTCAAATAGCTCAATTTTAGATAAGAAAAATATGAAAAAAACCAAAGCAACTCCATTTTTGAATGTTTCTCAAATGACACTATCCTATCAAAAAAGCCCGAAAAAAGAAAGAAACGAGGAAAGCCCTATAAGATTAAGAAGAAAACTTATAGTTGAAGACCCAGAATATTTATCTTTTGATAATTCGCTGATTGATAATAAGAAGAAAACATTTCCCTTAGACTCTATATCAATCAAGAAGAAATTAGCAATAAAGAAAAGTAAAGCCAATGATGAAAAAAGGGTAAAAAAGAAAAATTCGCTTAGTTCTTGGGATGCACTGACAAATAGACTATCTTCTGCAAGCAACTTTATTCTTGCTTAATTTTAAAATAACATAAATGGCTTATATTATTTTATATAGATTAAAATTAATATTTTATTTATTTTCCACTAAAAAGCATCAATTTATTAGAGTTTTTACAATTAAATTACATTATCTTAGGCTCCACACTAATCCTTTCATTTATATGAGAAAAATTGCTTTGAATTTCAATTTCAGAGTCACCTTTTCCATGCATAGGCTTCAGCTTATAAGCTTCATGGCTTGGAACAATATTTATGTAAAACATATCTTCAGCTTCAGGCCCTGTATAGTTAAAATGAGGTGGTGTATTAGATTTGCATAGCGAAGCTACTACATTTGCAAAGCAAGATTCACGATATGGATTTTTATACGGAACTTTTCATGTATTTTTAAGCTGCTCACTTGACGTTTGGTTTGTAAATAACAAATACATATGAAAGCCACAGAGCCCAAGCAAAAATCACATTTCCTACATATAAAATACTAAAAAACTATACGCTGCTAGAAAAGTTGAAACAGCCCCATCTCTGAGCGCTTCTGAAACAGCTTGGGCTTGATCAGATTTACCATCATAATCTTTTATCAGCAATAATAAATGCAAAAGTGATCCTACAAAATTGATGACTACAAGAATAGAAGTACTTGTCAAAAAAATTATGAAATATTTATAATTCCTTTTGCCTACACAGTTTCCTATCCAAGGACAATGATGGTCAAATTTTTCTACACACACATTGCATTCAGAGATGGTATAGGTTTTTATTATAAAATAAAAAAAGGGTTTAATATATGGAAAAAATAAATAGATATAAAATTTCGTATCTTCACACGACGACTATTTCATAACAAATATTTTTTTTTGGCCTATTTTTTTGGCCTATTTTTTTTTGGCCTATTTTTGTTTGGCCTATTTTTTTGTGGCCTATTTTTTTTTTTGGCCTATTTTTTTCACCTATTTTTTTTTGGCCTATTTTTTTTGGCCTATTTTTTTTGGCCTATTTTTTTTTGGCCTATTTTTTTTTAGCTATTTTTTTTTTGGCCTATTTTTTTTTGGCCTAATTTTTTTTGGCCTAATTTTTTTTGACAATTTTTTGACAATTTTTTACTAATATTTGGGTATAATTCTATACTAATTATTTTAATATATTTTTTAATGTGTTTTAAACGATTTAACCAATAAAAAATGCACCCTTAACAGATTCTTCCTCAATGAATACTAATCTATTAATTTTTAAAATTTCGAGAATTTTAGGTTTAATTAGGAGTTTTCCACTTAATTTACTCAATATTAACCGCGTAAGGAAAAGTCTCTGTTTCTCAATAAGGTTTTAGTCCTCTCAGCAGCTTCATGAATGAGGCCAGGCAAAAAAAGGCCAAAAAAATTAGGCCAAAAAAAATAGGCCAAAAAAGTAGGCAAAAAAATAGACCAATAAAAATAGACCAAAAAAAATAGGCCAAAAAAATAGGCCAAAAAAAAATAGGCCAAAAAAAAATAGGCCAAAAAAAATAGGCCAAAAAAAAATTAGGCCAAAAAAAATAGGCGAAAAAAATAGTCGTTATGAAATAGTCGTCGTGTGAAGTAACCATAAAATTTAGGCAAAAATAAATGAAAAATAAACATTCAGAGCAATGTGAGCATCTTGGTGGTCTTACTATCATACAAGTTTGGCAATATTTTAGCTTCATCAAATTACTCCCATGTGGAACTTGTGCAAATTTATGCTCAATTGGTGAAAACACAGCTTTATTTGTAGCGATATGATAAGGAATCGTATAAGTTCTTGCAGGTCCTTTAGAAAATGGAGGTTCCTGGCGAGGTAAAAATCCAGGATCAGTTGTAGATGTTATAAACATATAAGAAATGCTTATAAGCTGGAAAATTAGCGATAAAGGAAGAAAAAATGACAGTCCTTCATATTCTAAAAGTTTTACACATGTAGTAGTCAAAAATAAAGTTGCAGGGACATTGGCTATATACTATTCTTCTTCATTTTTAGACAATTCCATATAAGCTTAGTGGCAATTTCCCAAAAAAAAGGCATTTACTTAAATTTCAAATAAAAATCAAGGAAAAAAATTTCCAAATTCCCAAAAATCGCAGAATAAATTCATCGACCAGGACATTAATCAATACAAAAGAAATTCACGCTCTTCAATAATCAGGCCTACCTTAAAATCACCCCATAATTATCCTTCCTTTGCAAAAGAATTTGTTATCCCCTGGTCACTGATGATAAGCTTTTCTCTGTGTTTTCTTCATATCCTTTATTATTTAATTCTAGACTTATTATTTTCCAATTATTATTTAGCTAATCGATGTATGAAGCCTTGGCGCAATATGCATTGCCATAAGCTCTTGGAACAACAACTTGCAGGCGTAAGGGATGAATATTTGTGAAATCCTGGTATTTTTATTTTTACATTGCTTGCATTGGAACATATTTCTATCTAAATTGGCAATGGCAAAAAGCCCACAGTTTTCACAGACGTGGACTCTATAAGCGTCACTGGCTTCAAATAGTCTTTCTTTTAGAAATCTAGCAGCACCATGAGAAATCATGCAATCCCTTTCCATTTCTCCGAACCTTAGGCCACCATCTCTGGATCTTCCTTCTGTTGGCTGCCTTGTAAGAGACTGTACTTGGCCTCTGGCTCTTGAGTGGATTTTGTCGTCGACCATATGTTTAAGTCTTTGATAATAAGTAGGCCCAAAGAAGATCTGAGAAGCCAGCCTATTTCCAGTGTGGCCGTTATACATTACTTCATTTCCACGTAGTTGGTATCCTAAAGCATGCAAATCTCTTGATATGTCTTCTACGGTCACACTTTGGAATGGAGTACCATCACCTTCTTCACCTCTTAGACAGGCGACTTTGCTAGCTAAGCATTCAATTAAATGGCCAATTGTCATACGGGATGGAATTGCATGAGGGTTAACTATAATGTCAGGAGAAATCCCTTGTTTAGAGAAAGAGGAATAAAATGTGACGTTGAAGGAAATTGGTATCAGAGGTGCACTCTTTATGGAGCAGGTAGGGCCTATCCTGATGAAGCTGAAAGCAGGCCTCTGTCCCTTTTGAAATAGGCCTACAGGCTTGGGATGCCTTGCTGAAAAGGGAAGTTTTTTTCTCTTTTGAAGGTTTTCCTGTCCTGCCAGATGGGCTAGATAGGATTTGTTCACCACATAGTCTTATCTTATCGGGACCATTGGGGCATTTCACAGACGATGGCTCTGTCCAAGGGGGCTGATCCCTGGACAGGCGGTTCAGGTTAGAACTCCAAAAGGTCGCCCTTTTGGAGCCAAGGTAGGCGACGGCTAGTTACTAGATCAACTTATGGTCAGCATAATTGTTCAAGTAAAAGTTGTTTAGAGAACGGTAAGTCTTCTTGTCTAAAGGTTTGACCAATTGTCCCTTTTTGGCCGTGACGACTTGCGAATTTGTCACCAATTTGTGGGATTCTGATAGATCTCATTTTAATTTTGGCAAATTTGTGGCCAAGGTCGTCGACAGTTAACAGTACAGAATCAATGATACCGCTTTCACTATGCCTTAAACAGATAGAAACGTCTTTTCTTGTCTGTCTATTTGTAGCGCCAAAAGCGTTTAAAGCAGCTGTTTTTCCAATAATGACATCGTCGCCTGATACTCTTTGTCCAGGAATGATAAGGCCATCTACATCTAATTTATCATAGCAGCCGTCACGTGTTCCTACTGTAGTTTCTTTGGCAGGGATATGGAATTCTTCATCAGCCCCTCCAATGGTTTTGGCTTGGTTTTCATAAGTTCTGTAAAAAATTGACCTGAAAAATCCTCTGTCAATTGAGGACTGATTCATAATGACGGAATCTTCTTGGTTGTACCCTGTATAACAGGCAATTGCGACGACTGCATTGCAGCCACTAGGAAGCTCTTTGAAATACATGAATTCCATAGCACGGGTCATGACTAAAGGCTTTTGGGCATAGTAAAGGACATGTGCCAAAGTGTCCATTCTCAGCTGATAGTTGCTTGTATAGATACCCATAGCTTGTTTACCCATAGCACTTTGATAGGTATTTCTAGGACTTTGGTTGTGGTCTGGGAATGGGATAATTGAGGCGCAGACTCCTAAAATCATAGAAGGGTGGATTTCACAATGTGTATAATGGTACTTATTCCTGGACAAAATAAATTATAGTAATTTTTCCGATAAAAATTCTTTCCAATGTATTTTTTCGTGCAGATTTTACTGTCAATTTTTTATAATAAAAATTTTACACTATAGGTTTTTTTTTTATTTTCCCTTATTCCCTCCTTCATTTAATTCTTTCATAGTCATCGCAATCAGCGAAGTCTCCTCTTCTTCTGTATCCAAAAACTCAATCAACCCCAGTTCTGTACATTTATCAAAGCTCAAATGGTCTGGTCTTTCTCTCGGCAGCTTCATTTGTTCTATATAATATCTTGACATTTTAATCTTATTATTTTCTGCAATAAAAACTGGTCTTTGGATTCTTCCAGAGTCTGAGTAGATTCTGATTTCTTTATTAGGGATATCTCTGACTATAGAAACTTGTTTAGGCAGCATCCCACCTCTTCTGCAGTTTACCAAGGTTTTTACTAGATATTCAGCATCTCCATGAATCCCAATCCAGCTTCCGTTAAAGAATACTTTGGTTCTGTCATGGATATTTTTGACGCTGAGCTCCACAAGGTTTTCTGTATTCAGCTCTTCAAGCATTCTTTGTAACTGTGAAGAGTTGCATGAGACTGAAATATGGGCCATCAAGGTCAGATTTTTCACAAGACCACAAGCTTGGCCTTCTGGGGTCTCTGCAGGACAGATCATGCCCCAATGGGTGTTGTGAAGCTGTCTTGGCTTGGTAAGTTTGCCTTGCTTTTGCAAAGGGGTGTTAAGTCTTCTTAAATGAGACAATGAAGAAGAAAAAGTAAGCCTTGATAAGACTTGGCTGACACCAGTCTTGGAGACTGCTCCTGTCTTGTCCTGCATCCAGTTTCCAGTTGCCAAGGCGTATCTTAAGCCACTAGTAATGATATGTTCTTTTACAGCAGCTACCAAGTTAATATCATGCTGAGAATCTACTTGTTTTTTCATGACTTCTTGAGCTGTCTTTGTGAACCTTCTAAAAAGCTGCCTGAATAAATTAGCAAGCAGCGACCCAGCCAGGTCCAGTCTTTTTTTCCCATAGTGATCTCTGTCATCTTCTTTATTTCTCCCTAATGCTGCATTGCAGAGCCTATGGACCATATATCCGACGAAAAATGCTTTTTTGGTTTCATATTCTGCTGAGACGCTGACGTGTGGCAGCATTTCTTTTTGTAGCAGATCTTTAGCGTATATAATTCTTTGCTCTTGAGACGCTCCTACAGAGTTTCCTCTTCTTCCTATAAAATCTAAGGCTACTTCTTGTGAAGGGATCACAAAGGCTTCTTCCAGTGACGGCTTCAGTAGCTCCATCATCCTGACGTCAGCAGCATCGTAACAAATATGACTAATAATGTCTTTGTCAGCCACAAAACCCATAGCTCTGAACAAAATAACCACTGGCACATCAGATTTTATATATGGTAAATTAGCCCTTATGACTTGCTCATGCGAGGATTTCACCTTGTGTGTCAGCCTTATAGATATATTAAAATGGCGTGCCAAACCAGCCTATCCTCTTAATAGCTGAAGCCGGTATTAGTCGGGGACCTTGTGGAAGGGAGGATGATGTTTGGAAATTTGCAAACGGCCGAGCTTTACTTGGTCTGCAGAAGCACAATGTCGGAATTGGCCGACAGCAATTATAGCCAGGTCAAGGTTAGAAGGTTAATCTGGGACCTTCCTAGCATGATACCAGAATTTGATTCCTGAGCTCTAAGTTTTCATCTTGACAACTGGTGACCAGAAAATTTGATTTTTGGAAGCTGAACTCGCATACAGCATGGTGATCCAGCGTATCTAACTCTTAGGTAGCGAATACAAACCCTTTCCGTCAAGAGCAACACAGTGAGAGGTCGTACTCGGACTGACAAGCAAGCGTTGGAGCAATAGGAGGCTAGTAGTGCTAGAAGCATGCCTGCAGTGACTTCTCTTATAATCTTACTTAAGTTTAATTTTCTGCGTCAGCCTAATAGAAAATTGTGACGGTACTTTATTGCTTGACTCATTCTGCGACCTAATTTCCGCGACCCACGAGTACTTCGACGGCTGTGACCTATGAAAAACATATACAAAGTTATTGGCCATTTTTTCTTGCGCAACCAAGACCTTCTCTTTCCCATTGATAATGAAGTACCCTCCTTGGTCAAAGACACACTCTTTATAGGTGATCCTTTCTTTTTCTGTCTTATTGCTTAACGCGCAATAGTTAGACCTGACCATAATAGGGATTCTGCCAATGAAGACTCCTTTTTGCTCTTCTTCGCCTTCTACGTGCTCGCCTCGGCCTTCATAGTTGACGATTGACTGCTTTTGGACGTCGACCAAGAGGTTAGAAGCGTATGTCAGATTGCGGAGACGAGCCTCATGAGGAAAGATCAGGTTGGAGCTCCCGTCTTGTTCTTTAAGGACAGGCCTTGCACCGAGGGTTGCTTGTTTGAAGCTTATGACGTAACGAAGTTCTTGCTGCTGTCGCTCACCTGGGCGGTATTGACGCTCGGGAATGATGGTGATTTCGGCAGAGTCCTCGATTATTTCTTGGATTGTGTGGAGGATAAAGTGGTTGAAGGAGGATAGCTGCTGCGAGACCAAGCCGTTTTCTTTGAAGTATTCAGATATCACAACCCACGCGTCTTCTTGAGAGATCTCTTCGTCTTCCATTTTTTATTAACAAACACTCTTCGCTGAGATATAGTAATTTGGGGAATCCCCTTACTTCCATGAAATGAATTAAATTAAAATTTAAGGGAATTTTTTAGGAAAAAAATAAAAAAGTAAAATATTGTTTAAGCAAGATGGAAAAGCTAGATAATTTATTAAGAAAAGTGTAAGGTGCTTATAAAGATTCAATAGCTTGAGACATATGAATTATCTCTATTAGAATGTTTCATAAGCTTTAAGATTTTTGGAATCTCCCTGACTTATAGCGAGGCAAAATCAATAAAATTTATGGTCATCAGGAAAAAAAGCAAGATTTTTTTCCTGCTGCCTTTTTTTACTGTTAAAAATGATGGAAGGTTTTTTCCTGTTTTTTTGCAGGATAAAAATCCAATGGTATTACAAAAAAGTATACCGGAAAAAATCTATTTTTGAAAAATATTTTTATAAGATCTTATTTTAGCTGGAGACTTGGCCTTAAGGATCTAATATATAAGATTTGCATTCTGGACCCTAAAAATATAAGCCAAATGAAGAAATCATTTATTTCATCTTAACAATATATTTTTTTTTGATGGTCAATTTTTTTTATCAAAATCGCATGAAAAAGCCCTAATAAAAAATTAAAAATCCATACATGAGCAATAACTAGAAAGCTCTAAACTCTTTGGAAAATTCATATAAATTGATAAAATTTGCAGATCTGTACCTAATAGTTAATGATTGTAGATATATATGAGAAAATATTACATGAAAAACGGATTTTTTTGCTCTAAAATATCGTTACACACATTCATCATTGCTCCTTATGAGTTAGAGATCTCCCATATATCAATCAAAATATAATCATTAGAAAGTCTAAATATTGAACTATTAGTCGTTTAGTGCTTAATAATTATAGTTGATATATTAATTTTTTTATTTTGCTTTTTCATGCAATTTTTGAATAAAAGCAATTGGCAATCAAAAAAATATAGAGTTAAAATGCAATGCAATTTTTTTCTTCATTTGGCTTACATTTTTCAGGTTTAGAATTAAGATTGCAGAAAGTCTTTATATATTAAAACTTTAAGGCCAAATCTCTAGCTAAAGTAATTAGATCCCGATAAAATACTTTTCAGAATTTTTTTGTGCAAAAATTGAGGGTAAAATGACAGGTATATCTCTCCCCTTTATCGAATTTGAAAGACAATTTATTTAAAAGAAAAATTTGATCTAAAAGGTGAAAATTAAATTTAAATTTATCTAATTCCCCTATTTGCCAATTTGACTTTTCAGAAATTTAAATGTCAAATGGAATATTTCTTTAACTCCCCCCCCCCTCCGTGATGAACAAAAAAAATTTTGTTCACTCACGGAGGGGGGGTTAATTTTTTTTTTTTAAAAAAATTTATATATAAATTTTCTAAAAAAGTTTTTTTTGAAATTTAAAAAAATCCTAATTTGCAAAAATTTGAAAGCAAATATTAATTTAATTTATAAAATTTATGTTTTAAAATGCAATTCGTTTAAAATTAAACAGAATTAGCTCTAGATTTCATTATATTAATTATCATTTATATATCAAAATTTTTTTCCATAAACAATTTTTGTATTAAAAAAATTTTTGTTCACTCACGGAGGGTGGGTTTTTGGACAAAAAATAGCGATTTTTCTAATGGTTTTGTTCACTCACGGGGGGGGGGGGGAGTAAGGATATTTTTCCTAATGAGCCTAAAATTTATAATCGTTTATAGGATAAAAACGAGATATTAAAAAACACAGTGATAGAATCTATTTATATACAATAATTTATTCTTTAAATTAAAGATGTGGATAATCATACATTTATAAACAAAAAAATTATTGAGGATCATTGTAGTATGTTTTAGTGCCACTTCTTCTATAAAAAGGCCCCTGCTGGCTTTCTTCTGATTGATCTTGCTTCTTTCTTTGCGCCCTAGCAGCTCCAGGCACATCCGGACTATTAAGAATCGAAGATTTCCCTGGACCGAGCCCACTTTGCCCTCCTTTACTTCCTTTACCTCCAGGACTTCCAAATCCTCCAATGCTCATATTGCCTCCTGCTGTCTCAGTTTTGTTCTGGCTCATTGAAAAATTCCCATTTCTCATACTTTCATTATTAAAAAAAATGGGCACGTTTTCAAAGCTCTTCGTTATTTCTGGTTTTTCCATCATAAAAGTGCTAACTCTCTGATATTCTGTACAATAGAAATTTTTTTTTTAAATAGTTTTTAGGACTTTGAAAATTAATAATTTATGTTTTAAGGATGCAAGCTAATAGAACTTGTTTGATTTATTATAATAAATATTAATAATTATCAAAATATTTATTAAAAATATTAAAAAAACATTTCTGTCGCAAATGAGTTTCCGATGATTTCCCTGCACATATGGAGTAAGTTCATGGCCTTCAACCCTTTCTCTTTCCCTCGTCACTTCTTCTTCATTCTGCCTTTCAATTAAAAACTCCAACTCATTTACTGCTTCCTTCATAATCGCCCTCTGCAAAAATACCCCAAAAGCTTCTTCTAGGGCGATTTCATTTAGCCTATCTTTTTCGCTTTCTACACAATCTACAATTAAATCCATAATATGCTCATATATAACAGTCTCCAAGCAGTCTTCAAAGAACTGTTCCATTCCAAGCTCCCATCCAGCCTCACTAATAATTTCTTCACAATAAATCGGCACAAAAACATTCCTTATGAGCCCAATTACATTGGCTTCATACATATAATCTTCAGCTTCTTCTTTAATTACTTCTTTAGCTAAAGGCTCGATCATCATATCAATTGTTTTTTCTGTCAAAGAATTGGTAACGAGCACTAAAGGGTCAAAGGTTCCGGCAACGATTTTTTCTTCGACGCGGTTTCGAAGATAGTCATTAACGATATATTTACTCCCCCCCCCCTCCGTGAGTGAACAAAACCATTAGAAAAAATCGCCATTTTTTGCCCAAAAACCCACCCTCCGTGAGTGAACAAAAATTTTTTTATGGAAAAAAAAATAGATATATAAGCGATAATTAGTATAATGAAATCTAGAGCTAATTCTGTTTAATTTTAGACGAATTGCTTTTTAAAACATAAATTTATAAATTAAATTAATATTTGCTTTCCAATTTTTGCGAATTAGGAATTTTTTAAATTTCGAAAAAAAAATTTTTTTATAAAAAATTTATATATAATTTTTTTTACAAAAACAAATTTAACCCCCCTCCGTGAGTGAACAAAATTTTTTTGTTCACTCACGGAGGGGGGGGGAGTTAGTAGTTTCTTTAACAACTTCTTGACAAGCGTTGTTTATTAAGGAAGATTCGATTCAGTCAGATAGCATAACTAGAAGTCGGTGGTTGGGGGAATAAAGGCTGTAGTCTCTGTAGGCTTTATTTGTGTTAATTATTTCGTAGATTATGTCTAGGAGAGCATTGTCTTCGATGTAGTCTTGAATTAATTTGTCAATTAAGTCGTAAATATCTCTGTCATTTAATGACATTGAGGTTTAGTTTATAAAATAATTACTTTTAAGATTTTAGGAGTCGGAAAATAGAAGGTTTTGAAGGTTAATATATTCATGCTTTCAGGAAGGCTTTGCTTATAAGATGCATTATAAATATATACATTTTGGTAAATTCAAATTAGGATTTTATTTTACACTAAATGTTCTAGCTCTCTCTATCCTTAGTCGGACGATACTATAGAAAATTTTCCAAATTGGGAAATCAATACCCATCCTTGATTGGATGATTTTCATATAGTTAAGCATGAAATTCTCTTCCTATCCATCTCAATCTAACTACCTATATTTGATAATAATGAATATTAGAGATATTACATTATAATTACTTCTACTCATTATATTATGATTTTAATAATTATTGGATTTTATCTCTTATCGCTAGAGCACGAAAATTTTATATAAAAAGAAATTTAGTATAATAATGCTAGTAAATAATATTTTTTAGAGAGTTTGTAACCCCCATCCTTGGCTGAATAACTATTTGTCGCTCGATAAAGAATCGGGAAGATAAGCACTTTCTTCTGTTTTCATTGTCTTCAAAAATTGCACATACCAGATGTTTCACCTCGTTTACAGAGAATTTTCCTTTAAATCTGCTTTGTTCATGAAAAACAACAATCGATGCTAGATCTGTATCAAGTAAATCCAACAAAAGCACCAGTCTTTCCCACTGCTGTGAGAATTGAACAGGTGACTCCCCTAAAAATACATCCTTTAATTCAAATACTTTCCATAGCAGCTGCTTTAAAGGTGGCGTATCTTCCATCACTATATCTTCTAACTTCATAGCCAGAGGCACCAAATACCCTATCAGCGCATCTACCATATTCCCTGTGCTTTTAAAATAATCCCTCTTACTAACTCCCCCCCCCTCCGTGAGTGAACAAAAAAATTTTGTTCACTCACGGAGGGGGGTTAATTTTTTTTTTTAAAAATTTGGAAAGCAAATATTAATTTAATTTATAAAATTTATGTTTTAAAAAGCAATTCGTTTAAAATTAAACAGAATTAGCTCTAGATTTTATTATACTAATTATCATTTAATATCTAAATTTTTTTCAATAAAAATTTTTTCTATTAAAAAATTTTTGTTCACTCACGGAGGGTGGGTTTTGGGCAAAAAATAGCGATTTTTCTAATGGTTTTGTTCGCTTACGGAGGGGGGGGAGTAAGTACTTCTCTTCACACCCCACAGCACTCATGTATTACTGCAATCGACGCATTTAAAACCCTTTCCATTTCTGAATAATTGGCTTCAATTTTATGAAATTGCAGTTTTCTCACAAAATTTAGCATTTTTTCTCTATAAAAGTCTTTCATTTGGAAAAAGACTTGATTTGCTTCAGATTGGAAAATAGGGATCAAGTCAGCTAAATAAATGGCATATTGAAGGTTAGGAGGCAAATGGTGAGAATAATGAGCGGGGATTAGTATTAAATGGTGGATTAGATAGAGACAGTTATTGTAAAATAGGCAAGCTGGTAGAAGTTGTGTGGATTTTGAAGAAATTGTGGAGTACTTTAAAGCTTTGTAGAGCATAAAGCATTCTCGAGCTAGTCGGAGGGATTTTAATAAGTCTGATTCAGGGAGGATTAGAGAATCGTCTAAAATCTTGTAAATTATTTCTACGATTTTTTTTGTGCTTTCAGAAATATGCATTGTAGGGAGCTTGTAAAAATGGGTATCAGTCTTCTTTTTGTCAGAAGTTATCATGATGGAACTAATGGTTCCTCTTTCAGTTGCATCAGAAATTTCTAATTCCCATTTAATAAATAACACTTTTTTGGGTTTTTTAATTTAATTACCTTTACAATTTTATTGATTTTTCAAAATAGTAAATTTTACTTTTTACTAAAAGGAACCTAAAATCTACAGTTTTGCTCTTTTTAAATTAGGAGGGTAAGATTCTTATATCTTCAATTAATATAAGCTCCCTGACCTTTCCCATAACTTGGGTTTGTGTATATTTTGCCTTTATGGCTTTTCATCCTTGTACAATATTTGATAATTCTTTATATGATTTATCAACAATTTTGTATTCTGAAATTGTTGCTTCAAAATCTTTGATTATTTCATATATTTCTTGATAACTTTGGCTAGGATCATCAAGCTCTTGTATAGTTTCTTCTATTTTTGGCTTCAAAAGTCAGATTAAGTCAATGAATTTCAATACATCAATTGAAAATTCATTTATTTTCAAATTTTTGCACAGAAAAAGTAAAAACTCTTTTAGGTTGTTTAGGAGTAAAAATAAAGGGCTTATTTTGCTTGATTCTTTACTACTCAGTTTTACCCCATTATTAGCAATATTTTCAGCAATTAAATGGTCTTGTCTCTTACACAAATCAATTCCTCAGTTAATTAGAAAACTCATCTTTTCTTCGATATATCCTAACTCAATCAAATTTTGGATAATTTCTTCAGTCCTTATGCATTTTTCACCTTTATTAAACTGTGAAAACACAGTTATAGAGTCTTTCTGGTATTTAACTAGCTCAGCTCATACATCTTCTACCGCTGCTTTTAGCCGTCCTTGCCAATTTATTATTTTTTCTGCTATTCTTTGCATAAGCTCTGGATCTGGTTCTCTAACACACTTAATTTTTTCTTTAGCTTTGTTAAAGATCACAATAGCATCAGAAATCGATCCTTTAAGCACTGTAGGAAAACTCTCAATAGCAGAATGAATATTTGCTAAAATTTTGCATAAATTCAAATCTTTTCATGGTTTAAAATCGTCCCTTTTTTTTTCCAATATTTTTACTAAAAATTAATTAAATTTTCTATAATTAATTTCTCCTTAAATCGTCACCCAAATTTAATTCCAGCATTTTCAATTCAATCTCAGCAATTTGGTTCTCAATTTCATTTATACTAGTCTCGCTCTGCAAAAACTCCGGCTTTCTCGGGTCTGTAATTTCTATCAAATTTTGTTTTTGCAGATCTACGTCTATTACAAGTTTGTTCAATTCGGCGGGATCCATTTTGATAATAAACTTACCCTAATTAATTACACTTACTACAATGAAAGTGGCTCCCCATTCCTCAGCGCCGCCAGATCCTGCACTTTTTTATCTTTATCACTCTCAGTTACTACATACAAATTACAAACAATATACGGAAGCCTCTCATGTACAATTGCTTGTAGCGCATTTTGGATATTATAATTCTTGATATGAAGAATTTTGCAAGCGTCTTGCTCGTTAAACGGTATAAGAGATTTAAGATACGAGCGCTCCCAAAGCTGCCCAGCCTGACGTAAATAGTCGTCTACTGCGGTGACTGACAATCTATGACAGTCCCAGATTTTTTGGCACTTTGAGCTTGGAATTGATATTTCTCCAAACGCAGGGAGGGAGGACTGGAATTGAGTCCCTATCCTTGTAATTGACCCTGACTCTGGGTCTTCCTCTTCTTCTTCACTGCTGGGGTTCATAAAGTCTGTTATTTGTCGTAGCTGGGGTACTGGGTCAATATATTCTCTCTTAGGAAGCGCAAATTGTTCTTTTTGTTCCTTTAGGACGTGCAGAGCTTCATTGAGTTTTTCTTTGGTCCAGTTCTCAGCTTTGGCTTTGTCTCGTAACTTAATCTCTTTTTGACATGGTGGACAAAACCACGTCTCTTCGTCAACGTCTCTTTGGATACCTAAGCACTGGTTAGCGTACGTTAAAGTGGTAGGACGAGGGACAACGGTCACAGCAGATGAGGTCGCCACGTTTCCCACAAATCTTGCAAGTGTCATCATTTTTGACTTCTGCCATATTTTGTATATGTGTGACATTCTCAATCATTAATTTAAATCACAGAAAGCCAAATCAATTAATAAGCTCTTATAAAAAAAATTGAAGTAAAGTTTAGCGGATTATCAGATAAATAATAAAAAATAATCATTTTTTATAGAATATTTAAATTTACTTGTCATTAGAACGCTCTATGAAAGCGCTGATGCTATTACTGATTATTAGTTTTTCATTAAAAATTCTTTTCCTGATTCAATTTCCTGGAAGTTATTTAAATGGAAGTCTACGAGGTCGTCAAAAGTATCGGAAGTGGGAACTTTGGCCAAGTTTACCTAGTCAGACATAAGTATGAAGGCCGAAATTACGTGGTCAAGAAGATAAAGACCAGGGACATGAACGACAAAGACAGAGAAAACACAGAGCAAGAGGTCAGGCTCCTCCAAAAGCTGAGGCACGCCAACATTGTCGCTTATAAAGACTCATATATAGATAGAGAACAGTATCTCTGCATTGTAATGGTTTACTGCGAAGGTGGGGATATTTATTTGAAAATAAAAGACGCTAAAGGCAAGAAATTCAGTGAAGCCCAAATTTTAGAATGGATCGCTCAAATTCTTTTAGCTTTATTATACCTACATGAGAGGAAAATTCTCCACAGAGACCTAAAAACCCAAAATATCTTTATAAAGAACGGAAAAATCAGGCTAGGCGATTTTGGGATCGCAAAAGTCCTTGATGGCACCAAAGATTTTGCGAATACTTGCATAGGGACTCCTTATTATATGTCTCCAGAGCTGTTTAAAAATAAGCCGTATTCGTATAAAAGCGACGTCTGGGCTTTTGGCTGTGTTATTTATGAGATGATGAACTTAAGGCACGCTTTTGACGCACAAAGCTTGAATGGGCTTGCTATGAAGATTTTAAAAGGAAGCTACCCGCCTACCTCGCCATTTTACTCCAAAGGCCTCCGTGACATTGTCACCAAAATGCTTTCAGTGAACCCTAGCCAAAGGCCTACACTTATAGACTTATTAAACGGTTTCTTCACACGAGGTCTACTCCATAAAGACTATTTTTTTTTGGCCTAATTTTTTTTTGGCCTAATTTTTTTTGGCCTATTTTTTTTTGGCCTATTTTTTTTTGGCCTATTATTTTTTGGCCTATTTTTTTTTGGCCTATTTTTTTTTGGCCTATTGTTTTTTAGCCTATTTTTTTTTGGCCGATTTTTTTTTGGCCTATTTTTTTTTGGCCTATTTTTTTTTGGCCTATTTCTTTCTGGCCTATTTTTTTTTGGCCTATTTTTTTTTGGCCTATTTTTTTGGGCCATTTTTTAGCTATTTTTTACTAATATTTGAGCCTAATTTCATACTAATGATTTTAATATAATTTTTAATGCATTTTAAACGATTTTATCAACATAAAATACACCTTTAACAGATCTCTTACTCCATGAATGCTAATTCATTACTTTTTAAATTTCGAGAATTTTAAATTTAATTGGGATTTTTCCACTTAATTTACTCAATATTAATCGTGTAAGGAAATACATCCGTTACCCAATAATTATTTAGTCTCTCAGCAGCTTCATGAATTATCCTCGACAGAAAAATAGACCAAAAAAAATAGGCCAAAAAAAAATAGGCCAAAAAAAAATAGGCCAAAAAAAAATAGGCCAAAAAAAATAGGCCAAAAAAAAATAGGTTAAAAAATAATAGGCCAAAAAAAAATTAGGCTAAAAAAAAATAGGCCAAAAAAAATATAGGCCAAAAAAAAAATAGGCCAAAAAAAATAGGCCAAAAAAAAATAGGCCAAAAAAAAAATAGGCCAAAAAAAAATAGGCCCAAAAAAAAATAGGCCAAAAAAAAAATATGCCAAAAAAAAAATAGGCCAAAAAAAAATAGGCCAAAAAAAAATAGGCCAAAAAAAATTAGGCCAAAAACAAAAATAGTCGTTATGGAGTAGACCTCGTGTGAAGACACGTTATTAAACACACCCTTAATCAGACGTCACGTCGTCATTTATTTGCGTGACTGCTTAACTCCAACCACAGAGCCTAAAGACCTAGACGATATCAATGTAGATTCCCTCAAAGACCAAGCTGAAAGATACGGATTAATGCCACTAATAAACGGAGAGTCCAAAATGCCTCAGCCTATTCAAAGGAGTGAGCAGCAAATTGAAGCCAAACTAAAAAAAGAAGAAGAAGAAAAGCAAGAAATGGAAGTTTTACTATCAAAATTAACAGCCCAGAAAAAAGAAATAAAGTCAAAATTAAAGCAAAATATCAACAAAGTGAAGCAGCAAGAGACAGAAAAAGCAAATGAGCTGGAAAAGCAGCAAAAACAAAAGCAGGTGGACGCAGAAAAACGAAGAGATGCCCAATTGCAAGAAAAAAGGAAAAAAGCTAAGGCTTATAATAAAAGAGTAGAAGACAACAGTAAATCTGAAGAAGACAAAAGACAAGAAGAGTCTACAACGGCAAGAGACAGAGTAATTGCAGAAAAAGAAAAAAGGAGAAAAGAAGAAGAGGACAGAAAATATGCAGAGCTTATGCAGATACACCAGCAGAATCAGTATAACAGACAGGTCGCAGTTGAAATGCACCAGGCGCAGTTCAGGACTTCTTCTATATTACAGTCAGCTCTTACTTATGAAAAAGTCGCCCCAAATCTTACAGAAGAAGAACTAAAAGAAGTGGCAGAGTATGAAGAAGAGTCGACTGAAGCACAAACTGATGAAGAAGAGCTTAAAAAGCTTGAAGAACTTAGGCTTATTAATCAGCAAGTTAATGACACAATAGAAAGAATCCAAGTAAAAACGATAAGGATCGAAGAAATGAGAGAAAGCTTGAGGTTTTCGAAGTCTGGGATGTCAGGGTTCGAGCCTGATCCACCTGATGAGGTTGAAGAAATTAATGAAGAAAACAGCCCAGAGGTAAATTATGGAGAATTAGAAGCTGTAGAAGAACTAGAAGAGGAAGAAGCCAAAGAAGAGCTCCCATCGTGACATTCAAAGCTTATTCCTTCAATTAATAGCGAGCGCTTTTTATTAATTTTTGTATAGTGAATAAAAATACGATTTTTAAGCCAAAAATTAATTGCTCAGAACTTTTTTATTACCAATAGGCTAGAGAAAAATTAAAGCTTCTCCAACAGTAATTTCTATTTAGTAAGTGTGAAGCTGGAATTGGCCACCAACTCTATGAAAGAAGCTTGAATTTGCTTAAAGAAATGTCTGGGCATAATAACGACGCTATAAGGAGCGCTTTAATTGAACTGCTAGGCATCAACAATATTGGGTACTGGGTCATTCTTGACCAGATAATAGTCATTGAAAGCTCTTTAACCTAAGAAATGTAATCATTTTAATAATATGAAGCGCACCACTGTTTATGACAGAAATTTAAAAGCCAAGCGCGAGGTCTCTGTCAGCGCTTTCCACTTTCTTTTCTCAGAAATCGTCCAGTACTGCTTAGCGAAAGCAAATAGTGATGCCCAAGAACTAGAGCGACAATTAGAAGAGCTCGGCCAGCCCCTTGGAGCAAAATTTTTAGAATTAGTGTGCTTTAGGGACAGAAATTCTAAAAAAGACATAAATATAATAGAGTGCTTAAGATTCATCCACGGACCGCTCTGGAAAACGCTTTTTAATAAAAATGCAGATGAGCTTGAACAAAACACAGAAGAGCACGACACCTTCATGATAAGCGAAAAAGAGCCAAGCCTTTGCAACCAGTTTGCTTGCCTCCCAAAAGGCGACGACTATTTGAACTGTGGAGCTTTTGTTGCTGGGATTATTGAAGGAATTTTAGCTTCTGCCAATTTCCCTGCCAAAGTTTCAGCTATTTTTAAAAATGATGAGGAGTCGAGAAAAACTGTTTTTCTAGTGAAATTTAATAGTGATACAATAGATGGGAATTATTAATTACAAATTAAGTGGCAAGAATAAATCCTATAAGCAATAATAGAGTTGAAAATATGCGAATTATGTATTGTTTTGTTCGGCGATTGCTTAGCTTTCTTTCTAGAAGTTTGTCAGCAGAAATAATGCCACTTTCAACAGTTAAAAGTTTCCCTTCATATCTAGTTAGTGTATCCCCATCTTGGGCACCTAAAATACTAACAGCTGTGCCTATATGCAAAACTGAATATTTAATCCTATAATCTCCTATTCCAGGCTTGTATTCTCCTTCAACAGCTTCTTGTGTAGTAAGATAATAATAAGTATCATCGTAATAAATAATATATTTATTCAAAGAATCATATATTGGGGTTGGGTGGACTAGTCTCAGTTTTTCTCTGATAGGAATTTTTTTCAGGATTTCTCTTGACATTCGATAAGGACCTATAAAGGCTTCAGGCTGGCATGAAAATGTAGCATTTTGCAGCTTAGGGTCCCAGTCTGGGTTGTGGTGGGCTTCATTAGACTTGAAATGGGAAGAATTTATTTGTGATCTTGCCCAGACGTGCTTATAATCAATCGCTTTTAGGCCATCTTTTATTGTTTCTTCTTGCCATTGATACATTTCTACTTGTCGTTTAAGCAAAAGTGCTTCAGAAACTGTTACTATAGGCAGAAAAGGGTCTTGGAGATAAAAAGGTATGCCAACTTGTAAGTTTCCTGCAACGAATATTAATTTCCCGTTATTTCCAGAGTCAATAATAGGTGGTGCATCGATTACCACGTTAAGACATTTGTTAAGGAATTTTTGAGTAATTTGGTAATTCCATTCAAAATATCCTCATATAGCTCCTCCGACTACAAGAATAAGAATACCAAGCACTAATCCTACAACTGAGGCTGAGTTTGAAGGTGTCTCAGGAATTGAAGGCAAGTCGCTATAATTTTCTGACCCAGATTCTTGTATAGTGTTTTCTGTAGTGATAGAACTGTCTGAGCTATTTGAAGGATAAGTGTAAAAACCACTGCAATAGCAGAGTAATAAGCAGTAAATCAAAATTGTAATGTGGAGAACCATTATTTAATGTCTATTAGGATTTGTACATCTTTTTCAGCTATGAATTTCAATATATTTTAAGTTGTAAAAATGCGTAAAATAATAACTTTTTTTAGAAAATGCAAGAAAAATACAAACTCCCTGCTTGCTTGAGCAAGAAAGATTTTAGAGGAACAAGCCAAACTGCAACTCCTTCTTCAAGGCAGGCAAAGACGCCTAAATTAAACCGGATTTTTTCAGAATCAAAATTATTTTCAGCTACTACAACGAACCTTTACAAAAATAATTTTAATACTAGCCAGCCTGACCAAACATATCTGGCCAAGATAAGGCCAAAACACATTAGGATTGATAAGGAAAAACTATACGAAGAAAATATCACATATAAGCACATGATAAATGCATTAAGCGAAGAAAATACAAAATTAAAAACCAAAATATCTCAAATGGATCATGAGATGCAAGAAAAAAAATTATACCCAAATACACCTATTGTAACTCAAAAAGGAAAATCCCAAGTGCATTTGATAGAAAATTTAAAAAGCACAATAAAAGAACTCCGAAGTGAGCTGCAAACAAGAAACATGGAATATGAAGAGCTGAAACGCTCAGTAAGAGTCACAAAAATGAACGAAGTCACTGAAGAGCTAAAACAATATATTAATGAATGCAAAAGATTGAAAAGAGCCAATGATGAGTTACAAGAAGGCTTAAATAATCCTCCCAATGCAATGGGAGGCTTAGCGGGACTTACTGCATATGGAAAGCTGAAAATAGAATATGAGCAGCTTGAAAAAAGCTTAAGGCTTTATCAAGAATCTGATAAGATGAAATCTGAACAAATTGCTGAGCTTAAAAGATTATTCAACCAAAGCGAGCAAGGGGTATTAATTATTGATGAAGAGCCAGTTTCTAAGAGATCCAATAGAAGTGCTGAGATAAATGACCAAAATAACAAGGAAATAAATAAACCAAATGCTCAAAAGAAAGAAGCTCTAATACCTTTAGAAGGAAACAATGAATTTATTAAGAATGAAGCTGGAGATATGACTAATCGAACTAAATTGATTTTGAAAAAGCTGCAGTTATTTTTGAAGATAAATAAATTGCAGCCGAAAGACTGGATTGAGACAATTCCTAGATCAATTCAAGGAATATTGTCATTAGATGAACTATGAAAAGCATTAAATACCGGAAAAATTCCTATAACTAATGAAGAAGTCCACATATTACTTCAGCAGCTTGGAGAAAACGACAATCAAATTTTATGCTCAGTCTTAGTTGACGAGCTCTCTGCAATGGACCTAAGAAAGCCTTCAATACCTTCCAGTATCCTAGAAATTGGCACCCCAAAACCAATCTCAAAAAGTGATGCTCAGATAATTCTAGGAGAAATTCAATGCAGACTCGCCCTTTTAAACATAAAAGACTTGAAAAAATCATTAGAAAATGACCTCAAAAACGACTCATTTACATTTTCAGAATTAATTGAAATCTTTAATGACAAATATTTAAAGATCGAAAAAGACGAAGACAGGACAAAGCTAGCTAAATATTTCCTCTGCAATAAAACAAGTATTTCGAAACAAGAATTGATTAATATGATCATTAGTGAAACAGAAGACTGGAAATTTTTAAGTCCTAGTGAAATTGATAGTGCAATTAAAGGAATTAAAGCAAAATTATGGGAAGGCTATGATGACCTTTTAACAAGAATTAAAAGAAAACTTGCAAGCGAATTTATCCCAGTTTGAGATTTAATTGATGAAATGAAAATATATGGATTTATAAGTATATATTTATTTTTGTAAATTTAAATTTGTGGTTTTTAATGCAAAAATTAAGAAAATCATTATAAATTAGGATACACCTGAGCAAATATTATTTTGCAAGGAACAGTTTTTCTCATATGAAAAGTCAATGAGTAGAGTGCCTTATGCGCAAGCACTGAAAGATTTAAATAAATTAGTCGTAAAAACCCAAGCAAAAGAAAATTCATTTGTAGAACCACAAGAAAGCTCAATTGAAATTAATAAAGATGAAGAAATCTCTGGGTCTCATAATGAAGAAAATAAAGAGTATATTTATTCTCAGCTAGAACCTGCTCTTTCTGAAGATGAGCCATTTTCAGATATTGAAATTAGTAAAAATATGCTAGAATCTAATAAAGAGAGCACTGCAATGGCAAATATTTTAGAGATACCTGATGAAACTCATGCAAAAGCAAGTGAAAAGCCTTCTTTCATTGAAGAGAAAATTGAAGAATTATAGAAATTAGCAAAATTAATTTTTTAACTTATGAGATAAATCTATCAATTAACGAAAATATGCAGAGTAGCATTATAAAATTATTTTATAGCCTAATTCTCTTTCAACTAATATATTTTATCAATTCTTTACTTAAAATCAAACAAATAATTTGAAAGGCTACAACTATTTTTCTCTGCGACATTTCCTCGGGTTTATACAGTCAAATTTTTTTTCTAGTCAATATTTGGTCCAAAATAAAAGTTTTTTGCCGAAAAAAATATCTAACAAAAAACCCCAAAAAATGTCTGCAAAGAAAATTAAGAACTAAAAGACATGCTACTAATTCGAAATATTTATTAATAAATTATTACTTAAGCTTAATTCTGATGATATCTCATGATTTCTTGTATGAAATATTCTCTCAGCTGCTGCGCTGTAATATTTTCCACATGCTCAAATTCAAAATCTGCAGGCACTTCGGCATCAACCTCTTTTTGCACGTCTCTAACACTATCAAAATAATTATTCCTCAAGGCCTCAATGCAAGAAATCCTATTTCTCGGGTTAAACAAAATCATATGTTCCATCAATTCTATCAGAGCTCTATCTGAATGCGGATAAATCAAAGCCAGGCTTTTCTTTTCTCTTGTTCCAAAAGAATTCAAATAAATAAGTGCTTTATCGTCAGTGATAAATTGCTTATCATTATCATCAGGAGTCCCAATTACTTCAAAAATTACGTTTAGCTGGTCACTATTGCTTGAAGGAAAGCCAGCCCTTCTCATTTTGGTATGATGGTCTGGGGACAGTGGGAAACAAGAATTTCCAGGGAAAAGTGGGCTTCTGTCCATAAAAGTGGGAGCGTTCTCTCTTAGCATTCCACATAGCTCAGCAATGACACAGCCTAAGCTCCACACGTCAATTGCTTTGGTGTATTCTCTTTCTAGTAAAATCAGCTCTGGAGCTCTATACCATCTGGTGACCACATGTCCAGTCAATTCAGTTTTCGTCTGAAGTCCTGGCTTGCTTCTCACCAGTTTTGGTTTTCCTTGTGCTTTTTCTGGCTTTGGGTGTTTATCAACTGGGTGTATATCGTCTTGTTCCATTTCCATGGCTAATCTGCTGCAAGAAAATCCTAATCATTTTTTCAGTATGTATTCTATATTAAAATCGCTAAAAATATATTTTTTAAAATAAATCCATTGAAAAAACTCATTTAAAAAATTCTATGACCTTTTTTGTGAAAAATTTTACATGATTTTTTTATTTTTATTCATTTAAAAACTCTAATAAAATCTAAATCACCCATTTCCATGTCAAGACTATCTTTATTCTCCTCAGTCACACTTCTAGCTAAGCCAAAATCACAAATTTTTACTTCACAATCTTCATTTAGCAGTATATTTGCAGGCTTGAGATCCCTATGAAGTATATTTGCGCTGTGAATATACTTAAGCCCACAGATGATATTGTAGGTAATTAGCTGGATGTGGTCTTCTTGTAAGTGAACTGGACTTTTAATTAGTTTTTTAAGGTCAGACTGGGCGTGCTCCATAACTACATAAAGCTCATTGAAGGTCTGGAGGTTCTTTGGGAGCAGAATTTCACGCATTTTCACTATGTTAGGGTGATTGAGGTGCTTTAGATAAATAAAATGGCTTTCTCACTCAAGCAATTTTATTTATGGGGCTGCATAGCAATAGCGGTTTAACTCTGGGGATAACCAAAAGAACTGCTCCTCAGTGCGCTCAAGAGCTCGGGTCTTTACCCCTCAGCACACCCAAGGGAGGGTGGACCCTTAGGCGGAACACGCGCAGGAGCTGAGTCGATACAAAGCTGTGGCGGCAGCGAAGCCCGTCGAAGTCGGAACGCTGTATTTACCCATGCCTTGGCGAATCAAAGTAGGTCGATCCAGAAGTCCATGGGCCCGACACGTGGATAAATATGGTGGCAGCTCTGGACACTGCTACCCCGTAGTGGACGTTAAACGTTATAAATAACTTAAGATTAAGATTGAGGTGCTTTAAAATGCTGACTTCACGCAGTAGCCTTTTACAATCGATCAAGTCATCGAAAATTTTGGTCATCTGCTTGATAGCGACACGTTGGCCAGTAGGGACATGTCTGGCTTCACAGACCATTCCGTAGCTACCTGAGCCTAGTTGCTTTATAATTTGGTAGTTTGGGCCAACGTCCCAGTCTATCACGTTGCGAGGTATGTTGAGCTTTTTTCCTGCCATTAAGTTTGTAAAACCGATTTTCAAATGTCAATATATGGCGTTGAATTATTGACTTAAATTCAAAAAGTATGGCTTATTAGACGAGTTTGGCATGAATTATTTGGATATTATTTATAAATCTACAGAGAGGAGTCAATAGAGAATAAAGAATTTGAATTTTCAGGTGAAATTGGATATGAAGTTGCTGATAATAATAATAAAAGAATCGATAGATAAGGCTTATTAAAGGTTATAAATAAAAAAATAAAATCATACAGTTTTGGGAATTTCCTTATAAGTTCTGAAAATTCTAAAACTCACCAGTTTTAGCTAACTAAAATTAGCTTTCAAATAGGGTATTTTATTTTTCCTATTAAAACTTTGGTTAGTGAAAAAATAGCTATAAAGAGATTTTTAATGAATTTAGAGTTTTGCAATGCAAAATAAATTCAAATATTTTTCATAATTTTAATTATAAAGAAAGTTTAAGAAATAGCTTAATAATTTCTCTAATCAATCCTTTCAAGTGAAAAAAATAATTAAAATATAATGGGATAAAATAAGCAAGATCTAGGTGATCAAATATATTATTATGAGCTGGCGTATAATAGGATGGCCACCACACGTCGGGACATTTTCCCACACCTGGAACCGAAATCCCGCTTGCGGAGCGTCCACACTTAAGCGGCTGCACACGTGAAAAATATCCCACATGTAGATACCCTCTCAAAATAATCCAACACAATATAAAGCAATATGAGACGATATTAACATAAAATATCTTGAACAGTTTATAATTAATTCTTATAAATGTGTGACGACCTAGAAGCCGAACTTTTAAATGATATCGTAACCCGGCGGAGACGAATGCAAATTGACCCTAAAAAGCCTCGAAATCACCGAAACTATCGTGAGTGGATGGACTTAGATAACGTGATTTCTATATGCTCTCGGAAACTTCATAATGGTCAATATCATCAAAAAGCGCTTTATATTCGTGCATCAGCCTATCTAAAGCGTGGATGGTTTCAAGAGGCAATAGACGATTGCGAAGCCCTAATTCAAAATGATAAAACCTTTGTAGGTGGCTATTACATCCGCGGGCTAGCTTATGAAAGATTAGGCGAAATTGACAAAAGCATTGAAGATTTCACAACAGTCCTGAAACTTGACCCAAATCATATAAATGCAGCCTATGCACGAGGAACATGCAGAAATAGAAAAGGGGACTATTTAAAAGCTATTGAAGACTATTCAATGGCTTTAGAAAAAGACACTGAGAGATATTCATTATCCCCAAAAAGAGAAAGAAATACGCATTCTAGTTCAACAAGTTCAAGATTAAGCACAGGAACAGCTGAAGATTTAAATATTTATGATAAATATCAAGATATAACAGCAAGCCTTTTAAGGACTTTTCCAGAGGAAAAGACTGTCAGAATTAGCCTTCTCAATCAAGATCATGAAAATAAAAAATCTGTTGAGACTTGGTTTACCCAGGGATGCTTGGCTAAAAAACAAGGCGATTTTAATAGGGCTTGTATATGTTATTCTGAAGCTTTGAAAATGAACCCAAACCATTTCAAGTCAATCTTTAACCGAGCTTTTGCTTATCACAAATTAAAAAAATTCGAAGAAGCCATTTCAGAGTACACAAGAGCTATAGACTTATTTACCAAGAATAGCCCACTAAGGAGCATTTTTGGTTGACTGGACCATAGCTGGCTTGCCAAATTCGTTGGCATGCCATATTTTTTGGCTAAACCAAATTTAAGAATGGCGGACCAAAAAATGCTCCTTAGTGGGCTATTATTAAAAAATAGGTATAGACCTAGAGCCGAATAATCCTTTTCCATATTACAATAGAGGGATAACTTATGACTGTCTTGAAGACTATGAGTCCTCAATTCGGGACTTTTCAAGCGCAATAGCTTTGGATCCTGCTAAGCCAGATTTTTATTATAATCGAGGATTTGTGTTTAGGAAGCTTGGAGACTATCAAAGCGCAATTTCTGATTATTCCATTGCAATAAAATATGATCCACATAATGTGAAAGGGTATTTTAATCGAGGATATTGCAAAGAAATGCTAGACGATCTTAATGATGCAGAAAGTGACTATGAAAATGCATTGCATTTTCAGCCTGATCACCTAGGATCTTTGAATGGTCTTGCCACAGTACAAGAAAAATTAGGAAAATACCAAGAAGCGCTGCTTAATTTTGAACAGGCGCTGAGGATTGATAATAAATATGCCCCAGCTTATAATGGCAGAGGACTTGTGTGGAATAAATTGTCAAACTATGAAAAAGCTTTGGCTGATTTTTCGAAAAGTATAGGAATAGACCAAGAAAATCCTATATATTGGCACAACCGAGCCTGCTGTAAACGAAATATTGGTAATGCTGAAGAGTCTTTAGAGGACTACAAAATGGCTATTGAGCTTGACCCTATGAATCCTCTATTATACGCTAATAGAGCTCTAGCTTTCCGTAAGCTAGAAAGATTCAAAGAAGCTGCTGATGATTATTCCAAAGAAATTGAGCTAAAATCCTCACTTTCCCTCCAAAATTGGGCACAATAATTGCAATCTTCCTGTTTTTGAAAAAAAAATTGTTTATATATAAGTGATACTTTTTATATGAAATCTATTTAATTTTAAATAGATTGAGTTTTAAATTAAAAATAAATTTTCCTATATAATTTCGAGAAATAATATAATATTTTTAAAATAGAAAATTAAAAGCAAAAATTTTGCTGTTCATTTAAGGAGGGAGATGAGTCAGTAAAAGCTTACAATAACCGCGCATTTTGTTACTCTAAAATAAACCAGCACAAGCTTGCTATTGAAGACTACAACTATGTGATTTCCATTGAACGAAATAACACCCAAGCACTTTTTAATAGAGCAATTTCTTATGAAAGAGTCAATGATTTTGAAAATGCCATCAAAGATTTTAACGCTGTAATTTTATTGGAACCTAATAACGCTAACGCTTATTTTAGCAGAGGCTGCTGCTATGAAAATCTTGGAGAACTAGATATATAGTCTTTTCCCTTGGATTTTCTCTATTTAAAAATAATTAAACCTATTGCCCAATTTTAAGGAAAATCTAATAGCAATTTGTGATTATTCGTTGGCTCTGGAATTAGATACCAAAAATGGAGGAAAACATAGTGTAAATTAAAAACACATTTATTATTCTTTATCTTTAAATTTAAAATCAATTTTCGGAAGCCTTATACGGTGAGGTATTCTCGGCTTAGGAGTAAAGCCAACGCCTTGAGCCATTTCTTCTTGAGCTTGTTCAGAAACTGATATGATGGTATCAAATACTTTTTTGCATATAGATTCCATTTGATCGATATTTTGGGAAAGCTCTGGAGCCATTTCTATTTGACTTTTTACACTTGTGTGGATATTCCTTATTCGGGTGGCTTCGTCTATAATTTTGGCTTCTTGGTGAATGAAAAAAGTGTTTTTTCCTGATAAATGGCTTAAAGTTCCCATTTTTGAGTTTATTTCGATGAGGGTTTCTAGCTCTTTTCGGCATTCTTTAATTCTTTTTATTCTTTCAGTTGCAATTGTGGTCATTTCGTAATGGATGTCAGGGAATTCTTCTAATAATGATAGAAGATCTTTTTGACTGACCGTTAATAAATCGCATAACCCAAAGGCCATAGTGTCACAAATCCTTGACATTGGGATAATTATTTCAATTTCACCAATATAAGATCCTTTTAAAAATGATTTATACACAATTTCATTCTTGGGAAGCACCAAATTTATTCTCCCAGATATAATAAAATACATTTCATCAGCATATGTGGCTTCTTGGTAGAGAAATTGTCCATCGAAAGCTTGCATAGGCTTCATTAGTGGCATAATGCTGACTATAAATGATTGGTCTTTTTCCTTGAGAAATTCGATTTTATTTACAATTCCATTGGTTCTCTAAAATTTACCAATTTTATATAAAAATATAGGCTATATATAAAAAATTTATGATAAGCCCTGAATTTTTATAGTGAAAGCTATACCAATAATTCCATTATACATAGAAATCGCCACTTCATATTTCAGCGACCTCGGGATATCATGAAAAAGTGCTTTGTTATTTTTCCACACATTTCCAGAAAACACATTATATTTTATTGCTGCCCTTATTCTTCTTTTACAGTCTTCCGAAATCCCGCTTTCTTTCGAAAATTCGTGCATTGCAGCTAATTTTGAAGAAAAAATCGCTTCTTTTGTAGTTAATCCTGATATAAAAGTAGACAGAGCTCCTAGCCCAAAAGAATATATACAGACTCCAATCATAATCCATATAATTGCGACGGTTATTTCTATATTATTTCCAGGCAAAATGTCTCCATATCCTACAGTCACTAGTGTATAAAATGTCCAATAAGTAGAAGCTATATACTGAGTTGACCAGCCTTCGTCTAAATATTGATGTCTGAACACCCAAGTGGTGCAGTCAAAATCATTGACTTTTGCAATGTAAAATCAGACGCAGCCCATAATATGTATTGATATTATCAAGGACGCAAAAAATTTAAATGTTTTTATGTATCCTAATATTTAAAAATTAAAATTTTATTATGTTTAGCTATATTTTTTAATTTAATTTAAATAAGGGTATATATTAGCCAATCATAAAGGATTAGTTTTTCCAAAAGCATATCTTGTATTAATCTGCAAAATGTCCTGAATTTTTTCAAAAAGTGCGCTATTCTCATAATGTCTATACATTTTAACAACTCTCATTATTTTTACAAGTTTCAATAATTTCGGAAATTTGGCTAATTTTAGAATTGAATTGTAAGATTTTTTCTGTGAAGTGTGCTTTGGAGCGGTTTGTCACTCAACCAAAGTCATAGGTAAGCTTGCTACAACATCTAAAATAAACCAAGTAAATATATATTTCCAAAAATTAGCTGAGAATTTTGGATTGAAATTTCCATAATTGTCATATTCGACGCTAAGCATGCACACAAAAACATCTGTAATAAATATAAAATCCAAAATCATCTCAAAAATTGTTCATCCATCAAAGAAAACGGGGTCTGTGAATGCAAGTCTTCACGGCATGATTGAGATGGTGTAAATTAATAAAATCGAGATAAGAACTGTTCAACATTTTTTAAACCTAGAAGCAGGGCCAATTTGATACCAAGAAAGCTCAGCTCCTTCTCTTGGTGGCTCTTTTTTTTCTTTTTTAAATTCAGATCGAGATTTAAGCCTATTGGTTTGTATATCTACATATTCAATTGAATCGATATGGGCATCTGTTATTTCGTCTGAAGTCCCATATAATACTATATCTGAGTATAAATTTTTGATAAAATTTTTAGCTTTAAGTTTGAATCGGACTCTTTGCCATACCTGCTTGTATTTGGACTCAAAAACTTCTGCAAAGTCTGTTTGTGCGAGGGAGTAAGGGAAATTGCTGTGGTGGGTTTTAGGGAATTGAGGACTCTTATCCATATCGATTTCTTATTTACTTTTGCATGATTCATTTTCGAGAATTAGAATTTTTATTCTTAATCAATATATTTTTCGCTATTAATTCTTAGAAGATGAAAATTTATAAATCATTTAAAGATGATTAAATAGCAACCTATTATAACTCTATTTTCTAAACAAGAATTATAAACTTTTTATGGTTATTTTATTATCATAAATTATTTTATTCTAAACACAATATTTATAATAGAAATGGGCATATATTTAAAAGCATTTATCAAGACTAAGAATATACAATCTGGTAGAAATTGTAATAGTAGGAAATGAGCTCGCTAGAAATCCAGCCTAGTGATATCGCATATTAATAATGATTTTATTAAAAAATACGTAGGCACCATTGGAATTAAAATTAAAATTAAGAAAAAATGTATTTCACAAAAAGTTTATAATATTTCAACTGTGGGACACTGCAGGACATCTAAGATATAGTCCTTTCTTTCCTTCATAATAAGAGGCTCAAATGGATCTAAAATCTAATAGGCTTGACAAATCTATTGGAATTATACACTTTTCTTATTGAATAGTGAGTTTTGTAAGCAATTGCCAACTAAAATCATACCAACTCTGCTTATAGGAATGAATTAAATCTTCAGCCTAAAGAGTTATTACTTATCAAAGTGCAAAATGACTTGCAGATGCTTTGGGGATGATTTATAGAAGGTTCTGCCAAAATAAAATATAATGTAGATAAGATTGAGGTTTAGATTAATTATTAGCAAAAAGCAGATAGCAAATGACCGTCTCTTTTGAATTATTTATTAACTATAAAATTTTGACAAGCTCCTGAAATTTACCAATAAAATTATTTAAAATCAATAATACATACAAAAAATTTCCTTTAGCATTTTATTTGTTTTAATTAAAAAATATTTCTCAGAGACTTATAATCTAAAGCATAAAATATCCTTTTTAATTAAATAAATATCATTTATGGTAAACCTTTCAAAACATCATCAGGAACATTTTCAAGATCAAAGTCAAATTTAAATTCAACTTTTGGAATTAGTTGTCTTTTATAATTTTCTACCAAATTCGCAAGAGGAACACAAGGCTTATAAAATCAAGGTCGTCTTTGCTTGAATTTTGTTTGGCATAGTGGGCATTTTGAGGTCTTTTTTTCTCCGTTTTCTTTTGCAATTTCTTGAAGCTTTAATATACATTTTTTACAAAAGCAGTGTCCGCAATCAAGGCAAATAGGAGTATCAAAAATATCTAAGCAAATTGCACACTCAAGAGAATCGCTTCTACTACTCATAATCTTTGTGAACGACTTTTAATTTATTATTAAAAAGCGGGAATTTTCTACTCAATTTTAATCAAAACTAACATTTATAAATAATAATTGGAAAAGCAGTTCGCAAGAATAATAATGGCATAAGCTAAGAAAGCGCCTTTGCACATAATATATCTATTTATCCTGCCAAATAATTCACGAGTCAAATAAATAATCTTAACTTGGAAGAAAATTTTAACGTAATATCTAAAATGGCATCAAAAAAGCCTTTCCAATTCAACAACACCTTTTCAACTCTCAGCAATGAAGGATCTACTTTTATAGAAAGCACCCAGCAATTTTCATCAGTTTTAGACGATCGTGAAAGTTTTGACGAAGAAAATCAATCTCACTCATCATTCAGTAATACAGATCATTCAAAATCCCTTTCCTATAAAAAAATTCTATCTGGAACTTTAACTCGAGTCAATACTTGCATAGAAAAAAAGAAAAACTGGTTAGAAGAAGAAAAACGAAAAAAATTCCTTGAAGAGGTCTCAAATCTCCAAGACAAGCCAAAAATAAACAGTTATAGCAAAAAATTATTAAATTCTACATCCCCAATCCATGAAAGAGTTAATGATATTATGAGAAGAAAAAGAGATAAAATTAAAAACATACAATTAGAGCTCCAGCTGAAAAAAAGAACAGAAGAAAAACAAGCATGCACTTTTAATCCCAAAAGTGCAAATACCTCTCCTCGACGTACAGCTGAACAATTTATCCAACAAGTCGGGATTTGGCACAACAAAAAACTTCAAAATCTTAAAAAAGACCAAACTGAAACTGAGAAAACCAAAGAACTGGAATTTACAAAAAATCCTTTAATCAATAAAAAATCGCAAATATTAGCACAAAAGGTATTTTCTAAATAGAGATCTAAAACACCTGTTTTTGATAGGCTATACACGAGCAAGAAAAGTACTTCTAAATCACCATCTCCATCATTTACACCGAGAACATATGAGAAGTCTTTGGAACTTTCTCAAAAGCTAAACTTATCAGGTGTTTTTGAAAGACTTTACCCTGATTCAAAATCTAATACATTGAAAATTTTAATAAATAGCAATTCACGAACTCCTACTCATGAAAAATCAACAAAAATGCTCAGAGATAAGTCAAGAGAGAAAATGGCTCCATACAAAATTAACACAGGAAAAGGAGCCATCCTAGAAAATTCTGTAAATGAGGTAAAGTTTGAAAATACTATGAGATTTCTACTGAGCAGTTTAAAGCAGTAAATAATCAAAATTGCTAATAATCTATTTCTTATTGTAGAATTCTTTGATATTTTTCATTTTTTATTTCTGCCTTTTATTAATAGAATAAGATATTAAAGCATTATAAGATATTTCCAAAGGGATAAAATATTCGCTCATATTTATTATATTAAACAATTATCTTCCGGCTTTTTCACATATAAAATTTCTTTTTAGCTTTTTAAAACTGTTTATATACTCTAATAACCATATATTTTTTCCATTCAAGCATTTGATAACTACCAAATCACTATAAAGACAAAAACTATAACAATTTACTAATAATTCGTTTTATTTTTATCATAAACTTGGCTTATTATTCTTAATTTATTATTTTTTTTGATTTCAGCAGAATTCAATATGATATAACCGATTTCTTATTAGCTCTATAAAATGTCAAGTGATGAAGATGAATGGGGGTGGGACGAAGAGGAAGAAGAAAACGACTGGTATGCTTCAGAAGAAGTCCCAGACTTATCTCGAGGAGTTTCATATATACTTATGAGCGAAAAAGATATAGCTGAGCGCCAAATGCAAGCAATCGCCAAAGTTTCAGATCTTTTAGGTTTCACGAATTCCCAAGCTGCAGCACTCCTTATGAAATATGACTGGAATCCTCAATTAGTCTGCCAAAGAATTACTGATTCTAGGTTTGATGATATTGCGATTCTTGACAGAAAAACGTCATTTCGCAAGTCAAATGAAAGCCAAACCTGCATGGTTTGCTGCCAAAGAGTCAAAGGCTTTGATATGAGAGGCTTGGACTGTGGGCACATGTTCTGCAAGCGCTGCTACACTGGATATCTCACGGAAAAGCTAAATGAAGGAGTTGCCTCAGTATTTGCTACCTGTCCTATGGATGGATGCAAAATGATTGTGCCTGAAGAACTGTTTCAAGACCTCCTTCCCTCACAACTTTTCCAGAGATACAAACGATTTTTGTTAACTCCCCCTTGATGTCTGTGGGCGAAGAAAACCATTGGAAAAATCCTATTTTTTGCCCAAAACCCCACCCTCCAAAAATTTTGTTAATAATGAAATCTCCAGCTGTTTCTGTTTAATTTTGAAAAAATTGCATTCTAAAGTATAAATTTTATAAATTAAATAAATTTTGGTTATCACATCGAGAGGGGGAGTAAGATCTTTTGTCGATAATCGCCAAACAGTGAAATGATGCCCAGCCCCAGGCTGTCAATATGCAGTCGAATACCCCAAAATGAGAACTAAAGATATAGTCTGCAAATGTGGCTACTCATGGTGCTTTAAATGCGGAAAAGAAGCTCATCGTCCTTTAGATTGTGAAAAGCTTAATAAGTGGAACGAAAGAAATTCGGGAATTGGGCTGTCTGGAGAAGATGATTGGCTTGTTGCAAACACAAAACAATGCCCAAGCTGCAAGGTCAGGATCCAGAAAAATCAAGGCTGCATGCATATGACTTGTAAATGCGGGTATCAGTTTTGCTGACTTTGTGGGGGAAACTGGACTGAACATGGAGAAGCTACAGGAGGTTACTATAAATGCAATAAATTTGAAGCCAAACAAAAAAGAGGTGAGCTTTCAGCTGAAGAGCGCAAAAGAGCTCTAGCTGCCCAAAGTACCCAACGTTACGAGCATTATTTTAACCGTTTTATGGAGCATAAATCCTCAATCCGCTTCGCAAAAGAAAAAAAAGCAAAAATGCTTGCAAGTGTTGACGCAATGAAACAAATTTTAAGTGGGTATTCTAGTGACTTTAATTTTATAGGAGAAATCTGTGACCTTATTATCAGCTCTAGAAGCTCTTTATGCTATTCTTACCCTCTTGGATTTTTCTTAACTTCTCCTTCTAAGCTGAGATTTTTTGAATTTGTGCAGGCTGAGCTAGAAAATTCGTTAGACAAGCTTGACGAGTTTACTGATAAAAATTTAGACGGCTATGTAATTGACACTGAAAGCGGGTTTAGGCTTGACCAAGCATTTTTTAATTATAGAAGTGACGCTTTAAGGCTGGCAGGAGTGGTCAGAGAGCATATCAGTAAATGTTTGACTGAGATGGAAAATGGCTTCCCAGATGTACTAGGGACTGATGAGCATGGAAAAACAGAAGAAGACTTGATTTTTTTATTAGAAGATGAGTCATTGTCACATTGGATATGCAGCTCATGCACCTATGCAAATGAAAAAGGCAAAACTGTCTGCGATATTTGTCAAACAGCAAGACCAACACTACGTAATTAGCGATAAATATTATTTTAATCATTATTCTTGAACAGCAAAAATGTCCCCCCTCCCTTCTAGTTCTCTGTTTCTTTTTATTAATTTATTTTTTTCTAATGTCATTTGGTTGAGCAGCTTAGTATAATAAGCAGAAATCGCCTTGTGCTCGTCTCTCCATTTTTCGCCTAGTTTGGCTTGTGAAGCTACAAATTCATTGTATTTTTCTTCTGCCAGTCTTTGTCTTTCTCTTGCTTCTGCGATGTTTCTTTCTACATCTACAAGTTTGGCGTTATAGCTTGCCCCTAATTCTTGAGTTTTAATATAGAAATCGTCTCTCAGCTTATTAAGCTCTTCTACAAGATTGTCTCTTTCTTTAGAAACTTCTTCAAATTGGCCTTTGTGTCTTCTGCTTTCTTCTTTGCTTCTTTTTAAGGATGCTTTTATTGACTCAATTTCTCTATTAGAAGAATGTATAAGGTGGGCACGCAAAGCGTGCCCTAATACTAGATTGATAAGAGCCTGAATTGATATAAAAAGTATATAATTTAATTTTTTAAAGTTGCTCGCCAAAAGCATGTCCATACTATATCAGATTTTCATAATTTTTCTTAAGCCTGTCCCATTCTTGTCTTTCATATCCGTACTGTTCATTCTGAGTCTCCAATAATCTTTTTTCAGTCAGCCTAACTTCTTCAGTCTCCCTCATCCTTCTCTCATACTCATCCAATCTTACATTTATGCGTTTTTGTTCTTCTTGGAGTACATTTTCAGCCCTCTGGACATCTTTTGCCAACGACGAGTTATCTCTAGCTAGTCTTTCTGCTTGCAGCTGCAGTTCATTATTTCTTTCCTGTATCGACTTCAGCTCATCATCCCTCGTCGCTAACAGATTTTTATGTTTATTTCTCATAGAGTCCATCATAATATCAAATTTGGCTTTCTGTTCTCCAAGCTCGGTCCTCAGCTGTTCATTTAGTCTTTCTATTTGTCGCTGGTACTGCTGGTCCTTCATAGCCATTCTATCTCTTTCTAAAAAGGCGTCTTCTACCCTCTGCTTGGCGTCTCTTTCTCTTTGGTCTAAGGCTTCTTCTTTCTGCTGATATTTTGCGAGTTTTTCTTCATAGCTGTTCATGATTTTTAGCATGTTTTCGCATTCATTTTTAATGCTGTCACATTCACGCTTATAGTAATTCGCTTGATCTTTGGCTTCTTCTAAGTCTCTTTCTTGCATTATAGATTTATTGGTGAGGTCTCTGTCCCTTATAGAGTTATTGTGAGCTTCTTGTATCAGCATTTCGATTTCTTCAGACTTTTTGGCGTCTATTTCTTCATAAGCTTTTCTATAATATTCTCCATTCTGTTTGGCAAGTCTCAGCTCATTTTGTATTCTGTTTATCAAGGTATTTTGTTCTTCTCTTTCCCTTTCTAAGTTTCCAAGCCTTTCTTGAGCTTTTTTCAGTTTTTCTTCAGCGATTTCTTTATACCCTCTGATTTCTTCTTCATTCATCTGCAGATTTCTATGATCAGAAATAAGCTGTTTTAGCTGAGACCCGTATTTTTCTGCAGCTTCGTCCCTGTCCTTGGCTACTCTTTCTAATAGCTCATTTCTTGTTTTAAGGGCTTCAAGCTGCTCTAATAATAAATTATTTTCTGTTGATAATAAATCAAGACGCTCCTGCATTTCGTTTTTTTCTTCTAAATAGAATGCAGCACCAATCCCGCTGCTTTCTAGCTCTTTGCGCTCACGCTCTAGCATTTCGTGCCATCTCCGGTCCATTTCTTCACGCAGAGACGAGTTTTCAGCTGTAAGGCGCTTTGTGTGCTCTCCTATATCTATTAAATTTAGTTTATAATATTTTCTATTGAATTATGTATAAAAACTAATTTTTTTATTTTTTTTAAGCTGGGATAATAAGGAATAGCTCGTTCCAATGCAGACTCCAGCTCATGAATTCGGTTATCATAGGCTAAAAGTAAAGGGGAAAGAAAAACTGTATTCGCCGCCCATGGAGGTATAGATGGGTCAACTAATAAGTCAGACTGCGCTGGGAGTTCTTGACTTTGATTGATTTGATATCTCCTAAGCTCTTGGTTTAACCGATTATTAAGGTCGTGCAAGTCATCATTTTCTCTTTGGAGGCTTGCAATTTTCTCTTGAAAAATTTGAATGTCTGCCATAATATTTATTCAAACGATGAATTAATCTTAAATTTCAGCCTTTTCCTACTCTTAGTAATTCTTGAATAAAAAATTTTTTATTTAAATTATCAGTTATTAATTATGCTTATTTATATAATACACAAACTTTTTATTCAAATAATCATAGAATTTATATTAATTTAACAAATCATAAGAAATGACTGCTGTTTGCACCCCAAAAATAGACTCTCCGAATAATTCAAGGATTCTATCTGACCATGAAGAAGATAAACAGAACTATTTTGCAGACCATAATATGAACCCTACAATAGCTTTGGATCGGAGAGGGACATATTCGAGAAAGCTGTTTCACAAGATCCCTTTGAAGTATTGGTGGTATTCAATATTTTTTGTGATTTTTTTAAACCAAGTGCTGATTTTAGGAGCATTAGCGACTCCTCGCTGAGTTAAACAAGGAGATGAGCCTAATAGGTGAAAAGGAGGACTAATTAAATGTGGGTCTTGCAATGGAAGATGGGAAGGGGAATATTATGCTTTTTATATTAATTTTGCAAATAAATTATTATTTTTTTTTAAAAACAATTAAAATATCCAAATTTGCATATATGGCAATCTCAAATAAAGCTTGTGACGATGATATGGACGGATACTGCGATACTTTTTCAATGCTACTCAAAGCAGGGATAGCGACTGCTGTATTTGAAATTCTTGCACTTTTATTTTTAAATATATGAGAAATGCTTATTTTTGTGGAACTCAGAGGGATTTTTGTATTAAAAGACTGAATTGTGTATTTCATTGTCGCAGCAGCTTTTATATCAAACACATTTGCAATTGCGATTTGGTTTGGAGTCACAGGAGCTACATTTAATGACGACTGCCACAAAGCTTCAAGTATTAAAAGCCATGAAAAGGTCTGTGCAACAGATGGACCAATTTTGATGATTGTTACTGAAATTTGGATACCAATTACATGCATCTTTTTTTATTGGGTTTATAACAAAAGGTGGACAATTGTGCCAACTGAAAGTGCATCTGAGGCGACTACAGGAATTTTAAGGTAATATAAATTATTATTTAAAGATATTTATTGTAATCTATATTATACAAAGCAAAGTTAATTTTTATTTTAAGATTTTTCCGATATTTCTATTCAATATATTTTCTGCAAAGCCAAAACTTATCCAAATAATTATATTTTATTATTGTTATTTTCTATATCTGTCCGTTGTTTTACATATTTTCCATCACCTCCTTCCTCTTCTTCATACTCATTTTTTGATCTTTTATAATATGATTGCATGATAGGAACGGTCCATAAAATCGAAAAAATGCATACCATGATCATAAAATTAAAAACAGCGTCCCAACTGTACTCTTGTAATGCTCCGATCTAAGGACCCCCCCTAATTTGTCGAATTTTCTAGTCTTTTTTTTATAAAATTTTTTTTTTTTCAGGACCTCATTTGTCCCAAAATCTAGTCAAAAATGATTTGTCCAATTTTCTAGTCTTTTTTGCATTTTTTCGAATGCCCTAAATTCTAGTTTTTTACTTTAAAAAAAACTAGAAAATGAGACAATTGAGGTCCTGAAATTTTTTTTCTCTATCAAAATTTTGACTAGAAAATTGGACAAATGAGGTCCTAAAAAAATTTTTTTTCCTATAAAAAAACTAGAAAAATGGACAAATGATAAAAGACTAGAAAATTGGACAAATGAGGGGGAGGGGGGTCCTTATATGAAATTTACAATAAATTGACCTAAACTAGCTCCGATACCTCCTGAGCCATCTACGATGCCAGCGATTGTTGCCTTGGCTTCTTCTTTGTTAGCATTTGCTTTGGCTTGGCCTAAATCAGCTGCTACAACTGAAGAAATAAAACATGTGAGTCCTCCTAAGGCTGCACCGAGCAGTGGTATTAATATAAAAAAATACCACAATGTGTCAGAAGTGCCGAGTTTTAAACAAAATAATAGTGGAATTGTAAGAACTATTACAGGGGTGGTAACTAAAATTCTATCTTTTGTTTTGTCACTAACCCCCTTTAATAGGGATGAAATATCGGTAAAAATTTGTAGAATAATTATCTTTAATTAGAACAAAAATCTTATTATTTTATGGCTAAAATTAATAATTTCTATGTAAATACCTTTAATACTAATATTAATATTGCAAGATTAAAAATTTTTTTATTTTAATAGGAAAGTGTAAAAAACATTCAGACAAAATTAAGAATTAAAACAGATAAATTCTATATAGTTTTTTGTTAAAAAATTAACCCTTTTTTAAATAGAACAAAAATTTTGGTTCAAATTTAAAAGGGGAGTAAGCCAGCCTAATATAATAGTCCCTATTGTTCCTCCGAGATCATAAGAGCCCACCATCAGGCCCATTTTCTCACCTTTTACTCCAATTTTTTTTTTTCTAATTTCTGCTTAATAGCAATAAAAAAGATCACACATTTTTTGAGTTAACTATTAAAATTAACAAATTTTCATTCTTTTAACCGATTTCTTGCTTGATATTGAATTTATTTTTAATTTTTTTTTATTTTTCAGTATTTTCAAAAAATAAATAATATGTATATATTTTTTAAAAAATTAATAGAAAAAAATTACCACAGGCTAAGAAATAAGGCAACCACATCATTAATCCATAGTTCATCATTTTGATTCCTGAATAAGTCAATGAGTAAAAAATCACCCCAGGTATCATACAAGCTTGCCTAATTGGAATTCTTCTTCTTTCAGGTATTGCTTGGATTTCTCTGGGGCTAATTCCAGGTGCTGTAATCAACGCAGAATCGACTTTGTCATCCACAGTGGCCCAAAATGCAACAGCTACCAATACAAGTAAAGATACCATTAGAACTGTTACATACTCCCAGCTTACCCCTTCAGCATACAGTCCTGCTGCCACTTGAGATCCTACGATATTTCCAACTACAGTATTTGCACTTCACAATCCCAATATTTTTCCACGAGAACCTTTAGAAAACCAAGTCCCCATAATTGCTACAGTACCCGGCCATACAGCAGAGAAAAAGAATCCTAAAAATCCGAAGAAGCCAATATAAGCTCCTGGATGAGTAACATTTAATAGTGCTAGTAAAATAATCTGCTTATTCTCGCCCCTCCGTGGGGAACAAAAGCATCTTGTTCGCTCACAAAGGGGGTTTAATTTTTTTTTTTAAAAATTTATAGAAAAAAATTCCTAATTCGTAAAAATTAGAAAGCAAATATTAATTTAATTTGTAAAATTATGTTTTTAAAAACGCGATTTGTTTAAATTACACAGATTTCATTATAATAATTATCGCTTATATATTAACATGTTTTCCAATAAAAAAAATTTTTCTATTAAAAACATTTTGTTCACTCACGGAGGGGGAGTTAGAACTTACAATCAAAAATACACCACCAGCCGATAGCATTGATATTGAAACTACCATGACAACAGGATATGAATCTCCTAGTATTCCACTAATAAAATTTCCTGCTGCATAGCACATCAGAAAGACCATATCAAAACTTCCTAATCAAGTAGAGGAAAATCCCAAAGTCTGATTTACTTCTGGTTTCGCCATAATTCAGCTCTCAAGCACAGCATGCCTTGATAGATTGCATAAAAAACTCAAAATAAAGACAATAAGCTGGGATTTGACAAGCCGATTCATATTTAAAATAAATTTAAAAAAATTGATTTATATTTTACTTATTTTAATCTATACTTTATTATTAAATAAACTTATTGAGCGATTATTCAATCAGCTCAAATACATCTTCAACTGTATTTTCTGCCGGCTCTAGCTCTCCACCTATTTCTGCAATAAATTTGTTTATTTTTGAGTTATCGATCACTGATTTTTCTTCTTTGATTTTTCTTTCTTCTACGACCTTTATAGGTGAGCTGCTCCCTTCAGGAAATCCAATCACAGGGATTGTCTGATTTTCGCCATCTTTTTCAGCAACCATTGAGGCTAAATGATTTAGTTCCCATTTCGCTATATCAGTCCTCAGCTTAATCCCCATTTCTTTATTTTCTTCTTTTGCTTCTTCTTTTATTACAGACACTCCTGGCCTCCTTGAAAACAATTTATGTTTTTTATATCGGCTCGTCAAGGCCAATTCCACATATCTTGTCCTTTCAATTTCTCCATTTTGCCCATATTTTGTAATTTTTCCTGGAATTTCTGAGCATGGAGGTGCTTGTGAGCCTTCAAATTTAAATGACCCATCTAAAGATTGGCTTCCGTCTTGCAAAAAATTTGCAATTTTAATAGATTTGTTTTGAATATACAGACATAAGCTTTGCTTAATTCTGTTATAGCCAGCAGCGTGATAAAGATGATAAGTGTCCATAGCGATTTCCTTGGCATTTTTTATCAAATTTTCTTCCTCAGTCCCTGGCACTAGCATTTTTAAGTCTTCTATTGATTTCAAGGTAATAGCAAAAAGCTCTTCTGGGTATATTAAGGTTAATAAATGCAGCTTAAGGTTCATAATCATCATTTTAAAGAGCTTGTCTATCCCGTTACGTGGCCGCAGTGGAGAGGTTTTGAAAAGTCCTTCAAAAAACTCTTTAGTTCGCTTTATGCTAAAAAGCTTTTGAGGTTTAAACAGCTCTTCGATAAGGGCGTAGGAATAAAGCCGAGAGATAAGATCTTGTTTTAATTTCATTCCTTTTTCTAAAGAAATGTTTTGTTCGGAGATTCGGTTGTTCAGAATTCTTATCATATCGGCACCTAGAAATATAATGAGAATTGGAAGACTTGCATTTTCATCACTCATATTTATGAAAATGTTGTTAATAATTTAGTAATAAAGAATTATTCACTAGTTAGGTTAAGTTTTATGATTCAAAATATAGTGTATGATACTAAATAAGTAGCAAAAAAGAAGAAGGTTTTATCTATAAACGTGATTTATAAAATCCTTATAAATTAGTTTATAATGCTAAACAACACAAAAATCTCTTAGTCTCTATAAAATCAATAATTAACTACCTTCATTCTATTTATTTATTTACTCATATTATCAAATATAAAGTCTCCTCTATATATTTATCAGTCGAAAATGGCTGTATTTACTAAAATCATGCATAAAAGGAAGCACTAAAGAAGCCACCTTTATTGTCTCTATCAGACAAAACAGAAACAAAAAGGAAAAAAAAGATGGAAACTCCCAAGAAGAAAGTTCGGAAAGTCACCATTTCAGCTTTTTTCTGTAAATAAGGAATCAAAAACAACGAAGTTTGACAATTTTGGAATCCCTAATGGCCAGTCACTCCTAAGTAGAAAAATTCAAAGGAATTTTTTTGTAAAAAATAAAGAAAGGTCAAGCAATCCAAGTACAATAATTAAAAGTCCGATAACAGCACCAATCAAACGACCGCCATCGCTTAAAATAAGAGCAATAGCGGCTAATCTTGGAAGGAATTCTTTAAATCCAAAAGTCGATGTAGATCCAAAATAAGCTCATATGATGCATTAAAGAAAGCAGAGAACGTAAAATAGATTTAATTCAAGATAATATAAATAATTATTGTAACTTTTAAATATTATTTTAAAATAAATTATATATAGCTAGAATGCAGCTTAATCTCCACAGGAATCATTCCCTTTTGGCTAATCAAATCTGGCATGCCCGAGTTAAAAGGAATTTGACTACTCATAAATAAAGAAAAACATTGCGAGCCTGCCATTTTTTAGGTGATTTATAAGAATTCATGCCCTATATAATGATATATCAAGATGAATTTTCTAAGGACTCGCCTGAAACAAACAAATTTGTCAACTCGCCTAAAAATAGAAGACTAAAATACCGAGACTTAAGTTTTTCTGACACAAAACATGAAAATAGTCCCAAAAGTCAGCAGAGGCTTGACAGTCATAAAAAAGATAGATCACTTTCATTCGCAAGAGAAAGGCTGACTCCCTTAAAAATAAAATTGAATACCGACTTTTTAGCGAGGAACTCTGATGAATTTATTTATCAAAGTCAAGTTGAGCCATTACCCGAAATAAATGTTACTCCAATACGTTGGAGAAATAATGAAAGCGCTTTAATAAATGAGCGAAGAAATTCACCAAAAAGCCCGTTAACGGCAGGACCTATTGATTTAAATGAAAAAAAATTAATAAATTTATTTAAAACAACTCAAGACAATGGCTTTTCAAGAATGAAGTCCAGGAATGAGAAATTTTCAGCAGATTATAAAGCCAATTACATAAAACACACTCGAGAACAAGAGATAAAAAAAATGATAAATAAAACAAAAAAATCACAATACGAAGACCAGATAAATCTGAAAATTAATAATTTAAAAAAAGATAACGAGGAGCTACAAAAGGTCAAATCACCGACAAATGCAGAAATTAATGAAGCTGCTGCAATAAAAGCTGAAAAAGCTGCCTTAGAAGATGCATTAGAAAAACAAAAAAGGGAAAAAGAAATAAAAAAGCAACAAAAATTGAAAGAAGAGGAAGAAATGATTAAAAAATGGGCACACGAAAAACTAGCAGAAAAAAAGGCAAAAAAGGAAAAAGAAAAACAGCTTAAAATGCTTGCGAATGAGCGGGAAATTCAGGCTCAAGAAGTCCAGCTGTCGAAAATGCAAGAAAAAGAAGCATCAGTTATAGAAACGAAAAAAATCCTGATGAAAACGATGAAAGATATGGAAGATTTTGAAATACGCAGACAAGAATTTTTCAAACGAAAAAATTTAATAAGCCCAGAACTCGATTAAGAAATGAATAAATCGATTTACAGTAATATTTCCATTAAAAAAATTAATATTTACCATATAATTAGCAGGAGAAGGCTATATTATGTTAACCTTTATTTATAAACTAATAAGATTATTAAGGAAAATCTATTTTGTCTTTAATGTTCCCAAAAAGCTTTGGATAATTCCATAATCTGCCTCACTGACTCCTCGCACATACTTTTTAGTCGTAATAATGACCTCGCTGAAAATGATGCACTGAGGCTTCTTCCTTGTTTGGAATAAAACTGACGTTGGATGGATATGAATGATTTCTCTGTCTTTAATTGTCCGATAATGTGTCCCATCAGCTGACAAAAATGCTGAATTCATATAGTAGCCTTTCGCAAGACATTTAAGAATATTCTCATTTGGCGCATGGACCAATGCAGGATTGTATTTTTTAAGGTACTGTCTGAGCTGTTTTCTTATCATGCTGGCTCTTTTTATCGAAATTCTATTCAGCCCATGTGTTTTGCATCAGGATTTTGTTTTATTTTTCCGCCATTCCTGATATATTTTTAAAAATGTCAAATGGTCGCCTTCACTGCATTTAAAAATCTGCATTGCGTTGGCTTCTTTTCTATTAAAATAGCACAAATTTTCGACACTTAATAAAGCGATAATAGTCAAAATATCTTTTGTGCACTGCAACTGTGGCTCAAGCGACGCAAGCAGAATTCTAGCAAGTACAGGCGGTACTGGCAGCTCAGCCATTTTTCTGCCAAGTAACGTAATCTTTTCTTCGCCATCTAAAGCGCCCAATCCTCTTAACTCTTGTGTAGCTTTTTCTATATATATCTGTATAATTTATATATAATCTTATTTAAATTTTGATAAATTTAATAGCTTTTTCTGTATAAATTTGTATAAATATCATCTGGCCTGTCCATAAATTTAAACAGTCTTGGGTCATGCCCAATAATTTTCAGCTGCAAAACCACATTTCCTAAATTGGACCTTGTGATTTCAGGCTTTGAATAGTCCTCAAACCCATTAAAGTCTTCTGATGTAAAAAGTCTGAAACAAATCCCTTCACTTTCTCTCCCAGCTCTTCCAGCCCTTTGTTTTGCAGCTGCTTTGCTGATTTTTACAATTTTCAAGCTTTCCATGCCTGTTCTTGGGTCATAATTTCTTTCTTTTACCACTCCAGAATCAATGACATATTTGACTCCTGGGATTGTCAAGGACGTTTCAGCTATATTGGTCGCTAGGATTATTTTTCTTGTGTTTTCTGGGGCTGATTCAAAGGCTTTCATCTGTAGATGTGAAGGCAAAGCAGCATACATAGCGCAGACTGTAAAGTCCATGGAATTGGTAGGAAGAAGCTTTCTTTTTCGCAATAAAATGGCTTGCACGTCCTCAATTTCTTCTTGGCCAGTTAAAAATACTAAAATATCGCCAGCAGGATAGTCAAGGTGAACCTGGACTATCCCTATTACAGTCGCATCAATATGGTCTGGCTCAGGAACTGCTGCATTGAGAATTTTCACAGGGAAAGTCCTACCATGTACTTCGATTATTTCTCGACTGGAAAAAAATTCTGCAAATCTCTGTGCTTCAATAGTGGCTGACATAATGATGACTTTTATATCATTTCTTTGTGTTATTATAGCCAAGGAATGGTTTTAGTCTAGATAGATCACAGGCAACTTTTTCAGCTTAAGTTGACAAGCCAACTTCTGTCTTATTTGCCTCTCAGACTTGGGGAGTTGCCTGAGTTTTAGCAGATTATCCAAAATGGCTTATAGGGTATAGTTCTCTAATAAGCCCTAATATAATATCAGTATTTGTGGTGCGCTCATGAGCTTCATCAATAATCAAAAACGAATAATTCCTCAAAATTGGGTCAATTAATGATTCTCTAATAAGCATCCCATCAGTCAAAAATTTTATTTTTGTATTTTCTGATGTTTTATTTTCAAAACGCACTGAATAGCCTATTAAAGAGCCTATTTCAGACTGCCGCTCATAGGCTACTCGTTTGGCTACAGATATAGCTGCAATGCGGCGTGGCTGGGTAATTCCAATTAATTTGTCTGAGTTAAGGGAGGATTCAAGGATATATTGAGCTACCTGAGTAGTTTTTCCTGAGCCAGTTTCACCAATTAGAATAGTCACTTGGCTCTTATTAATGGTTTCAAGGATCTTGTGCTTGTATTTGTAAATGGGGAGTGATTTTCTCTGCTTTTTGATGATTCCTTTGACCATATTATATCTTGATTCCCACAACTTTGTTTATGATTAAAAATAATCAAATATTGGATTTTTTAAAGTTTTTTAACATAAATTTAGGCAATTTTTAAACAAAATAAATCGAGCTGTATTAAGACTTTATTTAATCTTGGTCGGAGCCTTCATTGCTTTCACTGAAATCAGAAGGCAATTCCTCTTCTTCAGATTCACTTTTTCTTTCTTTTTTCTTATTTAATTTGCTGACTTTTTCTTTTCCTTTTGGTTTTATTTCTGAATACGTTGATGTGGTGGCACTTACTTTTTTAGCTGGTCTTTTTGCAAGCCTTTTATGTGGTGTTTTTGAAGCTTTGACAGGTTTTGAACCGCTTTGCTTAGTTCGTGCCATTAATATTTATAATTTGAGTCCCCCGATCTATTTATAGGGAATAGTTTGCTTTAGCGGTTTATAGCTAAAACCTCTATTGTTCCATTTTAATGTGAATATTTTCTTATACTATTTTTCTAATTAAGACACAGGAAAATGAGCCTACTTACTTTAAATGTCTGACTAAAATTAATAAAAATATATTAAAATGTACCCTTACATATATAAAAATGAGGTCGGAGAATTCTGCGAGTTCTCTTCTGAATTTTCTTCATATTTAATCCCATTATCAAGCTCATACTCATACGACCCCGGAGTATTCTCTCCTCCGCAGCTATCACTATACCCTCCTTCCCCCTCCCCAACTTCTCCTCCTTTTTCTTCCACAATTTCCCCTACAATTTCTTCAATATTCTCATTTTTTTTAGATTTTTTAAAAATACTTTTCCATCTATTTTTCACACTATTTTCTGTCCTCCCTTTGAGCTCTCTAGAAATCAAGCTCCAACGATTTCCAAACTTCTTTTGCAATGACAAAATCTTGATATCTTCTTCTAGCGACCATTCTCCTTTCTTTAAATTCGGATTCAAATGGTTATATCAACGTTCCCTGCACTGTTTTCCAAGCCTAAATTCTTTGCCTCTATGTAATTTTTCATTTAAAGATAAAGCTATAGCTTTTCAGCGCTTTGGGCCTCTATTTTGTATAAGTTCTATAAGTACGTCGTCTTCTCTCTCAGTCCAAGGGTGCCTTATGTTATTATTTCCGTCATTTACGTAAGGCCTGCATAAGGGATAATATTTACGGAAAACTCGGTCTATTTTGCAAGGGACCATCCATAAGCCTTCGTCATCAAGCTCATAGGGCATATGCGAGCTTAGGTTTTCTTCTAATTCCATTAGGGAATTCTTATAATAAAATCGTATAATGGAGGCTGAGATAGAGAGGCTTAAAGGGCTGGTGGAGGAGCTGAAACTGGAAAATGAGCAGCTTAAAAATAAAAGCCAAAGGCAAAAAATCCAAGAAATGAGCCAAGAAGTCCATGATGATAACCCTTATTCAAGACTTATGGCATTAAAAAGAATGGGAGTAGTAGAAAATTATACAGAAATTAGGAATTTTACTGTTCTTATTGTAGGACTTGGAGGGATTGGCTCAGTTGCTGCAGAAATGCTTACTAGATGCGGTATTGGGAAATTAATATTATATTTCTATATCTAAATATCTCTTTTTTATATGCTAAATCTCACAGTTTTTGGTAAAAAATAACTAATTTTTTATTAATAATTTTTAAAAAAACTGTAAAAATAATTATATTTGATTATGACAAAGTAGAGCTCGCCAATATGAATCGGCTTTTTTTCCGCCCTGACCAAGCCGGCCTTAGCAAAGTTGAAGCTGCCAAACAGACTTTATTAGAAATAAACCCAGACGTCGAAATTGACGCATTTTCTTACAATATCTGTACCATGGACAACTATGACCATTTCATCCAACAAATTTCTACAGGCGGTAAGAATGGAGAAGCAGTAAATCTTGTATTGGCTTGTGTCGATAACTATGCAGCAAGGATTACAATGAATCGGGCATGCGGAGATTTAAACCAAGTCTGGATGGAGTCAGGGGTTTCTGAAGACGCTATGTCAGGGCATATCCAAACTATCCTCAATCTCTATAAATAATTTTTCAAAAAAAATTATCAATAAATATAAAATATTTAAAACTATTTTGTATATATACCCAGGAGAAACAGCTTGTTTTGAATGTGCGCCTCCTTATGTAGTAGCCTCTGGTGGCGATGAGCACGAAATCAAAAGAGAAGGCGTCTGCGCTGCTTCTTTGCCTACCACTATGGGAGTCGTTGCAGGCTTATTGATCCAGAACACACTGAAATATTTGTTAAGATTCGGAAATGTCACTTATTATTTAGGATATTCCTCAAAAACTGACTATTTCCCGAACTATATGATGTCGCCTAACCCTGAATGCCCTTTCCGAAGATGTGTAGAGATGCAGAAGGTTTATAATGAAAATCCAGAAAAAAAAAGGGTAAAACCAGAAAATACAGAGGCTGAAGAGCAGAAAATTGAGCATGATGAAAATGAGTGGGGAATCACAATAGATGCAGGGGGAGAAGAAGAAAATAAACAGGAAGAAAATGTAGTTAAAGTAGAGAACAAGACAGAAAGCTTAGAAGATATGAGGAAAAGACTGAAAGAAATGCAGAAAAAGAGCTAATTTTAATTAAAATCACAATAACTATGAATTATTTATAAAAAACAAGAAATGGAGCAGTACTCAAAACCGACACGGCTGATTCCTTTACAGTTATACTCCCCTTTTCAAAATACAACCCCATTTAGAAGACTTATTTCTAGGGACCAAGAAAGGCTTCGAGCCAGGTCATTTAAAAACCTCAATGTCCAATCCACCAAAAACCAAAATTGCCCAGAAAAGATAATGAGTTTTGCCAGGCTTTACAGTCAGCCAGCCCTTGTTTTTACCACCCTTCATGAACGACAAATACTAGGAAGAGTCCGGAAGCCGAAAAACCTGCCTCCATTGTCAAAAACTCAATATGACAGCCGATTTCCTAAAACAACTGAAGCCAATGAAATAGACAGGAGGGCGTTTTCGCTTGAATTGTCAAGAAATAGCAGCCAGTCTGATATAATAGATGCAAAATGGGTAGGTCTAGAAACACATAAAAGCGAAAAAGTCATAGAATTTTTGCCTGATTCTGACCTGATTGAAGAAGCTGCAGAAAACCAGGAATCAGAGCTGATAGTAGAAAAGCCAGAAAACCATGATTCTGTTATAAAAACTATCGAAAAAGCTGAAGAAAGCGGAAATTTTAATTTTATTGAAGACAAAGAGCTAGAAGAAGATTTCAAAGCATTAAAAATTAGCAATATTGAAACTGTTGAGCAAGATAACAAGTCAGAAGATTTCGAAATAAATGAAAATCAGGAAAAAGAGACTGATAAAGGAGAAGAAATCGTCATACCCAAGCTGAATTTACAAATAGAGCATAATCGGCATGACGTAGAAGAAGCGACCAGTCCATTGTTAACCCCACTATCATTGCCAAAAATTCAAATTATTGAAGAACATCAAGAAGCTAGGACAGTCGCAGAAAATTCTTCTCTGACTTTTGAAGCTCCTGGGGTGATTTTAAGGCTAAATTCAATAATTATCACTGTAGAAGGGGTGGATTTTGAATTGAAAATTCCGCTTGCACTGTGCAAACATGTGATGTTTGGGACTGAGCTTGATATTATAGTTAATATCACGACCAGTGTTTTTATTGGGAATAATCAATTATATCATATATTATTAAAAATTATTTTGGACAGTTTTGTTTAGAATCCTTTATATTTATATAATTTAGCATAACTTTTATGAAAAAAGAAAATTATTTAACAAATTATGCAGAAATTTCAGCCAATAATATGCAAATTATTTTTCAGCCAGATTTTCAAAGGTCATTTCTTCTGCTCAAACCAGGCGCTGTAAAAGGAAAAATGATAGGAAAAACTATTAAAAGGCTTGAATTAGCTGGACTTGTAATGAAAGCAAGCAAAATGATAAAGCCGAGCAAAAATATTGTGCAAGAGTTTTATAAGGATTTAAAAGATGCTGAAAATTACGAAAAACTAGTAGAAGGGCTAGCAGAAGGCCCGGTCGTTGTGATGAGCTGGGAAGGGTCAAATGCGATTTTTGTATGTAGAAAAATAATTCAAGCTATAGAGGATAAACTGTCTCCAGATTCTCCACTAAGCGGCAGCTTTTATTCACCAGAAAATCAAAAAGATACAGAAAAACAGCTGAATCTATGGTTTTCCAATGAAGAGCGCAAAAACTGGGACTATCATAAAAATCCAAGAATAATAAAAACTGGACAAGCAAACCGCGCCTGGGCAATTAAGCTGCCAACGATAGAATATATAACAATAGGTGGCAGCATTATCCGTCCAATTCCTCTAGGAATCTTACGACAAATGATAGATTCCCATTTTGATAAATGGAACGAAAAATGGATGACTTATTTTAAGGCTCATGAAATAGAGGAAAAATCTCCAAGGGCAAAACGATCAGGGACAGACACAAGCTCGCTAAAAGCTAATACTGTTCATAATGAAAAAACAGTGATTTTATCACTTAATGCGCCTGAAGTCGTCATGAGCAATCATGAGCTTGAAGCTAAATATCCTTATTAATCTTGCCTTAAATTTTTATTTCATTAGAAAATCCCATAGAAAATTTCAATAAATTTAGGGTAAACGGCATACTCATTCAAAATTGAAGACATTTCTTCACTTCTAGCCATAGTAGACGAAAACGGCAAAGATTTCCTTGAAAATATCATGATAGGCTGCAAACTTTCGAGCTCAGAAATTCGGAAGAAAAAAGTTTGGAAATTAAAGCTTGCAATTGATCCTTTAGAGTTCACAGGGACCAAAACCCATAAGCTTGAAGCACATGTAGCAGATATTGACATTGACGGAACCATCTATAATTGTGAATTTTACATGCCGAGCGTTGATGTATACGACCCAGAAACAAAACATCACAATCGAATTCGCTTAGATAGCGATACATGCCAAAAACTGGCATTAGAAAACTTCGATAATTGGGAAAAAACTTGTCTGGATTATTTTGAAAAAAATAACAATTAACCATTTTAGATAATAATTCAATAATTCAAATTCAAAATTATATGAATTCTGAAAACTCATGAGGATTTATAATGAATAAATATGATTTTTTAGATATTTATAAATTTAGGAGGCTAAATGATTTTTATAGCAAAATTACAGGCTTCAAAGCAGATATTTATCGGAATGGATATATTAATTAGTAATTAAAAATTAAAAAAATAAGTTTTGGCGGGAAAGAATATTTACAGCTGCTCTTCAAAAGCACAAAAAATTGAGCATTTCTCAGTTTGATCTTGCTTCTGATAGCAGCTCACAAACAGAAACAGAGTTTCCTTCATATGAAGGATAATTAGCATGGCGGTGACGACAAAATATGTTCTTAACCACGATGCCACACTTTGGGCACCAAAATGGCTTTATAGCCTAAACCAAGGCTCAGGCCCTTTGATTCTAACCTCAGCACATTGTATGGCTGGCGTATGGGGTGGATGGCTTTGGGAGTCAACTGGTGGTCATTCCAGTCCAAATATTAGTTATCTGGATGGTTTTTGGGTCAGTATTCTTTCATTGCCATTCCGGATGGCTGTGGCTCTTTTTTCCTGGGTTTTACCCTTCCTCAAGCTCTCAGAGAGGAGGCATTGGGCTAATCTTTACTTCTATAGCACCCGAAAGATGCTCAGCACAGAGGGGTCTTCCTAACACGTTAAAACTCTGTGACGTATTACAAGCCCTTAGTCCTGGAGAAGACTGCTATGGGGCTTTGGCAACCGATGCTACGCCTGGCAACCAAGGGTCCGGTGGCCACAAGTGTGCGGAGGCGTCAAATCTGGAGACCTTAAGACTCTTAATTTAATTTAATTTTATTCATACGAAGATGTTGAAGAATTCACTGATGATTCAAACAAAACTACATTAAAGTTACAAAGCATTATAGGGACTATTAAAAGCACTTTTGTTAAAATCGGAGTGTTTTATAAGACACCTGAAAGTTACGAAATGAATGAAATGATCAATAATCTTAATGACTTGCTCCGCTCTATATAGAGCAAATAAAATAAATCTATTTATAATAATTATGATATATAATTAAGAATTCAACAAAAACTAAAAAACTATAATTTTTGCTGCTGCTTTGTTTATCCAAAAGCCAAAAAAATGGATATCAATTAATGTTAATGATAAAACAAATTAGAGCCTATCATATAGAGAAGAGTTAGTAGAAATACTATGCAGTGAACTATCAATTAGAAATACCCTAAAACCAAATATAATCCAAGAATCAGAAATTTTTTATAAAGATGAAAACTTCACAGACAGATTTTCTGAGGCTGGAATCACAGTTTTTAAGAAAAAAGGCTCAGACCTCATAAGCAAAATTTTTAAAATGCCAGAGCCAGGGCTATTTCTAACACAAAATGACTGCAAAGATTTATCCTCAGTAATGATCGGAGCAATTCGTGACTCCGGCTCTAATGCCCTTCAAGCAGAAATACAAAGGCTTCAAGAAAAATTAATTTTTTATGGAAATGAGCTAAAAGAATGCAAAAAGCTCATCAGGATCAAAGAAGACGAAATTGACAGCTTAAAAAGCCAGCTTTACAATGAAAAAGAAAACGAAACGAGTAGGTACAAAACCAAGCGAAAAGCAAAAGAAATACAAAAAGACTCCATGAATTTCTGATTTGGGAGAATTTCAATGAAGTCTCGAGGCTCACTGAGTACTCAAAGCAATTATTCTATAACTAATATGTAATAATTAAAATGGACTGGGGAAGCCATAAATATAGACATAAGCTGTGCTATTATTGGCTTGGCAGAGAAGAATTGACAGAAATTGAAAGGAAAAAGCTCAATACCAAGATGGTTTTGAATTATTGGGGTTACTATGGAAACGTAATACTGCATTTATCACTTGGGTATTGTTTATATAAAAAAGGATTTTTTAATGCTCAAAAAGAGTGGGAGTATTGGACTAAATTAGCAGGAACCTTCTTTTTTGGCTCATTTTCTATTTATAAAATAGATAAATTGATAAAGCAAGACTTGTCGATTTTTGTTGCAGATTTATTATACAGGTATAGAGCTGAAATCGATTTATTGAGAAGAGAAAAGCAGGAAAATCTTTCTGAGCTGAAAATAAATAAAATGATCGAGTTTAAAAAATTGGAAGACAAAGGAATTGATGTAAAAAGACTCGAGCAACTAACTCCCCCCTTTCGTGAGTGAACAAAAAAAATTTTGTTTATAGAAAAATTTTAAAAAAGTCCTAATTTGCAAAAATTGGGAAGCAAATATTAATTTAATTTATAAAATTTATGTTTTAAAACGCAATTTGTTTAAAATTAAACAGAATAAGCTCGGGATTACATTATACTAATTATCACTTATATATCAATTTTTTTTCATAAAAATTTTTGTTCACTGACGGAGGGTGGGTTTTTGCGCAAAAAATAGGGATTTTTCCAATGGTTTTGTTCACTCACTGAGGAGGGGAGTAAGCGAATCAAGATAGAAATTATTCTAAAGTTAATAGTAAAAACATTATAAATTTTTGGCTGCTAGCATGAAACCAAGGCATTCTTAAGAAATTATATATAAATTAACTAGTCCTTTTTATATGAATCACCATCTATACTCTTCACTAGTAAGCATTTTCATAATTTGCTATTTAATATAAACAATTAGATATATTAGCCCTCATTCCTCAAAAATTATTTACTTAAAAAATCAGCCCCAATATAAACTTTTAATTATCCCAAACTGAATATGCTGCATTTTCTTTAAAAATTATTACTAATTAATTCATGTCAATTAGCAAGGCTCACAATCAATTCGAGCTCAAATCTGAGCTCGACGAAATAACAGGCTCTCGGCGATCCGTTGCAGAAAGCCGAAAAGAATCCCGCCCAGCTTCAAGTACGAACAAAAAACGCCGAAAAGTCCAAACAGTTAACACAATTGACCTTGAAAACAAATTGCTTGAGCTTCAAGAGCAGCTGGAAGACGAAAAAAGCCGCAGCAAAGATCTTCAAGCAAAAATAACTGAAAGGCAAGAACGTTATGTAAAAAGAGAACAAGAGTATAGGAGAACCATTGCTGATTATGAAACCAAGCTAAGACAAGGAGCTGGTGAAAAGCCGCTGCAGTTATTAGAAACGACTGGGAGAACACTTGAAAAAATCAATAATTACCAAGGGCAGATTTTAAATAAAATTGGGACTATACAGCTCAAGACTACTCATTTATTGCAAGACCAAGAAAAAGAAATCGTCAGAGATTTTAATGTGATGCTAAATATGACTGTTAAAGAAACTGAAAATTTTTATGTTAAAAGCAAAGCAATTTTTATATAGAAATTTAAAGGTAGATAATAATGGAATATGAAAGTCTTTTGCTAAATAGCATAATAAAACTAAAGAACTTGAAGAAGAAAAACGAAAAAAAGTCCTTGGAATTGGGTCTTATTCTCAGAAAGAATCAAGGTTGATGGAAGAACTAGATATGAGGAAAGCTTCAGTTGAAATCATAGAAAACAAAAATAAACTTTTACATAAAAAGAATTCTGAACTAAAAATAGAATTCAAAGCTCACGAAAACGACCAATTTTTGTTAGAAAAAGAACTCAATGAAGCCCGAGAAAAAAACAAAAAATTAAAAAACGAGCTCTCAAAAGCGAGAGAAAATTCTATATCAGTCCCACAAGAAATGCAAGCCCAAACCGCAGGTTTTGATACAGACTACAGATCAGAAGAGCGGCTTAAATACAGTCCAAGCCGCGCTTCTGATATTGACTTGCCAAACCGTTACGAAAGTATCATCCAAAAGCTCAAAAGAATGCTAGAACTAGAAAGAAAAAATTTGCGGGCAGCCCGAACTGCATACGCAAGAGAACTTGAAAGCAAAAGGGAGCTAGAAACACTCATAAGGCAATGTGTAGATGACGTGAAAAGCCACATCACCAAAAAAAGGGCAGAACAAAGAATTAAAGGCCCAGATAGCTCTCCTGATGATATAGAAAAAGTAATAGAAGTTTTGCTGTCACAAGAAAGGGTGCTAACTTTATTGTATGATAAAACATTCCCTCCGAGGTCTGTAGCAAAGGAGCCTTATTATTCAGATTTAGACTCAAAAAATATGATGGAAAGTATTGACCATAATATTGAATCTATACAGCAAATTTATACAAAACATGAGGAAGAAATACATGACACGACGGAGAGGGCAAAAATGGAATTTTAAAGAAATTTTTTAATGATTTATTTTATGCTAATTCTGGTGATATTAAAATATAATGGTAAGAAATTGATAGGGAACTAGCCTTTTTTAGAGGATTAGGCTACTGAAAATGAGGTTTATTAGGATAAATCTTAGAGATTAGCTATTTATATATAATGGGAAACTTATATTTAAGCATAAGAAAATTTATTATTTAAATTTAAATAATTATACAATTTAATGACCCTCCAGTAATATTTTCAATAGGTTTATTATTATTAAATTCATGCACCACAGGATAACTGATATAATTTATAATTATATGCTTTAATTAAAATCATTGGCCTTATAGTGTAATGGATCCATCTAAATATTATCCTGCCCATATCAAATCCTTAATCAAAGATCTTCAAAACTGCTCTGACCCATCTGAAATTCTTAAAAATTACATCTCTCATCTCTCCTCTGACACATCTCTCTTCTATATATTTCTTAATCTTGGCTATATGCCTCACCAAGGCACTTTTAATAAGTCGATAACCGCAAATGACGTGCTTTCTCAAGTATCATCAGAGTACCAAGACCCAATTCAGAATGAGCTTGAATCAATTACCCCTAAAAGCAACCAATATTCGCCAACATCCTGGGAGATTTCTCGAGGAGTTAAAGATGAATTTTTATTTATTTTTATAAAAATAAAATTATTACCCTAGATAGCTAATAGTGAATTTAAAAAAAATAGGCTAATAATTAATAGAGCCAGGGGCTGATTTTTATAAAATGATATAAAAACATTTTATGAAAACCGCATTTATGATATATCAGAACCTTGCGAATTAGGACTAGGAAATTATGATGCAAGAGAAACCCTAGACTTTGAAGATAACTCATTAAGTTCTATGTGGGCAAGTAACACTTGTATGACTCCAGTTTCAACTTATAAGCCTATCATGATGTATACACCTGATTCTCCACAACTTATTTGCTCTGAACAAAGCACGCCAAGGCTGAATAAAGGTCTTCGTATGTTAAGTGTCAGAGTAAAAGATATACGTATTATAAATAATTATATAAAAATATTATTATATAAGCACTTAATTAAGTTACACATTAAAAAGTATATCATTTCTCGCAATGGTTTTGGATCATATAAAGAAGTTGCTGATGAGCTAATGAATGAGCTTGGCGGACGAGAAGGGTTTAACATAAAACGTGACGAGAAAAATATTTTGCGAAGAGTTTATGATGCTCTTAATGTTTTGATAGCTTCAGGAATATTAACTAAAGAAGGGAAAAGATACTATTGAAAAGGTCTAAATAGGAATATAATTTCTGATGAAAATATTAATATAAAAGACTGTGTGGACAAAACGAAAAAGAAAGTGCAAGCTAAAAAAGAAGCATTAAAAGAGCTATCAAATAGATATTATTCTATAAAAGCTTTAATAAACCGAAACAAAAAAATGCTTAAGAGCGGCAATATAATTCCATTCCCTTTTATTATTGTAGGGATAGAAAAAGAAAAGCTTAGAAATGTAAAGCTTATATAGATTCAAATTGAGAGCAATAATGATAATACAGAAGTAATACTCAGGTCTCAAAAACAATATAACTATATTTTTTTTAATTGAATATTTTCATTGTAGCTGAAATTTATAGTATAAACTACTGATAGGAAAATCAATTATATGAAGTATATTTTTGGAGACTCTGATATTCTAATTAAACTAAAGTTCCAAGAGCTTGCCTTGCAGAACTCTGATATCCCAGATGAAGTTTGCAATCTTTTAGGCTTGAAAAAGCCAATGAAATTTGTGAAGAAAATAATTTTGTAATTAACGATAGTGCACGAAAGAATTTGATCTAATCTTAAAATATGCATATTTAATATAATGGAAAAAGAGTATAATCAGCAGCAAAAATATAGAGAATGGTTAGAGCAGTCGCATAGATTTGCATCAACTGTGGCTGGAATTTTGATAGAATGTCAGGAGCAGTCTAGAAGATTTAATGAAGACATGAATAAACTTGTGAATTTTATTTAGTTTGAGGATGGAAAAGAAGATTTCAATATAATTAATTCAGATGCAAGAAAAAGTGCAAATAAAATTTTTGAAGAGTGTTACAGAAAAGAGCAAGAAGAAAAAGAAAAGATTGAAAGAGAATACCAATTAAAATGCGAAGAAATTAAAGCTGGCAGAGCAAAATTCAGAGTAGAAAACATTGAGAAAGCATTCCAAATAGCCAAAATCTCTGCATTTTCAAAAATTAAAGAAAGACTGAGATCACTCCCAAAAATAAGTAAAAGCTGTAAAACTAATAGAATACCAAGGCCTCTATGAAGCATTATCATTGAATACTGTGACCCTGCTTCTAGATGCAAGCTAGAAAAGGTCTGCAGACTTCTATTTCATTTAGCAAATGAAATATGCCCTGCATGCACTTTAAGTATTGGAAGCGAAATATGTTGTAATTTTTGAAAAAGTCAAAGCATTATTCGAAGAATTGATATAAAATATGAGGATGCTAATTGCATGTATATTAAACGGGTTGTCCTTCAAAATATTGAAATAAATGTATTTGAAAGAAATTTGTATTTTATTCGGAAAAATACTTGTGATAGAGACTTGCATTTTTGGGAACCTAAGAATGATGATAAGAAATATATTGTTTGCAGGTATTGTAGAAAAGGAGCGCAAATTAAAGAAATATGTGGAGCTCAATGTAGAAGCCATGGAGAGTTATGTATAACCAAAGGTTCTAAATTTCCTGCATGTAATAATCATAAATGCATATGCTGTATAGCTTCTCCAGAAATTGCTTCAGCTTTTAGGACAATGGATGCAATTTATTTAGATTGTAGGAAAGTTGTGATTAATAAAGGAGGAAAAAAGAACTTGAATGAGCTTGAATTTAAAGTCAAGCTTGCTTAATTGTTAAAAAATTTTTTTTCAAATGTTCTTGATTATATAAAAATAATTTTTCTTAATACAAACTTTACTTAAATTATAAGTTATAATAAAATGTCAGATGAAGAAGCCACTTATGTAGTTGAACAAGTCACAATTAGCGAATCTGAAGACGAGTTCGACTACCAAGAAGTCTCAGTTGAGTCCGAAGAAGAATCAGTCCACGAGGAGCAAGACTACGAATCCTTAATCAACGCCACCAAGCCAAAAACAGAAACTGCCCAGCCTCCTATTGAAAAACTCGAAAGCAAGTTCACCTACTCCAACGAATCCACCGACGATTTCGTCAGAAACTTCTTAGTCAGGCTTGGCATGCAAAAAACCCTTGAAGCTTTCCAAGCTGAATGGTATGAGCTCAAAGCCAAAGGCAAACTTAAACATGAAGACATCGCCCCAGTACCTGACGTTTATTTAAAAAACCAAGAACTCAGAGACCTCGTCAGCGGAATGCGCAAAGACCTTGAGAAAGCTCAGCTGATTGCTGAAAAAGCTAAAGCGACCTGGGACAAGCTCAGGAAAAAGCGAGATTTCCATAAAATGCATCATAATAGAGTCCAGCAAGAAAAGGTAAAACTCTGCACAGATATAGACAAATTGAAAAAAAGCCACGAGCAGTATGAAAATAGGTATAAAGAGCTGGCTGCCAAATATGAAGCAGCAATGAAAGAAAAAATGCTGATGAAGCTAGAAAGAGATAGGCTGAGAGGGAAGGTAGAAAGCCTTGAAAAATCATTGAGTCAGACCCATCAAGAAGCTCCACCTGCAGTAGATACTAAAAAACTAACAGTAACTAAATCAAAAACCAAACCGCCAGGTGCTCCATGGCCAGCTGAAAATAGGCCTAACCCTTATTTGGGTATAACAGCCCTTGAGCCAGTCCATATAGAGTCCTATACATGTAACCGCACTTATAAAGGTCACCAGCTTGCTATATCAGGCTTGGCGTTGCACCCAAGAAAAGCCATTTTGGCCACTGTAAGTGACGACCATACCTGGAAAATGTGGAGCATCACCAATGGAGAATTAATCATGTCTGGAGAAGGTCATACTGACTGGGTTTCAGGTGTCTGTTTCCACCCCAAAGGCACGCTTCTGGCTACTTGTTCAGGCGACCAAACAGTCAAAATCTGGGACTTTGTGAACGCAATCTGCATGTCTACCTTTACCCAGCATACCCAAGCAGTCTGAAATGTTGATTTTCACGACACTGGCGACTTCTTAGCCAGCTGTTCTATGGACCATTCTTTAAGACTATGGGACATTTCGACAGGAAAATGCCGACAAAGCTATAGAGGACACGTAGATTCAGTCAACCATTGCAAATTCCAGCCTTATTCTAATATGCTGTGCTCAGCGTCAGGGGATAAAACAGTTTCAGTCTGGGATATGAGGAGCGCCCAATGTGTCCAGACGTTTTATGGGCATTTAAATAGTGTAAACCATGTAAATTACTCCCATAGAGGAGATGCAATAGCCAGCTGTGATAGTGATGGAGTGGTAAAGCTGTGGGATGTAAAAATGGTAAGGGAAAGGACTCAGTTTGATAGTGGCCAACTACCGGCTAATGTAAGCATTTTTGATAAAAGTGGAGGAATTTTGGCTATTGGCAGCGAGGATGGAGGGATTTATTGCTTTAATACGCTGACATCAGAAGTAGTGCAGACGCTGACGCAACATGAACAAGGGGTGCAAGATCTTGTGTTTGATCCGAATGGGAGATTTTTGGTGTCAGGAGGTGCAGATGCGACATTTAGGATATGGCAGTAATATTTTTAATTTTATTATTTATAATGCATTTTGAGGAGCTATCAGAGAAATTTGATTAATTATGACTAGCTTGCTCATAATATAAATAACAGATTTTCAAATTCCATTATAAAGTCTATATCTTATAATTATTTCAATTTAAAAGGGGAGTAAGTAACTTTCAAAAAAATAGGAATTCTATAATAATTACAAATAGAGCTGGTCTATAATAAATATTAATGCATTATATTTATTTATGAAAGCAAATATTAGATTATTTATCAGTGTTATGGTTTATATATAATGAGCTCTCATATAACTCTTGTGGCTGCCTTAGCTTCAACCCAGAGCTACTATTTTTCTGTGAGCTATTTTTATTTCCTTCACTAAACCCTCCTCCTAAACTTCTAAATGGGAGTTGTAGCCTTTTATCATTTTTGATATCATAAGCTCTATATCCTACTAGCCCTCCAGGCACTTTTAAAATTACACAATTCGCTGTGTCTGGCTCTTGCTTGAACTGCTTAAGCGACTCTTCATACACCCAATCTATCACATTTCCTTGGAGCTCCGCCTCATTTTTTCAAAATTTTACTTTGGTTTGAAATTCTCTCAATTTCTGTTTACTTTCTTCATAGCTTGGGTAGCACTTTACCATATGCCGATTGGATTGCTTTCTAACGATTCTTGGGGCTGTATATCGTGATTCAACCATTTTGGCAAATTATTTAAATTAATTTCTATTTGTAAATAAATAACTAGGATTTGATTATTGTAAAAATAAAATAAAATTACCGTTTTCTCTTTGGAACCTGTGTATTATGTCCTTTAGAGGTATTTTTTACGAATTTCATTTCAAAGTCTAAGTCTGAAACAGAACTTTTTGGGGTAAAACATTTCACTTTTGGAAGCTCGTTATTTTTTATATGCAAAGTAGAATTTGTTTTTTGATGATGCGGGGTCATTTTTGTGGATTCTTTTGATTTTATAGAGTTTGGCAAGCTGTAAACAAATCAGCAGGTAAAAACTCCAATAGTAACAATATACAAAATAACCACCAAAAACATCAAATTATTTAAGCTTTCTATTATTTCATCTTTTTCGTTCTGCTTTGACTGCATATCCTTCAATGAATTTCTAAGATTATCAATCTCAGACTGTAAAATTTCTAAACTCTGTGACTTTTTCAGCGCATCTGATATAAAATCATTTTCAAGGACTTTATTGTTTTCATTAGCTGTCTCAAGATCTTGGTTGAGCTTATCTACAATGGCTTGGTTATGCTCAGCTAATTCAACAAATAAATCTGTAAAAGCTTCAAGCTCGTCTAATTTTTTTTCTGTAACTGCGATGCTATCAATCATAGCTCTAAATGGGTCAAAAGTAGATTCATATGGAGCTATTTTTGTTTCTATAGGAGCTGGGGTGTTAGAATTATTAGGCTTTTCTTCATATGTAGCATTATTGAGAAACCATATAAAATCATGATAGCAAATATCTTCAAATTCAAGGGTTTTGTAGAGTGTGTATTCGTCTTTAATGACGAATTTTATAGGATTTTTAGGTAAATCCAATGACACTCTTCTGTATTTTCTTAGTTTTTCTAATGGAGAATTGATATTACTTTCATTGTGGACTTCTTGTAGTAAATTTTGTTTTTGGTTACGCTTTTCTTCTAATGCTTCTTTTTTAGCTTTGAAATCGTCATTAATAGTCTTCAGAACGTTAGACCCAAAAACTGAAAATTGTGTAAGTGAACAATAATACTCATTTCCATAATGAGTCTTTAGCACTATAATGTATTTAATTGAATTTACTAATAAAAATGATAAAAAATTATTTATAAGCAGCCAATTTAGTTTTATATAATTTCAGAAATCTTACCCATATTGGAGATGTCTTGAATTTTTGGAGACTTTGAGACCCCTCAAGCGTGAAGTTTCCAATTGGTATCCATTTCTGAGGTGGGTATTCAGTAGACCCAAACAGCTCAATTTCTTTAAATGGCGATGAATAGATCTCTCCTTGAATTATCATAAATTCGTCAATTGAAATGTCCTCACTAAGGCTTATATCAATCCATTTCTCGCCTAAATGGCAAGGAACCACCATATATCTGTCTCTATCACCACGTAAAATCCCTCCAGATCCAGACATCATTGAACTATGATCTATGCTAAATTTGTTATATTTAAATAAGCTTTACCATGGGAAAATAATTTCAATTTTATTAAAAAAATACTATCAAATAGGGAATTTTGTGTGTCGGATTTTTTTAAAAATAAATTTCAATTACGGATAAGATTTTACCCCCAGAATCAATTGCTGCGTAGTCATAACGAATCGAAATTTTTTGATGCGGCTTTGGGGTGTGTGCTGCAAAGTTAAATGGAATTGGAAGAATAAATCTGAGAAAAACTAATAAAAAAAGAGGAACTATGAATGTTGGGAACAATGCGTCACTTTTGCTCATCATTTTAAATAATATATTTCTTACTAATAGTGATATTAAGTTATTGCTTAAGAGGCATATAGCTTTTAACATTAAGTTCTCTAACTCTTGCCACTTTAAGAGTGAGCAAAACCATTGAAAAGGCATATTTTTAGGAAATTAGCCACTTTAAGAGCCAGCAAGGATATTTTAATATGATTTATATTAAATATTTTTTGTGTAGAAAGAACTTTTTATAAGGAGATTTAATTAGTTTATTAAATTTAAAACAGTTTGCACCTTCGACATAAATAAATTAGATTTTTCTTTGCAATTTTTTATACACCCTTATATAATTTTAATGTATTTTTTTTTTTTAAAAAAAATATTTCTTAAGAGTGACCAGAAAAATCTTGCTCTCTCTCTTTAAGAGGCAGTAATATAATTGCCTATTTTTCCACTATATTATCTCACAATTATAGCTGCAATTATTCTAGTATATAATATTTTAATTAGACAAAAAAATTTTATCAGCAGATTATTGCTGGTAAGATCCTTTCATAGTCAGACATATTATAATTATGTACAAATATTAATTGCTTATGGAGAATTCCCCTGCAAGCTCATAGGCCATGACTGAATTTCATTAAAACTTTAGTGAATGCTCGCCAGCTCTCACAAGGTCTTTCGCTGTGTTTCTCTTTCCTGACACTGGCCTGTACTTGTTACCCTTAAGTGGTAGATACTGGATCGAAAATTTGAAAAATTGAATTTTCTGGCTATTTGTTGATCATGATGGAAACTCTAAGCCTAGGACACAATTCTTATTATCATGCTAAAAGGTTGCCTGGCTGCCTAGTGATATTTCTAAGCAGTGCTAGGCCTCCCTTTTCCTCCTCTAAGCTTCACAATCCTAACTCCCCTTCCATGAGAAAAACAAATTTGTTCAGGGAGGTTAATTTTTTTCTCGAATTTAAAAAAACCCCAATTCGCCAAAACTGAAAAGAAATAATAATTTAATTTATAAAAATTTATGTTAAAAATACAAGAGATTAAATTAAACAGAGTCAATTAGAGATTTCATTATACTATTTATCACTTATATATCAAAATTTTTTCATAAACAATTTTTATATTACAAAAATTTTTTCTTAGCTTACGGAGCGTGGGTTTTTGGGCAAAAAAATCGGGATTTTCCCATTTTTTTGTTCGCTCATGGAGGGGGGAGTAAGAAAAAAAAACTAATTTGGATATGAGCTAAGCCATTCAGCGTTACCCCATAATATAAATAATTTGGTCGGTGCATATTCATAATATGACATTTCCTTAGTGATCTTTAGTCGAATTATTTTCCTCGTGAGAATTTTATTGACTTTATAATGGGCTTTTCCAAGCAAATACCTTTCGATGAAAAAGTTTATCAAAAATCCTTAACGAAATATGATACTAGGAAGATGTTCCGATCAAAAAGAGAGACCACCGCCGCACTGAGCTGCAAAAGACAACCGAAATCACCATCGAGCGTCTTTATCTCTTTCTAAAAGTCTCAAGAATTATGCAGTCTTCGGCCACAAGAACTTATAAAATGGCTGATCCATATTATAATTATGTGTTCAATTTTACTGAAACCATTAACAATGTGGCAGGATTCTCCTATTAAATTAAAACATAATAAATTAAACAGAGCTGAAATTTTCATATGGATCTTCATCTCCTGTCGACACTCTTTCTTTATCAGCTCCAATCGTTTGTGAAATTGTATCTTTCATATGAGCTGAAACAGCTTCATGATGTCTCATTTTATCGATTGCATACAGCAATCTAATTAAGGAATAAATAAGTCCTACTGTAGAAAGACCCACTGAACAAATCGTTGCCAAATTTCATTGGTCTAGAATGTGGTTATTATATGACTGAATTATGATTTCTGGGAATGATTCTAATGAGCCATCCAAAAATCCAGAAACTCTTGCAAAAGCTTCGACGACAAAAAAATCTCTTTCGTTAGGTTTGTTTATAAGCAAAGCTATTCCAAATAGAAAGAGTCCGAAACCAATAGGTTCTCCTATACTAATAATTAGACCAAGAATTATTTTGGTACAGAGACTTGTAGTGCTTTGTTTGCAGCAGTCTGATATGCATATTGAAAATGTACCGAGGCAAAGTGCGAGCATTGGGGCAAAGAGAAAAAATACTGATAAATAGAATAAGGTATCTGAAGCAAAATCTTGAGTATAGACGTATCAGACATCGCTACAGAAGTCAATAATTCGAACGAATCCGCCAGAAATAAGAAGGATAACATCAAAAGTTAAATTCATATTTTATGGCGCGATTAAAATTTTAAAAAAATTAATGGGATTATCATGGAGGATGATGATTTGTTAAGAAAATCCAATTTTACTGTATAATAAACTTTATAATAATTTGAATTATTTACTTATAGCATTAGAAATTATTAAAACCATATAAATTAAATTTAAATTTAATAAATATTATATTTGAAGTAAAATGGGCTGCATAATTAAAATATGACGTCTTCGTCTGGGCATGGTCTCCGACCATGCAGCCTCGACACATATTTTAATTATATCTGCAAGGTTTTGCCATTCCAGAAAAGACAGCAATGCTAGGTAAACAACTCTGGCTAACGGAGCCTAGCCCAAGTCCAATTTCAGGGATGGTTTTTTCCTCGTGGGAAAAGGAAGCATGACAGTTGAAAAGGGGAAGCCCAGCAGAGTCCACACGACCCATCGAGCAACTCCCTAGCGTGAAACTGGGCGTTACGTCCCAGGCTGCATGTTTTCCTTTTTGCCGAAAGTCGGCCAGAAAATCCATTTTTTGAATTTTCCGTGCAGGCAACCCATGCTACAGTGAAAGTAGCTCACTCATGAGCCGTCGAAGCCGGCAACACCGCTCCAAGCGCATCATCGAATGCAAGGCGGGTCGCCCTGAGGCCTGCGGGCCAGGTGCGTGGAAGAGATGGCGGAAAGGTCTGGGAAAGCTCACCCCGTAATGGACGTAAAGCGTGTAAAGCGTGTAAACTTTAAGTAAGTAAGTAAAATGGGCTGCTTCACTTCTAAATCATCACATCAGCCAAATATCACTAATAGCCCAGTAAACCAGCCTGCACCACAACCTATACCACAACCACCTCCACAGCAGCCTCAAAGGCCTCCCTTGGCACCTCGCCAAAATCAAAAACCCGCATCCCAAGATGCCAAAATAAAAGTGGAATCTAAATTAACCCCTGACCAAGTAAAAGCAAGTGATTTTACACCTGCAAGTACTCAAAAAGGAATTTTTCCTTATAATTGTCCCATATGTTTTAAATATCTATCTAATATTTTAGTTACACAATGCTGCAAAAATTACATTTGCCATCTTTGCATTTCAGAGCTGCAAAACAAGCATGTGAATTTTGAAATAGCATGCCCGCATTGCAAAGCGCAGCCACTTATAGTGGAAGATGTAGATTTAAGCGTATCTGTTAAGCGGTATTTTGATTCGCCTTATGGGACACTTACTTCTTTAAAAAAATAATTATAAAAAAAAATTAAAAAACATTTTTTTTTAAAAAAAATAAAAATATGTTTTGTGATGGGGAATTAATAACAATACAAATCAAGGGAATAAGTGGATAACTCAGCTGCCTATGATAGGTGAAGACAAAGATGATATTGATTTGAAAGAGAAAGAAAACAATAAAAGCTTTATAGTTGAGCCAGAAGAGCATCAAATAGCTCTAAATCTTTATGCAACTTCATAAATAATTTAATTTGAAAATAATTTTAAAATTAAGCTTTGCTTTGAGAAAATAATGTATAGTGTAGCATTATTATCGTCTCAAAAATTGAAAATTAAAAATATTCAAATGCTAAGACATAGGCTATAATTGGATGAAATTTTATCAGATTTTCAATTCCAGAAACAAGGGCATAAGCAGTGCTAGCATCAGTGATAATATTCTTTAGTCAAAGAATTTCTATTTTAAATCTTTTTCTAATGCTTCATGGATCTAAGCGCAAGCCGGAATATCCACATTCCCGCCAGAATTCCAATGTGAATTCTCAGTGATTTCTATACTTCTCCATCTTTCAGGATCATATGTGGCCAAACGTTCTCTAATACCTTATATTTATTTAAATTTAAATCTTTTCTATAAGCCATCACTACTTATATAAAAATCAAGAGAAACCTTTATGAGCATTAAGGAGTTTTTGCCAAATTAATAATAAAAAAATTCACTTTTTACGAACAATTCCGTAGTCTCAGGAGTCCTTTAAAGGTATGGGATGAAGGAAAATAATATTTTAAAGGCTCCCAAGTCTGGTGAGTTGTGAAGTTCCTTACAGAAATTTTTATAAGTCTGCCAAACATTTTATAAATGTGGCGATTGGCTAGAGCTATATCAAGGCGTAGTTTTGCGACTGTCCCTGCTGAAGAACTACAACAGAGAATTTTTGATGTTTTAAAGAAGTTTGATGCAGTTGATCCAGCGAAATTAAATAAAGATGCAAGCTTTAAAGACGTCGGCTTGGATTCTTTGGATACTGTAGAAGCTATTGTTGCATTAGAAGATATTCTCATTTAAAAGAAATAAAAGCATGAAAATAGATTTTTTTAAATGAAAAATAAAGAGCACGACGAAGTCGTGCTAATAAATTTCCTACAATAAAGTATTAAATCACCAAATATAATTATATATTAGGCATAGAATTAGCTGACGATGAAGCCTTAAAAATCACAACTATTCCTGCAGCTGTCGAAGCATTCACAAAATCTCCAAAACCCCAATAATTTAGATAAAGTTTGATAAATAGCTTAAAAGCTTCAAATGATAAAAATTTAATTGAGATTACTTAGATAGGGATTCATAGGATTTATGATGTAGATAAACTGTTGAAAAGGAGAGAGGGAGAAAATTAATACGTATGAATAATAAAAAATTAAAAATAGAAGTAATAGAAGCTTCAAGATGCAAATATAGTGCTTAGTCCTTCAAAAGGATTTATAAAATTGCAACTTATAGTGCAAAGTTTTTATTCTAAACTTTTTATTATCAAAAGATTATAAATCAACCAATATTCAACCTTTAAAATTGAATTATGTATATACCGAGGCTGTAATTTTGAGTTGCTAAGCCTAAAATTAAATAGATTCACAATTTTCGACACAAAAATCAAGAAATAAAATTTATACGCATGATATTAATAGAGTAAGTAATCAATTATATAGTGTTGAATTAAAATTTAAACGAAAAAAGCATAATTTTGATGAAAATTATTCATATTGATTTTTCAGAAGAATATGCATTGACAGCAAACCAGCACTTTTTCTCAACGCCAGGAGGAGCCGACTATGCCGAGGACCTTGTGGAAGGGAATCTGGTGCTCGGTGTGTGCATCCAGCTGAGTTTTTCCTTGGCACAGTGGACCGCAACATCAAATTTGGTTGGCCACAGCTCTTAACTTAACTTAAATTTACAGGCGTCCGCCGTAGTGTTGACGCAGTCACCAAGGACCCAGTATTAGGGTTCACCTGCTTTGCGGTATAGTCCAAACTGGCCATATAAACCAGTCACCAGGACATACACCTACTCCTTCCCACGCGCGTGAGCCGTGGCTTAGTGTTGAGTGGGCGGGCTATGGGCTTCTGCGGCTGCTGCTTGAGTTGACGAGAGTTGGCTCTCGAGAAATTCCAAAAAATGGAATTTCTGTTCACCTTTCGGCAAAAAGGAAATCTTCAAGTCCTGGGACGTAATGCCTAGTTTCACGCTAGGTAATTGCCCGAATGGTCTAGGCATTGCCTGTAGACTCTGCTGGGCTTACCCTTTCCAAACCCGAGACTCCTTTCTCTCGGGGAGAAAATCCATTCTGGTGGTTGAGCATGGGCCAGGCTCTGCACTGCAGAATTGCTTACCATGGCATTGTTGCTCATTTCCGGAATGGCAAAACCTTGCCGGATATAATTAAAATATGAGTCGAGTATGTGTGGCCGGAGGCCACACCTAGACGAAGACGCCATATTTTAATTATGGTTGGCCACAGCTCAATCTGATGTCAGGGTTTTTTCAGCTATACTAGGCGTTCACACTTGACCAATCAGGCAACTTCCTAGCGTAAAACTGGGCATTATGTCTCAGGCTTTGGATTTCCATTTTGGCCGACAGTCCTATCAGAAAATTTGTTTTCAAATTTTCGGAATGGGCAACTCTGCTGGTGTACAGCACGGTGACGCAACTCATGCAACTTCGGGTATCAAGTGCACATCCTCTTCCAGAAGAAGCAACTCTTGAAAGCCGTGAGATGGTTGGCGGAGAGCAGACAAGTGGTGTGTTACAAGTAATGGCGAAGTTCTCTCTATATTTAAGTTAATCTTAATGATTTTTCAGATGAAGCCTTCTCAGCAGAAATAAATTCCCTAGAAAATAGGTAAGACCTCACCACAAAGTTCAGCCTCCTGTTTAAATTCTAGCCTTACCAAGCCATTAATAGAGTATTTATTCAGTTTAAGAGAAAAATCAAGCATTAGATAATTGCTTACACCTTATTGATTTCTGATAAATTGATGAATAAGATAGCGCTTGACGAACACTTTGATCTTCTCTACGGTAGACGGATCTGTTTGAAGCCTGCCCTTGTCTCCAACAATTATCTTCTTTACTATCCTACATAGAAATTATAGTAATTGCCCGAGGATGGCGCTATCTTGCGCCATCCTCGGGCAATTCAAAAATGGCCCCACACTGGGAATTGAACCCACGTGTGGGGCCATTTTTGGTTAGTGGAGAACATCGACTTCCATGCACCAAAAATGGCCCCACACGTGGGTTCGATTCCCGGTATGGGGCCATTTTTTTAAATTGCCCGAGGATGACGCAAGATAGCGCCATCCTCGGGCAATTAGAATACCTATTTCTAGATTTCTCAATGGATTTCTTGCCGACCTGGATTTCTTCGTCAAATATAAGGCTTTTCATGACTTCTTTGACCTCAGATTTCACGATATCTTTGACGAATTGGGCGAATTCCTCAGCAGAAGCCGTTTTCTGCTGAGTTTGTTTTTTAGACTTAGTTATATCAGCCTTAGTTTCCATATTCAATAATTATTTGTGCGCCATCGATTTTAGGTCTCTTTCTAGAATTTAGGATTTTCTTGGCATTTAAGAACAATATTTTACCTTTTTGCTGTTTTCTTTAGTGATAATGTAATTCAGTAAATTTCATAAGGGAGATTCTATGAGAATTGTAAGAAGAGTTTGATCTTTAATTCTACTTTAGATGCCAGTCTAAAATAATACACTGATATTCTGCTGAATTAGGCCTCATTACCTCTTCTTTCCCATTTTAAGTGAAATTATATATGGATTTTCTCCTCTACTAGTATAGCACTTTCCCTTGAATAGCCCGATAACAGGCTGGCTTCATCCCGTTATCGGGCTATTCAAGGGAAAGAGCTATATGAAATATTAGGATGATTTTGGCATATCAAAAATATCTATCTTTTACATATCCGAGATTAATTAAGGTCAGATAAACTCTGTGTTTAAATAATTATTTTTATGATTTTAATCTCCTTTTGGGGACTTTGAAGCTTAATAAATGGAATTACTAAATTATCTTGCAAATCAATATTATCCAATTTTCTCTTATATCTGTTTAAGACAAAAGAATAGGCAAATTTATGCTAATTAAACACAAATGCAATATTATTTATTGAGTATTAATACCTAATTTTTGATTAAAGTAATTTAAAATAATTGGAATTTGAGCACTCATCAATACGATAAAAGCATCATAAGATTTTCTTTAAAATGCCAAACCATTTTTATATTTAATCTCATTTCATAATAATTTATTACGTAATTTTGTTAATAGATTTAAATACTAAATTAAAAATTGTATCAAAATCTCTTAATAAAAGAATGGAAATAAAAGCCAAACAGAGTTCGGATTTGTCTAAAAAACCTAATATCACATTATTTACTTACTCCCCCCTCCGTGAGTGAACAAAAAAATTTTGTTCACTCACGGGGTTAATTTTATTTTTTTAAAAATTTATATATAAATTTTTATAAAATTTTTTTTCGAAATTTCAAAAAAATTTCACTTCTATCAAAATTGGAAAGCAAATATTAATTTAATTTGTAAAATTTATGTTTTAAAACGCAATTTTTTTAAAAATTAAACAGAATTAGCTCGAGATTTCATTTTACTAATTATCACTTATATATCAAATTTTTTTCCATAAAAAATTTTTGTTCACTCACGGAGGGTGGGTTTTTGGGCAAAAAATAGGGATTTTTCTAATGGTTTTGTTCACTCACGGAGGGGGGGATTTAGCAAAAACTACATTAGAGCTCTTCAAAACTCTCCATTCTTAATTTACCTTAAAGCATTTTCTCAATTGGATAACTCATTTTTTCTAGAAAACATACAACCTCAATCCTGAAATAATGACTAAGTGCTTAGAATTTGATTAGAATAAATCTCGGGTTATTCCGAATTATCAATTCAATTTATAATGGAAAATCTCGAACTAGTAGAATTTTGTACTTAGAATTATGATTTAGCCTTATTAATCAGAACTATTATATACAGGTTGCCCGATGATGGCGCTCAATGCGCCATCATCGGGCAGCACCAGAAAAGGGTCCACACGGGAAATGGGTTCCACGTGTGGAGCCCTTTTTGGCGCGTGGAAGTGAGGATTCTCCATGTGCAGAGCCCTTTTTGGCGCGTGGAAGTGAGGATTCTCCACGTGTCAAAAAGGGCTCCACACGTGGAACCCATTTCCCGTGTGGAGTCGTTTCTGGTTTTGACCGATGATGGCACATTGAGCGCCATCATCGGCATTTATTATACATAGCTTTCTATTACCAAAAAATTATTATTCGATAAGATAATATTGACCAGATCCAAATATGGATTTAGATTATAAGAAAAATCATGGACAATAACAACAATTTTGAAGTTCAGCAAATTGTTTGGGCAAAAATACGTGGCTATCCTTGATGGCCTGGAGTTGTATAATTTATATAGATTCATTCCATAGATCATAGAAAAAATGAATCAGAAGATGAAAAAATTTTTATCGTCTATTTTATAGGGGAAAATACTCACTCCCCCCTCCGTCAGTGAACAAAACCATTAGAAAAATCGCTATCTTTTGCCCAAAAACCCACCCTCTGTGAGTGAACAAAAATTTTTTTTAATACAAAAATTTTTTATGGAAAAAAAATTTGATTAGTATAATGAAATCTCGAGCTAATTCTGTTTAATTTTAAACAAATTGCTTTTTAAAACAATAATTTATAAATATTTGCTTTCCAATTTTTGCGAATTATGATTTTTTTAAATTTGAAAAAAAAAAATTTCTATAAAATTTTATATAAACTTTTTAAAAAAAAAAAATTAACTCAGGGGGGAGTCAGTAATTATTATTCAGTGCTTCTTTGACATCAAAATATATAAATGACTTTGAAAAATTTTATGACCAGTATTCTAAAAGCAAAAATAAAGTAAAGTTTAAGTAGTGGCTATTAAGTTGCATACATATAGGAAAGCAATTGTTTGATGGGGAATTAGATGTAATGGATTTGGTAAATGTGAATGATACCCTGATACGAAATAGACGAAGATCCAAAGCCAAAAAAGATGAATGCTATAAGACAGTAAATGAGCAGCTTATCAATCTCAAATTGTGCTTACTCCCCCCCCCCCCCTCCGTGAGCGAACAAAAAAATTTTGTTCGCTCACGGAGGGGGGGTTAATTTTTTTTTTTAAAAAAAATTTATATATAAATTTTATAAAAAATATTTTTTTCGAAATTTAAAAAAATCCTAATTTGCAAAAATTGGGAAGCAAATATTAATTTAATTTGCAAAATTTATGTTTTAAAAGCAATTTGTTTAAAATTAAACAGAATTAGCTCTAGATTTCATTATACTAATTATCACTTATATATCAAAATTTTTTTTCCATTAAAATTTTTTCTATTAAAAAAATTTTTGTTCACTCACGGAGGGTGGGTTTTTGGTCAAAAAATGGCGATTTTTCTAATGGTTTTGTTCGCTCACGGAGGGGGGGGGGGGAGTTAGAAAAGCAGATAAATAGCGATACTAAATTAAATCCACAGAAATCTAACTCTAATCCCTGCTTATTTTTTATTTTTTCATTTAATCCTTGCCATTTTTATATTATTTTTCATAAAGAGTAAAGACGAGCTTGAAAAATACCAAGACTCAATTATCCGATTTATTAGAGGAATAGCTCAACAAGAAAGCAGCGTCGGAGAGCTCTGTGATTGTTTATATGAACTTTCAAAATTTGACATATCGTATCAAAGCCCAATAGAGAAGCTTATTAAATTACTTATAAATGTGTGTGTTCATAGTAGTTGTAGCAAGCTGAAAGAAGTAGCATTTTTGGCTCAAAAATTAAGGGATTTCTGGAATTCAAAATCTGAGGAAAATAATGATTTTGGAAAAAAATCTGAATGGCCATATGTGCATGATAAGAAATTAAGAAAAAATGTCTGTTGGAAGATTTTTAAAGTTTTAGAACAAAAAGAAATATAAATAAAATGGTCGTGATGTCTGAGATGTCTTTTAGTGTGACAGCTACCCATGCATATCTGTGCATGGATTTTTTAATAACGTAATAGGGGCGAGAGGACAGAATTGGAAATACTGGTGCTCAGCAACGGTCTAGTAATCAGGGGTTTCGGCCTGGACTCAGAGGCGCCAGGGTCCGCCCAATTCGCTTGGGCCACCGCACAGCTGTGCAGAATATCATTCGTAGAAGCAAAGACTTTAAAAATGCAGCATTAAACTAACCTAATCTAGAACAAAAAGATTTTGATACACAAACAGCTCAAGAACTCGCGATTACAATAGAAGAAAATCTGAGAAAAAAAGACCCATCTATGTCTAGCTACTATAGAAATTTGTTCCGAAAAATGATCAGAGATATTATTCTCGCTTACTTAAATTAGATTTTTATTAATTTTGCATTATTAAACAAATATACATTAAAAATAAATCAACATTAATCAGATAAGTATAAATATTTAAGTCCAGTAGTTTATCGAACTGTTAGAAACGAAGTAGCCTAGATATCAAACATTAGGTACTAAATTATGTATTATTAGCCTAATAATTCTAAATTATACACTGTACTGTCACCATTGCTTTCTTATTTATATTTTCTATTAACAATTCTCTTTTTAAACCATTTATTGATAAAGCTATTTGTAAAATATTTATTAGAAATAAAAATCGAATGACCGCGAAAATTTGATAGTGCGACATCTCATAGGGGAAACTTTGTTCGAATCATTTTTGATAGTGAGACATTTGACCGAAAAAACCGTCAAATTTCGGCCAAATGGATACACTACTTAAAGATTTTCGACCAAAAGTAATTCGGTGAAATGGACTTATCAAAAAGGCAAAGTCATTTGACCTACACCCATAAAAATCGCTTCAAATGTCTTCCAGCCTTTATTACATATAATTATTGACAAAAATAAAAATGAAAGAAATTCTCACTTTTCAATTAGGTAACCAAGGCAATTTCGCAGGCGCCTATTTTTGGCAAATCCAAGACGCATATCAGCATGGCTTTGAATTTCACGACCCATTTTTCATTCAAAACGCAGACCGATACTATCCTCGAATGATCGGCCTTGACTGAAAAGCCAGTCTATCATATCCCACCCCAAGGCTACCTCAATCTGAAATTTTATGGTAATTTGTTATCAGGGAGGGAAATATCAAAAAATTCGAATCCGAAGCTTCCTCTGAAGTAAAATGAACAGACTTAATTATAGGGATGCTTGACATAAGAAATTTGATGCCCTGCTATAGAGATGACCTGATGCACGACGAATTAGAAGAAAAAATCAGATGGCTGGCAGAAAAATCAGAATCAGCCCAAGGCTCACATATTCTTGCAGACTGTGAATTTAGCAATTATTTGCTTGAAACTATTGAAATTTGTGAAGATTTTTTCCCAAAATTGCCGACATTTTTGATGTCGTTTAACTATAAAATGTCAATTGAAGAAGAATTTATGATGCATGAGCTGTCGAATTATTCACAAATTTTGCATGTAATTTGTAACCAAGCTGACGATAAGACAGGGTGGGCAGCTGCTGCGACTGTATTGGATTCTACTTGCTATTGGTATAGAAATCAAGAACAAAGGATAGGAAATATTATTCAAGGACTAATGCCGAGGAGCCAAGGAAATTTGGTATCAGCAGAAATGAGCGGAGATTTTGAATATAAACTTGGGCCGAGTGGAAATGAGATTTATTCTCTTGAATTTTCCAGAGGAGATGAGAACTGTGAAGCTGTGCCAATTCCGAATGGATTCCCTATTTCTTTTGAAAGAGAAAATATAAAAATTTCGGCTAATACTGGGATTTATGAATTTTTGGAAGAATTCAAGCAGAGACCTGACCATAACCATAATCGTGATGAGCTGCTGGAAACAAGAAATTATTTATCCTCACTTAAAGATAACTATATGTTATAAGCAATTTTTTATTACTAAATTATGAAGTTAACAATGATTATTACTTTTCTTAGTTGAGATATATAATAATTTTTAACTGAAAATCGCATAATTTCTTATTATCCTGCTATCTAAATTCCTAAACGTCCATTCATTTTAATCTTTTACATGGTAAATCTGGACCATTTCCAAAAACATCACAAATTCTCTTTAAATTTTGCGATTTAAACACGTGTATAAAAAATGGTTAAATGCCTCTTGCTATTTCTAGCTTTGTCTTGCCTAGCACAAGATGCTACATATAATCAAGATTCATCATCTACAGAGGAAATCTCTACTGACGAAGAACCTCAAATTCCAACGGAAACTTCAGAAACACCTGACCTTGATTTAGAAATTTTAGAGGATTCCGATGCAGAAAAGCATGAATTCCAAGCAGATGTTTCCAGAGTTATGGATATATTTATTCACTCTCTCTATACCCACAAAGATATCTTTCTCCGAGAAACTATTTCAAATGGCTCACCCCATCATTTAAATTTTATAACAATTTTTATATAATAAAACCCAAAAAATAAGAAAATTTGTTTTTTAATGGGAAAGTCAGATGCATTGGATAAAGTCAGGTATCTTTCCATTACTGATGATTCTGTATTAGGAGATAAAAAAGACCTGGAAATTTATATTGAGTATGATAAAGAAGCTAGAACTGTAAGTGTGACTGATACTGGGATCGGAATGACCAAGGATGACTTAATTAAGCATCTAGGAACCATCGCAAAGTCAGGAACTACACAGTTTGTCGAAGCATTATCAGCTGGCACAGATATATAAAGCCCTATAATAAATTTCATATATCCAAATAAGCTTTTATTAGGGTTAATTTACACTAAAGGTTAGTTTTGAGCAGTATAAATTTGATAGGGCAATTTGGTGTTGGTTTTTATAGTAATTTCTTAGTTGCTGAACAAATTATTGTTACCAGCAAACATAATGATGATAGTCAACACATTTGGATGTCAAGGGCAGGAAACACCTTCAGCGTTATTGAAGACCCTCGTGGAAATACACTTGGAAGAGGAACTAGAGTTACTATTAAGCTTAAACAAGATGCATTAGATTTTGTTGATGAAGAAATTTTAAGAAAAACTGTTAGAAAATACTCTGAGTTCGTCCAATATCCTATACTCTATTATAAAATCAGAAATTTATATAAGCAGCCAATCCCTATAATTTAAAGAAAATTATTTTTTTTAAAAAAAAAAATTTTAATCTGTTTGATAAGAAATATGTTATTTAGAAAGAATAAGATTGCTATGAATATAACCAATATATAATTTTCATATGAATATAAGATTTTATATTACTAAAAAAACATTATGCTTTTTTAAAATAGGCATATCTATTTAAGAGTAAAAAAAGACGTTTCCAAAGAAGTCGAAGATGAGGACTCTCAAGATGAAGAAAAATCAAAAATTGTCAGGGAAAAAGTCTGGCAATGGGAACGTGTTAACGAAAACAAGCCTATTTGGCTTCGTGAAGATGTATCAGATGAAGAATACTCGAGCTTCTATAAAAGCTTAACTAAAGATTCCAAAGACCCAATGTCTTGGATTCATTTTACAGCAGAAGGTGAAGTAGAATTCCGAGCTTTACTTTATATTCCTCTCCTAATTAATATTTTATAAAAAAAAGCCGTTAATTCTCCCTTATTAATCCAATACATAATATTCCAAAAAACTTCTAGCTCTGATTTATTAAGAAATTATTATTCACAAGCAGCTCCAATAAAACTCTACGTTAAAAGAGTTATGATTACTGAAGATTTCCAAGAGCTCGTCCCACGGTATCTTAGTTTTATCCGTGGAGTTGTGGACTCTGATGACCTACCTTTAAATGTAGCCAGAGAAAATATTCAGCATACAAAGATTTTGAAACTTCTTAATACTAAAATTACACGCAAAATTCTGCAAGATCTGCAAGAAATGGCTGATGAAGGAGCTGATGAGGACGGATTTAATGAATATATGTGTGAATAATTAATTGATACTTTTTTAAGGAAATCTGATTGGAAAATTCCTATACAAATTATAGAGAATATAGAATTTTTCAAAGAATTCGGAAAACATATTAAACTTGGCCTTATGGAAGATGGGAAAAATAAAGCCAGACTTTCTAAGCTTTTAAGGTTTTATAGTACCTATAACATTAATGAGCTCACTAGTCTTGATGATTATATTGGGAGAATGAAAGAAGGCCAAGAAGATATCTTTTTCATTGCAGGAGATGATAAAGCCAAGCTATCCCAGTCCCCACTTATACAGAAACTCAAAAAACTAGGCTATGAAGTCTTATGCCCTAATATGATGATTAATAAGCTTAGCTGTTATAAGCAAGAGAATTCTTTTTTTATCGAAAAATTATTAGAAAATAATGTTTGAATAGTATAATTTTAGATGACCCTATTGATGAATATGCAGTAAATTCTTTACATGAATATGAAAAAATGCATCTACAAAATGTAGGGATTGATGAATGGACTCTTCCAGAAGAAAACGAAGAAGAAGCAAGGAAAAAAGAAAAAAAGCTGAAAAAGTATTATTATGTACTCACAGATTGGCTTACCCCATTAATGATAAACAAAACCTCACTATTTTAATAAAATTTCCCCATAGATACCATTTAATAGCACCCCAATAATATTGAGCAAAAAAAGTGTTCGCTATTAAATGAGGGATTTAGAGGTTTGATACCAAATAAAGTAAACTCGGTTACCATCAGCAGTAAGCTTGATGATGAGCCAAGCATAGTAACTACAGGAGACACTGGACAGTCTGCAAATATGGAAAGAATTAGCAAGCATCAAGCATTTGGTAAAAAAGATCAATCAGCGTAAGCTTTATTTAGATATCCTTCAAACTACCATAAATTAATCTCATTTTGAACCTTTTTCTTATCCTAATAACGAAATCAGCTATTTTTTTTTAAAAATTATCAGTACTCAATCTGCCAGAAAACTATATGAGCCAACGAAAAAAATATGGGAACTTAACCCAGCCCACCCAATGGTCAAAAAAATGAATGAATGGGCTAATGTAAGAAATATTTAGCTTTTACCTAACGACATGGAACTTCGTGACCTCGCAGCCATGATGTACGACATATCCTTAATCCAGTCAGGATTTTTCGTATCCGACCCACGCGATTTTTACCAAAAAGTCCAGTGGATGATTGCCCAAGATATCGGGATCGACTCTAAAGCCCCTTACAAAGAGCCAGACGTAGAAGTAGAAATGCCACAAGATGAAGACGTTGAAAGTTTAGACGAATAATCTTAATTTAGCTTATATGAAATACCCAAATAAATCTGACTCAGTGATAATCATTTCTAGTCGATTATCATTCAGCTTATAAAGTTTCCTCTCATGAGACGCTGCAAGTTTTTGTATCATTGTTTTCATGGTGTCGTCTTCAGTAATTATTCCAAATCTAGACAGTCCATAGTCCTCACTTTCATTATTTATCCTATTTTTTTATAAATAAATTATTTTTTTAAATAAAATTAATTTTTTTTATTTTTTTTTTAAAAAGCATATCTCTCCAAGGACTGTTAATATAGAAGTCTGAGGTGTCAAATAATTCCCAGACCTAATAATCTGTGGGATATCAGACAAAAATAACACCCCAGCGACCCTGTTTGTTTCGTCTAATAATGGTAAAGAGGACAATTTATTGTTTGCCATGACTCTTAAAGCTTGAATTAAAGTAGCGTCTGAAGAAATCGTGGTAATGTTCTGCGTTGTCCCAATATTGAACTCTTTTAATGGCAAATCAAATAAAGTTGAGTCAGCCACATAATTTTCCACAAAAAATCTTAAGACTGCTTCCATGCTCAAAATTCCGAGGACTAAGTTTTGCTTTGGCTCTATTATAGGAATTCTGTGTAAATGGTTGTTTTTTAGAAGCTGAGTCGCGCTTAATAAGTTATCGTCACTGGTGACTGCGATAAAGCCTGACTGTGAAGTTTCTTCTCTTCATACTGAAAGTGTTTTTATAGTATTTTATAGTAAATTTAACTGATATTTTTATATAATTTTATTAGAAAAATCAATAGGAAATGGCATAATTTTAATTTGGTAATGATCTGCAGCTCTTCAAGCTCCATATCGTCTTCACTGTATTGAGAAATTATGATTTCTAATAAATCACGGTCAGTCACAACTCCTACGAAATTCAAGTTTTCAGGATCTCATATGAGAGCGACATCTTGACGATGGCCCAAACTTAGCTCGATAACATCTAATAAGCATAAATCTTTGTCTAAAACTAGCACTTTGCCTGAAGGGGGCAGCATTTCATATAAGCTTTCTGTGTGCAGAAACCTGCTGACGCTTTGCTTTACGTTTTGTTTGTCCTCTTCCATATGGATTTATTTAAGATTATGCCATCTTTATAATATAAAGCTTTTTTTAATTTAAAAAAAAACCAGAATTTTCCCTAATAAAAGGTATTAATTTTTAGTTTATTTTTCTTAAAGGATATATAAAATTTTTAATAATTAAAAGTCTGATATAGGTAGAAATTCTCCAAGGAAAATAAATTATATGGAAAAATACAAGAAAACCCTTATCTGCCATAATACACATTGGGCTTGTATGCTTTTGGAATTAAACTTGGAGGGTATAAGACGACGTCGTCTATTTCAGTTTTTCCGTCACTTAAAAAGTTTAACCCTTCTTCATTTAAAGGCGCAACTCTGTTACCTATTGGTCTCACGGCTATAATTCTTTCACTTTCAGAGTCACCTCTTGAGACTGTTTTTGCTGAGTTTCTTTCTGTATCATTATTTGGCACACCAACGTAGCCTTTAGGGCCTATCACTTCTTGTTTTTCGTTAAATTTTACAAGGTTGGCTTGGACTCTATTTGATCTTCCTGGCTTATAAATAATCATGTTTTCTCCTTTGTCTTGTTTATTCTGCTCTGTTTGCTCTTCCATTACTTTATCAAGAGTTCCTTGGAATTCTTTTTCAATATATTCTGTTCTAGGTAAAACCAATATCAGAAAAATTAGAATTTTTGCCCCTATTTTTATATTATTTTTCTAATAATTTAAAATTAAATTTAGCTTAGTCTGTTATATCTTTGTTCTCTTGTAAACATTTCTTCATCACATGCCCCACATATAATCATTGCATTTGCAGAAACCTCCATGCATCCGCCTATTATTTGTGCAATATAAACTGCAAGAGCTAATGCATAGATTGATGGTCCTAGCCTAGAAGTGATAGTATTTTCATCAAAATCTACATTTCATTCACTAAAAACCACCATTAAAATATAAGTAATTGTAAACCCTGAAAGCGCTAACATAATTTTTAATAAAAATATCGAAAAACTGCCTGCACTAAGTGGCTCTTCTATACGTTTTCCATTTCTGATTAGTAGGAAATATGACTCTTTTGCAGAAATCACATATGGTTTTGCAAAAATTGCAAGATTAGATTAGATTAGATTAACGCTAGGTATTTAAGGTCCCCACTACGTCCGAGGAAGCATTCTACGGTTTCCCGTATGGCGGCAGAGCGTTCATCAAGCCGGGCCGAAACCCCCGGTTTCTCGGTAGAGGCATTGTCAAGGGCCGTCTCATACCGGCTTTGCTGACCGCCTCCATTTCCAACTTGGATCGTCGCCTAAGTTTACGCCAACACTGCCGCGTCGTCCGCCAGATCTGCCCATTGAAGGGCACCTTTTAAACTGGAGAGACCCCCGTTTAGTTGTCTAACTCGCCTTCCCCTCTTTTCCGGTCATCCCGAGAAAGAATTCAACAGCTTTCGCCATTCGGGGCGAGCCACAAAAGCAACTTAGGCAGGTAAGTCGCCCTGCCTCATTTCGGGCACTCACTGGGCTGAGCGCTGCTGGCAAAAAGAAGTCACGAGTAACTGCCCATGGGTCTGGTCACAAAAACAACAGCGGCTTTTGCGCTTAGGCCTCTCGCTTCGAGGTCCTAGACGTTGTTGGGCTAACTCCTGGCTTCAAAAACCATGCCCGGATATACATGGGTAACCACCACTGAGAGGGTGGGTCGGTCGCCGTCCGCCATTTTATGTATATCCGAAAATTGCAAGATAAATATATGAATATTTTGTATAATATTTTAAAAAACCTTCATATAAAGCTAAACAAGGGCAGCAGACACCTATTCAGAATTTTGAGCATTTAGAGGTTTTATTTGGGTAAGTTTTTGACCTCAAAAATTTAAAAAATATGATAGGAAAAGTAAATAGCATATTAAATAATGCTCCTCTAATAACAGATCCAATATGATATCTCATTACATTTTTATATGATCTCCCTAGCGGACTCCACATCACAGATTTTTCTCTATTAAAATATATCTACTTATAGTAAATTAAAGCCTATACTTTGACAAAAATAATAGTAGCTAGGCTAATTTTGAACTAAATTAAATAGAAATATCAGAATCCAATAGCTCCTCCTATAACAAACTCTGAGATAGCTACTAAAAATTCTAATCACCAAAAAACCATAAAAATGACAAATAATAAAATTCATTTATTACTTGTGTCGTATTTTATATTTTTTATTTCACCGCCAGGGACTTTGTTATTAAGTAGAGTTTCTGTGCTCCCCATACTAAGCGTTCAAGCGATAATCAATATAAAAATGGATAGCACAAACAGCCCAATAAAAACTTGGCTTGCTATGTATCAATATAACTTATCAATTCTATGAATAGGTTTGCAAGTATGCTTAACCATTTCTATACTCAGCTTCATTTTTGGCTTGAAAATATAAATTTGGCATAAGAAAAATAAAATTATCCCAATAGTCAAAAATGCTAAAATAAACAGTCCTAAACTTGGGCCATGTTTACAGTATTTTGGGTCTACTCCATCTTGTGTTGAACAAAGCATGTCATAAGTAATTTTATTCCATATATATTTAACATGCCTATAATTTTTCCCTAAATATAGCATTCTGCAAAAATCTTATAATTAATGTATATAATCCGCAAAAAACAACAGGACAATAATTAAAAGAAAAATTCCAATTTCCACGATTGCTGCAACTAAAAACCTCATCATAAATTCTAAATAAAAAATTACTCTCATTTCGAAACGCAAAGAAAAAAACAACCCCATGTACACATGCACAAATAACCCCAGCGACAATTGCATACCAAACTAATAATAAATCTCCAGCTCCTCTTCTTAGAATTTGAATTGTCGCATAAATTTCATCTAAAACATTTTTTCTGTCTGATGAGTCTGCTGGGACACAGTCGTATCCAAATACAGTGCATGGGATGCTGTCCCAGCATCCCCATTCTGTTAATTCTGTCTTATGGTCTGTGTCATAATAACAAATTGATGATTTTTCAACTGTTGTAGGACAGCTCTTTAGACATAGAGAAATTGTAGTGTCTGACGGAACTGGGTAATACATGTATTCTCGGCTGGAAAGACCGTCCAGCCCACAAGACTCAGCACGGAAATCTCAGCCGTAAACTAAAGTTCTGACATCGCCTTCTATGAAAATATATATAATTGCTCCTAAAAAGCCAGAATTTGCGATTATGAAAAATACGAGCCACGCTAAGTCGGTGCATTTTCGCTTTGTTTCAGGGCCCATAAATCCTTGATCACCTTTTAAAGTAGAGTTGAGAGGATGAGACTGCTCTTTGTATTCTCATTTTTCTACTTGAGAAAGACTGGAATATGTTTCGGGTGTTACATTCATTTATAAATTTATTATAATTATGCGAAATTTTTAGAAATTGTATTTTCATCTGGATAAAACAGGAGATTAAGTGATTTAATTTTAAAAAATAATTAATGAAAATATGTGATTAAATTAAGATTTACTCCTAAAACCAAATTCTTCAGGACATATAAGTAATCCTCCTATGACTCCAAATGCGAGAGTTCTTTTGAATCTTTTGAAAATTCCAGAGCTTAATCCTGATTTTAAAAATTATTTTCAATTTTGAAAAAAAATTTAATTAATTGCTATTTATTATTTTCTTATATAAATAAAGTTAGAGTAAATATAATAGTTGTCGTCCCATAAAATGCTGCTTTTCTTACAAAATAAGGAGTATTTATAAGAAAGCTATTTCTTTTGCTATTGACTAATTCAAAATTCTGATATATTTTAGGCCATTTATTTCCGATTTCTTCTTGATTAGTAAGATTTCTAAATAATGTTTTTATGCCTTGCAGATAAGGATCTAATAAAGTTCCTGCGACTGATGCAGTTCTGGATAATTCTTTTTGTGTCTCATCATCTAATCGTGTGAGATTTTTTATTTTATTTTCTGCTTTTTCCACAATAATTTGTGCAGCTTCTTCCTTTGCTTTTTCGATTTCTTCAGATTTTTCAGCTTTTACCTCATTGATTTTTTGTGATGCAGACAGAGTTTTATCGTTCTGATTTTGGGTATTTTCTGGATTCATTTTTTTCTATTCGATGGTAAATATTAAAGCAGTAATTGTTAAATGGCTAGCTAGTTTTTTTTATTTAAATTCTTAGCTTTATATAAAATGATTAATTAGTAGGCTTACTCGCTCTCCTGGAGTGGGGTTAATTTTTTTTTTAAAATTTAATTTATAACTTTATAGTAAAATTTTTTAAAATATTCCCAATTTGCAAAAATTTGAAAGCAAATATTTATTTAATTACAAAATTTATGTTTTAAATGCAAGCTGTTTAAAATTACGCAGAATTAGCTACAGAATTCATTATACTAATTATCACTTATATATCAAAATCTTTTTTCCATAAAAAATTTTTCTATTAAAAATTTTTGTTCGCTCACGAGGGTGGGTTTTACCCAAAAAAATAAGAATTTTTCCAACAATTTTGTTCGCTAACGGAGGGGGGAATTAGAGAGCATAAAATATTCTGGCACTATAAGAAAGCCACCAAAAATCGCAAAAACTAAAGTCCTTCTGCATCTTTTAAAAATGCCAGAACTAAGATAAAATACTGCTACAGTTGAGCCATAGTAAATATATTTTCTATTTTGATAGGATATTTCTTTCAAGAGCTGCCGTCTGGTTTCACATAATTTTTGGTATACCTTCAGAACAGATATGGCTCGACCTGAAACTCCGCCTCCCCTCCCTCCACCCCCCTAACGGTTTCAGTTTGAACAAAACTGTTAATTCAAAATGACTAAGGATTTGACAAGTCAAATTCAATTTGAGATTTCAATAAAGCTGAAACCGTCAAGGGATGGGGGGAGGGGAGGGGAGGGGGGTTCTCAGGTCGATCTAAACCCATGCTCACGGTATAATGCTTATAAGCTTCTGGCATTCTTTCTTGAAAGCGCTCTTTAATTTTTAGCTCTTTCAAATAATTTCTAAACCTATCTGCATAAGAAACAAATGTTTTTTTGAGCTCTTTTTGTGTTTCAGGAGCATTTTCTTTAGCTTGCTGGACTTTTTCTTTAATGGTATCTGCATGAGGCTTAATATTATTTTTCAGCTGCTCAATTGAGGGCTTTATATTAGATTTGGCTTCTTCGATTTTATTCATTGTTTCTGTTTTTCATTCAATAGCATGCTCTTTGACTTTTTGAGATTTATCTTTGATTGAATCTGCATGCAACTGCACACGATTTTTCAGTTTTTCCAAAGATTCATTTGCTTTTGATTTAGTTTCTTCAAATTCTGGACTTTCTTTTATTTCTTCGGATTTATTTTTTAGTCAATCTTGTATCTTCATTTAATTATAAAGTTAATGGATTTAGTTTATTGATGATTTATTAATAAAATTTTTAAAACTGAAATTTATCTTAATTATTAGTCCTAAGATATTAAAGGCTTTATCATGCCCTTAACTCCCCGCCTCTGTGAGCGAACAAAATTTTCTGTTCGCTCACGGAGGGGATTAATTTTTTTTAACAATTTATATATAAATTTATAGTAATTTTTTTTCGAAATTTAAAAATTGCAAAAGAAAATATTAATTTAATTTGTAAAATTTAATTTTTAAAATGCAATTAAACACAATCAGTTAGAAATTTTACTAATTATCAAAATTTTTTCATAAAAAATTTTTGTTAGAGGGGGAGTAAGTAATATTTATTTTTGAGAAATTTAATAATTGCTAAAATTTGTTGTACATTAAAATAAAAACAGTTTGAAGTTAAAAATTAGTTATCTCATAGGAAAAAAATAATGTTTATGATATTTCAAAAGGAAAGCTGATATCTTAATAAACACTTTATTTATGGTCTCTCTGGGATACTTTCAATTAAAGCGATCTCCGACAGCATTGTCAAAAACGATTCCAGTTGATACTTTTCTGGAATAATAAAAGATCCTCCAGATTCCTCATATTTTCGTTCATTTTGGCTAATTTCCTGCTGTATTATTTCGTAATATTTGTCATTATTCTGCTCATCTAATCCTTCAAATAACAAATGTTCTATTAAATGCTGCTTCTGAGGTTGTAATTCAACATGGCTATCTCTATGCTCTCTACAAAAGCAAAGGCCGTCTTTTTCACATGCACAAATACAGATCACAAGCTGCCTGCATCCTTGGAAGCTACACCTAACCATTTTTACCAATATTATTAGGTTACCATGCTTGATTATTATTAATTACCCTCAATTAACTAATCAAATAAGGCAAATTATCTTTATATTAATATTTTAACTACAAAATACCATCAAAAATAGCAATCATTATTAATTAAGAATTAGCTTGATTATCTAGAAAAATTATTAATTGTCTGAATTTGATTGAATTCTGTCAAAATCTGTTTGGCTTCTTTCATCTCCAAGCGGCTTGCGCTCAGGTGTCATCAATTCAATTCTAACTTCTCTATGATAATATGCATAACAAAATATAATTGACATAGGAATCAAAAATATGTTGGAAAATAGCAGCCCAAATGGTCCAAATGTAAGGCATACAGGGGGCAGCTCGTTTTGTTGTGCTTCTCGCTGGCAGTCTGTAGTAAGACTTGCTCCGCTGAGATAGAACCAAAAAAACGTTGCTAATAAGTTAAAAAATGATACACCAATAGCATATAAATAATTCATAACAGGAAACCCGTAATTTTTTCCCATCAAAATTTTGGTATTTTGGCTCATTATAATTTCTCATAGACCCAAAATATCAAAATTCAAATTAGCACGTATAAGTCTCACCATATGCCAATTTATTTTTGGTATAAAAATCCTATAAGAAATAAAGCCAATGTATTATATAAGTTTGTAAAAAGAAAACCAAAAATACTGCAGCAATTATTTCACAAATAGCAAACCCTTTAAAAGCTGAAGACAAATTTGTATACAGCTCACAGCTTCCTGTAGCTGTTTCATCTACACAGCTTATAGATTCCAAACAATTCCAATTCAAATTGATAATATTTTCGTCACAGTCTTTACATGTCGCCAGTCCTCCTTCCCAATAAGAATTCCCTGTAAATCGAAGCACCCATCTGCCATAGTAAAGTATAATGCCAATCAGGCAAATTCCTGCTGCAAGCAAAACACCTACTCTATGCATCCAATATTTCATAGAAAATCTTGTTACAGGGGCATCAAGCGAAATTGTGTCCAAGCAAGTGCTCAAACTTGCTTTTTTCTGCATTTTCATTGACAAAACGAGGGCAATAATAGAGAAAAAGCTCAAAAATATACAAGTCACAGCTATAATAGAGCCATCTCTTGAAGCCAAATGGAGACTGGCTGACAAAGATGCCCTTTCATCAGGTATGAGTTCTTCATTTATGAGATAGCGCCAATATAAATATCCGATTAAATGCGAAATACTCATAAGTGAGCTCAACAAATATCCTTTTTATATATAAATAACTATAATTTTACCTTAAACTTCAATATTCATGGATAAATAGGATACACACTGTTAGAAATATAGTGCTTATTCCAATAACTGAGCAATAACTTTTCAATTAGCAGCAATCCAGAGATAAATGCAAACAATTCGAGACCAATATAAGCATTTGAAGCTTTAGCCCCTGCTGTGAATTCTAAACAATTTTTTAAATTTTGAGGCGAGATGCAGGTAAAGACTGAAAAACATTTCCAATCCCAAGTTTTATATGGACCTCCACAGTCCTTACAGCTTCAAAGACCCATATGATATACCTCGCTTCCGTCCTGAATGGTTGCTCAATGGGTACTTAGAGAAGAAATAGTCATTAAAACTAAACAGGCTATAAATAAAGCTATAGGTATCAGCGTTTGGCTTTTCTGTCACATTTCAATGCATAATTAAAAGATGGCTCTCTGCCTGGGTATGGCCGGAAGGCCATGCAGCTTCGAGCACATATTTTAATTATACCCAGCAAGGTTTTGCTAGCCCATAAATGGACTGTGATGCTAGGCAAGCAACCGTATTTCGTTTAGGGCCTAGCCTTAGTCGCGCTTTCAGGAGCTGGATTTTACCTCGAAGGAAAGGATGACTTGGAGTTGAAAAGGGTAGCACAGAAAAACTTTTTAGGCCTATCGGGCATCTCCCTATTGTAAAGCTAGGAGTTATGCCCTGGGGTAAGTTTGCCTTTTTACCGGAGTCGGCCAGAATTCCATTTTTTGGAATTTTCAAGCAGGCAATCACTGTCTGGCGTATGGCACAGCGACCCAACCCACTTCACTATTTTTTTGGCGAGAGCCTCAGGGTAGAATGGCTAACTTCCTGGTGGGGTTGTCGAGGCGGCCCAACTAAGCAAGGCGGAGAAATGCATCTATAGGTGCTGCAGGAGCTACTCAATAATCTAACTTAATTTTATTGTCATCTTTCAATACTCAGCATTTTTATCAAAAGGAATAATGTTTTTAAGTTAAAATGATGAAGATGAAGAAGAAATTTAATTCTACCTTGGGATAAGCAGATTTAGCTAATATTATCAAAAATTCAACGCTTTTTCTCTAATAAATAATCTTTTACTCAAAAAATGCGAATTTTTAGTTATTTAAATAGAAAAATCTTTAGAAAAAATTTTTGACGTTTTAAATTTTTATTTAAAGCTCATGTACTTCTTTTAAAATTATTCTATGATCTAAAATTCCTTTTATTTCTTATAAAAGGCATGCCAAGTAGGACAGTGGTTTTTGCCAAAGGAATCCTCATATTTTTTAATACGTCATCTTTCATAGTTATGTTTTGATAGATTTCGTGTGGTATATAATTTTTAAATGATGGCCGAAAATCGTCGTTTATCACTCCTGAGTTCTCATCTGACTTCTAGGCTTCCACCTATTGTTCACGATAGCTCTCTTGATGATTTTCGTAAACGAGGAAAAACACTTGATAAATCCCCTTACTCCACCTCTGTGAGCGAACAAACCCATTGGGAAATCCCTATTTTTTGCCCAAAAACACACACTCCTTGAGCGAACAAAAATTATTTTAATATAAAAAATTTGATATATAAGTGATAATTATTATAATGTAATCTCTAGCTAATTCTGTTTAATTTTAAACAGCTTGCATTTTAAAACATAACTTTTGCAAATTAATCCAATTTTTGAGAATGGGATTTTTTAAATTTATGAATTTTTAAAAAAAAATTCACCACTCTTCGTGAGCAAACAAAAGATTTTTTTTCGCTTGCGGAGGGAGATTTAGTTATCAAGCAAAACCAGTAAAAAATTCCTTTTTTTAAAGGAAAATTAATAAATTATATATTGATATTAATATAATAAAATATATTTTAATAGATAGTTAGTGATTATTATAATAAAACCTGAAGCAAATCTTAAGTTTTAATTAAAATTAATAAAATCCCAAAAATTGTTTTATAATAATTTCAAAACAAACTGACTTCCCTCTCTTACTTATCAAGATGAGTAAGGACTTTTTATTAAAAAATTACCTTGGAACAGCATATGAAGCAGTGATGATTGCCCGCCGTCATATGACAAATAATCCGTTATTTAACTTATTAGACGAAACTGACTTTACAAGAGCAGAACTAAGAGAGCGCGTCGTTCAACAATTAGCTGATATTCTCTCTAACAACCCCTACCATAAACCTTCTTTATCAATCAGCCCTATTTCTATAAAATTTATCCACAATTTATCCATACCCAACTCCTAATTTTCCTACCAAAAATATTTATTTTAAATTCAACCTGAGCTATGAGCGTGACGCAGTTGAGCCGCTCGCCAGAAGCGACACTTTATGTGCTGTCGGAGAATATGACCTCCAGCTCCCCACAAGACTGATAATCCATCTACTTCTCTATATAGATTCCATTCAAAATCTCGGTACTCAAAAGCACGTAGAATACGCCCGAAGGGCTTTCCAACTAGTGGATTATGGCAGTTTTTCAATGACTGAGCTAGGCCACGGCTCAAATGTAGCCTCTTTAGAGACAACTGCAACTTATGATAAAAATACAAGGGAATTTGTATTTAACTCGCCTACATTTACGTCAGCAAAATGGATGGTTGGTGCTATAGGCAAAACTGCTAATATGACCGTATGTTTTGCACAGTTGATAGTTGATGACGTCAAAAGAGGTGTCCATGTATTTTTGATACCTATCAGAGACTATAATACTCATGAACCTTTACCTGGACTTGTATTAGGAGACTGTGGCAAAAAAAATGGCCTTGAAGGAGTTGACAACGGTTTCGCTTACTTCAAAAACTATAGGGCTCCTTATGACTGCCTCCTCGATAAGTACGCTTCTATTACCCCAGATGGCAAATACAAAAGTGCTATCAAAAATAAAGAAAAAAGACTTGCCGTTATGTTAGCTGGACTTATAAAAGGCAGAGCCTCCGTAGTCTGCAGCTGTGAAGAATACATGAGGAATAACCTTACAATCGCTTTAAGATATGCCGCAATTAGAAAACAATTCGGGCTCTCAGAAGGCTCAGAAGTGGCTTTACTTGACTATCAGCTACATAGATACCGTCTACTTCCACATTTAGCCAAAATGTTCGCAGTCAGGACTGGGTATTTATTTTTATGTGAAAATTATGTCAGGATTAAAAGCAAAGTAGAAGAAGACCCAGAATGTTTGGAATTGGCCGAACATCATGCTATTTTGAGCGCGCTAAAAGCATTGGCAAGCTGGTATGGAATGGCTTGTACCCAGGAATGCAGAGAATCAGCTGGTGGGTCAGGATATTCTTATTATTCAGGCTTGGCGAGGAATAGAAACAGCCAAGATGTCCATATTACATGGGAAGGAGACAGCTCAGTTTTAATACAGCAGGCTGGGAGGTTTATATTGAAAAGTATGCAGAAGATGATGAAAGGGCAAAGAGTAAACGTAGAGTCCTTAAAGTTTTTAAAAGGAGATGTAGGGGCTGTAGAGTATAAGGTTAAATTTGAGACTGCCCAAGAGCTTGAAAATGAAGGGGTATTAGATGAATTATGCTGACTTTATATAGGTTTCTCTATAAAATTGATATAAAATCTTATTTTAAACATAAATAAAACCATTTTAATTAGCTTTATTTATATAGGAGGATATACTTGAATTTTACATTAATGCAATTCTTCATAGAACAATGATGAAACTTCAAGAAAACGCAACAGACGCCAAAGATATGGTCGACGCTTGGAATAAAACCCAAGCTTTCGGAATCCAGGACTTAGGAAAAGCATTTGGAGAATACATAATGACTAGGGAACTGCTGAAATTTGTAAAAGTCATTGAAAATCATAGCTCAGTCACAGGAGCACAAATAAGAAATATTTTCTATTTATATGTGATTGGAGTTGTCGAGAAGAATTTAACTGTTTTTGTGGAAGGAGGTATGAGTCCTGCACAAGCTAAAACTGTAAGGGATGCAATTCTGCAGCTTTGCAATCAGGTTGCTGAGGAAAGTGGCTTAAACTTAATTATTTAGTTTATAGTGTTTAGTGTCCAGGAATAGGGTTTTAAGCCAAAATTAGACATTATCAGCCATTCTGTCGCTTAAAATGGCACGCCATATGGGCAGAGATTCCTTTGCTGGTCTCACTGTTTTGGCTGTACATCTCATTAGGAACCTTTTTGTCGCGTGAAACTCTATGCGTTACGCCTAAAAATTGCCTCATCTAATGCTGAGTGGATAAATTCTAAACCTTCAAAATACCCCAAAGGATAAGAGAAGGGGCTATTGACCTCCCATAGCTTATCTGATATAGCTGGATAAGGATTCCCTGGGGAAACTTAACAAATCGAGCTCAAGAGAAGAAATTTCGCTCGCGAAATTTCACATACACCGTCATTTTATTATTCTGAAGATAGTATCAATATAATTGATGCTTTAGCTCCTATTGATAATGTGCTGGGATCAACTCTTGGACACTCTGATGGGCAAGCTTATACAAGGACATTACAGAAAGCGGAGGCGACTCCTTTTGTGTACGATAAAGCTCCATGGTTTCCATTAGTTCAAAAAGCGAGAGAGATCGGCAAGAAAAGGCTTTAGGTTTATTTACTCCAATATAATAAAAAGAAAAAATCTTTTCAAAACATTTTCTATGCATTATAATTAATTCTTTTAAAAAATTATTTATCAGATATATATGCTTATTAGAGGTCTTAAAGCTCACAGCGCTAGGCCTTAAAGCCGGTATTACCCACTGCTAGCGATAACAAGGGGCTTTTCTTCACATCTCAACCCCGTTGTCTTCCTCTGAATACCATCTTCAATGCGATTATTCCAATTAAATTACATCTCCTCATGAGCTGCGGACTTGTTTCCATCTCGCCTCAATGATTCAATTCTTTACCGACTTTAAATCATTCAGAGACTTGTGCAGCCTACACTGCCCAGTCTTGCTGACATTTCTTGATGCCAGCCCATCTCACCATCAATCCTATCCAAGTAGCCAGGCTCATTGACCGATGGTAGAGCTTTACTGGAGAAAAACTCTTTGCCAACTGAGCAAAAACCTCATTAAGGGATAAATTAACTTAATAATGCAGCTTGGTCAGTCGTGCTACCATTTCTTCATCTAAAAATTTTTCTTAATTTCTTTTTATTAACTCCCCCCCTCCGTGAATGAACAGAACCATTAGAAAAATCCCTGTTTTTTGCCCAATATCCCACCCTCGTGGGCGAACAAAAATTTTTTTATGAAAAATTTTTGATATATAAGTGATAACTAGTATAATGAAATCTCTAGCTAATTCTTTTAATTTTAAACAGCTTGCGTTTTCAAATATAAATTTTACAAATTAAATAGTGGTTTTTTTTAATCTCAAAAAAAAAATTCTATATAAAATTTTATATATAAATTTTTTTAGAAAAAAGAATTTTTTCACTCGCAGAGGGGAGGAGTATGACTTATTTTAGAAAAAAAATTCATTTTTTAATTGGCTTTTGAAGTTAGTAATTAACTATTCGAAATACTTTAAATAAATATGCTAAAAGATTTCGAGCCTTATTTTCCACAGCTAAATCTAGTAATCCCTAACTAGAGTCCAGAAATAAAATGGTGAGGCTGGCGGAAATAGGACTCCAGGCGCATTTTCTATAGGGAAGGTAGGACCCATCTAGATAAAGCTAAAAGCAGGGCCTCTATCCGTTTTGAAGCAGGCCTTCAGTTCAGGTGTGGGGATGTCTTGATGAAGAGAGAAGTTTTGTTTCTCGCTGAAGGTTTTCCTGTCCCTAACAGATGGTCTAGACAGTTTTGCCTACCACACGGCCCTCCTTTATTGAGACGATCAGGGCACTCTACAGAAGTTGCTTTGCCCATGAGGATTAATCCCCTGGAGAAGTGGTTCAGGTCGTAAATTCAAGACAGCAGCCTTTCTTTGCCCCTTTGTCTCGTGGGACGAGGGAGGAGGCTGTTTTTGAGCCGAAAATAAGTCAAAGGATAGTGGATCGCCCGCTTATAGTCAATTTAATCTTTTAATAATTAAGCTAGAGTCCAAATGAAATGAGATTTGGGCGAAAACCATTTCCAGACAGAAATGTGCACTACATTACGTCTCTTTCTCCTCATAAGCACTCAACAACCCCCAAGGCAAAATTCAGTTTTTTAAAACAATACCCAAAAGAAGCTGGCACACAGACTCCAAATATTTTTAAAAATAAAGAAATTGACTCAATTAGGATAAAAATTAAACAGACAGAAGAAGAGATAGCAAAAATTCAAAGTAAACTTAAAAATGATGAAGGGAGAAAAATTCCTTATAGGAGTTATAGAGATTTAGCAATCCAAAATGAGTCATTTATTGAAAAGCCAGGACTTAAAATGCAGAAGAGAAGTGGCTCTGATCCTCCAAATATGAATATATCTGCAGATTCACTTTATTCGCCAAATAAAATTATGAAAAATTATAATATAAATCCAATTGCCGGGCTTGATAGGGATAAATCTCCGATTGCAAATGCAGCAAAAAGTTTAATTTCAATACAAAACAACCGATTGAGACCTAATTTTTAACTAAAATGTATCGATAAGTTATTTAATAAAATTTAAAAATTTGCCATAATCCTCAGTAACTATTTATTGATGAAATAGCCTAAGAATGGCTTCGCGCTGGCCATTATCCAAGCTTAGGACAATGGAAAATTAGCTTAAGAATTTACACTGCATATAATCTTGTCCACTCTCTTGCTATAGATTCATATTTTTGCCTATCTCTTTTATACAACTCAGCAATATCAGGCACTAAAGGGTCATCTGCTATAAAATCTGTCAATAAAGATATTAAAGATGATAAAATTTGTCGAACTCCTAGAGCACGTGACCAGAGTTCACGTGGAATGCGAAGATCAACTTGACCATGAGAATCAATATTTGGATTATAGATTTTTGTCATAAAAGTGATTTTTGGAGGAAGAAAAAGATAATTTTCTGGATATACAATTTTAATAAAAAGCAACCCTCCTTCATAAGGTGAATTTTCTGGGCCCAAAATAACTCCTGTACAGTTACGAAAATTATTGTCAGTCGGTCAAAAACAGATTCCTGATGTAATAAATTCTTTTCTGTTTCAGGCAATTTCTTTAACTCCTCCCATCCGTGAGCGAACAAAACAATTTTGTTCCTCACGGAAGGGTTAATTTTTTCTTAAAATTTTTATATAAATTTTATAGTAGAATTTTTTTTTCAAAATTAAAAATTTTCCCAATATTACTTTAATTTGCAGAATTTATGTTTTAAAATGCAATTTGTTTAAAATTAAAGAGATTTCATTATGTTAATAATCACTTATATATCAATTTTTTTCATAAAAAATGTTTATTCGCTCACGGAGGGTGGGTTTTTGGGCAAAATAGCGATTTTTCCAATGATTTTGCTCGCTCATGGGGGGAAGTAAGAATTTTATTGACATATTTTTATATAAATTTTTAAGCTGCAAAAATTAATTGAGAATATATTGACATAGGCTCTAGATATAGCTAAAAATCGTTTAATATATTATAAAAATGTTTCTAGTTCATTAAGAATTTAAAGTCCAATATTATATTATCCAGCTTTTTGCTGTAGACCTATAGGCTTGTCTCTCTCTTGGCAAATCATTAATAAATTCACAAAGAATCATATAGAGGGTGCATATTAAGTTGCCTATAAGTGACATTGATAATTGGATAGTTTATTATTGCCCAATTTATACATGCTTGCAGTTGATTCGTATTTTTCTCTATTTTTTAATGCAATTTGGCTATGCCAGATACTAAAGGATCATCAACATTGATACTTATCATAAATAATTTAATTTCAGATAAAATATTTACAACAGTTAGACAGAACTTCAGCACTCTTGTAAAGAAAATAAATTATATTTTCTTGCAGGGTTATATATTTTTTTGTAATAAAAGTAACTTTTGGGGATAATCTTCTTGCATAAAATTTTCAAACAAAAATCCCATTTCATACAGCGAATTTTTTGGGCTGACAATAGCTCCTATGCAATTCCTAAAATCATTATCATCAATAGGCTAAAAGCTGATATCTCCTTTATCAAAGTCTTTTTGGCATAATAAATCTCTGTCAAATTCCCCAAAATTTCTTCGATTTCCCTCAATTTTTCATAATAAAACTATTAACAGAAATGATAATAAATCCAAATTTTTATTGAAAAATTGCATTTATAACAATATACGTGGAAACATGGCAAAAGGAACTCAGTCAGAAAGCTCAAGCGGACAGACAAATAGCGCTGTAAAGGCAGCTATGAGAAAAAGAGGAGCAGTAACCAGTAAATTATAATTAGAATCTAAAAGCGCTGGAAGAAGTGACGGAAGCTCAGCTGGAGAGTTAAAATTGTACACAGAAGATGCGCCAGGCTTACAAATTGGCCCTAGTACAGTTCTATTACTTTCGCTATCTTATATTGCTGTGGTGGTTATCCTACATATCATTGGAAAACTTAAAGGCTAAATTCTTTATAATCAATTCACTACTTAAATAAAATTCGCTTTAAATGTTATACTAGTAGAAATGGGGATAAAAAATTAATTTTTCTGTATTCTATATAGCAAGCATTGCTACCCGTATTTTATGGCCATTTCCTATTTCAAATAACAAATTTAGTAATATAAAAAAAGTATTTTAGACACATTTTCAGTCTACTCTATAAATAAAAAGTACATATATACTTTATATAGGATGATTTTCAGACAAAAGATTAGATTAAAGAGCGATTTTTCTCATAGGGACTTCAAAATAGAAAAATAATAAGCTTATACACATGCATGGTTTGGGCAACTTGCAAAATCTATACCAGACATTTTATAACTATGATAATGATTAAACCTATACTTTTGCTATTATTTTATGCTTACGCCTATAAAGAAACCCTCACATTTCTCACAGTCTCCTCATCAAGCTCTCTTGCAATCATAAACTTTACAGACGATTGAACAGACCCTCACTCTCCCATCACAAATTATGGGATATTCCCTGAATCACTATATTCTTTATTAAATCTCAGCCAAACGAAACATTTTGAAGCAACTTTTGCTTGGGGAACTCCTCCTCCGCAGTCTAGCGAAAGAATTACAATATACAATAAGCTAAAAAATGAAAAAATCAGGCTAGATAAGGCAGGATTTACCTTAATTTCTGACTCTTCATCAAACTGAAAAATGCTGACTAGCTTGCTTAGCTCATTATTCTGCTCATATATTAACGTAGACGACGAATCCATAAAAACCAAAGAATTCCAGCACATTCATACCAATGATTTTCTATGTAAAGAAAATTTCATTAGAGCTCAACATTTATTGCCATGCCGTGGGAATAAAGGCTTCTCGACTCTTTTTGGGTCATTTTATAGCTCAAAATATGTAAGTTTGACTATTGCAGCTGAAACTGATGGGGAAAATAAATATAAATATACGATTAGAGCAACAGTAGAAGTCTCTTCAAAAGAGCCACTAAAGTCTGTGTATGATGAGTGACTTCGTGCCATTTAAATAATTTGGTAATGTGACATTTCCTCACTCCCCCCCCCTTTAAATTGGAACTAAAAATTTTGTTCCAATTTAAAGGGTTTTTAAAAAAACAATATCAATATAAAATTTTTTATAAAAAAAACTTTGTATATAAAAATTTAAAAAAAAAAATTTCAAAAACTTATCGAGTTTTAGATTAATAAATTTGTTTAATAAAATGCTATTTACTCTTTATCCTTTAAAACAAAGCAAGATATAACTAAATTTTCATTATCAGTTAATACGCCACTATTAATTGGCATCAAAATTATTTGCACAAAAATTATTATTTTTATTGATAAAATAAAATTAAAAAAAAATAAAAAATTTAGAAAATTTATCATCAAAGTGCTAATTTTGTCTAAATAAGATGTTATTTATACTCTATTCTTTAAAATAAAGCAAGAAATAACTAAATTTTGAAATTTTATAAAGAATTCCTATTGAATTTATATCAAAACTATCCAAATAAAAACTATCATTTTTATCAAAAAAAATAAAAATTTTTTTAAAAAAATTTTTAAAAAAAAAATTTAATTGTTGTTTTAAATTTAGCAATTAAGGATAATAAATTTATTTAAATAAGATGCTCTTTATACTTTATTCTTTTAAAAAAGAGCAAGATATAACTAAATTTTTAATTTTAGTTAAGAAGAAACATTTAACTTATATCAAAACTTTTTAGATAAAAATTATATATAATTTTTTATTATAAAATTAAATTTTATTCCAAGTTAATTTACCAAAAAAGTGGAAATTTTTACCTATATTTTGTTCCAATTTAAAGGGGGGGAGTCAGGTATTTTTGGTAGAAATTTTTTCCTAGTGAGAATTTTAATGGTTTTTGACTGAAGAAATACCACACGAAGAAAAAGTTATGACCAAAATTCTGATATGGAGAAGTTCCTAACAAATGACTGGAAACGATGATGAGTGTATTAGTAGCTCTATAGAACTTATAGAAGACGCTGCAATAGAGTCTCATCCTCTCCATACTCTTCAAATTAGCAAGCTTTCATTGACAAGCCCTAGCTCATTTGAAAATCAGCCTATTAAATCGTCCAGAAAAATTGGTGATGTTCGATACAGATTTGATACTACTTATACACATGTTTTGAAAAATAATTCTCCAGAGCTTTTAAATATCGCTTTTACTGAAGTATTTCCGAATATCGTAACGCCGCTTCTGCATACATTTTCGCATTCTCCTATAAAAATATTCTTTATTATAATATAAAGGAATTTTAATTTTAAAAAAAAAACATTATAGCGATTTATAGCCCAGGAGGACTTATAGCAAGCCTTAAGCTTAGATTTTAGGCCAAAATTGTGAATTTAGCTTGAGTGATTTTGCTAAAAATAACTAGTAGCCTAAGGAAAGCAATAAGCTGTTCTGGGCTATACATTATCCAGGATATCAAAATTCAAAAAAGGGTGGACTGTTGATTTTGAACTTATATTAAAGCCAAATGAAGAAATCAGTATAAAATTCCAGTTAGAAAAAAAGCTTTTAAGCTTTGAAGAATACCCAACAGACCCACAGAGAGGCTGGGATATCCCTTCTACCATCATCATCTACAAAGGAAACACTCTTGAAGGAATCCTCCCCACAGACGACTTATTAGTTATGACTCCAGAGCCAGATTTTTCAATGCCTTTTAACGTAATCTGTATAACTGGCTCAGTCATTGCATTTTTCTACACCTCAATTCAAACTTTACAGCTGTGGAAAGAAAAAATCCATTGGTCAAACCCTCATTATGAGACCTCCGTCATTAAAGCTCAAAAAATCCAAACCTATGTAAAAAATGGATTATTAGGGATTTCTCTAGTCATTTTATATATTTTAGACAGAAAAGGAATATTAAAGCTGCTAGGCTAATAAGATAAACAAAAATAGGCTATTTTTTATGTTAAAATGTAATATATAATGTCTGAGCATCTCCTCAAAATGCTTATAGAAATTGAGCACACTGCTCCTGCTTATTCTTCAAAAGCCCGCACAGCTTCATTACTGCCGAGTCCCCGCACAAATTTCCAATCAATTTCCAGTCCTCCATCTGCTTATAACTTATATTCTCAGGATAGGAACTCAAAAGTTAAAGAATTTAACTATGAAAACACTAAAAAACAGCTGAATTCTTTATATAATAAATTAAGCTCTGCTGAAGCTCACAAAGAAGCTATTGAAGCGCAGAGAAAAGAAAAATTTAGGTCGCAAGATGAAAAAAGGCAAAGGAGGACTTTAAGGTCGAAAATCAGCAAAATATTGTCAAGCTTGCCTGAGTTGTGTCAAAAACAGAATAAGCATGACACGTGGACTAAAGCTGTCGAAAAAAGGCAGAATTTAATTAAACTTAATGAGATTAGAAGTAGCAGAGGATTGGACCCTTTGGAAAAGCTTGAAATTTCAAGTGATGAAGAAGTGGATTATAATGGAAACCTTTATAAAAAAACTGACTATTTTGATAGACCAGTTACCTTGAGGAACCTTTTATATGAGAATTTGACACCAAAAGAGCTAGCGGTTATGAGTGAGGATCCTTTGTATTATATTCAAAATTCAAAATACCTAGAAGATTTAAATTTACTTAAAGAAAAAAGCTGAGATGAATTAATAGCAGAAGACCCGAAGGACCCAAATAATATCAAAAAATCCAAAAGAAATTTCACAGACAAATTTTTACTGAGAAATTGTAAAAGTGAAAGCCAGAAGCTGAGGCTAAAAGATCCAGAAGCTATATTACTAACAAAAAGAGCACAGATGAATGACAGCCAAAACTCGAGGGTGGAGCAAGCCATGGAGAGCCAAAAAATGATGGAGCAGTATTTTCGAGACAAGCAAGAACAATTTAAACTGAAAAGTCATGAAAAATACCAAAAAATCCAAAATATGATAGAAGAAAACCGAATAAGCATCAGAAAACGCTACGAAACTAAACAAGCCAAAATCGAAGAAAAAATTCACAAAGAAAAAGCCAGACAAGCTGAGCAGCTTCAAAAAAAGAAACAAATCTACGAAAAACACGTCCAAAAGATCATAGAAATGAAAAAGAAAAAAGAAACCGCATTAGACACGCTGAGAGATTTTAAAGAAATTTTTAATGAAATGGAAAATGTATATAAAATCAAGCTAAAAGAACAACAAATGTCACAAAAACTTGTAGGAGTCAAAGATTTAATTAAGAAATGGGAGGCAAAGGAGTACTTTTTGCATAAAAGTAGGGATTTTAGCACTTTATAAAAATATTTTTATTTATATGATTTTTATTGGGAGATCTTATATATAAAATTCTTAATAAAATAACCCGGGAAATGGAAAATTCACCCTTTAGAGCACAGTCAGGAGACCGCAAACCACAGACGTACACCCCAGTTAATTTAAAGCTGGTTTTTGATATGGTAAAAGCTGGAGAACCTTTTAAGCTTAACAATGAGCCAATTGATGTTATTGAGCTCGTATGCAGGGTCTCAGGATATAGAGAGTCCCAAAACACTATTTCCCTTGATCTCCAAGATGACAACGGAGCCATAAAAGGTGTAATCTACCGAAAAGGCGATGGCAGCCTACCCAAAGCATTAAGAAACTACACTTTTTCAGCTAATGGCTATGCCCACATCATCGGAAATCTTCGGAAATTCAATGACAATGTACAAGTTGTAATTCAGCAAATTGAAAATATTACGAACTATGAAAGTGTCCACTATCATAAATGCAAAGTTCTTTGGAGCTTTTTAATTAGAAATGGAAGCCTGCATGTCCCAACCCAGCCATCCCAGCAAAGTCAAAATATTTTAACTGAATCTTCAAAGAAATTCGTCAGTCCTGAAAATACAGAAAGTAACGAAATGTCATATTTAACTTTGGAACAAAGAGAAATAATGAAAGCAGTTGGCACAGCTTCAAGAGAAAAAGGAGGAATTGCTAGATATGCAATCGCTGGAATTGTAGGAAGCAAAGTTAAAGACATAGATAGAGTGCTTAGTGAGTTGTTCAATTATGGATACATTAGCCAAACTGATGATGGTGCTTATTTTATAGTGAATAATTCTTAATTAAATGGCTTGTGGTAATTTTTGTCTATAATTTAGAATTATGAAAGCTTTGATTGTTTATGCACACCCCAGTCCAGCTAGTTTCAGCCATGCAGTAAAAGAGTCGTTGAAATCAGGATTCATCGATGCAGGGTGGGAAATAATTGAAAGTGACTTGTATAAAATGGGTTATAAGGCTTGCTTAGACAGATATGATTATCCTACTTATACAGAAGAAGTATTTAATATAGATAGAGCTTCAACACAAGCCTTAAATGATCATGTTTATGATAGAGAAATTGAAATTGAGATGGACAAAATCCGCGCAGCAAATGTCATTGCTTTTCAGTTTCCCATATGGTGGAGTACTACACCAGCCATTTTAACAGGGTGGCTACAAAGGAATTTTCCTATAGGTTTTGGATGGCCAGACCCAGTTTTAAGTGGTAAAAAAGTATTAATTGCATGCACTGCTGGAAATAATCCAAAAGAAGAATTGGAAGCTGCAGTCAAATTATTTGCAAGATCTTTTGAATTTATGGGAGCTAAAATTTTGCCTTATATAATAATTACTTCTGTAAACACCTCTACGCAAGAAGGAAGGGAAAATGAGTTAGCAAACGCTAGGGAAGTTGCAAGAGAAACTGCAGCAAATTTCCAAACTGCGCCTTAGTAGATAATTAATTATACTTAGTAATCAGCAATTGCTTATTTTAGCTTATCAATAATTTTCATTAATTGTAGACTTTCAAATAGAAGCATAATTGCGGCTTATTTTAAAATATAGAAAAATGCTAAATAATGAGACTTTAATTTTTTTATTTTAAATTAATTCCTAATAGAACAGACTAATAAAAAATTTCCTGAGCAATTTTACGACCCAGAGCAAGCCAAAGACGAGCTAAAAACCAAGCTAAAACTCTTAAGATCAGCTTTAAAGCCACTCATAGTCGATGGAAAAGTCCCAAGCAGCGCAGTCCCATCTGACCTCCGCGAAGAAATCGTAAAAATCTATGACGAGCATGGCGGTATCAACCTTCTGACCCAAATTCTCAAACTTGGTTACAACACTATCAAAAACTGGCACAAAACCTGACAATCAGACCCCTTGGTCTTTCGCAAGCCCATCAAGCGTCAGCGCGAAAAAGGCTCCCAAGTAGAAAAAGTCGTTAAAAAAGTCCTTGGCGCCAACAAATCAGAAACAATTATAAAGAAAGAAATAAAAACCAAGCATATTATCACAGAAAATTCAACCCCAGTAGAAAGGCTTTCTAATGAGCTGACCTTATCAGAAGAAGCCCAAATAAAGAAAATAAAAGAAATGATGGCGGAAAAACTGAGGTCTGGGAAGGGGTTATATGATAATGATGATCTGAAAAATGAAGTTACTAAACTTTATAGGACGGTGGGAGAAGCAAATTCTGTCGCAATTTTGCTAGGATTAAGTGAAAAAGCTGTTAAAAATTTAGTTGAAAATTAATTAGGTTTAATAAAGTTGTCTTCTTTAGTGAAGGTGGGAGGAAGCATACGCTTGAGGCGGCCAATGAGGTGCTTGTTAATGCGGTTGTGCTTGGGAACACCATTTGTATAGGATACATCGATAGCCATAAAGCTAGGGATCCCATTTTTCATCATATTTCATTTGGGAGTAATTGATTTTTCAAATGATTTAGAATGCAAGTCTTCTCGCTCAGTTGAATTTTCTGTATCTAAAATCGCAGTTTTTTTCAATATATTCAACTCTTTGTCACTTAATGGCTTCAGTTTAGTCCTTTCATGCTTTGGGGTATTTATCGTTCTTAATATAAAGCTGTTTCTTTTTACATTAATAGGCGATAAACTTGTAGAATTTTGGCTCAGATGCTTTAAGGCTACCCTGCTTAGCTGAGGTTTTACGTCTAAAATTTGCTCCATAGACTCGAATTTTTTTTTCCGAGAGTTTTCTTTGATTTTAATTTTGTTTTGCAAAAAATTCAAGGATTCTTCACCTCTTACCCTCATTTGAAAATCTTTTTTGGTGATATAGAGGACTTCGGCACTAGTGGAGTAGCAAGTGCATGTGTAAAGCATTTTTGAGTTTGCCATGACTTCTTCGTCACCTAGCATCTCGCCAACGCCTACTAAGGCAATTATATTGGAGGTTTTTACTTGTGTTAAGGAGAGCTCTTTTTTGGTTTGGCCGATTGCGCTATAGGCGTATTTAGGGGTTTTGTCAGCGTCACTTCATTTTGTGAGTTCAAATTCTCCTTTTTTTACTATATAAACGTGTTCACTTTCCTCTCCTTGTTTATACACAATACCTTTCCTAATAAAAGATTTTGACTTAAAATAATACGTCAGCCTTCCAATCGCTTTTTTGGTCCAGCCTCTAAACAGTGGGATCCCTGCAAAAAAATCAATTAAGGCGTCTAATTTTTCAGCTTCAACCTTACCCAATATTTTTAAATAATCTTCTTTTTCAAGAATTGCAAAATGAGTATCAGTTACGCATTGAATTGTCGCTGACCTTGGAATGTCTTTTAATAGGGCTAGTTCTCCAAAAGCCATTCCTTGTGAAAGCTTGCCAACTTCTGTCAGAATTGTTTCAGTTCCTTCTTCTGGATTATCACAGGGTCTTGTGGTTGGAACTAATATACTGACTTCTCCATCCAAAATGATATAAAATTTAGTTCCGAATTCCCCAAAGTGACAAACATACTGAATAAAGATTACCTCATCTTTAGGGATAAATTCATAGCCCATATACAAGCAAGCTTGTCAATGAATCTGTTCTCCAGATTCTTCAACTTGTTTTATGAAAAATTTTATGTTTTGTGTAAGGGCTTTTAAAGTACTTAATTGTTTTTGAGATCTTTGAAATGATGGCTTTGATAATAAAGAAATCAAATCTTTTAGTGTTTGATTGCTCTCATCATTAGTTAATGACATAATTATTTAAAAAAAGAAAAAATTGGCAATTTTCCTCAAATTAAATACAGAAAACACAATTTTGTATATAATTCATAAAAATGAATTTTAAAATAATATCATATTTATTAGTAGGTATTTGCCTAGGCATTATATAACTCTATAAAGCATAAACACTTATTAATCATTTTCAGAGTTATTAATGAGCTCATCAAATTTCTCATTTAAACTTTTTATTGATTCCTCCAATGAATCTGACAGCTCATTGTGCTGATTTAGTGCACTCTCAAGATCAACCATTCTTTGTGAAAATTTTTGTTCTGAGCCACCTAAAATTCTTTCAAATTTAGAAATCAAGTCCATCTCAGCCGCTGTTTTATTATCAAATCTATTAGAAACTACGCTTTTACTGCTATCGCCTTCTTCACTTTTTTCTTGAGCTTTTTTCTGGATGAATGCCATAGGGACTCCTAATGCTGCAATAACTATGAGAATTATCCAGACCCCAGAAATGCTTTCAATTTCTAATGGGACTGACGCTTTATGGTCGCAGCCAGTGGTATTTGAAGCTAGTATGTCTTTGTTTTTTAAGTTTTGATGGAAATGATTTTCATATAATACTATTCTTTTTTACCTAAAAAAATATTTTTTAAGAATAAATTCCCTTATCTTGAATTTATACAAAAACACTATAAATTCGCCAATGTAATTTGATTATAAAGAGTCTCGTCAAAATCATTAGAAAATGCAAATGCGTAATACTCAGGGATAAACACGTCCCCCACTATCTTAAAATCACAACTAATCCCTGCATAAAATATTGCTAATGGTACAGGCAAAGCTGCAGCATCTATACTTCCACTGTCTAAATCGTCTAAAATTTGTAAGGCATTCCCATTGTCCCATTTATATGATTTTACTTTGACTTGGAATGCTTCTAAAGCTTCTTTATATTGGACAAATGATCCAATTTTTAGCCCTTTTATATCTTTGTAACTGTTTATTGAACTTTGATAATTATCAACTGAAAAATTCGCGACTAAGCTTGCTACATAAGCTGCTGCCAGCGTTAAAGCAGTAAACCAATATATCATTTGTATAATTTTTCCAGGCAAAGTCCTTATTTCTTTAGCTCCAATGAACACAAGTGATGCAAAAGCGTGCCACAAGCTTTCTATCCCACTTAATTTGATTTTTTCTATAAAGTTTTTTATTTTATATATATATAAATATTCATAAAATTTAGAATAAAATTCCTTTTCTATATTGAAATTGTATAGGACCATTTACTTTTCTTTCTATCATCCATAAGATGTGGGCATAAAAAAGAACTGAGAAAAATATAGCAATCCAGAAGGTATAGTCAAATGGTTTTAAGAATATTCACATTGATGTACTATCAACAAGCTTGATTACAAGAAATAACCCAGAGTCATAAACAGGGGTTGAGTATTTTAATTTAGATAAATATTGGTTCTTAATGGCAACTCCTGCTATTGACATATCAGCGTTTCCATTAAGAATCGCGGTCATCATATTGTCTCAATCAAAACATTGGATTGTATAATTAGTAAAGCCAATATAAGATGAAACTTTGTCTCATAAATCAATAGAATACCCAGTAAATCTGAATTAAATATATTTTTTAATTTAATAATTATACTAAAAAAAATTATATTTTTTCTTTCCCAAGTAAAACTTGAATAGTCTGTTGAACCAATGTCGCAATATGTCATAGGTGGCCATGGACTTGTAACTAAAGTATATGCATAAATCCCTGGCAATAGGAAAATTCACATTTATTATTATGGACATCAACTTAAGCAAAGACGAGTTAGACAGGCTTAATAATGCTTTAAAAAAGCCTGAATTCGTGACACTGCTAAATGAATATGTTGATGAAATTTCTGACCCAAAAAACAGAAAAGAATACGAGGATTATTTAAAACAGCTGGAAGGTAATGGAGAATTACCAAATGGAAGAGTTTTGATTAGGCCGGGACCTGGATTTTGTATTAAAACTTCGCTTAAAAGTAAAGGAAGAACTATAAAAGGATTTATTAACATTTGTAGGGCGAATGAAATACAAGCACCTTCATTAGAGAGAAAGGAAAAAGGCGGGACATGGAGCGTCCCATATGCAATGGGGCATCCGAGGCATGATAAAGATAAGCGAGGAGATGTCTGTTTGACTCTTGATTGTGCGTATAACCCGATGGCTTTTGAACTAGCTAAAAATTCTCAATCTGCCTCTTCGTGAGCGAGCCAAACCATTTGAAAATCTTTATTTTCTAAAAAACACCATCTCTAGGAGTAAGCAAAATTTTTTAGCAATTATTATTATAATGAAATCTCCAGCTAATTCTGTTTAATTTTAGCAGCTTAAGTAAATTAATTTTTACTTTTTTTTTTATAAAATTATACTATAAAAAAGATTCAAAAAAAATTAATACCAACCCAAATAAAATTTTTGCTCGTTCACTGAGGGTGAGAAGTCAACAATTTTTGCAATTATTATGTGAAACTGCGATTTAAAGCAGGCTTATATTATATAAACTTAAAATTAAATACAAAAATAATATTAAATTCATAAATTTTTTTAGATAAAAAGGTGTTTTTATATCATTTTTTATTTTTTAATATCCCATCCTTAAAGCAGCTGCAACAGTTTTGAAATCTCAAGGTGAAACAGTTAGCGAAGATTACAAGTTATTAAAAAAATTAAAATGCAAAGGAGGAAGTCCTGGTAGTATCATGGTCAATGAAATGAGAATGAAAAATCCAAATCTCCCTCAAGAAGAAAGGCCTCAAACTTATAAGCTGTCTGAAGAAGGGCCAAAATTATATAAAGAATTGGTATCTACACAAATGAAAGCGAAAGAAGAAGAAAAGAAAAAAGAGACAGAAAAAGAAAAAGAAAAAGAAAAAGAAGAAGTCGAAGAGCCTAAAATTGAAGAAAAAAGATCAACTGGGATTGTGAAGCCTAAATATAAAATTGTTTATACATCTCCTGTGGATTTAGGTGACTTTTTGGATTCCCGAGTAAAAGGTATAAAAAGACCAAAAGAAGCAATCGTGACAATTGATGTGCCATTTATGGAAAAAATTAGTGAGGCCAAAATTGATGTGCAGGACAAGCTATACCATTTTATTTTAATTATTATTTATTATTTAATTAATATTATTTATTTCTTGAATATTTCAAAGCATATCCCATAGATATACTTATTTTTGGTGTCAATAATTTATATTATTTAGAAGTCAAAATTTCTTACTCAGTTGATGAAAACAATGCCAATGCAAAATTTGATAGAACAAAAAAGCAAATGAAAATCACATTGCCAATTATCCCAGGGCCAGAGCTCCCAGAAATAGTGCCAAACGATATTCCTGAAATCGTAAATGATGAAGAAGAAAATAATAAGCCTAATGAAGAAATAGTGCAACTACAAGAGCCGAAAAATGCAGAAAATATTGTTGAATCACAGAAATCTACAAATCATAAAGAAGAGCTGGGAGGAGCAGAAAATAATTTTTTAAAAATAGTAAACGATGAAGGAGAAAGTAAAGCTGAAGAAAATACTGAAAAAGATGAAAAAATTGAAATTCCTGAAGATTTAAATTTAAAATGGAGTGAAGAAAGGCAAGAAACTGATAAAAATGAAAGGAAAAATTTAGTTGAAGAAATTAAAAGTGATGAATTAGAAAGAGTTGAGAAAGAAGTTGAGGAAAATAGTGATATAAAAGAAGAAGCCTGTGAAGAGCCAAAAGTTAAAGAAATAATCCAAACACCTTGCTGCATCCGGCTGAAAAGTCAATTGCTGTATCAGCTTTTATAAGTTAAAATAATACACAAGCAATTTACTCTCAATTTAAATAAAACTTAAATATTAAATAATCAGTAATAAATGGCTTCTAACTAAAATCGAAAATTTTTAGCGAATTATTATAGAGTTCTTCTTTATTTTACAAGAATTAATTCTTTATTCTTACTCTTTCCTTTTAATTGGAATAAAAAATCCTGATTAATAGGTATTATTAAAAAAAATTAAATATTAATTCTCTATAAAAAGCTAAAAATTAAAAAATAGAAATTGAGACAATATTTTGGAATTTTAATTTATTTTATGAAGAATTAATTCAAAAATTATTCAATTCGGTTTGAGAACTGTTTGAATATTCTATTTGTAATTTCCAATTCTAAATTCGATTATCACTTAATTTAAACTCCTTGATTCTTCTTGTATAACGGTGCGGGTGGTCGTCTTTAGAACCTAAATGCCTCAGCTCAAGTAAGAACTCTCTTTCCAGCACACCTAGTGGAGTATCACAACTCCAGGAAACAGTCTCTTGGTCTCTCAGACTCTCAAAAGGAACTAAAGTCCCTTTATTAGACCGTTAGAAGAACTATGACCTCCAAGGTTCTGCCATTTTAAATGTGAATTTCCAATTATATTAGGGTCCACATATAAATTTCAGTATTGAAAAAAAAATTGTTCCAATTAAAATCCCAATTCAAAAGAGGCGAAGTTAATAGCTTTCTTTTATTCCCATGTCAAATATGGCATTGCTGGCTTAAAAATACAGCTTAAATATTTTCAAATGGCAAACTGCGAGGTGGATTTTTTTGAATTTTGCAAGTTGAATGATAAGATTGAGGCTCTTCAAGATTGTATAGTACGTAGCACGTCTTTTATTTGTGAGTTTTTCCCAGAAGACATTTTCTCAGCACTATCAGTCGTATTGGTCAGCAAAACTATATTTTTGTCAAAATGCCTAACAAAAAAAGCCCAAAATTCCCAAGATAAAAATATGCAGCTGTATAGCACGATACAGGGTTTGAATAAAGCAGAATGAAATAGATATGTCAAGAGCTGAGCTTTGAGCACAAAAAGAAGCATTAAAAAATATGATGCAAGATTTGGAAAAACAAACTGAAAAATTCAATCAATGGGAAAGCAACATCAAGCATTTATTCCCTGCATAGTTTGGAATCCTTCTATGGCTTCAGGCCGAAAATATCTTAATTTAATGTAAATAGCTTTTTAAGAAAATCCAAAATAAACCAAAAATGAAACTTCAGAGACACAAGGATCATTCATTCAAATTTCAGTAGATGAATTTATTTTATTCCACAGGAATAATATGAAACCAAAAATCCAGAATTCGAGAGGTCACTTTGAGCTTCGTCACAAACTTGAAATCGACCATCCAGAATCTTCTTTTACTTACAAGTCCCCAGGCAGCGTAAAAGGAATTCGAAGTCCTGACTTGCGGACTCAAAGTTTAGCAGATCCTCATAGAACTGGAAAATCCCCCAACTCAGCAAAAAATCCAAGGGAAAAATTTCTGAAGGCAAAACCGCCTGAAAATAAGCAAGAAACTTCTTTTGAGGCTCCTTTTAAAGTCATAGAGCCACCAAAAAATCGCATTAAAAAAACAATCGAGAAAATCACCCCACACAAAAATAATTTTTCAGTTTACGATCCCACAAATGAAAATCAGAATTCATCTGCTTTGGGAGCCAAAAACCTGAAAATAGAAATCGAGACTTTAAAGAAAATAATTGGTTCGCTTAAAGTAAGCCACAAAGAACAAGAAGAAACGCTAGTTTTTCAGCTGCATCAGCTTCAGCAAGAAATAATGGAATTAAAAGCTGAATTTGCAGAAACTATAGGGTTCTTGGCTCAAATTATAGTAAAATATTTAGATAAGCATACTCCACGAGCGATAAGTGAAGAAATGCTTACCAAAATTCAAGAAAAGCAAGAAAGATTAAAAATAGACTTAGACTCAGTAATAAAATCGATTTCTGAGTCTACAAACACAAATATTTCAAGAAACACTAATCCATTTAAAAGAGACTCAATTGCAAGCTTATCAAGCACTGGTCATTTTCAGTCTTTTAACGAAAGCTTTCATTTTCCATTAATTTCCAGCCCAATTAATCGCACTTTTGAGGTAATTTCACTTTATGATTATCACCCAGTGATAGAAGACCACTTAGATTTTCAAGCTGGAGAAAGAATTCAAGTGACAGAGATGCTTGATGAGGAATGGTGAATTGGAATTCTACGTGGAAAATCTGGGAAATTCCCTAAGGAATTCGTTCTGAACGATTAAAAACTTTTTTATTTTTGCCTGACTCTATTAATGACCATTACTGATTTTTGCATTTTAAAATTAAAATTGGTTTTATCCAGTGAACATAAGTTAGAAATAAGCATATTAGTTAATATGTGTTTATATATACAACTGAACGTTGTTTTTCATGATTTGGCTAAGAGACTGCATACAGACGTAGTTTGCTCAGCAAGCTCGCTCATAGAGCTGCTGATTGTTGACGCTATTGACACAAGCAAAAGACGGAACCTCAAAGTGGTTCTGCGCGTTTTGAAATTTTTGAATGTCATCCTGAGCAACCGAACTCAAGTTATTATTCCAATTTGGCGCACCATGCATCACTGCACCTACAGGGGTTTGAAAACTTTGGCCACAAGGCTGATTTTGAGCCCCTGGTAAGCTCATAAATGTTTCGCCTTCTTCACTGAACGGCTGATTCATGAAACATTTTTTGATTAAAAACTCTACAACTGGCTTTTCCTTGATAATTTTCTTTACAGACGCAGTAATTCTGAGATTTTCTGGCCTGTATTTGTTGTATTTCCTTAATCCTTTGCGAACTGCGCTGTAAAAACGATTTTTAATTGAGTTTTCAGTTCTACCTGGAAGGGTTTTTGCTATCTCTGTTCAGCAATTTCCGTATTTTCTTTGGTACTCAAAGAGAGTTTTGTCTTCTTGAGCTGTCCATGGGAGTCTTTTTATGGCTGGATCGATATGATTGTTTCATCTCTCACGGCATTGTTTTCCCGATTTATTAGGAAATCCGTACTTGTCTCGGAGAATATTTGATACGTCTGACCATCTAGCGGTGCCTATTTCTAAGACAATCTCTTGAAGCGCATTGTCTTCCTACATAAAATCTACCTCTTCTGTCCAAGGCTTTCTTTCAGTGATTGACATTTTAATTTTGTATTTACTGACAATTATGTAGTTCTAAAAGTAAACATCAAGATGGCGATTTATCGAGAATTTTTATTAAAGAAAAAATTCTAATATGCTTCTCAGCATTGCTAGATTGTATTTCTAGAAAATTCTGAATATTTTATTAAGAAGAAATGGTAAAAAGCAATAAATATAAAATTGGTTTAAAATTCATATTTAATGAACAAAGACTAATTATGGCTTTCTAGAAGGGCCTTGGAATTTATAATTGAAGACATAAATTATTTTTTTAACGTTTTAATAAAACTAGCAATTTGAGAAAAAGGGCGACTTGCTCTTAAAAAGTCAGAGTTTTGAATAAGTAAGGCTGTTTCAAATATATATCGATTATAGTTTTAGAATCCCTTTTAATAAAACTCCACAGAATTCAGTGTAAGTAGGAAAATAATTCTCAGTTCTCTCAATGGATGTTGAAAAAGGGTGCATTAAATGATGACTATGCCTGTTTCGTGAAATGATTAAATTCTCTTAAAATTAGCTTTTTAAAGTATAGTCTTTTGGATTTCTTAAAAAAATTAATCAAACTTAAAATGCTCTTAAGACCATTTTAGACAACGTTACATTTTATCAATATTAGATAAAAATACATAATTATTTTAATACCCGAAATTTATACTTATTTAAATATTTAACCGAATTCCTATAAGTTTTAATATTCACATCTATATGAAAATAATTATTTATTATTTTAATTGCTTAACTATTATTTTCAGCGGCATATAGGAGTTAATTAATTTAATTAACTGCAATTTTAAACTTTTTTACTTTTCATAATTCATTTTCTGAAAATTATTAAATTAATCATTAGCTTTCTTTATTAATCTTTATTAAAGCATTTAAATTCTCTTATTGTTTTTGTATTTATTTTGCTTTCCAAAATAAATTTTTAAAAATTTCCTTTAAAACTTGCAGTATTTTCTGTTTGCTTTACAAAAAAATCCCTGAAACTTAAAATCATGCAAAAATGGTTTCAATAGATTCAACTAGGCGTACAAGTCTTGATATAAAAGCATTAAATTCGTATGAAGAGGCCAACCAGCCCACAATCAACCCGACAGGCTCGCACGAACCAGAGAAAAAAGCTAATCCACCTAAGCAATCCGTAAGCCTTAAAGGCTTGGCTTTATTGATCTTAGATCATTGATTTACAACTACTTTTATGCTAGTCCTCACTGTATACGCTTTATTTGGAGACAGTTTTCGTGCCCTTTTGACATCCCAAGATGCAGATGACGGATTTTATATAGTCACAATTATATGTATCAGCTTTTTTACATTAGAAATAATAGTAGCTTCCTTTGTGAAGGAAGATTATTTCTTATCATTTTTCTTTTGACTTGATGTAATTTCTACTATATAGCACAAGCTATGATTTGGCCCGGCTATTTCATTGATTTCTGACTAGTTTAGGAGCTATTTTTGTCATTTTCGAGTGATAAGCCAACTCTCAATTTATTAACCTTTTTATAATTGGTATGTGGAGCTGGCTTGCCTCCTTAAAGTGACTAAAATAAACAATCTGTATTGATTGGGTCCCTAGACGGAGTCAAAGCCAAATTAATGCTCTAATGATATCCCTAATCACTGATATTGGCTGAGCATGAGATGCCATGACTGGCCAAGATAGAACTGGAAAAGCTTCAAGTACGTCAAGTCAGTTCTCTCAAGCCAGCAGAGCCTCACGAGCAGGGACTAGGGCTGCCAGAATTGTCAGGCTGATTAGGGTCATCAGGCTAGTCAGAATTGCAAAACTTTACAAACTATCACAGGTCGCTAAAGAAAAATTACTAAAGAAAGACGAAATTTTGCTTAAAAGAGGAAGAGTTGCATATAGAGGCAACGAAAATCCTCTTGGGGATCTCGAAATTATAGAATCTGAAGCATTTATAAATGAAGACTCTGAAATCAACTCAGTTTCTGCAAATTTTTCAAATTCCCACGCAAATCGATCAAGAAGAAGGACAACTAGAAAATCATCAGGAGCTCCAAAGCTTAACCCTAGAGACAGTACTATTCAAGACTTAGAAGTCCCTAGCTCCTCTATTTCATGAGTTAGCAAGACATCAGAAAAAATTTTTTTAAAAGAAAAACTACTGCGAAATAGCAAAAAATATTTTTAAAATATATCTGATAACTACCATGATGATATTTATATTTATTTATTATAAATTTTAAATGCCTTATTCAGAAACATAAATTTTTTAAATTTTTACTTTTTCTGCTTTCCTTTCAAAATTAAGAAAAAATGTTGTGAGGAGTAAAGAAAGCAAGGTGGGCAAAAAATTGTCAGAATTAACGACAAAAAGAGTAATTATATTATCATTGCTAACTGTTGTTATCTTACCATTATTTGAATCCCAGCTGTATTATGACGATAACGATTCTTATGAACTCGGTCTTCATTTGATAATGAAAGAAATCGATGATCAAGAGGCAGCAACTAGAGTTGGCAATTTCTATGTAAAAGATCATAAAAATATTGACACGCCAATAATATTAGTAATTGTTGGGGAATATTACAATTGAAGCTCTGATACCAATCCTGCTGATCTCAGGGCGGAAGAGCTGGGAGTTTATACTTTGTCTGAAGATTACATGAATACTACCATTGATGGAGTTTCTATGTTTGATTTGAGAAATAACACGAAAAGACAAGCAGGACTTGATATTGGAATCACTTTATTTGTCTGCCTTGTATTAAGCTTTTTTTCATTAGCCTTTTCTAACTCTACTCCCAATCTTGATTGAACGATTCTATATAAAATTTTCTGGAAAATCAACTCTGTCCTTACTTGATCAGTAGCTGCATATTTGCGAATTTTTTATAAATCGGCTAGCTATTTTTTATAATAATTAGTGGCAATAAATTACAAAGTGTAGTGCAAAAATATCAAAATATTGACAATTAGCTATAAATGAATTCAGCTCAATTTTCTGACTCCAATCGCAATATATCTCTTTTTTCTAAAATAGTGTGATTTTTAAACAAAAAATCATATAATTTATTTTTTAAATTTTTTCTCAAACTTGTATATACGTCATTTAACCAAAGATGTGTAAGGATGCACAGGATTTAATTATAGAGCCCTTAGAATCTATGATCCTTACAGTTCAAAAAATTTCAGAAAATCCTGTAAAGGCAGCCCAGGAACAAGAAGTTGAAGAAGTCACTCGAAACATGGCTCTCACCAAAAGTGAGCTGTTAAAAGAAAAAACAAAAAAAAATGCAAATTTAGAAACCAAAATCCTAGAAGAGACTTTTATTAAAATTGGCGCATTATTAGCATTGGGATTTGGGGAAGCAGGCTCCGAAATTATCGCTAAAAATGTAAATAGAAGTGGTGGAGAAATCGACCCATTAATCCCAGGCAAAAAGCGGCTCTGCATTTTTGGGTTCTGCGATATCCGTCAGTTTTCAGAAGCTACTGAAATACTACAAAAAGACGTCATGATTTTTGTCAATGAAATTGCCAAAATTGTCCATCAGACTGTGAATAATTATTCAGGGTCTGCAAATAAAAATATAGGGGAGGCCTTTTTAATAGTCTGAAAATTCCATAGAGAATCTGTATTAGAAGATTCTTTGACTGGGGAAGTTTCATTAATAGATAATCACCATACCAATGATTTGGCTGACATGGCAGTTGTTGCATATTTGAAAACAATTGCGGAAATCAATAAAAGTCCTAAAACACTGGCTTATCAAAAACATCCAGGCCTAACGGCAAAAATGCCTGGATTTTGTGTGAAGATGGGCTTTGGGCTCCATCAAGGATGAGCAATTGAAGGAGCGATTGGGAGTGAGTTTAAAATTGACGCGTCATATTTGTCACCAAATGTAAATTTAGCGTCAAGATTAGAAGCGGCGACTCGACAGTTTGGAGTGCATATATTGGTGAGTGATGCTTTATATAGGGTTTTCAATGAATTTTCTGCAGAAATTAGGACTCTTTATGTATTAATCCTTTAAAGTTTTAAAAAAAAAAAGGTAAAAATATTATATATGGCAGTATATAATATTTGTTCAAGCCAAACCCAGAAAAATTTTAGAAAAGTCGATAGAGTTACTGTCAAAGGCAGTAAAGTGCCAATTGAGCTTTATACTGTAGACTTAGACCTAACTGCTCTTGAAGTCGGAACTGACACAGAGGATACTTTTACGGACCTAAAAGAAGCCCGAGCTTTTGCTCACATTAAGAGAGAAAGATTGAATGATGCAGTAAAACACAAAAATTATAGAGTTTATAGATTGTTTACAGACGATAAAGACCTTAGAGCTATGAAGAAAAATATTTCAAAGCATTTTATGCACTGGTTTTCAATCGCACTTGAAGAATATCTAAAAGGAGATTGGAGCCAAGCTGCAATCGATTTTTCGAAAGCACAGGTTTATAAAAATGGAAAAGACGGCCCAACTGAAGTAATACTTGAGTTTATGAAAGAAAATAATAATGTTCCTCCTCCAGATTGGTCTGGATATCGTATATTGCATGATAAATAGATTTAATTTTAGTTAAAAAGATGTGAATAAAGCAATTTTTGGAAACATATTAATATTAGCATAGGCGATACAGTTACTTTGACTTAATATAATTTTTTAAAATTTGATATAATAACAAAAATTATTAAGAATAAAATAAGTTTAAAAGCCCAAGAAATATCTCTTTTCGTTCGGCTGTCTCTTGTGTTAAAGTAGAAAAACAGCTATATATAAATGGATTCCAGCCTTCTTGAAAAATCCAATAAATTAATCGAGCCTCTCCAACATGAACTGAGTGAGGAGGAAAATCTGCATTGATGCTTTTTCCGTCATTTTTGACGAAAAATATTATAATATTAAAAAAATAAAAAATGTATAAAACAGCAAAGTGAGTTATGAAAAACATAAAGTTCATTTTTACCAAAAGACAGGTGGAAAAAAACCTAAAAATTATATGCATTCAGTAGTAAATGAAACTAAGCAGAGAGATTGCAGGGGACATTAAATATAGCAATATTTTTTTTGTCTTGTAACTAAATTTAAATAAGTTATCTCTAATAAATGAGCAAATAGTATAGTGCATGTGATATATAATTTTTATAAGAAAAAGATAAAAGCGTGAAATTAGAGCATACGAAATAAATTTATGAATAACTATTTATCAATACACAAAATGCATGTATAAAATTTTAAAAAATTTTGCATTTTAAAAAATTGGCATAAAAAACTTCCAGGATTTGTGATCGGGCAAAAATAGGCTGAAAAATCCAAATAAAAAAAGTGCAAAAAACTAAAAATTATATGATATGCACAACACTCTTTGTGCATTCATTTAGAGATATCTTATTTAAATTTAGTTAGAAGACAACAAGAGTATTGCTATTTAATGACCCTGCTATCTCTCTGCTTAATATCATTTGCTACTGAAGATATATATGCTTTATGCTTTTATACACCTGTATTTGTGCAAAAATGAACATTATGTTTTTTACAACCTCTTTTTGTAGTTTTTTACTTTTTTGTGTCTTTTTTAATACTAAAAAAATTTTTTGTCACTTTTTACTGAAAAAAAAGACAAAAAGTATCAATGCAGTTTTCTATCTTCCCGCACGAACTCCTTGACTTAATTAACGGCAATAGAGAATGGGAACACCTTGGTGAGGACAATGGTGTTGAATCAGATCGCATTATGACTGAATCTGGGATCCAGCTAATAAAAGCTATTGGACTCATCAACAGACAACCTCAACAGATCGTTGATGTCATTTGCGACTACCAGCACAAATCTGAATGGGATGATATGTGTGTGGAAAGCCTTATGGTCCAAGAGTTCGATCCAAATTATAGAGTCCTTTATCAACGCTTTTGGGCACCATGGCCAATCAGCCATAGAGATTTCGTTTTTGCCTCAAAAGTTTCAAATGTTGGTGAAGATATTATTATTACCGCGAAAAGTGTAGAAACTGATTTGGTTCCTGAAAAAAGTGGAGTTGTCAGAGGAAGTATTAACACCTCAGGATTTTATCTCCAAAAATTGGGCGAAAATTTAACAAGAGTTACTTATTTGGTTTCTGTGGATCCTAAAGGAAGCTTGCCATTGTGGGTTGTTAATCAACTTGGGAAAAAGCAATGCCAAGTACCGTATAAGCTGAAAGTAAGGCTGGGAGATGCTTAATCAATAATTTAGATATGCGTAAAATTATGATAATTATTTCAGTATAAATAAATTTGTATTACTTCATGCTCTCATCATTAAAAACTTACTCTCGTCTATTAAATGGGCATGATTTATAATATTTTAGTTAATTTTTAGCAAAAAAATTCTATATCAAATTGCTTGCTATCCATAAGTTTTACCGAACATAAATTTAAAAATATTTTGCTATTAACAAGAGTGGGAGCTAGGAAAATATTTTTCACATGAAAAATTAGCATTTTCATGTAAAATGCAGTCATTTTCCTTACTTCTCTCTCTGCAAGCGAGCAAAAGGATTTACTCGTTTACTGAGGGAATTAATTTTATAGTTTAAATTTGTTTTTCACAAATTCATTCATAAAAATTGGAAATTTATTATAAAAAAAAATTATGTTTTAAAATGCAAACTGCTTAAATTTTACAGAATTAGTCTAAGATTTCATTATAATGATTGTCATTTATATATTAAAAATAATAAAAAATTTTTGCTTTTTTTTACGAAAAATAGGGGATTTTTTCAATGTGTTTGTTCGCTCACAGAAGAGGGGGAAACTATAAATGGAAACTTCACTGCTTGAGAAGTCCACAAAGACCATAGAACGCTGTCAAGCAGAACTCTTAGATCTAATAAACGGTCAAAGAAATTGGGAGCATCTAGGAGACGATAACAACGTGGAATCAGATCGCCTCATGACTGAATCTGGAATCCACTTAATAAAAGCTGTAGGTCTTATTAACAGAACTCCTCAACAGATTTTTGACGTAATTTGGGATTACCAACACAAATCAGAGTGGGACGACATGTGCCTTGAAAATATTTTGGTGCAGGAATTTACCCCAGATTTTAGAGTCCAATATCAGCGTTTTTGGGCTCCTTGGCCGATTAACCAGAGGGATTTTGTGTTTGCTTCAAAAGTAATAAGAACTGATGGAGATATTTTGATTACAGGAAAAAGTATAGAAACTGAGCTTGCACCTGAAAAAAGTGGTATCGTTAGAGGAAGCATAAATACCTCAGGATTTTACCTTCAGAGTTTGGGAGAAAATTTAACGAGAATTACCTATTTAGTATGTGTAGATCCAAAGGGAAGTATTCCTACGTGGGTAGTTAACCAACTTGGAAAAAGGCAGTGCCAAATTGTGCATAAATTAAAAATGAGGCTAGGAGATGTCTAATTGCAACGATTATTTAAATCCTTATTTAATTTTGATGATAGGCTTGAATAAATTATGTTTTTATTAAAAACTGTCAAAATTATTTCATTTTGATTTAAAATTTTAAATGAATATAAGGCATTTCTTGTGAGGAATCCTTAAAATATGACTAAATATAATTTATAACTCTCTGAAGGCAAGCAAAACTATTGGAAAATACCTATTTTTTGAGAAAAATACCCTCTTTTAGCTAAAAATTTTGTATAAAAAATATATTTTGATATAAAATATCAGCTAATTCTATTCAGTTGCAAATAAAATATAATTTTTTTATTTTTAGAATTTCGAAAAAAATAAAAATAAATAAATTAAAAAAATAATTAATCCTTATTTAGATTTTTGCTAGCTATAGAGGAAGTAAGGAAATATGAACGAATCAAACACTACTGAACAATTGTAAGTTTTATATAGTGACTATATGATGAAAATCCTCACAATTGGGGATTCTGGGGTTGGAAAGACTTGCCTTATTATGCGATATACAGTAACAAATATAAAGGAAAACTCTTTCTCAAATAAATTTTTGAACACAATCGGAGTTGAATGTAAAAGCAAAACTATAGTTCAAGGCAACAAAAAAGTGAGAATGCAATTATGAGATACAGCAGGCCAAGAAAGATTTAGGACGATCACGAATAATTACTATAGAGGCGCACATGCCATTGCAATTGTTTATGACGTAACTGATAGGAAATCTTTTGAAATGGTCAGCTCATGGCTCGCAGAAATTAGAAAATCCAGAGGTTCTGAGGCCTATATCTTTATTCTTGCAAATAAAGTAGATATGACTGAAAAGAGGGTTATTTCTGAACAAGAAGGCGCAGAATGGGCAAAAAATAGAGATTTGTATTGTTTTGAAGTTTCTGCTAAAGAAAATTTAGGGGTTGAAGAAGCTTTTTCTTTTATTTTTTCAAAAATTTTTTCGAAAATGCAAAACAGCCCTAATTTTCTCGCCAGAAATCAAGAAAATTTGCAGTTGTCTCGCATGGAGAATAAAAAGTCAAAATCAAAGAAAAAGTAATATTAAATTAGGTGTTGTTAATTTAATTCCTTATCATTTATAGAAATAAAATGGTGACGTTGACGGATAGGACTCCGAGGCGCACCTCCTATGGAGCTGGTAGGACCCATCTCTGATGAAGCTGAAATATAGGGGCCTCGTTCATTGACTTAAGTAGGCCTTCAGATGTGGGGAAGCCGTGCCGAAAAGGAAGTTTTATTTCTCCCCCGAAGGTTTTCTTGTCCCTGCCAGATGGGCTAGACAGGTTTTGCCTACCACATGGTCTTCCTTCATCGGGACCATCGGGGCACTCATTCAAGAGTGGTTCTGTCCAAAGGAGCTGCAGGTGGTTCAGACCAGAAATCAAGATGGCGTCGGGCCGGGAGTATGGTCGCATTAAAAACCGACTTGGAGTCGTCTTTCGAGCTGAGATGTAGTGGTCCGCTGGTTTCGCCCATATGACCTTATAATACTAGCTAACTTATCATTTATTGAATTATTTTTTTATAAAAAAGAATAAATCTAAATTATTTATTTGAAAAAGTATGCTCATAATAATTTTTATTTAAATATATTAGAAGGCTTCATTATGCTTAACAATTTTTCTGCGATTCCAATTTCTACAGCAAATTTTGCCTTTAAATTTATTTTTTGTATTATATTTCATTTTATTAATGATAATATATACATAAAAATGGTGACGACAGACCATCCGACCTCTCGACCCTATTTCCTCAACAGCAGTAGGTAACGGCCCAGTGTTGGGGATTTAGTTGGAAAGGGGCCGGTAATATTCGGGCTGGGTTTTTCTCTCGGGTCCAGGATGCTAACTCTGGATTTTAAAGTTTTCCCTCCAGAACAACCATTGGAAGGACAAGGTTGGGTCAATGTCTGATTGACAATATGGCCCTCATACACTGAAGACGGTGGAGGTTTCAACTCAAGTGGTTGGCCTTAGACTCCAGGAGCCATGGAAGTCAAGATGGTGCGAATCCCTTGTTTATGGCAACAAGAGAAGGGTGTCCGCTGAGGTCGCGTCATGGACAATGAGAGTGTAAAGGTGCAAATCCCAAGCCCTGCTAGCGTGAACGGCTTAACTTAATCTTAATTAATGATAATAAACAAAAGCATATATTTGAAGAAAAATCTAGGCTGACTATTTTCTTTTTAGCTGAATTTATAATAGTGAAATAAATGGAGCCAAATCTTGAAGAAACATGTTCTACTGCTCTTGAGCGAGCTCAAACAGAAGTTCTTAACTTAATAAATAACCCTCAAGTGCGGTGGGAAAATTACAAAGAAAAGCATGGCCTCACTCGGCAAAAAATAGAAACAGACTCAGGAGCCTTAATAATTAAATCTGCAGGAACTATCAATAAACCAGGACAAATTGTATTCGACACATTATGGGATGACACAAAAAAGGTTGAATGGAACTCAAAATTAAAAGAAACCAGACTTCTCCATGAATTTGATTCACGGATAAGAATATATTATAACAGTTTCAAATCGCCATGGCCAGTCAAAAATAGAGACTTTGTCTTTGCAACAAGGGCAATTAGTCTTGGCGATGACGCTTTGATCACGAAAATTAGCATAAATACTGCCCTTTGCCCTGAACAAGCTGGATTTATAAGAGGCGAAATAAAAGGTTCAGGAATCTTAATACACCCTGTGGATAAGAATTCGTGTGTCTTGACCTTTGTGGTTAGCATAGATCCAAAAGGGTCAATTCCAAGATCATTAGTAAATAAGGCACAAGAAGAGCAGTCATTAGCTGTGCATGATATAAGGCAATATGTTTCAAGATTATAATAGTTAACTTATAGAGTCTGGCTTTATTAATATAAGCTAATTGATTAAATTTATTTTATAATTGGAATTCGATAAATTCATAATGATTCCCTGAATATTTTTAAAAATATTATTTGGGTGCAAAAGTTAGCTTAGATTTTAGCCCAAAAAAACTTGAAATCATTTAATTTGGGCCTATTCAATAATTATCATATAATTGGATTGAAGAAAATTAATTAGTTTTTGGTATCCATAGGTATCGAAGATTTTTGAGACATAAATAATTGTGATTGCTTAAGAATAACCAAATAAATCATTATTGCGCTATTAAGATTCAAATACTTTTTAATCCTTTTAATGACGTAATGAAATAAATGGCTACTTAAAACAAATTTTTCTACCAAATATGAGAGAGTTTAAACAAGATTCCTAGGCATGGTTCATAGTCATTGATATCATGCAGAGCAAAAATATTGTCCAAGCCTATTATCAATAGGTAAAAATAAAAATTTTTTAAAGATATTTCACAATCTTTCTCACAATTGTAGCTAATAATGTTGAGAAATCAGCAGAAAGCTTTATAGAACAATTTTTATTGTTTGCAATTATTTCAAAGCAGAATATCAAAGATAGCCCAAAAGGCCAGGTTGTGAGTTGGAAAGAAATAGCGATTGTTTTGAAGGTAATTGGTAGAAAAAATTTAAAATATTTTTAGTTTATAAAATTTAATTATTCTGAATAAGCAAAACTAAATAGAAAGCTAATAAGAGAAGTGTGAAGTATAGTAGAGCTTGAAGAATTATAAAGACTTTGGATAATTGATATTAAATTGTCCATGCCATTACTATAGTTTATGACGTAACTGCTTGCCCTTATAAATAAAGCTGCCATGGTTGAAAATAAGGCTAAGTCAAAAACTCGAAGCAAAGAATGGAAAGAATCGGGATTTAATTATTTTCAATTAAATTTGACAAAAAGAGAAACCTCATTCATTTTGCAAATGTAAATATACATTATCTAAACGCTACTCGTATATCAAAAATAAATTTAATATTTGTTCAGCTACTTCTACTAACCAAAATTTCAGTATAATCAGCTGCTATCTGATAATTAGCTTATATCTGCTAGCAAGATTTTAAATTCCAATTGAGACTATTGACTTTTTTCGGCAATTTCAGCAATAATTCCTATCATAATGATGTCTGCCTCGCTTATCCACTTTAGACACTAATATTGCTGATAGCTTTACAATTCAAATTCCTATAATAATTAACTTAAGCTTATATCTGCTAAATTTTCTCCATTATCATTTTATTGCCTATCTTTTATAATAAATAAATGGAGCCAAACCTTGAAGAAATTTGTTCTACCGCTCTTGAGAGAGCTCAAGCCGAGCTTCTTGACTTAATCTTATCTTATAGAATTTATAACGTTTAACGTCCACTACGGGGTGACAACCCCAGGTACTGTCACTCGCCTTCGTCGCATCGGGCCCACAGGTCGCTGGGGATGGCCTGCTTCGATCACCATGGTGCTTCTTGGGAAAGTGTTCCGGCTTCGACGGCTCATGGATGAGCTACTTGCTTGATACATGGGTTGCTTTTTCCGAAAAAACTCAAAAAATGGATTTTTCTGGTCAGCTGTCGGCAAAAGGGAAAAACACGTAGCCTGGGACGTAACACCCAGTTTCACGCTAGGGAGTTGCCCGATTGGTCCTAACGGACTCTGCTGAGCTTCCCCTTTCCAACTCCGCGTTCTCCTTCCCCACGAGGAAAAATCCACCCCTGAGATTAGACTAGGACTAGGCTCTGATCACCACCAGAATTGCTTACCTAGTATTGCCGTCCATCTCTAGAATGGTAAAACCTTGCCGGATATAATTAAATATGAGTCGAGGCTGCATGACCGGGAGGCCATGCCCAGACGAAGACGCCATATTTAATTATCCTTCTTGACTTAATCAACAACCCTCAAAGACGCTGGGAATCATACAAAGAAAAACTAGGTCTCATACGCCAAAGGACAGTCACAGACACAGGAGCCTTTATTGTTAAATCTTCAGGCACAATTAATAAATCAGGACAAATTGTATATGATACCATGTGGGATGACACAAATAAGCTTCAATGGAATCCAAGGTGCAAGGAATCAAAAATTCTCCATGAGTTTGACTCACGGATAAAAATAATTTATAATAGTTTCAAGTCGCCGTGGCCTGTAACCAACAGAGATTTTGTATTTGCAGCAAAGTCCGTTAGTCTAGGGGATGATGCTTTGATAGTTTTAATAAGCATCACCACTGCATTGTGTCCTGAAAAAAAGGGTTTTGTAAGGGGCGAAATGAAAAGCTCAGGATACCTAGTACACCCCGTGGACGAAAATTCATGTGTGTTGACCTCTATCATAAGCACAGATCCAAAAGGGTCAATTCCACAGTCAGTCGTTAATAAAGTGCAGGAAGAACAGACTTTAGCTGTGCATAAAATAGGAGAATTTGTTGGAGGAAGATAATAGTTAAGTAAATATTATTTAAGGAATCTCAATTAAGAACTTGTATATTTGTAGAAAGCAGACAATAGGTATAGTTTTCATAGTTCTTTATTAACCTCGCATAATAGGCCATTGCAATGCATATTTTAAAATAAGCTCTACGTTGACAGAATCTATAATAGCAATTCTGAGTTATGACTGTTTATAAATGCAATTTTTGTTTGAGAATTTGCGCTTCAGCTTTTTATAGAACATATCTGGGCTTTGATTAAGATTAAATTCGGCAATAAGAGGAGTTAATCAATGTTATCACCTTGTATTGACTCCCAGAGAGCCAGTGTTCATATAAGAAGGAACAGAAAACCTTGAGAGCAGAAACAAGACTTCCTTCTGCGGCAGGCATCCCCAAACTCAAAGCGATGCACGCCAAAATTCAGCTCAATGGGAAGGATCCTACCTGCCCCATAGGGATGCGCCTCAGAATCTGTCTTCCGCGGCATCCATTTTATTAAATGAGAGCTTTAATTAAGATTAAAATCGTTAGACGGCCATAATCGAAATCCTAATAGTCGGACTACCTTGACGCCAGGAAAGGTGGCTTACGCTAGGTGTATATACATCATAGTGAAAATGATGTAAGGCTCAATTCCACCTTTTGAATTTTCTTGCAAGACTCACCTAAACTAAGGCTCGCTAGGTTAGAGCCACCCTCTTTTGAATGCCCCAATAGTCCCGATAGACTATGCGGAATGCAAAACCTGTCTAGCCCACCTGGCAAGAACAGGAAAACCTTCGGGGGAGAAACAAAACTTCTCTTTGGCAGGCATTCAAGACCCGAAGGCCTACTTCAAAAGGGACAGAGGCTCTGCTTCCAGCATCACCAGAATGGGGTCCGATTTTCTCCATAGGGAGTGTGCGTCTCATAGAGTCAGCTCATCATTTTATTCCTGAGCTTTAATTAGATTACTAAAATAGTCATCCTGAAGCAATAAAAAGAAATATATTTAAAATTTTATCCTAATACAATGTTCGCTAAAAATTCATTGAAAATAAATTCGAAAATATTATCTATTAATAATTACTCCAATAGTAAAAGGCTTAAAACAGCACCAATAACTACACTTGCTGAATAATAAACATTTGGGTTCCCTGACTGTATCTCTCTATTATTTCCACCCGAAAACATATCAGCCACTTTTTTAATCTGCCACTGTTTCGCCTGCTTCGTCTCAGATATAATATACCACAACACATCATCCCTGCAGGAATAATCCGGATTTGTCGCTGAGCCTTTATAAAAATAATAATCATCAGTGCTTCTCACGACTTCTCTTATATTAATATTCGACGTATTCGTAGTCCAATAAGTCGCTCCCGCAGTGCTCGGTAAATTCCACCATTCCAAGGAGTCTAAAAAGAAACTTTCTATGCCAGCCTTAAAAATCACGCTTACAATGGCCATGTTTTCTTTGTCTCTTTCCCAGTACTTGTCCTGGACTATCAAAATTATTTCCATTTCCATAGGAAAAGAAACTCCATTCAAGGTATGCTCAGATGGGGTATGAAAATCAATGTATTTGACGAGGAAGGTACGCTTGTCGTCTTCTGGGCCGATTTCTATGTAGCCGAAATCAGCAGTGACGCGGATCAAGTTGCCTGTGTTAGTAATGTTCCTTGCCTTGGTCGCTCCAAGGAAAACCATTTTCATTGAGTATTTGTCAGGGACGTCACTTGTGGAGTCTATGTCGAGGTTCATAGGAGATTGTTTAGAGGCTGAGCAGGCTTCAGGCCAACTGCCTTGAGCGTCGTAAGCCCAGCCAAAAGCTGATGAGATGAGTGCTGCATATATAAAAAACATAATTTTATATTAGAAAATCATTTTTTATTTAAAAATTTCACACAGAAATTAATTGAAATTTTGCAATTAATTAGATTAAGTCTGAATAGTCAAGATCCCACCCACAAATATCTTGGCCACTGAGATCTGTAGTATGATTTCGTCTATACTCAATATTATACTGAGGTTTTGTTGGACTTTGGACTCTTTGAGTCATAAGCAGTCCAGGAGAAGCCAATGATGGCTTTCGGGTTTTTATTTTTGGTGGTGATTTAGAAACATTGGAAATAGAACTGTTTTTTTATTATAAATAATATTATTTGGCCTATATATTGTGCTTAAATTTAGATTTTTTTTTTGACACTTTCACTTCTTTTGACAGCGGTTGCTGGCCTTAAATTCTCCTCATAGCTATAGGATATAGCCCAGGAGCGATTTTTGATCACCCTGGGCTAGGATAAGGCTCAGAAACTCCCCGAGTTGTTTTGCAACTCAAGTTGACAAACCAACTCGGGGAAAAAAAAACTTTATAAGAGGCATTTGTCAACTCCCCGAGTTGGTTTGTCAACTTAGGTTGCAAAACCAACTTAGGGAGTTTCTGAGCCCTATCTTAGCCCAGGGTGATCAAAAATCGCTCCTGGACTATATAGCTTCTATTTTCAGCCCAGAAACATTCTTTATTTCTTCGTTTCTTTTCTTTATAAACGCGTTTTTTGGAAAAGTTCATTTCTTGACTCCAACCCTGTGGATATCTAAGCTTATTTCTTGCTTTTTCATTGAAATTGTATCATTCATCAATATAAAATTGCAGCTTTTTTTTACTTTTTCAGTTGTCAAATTCATATCATTCCTTAATGAGAATCTTTGCTTCATAAATTCTGATTTTGGGATGTTTTTACGAATCATATCGAATTTATCGTTCTCAGTTCGATTGAATTTTTCAATTTCACTTGATTTTAGGATTCGACTATTTATTTTCTTTTTTTGTTGTAAATCAATATAAAAATTCTTTTTTATGATTCCTTTAGAAACATGCTTTGTCAGGATTTTCCTTTCTACATCTGGCTCTATTGTGACCACTGCAAACATTGGATATGATTTTTAATAATAAAAATGAACGTTCAGGCCGCAGGTACCGCAGGAGCAGGTGTCGCCCTATTAGGTGCTCTGGGTGTCTTTATATATAACTCACTTTTCACAGTAGATGCAGGACATCGTGCAATAATGTACAATCGTATTTCAGGCATCAATGACAAAAAGATTTACATAGAAGGCACCCATTTCAAGCTTATCTTTTTCGACCGTCCAATTATCTACGATGTCCGCACACATCCTCGCATCATTAGTTCCTTGACTGGGACAAAAGATCTGCAAATGGCCAACGTTTCTCTTAGAGTTCTTTCTAGACCTAACGTAGAAGCTTTGCCTACAGTCTACAGAACTCTTGGAAAAAACTATGATGAAAGAGTCCTCCCCAGTATTGTTAACGAAATCCTCAAATCAGTCGTCGCCCAGTTCAACGCCACTCAACTATTAACTCAAAGAGAACAAGTTTCCAGAATGATAAGACAAAATCTCATCACTAGAGCCAGTGACTTTAACATTGTTGTCGACGATGTCTCCATCACCCACTTGTCCTTTGGAAAAGAATTCACTGAAGCTATTGAAGCCAAACAAGTCGCAGCCCAGCAGGCAGAAATGGCAAAATACGTTGTGTTGCAAGCAGAACAAGAAAAATTAGGCATGATTATTAAGGCAGAAGGAGAAGCCAAAAGTGCAGAACTTATTGGGTCTGCAATTGCCGCAAACCCTGCTTATATCAGACTGAAGAAAATTGAGACGGCTACTGATATTGCCAATACGCTTTCACAGTCGAGAAATAGAGTATTGCTAAGTTCGGAAAGTCTTTTAATGAATCTTAAAGATCTTTTGAACTAGAGACTTTTAATAAGGCTAAAGGCTATTTTATAGAGTCTATAAGGTATTAGATTATTATGCATTTTCCACAGCCGGCATTGGAACGGATTTCTGGTTTTGGCTGCTTTTGGGAGATAGGACGATGTGGCTTTATTTTGTTCATATCAGTTATGACTTCAGGGCTCTGGGGGATTACAATTTCTTTTTTTTCTTCATGCTGACGTTTAGGGGTTTGTTGAGATGTCTCTTGCGGTTTTTGGACTGGTTCAATATTAGCTCCTACAGAATCCGTGAAAACAATTTTAGGTGGCGGCTTTTTGGACTTGACTTTCTGCTGTTTATGGTGTTGGACTTGTGGAGCTGGCTCGAGCTCTTCAACTGTTTCAGTTTCCTCATAAATATTTTCGTGTATTGGAGGATTTTGAGTTTGAGATATGGAAGAGACTTGAACTGGAGTTTGCGAAGAAGCTTGAGATTGCTTTTCTTGTATTTTTGATATATTTGAAAAAACGGCATTTAAATGCTTTGGATTTCCTGCCCCAGATATATCAAGGTCATAAAATCCTGGCTCAGGAGGTTTCTCGTATTTTGGCGTTGATTCTTTTGTAGGTTCGGGCTCTTTATTCGGCTCGAAATTTTGGGATTCTTCTTGGAAGCTTGTTTCATTGATTTGGAATATATTTTGAGTTCTTGTATACAGATTTACATTATTTAATTTTCTGCACATTTTTTTGGAAAAATCTAGGAGATCCAAAAAATTCTTTTATTTGGAATGCAGGTAAATAATAAATAATAGTATATCGGGTTCAATGGCTATCTGAGCATGGTTTGCTTCTCTTTCAATTATAGCATTTTCAGCAGAAAATGGGCATTCTTCTGGTTTTATTTCCTCTGAAATGCCTTGTTCAGCATTATTAATCTCTGGATTTTCTATTAAGACTGGCTCAATATTCTTTTTTAGTTCTATTTTAATTGAACACTCGTTGTGTTTTTCATAAAATAGTGGCTGGATATTTCTTTTCCTATTAATTTCAATCGCAAACTCTTTACTTTTTTCTAAAAAGAAAGGTGATGCTACTGTTTTATCTTCCAATTTTATTGCAATTTCTTCGATTTTTTCATAAAATAATGGCTGATTTCTGATTTTTGGTTTTATTTCAACTATACTTTATAATATGATTACCTATTTATCATAGAATTTTTCTATAATTTACATGGAAAAGCAGATCGGGATATATTTTCTCAATTTTTTTCATATAATAAAGGCGAAATTCTTTTTTTGGGCTTAACATGATTTTCATATTCAATGCTTTTTTCAATAAATAAAGGATGGGATTTTTCTTTTAATTTGCAGTCATAGCAAGTTTCTTTAGACTTTTCTATAGATAATGGCTGAATTATTTGCTTTGATTTAGGACTGAAGATGTCTTCTCTAATTACTTCATATTCCAATAATGGAATTTTTGGAAATTTTAGAGCCTCTATTGTATCATCTGCAACTTTTTCATAAAATAGCGGCTCAGTAATTAATTTTGTCTCAGCAAAAATTGAAGTTTTCTCTATTATATCATAGAATAACGGTTCAATTCTACAGTATTGAGCACATTTTAACGGCTCAAGCAAAACACTATTGTAAAATAATGGCTCTATAATGCACTGAGAGCTAACTGAAAATTTTTGTTCTGACAGAATTTCAGCTGAAAATAGAAGGGTTTGAAGCCTTTTTTCAATTTCAATGATTTTTTCCTCTTCTTTGGAAATTTCTAGCAGATCAATAGGAGATTTTTTTTCAATGATAAATTCTTCTTTAGATATAATTTGTATTTGAGTTTCAGATTGAACTTCAGCTTCCATTTTTTGCTGAATAGAATTTTCTGAGGATATTATTATTTCTTCAGCTTTTTCTAGATTCTCGCTTTCGGATTTTTTCTCTTCATTATTCGGTATTTGATTATTTTCTTTATCTTCTTTGCCTGAAAAATTTTCTTCTGTTTCTTGACTAGTTTTATGGAAATCTTCATCTATTTCATCAATTTTTTCCCTTTTATCTACTGTTGCATCAATTAGTTTGGTTTGTTCAGTCTCAATTTCTGTCTCTCCATGAATAACTTCTGATATATCTTTTTGAGTAATAATTTCACTCCCTATGAACACTTTTTCTTCTCCACTATCTTTTGATTCTTCCATCTCTATATGCATTTCCTCAGTATTTTTATCTGATAAATCCATGCTTTCTTTTGTATCCAAAGCTTCAACTGGAGAATTCTCACTGGTCAGGTCTTCTTTTGAAGGCTCACTTTGGATCTTAGTCCCATCCGAGATATCCAAATTTTGTCCTTCCATAATGATCTTGTATTTCCAAATATGCTTAGCAAAATTAAATTTAGATCAGTGTAACAATAAATATTAATTTCTCATAAATATATATTGGAAATAAACAACTTATAAATACCTTCACTAATTTTTTCTAATAATGGCAAACATCACATTGCATGACTTTCTTGATCTAAAATTTCCTCTCAGCCAAGAAGAAATAAGAGAAATCAGTCAAAAATCCCAAAAATTGTCTCCTGTAGAAAGAAAAGAGCTTTTCAGCCAATTAAAAGACAAAACTAAATTTCCTTCATGAAATCATGAACAGTTAGACCAGCTCACATCTTTGCTTTCAGCTGACAGTTCCTCACAAGAAAACTCATGCTTTTTGCCTGATAAGGATTATAACCAAAACATGAGCGCTAGAAGCACCATCAACTCTCTAGACGAAAATATCATAAAATCATTGAACTTGTCCCCACTCCGCCATAATAAAGCGCTATCAGAAGAAATTTCGATGTCTCCAGGGCGCTTTACAAGCCCTAGGTTGTCAAGTTACATAAGCAATTATTTAAACTCTGAATCAGCTTTGATTTATGATCCTCTAGAATTATCAGAAAAATTGACATTTTTAACGCATTATGTAGAGAAACAAAAATATAAGTTTTTTATTTTGTGGAAACTTAAGGCAGCAAAAGGAAAACTTATAGAAAAAATTAAAAAATTTGGGAATATTTTAAATCGGGCCAAGCTGGGATTGCAGCATGCTTATGTAATTTGGAAAGCTAAAACAAAAGCACCGAACTTGTCTACAATTATTAATGATATCTACAGAGCCGGAAAAATTTTATCAAATTTCCCTTTGAAAATGATGGGAGATAGCTTTACAAAGCTGAAATTCTACGATCCAAAGAAAACGAGAAATGCTATTAAAAATTTCATTTTTTTTAGCTCAAACAGGCTTAGATTAGCTATAAATACATGGAAAAGTTTTACAAAAGAAAATAAACACCAATCAAGAAATATTAAATCAATTGCGATTTTAAGGCTTATGGCTTATTATAAATACTGCCAGAGACACTATTCCAGCACCGTTATGAATAAATGGAAAAAGGTTTTTGCTAAAAAGAAATACGAAGGTCTGTTTTTATATAATTCAATATTCAATATAAACAGAAAATTATACAAGCCCTGCTTTGAATTGATAAAAAACTATAAGAAAAAACAGCCAGAAATTAAAACTTGTGTATTAAATGGCAGTTTCAGCTTAGAAAAAATAAAGAGTGAAGCTGGGCTTGAAAATTATAGTGTTGTCCGTGTCAGAAAAATATTATCAAAAAAACGTAAACCAAGTATAAGAAAAGGAGATCTTTTATTCTTCAGCCTTCTCTTTAATAATCTCAAAGCAAAGCAGCACCGACAAGTTTTTAAACTTTTTCAGCGTTTATAAAATGTCCTAAAAATTAATGATTTTAGAGTAATTCTTAATAAAAAACAATATGAACATTTTCGCGTCGACAAGCACATCTATAAGTGCTGGGAATTCTACGGACGGGGTCGGGAATAATTCCATAACTCGGCATTCTCCTTATTCTCCACTTCCTGTTTACAACAACCAAACCAGTTATGGATCGACTTACAATAATGATAATGGCTCATTTTATCTGAGAAAAATGTATCAATCCACATCAACTTTTCCTCAGAAAGCATTTTCAACAAGCCCTGTGAAACCTCCCAAAATAATTGATAAAACTTTTAAAAGAATTGCTGATCAAATAACTGAACAGTCATCAAAAGTGAATTCAATAGCTCCAAGGCAATTAAATAATCCTTTAAGCTTCTGTGATGACTTTTTTGTCGCTCCAGCTGTTTCGAGGACTCCAAATCCTACCTCAAAAACTAGCCCAAATAATCAAGTTTGGCTTGAAAAAAGAAACAAAAATCAAATGAGTCAAAAATTTTTACGAGGAGATTATATCCCCTCAGTGAATCAAATGCATTTATATGGAAGAAGAGAAAGACCGTCGCGCTTTGAAAGTATTGGATTATGGATTTCGAGAAATAAAATTAGTTAAAATATTGAATTAAACTGTTAACTTTGAAAAATTCGCTTCAAGTGGCTCGATGGCTTGTCTTGGTTTTTCATTGAAAATTAATTTTACAATATCACGAGCTATTGTTTTCTTGACAAAAGAAAAAAATATTCCTCCTGATGTTCGATTTCTAGAGCCATTTAAAGTGGGGACACCTCCTTCTGTTTGAAGTGCGATAACTTTCTTAGTTGTGGATATCACGAACTCTCCACCGAGAATTGTAGTAATTCTTGAAATTAGGTTCACAGCTGGCTCTCCAAGTAAGCATGCAATAGCTACTGCAAGATTTGGGTCTTCAGGTCTTAAATTTTCTATATTACATAAATTGATATCTGACATTTTAAATATATGCATAATTAAAATAATTTTACAACGAGCAGACTCAATTATAGAGTTTTATTTTTTTATTATTAAATTTATACCCTTCCTTTAATAATCATAATGAACTTTCTTTCTTTAGAAAATATAAAAAGACGTAAAACTTCTTGGCAGACATATACTAATGTGCTTTGTTTAATTAAGTTTAAAAAATATGTTTTCAACAGGCAGTTACCAGCCTTTTCCAACTAGAAGTAATTGCTAAGCAGAGGATCTTATGTATCTTTCTACCATAACTCCTGAAGATGTACCTCCCAAGAAAAAGCACTGGGGAAGCACCAGCTTGACTTCTCTCGTTACAGACGACATCGAAGGTGCAAAGCCAGCTCTAAAAGGCTACCAATACGTTAACAAGCCTGATTTTGCATATACAGCGCACGACATCGAAAAAGCGCAGCCTTCCAAACTCCATCAAGCCTTAAATAAGCCAAATTTTAACCTCAATACTAAAGATATTTTTAAAGCTTACCCAAACAAAGCAGAATTCGTGACAAACAGGATAGGCCACAACCCCCTGATGCCTGTTTATAAGCTGCCTAGTTTTGAAACTAGGCCAATAACTCCTCCCAAATTTGTCAGAGATTCTATACAGATTACTGATATTGATGGGACAAAGCCTGAGGCTTATTTTAAATGGCAAACCAGAAACTCTATGAATATCACAGATATTGATGGAGCAAGGCCAAAACCTGACAAAAAGCCAAAGAAGCCAAATTTTATGGACCCAAGGGATATAAATAAAGGTGATGTGGTGGAATATGGCAGAAATACAAACCCATTGATGCCTCAGTATTCGGTGAGGGATTATGAAGGAAAACTAGTCACCATTGGAGAAGTTGAAGGAAGCAAGCCAAAAGTCTTGATAAACAAAAGCACAAGTCCACATCAGAGGCATTTAAATACTCAGGATATTGATGGAGCTGTCCCTGGAACTGTAGGGCTAGGCCCGATAGGGAAAAAAGACAGAAATGAGTATAGGCAAACCACAAATACCCAGGACATATTAGGAGCTCAAGCTGGAACCTTGAAAAAAGGGATCACCACATTGAGAAGTACACACCCCCTCGACCCTAGCTATAAATGGGTAACTGAAGACGAAACCTTGCGAAATGGCCAACTTACCAACTATACTGTCGACCATACAAAATACTGGGGATACGCAGAAACCCCAAGACGCGAAGACCAGCTTTCCAGACAAAGCACCCTCCCGCCTCCTACAGGTCTTTCAAAAGACTCCGAATTCAAAGTAAATGCCCGCAAATTCTACGCCAATGACGAAGATGACCCAAATATAGGTTTTTCAAAAAATGCTGAAAAATTTTATAGTAGCTCGCCTAACCTAAAAGCTGGGAATATCTTTTTAAATGCAATTAATCCAGGGTCCATCAATAGAGCTAGGCCAAAATTCAATGAAATTGATGCAGAAACCCAAAGTTTTCAAAAAAATATTGACCAGTTCCATGGGGTTTCCCCATCACCGCCTAAATCTGAAGATGGAGGAAGCGAGGATAAACCTTTGGACCCTGAGTTTGAGTATGCAGCGAGCAAATTCCATAATGTAAAAGCAACTCCTAACACAAATGAAAGGGTTTTTCAAAAGGACGCTTCCAAGTTCTATGAGCCTATGACAGGTCCTGCTGCTTATCAGTTCAATTTGGCCAGAAAAGATATAGGAAGACCTGGAAAGCCACCACAAAATCCATTGGATACCGTTTATAAGAAAAATATTGCGAAGTTTTATGGGATGACCCCACCTGGCAGCGTAGATTCAAGAAATCAAGGACAAAATGTTGAGAAAAATTCACCCAGAAGTATAGATGGGAAGAGCTATAATGCTGAATCAAGAAATTCAGTCAGAAGCCACGATTCGAGAAACCCTGAAGTGAAAAATGCTGATTCGAGGTCTCAAATTAGCCAATAATTATTAATTATAATGATTAGATCTCTATTTCGATATAATTGAAAAATATTTTTGACTCAATAATACTAGAATTTCTTATATAGAGCCATTCATATAAATTTTGGCAGTTAGCTTATAATTCGAGCATGATTCCTCCATGATTTTATCATTTTAGTTTCCATTTAATGATCTATTTTCTTAACTCCTCAAGATATTGCTTCACAAGCCATGAAGTTTACAATTTGTGCTACGCACAGTATTACATTTTATTTTTAATTTTTTCGCCTTAACTATAATTTAAATTTTAAATATCCCTAATGAGAGAGCATGCTCTCGTGCTATATTTTCCCAAAAATCTTCTCGTGTAAATCCATTGTTGCATTTTAAGCTTAAAATCACATGTTAAACAGCTTTAAATAAAATCGTCAAAAATAATAATATAACCTGCTTTTTATAATAATATTCAGTACTTTCAAAAATCGATTTTTTAAAAAATGGGAAACAAAGTATGAGAGCCTCAAGTGCAAACAAACCAAAAAAAGAAGCACCCAAAGCTGATTTTCTGCCAAGGCTTCAACAAGCATAATGAATGTGGGGGTGAAGACGGATATGTCACCCGAGAAAGAGTCGCTACCTCAGTTTCAGCAGGCTTTAACCACAATCTCGCTATTTTAGCCAGTGGACAATTAGTCTCATGGGGCTCAAATGAATTCGGACAGCTTGGCAGCCAAGGAAACACATGGCTTGAATCTTGAATTTATGAGCCTCCAAAGGTCCAGACTATTTATTTCCCTCGGCAATTTGGAAAAATTTCCATTTCACAAATTTCTGCTGGTGCTTGGCACTCTGCATGTATTTCCAATACTGGAATTTTATTTACATGGGGACTCGGAACTAGTGGCCAATTAGGCTATCCAGCTAACCCTGACGATTTTGTTAGAGCTCCTGGGACTTCTCACAAGTTTTGCCCTAATCCTAAATCTGTGGACTATTTTACCAATCATCCAATTTATTATGTTTCCTGTGGTAGCACTTTTACAGTGGTTTTAAGCCGAGGACGAGAAGTTTTTATATTTGGAGACGGAAGCCATGGGGTGTTCGGAAATGGCAAAAAAGGCAAAAAATGGGAGCCGCAGCTCATTGAGGCGTTAATTGGAAAAGAAATCCGAAAAATCGCATGTGGGTGGAACCACGTGCTGGCGCTTTCGATGACTGGAAAAGTTTACTATTGGGGAAACCAATATGCTGATATGAGGGAAAATTTCCCAGATACTGAAATTCCAGAGTTGGTCCCAGGCTTGGAAGATAATTTTATTACTGATATAGCATGTGGTGATTACCATTCTGCTGCCTTGTCAAGAAGAAACCCCAATGCACTCTTCACGTGGGGAGGGAATGGGTATGGCCAATTAGGCTATGTTATAGAAGATGAGGACCCTTATATCAATTTTATCCCAAAAAGGGTCGAAATTTACCACGAAATTTCCTCAATAAGCTGTGGAGGGTTATTTATGGTCGCAAAATTGAGGGATGGGACAGTTTTAGGCTGGGGAAGCAATAAGCATCGCCAATTCGGGAAAAATGGGCAAGAATTTTATCAGCCGCTTGTGCTCTTTGATGGGTCGGTAAATAAGATATCAAGAGTTATGGCTGGGCACTCACATATAGCAGTCTTATGCAAAAAAGAAATTATATTTGGGGAATTTTTAGCTCCAGGAAAAGAAGCGTTTTCACCTGCAGAAACTGAAGCGTCTATTCCAACTGGTAGAGAAGAGCATAAAGAAAGCCAATTCTTAATGTATAAAGAATATGAAGCGATAAGGTACCACAAAGAGACTTAATTTTATTTACTCTAAATAAAATGACTATGAAAAAATTACTATTAATCTAAATACTGATATTTCGGTTTAAAACACTATATTATCTTGCCATTTATTATAAGGGAAATTCTAAATGGCAATCAATTTTGCAGGGGATCTTTTCATAAGCACCCTTCAAAAAGGGGTAAAGAATTATAAAATCATCTAGGGTCACACATATAATTATAGAAAAATATAATCAGAAAATGGAAGCTGAAATCTGTGAAATCTGGTAAAAAATAAGCAGTCACAAAGAAGTTCCTACACTATCGATGACAATGCACAGAGCTCATTGTGAGAGAAATACAATGAGATGCCTCAAATGCAACGAGCTCATATCTAAGCTCGCACAAGAAGAGCATGATCTTCTCTATCACCAGATTAAAGAATGCTCTCAGTGCTATGCTCGAATGGAAGCAAGATATTTTGAAAAGCACGAATGCCCCAAAGCTCCAAGTTACTGCCCATATTGCGAAGCTACTTATCCATTAGATCTTTTTCAGCCTCATATCCAAGCGTGTGGGAGCAGGTCTGAGGAATGTGAAAAATGCAATAGGTTTATTTTATTAAAACACTTTAAAAGCCATCAAGATAGTTGTGGCAAGGAAGATAGTGAGAAAAATATTAAGGCGAAAGACTTACAAAGAGAAATTATGAGGGAAAAAGAAGAGAGAAAATTTGTAGAGCCTATTCAAATAAGCCGTGAAGAAGCTAGAACAAAATTGGATGCTGAAAATGCAGAAAAAGAACTTAAAGCAAAACAATATCAAGAACTCCAAAAACAAATTATAAGGGAAGGGAAAGAGAAAAAAATTATAGAGCCTAAAATAAGTCGTGAAGAAGCCAAAGCCAAACTTGATGCTGAAAATGCTGAAAAAGAGCTTAAGGCAAGACAATATCGAGATCTACAAAATCAAATAGAAGCGGAAAGAAGCAAAAAAATGCAGCTTGATAATGATAGAATTAAGGCTGAGCCACGAAGACCAGAGAATATATTGCCAAATCAAGAACCTAAAAATAGATTTGCAACATATGAACTTCCGCCTCCTAGCAAGAAAAAAGAGCCGCCAATATACCAAGGCTCTCACCAGCAGTTTCCAAGAAACTTAGAACCAATAAATCAGCCTCAAATATTTCCTCGTTTCTCAGAGCCAATTAATCAGCCTCAATTCATTCCCCATCGCTCAGATCCAATCTATCAGCCTCAATTTGTTCCGAACACTTCAGAAGATGAAAGAATTGCGAGGGAGCTAGCTCAGCGATTGGAAAGAGAAGCTAAAGAAAATATAGATAGAATAATTGCTGAAGGACTATTAAGGGATGAGCAAGAAAGTTACCAAGGATATGGACCTATAATTGATGATAGCGATATATTAGCAAAAAAACTTTTGGCTAAGGAAGATGAAAGATTGGCTAAACAACTTTTGGCTAGCTGCTTCCTTTTAAATTGGAACAAAAAATCCTGTTCCAATTTAAAAGAATTGTTTTTCCAGATAAAAAAATATAAATTTTAGTTTATTTTTATAAAAGAAATGATTAAAAAATTAAAAATTAATCATTCAGCGTGAAAAATATCAAAATAACATTCTCTTGCTTTTTTTCAAATATTTTCATCTTTAATTTTTTTTAAAATATAAATTGATAAGTTTTAATTTATTTTTTATAAAGAATTAAGCAAAAATATTAATCGATTCAGTGCAAAAACTGTTTAAGTACGATTTTGCTTGCACTTTGTCTATTATGTTAGTAAAAAAAAATTTTTAAAAATTCGTATTTTCATCGTTAAAATTTTCCCATTGAAAATCAAATTTGTTCCAATTTAAAATTGGGATAAAGTACCCAAAAATTGCAAATTTTAGCGATGGTTTGTTCCAATTTAAAAGGTTGAAGTGAGGAAGACGAAAAACTGGCTAAAGCACTTTTGGCAAAAGAAGATGAAAGATTGGCTCGCCAGCTAGCTGGAAATGGGAGGATCCCATCAGATCGTTCTCCAAATGTTCTAGATTATGCTAATTTTACGAATGAACAAGATTATAATTATTTTGGAAACTCTATACAACAAAATATTTATCCTTATAAACAGCGGCAAAATATACAGCAAGGAGATTTGACTGAAGAAGAACTATTAAAAATTGCAATGCTTGAAAGCTTAAACCACAAGTAACAATATAATTTTTTTAAAACGCGCTATTTTCATATAATGATAACAAAGACTTAATTGCTGTCTATTTCTAATGAGAAGCAAAAGCGTCCAAATTTCAAATAGGCGGATATATAATTTAAAAAAATCACAATAATTCTTTATAATCCACTATTATTTTCTCAGTAAATTAATAAAAATCTATAAATAATTCAAGCAGATATAGAATTTAAAGCAGCTATTAATTAGTCACTTCTTCCACTATAGCTGGTGCTTCCACACACTCCAAGCTGTTTCTCACACAATGGTTGAAATGTTTTGCATCATCAAAAGCTTTCTTAAACTCCTGTGATTTTTCAGGTGTTCCAAGTCTCATAGCGAATTTTGTCCTTTGTCTTTCTCCTTCACTGAAATCGTGGGCAATCCACAACCAAGCTCTGTCACTTCCAGCATGCTGCACGAGATTACATAGGGGATCTTCTTCTAATATAAAATTCGCAACCACTTTTTTAGTGTTATCCTGTCTCATTACGAAGCTGATCCTTCTTGTTTCTCTATTACGATTCAGCTTAACATCGCCTGTGCCTCTTTCTTTCCATTGTTCTTCAGCCCATCTGTATAGTTTGGCTCGGGTTTTGAAGATACAGTCTGTGTTCTCTTCTCCAGTGACAACTTCCACTTCAGGCAAGTCCACAGCTTTCCAGTCTCCTTTGACTTCTTCTTCAGGATTCTCCACTTCTTCGGCCGGATCCTCCTCTTTTTTGCTAGCCAAGAAAGCTGATACGTCTTCACTCATTTTTTATCACAAATAAAATATGTTAGTGAAAAGGATAAATAGGGCAATCAGCAGGGCTGAGCTATTGAAAGCTAGCAAAGAAAGGGATTTATCTCAGATGAAGGTACTAGAAGGTTTTTTAACAAAAACCCAAAAAAGAAGAATAAATGTCCTCGCTGATATAATATACAAATATATATAAATGAGCTATATAAATTTTTGATTAAAAATGGTTATATGGAACTGAGTAATTTATAAGTATAGAGATAGAAGACATGACTAAAAATGAGCAAGCTACTCTATGGAAAACCCTAATCTCTCTTTCCTTTTGTGAGCAAAACCATTTGAAAATCTTATTATTTTATAAATAGCCACTCCTCAAGAAAAAGAATGTTTTTCTATATAAAAATTTCGCAATAATTTTTTTATAATATGAGGATAATTTTATTAAATTTAGACAGCTTAAATCTAGACATAAATTAAACTATTTCTTTATTAAATTTTGGATTTTAGGATAATATTTAAAAAATTAAAAAAACCTTTGATTTCTTATGAGGATAACAGAGTAAATGAAAAAATGCAAAACTCTTTTGGAAAGGACCCCAAGCTGTTCAATGATTTCCGCCCAACAGGTGACAAGTGGGCAAACCTTCCTCCACAAGTCTCAGATATGTTTCAGCAGATAGGCGTACAAGGGTGTTTTCCCAATGGCTTAATCGAATTATTCGTACAAGGAAAAATGGGTGGTTTAAGCGCAGGTGGAGCACCTCAAAAAGAAAAAGTGGAAGAAAAGCAAGAAGTTGTAGTCGAAAAGACGAATTTTGATGTACTAATCAAAGGATTTTCTGCTGATGGCAAGCTGAAAATTATTAAAGAAGTTAAAAACTTGTTAGCAATTGGTCTGAAAGATGCGAAAGATAGAGTAGAAGCTTCAGTTACGACGCCACTAATGATAGGTAAACAATTACCTAAAGAGCAAGCTGAGCAGCTGGAAAAGCAGTATAAAGAATTGGGAGCCGAAATTGAGTTGAAATAAGCTATTCTGAATTATGGTAATTTTAATTTAAAATACCTAAAATTCTGTTCTTAAATTCAAAAAAAAAAATTTTAGACAGTAAAATATAATTAAATATAAGCAGCATATACCAAGCTATAATGATCTCCTCATAAATAATTTGAATATTCCTATATTAAGCAAAGAATTGATTTTATAGAAACTCATCCTTAAACTAAAATAATTATAGAAAAGTCCCTGAAGGCCAGCAGGCTACTAATTGCCTCCATATAATGCGCCTCCGATTGCATGCAAGTTCGGACACAGCCTTCCATTGTTTTGTCTATCATGGACGAGGGCTTGCACAATACCGGAGAGTTGGAGAAGCTGAGCCACCATGATTCTGTTTCCAGAAAATTCGAAAAACCAATTTTTAGTCTGGTTGAAGACCAAAAAATTAAACTCGGAGTCCAGAACACAATACCCTGTCTAATTGATATCCTCTGGCCTTGCTAGGCTTTCCCTTTCCAACTCCAGCTAGCATTCTCCCCATGGGGTAACACCTTGACCTGAATTTGGGAATGTGGACAGCTAAGCATGACGTTGCACTCCATAAAATCATGTAAAATCCCTGGATGCACGCTGCTCTCTCTTCCACAAGGTCCGGTTTCCCAATAAACTGACTGGCTACAGGGCAGTTGGTTCACCAGTCATTATAATATATATATTATAAAAACTCAGCCATTGGTATAAATTCAATATAACAAATTTTAACAAAATTATTTAAGGGCTATCTTGATCTGGTTCATCACGTAGGCATTCTTCAATTACAGAAGCTTGTGCCTGCAAATATGATAATAAATCAGTGCTATTTATATTTTCCTGAATAATCCTCATAGTTTCTTCCAGCTCTTTTTTGTCTGCTTTTTCATGAGAAAGTTGAAGTTTCAGGGTTTTTACTTCTTGATTATTAGCAAGGACTGGACTTTTGAGCTGCATTGGGGAATTTTCTAGTAGTGGCCCATTGATATTGGTTAATTCTTGACTTATAATTTTCATTTGTTCTTCAAAGCCGCCGCTTGTCCTTAGAAACTCTTCAATTGCAGATTTTGAGTTTCCATAGTGGATAAGGTCAATTATGTCAAGGATTCATTCACCTGTGGATTTTAAGGTTTCAAGCGTATTATAGTAGCGGTTTTTAAATTGCTCACAGTCAGTTTCAGCTGTTTTAAGCTTGGCTTCTAGATCTTTGCATTCTGGAGCAATTGTCATTGCTCTGTGATCATTTCTTTCCTTTGAAAGAATTATATTTGATAAATTTTTTATGGCTTTTTGCTCATTTTTTTCCAAACTTAAATGCTCTATACTCCTTGATAATAAATATGCTAAATTATACTGACAAATCTTGGCATAAATCAATGAATTTTACCATAAGTATACTTTCCTTATTTTTTCTTTTAAATTACAATTCTCCTCATTTGCATTTTGCAGATCCTGCTTTAAATTAAGTTTTTCCATTTCCACAATCTCCAGCTTTGTTTTTACCTTAGCATAAGCAAAAAATGGCGCCACTCGAATATTCTGTTCTCTGAACAGAAATTCTCCCTATGGCAAATTTTGATTGTGAAGTTTGGCTTCACCCAGCGAATTTATCCTGTTAATGATAGTGGAGGTGCGCAACTTCAGACACCCATCCCTTGGGGAATTCTAATTTTCTGGAAGTGCGCCATCATTCCAGAAGGTTAGACTGGGACCATTAGCGCGTCTGAAGGACGCAAGTTGGTTTTGCCCAAGAGCTGGAAGGGCAACCTTTGAAACCCAAACGCCAAAGCTTAAACTCCCCCCCCCTCCGTGAGTGAACAAAAAAATTTTGTTCACTCACGGAGGGAGGTTAATTTTTTTTTTTAAAAAAAATTTATATAAAAAAATATTTTTTTTCGAAATTTAAAAAAATCCTAATTCACAAAAATTGGAAAGCAAATATTAATTTAATTTATAAAATTTTATGTTTTAAAAAGCAATTCGTTCAAAATTAAATAGAATTAGCTCTAGATTTCATTATACTAATTATCATTTATATATTAAAATTTTTTTCCATAAAAAATTTTTCTATTAAAAAAATTTTTGTTCACTCACGGAGGGTGGGTTTTTGGTCAAAAAATAGCGATTTTTCTAATGGTTTTGTTCACTCACGGAGGGGGGGGAGTAAGGAACATTCAGATCAAGACCAGGTTGTGGACGACGCATAGTCGGCGGAAACCCCGAAGTAGGGACGGAAGTTAATTTTTACCTCCAGCACTTCTTTATGAAGCGCATTAATTTCCTTTATATACCCATTAAAGCTTTCCTTCGCTAATTTCAGCTCTAAATTAACTTTAGCTGAATTTTGATCAAAATTTTGCAGGCTTTTCTTTAAATTTTCAATTTCAGCGTCTTTTGCTTTACAATTTAATTCGGTATCCCTCATCAGCATTGAGACTTTTAGTAGCTCAAACTCGACTTGGTTTTTTTCGTCCATTAATTTAATGATTTTTTCTCTTGAGGTTTTTAACTCTTCCAGTTCATCAAATTTACTTTGATAATTTATTACTCGGCTCATAGTTTTATTATGACACTCTATCCTTTTCTTGTTTTTTTCTAATGTTTCTGGGATAAGGCTGAAATTAATTGGACTGCAATATCCGTAGTCAGCTGATTTGCCTCTTCTAACAACTGGGCTGTGGACCACTTGTGCAGTTCCTTCCTCTCCGACGCTTTCAAAACGAGTTTCTACTTCTGTTTTTTTTGAAGGAATTTTGGAATTTTCATAGCAAATTTGTGGCTGGCTTGGGTTTGCAGTATCTCAAAGAGATAATGAACTTGAAGATATTTCGCTTTTTATACTATTATAAATATTCTTAAAATAATTTAAGGGCGTACGCAAAGGGATTATTTAGGAACATAATAGTTAATTCCTTTATTATAATGCTTTAGAACACTTATTAGGGTATAACTGTAATTTAAACTGAGATACTTTTTTCAGTGCAGCACGGCTGTTATTTAATCCATCGATAAATCTCTTAATCTTTCCTCTTTGAAGGCGGAAGAAAATTTTCTCAAGCTTTCGAGAATCTTATTTTGAAATTTATATTGTGGGTTGCGAGCATTTGAATACCAGTAAACTCTTCTATGAGTCATAATCAGTCTGCTATTTCGCAGTTGAGTATCAGACTGGCTTTGATCAGCAAGGCAAGTGCTGGGGTTCAAATATATACTAGCCCAATCCCTGCATTGGATCAGGCTTGGCTGACTTGGGAAATGCCAGATGGGGAGTTGATTAGCCGACTGTGCTGGGAAAGTGAACTCCCCAGAAGGCTAGTCCTCTTGCGTTATTGGAGATCTGCCATCTAGGGAGTTCACTTTGCCAAAACGTTGGTTCGTTAGCCCCATCTAACATCTCCTGACATCAGTCAAGTCCCGATCCAGCAGGGATAGGGCAATAGCTAATCATTTTTTTTTCTGATCTTAAAAAATCCGAATCTTTCGAAGAATTAATTTATAAATTTAAGTTTAAGAATGCAAGCTATCAAAAATTATCTATACAAAAATATTTTTATAATGAAATGCTTTGCTCTCTTACTTAAAGGTAGGCTTATTATCTAAAATAGGGATTTTCTAATGGCTTTGTTTCTTTTAAAAGGGAAGGAAAGCTAGAAGAACAGCTGCGTTTGCTTGAAGTTGAAATACCTGAATTGTCAGACTCTTCTGAAATCGACGCATTAATGAGGTGTTTATGCATTTTTATTATGAAATTAATAAAACATTTAAATAATGGATCCATCATACCTAAATTATTTGGCGAGTTATGGGATTGAGCCTCTCAAATACATGGAAATGCAAGCTAATTATCTAAGATACCTCGCAAGCTGTTATCCAGGAGAATCTCCAACTCCTCCAAGCCAGTGAAATATGGGGATCCCTGGACTGCCAATGATGCCGAGAAACGAGCCTTTGCTAAATAATTTTGAAGAAACTAACAGAGACGACATGTCTGTAAAAAGCGAAAAATCTTTTAAGAGCCGAAAGGAATTTATAGAGCCGCTAAGAGAAATTCCCCAAAATTTTGAGCCAGAAATTAAAAAAGAGGAAGAAAGAAAAATCGAAGAACCAGTTAAAATAGAAAACCCACAGCCAATTATTGAAGAAAAAATTGTTGAAAGGCCTGAGCAAAAAGCTGAAGCCTGGACTGTATCAATGGCGCCTTCTAAGGCTCGATATGAGCCGCCTCCTGCATTTTCAAGAAAAAGCCTTGCAGATCCTGACGAAATCCCTATAAAAAATTCAGGAAAAGATTTTGAAAAATTGCTTGAAGAGCAAATAAAAATAAACGCTCAGGCGGAATTGCAGGAAAGCCCTGGATATGAAAAGCCTAAGCATGAATTTTTAAAAAGGGGTAGCAAAGCACCTGTTTCTAGGCCAGCCCCACAAACGCCAAAACCAAAAATTGCAGATGACACTCAGAATAAGCCGTGGAAAATCCCCAAAGTGGACGTAGAAGAAATAAAAAGACCTATAAGAACGCCAGTTAGTAGGAGAAGTGAAGATGAAAATCATGAAGAAGAAGCCAAAATAAAAAGAGCGTTTTTAAAAAGAGGAGAAGGGCAATTATGTATGAAAAATAGGCCGGTTTCGAATATTAAGCCGAGGCAAACGCCGCAGAGATTGAATAGATCAATTTCTCAAACGGAGTATAAAGAGATTGCAAACTTGTCGTATTCTTCAGAAGAGGAAGAAAATATTGTTAATGAGTATTCACTGCCAAAGCAAATTGAAAATAATGAACGAATAGAACAATTGGAAAATGAATTGGAATTTTTCCGCTCAGAAAATGAAAAATTAAAAAAATTAGCTAAAGAAATGGACGAAAAAAGAAAAAAAGCAGAAAAAGAATGCGAAAAAATGTCTCAATTTGTCCAGCAGGAGCAAGAAAAGTTTGAAAAATGAAGGGATGAAGAAATTGAAAAGCTGAGGAGGGAAAGAAAAGTTAGTGAAAGAAATGCAAAATTTCAATCTGGGAAGAAAGAAAAAGAAGAAATAGAGAGTTTAAAGGCAAATAATGCAAAGCTACTTGAAACTTTAAAACAGAAAGATACAAAGTATAAAATAAATATTGACAAATTAAAACAAAAAATTGAAGAATTAACTGAAATGAACAATGAGCTAGAAAAAGCTAACACAGACCTAAAAATAGCTGCAATGCGGAATAAACTAGACTCTAAAGAGGAATTAAAGAAACCCCCAATCAATAAGCAAGAAGAAGTAAAAAAACCTCAAATCTTCAAACAAGAAGAAGCGAAAAAGCTTCAAAGCTACAAGACCCCAGATATAATTGTAACGGCCGAAAAAAGTATATCAGAAGAAAGCGAAGAAAAAGAGTCAGACGAAGACAGTCCGATTGACCATCAAATAAAAGGATACTCCCAACAGTCTCCTGCAAATAGAAAAAGTGATGGCAAAAAAGAAGATGGTAAACGAGAAATCGTTTTCAGCAACGGCGTCCGCAAAGAGATGTTCCCTGACGGCCATTCAGTAGTCCACTTCACAAATAACGATGTAAAACAGTCATTCCCTGACGGAAAAATCATCTATTTTTTCGCAGAAACCAAAACTACCCAAACCACTTTTCCAGACGGTCTTCAGCTTTTTAAATTCAACAACGGCCAAGTAGAAAAGCATTTCCCAGACGGCACCAAAGAAATTTCATTCCCAGACGGCACAGTCAAATGCATTTTTACAGATGGCGAAGAAGAGTCCATTTTCCCAGACGGGACTGTCCAAAAAGTCGATATCCAAGGCATCAAATACATTGACTTTGTAAATGGACAAAAAGATACAATTTTCCCTGATGGCACAAAAATCAGAGAATTTCCTGATGGCCGAGTAAGGAAAATCATGCCTGATGGGCGAGTCTTTGAACAATAATAATTTCATAATTTAAAAAATGACTGAAAATATAGAGCAGGTCTTAAACTGAATTTTGAAGCCGCAGTATAAAGACAAAGCTATCAGCTGGGCACAAGCTTGCACAAGCGACGAAATGAAAGGACTGAAACTAATAGGTGCGATTTTTAAACATAAAGGTAAAAAGAAGTTCAGAAAAAACAGCCATGACCCGAATACATCAGCTAGGAGCGTAAAAGCGTTTGAATCGGAGCTGAGAAAGCGGCAATTGATGTCGACTTATGAAAGCGAATTTTCGTATAGAGCGAACCCAAATACTAATATTTTGCAATACAGGAAACTTGGCGATATTCAGTGTAGCGAAATTTTGACACCTTTGGCAGTTATGTTTATTGAAGAATGGATTGACTTAAAAGATGACCCAAAATACCAGAGCCTTGTTTTGCAGTGCTTGAGGTCATTAAATGCTATAATAAAATCATCAAGCGCCTCAGTGTCTGAAACTCATAAGTCGTTTTTATGAAATGACCCAACTAAAAATTTTAAACCTCATAGAATTTTTTTTTAAATTTAAAAATAATAAAATTTTTTCTAAAAAAAAAATTTTTTTTAAGGAACCTTATAGACTTGATCAAGTTTCTTCAGCACTTGGAAACCGCTCTCAGAGTGCCTCCAAGCCATGGGTAAGACCTAACAGTGCTCAACAAGTCGATACCAAAATAAATCCGGTTATGTTTACGAAAGATGACTTAAATAAAAGAAAGCAAGCTCTTATATCAGGAAGTGGAATTATAGGGAAGTGGGTAGTTGCTCCTACAAATCCTCATATTTCGCATTACCAAGAAACTTATGTAACACATTTCCATAAGTATATGCGTGCTGATCCTGGCGACAAATATACTTCAATTTCCGTGGGCCGTATGCTTCCAACCCCAGACATATCGAACTTATAATAATTTTAACGAAATGGAAATTTAAAGGTATTTTAGGCTCTTATGAATTATAAGAGATACCGTGTATATTGAATATGAGGAATCATCATGTAATTAAATTGAGTACTCCGACATCTCTTAGAAATAAAAAATTATTATGTCCTAATGAAAAGCATTTTAAAGAGCAAAAAAACCGTTAAATTAAACGTAAAAAATTTGGTTCAGCTCATGAAAATAAATACTCTCGGGGCTAAGTAAAATTCTGTATGGTCATGTCTTTAGAATTTAAAATAATGTGCAATGTAGAATGGGAACTATGCACGTACTATGAACGCAAACTAACGATCTAAATAATTTGCGCAATTATTATAAATATATTAAAAAACTGGCAAAAGCTTATGTCTATAAAAAGCAAAATAGTCATGTCAATAAATTGAAAGTAAGGCAGCTTTTATTAGGTGCAACAAAACTCCCTCTTAAAAGTTCTTTCTATTGGCGCAAAAACGTATATTGTTTCTGCGCCTATATGCATTACGAAGCGCATCAAAACGGTGTAATAATGCTTAATTTTGAGCCTTTTTTATAATTAATTTTATGTCTTATAAATAAGAAACCTTAATAACCTACGATTTCGAATATTTTATCTAATTAAAAAAGTAACTGTTTTGTCTATATTACTTGCACCAAATGAAGCTACTTAAAATAATAATATAATTTTTAATGCAAAAATTTGGAACAAATTTGCAAATTTACTGTAGATCTCTTAATTTTAAGTAAGATTACTAATATTTATTAAATCAAAGATTTGCTGATGCAAATTCGAACAAGCTTTTCGAGAATAATCTAATTTATAAAACTTAAATATAGTAGCCACACGCTTTTAACATCAATTTATTTTGTTGAAATAATAGATAAAATAAAAAATGCTGGTTTTAAGATTCAAAAAAAAAGAAATATGCTTCGAAACAGTTATTATGCTATATAAATGCTTTTTCTGCACTTTATTATTCCTATTTATGCACAAAATTTTTGCGTCAAATATTATAATGGTGTTATACAATATAAAATTAAATATTTTTTTTTTAAAAAATAAGCAATTATATTTTATCTATTTTTAAAAATAATTTATTATATATGTTTATTTAATGATTTAGTGTATAGGCATCTGCAATCGGCTTAATTATATAAATCTGTGCAACAGAAGAGATTGCTATAGCTTTCTTTAGAAGTGCAAGACTATTAGCATCAATTTAATGCGACAGATGGTCTAGATTGAAAAGGTTTTAAAGTTACAAATGTGATGATTTTGGGAGACTGCATTGGACATTTTAATGACTATTGGCTCATTCAACTAGGTGCTCTAGAGTTTTATCCTTATTAGAAATAATAAATATTAGTAATCTTACTTACTCCCCCCCCCCCTCCGTGAGCGAACAAAACCATTAGAAAAATCGCCATTTTTTGACCAAAAACCCACCCTCCGTGAGTGAACAAAAATTTTTTTAATAGAAAAAATTTTAATGGAAAAAAATTTTGATATATAAGTGATAATTAGTATAATGAAATCTAGAGCTAATTCTGTTTAATTTTAAACAAATTGCGTTTTAAAAACATAAATTTTGCAAATTAAATTAATATTTGCTTCCCAATTTTTGCAAATTAGGATTTTTTTAAATTTCGAAAAAAATATTTTTTATAAAAAATTTATATATAAATTTTTTTTAAAAAAAAAAATTAACCCCCCTCCGTGAGCGAACAAAATTTTTTTGTTCGCTCACGGAGGGGGGGGGGAGTTAAAATTAAGAGATCTACAGTAAATTTGCAAATTTGTTCCAAATTTTTGCATTAAAAATTATATTATTATTTTAAGTAGCTTCATTTGGTGCAAGTAATATAGACAAAACAGTTACTTTTTTAATTAGATAAAATATTCGAAATCGTAGGTTATTAAGGTTTCTTATTTATAAGACATAAAATTAATTATAAAAAAGGCTCAAAATTAAGCATTATTACACCGTTTTGATGCGCTTCGTAATGCATATAGGCGCAGAAACAATATACGTTTTTGCGCCAATAGAAAGAACTTTTAAGAGGGAGTTTTGTTGCACCTAATAAAAGCTGCCTTACTTTCAATTTATTGACATGACTATTTTGCTTTTTATAGACATAAGCTTTTGCCAGTTTTTTAATATATTTATAATAATTGCGCAAATTATTTAGATCGTTAGTTTGCGTTCATAGTACGTGCATAGTTCCCATTCTACATTGCACATTATTTTAAATTCTAAAGACATGACCATACAGAAATTTTACTTAACCCCGAGAGTATTTATTTTCATGAGCTGAACCAAATTTTTTACCGTTTAATTTAACGGTTTTTTTGCTCTTTAAAATGCTTTTCATTAGGACATAATAATTTTTTATTTCTAAGAGATGTCGGAGTACTCAATTTAATTACATGATGATTCCTCATATTCAATATACACGGTATCTCTTATAATTCATAGGAGCCGGTATTTTATTCACAATTTATAAATAACTTTTAAATAGAAGTAATTTACCGCGCAGCCAAATTTTTGCCTTCGTTTTGGAAGTTTCCCTGTTTAATTAATCTAATTTTTATTCACTATCATATAATTCTAGAAGATCGCTATTACAAATGCAAAATTCTGCATTAAATCCTAGTGAGCGTGACGCGTCTTCGCATTTTCCTCCATATGAGTCTATTCGATAAATTTGGCTAATTTTCCCTATCATTTTCTGTGATTTATGGATAACAGGAAAAGTATGTAAAGCCTTATCAGAATCCAACAGACTTGTCTCATAAGGAGAAACATAGGTCCAAGCATCAAATACGGCATCTGACTCATTTATTTCTAATTGGATTTTATATATCATTGTATTCGATTCCGCTTCAGTTGAAGATGCACTATTTATCAATTTCAATGTAACTTTTCTGCACAAAATTCCTTTATCGTGGATTTTTGATGAATAAGAATTTGAATTGATCGTATTTATCACTTCCTCAGCTACTGTCTGAAGAAATTTTGTTTCTGCTTTATCTAATGCCTGCATGTCTATATTTTTCAAATAATAAGTGCTGCAAAGCCAAGGAGGGATCCCAGCGTCATTGCAAGTCCTATTATTTGGGACTTTTTCATTAAATAAGTTAAAATACCGTGAATCAGGATTCAGGGTTTTTCCGTATAGTTCTCCAGCCAAATAAATGACTGTTCTCCTTAAATCTGGTTTTGTGGTCAGTCTATATGTGTTGTGCTCTAAAGTGTCATAAGAATTTGGGATTCTATCTAATAATTCTCTTTTAGCTGCCAAAAAGAATACAGGAAGCCTATGCTCTTGCATAGAGTTTGGCTTACTTTTAAACCCAGCATACCTCATCCCATGGTCTCCTACAATCATAAAGACAACATTATGCGTATTTTCAAATTTTGCGAGTTTTTTTAAATATCATGTCAGGTCTTCGTCTATTGTTTGGGCATGCTGGCCTGTGATTTCGTGAGCCGCTGTAAAATGATTATAAATCCATAGGCTGGTTTGGCTATACATTTCTGCAAACCGAAGGGAATAGTCCATTAAATATCAATGGGACATCTGTGGACCTAAGCAACGGATATTTTTTGCTTTAAATTTTGATGATGAATATCCTGCGAAATCTTTAGCTGCACAGTAAAAAGGCTGAACTACATGATCAGCGTCTGGAAATGGCCCGAAAAATGTATTTAGCTTATAAGCGCACATTTCCATCCCTAGTAAAGTCATAAAACCCATCCGTTGTAATTTTTTTCATAAAGCATGTCTCCCTAGTCTACTGTCTGTTAACGGATAAGACTCAATTGAATTATTACCCAAAAAAGTTGACTGATTTTCTAAAGTACTTGCCCCAATGATATTATGGAATTTAAAATCATAAACTTTTCAAGCTGCACTCATTTCTAGAGAATTTAGATATGAAATTGTTGTTGGGAGTTTTCTAAAAAAATGCCGCCTTGAAAAACTGTCTAGAGTTATTGTAGCGATTAAGAGAGGTTTTTTATCAAGTTTTGATTCTGTTTTAAAGCTTTTCATTGTGTCTATTGCATTAGAATAAGCTTGTGCATTAAACCTAGGAGTTGTAAAAAATGTATCAAAATGGTCACTTTCAGGGTTGCATAGTCCCATAATAAATTCTGTGTGTGGCTGTAATTTCGCGTTCTTTTTTGTATATTTTTTAACATTTCAGTGTTTTTTCCCTAATTTTGGCGACGTATAAAGTTTTGGCTTCGGTGGACCAACCAAGAACTTTCCCCCAGTACAATTCTTAATTTCAAATTTATTATTGCTAAGATTGACTTCAATATCTTATATGCTTTAAAATTGCGTGGAGGATTAACTCACCCTCTTAACTCCTGTAGATGGTATCCGCAGGGTGAGGAAGGGAAGATGGCGCTCGGAATGTGCACCCAGCCAGATTTTTCTTTTTTGGCGAAGCGCAATGTCGGGCTAGCCGGCTGAATGCTTTACTCCAATGCCAAGTTTTTTGCCTCAGAAGAATTGAGCTGAGAGTTGAAAACAGTGCCAGTGTATTTTTCCTGGCCAATCAGGACTTTTTCCAGCTTGAAACCATGAGTAATCTCCTGAGCTTTGAATTAACATTTTGGCCTTGTCGACCAGGAATTCACTATTTTGAATTTAACCCTTTGTTGGCTTGCGGCACGGTGACACAACTCATCCAACTACCAGGGAGTACTTTTCCGGAAGGAGCATCCTTTTTAACGTCTTGCACAGCTATTGAGCAGGCAATGATGGGACTACTGGTAGATGTATTCCTTCGGGAATTACAGTGAGCTTCTCATGGTAAAAACGAGTTCAATATCTTTGTTCCTGTCCTCATATAAAGTATCACATCTAGGATATTCATACTTCGGAAAGAGAATTTCAGCTTCCTCTATTGTGTACCCAAAAGAAGCTGGAATTGCAGGTATTATTTGTTTCATCATAAGCATTTGATCTGTATCATTGATGGAAAAAGGCTTTGGAGTAAAAGCTTTTTTAAAATTTTTATTTGATAGAGTGACGTGATTACTAATGTATGCATTTTCTATTTGAGTATCGAGTTCTGGGACTATTCTGGTAGTTTGGGGACACAAAAGGAGGGAGGCAAGCACATAAAGAAGAAAGATTAAACATGAAGTAAGAATGGCATGGCATTTTGATATAGGAGATGGAAAGGTTGCCATTTTATAATCATTATATAAGAAATCGATAGATTTAGTAGGAGTTTTCTGCTTTATTAGAAATAGTTTTAATTATAATGAATCAAAATTTAAATTAGATTAGATATGTATTGTCTTTAAAGTCTCACTTCTGGAGTAGCATGCATAGCACAGCAACCGCTGTGGGATTACACAAAAGACTTTCGAAGCCCAGGCTAAGTCCCCTTTTCTTGGCAGTGCACACCCTATTGATTCTTCAGGTTTTTGCCGGGCAACTTCATTTCCTCCTCCAAGCCTCTTTTTTCTCTCCTTACTTAGCTAGATAGCCCATTTCCGGGACCCTTTTCAACTAAGAGCTAGCCCCGAGAATCTTCGCTTAGCCTGTCTTCCCTATTCCTTATTATTAGTTCCAAAGAAAAACTCAGCAAGCTTTTACTTGTTTGGGATAGCTCATCAAGCAGCCCATGCCTCTATTCTAAGCCAAGGTGCTGCTGCGACTGGTAAAAAAGATGCAAAGTATTACTGTTCGGGTCAAGCCACTAATCAGTTGAAATAGGGCTGTGGCTCTCTCTCCTAAACCCTTGGATAGCTTCTTGTTCCAAAAAGCCATGCCCCAACATACATAAGGAAATCCCCCACTAGGATACGGGTTACTCTCTCCAACCATTTTATGTATATGAATTTACAACTTAAAAGCAAATTTTAATGATTTTTTAATGGAAACCTCTTAAAAAATTAAATTTATTTCTGTAAATCTATTTAAGATTTCAGTTCATAAGAACAGCTAAAAATAGTTAACTGTAATTAATTTTGCTGAGGACCCCTATGGGAATTTAAATAATAATTAATTTCTAATTTCACCATGTATAATTATTATGGGCAAAGAAGAAGAAAAGAAGGCAGAAGCCAAAAAGCATAAAAAAGTTGATAAAGAAACAAAGAAAAAAGTTGACTCCAAAGCAGCAAAGCCTAAAGAAGCAAAAGCAGCAAAGCCAAAAACCCCAGCAAAATCTGCAAAAAAACCTGATGAGAAATCCGCTCCTAAGCCAGCTCAGAAAAAGAAAGCCCCAGAAAAGCCTACTAAAGAGGAGCCAAAACCCGAAAAAAAATCAAAACCTTCAAAACAATTCCAAGACGAGGACGGGCTTCCTATCCAGCGAAAGCCAGGCCAAAAATACCCAGAACCCTCCTTAGATGATCCCACAAGAGCATTTTACGAAAGTCTTTATGAGCAGAATCCTAAAAGCTTGATGGCTCAAAAATATTGCTTAGATTACGGCCTTTTGCCTGAAGAAGTCGCACAGAAACTGTTAAGCGTATTTAATAAGAAAAAATAATTCTATTAATTTACACAGCTAACTTCTTAAGTGACGTCAAAAACTCCCATTGATTACTCTCTTGCAAAGGTACAACTGCAGGAGTATTCAGATATTCTATGCTCTTTATAGGGAAAATCATATCTAGCGTCAATTTAAATGCGTCATTTATCATTCTTGGTATCAATTGTTGCAGCAAAGGTGAAGAAAGCTCTAAACAAGGATTTGTGTTGCATTCTATAAGCCATGGTTTCATAGTAGAATCTAATATAAAATCGTAACCAAAAATTTCGAAACAGAATTGGCGTTGATTTGGGTTCAGCTTTCCTTTGACTGATCTTAAGCTGTGCGTGATTAATTCTTTCATGCCTGCAATAATTCTTCCTAATGAGTTTTTGGAGTTTGGGAATTGCTGGTCGAGATATTTGTGCAGAAACTCAAAAGAAAGCTGGTTCCCATCTTCAAATTTTCCATAATCTGCACCTTCTTTTTGTATTGCGTTGTTTGTTAAATGGACATATTCGCTTGTTAGTTGGTCGTCTGTCAATGTAAAAGGGGCTGAAGAAGTGCGGATATAGCCTTGAGAGAAGAAATAGCAGTCATATTCATGAGTGACGAGAACCCAAACTCTAATGTCAAATTTTCTACCGTCGATTAATAGAGGGCTTTCTATGTATTTTTGGACTACGAATTTCATAGTTAATTGTGGATTTTTGGCGAATTTAGGTTTCGTTATATTTTGTGCTGAGGATTGGACATCAGCTAATAAATTTTTTAATGTGGAAATATCATTAAATATGTGGATCCCCCTTCCTCTGTTGAAACCTGAAGGCTTCAAGAGCCAAAGGTTTTTGGTGCCATTTTGGGAGTTGCTTTTAAAGTACCCTACAAATTTACTCATTTGTGACGTGAAATCTTTTGATTCCATGTTTAAAGGGAAGGTAACTGGCATCAACTTTGTGATGTCCATTGCTTTTAGTTTGCAATAAGATACCTTATTTACCTTATAACTGTTTTTCCAAGAATAGACCACTAAGGAGCATTTTTGGTTCGCCATTCTTAAATTGGTTATCCAGACAATATGGCATGCTAACGAATTTTGCAAGCCAGCTAATTTCCAGCCGATCAAAAATGCCCTAGTGGGCTTTTCTTGGTAAATAAGTATAATATCTATCTGCATTTTTCTCCATCTATAACCTATTTTTAAATACCTTTTATCTTGTTATAACTCCTATAAATTGCAGTTTTTTATTCTTGACACAATAAGATACCATATTGCTATATAAAAGCATTTTATTACTCAGCTGTGCATGAAACTCAAAATGATTGGCCATTTGAGTTGGCAAGTAAGGCATAAGCCTATCAAAGCGGATTTTTACTGATGTTGGATGCCATATAAAATGAAGATTCGTCCTCCCATTTTCTGCTTCCACCCAATTAGCCCTGAGCCCAAGAATATTGTGAATTAATGACGAGTTATTTCCTTTGAATATAAGAAATTTATATTCTGACTCAGAATTTTCACGATATGTCAAATCTTGGTAAGGTGACACATTTTCTCTAACACTATCAGGGAAAGAAGCACTTCTGATTGTTTGCTGATTTTGCAGTCCAATCCCTGTTGCAATTAATGCTCTTTCTGAGAAATTTTCTGCCTTCTTTCTGATTTTCAGTATTGAGGGGTTGCCAAAACCTCCTGTCATGTTCAGTTTTTTCATTGGCAGCTTAGCACTTCGAGGACTGTGGATCACTCGCAATGATGAGTTGCAGACACAAAATTGGTTGGAATGCATTAAAATTGCTTGTGAAGGCTTTGGAAATTTTATTTTTTTGCAGTCTTCACAAATAAATGCTGAGCTTGGTCGCAATGGGTCAGATCCTTTTGGACTCTTTTCGGAATTTTTTTCCCTGTTTTTGGCTTTAATCATCTCGATTATGGTTTTGTGAGCGATTAATCGAGAACTTGGCTTATTCTTCATCATTACTTTATGCTTTAAATAAATGCCATTTAATTCAAAATATTCAGGAAAAGATGCAATTGACAGTTGTGATTTTATTTATTAATAATTTTCATTTTTGAGTGGTCTGTTTGTATATTTTAGACACTCACAGTCAGCATCATTTGAGTTTAATTAAATTAGACTTGCAAATAATCCAAAAAAAAGCATTGACTTTATAATTAAGTACCCAATAAGAGTGCATAAGTCATAAATAATTTTATTATTTAATATTCAAATTTCAAATTTCCCCTAAAATTCCCATTTCTTCTCTTTATTATCTTAAGTTGCATAAATTTATTCCAAACGTCATGACTTTTCATTTCTATTCATTAATTATTCATTTTTTCTTTTATACCAGTAAATTCTTCTTCATAATTCCATTCTATTTTATCACAGTTTTAATTCATCAACCAAACAATACAATAAATGTCAGGTATAACCTTAAGATCAAATGAATCTCAAATTCCAATCCTTTTGGACCGTCTACAAGAGATTTCTCAGTCCCTTGAGCGAGCCCCTCATAAGCGAAGTTCTTTTAGAGCTGATCCGGAATCCATCATGGAAGATTATCTTGCAGATGTTTCAGATGCGCGAAAAAAAGCCCAGGAAGCTATCAAACTTGCCAGAAAATTCCATAAGGCTTATCAAAAATCTTATGCTAATAGTAAAGAATTTTTCAGAAAAGGCGAAGAGCTTCAAGAGAAAATTGAAGAAATGGAATCCCAGATCAGGGACCAACAAAGCGAGCTGATTTCTCGTGAGCAGCGCTGTGATGGGTTGACTAGTGAAATTGCTGATTTAGAAAAATTATTTAAAAACACAATAAGCGAGAATTCTCAGCTGAAAAGAGAGATTAATAGCTTAAAGAGGGAAATTACACAAAAGGAGCAAGAAATCAAAAAGAAGCCTAAAAAAAGCACAAAAAATGAAAATAATGAAAGGGAAAGTGACAAAGCTCTCCAAAATGAGATCGTAATTCTGACTGGAGAGTTAAAACGGCAGGTTGAAGAAATTGAAGACCTCCACTTCAAGTTAAAAGAAGTTAGCAATTTATTACAGATAGAAAAAAGTGCCAGTGAAAGGCTAAGGAATTTTATAACACAGATTAAAAACGAAAACTTTGAGCATGGAAAAGAAATTGAAGAGCTGAAAATAGAAAAAAGCATGATGGAAGAAAGAATATTAGGCTTAAAAAATGAGCTGGTGCAAATGAAGACTTATAATGAACAGCTTGAAAGAGAATATGACAACCAAAGGAGAAGAGCGACGCTAACCGAAATCCCAAAAGAATTAAATAAAACCGTAAAAATGGTTATAAAAGAAGAGCATGAAGAAGAAAGTGACAAAGAAAGTGGCAGTATTGTTAGCGATGAGAGCGAGAGTGAGAAAGAAGAAAATGGAGGATTTAGCTTAGAAATAGAAGAATACAATGAAAATATTCATAGAGCTGATACTAGAGCAAAAACAGCACCAGCTCCTGTAGAAGAAACTTTAGGAGATTATTTAGGAGAAGAAGAGGAAGAGTCCAATTCAAGTGATAATCCATATTTCATGGTTTCATCACCTACATCAAAATTCAGCATAAATGGCGACTCGTCGCCAAAGGACAACAAAGTATTTTTCTTGAGCTCTCCCAAAGCAAACTATGATTTGCAGTATCCATCTTTTCAGTTTGATAGTAGCAATGATAAAAAGATTTGCCATTGTGACGATATTTCTGTCAGCTCTAAACCAGCTGAGAGCAAAAGGAAAGAAATTTGCGTAGTAAACAGTGAAATTTTAATTTTTCCAAAGGCAAAAGCGCAAAAGCATATAACTCAATGCGAAGGAATTTTAATTGAAAAAGTTCTAAAGCCAGAATTGCAATTGGAGAACAGTGAAAAGATTTTAATAAAGCCTAAGGAAAAGCCCACGCTGCATACGAATGAGGCAGAAAAAATATTAATATTGCCCAAGGAAAAGCCAAAACTGCAGCTAAAAATTACTGAAAGTATGATGATTTCGCCTGAAGAAAAACCAATCCTAGAGCTAAAAACGATCGAAAAATTGATGATTTTACCTAAAGAAAAACCTAAACTAGAGTTAAAGAGTGAGAATAAGCTCATTATTTTGCCAAAGGAGAAAGCCAAATTGCAACTAAATTTGATTGAAAATCTCATGATTTTCCCAAAGGAAAAAGCTAAATTAGATATAAAACTGATACATAAACTCATTATTTTGCCAAAGGAAAAACCCAAGCTCGAGCTAAAAACAAATGAAAAAATCCTTATAATTCCAGTTGAGAAGCCAAAACTTATTATGGAAAATTTCAAATCATGCTTACCTCCTCTTCAAAAGCCAAAGCTGCAGCTGAATCAAGTAGAAAACTTACTCATTCTGGCAAAAATAAAACCCAAGAAATCACTTATAAATTGTGGACACATTTTTGTGCACCCTCTGCAAAAAGTCGAAGTGGAGCAGCATATTTCAGATAAACCTACAATTACTTTGCAATCAATATCAGTTTTTTCTTTATCAATATCAAAACAGCTTAAAAAGGCCCTTGCAATCATTTCGATGAATTCTTTATCACTTTGCAATCAAAAATTGCCAAATAATTTCCTGATAGCCAATGAAAAATTAATATCAATTCCATCATATAAACAGAAACTAGAATTGCAAAATATTCAAAAACTAAAAATTTGATCACTTCCTAAGCTTTCTTACAGCAAGAACAGTGATGTACATATTCTGGAAACTAAAAATGTTCAGCTGGAAGTCCAAAGCATCCAAACCTTAAAAATCTATTCACCTCCGAAGTTTTCTTGCAGCAAGAATGAACATATAAATATCTTGGAAACCAAAAAGCCTCAATTGGAGCTCCAAAATGTCCAAAAATTACAAATTTATTCGCATCCTAAGCTCTCTTACAGTAAGAACAGTCATATAAATATATGGGAAACTAAGAAAACTGAAATAAAGCCTTGTCTTTCTATAAGTTCAGCCAGTATTTTTCCAGAAAAACCAATTTCTATTTTACCTCTAAAGTCTTTATTAGAGGTCCAAAACGTTCAAAACACAAAATTGGGCTTAAATTCTTTCCTTTCCTCCTCAACTCATGATCAAATTCACATTATTTCACCCAAGCCTAAGCCCCAAATTTTCCAGAAGCTACCAAAGGTAGCTCATCCTCTTCAAGCATTTAGCTTTTGCTATTTAGAAAGCATTTTTATTCGTTCCAAAAATAATTTGTCTGATAACTCCAGTATAAATTCAGACGATACAACTTCTTCAAGACGATCTCGGCTTAATGCTCCTCAGTCAAGAGACCCAATTAAAGAATTTTTTATTTTTGTAAATTTCATGTAGACGTGTCAAGCTGCCAAACTAAACAGCAAATACAAAGATCGACTGGGGAGAGTCCCTGTTAATTCATTATATAGTAAAGTGCTAGAAGAAGGAATTCCATTTAATAAATGGCATGACTATGTTCAAGAGGAATTGCATAAAGAGTTTGGAAAATGCTAATTTTTATGGTTCTTTTGCACGATGCCGATTTCATAACTACTATTTTTTCCCCTTTTTTTTGTTGATGCTTTTGGCCTTTTTTTTTGGCTTAGTTTTTGTGGTCTATTTTTTTTGGCCTATTTTTTAATTCTAAAAATTTTATAGTATAACTTTTGTCAAAACTAGACTAAAATTGATTGTAAAACACCTCGAAATAGTCAATATGGAATCACTTTCAAAGCAAATAGGTCAAAATAGGTTCAAACATCATTTAAGAAAAAAAAGAATAGGCCAATAAAAAGCAGGGACAAAAAAAAAGCCAAAAAAATAAAAAGGTGGTGAAAAATATAGGCCAAAATAAGGCTAAAAAATAGTTTTTTATGAAAACCCGAATTTTTATTATATTCATAATTTATTATCTATTAACCCCCTCCTCCCCTTAAAGAGATAAAACAATTGTTTTAAAATATATTTTTACATAATATATAATTAATTATTTTTATATAATGAGATCTTATCTGCTGCATTCTTAAAATTAAATTTTAATTCATTATGGAGTAGGGCATATAAGAAGGGATTTATTTAATATATGGCCAAGATGAAGTGTTAGAAATGTTAATTCTTTATTATTTTAAGTTCCCAATAGTAATATTTGTAGAATGGACCCTGATAGTGGAGTGATCAGTAATTCTAATGATTTTAAAAGCCCTTTAGAAGCAATAAGGGCAGCGTTCAGGCAAAGCCAAGGCCAAAATTCGGGATCTTTTTATTTTGAGTTTTCACCTAATGTTGTTAAAGATAGAGCTGGAAATACAGAATTTACTCAAGCAAATACAAGATGGGCAATAGAAAGCCAAGAAGAAGCGATAAATAGACAAAACCGCCAAGCAGCAGCTATCATAGATAGAAGCAATAATGAGTTAAAACACAAACTCACAATAAACAAATTGGAAACAGAAAGACAGTTAAAGCTCTTACTCCCCCCCCCCCTCCGTGAGCGAACAAAACCATTAGAAAAATCGCCATTTTTTGACCAAAAACCCACCCTCCGTGAGTGAACAAAAATTTTTTTAATAGAAAAATTTTAATGGAAAAAAATTTTGATATATAAGTGATAATTAGTATAATGAAATCTAGAGCTAATTCTGTTTAAATTTTAAACAAATTGCGTTTTAAAACATAAATTTTGCAAATTAAATTAATATTTGCTTCCCAATTTTTGCAAATTAGGATTTTTTTAAATTTCGAAAAAAATATTTTTTATAAAAATTTATATATAAATTTTTTTTTAAAAAAAAAAATTAACCCCCCTCCGTGAGCGAACAAAATTTTTTTGTTCGCTCACGGAGGGGGGGGGGGGGGAGTTAGAAAATCAATATGAATTACAAATACATGAGCTTGATAAAAACCAAGAAATGCAGCAGGCTTGAATGCAATTTCAGTATGAAATGGAGCAAGCACAACAGAATTATGAATTAGAAAAATATAGAGAGAGTGTGAAAAATGAAATTGCAGGGCTTCATGATCAATTAGAATATGAAAATCAAAAAATTGATTCAGAGTGCAAAATTAAAGAAAGCAGGCTTAGGCATGAAATTTTAAGAATTGAAGAAAATTCCAAAAAAGAGATAAACCAATTGAAAATGATGAATTTAAGAGAAATCGCACTAAGTGAGTGTGAAAGAGATATAATCATCAATGACTATAGAGAAAAAGCAGGAATTAAAATTCAAAAAATAAAGTCTAGGACTCAGGAAGAAGAGACTAGAATGAGATGTGAGGCTGAAGTAAAAATTGCTAAAATATGGAAAAAGGTTAAGATGCTAGAAATAGGGTTAAATATAGTATCAAATGTGATTTCATTAATTCCCGCTTTGAATAAAGGAGTTGGATTGATCAAACATCTTTAATTTATTTTCGCTTTTAAATAAATAATTCTATATCTCTTCTTTATTTTGGTGCTATAATTTAAAGCTTTATTTTGTATTTGTAGAATTATAAGTAATGGATCTTAGCAGAAATCCTAATAATCAAAACCCTTACGCAAATTGCAACATGCAGCCCTATAATCGTAATGACAATCAATGGCCTGGTTTTGCTCCTCCAAATTTTGCTCTTCCGAATCATCAAAATCTCCTGTCAGAAGGTATACTAATTGCCAGAGAATCGGCTCCACACGGGAACCATTTTCCACGTGTGGAGCGATTTTTTCACACGTGGAAATCAGGATTCTTACGTGTGGAAAATGGTTCCCGTGTGGAGCCGATTTTCGGTTGCCCGAGGATGGTGCAATAAGCGCAATCCTCGGGCAATTTCTATATCTCCCCGCTTGACCCTGGCTTTGATGCCGGAGTCCTCGACGACAGGAATTTAAGGCATGCTGAGCTTCAACACGAAAGATGAATGGCAGCTGAAAATCACAGCCACGAGCAAAAACTGGCAATGATAAACGCTTATACCCAAAGCTATGAAAGCCAGCTAAACTATCATAAAGAACTCGGCACAAAGAGCATGGAAGTCAGCCTTGAGCGCTTCAGAGAAGATGGGAGACTGAAATCTGAAAGAAGGAAAAACAAGACCGACCTAAAAATCAAAGTAATGGAAAATGAAACAGAAAGAGCCAAAAACCAGGAGGAAGCAGAAACCAATAGAATTACTAGCAACAATAATAAAGAAATCGAAAATTGCAAATCAAATACTGAAAGAGAAATTGAAAAATGCAAACAGGAATGCAATAGAGATATTCAGAAATCTCAGTTTGAGTCTCAAGTTTCAAGTGAAAGAATTAGATCGGATACGCAAATACAGTGTGAGAAATATAAATATGATGCTAAAGTTCAGGAAAAGAAAATTGATAGAGAGATCGCACTTTTCGGAACATTCAACCAACTCTTCGATAAAGGCACGTCACTAATGAAAAATGCTGCAGGTTTATCTCTAGCAGGGAAAAAAGAATAACCATGATTAAGTCTAAGGATCGAATGGTTAAGAATTTGAAATTTTACAGAATAAGGCACTTGGTGCATTAATTTTAGCTGAAAATTATTACAGTGCTCAATGAAATTATTGAATAAATCGCCTTAGCCATTCAGGAACATATGAACTGCTGCTGTCTTGCTCAATCTCCCTGATTTGTTCCTCCTGCTCTCTTCTGATTTTTTCTATTTCTTGAGCTTCTCTTTTTCTTATTAATTCCAATTCTTTTTCATGCTGGTTTTTCCTGATTTCTGACTCTAAAGCGCACTGTTTTTTTAGATTTTCAATATACTCTTGTGTTTCCAATTTTAGCTTTTTTATTTCCTCTTCATCCTCTTGCAGTCTTTCTGCATGTTCTTTGGCCATTCTCTCTCTTTCCTCTTGTATTTTTCTTTCTTCAGCCAGCAGCTGGTCCATTTCTCTTCTGAACTTAGCTTCATTTAATCGTCTTTGCTCCCTGATTTCTCGTATCGCTTCTTCGTCCATCATTCTTCTCTTCGTCAAGGCTTCTTCATATAGCCTTATCATTTCTTCTTTTAGCTTCTTCTGTGCTTTCGCGAACTCCTTCATTTTTTGCCTCTGTTCATTATCAACCTGTTCTTTTGATTTCCTATATTCACTCTCTGAATTTATCATTTCTCTCCTATGGAACTCTTTCAGCTGCTCCAATTTTGCCTTATATTCTTCTTCCATACGTCTAAAAGCCTCTTCTTTGCTTACAAAGACGACTGAGACTTCTTCTGGCGTGACGATGATTTCTTGTATGAAATATTCGTAGCTCATCTTATATTCTATAAAAATGTCATACCCGCAGCATAATCAAATCAGCAGACAAGCTCCAGTTTTTAGCCATGGGCCGTTTGATAAAGCATTTAATAAAGTAAAAAACTGTGCCAGCTTTGGAATTAGAGTCACAGGGGAAAGGATGGCTTTGGATCAAGAATCTGGAGAGTGAAAACAGTATTCTCAAGGATTCGAAATTAGAGGGGAATCTGAAGAAGTCGCTAGAGAAAGAATGGAAAAAGAAATGGCCTTGGAAATTGAAAAGATAAACTATGAATATCAGTTCAAAGCAAGCCAGGAACTCCAAAAAATGATATTTGCAAAGTCCAAGCTTAACGGCGAATATGAAGAAAGGATAAACGAAATCGAAGCACAAGCTCGTTTGTATAAGGAGCAGCTCGATAGAGATCTGAAAATGTTTGAAAACGAAGTTGAGCACGCAATCAAAAAATCAGGCTTAGATGGAGATCGTCAGATTAGTGAAATGCAAATGGAAACCCAAAACCAAGCAATAGCAAATAATGGGCAAGTAAACTTAAATAGAATCGATGTCCAAAGGCAGGTACAAACCAGAGAGCTAAATGCACAGAAAGAAATCAATTTACTCCCCCTCAGCGAACAAAAAAAATTTGCCAGTCGAGATTTTTCGAAATTTATCAAAAATCCCAATTCGCAAAAATTGGAAAATGAATATTTATTTAATTTGTAAAGTTTATGTTATAAATACAAGATTTTAAAATTAAATATATATAGAAGTAGCTAGAGATTTAATAATACTAATATTTTTTTTATAAAAAAGGGTTTTTTGAAAATTTTTGTCACTCACTGAGGCTTCTACCCAAAAAATAGGAATTTTACAAATTTGTTCGCTCACAGATTGGGGGAGCTAGCAAGAATGGCAATTGATAAGCAGTTAGCAGATATCGAAAATTATAAAAGAAGCCAGTTTGAAAAAGAAGCAAATAATTATGAAAAAGATAAAAATCAATTGGAATGCAATTTTAGAGCCAATATGGCCAGGCTGGAATCTGAAAAGCAGATTGCTATCGCACAGAAAAGAAATAAAAGGAGATGGTATCAATTCTTCCATAGTTAATTCTAATAAATTATAGAAATCTCAGAAAATTCACTATTTTTAATTTAAAGAGTAGCAATAGCGTCTAAATCATGCTGATTATGGCAAAGCAATTATTGGGTATTCATCAATATTAATTCTCTTTTCTGATATAAAAGTTAAGGTTCTGAAGATAGCAGTCTTACAAGAAATGAATTAACTCCATTGTCAATGCCAATATAGCTTATGCACCATTATTGATCGTCACCATTGAAGAATTATCCGCTATAATTGACTTAGTCTTCTACATCTAGCCTCGAACTATCATCATTTAGATAAACATTTCTGCGATAAATAAAATTTCTTAATTATCAAATTATTTATTCTATTTTTTATATCCACAATTAAATGATTTTTCTCTCACCCTATATGGAAAGTAGGACTTTGTGGGAAAATCGCTTAAGCCTATTGCGGATCAAAGTGGTAGGCTAAAAATGGCTGATAAATAAAATAAGCGAAATTTTAAAATGGCTTTATTATAAAAGTAATTTTAAATAAGGATACCATGTTTACTTTGACTTTGATGCATGAAGTTTTTAAAACCTTATTTTAATTGACTATAGTAAAATTAAAATGTCTATGTATCATTTTTTTTTCAATTTTGTGTTTTAGTGGTTGGTTGAATTTATAAGAGAGTAATACCAAATTATAGACTAAGATGTAGATCAAGTCAATTATAGAGGTCAAATCTTCAATGATGGCGATCAATAACAGTGCATAGCTATAAACAAAAAGAGAAATAAAAGCTAAATTATATTTTACAATGTAAAAGTTAAACTAGCATATGACTACAGAGATTAAAAAAAAGAATATATCGAAAAAATACGACGATAAAAAAATACAAATTATGGATATTTAGCTACATTAACTGACTATTAAAAATATAGAAATGTCAGGAAATTCGATTCTTTTCCAAATTACAGAAAATCCAAGAGATCTCACAAACTTGTACTTTGACCCTCAGCTTCACTATTGGATGGTAAATTTCCCACAAAGGCGATTGACTTTTGTGTGTGAATCCTGTGGCATTGCTCTTAATCAAAATTCACATGATTTTCTAAATCAGCAAATACTTAGTAGCTATCTTGATCTGATTTTTGATGAAAACGTGATAAAAATCGCTATGAAAGACCCCAATTCGCAGTGCTTACTAGATATTTCTAATTTAAAAAGCACGACTTTTGAGCTGATATCTTTAAGCATAGGCGGATTTAGCTGCTCAATAGGGATTACAAATGGTGAGCTAAAATTTTATACAATTATTGATGGCGAAATTTTAAGTGAGCGCAGCTGCTTGGCTAACAATATTATTATAGAAGATTGAACCTTAAAACAATCCCTAGAGTATTGGCACTCTGAAAAAATGCTTGATGCTCGTCAAGAGGGTGAGACTATCATTCTCTCAATAAAATGCAAAGATCGCCCTGTGCAGCTTTTAGAACAAATAGATGAAAGAATTGAAGCTGAAATAAAGAATTCTGAGAGCCAAAGCCTGAATAGAGTCCAAATGCTTCCTCAGATTGAAAAAAGATCAATGGACATGGTGTTTAATCACCTTACCCAAAACGGAGGAAGGTTCACAATTGAAAGCCAAGGGTGTCAGACCTTAACGGACGCCTATGGCAACATTATTAGTATAGAAGACCCTGATACGGTAATTTCTTACCAAAATCTTGAAGTCATAGCCTATAATTACAAATGCAAATTGCAAGTTGTGAGGCACAAGTTTGAAATGAAAGAAAAAGAAATTAGTGATAACTATGGAAGAATTTATGAATTGAAAGAATTTGAAATGGAAAACGCAATTAAGATCAAAAATGCTGAAAGCCAGGCAGAAATAGAACATACTGAAAATAAGTATCGTCACGAGTTTGATATGCTGAAGCTCTCCCATAAGAGAGACATTAAACACATGAGAAAACAGCAGACTATACAAGAAAATCAGCTATTAAACGATTACGAAAGGGAAAAAAGAAACACCAACAGAGATGTTGAACTTAAAAAAAGCCAATATACAAATGAGGCGTCCACCTTGAGAGAAAAAAACATGATAGCCCAGAAAAACATGATTAATATGGTGAATCAAACCAAGCTAGAGTGTCTGAAGAGGATTGCCAACTTTAAGCTCGCTGAGCAGCAAGAAATCAACAGGACGAACATTAATATTACCAAACTGAAGCAGGATCATGAACTGAGGCTAACTAGAGAAAGAAATCAAAGAGAAGTTAATAATACAAAATCAAAATGGAGTTTTCTTCCTAGATTCTCCGTTTTTTAAAGGAAATCTAATTAATTTCTTACTTATGACTATGAATAATAATTATAAAGCAATTTTTTATAAAAAGGTGTTCTTTCTACTTTTATAGTTTCACTTTTGTGTCTTTTATCTTATGATGTGTCTTCTTTAAAATCCCTTAAATTATCGCATACAATTTGATTTCTAATAGGTCATTTGGATTCTACAAAAAATGCACGATGAATTTCGAGCATCTGAGTGCTATGCCTCTTCTCATCAATCTCTTAGCATAAATCTTCAAAACTATGACTATATTCAAGATGCGACTTCTAAAGGTTTTAGTGTAACATACATAAATAAAGAAAAGCAAATTTCCTGAGATCCAATCACAGGAATCACTAGAAAAACAGAAGGAGGGTTTGCATTAACTATTGAAACTCCTGAAGCCCTTGCACTGAAGCAAAAGCATGAAAAAGACATCGCTCTGCTAGAATTATCTCATAATGAGAAATCAGAAAACTTGAGAAAAGAATTTGACTGGAAATTCGATCAACTTATGCAAGAAGCACGTTTAGAGCTGCAAAGACTTGAGAAATCCAAACAAGAAAAACTCGAAGTTTTGAGAGAAAATCACAATTGGCAAATTTCTCAAGAGAATGGCCAATATAATAGTGAGATTGCAGTAATAGATAGACAAAGAGAGGAAGCTGAAAATAAGCATAGAAATAAGATAGCTCAGTTGAACCAAGAAAAAATTGATTGAATGAATAATGCGAATGCGGAATTTCAGCTGCAAGTTCAGCAAATAGCTCATCAGCACGAATATCAAATGACAGCGTTGAGAAATCAAGAGAGTGAAGTCAGGAGGCAAGAAGCAGAAGCAAATAATAGCTTTCAGCAAATTAAAGCACAGCAAGCAAGAGTGCTGCAGGACGCCCAACAACAGTACAGACAAAAACATTGATTCGAATTATTTTTTTTTAAACAATAATTCCCCTTAATAGCAAAGTATTCATATTTAATATTATGTTGTAAGAGAGCCTGCAAAAATAATTTTTATAGATTTGTAATGGCACAGTTTCCTTTAATAGCTATTCATCAGAGAAATATTGAAGAAATTTTTAAAGAAGAAGTGAAAGATATCTTTGAGTTCCTCATAACTAGACTCAGTATGTCCCCTTATATCCCAAATGGAATATACATAAAATGGCGGACGGCGACCGACCCACCCTCGCAGTGGTGGTTACCCATGTATATCCGGGCATGGTTTTTGGAGCCAAGAGTTAGCCCAACGACGTCTGGGACCTCGAAGCGAGAGGCCTAAGCGCAAAAGCCGCTGTTTTTGTGACCAAACCCATGGGCAGTTACTCGTGACTTCTTTTTACCAGCAGCGCTCAGCCCAGTGAGTGCCCGAAATGAGGCAGGGCGACTTACCTGCCTAAGCTGCTTTTGTGATTTGCCCCGAATGGCGAAAGCTGTTGAGTTCTTTCTCGGGATGACCGGAAAAGAGGGGAAGGCGAGTTAGACAACTAAACGGGGGTCTCTCCAGTTTAAAAGGTACCCTTCAATGGGCAGATCTGGCAGACGACGCGGCAGTGTTGGCGTAAACTTAGGCGACGATCCAAGTTGGAAATGGAGACGGTCAGCAAAGCCGGTATAAGACGGCCCTTGACCTTCACCTCTACCGAGAAAACCGGGGATTTCGGCCCGGGCTTGGTGAACGCTCTGCCACCACACGGGAAACCGTGGAATGCTTCCTCGGACGTAGTGGGGACCTTAAATACCTAGCGTTAATCTAATCTAATCTAATCTAATATCCCAAATGAAATATTTTTTTCAGGGATCACCCTCAAAGATGGTTATAACTTATCTATAGGAAAAGCAGGGATCAATTCATACAATTTGGAAATTTTCCATTATAAACTTCTTGCAAAGCTTGAAAAGCACAGATGAAAAAATACAATCTTTCAGCAGATTAACCAAGATATTATAGAAAAAGAAGGAGAAATAGACGGCGATGAGCTGCAAATGAAAGCGAATTTGCTTTATGAATGCGATATTTTTGCGTTAAAGTACCAAAATCAAAATTGAGGAAATTTCCTAAATAAGCACTTATTAAATAATATAGAGAAGGCATCTGCTGAGCTGCAGCCATTTGGAAGCTTCAAATTTTTTCCAAAGATTATGAACACTGATGGCAGAACCGTCACAGAGATCGGTAAATTCAAAATAATAGTTTTCCCTCAAACTATAACAAATATTGAAGATACATACCAACAAATAATTTTTGAAAAAGAGAAAAATAAAGCTTTGAGAAAAAAAATTTTTAATATTGATTATTCTTTCTTTTATGAATGCTTATTTTTCAAGACTATTCCAAATCTGATAAAATTCGATTGAGTAAAGATTAAAAGAGCTTAATGGAAACGATGTCATTTTTACTTCTATGCAAAGATTTTCTGTGCATAATGGAAAGCCACATGGATATGGAGTAATTGAAACATCTGATATGAAATACACAGGACAGATTAATAATGGGAAATTTCATGGGAATGGCGTGATGATTTCAAGGAAAGAACATATTAAATATGAAGGGCACTTTGAGAATGGCTATTTTATTTATGGGAGTATTAGCACAATAAATGAAAGGTTTGATGAATGATGTTCCAGAAGAGATCCTTACAACCCTAACCAATGAATTAGCTATAGTTATTTTAATGTGGGAGAATTCCCTTTTGATCCCTTTGAAAAGGCTGAAAAAGAGTATACTAAAATATTTTCTGGAGAAAACAAAGAGTTAGAAGGAAATTTAATTGATGGTAAAATCAATGGATGAGGGATTCGATATTTTAAAGGCCGAAAGTATATGGAAGGAGAGTTTATTAACTCAGACCTAAAGAAAGGCAAAATTTATTATTATGATGACAGATATGGAATTATTGAAGAAAACGATTTCTATGCAGGCTAGAGTAAAAGACAGAACTAAAGAAAAATTGATTGTATATTACAATAAAAGATATGGAATTAGAAAGAGTCCGATAGATTTATTCGCATTATAAAGTAAATAACTTATCTTTAAATAAACAACCCCTTAATAAAATGAGAAAAGCAAACAAAAAAGAAAACAAAGAGAACAGGCAAGACCAAGAAGACTTAAGCGAGTATAAAGTCGGAATGTTAGTTTTTGCACAAAATAAGCGTACTTTCTAGTCAGAAAAAGAGTGGCACGATGCCAAAGTGATTGAAATCAGAAAAAACAAAAATTACGCCCACAACCCAGTTGAGCAGAACCTAGAGTTTTACGTCCACTATGAAGGCTTAAACAGGAGATGGGACGAATGGTGTGTTTACGAAAGAATCAAGCCTTGAAATGAAGCAGAGTCCAAAAGAGACAACTTCAATGGCCCAATAGTTGAAAACAACGAGCACGAAGGCTTAGATGAGCGAGACCTTGCCGAGCACGAAAGGCTGACAAAATTCAAAACAATTGATTTTATTGAAATCGGTAAATATCGCTGCGAAACCTGGTATTTTTCCCCGCTCCCAGACTCATTTCAAAATATAGATACACTTTACATTTGCGAATTTTGCTTATCTTTTTTTAGATATAAAACAGAACTCATAAGGCATGCTAGCCGATGCAATCTTTTGCATCCAATGGGAAATGAAATATATAGAGAAGGCAATGTGTCAGTTTTTGAGGTCGACGGGGCACGAAATCCTTGCTATTGTGAAAATCTTTGTTATATTTCTAAGCTATTTTTGGATCATAAAACGCTCAGATATGATGTTGTGCCTTTTCTATTTTATGTCCTTACAGAAATTGATGAATTTGGCTGCCATTTTGCGGGATATTTTTCCAAGCAGAAAGAAGACCCTGTAGAGCCAACAAAATATAATTTATCGTGTATTTTAGTTATGCCGTTTATGCAGAGAAAAGGGTTTGGGAAGTTTTTGATTAGTTTTTCTTATGAGTTGTCTAGGAAAGAACAAAAAATGGGGACCCCGGAAAGACCATTGAGCGATTTAGGCCATGCTTCGTATTTCAGCTGGTGGAGTGCAGAAATTATAAAATGCTTGGAAGACAGCCAAGGGCAAAACTTGTCCATTAATGATATTTCCCAGAAAACTTATATTGAGCCTGCAGATGTGCTGGAAGTCTTGGAAAAACTTCATATCCTGAGATATTCCCAAGGAAACCATGTTCTTTATACAAACCCAGACTTTCTGACGCATTTAATGAAAACCACAGGAAATCCAGGTCGAAGAGTTTTGCCTGAGAATTTGCATTGGACTCCTCTGAGACTTATTCAATAATAATATTAAAGTTAATAAAATAAGCCAATTATTTCAATAATGCTTAGAAAACCTATCCAAATCCCAAAAATACTTTTGTGGGCTCCTGGATCGTCCATCTTCAAATATATTAAAAGGGGGAAAATAAGGCAGATTATAAGATTTGATAACTGCAATAAGAATTTTATTTGATCCAAAATATTAGAGCACATTATACAAAGCAATAATGCGAATCCAACAAGTCAATAAGAAATTTTGTCATGGTTTACTTTTTCATCATCAAAGTGAATTCCATGAATTATTTGCACCCAGCATAATTTTGCGACGTGGAGCAGCAATAAAGTTAAAAAAATCAATGATATTGCAATACCAGCAACCCCAATGGCCATAGTTGGGCTAAATGACTCAGAAATATTTTCATTTGATATGCTAAAGTAAATTAATGACAGATTACCCATTTTTCCAATATGGAAAATGGATCCTAAAATTGAAGTTACAGAAAATAAAATAAGAGCTGTAATTAGCACCAATACAGCAGACTTTCTGATAATACGTGGACTATTAGATTCTCTATAAATCATTGGAAGGCATATAGTAGCCGCAAAAGCATCTACTGAATTCCAAACAATCTCGAGCTGTCCAACGTCATTTCATTCGCTTCACCAGACAACTTTAGGATTTATTTTCCCTTCATTTATATATAAAAGAGTTACTAATAGCAAATAATTCCATAAAATGATAGAAAATATTGGTAAATATTTTAGGCTAAAAAGCATTTTTAGCTTCCCAAAAAGAAGTAGAGGGATACTGATTATAATCAAAATAATGAATCTGTCTAATAGGAAAATATCATCATTGCCATAATTTTTGGTTTTTAAAATTCCTACTTGAGTGAGATCAAACCTTATTAGTGAAATTATTTTTACTTGATGATTGCATATTAGAATCATCGAGTACAAAAGCATGTTGATTAAAGCAAACTTAGCAGCTTTGTTTCCATAATAGAAATTGACACACCCTCCATAATTCAAGTTCCCAGTGTCTTCGCAAGCAGATATGAATGAGAAATATATGATATAAAATGTTCCTGCAACTAAAAAATAGGTGACAAGACTAGGAATTATACCTACTTTGGAGACTGAAGAAGGTAAGACTAGAATTCCTCCTCCAATCGTAAAAGCGTAAAATACAAAAAAGGTAGGTCAAAATCTTTTGGATTCTCTATTCATTTAAATATTATATGATAGAAAATTCAATAAAAAAATTTAAAAGTATACAGTCTATATTATTAGATGCTCTGCATAAAAAAAATTGTAAAAGGCGAACTTCGGTTATAGGGATTAAAGGATACTAATAGGTTAAATTATAAAAAATTACGATATGTCAGACCTCTTATAGAAAGATCAAAAGAGAATGCAAATTAATAATACTTATCAAAAATTTCAGAAGTAGTTAAGTCCTAACAAAGAATTTCTCCTATATGTTTAAAACGCTATTTTCATATTTATTAATAAAATAAACCGATTATTTCAATGATACTTAGAAAACTAATCCAGACCCCAAAAATAATTTTGTGGACTCCAGGATCACCCATCTTCAGATATATTAAAAGGGGGAAAATGAGACAGATTACAAGATTCGATATTTGCATTGAGTATTTTATTTGGTTTAGAATATTTGAGCATACAATGAAAATTAATATCACGAATCCAACCAACCAAAAGGAAATTTTATCATGATTTACTTTTTCATTGTCAAAGGAAATCCCGTGAATTATTTGCACCCAGCATAATTTCGCTATATGTAGCAGCAATAAAGTAGAAAATATTAATGATATTGCAATACCAAAAATCCCAATCGCCATAGTTATACTAAATTGTTCAGAAAGATTTTCTTTTGAAATGCCGAAGTAAATTAATTGCAAATTATCAATACTCCCAACATAAAAAATAGATCCTAAGAGTGCGGTCACAGAAAACAAAATGAGAACGGTAAATAGCACTAATCTAACAGCTTCTCTGATAATATAAGGGTCGTTGCACTCCTTATGCACTCTTGGAAGGCACTGAATTGCAGCAAAAGCATCAACAGAGTTTCAAACAATCTCTAACTGCCCAAGGTCATTTCATTGGCTGCTAAATCAAACAATTTTTGGTTCAGTTTTCCCATCTGCTATGACATAAACAGTTAGTAATATTAAATAAACCCATACAACGATGGAAAATACTGGGAAGTATTTTAGGCTAAACATCATTTCTAATTTTCCAAAAAGAATTAGAGGGATGCTGATTATAATCAAGATAATATATTTGTCTAAAAGAAAAAAGTCATCACTCTCGTAATTTTTGGCATCTAAAATTCCTACCCAAGTGAGATCGAACCTGATTAATGAAATTATTCTTACTTGATGATTGCATATAAGAATCATACAATGAAAAAGCATGGTGATCAGAGCTAATTTTGCAACTTTGCTATTATAATAGGAATTGATGCATCCTCCATAGTTGAGATTCGAAGTCTCTTCACAAGCATATATAAATGAAAAATATATGATGTAAAATGTGCCTGCAATTAAAAAAAATGTGACCAAACTTGGAATGATTCCGACTTTTGAAGATGAATCAGGCAAGCTTAAAGTTCCTCCTCCAATCGTAAAAGCACAAAAAATGCAAAAAGTTGGCCAAAGCTTGTTAGACTCCATGTCCATTAAAGTATTATAAGTTAAGCAAAATTTCAATTAAATTTCTTGAGAAATATAGAATCTATATTATTAAAATATCCTATATAAGAGATAAAAGTAGTTTTTATAAGGATAAAATATACTCTTTTAGAGAATACAGCTAATTCAGCTTGCCTATAATTTATTGTGCTCTCTATGTGAACTGACTTTCCTTATAAGTTTGTTTTAATCCGAAGTCAAAGAAATTGGATATTTAAAGGTTAATAGAATCCAAATTAAAAAAGTAAAAATACACACAATAAATTTCTAAATAATATAGAGAGGCACTGTTAATATTAATTTTTATAGTTAATTGTAGGATCTATAAAATTTATATTTTATATTAATTATTTTATATTTATGAAAAGAAGTAATATATAAATAATTTATATTGTTATAAGAAAATAATTTTCTGAATTGGTTGCCGAAATCAATGATACTCCATTTAATAGGTAATTATGGAAAATAGCCTTTTTAAACCTCTTGAGCATCAAATCTAGTCTATGAATAAGTCTTGCTTCACAGGAAAAGGAGAATATAAATAAAATCCATGCCATTTATTACATTCTTTAAGTTATTTAGTGCAGAATAAACCTAGATGCAAAGCTCGCCTGAAAAAAAATTAGCAATAGATATTATGGGCGCTTTTATAAATTAAAAACTTTCTGTTGTATAAGCTTTGGAAGAAGGCCTTATTCTCTAATATATTATTAATTCTGTGAAAAAAGTGAATGATTTGATATTATACAAGATATAGTTAAACAATCACATGCAGGTACTCAAGATTATTCATTTTCAAGCCAGAGATGCATTCTAAGGGCAAATTTTTGAGAATCCTAATCTAAATGATATTCACGCTCACTAGCTAAGCTAAGCAATATTATTTTGCAAAAAGTTGAATTACAAAGAGCCATAGTCAATAAAAGGAGAACTCTCATAATGATCATTTTGTCGACGGTTTAACTTAGCTTGTATTTTATGATTAAGTGTCTAATTTATCTAAAAGATCTCTTTCCCAGCTGAGTTTGCCAAGCAATGCAGAGATATGATCCCTATCAGGCTTTAAGGAATTTGATGGCTTTGATTTCAATTAGATCTAGAAAGCAGTTTGGGTCCTTTAATCATCAAAAGCAGTTGGCAAGTGCTCTTTGGTGCAGCATAGAGATTGACCCAGCTCTCTATGAACTGAAATGCATAAAAATAGTGGAAGTTCAATAAGCATCATCCCCTTTTGAACTCAAAGCGTTATAAATGGTTATTACGTAAAAAAAAGATTAAGAAAATTTTAGAAAAATAAAATAGGTCTGAAAATTGCAATAAAATATATCTGTGATAAAAGACACCCTATCTTATAGCCTGCACTAATCTGTTGACTTTATTTATATTTAATGTGATTGATTATTAAATTTTGTTGAATTGTTCCGATATAGATCATTCCTTCTACATTGAAATCAAATCTATAGAGTTCTGAGTTAATAATGAAATAAAGAGAATTTTTATAAAAATCAAAGTACTTGAAAAGCATGTGGGCATTTTTGGAATGCTGAGATATTGAAAATCTACAAAACTCCTCTCATGTTTTGAAACAATCTTTTGTAATATAGATTTTTTCACTTAAAGAATCAAATAAATAGATTTTCCCGCCCATTTTGCATAAAAATTTTTCACTTCTCCTCTCTAAGTCCATGTTGATTTCGGAGTAAGAATTAGAAATAATATCATACTCAAAAATTGATCCAGACTGTTTTCCTGTCAAATAGATTCTATCATTAAATCCAACGCATGAAATCATATCAAGCTTGAAAGGTAATGACGCTAAAGCCTTTCATCTATTTTTGTGTAAATTAAGTTTTTTTGCTGATGTAGCTTTGCATTCAATATTTGGCATTCCAAATGAGAAAATTTCGCCTTTATAATAGCAAAAATCATTGAACAGAAGCTTATTTTTTTTCCGAAAACTGGGAAATTTAAAATTGTCATTAAAAATCGCTGAGCCATACCTAGGGTGATTGAGGATTCCTCAGTAGATATTGCTGTTTGGGAGAATAGATTTTCTGCCTAGAGTAAATCGTGTAGCCTGCTCAGTAATTGATAGGCTATTTAAGTCTATTCGCTTGATATATGATATGGTATGAGAATGAAAAACACAGCACCAAAGATATTGGGACTCTATTTCTTGCTCGTCAATATCTTGCTTTAATTGTAATTTATGAAGCATATTTATGCTAAATTCCATTAGCAGTTCTCAGATTGTGCTAATTCCAGCTAAATATTCAGAATTTAATATGCAAAAATGCTTCAGTATTTGGACTTGCAGTATTATAATAGCCAATTGAAAATATTTTTGCTTCAATTATGCTTTGATTATAAGTCTTTTATGAATTATATTGCAATTATCTTTTTAAATACTATGGGAGTTCAAATCTTATGAAAGATTTAGCGTTTTATTCAATTTATAATAAAATATTGAAATTTTTAAAATCTAATTACTTGCTCCCCCTAATGGCTAGCGAGTAAAACCGCTGTAAGAAATCTTTTTTGGGATAAATTAGTCTCCTCTGTAGTCGAAAAAAATGTTTATATACATGAATTTTTATATAATTAATAGTTATTTATGGCGCGTTTATTAGTAGTAAATTATAATAGCCATGGTTGTTCAGTTTAAAAAGAGTTTAGGAATATTCAAAACTTTACATGTGGCAAGAAGTCAGGATTGCAAAAATTTTAGAAATCTTTTTTGCCTACCATAATAATTTGTTGTAAACGGTTATGATCCAGATTGGGAAGCCTAAATAATTTCTGATAGAAAAAATATTTGTTTTCTTGCTACATAAGTAATATATCTAAGTTTTTTTTTTCGAATTCAAAATTGAAATTTACAGCAGCATTTTTGCTTACATATAAATAGCTTTTTACTAAGTTTAACTGTTTAATAAATTTAAAACTTTGTATCTAATTATACTAACTTTTTTATTGATCCAATAAATTCTCTATAAGTGTTGCTTCATAGTAAATAACCGAATTTCTCTGGTCATCTATATGGTTCTTTATCCACCTAGCTGTGTTTTGATCATCAAAATCCAAAACAATCATATCCATCCCTATCTGTTTCCTCAATCCTAAAATCAAGCTCTTCTTATCACTATTACTGATTTCCGCATCCACATATTTTAAATGGATCATCAATTCGACTTTCGCAAAATTAATTTTCATCGGATCAGGCTCAACTAAAATGAAATATTTTGGGTCTTCAACAAAATATTTGACACCCATTGAGTTTCCTCTTTTCATTATGCATCTTTCGCACATCCTGTCACCCATTTCATATGTTTCGTTTACTTTTCAGGTCTCTTCTTGCTCTTTGTAGAGCAAATTTTTTATTGCATCTGTGATTGCCTGATCTAAAAAAGCAGGAGAATAGTCTGACCTGCATTTTTCGAATAAATTATAAATTTGGGAGCTTATGTTTGTATTGCTGTTTTGCTCTGCTGAGATAGGCTCTTCTTCTGATTTCTCTGTGAGAAGGCCATTAGCTAAAAGGAATTCCTTTGCAACTCATTTATTTGACAATAGGCTGTAAATTAATAGTAAATAAAATGGTTTAAAGCCGTTTGATCCCTCTGCACGCTTGCGAACACCAGAGCCTGCTTGCAGGAGGGAATTCAGTCGCGTGAACAATATCTCAATATCCGAGATCTAGGGCTTGCACCGATATCCGTGAGTCTCGACGGGTTAGGAAGATTCCTCTTGCTCCATATCATTCAAGTGCTAGTAGCCCGATAACTCCTGCCAGCCACCTTGAGAGGAGCTGAAACCCAGAAAAAAGAACCACAGCCTTCCGGAACTGGTAGGAAAAGGACTCGTGGCCCAAAAGCATTCGAATAACTATTACCTGGACTGGAATAGCGGCCAGCTGACTCCCAAGGTTTACCCATCCCATACAGCCGCTCTTGGAAGCTAAGGGTTAGGATTAAAGGGCCTGAACCTTGGCTTAGGCGACTTTGGTGCCCAAAGTGATTTATCTTCAAGGACATATTTCATCTCCACCACCATATTTATTATTTAATTAATAGTAAGGAAAGGGTAATTAGGGTGCTATCTTTTGATCTTAAAAATGCATATAAATCGCTTCTTATAGGATTTGGTAAAGAATTTGATGTGATTTGCAGATAACTTAAAGAATTTATGAAATATCAATATCTTTCCTCTTTTTGTTCGTTTTTTCGTCTTTGGATTTCTACCAAAGGTTCAGGATTTAAAGCTAAATTGAGCACAGAACTTTCAAGATTCTCAGAAAATAAAATATAAGCTAGCTCTCCTTTCATGAGTTTAAATTTTTTTTTCCTCACATAGGATTTTTTTTTAAAAAAATTAATCTGAAAACACAAAATAAATTACAAAATTTGTATATTAGATTATACTTAATATTACAATATGTTTTAAATTAAATATGATTAGCTATCTTTTATAATAATCATTTATCTGTTTATCAAAATATTTTATATCAATAAATTCTGGATCGCTTATATTAATTTCCAAAATGAAAGACTTTTCCAGTTGCTTGTTCACTAAGAGAGAAGGAGTAGGCAATTTTGCACGATTGAATATTTTATTATTTTCATGATTTGGCTTGCTAAAAATAAAGAAACCGGAATTGAAGTTTGATATTCTTTTCTTTCTATAGCTCCAATTCCTCCTACAATTACCGGAAACATAGCAATTTTCATGAAATAGTCAGCAAGTTCCTTATTGAATTCTTCTCTCCCTATTTCAAATATATCATTCACATATAACAAATTATCAAGATTATCTGTAATAATATTAGTTGCACCTTCAAAATCAATTTTCGAATTAATTCTCCCATTCAAGCCAATTCATTCTTCTCTAATAGAAGATACTAAACAGTTAAAAAACCCCGACTCAATTATGTATTCTGATATCCTGGGATCTTCCACTACTTATATATTACACTTTAAGATAGTCAAAATCACTGTCCTTGCCCCAGTCCTTATCATTGCTTCTTTATAATTCAAAAACATAAGTGCTCCTGTATATAATCTAAATTCCTTTTCAATTATAAAAATTTGTAATAAAACTGGGTCAAGATTTATTGCAATTCCTTTCAGCAGCGATAAATAGTTTTCAATGATTTCGTCATCTGTAAAGTCAAAAGGATAACTTACAATTTCTGCATAGAATTGAGTCTTTAGTAAAAAGATGAGACTTTCTATTTGGCTTAAGTTATGAATTAGCATATTTGCAGTCTGGATGAGCTGGATAGAAACTTCTCGATTGTTTTGAAGAAATAAAATCTTTATTAATAGAGATTCCATAGCATTGACGCGGAAATATCTATTTATGGAATACTGAAAAAAAGTGTGATGATTTTGCTCGCTTCATATTAAACCTTCCCCGATTGTCCGAAGTAACTCGACTACTTGAGGAGAGTTTTCATTAGTGATTTCTTCGACTCTGCTCAAATCTCGGTGCTTTGATCTTGGTAAGAATTACTGGAAGATTTCGATTGAAAATTTTGTTTTTCCGGACCATTTTCCTAACATTTTATAGCGGTAAGAATCATAATTAGGCTTGTTATACTAATAATATAAATTATTTTATGATTAAAATAATAATTCAAATGCCAATAGCACGAAAAAACCCATTTCATAAGATTATATTAATCAGGTATTAATATTTATTATTTATTATAATAAACAACTTGCCATACAAAATGCAGTAGACTCAGGAGACCCGAAATCTAAAATACAGTTCAATATGCAAGTAGTGAAATCTTCAGCGTCATCATAGCTCTCATAGTTTTCTTTGCTCTTTGAATACTCTTTTAAAAAAACTTCCAAAGCACATTCATTTATATCTCGTATTTGATTGAATTCAATCATGCTTAAATAATAATATTTCATGGCTGATATATCTCTTTCATTCCAAAAACTATTAGCACACATCTCGCTATGTGGCCAAAATCTTCTTTTAGTGTTACAATTTTTCACTTCTTCACTGCTGAGCACACAACTTATCCAGCCCGTCCTTCTCCCATACCCTGAGGTTTTTGTGTCTTAGAGGAGCGGTCTGAACTCTTGTCCTAACTCCCCCCCCCCTCCGTGAGCGAACAAAAAAATTTTGTTCACTCACGGAGGGGGGTTAATTTTTTTTTTTAAAAAAAAATTTATATATAAATTTTATAAAAAAATATTTTTTTCGAAATTTAAAAAAAATCCTAATTTGCAAAAATTGGGAAGCAAATATTAATTTAATTTGCAAAATTTATGTTTTAAAACGCAATTTGTTTTAAAATTAAACAGAATTAGCTCTAGATTTCATTATACTAATTATCACTTATATATCAAAATTTTTTTCCATTAAAATTTTTTCTATTAAAAAAATTTTTGTTCACTCACGGAGGGTGGGTTTTTGGTCAAAAAATGGTGATTTTTTCTAATGGTTTTGTTCGCTCACGGAGGGGGGGGGGGGAGTAAGGAAAATGCCCTTCAAACTAAAAAATTATTTGAAATTCTAAAACAATTCCAAAAAGTCAAATATCAATTTAAAAATTCCATTATATATGTCCTATTTGTCAATTTGAAAATTGACTTTTCATATTTTTCCTTACTCCCCCCCCATCCTTGATCGAACGACTCGCCATCGTTCGATCAAGGATGGGGGTTTAAAAAAAAATTTTTTTGGGAAAAATTTTTATATATAAAATGAAAAATATATATATATAGATTTTTTTTTATTTACTTTAAATAAGAGGATTAAGAGTATTTAATAATTATTTTTACAGCAAAAAATTGAATTAATTTCATAAAAATACCAATTTTTAATATTTTGATTTATTAGTTACCCTTCTAAACTGTATAAATTTTAATTTAAAATTATTTTTTTTTAAAATTTGAAAGAATCTCTATTTTATTAGATTATTGAGTTTTTAAGCCTAGGCTGATGTCTAAATCACTTCGGATGGTTGATTTCGCAGCTTTCTGTCATCTCAAAGCTCTGAAAACAACTTCATTAGGCACATCTTCCAAAGCATTTGATAACTAATATTTTTTATATATATAAAAATTTGCATGATATGAAAATCGTTCGATCAAGGATGGGGGTTAATTTCCCCAATTTTTAGGAATTTTTACAGTCAATCGTTCGATCAAGGATGGGGGGGGGAGTTAATTTAAAAATTTAATTTTTTATATAAAAGCACTCGTCCTCAGGGATCTAAAATGAGGCTTGTGCTATACCTGGCTACTTCTCCCCAAAAGATGGCGATGTCAACAGAAAAGTTCGTAAGTGCAAACCAATTCTTAGGACGAGGAGCCTGAAGTAGGCGAAGGCGGAGAGGGGCTAAAATAAATTCCGAAACCTAATCTAATGCAATTAATCTAATCTAATCACTGCTAAGCCACTTCATTTCAATTTTACGAAATTGAATATATGCCTTGTCACCAGGATTTAAAGAGCAATAACCAAATCGGTCTTCATTGTACCCACACAATATTAAAATGTCAGTTAGAGATAGGTTCTATACCTGTTCCGGCAGAAAGGGACCTATTTTCGAGCTCAAGTGATAGAGGTCATCCTCTTGAGAGTGTCGAAGGAAGAGAAGAGGCCAGTGCTGAGTCTGGCACTGATCAGAGAAGTCTTAAGGACTTGCTAACTTTAACGGTTCGACATTAGGCCGGCCCACCTACCGTTGTTCAGAGCTGTTAAACAAATTGGACCTCAAGCAAGGAGACTGTATACCGAGAGTAATTCATTAAACTTAAACTTAAACGTACCCACAAATGCAAGATCCTTGGATAAAATAAGAAGTCTTAGGGTCTGTTTTTGAAATGCAATCCTTTACATTTGTATTATAGCATCTTGCAGGTGCTTCATTGAGAGACTCTAAATTTTCAGTGCAAAAATATTGATTTCCTCCATTGATATTGCTACAAGTCCCAGAGCTACACATTAAATTCTGGTTTCTGATGCAACTATTTACTGAAATTTCTACCCCAGGCTGAAGACTTCCATATTCAACACAAATGTTAAGGTTTGAGTTTGTATTTGAGATTTTATTGCAACCAGCATTATAAATGCAATCAAAGTCGCTTAAGCAGCCAATATTTCCAATCGATATCAGAGGCTTACAAAATCCGAAGCCTCCACTAATTTCTTGGCAAGAAAGCCCAGGGTTGCATTGCTCACTAACGGTGCATTTTCCATTTGATTTTATTCCTTCACATAAAAAGTTTTCTCCACAACCTAAAGAATATTCTGGGTCACAATCTGAACTAGCGGCACATTTTTCACCTGGGTAGCTTTTTGGCTGAGAAATTTTTTGAAAGACACATGAATAATTTTTATCGTTTTGATTCGGGATGCAAAATTGAGTCTCAGGGCATTTTTGGATGTAAAAAGTGTCAGAAATTGAATTATAGTAAGCGCAGGTTCCATTAGAAAGGGTTTGAGATAATTGCTTACAAGTGTAGCTTGGGCAGCCAGATGTGGGGTAATCAAACCAGCTATAAGGCAGGAATGAGGGCTGAGAAGAGAGGTTAGCTTCTTCACTTGAAACAAGAATAATCAAGGGTAAGAAGAAGAGAACAGAAATTTGCATTTTTGAAGGATTATTTATAATTAATTGAATTTAGAAATAATAAAATGATATAGATACTTTTATATAGTCGCATGGGCTAAAAATAATTCATAATAAATATAGAGATGATTTTAAGCGAATTTTGGGCCCTTTTTAATATAAAATTTTATAGCATCTAATCTTAAGTAAAGATCGCTCCCGAAATATCTATCTCAAGGCAAATCAACGTTGAGCTCTGTGAAGACCATAACAATTTCCCAGAATAATCAACTTTTTCATCTTCATTCCCACTATTTTTACCAGAATCCTCGAATATTGCATTATTTTCTATAAGTTTTGTACCTTCCTCAAATTTTCACAATTTTACAGTCCCATCATCACTTCCCGACACAATGAACTTCCCACATTGGGAAAACCCAACAGTTCAAACTGAGCTCGAATGGCCTAAGTACTCCTTCACCTTTTGTTGGTTATCCAAGTCTCATAGAATTATTGATTTATCATGACCTCCTGATATCAAATATCTCCCACATGGTGAAAAGCATACAGATCATATAGAATCGCAATGTCCTTCTATTATATTAATTGGACTTGGAGTGTCTATTTCTCATATAATAATAGTCTGATCACGACTCCCTGAAGCCAAAAATTTTCCACATGGTGATCATGCCACAGACCACACTGTATCTTCATGTCCCACGAATTCTTTTATTTTTTGCTTCATTGCGACATTCCAAATTTTTATTTCATTATCAACTCCACCAGCAATAAAATTCCCACAAGGAGATCATTTGACAGATCAAAGACTTTCCCAATTTTCTTCAATTTTTCAAATAATTTCTCCATTGTTGTATTCATAAATTTGTATAGTTTTATCATTGCTTGCTGACATTAAAAATTTTCCACATGGAGACCAAACAACTGTCGATACAGAGTCTGAGTGTACGGTAAATTTTTTTATTTCTTTTTCAAAATCCCATATTCTTACTGATTTATCGTCACTTGAAGATTAGATTAGATATATGTTATAGCGGGTCTTAAGGGATTATTTCAGCCCCTCGCCGTCCCACGGATAGCTTCGCAGTGACGCTAAGCGCTATCCTCACACCACCTGTTTTCCCTTTCTGACGTCACCAAAAAATGGTGACGTCGAAGGTCTTCGGGGAAGCCACCCCATCCGGTCAGGGTCTCCGAATCTCAGCAGAAGACTCCTTTAACCTCTGACAGGGCTCAGAGTATAGGGGAATCGCCTTCTGCCTTCTCCATGACCTGTCGGAGCCGTATCACAGGCTCAGTAATGCTCTCATGGAGTGGTATCGGGACTTTGTGCCAATAGGGTTAACTCGTAGGTAAGGAAAAAAAGGCAAGGGTCAGCCCCAAGCCAAAAAACCCACCCCGGAGAACTATCGCCATGTGTCTCGCCTTTTTCCTGGGCCTGGATCAACTCACAGGTCACCAGGAGTCCACGTCAGATCACGCCATTTTAATAATTCTTCACTTGAAGAAGCTAATAAGTTTCCATCTGGAGATCAAGAAACTGATCATATAGAGTCTTCGTGGCCTTTTAATATAGAAATTTGTTGAAATGTTTCTGAGCTTCAAATTTGGATTGTTTTATCGTGGCTCGCAGAAGCAAATAGATTTTGACAAGGCGAAAAAGAAACACATCAAACTGAATCAGAATGGCCTTCATATTCTTTAATTATTTGCTTCGTGTTAGGGTGCCATAAATTTACGAGCTTGTCTTGGCTACCAGTTGCTATTTGAGTTCCAGTAGGTGACCAAGAAACAGATAAGACTGAATCTGAATGGCCAAAAAATTCATTTATTTTTTCATGAGTCTCAATATTGAAAATTTTGACAGATTTATCATTGCAAGCATTTGCTAAAAATTTCTCACAGGGAGACCAAGATACAGACCAAACCTGGTCTGAATTTTCACTTATTTCATAAGTCATATTTTCAGAGCTTCAAATTTTGATCGTTTTATCTTGGCTACTTGATGCAAGTAAATTTCCAAATGGGGATCAAGACAAGCATAAAATTGGGTCCAAGTGTCCTTTAAGAGAATACATTTTTTGATAATTTTCTGAGCTTCAAATTACAATTTGTAAATCATTTCCTCCTGAAGCGATATATTTGTTATTAGGATTCCAGGAAACAGCTAGAACTGAGTCTGTATGCTCATCAAGCTCTTTATTGTTTTCACTATTTTCTAAATCCCATATTCTGATTTCTTTATCATGGCTTCCTGAAGCGATTTTATTACCTAAAGGATTCCAAGAAATCGATAAAACTGATGAAGAATGCCCAGATAGCTCATTTATTTTTTTATTTTTTTCAATGTCTCATATTTTTATATTCATGTCATGGCTCCCTGAAGCTAAAGTATAGGGGTTTCCCCTAAATAGCCCTTACAGGGCTCTGGATTCTGTCCGGAATCCTTCGGTTGGTTGAACCAACTCACTACGTTGGTCGGACCAACTCACTTGTTGGCTCGATCAAACAAAGGATTCGGGACAGAATCCACAGTCCTGTAAGGGCTATCTAGGGGAAATCCCTATATTTCCTTTTGGAGACCATGAAAGAGTTACTACAGACTCTGTATGATCTCTATATTCACTATAGAGAGAGTATGAGTTTTCTTCTATTTTTCAAATTTTTATTGATTTATCGTCTCCTGCAGAAGCTAAATATTTCCCATCAGGAGATCATGAGACTGACCATACAGAATCAGTGTGACCTATCAAGGGATTGAATTCTCCAAATTTTATGTTCGATATATTTGAATTTTTTAGTTTTGTATAAAGAAGCTGAGATTGAGATAAATCGACGCCTTTCAGATAAGAATTTTCTAAATTTGTTTTATATAGGACAGATTTTGATAGGTCTGCATATGGAATTCTTATGCTGCTCATATCGAGATCTATGAATGAAAAATTTGAATGACTCAGAATAGTGATAGAGTTTGAAGATGCGATATCAAAATCCTTGGAAGCTCTTGAAAGAAGAATCACTTGGTAAAAAAGCTCTTTTTGTTCTTTATTAAGCATTTCCTTTACTCCCCCCCTCCGTGAGTGAATAAAACCATTAGAAAAATCGCTATTTTTTGCCCAAAAACCCACCCTCCGTGAGTCAACAAAATTTTTTTAATAGAAAAAATTTTTATTGAAAAAAATTAGATATATAAATGATAATTAGAAATGAAATCTAGAGCTAATTCTGTTTTATTTTAAACAAATTGCTTTTTAAAACATAAATTTTATAAATTAAATTAATATTTGCTTTCCAATTTTTGCGAATTAGGATTTTTTTAAATTTCGAAAAAAAAAAATTTTTTATAAAATTTATATATAAATTTTTTAAAAAAAAAAAATTAAACCCCCCTCCGTGAGTGAACAAAATTTTTTTGTTCACTCACGGGAGGGGGGGGAGTTAGTATTTTGAATACATTCAGCCTTTTAGTAAGGTTTATTTGATTGAAATAGCTCGCTTTTAATTCTTCTTTATTATTTCATTTATTGATATCTTTAAAAACAGATATTGAAAAAAAGTAATCTAGTCTAGGTTCAACAAAAATCTCATTGATTTTCATTATATCTCTACTGAATGGCTTTTTGTCCCAAATATCTAGATCGATTGATAAATTCTTTTCTTCAATTTGTTTGTTAAGAGTAATATCAAATTTCTTAATAGCGTCTTCTTTTGGAAGCAATAAAAATTCTTCGCTTTCGCTAAATCCTACTTTTGGCACTCTCTGCATACCTTTGATATCATTAAAAAATTTTAAACAAATCTCAATATTTTTATTCAATAGACCTTCTTTCTCATCCAATTTTCTTTTTATTTCCATGATTTCTTCTTGCGATTTTCTTATCAGAGATGACTTATTGCTTCAGAGTTCTTTTAGTTTGTGTTCGATGTGGGATAAAAGGTTGTGTTTATTATCTTGATTAAAATCAATAAATAACCAAAATATAACGTCGTTCTAATTTTCTGCTCTCCCCAACAGAAAATCTGATATAGCATTTTTTATGAGGTTTGGCTTCACCCAGCGAATTTATCCTGACAATGATGTATAGCGCCCTAGGTAGCACAATTTGGATGCCCATCCCTTAGAGAATTCGAATTTTCTCGAAGTGTAGCATCAACCCTGGGTGGCGGAGATTGGGACCTTTAGAGTACCTGACGGATGCAAGTTGGTTCTACAAAGAACTAGAAGGACAGCCATCAAAATCCGAATGTCCAAAGCTCAAGAGCCATTAAGATCAAGACTAGGCGGTGCACGGCGCAAGGTGGGTGGAGTCACAGGAGTGGAAGCCCGTTAAGGTGATGCGGCAGATGAGGCTAATTGTTAAAGAATTATTACTAATTAAGATTATGGCTAAGATTAAATTCAATAAACAAAGGCTGCGGATTATGCAAAGCAGACGATTTTAGCTTCAAGTGATCATAAAGGCATTTCTTGCAAAAGAAAAGATTGACTCCAGAGCAATCGCAATATGATACCGCCTTTCTTTGGCAATTGCTATTAGAACATTGCATATTTTATCAATTAATATGCATCATATTATATACAGCGCTGAAGCATTAGATATGAGAATCTCTTTAGGTGTTTTCAGAATAAGCTTTGAGACCTCAATAATTCTAAAATGTATGAGAGAAATTTATGCAAGTAATTTTAAAGAATTTAAACCAATAGTGCTTCCTTTCATATCTTCTCTTAACTGCATGAGCTATCTTCAGCTTGCTAATAATTAATCCATTTTAGGTTACTTTTAATTGAATTTTTTAAGAATATTACATTAATCCTGCAACACTAATTTTGTGACAATGCATCGTTTAATATCCTTTTTAATATTACTTAAAATAATCACTATTGATATTAATATTAACTATTATCCAATATTTGAACTGAAATTAAATTTGATTCTGTTAAATTTACTACTCAATTAAAGTAGCTCCAGCATCAGTATCAAAATTAACTGTGGTATTGCAAATAGTCATAGGCCCTTCATATTGCTTCAAATAATAATCAATGAAAAAATCATATGAATCTGTATTGATTTCTGGAACATCATCATGCTGTATTGACCATAAAGTAAAACCGCCTGAACCTACCCAGTTACTCCCTACAATATTAGTTCAATCAGTCTGGGATGTTAAAATTCCTGCTGTAGATGCCGCCAAGCTTCTTATAGAACTTCCCATTGAGAAAAGAAAATTTTGATTTTGTTGCTGAAATTGCAAAATGCTGCAAAAAACCGCAAAAATGCAAAAATCAAGTGTTTTTGTGCAAACACTCATGCAAAAAAAATGTAAAAGTGCGAAATTAAATGTAATTTCACAAATTTGTTTTGAATTTTTGCAAAAACATTTTATTTTTACATTTTTGCTGTTTTTGCACCATTTTTGCAATGTCTCCAGTTGCTGATTTGTACTCCATGCATATTTAGTAGCCTCTATCCAGATAGGATCTCTGACTTGCTCTAAGTATGGGGTAATCACCTCTACCAGCTCTAGAACCTGGTTTTGAGGGTTTCCACAAGGAAAGCAAGGAAACATATAAACCTGGATGCTCTGAAAGCCAGCACTTTGCGCATTTTGTATATTAGTTACTAAGTTTGGATCAACAGCCCCATAAGAGCAATAAGCTCGAATTATAACGAAAGTATATCCCTGATTGAGCAAACAAGCGAATGACTCTTTGCTAGTGGCTATTGATATGTCGACTCCCAGATCGGCAAAAGTCAAAGGGAAGAAAGAGAAGAAAAGGGAAAGAATAAAGTTTTTCATTTTATTCCCCAAATTATTTTAGTGGAATTCATTAACATATAAAGATATAAGTAATCCCTAAAATTGCCCGGCAAGGGCGCAAGGATGGAGAGCTCCTCTCTTCAGTTGGTCTAACTGGAGAGCTGGTAATTGAACCTCAAGAGGTTCATTTGCAAACTCTCTAGTTGTTTTTAACTAACCTGAGTTGGACAGACCAACTGGAGAGTGGAGCTCTTCATCTTTACACCCTTGTCGGGCAATTTTAGTAATTACCGATATCATATAATGACGTCATATTAAAAACCCGTAATCAATGCATTTAATCTTTGAACCAAGAGTTAAATTTGAAGTTTAAAATAAATTACTTGGGATGAATCGCAATTTTTATTTTATTAGTATTTAGGCAACCCGATATGATCTTTTTGGGCTTTTAACTGCCATTTAAAAGCAATGTCTTATTTTTTCGCATAAATAGCTATTTAGCTTTATTTAGCCAGATTAATTTAGGTTATTATATAATTTTTTAAGCTTTCTATAAACCCAATCATATTTCGAATGCTCTTATATAAGTATATGCATTGCTAATTATTTTCTGACCTCAGTAACACAGGAGAGCCCATTGACTCGAAGTTTTTGTGTTTCAGTGGGTTTTTGTATCAAGATGCCTTGCCTTATAACACGGCATTTAAAAAGATGTTAACAGATTCAATTAGTATACTTTATGCATCATAATAGATCGCTGTACCCTGCTTCTGCACTGTTGAAGTGCCCTCTGATTTGCTTACCAACTCAAGGTGCGGGCACAGTTTCATTTTTCGTGTATCTCACAGTGATTTTCCCAATTGAAGAACTGTCCAATATGCAGGATAAAACTGCAGATCTCAATTGTGGTCTCGCATGCTGGATATGGATGGGTCGTCAGCAATTCGCCTTCTGAGAAAGCATATAACTGCTTTGTCTTTTTAATAGGACTTTTTGCCTACTCAATTTTGTTTGGGAGCATAACTTCACTTGTGGCAGAACTCTCTTCCTCTGATGCAAAATTTATATTCGAAAATAGCTATTGGTATGTTAAAGATTTTATTGATAAAAAGCAGCTAGGCAGTATTTTTATGGAGAAAATAAATGATTATTTTGACTACTTATGGAGATCAAGCAAAGGAATTTATGATGAAAATGTCTTAAAAGAGCTCCTCCATCCTTGATGTCAGATATCCAGTTTTATAGATATTCTGAAGCTGTTAAGAATGTAATATCTTTAAAAATAAAGATGGGAGCATTAATGAGCCTTTGGTAAAATCAATCCTCAGGCTTCTGAAAGTCGAAATTTATTTGGCGGGAGACCCTGTTATTGGTGCAGGAGAAAAAAGGAATGATTTATTTATCATTCTTGATGGAGAAGTGCGTGTTATCGATTTTAAAGGTAAAAAGACAGTAGAAATCCTCTATCCTGGGTATCATTTTGGAGAGATTTCAACAATGATAGATCTAATAAAATCTAGCCACTTTTATAATTGCAGCAAAAGTATCTAAAATAGGAATTTTAGAAGAAAAATGCATCAAGGACCTAAGGGAAGCTTATCCAGAGTGGTATTGCAGCATGGCTGAGCTCGCACAAAATAGGCTAATAGCCACTTTTTCTTCAGACACTTTGGATGAAGCGTTATATCTTTTGAAAAAATAAATTCAAAGATTCATGCTGTCCAGAAATCTCCAAAAAATACTACGCTAATATCCAAAAGCTGCTGGAAGCAATTATATCTGAAGAGCTTCTAATAATCTAATACCTGATACTCTGTTGCATTTTTATATATGTTTTTTCTTACCTACATTCTTTTTGAGTTGCCCTTAGAAATTGGGTTTGAAATGGAGTATAATTGATTTCTATTTGGAATAGAAATTATTAGCCTATTGGTCTCTGCAGCTTTTATTTTTGTTAACTTCAAGAATTATGTTTTTTAAGTGGGACAGATAAAGTTTACAAAGAATCTTCTCTTTGCTTTAGACATCTTTTCCTTATCGCCATTCAATATAATTTTTGCGAGTGAGCAGATTGAAGATCCTATAGTGTTAATTACCCTTTTAAGGCTGCTGAGGCTTGTGGCTACTTTTAGACTTATAGCATTGTTCGCTAGAATAAGAAATCGGTTGAGACAGTTTTCAGCCCAATTGAAATTTTTGGAAACCATGATTTGTGATTGGCCTTAATTCATTTTATGAGCTGTTCATTTTTCTATTACAGCCTTAATGAAAGATGCACTTCATGGGTGAAAGATAATGATCTTCAAGATTCAGAAACTGGGAATCAGTATAGCTGAGCGCTTTTCCATGTGCTGAATATTCTCACTTGCACTGGATATGGTGGATTCATGCTTGAGGCAAACGATTCTGAAAGAATTTGGACCATTTTTTTACTTTCTTCAGAGATATGATGAATGCTGTCATTTTTGGGCTGATGGCAACTGCGGTTGCCGCTCCTCAATCTGATTTGAAGTATTACATAGAGAAGCTGAAATCTCCAATGTGTGTGGCTAGCTCTTCAGAAAAGTTCCATAGTTTAATAAAGAAATTGGAATCTTGTGTATGGGTCTGTTGACTATAGAAATCTCTTTTTATACCTACCTCTAAACATTTCAAAGCCCATAATTTTCGAATGCAGCCGATCTATTCTAGAAAAAGTCCCATATTTTCAGTTTGAAGATTCTCGAAAGTTTTTTGAGCAGATTTCAATATATTTAAAGCCCAATTTTTTCTTACCAAAAGACTATATTATTCATAAAGAAAAATCACGTGATGAAATTTTCTTCATTATTGAAGGATCAATTGCTTTGATATCTGCCAATGGCAAAACGATCTTGAAAACCCTCAGAAAAGGATCTCTTATTGGTGATTTGGAATTCTTGGCATCAGTAAAATCGACATTTTCAGTTATTGCAAAAAGTATGTGCTATACTTATTCTTTAGACAAAAAAGATTTAATGAAGTCATTTGAAAAATACCCTGATGTTTTTGAAGAAATAGAGAAGAGAATTGTCAAGCATGATGGCCTACCAATTGACATTGCAAATCAAGATTCTGCAAATGATGATGAGTTGATCAAGCTAAGAAGCGCTGATTTGAGGAACGTTCTTGATATACAGACTGGGATTACCGAATTTGACTTTAGTAATAAAGGGAGAAGGGAATCTTTGAATAAGAGAAGAAAAAATCTTATTGCAAGATCGGGCTCTGATTTGGGGGAGAGAAAGCAAAGCATTTCTAAGAGTATGCCAGAAAGGCGGTTGAGCAGAGAGTATGCTCCAATTTTAGATGTTTCTTTTAAGAGCACAGCTCAAAACCCAGAAAATTATTAAGTTTTGATCATACATTTTTTATTAAATTTTATTTTAATGAGTTTCTATTATAATAGGTAAGATAATAATTTTAGGTTGATTTTAACATATATATAAAACTGCTTAATGCAAATAAATTAAATATGAAAAAATGCTTCAATACAAAGTGTAAGAGTAAAGCTAATTCATGCCATTGCTCTCCTGAGATTTATACTTGCAAAAACACTTAACCCTATCTAGTAGCAATTCTAATAAATTTTTGTAAAATTATTGAGAGTACAAAGAATAGTCCTTAATTTTTGTATAAAACTGATTCAATAAAAGCAAAAACAATAACTTCCTTTACTAAAACTCTTTATAGCTTCCTCCCCTCTGTAAGCTTGCCAAAAATTTTTTAATAATTTTATTAAATTGATTTTTTTTAATCCTTTTTCACAAATTTGAATTTAATTTATTAAATTTATGTTTTAGAATGCAAGTTATTTAAAAGTCAAGAGAATTAGCAAAAGATTTCATTATAATAATTATCACTTATATACCAAAATATTTTTATATTAAAAAATGCAACCCAACGTAGGTGAATCAATATTGTTTTTCCTAATTCTTTTTGATCTTAGCTGTAAATCTTTTTCTTAAGAATGAGTTATGATGAAATAATGAAAATAAATAATCTCTCATGTCTGCTTTTTATTTCGTTTGCTATATAAATAATTAATACTCAATTTTCCTAAAACCAACATTTTAGCATTTGCAAAATGCGATCTATGCAATACATATAATTATATCAGGGGAATTAGATTTTTCAAGAAAAGGCCACTCTTTAAGGTTTTATGGGCGTAATTTTCATTAATTAATTCGTTAAATCCCCTCACTCTCGTGAGCAAACAACACTATTAGAAAAAAAAACCTATTATAGGTAAAAGCCACCCTCCGTGAGCAAATAAAATTAGTTTTGATATTAAAGTTACTTTTTAAATGAGTTCGACAAAACCCATTTAGGGCGTTTATTACAGCTTAATAAAAAATTCTGTTACTCTCTTTTTTCTGGCCCATTTTTCTAATTAGCTTAGTTTTTTATATAGTAATTTCGATCGATAATCATAATAACGATGGAGCTTTTTCCTGAAGAGTTAACAAACGCTTTTGAATTTAAGGATCACCTCAATTTTGGAGGTTATGGAACTATCTATAGAGCCATGAAGAGAAGCAATAGAAAAATGTACGCAATAAAGGCTGTAGCCAGAGCTAGCACAGGGTCAAGCTGGAAGGACATTGGAGCTGAGTTGCAAGTACTCTCATGGGTCAATCCATATAAGCTTCGCTTAGACTCTTTTTTTGTTAAAGACGAAACTTTCTTCATGTCATAGATTATTGCCAAAATGGCGACCTTCTTAAAGCCATAGTTGATAAGATTCATGCCCATGAAATGTTTGAAGAAGACGAAATCTGAAAATATTTTATCCAGATCTGCTTTGGGCTCGAGTCTTTGCACTGCAACGGATTTATTCATCGAGATCTTCATCCACAAAATATCCTCTTAGACGAAAATAATGATATTAAAATAGCTGATTTTGGCACTTCTCGCTCTTTACTGACAAAAACAATTCAGGGTGTTGCCAGCTACCAGTCTCCTAGGACTCATAGTGGAGATCTCCAGGTTAAAGAAAGTGATGTTTGGGCAGTCGGCTGCATTTTGTATTATCTCTGCAACCTTGAGCATCCTTTTGGCGATAATGTGAATAAAATAAAAAATGAGTCTCATAGGCCAATAAGAAGCGAATACTCCAATGAACTGAGGTATTTCGTTGATTGGTGCCTAAAAAAGAGGCGAACAGAGAGGCCAACAATAGTTAATATTTTAACTCATGAGTTTATAGTCAATAAAACTCTAAGCTTAGGCATTACAATTCCACAAACATCTGCTATGAATGCAGCTATTTGCCAAATTCAACTTGAAAAAGAAAGGGAAAGAAATGAGCAGCTTAAAAAGGAGCTAATTAAATATAGGAAAAAGAATAAGGTAAAAAGAACGGAAATTGAGTCGCTGAAAGAAGAAATAGCTCGCTTAAACAGCATAATAAATGAGAATAAAAAGAGGAATGAAGACCCGCTTAATTATCAAGATCTTATCAAAAATAATGAAGTCATCGACCCTCAAAAGATCCTTCAAGAGCTAAGAGAGAAGAGATCTGAAATTTTAAATAGACCAAATGGCCGAGAGTTAGAGCAAGACTTTAGGAGAACCTGCTCAAAGTACATTAGCGATGTCTGTGCTGATGATCCAGCTCTTCAGCAAGCTTATCAAGATTATATTAATGCTTATCGCCAAAAAACATCTCTTTATACAATTAACGATGATGACAACAGAACTAAATTGATTATTTATGATACAGAAAATGATAGGAGGGAAGATAGGATAATAGAGACTCCTGAACCACTGGATAATACAACATGTATTGCTCAGCTTCCTAATGGTAATTTATTTTGCTATGGTAAATACCCTGGCTCTGGAGTTTCATTGATAATTGATGAGGATTATAGAGTTCGGGAGCTGCCATCTGGAAGACGTTGCAGTCGTTCATCAGCTATCTATTTCAATAATAGTGTTTATTGCTTTGGAGGAAATAATGGAGGAAGTTTACCTCTATCAGAGAGATTTGATTTAAATGAAAGCCGATGAATTAAATTAATGCCACTGCCACAAGGTGATGACGGCTGCACAAGTGTAATATTTAACGGGAATATTGTGATTTCTGGATGGAAAAATAAAAATCTTTTGAGGTATTCAATTGGTGGCAACACTTTCGCAACAGTTCCTTATGATTTTCAAGCTAAAACATCCAAGATTCTTATAAGTACAGAGATGCTGTATTTAATTGAATGTGGTGATGATGGATCAATCTATGAAAGTGAATTGTCAAATGATACTGCCTGGAGACGAATTGGAGACTCAATAATAGGTGGTTTTGTTCAAGTTTATTTATCATATAATAAAGAAAGAATAAACATTGCACACTTTTCGGGTGGTGATAGTTACTTCAAGTTTAATTTAGAGGCAAAAATATTAAACAAGCTGCATTAAAATAATTTGCTAAATAATAGGTCTCATTTAATAAATAAGCTTAGTTTAATATAGTAATAATTTGCATTTCCAGGATTTATCTGTATTGCTTTGCTATAGCACTCAATAATTGCAAAATATGCTTTTATTTCATTTTGCCGCACAAAGTTCGATCAAGGATGGGATTAAAAAATTTCTCGAAAATAAAATATATGAATTTTTTTATTGTTTTAGTGTGCTCTTAAATAAAAGAGCTTGATAGGTAGTAAAGATTAGGAATAAAGTTGCTTCATTAATCACTAGTTACCCACTTTATATTTTTAGAATTCTCTCTATAATCCTATTATGCGTTGCCTAAATTGCTTATCTAGGGAACTGATGAAATATTGAGGCATCCTTGGTTTATTAAAAATATCCTAATTAAAGTAAAAATCATCGGGTAAATAAACAGCATTTAAATATATTAAAGATTAGAAATATATAAATAAACTGTAAAATTTCAGTCTTGTGGCCTTTTTGGTATTTTAATTAGAAAAAATGAAAATAAGAGAGCAAAAAACTTTAATTTTAAATTCATAACTTTATTTCTATTAAGTTAACCGTATAAAAACTTAGTAGGCTATCAAAGTCTTTATTGATGTTTTGATCATAGTAATTAAATAAAGAATGCTTAAGAACAATTCTAAAATATTCAAAAATTTGCAATAGAAAGGTAATTTTAATATCCTTTCAATATATATTTCAATGTCTATAAATAAATATAAAAGTGTACCTAAAACACTTATTATTTTATATGTTTAAATAATAAATTGAGCTTAATAAATAAAAGAAATTATGAGTGTTAGGGTGTTAGGGTGTTAGGGTGTTAGGGTGTTAGGGTGTTAGGGTGTTAGGGTGTTAGGGTGTTAGGGTGTTAGGGTGTTAGGGTGTTAGGGTGTTAGGGTGTTAGGGTGTTAGGGTGTTAGGGTGTTAGGGTGTTAGGGTGTTAGGGTGTTAGGGTGTTAGGGTGTTAGGGTGTTAGGGTGTTAGGGTGTTAGGGTGTTAGGGTGTTAGGGTGTTAGGGTGTTAGGGTGTTAGGGTGTTAGGGTGTTAGGGTGTTAGGGTGTTAGGGTGTTAGGGTGTTAGGGTGTTAGGGTGTTAGGGTGTTAGGGTGTTAGGGTGTTAGGGTGTTAGGGTGTTAGGGTGTTAGGGTGTTAGGGTGTTAGGGTGTTAGGGTGTTAGGGTGTTAGGGTGTTAGGGTGTTAGGGTGTTAGGGTGTTAGGGTGTTAGGGTGTTAGGGTGTTAGGGTGTTAGGGTGTTAGGGTGTTAGGGTGTTAGGGTGTTAGGGTGTTAGGGTGTTAGGGTGTTAGGGTGTTAGGGTGTTAGGGTGTTAGGGTGTTAGGGTGTTAGGGTGTTAGGGTGTTAGGGTGTTAGGGTGTTAGGGTGTTAGGGTGTTAGGGTGTTAGGGTGTTAGGGTGTTAGGGTGTTAGGGTGTTAGGGTGTTAGGGTGTTAGGGTGTTAGGGTGTTAGGGTGTTAGGGTGTTAGGGTGTTAGGGTGTTAGGGTGTTAGGGTGTTAGGGTGTTAGGGTGTTAGGGTGTTAGGGTGTTAGGGTGTTAGGGTGTTAGGGTGTTAGGGTGTTAGGGTGTTAGGGTGTTAGGGTGTTAGGGTGTTAGGGTGTTAGGGTGTTAGGGTGTTAGGGTGTTAGGGTGTTAGGGTGTTAGGGTGTTAGGGTGTTAGGGTGTTAGGGTGTTAGGGTGTTAGGGTGTTAGGGTGTTAGGGTGTTAGGGTGTTAGGGTGTTAGGGTGTTAGGGTGTTAGGGTGTTAGGGTGTTAGGGTGTTAGGGTGTTAGGGTGTTAGGGTGTTAGGGTGTTAGGGTGTTAGGGTGTTAGGGTGTTAGGGTGTTAGGGTGTTAGGGTGTTAGGGTGTTAGGGTGTTAGGGTGTTAGGGTGTTAGGGTGTTAGGGTGTTAGGGTGTTAGGGTGTTAGGGTGTTAGGGTGTTAGGGTGTTAGGGTGTTAGGGTGTTAGGGTGTTAGGGTGTTAGGGTGTTAGGGTGTTAGGGTGTTAGGGTGTTAGGGTGTTAGGGTGTTAGGGTGTTAGGGTGTTAGGGTGTTAGGGTGTTAGGGTGTTAGGGTGTTAGGGTGTTAGGGTGTTAGGGTGTTAGGGTGTTAGGGTGTTAGGGTGTTAGGGTGTTAGGGTGTTAGGGTGTTAGGGTGTTAGGGTGTTAGGGTGTTAGGGTGTTAGGGTGTTAGGGTGTTAGGGTGTTAGGGTGTTAGGGTGTTAGGGTGTTAGGGTGTTAGGGTGTTAGGGTGTTAGGGTGTTAGGGTGTTAGGGTGTTAGGGTGTTAGGGTGTTAGGGTGTTAGGGTGTTAGGGTGTTAGGGTGTTAGGGTGTTAGGGTGTTAGGGTGTTAGGGTGTTAGGGTGTTAGGGTGTTAGGGTGTTAGGGTGTTAGGGTGTTAGGGTGTTAGGGTGTTAGGGTGTTAGGGTGTTAGGGTGTTAGGGTGTTAGGGTGTTAGGGTGTTAGGGTGTTAGGGTGTTAGGGTGTTAGGGTGTTAGGGTGTTAGGGTGTTAGGGTGTTAGGGTGTTAGGGTGTTAGGGTGTTAGGGTGTTAGGGTGTTAGGGTGTTAGGGTGTTAGGGTGTTAGGGTGTTAGGGTGTTAGGGTGTTAGGGTGTTAGGGTGTTAGGGTGTTAGGGTGTTAGGGTGTTAGGGTGTTAGGGTGTTAGGGTGTTAGGGTGTTAGGGTGTTAGGGTGTTAGGGTGTTAGGGTGTTAGGGTGTTAGGGTGTTAGGGTGTTAGGGTGTTAGGGTGTTAGGGTGTTAGGGTGTTAGGGTGTTAGGGTGTTAGGGTGTTAGGGTGTTAGGGTGTTAGGGTGTTAGGGTGTTAGGGTGTTAGGGTGTTAGGGTGTTAGGGTGTTAGGGTGTTAGGGTGTTAGGGTGTTAGGGTGTTAGGGTGTTAGGGTGTTAGGGTGTTAGGGTGTTAGGGTGTTAGGGTGTTAGGGTGTTAGGGTGTTAGGGTGTTAGGGTGTTAGGGTGTTAGGGTGTTAGGGGTGTTAGGGTGTTAGGGTGTTAGGGTGTTAGGGTGTTAGGGTGTTAGGGTGTTAGGGTGTTAGGGTGTTAGGGTGTTAGGGTGTTAGGGTGTTAGGGTGTTAGGGTGTTAGGGTGTTAGGGTGTTAGGGTGTTAGGGTGTTAGGGTGTTAGGGTGTTAGGGTGTTAGGGTGTTAGGGTGTTAGGGTGTTAGGGTGTTAGGGTGTTAGGGTGTTAGGGTGTTAGGGTGTTAGGGTGTGTTAGGGTGTTAGGGTGTTAGGGTGTTAGGGTGTTAGGGTGTTAGGGTGTTAGGGGTGTTAGGGTGTTAGGGTGTTAGGGTGTTAGGGTGTTAGGGTGTTAGGGTGTTAGGGGTGTTAGGGTTGTTAGGGTGTTAGGGTGTTAGGGTGTTAGGGTGTTAGGGTGTTAGGGTGTTAGGGTGTTAGGGTGTTAGGGTGTTAGGGTGTTTGGGTGTTAGGGTGTTAGGGTGTTAGGGGTGTTAGGGTGTTAGGGTGTTAGGGTGTTAGGGTGTTAGGGTGTTAGGGTGTGT